ATCCCTAACCATACTCGGTTAGCATATGGCAACATTCAAGTCCTCAGGGCGACCGCGCTGAATACCTACCCCGAACCGATATCAAGACCTGAAACATAAACTTAGCCATAATATGTATCATAATATCATAGTATATGATAATACGAGGCAATTATACGTTATAAATTATAAGTTATACTGCTATGTAGGTAGGTCTATGATAAGATGACCCCAGCTTGCCTACACGAATTTTCTATATCGTGCAAGGAATATCATGACAACCGCATCGTGTTTCAGGCGACGCGATCGTATGCGAAGCTCGCCTGTTTGATTGATTCATCCCTTCCGACAAATCATCATCTCTGCCTCGCCGCAAAACTGCGTGCTCCTTCGTTGACACACACACACTTGCCTTCCTCGATACCACCTACCTGCCTATCTACCTACCTAGTATCTATCTATCTACATACACTGCCTGCGGCACATGCCTATCTATTGAAGTAGGTAGATATTATGATAGCTGACCGATATTCGTTCAATCCTGTATGTTAAGATCACCCCTTGTTACCCCAAATCGACATTTTTGCAGCTGCTTTTGTTTCTATTTCGGGTTTTGCATATGCGAGCTGAGCCGACCATGCTGGTCAATCTCTGACAGGCACGAGCTTACCTTACAGCTCAAGTACTAGGTAAGAGTCAGCAAGGTACGATGCTAGGTACGCATAACTTGCCGATCATCGACCAAGAGGTGACGATGGGTATCATGCTATGTTATGTTCATCAATACTTCTTGACCATGTACCTAAAACCGCATGTCTGCCTACCTATGTAAAATTGGCTTCTCCGCCGACGTTGATGTGTTATTCGTTAAGGCAGGACATGTCATTGAGTCTAGCCGTTAGAATAGAGGCATTCTCGCTATACTATTCGCTGAGGTTGACCGACAGGTGGATTGGGATCGGAGGCTACGATTGGACCAGTACCGGCGAGTACCTCTTTTTTTTCTCCTTCAACACGACGAGACACACCAGCTCACCGTTACACCGGTCATGAACCGGGGTATTCCTGTCAGCTGTCTATTCCCTACGATAGAAGTGTCATAATATTTTTTTTCCTCATTGAGAAATTCATCGATCAACATTTTATTCGTGGAGGAACGTAGATTGACTTGGCTTGACCTTGACTCTCAAAATGCACCCGGATTTTGAATCCACCTCGATTTTTTAGTCGGTTCTTCTACCTACCTACGCATAGTACACCACCTAACCCCCCCTGGTCACCCAAAGCCGAGACCACAACCTGGAAGATTCGGTGGCAGTTCTCCCCTCGGCGGACCCTTCGCCGCAAGATCCAGGATGGTGCATATTATCGCTGTTACTTCTGTGGTGCTTCCTATGCCCTCTGTGCCGTCTTAGTAGTAGCTTGCCTGCCTTTGCCTGCTTTGCTTAAACAGCATCCTACAAAAACATGTCGCTAGCGACACACTACGGTAACTGGACTTTTTCTGCATACAGTATAGAAGGACTGTGTGGGCGGAGTTGTGTATTTACCCTTGCCCATGCCTACCTACTACATACAGCTTCGAACATCTAGAAAAGGACACGCACGCACGCATGCCTTTCCACTGCAGAGTATACGAGGCGGCTCAGGACAGAAGAGCTTCTTCGACCAAGTGGGACTTCGCGATGCACCGAGGCCTAGCCATTTCACTCCCAATAGAGCCCAAATCTTGGGAACAGCCCGCTTAGCTACGTGTATTCCCGTCTGGGGAAGCTTTCCACCGATTCCTACATCGGGGATCTTGGGACCTCACGCCATCACTGAAAGGGATTGCAGGGCTGCTAATCACCAGGGTCGTCACATCGTTCCCGCTCATGCGTTGTTCCTCCCGGGCATATGCACCGGTAGTTCCGGTCGAAGCTTCAATCTGGGAAAGGGCATTAAAGCGAATAACCCTAAGCAAAAGCAAAATAATAATAATATACTATGTAGCAAACCTGCAAGAAGTTTTAAAACCCCAGTTTCCTTGATCGAAGAATCTGCTACATCGGACCTACGTGCTCCCTAAGTTAGTCATACACGTCTAATATCGATGAAATAGTAAGTGTTAATGCGTCTCGTCGACGGCCACGTCTTCTTCCTTTGCGTCCGTTGCGTCCTTTTGCGTGCCCGAGGAAGGAGGCCATGACCTCTCTCCCTCTCGAATTGTGTGTGGGTGTGGGTGCCGCCATGCGCGGGAAGGCCAGACTGCAAGCATCTTCGGCGCGTGGTCGGCGTCTCCCGCGATATCGAAGCTTTCAGAAGGGAAAGACGAGACACGATGTGTGGTCGTCTGCATCGATTAGCACTATTCATGCACATCACCATTACATCAAGAATGTTAGCCTAATTCGTCGCTTTCTGTAGATCAATCGTGGTGGTGGGATAGTGTTAGAAGCCTAGGGGGGAAAAAAGCCGCTAAATGGGTGCTTCTCTCTCAAGGCAGCTCTGCTTTCTGCGCTGTATGTCTCGTAATCTTCAAGGATGGGATGCCCTATCTGCCTATCCTACCTCGTAATAGTCCTTCAGGGTACTGAGGTCACTCAAGAGGGGAAAGCCGGATCCTCGGCGGCTATCGTTACTCGATAAGTTACGAATTTTCCCTGATACGAGAACTCCCCTTAAGTCCGCTCGCCACAAACTCCCACAAAGCTAGAACCACACCATCAACGCGTCGAGTCGCGGACCTCCGTAACACAAACCGACGCTTATAGCGGTTGTCTACCTAGTTACTCTTGTGGATTTCGGCTACCTAGTCAGACTCCTACGGCTCTTCAACCCCCACCACGAAACCCACGACTCCGCCTTCCTAATCGACCTCCGTGCGGCTCAAGGCCGCCGTGGCATCTCCGCCCCGGGCGTGTCAGTGGGAGCTAGTGATATGTGAGGGGCATCGTATGCTGAAGCCATCAATTCTGATAGCGGGTTTGCCGGTTATGCTGCCTAAATCAATATTTCTCCTAAAAAGGCGTAGGACTTACTTGGCGGGGTGACTCCTCCTCGAGCAGCCTACCTAGGTAAGTATTCGGCGAAGCGATATTGCCTTCGGTCCAGAGTATTCATTGTTGGTAGAGCCACAAATAGTCAATGAACATCTAGAACGTTCATAATAGAGATAGCTCGTAGATCCAAGCCCCTTGGCCCGTGCCATCCTCGGAATGAACCCCTATTCTCTACCAGTGAACTAGAAGGCTCCAACAAGGCTTCTCAATACGGAATAGAGTATCCAGGTGTGGTGGGAGCTTGGTTCCACCACAATAAGGATATCACGAAAGGTGAATGTCAGGAGCTCATCTCCGAGAAAGCCTTATTGGGATGGAAGATCCTGGAGTAATCTAGAGGGAGTAGATAGGGCTTTGGAGGAAGGAATTAGGTTGAATACATCCATGATCCGATCTTTACTATTATACTGGTAAGGCAGGCAAGGCTACCTTTTTCTTGAAGATGACAAAGGCGTAAGAATGTCGTCACCTATTGACATTCTTCTAAGCCGGCTCGGTCCTACCCAAACTAGCCGTAAGCACTGTATTGATTGCATTTAACCCATAAGAGCTTCTATGTCAGCCTCTGTCGCTGCATACCACAACGAAAAGGTCGCATAAACTATCTCTCAACCCGTCATCGGTTAACCCATTGAATGTGCACAGACCTTGGCTGCTCCCGGACCTCGTCGTCTTGTCCTACCATGATTTAGGATGGAATCGCTAGAATGCTATTATATTCGGCTAAATCCCATTCTCTTGTTGTGGTGTATTTCTCGCCTTCTTTCAACGGATTGTCCTAACGTTTCGAGGCAGAGATAGAACGAGCTCCCGTATAGTGGCGGAAATCAGCGAAGTGGCCAACATCTTATCGTAGATGAAGGTTGGGCTACATAACCCTCAACCCATCAATTGATGGAAAAGGCTACTCTACTAACAGTGTTTACATGTAGTCCGAGCTGATCTACGGTTTTGACGACGATATCAGTGGCTGGCAACGCGGGTCCTGCTAATTCTCCCCCCTCATCGTTTTGACGAATTTCCGCAAGGATTCTTATCAGATAGCCGGCACTTCCTAGGTAGCCCTATTTGAAACCTCCATGTCTATCCGGTACTCTCTTGGCTCTATTGTAATTCTCGTCCAAGAGCATTGCGTTTAGTGCAAAAGGGGGAACAGGGCAGAGGGGACCATCAAGCCTCGCCTTATCCGTATGACCAATGGCGATTGCTTCTATCGATGCTCGGAAACGCCGACTATAACTTCTACCTAGTACCAAGTGATATACCTCTGTACGATACTTCGATCTTATCGAGTTCGAGTCCGATCTTTCCGATTTAAGTGCTTGCCTGGTAGATCATATGGCACTTTAGACGGAGAAGCTCCAAGCATTATTATACACGATGGGATTCTATCTGGAAAGATTATAATTATACAATGGATAGCCGTTCTTGAGGTTTGCTATGGGCTGGAAGAGAAAAAGCAGTCGTGCAAGATTTGGGTGGGCCTCGACAACATCGTTACATCCTCAAGACCTATTCAGACCGATGATTTCGAACTTGCTTTAGGCAGTTACTTGGTTCCAAAGCCTCCAGCTGCGAGTTTATGACTTTAACTTTATGGTGCTGTTTAAAGGGGTGTTTGGTTACGAAGTGGGCGAATTGTGAATGTCATGGCGGTGGGGTGAGCAATCTACCCCTTATTGACTGGAGCAGGAAGTCGCCGCAAGCCAGGGGGCTCTTTATACAGTGCATTAAAAGCACGGAAACTTCGTATTTCGTCGATGGTTGAGAGAACCCTTCCATAGAGGCGGTGACGCAGTCCAAGTACTCTATGCCCAGAGTTACACGATCCTGTCCAACGTCGATGTTACAGCCTATTCATTCCGCATTGTCCTAGGCTGGGGGTAACTTTAGTCATTATGCTTTCCTCTCGTCGGTTTCAGCTACGACAGTCGTGGTAGTTTAGAGTTCATACCGTCTTTTGATACCCTCTTCTGGAGGGCGGATTAGGTATTGATCGACGAAAAAGCTGCTAACAACGGTGTAGAGGTTTAGTATTTGGCTACCAGCGCCTTGATAGAGGCAACTCTGTACGCGACACGCTATAGCAGTTCGCCGTCGCCTCCACTCCTTGAGGATTCTATCCGTCTATCATCGAGACTTCTGCGCCAATACCAAGCGTCTAAAATCTATCTTCCTCGTCTATCAACCCCGATGTTAAGTTGAAATGAAGCAATACGCGCTATCGCTTGCTACCCACGCTGCCATGCAGAAACCACCAACACTTCCAAAGCCGTACCGGCGCTACCTCTGCTTAACAAACTTCGTATGCGAACCATTAGCAACGACTGGCCCCGCCACGCCATCCACGACCTTCTTAATAACAACCCTCGTAAACCCGAGGGAGCCGCCGACCTTATCCGCCGAAGCCTCGATCTCGATCTCATCTCCCTCAACGGCAGACGAGAGATACGAGACGTGGATATCGACCGACACACCCGTCCGCCTACGCAGATCCCACGTCGCGATCGCCATGCCGCCAGCCCAGTCCACAATCGCCGCGCTCGCGGCCCCGTGGATGCCGCCTCCGGAGTTCATGTGATTCCTCGTGAGCGTAAGCCTCGCTCTCATGAAGCCCTGGTTAGCTGCCACGATGCGCACGCCCGAGAGCAGAAAGCCGTAGATGGCCGAGTTGGGCAGCTGGGCCGCCGTGAGATCCTCCAGGTGTGCCTTGATGGTGGCTTCATCTTTGCCGGGGTCGGCGATTGCTGGTTCTGCGCCGATCGATCCCATGATTACTGCCCGGTTGAAAGGTAGGTACCTGCTGATGACCTAGCGTGGCGAAATACCCCGTGAGAGAGATGCGGGATGTGGTTTGGGTTAATTGGCCGTGGGTTTGGACTTGAGGTGAGTCAGTAAGAATTGTCGTAGTTCAACAGATCGGTAAAATGTTGAGAACTTGACGCCAGTTGCTGTAAAGCACGATAACCCGGATTTCAGCTGTTTGCCAGCTGGCTCCATCACTTCGCCACTTGGTACCTAGACCGGCGGCAAATGGTTATTATGTAATCCATTCATATGGTCCTGAGGTTCCCATATTACTTAGTGAAGTACTATAAAAAGACTGATCTCCGACCTATATCTTTTATATCTAATAATATGTATATATATATTGGAGAGGATCGACAATGGAATGAAAATCACATGCGTTTATTTGCTCCTCCTTTGTTGACCCATATTTGCCTGCATTGCATCGTACAACATATCAATGTAACAAGAACTATACACGTCGCTACCTAGGTACCGAGTATGGATTTCAAAATATGAACGAACGGGGTATACTAGGTAGGTACCTACGTAACTAGGAAAGGGGTTGCTCGCCGCACTAAAGCTTTATCACAGGTGTAATAAGGGCGTAGGGAATGGAGTAGGATGATGGTCGAAGGATCCGAGGCGACGATGTCAGCATATGCCCCCAAAGTCCGATTTAATTATGAATATTCCATGCCACGTTGTCAGCCCGTAGTCAAGATACGGTAGTAGCAGCACACAAATAGAAATAATCGAGTTAAGCGCGTACATAAACCTTTAACCAATATAGCACATGACTAAACGGGTCAAATTATTCATCATGGTACTTCTTCTCTACAGCCGTATACTTCCTAAGCCCTAACGGCGATACCGATTTGAATCACCGGATAAAGCTATACGTAGCTGTAGATATTCGTGGTACCCCGAAAGTGTGTGCGCCTTCATGGGTTCATTGTCCGACCTCATTCATGACTCCCTCGCGTCTATGCCAAGTAGTATCTGAAAACATCAATATCAAGAAGAGATACACCATCCGGTGTACTCTTAACACACCCCGGTGGCCCTTATTGTACACGCCCGGTATCCTAGGAAAATGTGCCGTATCATGATTAGAGGTGACCTATTCAAATCATTGGTCTACATGCCTGGTTATGACCAAATCAATAACCGAAACATTTGACCTCTATGTGTTCGCCCTTATGCAAAGTAGCTCTTCCAGAGAACCCCTTCGAGATCTTCGAGTTGCTCGTGAGTGAAATACTATGACACGTTAGCATATTGTTGGGATAATCCAAAGACAAATGGAAGACAGAGGGAAATTTACCTTCTGATCAACTCCCCAGCTATCTTGTCTTGTCTTTTTGAATTCAGAAAGAATTGCCTTTGTAGCCTTGCCAACTACACCAGGGTCACTTGCTGCGCGTCTCGCGAGGAGGGCTAAGACCTCTGGCATCCAACTTGGTGGTGGAGTTGCGTACGGGAATGCTTCTATCAACGATCCAAGTCCCAAGACCGCAGCGTGTCGTCTCACGATTTGCTGCGTGACGTTGATCGGGGTTTCAGTGCCGGGCTGTCTCTTCTTCGGCATTGGGTTTCGCGCCAACTCTTTTTCGAAGCGCGACTTCAGATTCACAATGAAGGGGTTCCGTACCGTAGCGGGGGAGCATCTAATCATACCAGCCAGCGTAGCGCTGGCTACCGTTCGAACCTCAAGCTGGGGATCGGCTAGCATATCGCTTACAGCGTCGAAGAGCAATGCTCTCTGAGGAGCGTCCATCAGGAATAGTCGCCGGAAATAGATTACTTGCATGTTCACCAGAGCTCTAAGACGTTGGTGCCAACTTGTAGCAGTCTTTCCGAGACGAACCAATGCTGCGATGAAGGGCTCATCCTCGCCGGTACGGAATGGAATGTTCGGTAAGTGACGATAGACATGGTAGGCCAGACGCATCAACTCCGGATCCTCTTTGACATCCATCATGTGTAGAAGTTGATCAATAAATGGATCTGGGAAGAATGGAATGAGTTGCATGCATTCCTGGGACGAGAGAGTGCTGTCAAGCCAGATTAGGACAGTCTTCGACCCAGATGTGTAAGAGGACGGTGTCTGCTGCCCCGGTGTACGCTCATGGCGCCACACTTCAAGACGGTCAAATACATCTTTGATAGTTGCCGCGAACTCTTCGGTTGGCTTGTATGGTCGGATGCCAATATTTGAGTCTGCCTTATTCTGCTCAAGTAGAGCGGCGACACTTTCGAACGACTCATGATATCGAGTTCTGTAGATGGTTGCGATGACGCGACCAATTGATTCGCGCACAGCCTTGTACGGGTGATCGATATGTGCTATGAAGTCGTCCAGGATCGGCTTCTCATGGCGATAGTGCCATCCACAGTCATTAATCAGGAACTCGAGAAGCTGTACCTTTGAGGACTCCTTGAAAGCAGCGTTAGAATTCATATCCAGGCGGAAAGAACTTAGACGGTTGACGAGCTCATTAGCACGACGAGGGTCCTTCGTATCGATGATGAAGTGGAGGCATGTGACCCAGTATGAGAGGTTATCGGGAGTCAATTTGTCTGCAAAGACATCGAGAATCATCGGTTGCGCAAAGTTCCATACTTCGTTCTTCATATTAAGAGGGTCGTACGCTGTGCCAACCATCAGAGCACCGAGAATCTCCGCCGTGGCGCGGTGTTGATGCTTGTCGCTCCCATCTCCGTATACATCAGCGACTAATTCCTTGACATCGTCAAACTTGAGCTCGGTCTGCCCGTAGATCATGAGATCGAAGATATGCATGAGCAAAGAGACATTTGTGGTTCTGAACCTATCAGCTGTCGAATCTCGCGGCTCTTGCTTCATATAAGCGAAGCATTGAGAAAGCCACTCCCTCGTTATTAGTTTGCCGATTTGCTGTCTGACTGCCTTCTCGACGTCATCATAGTCGTCGAACTTTTCCGGTTTAGCTTTAAATGCATTGAATTGCTTGCCCCAGACCAACCATCCAGCATGGTCCGTGTCAACGAAATACTCAGCATTCTCGGGGTGTTTGAAGCTGTCTAAGAAGCGCTCTGTATATTCGCTGTCGCCCTTCGGAACTGGGACAATGATTTTATTGATATCCCGTTCCTTCTCCTGGAGGTAATTGGAGTAGCTATGCCCATACACGGCACGCTGATCGATCGACGTGAAGATGCTTGCGAATACGCTGAGGTAATTAGCCCTTAATCCAGGATGTGGATCATTCGTACCCTTAGCGATAAGTTCGATGAACTGGGGTGGCGCAATAGACTCAAATCGTAGACAGAGATTGCATATAAACATAGCACACCGACTTGCTGTCTTCCAGTGAGACTCCTTCGCAAGTTCCGTCAACTCTAGTCCCAAATCCGACTTCTTCTGCTCGACTTTCTTTCTGCGCTCTTTGATGAAATCGTGCCTCGTACTGATGGCCTTTGAACAATCTTCAGTAGGCTTGATCAAGTCTACAGTCTGCTCGTCTATTATGACCATTAACTCGAGCCGCCTGCCAAATTCAGCGAGTGGGTAGATGGCGGTCGCTCCTAAGCTCTGGATTGACGTTTTGTCGATATTTACTGACTGTATGTATAGTCGCATGAGGTCAGGAGCAAATCTCCAATCCCTCATCAATGTTCTGAGTAGACTTGTAAAGAGCAGCGTATACATGGCCCCCTTGATCCTGTCGTGGTCGGTTTCATCAAGTGCTTTACGGAATCTTTCTAGGATAACGGGAATGACGAGTGGGCGGCCGCCAATTAATGCTTTGAGAGACGCATCTTGCGCTCCTTGAGCTATTCGTCGCACATCAGCGTACGACGAGACGGACGATTCTGCGAGGTCGAGCAGTAAACGTTTGTCTAGCTCACTCTTCCTACGAATCGATGCGTTATGCTTGACTCGTTGCAATTGGTATGCGTCGGCTCGCTTGACAAGGAGCGGCCGGGGGTACGGCTTTCGTAACCCGCTGATCTTGAAGGGGGCAATGTCTGCTCTGTAGAGTCGAATCAGTCGATCTAATGGATGTGCTGATCGCTCAAAGCCCACGTCTGTGATCCATGTACGATAGGTGTTGTACAATGACGTGAAACAAGAAACATCGTCTTCTTGGTGATCATTGAGGAAGGAATGTGTTCGGGAGAGCAGCCGTCCTATATCCTCTCGAAGTTCATGGATTCGATTATAAAGCGGGGTGTCTGGTGTGAGTAAATAGCCGCTCGGATACTTAAACTGTGGCTTCGTCTCATCATCTTCTCCAACCTCCGCCAGCGGGTTCTCACTGTCATCATCGTCATCAGCCATTGTCTCGTCCTCCTGACTTCCAATTTTTCCGTTGCCATTAACATGTCCTGTTGGCCCACAAGATGCTCTTTTAGGATCAAAAAGGGATGCGAGGCCGGAGATGACCAATCGCAGCTGTCCTAGCTGACGAGTAACTTCATCCGACCACTCTTTATTCTTTCCTTTTCGGCTTACGGGAGGATTCTCGCTCATGAACGACTCGAGGCGTTTCATAGCACCTTCGGCCTGTGTCTCGAATAATTCAACCGCGAACTCAATCTCTTCCTGCAGGGGACGATGCCATCGAATTGTCAAATCCGCTGGAGACGTCGTTTTACCCCAGTCGTCAACGTCCAAGCCGCGCTGCAGGACATCAGGTTCGTACAGCGAAGTGTCTATGGGATATGTATGTGTGAGATTGAGTAACAGGTGGTGTATGTAGTTACTAATATGAATAGTAGGTAGGCCTCTGCACTTCTCTTGCATATACTCTGCTATTTCGAAGAGATCTTTCTTGTACTTCAGCACCTCGCTACCAACGTGTACAACGCACATGCTCAAAATACTCACGTGCCACACAAGGGCCCTGTCTCGGGGAAGAACTTCAGTGCCACTGCTCCGATCAGACGCTGCACCGTTATAGTCAATCTCGTTGCGTATATTGACGATCAACATCGGAATGAAAATCTTGAGTGTTTTCTCCGGATTCACCTTACATAACGCGTTGCAGATCCAAGCCATCGCATCTCGAGCTTGATGAACAACATGGCTGGAAACGAAGGTTGACAGCTTGTCCAGGGCAATTTCAAAGAGCTCGGGCGATAGAGAGGCAAACATCGGAGTCAAGGCAGCCGGCAAGGTATTAATAATATTATCCTCGGGAGACCCAGAACGTACTTGGGCCGCGTCAGGGAGATTCTCAAGCAATGTGAACACCTTGCCTAATAATGCGATGATAAATTCACCGAAGCCGGCAGTCGAGGACCGGACAATGTTCGCCTCATCCTCATCAGTTAGCTCATTCTTGTAATCGATCTTAACGTCTTGGCCTTCGCGTTCCATGCGCTCCATTTCCCCTTGAACCCATTGCATAGCAAGGGTGGTGTCATGGACGGTATTGTCCTCCTTCGTCAAAGTCACAAATGGAATACTATACGCAACGCTTTGAATAAAGTTCAATGTATACTGTGTCTTGTTCAGGTCATTAGCGTCAATACCAGGTAAAGCTAGTGCTAATAATGCGGTGATGTGGCATCTGAATCCCTTCTGGCGTGACATGATATTGGCAATCATGTTAAGACCACAGAGACTAGACGTGGTCCGATGAACTTCGACCAAGCCTTGCAAACTCGGATAGAACCTTTGGAGTGCACCAGGTAGAATTAGGTCAGGCTCGAGATAAGTCAGGTTCTGGAGAGAGTTGAAGTATAAGCCTGTGATACTGGAGCTTTTCCCAAAAAGCCCCATAAAGGTGACTTCTCGCAAACTCAAGACGAATCGACGCTTCAGAGCATCGTTAATCCTGCGTTCAGCCGGGGTATCTTGCTCTCCGCTCTGCTCTCTGTTCCAACGAGACACAAAAAGCTCAGTGAGATAATATGTGAGCTGAGCTAATATCTTGGTCCACGAACCTTGGTTCGACGGGTGGAAGAAGGTGTCAACCGACTCCATTAGCCCTTCAAGGCTATCCAGGATTGAATTTTCCTTGTCGAGACAGAAGGGCGATAGGGAGCATATAACCCAACGGGCAACTATGTACGGTGTTGGGTGCTTCTTCTTATCCTTCTCAAGGAACAAGCCTATTCCAGCTGAATAATCGATTGAGGTATATGGGGAATTAGCCTGTCCAACAGGAATTTCAGTCAGGCGAAGGATCGCAGTAAAGATCAGATCGGACTGCTCTCGTGTGAAGATACCATGTTCGCTGAAGGGTACGTGTCGACATATTAGATAATCCTTAGCAATCCTAGAGAACATATCGATAAATGAGTTGTCCATGACCTTAGAGCGGGTCATTAGCGACCAAAGATGGAAGAAGGTAGGTACGAAATCCGACGGTTGAGACTGCGGCTCGGTAGGGGGGACCGGAGTTGTAGGCATTAGAACATTCAAAGCGCCGACGACAATGTAGGCATTTTGAATATCTGAGGTACTGAAAAAAGGTAGCATCTCCTCTAACATGGCACGTCGCTCTCTGGGGTCGAAATACATCTGCGAATACAGATACAGCTTTCTGAGATGCTTAAACCCTCGTTTCCTAGAGTGGTGATGTGCAGCTGTTTCGCTGGGCAATATCAATGCCTTCAACTCATTCCATAACGGTCTCCAGTCAAGAATTAAATCAACCTCGGGTTTAAGCGCTTGTTTTCTCCTGATAAGGGTTACTACCATTTTGGCAAACCGATCGGCAGAAGTATCATCCAGGCCCTTGGCTAAGGAGAGGTGGAAGTACAACTTGACAAGCTTAGCGCGTAGTTCGCGGGACATGTCGAACTTCAACGAAAGCCATCCCTGAAGCTGGCGCGTCCAATGAAGGGCGCCAGGAGAGAAGTCTTCAGCTTTGATAGCTATGTAGAGCTGTTTCAATATTCCTTGTAAGGCGGCATCGCGTTCAGCTTCGTCTTCGACAGGGTAGGGTAATAATTGGAAATATGCAAAGGTTCGAGGTCGATATCGTTTATTGTCGTCGACATCGAGTGAAGTAGAAGGTGGTGGGCCCGGAGAGGTTGTTCTCGAGATTGCGTCGCCTGCGACATAGAGAAAATGTGATACACCTGTGGCAGGAAAGGCTGCGGCAGATGGAGGATCAAGAGCCTCATCCATGGCTACGTAGATAATGGTATCTGGTATCTGGTTCCTTGTTTTGGCTCAGCCCTGTGTTATCGTATCGTATCGTATCGTATCAGATCGTATCGAGTTATTTCTGGGGCAAGAAATGCTATGGTTGTAATACAACCTCCGTTGTAAATTTTGGATAATTTCAAGACCCAAACTTCGTTGTCGATGTCCCTTCTGCTATGGATCTTGCACTTGCACACGCACACCGTTAACGATGGTAGTAGACAGTGCGCCCGGTGTACCTAGTTTGATAGTGGCTGCTGGTCTCGTGCTGCAGCTAGGAGTGCTAGGAGTAGGGTGCACGCTGACATGTCGCAGCTCTCGGAGCTTCTTTAGCTGCTGCTAGCTGCTCTGGGGTTTGGACTACTCGAAAACGGGGAACGATCTACTCGATGCACCGCCGCACTCTACGCACACCGATACCGACCCCTCACTATGTGCGACGCTTTCTTTTTTCTTTTCTTTTTGCTAGCCTCGTCAGATGCGGGATCGCGGGATTGTTTGGATTGTTGGTTTGAGTGTCGATGAAAGATTACCAAACGGGTATCAAAGGCTGATAAATAGCACCGTTGATGTATTTGTTCAGATAAACAGCGAAGTTTATGTGTTGGTCGAGATCATGGATCCATGGATGTTGACTGGGGTGAAAGATGTAATAACTTTTAGGTCACTTGGCTCATTCACAAGTGGGGAGTAGTTGAAAGTCAATTAGGCCAGTGTCCAGTGGTCGCGCTTTCGTTTGTTCTTGTAAGTTCTGTTCCAGAGGCAGAAAGGGAAGTACGTAATAGGCGTAATAGGCCGAACCCACCTATAATCAATGTAGGTAACCGCAAACTTCCCGTGACGAGCAACTACGAATCACTATAGCAGCCTACATTTCTACATTCCGTCTCGTACCTTCTTCCATCAATTTCCAAATGGCCAGCTTGGGTTCTAATGTTTTACAATGACTAATATAACACGTGCAGGTTCAAATCGACGAATGTACGTACTAGATACCAAGTACATACATGTACCTACCTACTTACCTATGTAACCTTAAACTTGAGATGTGTATTGTATTGTACCTACCTAGTACTCTCATAACTTTAGGACAGCGCTGGCCATATATTCGGGTTTAATGTTGTTCCTAGCACCTAGCATTAAAGGTTTACCTAGTAACATACTGATCAATGAATCTATTTCCCTCCTTCACAATTCTTATTGTTCTATATATTTGCCGTGCAAATCAACTTTCGAGTTCAAAAATATCAGATCATGACCCTGTCGAGTCCCGTTGGGACGGATACTATTGGCATATTATAGAGGCCTTGCATCGGACATCGAACTAACATGCAGCATGGGATAGCTTCTCATTATTATACCAGACATATCACAAAGCACATGCTGGTGACCAGTCACTTGTGCCTCAAGTACAGATCCGAATTTTGAGGGAAAATGGAATAGCCAAAGAATGCATGTGGCCGCGGATCACCAATGGTTCCTATTATAAAAATCGAAAAGCTGCATGCTTGCAGAAATCCATAGGTTCAGCTCCTAGAACCGCCAAAGCTAGTACTGCACGACGTCATGCAAATCAGAACGGATATTGCGGACGTGGCTGGGGAATCGATCCCGATTTGACGGGTACAACTCCCGCGGATTGCCCAACCCTTGCCCCTAGCTAGCCACATTGTTCTCGGATGTCTCATCGATTTATTATATTTTAGCTAATCGTTCTAAAGTACTCTACGTATCTTGGGCAAGTGCGTGCAATTTTCAGGTCACTTTTTCTTACAACCTTGCTGGCAGCATATCAAGACGCTCACATGACTTTGCTCGAGTGCTTTTTCTCATAACAGGCACAGTCGTATAAAACTAAGAGCTGGTATATCTAGTTCTATCATCATTTTCTTCTTGCTTAGAGATCCCATCTTGCCGGATTATCACAACTCAACAGCCCAATAATGACTTCCACAAGGGTACCTAGGTAGGTTGCCACAAGGTATGGTCAGGTAGTCAGGCCCAAGCAGCTTCGTAACGCGACGCCAACGATTCCCGGAAGGCATCAATGCATGTGTCTACGGATGCGACGGTATCCATACCTAGGTTGGTAGGTATATCTATTTGCCTGCTACACCGAGATCTCCGCAGTCGGTAAGGAGAAACTGCCAGGAAGGATTCGCTCTGGCCATGCCATAGCCAGCGCGGTGTTACGGAGTATTCGGATAAGGGAGCCTATTTGAAGCCAATCTTGTCTCAAAAGATTGTCATCTGGTGTTTCCACAGCTTCCGCATCCGTCGCATCAGAAGTTATTATGAGAAGGGATCGCAATGAGAAATATATGATTCAGCTCACTTTGAGCTAGTAACGCGCTTACCAGGTTTCCTAATATCAAGGTTCCTAATATGCGACTTATTACACACAATCACTCCTTTTTCTTATCTATCCTAGGCAATCCAACCCAGAACATCAAGATGATACCAAGAAGGGCGAGGATAATCGGCTGCAGCACTTGCACGCCCTTGGCCTGGGCAACAGCTCCAACAGCGAAGGGCAAAACCGCTGCGCCGCTACCGCCAAAAGCTGCAGCAAACCCGATAGCTCCGACGTGAAGATGCCGCGGGAGTAATTTTGACATGGCGACAATGGCAGCCGGGAACAGGGGGCCGATGAAGAACCCCTGAAGCCCTACGGCGACAGCGGAAACGTAAAACTGGGGGACTAGCCAAAACAACAACTCTAGACCCATCGTCACCGGGAGATATATCTATTGACCGGTCAGTTAGCCCATGAAATTGCATAGGAATACGAATGAGCCAGGTCAAGTCATTGTAGATACGAAAAACACTTGCCGTTATCGCTAATTTCTCACCAATTTTCGGTGTTATGAATCCCAAGACAAAACGTCCGATCGTCAGGCCGAGCCAGAATCCAGTAGCCGTCATACCGCTGGCGAATGGCTCACCTTTCCTCACTTGAATCATGAACTCGACGATCCACCCTCCAAGGGCGACTTCAAGGCCGACGTAACCGAGCAAGAAAAAGGCACAAAGCCAAGTCACACGAGCTCCGGGGTTCTTTAGTAGAGCCTCCTTAAGGCTACCTTTGGATGAGTCGGAATGTTTCGCGAGCGACTCTCTGTATTCGCGCCCAGTCGCATTCCAAAAGCAACTGACCGAAACAACTACCTCGAGCGCAGCCATTCCAATCTAACACACCTAGTCAGCTATCCGTTCCCCCGGTGACATCGAAAAACTCACCATAAGATAGTAAAAGGCGTACCACGGCAAATTTGCCTTGGTAATCATAGTCGTAGCAACCAGCGGACTGATGACAGCACCAGCTCCATAGAAACCATGAAGAATACCAAGCATCTCATTCGCCCGTGCCATATTACCAATCCACGCATTCCAACCGGCATCACATATACCATTGCCAAATCCGGCCAGCATAAACGCAACTACTAAAACTGGATATGGGGGATGGACGGCGATTATTATGTAGGATATCAAGTGGCACCCCGAACAGAGGAAGGCGACACCCCTCTGACCCAGCTTAAGGTGGATAGCATTATTCGAGAATGCCGCCGCTGTGTATCCCGCAAAGGGGGCAAGGAAGATGAGCGATACTATTACATATGTGAGGCCATAGTAAGCTTGAATCTATTTGATAGGTTAGTCCACCATTACCACTAGATGAACTTCATCTTTGAAACTTGGGGAACTATCGTACATATGGGATGAGAGGCTAGATATAAAATATTAGCGGGGCCGTTCATATCTAGGTGGCTATGGTTTCTTAAATAAGAACTTACGCCATATGCAGCATCATTTGAGCCCATCACGATAAAAGACCAAAAACACGAAGCAACGCGCGGTATGTTTTTTCGAGGGTAGTTCCATCTTTGCACGGCCTCGGCTACCATATTAGGAGGTGGAAGTGAGGTTGCATCTTCATCAAAAGCAGCAACGCTATGTCCGCTGCTTGTCTGGCGACTCGGTCCACGGGCTGGTATATCAACTTTAGCATCCTGGTTCGAATATGGTGAGGACATGTAAACAGGCTCTAGCTCCATAACCGAAGTCGAGGAGCTGCCATTCTGTTGCACACGCATGGCCATGATGGCAGGATGTTCGATCCCGTCTTTTCGCCTCGAAACTTTCAAATGTAGTATGTGGCCTTCCAACCGAACTAAGGGGGTGAGAAGGCGAACAATCTCCAGATAACAATTAAAGATTCGGTTCGTCTCCCCGCCACTTACTTATACACACCGCTGGAGAAACTACGGTACACGATCTGACCTCCACAACCGAAAAACGGAGATGTTATTTATCACGAATCTGGGGCAAAACCAAGCCGGGGGGCTCCCGACGGCAGAACATCGGCTTCTCCGCATCGTAATCGATGTTTAAGTCATCTGCGATTCGTCGTCATTGTGATGACAATGTAGGAAATCTCCCGAACGGGAAGCTCCGCCACCGGCTTGAACTCTCCACAACCTGACCGGCATCGGTCAACCAACCAACCAACTCCGCCACCGGTCATCCAACCAACTCCGCCATCATATCTATTCCACGGTCCGTATATCCGTCTCTCCATACTTGCTTACCGTGCGCGACGACCTTGAGGGACAATTACGTCGGGTTTTCCGCCTAGAGGGTTGATATATCAGCTAAGGGTAGGTATGAAAAGGAAATACATACCTCAATATGTCCTACCTAAACAATACTCGTTGCTACCCCAGTACATGAATCCCTCAGATACGATATCTCAGATTGCTCATGCCACAGGAAAATAGTAAATCATTCAATCGGTTCAGATCTCTTGATTAAACCATTCTCTGAGATGTTGGCAATCGCCCACCCGGATAAGTAAGAAAAGGGGAATATACGTCATATCTGACCAAGACCGGGTCCAGTAGGAGGTAAGCGGTTTAACAACAGTGCCTTTAGCTACCTATATATAAAAACCCAGAAGCATATGACCAACCTGCGTGATCTTGCACGGTCAAGTTTCGTCCAACAGCCTCGGGGGTAACACAAACATCCACATTTCCACATGTAGATGTTCGGATCCGAACTACACGGTATCACGTGTGTCGATCTCGGGTAAGCTATAGCGACTTAAGAATGAGTACCTACGCGCCTACCCGAGCGCTAGCTTCGGTAGTATTCGCATGCTGCCGAGATGCAGGTCCAAGTAGGAGGGCATGTTCCTGACCGTTAGGCCGTCAGGCGGTATTGATACCCGACTTCTAGTCGTAAGAAAAATAGATAGGGCTAGATCGCCGCTATGATGAGGCCTGTATTTGGATTTTTGTGTGCGTGATAGGTCGGTAGGGCCTGTTCACGTCGATTGGTCAGTTTAGATCGTAATGTAAACCATCGCCAAGTAGAGAGATAATAAATGTTCTTTCTATTAAGACTATTTAATATCATCAGAGCTAACAACCTTTTCGATGCTGCTCAAAGCCGTTCCTTTTTCTAGGCGACTATGAATATTCTAACCTCGGGCCATGGTGATTTCCGGCTCTTCGCGATCAACCACTATATATCGGAACTTCTTGTTTTAAGCCTTGAAGCTTCCTAGGGTTCTAGTTGGTGAACTAGATTCAACCCTCTTCCGTAGGAGTAGCTGTAATAACCAAAGATGTGATTTTCCATCCAAATCCAATGCTTAGACCCCCCAACCCTGTAACTCCGGCCCATGCGAAAATATGATACAAGTTTTCGTTTCCACATCCACGGACAATCCAGTCGAATTTATTTATTTCGCTGTCTACTAGCAAAGGTGCAGCCGGCAGTCCTACCGCCCCTGTAACTTTCGAAACCAATTTGTGAAGCTCCTCAACTTCTGATTCTTGACCTTGTGGTCGTGATCATCCTTTTGGCTGTCCTGTAATGGGCTGTGGAAGAACGAATTGCGTCGACTTTCAGGCGTTTCCATAAATTCGACGTTAGTAGCTTTAAATGGACCAGGGTCGACTGAATAGCATGCCGATACAGCTCGTCGTTTTTTGGACAAAGGGGTAGGGGCTAATGTCTGAGTGCTACTTGGTGCGGATATCTCGATGGGAGACGCGGTTAGCGGTGCGTCCAATATGGCTGCCAACGAACTATCCACATTCCGGTTCACTGGACCACTCCAATCACCACTGAATGGCCTCCTGTTCTTCGCTCCGTGCTCTGAATTACTGCTTATTTGGCTAGGATTCGTATCCGTAATGTTGCGTTTGGGTATGAAAGATGCGCTGGTGGATGTCGCCCTCCTAGGTAGCACACCTGATACAAACTGATCACTCCGTAACGAGGCCCCTGGGAATTTCCGGCGACAGCTAGCTTCGGCAAAGCTAACTTTGGGAGTCATATCTGTATTGACACTTAATGACCGCCGACGAGTCACTCCGTTTGTGTCTGGTGGCGGCGTTGGGATAGATACGCCCGGGTTATTGACATCTGCAGGTTTATAGTTCGGGGGTGAGCCATGGCGAAGTATTACCCAAATAGCCGATATAGTAATAAAGTTTTTCTGCCAATCTTCCACTTGTTGGGTCGTTCGTTCGAACGGATTCTCCTCGCTGGCAGAAGAAGGCGTAGGTGTAGATAACAAAGGAGAAGTCGGAGGGTAACGACTGGCGGACTGAGAAACAGTAGTATATGTATCGAGAATATCGAGGGAAGAGTTTGTAAGGGTGGCCATGATGGGATGACGCCGGCAATTCGGATCGATTATGCTAAAGGTAAATTTGTAGTCAATTACAGGCGGTGGTGGTGTGGAACCGCGCGCAGTCGTCGGCGTGGCGGGTAGCGACTTAGTAACAACCTGTTTACGAACCCACCGAGCCGTGATAGTATTTCCGTTCGAATCAACCGAAACGAACTCGTACGAGCATGAACTGGTACCGCTTAGTCGGGGCGTCACGATCCACACTGACCCGTCAGCTAACACGATCTCGGCTTTGTCTTCCGTCCTCAATGGACTTAATATGGCTAAAAGCTCGCGCGATTTAATATCGTCCTCGTCGCCATCACTCTCTGACCCAGACGCCTGTGCATAATCCTCGCTCTTTACTAACATCACATCTTGTACATTCAATTCCCGTTTAATGCGAGCAATCATCGGGAAGCGTTTTAATAAAGGCGCAATCAATGATCCGGCGACGGCAGAGGAAGGATATACATCGATGATCGGTCTCGGGCGCTGGTTGACAGATAACTGTTGGATTTGGAGCAACAATTTCGGACGAATATGAATTAATAGTTGCTTATTGCGTAACCTCGGAGGTGGATGCGCAAAAAGAAATGTGGTGCTCTTCCGCGGGACCCTTCGACGGGTACGACGAGGGGATGACGAGACCCGGCTTGCGTCACTATCGGAAGCAATCGAGCCCTCATCTTCGCTCATCGCTTCTGGCTTCGCCGGAGTCGGGGGATCGCATTTGGGTTCTTCAAATCTTACAACCGGTTGAGTGACTTTAGGGAGTTGTTCTGAGAGAGGCCTAGGTCGCCTTATATTTAGGGAATTATCTAGGGAATTAGATTCGCTAGGAAGAGGAGGAATCTCGGCGCTATTACGATAAGATGAAGGTCGATTTATAGGTTTAGCGAAAGCAGAGCGCAAGAGTGGATTGCGTCGGTGACCAGGTTGAGGAGCGGGCCGGCTCGAATATTCATGGCCGTGGAGGCTTGCTCCCGAATGTAGGAACATTATGAAGAAGCGGCCATCAAAGCTTCGCTTTCGGCAATGCAAGTGGGGAGTAATGAAAAGCTAGGGTCGAAATGCAGCTTCTCCCGACAGATATGTACTAAGACCCGAACCAAAACGATGACGATTCCGTGTCTCTCGATATTTCACTTGCGCTCAAAGAGTCAAAGAGTAAAGAGGAAAACGGGATGAATAACCATCCGAACCCTTTTTCTAATATAACCCGTATGGATCGAATCCCGAAGCGAATCTGGAACAAAACAGGAGACTATCGTGTAAGGTATTATCGCTTGAGGTGTAGATAATTGGAAGGTTAGAAGGTTAGAAGGGAAGTGGTAGGTAGATCAAGTGGAGAGAGCTGAGAGTTGAATGGTTTGATGGCCTGACAGGCTGAACCACTTGGTAAACCCCTAGGGCTGGAATACGCGTATTCGGCTAGGGAACAGGGGGTTTTAATAGGGGCTACGAGGATAGAATGGAAGCATCAGTGGGGTCTGATCGCCGTCCGCCATGTGCGTGCCCCGTCGTCCTGGTTAGGTAAGTTCCACACGCTCAGCTCGGATCGGAGCCGACTTTCCCAATCATTCGCAGACGTTTGAAGAATTGTAGCAGAAAACCCCGAATCGGATATTCGAAACTATCCGAGTCCAGATCTTAGCTATCTAGTAGTGAGTAGCCTAAAGGTAGCTATTCTCTAGCTTGTCGTAGCTTGGCTCACGAAACCGAGGCATAAAAATATTCAAGGAGAAAAAAAAAGGAGGGTCATGAAAGTTTTGGCCGATTCGATAGCTTAGGTAGGTAGGTAGGTACAGAGTATTAGTCGGTGTATGTATCTAATAGATTATGAAGTTACAATATAAAAAGGGGAGAGATCAGGCAGATAACGGTTGGCTAACGTATGTTTGATCGTAAGGGCAGAGGAAATGAAATGGCAGGTTATGGGGTAGCATTGGATGGTGCCCAGATGGTGTTTATTATTGATATTACGGTAATAATTAAAAAGTTGGAATGGTTGGAATGGGAAAATGCACGATTCCAATGCGAAAACGAAAATCCGAGACCACCAGAACACACACCAAGACGATGAGCTGGATGAGAAAGATCAGATCAGGGCTTTGATGGACCAATGGATCGGAACCTTGTTGACCGGCAGTTAGTTATGCACATACCTAGCACCTAGCGGACAAACTCCCTGTCTCCCTGTCTCCCTTCCTTCCCTAGCGTCTTTTAGTCTTCTAACCGCCCCATAAGGCCAAAACCTGGAAGGCATAATAGAAAATCACAGGCTCGACCGATCGGCCGGTCTAAAAAAGAAACAACTCTTTACATTCAAAATTTTGAGCGCTCTAGATTTCCCTATTCTTCTCTTTTTCGGTTGGTGCGGATGTCCTCTGCCTTACATCCATCCATATGCATCAATTAGATGGATGCTTAAGTCTATCTTTGGGGGCCGATTAGACCAATTACTTAACGACACCCGTGGAGGCGAGAATCCCGTTGCCGAGCCCGCTATCTTGAGCCATTCTTGCGATTGCCGAGTCATGTGAAATGTAAAATGTGAGGCAGAGATCAAAATTCGTCTCATCTCGTCATTTCGATACTTCCAGACTAGCAACAGGATAATTCGGTTATCGAATCTTCGGCTTTATTAAGTCATTAGATATAAATATCTAATAAGCTTAAAACAGTCTGTAATTGTTCCCAGTTTGAAGTTTGAATTGGGTACACTCTTAGGTCGTACTCAAGTAAGTCAATCAATAATCAGCCACAGCGGCACATTTAGAAGACCCCATATATGTAGGTAGGTGGTCGAGGCCAAAAAGTAAGTATGCTGAGTAGACCAAGACACCCATCCATCCTGCTCGCTTTCGGATCCAATCAAGATTTGTAAGAGGGCGCCATTAATATGTCGGTGAGGCCATAACGCCGCGGGAACGTTGGAAGCCTGATGATCATGAAACCATGCGTCTTAGCGGTTAGCGGATTAAGAAGTCGACCTATTTTAGTAGATATCTTAATCTTTTAGTATACCTAGCTGCCTAGCTGCCTGGTAGCGTGGCAGGCTCTTCGGGCAACACAAAAACCCGTGAGCTAATTCTTCAAAAATGGCGGGTAAAGATTCAAGAAATCGATTACCTTCTCCATATCTTCCCGCGGGAGCCGAGGCAGGTGACTGGTATTGATGACGGATGCTTGCAATGAGTGTTCAAGAGCATTCTATAGGTACCTTCTTAATCGTTGATTACCTAGGTACCTAGCGGGTATTGAGTAATGAAGCTATTGACATTCCGATATTTCCTGTTGGATCCGAGAGGTCATGGGCACCTGTCCGCAATTTAGGGGCATCCTCGAGACTTGTGATAACGATGACATTAGAACCCTGTAAGTTCTGTAAGCTTTGTAAGGTTAGGAACGGACGAACAAATTGCAATACAGCATTGTAAAACAATGACGACATGCCGCAGATTGCGTCGATCTACTTCACATAATCATCATTCTGTCCACATACGAATACGTGTGTTGAAATTTATGTCCGCATTCGATGTATCAATGACTGCGTGTAAGATCACCTAGGAGACTTAGGTAGGTAGATACTCTAGAACGTCAACGTGCCTCTTTCCCTAAAGGGACCCGAGGCAAAGATATATCGGAGGAAACACTGAGAAACGCCGGTCTTGAATCCGGGGTTTAGGCGTTGAATTGTTTTAAGAGTTGCTAAACTTCGACGAGTCGACGACAATAGTTGCAAACCGGAGGAATTGTAGAAGATAGATACTATGCAATAGGTAGTATTAGCAATATCAGCCTTAATAGTGGAAATCTAAGAAGATTAATGATGCAGGGCTAATCACATCGTACAACAAATCCCTTGCCCAGATGTGATATCGATGATGTTTGGGAATTATCTGGCGATTCCTCAACCTTGAACCTTGTTGGTCTTGAATTTTCATTTCCGATATTTGATTGACTTGTCCTTGTCTTAGAATTGGTGGCGGTACACATTATCAAGCCACATTTTCTTCTAGATTTATTCCAATTGTGGCTTAAGCTCTTGCTACTAGGTACCACGACAGGCAGCTAGCTAGATCCATGTATACCCCACATTTTCTGCAACTTTACAACTGGGAAGCTTCCAAGTTCCAGCATCGAAAGTTAATTGGAAACAAAAATAGAAACAACAACTTTCTCTATTACAATCTTTCTTCTTCTTTACCATGCTCTCCTTAGGCTATAGGCGTCCTATCCAATCGTTACTCGTCACGTTTCTTGCCTGGAAGACGCTACTTTTAGCTATTGCTATCGGGAATAGTATCGGCTCAGCTTATGACACCTCAACCACACTGTTATCCTCCGAGATAGCTTCATCCGACGAATCCACCTTCGATCTCGCTACAAAACTGACAAGATGGGACTCTATATACTTCATACAAGCATCTCGTCGAGGTTATCTATATGAGCAAGAATGGGCATTTGGTAGTGGACTACCAGCCGTCATATCTTTTTTCATCCAAGGTAGGTACCTAGGCCCTCTACATACCTCAATCATAGTATGATAGTGTCTATACATTATTCTAATTTACACCGATAGCCCTTTCTAGTGTTGGCATCCAAGCACAGGGCTCCCTCGAGCCAGCTGTTGGAATCTTAGTGGCCCATGCATCCCACTTATTATCCGTGCTTGCCTTATATCAGCTTGGACTTGTCGTTTGCAAAGATCAACGGCTCTCATTCGTTGCAGCCCTTCTGCATATCCTATCCCCAGCCGGTCTCTTCTTGTCCGCCCCTTATGCGGAGAGCACCTTTGCCTTCCTATCTTTCACCGGGTATCTCTTTCTTGCGAAGGGCCTGCTAGGGCCGAAGCAAACGTTTGCCCATGATGTAAGCTTGGTTGCTTCTGGTATGTGGTTTGGCTTTGCTGCCACCTTCCGTAGCAATGGCCTATTCAATGGAATTCCGTTCGCCATCGCGCTGGCCCAGGAGCTCACTACACCACCGACCTTTACAAGCATACGGCGACGCTGTGCTCTGTTAGTCGGAGGTCTAGCGATCGCGATCGGCTTTATAGCACCGCAACTAAGTGCCTACCAAACATTTTGCTTCATCCAACCGTCCAGGCCCTGGTGCACGAGTGGCTTACGCAGCATATATTCATTCGTCCAAGAACGATACTGGTTAGTATAAAGTCATTACGCGTAGTAACCCATGCTAATGAGACCGGCAGGAACGTTGGCTTTCTCCGTTACTGGACTCCATCAAATATACCACTTTTCCTACTCGCTACACCGATGATTTGTTTTCTCGCCAAATCAGGGCTAGAATGCATGAAGTTGCCTCTCAAGGTTGTAGCTGAGAAATCTGACCCAGCTGATCCAACTCATCTATCTCTACTAATTCGGTCAATGGCCTTAGCCCAGGTCGTCTTAGCTGTTTTAGCGATTACAAATTATCATATCCAAATTATCACAAGAATATCATCGGGGTATCCCCTTTGGTATTGGTGGCTGGCAAAAATTCTCACAGACCAGAAGAACTCAACATTTGGAAATACTGTTGTAAGGTTCATGGTTATGTATGCCGTTATTCAAGGGGCTCTTTTTGCGTCCTTCCTTCCACCGGCTTGATCTTATACTGTTATAAATAATAGTAAATTATTCCTCGATACACCGCTATAGCATTACATCCCAAAATCATCAATTCTCCATAGAAATAGTTCAGAGTACTCTCTATATACCTAGCACCCACTCCTCCATACAGCCATTTGATAATAGAATAGTTCCTCGTTGTTTATACATACCTAGTACATACCTAGTACATAGAAATCTAATAAAAGCTTTCTAACTCTGCATGAGCTCCATTGATAGGATCCTTGTCTACAACAGTCCAGTCACCGTGTAGGTAGCAGTGGACAAAGGCCCCTGTTGGATAGGTACCTACATAGATGAATAAATCAAAAGTGAGGCACACCATCAAATGCTAGATACTCGTAGATGTAGAAAAGGTGACAAAAGTACTAGATAGTATTGATACAAGCTTTTTCCTAGCATGATCGAAGGTTGTCAAGGAACTCATAGGAATTAGGTATCTCTATCTATGATACCATGCCTACTAGCAACCTTGGAACTACTAGGTTCTAGGTTGGTAGTCGTTCATCGCGTACAAGACCTCCAGGGCTCTCCGGTCATATGACTCCAATCTCTAGACAACAAGCCTCCTATAAGCCCCTTTCTACCTAATAGGGTGGTATGTACCTAGCCCGTCATACCAGAAGGAGTTAGCCATTCAGACCGCAAAGCATTACAAACGACTCACTATGTCAGTACCGAGGACTATCCCGAAAAAAGGACGGCCGAGGAGTGATTTTAGTCAGTCGTAAACGGCAACATCAAATATCATCTTGAAATAATTTTACTCCTTTTGACATTACTTCTTTCCTACCCCAGTTCATCGGTGGTGACAGTCATCCTACCTGCCACTTCTACAGCTCTGTCCTTCTTTGATGACTCAAATAAACCGATTACGAAATCTTTTGCATGAGAGCAGTGAAGTTAAAAGCTCATTTCCTAATCTCATCACATTCTTTCTAATTCCTACAATCTTCATCCAAATCTCCAGAAGATGTAAATCAAGTGGTATTTCCCTTGACTGGCCATCTTTATGCCGTCTTCTTTTCAACCTCCAATCCTTACTCGAATATCCTTCTGAGATACAAATTAGCCTACATCTCCCTGGGATATCTTCATTCTACCACCCTCTCCCATTTCCAAGTCATCACTTTCCGACCCCAAATACACACCTCTGCGCTAGAGTCTATTGACCTTGCAAATAAAATATCCCTGCAATACCTACCGCTACTTTCGAACACCACCACGTCGAGATACCAAGGTGAATCTATCAGACAACAATAAATCCTCGAAGCACATACACGTGAATTACCTAGGTAGGTACCTTTCTACTAGGTACCATTGCGTTTATTCTCATTTTTGACAGGACAGCAAGGATTTCTCTATTCTACACACACTCCTACTCATCGCCCGTGGATCAATAACCATGTCAAACTTTGACATGGCTACTTCCGAGTCTACCCGTCACCGCGACTACCAGCAAGGTCGTGGTGAGGTTGCCAAAGGTGTCGGCATGGAGTCAATGCTCTCTAGTGATCTCCAAGATTGGCTGCGACTCACTCATTGGCATGATACTGAATTCCGGGAGGAGAAGCTGAGCAACTATCGGCGGAAAGAGGGACGGGAGTCCGATGTGAGCCCATATGTGGACAAGTATCAAGCTTATGGTAGGCCTGCTGAGGAGAACGAACTAACTCAGGCCGGTATTCTCGAGGCATCAAAAGGCCCCAAGACAAGCTTTAAGATTCCACGTCGCAACAACGCTGGATCACAGAAGCCTCGCGCCCGTTCCACATCACCTGCAGAACTGCATCGTGACAAGCACACTAGTTACCGCATTCGCGATTATCCAGAATCCCGCCGTAAGGAGAACAGCAAGCCCCGAGTTGACGATGGACAGTCAATTGGCCATAGCCGCCGCCTAACGGATTCTTCAACTTACGTTGCCTCATCGTCACTCGTATCTGACCTTCACAACACGCCCGGCGGCCAAATTCCAACCGACAGCCGTGACTTTGCTCGTGAAAGAGCCACTCGCTGCCGTCCCAAGTCTTTCAAGATTGGTGATAAAGGAAGTAAGTCTGGCGGAAAAGAATTATTCAAAAGGGGCTAAGAAGTGCCTATGTGATAACATACTAACATCTTATGTGTTCTAAAGCGGTGCGGTTCTTCGTTATGCGATCTGGTAGCTGGAACAATGTCTACAACTCGATGGTACGTAAGACCTGTTCTGGAAGATATGATAAATTGCAACAACTAACAAATTTAATAGGAGGATGGAATCTGGGCTACCAACATCAACAAGGCAGACCAACTTGGCGACATACTATCTAGTGGCATTACTGTGGTGCTTTTCTTTGCCGTCAATCATTCTCATGGTTTTCAGGGTTACGTCAGTATTCCTTTTTCTTTCCTTTTTCCAGGGCGCCCCTTTCCCCCTGGATGTAGCCTATCCTAATCATCCCGCCATTGTTGCTCAGTTACTAATTGGTATGACTCCCTGAATATAGGCCATCATGAAGTCGATCCCGTCCAAGGATGTACATCATCCAAGATGGTGGTACAACGTCAGATGGAACATCTCGGAACCGTTCAAGGTGGAATGGATCGTTAAGGAACACGTCGAGACTACACGCGTAACTCATATTATCAACGGCCTCAACTACGACCTTCCTGTCACCCGAAGCTCGAATGGTCAGGAGCTAAGTTACAGCGCTGGCCTACAGATGGTGGCAATTATCGATGCCCACGCTCGAGACATGTTTGCACTTACAGAACGATCTCGCTAGAGTACCAAGCTGGAAGATCACTGAGTTGCGATGCCTAAGGGCTTTCGTATGAGGAAACTTTTGCTTTTGCCCCTATGACGGCATGGCGAAGATTGGGGGCGCTCACGCCTCGCATTACACTATTTTGCTTTTCGCATATTACCACGGAAACTTGACACCGCTGTGCTATGATTCAACGCGCACGCGATCCACAAAGATCCATTGCAGACATTTTTGCAGAAGCATAAAGCAATATCACTGACAGGCTTCTAGATGCTAATAGCCACCGGGAGCTAGGTAGCTAAACGTCGGAATACTCCGTACGAAGTCTCCTAGCTCGACCATAGGGTTGACAACAAACACATGGCAGATAGCTAGGGATGAAGAAGAAGATGATGATCATCAAAATACACAGATAATAGCTAGATCGCAACAAAATAGCTCCAATCGGAGATTTTTATACCGCCCATGAAAAAAACTATGTAATGAATGAATGATGTGACATAAAGCTAGCAGGCCTCGAACATCTTGGAGCTCCGTTGATCGTAAGCACTAACTAGGTACCGACCGTACGTCCCAGTTCCCCGATATACCGTTGAAGACCATTTACATCGTGCAATAAATTGCCGGATCTCCATATCCAAAATGACGATACGATACTAGTCGTAACGCACTGTTAATTATGAACAAATATGAACAAATATACATAAAATGTATTGGATAATGCTTGCTAAGCTAAAAGCAACTAGTCTACCCAAACCTGCCTAGGTCGACTGAAAGAGATCGCAAAGATCGATACCTACTAGGTACCTACCTGGGTGTGCAACCTGGAATCAACACGAATCCTTTTGACTCGGCTGTAGGCATGGTATCGGGAAGGTACAGCAATCCTCATGCGGATTCTACGAATGCCCTGTTGACATCGATCATGTGTCACTAGGTACTTCATAGATGGGTGGGACAATGCCGGGACAGTGCTGAAGATAGACATGTATGCAGGGAAGGGAATATGTGTCACTCGTGATATTTGATTAACTTACACGCAATGACGTGCGTATTGATTTTGTGGAAGCGTGGGAATACCGATGGAAAACCGAAGTATGGATGAATTAAAGGAGAGATCAAAAATGACTAACGATAGACTAATGGCCACATACGAGTCATGGTTAGGGACATGTTCTTTTTTTCGCAAGTGTTCCGCGTCTTTGCATCCAAAGTCGCGTTCGGGAGAGCTGATGCTTTTTTTCTTCACTTTTTAATTCGTCGAATCCCGTGCGTACCTGACTGATTTATGACGGAGACAACACCCAGGTAAAAATAGGAGAAATTACGACGCCATAGTCGGACGCTATCTCACGCCAGTAGCTCCGGGTGGCCGCCACCGGTGACCGGTTTCTATAGCGCTTCTTTAGACAGTTTCTCCAGGCGGAAGCTGACGGTCCCTTGCAGCCCGTCGTTAAAGCTAATATCTTCCCGTGTCTACGGTGTCACGGGTTGGTGTTGAGTCCACCATAGCTAGGCTGCTAGGTGCTATCGTGCACACCTAGGTACCTGGACAGGCGTGCCGTGTTACCTATCGCGATGCTTCAGGGTAAGACATCCACAGCGGCTTGCAGTTAATCTGTAACGCAATTGTCTTGGACGAAGTGGAACAGAGAAAGAAACGGTGTGACGAAAACGAGGATGCCATGTGCGCGACTGAAGCAAATTACCTTAGCAAAAGGTTAGCTGCGTCGCAAGCGCAATGGCTTGAGAGCTAGAATCTATCAAAATCTTCCAGCACCTATCGGAAGTCTGGCAGCTTATCTAGTAGCGGATGACCGATACGTCACTATATTAGTATTTTACGGCAAGGTCAGCAAGGTCAGCAAGGGGAGCCTTTTTTTGGGCGGGTGCTTGGACTTCGAGCTAAGAAGCTAGGAAGTTTAGCATAGAAAAATTGGGCTGCTGCTAGAGCTCCTCACCAACCTTCTTCAAGGTTGCTGGAAATCCATGGATCGTCTGAGAGTCTGAGACAGAGTTGAGGCTGATGAGGCTGGGCTGCTGAAAGGGACACCAGTGAGCACTGAGCAAGCATCGTCTCCACTCCCAGACGACGATAATTTTTTTTGGTACGCCCGGACCTCGACGCCGACGAGAAGAGTGAACGGAGAAGAAGGGATTTCCAATACCGTAGGTTAGATGCTCGCGGGTTGCTACCGGATGATACGGGCTGACGGGCTATTGAACTTGCTGCTTTTTTTGCTTGGGTTAATAAATCCTTTTCGACACCATTGAATCCGACTTCCATGAACCTAGCCGTTTGCCCCCAATTTAGCGGCAAACAGCCGTATTTTAATGAAAGGGGATGGAGACCATTGAATGTTTTTTTTTTTATTTGCTTCAAGATGACTTCGAACGTGTCCGTGATGTCCAGCGTGTTCACTAGTGAGCTGGAATATTTATTGATTATGAAATTATACCATGCAGACATTTTATTAATGCTTTTCTTGATTTATGCGGCCTTTTTCTTCCCAACTATTTGATCGACCTGAACATCTTACTACATACGTAGCATTAGGTTGCATTGTATTGCATTATAAGACGATATAATATAGCCGTACCTTACATAGCTGATTCTAGGCATGCAATAATGATGCCGCTGAAGAGCCTACTACAACCTGCTACAGGGGCTAAATTCAGGGGTCTTCAACCCCCCTCTCTCCTGGATCTGTAGAGTGGCTTGCAAGCCCTGGAGTATTTGCCAGGTGGCTTAGGTGGGCAGAGTGGGACTGTGGGTCGACGGGCATGGACGGTTGATTTGAATATTTTGCAGCAATCTATCTGCAGGTCACCTTGGCAGCTTGGGGCTCCTTTTGGTTTGGCGCCGTCTCTATCGTTCCATCGTGCCGGTGGCTTCAGTGGATATCGCGTGGATGGGTGATAGGTTCTCCAGCACAAATTTTACCTAATGGAGGAACTGGGACTAAAATAAGCTATAATTGTTCTAATACGGCATTAATCATTCGAGGAGGAATCAGGATAGGTACATACATATGCAGGTCACTGTTTTGTACCGACATATAATACAGCTAGATATGCTGGTATGCTGGTTTGCTAGCATGTTAAGTAAAGATAATGTACAGGTATATATGTTCGCATATGCAGATGTGCAGATGTGCGTAGATGTGCCAGTAATTTCGTATTACCTACTGTATGGAGATGTACATCACTTGGATTCCCCAATTTTAATATCCAGGAAAAAAAAAAGAGTCCGTGTCGTGAGGAGGGCCATCGTTCCAATCCCTTTTTGTTCTTGTTTTCCCCCTCCTCTGATATACCGTCCTTCATACATGGAGTCGCGCCTCCGAAGTTTGACGCTGAGATCGGATGAGGATCTCTGAGTTTGGGGTGAAGAAGTCGGTAAATAGCCCATTTACAAGATCCTACGCCCTAGATCTTAGCTTCCGGCGGCACAACTTGAGAAGCTTTCTGACGACCCTTCGAACTATATCGTGGGATTACAATCCTTCCGAACTGGCAATTGAGCCTTCGACTCTATTACAGCAATCAGCCACGCCGTCGAGACATGCGATTCTGAACACGACTGAAATTCGCACACTAGGATATGAGAGGAGGTTTCGGGAGATGCTACTTGGGCTAACTGATCGCCCACCGACATTACGACTGTTCTATAATTGACCGAGGTCGGTCCTTTCGTTTCATCTTGACGCCGCTCCTTAACCGTACCGTAGCTTTCTTTCTCGGCATCTAAAGCTAGTATACAATTACATGCCTATCCACCCGGAACCATTGTCCTGGGAGAGAGAGACGAAGCGAGACACGGGGATAGAGGAACCTTCGGAATCCACTAACCGATCTCTTAATTGTATTGCCTTGTGCACGAACGACGACGACCGCCCCGAGAATTTAACGTCATAGGCCTTATCACTAACTTACCTGTTGGTTGAAGTAGTTATTTGCTTGGAAAATGGGTCATAAATCTAAATTCACCTTCCCTATTCCGGGACGCTCCTCGAGGCATACACCTGCCGTGGCGACATCGAACCCCCTCTCAAAGGCAGAAAAGATTCTGGGGACTGGTGGCGCAAATACTGTATCGCCTACCTCGATAAGGGAACCTGGAAGATTGTGGGAGACGGAGTCGAACGGCGGTATCAGTATATCGATATCAGAAAGTAGCACTAGTCAATCCGGCATCGTAGAGGAGGACGATGATATATTGGCCGGGACAAACTACGGTGGAACTTTATGGGAGGAGGAATCGGAGGCTCTACCTCGACGACTGCGTAGCGCTAATGGCCCATTCGGTAAAGGGTTAAAGACGAAGAGGTCTGCCGCCACCCTCGGTGCTCGTAGCCGAGAGGCCACGACAGACGACTCCATATCTCGTCGACCTCAATCTAGTTCTACTGTCTATTCGCATTACGAATCAGCGAAGATGCCACTTTCGATATCTCAACAAACCTCTAATTCAGCAATGGCGAAGGGATTGCCGTCGAAAGCCGGCGCGTTATTGGATATAGATGGGGCGCTTTATGGCAAGGGTCCACAAAAGAAGAAGCCTTCGAAGTTGGACTTCTCAAAGCTGAGATTGAGATCTCGTAAGGACCAGAATCGGGACCCCCACGGAGTTGGTCCTGTTCTGGGAAATAACTATGTGATGAGATCACCATCTGTAATGTCACATATGTCGAATTCCTTGGCCTCATCGAATTCTGATGAAAGGACCCCAAGACCAGACAAGAAGATCACATCCCACGCAGCGTCGGGGAGACCTAGCCGCTTAAAGGGCGGGAACGATGCAAGTACACTAACACAACTTTACGACCATTATGAACAAATGTCATTCCGACATGCTGAAGACCTGAAAGAAGAAGATGAGGAGGATGAAGTGTTATTAGAGAAAACACTATCGAACCAACCACGCCTACTACCTCGGACTTACGAACCCGAAGTTCCTGACGTATCTCGCGAAGATATGATCACACCATTGCCAACTAATGCGAGATGGACACATAGCCGGAATACTTCTCAGTCGAGCAAAGCAACGGCAACTAGAGCTGGAACACCCAGCACTTTACAATTACGCCCGGCGTCTAGAAATGATTATCCAGCAAGCATATCGAGCCGACATACACGGACCTCGAAGGCCACTCCATCTATTATGAGCACCTTGGACTCTGATCGACAGCAGCAAAGTGTGTTATCGCTTACTGACTCGGAATCAGACGAGGAGACTGCGTACTCTGGACCGGGTTCATCTTTGCCATCTTACGAAAACAGCTTCCGTGATGATGCCAGCGTATCCTCAAGCCAGCGGCAACGAAGTGCATCGAGATTATCGATCAGTAGTCACTCAACTAATCCCAAGGGGGCTTCTTACGCCCAGCTTAATGATTTCCTTACCATCCCACAAGCTTCTCCGAAGACGAAAGCTGGTCGATCACCTTCGACAAATACTAACTACTCGACTAATTCATCGATGAGCACGGCAACTCGCGTATCTATACCTTCTCATCCTTCCCAGCAGGAACATAGAGGGTCTGTGTCGACAACGGGAACCGGTGGCTCCGTATTGTCTCCAACTTTTAGTATTCCGCCGAACTATAAGGTACAGGAAGCGAGGGCAATAACTTTTACTCCACTAGCCTCTACAGCCGAGGCTGCATCGTCGGTCTCCGTGGATCGTATATCGAATAACTTGGATCGCATCATATCACAACAGGGGAAACAGCGTATATCGCAAAAGTCCCACGCCTCAGATCAGCCGACGCCACCATTGTCCCCCACAAGTATTGGTTCCCGTAAAAAATCACCCGAGCCGGCACGCCAGGAATCGGCGGCCAACAAGGCCAGCGAACCGCACAATGCACGATTAATGGCCGTGACAAGGCAAGAAGAGATGCTGCTGGCTGCGCTGAGGAAGAAGAGAGCCAGGATGCGGGAGAATATCATTGCCGAGATCGAGGAGGATAGGGGTCACCGAGGTAGCGCAGCTGGCTCAGCCGTGGAGGAAGACCTTGAAAAATTGGCATCGGCGAATCTAAGGGATGCGGAGAGACAGGCTGCAAAGGAAACTAAAGAGGCTAGAGAAGCTCGTACTAAGGCGAAGCAACCGAAGAACGTTCCTAGGAGGGCATCATCGCTGATGCGACAATCTCGACCACGCGATCATTCTAACGGACCACGCGGCGCGGATGTGCCACCTTCGACTAGTCATAGCGACCCAATAGAGAAAGGCTCTCTTCGATTACGACTTTCCCCCGAACCCCAGACTCGACGTACCGGGAAATCTCGCCACGAACGCGTGCTCCTATACCTGGATCGGCCCATTGATAGTATCGATGTAATCGATCAGTCAGAGCCAAGCCCAGATCTGAGCGAATTCATGGAAGAGGACTTGGACTTCCCGCTTCCAGGTGGCCGTCAGAGTAGGACGAGATCAAAACTCGGCCACTACGAGATGAATGGAAGACCGCGTCCTGACTCGAGCCCAGTGAGCCCGAGAACCAACCCGATGAGAAGCGTGCCGAAGATAGATCCTCGCGTTAATGAGGATATCGATGCCGACGATTTCGACGACCACGACTACGCCGAGGAGGTTGCCGATAGGCGCAAAATGGCACTACCGCCGGTGCCGGAGAAGGGAATCCCTAGACCGGATAGCCCGTTATCTCCAGGGGATGGCCTACTGTCGCCCTCCGTCTTTGGCCATAAGAAGGGCAAGAAGAGCGCGGTGGTGAGGCTTAGTGCAGTGGGACAGATCAGCTCCCCAATTCCTTGGTGGGGTGATGATGATTGAAGTGGAATGGGTTTCTCATCCCTAAGGATATTATTTTCTTCTCATGATTTATCGGGCTGAACAGGACCACTACACGTCACAATTTCCCTATGTCTTCAAGATGCACGCATTTACATTTCGGTTATTTGTCCAGCGCTTGATTTTTCTTTTTACGACTTTCAAGCAAGCGAGTTCAGGTTGGGAATCAGCACTAAAAAAAACATCGGGTTGTTTTTTTTTCGTCTTCATAAAATGGGGAAAGCTCAGCATCACTGCATACGACTTAATATTCTCGACCGATCGATCGATCTCATCTATCCCTATGTCAGAATTTCGAAACGCGTCACGTCTAATTATTATTCGAGAAGGGAGAAAGCTGTTCTCTTTCAGCCAACGCCCACTCGATGTGGAAGAGAAGGCTCTGTGGTTCAGGGTTAACTACCTACCTACCGCCTTATCCTCAGGTGCATCTCATAAATCTGGGAGGTAATTTTTTGCTTATTTTGCGTCAAAGTTGCTTGCTTTATCGCAGGCATGTACTACCGAAAAAAGCGATCATTTGTATTATTAGATAATGGAGTATGGGGAAGACTATTTACGACGGATTAGAAACGTTTTATTCTACCTATGCTCGTGGGCGTCGGTGCGGGCGCGGGCGCGGATATGTTACATTGTATGGATGTGTATCAAACATGAATAGCGTCTGTTTTGAATTTGTTGTAAAATATGCAGCAGACGTGCAAAAAAGGAATAATATAAAATATTCATTAGAAATAAATATCTATATATTTTGACTTTTACGATGTTTTATTTGAATGTTGAATTACTACTATGTGCATGTAGGTATAGGATGAGTATATAGAATAGAGGTCTCTACCCGCGTATGGTTGGTTGGTGTTGGTTGGTGTTTGCTAGCCCCTAAAATTGATTGGCTACCCGGACTATTCGTGGATTTTAGATATAAGGAACAATATCCGCTGTACTTAGACAAGTCAACAAGCCAGTTTGGCCGAGGTAAGATAATTCCCGCACCACCTAAAAAACATTCTCAAGCTAACATACAAATCAGTGGTCTAAGGCGGTGGTTTTAAGTTGTCCCCTAGGGATTTATCTTGTACACCATTATCGAGAGATGCGCAGGTTCGAACCCTGCAGCTGGCAACATTCATTTTTTGGAAGTTTGATCTATCATTTATCCATTTCCACTTCTTTTTTTTGGTTTTTTTCTTTTGCCTATTTCTTTAGTCCTTTGTGACCTGTTTCATTTAGGATAATTACTTCGTCATATGTCTTAAATTGCACGTAAATTCTAGCCCTAGCTACTACGTCATTGTAGCCAGACTGTCTGCTTCGAGCATCATGATTTTTTATCGTCAATTAATAATTGCCTGGTGCGTTTCTACCTAGTACTCCACGTGAAAATGTCGATTGGCATAGAAATCACCAAGTGGACCGACCAGGCATAAGAACCCAGCCCCGCGCTCTGAGCTCCACGATCTGACCCGAACGCTCCCTGTCCTCCGCAAATCAAGATGATATTCAAGGTTGGTTCGATTTTATGCTGCCAAGTGGTATCATAGGATGATGACTTGCAGTAGGATGCTGTGGGATTATGAGTCGTTTTTACCATTCGCTTTGCATTTCCGGATTTTGTCAAGATGTCGGACAGGAAAGACAGCGGATAGTCCGACGTAATTCGATTTTCATCTCCATCTTAGCGCAATGACGCTTAAGGGGCAGCGGGGGTTTGCTAGCAGAAGAATCACTGCGGGAAGCCGAACTAATATCGCAGATGATGGAATCGTACTCCGAAATCATGCACCCATGATGCATGTATGTATTAGTACTAATGAAGTTTGATGAAGAGGAAAGGAAAAAGAGAAAAGAGATAAGAGATGAGACATGATCAAATCAGCGTGTCGATAATAATAATCATCCACGAAGCGAGATGTCTTTTCCGGTTGGTGCTAAAACAATTCGAAACATGCTTCGTTCGAAGTCAACCGGCGGAGATCAACAATTAAGCCTTTTCAAGCATTTTCAAGCCTTTTCGGATAACCCCTCTGAGAAAATCAGATCGCTCCGTGACGATCACGGAAGCCTTTCGGAGGTCAAGGCGTAAATCGGCGGACCAGCGCATCGCACCTGTGTCATCGAGGTGATTCACATGAATGGAAGCTAATGTACCTAGCAGTCTAGTAGGTAGAGTTCAGAGTTTAGAGAACTCAAATCGTTGCTGACTATTAGATCGTCATAAATTTTAAAAGGGGCAGAGAGGTTCGCACTTCATTATTTCCCTTGTCGTTATCATTACATTTATACTACCTATATTGTACCTAGACCAGCTTGGCCTGTACAATACCTACGCTGCTAGGACTGCTAGGACTGCTAGGAGTACATGAAGCATCAAGGGTTGGAACCGGATTGGATCTGAAATCCCACAATTGCTTCCTAGATTCGATATCATTTGCAGAATCGTGGTAATACATACCCTGTAGTAACCAGGCACAGCGCACTTTGCACCTCGACTTTCGATGATCTTGACGTATCGGGCAAAAATCGAACGCCATTGATATCATCGACCTATGATATGCGCCAGCCCTAATAAAATCATACATGTAACTTGTAGCGAGACAGCACATACATACTACTTTGATTGCTGCCTTTTACTGAACAATAACTCCTGAAAGCCTTTTCTTCTTCTTTTTTTTTCCCTTTTCCTTCCTTTCCTACCTTTCCTACCTACTTCTTTCAACTTAACCTAAACCGGACCTCTAACCTGACCACTTTCAGGTACGACGCATCAGAGTTCACCTAACCGCCGTTGTATCCAGAGTGTCACGGACAGTTTACGTGCTCCAGTACGGATTAGTAGCGTCACATTCAGGGCACCATCCAGGGCACATCCAGGGCACATTCAGGGGTCAAAAGAGCTTAATAGGTCTGGTCCCGTTTTGGGAGAGAGTTTTGGAGTGGGTGGCGTGAAGCGCGAACACCCAAATCGGCAATACCTCAATTCGCCTTGCATCGCTTTTTAATTTTCTTAACAACACGCGACGCATCGCTGTCGCCCACCCTTTGAATCTTATTTTTCTCTACCAAATATTATCCGATCGCCTAGAACGACTTATTTGGCACTGTCTGGACAAACGGTTTTAACAAAGATAAATAAAATATCGCACACGTTATTTTTGGCGCATCAATTAACTACATTAACGGCTTTTTTTTTCCTTAACCGAAAACCTCAATTGTTAAAGACGGTTTCACGATAGCGAAGGAGAAAAGGGAATAAAAGGAGAAGGGAAATTCTGCGAAATAACGAAAAAGAAAAACACCGAGTTGGTCAAGCTGCGATCGAGATTTCCTCTTCATCATGGCTCTCCTTGATGGAACCCCGCAAACCGTGGGAGGGCCGACCCTCTTCGGCATGCCTATGAAGCAAGTTTCTCTTATTACAGTATGTATTTGGGCCATGGAAAAGAAGCTGCAGTCACATGAGTTGAAAGCACATACGGAGGTACCTAGCTAACATTTTCGCTTTTCCTAGTTGACTTTCCAAAATTCGGCCCTGATTCTACTTATGCACTATTCGCGAATGATGCCTCCGAGTGGCGATCACCGATATTTTACTTCGACAGCCGTGTTCCTGACTGAAGTTATTAAGTTAGCCATCTCCCTAACTTTTGCCTTATACGAAGTATCAAGGAACTTGGCACCTTCGACGCCCGCGACCGTCATATTCGAGCAGATATACAACTCTGTGTTTTCGGGCGATGGGTGGAAGGTAGCTATTGCGGCGACACTATACACTCTACAGAACATTCTACAATACGTCGCAGTGGGAAACTTGGACCCGGTCCACTTCCAAATTTTATACCAACTTAAGATCCTTACAACCGCTATCTTCACAGTGACTATGCTCGGCCGATCCCTGACCGTGAGGCGTTGGGTTTCCCTAATTATTCTGACCATGGGCGTTTCGGTCGTGTCGATTCCGTCTTCGAACTCGAAAGATAGCTCGTTCATGATCCACGATATGACGGATCACTTCTTCCCTCGTTCGGTGCACGAATTGGGCCAGGTCGCGAATGGTATGGGCGAGGTTGCGAGGGAGCTTACGAAGCGCGGCATGGAGACCGCGGTTGAGGTCGGTCAAGCCCTCGCGAAGCGCTCGGCGACGTACGAAGGAATTGAGGAGGACCAGAATAATGCGCCCGTCATGAACTACTCTATTGGAGTATCGGCTGTGATGGCTGTCGCAGTTATTTCAGGCCTGACAGGAGTCTATTTCGAGAAGGTCCTCAAAGATACCGAATACCCTGCTTCCGTCTGGACTCGTAACATCCAGCTATCCTTTTACTCGTTATTCCCTGCGCTATTGGGAATTGTATTCAAGGATGGTGAGGAGATCGCCAAGCATGGCGTTTTCGATGGATATAACTGGATCGTCTGGGCATTGATTATCCTCCAAGCGTTCGGCGGTGTTCTTGCGTCACTCTGCATTAACTATGCGGATAACATTGCCAAGAACTTCGCGACAAGCATCAGCATTATTATCGGGTTCCTATTTAGCGTCTGGTTCTTCAAAGTGCAAGTGACGTTGGCGGTAAGTTATATCATATGGCCTAGAGTCACCCGACGATATAAAGCAATTTACTAACAATTCCTAGTTCTTGATTGGTACAGTTCTGGTCTTAGTCTCGACATTCCTCTACACTGGCCCTGACCGGAAGCGCGGCCGGCCGCCACCGATCAACATTGTCAATTACGAAAAGACGACGATCGATCCGATGAATACGCCAAGATACACAGACGATAAGCTAAGCGTTCCCGATCCGCTAGAGCATATCAAGGGGATGGGTCTTTCAACTTCACGTCCCGCTTCGCCGCTGCGACACCATAACCGGGTGCCTTCGTCGCGGGGTAAGAATCGGGACGAATGAGGTTATCGCATAAATACATACACACACACATTATGTAGTAGATAAGAACTACACGTAGCGATCTTGAACCTTCGAGGAAAATTCGCTCGCATAAGCGCCGAGTCGAATTCAAGGAGAAAGGTCGCGTTGGTGTGCCCGAGGCTCGCGAGTATCATTGCGGATATCGATCGATCGATCCTGGAAGTGCGCAACTCCTTACATTTTCGAAAATTCGAATATGTCGTTGGTAGGCTCGGGAAAAGGTGGGAAACGGCCGAAGTAGTTTACGAGGACTCGAACTGGGGAAAATGAGGTCGGCAAGGAAAATGGATAGGCTTTTGTGCGCGCCATATGAAAAAAACACATTACTTCTTTTCTCGTCTCTAGCCTCTTGATTGTGGTGTTACCCCTATTGATATGGCCACGTGCTGCTTTGATTAGGTACCTTGGATATCTTTGTAACTTGGTATTCGTGGGAAGGCGTGAGTGAAATACGACAGGAGGTGCCTACTCATTCTCTCTGAGTATCTATACTCTACTATATTCCCTATTACTGCTAACCCTAGGTAGGTGCGATCTTCAAGCGAAGTGTCCTAACCTTTGACCCCACGAGATAAGGTTTATTTCTCTCATATTTTTTATATTCTCACATTCTAACATCTTCCTAGTCATGTTTTCCCATCTCTTCCCAAACTTATATTACATGCTGCTCCCTGTTACTAATATCTAAGCTGCCCTATATCACAAGAGTCTTTCCCCCATCGAAGTTATGTCTGGTGATACCGAGCCAGACGGAGATGGCTATGTCTATGGCTTCCAAAATAGAATCAGACATGATAGACATATCCAGAACATCATCGACCATACCAACACACTTTTTCCGGGCCGCAACTATCAGTTTCCCAGATTTGATTCCTCCAGCCGAGCTAATGAAGAGGGTATGTTCGTGAATCAATTGAGGAGCGACAGAGAAGATGAAGAGCTGGATGAGTTTGGTAAGTCTGCTTGCAAAGCCAATCCTTAAAACTTCATATTGTACTAGTTCTCATAATGCATGCTCAGATCGCAACTTGCTTGGCCGACCACAAAGGTCCTCTCACCTACAGAGCTCGGAATACTCAGATCGACGCTTGTCATTGCCGCTTTCTAATACCCCTACTCAACCAAGACGTGTACTAGGAGATGCCAGCCATCACTTTGGGAATTTCACGGCGCGAGATGCAGAACATCAGTCGCCATTCTCAAGCGACACGATCCGCGCAGGGAGCATCAAACCAAGTCCAGCCTCTCGACGTCTTTCCGAGCGTGATGGGATCCATAGGATGAGAGAACTTCAACTTGAAGCGCAGATGGCTACTCCCCCTTTTCATACTGGTTAGTTAAGACTGACGCCCGTCTTCTAAGAATCTTTCTGTCTTACTAACACGACGGATGAAAGCTCCTAATTTGACCCCGAACCTCGAAAATGCACATAGTAGTAGCTCTCCTATGAACCTCAGTGGATCTAGCCCTTCTGCACGCTCCAGTCTCAGACAACGGCCGAGAACTATAGACCGCCCCACAATGACGCAAAAGAGAGCCAGCAATTTGAATTTGAATCTCACCCATGCCTCAGGCGAGCCCCCATCTGTCAAAGGCGTTCGCCTTATTGATCCACGACAAGCACTGCCTGACAAATTCCGCGTTATTTTCCCCTACGAGCTTTTTAATGTAGTTCAATCGAAAAGCTTCAAACACGTGTACGAGACAGATGACAATGTTGTTGTCTCCGCCCCAACTGGATCTGGAAAGACGGCCATTCTTGAAATGGCCATCTGCAAGCTTATAATGGGTCCTGGTAGTGAGAATCACAAGATTGTTTACCAAGCGCCCACGAAATCGCTATGTTCAGAACGTGCGAAGGATTGGCAGAAAAAGTTCAGTCACATGAACTTACAATGCATCGAACTCACTGGTGATACGTCGCAAGCGCAGGCGAGTCGAGTAGGTAGCGCATCTATCATCGTAACTACCCCTGAGAAGTGGGACTCTATTACGAGGAAGTGGTCGGATCACCGAAGGCTTCTTGATATGGTTCGACTAGTTCTGATTGATGAAGTACATATCCTGAAAGACGTCCGTGGTGCTACACTGGAAGCTGTTGTATCGCGAATGAAAACCATTGGGGCAAACGTCCGTTTCGTTGCCCTAAGCGCCACTGTCCCCAATATTGAAGATGTCGCCAAATGGCTAGGGCGAAATCATTCTAACCAGCGAGAAATGGCTTTGACCGAGGCCTTCGGCGAAGAGCTAAGACCAGTCAAGCTGCAGCGCTATGTCTATGGATACGATGCCCATCATAATGACTTCACTTTCGAGAAGGCACTTGACCAAAAGCTTACCTCGCTCCTTTCGAAACATTCGCAGAAGAAACCGATCATGGTATTCTGTTTCGCGCGGAAGTCATGCGAAATTACGGCCCGGAAGTTAGCCGAATGGTGGTCAAACTGTAGCACGGATGATAAGGCTTGGCCCGCGCCAACAAGAAGGGTTCCTGTTATAAACAGAGAACTCCAAGAGATCGTCCAGTATGGTGTTGCTTTTCATCACGCAGGTCTTGACGCCTCAGATAGATCTGCGATAGCGCAGGGTTTCCTCGATGGTCATGTTCATGTCATATGTTGCACGTCTACCCTGGCAGTCGGCGTGAATCTCCCTTGTCATACTGTCGTCCTCAAGGGAACAACTGGATACTTCGGCGATAAGCTTCAAGAATACTCGGATTTGGAGGTTATGCAAATGCTTGGCCGTGCGGGCCGCCCACAGTTTGATGACAGCGCGGTCGCTATTATTATGACTAAAAAGGCGAATATTAATCGGTATAAGAAAATGATGTCGGGGGAGGAGACATTGGAAAGCATGCTTCATCGAAATCTGGTCGAACATCTCAACTCAGAAATTAGCTTGGGTACCATTCAAGAAGTCCAGACTGCGAAGAAATGGATCAAAGGTACATTTCTGAATGTACGAGTGTGCCAGGCCCCATGGCTTTATGATATCAAAGACGTTCGCACCACTGAAGATATCGAAATGAGGATGGAAGAATGGTGCGAGCGAGACGTCAAACTCCTACAGCAATTTGGATTGGTGACAGAGCAAGTCCCGTTTCAGTGTACCGAGTATGGCCATGCTATGTCGAGGTATATGGTCAACTTCGACACCATGAAGCAGCTTTTGTCGATCCCTACAGGCGCTCCGCTTAAGGAGATTGTAAGCTCAAGAATGGACAAAAATTACTACTTTCGTCAATTACTGACCTGGTTTGATAGCTTACCACGCTTTCCAAGGCCATAGAATTCAAGGATTTTCGCTTTAAGCCGGATGAACGTGCTATGTTTCGAGAGTTGAACAAATCCCCTTTCATCCTTTATCCAATCAAAGAGACATTAACGCAGACATGGCATAAGGTTTTCCTTATGGTGCAGGTTCATCTTGGAGGCGTCGAGCTGCCAAGCGACAAGGGATTCGGCCACCTCAGACAGAGGGTTGCGACGGAAAAAAACGCCATATTCGATAGACTGAACCGCCTGGTACGTTGCTTTGTGGACTGCCGAGTCTTCGATAAAGACGGGCTTAGCACAAAAGCTGGCCTCGAGCTCATTCGTGGCATTGTCGCGAATTCGTGGGAGGATAAGCCATCGCAACTTTCCCAGATTCCAGGGTTTGGTCCTGTAATGGTGCGTAAATGGGTCAGCCATGGTGTTTATACAGTTCTAGAACTGGCCGATAGGGACTTCAGCGAGATTGAGCGCATCTCAAGTAAGAACCCTCCATATGGGATAAATTTGCTGAAAACCCTGGAGAAATTTCCTCGGCTAGATATGAAAACACGCCTCATCTCACCAACCATTCGCCTATCGCAACCTGAGGAAAGCGTGTCGGTAACATTGGAAGTCAACCTTCGTTATTGCAATGCCGGGGGAGTGCCGACCTGGAACAATAGAATACCGGCTGTGACGTTTGTGGTTCTGACTACGAATGGCGATCTTGCGTATTTTTGGCGCGGAAACTTGACAAAAATTAACAAATCAGCTGGTCTCGACTTGAGATTCCCAGTTTCTCTCAATGATCCAGATCAAAAAATCAGCTGCTACTTCAGCTGTGAAGAAATCGTCGGAACCCAAGTTATGAGGGTATTAGAGCCCGGTATACCTCAGGCGGCGTTCAAAAGCAGGAAGACACCGCTAATCAAGCAACCAATATCAACCATGAATCCGCTTGATGATGATATAGATTACGATGATCTCCCCGACGAGGACATGCTGGGTGCTGCCCTCGCCGTAGGCCAGGATGACGAAGTAGAGTCATTGAGTCACACAGACCAAGTGGATAGCTTCGAAGACGAGATTCCGTTTGTCGATGACCTATTATCATTTGAGGAGGGACCTTCAGCTTTTGAGCCTACTCAGATGGATAATGGAAAGTGGATGTGCAATCATCGCTGCCGCAATGCCGGTCTTACTACTACGGGAAGACCTTGCACTCATCGGTGTTGTCACGAAGGCCTTGACAAACCCCGACCACCCCCACGAGAGAAGAAAAAGATTCAGAACAAACACAACACCGTCGACGATAATACAAAAGGGAAGGGTTCCGCTGTCCGACCGTCAACTAACATGCGAGCTCCTCAAGCCGACGTGGGCTTCGGACCAGACGGAGGTAAAGAAAAGAGGATCGCGAAGCCTACTTCTAGGATCAACGGGTCTTCTACTACACTCCCAAATATGAAACGAAAGCGCTTGACAGCTGATAAAACCAACGAGGTGCAGCCTTGGAAGAGAAGAAAACCCATTGAGTATTCCTCCGACTTGGATTCACTTTCTGATATTGAGTGTATCGATCTCACTACAACGGTTGACAACGAGGTAAACATCTCGCCCCTAAAAATTTCTACTTCCTCCAACACGACAAACCTTCAGCGCCAAAACAAGCTAAATCAAGAAAGCAAGACCGATCCATCCCTAAAAATAGTTAACACTAAGACTCAGGCCCTTTCTAACCCATCAGGACAACTTGACGGAGCCCCTAGGATATCGAGTAAAGTAGATGCAAAGTCGGATCCTGCGAACTGTAACACACATTATGATAGCGACATATTTGACCAGGAAGATGAAGACGAATTCCCTGATGTAGAGAGCCTCATCCGGCTTAGTGAATTGAAGGATACCGGCAAATCTCAGGTGGAATCAAGCAACGATGAAACTCTGTATCCTGGTGTTGTTCACACACTGAAGGAAAGCATGGAGTATGGTTAGGAACCAGATCTCAGCTTTACTACAGTCGACGAATTACACAAGGCTTCTGACCGTTTCGATTTGCCTACGACTATTTCTCCGAGTCGAAGTAAGTGTCCACAGTCGGGCTCAACGATGCGTGAAACCCAAACGTCAAATTCAGGTTCGCCGTTACTAGGCTCGTATGAGGACCTTCAGCCCTCCCCTAATTCCGAGCTGGATGATCGCGAACCTCTTTTTTTCGATTCGGATCCCTTGCGGGAGGACGAAAATACGGAATGCTCCCCGGGCCACAATGAGCCCGCGTGGCTATCAGAATTTGATCCCGAATTTATTGACAGTCTCCGTGGTTGTGTGAATTTTGTGGACTAATCCAAAGATAGGCGGAAGCAATTGAAATAACGTCAATCGCCGATTGATGAGCTATTTGCTAGGTATGTTTCTTCAGCGGTCGGGCCAAGGGACATTTCGAAATAATGCTCAAAGGTGTATTTGACGTACGGAAGCTTGAACTATTTCGCTAAGAACCTATACAATGGCTGTATATTTTGTATTTAATACAAATTTGCTGTTAGCGTATATGATGATGATGGTATTGCGGGTGGGACCTAGAAGTGCACTGTAACCCCACCTAAATATCCCCTGTTACAGCTATATAGGTAACTCGCACATACTGGGGTGGGCAGTGGATGTTCTACTTCTTAGCACAGGGGATAGATTAGCTTACGGACCAGTACAATCATGTTAGTACATAATCGACTTTTTGCTCACAGAATCTTGGTCATGATGATCCTTTTGGTCAAACGAGAGTCCGGGCGAAAACCTATTTACTGATGCCGTAGGTTAAGATTTGTTGATAGGAAGCGGAGTTACTGAGTGAGAAAAAGATAGAATTGTTGCGCGAGGAGCTCTGAACTGCTGTTCTCAAGAAGACAGTATTGTATGTAAGTACATGAAATCCTTTATCCATCAACAGGCCTCTCGGGGACCATATGTCCCCTACCTATCCTTGTTATAACTCATTCAGTTCTTTTCTCTTAATCTTTATTGTCTAATCGGCTAACCGCTTCCCACAGTCCTGGGCTGCAGCCGGGACGGGGAACGGCCGATGTGTCGGCGGAAATGGGCGTGTTTGTACTCTTATTTACCACCTGAAGTAGTGAGACGGGAGGCCACATTGACATGGTGGCCGAGTGCCCCGCTCTGTCCCATTCATGGGAACAAGCTGATAAACATGTCGATATGTTCTTGGTTATATTAAGAACATGTTTAGTCGACAAGTTTGTTGAAGTCGAATATGCTGAAGTCTTGTTGGGAAAGTAATCATTTCAGCGACCGTTCTTTGGTCGTTCGGAGTTATGATGATGTCGCATATTTATTATCGTACTTCACAGTCGGTGTTTCCACTCTCTTTTAATGGCCGTCAACGTCGGCAGGACGACGGACGGCCGAGAGTGTTTATGCAAGCCACCCAGGGCCTGCTATTGCTATCTCCAGGATAGCGGCCACCGTCGGCCACAGCCACGGCCACGGACGGCCAAGCATGTTTATGCAAGCCACCGTAAAACGGTGGCCGTCCGTGGGACGGTTGGCTGGGCGCCTGCGACGTTGTGGTTGACGGTGGCCCATGGGAGACACCTGGGTGCTGCGTTCCAGTCGAAAATCAGCGTCGAACTTATGTCGCGCCCGTAGGGCGGGAGCAGTTAATTGCTCTTCTTATTGATAGTGCATTAGTACCGCACGCACCAAGCCCAGCTTCGTGGGCTTTCCGAACGCGCTCTAACCCCTCCCGTAGGGGGTTGATTGGTGTTGTTTTATCGGACGGGCCGACCTCATCTGCGCACCTGGCGCAGGTTGCGGAAGAGGAGTGTGAGGTGATTGGTAACCTAGTAGGTCCCAACACCTTAAGGTCGGCCCGCCGAAGGCCCCAATGGATTAGGTTGCTGGGCGGAGAGGTCTGTTTCAGATTAGTATGGGGTGTTGAATGATGTGAATGCGTAAAAAAATATGGATATAACTTACGCGTGCGGTACGAATTAACGAATTTAAATTTCGTGTGAAATAGTACGACGACCGAGAGCCAGCCTTTGATTTATTAGTATATTGTTAAATGGGAATGGGTAGATCAAAGGTGGTCTTACTATTATTGTTGGGTTATTACCAACGAGACGACTGAAGAGCCGACCGTGAAGTGAAGAAGAAGAAGAAGAAAAGATTTAATTTTCATGGGGGGGAAAGTTGTTTAAGTAGTGTTGGGTCCGGCCATGAACGAAACTTAATCAGTAAGAAGATAGAAGAGGCCGTCACGAACCTCGTTGGAGGACCAGTCACAACGGAATAATTCATGGGTACGTAGCTACAATATGACTCAGATACCTATGTACATAGTATAAATTAATCAAAGCTCAATAAATAAACGTACCAAGTACTACGTACCTACCTACTTTATTATACCAGAACATTTAAATCTGTCAGATACCAAGGTACAAAGCTCCAATGTCCACCGTACAAAAACATGATGTATTTGTCAATACGAAAGCGTATATGACTACGGCAGCAGTGAAGTACTAAATACCTAGGTACGTACTTAGGTAGCAACGCTTAATTATAAAAACGGCCAAAACTGGATGCCATAGGGCAGAACAAGTAAAGAAAAGATATTAATACTCAATTTAATCTATTTGCGTGACCCTGACCCCTATCCCAAAATGGATTACGTAATCCAACTTCTATTATACCCATATCATGCCATACATATCCATTACATCCTATTCGTTATAACCGTCATTAACCAGCCGTTTATTCACACCATTCCATCACTAGACCATGATTCTCGAATACCTGTCGTCGACTAGTTCGTAGGACAACCTCCCGGCCACTAAGCATGAGACTTCCTCACGACACCGACATCCTTCCAGGCCTTGCGGACGATAGCAGCGGCGTCGTCGCCAAAGAGCTCCTCGGCCTTGTCGACAGTCACATCTGCGAACTGGACGAAAGTACAACGGGCGGGGATCTGGCCGCTGTTCATCGTCTCCCACCAGATCTTTCCGGCTTTCTCCCATCTGTGATTAGGTAATGGTGATTAGTAATGCTGACTCATCCACGGGGGTGAGAATTTAGAGGGACGTGAACTTACGAGTAGCCGCCAAACGCGACGGATGCAAGATAGAATGCTTTGTTTGGGATTCCAGAGTACAGATGTACACCGCCGTTATCATCTACGGTTACTTTGTAGTCCTTGAAGTTTCCGGGTTGGGGATCTTTGCCCTGATAGTAGTTAGTATCAGATGGTACAGTATCATGATGATAGAGGATGGGATCTTACAAATCGAGGGTCATCGTAGGCGGTTCCGGGCTCTTTCATACTGCGCAGGGCAACGCCCTTTACACCGGGCATGAGGCAGTATTCGCCGATCAGCCAGTCGGCCTTATCGGCAGTTTCGTCTTCTACTCTCTGCTTGATCATGATGCCGAAGACATCTGATACATGCTCGTTGAGAGCACCGCTCTGACCTGTGTAGTCAAGCGGCGAAGTGTGTTCCGTAACAGCGTGCTTTCGAGGCGTTAACGGCATTATCTAGCTAATATTGTGGGGAGGGGGTTTCATACAGTGAGTTCATGGCCGATGACATCAACAGCTCCGGTAAAGTTTGTCAAAAAGGTGTGACCATCACCATAAACCATCTGTGCAACTTCGGGGTCCCAGAAGGCGTTTTCGTAATTGATGCCAAAATGCACCGAACTGATCACCTGCTGATTGTGGTTGTCGATGGACTTCCAGTTGAAGATATCCTTGTAGAAAGAGAGGACTAGGCCGGCATTGTCATAGGCCTCGTTGGCAGATTCGTCGTTCGAAGCTTTCTGACCTTCGACACGAACAACCTTTCCTGGGAGGTGGGCTTCGTTCGAGTCGTGGTTGGCATTATATACGGCGCGATATGTCTTCTCGGTATCTCGCGAAGGTTGCTGGGCAGCCGTAAGAGCCTTTTGATCGGATGACTCAGCACGAAGCCCCTGAGATTCCTGGTACTTGGTATGGACTTTCTTGATATGTTCGAGATCACGTCTAGCGCAGGCGCGAGTATCATCGTCGACATCCTCAGACTCGGCAATATGCTTCAGCATGTGATCCGGGACGATGCTATGCTGCCTGCTAAGACCGGCTGCGGCTTTGCTACCGCGGGGTGCACAGAGAGCGGCGAAACGTTTCTCGCGTTTGCCAATATAGTCTTTGTGGACGGTGAGAGCGTTGCGGGCGCATTCTCGGATGTGATCCTCGTTGTGGCTGCTATCGGCGATAGCGTTAAGCAGATAAGGAGGTACTACGCAGCAGACGTGATGGTTGCGGGTCGACATCTTGGGTATCTGGGCAAAGGTTGTACGAAAAAGAGCTGTACGTTTTAGGGAGATTCGGGATAGGGACATGTAGATAGGTAGAGAGTAGATATGTTTAGGCAAGTATTCAGGTAGGTAAGGAGCTATAAGGGTCTTTAATAGTTAGAGGAGTGGCAATATTGAGGTCACAGAATGCAGAGGTGATGTAAGTGATGGTGAACTAGCTAAAGAAATACGAAGGCTCTGGTTAGGGATATGGTCTAGGGCTAGAAGGCAACTTTTATCCTTTACCTATCAAGCTGTTCTCAAGACAGAGCGCTAAGTCGTTTTATGTAGGCCCTAGGCAGATCATGAGACAGGAAGCATGCTCAGTTAAAGGAGCTTGCCGTCAACATCTTTCAACCAAACCCCAGCTGCCGGAAATATGAGACAGCGATAGAGGCAGCTGTATCCTGAAAGATAAGGATGCGAATGATACCATAATGCATACATATTGATTCCAAGTGTGGCATGTGTTGCAAGGCTGACTCACGTAGCTGTAGGTAAGATCGATATGTCTCTATTCCCGGGGAAGTGGGTAGCGGAGGGACCAAGATGGACTATGTTAGTCCAAGGGCTGACCTTCACTTCCAATTTTAGCCACTTCATGATGTATTCCCATTCATGAACAAGACTTAACGACATAATATGGATTAGCACAACGTCAGAATGGAGTTAAGAACCTTATCTTGTCCATCTTGTCTTTAAGAGCTGTGCCTTCTTCAACTCGGATAGGTCAGAAGCTCGTGGCAGGCGTGGGGAATTTTCGTCATCCGGTAGTTCAACACTAGAGACAAAACAGGGAATGGTAGTTGCTTAATGAAGTGACATATTCTTGCCACGGCATTGCCGCTGCGGTTGCCCGTCAGTAGTACGACTCAAGTTTATTCCATCTTGTTTCATGACGACGGATGCGACTTGAGGCCTCATCTACGACTCTACCTAGATGGACGAAGCTAGGCGTATGAAGTATGTAGGTAAGTAACAAGCTGAAATATTGAAAGCGCCGTCCCAGATAGGTAGGTGGTAGATATTTGGTTACTCGGTAGGTGGGCAATTACTATGCGTATGTAGGTACGTGCTAATATCCGCATGAGAGCTAAATCCCGTGACAAGGAATATTCAGGAACATGGACGGGCGGTGTTTCATTCTGCGAGGTGGGCATGGATATAATTCAAGAAATGTGACCTTGACACGTCGTTGCGTGTAGGAGTAACGATGCACTACGTAACTGCGGTGACCGAGAACTTGGAAAAACGCGGTGGACACGTACGTAAATCGTGAATGCCCCGTAGCCCCACTAAGTTATAGGCCTGATAGGCCGGGAAACGCCGTAGGAACAGGGGAGACAGGGGCTGCGACAGCGACCTCAACTGCTAGCGGCTTGGCTTTGAGCCTTCCAGGTTGAAAGTAAGGCCTATGAAATCAGCCACCGATAAGATACGATGCCTCTTTCCAACCAAATAAATATCGATAACGCCACAATGTGACTTTCATTTTCTTCATGGAAATAGGAAAATATTGAGAAATAGCTGGAGTGTCTTACAGCTGATAGAGAAACATGTCGTCGAAATGGGCTGGCTGACTTCGGGGTCAGCTGGTATATCCCACTCTCTACCTTATCGTCGTTACATTCGCCCCCCTTTACGGCTTCAACGCGCACCTGTATCGATACCTCGACTAAACTCGGGCAAACCCATGGACTCGGTTAAAAATGGCTAGATAGGGACCGGATATTTGTCAGTCATTCTATATCGGAGTTCATCCCGACAGTAGGTCCTCATTATGCGTTTATAAGACAGTTCCCGGCGGTGATCGGGGCAAGTAGCGAGTTTGACTACTAGCTGACAGTTTACGGTTTGCTCGTATACGCCTTCGAGTTAGAGATGGATTAGCAAAATATTCAACGTTGTTTTTCGACACTGAACCCATCAATAGAAACAATTTGTTTGCGGCATAATACGCTCGTTACATTTCGGTAACATACAGGTGTTGGATTGAGGAAATAGCGCAGGGCGAAGCATCTTCATTCAGCCCTTTGAGTACGAGCTCGGATCTAATTAACCATCAAACAAACACCAAGGACGATGTTCGATGGATTTTTCACTTTAAAACTTAGAAATTTTTGAAGAAAAATATATAATCAATATGAAAAGCTGTCCCTGTGGTAGAGTCATCCGTGGATACATTTGTCGTGTTTCTCTGAAATGATCAGCTCTTAACTCTGAGTAGCGATGAGACGAATGCTAAAATCCTGTAGGGAAAGAGGTAATCAGATACGCAAATTCGCAGGTCATTCATGCTCATGAGGTGGGAAGGAACAACCTCATTACCTGTGTGACGTATAGTATAACCTCGAGTCGTTTGCTGTTTCCACAATGTGAAAACATATCGAGTCAAGAAAGCACAAGCTAAAGAAACCGGGCAAGAGCAAACAAAATTGGCGTGCGACTCTTCGGATCGCCCCTTTGATCCGCCCCTTTTACAACGTCGTACACTTCCATCTAATCCTCACTATCCCCTCCCCAACATTAAACTGCCCAACCTATTTTACAATCTTGGCCTCTGTTTGCTCTCCTTCCAATTCTTGAATAATAGTGAGACACTCAACTACTGTTGTTACCACTCGTTTTAAAACCTAACTATAAATCCTCCCCGTCTAACCGAGACATCTACGCTTATTCTTAATCGAACCAGTCTTCAGTCCAACGCCGAAAGCAATTAAACACATTCCCGAGACATACGGCACAATGCAGGCCCTCATCCTCGTCCTCGCCTACTCGGCACTCGCATCCGCCACCACCTACTTCCTCACCGTCTTCGCCCCAGACACCAACGTCGACGGGGCTCTGCTCAATGCCGCCGGTCAAGGCTTCTACACCGGCACTTCGGGGCCTGCGACTTATTGCCCGGACGACATTGGCAAGAAGTGTCCTGAAGTGCAGGGAACTCTCGTCTATGAAGGACTAACCGGCATGGCAGTAAGTATTCCTAATACTTCGCAATCCAAATATACCTCCTAATCCACCCCCCTTAGGTCCAAGTCCCCGGTGGCCAATCAATCTACGTAGCGCCTTCCGGCCAAGTCGAGTACGCACGCGCGCACTCGACCTACGTTCCGCCCGGGTCCTTCATCGGGGGCTGGTACAACAAGACCGTTCTCTCGGACTGCGAGCCGACGCGTTACGTGCTCGACTTCCTATCCCCGGACGGCACCAACATCGGCGGCGTGAAGCTGTGTCCCGACATCGAGACCTGGATGTCCGGTACGGGCGCTAGTTACCGTCTCTACGTTGGCACGCGCAATTTCAATTTGACGAACTGTATTGATGCTGTGGGGCTGAATTTGAATGGTGTCGAGGCGGAGGTTGGGTGTTGGCAGTATATCTGAGGAGTCGGGAAATGCGTGCTTGTACTGAATGGTGGTGTCGTCAGTATCAATATCTTTGATTTTCCAGGGGAAAGCTTTCGCGAGTGTTTTCATATGGATTTAGTATGGGGAAAAGTTGGCACGGAATTGTTTTTCGAAAATGGGGATTTAGAAAAGGTTCCTGCGGGACGTGGGATGCGGTTAAGGATTAATGACATGGCGATGAGACTGTACTGTAAAGCATGAGAAAAATGGGACTGCGTACTGTGGTCTACCTGATGATCACCTAGGTTTTACGAATTGAGACTTCACCTTCTATTAGGAAGCTTTTGGCTTTCGACCTCGAGGATATCTGTAGTTGTGATATTGATACGTAGCGTAAAGTTAGGGATAATGGGCAAATTGCTATACAACCAACCTATGTAGATGCGCAGAACTTCAACCTAATCCAACAACACCTCGACATCAAACTCGCGATCCGTCCTGAGCTGATACTGCGGCAACGTCGGGGGTCCGCAGCTACCCGTACCCAAGCCATGATGATACCAATCCAACCTAACGATATAATCGTCCCTCCTCCTCTTCTTCAGCTCATACGGGTGTCTGCATTCGTCAATATCCCTTGTACTATACGGCGCGACACTAAAACTCGCGCCATGGTGCTCGCCGAAGCGCGCGCGGAGGAGGCAATCGGGGTACTCGAGGTCGCCGCCCCAGCGGGTGCGCAGCTCGACCCAGCGCACATCGGTGCGATTGCCGCTCTCCTGCGGAAACTCGTAGTGGTGGAACATGGCGTCCGCGGCCCAGCCCCAGGTGTTCACTAGCTGCGCGCGCTTCTTGTCCGCGTACGATTCGCCCGGTCCGCGACCGAACCACTCGACTATGTTAAGGTCGCGGAGACCGAAGGATAGACCGAAGCGTGCGAATGTTGACGGGAGGAGGAGCCCGTTGGGCTTTGCTTGTATGCGGATGCTGCAGAAATCTTGGGTGATGGTATAGGTCGTAGTCGTGTCGACGCTCCAGGCGAGAACTGGGGGAGCGACGCGCCCTTTCACGACGACGGTGCAGCCTGATTCGGTTTCAGTGGTGGTCATTTGCGAAAAATGGTTTCGCGTCTGGTGGACTCTTTTCTCGATCCATTCTTGGCCATGGGGTCCGCCGCGGTCGTTATCCGTGAGCGCGCGATAGAAGTCTAGGGCTAAGGGGACTGTAATGAGGTTGTGGCCTGGCTTCGAAGTGTGCGTTAGAGATGATAGAGTGCCATTGCCCGTATCAAAGCCAAACGTTGTGCCTTTGGCGATTGTGACGTAAAGCATATCGTCTGTGCGCTGGATGCGCGGGCGGCCTGGTGTGGAGGGGGATTTGAGGAGGGCAAGCGTCCGAGGAGGGGTGAGCGCGAGCTGGCTTCGAGCTACGATTCGACCAGGAGATATCCATTTAGTTCCACTACGAACCATGAACTCTAATGAAAGCCATGCGTTCGTAGATAGAGTCTTTGGCATTCCACCCAGAACTATCGTCGCCTTTGTGTGAGGTTTAACGTTTGCTGGGATGTATATCTCTTTACCAATCACTTGTTGACGGTCGGAGATGAGTTCCCAAAAGCACCTAATGTGGTCTAAAGTCAGAAAGTCATAGCGGTTTATGATTGTTATCGAAGTACCCTCTATGCCGAGGACTTGAATCGGTTCGATGGCTTTGCTATATTCGTCAAGCCCGGGACCGGGCATATGTGACGAGTTACATAATCCATCCATGACAAAATTACCGTCATTAGGCTCGTCAGGTTGAAAGTCGCCGCCGTATCCGAAATATTTCTCTCCATCTTTGGATTCTGTGATGAGGCCCTTTTCGAGCAGACGTTAGCACATACTAAAAGTCGTAGTCTTGAGCCGGTATAAATGCTTACGTGATTTGCCCATTCCCATACAAAGCCTCCCATGAGCCGCGGATACTTATAGAAAGCCTCGATATATTCTTGTATAGCTCCGGGACCGTTACCCATCGCATGAATATACTCGCACATAACAAAAGGCTTCTCCCAGTTCTTCTCCTCAGCATGCTTGATCATTTCGTCAACAGGGGTGTACATTCGACTGAAAATATCTGCCGTCTGTGCATCTTGATCACCCTCGTAGTGTATGAGGCGTGTCTTATCGATCGCTTTGATAGCATCATACATGGCCTGGTGATTTCTACCATAGAAGGCTTCGTTACCAAGAGACCACATGATGATAGAAGGGTGATTTTGATCCCGCATCACCATTTGTACAGCACGATCTACGTACGCATCTCTCCATTCTGGATTGTCAGATGCGAAACTTGCCGGATCGCCACCAACTTCGCCGAATCCGTGACATTCGAGGTCTGCTTCATCGAGTACCCAAAATCCCATTTCGTCGGTAAGGTCGTAGAATCTAGGATCGTTTATATAATGGGAAGTGCGAATAGCATTGATGTTAAATGCCTTCATTGCCTGGAGATCCCATTGGAGGTCTCCGTATGGGACAGTTCTCCCAGATTTTGCGTTATGTTCGTGACGATTAGTTCCCCGGATCTTGATAGGGTGCCCATTGACACAAAATACTCCATCTATAAGTTCTGTCCTTCGAAATCCGACTCTTTGGGTGACATATGACGAACCGACAGAGAGTACTAGCGTATACAAGTATGGGGTCTCAGCTGTCCATTTTTCGGGATTCTCCACACGGACCTTACATCTAGAAGTTCGCCCCTGTGGTGTGTATGAATAACGGAATACCACTTCACCATCACCATCAATAAGTTTAGATGTGACAGCTTCGCCAAGCTTATTTAGCGTAATATCTACCGCAAGCCATGCATCTGCGTAATCATCGTCAAGTATTGTCTCAACACGGATATCCTCGAAACGAGTTGAGGTAAATGAATGCAACCAGACGTCTCGGAAGATACCGCTGAGCCACCATTGGTCCTGGTCCTCGATGTAACTTCCGTCGCACCGTTGGTATACCTCAACACAAAGAGTGTTTTCGGAATCGAGATCAAGAAATGGCGATACGTCAAATTCACTGGGGTTTCTCGAGCCTTGTGAGTAGCCCACTTCCTTTCCGTTTATCCAAATAGTGAAAGCTGAGTCGACACCCTCGAATCGTAGCCGCCATTGGTCTCCGTCCTTGAGAGTGTCTGGAACGGTGAAGCGTGTGATATAGCGACCGCACTCGTTATCGTCATATGGGACGTTTGGTGGATCCACTGGAAAGGGGAAATTGACGTTGGTGTATTGAGGTCCTTTGCCGAATCCCTCAAGTTGCCACATACCCGGAACCTTGATGAGCTTCCATTCTGTGTGATCAAAGTCGGGCTTATAAAAGTCCCGGGGGCCCTTAAACGGACCAGGTGAAAGGTCAAAACCCCATGTACCGGAGAGCAAGACAGCCCTAGAACGGCTCACATCTCTAGAAAGCGCATCATCCTCAGTGTTATAAACGTGAAAATGGCTTCGAGGCGGTAAAGTCTTGCGATGAATAACTTTGAGATTACTCCAGTCGGGGATTCGTTTGGGTTGGATATCTGTGTGGCCTATTCCAATTGGATTGGTCACCAACGATGTGCTAGATGATTGAAGGTTTAGTGGTTCCGACCAAAGGTCAGGATAAGTAGTGATGACTTGTAAGTTTACATGGAGATCTGCGCTCTGTCGGATCACCATGTTCGCCTCAGACGACTCGGTGTTGTTAGACATATAGAGAATAAACCAGGATTAACGAGGACTGGAATTAGTGCACTGGCTGTCCTTTACTCAAGTTTCGCTCTAGTATAATAATGACATTGAATAGATAGTAATACAGTGGTGAGGGCGTCTCTTATTTTGTGGTATAGCTGTCATGAACAATCAACCACATAGGCATAGAGAGAACTATAGGTAGGTATATAAAATAAATAAATGGCAGTGCCCCAAGAAAGAATATTCAAACAGTTTCAATAATACCAAGAAGTAGAAGATAGCGTGTTAATTCAAAATCACAGAAAACGATTAGATTGAAAAGTCGATTGCTTGAGTTGGATTGGATTAAATGGGATCGATGTTTTGTTGTTTTGTTAACTATGTTGAATGAGTCGAAGTTCTTGAAGCTCCTAGGTTCGGTAGCTGGAGCTAGAGGTGCTAGAGTCCTAAATTGGGGTGTCTAGGTGTACCTAGCAGGTGACGTAGCTAGGGCACTAGATGGTTGGCTCGGGTTGTCCCGCGTCCGTCCAGAGGCTGGGGAACAGAGTTTGGAGGTTGGAGGTGCTGGAGACGACCCCAATATTCACTCCCAGGGCTACTACAGGAGCCCATAGAATATCCATACATTATGGATTATTCACGATATTAAGCAACACAACGGCGATAAATTCGATCATTCAAATCATTTGTCTTCGTTATTTCTAAGTTTGTCTTTTGACAATGCAATATGTCTCTCTACCTTACGACTATGGTTTTGATGAAATGGTTAACAACCATCCGTGAGGACTGATCGAACTTCTTACCAATTACGCCACTAAACCAGAAAACGCCGGTGGTCGACTATCTAGATTGCATTCGGTTATAGGATCGTTCCGAATCTTCCTCATGTTAGCTAGGATTCACCAAACAACTCATTTCAACGATGGTGTCCACCTACCCGAAAGTTGTTTTGATGCTCCTCACGTAGTATTCTTCCCAGTTACGCTTGGTCACCTCTTCTTGGCCTACAGGAACGCCGCTCCAGGTAACTCTCATCACAGTTACGCCGTCAACGTCGTTCTGATCAAATTCAATTACCTGTTTCGAGTGATGACCTGCTGGCCACTGGTTCAATCGCCAACTCTGGACAATCTTAGTCGGTTCCTCGAGTTCTTCATATTCACCCGACACGTTGCCACCAAATAGCTCAAACTTTCCGCCCTTCTTGGCACCGTCAAATCTCTTTGGCGGGGCACGAGTGAACGCCGCTAGCCGTTGAGGGTCAGTGAAAGTCTGGTATAGTTCGGCGGCCGTAGTTCGGAATTCTTCTTGATCAGTTACTGTTGTTGTGTTGACGACACTACCTTGGTTACTTTGGGTGGCAGCACTGGCATCGGTACTCGCCGTGGTGGCACCAGTTGGCGTATGGTACTTTGGTGTAGTAAATCCGCTCGATGGATTTGAACCAGCGGCGTGCTGGATATCTTTACCATGTTCAGCAATTAGAGCTGGGGTAAGTTTAGAAAATTCCTTTCGTAACTGAGGCGTCAGCTTAGATCGAACTAAGTCCTTCACGGGTTGCTTCTCCTGAGACTCTGAGTAGATGTCTATGTCAAACTTTCATACGATCAGTACTAGTCATGATCAGTCATGGTAATGTGGATCTTCATACGACGAATTCATCTTCTTCGGTGTCGTGGGCAACTTCGGGTACGGTAATCGTGCCCGAGACATTTTCTTCCCCAGGCGCGGATCCTAATGCAAGTTAGACAACTTGACTGCCTTGGACTACGATATATCTATGGGTTATGACAAACCAGAGTACTCTAAGACGAGTTTCACATCATAAATGGTAATCACTTTGCCCTTCCGTTGGCTTACGTCAACATCACCGTCCATGCTGACAACCTTATTGATCTTGGCGGTGACCTCTCCATCTTCGGCCGAGACCTTGGTAAGATTCTCTTCGAACCACTGCTTAGCCCATTCGCTGGCATTCTTGCTGACCCAATGCCAGTTGTTAGGGTTGTGGAGAACCATGGTGGGATGCGAAAGAGGATAATTCGGACGAAGTCTGGATTTGGTTTGGAAGCTACAAAAAGTGCGATTATATTAGCGATTGCTGTCTTCTCTTGTGCGTAGTTATTAATGAATAGAAGATTCAATGCGAATAACGAAAGTTGATCAGATATCAGTCTCAAGGACCATAGCTATGTGGTCATCAAGGAAAGGGAGTACAAGTCACTCTATGACTGGTGCCAGCTTGTGTATCATCAGAAAACTTATGACAGGAAGGAAACGATAAAAATAAGGAGATGAAAACTTACTGGTGACAGATGGACGGATAAGTTGACTACGGAATCAATCTGTAATCATAGTAAACGAATTGAAGAGAAGAAATCGTCTGCATGAAGGGCACGCAGCCGGCTACGAGATGTTGTAAGGTTAGAAAAAAATGCAGCCGAAAGCTCTAGAATTTCAACGAAATTTAGTGCCAAAGTAAGAATTTCCAATACCTTCCAGTGGACCAATAGAAGAGGGGTTTTAATCGGTCAAACATCGGACCGCGAACTCTAAAGCTTAAACCCGACCCGGACAGCTGCAAACGACCGTCTTACCCGCTATTTTGCATTTTAGGTACAATAGTACATACCTAGTACCTACAGTTCCTGAGAATTCACATGCTTCATCCCTTATTCCAACAGTCATTTTTACTTAACCTACAACTTTCCATATACACCACTAGTATATAACATCGTGAATTACTCCCAAGGAAATACCAACTGGGTAGATGTCTGGTGATGTCGAACAACATGCCTATGCACAGCTTCAATATTTGAAGACCTCATCTCCGGGAACTGTTGCTTGTGTCAATTTCGTATCCATGCTGCTTTCCGCCTGCCGCGTGCCGCTGCGTGTTTCTAAAAACCACAATCGCCGTACAGTTGTACTTAATCATTACTTGGCTTGTTTGCCAAGTTATGACCATCATCTGTCGATGGATCTTAGGTCACTTACACAGGTCCTACCTCCCGACTAGGTACATATGGCCCTTGGCTATTATGCGTTGATGTAGGAAATATATACTACTTTTATATGCAGGTATGTTCTACATGGCCGCAGCTACTAAATATGTATGTACACTAGGTATTAATATCAGCAACGATCTCCTTCGCCAGGATATTTGAGTTAAATCACCTTGTCAGAACTGAAAAATAACGTCTCTTGCTATCGACGTCGCTTGGACATTTCAGTCGGCCCGGGAATTTGCAAGCATGTAAGTTTCCACGTGGAAATCATGCTACTACTACTGTGATAAGTCGAATACTATTTTTATATTTAAGCATTCAATAGCCAATGCTAACCTAGAATCTCCTAAGTGACTATGTTAGCTTCACCGCGCACACGGGAACCGGGATGCGAGGAGTTTCCTTTAGTTCATAGTCAATGCGAATAATGCCAACACGACGAGACCTACGAAACCTACGAAACCTACGAAACTTCCATTGACTGGAAGTCTTCTTGGACTATTTGACGGATTCTTCGTTCAAATTCATACTCAACTCCCCAAGCAATCAGGTACGTAGCAGGAAATTTAGCCTCGTTCATGCACAATTATGAGCGACGGATCTCAAGGTGTGTTGCTTTGCAGCGGAAGGCAGATTCTGCGGACGATCAGTGCATATTATATACATTAATATTCCGTCCTTTATAGATGACACAAGCTCCAAGGTCTGGCGATGGTGAAGTCCGGATATCACGAACTTTCCCCGCTCATGCAAAGTGTAGAAGATCAACCAATCACAAATGGGAACGTTCTATGTAACCGTTAAGCGCCGACAAGGCCATACCCACGAGGGGAAACGAAGGAGTTGGCCAATGATATTCGACCCAAGGTTGCAGATCTCTAAATATAGATTAATATCCACACCACCATGAACCAATCGTGGGCTGTTCTTCAGATATACCAAGTCAGAAGTACCGACCACTCTATTCCCAAGTCGGTCAGCCCACTAGGGGGGGGGCCAACCTCTCATCACTCCATTCGACCGTCTTTTCTATTCGTTCGTCTAGCTGTTCTTGATTAAACACACTCTTCTAAGCAGAAGAGACCCATCACCATGCAACATGGGGAAACTAACTTACACATACTAACCAATTTCAGCTACCTTCACGCTGCGACATAGACCTACTAGTACATAGAGGAATGTACGGAAGAGGAGCCCCTAAGAAGTTTCTACAGGGCATAGTCCATGTTCAAACTGATACATGCGATACTGAGGGCGAGCGGTCCTACATACTTTGTACTATGCGTATGTTGTATCGCCCGACTTAAGGGGCTAAATATCGTATGGTTCCTACATTCGTCCAAGCCTTCACGGACAAAGCGGATAAGATCACGCCCATCGCTCGGAATTTACCTCCCATTCTGCCATTAACCAGTTGACGAGCCCGTGCACTTATGCGGGCGTCCAGGGATCTGCCAAGAAACATCCTTTCCCCCACGTCCTTGGCCAGGGGATCTGGATCATCGTCCTATCCAGTCCGTCCATCACTTTTCATCTCCTACACCCTCTTTTTTTTCTAACATTGCACAAAAGTCTTCAGCCGCGTCTTGAATACATCTGTCGGCTCTTCAAATCGTTCATCTCCTATTCGATATACGGGATATCGGGTCATGGGAAAATAGTCGGCGACAAGACCGTTTTCTAATTCACCGGTTGAAGGACGAGTGGTGAAGGTAGCGAGCGCAACGAGTGCCGGCCGTAAGACATTTTAGGATATCAGTACCAAGCGCAATTAATTAACGTCCCGCTCGCGCCAGCATCTGTACCGGATTTATCTGCTGTCGTCTTCCCCGCGCGCGCATCTATCTGAGTCGGTTGCGACCATTATAAGTGATGATGACCAGTCCGCGCGAGAGTGCAACTTCTCGACTTCGTCAAACGCTTAATCCATTGAGAACGACCGCTCTTGGAGGATTTCACAATCAGCTGAACACACCGCATTCTGCCATATCAATTAGCTCATCTCACACCTTCGCTGGACTTCATACGCCGGCAAGTTCAGTACAACCTTACAACCCTCAAGAATGGGTACCTTCTCCTGTTGTCGGTCCTGAGCGAACGCGACAGTTCCCACCACCGTCGTCGCTACGCGATTCACAAAGTAAGTAGTTCATAAAATATCGTCTTAAGACGCTAGTCGGTGAACCGTAAGCTGACGAGCATGAAAGCGGCAGCTCCCGCTCCACCTCCACCTTATTCCCCTCCGCGAAGTCAGAGACCAGCTAGTATTGTTTATGAGACTCCTCCGGCAAACATATCCGCAGCTCGGGTTCCAGCCTCAAGTGTCCATCGTCCCTCACCGGAACCAGCGAATAGTCAAAACTTTCCTCCGCCGCCGGGCTCAAATGGACGTGGTGCCTCTCGCGAAAGGCGTTTTGGCCTACCATCTTTAACTAGACGAAGAGATCGAGGCACCCCCGAGTCATCGCCTCCTGATCCTCATCCTCCCACTTCACTATCCCGACCTCAGCCACTTACAATCCAAGTCCCCACTCCCGTAAATCCAGCAAATCCAGTAGACCCTAATCTCTTCGGTGTGCCTCCTAGTGCGCGCAGGGCAGCATCTGCGAGTGCAATTGACACGCCGACTTCAGCTCGGTCTCGATCGGCATCTCAATCGAGATGGGAGCCCGGCATGCCTCTACCACCGCCGCCGCCGGGGCCTCCTCCCACCCAGTCCAGATCCCAAAGCCTTAATAGAACCACTGATCCCGTAGTCTCCCCACCCACGAGGAGGCCACCTCCTAGTGGTGTAACTGCTCTTGGTCCCGTTCCACCAACTCCTGCAGATTGGGTCAATGAGGAGCGGCAGGTCGCGCGTGGCAAATCGACTAATCCTCTTGGACTAACTATCGATACATCTGCCGCCGAGTCTAGTTCCCATGTTCCTCCCGAGTCGGGATCTGCATCGGGCTCTGCCGGCCTCAATAGGACTGGTGCTGTCCGAGGTGAAAAATCCTTGCGAGAAAGGCGAAATGAGAGTAGAACACGACAGAGGCCGGAAGATGGGATCCAGCCTTTGACTGATATTATAGTTCCTAGCGGATCGGGCCTAACTCGAAAATTTTCGGTTCATAAGGGAACTCCACGCAGCGGTGGTAAATCAATAGCCGACGTGCCAAGATCCGGCGATGACGTGAACTTCGATTCTAGAAACTCAACACCTCGTCCGTCTGCCGGACTCCACCCAGAGACACCGACGCCACCATTTTCACCGCGTCCGCAAAAGGCTTATCCGGTTGCAGAACCGGGCCACGCTATCGCTCCGAAGGCTCTTCCCACACCACCACCACAAAGCCGATCAGCCTCTAACTCCTCTCAGGCACGGCCTGAAATCCAAAATTTAATGAATGCTCTCTCATCAGCTACTTATCCTGCAACCAAACAGGCTGTAATCGACCAGACACCAGAGCAGTTCTGTCGAGGCAGTGTAGAACGCTTTCAAGCCTTCGCCAACCAGGAAGCAGTCGTACAATCAGATGCCGAGCGAGTTAAGCTCTTCACTGATTTCATAGTCAACGAGTCTAGGTTACGGCGCGAAAGATACGCTACGGCTATTGGAGCGATGGGATCTGAAATATTTGATTTAACACGGGATCTATTCCGCCCTATGAAGGTGCGGCGCGACTCGACGAATTTACAATCCGGAGAATGGACACCACAGATGTCCGAAACGAGATCACAGCGAAATTCAATGAATTCTGTCTTCCGTGAACAAGTCCAATCGAACTCAGCTCCAGCTTCCGCAAACCTAACTGCCTCTCCCTCTCCTATGAATGGAACCCCTGGTAACACGAATTGGAATTCCCAATACATGCCATCGCTGTCACCCATTCTTAGCATGAGCGTTAGTGAGCATCCTGATGAATCTAGTTCTAGAGGACGACCAGCGAGCCGATGGTGGGAAACCGAATCTGGCGGCGAAGGAAACAGAATAGAGAGGACAAAGCGTGAATCAAAGTATATGGGCGTACCTAAAGAGGCTAGAGAAGCTTTACAATGGCAAGACACGCCAGGTAGTATGGACAGTCATGCGGGACCTAGTGAACAACACTATTCAGAAAACGAATACCCCCCGGAAAAGGTGGGATGGCACGAATCAAAGCAGGCCACAACACCTCACCCATTCCGAAACTCACTTCTATCCGTGGCCTCATCAGCACCGAACACTCCGTCTCCATCTCAGCTTGATATATCACGACTCGTAACACTACCGCCACCATATCCGCGCCACCACCCCGCTGTAAATAACAACCACCCAGAACTTTCCTCTACGCGCACACTCGTGCGAGCCCTCAGCGACCTCCGAGAAATTCAAGGAACCAAAGACCGCTTCCAGCAAGACACCCAACGAGCCCGCGACGAAGCTTCCCAAGCAGCCACCACACGCCAAAAATCACTACGCGCAAACCTACACCAGGAAATTAGCGCAGGTAACATGTCCTATGCCGAAGCCGCCGCCATCGAAGCCGACACGCAAGCCTCCGAAAACGCCAAAGCCAAAGAACTCGAAAAGCAAGAATTCGACCGCTTCCAAAACGCCGTCGTGATGCCACTAAACGAACTCCTCACAGGCCGCATCGCGCAAGCAACCTCGCTTTTCGAAGAACTTCGTTCGCGCTTATTTGTCGAAACACAGGCTCCGGACCCGAACATGCCGCAGGAAGAAGGCGACGAGCAGCCGGAGCTGCTGGAGAAGCTGACGCTGCTGAAGTGGATCTTCGAAGCCCGCGAGATGCTGCACCGTGAGAACTACGATTTACTCAGCGACCGCAACGATCGCTACAAGGAGATGGTGATTACCCCGTACCGGCTCTCCGGGAACGAGGAGAAGCTGCGCACAGCGGAGGCGTTTTTCGTCGATGACGCGGATAAGCGACGCGTGGCGTTCGCGAGCGAGGTTTTGCAGCGCACGCGCGAGTTTCGCGGGGTTATAGAGGAGAATGTCGTGAGGGGGGTCGATATGCAACTTAATGCGTTTTGGGACCTCGCGCCGCCGCTGAAGAGGCTGTTGGATAAGATTCCGGCGTCAGTGGATCAGCATTTCCGCATTCAGATCCCGAATGCGGAGTTTGAGGAGAACCCGAGTTACCTCACGCATCCGCTGCAGTATCTGTTTAGCCTCCTGCTGCATGCTGAGAAGAGCACGTATCAGTTCATCGAGTCGCAGACGAATCTCCTGTGTCTCCTGCATGAGGTCAAGGAGGCGGTTATGAGCGCGCGTGCGAAGGTTGGGGAGGCGGAGGGTCGCGATCCGAGAGTCGTTGAGGAGGAGCGCAAGGCGGAGCAGACGATGCTTACGGATGATCTTAAGGAGAAGGTGCGCGTTGTTCAGGATCAATGGGAGGGCGCGCTTGGTGAGGGTATGAAGGGTGTTAAGGAGCGTGTGGGTGAGTGGCTCTTGTCAACGGGTGGTTGGGATGAGAGTCTTGAGGATGGAGGCGTCGGCGGCGTCTAAGGATGTTCAAAGACCAAGAGTGTCCCCGACGACTATTGAAAAGGCAGGAAGGCAAAGTCAACGCGATTCACTGTTGGTGTAATGGGTCTAGTGTGGGCGACTGCTTGTAACCCGCCTGTTTGTGTGATACCCCTTTTTAGTTCATGATGAATGGTATGAATTTACGGCTTTTATGTACCTCTCTCAGTTAGGGTAAGTTTGAGAGATGACATGAATATCTTCAGGTTAGATAGATACTGGGTACGCACTCGAAGTACTTATATAGCGAATTGATATTCTTGGATGCGCTGGAATGCTTCCATTGTCTGAAAGAATCCTCAGTGTTAGATATCCATTAAAATTACTGAGACCTATTTTATATTCAATTCGTACCTGGTTTGACCCAAGGACCTTCTAAGATATCTATGAGTACAAATACCAAGCTCATAAGTTATCAGGCCCGCACTTAGAAGGGTAGACAGCGTGTTGATTATCACGGATGCTTCGTGTCCGTCGGTAGTATCATTTAGTCGCAACATTCAATGTAGGGTTCCATTATGAACCTCCAACAACTTTTTGAAACTTGCTTAACTTCTCTCAGAAGGTGTTCTATTAAGCCCCGTGGAAAGCCTCACGCAAGTCCTAGGGCAGTGTTGGTCGCCTTGGCGAATAACATGAATGCAGTTATGCAGGCTGTGGTCGGCATTCACCAGTAAACTACCCCTATTTAATGTAAGCACCTTCTCTTTAGAATGAGGGGTCTTTTGGAATTTCTAATTTTTATAGCCTCATATAAAGCATGAAATTACCTGAGAAATAACTAAACTCGGTAGTCAAAATGTCATTTGGTTTTGGTGTGGGCGATTTTATCGCTGGTGCGAACCTTGCACACAAACTCATACGAGTAATGACAGAGACACGAGGCGCAAGTGCAGAGTTCCAAGAAGCCCTAGCAGAAGTCTGTGGAATACAACAAATACTAATACAGCTTACTCAATTATGCCGCAGCGAAGTCTTACCCCGAGCTACACTCAATTCGATAGCTCAGATCGTCATGCCCTCCATGACAACGATAGCGGACTTTCTTGATCGAACCAAGCATTACCAAGAAAAATTGTCGCCTCGTGGTGGTTTATCAGGTAGCTGGTGTAAGATGGGATGGGCGCTTTTCAGGAAGGATGAATTAAAGCTTCTACGTGATACACTGCATTCTCGGCTTTCATCCATCAACACGTTACTAGCCGCAGCAAACCAGTATGTACATCCCACAATACATAGAAGTTCTTCGATCTCATAATTGTCAGTCTTCCTTCACCGGCCGGGAATATTGGGCAATATCAAGTTCAAGAAGAAGACCAGGAAAGCAAACTGGAGGTTAAGGACTACCCCAATCACTCCAGCGCAAATTATACGGAGTATGTGAACATGCAGGAAAACATATCTGACTTATACGAGCAAAAGCGGACCGCAGTTCAATCTCTGGTTCGCAATTCTGATGACGAAGGGAACAAACTCGAGATAAATGTTCAAACGCTCCCTTCTAGTGGAATGGAATGGCTGGAAGGAATCGAAGACACTAGCCTAGACATACAAACCCCAAGTGAAGCGATCAACTTGGTGAATGGTGTTGTTGGCTCTCCTGGGAGGATAGAGGGATTGAATGCACCTCTGAAACCAACCCCAAAACGACCAAGCCGGCAAGAAGTATCGTTTGCAACACGTAATAACGGCAACGTCCAATCTTCGATAACATCACAGACTCCCCAGGGGTTAAAAGAACATAACCCCACCACTGGAGATCTTGGATCATATCTCCAAATGCTTTTCGAAAAAGCATTAGTCGTCCAGGCAGAGGCAGAAGCGAAAGCTGCGGCAGAAATGAAAGCTGCTGAAGACGCCGAGTGGAAGCAACGAATGGAAGAAGTAATCCGGATCCAAGCTGAGATTGATATTAGAAAGAAGCTTGATAGTTCAAGGATTGAGGCTGAGAACAAGGCGTGCATTAGATTTAAGGATGCCGTGGGAAGGAAATTCAATTTTCCTTATGACATATGCAGTACATGGCAGGTATGTTCTATAACTCCCCCGAAAAATTAATTTCAGTAAAGATTAACTGCTATAGGGGATGGAGGAACTTATTAAACATGCATTCATGCATGTAAATGAAATTGGCCCTCACGTCCAGGCAGGCCATTATGACCTGGAGGGCCCCAGCGGTGAGATAATCCTACCCCAGGCATGGTCGAAGGCTATCCAGCCTGACTGGGCTATAACAATGAAAATGTGGCCTATGAATAAACCATCGGGTCCACCCTTACGCCCATTTCAAGGTATGCCTACAGGACTACATCTAGGTATGCCTCGTACAGGACCAAACCAGGGTATGGGTCTTGCAGTGCCACGTCCAGGTGTAGGCCGTGGAATCCCCCAAGTCGTACAAGTAATTCCAACATCAAATATGCGTCCAGGTGGTCGCGTGGGTATACGCCCAAGAAAGATATATGAGTTACCAAGTTCCGACGATGACACTGAGAGCGAAGATGACAAGAAATTCTCTTTCAAGACATATCTTGGTAGAAAGTTGAAGCGAATTCGTGGGAAGAAATCTTCTAAAGGCTCTGACGAATCCTCAAGCGGCAGCGATGACTAGGTACCGTAGGTAATTATCGCTAAAGGGACTAATATCTGTGCACATGTCCCTTTACTCGCTACCTACCTATTTTTGTCAACCGGGCAGCTGTCTACCTAGTACATACCTAGGTACTTTACATCCTCTATACCTATCTATAGATACGTTTAGAGTTTAGCATAGGTACTAGGTAGTTAGAGAATTTACATTATGTTTCTAGGATACCAGTATTGGTGAAATAAGGGATTTAACGATTAGCCCGTGCCAGTATACCATTCAATATCGGAAGCAAAGTATCATCATATGACCCTTTAACGCTAGGTAGGTACCTTATACCTACCTACCTACTATACAACCATCACCACTCGACAAGACATTGCCTTTCCTCTAAATCCCTTCTCTTGATTCAACACTAATCTGAGCCCAGAGCACCTTGTCGAAGCTGACGGACTAATATAAAGGAATGCACCTTGTGCAACATGAAGGCCTAGATACCTTCTAATTTAGCGATGGAGCCTCATTTGCTCGCCGTATCATTAGCTTAGATATATCCTAGGCATATGTTGTAGGTAGCTAGTAGTTTTAGTATTATTGATTGCTGTAACACAGAAGATATCACTGAGCCCCCATGAGGGTATGACACGTACTGAGCTACGTCTTCGAACGTAGTTCATAACTGGAAATCCGACCAAATAACACACATGCCGATATACTAGCCGCGCCCGCGAGGTCCTCTTGTTGACCTCGTGGTCAACATGCCTCGTCCCTAGAGTTTTTTGCGGGATTGTCGGCAGGAGAGCCGACAAACAAGTGATAAGTGATAGTAATCCCCTCCACTATGAAGACAGATTCGTCATACTTTAAGCAGGCTGCTGAAGAAGTCGTCATCGTCACCAGATTAATATAAGAGCTCCGTGTATGACTTGACACCTGTCGAATCCTCCCGACTGCGACAATCAGCAGAAGATCGTTCTAGTTCGCGAGGATATCGCTATGCTACTGGCCGATTCTTGCCATATTGATATACATACCTGTAATCATTGGCTGTGTAATGAGGCTCAGTCAAGCCGGAGACAGGTGAGATATCTATAGGAAAGATCATCGCCGATCTGTTAGACAATGGTTGGAATTAATCTGGATACATAAGAGATACTTCGAAGGTCGGTAAGCGTTAGATGAAGCAATACAACAGCAGGTTACATAACATATGTATATACTCCGAGGTGGTTGAAGACACCGAGAGCGGGACCGGGCATTGATCGGGGGGAGCTTATCTGCCAATGAATATCCCTGTCGGGGCACTGGAATGGGGTGCAATATGCGAAGTGCATCGATCCGTGAAACTGATGAAGGTGAACTTTGGTAATTAAAGACCTTATTTAATATCGCCTAAGCCTTGAGGAAGCCTTACACTGGGTGCCATTATTGCGTAATAATTGTGTCGCATCCATATTATCTTGTGGCGGTAAAATGTCACTTCTAGACATCGCGGAAAGTTTCCCCGATTCATATCGACTTGCATTCCTCATACTTCCATCCGCGGGGTCACCGCCACGGGGTCGATTCCAGTCTTCTAATTGTCCGGACTAGGCGTAAGACACGTTAGATGTGATCTTGCAACTGTAGCTTAAAGTCCCAGAAAGAATCCAATTGCCCGCGAGCTTTGTATCGGGATAAGCTCCAGCTCTTAATTCGTCCTAGATACGTATTAACCATGAATTACGAAGGAATCATTCCACCAACCGGCCCCACTATGGCCGCGCCATCGGGGTATCTTATCCCAATCCTTCTCAGCATCGGCCTCTACGCTCTCTACCGCCGGCTATTACCAAAGCCTCTCGCGGGTATCCCCTACAACCCCTCCTCCGCAGCCTCGCTCTTCGGTGATGGGCCGGACATGGCGCGCACCGTAGCCGCTACTAGCGAGTTTGGTCCATGGTGCGCTGCCCAGATCGAGAAGACCGGCTCACCCCTATGCCAAGTGTTCGTGCGTCCGTTCGCTAAGCCATGGGTCTTGCTTGCCGACTACCGCGAGACATACGATATCCTCGGTCGGCGCACGGCGCCCGCCCATGATGCTGACTTCGACAAGTCCACCTTTATCACAGACAGCATGAGTTTCCTGGGTGAATTCACTGCTGCCTTACGCACGAGCACGCGTGGGGACCGCTTCAAGAGTAGCAGGGCGCTCATGCAAGACTTGATGACGCCGTCCTTTTTACATGGCGTCATGGGGCCAGCCGTGCACGAAAGGTGCATGGAACTGGTGAGGTTGCTTGAGGCAAAAACGCGACTAGCCGGCGGGAGGCCGTTTAGTATTATGACAGACCTGGACTATGCCGCGCTGGATGTCATGTTATATTTCGCATTTACAACAAATTTCGACCAGACAAGCTTGGGCCCACAGATTGAGTTGATGTCGCGTCTCACTACATCAGACCTTCCGGATGGACATATTGATGAGCCGATTACGTTCCCCGAGGCGCCGGTTGGGAAATTCATCACCGCGGTGCGCTCAGCGCCAGGTGTGGTTGAAGCCTGCGTTTCTTCATTGGCACCGAAGCTCAAACGTGAGTGGTGGAAGAGGCAGTCGTGGTATAAAAATATTATTTCGCAGAGGAGTCAAGTTATACGTGACCAAGTTATAAAAGCACTTAAGGATTACGATGGCGGCGAGATGCGTTCAGCCATTGGACACATGTTCATGCGGGAGAAGCGGGAGGCAGAGAAACAGGGTCGGGCCCCGAAGCTTGAGACCGACGTTCTCGTCGACGAGGTGAGTTCTATCGTCTTTTCTAAACTAGACACATTGCGCTAATCAGTATTTCCTTTTGTTAGATTTTCGGCCAAATACTTGCCGGTAATACCACAGGCGCGATACTTAGTTGGCTTGTCAAGTACCTTACCAAATACCCCCATATCCAAGCTAAGCTTAGAGAGGTCCTGTACGCCGCTCTATCGCAGGCTGTCGCAGAGGGCCGACCGCCGACCTTCGAGGAGCTGCGCCAGACGCGACTGTCCTACCTTGACGCCTTCATTGAGGAGACACTGCGCCTCAACGCGGTGCCAGTAACACGCGAGACAATTCGCGACACTACGATCTTAGGTCGACATATTCCAAAGGGCTGTCAAGTCTTCTTAATATCAAATGGACCAGGATTTCTCTCGCCGTCGCTAAATGTTCCAGCATCGGAGCGGAGCCCCGCGGCGCGGGCAGCGAAAATAAATGATCACTGGGACGAGAAAGGGGACCTGCGGACCTTTGATCCACAGCGTTGGCTGGTGAGTAACAGCGACGGGGATTCCAATGCGGAGTTCTACGGTGGCGCCGGGCCGCAGTTAGTGTTCGGGCACGGGGCGCGCGGCTGTTGGGGGAAGAGAATGGCGCAGATGGAGTTACGGATCGTGGTAGCGCTGCTAGTGTGGCATTTCGAAATGTTGGAGATTCCTGAGGCGCTTGCTGGCAATACTGCAACGGAGGGAATTACGCGAAGGCCACGGGTGGTGTTTGTGAGGCTGAGGAAAGTTATCAGTGGTTAGTATGAAGATGTGGACGTGCCAGTTGTGAATTATCGATTATGTAAACCACACCATGTTCAAGGTTGCAATGAAAAGAAAAGTTAAGAACATTGAAGGATTTCCAGTCACAGGACTATTAGGTAAGAGTTGATTACATAAGCTCAAAATGATTAGCTCAGCTAAATACCTGTACCTCTCACAGTGCACTTCCCACCCTTCCCCGCAAGATTCCATCTGCCCCATAACATAAGCTTAAACTTAACCCTACCCCTAACCCTGGCAGCCTGGTTCCATAATGTCCCGTAAGTAAATCGGTACCTAGGTACCTACCTTGGTACATAACATGTTCACCAAAATACCATCAGCCAAGATCATAGTATCTGAAAGGGTGTCCTTAATTCTATAATTCTATTAAAGGAATATCCAATACCCCTGTTTCCTAACTTACATGAGTTGTAACATGACCTCTTGTATACCTAGGTAGATACCTCACCATAATATCCACTCCAAAAGATACATCATCATACGTCACCGGCCCAGTGCCTATTCCTTGATGTCTCTTGCAGGTTCACCTCCGACCAGTCAGGGATCTCAATGCGTTGCTCCCGATAAGATAGTCTTGCCTTCCATGGCTCTTGAGATGCATTGGAACCTTTGTTACTCTTTGGAATGAGCGCGGTAGCCATCGATGACAGCTTCAGGGCCCCCTCTTTTAGACCTTGCATTAGCGGTTGCAATGCCGGGAGACAGGCGCATAGAATGCCTAAGCAAGGCTCAGCAGCCGATAAAACTAACGAAAATCGGGTAGTCCCTATTTGGGGTTAATTAAATTCGGAGACATTGCTACGCCGAACCTGCTGGGGTTGGCTCCACGGATGGGATGGCGCTTACAAGTGACATCTTCCCGGTTATAGATCGAATTCTCGGTCTCGAGGTAGCGGATAAGACTAAGGACACATGTTCTGTGGGTTCCGCAGAAGAGATTAGCACCTAGTATAGAGATCGAAGATTAAAGACGGTGTGAGACATACAGGCCACCAAGGGCGAAGATAATGGCGACTAAGATCTTCTTGGAAAGCGGCATCTGCAACCTGACGATTGCTGGTAGAGGCAAGACAAGAATCAAGAAGTCCAACACGACATCGGAGACTGAGCCAATAACAAATAGGGCTACAGTATCTAAGCAATGCCCCGGCAACGAATCATCCCAGACCTTGGAGATTGGCGTGCACTGAAAACCGCGGGCAATTGCATTGCTGACCATCCAGCAGGCGACCGTGATGATTAGGAACCATGCGCTAAATCGAATGTAGTTGAGGACGCTGAAGACGCGTAGATAGAAGACGAGGATAGAGAACTTGACGAGGGATGTAGAGATAGCCCAAACAATTTGCATAGTAAAGAACAGCTACACGATAAAACATTAGGCCCGGTCACATATGATCACTATCCTGATGGTCGATTAGACAGACCTTGCCGCCTTCTAGGAGAGCGGGTTTCGAGATGATCTTTACATGTCTTCCCAAGCCGTCCTTCGTTGCTGTACAATTCCTATTAGTCTCGGATCGATATGAGGCTCTGAGATATTCATAGTGTCCAACATACCGTATGCAACACAGATAGCTTCTGCGATGGAGAATGGCTTGTAACAATCTGTAAGTAAAATGCGGGAGTTTATTGTCTCTTCGGACAACTCGACTTACCAAGGCTAGTAGAATGAGCCAATCGTCAAGAGCAATACTGGCCTGTGCTAGAAATCGACATTTAAAGCGAAGGATGACCGCGACGATAGCAAGCACGCTAAGTAATGTTGTGACTCCGATGATGACGCCTTGCTTGTTCTCATAGATCCAGGCCGGAAGTGGCTCCGCGGTGTCCGACATCGTGCTATGTTAGTCTTAGCGCAGGAGCTTAAGAAAGTGGTAAAGAAGCGGGTTAGAGAATATAATTTCATTCTTTTATCTGCCGACCTCCTAACCAGTACCTAGCCAACGGTCGATGTAAGACACACTTGGAGGCTATGGCGAAAACCTATTTTTGTGCTGTAGTTTTCAACCTCCATAGCAGTGCTACACGGCAGTGGCGCTGACTTGATCTCCGGGATAACTTCCAGGTTTAGATATGATAGGCAGATAATGTACCCTAACTATTTGCTCACGGAGAGTCGGACGCCTGCGTGTGGCATAGCAGCGTACCTAGGTAGTCATCCTGCGCGCAGAATGCCGAGTACAGGTAGGTAAGCTACGGTGACATTATAGGATTCACTCGGAGCTGGCAATTGGAGACAGTTGTAGATATATTGCCTTCCTAGGTGTTTTCCGCGACACATTCATGCGTAGGTACCTTGGTATTTTAGAAATTGTGTTGCTGTCGTGCTACCTGCCCCCATTGCATAACGCGCTACCCTCGCATCTTTACCGTGAACGTTAAGCTTTTGGGGGCAGGGATAGGAGGCGTCGCCCCCACGGTCTGTCTCGGGGTCACAGCCTAGAAAAATTATGAAAGTAGCGGAAGCATCTCCCTCGGCTTAATGTTTTGGGTGGTGTGGGTGTGTCTCTGTTTCTTATCCATGTGCGCGATTTCAAGCTGGCGAACTGATCGCGTATTCTTTCTTCTGGAATCCCACACGTAAGGCTCTCGAGAACGAGGCATCCGTTGTTTGGGAAGGGGTGGGGCCACTGCCAGGTTTTCAATGCTTATCTTGACGACATCGTATTATTAACAACTTGACTTTTGATATATTAAATATGATGTAATAATTAGAGTCACAAACGATTGCGAAAGTTATGTCAAGTAGGAAAATCCTATTACTAATCAAATGTAGGAAAACACGTGACAACCTAGCTACTTGTACCCACTCTGCCACCCAATTATCCCCACAACTTCCTTTACAATCTTACCATTGATTTTTCATCTTTCATCTAATACTCACTGTCTTAGATAAACCTCCAGCAATCCCATTGGACCAGTTGCATGCACCTTGAGGATTTCGTATCGTGCATCTGCTTTTTTGAGCAATGCCTCAAATTCCCTCTTGGTGCGCTGTTTGGCGCCTAAGCCAATTAGCATGATCATATCGATCTGCCGAATATCCCGCTCTAGCAACCGTGGCCAGCTCTCACCGGGCTCAGGCATAACGATATCATTGATCAGAAACGGTGTAGCTGACCCGGATGACTCTAGCCCCGGCACGATTGACCGAAAAATGGTCACAAGATCTCGATCGCACCAGTTGTGCGCACATTGCCGAAGTAGATACGCTGCTGCGGGATCATCTTCTCGAACCGGCTGCGGCTCGAAGAAGCTTTGCTGCGCGAAGGTGATGCGTTCCCTAACATCGTCCGTTAAAATCGCACGGCCTTCGTCAAGCATGTTGGTCGACTCGTCTTGTACCACAAAATTAAGATGCGGGAACGACTACGACGAATGATAAAATTAGATAAACGTGTAGGTATATACCGAGAGGAATAGGCGTAGGCTAGATTAATTTTTGGGGGGCGCTTACCCGAGCTAGCGACATCGAGATATGACCACTCCCACCGCCAACGTCGACAACAGTACCTTTAAGGTCTCCCCAGGAGAAGCAGTCTCGCAGTTCTCTGATGTGGCGGTCCACTACAAATCCAAATCAGCACTGCCAAGTGTCTATTTGTCGAGTGCGGTTTAGATATAGGAAAATCAAGATGCTTACTTCTCGTCGCCCCAGCCATGGCTTTTGCAAAGCGCGCAGCTTTGTCGGGGTATTTGGCATAGTATTGGAAGAGTGGAAGCCCATGTCTTGTATAGAAGGGACAATGTGTACTGTCTGATTCAGAAGGGTATTGTTTCAGACTAACATTTGAATCCGCAGCCGCTTTCAGCATCTCGTCGAATCTACCTCCAAAAATTAACGTTCGAAGCTATTAATATTTACAGCAATAGCATTTCGGAGGATAGGTGTCATGGACTTACGAGTATTGCACAGTACAGCGCAACTCCTCATCTTCTAGCAAGACAAGAGAACTCGCACTATGCGATACATAGCCTGGTCGTTTCTCGTCAAATAAGCGATGCGTTATCAACATACGAACGACTCGACTTGTCCGGTCCAAGTCCAGGCCCCCTTTTTCTGCCAAATCCTCCATGGAAATGTCTCCGTCCGGTGGTACGAGTGTGAAGAAGTCAAAGTCCAGAGCTACCTGAAGGGCTGCAATGTCGTACCCCATGGTCACGAATGACCGCAGAAACCTCTTCGGGCCCTCGACTAGCCGTTGAAGGTCTTCTAGAGACGTTCGCAGGCTACTCTGCAGTTGCAGGTACTCATCCGTGGTGGGGGGCTGGCTCGACTTAGGATAAAATGTCGGCTCGGCGAGGTTATTGTTCTGAAGGTACCTGGTAACGGCTTTAGTCTGCTCCAGTATGTTTTCTGCAATGTTAAGTAAGGAAGGATCACCACGAGTGGTGCTCTCGCTGCTCTGGGTTTCACTGGGCTCCATGACGATGTATTCTTGGTTGGGTCGAACTAGAGAGGTCCCTTGGATTCGTTCACAACAAGCAAATGCAGCGACTTTATCAACTACCTACCTAGCACAAGGAAATTCGAGAGTGGTGTCATACTATAGCTGCAGGCTATCTACTGTCTCAGCCCGCTGGAGTGGTGACGTACCACAGCTGTAGGAGCGGTGACATGCTGACTTCGATAGGTTGGGTAGGATTCGATGCACGATTATGAAAAAGGTATCGTTCTTCCGAGTTACCATGACCGGGGGTGAAGTATCTCCCTGGTACTCCCCCATTTGTATACTAATATAGCTGTGTAACGCTGTTACTATACAAGTTCAAGATATTCGTGCTTGTCTGGGGTCGCGTTAGAGGAGATTATGGGAATAAGACGACAAGACTCTTCCTAATGATCAATATTGGTTCTCACTAGAACATAACTAACATCAGTATTACTTGTCTTATAAGATTATTCGAGTGATATTGTATTATGGCGACTCTACTCAGTTCCAGCAAAGACCAAAACCCCGACGCTAAACTTGTGGCAATTGTTGGCATGGGTTAGTTCATATTTAATCAAAGTCTAGGCATGTGTTGAAAAATAATATGCCCTCAGAAAGCTAAATAGGTTTAAAATTCAGGGTGTCGATGGCCTGGTGGCGTGGAATCCCCGCAGCAGATGTGGTCCTTTTTGCGGGATCAGCGCTCCGGCTTCCACTCCTTCGACTCCGTTCCACGATGTTTCTCGGCCACAGGGTTCTATCACCCGGACTCGCGGCGGCCCGGCACGATGGCCATGCAAGGCGCGTTCCTCCTCGACAGCGATCCGCGACTGTTCGATCACAACTTCTTCGGCATCACGGGACGCGAAGCCGAGACCCTCGACCCGTCACAGCGCAAGCTGCTCGAGGTTGTATACGAAGCGTTTGAGAATGCCGGCGAAACATGGGCATCCATTGCCGGATCAAATACAGGGGTTTTTGTTGGGAACTTCGCACTCGACCATTGGATGATACAGACACGTGACTGGGATTATCCGAAGCCGTATTCAACAACAGGGGCAGGCGTGAGTATTCTGGCAAATCGAATCAGCCATATTTTTGATCTTCGGGGGCCTAGGTATGTAATAAAGTTAACATTTATTCCTATTTTGAATTTCATGCAGTTGCTAAATTCCGAGATTATGACAGCGTCGCCGTTGACACGGCCTGTTCTTCGTCCATGTACGCTGTACATTTAGCTGTTAGCGCAATCCGCAACGGGGACTGTGACTCGGCTATTGTGGCAGCGTCGAACTGGATCGCGGATCCTAGCCTACACATCGCGCTTGACAAACTTGGCGCTCTCTCACCTACATCAAAGTGTCATACGTTTGATGCGTCTGCCGACGGGTACGCACGTGGTGAAGGCTTCGCCGCGCTATATATTAAACGGCTATCGTCGGCATTTAATGACGGGTCCCCTATCCGCGCTATTATTAGGGGTACCGCTGTTAACGCAAACGGCCGCACTGGTGGGATTACGCGCCCCAACGCCGCTGGACAGGAGGCTGTTATCCGTAAAGCATACGATAATGCCGGGCTACCGTTTTCTGATACTACGTATCTCGAGTGTCACGGCACGGGCACCCCAGCGGGTGATCCGATCGAGCTAGCGGCCGCCAATCAAATCTTTGGATCCTACAGGAGTTCGGAGATGGATATCCCCGAGCCTCTATTCGTCGGGTCTGTCAAAACTAACATGGGCCATACCGAAGCCGCAAGTGCTCTGGCATCCATCATGAAGGTTGTGCTCTCGTTGGAGGCGGGTGAGATCCCTCCGAATGTTGGCGTCAAAGTACTAAATCCAAACATTGATTTTACGGACAGCAGAGTGGAGGTTGTAAGAGAAGTCACAGCCTGGCCTAAACATCGACCCCGGAGGGCTAGTGTTAATTCTTTCGGTTTCGGAGGGGCTAATGGTCACTGCATTATTGATCACCTTAGTGCCCTCTCTTTCCATCGCGAAACACCTAGTATCAATGTGGGCTTAAGTTCTGAGCCTAACGGGCATGCGCTCAATGGCCACACCAATCGCGTTCATGATCACCAAGCAGTCAACTACAACAACGGGTCCGCTGACGGCCATCACAATGTCAACGGGAACGGAAACGGGGCACAGAGCCGGGAAAAGCGGATTCATCATCCTCTCATCAACGCCCCGATGATGAAAAGAACAACTAATGCAACTAGTCGCCAACATGTCTTGCTTCCTTTCTCTGCGCATAACGAGTCCTCTCTCCAGCTTAATATCGACGCTATATTTCGGGAGATTCGTAAATACCCGCTTGCAGACGTGGCGTATACGCTCAGCGCCAGACGTTCTGACCTCCCATACAAGGCTTTCCGGATCGTGACTAGGGACGATGCTGAGCTAAATCTACTTAGCGTGGATAGCAAACAGAGCATCCATACCGGCTCGGTCCATCAACAACATGAACAGCCAGCAGATGTGGCTTTTGTTTTTACCGGCCAAGGCGCCCAATGGCACGGGATGTCTGAGCAGCTTTTTGAATACAGCGTATTTCGTACCGCGATCGAGCATCTCGACCATATCCTGAAGTCACTGCCAATGTCTCCGTCCACATGGTCAATCGCAGATATTCTCAAGGGAAACTGTGACTCGGGTCTTATCCAAACACCAGCAGTATCTCAGACCGCATGCACCGCGATCCAGATCGGGCTAGTTGACCTGCTCGCCTCATGGTCAGTGCGACCCGCCGCCGTAGCTGGTCATTCTTCGGGAGAGATAGCCGCCGCGTACGCCTCGGGCCGCGCCACCGCTGCTGATGCCATTGTAGCGGCGTATCTACGCGGTCGGTCCGTCACGGATAATAAGCAGGAAGGGGCAATGTTAGCCGTAGGTCTTGGTCCGGACCAGCTTCGGAATTCGGGATACTTAGACGACGAGGATCCTAAAAATGGTCGAGTGCAGATTGCCGCTATAAACTCTCCTGGGAGCGTTACGGTATCTGGGGACACAATAGCCATCGAGGCACTTGCTGCGCGCTTGGGTGTAGACGGTATTTTCCACCGCTTGTTGAAGACGGGGGGTATTGCGTATCATTCGCATCACATGATTGCTCCCGGTCAGAAGTACGAGGAGATGCTTTCCTATAATTCCTTACATATAAGGTCACTGGGATTGGTTGCGGAGGGGGAATTGTATCCTCGTGTTCCGTGGGTGTCCTCCGTTACCCCTAACAAAGACCCACCATCGAGTATCGGTAATGACGCTGCATACTGGAGGGCCAATCTTGAGTCACCAGTCCGCTTTTCCGATGCTATCTCAAATCTAGTCCGATCAGGTCGGGATCACGCTCCTAGTCACGGTCCTATCAAAGCGCTCATTGAGATTGGACCCCACTCAGCATTGAAGGGACCATTAGAGCAGATCTTGAAAAGCGTAGGGCAGAACCAGATCATTTATGCCGGCTCGACTTTGAAGAGAGGCGAAGATGCCCGCAAGTCGATGCTACAGCTTGCTGGGTCACTTTATTGTCTGAACACGAAGATTGATCTGGTCGCTGTTAACGCAATCGATGATGACGACAAGCGCGTTCTTATCCATGGGTGTACCGCTATTGACCTGCCGCCATACCAGTATACATATGGGCCAATCAATTATTACGAGTGCCGTTCAAGTAAAGAATACCGCTTCCGAAAAGCCCCGCGTCACGACCTACTTGGTTCTAAGATACCCGGGACAGCAAAGTTAAGACCCCAGTGGCGGAACATACTGCGGGTAAAGGATTTGCCCTGGTTAGGTGACCATCGATTGTTTCAAGGTAAGCTAGGATCTCCATAAGAATATTGTTCATATCCCCCTCTAGCTACTTCTAGGACCTAACCATGTCTCTAGATGCGGTTTTCCCTGCCACAGGGTATATAGCCATGGCTATAGAAGCTGCACTACGTACTCACGAGGAGACCCCCGAACTGGTACCGAAGCCGACGGGGTACACGCTTCGAAATGTGTCCATCAAGAATGCACTAAGGCTACCTGAAGATGATCATGGTGTGGAGGTAATATTAAGCATGGAGCTTGTTGATGCCACGCCCGCGGCATTGACTTCGTGGGCAAATTTCTCCATCAGCTCCGCCGGACAAGCTGAAGTCAATTCTATTGACAGTGCATGGACTGAGCACTGTACCGGAGTAGTCAAGATCGAAGTGGGGAACTTGCATGATAAGACCGAGAAGATTGATACAACATCCATGGACGCCCGCGTAATCGATGCACGGTCGTGGTATAAGACATTTACGGCTATCGGGCTTGGATATGGCCCGGCGTTCCAGGCAGTCGCAAACATTCGCACCGACCCAGATAAACAACTTGCCTCGGCGACGGTGTCACTCACCACTACGGCAGGTATGGTCAAGGGAGGTGAGTCGAGGTACGCCATCCACCCGACAGCGCTTGACGCTACATTACAGCTCGGGCTCATTGCTTGTTACGGAGGCCGCGTCGAAGCTACCACAACTGCATTCGTGCCAGTTCACTTCTCTCGACTATACATCGGGGATGGTATTAATAATGGAGGCTGCGACACTGCCGTGGCCGTCGCACTAGGTGAGCTGCGCGGCCTCAGAGGCGCATATATAAACCAATTGCAGATGCTTGACCCAAGCGGCGACGTAGTTCTCGCCATTGAGAAGCTTCGGTGTATCAGCTACATCGACAAGGCACCTATCAGCGATCAGATTAGCAGTGACTCGCACGCGGCATTTACTGCCCCCTTTTCGCGGATGATATGGAAACCCGATTTTCGCTCCCTAAACTACCGGTCATGTCATGCACTATATCCGCCACCCAAGGAGAACCTAGACCGTCTTGTGTCTATAGGGAAGTTGACTAAGATGTCCTGTGTCATCCTCGCAGACGTGTATGAGACATTCACGAAGGGTAGTCCCGAGGTCGGGCTAACGCCTACACCGTCAGGGAACATAGGCCACTTTTTCGCGTGGATCAAGAGGTATGTTGAGGAGGCTAAAATCCCCGAGATGGTCGAAGCTAGATTGCTGCCGCCCCAGGAACGGAGTGAAACGATTGATCGGCTCTTTCTCGAAATCAAGGATATCGTAGAAGCCCAGATAGCTAAAAGGCTACACGAGAATATGGCTGATATCCTCTTCGAGCGTCAGACTGGGGTTGATATCATGGTCCACGGCGACAACGACACTAACCTCCTATCGGCGCTATACAAGCACGGAATCTTCATGACAAGCGCGTACCAACAGCTCTCGCGGATATTAGACAGCTTAGCTCACGCAAACCCACACCTGCGTATTCTCGAAGTTGGTGCTGGGACTGGCGGTGCCACCCGAGTTGCCATGAAAGCACTCACAGGCCCCAACAGAATCAAGCGCTACCGCGAATATGCCTTTACCGATATCTCGCCAGGTTTCCTAACCGCAGCTCAGGCGTCCCTAGCCGAGTTTCGCGACATCAGTTACTCTGTCCTGGATATCGAGGCGGACCCCGCAGAGCAGGGTTACCAGCCCGTATACGACATCGTCTTGGCTTCGCAGGTATTGCATGCAACCGCCAGTATCTCACAAACACTTAAGAACTGCCAGAAACTTCTTAGGCCACAAGGAAAACTTGTACTGGTAGAGAATACCGTAGAAGATAGTGTAATCGGTGGTCTCGTCTTGGGTACCTTGACTGGATATTGGCACGGAATACCCGACGGTAGGGTTAATGGCGCCTTCGCGAGCTTAGATACGTGGGATAGGGTCCTAAGGGAAGTGGGCTTTTCCGGATCCGAATTGGAGTTGGATGATTACCCTCGGCCAAACAATACGATCACGACGCTAGTATCGACACTTGTAGAGAATGGTGCCGTAATGCAGGAGAGCAAGAAAGTCTCAGGGTACGTCGAGGTTCAGCTTCTTCACAGCCCTGAACGTGATCAGCCTCTTCTTGGTAAGCTCCGAAAGGAGCTAGAACAACGTGGCATATCAGTCCAAGTTGTACCCCTCGACCAAGCATCGAGTGCAGTACCACAAGATGCCCACGTTGTAGCCTTCTTGGATGATGAGAAGGACTTTTTGCTCGACACTGAAGGATATTATCTTGGCACGTTTCAATACCTCGCCCACAAAACAGCGACCTTGCTCTGCTTAACATTTTGTGGGTATTCAAAGGGACAGAAGCCAGAAGGCGCATTAATTCCTGGACTATTGCGGACGGTAGGGACAGAGAATCCAACGGGTAGATTCATCTCGATAGATGTTTCTATTGAACATTCTGATTCTACCGTGGACGAAACCGAAGACCTAGTCCGCTGCATAGCAGATCAACTATTCCCTCCAGTTGACGAGCCTAAAGATAGCAAAGAGGAGAATCAGAGCCCTCGAATAAATGACCGCGAATTCATTTGGCAGGACGGGTGCCTCTGGGTCAGTCGCGCCGTACCCGATAGCACTCTTCAATCGTATGCCGAAATATCTTCCAAGGATAGCCAAGAACGATACACCAAGATGTTATCATTATGCCCACTTGATAGCCGAGGTCCCGTCCGCGCAGCATTTTCCGCGCCCGGCATACTTGGCTCTTTGTACTTTCGACCCTACACGGAGTTGCTGGCCCGAATACCATCAAATTACATAGACGTCAAGGTTGCAGCAGTGGGTATTAACTGGAAGGACTTAGCTGTCTCATCTGGCCGCTTCGATGCTAACAATCTATCTTCTGAGTATGCCGGCATCGTGACAGCAGTGGGAACCGACGCTGCAGGTTTGTTCTGCGTTGGCGATCGTGTATATGGCATGGGTCGGGGTCAATTCGGAAACTACACCCGTGTTCCTGCAGCATTTGCGCAGAAGTTAGACGCGCAAGATAATCTCATTGAAGTCGCAACTATGCCTCTGGTGTACATGACGGCGGTTTATGCATTTGATTACGCCGCTCGTTTACGGCGAGGACATAAAGTCCTCATCCAGTCTGCTACCGGTGGACTCGGGCTTGCCGCTATTCAGCTAGCGCAGGCGAAGGGCGCAGAGGTCTTTGCTATGGTGGGAACAGTGGAGAAAGCTGATTTCTTAATTCGAGAGATGAAGCTACCAAGATCGCACGTCATTGCCGTCTCTTCGGGAGATAGCGCGTCTTCTCTGCACAAAAAGCTCGCTCATATGACACCCGACGGTCGCGGTTTCGATGTTATACTTAGTACGGCTCGGGGAGACGTACTGTACGCTTCCGCCCAGGCGCTGGCGCCACTAGGCCATCTGGTTGATGTAGGACGTGTTGACGTACAGGAATCTAAAGCTCTAGAGATGGGTCTTTTTGGCAAGAGTGTCAGCTTCTCTTCGTTTGACTTATCGCTTGTTCTCGACGCCGACCCCGCGATCGGCACGGAGTTGATGAAGGCCGTCCATAGCTATTATCGGGATGGTCTCATCCAGCCAATACGCCCATTTTCAGCCACTGACGTATCCAAACTTGACCAGGTTTTGCTGAAGTTTTCTAAAGGTACGCATTTTGGTAAGTTGGTGGTAACGTTTGAGGATCCACAGACACTGGTTAGAATGCCCCCAGTGCCATCACGGTCACGAGTCCAATTCGATCCTACGGCATATTATATCGTAGTGGGAGGACTTGGCGGCCTCGGAAGGTCCATTATTAGATGGATGTGCGAACGCGGGGCCCGCAACCTGGTTGTCTTATCCAGGCGCGGAATCGAGAAGAGTTGCTCTGCAGCGCAAAACCTCATCGGTACGCTCACCGAGCGCGGCGTTAACATACAATCCTTCACATGCGATATTAGCGACCTGTCTCAAGTAACGCGCCTCTTCCAGAATATTTCATCTTTCTTCCCTAGTGTCTCCCTCAAAGGCATTATTCACGCTGCCGTTTCTTACCTCGACGTCTCCTTCGATAAATTGACCGTGCCACGATGGCGTGATAGCTTGGCAGCCAAGGTTCAGGGGACCAAGAACCTCCACGAAATGACCATGTCCCTGCACCCTGGACAGCTGGATTTCTTCGTCATGATCACCTCGCTTGAGTCGGTCTACGCATTGGCCACACAGAGCGCATACACGGCAGCCAATGCGTTCCAAGACGCGTTTGCAAGGTACCGCCGACGGCTCGGGTTGCCCGCAACGAGCATCTCGTTTGGATTCGTGAAGGATATTGGAGAGCTAGGCCAGGACTCGGTTACAGTGGATATGTTTGCGCGGAACAGGACTATCACGCTCACAGAGACAGAGTTTCTTGCCCGGCTAGAACCCGCGTTTCTTAATGGCCAGAACGATGCCATGAGCAACGATGGTGGTAATGATACGAACTGGATCGGCCAGGATGAGGACCCTCTTTCTGCTTCCAATATCCTTACTTGTCTAGACCCAGGTGCTATGGCGGTCAAAGAGCGAGAAGAGGAGGTCGATGCACGCGATGCAGGTCCAGGCGGCCAGTCAAGAAGCGCCGTGCCCCGCTGGTACGATGACGCGCGCGTCTCGCTTATCATGCGTGCCTTCGAGGATGCGCGACGATACCATCGCCTAGGCAGCTCTTCAGACGCGGCGGCAGGGGCGCAAGGAGGCGACGACAACACCTACAAGTCATCCTTCGAGCGCATCCGCCGACAATTCGACGCAGCAATTATCGCCGGGACCTCGGAGCGTTCCAAAACAGCTAGTTTCGTTGCGGGTGCCATCACAACAGCAGTAGCAGAGATGCTGTTTGTGGAAGTCTCGAATGTGAATCCGGCACGCGCCGTGGCGGACCACGGCGTCGACAGTTTGATTGCGGCGGAGCTGCTGAATTGGTTCCACCAGGCGCTGGGGGCGAAGATTAATATGCGAGAGTTGCTGGATGCGAAAACGAGCATTGAGACGCTGGCGGGTGGAATTGTGGATGCGGCGTTGGCTAGGAGGCAGAACGCGGGGGAGGGGCAGTGAATTACTGTTGATGGGCGAGAGGAATGGCGTTTTACGTCTGGGAATTTTTGCAATTAGTAACCTTGGAATATTTCGTTAGTCTCGTAGGATGGAGTCGGAGAAAATGACTTAACTGATGTGCTAGGATTACAAGGTAATTCTCCTGTCTCCTATGTTGAACAACAGCCTCTAGCTCCTTGTCGCAGTATTACCTACAGTAGGTAGCTAAATAGGCGGAGAAGGGCATATATGCCACGACTTAAGATCCAATATACCTAATACGTGGAATATTGTTTCTCATGCTCTTCTACTCGTATATGATGATACCTGCTTAAGGACCTCTATACAGTTATGCAGCATCAGATCTGGGTTATAGCGAAAAGAAAAATATGATCTTGTAAAAGAGAAAATTGAAAGGACTGTGGAAATTACGTAATCATATTCCTATGAGTCAGCATATTCGGCTGATATAATCATGCTGAAGGCTTCGGATCAAGAAATGCTGATCTAATCATGAGTTATTTAGCTGATGTAATCAATTATTACCTAATTGTCCTACAACGAGCAGATTATTCCGCCCTATCTTGGAGATACTTGGATTACAATACCAGGTCTCGTGTAAATATTCGACCGTGATTAGAAATGGATAGGTAGGTAGGTAGGTATCAAAAAGACGAAGATTTTCGTTCATGACTCAGGTGGTTCATGTAGGTGACTACAAGAGTAGAGATTAATAAAGCCAAAGCACACTCATTCACAGCTCACGTCCCTTTAGGCAGTCACGGATTAACTTTGTCCTTACGGATAATTCAATTCCGAGATCCGAATCCAATAACGAGATCGTGAGTTGCCTATTAAGGTAACTTCGGCGAACACGCCGAATGTGGGTCCTCCGTGTCCCACCCCATGCCGATATTCAACCTACCGACTCCGAAGTCTTTTCGGACTCGAATCCGAAACTCTGGAAATGAAGTTACAATTACAAAACAACCGTAAATTCATTATTACTTCAGGTGAGATTCGTCTTCTTTATCACTCATGTAGCAGTTCAATGATTGTTTCATGTAGACGTCGAATTCATAGTCTTATTTAGCCAGTGCCCTCTGGTGCCGTAACCACGAAACCATTCCCATCCTTGACAAGCTCGAGTTTCTGATTTTCTAGCTCGTAAAATATTAGCCTGGCCCACGACAAATTGGCAAAAGCACTACATACCCTAGAATAAAACCCCAGCATATTGAGAACCTTTAATGGATTCGGTTGACGAGTCTCGCTGTAAAAATCGATTAGTTAAAAATATATACAATGAGTTTTCTTAATATTGGATGCTTACCACGAGATACAAATGCCTTGAAGGCTGCATCCAGACTGCTCTCAGGTCGATACGGATCGTTTTGTTCCTTCAGGTCTGATGAATCGCCTCTGAACCCATGCGGGTGTCGCCGGAAATGGGCGAGCAGTGCGTGCCAGGTTACGTGACGCGATTCGCAGTCTGGGCAAGCCCAGGTAATTCCATCTACCTTCAACGACGACTTCTGATAAGCAGACGTTGGTTTGTGGACTTTAGTTAGGTGAGATGAGATACAATGACTGTCGTTTGTCATTGCTGAACCACATTCACACATGAACCGACCATCCGTACCGACCCAGCCATCAGCAGCGGGGTGATTTGGGACCGCTTCCAGATCTACATCCGGAAGGGCAGTCTTGGTCTTCTGCCAATTTCGAAAAACCATATTGGCAGAATTGCTACTCGTTCGGTGCTTGAGAGGATGTGGAATGTATGATGTGATGTGTGTTATGTCGAGGTCAGTAGGTTGAAATGAAATTGGGAAAGAATGGTTGAGGGTACGGGGTTAAATAGTAAGTGGTACTAGTTTTTTGCGGGGTGTTAATCAGTAACATATGTAATGGCCAGATACATAGCTGCTTGTATTTTTAAATTCGACTGATTCTGGTTGGGATTTTAGGTACTTGCACTGGAGACCGAAAAATTGTTTAGTGTCAAGGAAGGAATGGAAACTACTTATTACTCAAAGTATAGGTACTTGTGATGTATGGGCCTACCAAGGTACCTAGGTAATTACTAAATTTACGGGGTTTAATGCCCAAGTGTATCCGCTCTGAGTAAAGTCTACGATGGCAGTCACACGCGGGTCCTTTTCTGGTTTCCAAAAAGGCGAGTAATACCTGAATAATAGCCTTATTTGGATAGAAGTGCTTGGATACTTCCTTGACTACCTAGGTACTTCCCTTAATTTATTTCCAATACATCACAACTGGTTACAGCTTAGCCTTATTAAACCAATAAAAAATACCTCATCTAGAGGATTTTATCTTTAAGATTCGATCTTTGATCATACTATCATAAGAATGATTCCATGTTTGATAATGTCTTTAGACTGCTTTACGAAGAAATCATTCTAGGCACAGTCCATTACATTTTATTTTTATTGGCTTCAAAATTAGATGGGAATGAAACTTTGAATCACTCGTTAATTTTTATACAGTTTGTGTTTAACGACATAAAAAGTAATATTCGTCGTAATCTTGTTGTGCGGATAACGTTAAACATCGTCATCTTTGTTACCAATTTTAATTGTGGTTGTTAATATAACATACATAACCTTAAGTCCTTCTCTACCTAACTACTATGTGCCAGGAGTCTTTTCTGTGTGAGGAGTAATTCGAGAGATGTTGTGGGTTCAGGATACGGTCTACTAAGGCTTTCAAGGTTTTGAGAGACCATGAAATGTCTTGTTGGTTGGTAGCCCTGGGACAGATGAGACAAGGGGCTTCATCCGCATGTATACCGTCCTTTATGAGCAAGAGTAGATTAATGTTGCTTGCACAACAACTTAGTTTTTTAGATGCCTTTTGATTTCACATGACGATACTACATACATAGGTACTCTATGGACATTTAATAAACCCATTCATTACCTAGACACATAAAACGTTTTATACCTGTTGGCTCTTAATATGCATGGACTTAATCCATTTTATATGCTGGGATGTATTCTAACTTACAATAGGAGAATGTTACTTCGAGTAATAAGAACGGCTACGTATAGTTCAAGCTACTAGTAATGCCTGGTAGTTATACTAAATTCAAAGAAATAATAGGTGTAAGTACATTATCATACTGTCCGTAGGTATTTTATTCCGAGTTTCATCCCAAGTTATGCAAACTTAGGCAAGTACCTACCTAGTAGCTACCTATGCTCCGTTTCATAATATTCAAACTCCAACAGCTCCTACTGAGGGTGATCGAAACAAACCACATTTTTCGTTTTTATGAGTCGGAACTTGTGACCGCTTCGAGTTGTGCTTATATAATACATTCTTTACCTAATCATTTTCGCTGACTCATCATCGTAGTGGGGTAATTTACCCCCCATATCCCACCTAACTCCGAATTTGAATGCATTGTGATATTTACCTAATTATTTCTTGCTTACCTAGTACACTTACGTTCATTTACCTGTTACCCTTTTATCTTCTTCCTATTTATATCCAATTTCCAACTTTACGGCGTCATCATTAAGTTTCGAGATGGCGTCGTCAGGTCCGTTTCCGCCAGAGATCATTCAAGGAATTGTCTATTATCTTAGTCATGACTGGATCAGCCTTAGCGGCGAGAATCCACCCCGACCCGGAGCCTTCAAAAGCTGGATGCGTATTCGCGGATGTTCGCGCTATGCCACTGTCAACAAGGCTTGGCAGGTTGCTATAGAGCGTGAGACTTTCGCCCAGCTCTCTCTCAATCTCGGACGACTAGCCGAGGCCGAAGCTATCTTGAACGGGGTCCCGCGACGCCAAAAGTACGTGCGTTCCATCCGACTCAATGTCGTACTGCCGCGTCCGGACCCCACACTGCCAAAACCACACCTCGAAACGGCCGAAGAGAGAAATCAGAAAAATCGCGCAGTTCAAGATACGTTCGAGGCCTTCTTATCGACCTTAAGCCATTGGACACCCGGGCCTCCGGTAAAACTTAGACTTGACGCATTTGCGCTGAACGACGATGGCCGTCGTGAGAAGCCCGAGCTACCATCATATCGGGCTGCCCACGAGCAGTATCACTTGCCACTAGAGCTAGAAGATCCTGAGCGCGTCTTACACCTTGGACCAGTGAATGTCATTACGGAGGTAGATACGGAGACGGACGAGCTAGAATCAAGACGTTTCTCCGGGGCAGCTATATGCACGTTGGTAGCGAGGCTACCGACGGCTAGGAAAGTTCACATCCTCTGGCATCATACTAAGGATAACCTCGAGGAGCGGAGCGGTAAGATCCCATGAGTTCACCATAGCAAATCACGTAAAATGTAACCCTATGTCTATCTGAGTATTATATGTCAGCGTAAATACGTCTCCCTATAGTTAGACGTATGCGTTGATAGATGTTTTACATCGACACGTTGCCACTTTTCTTCCTATCGAGTCGATTGCGCGCCAACCAAACCCTCGCTGATAATTCTCTACAGAGTTTAACCAAGCCCTGAATAATATCACGCATGCCATTGATAAGTTCAGTCTCGTCGGCTCTTATTTCTCAGAATTCAGCCAACCACCTGTACGACGGAATGATCAACGCGAGGCCAAACCAGATGAACTCTCTCGGTCTTTGAGGAAGATATCGCAACGTTCGCAGGTCTTTAACCTCTGCGATGTTGCCATAAGCGACGAAATATTCCTTCGGCATAACCTAGTCCCCAAAATGGCATCACCAGCACATTGGGCGCGGCTGAAGACCTTTTATATTCAATACCCGCTTATCACACCATCAGGCGAGTGGCTATTCTATCACAACCCTGGCGTTTCAAATAATCAGATGGGAAGCATTGTCCCATACCCTGCCCTCCAGCGCCGATATCTCGCCGCGGCGCGCGCAGCCCTCGAGATGCCCCTACTCGAAGATATGTCGCTCGATGCAAGTATTAATATCGAAAATGAGTGGCATAAGTTCTGCTATAGTTACAACAAAAAGAATAAATCTGTAAAGGCGATTTGGACCAGTAGCTCCGGGTTCGTGCCGGAGAACGAGGTGCTGGAAGCCTGGCGGGAGGTGCCACGGAAGCATTTGGACGGAAAGGAATTGGTGGTGGAGATCTTAGATGACGAGTGGGCCGTATGAGGGAGGTTAGGCCGTCTGTCATCGCGGTAGTCGAGGGCACCTAACTAACCGAACGATTCTTCTCCCTTTCCTAGTGGCTAGATAAAGACCCGGACAATAAATCCGTCCCTAAGCTCACCGGCACTGGCACCCTAGCAAATGTAACCCAGCTCCCACCACATATCCCATTCACCGCGATGCAACCTATCACCAGGGTTCTAAAAAAATACGATCGTATTGTACTACCATGGTAGTAATACGATACTACTTCGTAGTAGTTTGGATGACTAATACTACATCGTATCGTAGTAATATACTACCCTAAGCCTAATTAGGACAAATATCCACTTTTATGGCTGACAAAGCAAAAAATGGCTGAAAATATTGATTATAAAATTTTTTTGACCTTTTTTTTTATTTTTCAAAGTACGGCCCTACGCGAGCTACGGGGACTTCCAAAAACAAAAAAAAAGGTCAAAAAAATTTTTCCTCGCGGAAGGCGATATATGGGGGTTTGAAAGGAATAAGTATTTCAAAGGAAAAGGAAAAGGAAAGTCAGGTAAAAACAAAAGGTAATATCCGCCCGAAGGACTGGGAAAGTTTCCTTGCTATGAACAGCTTCTTCGAACTTGGTCCAGTTCTTAGATCAGTTCAAAAGGAGGTTCAAAAGTCAGTTAATCAGTTCGTAAATCAGTCCCTGATCTAGTCCCTGGATCAGTTCAAAAGGCCAGTACAACGATTAGTCAAATCAGTTCGTAGATCAGTTCAACAGTCAGTTCAACGATTAGTCAAATCAGTTCTTAGATCAGTTTGTATATCGGTCCCTGATCCAGTCCCTGGATCAGTTTAAAAGTCAGTTGAATAGTCAGTAAATCAGTCCCTAATCCAGGAGCTAGATCAGTTCGATAGTCAGGAATTCAGTCCCGGGTCCAGGGACTGAATCAGTAATTCCATCAGTTCAACAGCTAATCAACCAGTCTGTAAATCGGTCCCTAGTTCAGTCCTTGTATCAGATATTCGATCAGTTGAATTAGCAGTTAAATAGTCAGTCAATCAGTCCCTGATCAGTTCGAAAGTCAGTTCAGCAGTCAGGAAATTAGTCCCTGGATCAGTTGTTCGATCAGTTCAACAGTCAGTAGATTAGTCAGCAAATCAGGCGAAAAGTCAGTTCAGTTCCCAGATCAGTTCAACGGTCAGTAGATCAGTCAGTAAATTAGTCTGGTCAGTCCCGAGATCAGTTCAAAGGTCAGTTCAATAGTCAGATCAGTCCTTAGATCAGTTCGTAAATCAGTCCTGGATCCAGTCCCTGGATCAGTCGTTCGATCAGTTCAACGGCCAGTTCAACATTCAGTCAAATAGTCAGTAAATCAGTCCCTGGTCCAGTCCCCAGATGCAATCAGTACACAGCTAATAAATCAGTCGCCGGACTGATTAAATAGTCGATCGAATAATCGATTGAATAGTCAGTTGAATAGTCAGTTGAATAGTCAGTTGAAAAGTCGGTTCAAAAGTAGGTTGAAAAAGTAGGTAGGTAGGTAGGTAAATCAGTTCAATTGGAAGATCAGTCGAATCGAAGCTGATGTAATCAATTGAAGGGGATGCACCCAATTAGAGACGTGGATGAATTTAAGGTTTTGCCAAGGCTTGGCAGCGCGCTAGAGAAGATTTGAGCCAATTAAGTATGTCAAAATCTCTTATCAATTACTTATCAATTACTTACGTAATACTTCGTATTTTTCGCGTAATTACAGGGGGGGTTTTATGAGTAATAAGAAAAGTTTGAGCGTAATAATGTCCTTCGGACGGATAAGCATAAAAACCATTATTTCTAAAATTTTACTTTTTTGATTATGTAATGATTAATTACTTAATATTTTTGATGTGTTATCTTCAAAAATGGCACGTGACGCTTTCGCTTTACCCTTTATAGCTTAGATTACAGGCGCTAACCCAGATTAAGCTAAGGGTAGTATTCAGCAGTAATACTAGTATTAATACTACTACTACTTCGTATCGTATCGTATTCCCCACAATACTACTTCGTATCGTATTTTGAATACCCTGCCTATCACCCCTACACATGGAACATTGAGCGCCTGTGGTAGCGATTTGTTGACCGTGGGGAATCTCCCAAATCTGGTCTATGGAAACGCTTTGCGAAAACAATGGTGGTATTATTGAAAACCTCTAACTTCCAACTACACAAGTATCACCTATTTCTTGTGCTAAATCTTAGGTTAACCAATATGTGTAAGTAATGCCTAGAATGCCATCGATATCTGAGCTAGAAAGGTGAATAGACGCTGTGCCTACCCCGGAGCATTTCCAGCTACGAGTTGCAATAAAAATTTTTAGGGATGTCGTATACGCTAGAGCCACTATCGCGGTTAACTAAAATTACGAAAACGACCTACCTACCTAGTACTTAGGTAGATGCTGAGTTTTACTAGGTTTAGCGCGTTTTGAGCGGGGTTCCTAGGGATAATTCTAGGCAATTAATAGCCCTGGGGTAGGCCATTTTAGGGGGTCCTGCGGGGTTAAGTTAGCGCTAAGCCGGCAGTCTTACAAGCTTTCCACCCCTCATTCACGACGTGACAATAACCTTGGAAATATTGCCTGATACATATATGGATTATACAAAATATGATTAATTCTTATAAGGTTGATATAATAAACAATTATTTAAAAGGTTTGTCTAAAGCGACCAAGAAATATTGTATTGTATTAGGTTATATAAATTCTCAATCCTCTTAATAGAAGAAGTGAATAATTAGCTTGAAACATTACTTAGTACTTAGTAAGCATTCCCCGTATCCTTCATCCCCTTAACATCGTCATACTCATCGCCGTCATCTAACTCAATTTAGTAGTAAATAGGGTTCTCAGGGTCCGTAAGATCGTATACGACGGAGGAGTGAGGTTTAGCCCCACCACGATTAGCGAACTCGCGCTGGAAGTCGATGGTGCGGTTGAAGCTCAGCGACCCGTCGTCGAGAATATCGATGTACAGGGCCTTGAAGTCGGCGGGGGTGTTGATGAGCCCAATGTCGCCCGTCTGCACGAAGTAATCGGTTACTATAATGTGCTTCTGGTCAGGCGTGATCTTGATGTAATGAGGGCCGATAGTGGGCTGGTCCTCGTCAGGGTTGTCTAGGCGCTTGACGTTGTCCAGGTCGGAGATGTCGAGGGCTGCGATGTGGTCTGCTGTTGTAAGTGTGAAGTAGGCGAATTTTCCATCAGATGAGATATCAGAGCTACGGAGGCAGAAGGTTAGTCGTGCCTAGGTACGAAGTAGACTATGCGGGGGGTAAAAAGGTATGGTGTGATAGAAAGGCAAGACATACTAGATGGCAGTGGTATCGCGAGCCTTGGGACCCAAGTCAAAAAGAAGCTTAGCTACGCCTTGCTTGCCGTTGCTATCCTTGCGGTGGGGATAGATGATCCAGACTTGGCCCAAGTGGACTGCGGTTGCAAGCGCAGCCCCTTCGGAGTTACCAGGGATGAACTTGACGTCCTGGATGCCGCCGCCCTGCAATAACCGTTAATAAAACCCCTCACATCATATTCTTCTTTGTATGCACGTACATTAGGAATTTCAATTGTGCTGATGATTTCGCGGGTAGGAAGATCCCACAGTCTTAGCGTGTTGGCCCTCTGAATGCCCAAGCTCGGTTTTAGGATGCTTAGGGGTACAATGAAATCAGAAGTCAAAATGACGTTCCTGTCGAAGTCGACGGACAGACCGTGAGGGGAAAACTGTTCCCCTAGAATGTTTAGAGTGCCTTCTACACTTTCCGGCCACTCGTGAATGATGTTAAAATCGGCATCGGTTTCAACAAGGCGACCAGGGGAGGTGCCCAAAGCAGCTAGGATTCATGTTAGTAGGTAGATATAGAGATGGTTAGGCTCCACAAAGAGGACATATATACTTACAGCCCATGTATGTAATGAAGAAACCTCTATCGTATGGTCAGTAATACTCCTTTTGAAGAGATAATCAAGAGAACTTACCCATCAGGTTTTGCGCGAATCTCGTCTACGATAGACGAGAGAATGCCACGGTTACTCTTCTTGAAGGTTGGCTGATACGGGTCAGACACGTCAAAGTAAAATGCCGTGTCTTGCGTCTTCAAAAGTGAGAGCAGTCCACCACCAATGAGGGTCTTCCCATCATGGGATGGTCCAAGATGGTGAGGACTATTGCCACTTGAGGGAACATCTGTGACATATATGAGAGTCCCAAAGGTATCCTATCAGTAGTTCGTTAGTTATGAAGAAGTAGATCATCATTACTGCATCGTATCACTCCTATGTAAGGTGATGCTCATCTCATGATAGAGTATCACTAGGTATCATTGAGTGATATATGTATAGGTATGAACTTACATCATCAAGGCTGTAGGTTGCCAGGAAATCTGTAGAGTGTCAGAATGATTCAATGTTCTGTCATTACGCAACGATTTACTGACCTTTATGCTGGTTGTCACCTGCAGCGGTCCAGAAATAACCTATTTTCTTAGGTTTAATGCTGCTTCCCACCCATGGGGGGCTATCTAATGCTGGAGTTGGAACCTGGAGGATAGGAAGAGGTGGAGCAATTTGATTCAGGGCCTCTGTAACACCAGGAATGGAAGGAATCAGGGGAGGTAATGACAAGGCCGATACTGATGAAGTTAAGAGCGATGCTCCTAGTAGTAGGGTTGCAGATGAAGACATCTTGAAGGAAATCGACTGCCTAGTACGGTTAGAGTAGAGATATTTTGAGGCTGTTGATTGAAACTGATGATGAATATGAGCAAGTAAGAGCAAATTACGTGCCTTTATATATTTGAGATCATCGCAGAGTCGACTGACGCCAAGGCTTCTTTTCTCTCTCCGTGAATCATTACAACCACCTACCCGAGACTCTCGCCATGAACGATGTCTTCACATATTGTGCACGATCCCGCGATATGTTGATCCAAATTTCACTTAAATGTTGTCATGATATGACGGAATAGCATCATGAGGGCCTCGATCGCAATCCGATTCCAACATCAAGTACGAACATCTAGTGCTATTGGACGATATGATGTCAATGAAGTCATCTTGTGAGGTCAAATTTGTGCTTACCTAGATGGGTGGTCACGCAAGAGCAAAGTGCTGAATATGTGTTGAACTATATCTGTTTGCAGGTCCGATCAGCGTCTTTAATACTATTTCGTACAATACTAGACCTTGGATATAGCAATAGTCTATTTCAACAACCTTGAAGGTCAACGAACATGGATGTATGTTGGTATAAGCTGAAGACTGCACGATCCAATGTTATGGTTCTTGGTAAAGCCCTAATCCACGTTGGGATAAGCTAAATCTCCTAATAATCTACGCTGTAACCCCCGCGCTAACAGGGTCCTTAGGGCTAGCATTTAGATAGTCGGCATATGCCATAGTGGGGTAAGATGGGGTGCTACAGCGTACAGCCGTGGTAGTGGTAAACGCTTTAACGCTTAAATTAACCTACAGCTACAGGTATTATCCACTAACCAGAGAACATCGATCAATTGCTTTACAGGTACCGTAATGGGAAGTCCATCCCACTTATGAGAATAATTCTAAATAGGCTCAAAGTGTTACATGCATAGGAATGATTTAATTGGAAGCAATGATTCATAGCTGATATAATTGTTCTATTAGGTACCTAGGTACCTTCTATGATTAGCAACCCTAGAACTTTCCCATCTCCTTATTTATTACCCACTCTACCACATCCTTTAGGCCCCTTTTCATCCCAAAGTAGTGTTTGAGAAACTAAATCGATTTAAAACCCCTCAATCATGCTGGTTGCTCGTGCGAGAACATGGCCATCTTGACGTAGCTAAAAACGTCTTGCGCATTTCGTCGACTTTATTAAAACGGAGAGTGCCTCAATCTAATTGACATAGTTAGGAGAATTCTGGTTGTTTTATTTCTCATTGTTAAGGGGATTGTTGTCTGAGACTTGAGATGAAGCGGTGGGTATCTGGATAGGGGTTATATTTTCTGAGACCACCCCATCACCCGCATTGATGGCGTCCTCGTCCAAGATATGATCCCGTGTCGATGGCAGGGCGTTTCCTCCAGTTTCGGATTCAATAATTTCGTTACTAGCTCCTAGTGTATGTGCCTCATTGGGGTCCGGTACTTGTTGTGGTGTCTCAACGGGTTCGTGAGCTTGGTCCGCAGTATCATCTGATCCTTGAACTTCATCCAAAGTATCGTTAGAATCTTGGGTTACATCTGAACCATGTGATTCACGATGTGCATCTTCATGTGCCGAACTGAGAGCCGGATGCTTCGGGTCTGCAAGGTCTAGGGAGCCTAGTAACTCGCCCGCCTTTGTGACAGGAATAGAATCTAAACAATTCGACCAAGTACCCATGCCGATCTCTTCATGTGCGAGTCTCTGGAGTTGTAGCGTCCCGTTTGTAGTCCATTCTACGTAGGAATACTTGTTATACCCTTTCTTCTTGTATAGAATCGAGTATATGGGTTCTAGGAGATATGAGATCAATGTTAAAAGTAAGCCTAGGACGAGGGTGAAAAAAAGCCCAAATAGACTAAACGACCCATATGCTGTACTTCGAATTTTCTAATAATGATTGTTGATAAGCGTTAGTATATAACTATATATTTCTTTAATTGAATGAAGACCACCGGGAAAAGAGTAGATAGATAAATACCTGGCTATTACATATTTTTTGCGAATACGGCGTGTCATAGTCTGCGTAAAGCCGTAGAACGGTAGGATCAGTTGGACCAAATGCCGTATTAACATATAAAGCTTGAGCTGATGCCATTGATATGTTAAATAAATTCATCACGTCGTATTTCCATTGATCCGGTGCTAATGGTCCTTGGTAACCATTATACAGTTTCCGATAAGAAGTAAGTCCTTTTGATCCTAGTTGCTCTAAAGCCCCTACGATCACATAGTCGGTATTTATTACAGGATTGAGAAAATATTGGAAAAGAGTTCCCAGTTCTGTCTCGAAGACGCGATCCACGATATTATCAAAGCTAGTCTCGAAGAAGGGGGCAGCACTCATAATTGCGTCCCGTATGCTTGCCAATGAGCCGCACTGTCGACCGCCTTTCGCATCCGGCCTGCAGAACTGATATTGGTCAACACAACCCATTACAGATGCCGGTTCCGAGGGCAAATAAGCCGGAAATGAGTCTGCGTTGGTGGCTTCCGCGTATGAGATTGAAGTTGGAGTTTTTGACACGCGGTACCATTCATCAGTTGACGGCTCGACATATATAACCCCATTTCCAGACAGGAAAATCAGACTCAAGTCGGCGTCGTTTCTAGTAAGCGAGTTAATGGGCATAAAAGAGGAACCGGCTGGATCATAGCTCCCGTTTTGAACCGTAGCTGAAAAAACCCTAGACATTTCAACTTCAGTAAGTAAAGGATGAAAACAGGTTTTCCCCCTAATATGAGGTAGGTAGGTAGGTATTCATGAGAAGGGAAATACTAAACAACATACTCTACACGGTAATCTGCGTATGATACTAGATCGTCGGTAGACATCATAGATGCGTACTGTTCTTTTATTGATTTGGCCCTGTAGATAAAGTCTTTCACTCCGTCTGGTTGGGTGACGTTTCCATAATGATATAAGGTAAAGTTACCATCAGACATAACTGCCTGAGTTGTGTATCGCTCTGTTACAAGGGGCGCACAATGAGTAACATGTCTCCACTGGACTCTTCGATCAGTAGGTAAATTGATACCTAGATGGGCGTGAGTGTCGATGTAACCCGTGTCGAGGCGCAGGTTGGCGGAGCCGTTCCGGCATATAGACTTATCAAAAGGGCATGACGCGTTTAGATCATTTTCCATAGGGAGCTTTTTCGTAATAAAACGATTGCAGTCAAGATACCCTGCCGCCGCATCAGTTGAATAACACTGTTGGGCGTAGTTGGCGGCGTTGTTAGACTTCTCGGCCCTATAGGCCTTAGCAGTAAAGGTCATGTCTAAATCTTCAAACATATAGGAAGAATTGATATATCCGCAATTGGTCCCTTTCAGTAATACTTCACTCCCAACAGCGGTCGAAATTTGTGACGAGAAACCTCCGGCAACCGTAAAAGTGGATACACAAAGAGTAGCAACGAGAATAGTCAGTACCGGGCGGAGGCGTCTTTTCGCAAAATTTCCAGACCACAAGAGTTTAAGTAGTAAATAAAGAGCATTTTCGGGTGAGGATGAGTTACGTAATATTGCCTGTTGTTGATGATAGACGACATCCTGAGGAGTAGATTTCGAATAGGCTCGGTGTAGGAAGAAGCAAATAATTTTCCACACGCGAGTTGCGACGAAAGAAATCAACACAGCCGTGAATGCGATTAGTAGATCGGCATCTCGTCGGGTAAGAGTCAGCGTAGAACCCATGATCTGCCCACGAGACCAATTAATCCAAGTTCCGACGTAAATCGAGTATTGGTCACTCCGATCAGAATCCATACTGGCCGAGGAGCTCATGGTGATTGATTCTTGTGGACAAATAAACGATAGGTATGGAAGTGAAGTTTTTGATCTAACTCCATAAGATACAGTCGACAACAATCTGATCGTGGAAATGGTACTTTTTATAGTATGTTGCTGTCGGTGAAGGTTGTCTTTTGGACCCCTTTCGCCAAGGCTAGAATTACATTTCTGAACGGCTGACTGTGTAGCCCCCATACAAACGGTGCCATCAAATTATATTGTCAATAGATAGTTCGTTGCAGTCTGTCGTATTATCCTTTAATCGAGGTAAAATCTTGTTCAGGGTCGGTCAATACCCGGCTCTATTTTAGAGTTGGTAAATTATTGCGACGTCCTCTGAAATTGCCATCCGTGGTGAGGATATTGCGGCTGCCACTGTTGACACCCGACATACGAGCCTAGATTGAGTGATCGAGGACCTTCCATAGATGCAAGGCAAATAAAATCATGTTAAGAGCCTCGTACTACTGTCACCCTGAACGCTTTGTACTTACCTAGAACGGGCCTTCACTCTGTATATTTACAGAGATGTGCTATATCTTGGTTAATCTGAAGCTAGGGGTTCTGGCGGCGGGAAATTGAACCATAACCTAGAAACCGTCAGATGTTCAACCCAGGACATAGGATAGTGGCATTCGCACTATACATACAGCATATTCCCCGCTAAAGCTCCCTATAAGAATAAGGGACTTAGCGCTGTTTAGCGCTCATATTATAGCGCTGGAGGTTATCAGGGCGAGCGATTGCGGCGAGTCATTTCGACAGCCTAGAGGCGACCTAGAACTTATTGAAATCACTGGCATTCTCTTAGCTCCACTGTCTCCAACAACATAGCTCGCAGCTCGACAACAGCTTGAAATAAAACCATGTAACCAAACTAAGATATTTCATATACCAAAACTTCGCTTTAGAAAACGTTCCTTGACAAGCAATTGAATACGATAATTTATAATACCTAGTAAGTAATATAGGTACCTAGGTAGTATTATCCATTAATTAGAATTTGAAGCTGTTGTTGAAAAGAGATTGAAAAGAGATGCACAGCTTTAAGTCCTTTATTTTTATAAGGGACGTTAGCGGGAAAGGTAGGGAGCATATAATGTCCAAAATGCCAACTAATTGTGCCCTAAGCCATAAAGCCCTTGATGTTGATTTTTAGGCGGTTTGGCGATTTTAGGCATTTCGCGCACCGGTTTAGACCCCACACCCACCACCCCACTCGCTGTAACGGGCCTTGATACGCCGGCTTTATAGGGGGTAGATACCTAGTACGTAGATGACCCCGCCGAGAAGTTCAAAAAGAAAACCAAGCGTTTATTAGGCTTCGTTTACAATGCTCTCTACTAGTAAAGCTAGTAGTTATCTACCTACGGCGAAGTCGGTCCGCCTTTGCTGAAGACGTAGTGAGCGAGAGGGGGCCGCATATTCAGAGTCATTGGAGGCCTTGCAATTATTCTAGGCAAGTCATACATACCTCCAATATGAGCCCAATAAACCTACCCAGACAGATACCAGCGAGTATTTATAGTAAATTGCAAACCCGACGTTCCATTGACCAACAAATGTCTATATGATACTTGCCCAGTATCCTAATACCCCCAGTAGTATAATTGATTTGCTCTTGGCGCAACTATAATTATGGAAGCGAGTCAGATCACGCCGGGCTGTTACTACCACACTGCCGCGGAATGGGATCAAAACCTCATCTCGACCCGCGACTTCTTCTCAAACTGTCTGAGTCATCTCGGTTCTCCCGATACTCGCGTGCGACATCCAGAAGATGTAGAGTCGGTGAACCAACAACTAGACCGCATGTTCTGGAAGGGCAAGTTTGGACCCGTGGCTGCTGCGATTAAGTTATGTGAATACGACGACTTGGCAGAGTCAATTGATGGTGTGTTGCCGTATCTCATAGATACGATAGTCGTCCCTCACAGCCTAACTCTCTAACTCCGGGTGTAGTGGAAAGATTGGTGCCCCTATTCATGGAATGCACGTTCGTATCTCAGAGCATCGAGGCTATTGAAACACTTGACGACCAGAATGTCTTAGCATCCCCCTTTTTCCGCCAGGCTTTCATCGTAACCGCTCTTCAGACTGGTAACGAGTCGCTCATCCGAGACCTCGTCAACCACGCCCCGGTAGCCCCACCACCTCCAGAGACCTGCATGTTCAAGATGCAGCGCGCGTCTCTTGAAGATGCAGAGGGTATATCCGCCGGTACATGGGCTGCTCTCATAAAGACAAGGTGGGCGCTACCAACGCGGAGACACAGTCTCTGGGCCGCAGGGAGTTCTAACGGAGCAGACGGCGTCGCATTACTAAACGCCGTCGTCGCGGCTGGGTGGGACATGCACGCCAACCCCATAAGCAAAAAGACCGTCCCGGCCATGGCACTTACACACGGCGAACCAGAGGTACTAGAATACCTCTTCGATCTCTATTCCGTCGTTCCGACCGACGACATGCTCATCCAAGCCGTAGAATTGAGGAAGACGGGCGGCGTAGGGAATCTGAGGTTGTTGCTAGATAAGTATCACTTGGATGTGAATTACGTGCGTCAGGGATTCGGGCTTGGTGATAGGCCGCCTCCCATTACCGATCCGAGAGAGAGGGCTGAGTGGGAGTGGGCGAGAAGACAGGCTGGTTCGAAGAGAAAGCCGAAGACGGCTTTGGAGGCGGCGGAAATCAGGGGAGACACTGAGGCGTATGAGTTCTTGCTTGCAAGAGGCGCGTCTAGAACCGCGGGTTATGATGAGTGATGATGTGCACGGCTTTTACTTGATGTTGCCGTCAATTTTACCGGGTTCTATGCTCGGGACCTGGCCGTCAGGGCGGACTGGTCTGAGTGTGGTCTTCGTCGGATACTACTAGGTACCTAGGTGAAATTCACCGGGATGACTAAGTATTTGACAAAGACTACCTACTTTGTTCTAACATCATTGATGTCACCCCAAGCGCAGTTGCATCGTCAAGCTAATGTGCCCAGTTTTTTCTCGTCACTCAACTGAATCTACCCCTGACGACGTAATGATTTCTCAGCATGCCGCAAGGAAGCCTCGCGATTGCGAAAGTGGTCACCAGAAAAAAATTAGAATTGTGATGATCGCAAATAGTTCGAGGTTCTATTCTTTCGCGCGTCGAGCTAGGCATGCAACTATAACGCATGGTTTATTTCGCATTATCAATGTTTGCCAAGAGATGACGTTATTTTAATATGGATGGTGTTTTCTAGGATCGCGGCTGATTATAGGCCCCCGCACATGGCATTTAGCAACATCGCACGGAGATCTCATCGAGTTCATGAGCATGTCCGGGGTTGACCCTGCTTGGCGTCGTGATGTTTGTGCGTGGGGTGTTTTCGCGATGCGAGCATGGACCGTCCTCATGGCCAGCAAGGAGTAGCGAGAGTAACCAAAAATCCTGCATATTGCAGTCTGCATCACACGGGATATATAACATCGAAAATGCGTATAAATAGTTTCTCATTTCCGCCGAGTGTTGCTTCAAGCTTAATGCGTCCATCATTGCTTTCATTGCCAGTGTCATAGGCTGATCGTCGAAATGCGAGCTTCCCAGATCTCTTCCTTGCTTCTCGCCGCCACTGGTGCTAGTGGCGCTGTCTTAGAGCGCCAAAATGGAGGCGGTTTTGAAGATGGTCAACCAATTGATGGCAATGGCAAAGGCGCTCCAATCTTAGGTACGTTTTTCGGTTGTTCTCGTCTTTGATCAGATCGTTAATTACGAATAGGCGGCACGAACCATGCCCTTGATCTTCAAAACCCAGACAATCTAGGTCAACAGAGCACCGACAGTGGCGTTGTGCCTAACGTCAAGTGGAGTTTCTCGGATTCCAAGACCAGAATCTTGAAAGGGGGTTGGGTTCGAGAACAAGTAGTCACGGACTTGCCCACAAGCAAGGAGATTTCGGGCGCTCAGCAGCATTTGACCAAGGGCTCTATCCGAGAGCTTCACTGGCATCGGGTGGTATGTAGAAAGCACCTTTGATATACTTCGTTCCATCACTAATTGAAGATTACTAGGCCGAGTGGGGATATGTGTATGCTGGATCGATTTCGGTTTCTGGCGTTGACCAAAATGGCCAATTTCAAGTTGCGACGCTTGAAGAAGGGGACATTTGGTACTTTCCTAAAGGTTTGGCGCACACTGTCCAAGGCCTTGATGACGAGAATGAGTTTCTTCTCATATTTGACGACGGCAATTTTGATGCTGTTGGGTAAGTCATTGACCTCGATGGCCCATTGAGAGAGCGATATTCATTAAATTCATTCTAGGACCACGTTCAATGTAGACGATTGGATCACTCATACTCCTAAGTCCATTCTGGCCAAGAACTTTGGTCTTTCCGAGGACGTCTTCGGTTCAGTTCCGTCGCCAAACCCGTATATTACAAACGGAACTGTCGATCATCACAATGTGACGGGTGGTAATGGCGAGCTTACTGGCAACGCTTCTTTCGCATATTTCGCAAAAGATCATCCGCTTGAGAAGGTTCCGGGCGGCGGCGGCACGCTTCGCATCGTTGATTCAAAGACTTTCCCCATCGCGACAACAATAGCAGCTACTGTGGTCACCCTTGAACCCAGAGGCCTCAGGGAACTACACTGGCATCCGAATGTAAGAATTATCGTTCTGAGTCCTCTAAGTAGATATTAATGCTAACAATATAACAGGCGGAAGAGTGGCTCTACTTCCACAAAGGCCAGGGACGTGCGACTGTATTTCTTGGCAGTTCTGCTGCTCGAACTTTTGATTTCCGTGCGGGAGACACGGGTGTATTCCCTGACAACAGCGGTAAGTTGCAATCTCATGGCGTCATGGCTTACATGAACTAATCAAACAAGGCCATTATATTGAGAATACGTCTGACACCGAAGACTTGGTCTGGATTGAGATTTATAAGAGCGACCGAGTCGAAGACATCTCCCTGACGCAGTGGCTCGCTTTGACACCAGCAGGTATCGTCGCTACTACTCTGAAGATTCCGGTTGATGTCGCAGAAAACTTGCAGAAGGAGAAGCAACTCCTCATCAAGAATAGGTAAAATTCTGCATGTCTCATAGCCTCCAGGTGGTGCAGGGAAGGTTGGTGATGGCGCGGAGATATTATTGCCTTATTCGTGTTAGGTTACCTACCTGCATTTAATTATAATATATTTAATTTCTAATCAGTACAGTATCTTACTTTCGTCCAACACAGTTATCATTGCCAGTATCCTATTCGCGAACTCTCGTGTCCGTGTCCTAAATGCGACCAACATGCAGTGCGACAACTACTCTAGGTATAATGCATCAATCGTCGCCTATATCGCCATAATAGCCCCCAACGAGCCACCCCAAGCAGGTAGGTAATCAAATAGGCGACCGACTCCACGTGTAAATCCTTGTTCAAGATTCTATCATGACCTGGGTACCTAGCACATGGAAATTTACTTTTTATCTCGTAGTAGCGCGCCTCATTGCGCCTGGAACATATCAAGAAGCCATGTGAGGATTGCAATTAGGATGAGATTAGCGAATTTAGTTCACGCGAAAGCCACGTTGCGGACGTTAGCCCGATATCGTTTTGATCGTATTCATTGTTGCTTCTTGGGTATTGGGTCTTCTGTCTTAGCCTTGGGGGCTGGAGTACGATGGGGCCACTCAGATATCGTGGAGGGTGAGATTCAATATCACGGTCATCTTATCTGCATACAGCTACACAATAATCAGCCAATAAGCCTCAGCTGACATAAATAGCGAAGTTAACGGAAATGTGCAATTGGCGATTTCTACACTTTTCCGGGCACACCGATGTCGTCAGCCCTAGTCCAAACCAACGGGCAGAGCCTCGGGCTTCTGGGAATTGGGTTTTCCTAATGAGCAATCATAAAATCAATCAGGCTCGCACTTCGAGGCAAGGGAGTTAACTTCCCACCTACTTACCTACTTCTTATTCCCCGACCGACCGTCGTTCCATCACCTTCAGCAACAGGAAAAGGAGGGTATATCGAAAGCAAAATGTGGAGGACATCACTCGCCTTAAAAGCCTTCTTAGGTTTACTCATGATCGATTCTATCATCGAGTTGTCATTCGTTAGCAGTATGGTCGCATGGTTACACCGGACAGCCTCTAAGGGATTTACCGTCAACCAAGATGGCACGACTTATCTCCTCGCCGGAAAACCCCTAAACTTGATGGGTGATCAAGGCCACACGAGCAATGGCGCCGCCGGAACCGCTTTTGTCCTCATCGGACTCGGCGGCATCGTGTCTCTCTGGCTCCGGTATTGGGCTCGCAACAGAGGAGACGGGTTGGCGAACTTCGCTCGGTTCTTGTACTACCTCTGGGTAGGGCTTAACATCCCGGCGCTGCTCCTCACAATCGGCGCGCTCGCCTACGTATTCGCGGTCACCAACGCGCACAACGGTCAGACGATCGACCCCTCGCTAGCTGCAAGTCTAAACGGCAGTCCATACCCCGAACAAGCTTGGACGCCGCAAAATTGGTTCTCGGCAGTCCTCCAACTAGATCTAGTCGATGCGAGAAGCGATATCCAAAGCCATCTTTCTGTTATGAGGGGTTGGCAGTACAACTTAATCCCGATGTTCATCACCCAGCTTGGTTTGACGATTCTCGCCGTATGGGAGTTCATCACTTGGCGGAGACAGAATAATCAGTTCGTGGAGAAGTAATATCTAGGACAAGATCGACATTCACATAGGAGTCTGCGGAGTTTATTTTCTTTTTTTCGGAGTTCGGACGGATGATGGCGGCATTTGGGGAAAAAGCTTCTTTTTCGTCTAATTAACCTGAGAAACTAATAGTAGTAGTCGGTCGCTAGCATAGTTTCAAGATACCCTCAATAATTCGCTATGTATCAAAATTAATTGACAATCTCTATATCAAACCTTCATTAGCTACTTCCGTTTTCTTTCTAATACCGCGATGACTTCTTAAAACCAACAAATTGCTAAGTGGGAAAGCGGTATCATACCTAATGCCATCAACAGAAACCCTATCTTCCTAGATACTAGGTAGATAATAATTTAAACTCGTTTCTGTCTCTCTAATGAATTTGGCCTCCCTTGAGTTCTGTTAATTTCGTTCGGACAAGACCTACGGGCGACCACTGTCCCCTTACTTACCAGTAACCGCCAATTCGTAGTTATATCCCTGTTAACAACACGTAGCGCAGGCGCCATGGCTTTCTTCTCGCTCTTTTTCAGTGGGGGCACATCTTGACCGGTCAGAATCTCAGGCAAGGTGTCTTTTACCTAGACAGGTACAGCTCAGAGTCTTAAAATCATGGCTACACTAGATCTGCAATTGCGATTCAGCTCCGTAACGCTGAAAGTGCAAAGGCTCGATACGAGGGTCGGTCTAGCCTACGATGAAAGTCCGAAACCCGAAGTAGGTATCTATCATCGACCTGGTATTATGGAGCTGTATTAGATAGTTTAGTTACGTTTATGTCGCGATACTAGAGTCTGAGTAGGAGAAAAGGGATGTAAAGAATAAATTACAGAAGCTGTTTCATAAATTCCATGAGTTTACACAGAGCAAACAGCGCCAAACAAGGTTACGTTAGCGCTCAGCTAGCCCCGCATTTCCCTTCCTTCGGGACAGGTATTCAGGTACCTACGCAGCTAAGATAACAGCCCAGCACCCAGGACCCACAAGGCTGACGGGCGGGGGATATTTGTACCGGGTTTTTATGTTAAGGGTTCAAGTAGCACAGCCACACGATTGACCAATCTCTTTCTAGAAGAGTACTTAGGTACTTAGGGATAAGTAAAAGACGCCGTCGAAGGATCACCGCGTCACGATAATTTCGCTGCTCCAACTGCCTAATCTGTAACCAATCCGCGCATATGCCCCTCTATTTACCCCTAATCCCCCAGCCTACTACCGTCGAAATGAGGCCTCACGATCCGCACTTTATAAACCTTCCTCGAGCTTATTCCTAACATTTCACCACCTTCACCTTCTTCATATCTACCAACACCAAAGGAAAGACGTGAGACATGTCAGGCCACGACTACTACGGCTCCCACGGCGGCGGCGGAGGAGGTTATCCCCCGCAGCAAAACCCATACCCGCCTCAAAACCAATACCCTCCATCAAACCAATATCCGCCCTCGAACCAGTATCCCCCTCAAGGCCAATACCCTCCGCCGAATCAATACCCGCCGCAGGGCCAATACCCACCCGAACACAACCAGTACGGCAGCAACCAATACAGCGCACCGCCGCCGCAGCACTCATACGCCTCACCACCACCAGCCCAATACCCCTCATACCCGCCGAACCAAGCCTACGGCGCGCCGCCACCTCAACAGCACTCCCCATACCCTGGCGGCGCCGCGCCGCCTGCCTACGACACCCACAACCAAGCGTACCCGCCTCAAGGCTACTCGAACCAGTACCCTCCACCCGCGGGCCAATACCCTCCTCAACAGCAGCAGCAACAGCAGCAGTACCAGCAATACCCACCACAACACGGCGGCGACCCGAATAACCCGAACGACAAGGGCCTAGGCTCGCTCATCGGGGGCGCAATGGGCGGTAAACACGGCGGTGGCGGAAGCGCTCCCCTCGCAGCTTTAGGGGCCGCGGCCGCGGCGTCGTATCTAGGCGGGAAGACATCTGGGCACGGGGGGTACGGGCAAAGCGGACATGCGCAGGGTGGGTATGGGGGGTACGGCGGACACGCGGGGAATAGTGGTGGGCACGGAAGCAGTAGCGGGCATGGGGGGATGTCCGGGTTTATACCCGCGGCGGGACTGGTGGGGCTTGCGGGGGCGGGGGTGTATGGCGGACATAAGATGGCGAAGAAACATAAGAAGGAGAAGAAGCATAAGGGGCATAAGAGGAAGGGGAGCTCGAGTAGTGATAGTAGTAAGAGTAGTAAGAGTAGTTAAGGGGAGGTGGGTAAGGGGTAGCTTCGAGATTTTGGATTTATCGAGGCTGTTATTGGAATGCTTGTTCTGAATTCGGCGTGGTGTTATGTTCGTTTTAACATCCCGAATCGCGGGTTGGATGCCATCTATATATATGTACGCGAGACATCAGGTAAGTTTTATTGTGTATAGATTTGTGTTCTGGCACGTAGGTACAAGCAGTTTGCTATGCTAACAGTTTAGTAGACAGCCGACCTCGACTCATATCTCGCTCATTATCAACAAGCACCCCAATTTGAAAGCGCTCATATTTCAACATTGCATAGAAACATCATATCCCCAGCAGCCCAAAAACCCACTCCCGCCCCTCCCGCTCATCACCACCATCCCCATCCTCCACCTCCATCTCCACCTCCGCAATCCTGCGCTCCAAATCCCTCCTCACAAAAGCCCTCATCCACCTCAACCTCTCCAAGATCTTAAACTGCTTAACAAACTTCACCCTCTGCTCGCGAGTCCAGTCTGGCCGCGCGTCAAGACACAACCACAGCAGATGCGCGAAGAAGCGGGGCACGAGCGATAGTCCCTGCGCGCCGAAGAGCTCGAGCCGGTCCGGGACGATGCTGACTTGTGCATCGCACGCGTTGTTCATGTGCTGCAAGGCCGCGCCGATGACGGCGTAGAGGGTGTTCCGGGGGGGTACTAGAAAGGGGGACATCGTTAGTGGGAGGGTGGGCGTAAGAATGGGGGAGATAGGGAGTAAGAAAAAGAAAAAGGGGTATTAAGTGGGGCACCCAAGACAGGCTTACCAGTATCTCGCAGTGTATTCTCGACGCGCTCGCAGATATCGTACACGATCCGGTAACGTATACGGTTCATGAATTGCTCCCGCGTGTACCCACGGTCAATTAAGTTCGGCATTCTCACGCATTGCCAGAACCGCTCAATCTCGCGCCTGCGCGTTTCGCGGTCTACGTGGTAAGTGTCGTGCCATGTGAGCTCGTCCCACTATGGTTGTATATCTATCAGTTGAGGACGATGTGGGATTATATGGATTGACTAGGGGCTCACCTCACGATCCCATATGCTAACTGTATGCACGCCCTTTTGGATAGTGCTCTTGCGATTGATCCTGTGTTTATGGATAAAGCACAAGAACCTGTATCTCGCCGAACCCGGTGGCGGAGTCCAATCCCCTCTCTCGAACTGCCGCTTTGCAGCGTTGAATTGACCTCCGGTATGCCGTATAGGATTCCACGGCTTTGCCATGTCGTCTATCACGTCTTTATCTAGTTCGATACTTGGGGATCCCTTCATTTTTACGTCCGCTGGCGTGATGACGGTTACCGGGTGAAAATATGCCCATGGATCTATATCCACCTTCCGGTTACAGTTGTAGGCGTTAAGTGCGAGAGGGACCGAGTCTAGACGAGGATAGCTTCCTTTGGCTAAAGCCCTTAGGACCGCCGTTAAATCATCCAAACTATCGTCATCGAGATCTGGGAGGTTCCGCGGGTCGTAGTTTCCGCATTGGAATGGACCGGGTATGATATGATTTATATTTGGCATAGGCATCTTGTCTAGCTCTAGCGTTATATTCTCTCTGGCAATTTTGTTCCCATCGATGGTCTAAGATGTTTGTTCCAACAATGTGCTTTCTAGGTAGGCAAGGCCGTATTTGTAAGATACAAGAAATAAGGGGTCGAGAATTGGCGGGCTGCAGCTAATACCTACTATTATAAGAGTTATCTACGGTATATCTGTCGTTCACATGATATCAGGGGATTCTACTAGAACTTTCCGTAGCCCAGAAGGGATTTAATATCTGTCCCTAGTTGACTAGTAGGTAGGTAGAGATAAAGGGGCTAGGTAGCCTTTCATAGCTTTCAACCTAGTTCCCTACGCAAGAGACTAAGAATCCTCGACAGATGATCTCACGTCTAAATAATACCTAGTCACACAATCATCAAGCTAGAATCACACAACGAAGACTTCAACAGTAGATTCATGGTTTTCATTGCGTGCCTATCTCCTGGAATATTCCAGGACCATCAAGCCCCAAAGAGGCCACTATAATACCCCTTCATTCATAATCCCACCCAGCAGAGATACTCTTCCCAGATCTACCGTTGCACTCTGTTATCGAAAATAGTTCTTAGGGTGGGAACTTTTCTCATAAACACATCCACTCTCCTTCGCCACTTCACTCCGCCCATGATCATGTACTCTAGTCAGCATATACCCTGTGCATTGTGCCGGTTGCTGTACTAAAGTCTTGTATTTAGGAAAATAATGATTGGGGTGGAAATGGCACTTGCGGCACCAGTGTCCCAATTCACGCTGGCGCTCTAGGTGAACCTGGTTGTCTGTAGGGATTGGATAAACACGTAAGGGGAATCTGGCGTCTACTCCTACTTGCTGGAAGAGTCGGATTATCATTTCCATTTGCGGTTGAATTTGTGAATCCGCGGTGCAGTCGATGTCTCTCGAATTACCCTTCGGCAGACTGGGATCATCAGCGTGCGCCTTCGCGTGGGTGTATCGTTTGATTAAGTTTGGGTGAGGGTGAAGCCGCACCCGCTTCAGATGCGAGAATTGCTGCTTGCTATTGACGACCTCCGCAAGACTGATGATAGCCGGGAAAAACTCCAGTGTGATGTCAACGAGAGTGAAGGTCTCGACAGATTTCGACAATAGACTAATTAGCCGAGAAGGGGCTCGAGGTGTTTTGTCCTTCTTAAAGCCGGTAGCCCAATTGTAGTACGGCTCCCAGAGGCATTGCTGTGTCAGGGTGATGTCTCGGAGAGACGGAAAACAGTCAAGGGTGGAGATGAAATGTGAGACGGCATTGTGCCTATTGAAATCATACCAGTGGGGAAGGGACTTCATGTCAGAAGGTTTATTCGAGAAGTCTCCTCGTTCTCGGAGATCGAGCTTGAGCGTGTGAAGGCGGGTGCGCGAAGGGCTATTCTCTAGCGACTTGACAATTTCGTTAGGAAATAGCTCTTCAGCTCGGATAGCACCTCTTATACGAATGTAATTCTCGTACAGACCCGTCTTGTAGGTGAAGCTCTCAAGACACAGCTCGCGACTACCCAAAAGTCTGTCTAGATCCTCTACACCCATGTAAGAGTTGATGATGCGTAAGGTTCGAACATTTTGCAGAACGAGAGGACCGGTACATTTATGCATGCGTTCCACTTCGAGAATCTCAAGATTCGGCGCGGCGTTGGTGTGAAGTCGGAAGAAGAACAGGTCTGTAGCGACAAGATGGTTTTCCGGAGTACGAAGATTAGTGCCGATGAATCTTGCCTGCTTGAGAAAGGGAAGATTCAAGGGCTTGGGAGTTGTTCTTCGAGTCCACAATGCGTAGTCGAGAGTGATGGAAGTAAGGTTGGGAAGCTTCACGAGAAGGATATACGTAAGATCTGAGCGTGCTCTGTAGATATCAAACTTTGAATAATGTCGGGACTTGTCACCCTGGAGGTAGCTGAGAGTTGCTCTGCAGAAGGGGGATCCTAGTAGATCTCGTGATGCTTGTTTGAAAGTTTCAACATCGCCTTGTCCGATTGATCCATCCGTATTTGAAGAAACCATCCTTAACGTTGTCTCGTAATGGGCAAGCTCCGGATCCCGTAGGATGTTAAGTGCGTAGGGCAAGATACCAATGAATGGTCGAGATTCCCTATATAGAGGGTTTCTAAAGAACGTCCTGACAATGCGCGAAAGTGTTTTGCAAGTTCGAGCTAGCTGGCACAAATCAACGAAGCCCTGTGATGCCTTTTCATAGACACTGAAGGTTAGATATGGACCGCATGGTACCAAGGCGTGGCATAGCTCGAGCAGTATTTCGGGCGGTAGATTAAGTAACGGAAACACGCCTCCAGGCATGTTGGATTGTGGGTAATCGATTTCCATATTGTCTGCGCTGCCGTTAAGATTGAACGGACTGGCGCGTTGGCTCTTCAATGGAAAATGGATTATGGTAAAGAGAAAATAGGTAGAAAACGATATGCTTGGAAGGTGAAGTTGTTACTACTGCCTGGTAGGAAAAAAGCATAAAGTAAATACCTACGACACGTAGGTACTGGGTTAGAACATTTGGATGGTAGGTGACGATACAAATCGGTGGGTACATATAGACAAGTTGAGCAGGAGCTATTGCCATTTGACATTGTGCTTTAACTTATCCTATCACCTAGCGTTACGAACGTACCTTCCTAAATATACAATAGTTAACTACGTTAAACTGGTGGCTCTTTCCCTGATAAAGGGTGTTGGCAATACCGAGCAACCAGGTCGGTAGCTGCCTAAGCAACTGCCACCCTCATTTTCGAAGTTATGTACCTACTAGTAGATAGATCCATAGATGTCTTTCACTTCTCAGTTCATGGGGCATTTTGATATAAGGGCCTTATACTATACCTATTAGGTACATACTGCCTAGGTACCTATATACCTAAAATAGGTATCCGTTACTCCTTGGGTCACTTAATACTCGAGGTGCCTTATCGAACTCAAACAGTTTGTAATTTTAGATCCATAGATACGATATAATTGGGTATTTCATTAAGTTGTGCGACTCACAGTAAGAATGAGCAGGATAGTGATTTTGATAGGGCATACATTAGTACTTACTGGGTACTATAGCAATCAACGATGCTAAAACCCATCTTCTCTACACTATACATGTTTGCAACGGCCTCATGCAATACCCCCTAGGTACGTACATCGAAGTTCCATTAACTCTGGACCATGCTTCGCTTCGAGTCGTTTTTTCGCCCTAGCACGTTTCTTTTCCTCCTTCTCATCTTTTGGCGGCTCGTCCGAAGTAACTAACTTCAAGGCATCGTCGTCACGTTGCGTCCATACCCCGTGAGTCCTCTGCGGTAACTCTTCTCCTCGTTTCAGTATCTCCATGACCTGACCAGCGTCACCCAGACGCCAAGTTGTAGCGCGCAATGCTAAGACTACTATATTCGCCGGGTAACCAAGCGAACAGAAACGATCAATAACTTCATCGGGTGTTTCTTTTATAGGGATTGAGCGATGTACTGGCCGCGGTGATTCCGGAGAACGCGACTGGGCTTGTGTTTCAGGACATACCGAAGTAGGACCAGTAATAGGAGGTGACTTGTGAGAAAATGACACTGGTAGAGATCGACGTTTTGCTTTTCTAGCAGTAGCTGCACTTGCAGTCGTCTGATTTATATGACTGTCAGTCGCAGGTACCGACGTCTCTCCTTCAGAGTCCTCTTGGAAGGGATTTCGAACCAATCTCCTTGGAGTAGGAGTTGCTTGGGTGGCGTTTTTGTTCCTGGCTTTGGGCGTAGGAGATGCGTTTGCGATATCTGGTGATAGAGCGTCGGATTCTTGACGCAACTGTTGTGATGGCGTGATGCTAAACTGCGACTCTATTTCGACATTGGCTTGCGTCTCGAATGCGATGTTCTGGGTTTCTGGATCAAATCTAAAATCTTGCGTCTCCGGCTCCATAACCGTTTTTCGTCCACGCCGTATTTCAGGTAGTTCGTTAACTGTATCTTGTAATTCGCTCCTTTCATCCCCATCTTCTGCGAATTGTTGGGTTGATTGGCGAACTGTAGGGGTCGTTTCAATATCAGCTCGGTGGCGTAGACTAGATGTTCCGTTAACATGATCAGGAGTCGATGGAACTTCTACATCTTTATTGAGCCTTCGTCGCTTGGGTGAGGAATGTGGATATGTATGGTCAGGAGAAAAGTGGTGAGTTTCTAACGATCGCTTGAGAGAGGAAATTACCGGCGGTGACGAAGGCAAGGGTTCTTCTGGAGCTTCACTTCCCTCCTCCTCTTCTTCCTCTTCTCCCTCCTTCACGAAATTCTTCCAGAATTCCTCGAACAGGGACAGATGCTTATCATAGCATTCTCGGAGCTCATCGTGAACAGTCTCATGCTGAACCCAATCAAAACCAAGCTTTTCAGCAATTTGTTGCCAATCACGCTCTTCTGGCTCCATCTTTTGAGAAGCAACGGCTTCCCATAAGTTCCATGGCTCGAATGTGATTCCTTTTACGGTAAGAAATGGAATCGGTAAACGGTTTTCGTCATCTTCCATAAACTTTTCATAAAAGTGGCGGAATAGCTCCTTCGTATTGAGTTCACCATCAAATGATTGGTCCATGCCACTAGACGCATCTGACGGATCGTAAGTTGGAGCTTCAGGTCCCGCCTGGACTTCAGAGGAGGAATGGCGCTCCAAACCTTCATCTTCATTCTCAGCCTCATCATCACCCCTGGATATAGATTGGGCTGGTCCTTTGCTCCTTGTATACGACTTCTGAGGTGTAATTGTATGGCTATTTGTGGATTTCTGCGCTGGGGAGGATTTTTGAATTTCCGGTGTTTCCTCTCTGGTAGTTCTAGATTTCCAATGAGCGATCTGGTCTTCGTATTTTGGTGCAAGTTGTTTTATCCAGTGGTCCCTCCAGGACTGCTCCGTATGTTGTGGGAACTGGGTTAAGTTAGCAGCGAACGGTATGGTATGAAGGTAACTAGTACGACACATACATCATTAGCGAGATCACGGAAAATCTTGCGTCCCCGGTCTGCTTTATTGTGGCTTATGCATTGCTGCATATATTCGACCAGTATATTGTCATCCTCTTGGGTAAATTTTACGCGCGTCCGAGGTGTAGGACTTTGAGTGGATATTGGCCCCACTTTTCGAGTAGCTGGTGATTTTGGTACAGATGGAGATGGACGTGCATCGTCTCTGGCTGTTTGCTTGATTGGGGGAGATGGCAGCTCTTCGTCAGACAATTCAGGTCGAGGAAGATGTTGTAATTTCTTGACCCAGCGGGCCTGCCAAGATTGGTATGTGTGGTTTGGGTGCTAATTTATTAGCTGACTGTTAATATATCCATGATGTTGTTCTAGTATGGTCTTACCTTAGCTTCAAGTTCTTTGTATATCTCATATCCACTTAAAGCCTCGCCTTCTCGCTCCTTCTTCATGACCCATCTTATAAGGATCTTGTCATCTTCGGCCGTAAAAGCCGCCCTTGTACCCTTCCGTGGTGCGGCTGAACTGGTAGGTTGGGTCTGACCTGCTGGTGCACAGATATAGTCCTCACGAGTCTGAAGAACGCCGGCTTTTATGGAATCCTCGATCCATTCATAAGAATATGATCCGGGTGGACTATTCTTCTTCAAATGATCTGCGATCAGAAGATCTGCGTCCTTCTCAAGTGGAACTACTTTGCCGCCGTTATCCTACCGAATATGTTAGTGTAAAAAGCAGCGAGCTAGGGACATCGTTCTCTTACTTGAATCTTTTGAATCCAGGTAAGTCTCATTGGGACGCGCTGCGCTACCCAGAATTTCATATTCTTAAACAGGCCATTATAAAGGCGTTCTTTAGGGGCGAGGGCCCCTTCGTAGACAATGGGGGCTGCCATTTCCTAACCCTAACCCTCAGCTAACCCTGGGGTAAACTTCACAAGCGTCTTCCTGCTCGAATGAAGACCTAAAAATAGATAGTTGAGTCGGTTATTAGAGCCAAATTAATCTTTTCAATTCAAATAGTCAGAATACTTCAGCAGGAAAGCGATTTTTTCCAGGTATCTTGTTGGTGCTGATAAATTTTCAGGGGTCTAGCAGCAATCGGGTGTGGGATTTGGAAATCTTTTGCATAAAGTGGCGCCGGGCGCGTCTTTTTATAATCAACAAGCGTAATCTCAGAAAAGGTGTTTTGGGGTAGAAGAGCAAGTTGCTGGATGATGAGTTCTTTTTATTTTCTTGTTGAAAAAAAGGTCAGGCACAATCTTGCGAATTCTGAATTAAAGTCTCGTGAATAGAGTTTCATGCGACGCGTGATGTGAAATCGCGATTTCCTTAGATTTGGGAGGGCAGCCTCAATCTAAGATTTTAAGTTCTGACAAAAGAGGCTGAATGACCCGTGCACCGCCTCAAAATATTGACCAATCAAATCAATTGGATACGACGACTTAGACACAGTTTCCCCCCTGATGACACTGTATGCGACTGCTGTCCGCTGGACGCCAAGTGCTACACTTCCAGCTTGTTACAAGTCTCAACCTGAAGTCTTTTATTAGAACATGAACAACAGCTGACGACGGCACATTACTTAAACTAGACGAAACCCGTCTACACTATTGCTTCTATTCTTTTTACTAGCACTGGCCAGTTTTTATTGCACTCTTGTGATCATTCTCATTAATCGAATAATACCCATCTGCGCATTTCTACCGAGTTCCGTCTCACATGGATTCGCATCAGCGCCTAGCTCGGTATATGAGGATTTAACGATGAACGACGTCAAAGCCTATTCTGATTCAAATGTTTCAATAACCCGTATAAGCTTTACTGTTGCGCTTTTTCCTAATGCGTGATAATGGCGGCCTTCACAAAGATCGTATTGGTCGTCCTGGCTATTTCTTTCATGACTTTTGTCGCATTCTTCGGCAGGCTTCCGGCTTTGAGGTATGAACCTATCACCGCATAGATGAAACTGTTGGGCTAACTTGGCATCTAGACATACACCGATAGCCTGGCTACATCGCGCAATATGGGTATACGTCCCTAACGCGGTCTTAGCCGTCGACCAGCGGCTTACTTCTGGTCGCCTTTCCACATCACTAGGTAGATTCGGTCGTTACATCATGTACGATCGACACCCAACTGTACTCATATTCTTTGTACTACTACTCTCCGTAGGCGAATACATGTATCTACCAGGGGTATGGCCGCGCCTGAGCCTCATCCACAAGGTTCTAGGCAGTATATCTATCATTCTACCCTATCTATTCCTATACCTCGCCGCTGCCGGCGACCCTGGCGTCGTCACTCCCGCTACACATTCGCGCTTTATGTCGCATTACCCATACGATTTCTCGCTTTTCCACCCCGGTTCTCTGTGCCGAACATGCGGCCTCCTAAAGCCGCCGCGCTCGAAACATTGCTCCGTATGTAAGCGCTGCGTGCACAAGATGGACCACCACTGCGTCTTCATCAACAACTGCGTCGGCTACGGCAACCAGCACTACTTCATCCTCCTGCTCCTCTCCACCGCGACGCTAACCCTATACGGCGGACTCCTCGGCCTCGTCGCCGTCGCCGACACCGCGCGCAACCACAACAAGAACTTCTCGCTGTTCCCGAAACCGCACACCTGGTCCTGGAGCCAGTACTTCATCGCACTAACGATGGGCATCCAAGACGACGTCGGCGTCGGCTCCGTGACCCTCCTGGCACTTATGACGTCGCCGCTGGTTTGGGGCCTGCTCGCCTACCACATATACCTGATCTACTGCGGTACCACGACGAATGAGAGTATGAAGTGGCAGGATTGGCAGATGGAGATGGACGACGGCTGCGCATTCAAGCGCGCGCTCCCCGGCGACCGGGTTAAGGACCTGCGCCACGAAGCAGCATGGACGCGCTGGCCGCTCGAGCCTATGCAGATACTCATCCGCACCGAGGACGGCGCACCACCTGACGTGCAGCACGCCCCGGGCGTCGGCGAGTGGGAGCGCGTGTGGCGTCTGCGTGACATCGAGAACCTATACGATCTCGGCTTCTGGGACAACCTCGTCGATGTGTTCGTGCCGAATTATCCGTTTCAACGGGCGGAGGTCTCGGGTTCGATGGCCGATTTGGAGAGGGGCAAGAGGAGGGCTAAGAAACCGCCTAAAGCACCTAGGGCGTCGAGTTTGGTTGCTGCTGCTACGTAGTTTACGGATGCGCTGATTAGTAGTGAATTGGAGTAAATAATGGAATTAAGATGGAAGTTGATGGAGTTGTATCTCGTGCTTTTTGTGACTATATGTTTTGACACGCGTCTAACTTGAATCGCTACCTACACATGTTTAAACGGAGAGATGGAGCCTTATTCATTTACTACCTAGGTAGCCCCTCCAACTTCTGCATATATATCACATCTTAGCCCACTGCATAGTAAAGCTCCTAGCGATAGGAGTTGAAATGGTATTTGTACATTAGAATCTATAAAATTGACAGATACTTGTACAAGGCACAATATAGATGAGTAAGCCGACCAGCCCCTTTTTAAAATGAGCTGGAACCAAAATTCTGCTTTTTACTTGTCGTGAAAGCCTGGCCAAACTTGGCCTCAAAAGGGTCAACTGGCGGTGGCAGCTTTTCAGCTTTAGCGTTCTTGCCCTTGCCCTTGCCCTTGCCCTTGCCCTTATTCTTCTTCTTCTTCATACCCGATTCTTCCGGCGACGAGTTGGGCGACGAGTTGGGCGATGTCACCATAGCTTTAAATGCGTCGGGAGTCATGATGTTGTCCGAGGCTGCCGAAGATCGGTTCTTGCCGCCAGGCGTAGGCATCACAGGCCATTCATCGTCGTCGATCGGGGCCACGTTTTTCTTGGCTGACTTCTGTTTCGTCTGAGTTGGCTTACTCGGACTACCCTGCATTTCCGCTCGATCCCACAAATCCGTAAGCGATTGTCTTTTCAGCTTCAAACTGTGTGTTTGATCCGTTATTTCGGGGAAACGCGAAAATAGATACTGAGCTCGTTTAGATAAGGCCGCACGAAGTTCCGTGCGAACTGGAGGTGGTTGCCGCTTCCTGTCGTGTTGATCCCGAACGTTTCGCGCGTAGTTTCCCTTCGTGTTGGAAGATTTCAAGCTATTAATGAAAGCGTCAAAAATATCAGTACCAGACTTTTGAGGCTGTTTCGTTGATTTGCGCTTCTGCTGTTGCGGCCTTGCCGCGCTACCGTGGAACCTTCGGACAAAAGTCCTGGAACGTGATCCTGGCGTAGACCAAGTATCTAACGAAGGACGCGAAGAGGAGCGCGTAGCCCAAGTACGGACGCGGTGCTCTTGCGCCGCAGCCCTTTCCAGGTCAGCGAAAGAAGAGGTTTTTGCCTTCGTAGACGTTGCTAGAGCACTATTATTCTTCTCGTTTTTTACTCCAGCCTCCACAGAGGTTTTTGGGGCCTCTTCGTTTGCCTTATTTTTCACTTCGGCCTCCTCATAGGTTACTGGAGAATCCTCTTTCATTATATTTCCTAGCATCTCAAATGTAACGGGTTTTCCAACCCACTTTTTATCCCTGTCAGTGTCTGGTAGTACGTCTATCACAAAACCGGCTAGACGGGCAATCGCTATCCTCGCAGTCTCTAGTGTTGAATGTAGGAGATGGGTGTCTTTCGCGCCACAAGCGGTGACATATATATTCTGATCCACGGTCCAGTTTTTTTCCACCCTCTCTTTTCGAATGTCGCCGATAAGTTTATTCAACTTGCGACAGGTAAGGCGTAGACGATTTATCCATTCGCCGCAATGGTCTGCCTTAGTGAGAACGATGGTAGTTTTAATTTCTAAGTCGCATAGCAGCGTGAGTAATAGAGAATCGGTTTGTTTTGGCCCAACTTGGCCATCGATCAGCACAATGGCCCCCTTCAGATTCTTCCTCTTTTCCAGGTATAATTTGATATTGTCTCCCCATACCTTTAACGAGTTTTGCCCGTATCCAGGCATGTCTACGACATAGAAGGAAAATTTAGGCAATTTCTCTTTGCCTAGAGGTTCTAGTGGGAGATCGATCTTGCCCGGCGGCGGCCCAAACCCATACGTCATCATTGTCTTTGTCCTTCCGGCTTTCTTGCTGGTAGGTGCCATATCCTTTCTAAAGCGATGGGCAAGGCCATTGACGAAGGTTGACTTGCCAACGTTAGACCGACCAAGGATGCAGACTTCGGGAATGAGGGTATTCTTCTTGAGCAAATAAAAATCCGCGGTGGCGTCAACCAATAGGGCTTTGTTCCGTATATAAAAGAGGTTTTCCAACCCTTTACGAAGCGGGAGGTCAGGGGAGAGGGCTAGAGAGACCATCTCGTGGAGTTGGGTATGCGAGATGTCCCTAACTGGAGCGGTGCCTGAGTGTCCAAGATCATGTGCTTGGAATGCAGCGATCTCGGCGGGATCTCCCTTTCTTTTCGCTTTTGAGGAATAATGTCTAACATTTATCAGAGGGATATATGTAGGACTTAGTCGTAGACGAGTAGGGTTACCAACTAGGACTAGCCGTAGCGAAGCTGGCATCGCCAGGAGCGCATGGAGTTGGTTGGTCTTCGCGCAAGACATTCTGATAACTAGAATTGAAACTTAAGCGCAGCATAAAATACATAACGCCAACCAATTCTAATATTTAGAATAGACATTGGACAACTATTCTCTCATCGTAAAGTACTTACGCCCTGGGCAATTGGGGAACCGAAAAATGAGGATGCGCAGTATTAACGAGAAAGACGAAAGAAGAAAAGAAAAAAAAAGTTGAAGTGGGCTAACAAAAATTTAGACTCCCCCAACTTACGTAATCTAGGTACATTGCTTTGGTATTTCCAGCGTTATCTTATCGATCTTGTCCCATTTTGAAATCTAAATGTTCCAAGTTGAACATTCCATTTTTCCATTCTTCAACTCTTCGATTACTTCTTTTCCTCCCTTCCATTCCTCAGCAGCTATGTCGAAACAGTCGCAACTTCGCTCCTTATATCGCTCGCTTCTCCGGGAGCTTCCACCAAAACCGCTCCCGTCCACATCATTATCGAAAACTCGATCGCCCTTACATCAACGACTAAGGCAAAGCTTTGCCGACGATGCGCCACACCAGCACGCCGTCGCCCAAGCCGACCAGCTACTTCAATATCTAAAGGCTCAGAGGCAATACACAGCATTGCTAGAGCGATATAATCCTGGCATGAATATGGATGACGAGGAACGTGTTAGACTGACTGCCCGCCGGGTCGGTATGGACTTGCCAGTAGAATATGAGAAGAATAGCGAAAAGAGTTGAGCGATGAGTTCACAAATATTAAAGGGAAAATAAACAAGCACAAATTCGATTGAGCTTTCAGGTGAACTTGCGACCTTGGATTCAACGAACCTCTGCTCGTAGTGGCATCTGAGAGCTCTCGACTCTCAAATCAATCCCGAGGTACATTGAGTATGGAATTCCGTTACCAGCTTCAACGCGGGGCCACCCAAAGAAATATCACGATTGTCCACACTGCCTATGGTGTATCACGGGACATCGATAATTAATGGAAACAAAAATACGGACTCATATAACCAATTATCGATCTTCAATCAATACCAAGGTTGAACGTACTTTTGCATATCAACAACCGCTGCGGGCAGCTCTTAGCCAATAGCATCTGAGTAATTCCACAATTAAAAAAGGACCAGTCTTCAGCAAATTCCCGTTCAACCTGACAATTTCGCAACAAAGCATCTACCTAGTAGCTTTAATAGACTTTTTTTTTTCGCTCCTCTTTATTTCTCTTTACTTCTCCCTAGATTACGTTATAGGCGCTAGCTTTCAAAACTTCGTCAGTAGTTGGGTTGCTCAAGCCTCAGTCAAGAGGATTGACGACTTCATAGCTTATCAACTCAGAGCAGCTTAGGTACAGGTAGGTATTCATCATGTTTCGCTTTATTAACATTTACTTTGTCCCCCAAAACTATCCAGACTACCAATATAGACTACCGAAATAAAACGTTTAACATGTCAAACTCGTCCCCCTCTAATTCCACTTTAATCTTTTTTTTTCCCAAAGTGTTCACTAGGCACCTATAGAGGCAGCTCATTCGCCCATGCCGCGGGGAACGGATTATCCCACGGTCCCGTACCAGCGTACCCGTCCTTCAGCGCTTGCAGCTGGGCCAGGATCTGCGCGTTACCTTGAGTGGCGCCGGTAGTGGTACCGCCGCCGGCTGGGTTACCACCGGGGGGTCCGGGGTTTTGGATGCGGTTCTCGACGGCCTCAATGTTCTGGTTCAGCAGACCGCCCATTTTCAGGGCTGCCGTCGCTGTGTGCTCGTACATCCATCGCTTGAAGTACCGCGAGATCTCTATCCGTTGGTAGGTCGCGCCGTTGGTGATTGCCGCGCCGTTGTAATTGGCTGCTGCGTCTTCCATGGAATCACTATGGAGGGAAGATGTTAGTCATTACTGGTTTAGTCCAGGCGGCAAGAATGACAAAACAAAGTTTGTGGAAATGCAATGTCATCGGCGAAACTTACAGAAAGGTAACAATACGATTGGCCTGCCTCCTAAGTGTGTCCTCGATGAGATGGTGGTATTGGAGGACGAAGACAGCCTTGCGCATGGAGCAGATGGCGCGGGCGTATTGCGGTGGATTCTTCTTCAGGCAACCTTCCACTCTTCGGATGTCTTCTACTCCATCGTTCCATGCCCTGTTAACAGCTCTTAGTCAGCATGCCACGGTTCATTCTATCGAGACTCGAGCCGGGGTAGATACTCACGCTTCCTTCACCGAGTTAGTATCTATGTCGAGCAGCGGCATCTCCGCCCCATAATGGTCGTTATTTGGCAGGGCCTTCATGATGGTCTGGCTGAGAGCGCCGCTGGGATGTTGGTATTCATTGTTGTCTAACCATGTCGCTGTGAGCGGGATCATGTCAAGCCAGAACTTCATATGCATGCAGAAGGTCCACTGTCTTTCTTTGAGCCATGAGTCACGCTTAGTCGTATGCGCATCCTTCCAGGCGTCACTCGCGGTGTTGGGCGCCGCGAGGCCGCGCCTCATCATACTTTTTGTGAATGCTACAAGAAATGACTTCACCGTTTGGTGTTCCTATTCCTATGGTTAGTCGAGGCAACTCGTAAAGTCAAGCAGGCCAGGTCACTCACAAGTGCATGCTCGGCATTATATTTCCCTGAGTCAGATCTCGGTGGTGTGGGCTGTGCTTGAAAGCCTGTTACGCCGAAGAGGTTCTTCATTAGCACACTTTTCTATTTGATATCAACGGACGTCATCGACTTACCATAGTTAAGCATGTCATCCTTGTCGTCTGGCGCATACGTCTGGTAGTTGCCGCCTGTGTCGCCGTCCATCACATTGCCGCTCGACGGGAAGTACAGCCTCGCAACGTTAATGGCCGGGTTGTATGCCCCAGCTTTAATCTCGCAGAGGGTGAAGCCTTCCTTGTCACCGCGCTTCTCGATCGCCCGCTTCTCGAACCACTTTTGGTGTTCGGCGTACTCGGGTCGGATTTGCGCCAACGAGTCGATGGCACGCTTCTTCGTCGACCCAGAGCCCTCATCGGTTTGCCCGTCGCTGTCACAGCCCGGATCGATTTGATTTCCGTTCTCGTCGAAAAGAGCACCGCACGGGCTGTCATCAACGTATGTGTCTCGCGCGCAGACGAGGCACGAGCCGGTCGGATCGGGGAATAGCGGGTTCACGGCTAGCTCGTCGTCGGCACGGGCACGGATCAATCCCATGGACATGTCCGGTGGTGTCCAGGTAGCGTTGTAGTCGATTTCTCGGCGGGCTTTATTGTCCGAGGTGAACTTGTAACACTTTGGAGCGAGCAGCTGCTTGCTGCTCTTGTATATGTTCTTAGTATCCATGTCCCATCCCAGGGCGGGTGCGTTGGTGATTATCCTGAACTGCTGCTCATAGTCCACCCAGTACTGCAGACCCTTGGAGCACGAGTCGTCGGTACCAACGCCGATGACCATACGGTTCTGGAAGGCGGCCGTAATGTGCGTATCGGTCTTGAGTAGCTTTGATGCTCCGCTGATGTCGACCTGTATTTTGAACGCCACACTAGGCGTCAATGTGAGGGCCACGCTGCCCTTCGCTGCGACCGACACCTCGTAGCTCGGCTCCACTGACACATCAGACGGGAACACACCCGAACGCAGCGAGTCAGATTCCGGGAGGACGTCCATTTGCGGAGGATACATCCACGTTAGGGCTTTCACATTCTCGCCGTATATGTCGGAATTGGATATCGTCGTGCCACTTCCAAATTTCCTGGGACTGAGGTTAGCGACACTGCGTACTAGTTTTGACATGATACAAATAGCTCACCCGGAAAGCGTCGCAATGGCGTTTATCTGCGCCGTGACGTCCATGAAAGGCCCAACTGTAACAAGACCCTTTATGTTAAAACTTCCTCCCCAAGGCGCGAAGTTCTTGACTATGAAACGGAATCCAGTTAGCCATGTACATGCAAAGCAAGGAAATAAAAATAAAGTCATCTAGGCTTGGAAGAACGTACGCAAGTGAGTCTCCTTAGACTCAAACGTGAATTGAGCCGAGCCCTCAAGGTACGTCTGGGCATTGGCAGTGAACCTTTTGATGGAGAAGTAGGCGTACGACTGCTCGAACTTGGTGTCCTTGACGGTTCCGATCAGACTAATACCCCAGTCGAGATCCGCGTTTAGCCCTCCAGCCACTCTTGCCTTCATCGTCGCGTCAAACGTCGGCGGGCAGCTGATGGACGCCTGGTACAGCACCTGGTCAAACTCGTAAACGGCCTTCTCGCTACTACTGATGGCGCCGTCGGAGATGAACCCCTTGAACAGGTTCTTCCACCATTCTAGGTCACCGAAACCACGCTTGCGTAGCTCGTGCCGTCGGAACCATTCTAGATGCGGCTCGCGCCAGTTCTGTCTTTTACCATCCACGACGGTCCGCTTGCCCTTGCCCTCGGACTCGACAACGCCATTCCAGTACCCCTCGTGCGTCGAGCTGTCGATACGCACGAAGATCTCTTCCGGGGACGCTACGTCGCGGATCTGGTAGTCGTATTGGATTTCATAAACCTTAGCGTGGGGTCCAGGTACCATGCGCTTGACGAGGTGGCGCGGCACGGTGGTGTTGGAAATCTCGCGGAATGAGACGACTCGCACCCATTCGTCTGGACCACACTCGCGCGGCAGGCGGGCAATGGTGCCGTGCGCGCCGTCGCCTAGTAAAAGGTCCTCGCAGTCATGGTCGACATCGTCGGGTCCGGCTGTGCACACGGCTCGGAATGTTTGCACGCTGTAGTCTTCTGGTGATGGGTTGGGGCAGTCGAATGTTTCTAGGAAAGAACCGTCGCGTTTACGGAGCGATTGGACGCTGCCTTCGGGGCCTACCATCACGACCCAGGCTAGAAGAACGTAATCAGGTTAGAGTGGTGATCTTGATTATTTGGTTGGGGGGGATGGAAGCTGAAGAGAAGTGGCATGAGGAAAGATGGGGGCTTCGAAAAGGGGGCGTACCAAAGGGCGTATTATCCGGGTCGATATCCCACGACCAAGTGCCATCAAGGGATTCCTTGAACTCGGTTTCGTCAGAAGCGGGAATCTCGTCCGCTTCAGGAAAGAGGTTGTCGAGGGACACCGGTAGCAAACCGGCAGAATTCGCGTCTCTATTCTCGCGATTAGTTCAATAATCCAGCCAAAATCTCGGTGCGTATTGTCTATTCCTAGTCACTCACCCGACGGGGGAATCGCAGCAATAAGATTTTTTGCCGCCAAAGTAACAACCATTGGAATCGACATTGCTGCCTTTGATGGGAGTGGCCCATGAACTCGTTGCCACTGTGATTTGACCCTAGAAACACGTCGTTTAGTAAAATCACACCAAAGATGCGTGTGCGGGCGGATGAAACATACCACAGGACAGTTCACGTTGTTGCAGTATACGGCGGTTCCATGCCAGTCGCAAGTGCTTTTCTTGAACTTGGGCTTCTCCGGGCAGCACAGTTTCGAGTTACCCGACCAGGTGAGATATTGCGGCTTATCTTTGGGGCAGTCTCCGTGGACCCAGTCGCATGCCTTTACAGCCTTTTCGACGTTGGAGGCTGGACAGCAAAACTGGTATCTGTTGAACCTACACCAGTCCTTGCCACCAAAGTTGTCGAGGGCTAAAGTTGCCTGGAGCAAACGGTTTGTTAGCCGTTACGAACCATCTAAAGCAGTATTGAGTGAGCTGTTTATAAAAGCACATACCTCGCCCTCGTTGCAGTCGCCCGAGCAGCTATCGGTCCAGTGGCACGTTCCTGGGTCTGGCGCACCCCATGGAGGACAACACAGGGCTCTCTGCTTCGAGTCCTTGCCAGAATTGGGGCATCCGCGGCCATGGCTGTCCAGATTGAGTCTTGTCTGCAAATATTGTTAATCCATGCAATATAAACTGCTTCCATTCAAGATGGAGAAAGCAGGAACCGGAAGTACTAACCATCTCCTTGTACCCAGTGTGCTTAGTACATTCGCCTCCGCAATCAGTGTAGTAGCATCTTGAAAGATCAAACTCGCCAAGAGTATCGCTCTCGGGCACCAACGAATCGATATTCTTACCAGACAGGGCTTTCAGAGCATTGAACCCGTCGTCGTCCTGGTCGACAGCCCAAACCATTATACCCGCGAGCCCACGCTCGTTGGCGAAGTCAACCTTTTGTTGAAATGTAGTACTATCATCGTACGAGATCCAGTTGTTGCTGTCGTATACAACCATCTTGACTCCGGCTTCCTTGTCCCACGTCTCGGCCGCATCGCCACCGGCCTCATTAATCTTGTCCATGATCTCTCGGTAAGAGAGGTAGCCTGGTGTGTTGCTGCATTTTCCCTTAGCACCTGGGTCCTTGAACTTACATCCGGGCTTCGAGCATGAGGAGTCGCTCAGCGTGTACGAGCGTCCATAGAAAGCGATACCGAGATTGATTAAGGCTGGGGAAATATCACTGCGCCAGAACAGCTGCAGGGCCTGGTCGACTTCAGTCAAATTGGTGTGAGCCAAAATCTGGTTGCCAATCTCATTTTCTTTATCCCAGATACCGTGCAAGTCGTAACTCATCAGGTTGATGAAGTTGACATGCTTAGCTAGCGCCGGCAGATCGAACCATCGGAGGTACCAGTATGAGCTCGGCGCCGTAATAGAGATACCCCAGGTGCCGTGACGGTTATCATTAAAGGCTTTTCGGATCTCCTCGAGGAGCAGCGGGAAGTTTTTAATATCCGCATCGGTGCCACCCCGATCGGGTGCTCCGGGATACTCCCAGTCGATATCAACACCGTCAAATCCGTACTCGCTCATAAACGCGACTAGATTGCGGGAAAACTCTTGTCTGGCTATTGAGCTGGACGCGATTTGTCCAAAGACGGGTTGAAAATCAGTACTGCCATCTTGTTAGTCCTCAAACAATACTACCTAGGTACACAAGCGCCCAATGCATAGGCGAATCAGACTCACCCGTTATCGCTAAAAGTCCACCCACCGATGGCCAACCACACACCCAGTTTGGGATTGCGAAGTTTAGCAGCGGTGACCTCGGTGTAAAGCTTCTTGGCATCGGCATCGCTCAATTGAGAACCATCTTCACCAACCATTGGAATAATAGTGAGCTACTCCTATTAGTCTCTTAAAAAGAATGGGAATTGGGGAATGTTTTCTCACATCTCGCGGATCAATATAAGCAAAAGCGAAATTGACCATGTCCAAAGCAGTCACGGGGATATCGGCTGGCTTCAAGGCTCCGCACGTGTCGGCGTATGCGCGCCAGGACTCGTAGTAGCCGATGATCTGAGAGCGGACATTGCCGCCGGAGCCGGGGCTAGACGGGTTTCCACAGTTGGATTGACAGCCACTGCCCGGGTCGCAAAACTCGGTCGTCGTGCCGCAGAAGCCAAATTCGGAGCAGCACACGTTGAGCGGACACTCAGTCTTGCCGTCGATCGAATACTGACCGCACTCGGCCTTGGCGTCGCAGTTAGACGAGCATCCATTACCGCAGTATACCGGGCCGTAGCCGCACACTCCGCTAGATCCACAGCACGCCTTGTTCTTGCACGGTCTGCCCTCGGCGCACGTATGGTCATCGTCGCGATCAGCCCGGCCAAAGAGGCTGAGGTGGTTCGGCTCTACTGCTGAGACACCGAGTACATCGACTGATTCCGGGATAGCCCTTCTGGTTAACTCGGCGCCGCGACGTATCCCAATCTCTGGGCCAGCCGACGCTACGAGGATAGGAGACAGGAAGACCATCAGAAGAATCGACAATAAGCCCCGGGCCAAAGGCCGAGGCCTAAAGCCACAAGTTTCTTGTCCCATGGCTACCTACTTTGAGGTCTAGGTTCAGAGAGCCTCAGGTGTAACCTTGACAAGAAGAAAGTTTTATTAAGAGGGATAGCTACAAAAGAGTGTAGGGAATGAGTTGAACCATTAACGATGGAACCGAAGGAGCGGGAGTCAGTCATTATCGCGGTTATAAAGAATATGCCACTTCTTCTCTTGATTCTCCCCTCTTGATCTGGTAAAGGCTCGATATCCACAAATTCCGCAAATTCCTCAAAGGATCTGATCGTTAGTTCAGTTCAGCCTTATGGTAGGTATCTGTACATTCGAATTGCGGAGTGACTATCGTGTGTTAGTTCTCACCATTTTAGCTATCCCAGGTGATAGCATTAGGACTCATCTACCCATGTCTACCGTTTCATCGTTTGATTAAACATACCTTTCGCTATCACCTGGTCAGCAAAAGTGAGAAATACCCTCGGCATGCGTGAGAGAATGGACGATGCCAAGTCAGTATAATCCGCTAGACTTACCTCATCAATTTCATTAGGGCTAAATACGCCGCTCGTCTACTCTAGTACGCCGTATCACATTCAGCTCGTCCCTTGCGTAAAATCCTTTAGACGGCATTCGGTAGTATGCCTTACCCAACATCTCTTGGCGTACCTGTCAGATTTATCCAGCTGGTTAGGGGGTAGAAGAAGCTTTCGACAAGACCGCTGCTTACGCCGAGACATTAGACTCTATAGTCGCGCCTTAATCGGATTCTGATTGGATCCCGATTCGACGGGTGATTAAAAACTCATTCGATTAAGATTAGGATGTTGAATATATTACACACTTATAGCATGAGTAATATTTTTATTATCTAAGTCGACTAGCGCCAACGAGTTGGTTTCCTGGTGCCTGCAGTCACAATTCACTAGTTAGCCTTATAACACAGGCCTAAGGCCTGTCCATTATCAGTCTATCGTACTGACGACCAATAAGCTGCATTGAATCAGCATCCCGATGATCCTCTCGGGGGAGGAGATGTTTTTCTCTCAATGTATAGTGACTTCCATTCTTGGCAGAAATAGGACTTTCAAATGGGAATGATCGCGAACTCCCGAACCATTCGTAACCGAGTAACATAGCTGATGGTTAACGGATGGTTCATAGGTAAGGTCGAGTCTCGACATCCCGCTCCTCAGACCCGGGTCTGTCCCAACTCTTTGACTTGAATTTTCGAACTTCACTTCAACTGGGTGTCGAATTCCCCAGCGTTCTTTCACTATGTTCGGACTTGGGATTGACGTCCTGCTACTGGCTTCCGCCGCTGGCGTTCTCTTCTCGCCCGTCTCAGGCTCATTTGTCCCCATCCATGATGTTCATCTAAGACACATGCTGAGTTCGCGAGACGACAATGCGCAGACACAGCTCTTCAATTTCACAGGCGTGAATGGAATATCGGAAAAATGCATCGCTGCCATGCAAACGCCTGTGTCCTGCAACTCTGACGCCATAGAGCTGCTGCTGTCAAGTCAAGGACAAGCCAGTGGCAACGGCGCATCAGCAATAAAGCTAACGGCTGATGACCTGAATAACCTCTGCACCTCATCATGCGCGGATTCGCTTGCCTCAATGAACTCTGCTGTCAGTAAGGCGTGCAGCGATGATGTCCTTTCGCCCCCGCAGTCCAATGGCACCACCTACATACCAGGCACAGATGCGCAAGAGGGTTCCATGTTCGGCGGCAACAACGAGACCACTTTCGGTCCAGCCCTGGCTGTAGACCTGGTGCTCGCCAGCTACAAGATGGGCTGCTTGAAAGATAGCGCAGGAGGCAAAGACTCGACGGCGTGGTGCCAATTGCGCTTCGCCCAAAACCTCACGCAGCCATGCGACGACTGCGAATTGGGCGCGTATCGCGTCCAAATGGAGGATACGCCTGGTGGCTATGACTCCCAGCTGGCGGAGCAATACACATCCACCGTCTCCTCTTGTGGGAAGTCACTGACGCCCATTGTCACGCCCACTAAGACCGGCGGCGGCTATGCTAGCTCACCTACCGCCGAGCCAAACGGGACGCGCTCGTGTTCGGGCACTATGGTGCCTGTTACGAAAGACACCAAGTGTGACGACTTTGCGCGCGACAACGGCATTAGCACCGAGCAGTTGTTGTCGCTTAACGGGCTCACCTCCGGTTGCGTGGGATTTCCCGGCGACCGGAAGTCTCTCTGCGTAGAGGGCAAGTGCAAGACGTACACGGTCAAGGCCAATGATACATGCACAACCGTTATCAAGTCCGCCGGTATCTCAGCGATACAATTCCTGTCATGGAACCCGATGCTCGGCACGCGAGGTTGCAATGCCGATCTCAAGCGTCAGGTTGGTCACGTCGTGTGTGTCGGCAACCCGCTTGCATACGCCACGCCAACTGGAGGCGATGGCAGCGTGACTTCTACTAGCACCTCAACGAGAACTGCGTCAAGTTTCGATCAATACGAAGACGTATCAACCATCTGGACGCATGATCCGCTGCCGACGGACACGCCGACTAACACCTCAACCGGGGCCACGCCTTGGAAGACCCCGACGTATGACCTAGCAACAGGCTCGATTCCGGGATGCTACTACATGTACGACAACGCGATCCCCAACCTCAGTTGCTTGGCGATTGCGTCGCGGTACGGTGTAGAGGAGGATACATGGGTGAGCTGGAATCCGAGTGTGCAGAGGGACAACGGGACCGGAGATGGAAACCAGACCTCAAACGGAAATAACTGCTACCTAGACGTGAACAAGAGGTACTGCGGCCTATTCTGGAACCCGCTGCTAGCTACACCCACAAACAACACGGACTCTCCCTATGCGCCCAAGCCAAAAGACGCCACCGAGGGAGCGACGGACAAGTGCTACATGTGGGACCAGACGCCCGCAGAAACAACCGACAACCTCTGCGAGATCTGGACAAAGGCAGAAGGCATCACCGTCGCCCAGCTATACGCCTGGAACCCCGCCGTCGGTAAGTCTTGACATAGATATTTCACCTACCTACTTGGCAGCTTAGGGCTAACCTTCTAAACAGGCGACCAATGCCAAAACCTCTGGCTCAACACATCCTACTGCGTCTCAGCCGACGATCCCAAACCCACTACTACCACCACCAGCAGCGCGCCGCCACCAACCTCCACTGGCGTCACGCCGCCGGGGCCAACACAGTCCGGCATCCCGGACAACTGCAACAAGTACGCCCTCACGCAAGACGAGGACGGCTGCGAGGTCTTTGCGAAGAGGAATAATATTACGCTTGAGCAGTTATGTAAGTCAAGTTCCTACTAGGTACCCCCACAAGAAAATTAGGTGCTGCTAGAGGAGAGAGTTTGTGTGCTGACCGCCCTGTTCTGGACAGATAAGTGGAACCCGGTTCTGAATAACAACTGCGAACAGTAAGTTGATCCCCTAGACGTCGTTGAGTTCGCTGTGTTTATCGGGAACACTCGCTAATGCGCGCTGTAATCGTTTAGTTTCTGGGGCAAGGAGGCGTATTGTATTGGCGTGTCTGACTGAGGCGGGTGTACAGGCACAAGCCCCTACTAGGTAAGTGGTGGCGGCGGCGGAGTAGCACAAGAGTGCACCGTCAATCGGCGGCATGGGGCTCGTTTTCCTTCTCTAGTTCTCCCATCGTCGTGTGTACGTATTATCTAATACACGTATTTTTATATCTTGACTTTCGCATTGGAGGATTCAATTGCATATAGTGATAGAAAGGTTTGATATAGATCGCAGAGGTATTGATATTTGGGATCTTTGAAGCCTGTCGAGTATTTCCATGACTGAATCCAGAAGATAAAGTGAAAAGCAGATCTTCAAATTTGGCAAACGAGACCTGCAGGAAGCCGTCCCGTCTTAAGACATCTTTGTGTTACCGACGATCAATCGATCGAATAGTAATGGTGCATAAAAACGACTGATCGTACCTAGTATACATGCCCTTACACTCTATCATATTGAGATACTTTCTAGTAATACTTGATTAAATATAATCCCCTCAATACCTCCAACGATTAAGTCGATCTGAGCGCTGCGCATCAAATTTGCCTCTTCAATCGGACCAAAAGATGTTTTGCTCTCTCAAAGGGTCAGTGCATGATAGTAGAACTGCCTCGAGGGCGGATAACCGTGACACTTGCTTAGCGGCGAAGTCGCATGTTCTGTTCCAGGTGCCGTCAATAACAGCTCAGAAACAAAAGCAGATGTAAGATCCCCGATGAAAAAGCCGATTGTTGGTCAGCTATACCGTCGTTCGTTATGTCAGATCCAGATATCGCATCACCAACATGCAGAAGATAAGCCCAGAATAGATATTTCCAACGGCGCATCCTTGGAAATCATATATAAATAACCATTGTTATATGTACAAACTGTACACAGCTACCAACAGGCCTATTCCGGCACATATATAGCTCCGTACCTAGTATCCATCTGTCCGCCCTCATATATCCAAAGCGATCCAGACTCTTAGAAGTCTTTTACGACCTAACCTTTCCCAATCCATACCCAAACCAAATCGCAATCGCGAGAAGATCAAAAACCCAAACCCATAAACCCAAGCTCCTAAACACGATCCTTCGCCCACGGATGCTGGCGTTCATATCCATCCCCTATCGCAAGCCCGTGCTCATACCCGCCGTAATCCTCACGCGTCACGAACTGCGTCGTCCGTATTATCATACCGGCCTCCGGCTCCGCAGGCAGCACAGTCGTGTTATCCTTAAGACACTCGAGGGAATCGTTCGGCGGCATGCCGCGCGTGGAGTCCATCGTCGTGAGCAGCATGCCGCTGTGCGCGTTGTCGATCTTGCGGTAGTACGGCCGCGACGAGGCTTCCGTGTTCGAGTTGTTCATGATCATGCTTGAGCGCGGCCATGACGAGGCACCGGTGTTGCTGCCGCGCGATGAGGAGTTGCGCTGGAAACGACCGCCTAGCGAGCGCAGCGATGAGGCGAGTTTGCTGGGGATCCGCGTGTCCGACATTATCTTGGCGCCGCTGGGGACTCCGAAGACGAGGAACATGCAGGTCATTTCGCCGAGCGCCCATAGGAGTACCGGCGAGATGTTGTAGATGATGTCGTCGGATTTGGTGTAGTCGATTTCGGCGCCGAGGCGGAAGCCCGCTGCGATGATGCATCTGTGATGTTGTTAGATTTTATTCCTAATAGGAATGCCGTTATGACAAGCGGTACGTACATGATACCAAATGCGAAGATAATGGATACACCAGTCTTCGTCCTCGTCGACATCTTCAGCCCCCAGATAATGCGCTGTGGCAGGAGTAGGATAAATATATCGGAGCAGAGATTCAACACGGCCGATGCGATGTTAACGGCCTGTGTATTGATAGGGCAGGATCCACCGACAAATAACGGATCCCAATTCTTCTCAACCGGCGTACAGGCAAAGTTCATGAGAAAGAGGACGATGATGTAGAATATGGTGTTGGCGCTTAGAACACCGTATACACACCAGAAGAAACGGTTCCGTACCCCGTATGGGATGAAAATGCGGGCCCACTCGAGAAGAATCGCCGCCTTAATAGTCAACACGACGCCGATATAGAAACTGGCGCTGAGGAACAAGGGGTAGAGAACGCTTGACAGATCCTTCAAACGGATGTCCCATGTGTGGACGAACACGCCCGGGTTCTCTAGTAAGCGGTATCCAAAGTAGATATTTGTTACATAACAACCAAACGCAACTGTCATTAATACTGAAGGTAGGTTGTTAGAATACACAGGATGGTTCAATGTCAGGCATATGAGATGAATGGTAGGTACTCACCATCAGGAAATTCAACCTTCTTTATGCAGAATATCCTAGCCCAAACCCGAAGGAAGACCGCTATCGTCGTCAATGTTAGACATAATGGTACTACTGCTTGGGCGATATAATTCTTATTCTCCCTGTTGTCGAAGTTTGGTATGACACCATCCGGTGGTGCGAGGGCCGGCCCGTTGAGTAACGCTTGCAGTTGGGCCGGCGTTAGTGATGAGAGGTCCGGCATTACGTTATCTTGTTCCGGGTAGTGATCCCCTCCACCGTATCTTGAAGTGTCGAAAGCCGGGACGGAGTCGAAGATGACTGATTGGGAATCGGATCAAGGCAGCAAACAGTGATCGTAAAAGAAAGATCCATCCAGGTCAATACCTGGGCGCGAACGAGTGGATAAGAACTCTATCTATACCTTAGGCTCAGGCTTCGACGATCACACTTCGCTCTGAGTGGTGCTACCTCGGTGCAGGATGCGTGGCCACCCGGCTGACCTACATGGGTGAGAGCGTGGCAGCGTGGTAAGTGGATATGGAGCCTGGAAACGGAACTCGTGGAGTCAGCACTACGACGGAGCTGAGATGCAGTAAGGTGACATCACGCAGGAAATCGACAGGCTATGCTTTTTTATAAAACCTCATGGCGTTGCGGGATTACTGGGCAGCTAAGGACTTGGACTACTGGGCATATAAGATGGTAAGATGGGTGGAATGATTCAAATTGGCCAGACCCTCCGTCTCATCAGGCACGTTGCTGGATCTGGCGAGGAGGGGTTGCATTTGGGGGACATGATTAACGGTATGGTCGCAGCGACGAATAGATGAGCCACGAGCTATATTATGTTACAACGGCGAAGAAACGAAGCAAGTTAGAATGCATCGCGAAGGATTCAGTTGCAGGTTTCTGTGTACGATGAGGTGATGGCTAATGAGATAGAGGGTGGTATTCAATCAATTACCACGTTCCGTGTTACGATTGTCGCCTTAAAGAGAAACGGTCGGTCCAAGATAGATTACGCAAAGAGGTATCTATCTCTTCTACTACTCCTCCTTGATTGGGTTAGGAACTGTGAGAATATGCGTGGCCGGGGGTGGCGGGTGGTATTTCAGCCCCCAAGAACCAATCGTTAATTCACGATGCAGTGCTCCCAGAAGGATCGCCTACATACCATCCACAATACCTCCAGGGCTACAGCACGCACGCACGCACGGCCTATATAGGTGGCCATAGTTGCACGCGCTGAATTACTCAAGAAAATTCTGCCGGCTTTCGTCCTTTTAATCTCCTTTTCCCTGGAAAACAGCCTTCGAAGCAAAGGGGAAAACATCTCAAATACGATTTATCTCACGGCATTTCCTCCACACTACAAGAAGCATTAGCATTTTCAACATGATAGGGCGGGGTTATATGAACTAGTTCCTGACGTCAGCTTGATCAGCTCAAGCTATACCGCATTTTACCATCAGGTCCGATCTAGCAGGCTGTATTTACAGGGTCTGGTACAGGGCTTTGAATCCTCACGAGGCGCGCAGCGGTTAAAACTTGGAGCCCGTCCACGGCACGTCTACTCCATTATTAATTACTACAAGCTAAGTCTTGGAAGCATCGTTTGGCGATCCTTCTAAGGCTGGAGAATAGGTGCCTTATCTTTTCAAAACCGTGGTATCGGCACTGCTAGGACCTTGCTAGGTATGTTTTAGCTGACGGGATATTACTTCTTGTTAAGCTATGCGGCGCAGCATTTAGGTCTAGAACTGAAATCAAGTCTCTACCTACCCGGGTACTTCATTACAGGATAAGAATTTCAGCTTCAGAACCAGGTATTTTACAGTTACCTTGAGTCATAGCCCGCCTTTACATACGTAGGTATCTTAACGTAAAAACGTGCGACCTATCCCTTGTATGAAGCGGTTCTGAACCCGTCCACTAAAACCAGCGGCAATTCTAATAATAGCACAGCACTACAGCGTCTGAGCGCTCAAAATGACACACTAAAAAAATAACCTTAAAAATGCACAGTCCTCGGCGCTCTAGGGGACCTGGACTAGGTTCCGCATTCTCCAGGGCCATCGAACTACCGGACTAAGTTAGAATCCACTCGCTGTTTTGTATCGGACCGCGAGCTTCAAACAGGATAGCTAACGAACTAGACGCGAAGGAAGGCATTTGAACAGTTTCATGGAAAGACACGGATTGTTAGGATCGGGAAGGTATCATGGTATCAAGCAAGACTATCGATACTCCATCTTCGGTCAGGGAATCCCTTCGTCTAGTACCTATCGTGGCAGCCTGGTTATCTTGCATTCTGAATCGGAAGGCGGGAGGCGATAGGTAGACCAGAAATCCGGGTCCTATGGAGAAGATCTTCAATTGCCATTCTACATTTCGTTTGGCGTAGATTCAAGATCTTCTAGCCCTGGGGCGATTACGGCTATTCAAAAGAGCTGTGCATGTTATCAATGGCCTCTTACATGGCACACATTAATCATTTAGGACTATCAGGGTGTGGAATTGCCCAATGAATCTATCGTATCGTTCAATCGCGCCAGGTTAGGATTTCTACCTTAGTTTAAATCCTTCAGCAATATGTAAAGTGTTTCAATCTTGGGTATCCCTTAGATTAGTCTGAGCCATCACCTCGCACCACCTAGGGTAATAGTACGTGAAGCTTTACAGGAAAGGTGAAGGAGTTCTCGCGATACTTTGTTGATTTGGTCGATTAGTCACTACCTAAATTTTACATAGATCATGCAAAGTCTCAACATAGATCTTAGTAGTTTGACTACGCCGTCAACCCCATAAAATCCCCAAACTTGAAAATTCCGTGTCCCACCTAAGTATTTGGACGAGAACCATCTTCCCCATGAATAAAAAAGCAGCCGTCCAAGAAAGGTCGTCCTCACACCGCACCGTCCCAAGGCACTAAACCATCTCTTCAAAAAAACAGCCAGTATCTCTTCTTAGTAGCGAGCAGCTCCAAAGTGCACATTTCATTCTATGACACTCATGCTTACGCCCAGCTACCTAGTATAGTATTACGCGTATTATTCATCCAAGAGGAGCCACTCTCATCTCCACATCGGGTGCTAGGTCCCGCCGCAATGCGCCGCTTACGTGCAGGTAGACAACCGGAGCGGGACACTTAGCTCTTACAGAACCGGAAGCATCGGAAGATCAAAGAGTAATACCTATACCAAGGCTGATAAAGATTAAGAAACTTTCGTTGCTTCTCGTGATAGTATCAGCAGAATCATGTAATGGTGGAAAGGTTAAGTATTGTTATTACCCCCTTTTCTTATCGATAACTAATAGGGGGTCGTACAAAAATAAGGGGGAGGAGGTTGAGTTAAGGTTTCTTAGATGATATCAAGTCGAAACTAACGATTGGTCACACTGTTTATCTATTTAATAGGTACTAGATAGGTAGGTGTATGACCTTTATGTCGTTTGAATGGATGCTGGGTTTGCAAGTGCGTTTATGGTCAACCCAACCTACCTCTTCGAACTGACTACTTCATCGACTCCATAGGTACGAGAACATACCTACTAGGTAGGTACCTACCTAAATCATATGGAGTTTATGAGTCATAAATACTCGTGTAAAACAGTCGAATCAACATCCAGACACCGTTGGCTCCTTTTTACTGTTACAATTCATGAACCGATATCTGTTCGGCGATTCATACAAGTCCTTCGGACTTAGCAGGAAGAGAAGATTTCTTAAACCGATTACTCTTGCCTGAAATCGGAGGTGAAAGTATTATGATACTGATTACTGAACATATCCCTACGGCGCTCTGCAGAGGACATGTGATATCGCGTTGGAACCGTGTTTTGACCCCTTGACACTGACAGTTCGGTTATGATCTGCGGTTAGAATTTCCTCATAGAGCAATAATAATTCCATCATGAAGTTTATTCGAACCAACAACTTCTGCACAACATGGGTAAGTTAATGGAAAAAATCGTCAACGCGACCCAAGCGCGTTCAATCGTATCGGATTTTGGCGGGGTTATGATTTTGGCAAGTCAAGGGCAGTATCATATTGTATCGCATCAGAATTTCTTATAAATGTCATGTTCATATCTCACTGTCGAGATATTAAGATTCATCCATTTACTCGCGTTTTAACCATAGTTCTTTAAACCCGAATTTTACCTTACTACCTACCTAGGTAGCCTTCTACCGTGGTCATGCCACCGATCAAACCTTTTTACTTATTTTCCACCATAGCCGGTCTTGGCTTCGTTGCGCAATGGATCCTAATGATGCTGAATGGCTCGCTTTTTGCTATGATCTTGGCCTCTTGGAAGAGCACATTCCCAGACGGCGCGCCGCTCAAGTCATGGACGGGGCTCTGGCCGATTGACCTACCTCTCGGCATACTTGTTGTATTCTTTGGCGGCCTTCTTGATTCGACTGACCTGCTTAACCACGAGCCATTTCTTCTCCTCGCTGATCTCATCTTTTCCCTTGCTGTCTGCGGTACGATGACCTTGGTTGAGGACCGACGGAATAGGAAGACAGGTCCTTTGAGATAGTAAGGTTCCTCCATAACTTCTGATTTATCGTGTCTAGTAATAGGAAAGTTAACCAAATGCGCTCTACCCTTATAGCCCGGCATTTTGGCAGATCATGTGGAACTTCTTTGGTGCGGCTTCTATCATGCCTACATTCTCTCGCCATTACGTCACGAACAGATCTACCAACAGCCCGAGTCTACCTCGCGACCAGGCCCAGGCCTTACCCTTCACGGCGCTTTGGACTTTGGTTCTGTCTGTCACCCTCTTCGCCCCGGCATTGCTTGGTGCCGAGCCCTTCCGCATCCAAGATAGCGTGATAGCCTGGTTCCTTGCGCCTTTAGCGGTTGGACCCTTCCAAGATCTCGTTGGCACTCTCATATCGCGCAGCGGCTCTTTATATAAAGGGTTTGCGAGCCCAGTTTCTGTTGCCTATTCTATCGTCGGCGCAGTCAGCGCGATCATTCATATCAGCGTTCTTACGCGGGTATTCCAGAACGCGGACCTCAGCTGGAGCAGGGTCTATTGGCCAAGCCCTAGCGCTGTCCAGCCTGGACCGACTCTTATTCACGAATCTGCTTTACTGTTTATTCAATTCGGTCACTTGTCCGTCTCGCTGTCTATATTAGCTATCGGTTTCTACACGATCGTCTTAAAAAATTCTGCAGTCTCTCGACCATCTACGGAGAGATCATCGACCAGTATCACTGCATTGAAACTTTTGGCTGTGGAAGGGCTTCTTGGCCCTGGTGCCGCTTTGGCTTGGATAATGTCTACGAGAGAACAACACAGTGATGACACTTTGACTAAGAAAAAATGATACGAAGAAAATTACGTTTGAAATTGGACGAGCGTGGTGGTCTGCGGAGCTCTCACCCTTGAGGTTTCGCGTTAGGTAGTAGGTAATAGGCACCCAAGACCTAGATTCTACAGCGATTAACGCGCTAAGAGTGGGTGGATAACAGCTGTACGTTCAGGCTACACGCCCTAAAAAACAGCGCCTTTCAATACAAATTCAATGATTACTTAAATCTATCGCATGGATACTTACCTACCTAGTACCTAATTAAATGATTTTTGCCCTTAAAAATTTCCTCACAACAATATTCTTAGGTACCAACGAAAAATCGCAATGCGAATATTTTCTTAAGGTCCTAATATGTAGGTATCAAATGGTGGACGACTTACGAGAAATCCTAGAAATGCCAACGGGCTTAGTAATCGCTTTACTTGATCTCGATTACATAATTCTTATTATGTAATAATCTAAAATGTTTACGTAACCGATTATATAATCTTGCCCCTCGTTGCCCCTCATTGACGGCGAGAATGTTTAGGATACGAGACACAGTACCACTGAATAATGCTGTAGCGATTGACAAAAATAGGTAAGTATTTAAAACCTATGATAATATTTATTGGACTGAATCCAAATCGCTCATGATCTATATAGATGTATATCGTAGGAACATGAACTCATGACAAATCTAGATCGCTCATAGCAAAACAAACAAATCCATCTAGTAAACCTCAAGTACGTATCGTCCATCTTCCTTAAGTCGGTCAATTTCCTTAGTGGCATCCAACTTCTTTCCAGTTGCCTTCGCTTCAGCGGCAATGGCTTCCTTGAGCACATCCGTAACGTCGGGCACAGGCCAAGTAGGACCGCAGAGGTAGAACGAACCCTCCTCTTCGATGTATGCCTTGACGATATCACCGAGAGTCTGGCGCATGCGGTCTTGGATGTAAATCTTCTGGGGCTGGTCTCGAGAGAAGGCGGCGCCGAGCAGGGTGATGACGCCGGCGTCTAGATAAGCTTCCCATTCCTCGCCGTATAGATACTCTTCACGCTGATGACGAGAGCCGAGGTATAGGAGAATAGCACCAATATCCTTACCCTGCGCCTTCTGCATCGCTCGGTACTGAACAAAAGCCCTGAACGGAGCCAAACCAGTTCCAAGACCGGCCATAATGAGGGGCGCATCATCACGCGTTGGTAGCTTCATCACTGAAGGTTTAACGGATGCGGTGACGGCAGCTCCAACGGGAAGGCGGCTGAGGTAGCGGGTTGCTTGGCCGTAGCGTGTTCGTCCCTTAGAATCAACCCAATCCACAACTACAATCATCAAAGCTACGGCGTTCGGTGTTACCGCTTGGGCAGAGGCAATCGAGTACTCGCGACGCTTTAGGGGTCCGACCAGACGGACAAGCTCCGGGAAGCTGGGGCGAGCAGATTTGAATTCCTCAATCACATCGGCGAAAGTGTTTGTGTCGATCTCTGAGCGGCGCTTGAACTCCTCGGCGCCTTCTGGAGTACCAAGGGAAAGGAGCTTCTTCTTTTCAAGCTCATCGGTAGCAAATTCAGCTAATGACTCGTAGAAGCGCTTGGGGGGCTTTCCGAATATGTCGATGTTCTGGACCAGTGACTGATAGACAGTCCTTGTCTCTAAAACGTTAGTATCTTCCCTAGATGGGACCTGTGCGAGATCGCCCGCGTTCAAGCCATATGATTCGATAAATTCGCAGACCATATCGGCATCGTTATCCGCGTGTATTCCGAGCGCCTCTCCTATCTTGTAAGTCAGACCAGAATCGCCAAGGTCAAACTCGATGTGGAAGATGTTTCGATCGTAAGTCATAGGTGTTAGTCTACGGTTCTCCTTGACATGGATAGTGTGGGTCTTGACGGTCAAGTCAGGGCGCAGAGTAATGTCAGTGGCGTACGCCTCTTTGAAGACTAGGCCCTTGGCAGCAGACTCCCAAGTGGTTAGTTTTAGTTCCTGTTCTGCTTCTTGTTTCTCGAATGGCGCGAAGCTGTTTGTCTTGAGCACTTGAGGGAGGTTGCGAGAAGCTTCCTCGGTAATCTCCGCCCAGGACTCCGGAATCTCGAGTTGCTTGAGACATTTGTCTAGAGCATCAACGCACTCTTCCAACACGGAAGGATTGGCCTCTAAAACAGCTAGCTTCTCCAAAAACTCTTGTTTGAGCTCAGACTGTGCAACCTTAAGGAAAGCAAGTTCGACGAGCAATCTAGCGACACCGAGGTCGCTCTCGAAAGCCGGAGATAAAGATGAATCGAGAATGTAAAGCGAAATGTGTCTAGCTTGCACATCACTGCGAATCGTGGCAGGTACTCGTTTTTCAACATCCTCATCCTTGAAGTTCGGCAATCTCAAGATGAGTTTACCATTGTCCTTGACGCTATTAGACACAGCTACCTCCTTCAACAATGTCTCTTCACCAACCAAGACAACGTCGGCATCTTCAACTGCGTAAGGCGCATCGATCGTCTTCTTGGATGATCTTAAATCGGAACGGATGACACCACCTTGCACCAAGTTATCATGAGATTCGTTTAGATATATATTGTTGGTAGAGTCGCGAGACAAAAGCAAACCGACAACAGTTGGGGCAGATATGGCAACAGAATTGTCAGTATCCCAAAATATGTATTGCTGTACAGAGTCGAGCTGGGGCAACCGGATTTGAGAAATGGGTATCTTGCTTGTCGCCTGGGTGATTGCAGCGGCAAAGCTTGATGGAGTAAAAGTGTGCGAGGCCGGATATTTGATATCTGTGACTTCGGGGACCGAGGTCCATTTGTTGGAAAATGACACAGCAGTTAGGGCATCCGAGTACAAGACAGACTGAACCGAAGAGTCCAATGCATCGGCTTCGTTCGCAACTTGTCCTAGGACAGCAATACGTTGAACGGAGGCTGGTAAAGCTTTGATAAAGGCTTCCTCAATGAAAGGCCTGTAAATCCTGACAGCGACAGCACCAACCTTTGCTCCGTCAGCAGCAAGCTTGGGCAAGACTTGCTTAGCTAGCTGGGCTTCGACACTACCAAAAACCACGAATACGGTCTCGGCAGCACTGTGACCAACATACTCAAAGGGTTCGTAGTCGGTACCAAGCTCGTCATTGAAAGAACGCAGAAGTTCAAGGACTTTGCCGGCACTATCGAGGCGCTTGTTCAATGTCTCTGCCGTCTTTGAGACCTTATTGAAGATATCGGCGACGCCAACCTGGCTCAAGACGTCGATAACTCTTAAGGTCTCTCTCGATGTACGAACACCATCATATAAGTGGATGGTAGGCAAGACCTTAGCCATCAACGTAGAGAACAGAGAGATGTGCTGGGCCTCGTAGGCAGAACCACTCGAGACAAGTCCTAATCCAAGCTCTTCGGATAACTGCAGAGCAGTTCCATATTCTGCAACAAGACCGGCATCGGCAGTATAATCGGTAGCGGCGACGTGGGCGACGAAAGGGCTAGCAACCCCGTATAGCAAAGCGAGTTGGTCCAAAGCAGAGCGAAGGTGGCGCAAGCTAAGCGAAGGCGCAAGTAGAGTCTGAGGGATGTTTCTCTTGCTCAAATCGAAGTCCTTGGAGAATATATAGCCGAGGGCAAATGTGCCAGCGCCCGAACGAGTCTGGAGGGGTACGACAGCAGTGGGATACCCGTGGATGTTCTTATCACCATCCTTAGTCCAAGCCTTCACGGCAACATCGAGGTCAAAGGTCTCAGGTGAGTAGGAGAAAATCTTATCGGACAAGGCATAGGCGATCTGCTGGACGAGCAATTGACCGGTGACATAAGTAGGACCGGATATCGAGGATAATGACACGGGTTGGCCAAAAGGCAGAGTCGAGGACTCCTTGGTGAACTCGGCGCGAGTAGTCTTCGTTTCCGGCATGGTTACCTGGTCGGCGAGAGCACCACCACTACTTTCAGGTTGTTTGAAATGCATCTTAACTGATTGGGTCGGACTTCTCTGAAGCCAATACTTATAGGAGTAGGAACTTGGGAATTCTTCCTGGAAACACAAAATACAGTGGATTAGATCGTGGTGATTTAATGGAGATGAGGAACCTTCCAAACAAATGGAAGTTTTATGTGTTTATGTTTCGAAACAGGCGATCAGACAATGCCAGATATCACTGATCAACCCCAGAAACACCTACTTCTCTCGATGAAGAGTAGGGAGATGGAGATACCAGGGCAGGTATCAAATTGACTTTACAACCAGCACCAAAAAGACTGTACCTTTGGAAAAGGAGACGATATGGTTTTATTAAGCACTCTCCGCCCCGGATTAAAGAGAAAAAAAGCGAAAATCAACCTACATCCACGCCAAAGACGGTCCATACTTTTCCTGAACCCATTTTGCCTTTTTCGCCAACCAGCGGTTCTCGGTGGTGAACCGGCGGCGAAGAGGCGGGTGTCGAGGAAGATGGTTGGCGCGAAGAATTGTTAAATCGCGTTGAGAATGAGAAATTAAGAATTCGTCTTCGTAGTAAGTGATCACGCAATAGCACGCTAGTCTATATCGGGTTTAGCGCTGCTATAAGTACTAAATTGCACCACTGGAATGCCACAATTGATCCCAGGATATCCAAAAGGGGTTAGGTAAATCTTATCGATTAAGATGCCGAACCGTGGCGTTGGGCGGGCAGCGCGGGATCGGGGATCGCGGTAATTCTAGAATATCTTTCGAATTTCTCAATTTTTATTATAATCCAGTCAAAATGTGAGGATTAGTCCATCACGCAATTTCACCTCAAGTGAGCGTGTCAGGTACCGATGGCCATCCTGTACCCACGTATTCTTCAGGATATGAGAGTTGGCCTCATGAAGACTTCAATGCCAACCATTGATAGTAGACCAGTTATACTTTTTAAACTTTTCATGATTCCCTATCTGAAAGTCAATTATGTGAATTGCCGCAATCAACGCTTACTTACAATTTGCTTCCGTCTCTGATTTGAGTATAAGCGTAATGCCAGCCTTCTTTCTTCATGTCTTCCCTGACTTTATAATTATTCTCCGCTATCTTTAGCACATCCATATCCAAATCCACAATCGAAACGCCCTCGGCGCGCCCCAGCTTCCCAAGTGAACCGATATGGGGTACGCTGACTTGACTTAAGCCCGCGAAACTAGTGTTCTCCCCTTTATCTGGTGGACCTCCTGCATTGACAAACACAACCGCGCATGTGTTTTCGAACGCTCGACTGACCACCGTACTCTGCAAAAATAGAGCTTCGCCGTCCGGATTAAGGGAATACCCCTCATCGGTGACGTCTTTCATGCTCCAGAACGTAGGGACGCAGATAATTTGTGCGCCGTCGGAGATAAGTTCTCGGAATGCCTCCGGGAAAGCTAGATCCCAGCAAATCAGTAGCCCCACGCGCCCCAGTGGCGTGTCAAAAGCCACGTGCGGTTCGTGGGCTGATGAGACTAGGTGCCGTCGCTCGGGGTGCCAAAGATTCTTCTTCTGGTACCGCCCTAGCACCTCGCCGTTCGAACCTATGAAATAGGCGATGTTGTGAAGGGAATCGCCTTCTACTTCGATGATTGTGCCGGGCACAATACAAATATTTAGCTCCTTAGCTAATTGCTGGTATTTCTTCAAGTAATTTGCCGACTCTGCACAACTTTCCTTGAAATTCGGTTCGTCCGGGACCCACGAAGTGAGGTGGTACTCGGGTAAGGCAGCGAGATGACATCCTTTATGAGCGGCATCTCGTATGAAAGCTTCGGCCTTGGCGAAATTGTTGACCGGCGAAAGAGGCTATATGGAAATAAGTACGTAATTCTGAACTATGGTAGCCATAACCCGTATTCGTTCCAGGTGAGATGAGGGGTTGGAATGTATACAACAGGTAATATTGACTGACCTTGGGATGAAGCTGGATAAGAGCTATTTTATGAACAGGTGACATTTTAAGATGGCAACTTATGATTATTACCTAACTGATATTTCATTAGGTATTATGTTTTAACATTCAAGATTCTAACTTTTAGTCACATTTTGGATGGTTTAAGTTTCGGGGTGAATCGGGGAAATGTGAATCGTTCAACAATGCCCCACTAACTGCGTTATCTTAGATAAGCAAAATAGCATCAAGAGAAATTGACCATGTATTAATTCTACTGTATCGCACTGTACGTCAAGATGTCCCCTATTCCGTCCGTACAAGCAACTTACACTTATTATGATATGTAGGTAGTTCATGCTGGTTAGGTATATAACACAGGGGATACTTGTATCCCAGTGCAATAGGGTAGAATTCAACCAGATTTTACTTGACCTCCTGGAAAAGGATGGGTAATACGTTCACAGTAAACAGAGACAGATTGGATGAACTTCAACGGCAATCCAGGGAATTTCAAGTTCTTCCAGGGGGTTATCATCAATAACCAAAAAAAAGGGAAAGATCGTAGGTACCGTAGTAATAAAAAGACATTTGTTGACAACTTTGAGAAGGAACAATGGTAACTATCTGTACCAGTGGGAGTTCCTCTTGCCCAAAAGAGAATCAAGTCTTCGTACATCCTTCCTCTTCCTCCTTTCCACATGTCATGTCTCTCGCCTCTTTAATAACTCTTTCAGACATGGCAGTACAATTTCCCCTTTTAGACTCTCACAATCGTTACTTCAGAGAAGACGGTTGGATAATTGCGCTGTAACAGAAACACAAGTCAACCTAGGACAATGTTTCTATCCGCGAGGACACCCCATCGATCTGTTCATCTGAGTTATGAACCACCGAATCCTCGAGCAATTCCTTCGAATCTCTTCATCCTAACACCCTTTTCCTAAGACCAGCAAATCGTTGAGACTACTGCATAATGCAAGCGCTCACTACCGTATTCACGGCATCATCGTGGTGCGCGAATAGATATGAAGTCTATATCGACAATAATCCATATCATTCGAGCACCCTATCGCCGTCGAGCGGATGGGTCGACCCGTCGTTTTCGAAATGTGTACCGAGTCAATATACTGCGAGATTCCAAATGATTAGCCCTGGTGTATGCCCCGGTTACATGACCATGGCGAGGACCACCTCAAATGTAGACGGCAGCAAGACCCTTTGGACCGGAGGATGTTGTCAAAGGTCGAGACTCCCTTCGTCCATTCTAGCGAATAGGTAGCTAATTCATTATAGCGGATTCACTGGCATGCCCGAATACTTCTGCAACTCTATGGTCTCGACCCCGATGGCTTTCCTTCTCCAGCCCAATATTAGCACCGCCGATATCTACACCACGCTATCCAATATGTGGATAGGGCACGATCAGATAACTATCGCATGGCAGGAGACCGACTTAGAACTTCTTCCTAAGGAGGTTGCCACGAAGTACGCGTCGATTATGGGGATCGCACTAACTACTACCACACGTGAGAGTGATAGTGGGAGTTTTGTGTTAACTCATACCACTTATTCCGCAAGTGAGAAAACTTCGAGCACCATCGTGACCACAACAACTAGCACAACGCCAACCACCACCATCAGTGTCACTCCTATCACCGACACTACCTCAGGATCAATTACAGGAACAGCGGTAACATCCGCTTCAACATCCAGACATGCATCGTCAACCACATCCGATGCCGGGTCTGCGCATCCGCGGTGGATCGTTCTCCCATTAATTACAGGTCTGGCCTTGCTGTGGATAGTCCGCTAGTAGAGGTGCGATGATGAATAAGATTGTAGTCAGGAGATGAGCATGCAATTTCGAACTTGTTGTGGAGACATGGAAGATTAGTTATATCGGCGAAAGCCAGAGACCGTCAATTAAAATCTGGGGATGATTGGTGGAAGAGGCGAACGAAGTCGGACCTCGGTTTATTTACTACCAACTCTAGCAGTCCAAATACCGAATGGTGACGAATCAAGCATCTCTTGGGTATGGCCCCGGAGACTAGTCTATTACCCCAACTCTTGGCAACCCAGATGTCCGTCCCTTGTTACTTTATGGGAACTGGGGTAGGACGTCCGGTGCGGGGTGCAGCTAGATATCGTGAACATCACCGCTTCTTCACCGTGGTGTAGAAAAATAGCGAATGCTTATACGTACTAACTCCTCACCTACCGAGTAAATAGGGATTAGCTCATTGAGGCTCACTGGAACTATACTCGTTATCTCCAATATCTTAGATGTACCCCAATTCGTTGCGATCGATTCAGCTTTCGTAGTTACGGACTTTGTTTACTCCAGGTAGTTTTCCTTTGTCATTTAAGACATTCTCCGCATTCCCCAAGCCCTGCCGTCATCGAAGCCGCCCATCCCTGCCTGTCTCCTCCCGAATCTGTGGGCTTCCAACCGGGTTCGTTAGCTCTTGCACCAATACCGGCTGAGGCCATTCAGGAGAAGGGCCGACTGCAATTTAGATCTTCCCGACCCCTCACGGAGGCAATAGAGTTGATTTACATACGATGAATGTTTCGTATTTATGGCATGCCTTTCCTTGGGATGTAGATCATATCTCAACAACTGATACAGCGTCAATCCTACACACAATGTTGTCAACATTGGTATATGTCTTAGCCGGTCTGGCTAGCGGCACTGCTGCTCAGTCTATCATCACAGATGACACCTTCTTCTATGGCCAATCACCACCGGTATACCCTTCGCGTAAGTGAATTGCTTCGTCAGTTATAATTCATGGAAATACTAACGACAGCATAGCCAATGGCACGGGTTCCGGAGACTGGGCCAACTCCTATACCAAGGCTCGAGCTCTCGTAGCTAAGTTGACCTTGGAGGAGAAGGTCAACCTTACGGGAGGTATTGTTGCAGACAGCTCTTGCTCTGGCATCATTCCCCCTATCGAGAGAGTCGGTTTCGGTGGTCTCTGTGTTAGCGATGCTGGTAATGGAGTACGTACTACCGACTTTGCATCGAGTTGGGCTGCGGGTATCTCTGTTGGTGCCAGGTAATTTTATCTATCTTTATTCAGACATGTCTTTGGCTTACCTATTATTCAGTTGGAACCGAGACTTGGCCAGCAAGAGAGCTGTTGGAATGGCTAAGGAATTCCGTGCTAAAGGAGTTCACATGGCCCTTGGACCCGTGGTGGGACCTTTGGGTCGCATTACTAACAGCGGAAGAAACTGGGAAGGTAAGATGCTGATTGCCCCTATTTTGACTGTTGATGTGTGCTAATATTCGGCTAGGCTTCTCAAATGACCCTTACCTATGTGGAGTCTTGGCAGCAGACACCATCAAAGGTGTTCAATCCATGGGTGTCTCAACAAGCACTAAGGTAAAGAGCATGAGCAACCTCTATAACGAAAAATGTCTAACATCTTTCCATAGCACTTCATCGGCAATGAGCAAGAGACGAACCGAAACCCCGAAGGCAATGTCTCGTCAGTGTCTGCTAACATTGACGACAAGACCATGCACGAGTTGTACCTCTGGTAAGTGCAAAGGTGTAATCATAAAAACCACTCTTGACTAATCCGAATACAGGCCCTTCCAAGATGCTGTCAAGGCCGGCACCGTGAATATTATGTGCTCCTACAACCGAGTCAACAACAGTTACGGCTGCGCCAACAGCAAGAACCTGAACGGACTCTTGAAGACCGAGCTAGGTTTCCAGGTATTTGAACCCCAATGGATTCACAAAGCGCGTTGCTAACCAAGTCAATAGGGATTCGTCGTATCTGATTGGTATGCTCAGCATGCCGGCGTTGCCACAGCTTTGGCTGGATTAGATATGGTGATGCCTTACGGCTCTGACTTCTGGGGTGCCAACCTGACCCAGGCCGTCACGAACGGAAGTCTTGCAGAGACTAGACTGGATGATATGGCCACAAGGTAAGGATTCAGCAGTTCAATTCGGGCGAATCGAACATCTGCTAACAAAGCGCAGAATTATCGCAACTTGGTACAAGATGGGCCAAGACAAGGATTTCCCGACTATCGGCGTAGGAATGCCATACGACCTCTCGGAATCTCACCAACGAATCATCGCCAAGTCGCCTGATGCCAAGCAAATTCTCCTGCAGGGAGCAGTCGAAAGCCACGTCCTAGTAAAGAACGTCAACAACGCGCTTCCCCTAAAATCGCCTAAGCTCATCTCCCTATTCGGATACTCTGCGAAATCCTTCGATCAGTACACACCTGGATCCGGCGGTTGGAACCTTGGAATGCAGCCCCTGGCGCCTCAGGATGTGCTCACTGACGGTGACGACAACGTTATACACACCCAAATTGCCCTGAACGGTACCTTGATCACCGGCGGTGGATCAGGAGCCAACATGCCCGCATACGTTAGCTCTCCCTACGAAGCTTTGAGCCAGCGCGCCTACGACGACGGCACTAGTCTATGGTGGGACTTCCATGACAGCAACCCCGCAGTCGACCAGGCCACCGACGCCTGCATCGTTATTGGTAACGCTTATGCTTCCGAAAGCTGGGACAGACCCGGTCTACACGACGATTACACCGATGCTCTTATCCAGAACGTCGCCGCGAACTGCAGCAACACGATTGTAGTGTTCCACAACGCCGGTGTCAGACTTGTCGACCAGTTTATCGACCACCCTAACGTAACGGCGCTCATCTTCGCGCATCTCCCCGGACAAGACTCTGGTCGTGCCCTGACCTCGATCCTATACGGCGATGTCAACCCCTCGGGCAAGTTGCCGTATTCCGTTCCTCGCAACGAGTCCGACTTCGGCATCCTGAAGAACCAGACCTACCCTGACGGCATTTACTCCCTTTTCCCTCAATCCGACTTCTCCGAGGGCGTCTACATCGACTACCGCGCTTTCGACGCCAAGAACATCTCGCCTCGCTACGAGTTCGGTTTCGGTCTCAGCTACACCACCTTCGGCTACTCCGGCCTCAAGGTATCCAAGACCAAGGGTGTCGACACCTCTTCCTACCCTTCCAAGACCATCCTCGAGGGCGGCCAGCAAGATCTCTGGGACATCGTCGCCACGGTTTCCGCGACCGTCACGAATACTGGCAAGATCGCCGGTGCCGAAGTCGCGCAGCTGTACGTCGGAATCCCCAACGGCCCCGTCAAGCAACTCCGTGGTTTCGAGAAGCCCGTTCTCAAGCCTGGCCAGTCGGCTACCGTCAACTTCAGCCTGACCCGACGAGATCTAAGCACCTGGGACGTCACAGCCCAGAAGTGGCTTCTCCAGAAGGGCGGCTACAAGATCTCGGTCGGAGCAAGCAGCCGAAATCTGCCTCTGACGGGCACTTTGACGATTTAAAGTCGTTCGAGTTATTTCTCCCCTCTAATGTTTTTATGCTCGCAGTCTATTGCCTGTTGGTAATGTTTAAAAAAGGGGGAATTGATATACTATACGTGGGAGGCAGTCAGCTAGATTCGCATATGGTCTAGTCTGGCTTTTAATTCCTCGACGCGGGACCTTCTTGGTAAACGCGATATTACTATTATTATGATAGAATAATACCATAATGTTAACCAAATAATCAGATGTTAGTGGCCTTGACATAATATGTGACATGTAATGATTCTACCATAAGCACGACGGTTATGTCATTCAGGGGCACGGCACCGCGTTCCCGCCGTAAAAGGTTCAGCCAACCATGATGCGCCCCTTAGCCAAATATAGTAAGACATGTGTAGGTCCCCAAGGTTGACCCCGGTATTCGTTTTCGGGTATTATACCGGATGCGACTAGTCTGTAAAAGTTTCACATTTGCATCTTGGCGGGCGACGGTCGATCCCGAGCGGTTTTCTCTCGTACGAATCGATGGCGGATCCGTGAAACTTGAATCCGCCTTTGATACGGGGAGCCAGTAATATCCATCGATGTCGTTTGTCGCACTTCTAGAACCCCCCGAGGTCCCCCACTCCTCGGTATGGTAGCACTCATTAAGGCAGGCATCAATCGATGCAAGGGACGAAACGAAACATGCCTTACGTTATCTGCGTTTTTGATCCCTTTCTTTCATTTTCTTCCTTTCTTCGTATGTATTCTCCTTCTTCCTACTAACTAGACATCATACCGACTACACTATGTATACCTAGTTTTTATCTCCCTGGGCAGTTAGTTCATAATGGATCCGCTTTCCACCACCACCAACAGCACATTCCCGCCCCCCTCATCCTCCGCCGACATCAATGGCCTCAGCCGCGCAGATCCGGGCGATCCGGGCTGGCGCATCGTCGTGCCGACCGCGCTCCTATGCTATCTCACGCTCGTCCAAGTCCTCCGCTTCCGCGCCCTGCGCGCCCTCGAGCGCAAATACGCAGCCTACGTCGCGGACCCGTACGCGCTGAACTACCGGCAGGCCGCCGAGGTCATGCGTCTGCACCAGCTGCGCGACACCCCCTTCCTCTTCTACTTCGGCACCCAGTGGGCCCTCGTCAAGAGCTACGGTATGGCCACCGGCACCCCGCTGCTTGTCAAGACGCGCCAGCTGTGCGATCCGTCGCGCGTGGGGAGACGGGCCGAGGATACGGCCATTTTGCTGATTGAGTTGCTCTGTGGCGATTTGGATTCCGAGAGGGGACGCAGGGCGATGGCGAGGCTGAATTGGATGCATGAGCGGTATACGAGCCATATTGTTCGCGAGGACTACGTGCATACCCTTGCGCTGTTTGTGCTCGAGCCCGCGCGCTGGATCGATCGGTATGATTGGCGCCCGGTGACGCGGATGGAGAAGGTCGCGTATTTGGTGTACTGGCGCGAACTTGCGCGGCGCATGGGGTTTTTGGAGCTGGTGCCGGAGACCCTGGAGGCGTTGGAGACGTGGAAGCTGGAGTATGAGGCTAAGCATATGTACTTCGTTCCGTCGAACAAGATGGTTGCGGAGGCTACGGTTAACTTGTTCTTGAGGGGTATGCCGACTTTCTTGCATGGTGTGATGAGGAGTTTGTTCGTCTCGTTTATCGATGAGAAGCCGGTTCGCGAGTCCTTGGGTTTTCCGGAACCGCCGATGTGGGCGACGATGCTGACGAAGGGGTTCTTTCGCGTGCGCGGGTTCGTGGTGCGGTATTTCTTCCTACCGCGCGCTGTGCCTATGGATCCGTTGGCGCCGCAAGCTAAGGATGGTCGTATATATCGGAGCGCACAGTTTGTCGGCTTTGAGCCGTGGTATGTGGCCGACACACTCTATAATCGGGTGATGTTATGGCTTAGTTCGGGTGGCAAGGTCGCTCCTGGCGGGAAGTATCAAGGAAGAGGATATGTGCCGGAGGAGCTTGGCCCGGCCGAGTTCGAGAAGATGGGTAGAGAGGAGGTATTAAAACAGGCAGAAGCTATGAAGGAGCTTTCGATCGAAGAGAAAGATGGGGCGACAGGAGGATGTCCAATGGGGTTTGGATTCTGATCAAGTATGATGATGACTTATGTTTACTTGAGATGTTTTTACTACCATGGGTTTGACATTCAAAATTGATAAATTCTGAGCCAAACACATCCTCTCTCTCCATATGATGGTTGAATGAATGAGCGAGCCTATTATTAATATGCCTAAAAGTATACCTGCCTACTAGGTAATTAGAGAATAACACCACAGTACGTTAAGCTTGAAATTCATTAAGGGGACATAACAGTCCGTCAACTCATCCGATCTCATGTCAACCCCCCTCCCCACCCCAGTTCCGCTGGTCCGCCTTCTGGTGCTGGATATCCATATCTCGTTATAAACCCGGGTCTCCGACTTGGTATCATTCAGTTTAAAAGGGTAGAAAAAGAAAAGGAACATGAAAAAAATAGAGAACCTAGAAACTTCAAGATCTTGACAGTCGTAAGCCCTAATCCTGATCCCGTTGCTTAGCTACCATTTCTCAATCTTTTTTCTCTGCACCGAGCCCTGACTCTGTGATTGGCGACACATTGTACGAAGTCGTGACGTTCGCGGTCGTTCCTGTGGTCTCGTTTCCGGTGACACCTTGATTGGAATTCGTTACAGATCTATATCGTTAGAATCAAGTAGGTATATAGTAGGTATATATCTTGGTAGATGAATATGGAAGGTGTGTAAAGAGTTAATACTTACTGGTTCTCTGGGGTTTTAGGTGGGTTGACTAAAACCATTGCCCTCTCATCCGATCCACCTCTCGCAAGCAACCCTTGCAAGTCGCTCGAATCAAGGGTGGTGACGATCCCAACCGGGGTGTAATACATTAATATAATGGCTATTAACCAGAGGCCGACGAACACGCTTGGGATGACGATGACTACCAATGTCGACAAGGTCTTGATTTCCGGACTCCAGACAACGAAATCGGATATCCCATCTCTGGTCTGGCCAGAGTCTCCGCGTGCCACGTTCCGCACATCTCTGCTCGCTCCGACAGGATACAAGGTTAAGTCGGTCAAAATGTTGACTGTCGCTACGTATGCCGCCTGCACCAGACGCTCGAGGTCGTCGTGGACACTGCTAGAGCTAGCGTCGAATATCTGGTTGCTGGCTGTGGATGTAGATAGGAGAGCCGAAGATTGCAGATGTTGGCCAACCGATTGTATCATAGGGGTACCGAGCACGGCAGCGAAGATGTCTTGGAGGCTGTCGGATATTTCGAAGCCTGGGAGTGCGGTACTTGTGAGGGCGCCGATGGTACTATTATGGCCTTTATACGACCAGATATTATCCTCCCAGCACGACAGAGCCGGTCGCGCTGCCAATACTGCATATCCGGCACCTGAATTACTTATACCAGGCCCTGTAAGATACCATGGGTCGGTTCCGGGACTGAAGCTGGTTCTATTGACTGACGATACAAGCGCCGCCCAAGTAGCGTTACTATCAGGTAGTATACCCGGCACGGGATCCCCGATGAAGAATGACCCTACCGGCTCTCTGCCGTCGAACAAAGACACATCCCGATTCATTGATGTGTTTCCGAAGAGGTTGTACCAGTCTATGACGTATACATCGTTATTGTAGATAAAAGGGGCGGTCACGTTCAACCACCCGTACTCCGTAGTACACGAACCGACGACGTTAAGGGTCAACTCGGGATATTTCTGCAATCCGAAGTCGGCTCCCGTAGCATTATACGAGTAGTCGATTTGCAGAATTCTTTCGCCATTACTAGTCTGTCCTATCGGTTTCGCATCGCTGACATTGACTTTGCTGCGTATTTCTTCGTTCACCGTGCTTCCAAGAGCGCGAATAAACCGTGGCACTTCCAGGGGGAATAGAGCAGCCGTCTCTGCATTGTTATCGTTGGTACGGTCTGGTACATATATAGCAGCCGGGTTCACGGGTGCCGCAGTACCGAGAGTGAGAAGAGGAGGGACAAGAACTCCTGTCGCTTTCACGCCAACCCAAAGGATAAGGAATGCAAATAGTAACAAGATGACATTCGGTTTGTGCCAGTTGTCCTTCGAAGTGCCAGTTTCGACTATTAAATCCACAAGATCCGCTCTCTTGTTCCAGATAGTAGGAGCTAAAGGACTAATGTTTTTCATTCGATCCACAGCATTGTATTTCCGCAAATAAAAATAGAGGCTAATACCGAAGAGTATGGTGAAGAACTGTACAAGTGCCATATCTATGATGAGGGTATAAGCGGAGTTGAGCTGCTCGGCCACCGAATTCGGCACGGCGACGGCATCTCTGGGGCCATGTTCGCTGGGGAAGGTGAATCTTTGCCAAAGAGTGTATGTCGAACTGAGTTGATTAGCCGTTGAGACGACCATCTTGGAAGAGTACGTGTCTAGTCTCCGAGTTGCGTATAGTTGCAGAAAACTGTCGAAGGAAGAGGATCGGCTCGGCACGCCCTAGTAAGAGGTGGGCTTGATTAAATCATAGACCATCCCCCTCTTCACGTCCGCCCTGTCGTATCCTTTTGTTGCCGGCAGCTGCGGCAGTTGGTTTACCGCAGGCAAGGTCAACAACAGACTTCTCGTCAGGTACAGTACATCGGTATCGCAAGAATCATGTACATGCAAGTCCAGACAAGTCAGTAAACAGTCCTACGAGCTCGTATGCTGTCCTCTCAGCACTATGTTTACTAGATTAGAACAAATCATAGTACACATCACATATGCATCTTCGGCTTTCACCATAGCCCTTGGAACGGCGACTTACAGGATTCTCGACAATAGTATCTATCAGCTCTCGCTTCAGGTCAGGTCGCCGAAAGCATGCATAAGCGATTTCCCGAATTGCAGGTGTCAAAGTCAGACTACACGGCGATGTAACAGCAGCAGCCTGATCGGACAATGGGGGTAAAAGGCGTGGCAGGCAATAAAGGGAAAGGGATAGCTCAGCTGCAATGTTTTGAGATGCCAAGACCTATATCGAGTGGTTAATATCAGCTAAGTCCAGGCTTTGAATAACGAATGGAATAGGAAGCTCACGCACAAATCCAAATTGTGTCAATGCATCGGTGCCCTACCGAATCAAGTGCGTAGATCCAATATTGAATATTGTTCACGGCTGTACATACCTTGCAACTCAGGTAGGCGCTTGACCTTGTTCGGTAGGACGCGCATGCATAAAGCTGCGTGTCTAAGAGGTTGAACAATTCTGATTTTGAGCCTCCAAAGTACTGTAACCTTCGTGACCTCGAGGGATGGTACCTACCGTACCTGAGAAGCTATGGTACTTCCAAGACCTCTCCTATTACCAAATTTAAATAAAGAGCCCACGTTGACCCGCCATAATAACAGCCAACCCCTCCTTACTTGCCCCAACGCTCGCTTCTTGACTTATTTCGTCTTTAGAACACAGAGATCTTGATTGTAGTACCGAAACTTCTGATTTTCTAGAATCATAGAAACCGGGAATCAGTTACAGGATGTTGCCACAACCCCAGACCGCCGTGCTTCTCCTGCTGGGAATCGCCGCTTCGGCAGCAGCCCAATCTCTACCAACTCTTGTTGAGGCACTCGTTTCGTCTGGAGCTTCCAAGTTCGCGGAATTCATCCAGTCAGATCCCGAAACTCTACAGTTATACCTCTCGGGGCAAGTCGGAACGGTCTTTGCGCCTTCAGATGTAGGATATGACCTCATATCGGTGCTAGGACGAGATCTCTCGGTGACAGATCGACGAGCGGCAGCATTCCAGTCATCTCGCGCGACAACGAGCTTAGAAACCTCTAGCCGGTCGATTCCTGGTTCTATCCTCGAGACGAACTACCAGAGTCCGCTGTTGGGCGGCCAGGGTCAACGAGTAGTAATCGACACTCGACCAGCCAACCTCACATCGCCCACCAAACGATGGATGCAGCCATCATTCCTCCGGCGCCAGTCTAATGGAACAACCCCATCGTTGCTTAAGATATCCTCTGGTCTGGGAAAGATCACCAACGTCATTAAAGGCGATATCCCGTACAATGGCGGTTTACTCCACATCACAGATGGGTAAGTCACATCGCTCTTCGCGAGCGCAGGTGGTTGTCTGACACGACATGCAGTTACTTCACTCAGCCCGAGTCTCTATCGTCCACTGCCCAGTCAACGGGACAGACAGCCTTCGCTGGCCTGCTATCCCGCAGTAACACGACGAGCACGGTAGAGAGCACCCAGTCCGTGACCGTATTCCTTCCCTCCAACGAAGCTATCTCTGCCTCCAACTCGAGCCTCCCCGCCTCGCAGCTTGTCTCGGACCACGTCATCGCTGGTAACGTCGCTTACCTACCTGACCTTAAGGACGGTGACATCCTAAAGACGCAGCGAGGCGAGTCCCTCGCCATCAGCATCCGTGCTGGACGATACTATGTCAACGGCGGGTTGATCACACAGGCCAACCTCATCCTTGAGAACGGCGTTGCGCACGTCGTCAATAAGGTAAGACATCCGCAACCATATTTACTGCCTTGTATAAAACTGTCGTTTTTTTCGTACTGATCCAGCGCTAACATTTTGGCAATACAGGTCCTTACACCTACACCCGCAGTGCCCGTCACGGGCGCCGCTTCGTTCAACTCGATGAGCCTCGGCGGCTTGTTCGGAGTTGCATGCTTCATGGGAATGATGGTCCTGGCTTAATCGACTATTGATGTTGGTGGAGCTGGAAGGGCGGCGCAAGGGGTGGCTCGTAATATTTAATAATGTTCCCTTCATCATATTGGCTGGATTTATGAACGGGCTAATGTTTTCTCAACGACGCGACGTATCCTACCTGGGTGGGTAGATAGGTACTCAATGAATAGGCGTATGCAGCATATCGTGAATAGTAGGTATTCTGCGAAGGCCCTGCCTAGACACATTGCATTAGTTGTCCATGGTGTCCGTGATAGCCTACCTCTCTGTAGGTTAAGTTTTACGTAAATCGGAAAATATGTGAAGTTGTTGGCGATTTAACCCAATGTTGTCCTAGAATGCAACAATATTGACTTGCCGTACTGCCATGTTGTGATGTTGCTGCTACGCTGCCCCTTTTTTCAGCTCCACTTTCAGCCGCTGTGAATCAATAATTCATGCACAGTTTCGAGCTGAATGCAGGCAGATTACCATATTGAGCATCGATCTGCAACCCCAACGAAAAAGAAGCAATACGCGATTGCCTAGTAAAATTCCGAGTGCATGTTTCATATTTTTTTCTGCAAGTAAAATCAGAAATGAAGATGTCAACCGTAGGCGAAAATCTTTGGAAGACATTTCGGTAGGTAGCATGAAGGCATGTGACCCAGACAGCTAGATGGCTGACGCCAGTATGAGATCCATAGACATTCGCGACATATTTCGTGCGTTGGTAATTCATTTCGTTGATCGCAGGAACGGGAACTGATTATTGATATTGTAGAACATAAGTTCAAGTTAGAGTTCGCAAACAACATACAGCAAAAGTCCACCTAGTAGCTTAGTCAGCTACTGTTCAGAGCTGGAATAATATTGTTCCGAATCGCGGTAGATGGATAATCTGCCGAACAGCTCAAAAATATTCCTCGTTTTTACTCGCAGCTTCGACGATGCTACTCAATTTTCGGAACTCCAAACATAGACCATACCGCGAACTCGCTATAGACGCAACTTAGGTGCATACATCAGGTCTTTGGTTGAACCCATCCAGGATGTAATTCGAACTATTCTCATGTCGTGTGGTGGCTTCCTTCAGCGGTTGAGCTTCCCAAGTTATAGCGGTTAATACCCACTAATATTCAGTGGACAATTGGCTATTAAGTCTTGGCGGGGGGTATAGATCCGCATATTTTACATACCCCTATTCTGTTAAGGGGCCCTCTACAATAAGTATGATCATCAGCATATGTAAGCTCTAATTGAATCTCTTAATTAAAATGATGTTAATACTAAACTACCATTGGGTTAAACACTTGGTTTATTCACCCCAGAAGTACATGCATGTTCAACCTCAGTAAAGCGCCACACATCATTGGTGCTCTGGAACACCACCTTCATCTCCTTCGCCTTCTTCTGCAACTCGCCACTATTCTCAATATTAGAAACCGGGCCCTCACTTCCCGCGTCTCCTAGACGATGAAATAGCAATGCGAGAGGCGAAGACTTGTAGTCTTGCCGACTTCCCACGTTCCGCCTTGTGTGGTCTATAGTCCACAAGAAGAAGATCATGGTCCCGAGTACTAGAGCAAGGGGGTATGTCAACCATCCCCATCGAACGCTGACACATGTTTCGGTTTGATAAACAAGACCCGTGATATTGGTACCTTCCCCGCGCGCGTATATAGTCAATGCTTGCGCAACCCGGTTAAACGTGTCGTCGATGGTGGAATAGGTAACGTTGCCTTCTTGGAAGATCGACTGGAGAATTGCTGGGCCGCCTAGCACTGAGGGTGCAAAGGCGACCTCGCCAGCAAACATAGTCTTGAGGTAAGTATTCAGGCTCAATATCTGGCCTCGATACGTCTGGTATATGCATTCTGGGCGTATGGTCGTATTCGTGGCGTTGATAACTGACGGGTTGAACGCTTCGCTAGCTCGTACCGATAGATTGTACGGGAGCCACGCCGTTTTCTCAGGGTCGAAGTCGTAACCAGCATTGTGCAGTGCTTGAATCTCAGTAGCTTTTAAACATGAGACGTCGATGGAGTTGAGCCAGTACTCATTTTTAGTCCAATTCTTAGATGTAGATAACAGTGTCTCCGTCAATCTACCCCCTTTCACCGTACTGTTATAGCTTCTAATGCAGGGGTCGATTGTGCATTCTGCTGCCCCGTAACCTCGGATTCCCCATGACGTGTTCGATAATCTTTGCTGCGTTCCGTTTACACTCCATCCGAGGATGGATTGTATACCTGTATTCCCTTGGGCCATCACGAATGTTCTTATCCCCGCCGTCGCGGTTAAATTCGATGAAGGTAAAGTGAAATTTAATTGCCCAGGTTTCGAAGAAATCTCTATTTGGTCTGAAATATCTTCACAGGTACTACACCACCCCGCTGAGTGGTAAACTCCATCAAAAGTACAATTTCCGGTTGGACAAGTGAAAGGCGTCTGTTTAAGTTCGCTTTCGTATACCGCACTGTTCATTGTATCTTGTACGATGGGATAGATAGTGTTTAGTCCTGCTCCTACATGTAAAGACGTTCCAGTTGAGGCGAAGTTTGTCTTCGGAATAGATGCATTGAGCGTCTTATCTGGGATTTCACATGAATTGAATTGGACAATCTGTTGCCTATATAATACCTGGGTAAGTCTAGAAGAAGAGAAGGTGGACATTTCAACTCACGTGAGGGGGACAAGTAACAACGATAGAATCATCATGATTCCACCAAGGGATGGGAGTATGGCACTGAAATATCCTCTTCGTTAGATCACTATGATATAGCGATAATCGTGTTACGCATTGGATTTACCTCAGACGTATAGCCCATAATAGCTTGACAGATCCCCATGGCCCGCGGGACGCGTTGTCATAATGTTCCATGTGGTCTAGAGGACGTGGCTTCGTGAACCAACTCCATTTCAACTGACTGAGGCCTAGTTTAGAAAATCGTTAGCGACGGTTGTCTTGGGTAATAATTTCAAGGAGTCTGATCACTCGCTTACATTCACCTAATACCATAATCATTGCTGCTCTCATTACTTCAGAGTAGAAGGAAACGATGGTGTTGATAGAGAGAGAATATGGCCATTGAGGTAGGGGCTGATTTTGGTAAGGTCGGATTGTGCCCACAAGTGCGGCAATCATCACAATCACTAGAAAGAATGAAGCCATCTCAAGCCACCATATCTTCACCAGCGTGATGCTCTTGGATGACTGAGACTGGGGGCTTGGTGCTGCCTGACCATCTTGAGTTGGATGCACCTGTCCTAACTGCTCTGATTCGGATCTCTGCTTGGGTACATTGGATAGTTCTAACGGAATACTTCGAACATCGTTCTCCGTATTAACGAAAGTATCACCCAAAGTTACATGTTCTGTTTATAAAATTAGTCAAAATAGTCATTGGACTCTGTAGGTAGATCATATATGACCTGTACTTAACCCCATCCCTGCGAGAGTCCTTGCGGTCCATCCGCTCGCTGTCGATGCTGTAGATGGACGCCGATTTAACGGTGCCGGACTGTGATGCTCCATGTAACTATCCAAACTAAATCGAATCGTCGTACGAAGAAGGATACCTAACAATTTAGAATAAAGGCGATACAGACACTTCCTAGACTAGTTTTAACGAGTAGGATGTGGGAGCATGGCAATTATCTACCAGGGTCCTAGTACATAGCACACTGGTTAGTAGGGGGCGAGAACTTCGTGTAACTTCCTCAGGGGACTCACTGGTAGAGAATAAAAGCTGAAAATATCATGAGTATTTTTGTCTTGACGTTATACAGCATATGCAGTAGTAAGTTACTTGTGGCTAATATTCCGGCCAATTGGGAGTAGCATCAAAGCAGACGATATTCGTCGTGTAGCACGGCGTTCACCGATCAGGGCTCGTACCGCCTTGGCAGACGAATGATCATCTCCTTGAGGGTCAAATTTGAATATCCTTTCTGTTACTGTGTAAGATGTTAGTAACGAAGGGGCCGTACTCTGCTGGGGGCCAGCCTAACGTAATATACTATGACCTGGAAATAAAAGGAGACAATTCCAGACATGTGATTTGGTGACGGGCTTGCATAAGCGTGGCCGCCACGTTTTATACCTATTAGTTATGTATCTGGTGGGGGAGATGATCTTGAGTGGAGCTTATGAATGAAGTAGGGGATGTCCGGCAAGGCCCATAGATGACAGAAATCTTCAACGCTGTAAAGCCCCTTCATATTAGGCCAATTGCTCAATTATATCGAGCCTCAGCCCACGAAACATCGCTATAAATAGCCTTCCGTTGGGCTGGCTCATAGTGAATCTTTCAAGGGGCTAGGCGTTGATGATCGCATAGTTCCTGTGAAGCCCGGCGTTCTTGATCAAGAGTCAGTATCTCAACTAGATAGACTTAATATATCTTTCATATTGATTCAGGTAACTGCCTACCTACCTGGGTAGATGTTAGGTAGTTGCCATTCTCCGCAGGAAAATTTCATGTTCTGCGAGTCATATATTCAATAAATGGTTGTGGCATTTTTGCCTCGGTCGATAAGGAAACCCAGCCAGCTCCTGATCAATACGTGACGAATGTTCATATTCTCGCTCCTTTTTGACTGGTAGTATACAATGATTATCGTAGTACACGAAGCCTCGTCTTTTCCTATCCCGACAAGGAACTGATAAGTCCCTGAATGCATAAAAACCCCCAAGTAACGCCAGGCCATGCCGTTCGAGTGAAGATGCTTTTCCCTAACGATCTCGGGTATAATGGGTAATTGGTGTCTTCGGTGGACACTCATCCCATGGTTAGGTAAATTTGAGTATTTAATTTGGTTGGAATCGACGTCGCTACCGGTCCTTGTACACCTTCGGCTTCCATCCCTCTTTTGCTTCCGCCTCCTGTGCAGCTTTTTCCATAGCAGGTCCGACCTCGACTTCTATTCGCTCTCTCGCTCTCAAAATTTTACTCTGTAGGTAGAAGCTGCCTCCCTTCTGCGGATCATTCTGGTCGAATAGTTTCTTGAACCGGGACATGACCTCCTCCATATTCGCCTTGCCTCCCTGAGGCGGCTTAACGTTTAAGATCTTGCATGCCTCGTCTAAGGTCATGCCACTGGAGAGGCTTGCTCGAGCCGACGGCGCATTCGGGTTGATTTTCGCTTGCGCGCGGGCGTAATTAGAAGAAGCTTGTGCTTGCTTATAGGCTTCGGCGAAGGCGCGACCGAGAACTCGGCTGCCTACTAAGACGATCTGGGTTATGATGCGGTGCGCCTGGGGAAATTGTTAGCGGGAATAATACTGGTGGCGCATCCACCAATTCACTCGATTCACTCGGGTACAAAAAAATCTTGTTCACAGACATACCATCTTTATTGCATAGAGAACCAAAGCACTGTCGAAAAGACCTATACGCTCAATGAAGATGTAGAGCAGTATACCGGGATTGAAGAATAAGGACGACAGAAGTGTTTCCTTTCGGAATGTGTTGAGAGAATAAGAGGTCGTCACAACTGGAAAATTGTCGCGATAACGGTTCGATTAGAAGACCATGTCGGATTTGGTGCTCCGGAATTCCGGCAATGTTCGTTTGGTGGGGTTGGACAGAACGAGGAAGTGGATCTTTTCTCACTTTTTAGCCACCCAGCCACCCTAACACCGCCACAGTTTTTGATATGACGGTAGCCACATCAACAGTCAACAGCCACATAATACAGGGGAAGCTGCAACCAAAAGAAGGTTACGTATTGACCTTGTGAAGACAGATTCATTTTGGCGACTTCTTTCACCTAAATTACTTGTGACCTATTTTCCTGCGAAACAACTTTGTCTACTACAACTTCTCTCCTATAATTCATAACACAACCAACCAACTGTTGCATTCGCTTCCAAGATCTCTCATGCTTTCTGAATAACCAAAAAACAATCCATCCGGCACGACCTTTTTTTTCCTATTCTACTGCACGATCCCTGCCATTGCAAGTCGAGAGTTACTTCGACTCCTGGCCCACCAAACATGTCGCAATACTACGGCGCGCCTCCTCCAAACCAGTTCGTCGGTGGTGCAGCAGCAGCGCAAAACCTTCAATTCTACCCTTCTACATATTCGCCAGGTGTTCCAGGTCAAGCAACTGCGGCGCAATCATATGGATATGGCGCACCTACGCCTGGGCCTAGTGGGTATGGGGGTTTTGGTGCCGCGCCGGGCGTGAGTGGAAGGATGGGCGAGCAAGGTGGCCTACGGACAGGTTGGCTAGCCGCCTTCTCGACGGAAGGATATGATGGAGAGCCTCCTTTGCTAGAAGAATTAGGTGTCAACTTTGATCACATACAAATGAAGGTGAGCTTTCCGCGCTAGTTAACTAATTTCAACTCTTCGACAACAGCACTAAATATTGTTTAGACCCTAGCAGTCCTCAACCCCTTCGGACGTATAGATCAACACATCATGGACGACTCAGACCTCGGCGGCCCTATCCTCTTCTTCCTTCTATTCGGCACGTTTTTACTCTTCAGCGGCAAGGTGCACTTCGGATACATTTACGGACTAGCGTTGATGGGATCGGTTGCGCTGCACACAATCCTATCGCTTATGTCACCCGACGACTCTAATTCTACATCACCTGCTGTACCAGCATACTCGGCTACCCCAGGCTATCCAAGCGATCCTAACGCAGGCGGCAGGGATGATAATAAGGGACAACTGAGCAACAACTTGACATTCGCGAGAAGCGCAAGTGTACTTGGGTATTGCCTACTCCCGCTAGTTATGACTAGTCTTGTTGGCATTATTATACCGATGGATGGACCGCTCGGCTACATCTTGACAAGTGCAGCTATCGTATGGTGCACAACAAGCGCTAGTGGTATGTTCTGCGCCGTGGGACGAATGATGCAGATGAGGGCCTTGGTGGCATACCCGCTCATGTTATTCTACGTCGGCTTTGGTATTATGAGCATTTTCAGCAGCAGGGGATCCGGTAGCCTGGGCAAAGCGGCAGGCGTGTCATGAAGCACTGGTCAGTCATCGAAAACACTAAACTATTAGTCTGTCGACGTCCAATAATAGTAGAGGGAAGTCTCTAAAGTTGGGCTCGACTACGATGAGACACCGCCCTATATCAATAGATGGATAGATTTGGGCTATGGATAGCTTGACAGCAGTCGGAGGCAGTCCTGGGGAAGGCGTCGTAAAAGGATGAGCAGAAGAGGTTGATGTTAATCAGAATTAATGTCCCATCATCCATCAGGTATAAAGGTGTACAGCATTGAACGAATAATATAATCAAAGATTCAACAAACGCTACATATTTCAATGTGTTTGCCCCTGTTTCATAGGGATACATAACTTATCACAAGCGTCGCGATGAATTTAGGAAGGAGATACTTCGGTACCTGCAGAATTGCACGTGTCCGGACTTCCCCCAGCCAACAAAGTGAGCAAAATGATCCCCGCATTCCCAATTTCAACCTAACAACTTAATCCACAAGATTAGGACACTTCATAATACCCATCACAGCATCTATTCAATGTCATAACCATAGAAAACTCAAAGGAGGACTACATATCCCAAATACATAGATAGATAAATCTACCCATAATGGACCTACCCTCCCCCCCAACCACCGAAACCCCTCTCATCATCCCTCCCGCCACCGCAACAACCACCACCATCACCGCGCGCAAATCCAAGTACCGCTCCTGGACCGAAGACGACATGGCGCAAGCCCAACACGCCATCACCGTCGAAGGCATGTCCCTCCGCAAAGCCTCCCTGCGCTTCCGCGTCCCCAAAACCACTCTCGCCGACCGTCTCGGCAACCGCAGACCTAAACCCCCACCCCGCCGCTCCGTCGAAGAACACAAGCAGCCCACGCGCTACCAGTGGACGGAAACGGACATGGCGAACGCACTTGCTGCTGTGCGCGACGGCGATCGTGTCGGTGATGTCGCGAGACGGTTCGGCGTTCCGCCGAGCCAGCTTAATGCGCGGACGAGGGGACGCGTGGGCCGCGATCTGCGCGGCGAGATGTCGAGGTTGACGTTACGGCAGGAGAGCCTATTGGCGGATTGGGCGGGCGCGCAGGGGGCTTTGGGGTGTCCGCCTACGAAGGACGAGGTGTTTAGGCTTGCGGAGAGGGTGTTTAGGTTGGGGCAGGCGGATCGCAGGTTGGGGAAGCAGTGGATTGGGCATTGGATGCGGAGGTTTTCGCATATTGAGGTTTTGGAGTGGGAGAAGGAGAAGGGGAAGGGGGGAGAGAGGGAGGGAGGGAGGGAGAAGGAGAAGGAGGTGGTGGATAAGGGGAATGGGAAGGGGAAGAAGAATCAGAGTCAGAGCCAGAGGGTTACTGAGGTGGAGGGCGCGGGTGTGGATTCGGCGATGGAGTATTCGATGAGTGCGTTTGAACCGGTTATGGCGCTTAGCGATATTTGCTATGAAGCTGGCGACGCTTGATTGAGGACGGTGTCGATTGAGAGCGCCGTCGCTTACCTATGGATTCAACCCTCATTCTTCTGACTAGGCACTCCCTCGTTATTTCGAAGTCAGCCTTATAGGTGCTATGGTATTCGACCGATGATGCTAGTATCGTCGGTCATGTCGCCTAAAGGTTTGAGGAGTTGAAGGACACATTATGGAAATGACATAATGACAACGACAATCGCCACGTCACCTTGTCTCGGACTTTCTGGCATTACGTCTATTTCAAGACAAAAGATCACATTCATGGCCTGGTAAAGGAAGAAGTCTTTTACAAGGTAGACATCGAGTCACGGGTGTATTTCAAATACCGATATCGAATTTGGGCAAAGAGGAGAAAATATTTCCCCAAGGTCTAGTCAAACTTAGGACCGAGATCAGTTTCGGAAGACTCCCAGTTTGAATCTCGGCTTTTAGCTAGGTCTATCTTTGCTTATCCTTGAAAGACACGTGGAGGCAACGCGGATCGACCCTGATTAAAGCGGCTGTCAAAGAAGGGATACGAACATGGTTAAACTTCAGCCCGAGCTGCCCGGCAAACAAAGCTAACTCCGAAGCCAATCCTACGCTGTCAAGGGAAGGGGAAATATGCTCCCGTCAATGACCATGTACCGAGCGGATAGATCCCGTCGTTCGAATGTATATCTCCTGCAAGAGACTAGGGTATTATCTTCAAGGCCTTCGAAGTTGGAACACATCAAGGTATTATTATATTTCTAGAAGTCCGAGATGGCATCAGTACTAGTTGGTTGATTGTGGGGGATCAGATAAATAAGAGACCCCTGAAATTTAAAGCTTGGCATTTGCGGGCCGCTGGGCTGAAGGATCTCGAATACAGATCTCGCAATTAATTTCTATAAAAAGGTAGGTGGTATCGAATTCTTTTCTTCTGCATATCATCTACTAATCTACTACCCTGTTAATGTATTGTGCTTACATGTAATATTTACTTACCTACCTCTTATAGTACCTGTACTTGTTTCAAGGACATAGCATAAAAGAAGACCTCCGACTCACGGCGTACATGGTAAGGACAGCCTAACTGAATGTAGGTCTATTCCGTTCAAGAAAAGATCGGGTTCGGTTCGTTGCTACGCTTAAGCATTTCGGTACTACTCAACCCTGCATCGGCTACTCGACGCTAGACCACGATGTATCCCTGACCGTTCCTACATAAGGCTCTAGGCATTGTACTATGATGGTAGGTACCACAAGTTACGGCCGCCACACACGCAAACGCTTCAGCTGTTGTGTCACTTCGTAATAGCACTAATAACCAATGATTCGGCAGTGACGGGAATCCTACTTCTAAATCTCCAAATTACCTCCTAGTCCGCGATAGCTCCGGCTCCAACCCTCTCCCCGCGATCCTTTAGCTCCCTGTCGGCCCGTACTGGTGTAATTACTTTCCCAACGCAAATTCAAAAGCAATTACGCGTCCTATCATTTTGCTTCTGGGGTTAAACAAGATACGACAAACCTTTATGAATTGCTGCTGATTATGCACGACGAATCCCTCGCATAAGGCTACCATTCAAAGCCTGGTACCTCCATGTATAATTCATATGAAATATAATACATAGTATATCACCGTCGTCGAGCTAAGCTTTGGAATAAATAACCCTGCAGCCACCCACGAGTGCAATTTTAACGTCTTGTCATCCCTTGAGCCTTAACCTCTAGGGCTCTAGTGCCGTTTTCATTTTTAAAAAGATCTACTTCTCGCGCGTCTGCTTCTCAATTCTCATAGATGAGAACATACCTTTTAGGTACCTAGATGAATATGGCGGCGACAGACGACGTAAAGCGTTCTTCTGATGGGAATGAGCCTCGGCCGACGTCCGCGACATACGAGCGACGTGTCGAAAAAGATGCTCATCTCGCCGCTGAAGAAGGCTTCGTAGCCACTGACAGGTGAGAGCTATGGAGCTCACGAGATGTAAACCGCGCATATGCTAAAACTCATCATAGCAATGGCGAGCCAGCCGTTCAGCTCGACAGACTGGCTGAGAGGAAGCTTCGGAATAAGATAGACTTGATGGTTGTACCTACAGTCTCATTAATATATCTCTTCTGCTTCATCGACCGCACGAATATCGGTATGGCATTGCTCTAGATCACAAATTCGCTCATACTAATCAGCTCAAGGTAATGCCAGGTTGGCCGGACTAGAAGTAGACTTGGGCATGTCGGGGAACGACTACAACAAGCTTCTTTCTATCTTCTTCATCTCCTATATCATCTTCCAGATCCCGTCCAATTTAGCTTGCAAGGCGATTGGTCCGGGTTGGTTTATCCCCTTCCTCTCCCTCGGTTTTGGTGTCTGCTCGTTGGGAATGGCCTTCGTTCACAATTTATCGGCGGCTTGTGGTGTTCGTTTCCTCCTCGGCCTTTTCGAGGCCGGCATGATGCCTGGTATCTCATATTACCTCTCGCGATGGTATCGTCGTTCCGAATTGGTCTTTCGGATCTCATTATTCATCGTGATGTCCCCATTGGCCGGTGCGTTTGGTGGACTGCTTGCTTCGGGGTAAGTAAACATTTCAAGTTTATTAACTTTTTTTTTTTTTTGGAAAGACTCTTGGAAGGAAGAATGGAAATAAATATAAATGAGATTTAAAAATAATGTCAATGTTACGACTGGTCGTAACTAACTCATAATCTTATAGCATCCTCAGTCTATCAAACATTGGTAGCGTCACAGCTTGGCGCATGATTTTCTTGGTCGAAGGAATCATTACCATGGGATTATCCCTGATCGCCTTCATCACATTAACCGATCGCCCCGAGACAGCCCGCTGGCTCTCGGAAGAAGAAAAGACCCTAGCCATCGCCCGTGTAAAGTCGGAAATGCTAGGACAGTCTAAGGTGCTCGACAAGACAGACCGCAACAAAGTCTGGTTAGGGATCTGGAACCCTGTCGTGATAGCGACAGCCTTCATTTTCCTGTTTAACAAGTATGTGCACCCTTGCATTATACCGAGTATCACCAACCCTTGCACCATAATCACTAACCCAATTCTAGCATCACCGTACAAGGTCTCTCCGTCTTCACCCCCACCATCGTCGCCAGCATCTACCCGAACTACACGACGATCCGAAAACAGCTCTACACCGTCCCCCCCTACGTCGTCGGCGCCGTCTTCGAGGTCGCCATCCCGTTAATAAGCTGGCGCACCGACCGACGGCAAATCTTCATCATCCTAACCGCGCCTTTCACGATGATGGGGTACATAATGTTCCTCGCATCCAAGGACCCCAAGGTGCGGTACGCCGCGACTTTCTTCACGGCGATCAGCACCTTCGCCGTCGGCCCGCTCGTCAACGCGCAGGTGTCCGCGCAGGTCATCAGCGATTCCGCGCGGTCCATGAGTCTCGCCACGAATATGATGCTAGGCAATATCGGCGGCTTAGTCGCGACTTGGAGTTATTTAAGCTGGGATGGACCGGATTATCCTATTGGTAATGGATTGAATCTGGCTGCGTCGACTATGATGTTGATTATTGGGACGGCGACCCTGTTGTGGATGAAGGCGGATAATAAACGGCGCGATGGGAAGGATGTGAGTAAGGCGTTGGAGGGGTTGTCGCAGAGCCAGATTGAGAGTTTGGAGTGGAAACATCCTGGGTGGAGATGGAAGCCTTGAGTTAACTGTCGCTGAGTATTACTATGGATAGGTACCTGTTTGGTGGATGAGGTTAAAAAGGGGTATCTGTATGGATATAGACGCGCATGTGGGTTATCGAGCAAGCGTATAAAAATGGGATTGGGTTATGGGTTTTAATATCACTAGATATCTATCGTCTATCTTTCATATATACCTAACAATTTTGTTACTGGTGTAATGAGGAGAATGAATGTACAATAAATAACATAATATTCAATACAGCACGCTCCCTGCCTACCTAGACCAGTCGCCACGTCTCCCTTACGATGTCGACGCAACCCTCTTGAATAATATCTCCTTCGTCGGGTCGGGGAACGCGTCGGTTCCCATCTTCAGGTTGGCGTAGCGCTCGGTTAGACCCGGCGGCATCTTGATGTCGTAGTCGAGGAGCACGCGCGCGAGGATCAGCTTGATCTCGTTGGCGGCGAAGAATCGGCCTGGGCAGGAGTGTCGTCCGTATCCGAAATGCATGAAGTCCTTGGTCACAGTTACGAATTGGTGCTGCTCCTTGTTCTTGTATCCTAGCAGGTCCTCTGATGTGCCGTTGCGTAGGTTGAGGAATCGGTGGGGGTCGAATACCTATTTGGTGTTAGCAATCAGGTTTACCTAGGTAGGTATACATGGTTGTCCGGTCGGGGAGTTTCTTACCTCGGGGTTCCGGTATACTTCGGGGTCTTGCACAGTTAGCGCGTGGGGTGTCTCGATCATGTAACCGGCTGGGAGGTGGGTGCCGTCGCTGAGGGTCACGGGCTTGGCGACGTAGCGTTGGAATCGGATCATGCTTCCAGGGTTTACGCGCTGCGACTCCTTCATGACACTGTCTAAGAGCTTCATCTCGAAGAGCGCGTGACTTGTCATGACGCCGCCGTTGGCTGCGAGGACCGTCTCGATTTCCTCCCGTACTTCTTCGATTACGTCGGGTCTGATGACAAGATCGTAGAGGCTATCGTGGTGATGTTAGTACAGGTTTAATTCCGTTATGGTCCTAAAGAGACGTGATCTTACATCATAGTAACGGTTAGCGTCGTAGTGTGAATAGCAGCCATGCTCAAGTTCAGCTGTGTCTCGGCGAGGTTGTCATCAGATAGACCGAATTCGTCGACCTTGTTCAACATCCATTGCAAGGTGTCGTCGGGTAGATCGTGGCCGGCCGCCATGGCCGCACGCCGTTGCTCGATGACGGGCCGGAGGAAGATGTGCGCCTTCTTGCGCTCGGCGAACAACTTATCAACCTCGGGGGTAAAGTATCGGCCGAACCAACGCCACCGTCGGCTCCACTGCTTCAGCTTGGTCACGGCATTGATAAAGTCCAGGGTGTAACCAATGCTAGCTTTCAGGTAGTCCTCTGATCGACATAGCTCCGGTCCGATGAAGATAGCGCCCGAGATGGTAGCTACAATGGTCAACATCGTCTGATACGCCACCACGGATGTCCACTCGTCGCTAGACTCCGGCAGGTTCTCGCGGATTGTACGAGCGGTCTCATCCGAGAGACGTGGGTTGATGCGCACTTTAGACCATTTTAGTTCAAGTCCCAAATCGACTTAAAACAAATAGGTTGTGGGAAAGGCAGCTTACCCAAACTACGAGTTAAGTCGCCGCGGATAACGTGAATGAGAAATTCAGTCTGCCGAAGGTCTCCCATGCCAAGATGTTTCTGTTCGTTCATCTATGTTTTGTATTAGTACATCCATTTGAAACCATCATGAGGAACTACGCCAAACATACAATATCGAAGGCCTTGTTGATGTTAATAACATCATCCGGAAGCTGCCTCACTTCCTCCATGAGACTCCGCGGCAAGACGATACGATCGCCTATTTAACATCATTAGCATCTTCTCTATCCGCCGATGCCATCTCTAGCGACAATCGTTGTTTCGTACCATCGAGTCCAGTTAACCTAAACGCCTTTGATCTAAATAGATCGTATCCCTTCTTGTAGAAATCATAGCCGTTGGTGATGAATGCCTTCCTTCGCTTCTCCGCGTTTCCGACCTCCGTGCCTACTAGCGGTATATTCGAATTGTCGCTACCTCCGACCAGTAGAGATGCGATGAATGCGGTGACGAGTATCACGGCGACGGACGCAAGGACTGGTCCTCGTTCCTCGACTACTTTTGCGATGGCCTCCATCGTGTTTTTGCTGCCACTGCCAAAATCTGAGCAGCTAAGCAGAACAAGAGGAAATCCAAACGGATGCGGGCGGTGTGGGATATGTAGTCTCTGGCCGCCCAATGGTATGACATCTAATGCATCGTATGTGCCCCCTAGTCAAGCCTAATACATGGGTTAAAATCCGACGAAGAGAATACGTACATCCAAATACGAAAACGAATACTACAGAAGACGCTTCAGAGGCATTGGAGCTTCAGGCAAGTCTAGAGCGATCAGTCAGCAAAAAGGATGGATAGTCCCTTGTCTGAACCCTGGTATGTAAATTTCTCGGGTCGACGAGGGTATCCCCCGCCGAATCCGAGTGTCTACCGGGGAATCAGAGAGGACCCATTCGGCGATATTTTTGTCTACCTACATACCTAGCAGCCTAGTACCTACATAGCAGCATACTGCGAGACTACGAGACCGAGGAGACTGCCATATTGGCTGGTTCGCGGCTGATCTACGCCTAGCCTTCCTTAGCGAGCCTGTTAACTTGAGTTGCCCCATAAGGGTCGATTCGGTATCCTTGGTACGGTCGTAGGGTTTAGGCATTGTTTGGTTTTCGACTCCAATTAGTCTAGCTTCGAGAACACTTAAGCGGCAAGGTTCCATCGAGTCAATAAGGAACGCTGCGGTGGAACACGGCTCACCCAAGAGCCGAAATGGGAGTGTGGGAGAGTGGCTCAGCACAGATGATCGACGGCACGGGACTTATTAGCTGCAGATTCTCGCCAGCCTATGACATGTTTCGGGATACCTAGTACCTGTAAATCATCTTAAAGAGTTGCCTACTCTACCTATCTATCTGCTGCACTTATCCTAAACTCTTCGAAGCTTTTCGTTCTTCCTTGAGCGCGTTGGGTGTTTCGTATTCGCGACTATTATCTGTTATGGGCTCCACGTGTTGAGAAAAAATACCTATCGACCCATGCAGGATGATCAATCTCGAAGGATTCGATTAAGATCCTCTCCAAATTAAGAAAGCAAAGCGATTATGTAGACCCCGTCTACACGATAGTAGAAAACAGGCTTCAAAACTCAGCCCTGGCGCAGGCTAGTATGAGACCAAGGACCGTTCTACTTGCATTAGAGCTTACGGGGAAGTGATCTGGCAAGGATGGCGAAGCGAAAAGGCACTCACTAAATGGGGCATCTCGATATATATTGCACCAATGCCAGAGTCGAGAATTGTAAGCCATACCAATTCAAGATATGCCCCATTAAATCCGAGAGATAGCTTCTGACGTAGTCTTCTAACTAACAACCTCCTAATTTCACGATATGTCCATGTTACATACCTGGAGCTTAGGTCTCGACAACACATCTCGAAGTGATTGAACGATTCCTCGCATGATCCACAAGGTGACGCACAACACTCCTACCACTCTTTACGTGCCTTAGGTAGAGAGTCATGTCAAAGAGCATACTTGCTTCACCGCATTACGAAGGGGATGGTCCTGAACCCGAGAGCCCGATCATACAACTCCCCGAGAGCGATTGTTATAGCCGCCAACTGTGTCGGTGTTGATGTAAAGACCGAAGCAGTATAAACTTCATCTATAAACTTACTTGGGCGGTAATCGAGAGGAGCCCATATTACATTATGCCCTTTCCATACCTACCTAGTACCTAGTATATTCCAAGATTTCTCGCCGTCCAGGCCACAATCGTTCTACTTGTCCACGGCCCAATTCCACATTTTGAGACACCGATGATTCTAGTCGGATCTAAAATCCCATTAGGTACTTCAGTACGACCAGTTTTGATATCCAGATATAAGCTGGTACTGTCGAACGACATCATATTTACCGTACGATCAACTATGATCTCTAGCTTCGTCAACGATTCTTTATTAGATGAAGTTGGTAAAAGCAGAGGGAGAAGTCGCAGTCGAGGATCGAGCATGGGTGAGAGGTGTTGACAGCACAGCTTGACTATGTGTCAGTGAGTTTCTACATAGATTATAGTCTGTCTTTGCTCGATACAAAAGCTTTCTCAATGGTCAAAATAGTACCTACCTACCTAACTAGAAAGTGGATAGAGTGCCTCACTGCGCCGCCTTCTCGATAACGATGCTAGGTTGAAAGCTACCTACCTAGGTAGGCATCGATAATAATAGAGCCGTGAGATTCTTAGCGTGTACTAGTTACACTAGATGATCTATCACTGTATAAGATACATCAGGCTATTGGCCCAGTACAAGTCTTCATCTTCACATACCTAGTAGATAAGTTTAACGTCATATGTTCTAGAGCCTACCTGCTAGCCATGAAGCGCCTTAGCCGCCGAAATTGTATGGGGTTTGTGAAGAGCTTTACAGATCTTATCATATCGTAAGACGAGTATGTAGCTAGCTTTTAACTGGTACGTAATAATGGGGCATATTTTGTGGCTATTGAGGTTGACCGGGGTGGTTAAGTCCATACGTACCTCTGCTCCAACCTGCATAGCTCTTCATTTTGGGGGGTAGAAAAGCCTTAGAAGGCGGGTGACGGCGGACGATAATCCCGTAGCTACTTCTTAACGATCTTCTTGACAATCTTCTTATCTTGGCGATCTGAGACATGGCTTTCTCCTCTCCGGACTATATCATCGTGGGTGGCGGCACATCAGGCCTCGTCGTCGCCAATCGTTTGTCCGAAAAGTCCGATGTCCAAGTATTGGTACTTGAGGCCGGCAATGACCTCTCCGCCGATCCTCGGGTTACCATTCCTGCTCTCTTCACATCCCTCATGGGTTCCGATGCCGACTGGCAATATAAATCCATTTCGCAACCAGGCTTAGGAGGTCGGTCTATCCAGGAGCCACAGGGAAAAGCACTCGGTGGCTCTTCAGCCATCAACGCCCAGGCATTTATCGCTCCAGCTCAAGCCGACATCGATGCATGGGCGAAGCTGGGTAATCCCGGATGGGACTGGGCTGGGCTTGCGCCGTTTTATAAAAGGTCATACACGCTGATACCACCCTCGAATCAAGCCACGCTCGAGCATCTCGGCATTGATTGGATCGATGATGAATACCGTGGTACTTCGGGGCCTCTTAAAGTGACATTCCCAGGCGTTATTGAAAATCCTCTATGCAAGGCATGGATCGACGCATTCCGTGGTTTAGATAAAGCCACAAACGCCGGTGAGTAAGACTCGGCGAAAAGCTTGACTTGCATGAGAGTCCTTATCATTACTGCTAGATCCATTTTCGGGAAAATCGATTGGAGGCTACAGTAACACGGCAACCGTCGACCCAGAAACCAAAACACGGAGTTACTCTTACTCGGCATATGGGGCTCCTGCTAGCGAAAGACCCAACGTGAAGATTCTTACACATGCCAAGACTCTGAGAATCATATTCACAAAGACCAATTCCGGCACAGTCGAGGCCACAGGCGTTCAAGTCTTGATCGAAGGTAATATCGAGACATTTACGCCAAATAAAGAGGTTATTCTTGCCGCCGGTGTGTTCAATACACCGAAGCTTCTCGAGCTCTCTGGAATCGGTGATGGGAAGCTCCTCGAGCATCATGGGATTCCCGTTCACGTAGATCTTCCAGGCGTAGGAGAGAATCTACAAGATCACTTGATGACGGGAATGAGCTATGAAGTAATCGACGGTGTCATCACAGGGGATCCTCTCTTGCGGCAAGAACCCGAAGCACTCGCCTTAGCCCAGAAGCTCTACGTCGAGCAGAAAGCCGGTCCCTTCACCATCGGTGGCATGCAGTCTCACGCCTTCATGCCTACTCCAAACGCCGCCGAGCTACTTGACCAGCTTCCCCAATCTCTGAAGCCTGAAGATAAAGAGTATTATGACATAGTCCGTTCTATTCTTGAGAAACCGGACGGTAGCTCGGCCGGGTGGCTCATGTTCCTAGCACAGGCGAACCTGCACGAGCACGGCTCGAGCTTCGTCGGCTCGAAATTACTCCCTGAGAACTTCGCTAGCCTAGCCTGCGTGCAGTCGCACCCTTTCTCCAGAGGCACAACACACATCTCCTCCGCGGACATCGACGCCGTACCCAGCATCGATCCACGGTACTTCTCACACCCCGCCGATCTAGAAATCATGGCGCGTCATGTCCAATCGCTAGACACTCAGCTACGCCCATCGAAGCCACTAGCGGCGTTCTTCAAGCCCGACGGGAAGCGGAACCATCCAGATGCCTTCCACATCGGAGATTTGGATGGGGCGAAGAAATATATCCTAGACACGGCGGTCACTGCGTACCATAGTTGTGGCTCGGCGGCGATGTTGCCTAGGGAGAAAGGAGGGGTGGTGGATCCGAGGCTGGTCGTGTACGGGACGGAGAATCTGCGTGTTGTCGATGCGAGTATCTTCCCGCTGATCCCTCGTGGTAATATTATGTCTTCTGTATATGCTGTAGCTGAGAAGGCTGCGGATATCATTAAGGGACGTTGAAGAAATCAATATCTGATAGCTGGTGCGCAAGAGATTGATTCATACAATCATATATGATGACACACTCCTGGCCTTGTATCAACCAACTCAACTTAACGTCCACCTGCTGGAATCGTAAATCTGTGGATAGGAGGTATACGGTATGCTACGTACCTTTGCTACTGATCTAAGCTTTAGTCATAATGAGTCCACATCTTGATTCTCCTTGGATCTATCTCTAGCCCTACAGGTGTCACTTGTCGTCCCATTTCATATCAAGTAGATGCGGGAGTGACTAATACCATAGATATGATTAGTAGGTAGGTATCGGTTGAGTCAAAGACTCGGAACTCGGCTCATGCGTAGAATGATTTGACCTTAGCATCAGCATGGCAATATTAATCGAGGAGAGCCTCAATAACTGCGATTCCAAATAGAATCGGCCCTTCCCGCAGCAGGTGTGTATTAAGGGGGCATACTATGGCCTTCAAGCATAACACGACCACCAAGTTCACCTGTATAGCTAACGCCCTTCCGCTCCAATCCCGTTTGTCTGTAGATGCACAATATCGTCATATCTCGTTTTATTCCTGTCATATGGTCTAGTAGACTCGCTTGGCAGCCGGAATATAGGGCTATCGTCCCGTACTCTCACCATGCGCCCCGGATTTTCTGCGCAGGTATAAATGAACTTTCCCCATACCCGTTCTCCAATCGGTTCCCGTTTCTTCTAGGATTAATTCTCGGAACCTTCAAGTTTAGACACCAATAGATCTATAGCCAATCGCCTGTACCCCAGATATGAATCCTGCCTTTACCGGCTATATTACCCCAGAACCCACCGGGCCCACCAAGCCACACAGAGACCTCGTCTAATATGTGAAAAGAGGCATAGACCTTGGTCTAATCATTCTCGGGGAATTCTTAATTGCGGCTTGTTGGCCTTGGTGGAGGCTTAGGGCTCCTGCTATGTGCCTTTAGTATATCATATTCGGCATATCGTGACATGCAGTGGCATGTTAGGGTGCATGGGTGATGGACCATCGCGTATATATACGCGCGATGGAGCCTTCAGGGTCGATGGTGAATCCACGGTACCAAACCAGGTCACCAGTAGATCACATCGTACACGGTTCGCGGCAACTATAGACAAGATGAAGTTCTCCTTAATCGCAGCTGCGGCATTCGCTTTGTCCGCCGAGGCTCACTGCATCTTCCAGGTAACCATTCCTGACATACAACTCAAGGAGAACCATATCTAACGAATCATGACGTATACAGGAAGTCTCAGTCAACGGCCAGAAGCAAGGCTCTCTTGTCGGTCTACGTGCACCCAGCGACAACAACCCCGTCTACGATGTGACTTCGCAAGGTACGGAGATCTGAATCACAACCATAGAATCAACACCCGGGTAAGACTGACATGAACCCAGACATGATCTGCCAAAAGCAAGGCACAACCTCCAGCAAAGTCATCAGCGTAAACCCAGGCGACAAGCTCGGCGCCTACTTCGGGCACATCATCGGGGGCGCCCAAATCCCCAACGACCCAGACAACCCGATCGCGCCGTCGCACAAGGGCCCGATCACCGCCTGGCTCGCGAAAGTCGACAACGCCGCGACGGCGAGCAAAACCGGGCTAAAATGGTTTAAGATCTGGGAAGACACCTTCGACACATCGAGCAAGAAATGGGGTGTGGACAACATGATCGCAGCGCAAGGGTGGGTGAACTTCGCGCTGCCGCAGTGCATCGCGCCGGGGGACTACCTGATGCGCGTGGAGATCCTGGCGCTGCACTCGGCGAGGATGGCGAACGGGGCTCAGTTCTACATGTCGTGCGCGCAGATCAAGGTCGGGGGCAGCGGGACGTTCGAGCCGACGTCGACGGTCAGCTTCCCCGGCGCGTACCAGAAGAACGACGCGAGCATCGTGACGAACATCTACGGGTTGACTGGCCAGCCTGATAACGGCGGTAAGGCGTACAGCGCGCCGGGTAATGTGCCTGTTATCCAGTGCTAGATGAATAGGTAGGTACCTACCTGTATCTGCCTGTACCTAGGGAGGTAGGGAAATAGGAACGGGGATAGGCCGATTCGCCGGCGTTTGCTGGTATTGAGGGGGTGGCTGTTTGGTGGCTGTCGGGATGTTGGATCCCGTAACAGCGCCTATTCTTATAGGTCCATAGCTCTATCACGACAATTCCAATGCGCGCTTTGGCTATCCGTTGGTGTAAACATGGGAAAAGGGGATATTTCAAACGCGTAACTTGAAAACAAACCCGACTCACCTAGGAGCGCCTCTCATTTGTTGATGCTATTTTTAACAGAGCTGGATCTATTCACCGTTCGAGGTGACGAATGAGAAAAGGGAAGGCCTGCTAAGCATTTACCGGCTGAAGCCCTATCGGGTCGCTAACAGGCCGACCAAATCGGGCTGTTTGCAACGTCACGAAGCGCGCTCATTGGTCATGGAATAAATATATCGATCTCCATGGATGGTTACACGACATATTAGATTTCCTGGTCGGATATGTGACCAAAAATGTTGGCGATGAATGTACATATCTTCATTTTTTTGGACATTCGCCTTGGTGCCTTACCTACATCCACTTTAGGAACACAAGCAGGTTGACTTCTGCACAAGTTAGCATAAGTCCATCGAAACATAATTCGGTGAAGGTTCTTTTTGAGCCCCTATTACCTACGCATAGTGGTAGGACTTGTAGGACTCACATGATGGTACCTGTGCCTCCTTAAAGCCGTTACTATTAACGGGCTAAAAATGCATCATCCGTGCGCAGTGGCATTGCCTCGAACTAGGAGTTACCTAGACCAGCTGCTAGGATACTCGCGTGGGTACCCCATTGCCCTATCATTAGTTCAGCCCTTGCCGTTACCCGGATCCAGGGGTGGTGTTTCATCGACTGTTCTTTTCACACTTCGAACGTTTCCACATCTGCGGGATACGATCCTTGAGAAGGATTTACGTAACCCTGCCTAGACGGCATTCCTTCGCGAAGGGCTGAAAGACTGGAGAACTAATCACTTGATTCTCCTCACAATCTGTTTGAAGGGATTGCCTTAGGAGCCGTATGTTGCACTAAAAAAGGGTCCTTTGGAAAAACTAAGCCTTGCCGTCTGTTAAACGCTCGGATCGACCCATAGATGTGGTCCAGTGGAGTATGATCTTTCGTCAATGGTGACAAGGGTAGTATGCAGGCGTCACAATCGTTCCAATCGTTGTCTTGAGTTTCCGATGGAGTAACTGAGTCGGAGGGGTTGGCTGAGCTAGGCTGACTCCATTGGGATGACAGCGGTACTTTGTATGATGTGGCTACCTGAAAGTGCATGAGACTCGAACCCTTTAAATGGTTTCGAGCCAGCTAGAGCAGAGTGGAAATTACTAAGTTAAAGCGATGTCATGATTATAAAACTTAACAGTAATATCAAGAAGTTGTATGTGGTTGAATGAGACACGCATACTAAGAAGACGATCACCAAGATATAACACGCCAAAATGGCGCCGCCGACGTTACAAGCGTCAAGCAGCGTCTTGAGCACGAGCTCCACCAGCGAAAAGGCTGTGGAGCAAGCCGAACAAAAAGAAATCGAGGCAACATGGAAAGAAGTCCAGAACAAAGTAATCGAATTAGCTGGCGGAGACCCGAAAAAGGTTCAGACGCTCGACATCAACTCTGTTCTGAAATATATCGACAGCGTGCAAGCTTCTGATAAGAAGAAGTCGGAGAAGTTCGGTGCATTCAAGAGTGTCGTGAACAAGACATTGCAATGTATAAATACTGTAGGAGGGATAGTTGCCGAGGGTGCCTCAACCGTAAGTGGACTCGTGGAGTCGAGTATACTCATTCGCCATTTGCTAAAAGTCGGTATAGGTCTTCGCCCCAGCGGGGATGTGCTACAACGCACTCACATTCGTCATACAAGCATGGCAAGGATATGAGGGCATCTTCGAAAATCTCGCTGAGCTTCTTGAGAAGTGCACCGAGTTCTTCGAGCGTCTTGAGTCTTATGAGGGACGCATGGACGTGAGACTCAAACGAGTCGCAGTTCAAAATCTCAGACTATTCGTTGAGATTTGCGATCGCACTATTAAGTTACGTAGGAAGCACAACAAATTCCTTGCTTTCACGAAACAATTATTCTTAAACGACAACGGCATCAGCGACCTACTTGGCATGATGGATAGGCTTAACGCTAAGGAGTCCCTCCTGGTTAATGCGCAGACATACAAGCTAGTAAGCGACAGTGCTGGCGATATCAAGTTGATACTCGACGGCCAAAAGGAGCAGAAGAAGGAACAGGAAGCGAAGAAGTGGCGCACGACCATCGCTAAGGCGCTAGGTTTTCCACCAAACACGCTGGACAACGATGGGGAACCGATTCCAAATTGGCAAAGAGCCTTCAACGCTCGCAAGAACACGCTGGTTCCCGAGACTGGAAAGTGGATCATGGATCACGAAGACTTCGTAGAATGGTCGAAATCCACCGTCCCAAGCAAGCCTGTCCTGGTACTAGGGGGTAGAAACGGCTCTGGAAAGACGTCGATGATGGCCAACACGCTGAGATTTCTTAGAAGTATGAATCGGGCTGGCCCTACATCTCGCGCCGTTACGGCCTACTTCTTCCTGGAAGGCGAAAAGAAGAAATCTGACGATGAAGAGGCTAGTAGTAGCAGACTAGAAGTTGTTTCGCGGACGTTGCTCTGGCAGATATGCACTGCCTACGAGGCAATGACTAAATCTGTCTACCAAATCCTCGAAAGAACACCCGATTTCGACGGCTCAATCGATCTTTGGCAGCAGATATTCATCAACAACAAGGAGCGTCTAAACCCGGACACGACATTCTTCCTGTTTATCGATGGCATCAGCAATGAACTTCTACCACTGCTCCAGAGGTTGACTTCTATAGTCGATAATAAGATAGTCCGCATCTTCTTAACTGCTCCTCCAAAGATGTTTACCGAGCTTGATGGAACAGAAGGAATTAGGACCAACACAATTCCGATTGCCGATTATAATGCGGATGATATTGATAAATACATCAACTTCCGTATGGACAACATGCCAATCCTCAAAAATGATGGCCGTGCTGGAATTTCCGAGTGGAGAAACAAGATTCTCGAGACATTACGCTACAAGTGTGCCGGCGATTACTTCAAGCTAAACACAAGTCTCAACTCCCTTGCGAAGGTCGATCTTATCGATGACATAGAGGAGGTTCTCGCAGATGCCGACAAGACCCGGGCGGACCAGATCGACGCTGAGATTCGTCGACTCAACAACATCCGCACCGTTAAGGAGATCCAAGAGATCAATGAGATTATACAATGGATCGAAGCTGGTCGACGCTGGCTGCCGGTCGACATGATGGAGTCTTTCTTATCCGTAAAACATCGGAACAGCGCCGTAGCACAACCCCTTACTCCTTCGCTAACGAGGAGAAAGACGGGCTTGTCAGATATTGAGAGCACCACCCAAGAGGCCACACCAATGATTCTTACAATATCTCTACTTCCTTTCGCGCAAAAGCTTGGAGAGAAATATCCTATCTTCACCGTTACAGATTCAGGTTTTGTTGATTGGCGTTCTTCCGAAATCAAGGAACGGGTTCCGATGAAAGGTTTCGAAAGAGACTCGAGAGACTCTGGATCTGGGCTAAGTGTAGTTACGTCCGGCCCCAAGATCATCCAAGAGTCTGAGATCAGCATCGTCCGTCATTTCCTCAATAACGTGTGTCCGCCTGATCTCTATCAACGTCTCGAATTCGAACAATTCTTCGACATGAAACTCGGCGCAAAATATAAGGACTACATCAGCCTTGACCTTGATAACGCCAACATCAAAATCGCATTAACCTGCTTGATCGTACTCACGGAAGAACAGCTAAGGAAGAACACATCGGTTCGCCAGTACGCGATGTATTGGCTTCTCGACCACCTGCAGGATGTCGATCTCTCAGCCGCCGACCGCGAGTTAAAGGCACAGATCGGCCCACTTCTCGTCAAGCTCTTTACCGAGGAATGCGGAATCGACTCCATGTTCTGGCCGTTCAATCTCAACGTAAGCTTGCATACTTGGGACTGGGACGAGTACATCGATCTCCGAGAAACACGAGCCGAATGGCTGTACTCCATGTCCGGTGTCCAGGAGATATCCCGCTGGTTACGCGACTCCTCCGTGACGAAGTACATAACCCACGAACCGGGTCTTTCATTCGTCGAGGCCGCAAAGTCGTCTTCCACCAATTTACATAAAGTAATTCTTTCACACGCCGCTAAGCATATGGCAACACACCTATTCCGTCGTGTGGAGTTCACGCCTCGCCATTTCTGGTGCGCATGTTGGTTCATCCGCGGATATCTATCACGAGTAAGCCACCCTTCCCTACCAACCCCTAACAGCACAGATCCCTAACAACCTCACCAGCTCAACCCCGAAAAATCCTCTCAAATGCCCAGCGACCCCGACGCCTACCGAAACATCAACGACCCCGCGTACGAAGAATTCGAAAACCGGGAATTCACCCTCGAAACACTAAAGCAAATCGAAGACTGGGCCGCCGACGAGCTTGAAAAGACAAACGACACACCGGAGCAGCAATCCAGCTGGGAGATCCACGGCGCATTAATAATCTTCCAACTCTGCCACACCGAAGCCGACGCAACGAAGATCTACCAAGCGCGCGCGCAAAAAGCCGTAGACCTGAACCCGAAGAACTGGCACGCCTGCCACTTCCTCACGAAGCAGCCGAACACAGGCAACGAGGAAGCCGTGCGGCTGCTCTCGCAGGCAAAGAAGGACATCGACGAAGTGCGCGGGCGCAACGAGTTCTGGATCCGGGACAGTGCGAACTCGGCGCTTCTCGCGCGCATAACGCTGGATCTAGGGGACCGGTTGTGGGACTTGGGCCAGGACATGGCGCTTGCGGCGGCGACGCACCGGGAGAGTCTGCGGTACAACTACGTGCATTTCAAGGACTACTCGAAGGTGTTGACGCGGTACCAGGCGCGTGGGGCGTGGGATGAGTTGATTGCGTTTGTGGAGACGCTGAATAGCACGAGCGAGACGTGGGCGGCGTATTTCGACGAGCTGGTGTACGAGTTCGTGGTGCAGATCACCAATTCCGAGGACGCGAATGTGCTTGCGCAGGCTGCGGACGCGACGAAGCGGTGGGATGTGATCGAGGCGTTTTTCACCCTGGCTATTGATATGGGTGTTGCGCAGGATACGCACGATCTGCTTTTCTTCCTGCGCGACGGGTTTGCGAAGACGTTGGAAGCGGCTGCTGATGGCGCGCAGCAGGATAAGGTCATTGCGATACAGGAGATGGCGTTGGGAGATGTGCGACTGCATCGTAATGATAGTTTGTCACGGCATTCGGTCGACGACATGACGAACGCTTTGGCTCGGACATATCTGGATAAGGCATTCCAGCCGGGTCTAGCGATCGAGCGGGTCGATTCTTACGGGTCTCTCATCGCGAATCTACTGCCCGACCCCGATTCAACCGATGGCTGTGACCTGTGGACTGGCACAATCGCCGTGTGCTGTCTGATCCGGTACCATCACCGCCGCAAGACCGATTCTCATCTAGCACGCGGTTGGATCGAGCGTATCGTGCGGGAGATCATCGAGCTACTGTCTGATGACGATGAGGAGAATGACGAATCCGCATACTGGTTGTTGGCGCGGTTACTCACGACCATCGAAGATACAAAGAACACGCGGATCGTATGGGCGATGCGCAACGCAGAGCAACGCGAAGCGCTAATTAAATGGGAGAGTTGGGTTGCTAAAAACGCTGGCACAATTACCGACGTCACTGCCAACGGCGGGCCAAAGGACAAGGAGCCGCAGCAGCAGACGACCCCGGTCATCCCACACAGCAACGGCTTTGCGAATAAGAGCGTGCAGAATGTAGTCCGAAACGGCCACAGAAGCCGGAGTCAGAGTCCGAAACCCGGTGGAAAGGGTGAGCATAAATCTCAGCCGAGCGAAGTTATCAGGGAGCCGACGCCTGAGCTGAAAGCGCCAGAACCCGCTTGTATTAGTGATGACCCAAACCAGCCGGGTTGGTTCGTGTCCTGCGATGGGTGCTACAAACAGTGGACGGTGATAGACGAGCCGGTGTACACGTGTGCGGATTGCCTGGGTGCGACGCAGCTAGACGCCGAATGCTATGCTTTGCTTCTTAAAGGCGAACTGAAGAAGAAGGGTATCAATTGCAAAAAGGAACACACATTCATCGAGCTGCCTAATTGGGATGAAAAGGAGTATGAGGGTATGCCAAAGGGATCCGTACCCTTGCCGGATGGAGAGAAGGGAAAGAAGTGGATGACACTTGAAGAGTGGAAGAAGGAATTGAGGGGATTGTATCTGAATGGCGATGGAAAGGGGGTTACTGCATAGGTGTAGCATTAAGGGGTAAGCGAATACTGCTTGGTTGTTAGCGTGCATATGGGTTGGGCAGTGAGATTGAACCATTCAATTAATAAAGAGAGATGTATCTTGCTCTAACTCTATTCTTACAAACAGAAACTCTTAGGAAAAGTTCTTCTTGCCTCAGAGAGATCACATGAGTAACCAGACTTTGACAATATCTCCAAAGCACAGACAGGATAGCTATTCAGCACAGACCACCTAAAATAAACCTTATTCCACATGACAAGAAGGTATTCGAAAGAAGAAGATATCCAAGGTACGTTGAGGGATTGGCGTAAAGTTATCGCCGACATATGGTACCGATCCAGGAATTATAGGTATTTTACGAGTACGTTTAGGATCATATAGCGGTGCTTGATCGATTGTACTACATTTGGTAGAGGAGGTCGATAGCGGCGGGGAACATGATCGATGATCGCGCGGGGGTTTTTCTTCTCCTTTTCCCTCCGTTTCAGGCTCGTCCTTGAGTTGTTTATCTGCACAACGCGCCATGGCTTCCTGATTTTGTAAGCTTAAATACGAATAAGTTATCAGTGATAGGTGATATAGTTGCGGTGAGTATGTTAAAAAACGGATAGGTAATTAATATTTAAATAAATATTACCGTAGGTGATACAATAACCCAAGTCCGCCAATGAAGCTGCCATGTTTTTCAGGAATTGGTTAAGTCACTGGACACAATAATATTTAAATGAAATTTCTTCAAATTGACGCTTCCATAAATCAACGCTTGTAAGACTCAATAGGCGGCACGCTCACCACAGCTGTCTCATTCATCCCGCCTCCTCGATACGAGTACGTAAAAGTCCAACCGGATCCAGCGCCGCCATGCTCGCCTTTATTATTCACAACCACGATGCCGCTCTGCACTTCCGGGTATTTTCTCAGCATTCTCTTTACCGCATCCTCAGCAGCCTCGCCGGGACTCATTCCCTGCCGTAAGCTCTCGACCGCTTGGTAGCACGGTAGAAAACGCATCATAACATCCCCGTCTCCCGTTGCCCCGCACCCGCCTACCTCTCCATCAACATATGATCCGCTGCCCGTAATTGGTCCATCACCGACGCGTCCGGGTATCTTTCGACTAGCTCCATTTGTTGAGGTACCCGCGGCCATGATGCCCGAGACATGTAGCGTAATCATAGATATGGTGTCGTGGCCCTCTGGAGGTCCTTTACCTCTTGGCCTTAATTCCTCTGTATATTCTACCCCATCGTCGGAACTTAAAGCTACAGGCTTGTACGGACCACAGGAAGAAGCCGGGTCGGGCGACACGTTGATGCGGTAATTCGGCTGGCAATTGGCGACGTGCCACTGGGCGCACGACGTGGCTGAGGCTTCTGTCGTGAGGTTCTGGGCTGTGAACCCGTTTTGCACGGCAAAATCAGTTGCAAAGTCCCCCGCGATAAGTGTGTGAGTCGTATGCTCGAGGACGGCACGGGCAACGGATATCGCGTCCTTGATACGCCGGAGAGCAGCGACGGCACCAGACTTTAGAGTTGTGCCATCCATTATCATCGCATCGAGCGTTGTCTGTGCGAGTTAATTGCCTAGTCCCCTGTACCTTCAGAATTGGCCTAATCCTCACCTCGCAGTTCTCGTCTGGGGAGCCACCATAACCTACACTACCATCACACTGATTGACCTCGCATGTAGAACAGCCGATCTCGACGGCGTCAAGAGCCGATATGTCCGGCTTCAGAAGAGATAGATACGCTGCATCTGTAGCTGCAGTGAACGCCCCGCCCCAAGTATTAATGACCATCGGTAGACCGGGCGAGTTTCCCATGGCGTTCGTGCTTTGAACACTTGTTGACGCCGACGCCGACATTAAGAACACCAGGTAGTTTAGTCCAACCGCATGAAAATACCCCATATTGATAATGATAAACAAAGCTAAGGGGATGAGATATAGGAGCGAAGCGGCCCCATGGGAAAAATATGTCATCGACATCGGAACATAGCTAGCAGTTTAAAATGGTATCCAAGGAGGTACCTATGTTTACCTTGAACGGTATCGATGTTCTAGTAGCCAAGATTTCTCCAATTCCTTATCTTTCAGCGGCGATAGGGACTGTCTCATTGTTGTTGTAGGTGGGATGCTACCTGTGCTAACCCACCGAGGCAGCTGAAAAAAAACCCATGGATACTGCCCAGGTATCCATTGAAAGATCCCCGCTAAGGAGCAGCTATTCAAACCGCCTTTTTCACCAATTCAAAATACAGACTTCCTAGAACGATCATTTCCAACAGTAAATAATTTCATATATTCAACGTTTAATAAATGCGACATGGGTATATTTCGGTATCATTAATCCAATTCGACATTAGCAATCGCCTCGTTGATAAATATATCATCGCAGAACACTAGTTTTCGCTCGCCTCGGTTATCGGACCCAGGCGTGCCTGGAATTGATTCTTTAGGGTCTATACTCGCCCAGTCGATGTCTTCGCCGGCTTCGCTTATACTGGCTTCGCTGTCGGTTTCGGGAGGAGTATAGAGTCCCGACCGCCCCATGTTGCGTTTAAGCAGACACATCTCGACGGCGATTCCTGGACCAAACGCGCAGCCGACTACGTAATCTCGTGCCCGGCCCTCGGGGGCTACTGCGTCCATATCTTTGCTCCTTAACCGGTTCATCACGCTGAAAATAGTTGCTGAGCTTGAGTTTCCATGGTTCATATATGTATCATAGCTGGCGCGCATATGCTCCGGCGATATACCCATCACTTTCTCAGTGCCGGTTAAGATAGTCAAACCGCCCGGGTGCATCGCCCAGTCAAAATCGGGCGCTTCCCGATACCCGGTAGGAAGATCCGGAACATTTCCCAGTAAATCGAGGAAACTCGAGTTGAGCACGTCGGTTGTTAGTTTTGGAACCCGAGGCGTGAGTACAACTTTCCAGCCAAGAGGATCCACATCGAAGCCAAGATCGCCTTCGGTGTCCGGTAGAATCTGGTGCTCCCATCCAAGCAATTCGTAAATCGGTTCGGCTGTCGGCTGCCCAATCCCATTACTGAGGATCAACGCAGAGGCGCAATCAGAGAACAGACAAGGACCAATACGCGTTTCTTGTAACTCGTTGATGCTACTAAGTTCGCTGCGGACCATCGTTGTGCTCACCTCGAGGGCGACGCACAAGATTCTAGCAGGCTTACGCCTCATGGAATGGCCTAAAGCTAAATTGGCGGCAGTTCGAAGTATCGTTAATCCCCCAGCGCAACCAACACCATGTAGTAGGGCCTTTTCCACTTTATGAGAAATGCCTAGTCCTTTTGCAACGAAATGATCAAACCCGGGATTAGCGCTATCGGTACAGGTGGTGGAAACCATGTGAGTGATCTCGGAAATATCGATCCCAGCTTCCACAATAGCTTTTCTCGAAGCCTCAATAGCAAGTGGGACGCCATCCGAGATGAAAGTTTTATGAAGTTCTGTTATTGACGGTGCATCCTCTTTATTCACTAACGGGTGATCCGAAGTTCCAATAGATGAGCGTGTGTCAATACCTGTATACTTATTTATATCAAGTACTTTTTGCATACTAAAGCAGCCATTTATCAGCATGAGACCAATGGAGCTAGGAGGTTACCTACGCGGGAGAATCTGGATAGTATTTGGTAGCGAGCTTGTTTACCTCGCTTGCTTTGAGTAAGTATGGGGGATACTGCGCTCCTAGTCCGATAATTGAGAGGCCCAGCTCCCCAAATGTGTTTGGTGACGCCATTATACTTAGCAGTGTGTGGATTTCAGGTGGTTAGGAAAGGCAGAGCTCAATGAGTAGTTGAGAAGCTCAGAGGAAAGCTGTAAAGTGAAAATGAGGATATTCGCAGCTTCAGATGCTTGGTGGGATTAGATATAGAAACTCGGCGCCTGTGCGAGATGGATGGTGATGAATGATAAAGACTAGAAGCTAGAAGCTAAACCTTGTGATACCGAGGTGATCGTAGTAAACGATAGGTCTAACTGAATACAAGACTAATGGATATCTATCGAGTTTCAATACTAGGTATCTCTAATTGAGCAGAGCTGATAGGAAGAAGACAAGAACGCAAGATGCCAAGACTTTTAACCACGATGATGTGAGTCTAGAGGTTGGAAAGGAAGAAAAAAAGAGGGAGCCAACTACTTGGTAAGGAATCTGATAGGAAGGTCCAAAGCACTTGGTGTTTCGGGTAGGTGCTCTCTGATAAAAATTTACCAGAATTGAGGTTGCAATCACGACCGTAGTCGTTGATCGGGGTATGGCGACCGAAAGTTGAAACAGTCATGACACAGGTACTTAATATGAACTGTATTGTACCTCTGGCTGTACCTGCCCACGTTAAAGATTAGCGGCCGTTAGCGTGATTTAGCTCAGGCACCGGGGCAGTTTAGGTGGCTGTTTCCTGCTGGGCTCCAGGGCTCCAGGGCTCTAGGGCTATCAATAAGAGGACCGTGACCCTCCAATCTACATAGACCTGTTGTAGCCCTACATAGTACATAGTACCTAAATGTAGGCAGCCCTGGAGGTACTTGGAATATCTCATTTTTGTGTATCACATATTCAACTTCGAACATTGAAGCATCATCTTTTTTCACCCCTACCTGCCCAAACTATGTATGTGCTTTATCTATCCTGGCATAGTACCCGGACAATCGTACAGGATCGCCATTCCTCACCCACATGATAGTATGTAACTGTGGGTTCTATTTTCGATAAAAGCTATCTGGCTGTCTGGCCATACGAGCTACCGATCATCAAATGGGCGTGCTTTAGTGGTCCCAACTCCATCATCGACGAAATCATGAATCATCTGTCAACTCTATGAGGTCCCAACTCGGCACACGAAATGCCGAATTCCTATCATCCGAACTGGGGTCGATTTTTACGTGGCTCTGAACTCTAATTAGTACAAAGTAGGTAGATCAGCAGTGGCATCAATAATAGCATCAGCATTACTCGAAATAGTATTGGATCTCTACGTAGTACCTGCCTGTTAAGCAAGCCGTGTTCTAGCCCCGATGTTCTAGCCCCGAAGAATTACAGGGCTCATGCAGTGTCAGCGAGCATTCGCTTAGGGCTTATGCAAGGGGCATAGGTTCGCTAAACCCCCTCCATTTTCACATGCATTACACATGGATGCACTGTTGCCCCTTTCAAGGCAACCTTGGAAAGGCTCTCTAATCAACTCTACTCTCCCCACTTGGTACCTAACTTTGTAAATCAACAACACCTCTCATCGCTGACATCTCTACAGTATTCTATCGCGAGGAAATATCGCTACCGTAATGTTTTCATATTAATACCTACCTACCTAGTACCTAATTAGAGACGATGATACTAGCAAAATCACCATTTATTATCCATGCTCTTATTGAGACTGCTGCGGCTTTGTCATTTATTTTCACACCAGACCAGCAACTTCCCGGCTGTAACGTGGCTGCGAAGCTCATTCTACGCCAGTACGGAGGATTACTCCTCTCGACCAATTTAATATGCCTTATTATTCTCAACGAACCAGGATTTTCTGATTTAGCTCGACTATTAGCAGCAGCCCTAGGAACGTATCACATATGGCCGTGCTATCGAGCTTATGTTCGGATCTACCAAAGTTCAGGAGCTGTTGAGAGGAAACCTGCTTTAGGTGGCCCTTATCTACATCTAATAGTGCATTTGAGCTGCTTAGGGCTGTTCATATGGGCATCTATTTCCCCTAGAGTGCTGCTAGAGGCAAACTAAATGCCCTAACGTACTAATGAACGGACGCTAAAAGGAAGATGGGATAACGGTCCCCACTCATTCCATCTCTACATGTACCGAGACTCGTTATACGATTTACACGACATATAATCTTTCGCCAGAAGAGCTTGTCGAATGAAAATATACAAGGAGTTTCCCCGGTCTGCGGAATTGCCTTGGGCTTCTGATGAATTGATAACCTCGGGGCCATCTCAACCGTTCCGATGCCGGTTTTCCCCACTCGTCTCACTATCTCGATCCCGGACTGGGCATCTATCTTAGCGGAGCCGTTACCACAGTGAATGAACACTACCTAGGTAGATAGTGTTATTTCATCTAATGATAGACGTCAATCTATTAACCAACCTACTCGAATTGTACCCAGTTATCCTCGATATTTTCCCACGTACAGGATCCCTTCAGTTCCATCAATCCAAGCGGATTCCAGCAGTTTGCAACTCCATCGACGTGGTATCCCAAGCAAGTTTAAACATCCGGTCGGCTACATGGAACAATCAGCTCTGAAGACCAAGAATATGGATATTGATATATACGGGTACCTACCTTGTTGGCCACCCAAATCCAAGTATCTGAATCCACGCTCGTATCTGTAAACGCTGCGAGTGCCGCTCTCATCGTATTGAACAACATAAGTCGGCCGGGTATAATCGGGCTTTCCCGAGAGAGAGTCGGAGAAGTTATCTGCAAGGACTTGACTCACGAGAGTGCATTTGTTCCGACTCTCGATGATGAGCCTGCGCTTGCCCTGGGCGTCGATAGTTACCGTCACGTTGGCATCAGGGATACACATGTATTCGCACGTAATGTTAACGAACTGTCTGGAAAAGGTCAGCATCCCAGTCAAATTTTCTTGGATAGGAAATAGTTCCGGTGTGCTCACAAGCGAAGGGCTACCGACTCGTCCGTCCGTGGATACTGTAAACTCCTAATAAACAGTTCCATTCGCATATCTTCCAACCTCTCGTGAAGCTCTCGCGCAGCTTGTCTACTCGTAAGCTGGACCGTTATGCCCACATCTCCAAGACACGATGTTCGCTTGTCTTTCAATGTTCCTATTGCTTCAATGGCATCTATTCGTATGAGAGCATGACCGTCATCAAGCTTCAATTGGGTATTTCGCTTCACTATTTCTTCAAATTAGCGAATCTACTCGTCTGGAATTCCATCAAATCGAACTTACAGTGAAGCGTGTTGTTAACCACATCACTCTGCGCCTCTTCGTCTTGCCCACCATAGGTAATAAAGACCTCTGCATAATCTAGAGGTTTCAATGGTTCTTCCTGAATTCCTTTTGTCAACGAGTCTAGGCTTAAGGTCTGATACTGCAAGATCTGGAAATTGTCGACATATTTACGAGAGTAAGTACGACCACCATAGTTGAAGGTGATGGATTCGATTGACTTCTGCGCAGTTCGAAGTTCTCTAAACGATGAAAATTTCGTGTTAGCTAGGTAAGATTGAAACTTGCTGGATTTTAGAGAAGCTTGGTAGGTTACCCGATTGAAGCAATAACACGTTCCTCTCCAGTGTCAGCTGATAGATAACAAAGGCCATTGCCGGAGCCTTGTTCCAGAATTGCATCTGCTCGTCGAATAGCGAGATCCTGGAGAATCGCTTCTTCTAATGTTTGGATGTCTTCCTATATTTAGCAAGGGGCATCAAAATTACTAGTAGTGGTTCACGAACAGCTACGGTGAATTGCGGTAATGTACAGAGTTACAAGCTGATTGGTAACTTTGTCAGAAATCTTGAAGAGAATCCAGGACCGCCTTTCACCCGCAAGTCGTGCAGGGAAAGTGATACGAGACACTATAAACCTATTAGAGACAGGCCAATGCTGTATGTCTTTAATCTAGGTAGGCACTTACGCGTATATCGTTGCACTGCAGGCTGGTGTAGCCCCTGGTTGCCATGATTTCGACATGCGCAAGCTAACATAGGCTCCACATCCGAATACATACTGTCAGTAAAAGAAATCTGATCCCAGTCACGGTTAAAATAAGCTCGAGGGCAAACTATCTCTTTCCCTCGAGCCGTCCGAATGGAAAGTTCGAATGTATGGGATGCCTCGGTGGGCATGTAGGCTGGCGGGCTTGGGACCGACTCGCTATTCCCAACTATCTTTAAGCCTTTGACATTATCCTCGTACCATTCGTACAGCTCTTTGATCATAGCAGAGGATGTCTCAACAGACTTCCGGATCCCAGCTGCTTGAGAACTGATGATTATTAGTATATTTCTAGGAAACTAATGAGTACAGAAAACAATATACCTCGTAGCAACCCCGAGCAAGAGGTTAAGACTGTTAGTGTGGATCATGATTTGACCCCTGAGAGCATTTAGGTCCCCTTTCTCAGTCGTCCACTCAATCTTCCTCCAGTTCCTAGCCACGTGTTGGCTCCAATTACCGATTCCATGAGAAGATGTGGTCGGTTGACGAATCACACTATATTTCTTCACTATATTCTCAAGGTGCGTTAATGTTTTCAGGCAATTTTGAAGGATATTTTTCACCGTGTTTTCGCTGTGTGATTCATCTTTGCCTGCAGATGAGATCGATTTGGGATTGATGTGTCCAATTTCGAGGTCACCTCTTTCTTGAGCCCCCCTTATAGCCTCTAAGGCTGCGCTGAGTGAATATAACTGATTTTCAACCTCGCAGAACTCGGCGGGGGCAGATTTGCGACCTTTGGTGAATGCCTGGGCAAGTTTCCATGCAATCTGGGCCATCATGACCACATCTCCGATAGACGGTGTAAAGGACATTGTTAAGGCCGATCTAGATGCGCACCCGATATGGGGGACCGTAGGACTTGAGTCAAAGAGCAAGGTGCCTACCTGATATCTAACACGAGAATCAATTGGAGGTTTGACGGGCTGTCATGAAAGAGGGGTGGATCCTTCAGTAAGGTTGACTCCCAGGCAGTTTTTAAGGCATTTCTGCTGGCTTAATCACATCTTCAGCGCCTAATGGCGTCGCACTGCCAAGCTTGACGCCTAAGACAATCGAATCCTCCAATCCTCCCCATCGACTCCTCGAATTTATATAATTATAACTTAAAATCCAACATTCTCTGACAGATTTAATATTTACTTACCTACCTAGGTACCTAGACATTTACCTGTACCTATTCATATCGCAAGCCATCAACCATGGCCATATTCTCTGCGGGTATCGTTTGGGATCCCAGGGAACCACTCCCAGCTGAATTAGGGGGGCAACCTCTTGTATCACATTACACTCACTCGCTGTCGCAGAAAATCCCGCAGAAAATACCTTCGGGAGATGATAAAAACAGTCATCTAAATAAAGAGCTCCCCGGTAATATCTTCAAAGAGCCCACAAGAAATTTATTATCTCCCCTATCTGTTTCAATCAACGGAAGTGTTGTGGATGATGCGGCCCGAGTGACGGTATCGCAGGTTTTCTGGAATAATGCCGACATCACTATACCCAAAGCGTCCTACATATTCCCCTTACCGAGTGGATGCACCGTCACAAGCTTCAGCTGTCGGATTGGTCGGGATAAAACTATAAGAGCTAAGGTCAAGCCTAAGGCTGAAGCTCGAGAGGCTTTCCGACAAGCGGTTGCGGCGGAGCGAACAGCTGCTTTACTGGAACAGAATACTCCTGAACTTTTCACAGCCTCTCTAGGAAACATTCCTGTGGACACAAGACTCGAGGCTGAGCTCACTTACGTTACACTATTGAAACGGCAATTTTCACAAGAGAAGAACATCACAGAGTTCTCCATACCGACAGCTATCGCCAGTAGATATGGAAATGCTCCTCCAGATATCCGCGGAAATCTCTCCGGCGAAACACCTAATTCATTCACTCTGCAACTTGAGGTACTGGAAGCTGAAAAGATCCTCCAAATCAAGAGCGACACCCATAAGATTCAATTAAACCAAGGTCTCGGTAAAGTCAAAGCTTCAAATTGGGTAGATCTTTCTGGAAATTCCGAGTCCCCCATAGATTCTGCGGTGGTCAATTTGGACTCTAGTGTGGGATTTCTACACGAAGACTTCATTCTTACAATCGAAACAAACTCCCCTAGCAAGGTAGATCATGCCCACGCTTGGCTCGAGTCGCATTCATCCCTCGAGAATCAAAAAGCTATGATGATCACCATCCCCTCCTCACTCATGCAAGAGAGCAATGAAACGCCTAAGACAGGGGAGGTTATCTTCTTAGTTGACAGATCTGGTTCCATGCAGGACAAAATCGAGGCAGTGAAATCTTCCCTGCAGTTCTTCCTCAAGGGGATTCCGGTTGGCCGAAAATTCAACATCTTGTCCTTCGGGTCTTCCTTTGAAAAGCTCTGGCATAAATCCCAAGACTACAGTTCAAATTCCCTACAGCTAGCCTTGGATCATGTGGCCAACCTAAAAGCAGACATGGGAGGTACCGAGTTGCTGCCTGCCCTCACCGAAATGGTCGCTAGTAGAGATACGTCGTGCCCTTGCGACATGATTGTATTGACGGATGGGGAAGTATGGCGACTCGAAGAAACTTTAGCGCTCGTCCAGGAGACTAGAACAAACTCGCAGGGAGCAGTGCGATTCTTTTCACTGGGTATCGGTGCACACGTCTCACACGCGCTCGTACAAGGGATCGCTTCACGGGGCGGAGGTTATTCTGAGGTTATTTCGAAAGCGAGTACAGGTGGCTGGGAAGATCGTGTTGTGGCTATGCTGAAAGCAGCCCTCACAGCCCACGTTAAGACTCTGGGAATCAAGCTCAACGGAAAGGATAATTATGGCCAACTTTTGGCATCGCCGGCTGAGTTTGGGGACCTTAACCCCTTTCAAGGAAACAGGGTATATTTACTCTCCAAACCCGACTTACCATTGGACGAGTTAAGAAGTGTGGTTGTCGAGACCATTAAGTCCAACGGCGAGACAGAGTCCACTACTATCGCCGTGACGAAACTAATGCAACCCGATACAATGATTCATAATCTTGGAGTAAAATCTATCGTGGATGACGTAGGGTATCCTGGAAAACAGACACTCTCGTTGGATCAGGCAACAGAGCTAGCTTGCAGGTTCTCTCTTGCATCTAAATGGACGAGTTTCTTCCTTGAACAGGACAACCCTGCTCCTAAGGTAGAGGACAAAAACATCCAGGTGCATGATTCCGCCGATGATCTAGACGATCTACTTCAACCACGAGGTATCGTACGAGATGAAACGTCAGACGCTATTAGACAACTTAAGCGATACCCAGCAAACGCAAATTACGATAATGAATTTTTGGAATCTATGTACGATCCTTGCATCGAGGACTTCTCTCAAATCGGTCTTCCAGCCGAGATGCGATCCATGGACTTCGATAATACTTGTTCCATATCTCGTACCATTGTACCTATAGGATACTCTGAATCAAAACGTGAGGCCGTCTATTATGAAAAGAAATCAAGAAAGGCATTACTGCCAGTATTCAACTGGAGGTCGCTTATACCGTCTATAGGAACATCGCGAGCGAGAAGGAAAATGGCATCTGGGAGATTGTTCCACAAGATGAGGAAAATAATTCCAGAATCCGACAACAGCGATGAGCTCGATAAGAATACAGTGGATCTTCAGAGGGAATTTGTGGCGAAACTTCTCTCCTACCAAAATTTCAACGGGAGCTTCGACGCCGATACGAAGTCCATTCTAGGATCATCGATGGCCAAAGCAGTCCAAGAAATTCAAGAACACGCGCTAAAGAGTAGTATCATTAAGGATTATACGGAAGCAGGTATCCTTACTATCACAGCTATCGTCGTCGTCCTTCTCGAGCGAGACCTGCAAGCCTGCAAAGACCTCTGGGGTCTCATGGCAATGAAGGCTACTAATTACGTTTCTAGCCTTGCGTCGGATGAATCCAAGAGAAATGGGTTATATGACTTTGCAAAGAAGCAACTAACTGGCAAAACGCTGGAAATGGAGGGCGCGAAGGCGAGGTCTACTAACCAAGCAACGGCAGGTGTCAAAGATCCCGATGACCAGCAGCCAGAGCGAAGTGTGGTGAAGGTCGCCCCTTTTGAGTAAAGGGCTGAGAGAGAAGTTTCTACTCTCCAACTTTCAACTGATCGTCGCGACAGATATATTGATTCAAATAGGAAGTGGGCTTGTATGGAAGGGGCCAGGATGGCTGGAAAGGCGTTCAATCAAATGTAGTCTCTTGACAGTATCCGATCCGACTACAATAGCCGGATCATTCACTCCTTTCACATGATCTTCTCACATACAGAATTCCTCCCCTAAGTAGAAGTGAATTGTGGGATAAATCACATGTACCTGGTAGGTATTCATCTCGAGGTAGGTACACAAAACCCCTAACCCCTATTCCTCCCTCGCTATCTCAAACACATCTCACGATAAACTAGTAGGAATATGTCATTTAACATGTATTCTCAACGAAAGCCTACAAATGCTCTGTACACTAAGTAGGTAGGTAGGTGCTATATCCTATATCCTACTAATGAGTCCCATTAGTCTTACCCTCCCTCTCTTTCAACGCCTCCCGCACCTTCGGCAGGACATATCGTCCATAATCAATCGCATCATTCAAGTTATCATACCCACGGATCGAAATCAACTCCGCGCCCAAATCAACGTAATCAAGCAGCGAATCAACAATCGTCTGCACGGAACCCACCAACGCCGTCGACGCGCCCCGCGCGTTCGTCGCCGTCACAGTCGGGTACCACAGCGCCCTATCCTGCACCTCGCCCTTACTCGCGATCTCCAGCAACCGCTGAGACCCCACATTCTGCGGCGCGGCCGGCGTCTCCGGCTTCGGGCGACCCCGGCTATCATTCCGTGCCGCCTTCAACAAATCCAGGGTCCGATGGGCCTTCGCCCAAGCCAACTCCTCCGTCTCCGCCACAATCGGGCGAAACGTGACCCAAATCCTCGGCCTATCATCATCCGCGCGTCCGGCCTTCTTCGCCTCCTCGTAAATGCGATCGATCTGCTGCTTCGTCTCCTTCAGCGGCTCGCCCCAGAGCCCAAAGATATCCGCGAGGCTTCCGCCGATCCTGTACGCGTCGTCGGACGACCCGCCGACGGACACGGGGATGTTCTTCCCGTTGACGGGCCGCACTTTGTTCGAGAACCCCTTGAATTGGTAGTACTTGCTGTCCCAGTCGAACGGCTCGTCCGACGCCCACGCGCGCTTCAGGATCTTGATGTAGTCCTCTAACCTCCCGTATCGCTCCTCTTTGTTGAGGAAGTCCCCTTCTCGCGCTTGCTCGACGTCGCTGCCGCCTGCGATGAAGTGCACTACGGCGCGCCCGCGGCTGAGCTGGTCCAGCGTTGCTAGGGCTTTGGCGGCGACTGTGGGGTAGAGTGTGTTAGGGCGGAGTGCGATGATGATCTTGAGGTTCTTGGTCTTGGCGGCGATGGTGGCGCCGATGGTCCAGGGGTCATAGTACGAGGAGTCGTACGGGACTAGGGTGTAGTTGAAGGCATAGTCGTCTAGATTCCGGGCATATCGCTCCAGGAAATCCGGGTCAATAGAGGAGTTAGGGATGGGGTTGATGTCCGTAGACGGGTTAGGGAATGTTAAGCTGATGAATTCTGTAGGCATCTTGATGATCAGTTGCGGGGATTATACAAAACTGGTTTATCTAGAATCTACGTCGGTTTTTGGACTTGAGATGTGGTTATTTATAAGGGTTCACGATATAGCGAATCATATAAAGATACCGATGGCGACAGTTGCGGGAGAATCACGCAATACCACTTAGGCCGGTGCCGGCACGTCGCACTCCTCATCTCAACCCCGACATTATATACAACGGGTATAGTCAACTTTCCATCGTCAGGTTTTTGATTGATAATCGTATGGCTTACTTGATGTTTTTGGTCAAACGCGCGTTTTTCGAGTAATCATACCTGAAGAAGTTCTACGTGATCATCTAGGACAAACGCTAGTAGCATCCTACGAATATTTCTTCATAATGAGCTCATATTTTGCCTTATATCCCATCGTATACTCTATATCATGGAAATGGCATTTTTAATGTCATTGAACTGCTATATTAACTATTTTTATACCTACCTACCTAACACTCATATAGGTACATCTAGGTAGCTCCAGGGGGGGGTTAACGCCCCTAGCGCGACTAGCTTCAAGTTATAGCCCGACTACTCCTCATATTCGCGATATTTATAATAAAGTCTTCATTTTCACTCAATTACAGCACGTGGTCATTCTAGGAATGTATTTTGAGAGCCTAGGTAAAGGTTGCAACATTCCCATTCGGAAAGTATCCCTGAGTTTTTAGAATACCTACCTACTCCCCACCATATGTACAGATAATTTCCATGGGAATTACAGCTTTATAATCATTCTACCTATTTATGAACATCTTCCTAGCAACTTACTGATGGCTTTTTCTTCGTATAGGAAGACACATGATGTATTCATACACTGAGTTCTACGCGACATTATTATAACCATTGGTGTTATTGCCGAAGAATCGGCGTTAACACCGAAGGACATCGAACAACTCAATATTAGGTAGGTAATTCAAAAGATTTATAGATAATAATACGATATCATTGGCTCCGTTGAGGTCAAATACTTTCTTCCAGTATAATGAGAAGGGGTCTAGATCGTTGAGTGTGTACCTGAATGTTATGTGATATAACGTGCTTGAACGACTAGACATTTTAGAGCCCCCCTAGCTGCCTCGGTACTTAGCGGGGATAGCTCTAACACATCTCTATCTTGTTCTTAGACATGAAATATTTTACCCCTATCCGAGTCATGAAGTTTAACATACGTAAGCTAGGTACGTTAAGTAAGCCACGGATGATGCCGTTTCACTAGCCATAGAAATAAATATCATTATTTACCTAATATTTGCTCATATAGAATAAAGGCTAGGATGAATAGTAGCGTTGGTCTCGGGTTCGACCGAGATGGAAATCCATTGCACGGGTAAAAGGAGCCCCCTTAATGCTTTTAGAACTTGTAGCTTACTTCGGCGATGTCTTATTGACTTAGCTGGCGGGTTTTGGCACACATCAACAAATGTTTTAGTCACTAAGGATACTACTAGGTAAGTAACTATCATATTATATAGAGATGCTTCTTTACCAGTACATCATCCGTTACGGTTATGCGGAAAGAAAGTGTTAGTGAGAGGGGTGAAATGAGAGCCTAGGTACGTACAAACTAGATACCTAGGTACCTAGGTAGTATATCGTTACCTAAGTCAACCTCACGTATTATTTCTGGGCAATAACATCAGAGTTCAAATCTGACTACATTATGAGGAGCCGACCTAGAGTTAGCTTCCATAAACGGTAGTTACCTAGATACCTTGCATGGTATATAGGGTCCATTTTAACAGGGTAGGAATAGTGAAGGCGAATGAGAGGGTAAGAGAACGATATATTGTAGTTTTGGCAAAGCTTACGTCGCCTACCTAGGGAACGTGATGCTAAAAGCTGATTACTCAGGCCGTTGGTCTACAGAGTATACTGCTACTAGCAGGGTCCCACGTGTAGTCATTTTGAGTCTGTATCCGTGTGGTCTAGGCCAAGCCGACACCACACCCCTTTGGATTAGGTTTTCCCGATCCCAGTCACCAAGGACTTCAGTCAATTCAAAGTTTGCCAAGAATGCAACACCTATACATTACCTAGGTAGGTAGTATACAGTTGGACTTAGACTTATACGGGGCTTCAGGGGTCTAAGTAAAAAGTCTATCATGGAAGACTCTACAGAAAGTTGATATATTAGATCGGCTGTTAAATCTAACTGGTTTTCGGCAACAGGTACTCTGTAGGTATACCTACTAGGTACGCAGGTGTATATATTTCCCAGGGCTTTTGAGGCTCTAACGAGATAATTTTCTTCGTCTCTACCTGTGTACTACCTATGATGCGTCCGATCTCTCCTATGTAGCTAAGTACCCAGATATTCGTAGAGCCCTGAAACCCAACAAACAAAATATCTGTAGATAGACGAGTGTAAATCTCAATAATAGCGCAAACCGTTGCAATGGGATTCACTACCGGAGGCTATATATCCCATACATGGCTAAGCAATGACTACTCCGAGATCTAGCAACTTAACCCCCAGTGGAGATTGGCTATAATAAACCCCGCGATCTAAGAACACTTGGATATGTTAAAGACCCTTACCATTGTTCTCCAACCAATACTAATTCCCCAGATTCATAAGCCAGTGTTTGTTTGGCCCGTTCATGGGTTCTCCGGCCTCGGCTGAGCAATTTACAGATTTTTCAAACATTCTTTTACCACTTGAATCTTGTTCATATGATTGTTTGTTTCACGGTTATTAGTTGTGTCGAAAGTCGACTGGTGTGTGGCAGGACCGCCAAACCACGATAGGTCAAGAAGCTCACGATAGTCAGGAACAAGTCCGAGACCAGACTTAGACCAAACTTGAGCATATTAGTTAGTTCAAGTCAGTCCGAAATCTAGTGCAATACAATAATTCTGTGACGAAGGATTACCAACATGAACATAAATCTCAAATTAAGAGAGTAGTTAGGCCACAATCTTCTCATGGAGTTGGGAATTGAGTACGTTTTATGAAAGCACATGCAGTCGGTTGGTATAGCCGGGTATGGCAGGTCACAACTTCACGTTGCGATACCCGTCTACCAAACGTAACGTTGTTAAGCCCTACGTATATGATTAAAGCAATAATAAAATTGTTACCAAAATCTGGTACTGGAGCGGCGCAGAGGTAGGGGGTCGATGGGACGACCCAGCTTCAGGACGTAAGCCGGGAACCGAAGAAGGATTTTGATTGTCGGGTTTTGAAACTTTCGAATTCACATGCCACCAACAAACTATTGAAATGTCGAAAAGGTGCCCTCACGTCTGGTACACTTGAATACCTATTGAGCTTCGACTTACCTCCCCTTTCCAGATGGCAGATGCCTTTTACGTACCACCAACATACCCCCTGAACGGCAAAAACTGCCCTGGGGTAACGTGGACGATCAGGGTCCTTTCCGTACGGGTTTGCGAGGATCAATGAGATCGATTTCCCTCCCGTTCAGCGATCCATGGATCCGATGAACTCAAAATCCATCTATTGCGGCCGCTCTGCAAACTAACAGATCTAGCGCACCGACGTTAGCCAAGATGATTTTGGACCACCTGCCGGTAACTGACTCGCGATGCTACATCATCCATACCCACACACCGAGCAAATATGTCATGAAAGCACACCAAACTTCGCCAAAAGAAGGCTATGGTGAAGAAAAAAATGTTTTGCCTAGGACCTACCAACGTAGGCAGTTCCAATTGGGATTAGGGTGACATTTGTTTGTCTAAGGTCTCGGCCTAATTCTTGGAGGTGGCTAGCAAGCGGCTCATACTCGAGCAAACGTCACCAGCGATGACGGATCGAAGGCTCAGCAGGATCTTTATATATAAGAGTCTCTGAGTGGCCAATCCTACACCAGATTAGCAGATCGTCAACCCAAACACTCACTCATCTCACCCTGTCCCATTTCGTCCATCAAATACCCCCTTACCCCTGACGAACCTCACGGCCAAGACCTGCAGCGTCTTATCCACACAGGCACCTAACCATGGTCTCCTTCACTTCCCTCCTGGCAGCCGGCGCCGCCTTCCTCGGAACGCAAACCGCGCATGCCGCCACCGGGGTCGACCCCTCGGTATGCCAATGCTTCCGAACGAACGGAACCTCCCCGGCGTACTTCGCGCACTACAAGTTCTTCGACTTCCGGAACATCGCAAACCCGCGTGTGCCCGCAGCGATTAACAATCGCGCGCAGGCCCTAGCGGCACCTGTGACGCACGCCTACTTCAACACGACCAACTTCACCAACACCTGGTCGATCCAAGCGTGGACGGACTCCGGCGCCGTGTACAACGAGTACAGCAAGAACGACGTGTACATCGAGTCGAACAGCGACACGAACGCGAACTCCAAGACCTGGCTAACCCTCCGCACATACCGGCACCCCGCCAGCAACGGCAACTTCCAGTCGTCCGCCGAGCTGCAAAGCATATCGGGGCAATACCAATACGTCTCGATGCGAATGTACGCGCGCACAAAGGGGGCCGCAGGCGCCGTAACCGCCATGTTCACATACAAGGACGCGGCGTCCGAAGCCAACGTGCAAGAAGCGGACACCGAGTTCCTGACCTCAGACGCGAACAACCAAGTGCACTACACGAACCAGCCGGCAACGGTAAACGGAACCTCGCGACCGAACGCCACGAAACAGGTCAAGATAAGCGGAACATGGTCGAACTGGCGCGTGCACCGATACGACTGGACGCCCGGAAAAAGCGACTGGTACGTCGACGGGACACACATGCTGCAGAACACGTACCAAGCACCCGTGGACCCGACGACTCTGCTCTTCAACGCGTGGTCCGACGGCGGGAGCTGGAGCGGCGCAATGGCGAGCGGGCAAAGCGCGTACCTGCAGATCCAATGGATCGAGCTGATCTACAACAACACGGCGGAGCCGTCAAGCTTCAAGCAATGCGCGGCGGCGAACATCTGCAGCTTCGACCTGGGCACCGCGGCGGGGGTGCCGGCGCTGAGCGGGGCGCGCTGAATCCCGCTAGAGGGATGGGTTCTGCATCTATCCCTCGCCCTGCTAGTTTCGCTCATGCTCTATTATTGAGCTTGGACAATTAAATATCTCTCGGATCGGGGTCGTCTCTTCTCGGTTGAAAGCTGGATGGTTAATGGTATACACGAATGACTTATTGAACGTCGGAACGGGTCTATGAGTCTGGTATAGATGGTGTAGGGAGCGTGGGTTGTGCTACTGGTTAGCATATTTGAGATTTCTTTACCTTTTTTCTTTTATATATAGTTCGGAATACCGCTTTGAATATCAACGATATGTTTTATATGGGTACCTCTTTTCTTGGCATGACAAGTTTGCTGCTACATGTCGTACGTGACCAGAAGGGTGTGTTCACATGTGCTACCTTGAAGATGTCCTTGATTTAACACGTCGTCGGGGAATACCTTGATGGCATGTGGAACATCAATAAACGCGATTAAAATGCCAGATAGGTGCGAATTCCCACGGTGTTCTGTCTAGAATTCTCATGTAATTAAGACACGATACCGATATCTCGACAAAATGTCAGTATAAAAGACAGAGGTCCTTGGAGTAGCTGGACTCACCACACGATGCACCCATTGATGCTTGCACGGTAGATCAACTCAACATAGACTCAGACTCAATTAATTGCTCGTGGCTACATAACAGTCTTCCCAAAGCTATGCATCCGACCATCCATGCGACCCGACAATGCCTTTTTTGTCCTTCCCGACGAATGCATCCTCGACCCAGTCGACAAATACTATTCGCGATGCATGAGATCCAGTACCGACAACGTTAAATAGCCGACAAGCGCAAAACAGATGACATCTAGACGGGGTATTCGAGATGACGAACATATGAAAGGGGAAATAAAAAGAAATAGTGAAATAAATGCCAAAAACCTTCATCAAGACATGTAAGTCCGTACCCGAGGATATATAATGGATGTTTTCATGGAACCGATTACCCAGTCGTCAGATTTCGTGCCTATGGCGTGACCTTGCCTCATCCCAGTCCTTTTCTATTCCTACTTCATTCCCCAACCCCCATTCTAACAGTGCACCAAAAATAATCGAAAAGGGGAAAGAGGAGAATCCCTCCTACAACTCGCTCAGTCACCCATAGAGGCCATTCCAGCCATCGGAGCAAACGTATCATAGTCTTCATCGCTACTATCTATGCTCTCTGGGCTGTGGATATTGCTGATGTCCGCACTAGCCATTCCGCTGTAAAGCTCCCCGACAGAACTACTCATCCCCATGGATAGAATGCTCTGTCGTCTTCCGGGATCGAATTCAATGGCGCTTCCGCTGCGGCTCAATTCCGGTTTCTCGGGGAGCTTCTTCAGCAACCCGGTTGAGATGTCGAGCATACCCATTGCAAATTCGGTCAGGCCTTTGGATTCGCCAGGCTTGCTGCTGACGCTCAAAGTCCAGCGGTATTCCCCAAGCCTACGCCGATACCAGTCGGCCTCCTCACGACCTGGAGAGGTTGCCCATAAAAGCGACCCAAAAGTACCAATTAATGCGAAGTTGGTTTTCGATGCAAAGAACCAGAAAGACCGCAAATGTTGAGGCGTCAAACGATTGACGAAATCCATAGCAGATATCAAACGAGCTTTTGCAGCACTGCGGCATATGTGCTGAACATAGGGATCGACAGCCTGCGATTCCGTCTCTAGAGACCGGATTATTCTACGATGCAGAGTAATTTCCGTTGCGAAGTAAGCCAAGTGCAGATACCCGATGCTCGATAAACGAGTGGAGGTGACACTGCCAGACTGGAAAGAAGAGTCCATGCGGATCGCGGTCGGAAGCGCAGCGTACCATTCTTTCAGCTTCAGCTGGATAGGCTTTGCCATGCCCAAAACAAGGTGGGTACCTTGTGGACCGGCATTGCTGACGTTCTGCATGGCTTCGAGCGTGTAGAACGTTTCCAGTATCTCGGCTAGGACTTGGGTAAGATAGATCATCTGAACAAATAACGTCCGACCTCTCTCGATATCCATCTTCTCCTCCGGCTTCTGTTCGTCTAACTCAGCTTCCGGGAAATCGTTTGGCGCCAGCGGCTGCACGACCCAGTTGGAGCTAAAGATGTGTGATGGTCGTCCGTGAACAAGGGCTCCCCACTTATCTTGCATGTACAGAGCCCAGGCAAGTCTCTTCCTCAACCCCTTCTCCCAAGGTGGAATTTTCCAGTGCGTGCAGTCTAGGTGGAGGCCGAGCTCTTGGGCAATCGCTACGATCTGGGCGGTCGGAGCCCATTGGTCCCCTTCAGGTCGCTGCGAAAGCAAGAGACCGGCCTGCACGGTGGAAAGTTTTGGTCGCCACATGGCATCGGCCAGAGAAGACCGTATTAATCTCTCAAGTTCTCGCACATTGGGTCGCTGGTTCTTAGAAAGCTCCTCCGAGTGGTCCCACCAATTAATGGCGAGGATGTAAACAGCAGCTAACAACGCAGGCGAAAATTCCCGGTAGTTTCGATCGTATTTCTCGTAGAAGATGGTCTTCTGAATAATGGGAAAGGCCGGATGTACAACTTCGAAATACAGGTCGATTAACTTGCGGCCGTAGGGCGCCACCAGCCGTTGAATCTCGTCGGTGTCGTCATACTGATGCTCGTGGCCATGCGTGGCATTATCAGGCAATACCAAGAACGTGTCATTATCGCTCACTTTTCTCAGAGTACCTCGGGCAAGTAAGCTCTCATCTTGAGGGTCGAATGGGGACAGGTTGATCAAAGAGGGTTCAAAGTCGGTGGTAGGGCCGATGTATTGGCTATAACGGTCTTCTTGGAGGCCAAGAGAGCGCTTTAGCAAAGTCGGGCCACCAAAATTAGCCATCTCCTCGATTAAAGAAGTGCTAGCAGTTGTACTTGACAAGCTGGCCTGACGTTGCCGCCTTCTCCTGTTATCAGACCTGGCGGGCGAGCTGCATTGACCAATAATATGTCAGCAATTTTTTCTTGTCCAAGACTCTGTCGACCATGGGCTGCAAGTGATAACGTAAGGATGGGGGTCAACGAATAACGAATGACGGATGACGAATGAAAGTATCGGTGAACACTCACCCTCTTTTCCCGTTACTTTCTTCGGTCGAGTCACGCGCTAGCTTTCTTTTACGAGGCTGAGGGCTCTGGTTTAAAGAGCATGGGATTCCGTGGACTTGGCAAGAGATGCAGCTCTCGTCGTCGTCCCCGATGACACACTTAAATCGCCTTCTCAGACAAGATTCACAAGGGGATCCGCCACCACTTACAGCAGAATCTGAGTCTGTTGAATCATTACTGTTCATACTATTAAAAGATGCCTCCTTGCTATGCGGGCGACTAGGAAATAGCTGTAAAGGTTTAGGAGCAATAGCAATAGGAGCCGTCCGAGGAAGAGTGCTAAGACTGGACATGGCTGAAATTATTAAGCGGGTTGCGCCCAATACCGCTAGCAGTGTTTCCTCGCTGAGGTCGGCTTCGCCGTATCACTGTCGGGGGTCCGCTTAGGTAGACGCCAAATGACGGCTCGCCTGGTAGGACCGGGCTACAAGGTGACAAGGTGATGTAATGGACCTATATCCGGACAGAGGGGGTATGATGGGTTACCGAATGGGGAGTCTGGGAAATGCCTCCTCAAGGAACAGGGTCCGCTGCCGCAATACAACGTCGAATCGTAGCAGAGAACTGCAGATCTCTGCGCTCTCCACTGCTTCGAGGAACTCCCTATGGTACCTTATGGGACCTTATGGGATGCTTGATAAGGAAGGTTGGGATGATAAGGCTGTTAAGTGGCACGGGGAGGCGTTAGGAAACGTCGGGAGACGCAGGTAGGATGTCCAGTGTCCAATGTCCACGCGAGAGTTGCGCCGCGTGTTTCAACACACACCACCCAGACCAGTCTGGTGGGATCTGTCTTATCGAAATTGAGGCCGGGGAAATCAAATATACCTTGAACCTGGATCCCGTATCTCTGCTGTCCTATCGTTTCCGGTAAATAACCACCGTTAGATACAAGGCCGCATGCAGTCCCAAATGGCGCATGCGCTCGTGATTCTTCCGGTCAAGGGGTCAGGCCTAGATTCGCGATTATGCCGCCGCGATAGGCCAAACCAAAGTTAATATATTGTAATTGCTCCGTGTGCCGACGGCTGAGATACACTAGGTGATGATAGAAGCAAGTATAAGATAAGAATGGCTTATCTTCGTCATTGAAATATATATGTATCAGTTAAAAGGGAGACCTGATTGGGGGGGGAAGGGAGGGTAACTAGATATGTATATCTACAAGGAGGAGTAGAAGTGAAGTACGTAGGTAATGTAGGTAATAGAGCCCATGTAAGTTTAAAGTGAGATGCATAGGGAAGAGATTCAGACTAGGTAATCTGTAGGAGGCAGTAGACTAGAGAGTCCAAGGGCGATAATGATACGGACAAGGCGGGTCGGGTCAACTACCTAGGTAGATAGATGACAGCCCGTTGGTTGAAGGGATGAGGTCAGGGACTATCTTCTCTCTGCGGCTAACTCTCCTGTACTTTTTTTTTCTTTTTCTTTTTTTTCTTTTCTTTTCTTCTTCTCTCTCTTGTTCCTTGTTCCAAAGGGGGGCAAAGGGGGGGGCCGATCGAAAGTCGACTATGATCGTCCTTTACCGCTAAAACATCAATTTGGTAATACTAATTGAAGTTGTACAGAATATTGGTAGTCATAATGATAATGATATTGAATGTATCGAATGTATTGGTGTATTGACGTTATTCAGAGTACTAGGCATGGTAAATCGTGCAGGCTGTGAGAGAGGAAGAAGCAAATGACATGTCATTTGCCTTAGGAACGAAAAAGGGAATGAATTCGAAACGAGCGAATTATAATGGAGCAATTGATAACCTAAAGATAATCTTATCTTTGATATAATGACAGAAAATAAATTGTAATAATGAAAGTTTCGGGATACATTTCCATGAAGTTAGATCAGAGTATGCACCTTACCCGTGTTAGTTCGTGCAATGTCGACGGTACATCGAAATAACATGGGGGGTAAGAAGACAGCCTCAACTGGGATGGGGCGGTGGCTAATGGGGTAACCCGGATTTCCCCTAAGCCCCTAACGGCGACCTGGGGGAAGAGAGCACGGGATCGGAGAAGCGAGTACCGACTCGGTACCGGGTACTTATGCGGACTGATCTAATCTATGACTTTTGGGTTGGCAATGATAAATTAGGGGATTCAGGGACGCGCCAAAGCCTGCTAAGAACTGCTTCCATTACCAAATAGAAAATATGCCTTTGGTGGAATACGGCTAGTAGCGCGAATATATTTAACGTAATCGTTCGACTATCCCGAATCGTGCAGGGTTCCTTAGGGTTCCTTGGGCAGAGAAGGGCGAAATAGAAGTGGGACAATAGGATCAATTAAGTACCCGGAATGATGAAAATGCTAAAAATGCCATTTTGCAGTTTCGTCAATCTCGGGTACCTAATAACAAGGAGAGTCCAAGTCCCCATTATGGATGTACGGCAAGTCCAAATATAGTCCGTATACGGAGCTCGAGTGTCTTAGCTACTAGTTGTCCATCGCATTCTCTTTCGATTTTTGTAATTGTTGTGTCTATTACAAATCGCAATGTCAGTTCAGAAGGTGGTAGGTATAATAAATTATGTGTGCCCAGGCAAGTGCGTATGTACCTGGATGTACAATACTTGAATGTAAGAGCACGTGCATTTCTTATCTATGAGCAAGGTACATATGTACATATATCTGGGCAGTCTGGGGTAAGGTTGTAGAGAGATTCAATTGTGGGATGAACGCTTCAAGGTTCCAGTTGTGATTGATTTTCTTACATCGTACACAACTCGTTGTTGCCATTAATAAACTGTTAGTAAGTGCAATCGATTGCCTTATATCATAGATTGTGTCGCGCCTGAGAATTGAATTTGGGAAACATCAACTCAATTATCAGAGTTTAAGAACGAGAAGAGGGAATTAGATAAAAACCCTAATCTTACACTGCATAACGAGATGCATGTCGTATAAATCTTATTTTTCTTTCATTCATTCTTTTTTCTCTTCCTTGCCCTTACCGCATCACCAAGTTTCCACCGGCTGCAAGTCAACAAGTATCGTTCCGAAGGATTCGGTTGCATTTTCGGAAGAGCCAATGATCCTAGCGTTAGCGTCTTACAGGCAGAGTGAATTATGTCACCGTCTCGGTCCTAATAGGGCATGGCATTTCTTGGGGACCAGCCTAGGACGTCACCGCATCATCGGTAAAAAACAGCGAAAGAAAAAAGGAAAAAAAATAAATAAAGATTAAGGTGTCAGGGTATGTATTCCGAGTTTATCTATCTGTCAGGTCTGTCTGACAGCCCTGGCATCTATTCCACATAATTCGACCAAATTTCTGGGTCCCCCACGATCCGCTATCAGCCACCATCTATCTCCCGCCTATGATCTCGCTCCCCGCGTGCCAACCCGGCGTCCAACCCAGTCTTTTGTCTGACCAGCCGGTGCGATCCCGCCGTGGCTTGCGGTGGTCCTTGCGATGACCTTGGTCCCGATGCAGAATTGCTTTTAACCTATCCCTGCCCCAGCAGCCCAGTCCCAAAAATGCCACAGACAGACAGGCAACATGTTAGAGAGGCGAAGCAGGGTTAACTTTTCATGCAACATAAATGCCCAAAAGAGCTTCTCGCTCCATCTTCCTGCACCTCCTTAAAAACATTAGACAATCCAGAGCTGTCTCGTGATGCGCTGTCACTAGGTATGTATGACTCGAAGTTGTTAAATAAGAAGCACGGCCTCGGATTTTATCCTCGACCCATGGTCCCATGCCGGTAAGAACAATAAGAGCCTCTTGGCGCTAAGGCACCGATGCAGTAATCCTGTGATCCTGTGGAGACTCGGAAAAGCCTCAACTGAAAGAGGCCAAGCCGGGCAAGCGAAGGCAAGGAATCGTTCCGTGCAGGTCTCGAGAAGTAATAAAGAGGCTCACTACATGTGCAACACAGATGTGCAGAGACGGCACAGGCCGCGAATTGGTGCAAAGAGGGTAGTTCCAATAACGACACCCTATAGGAACCCTCGCCGGTCCAAGATCCCGCATTGGCAACGATGACCATGTATACATCACCTATAGGAGGTATAATTAAGGTAAGCAAGGGTACCGTGATACTCTATCACAGTCAAGGTGAGGATGCGTCCACTATCGAACCATGACTGGACTTCTCGCGGTCATGTTCGTGGGGTTGCATATTAACCTTGGTTAAGGCCAGCCTATAAGCTTCTAATACATGTAGGCTCTGTCTCCAAATGCTCGGACATAATGGCCTCGTCAACGCCAATCTCCTCGATTAACGCGTCTTCTGCCGATATATACTAAAAGATGGCTGAGCTATCTCTTGGGCTTCTTGGCTTCCCTCCATCTCACTCGGCAATCACGTACTAACACGAGAATCCGATTTCGATAACCCCAAACTATGCATAGTTATGAATATCAGAAATAAATCATAATAATGTTTCGCTTACACTAATCATATGAGCAAAAGTTACTTCTCGGTGGCGATACGTGACACCGTAGGGTTCGATCGAATAATCAATACATTGACCAGCAAACCCAAGAGAATTACTAGAAATTCCCAATACTTTAGAACTGGAGCAATGATACCTACCTATACAAAATTACTGAGAATATTACGTGTCGAATTCAAACCGAAATACACATATTCGGTACCGATATTATCCATGACGCCTCACGATGCTTGGCAGCATAAAGTTGATAAGTACGCCTTGACAAGTTTTCAGGTCATAGGTCGTAGAAAAGTCAGGCAGTCAACATCATTGTTTTTCAAATCGATGAAACTAATTTCTCGGAATTAACATTAGTTTCTTATTTGAATTCCCTGCTAAATTTCCTCTTGGTCGCCAGCACTTATTTGTCAAGTATTTCATTATTTCTCCGCGAAGGAAGTTCAATGCAATGGTTTTTTACAATATGCTGATATTCTTATAGATTGTAGACGCAGCTTTACAATCGATGTATTCAAGTGTCTTTACAATAGATTTTGTATTATGAGACACTGTCACCGGATTCGTTCTGCAGATACGGGGGAATTTTGTTGGTAATGGCGACACGGCAGCTATCAGTGACCACTGTAACAAGCCAACCGGGATATCGGAATTTCAAATTTAATGGAGGCGTACTCTTATCGAAGCCACATACAAATGAGACCTCGGACCGGGTTCAATGAAGAAGGGAGGACAGATAAGATAGCTGTCTGGTGAGGACCTGGGGGGAAAGATAAGCTCAAAAGAATATATCAAATCGGATCATCTCCTGAAATGAAACTACCCTTTCCCACAGGTTTCATTTCTATTTAATAGATTAACGTGTACATGGTTCATATAACACTGCTGTTTTCATCGAACTACTTCTTCAATACCTATCGTTCGTGTATAAACAAATGAGACCCAGTTCGAGACCATGATATTGCTGACTTAATGGTCAAACAGTGCTGATGATCTTCGCTTCTTAATCGGTTGTTTCGATATCTCCTAGACTTTCCATCTACAATCAACATAGATAGCAGGTCATACACATACGCCTATGACAGCAATAAGTCAACTCACTCGACCAATTTCCTAGGAGTAGACTAGGTACCTAATTTTGGTTACCTTGGTACTTATGGATACCTGTATACCACAGAATGTAGCCTGGTTTTTGTTGCTAACGACTAACTATCTTGATCTCCCCAAGACTGAAGTACTAAAGCAAACAGACAGTTCTTCCTAAGACACCTTGTCAAGATATATCGACTGGCAACTCTCGAATCCCAACCAAACTCGACCCATAGATCTCTTCGTAGCTGTCTCCTCCGTTGAAATATACGCCCTCGATTTCATGACGTCCGTAAGGCTCCAGTGGATCGCCTCGAACCGTTTTCCAGAAGAACCAGTTGGCCCAACCAATCAACCATCCGATATAGAAAGCTATCTACATTGTCCTATACGATATCTCAAAGTCCATCATCGTGTGTCCCTAGCTATAACCCAACCGATCCACGAGAAAGACCATACGCTCAGGGTGTCGCCTATTGCCGCTACTAGTTCCAACAGTATCACGACGTATAACGCGGAAACGGCCGAAGATAACATACCAAAAGAGAATTAATATCCAAGATTGAATAGCCGAATTCAGCTACATACGAACATACCTATAGATTCGGAAGGTCATTTGGAATACAAAACCTACAGAGCAGTAAAACACCCTTAGCTCAGCTCTTTCGACACAGACGAGGTCGCTTGGATATTTCGGGGCCACCGAGTGGTGTGGATGGGTTACCTTGGTAAGTACATGTAGGTGTCTAAGAGCCTGTGTGTGGTTGGGTCGAACACAAAGAGCCACTTTAACAACAGAGCCATGTCTCTTTTAAAGCGATTGCTGGAGATTTCAGTAGCTCCTCAAAGAAGACCCCTTTACCATATCACATAAACACATTCAGTTGAAGCTCTCCGGAACCTATATCCCTTACATGAGTCCTGAAGGTTAAGATGTATGCCTGACTCCCTGGGTTACTAGAACGACGTCTGTGAGATTGGTGTTTATATAACTTCTCGATCTTCAAGATATATATCACAAAGATACAGCTAATACCTAGGCAAGGTGATAGTGGCATCCAGTAAAATTAGGCCACAGAACATTACCTCCTATCATTTACCCCAAAGGAGTTGGGTAAGGTATCAGTTGCGGGACGCCTTGATGGCGTATAACGATTACATACAGACTAACTACGCAGTGACAACACAGGCAGTTGTTACCATAACAGAGGGTGGAATAAACATCACGAGACGTCTATATCATCCTCAAACAAGAAATGCATGCCGGACTCCGAGGAGACCCGGCTCTCCATCATCTTGCATTTCATTGTCATGTTCTTCACCGGAGTATTCTTCGCCCTTGTGGGCGTCGATAAATTAACATTCAGCGCGTGCCCGATCGCAGACCCGTGGTGGATACATATGAAGATATATCAGAACCCGGTAGCGGTTGGCATCACCATAGCCGTAAGATGGGTAGGTATTGAACACGACGGGATGAATAGGAGCGGGCGTTAGGGTGTATATGATGTCAGGTGTATGGATGTCCTCATGGATGGGTAGAGCTAGATAAAAGCGTGGAGGATTATGGCATTAGGTGGTGGGCGCATTTCTATCGTTTACAGGTATATTAAGCTGGGTGGAATGCTTTTCGCGATAACGTTATTCAGGGAAGGTTGCCGGGAGTATTTACTTAAGGTCTCTCCCATTCAACTACCCTTTGCGATATCCTTTGTGATACTATTGTAGGTTCGTGACTTCTAATCGATATATCTATCTAACGGTCAAACTGTCTGAATAGCTTCCCACTAGTTAGATAGACGTTACATATTGAACATTATGCATCTGGTAGAAACAAACTGGGGGGATGTCAACATTATGACTTAATATCCATATTGGCTTCGTTCGGTAATGAAGAAGCGTATCAGCCATGACGATCTGCCCCAGACTGGGTGTCGACAGCCAGCATAAATAAACCAAGATCGTGCAAAAACATTACCAATTATTATTCACTTTTTGTATCGTATGACTATACCACTAATATGCGTATGTGGACCCTCGATTTTCCGACCGGTTCGATCATGCCCTAATGAAAATGCCTCCCGATAAACTCGCTCAGTCCTGACTTGCGCTCAGATCCATACTCTTGTCCCAAAGATTCCGTAAAATTGCTGCGACGCCATCGTCTGCCCCATCTGCATAACTGGATCCACTTATCCGGTCGTGGAGCCTTTCCTCCTCGCCATCGAAACTGGAATTTGTCCCGTTCGCCCGTATTGACACCCCTTGACGTGGCGTGGTAGGTCTCGACTTTGTTTTGTCTATAGCATAATTCTGACTTAGATCAAGACGACCCGTACCACCTATAGCTGACGTCCTCTTCCCATTCACCGTCCCGTTAGTTCCGTTCTGGTTAGGTATGTGCTGGCTTTTATTTGCGCCAGGGAGCTTCGATAGCCTTGCTATCGAACGAGCGATGGGGTTCTGGTATCGACGGACAACAAGGTATTCCATACCCGTACGTTCGAGTAATTTGCCTATGCGCGGGTCTCGGTTATCGTAACCGCTACCACCAACTAAGGGACTAACTCCAACAACTCCAACCCCACCGACCGGCTGAGTAGGCTCGATGGATGAGCTGGCCCGTTGGAGATTAAGTTTTTGCTGCGTCCGCGATTTCTCCGCTGGCGCCGCCTTATATACCGACTTCCTCGTGCGAGGTGCTAGAGCGCTGTCGCTCTCATCGTCACTTATCGATGTTCGGTAGTTTTGGTTTATATTGCCGAGCGACTGAGGCCGTCGCATACCCTCAGGACGCTGGCCTGATGCTCGTGCCGACGCATAGAATGAACCACTCTCTGCCGTTGGACCTGAGCCGGGACCCGAGCTACCGTTAACGAAACGTGAGGTGAGCTCTTCCCCTCCACTGCCTACTACAGCGGCATTTTTAGGTGTCCCGAATAGGCTTGACGGACCGCGGCTAGCTTGAGATTCGGGCGATCCCGAGTTGTGGCGTACAGACACAGTTTCGGCAGACATTTGGGGCGGCGCGCTCGAAGATGGTGTACGTTGCAGTAGACGCGACGTCAAATATTGGTTATGTTGGGCCGTTTCGCGGTCTAGTGGGGACTCTTGTTTGCGGGCCGGCGGCTCTTCGTGGGGGGTCTGAGGTCGCGAATTATCCCGACTACGCGACGCCTTTCCTGGGGACGGTTCGCTACTAACGGCAGATCCGCGTCTTGATAGGTAGGGCGAGGCGGATGCGCTTGCGTCCACCCACTCGTCTTCCTGGTCGCTACCAAGATCGAAATGGACTTGACCCTTTGCGCCTTTTAATTTGCTGACTTCCTTGTGGGACGAAGATCGCTTGAGACTCGTGGCAGATTTGGGTCGCTTTCCTATCTCAGCATGGGAACGATTGCGCTTCAAACTCGACTGGGAAGAGTTATTCTTGAGAGTAGAGGATGATGGGTCGCGCTGCAGCTTAACGTCTGAAGTGTCGCGACGATGTGATTGGGCCGTCATAGGGGTACGTTCAGGTGAGGGAGAGGTAGGGTTTCGTGTCAACTTGGAAGTGGAGGAGGCGGCGTGGTTTTTGTGTAAGGCTTTAGATGATTGTGCGCGTGTGTGGAAACGACCTGTGGCTCCTCCGCCTACAACGTGTTTTTGTAGTTTAGTCCGATGGTGTTGTTGGCGGGATGCATGGTCGAGAACTTGGGAGTCGCTGTTATGGCGATTTACTGCCGGTCTTTTTGATTGGGCGGCATTTGCGGCGGAATTATCGCTGTCCTTAGCCATAATACCTGTAATTTTTGCTACTACACACCCCTAAGACAAGAGTCCGTCTGTCAGCCAGAACAATTCAGCTGCCCAAGCGGGCGTGGGCGTGGGCGTGTCCGTCGGTGTACAGCCAAACGGCTTGGGGGAGGGGTCCCCGGGGATAAGGTCTCGGAAGTCAGGATTTTTGGTACTTTTTGGGGAAAAGATGGGTATGAGGAGAAAGAGGACAGGATATCGTAGCGTGCTAAGTATCGGTCCGTAGAATCCTGGAGGCGTTGTACATGCGATACGACGCAAAGACGTACTGTACTGTACCGTACCTAGGAAGGTCAGGTATGACAAGAAAGAGATGTGTCGGCGGGGGACTGGGTGAGTGGCTTGAAATTTGTCTCAGGTCTCTTCTGACTGGACTGCTGATGATCCCGGCTCGGTTGGATGAAAGTAGCTATTACGAAATGGTAGTATGTATTAATATGTAGAATGAAGAATCGAGTGACATGCAGGAAATGCCATGCAGCTCTATTCAGCTGTTAGGGCGTTAAGGTGGTGTTAGGGTAGGTATATAAGGCAGCTCGCAGCTCGCATCTAGGTAGTTTTAGATTCAGTACTACGGTAGCTGTCGACGATGATGCGCGAAAGGAGAAACGATGATACCGATATGCGCGAGATGTTGTTGAAGGAATTGGTGATCGCCGAAAAAGAAATGAACAAAATATTGAATTGGCAAGATTGGTTAGTTACCTAGCAGCCTAGGTCTGGGTACCTAGCACCTTAGGTAAGACTGATGTCTACAAGATATGGGGAATAACGAGTAACGGCAATGGCGGCGCACTGTTCGCAGCGACGACAGAGTTTAAGGTTCAACCTGGAGACTAAGATATTTTCCTATCCGGCCCGATCATCGGATTCGGAAGTATTGTCCGTAGCTATCCATACCTGGAAGTACTTAGACCTAAATGCCTATATGGTACCTAATCCAAATTCTAACAAAGCAAACACTGAACCTTGAACAATCGATACTACAAATATTGTAATACATGCGTTATAATTGAGTATCAATGACAAAAGCCAGCGAATTTGCCCTATGCGCAAACAAATGTCGCCAGAGATTATGTAGACTTCGATAAGTGGCGGTGAGTCCGAACTCACATACCCACGTGTGATAACGGGAGATAGGAGTCCGGATCACCCCGAGAGAAAATGGTGGGGTCATGTAGGTACCTTCAATCACAAGTACCCTATGCGATTTAAATAAAGGGAGGAAGTAGAAGAGCAAGTTTAAACATTTTGAATGGGTTGCAACATCTCTTGAGGTGATGTTGCCATGAATTAAACATTCAAGGGTGTTTTGGATGGTTACCTCAACTTCCACACGGCAGGTACAATAGGTACCTAGTACCTGAAGAGCTTTGTGGGGCTAATCCTGGAACTACCCCGTGTTTCCTTTTTCGGCCACTGAATTTCAAGTTTCCTCTTTACAACTTTAAGAGATGTTTGTTTCTAAGATGTTTCTAAGACCAAACACACAACAGCCGGTTGAATAGAGCCTCATTTTATACAGCGATCTACGATGCTACGCATTACATATCGCCCTACCTTGTATAATCGTTTAAATATGATTACGGATATAGTATATTGCCTGTAAATCCTTAGCCAGCATGTTTCCCAATATGGAACATCCAGAACATCCTCTCAAGTCTCTCGAACATGGTTTGTCGCAGCATGTTGCGCTCGACCCTCACCCGGGTAATATCAAACGACAAGTGTCAACTTCATTACTATTTCCTAGTATCATCTTATTAAATAGAAGAGTGCTTCGAGTATATACTTAGGTATTGATATTCTACCTCATATATCACTATTTCGAATTAACTTCGAGTTGCGACTGGTTTATCAATATCAACCTTAGCAAGTTGACATCCTAAGTCGCATTGCTAGCATGGGTTATTACGAAAATAGCTTCTATGCTTTATTGGCCATTTGCGCAGGCCTTCTTGCGTCTCAACCCACGAGGCGGGATGAGTTGAGGAAACTGGCCGATGCTCGCAGACAGGTATCAAGAGATGACAAACACCCCGAAGCGGATTGGTACAAGGTGTACGCCCTCATCATGGGCGCTGACTGGATTCAAGTGCGTTTTACAAGGTCGGTATATCATGATACCATATCAGATTGGCTAATTGAGCTCATCATAGGGACCTTACTTGTACTCCTTATACCGCGATGAACACGGCCTTTCTGAGCGTCTGGTGTCTACTCTATTCGCTACGGGCTTTTTATCGGGTGCCATCAGCGCGTATTTTATCGGTGCTTTAGCGGACAAGCATGGCCGAAAAGCAGTATGCATGGTCTTCTGCCTCCTTTACGCCATGTCTTGCTTTTTTACTGTACTACCAGCTATGCCCCTCCTTTTCTTAGGCCGAATTCTAGGAGGGGTTAGCACAAGCATCCTCTTCAGTGTGTTTGATAGTTGGATGGTGACCAACTTCCGTGAGCGCAAACTCGTTGAAGACGGATGTGATTTGTCCAGGACTTATGCTACCACCAGCATTGTCAGCAGCCTCTCAGCTATTATGAGTGGCATTGTTGGCGAATGGCTTGTCAGGATTACAGGTACTAAGAAAGCCCCATTTCTACTGAGCGCCGGCTTATTGTGGTGTGCGCTCCAACTAATATGGGCTCATTGGGTATGTGATGCTACCTTGAACTCGTTCAACTCTCAACACTGACGAATGAAAAGGTTGAAAATTATGGCGCGAAAGAATCAGAGTCATCGGATAAGTCCAAGAAATCTAATGTTTGGTCGACTCTAAAAAAGCCGTCAATTTTAGTCCTCGGGTTTGCCTCGACCATGTTTGAAGGGTCTATGTATCTCTTCGTCGTCTTTTGGACGCCTGCGATGAAGGCTGTCCAAACATCTGCCGGGGAACTTCCATACGGATACATCTTCTCTAGCTTCATGGCATCCTCGATGGCGGCCGCATTGATATTCAACATCGTCATGCAGAAACGACCATTCAAATATTCCCGGCTTCTTATCGGCATTCTACTTGCTGCCAACTTCTGCTTCGTTAAGCTTGCTGGCCCCAAAACCGAGGACGCTGCCTTCTGGCTCTTTTGCCTTTTTGAGGCCTGTGTCGGTATGTACTGGCCTTGCACTGGCTATCTGAAGGGTCGTCTCGTAGAGGACGATGTTCGCGCCAAAGTTTACAGCATTTTGAGAATTCCGTTGAACATCTTCGTCGTGGTTTCATTGGCTGTTGCCGGCGATAGTAAAAGCTTCATTAAGGTGTTCGCGACATGCTCAATGTTGTTGACTGCATCTTTTGGGGCAGTCTGGGCGGTCAGCTTAAAAGAAAATATGCCTTAAAACGGTCTTTATACGAGAATAACGTTATTCGACACAGATAAAAAAATGATTTCAATTCAAAGATATGAGAAAGTTCTAGGAGTTTAGCTTACTTACCTGCTAAGTTCCGCCGGTGAAATCGCATTAGGAAGAGCCCCCGTGGCTCATATGCGCTGTCATTCAGCGCTCAACGCCCACCCCCCCTCCTCCCTCTCCTACGGTATAATCCAACTAGGTCAGGTTGAATTGATTCGGCTAAATATTGCTGTATAAAACTCCTTACTTTTAGCAAGAGTAGTACGCTTTCGCATAGGCCAAGGTCATATCGAGCCATCTGGCTTCGCGCAACGAGGAGGCTAGAGAGATGATGAGATAGAAAAGACAGAATTCAAATGAAAAATAGGTAATCATCTATTATGAACATGCAAGTCCTAGTTATCTCATATATTAAAATCGAGATAGGGAGACGGGCCTCTCTAGGTACATATTGCCCTATTGCTGATAAGCCCAACCCCTTTCTTCATATATTGTTGGTATCCCCTTTTCTTTTCGGCAGAACAGTGTTCTAAATATTCTTAAACTAGGTACTTATAATCAATTGTTGAGTAGAGGGGATCTAACACCGCACCCCCATGGTCTCTTTGAGAACCTGTATCTAGCATCCTACGATACTCTCAGTCTTGTTGATCAGGGTAGCTAGAGGAGTTGCTAGATAGTCAGGGGATGTATATATATAGCTCGAAAATCGATAATTGTGCTTTACAACTTCTATCTCCAACTTAGTGAATAAAGCCATCTTCTTATACTACCTTCTTATCCCAATAGCTCTCTAAATACGATTTATTTACCTAGTTAGGTATACCTAGACACCTCTATGGCTCATCTCGTACTCACCTCATATGCTCGCTGCGCCGACAATGGCGGATTTTATCAGTTAGGGTGCACTTAGGTAGCCATCTTTAGAACCTCGCAGAGCATGGGAGATGTAAAGCCTACCGGCCGAAGTGAGCTGCCTCTTGGATACCAGGTACTTGAAATTGTCATGTCCCCAATCCACCAATATCTACATTCGTCACTGCAATTTATCAGGCATGTTTAACAACATGTTGGGTCGTAGGTAGGTAGGTATTCGCACATAAAAGTTTTAAGGCCGTAACGTACCTTATGGAATTGTACGATCATATCTCCCACCGCCCTACACGCACTCTACACTCCCCAAATCTTCTCAATAATCAACTCACGCACCAGCCTATCGTAATTGATCTAATTCATTTATAAATAAAGCGGGTAGTACGAATATACGTCAATATAAAATCTTTGGATTTTCATCAATAGTGCCGTAGTCTATATCGCATAGCCTCAGGCAAGGGTTAGATGAGGTTCGCCAACCTAAGTTTAGTTAATACCTAGACTGAACTCGGCTCTATCTTAGCTCAATACGGCGTAGCTTGACGCGATGCTAGCCTGAGGCTATCGCGCATTTGAGGACATAGCCCCGTGGCACTAGGTAAGGGACCACGCGCGTAAACTCCACAGACACCTACGCAACGTCCAACGGGTAAGGAGAGAAAAAAACGTGAAGCCTCAAGCAGTCTCAACCCAACCCATCTTACGTATGCCACGCCATCTACTCTTTTAGACTTTTTTCTTAACCCGTCGCTAAAAATCTCACCGGATCGTAATTCCGACAACCCAACCATCCTTACGCCCTACACGTACATAAAGTATTGGCTTATCGCATACCTATCCAATACGATCCTTTAGACTTTAGTATCACTATCGACACGTACCCCAACCCCATACCTGCGTTGTAATTTTCGCTCTAGATTTCCAACCACGAACCAAATCCGAATCTCAGCCGAAGTAGAAAGGCCGGGGCTGGACTATGTAGTAACACAGGGTGACTCAGGTAAGGATTCCCCCTTTATGCGTATGCGGCTCAGGAACGCCGTAACCGCGAGAAAAGCTCGCAGATTACAGCCCTATCAGACCCCGAGCTGAGATGAGCTGAGCTAAGCTAGGCGAGAAGGAAATTACTTGGCATTTCCAAACAAAGGGGATGTCGTTCGGCTCATTTCCGATCTCACCAAAGAGCTCTGACCAGATAGAGTTCGACGCACATACGCAAAAGTCAACTTTATGTAGCTACCCGTTTGACGGTTACCTAGTATAACGGGATTTAGAGCAAACGACGAAGTTAAAACAACTTCACGTCGTGTTTCACGGAGGCGCAAACATAATTGCTAACTGCAAAACTGTAAAATTTTTTCTACCAGGTGGTATCATGCGTAGCAGCAAAGTCTCAAAGCGTACAAGATCCCTCCAAATCCTATATATGTCACTCATCCACAAACCTTTGTACAGGTTCTCTCGTCTCTTTCGCTCCCTATACATGCAATTAATCGTTTCTCTGACCGAACCCGTTTACCGGAGCACCACATAAATTAGCAGGCTGTCGGACGTCAAGCCCCTTGGTAACCGGGTAACCCGTATGAACCGTTATTATAAGCAATAGTAAGTATATAAAGAGGCGAATCGACTCTCGGAAAGTGGGGGTCGAGTTCGGGTTATGTGCAAGGGATCGTCAAGAAGAACTGAATATAGCCGGTTCATTGAAGTGGAAACCACAGATCGCCGATTCGCCAATGCCGTAAAAGGACGCCAGTTACAAAGTCCAACATAATACGTTTACAGCATGAAAACGACCATGAGGCCGGCAGCCAGCGCGGAGACGCTGAAACCAGTCTTCAAGGCTCCGTTTGTCGTGGCGACCGGTGCGCTGGTGTTAGCAGCGGAAGCGCTGCCACTGGAGCTAGCAGAGGCAGACGCGTTGTTGCCGCTGGAAGTAGCAGTGGACGAAGCAGACGACCCGCTTCCAGAGGTGGCCGAGCCGCTAGCAGTAGCAGAGACGGTGGCAGTCGACAGAGTGCTCTTAGTCTCCGAGGACTTGGTGGCAGATGAAGCTCCACTGGTAGCGGACGACTTAGCGGAGCTGGTAGCGGAAGAGGAGCTACCGCTGGAGGAGCTACCATCACCAGTGATGACGTTGATGCTTCCGTAAGAACCGTCGGAACCAGAGGACCAGCTGTACTTCTCAGCATTCTTAACGCCGTTGCTGTAGTCGGTGATGGTAAGAGTCTTGTAGTGGGCGACGAAGGGAGCCTGGCTGAAGTCGGTTCGGCCGCCAGCCCATTGGGCGGTACCCTCAGGAGAGTCGGGGCCACCGGCGCACCAAGTTCCAAGCTTGATCTGCATGGGAGTCTGGGGGAATCGAGTGCCGGACTTGGCATCGGCATACTTCAGCTCACGAACCTGGTTGCCATTGATGATCCAGCGGACGTAGTCCTTGGTCCAGTCGATGGTGTAGGTGTCGTAGTTGTCCTGGGGGTTGGCAACCGCGTGGTACGCACCACGGTCGAAGGTGGTGGTGTCTCCCTTTCCGAAATAGTTGCTTTGAACCTGGGCCTTGTCGCTACCAATCCATTCCCAGTCGATCTCGTCAAGGTCATCGGATTGCAGCACGAAGCTGGTAACAATACCAGCACCAGGTGCGGCCTGAACCACTAGCTCGACCTTGCCGAAGAAGATATACTTGTTGCTGGTGATAGTGGGGGCGTCGGTCGCCTTGTTGATGGTGAAAACAGCGCCGTTTCCATCGTACTTGAGCGTAGTTCCAGCAGCGTCAGTGAACAGATCGTTTTTGCCCTTGGTGAAGTCAATAGAGACCGAGGTACCCAGAGCAGGATCGTCAGGGCAGGCTTTAATTTGCCATTAGCAATTGGATCTTCGATATCATACACTTTAATTGGGTTATTAGGTAAACTCACTCTTCTTGGTGGGATCGCAAGCAGTTGAAGTCTGAGCAGAGACCATCTGAGTGGCTGCCAAGACCACAGTGGTGGCGGACAAAATCTTGGAGAACATTGTTGTCGATGCTTTTTAGATCTCGCGTATAATTGTCTTTTAGGTATGAACAAGGTAGGGGAGTTAGGATAGAGTGGGAGAGAGGTGGATTATTAAAGGCGAGTATTTATTTAAAAAGTCTGTGTTTAACGAGAGACAGAACCTGTTGGTAATTAACGAAAGAGGGTCTGACCACGCTGTATACGTAAGGTAAGACCAACAGTCGAAGGGGGAATGCGTATTTTTGTGGAAAAACGAAGGTGTGGGAGTAATGAAAAGAAAGGAGAAGTTTGCAGGGAAGAGGGAGCACCTGTGATTTTATTTACGAGCACAACCACCAAGTAACCGGCGCTTTCCAACGACTATCCTTACTCGATCTTACCCGCGGTCCTTCCACTCGTGAAGGCCGAGCCTTCTCGTTTGGGTAGGTACGGTCCCATGCAGGGCCCCTGATTCCCCTGTCTAGGAAAGTCCAGACTCGAATAAATTTCTAGCCATAGGCAGTTAGACCCGAGACGGCCAAGCAGGGAAAGCTCCAAACTTGTGGCTCTGCTGAATCACCTGAGCCAATCAACTGTGACCAAGAGCTGAGAGTCCTAGAGACATGACAAGGGCCATCCCAGGCTGCGCCCCATCATCTCACATCGTGATAATCCCTGCTCGTATCCTAGGGGACATCTTCAAAAGTAGAAAGGTTAGATCATATCACCCCATCCGCCCCATCTCGCTCATCTCAAAGAGCTGTGACGTTGCACGTCCGACAATGTCTACGATTAACCGATGATCGTGACTTTGTTTACTCTATTCTTCTCAAGTTCATGTGGCTCGTGAACAATAGTGGACTTTATTATGATTTTGACAAAGAGAGATCAGAGGAGAAAATGACAGATGACGCACATCGGTATGTATTGCGCGTTTTTGGTACCACTCTGCCGGGCACCGATATTAGGTCAGTGCTGCAGGCTGTTGTGTTACTTGTGTACCTGTTAGAAGTACCTACATGCAGATGCATGCCTAACCACTCTGCTACCTAGTAGTTGAAGCAAATGGCAAATGAAAACACTAGGGGGTAAGAGCTGGCCAAGATGCCAATATTTTCTATAGCCTATCCCGTATGAGACCAGTAATAATATGCTGTGTCGTAAGCCTTTTTGAGTTAGGTGTGCCAATGAGAAAAACCATTAATAACTTCTTGGGAATTGTATGGAAGGTATATTTGAGAAAGAGTCATCTTGGAGTATTAATTTAATGGACCAAACTTGAAGCCTGGGGTTAGATGCCAAGTAAAGGACAACCCATCAGCCCATTGAAGTACATTAACTCTGACCATTAAGCATGAAATCAAGTAGGTACATATTATTGATGTAGGTAAGCACGCAATAATAATGATAATAATCAAGCGCATTTGAAAACTAATATTATTAGCATTTCCTCTCTATCGTTAGGCTGTTTCTAAACATTTTTGGCTCAGGTAAGTAAATAGATAATAGATAAATAAATAAAACACCATGCACTCTAAAATAACCGAACAACCGTTTCCCGGAAACTCGGCAGCAGCCGGTTGACGCCAAACTTTCAACCCGCATAAGGGTATTTTTTTTCTTCAGTGGTGGCTTCTTTTTTGTAATTTATGTCAGGTACAGGCGAAATGCGCCGAAGCAGCAGGGATGGTGGTGCTAATACAAAATCAAACTAAGCGCATGAATAAATTCTGCAAGCCCGAAAGCGTTGGCGCGAACTGCGATTGCCTTCGCCCTCCAAAGGTTACCTCACAGCCCTGGAATCTTCCTACCGCAATAAACACTAGGGATTCTCGTATGGCTGAATAGGCTATCACATCCCGTAGTAGCCAACTAGTACCGGTAGTTGAAACCAATTCGTCAATGTACGCCGACAAGGTGTGGAATTGGCATTACATACCACCTTTCACCAACACGAATGATTGAATGATATTATCATTAAATGTAAACGGTTCAAACTCGGAAACCCTACTAGTTCCACGACAGAGATCATGAGTGGTGCATCAAAGATGATGCATAACGCCCAGCAACCGTCCTACCTGGAATGCTGTACAACAACTACCTACCTACTAGGTAGGTCTATGTACAACAATCAAGTTTTTTAATTGAAACAATCCCAATTGTATCAATTAATCCACTGATTTCATGATTCCTCTGGGCGTTCCCTCAGGAACTGCATCGGCGTGTAGGTCGGTCAACTTCGAAACGCCGTCAGGAGCTAGGAGAAGTCAAAGAGGCTGTGCCCCTTATTGTTTTTTAATATAGAATATGATCGAACTACCTACCGGATTTGTGCGCTTTTTTTCCTTCTTAGCCTTGAATATCCCGAATCTTTAGTTTCTTTGAGTAGGCGACAAAGTGGCTTGGATTTTAGCCACTGGATTAAAAGATGGTATGTAGGTAGGTAACATGCGGCTTACGTCTTGAGATGGCGAAGAATCGTTTGATGGTTGAAGAAAACTTCGTATTCCGCGTTCGCATGACCAATTTTTGACCGTTTAACTCGCTAGTTTCCAGTTAGTGAACACGGTCTCGGAAAGTCCGTCATCATTGGAAATATTTTTTTTCCTTCCTTCTCTAAATTTTACGGGCTGTTTCCGGCGCTTATTTGAACACCATTCTAGGTATTGCTAGCGAATAAGAAACTGGGGAAGGTTACTCTAAAGTCTAACCGCTTTTGCCTGGCGAGACTAGAAATGGACGGGAAGAGCCATGTGTGAACTCTAAATTTAACTTCTTATTGTTTGTGTCCCACCTTCTTGTGTATTCTTAATCAGCCTTACGTAGAGTGGTCTCCCTTTCTTTCCTCCCTTCATTTTCGGATTTTAGAAAATACAAAGAAGGATATCGGAGGGACGGAGAATTACACAATAGTATACTCTCCAACATCGCCTCATAACATATTCCAGTCTTTACCTATTCTTGGATAGGCAGGCAGGCATTGTGCCAACCTAGGTACCTACTTCGTCGAAGCAATTTGGTGTCCTTCTCTGCCTAAACCATGCGGATGCTTGGTTGACCGCCACGTCGTCTCCAGATCTTTTCGATCCGACGTACGGAATACAGCTCAATTATTCGGCCGGTCAAAATCGAGAGGTTGGATGGGAGGACCTCGGAATCCGAGACACAATCTGACATAAGCACTGCCACCAGTATTCAGGCGGGTCTACCCAGATTTAGCATGAATTTCGAGCACGATTCCCACGCGGATGTATTAAAGTATTCTGTCCGACGAGACTACTCAGGGCTGGCTTGTGTTCCTAACGAGATGCTCCTAAAAGCCCTCATTACCCAATTCTCTAGTATGCCCCAACAAGGCTAAGTCATGTTGGCTAAGGGTGAATCGAATTGCGTTCCAAGGTTGTCATTGGTGACCATGGTAGGTATAAGGCTCTCAAGCTAACATCGAGCTATTACTTTTATCCAGGCAAATCAGTCGGCGCCACGCAGTTTCTAAAATAGGGTCCTTCGCTCCTCTAGCTACCGCCCCCGATATCTCACTCCCGTAACGGAGCCGGACCTACGGCCTTGGCAAAAGCGTGAGAGCACTTCCGTCATTCATATTAACCTATACTTGCCTACGTAAGGTGAAATTCAATTACTACGACCCGATGTCGTCAGCGGCGCTCATAAAAGTGCATCAATTATTTAAAGAGATACACCGCAGATAATGTCTTGGTCAGCACACTTTTTCTCCTTGAGTCGGGCTGAGACATTGTTCACGGCACAACATATATTACTCCGGTCACACACACCCTCTTCAAAACGTGATACCTACGTAATTACTAGGTAGGTAGGTATATTCACTATAGGTGAGCGATAGATTCGCAGGTCCTAATTATAAAATGTGGCCGGCCACATTCCCTCACGCGCCAGCTCACAACCTACGCCTTCAATTTCGACGACTCATCCCTAAGTATTCATCTCAGAACAATACCTAGGTTTCAGCCTCTACTTGGTCATTGGAGCCAAAGTTAGCCTTGCAGAACCCTATAATTATTCGGATTGTAAGGTAATAGGCAGAGAGATTATCGTTCAGCCAGGCGTCATAGGACATCGATCCTTCATCGTGACTGATGATCTGATAGCAATCCAGTAGGTGATTAAGCAGAGTATAGACGAGGTTGTATTAACTAAGTCCTGAATAGATCGCTTAATTATAACGAATCCCACAATACTATGCTACAGCAAGCGGGCGCTGGCGATTGGAGAAATTCACTACAGGATATGTCTCGTTTTGAACAGGGTTGTCAGGTGCTGTACTCAGCATGCTGCGAAGAAGGTTAACATCCCAGCGCGTTGTATCGGTCGCATGTAACTTCAGACACACCTTATCTTAACTTCATTATGAGAGGAAGCCCTACACCGTGAGGATACTCCTTCCAGTTACTTGATGCAGCGTCCCGTGACAGCCACCACCTGCAATAGGGAACGAAATCCGAGACCCCTTTATCCCCTTTTCCCCAGATGTCCGGATCCGATGCCTATTATCTGAATCGGTATTTCGAGATGACAGGAATCATGGCTTCTTCCTTTGAACTCAGCCCTCGTGCGCCCAAGTTACGGACTATGATTATGCGCCAGCCAGATTCACTATTTAGGGAAAGGGCACATTTCTGTCCCTTCACCATGTCCTCTTTGTGCCGTTACTATAAAAGGCCCGGGGACTTGGGTCTTCTGAAACGATGCATGAAGCTCTATCAAGCACCTCTAAAATCGAGACAGGATGATACTCACAGCAGCTCTTGCGTTTCTCAACGCACTTGTTTGCCTTGCAGCAGCTAAGTCCGTATAACTACTAGGTACATTCCATATAACGAACGAGCTCTGACTTTTATAGTGCCGCGATAGACGTAACTGTTCCTCGCACCCCTGTGCAAAATGACTATCCACCAAATGGGCCTCAGCTACCAGCTAATCCTCCAGGAAACAAAACCTATGAATACATCGTTGTTGGGTCAGGGGCTGGCGGTTCTCCCCTTGCAGCTCGTTTAGCCCTCGCAGGCCATAGTGGTACGCGTGTTCTATTATCCCCTTATCTCCTTCTCTCCTCCCCAGGTCTTCTCTTAGACTAGCGGCTTGTAAGAGCGGTTACATCTTTCCTGTGATAAAAACGACTGACTCGTGTAAAGTATTACTAATCGACGCTGGAGGCGACTATGGCGCAATACGCGAGGTCGAAGTTCCGTCTCTGTACATCGGGGCATCAGAGAGAAACGAGCTTAATTGGGGATACTTCACACGACATTACACCAACGAAACCCAAACCAAACGTGACAGAAAGCTGACCTACCTAACTCCAAATGGCGAATATTACAGTGGCGTTAACCCCCCAAAGGGCTCGAAGATGCTCGGAAACTATTACCCTCGCGTGGGTGGATTAGGGGGTTGCACAGAACATCTAGCCCTACTAGCCGTTCTGCCAGCAAATGACGACTGGGAGTATATCAAGAATTTAACTGGCGATAAAAATTGGGGTGCAAGGAACATGAGGGGATATTTTAAGATGATGGAGAAGAACCAATACCTCTCCGCTCGGGAAGATGTAACCAAGGCTCACGGGTTTAGTGGATGGCTATCGACTACAATAGAACCCATGGGGCTATTTACACCGGATATTAAAATGGATTCTATTTTTCTATCTGCAGCATCTTCAAGAGGTCTTGACACAAGTGGTCTCCTAAAAAGTATCCAGCAAGCTGTTGGTAGCGTTGCCACGAAAGTGAGTACACAGCCTAAGAAAGGGGGTTGATAAAAGGGGTCGATGAACTAATCCCTTCGAGTAGGTGTTGGCATCAAATTCTACCGCCTCGATCGCAAACAGCCTTTCTAAGGTGCGCCATCCTATTCACACCCCATCCTCTTTCCATTACCCCTGACATACGCGTTCGCATACGCACGACCACTCTGTTCACCCTCCCTTGCTTGGTCGCGGGACTTCCCCTGTACTAACATAGAAGAAAGCTCCTGGCCTATGACATCAACAACAATTCCCCGGATCGCGACAGGAAAGATACGCTCGCACGTATCCCCCTATCCATCAACTCGCCCGATTGGAAACGATCCTCGCCACGCGACTTGGTATATAAGATAGCCACAGCGAAAAACGCTAACGGATCAAAGAAATACCGCCTGGACATCGCGCTTCACACGCTTGCCACAAAAGTAGTCTTCAACACCAAAGGCGCCAAGCCCAAAGCCACCGGAATCGAGTACCTCTACGGCGAAGCGCTCTACCGCGCAGACCCGCGATCCAACAGCACCCACACCGGCACCCCCGGCTCTGTACGCGCATCCCGCGAAGTCATCCTAGCAGGCGGCGCCTTCAACACGCCGCAACTACTAAAGCTCTCCGGCATAGGTCCTGCATCCGAGCTAAAAGCGCACAAAATCCCCCTCGTGAAAAACCTGCCGGGAGTCGGAGGCAACCTGCAAGACAGGTACGAAATCGGGGTATCAGCCGCAGCGCCGCAGAACTTCACGCTGTTCGCAAACTGCACGTTTATTACGACGGCAGACGACCCGTGCTATGCGTCCTGGGCGCACAACGGAAACACCAACTCCAGTAACAGTGTTACTCACAAACCCGTCAACGGCAACGGCAGCGATCCCGCAGTCCTAGCCCGCGGGCCCTACGCAACAAACGGGCTCGCACTCGGTCTCTGGACACGGTCCTCCGTCGCAGGCCGCGTGCACGATCTCTGGGCCGGCGGCGTGCCGGGTTTGTTCCAGGGGTACTTCCCCGGGATGTCGCAGACGGTGGTGACTCCCAGCGCGAAAAACTACTTCACGTGGCTCGTGCTCAAAGCGCATTCGCGGAATAACGGTGGCACCGTGAATCTCACGTCCGCGGACCCGCGGGACACGCCGGAGATCACGTTCCGCAGTTTTGGGGAGGGGAGTGTTCGCGGCGAGGAGCTGGCGAAGCTGGATTTGAAGGCGGCGGTTGAGGGGATGAAGTGGGGGATCAGGGTTTTTGAGAAGGTTAGGGAGGTTGGTGGCGTGGGCGTGGAACGCGTCTGGCCGCCTGAGAGTGTGAGGTCGGATGAGGAGATTGAGGAGTGGGTTAGGGACGAGGCGTGGGGACACCATGCTTCGTGTACTTGTCCCATCGGCGCTGATGGCGACCCGTTGGCGGTTTTGGATGGGCAGTTGAGGGTAAGAGGGGTCGCTGGGTTGAGGGTCGTGGATGCGTCGGCTTTTCCTAAGATTCCGTGAGTTTGCCCCTTTTTGTTTTCACCTACCTACCAATACCGCTATATATGTGTGTATGTGATGCGAGGATTGGGATGCGTTGCTAACTTCAGATGGTAGGGGCACTTTTCCAGCGGTCGCTATTTACCAGCTCGCTTATAAGGCGGCGGAGGATATCCTTGCGGATGCGAGAAGATGAGGCTGCGTTTCTGTGTAGAGTGACGGGTATGGGGCGTGTATACTAGGCAACATGACTGGATGGTATCAGTGGTTTCCTAGATTTTCGTTCTCCTTTCCTTCGACGTCGCTTTTTATCGGTATATTTGGATACCCTAGATACTTGAGCCCACACGAGCGTTTTGTATATTAGGTCATATGCTTTATAGGCGTGGTCTCGATTGTTGAGAAATAAAGCTTTTTGAATGTCTGATAGATCCAGCTGACAAACGCCATTACCTTGTGGAAGTAGACGCCAAGGATGAGGGGTTAAGGAGGCTTGTGAGTAAAGCACTGATGATGCAACGGAGACGGGAAGCTGCAGCTATTCACGATTATCAATTCCTATTCGAGAGTTGTAGGCTTGAACGCCACTGATCACCTCATCTCCCCCCGAAACTCCGATGCACGATTGTGTAGGGTCAAAATAAAGGTAGCATCCATAGGTACATGTACTACTTCGAGAAGTCAAGCCTAGGTATTCTAAGAGCCTATCGAATAAGAGTTATATACAAATTCTCACCATCATTAAAATGCATTAACTTTCGAAATTTGAACCCTTTTAAACATTTCATTAACAAAAATATGTACTGTTCATACAATAGTATGATGATATATGCCGCCTAACCATATCCATAATATGCAGAAGTCCAAGTACAATCCCTCTAAACACCTGCACCTATTCACTATGTACAGGTTCTATATGCGCAGTCTATTCCCCAGCAGCAGCCCGAAGTACGCAATGACCCTGTACGCCGTTCCGATCGCCATCATGATACCTATATTGCGCCAGTTCCAATCGAGACGAAACCCGACCTGCTTTGCAGCCAGGTCCACATTGTACAAGTATCGAAACGGCTCGACCAACTGTCCGAAGTACAGTTCCGCGAGCCAGGTTCCAGGAGACGCCCGCCACAACCACTCCATATGCCAGTCGATAACGCTAGCAAGCGGAGGCGCGGCACCACACAGGATGCCGACGATTAGGCTGATCATGGTAGCGATAAGAGGCGCGTCCTCGCGGCGCACGACCATGCTGATGCAGCTTGCTAGCCCGTAGATGCAGTAGAAGTAGACCAGATTAGCGAGAAATGCGGTGCCCCAGTTAATAATCGGAACCGCTAGAATCAAGAGTAGCGTTGTGAAGTGCATGCATCCGAATACCATGCGCACTAGCACAGACAAGTTCTTTGCGAGGAAATACGCGATGCGCGAGTGTCCTGCTTCGGCCTCTCGGCGGTACAGTAACATCTCCTCGGAGAAGACGCGGACGCCGGGGGCTGCGGCGACAAGACCGATGGCGATAGCGGTTAGGAGCGCGAGTTCGGGGACGGACTTGACGTCTGTTGCGAGCGAGAGCACGTCATATGGCGTGTTGTAAATGCCTGTGAATAAAACACCCTTCTTCGAATTCTGGGCCAGCCCGAGTAGCAGCCCAGCGACAGAGGCGAGACCCATCTCGAAGCAGAAGGCAGTTCTAGTACGCCATTGTTGGAGCATGGCGCGCGAGAAGCAAAGCCATAGCTGCTTGAGACGCGGGGCGCCACGCGTACGCAGAAGTTCTCGGTTCTTGCTGTTGTTCTCAGCGACGGAGGTCCGTGAGTATCGCATCGAGGCATGCTTCTCCTTGATAGAGCTGTTCTCGCGGGACTGCGACCAGTACGATATCAAAGAGTCCTTGGAGATGTCACCGGAGCGCTTGTACGCCCGCCCGTTGCCCGTGACGATGTCGGTCACAACATCGCCGAAGTTGCCGTGCGCAGGGAACTGGAAGCCTACGTTCTCGAAGAAATCCCGGACGCCGGTTTCCGGGCCCTCGTAGATAATCTGCCCGTTGGCTAGTAGAATTAAGTCGTCGAGCATTTCGAAGATTTCCATACGCGGTTGGTGGATGATGACGATGACGGAGATACCGAGGCGCGCGATGGCTTTGAGGGTTCGCATGATGGATGAGGCGGAGGTTGCGTCGAGTCCGCTGGTAGGTTCGTCAAGGAAGATAGCCATGGGCGCCGCAGCCAATTCCATGCCGATGCTGACTCGTTTTCGCTGTCCACCGCTAATCACGGGCTTGCCTACACTACCAACCAAGGAATCTCGCACATGAGACAGTTCCAAGCAGTCGATGACCGAGTTGACGTGAGCCTTGATATCGACATCCTTCCAAGCACGAGGTAAACGTATCCTTGCCGAATGGAGAATATTCTCGTAGACCGTTAGCTCGGGAAGCACAATATCATCTTGCGGAACGTAACCGATGAGCTTCTTGTATTTCTTTATCTTTCCGGGCACATTGTTGATCATGACGGTACCTCCAGTGTTAGTAATTTTACCCATTAGCACGTTGACAAATGTACTCTTTCCAGCTCCAGAACCGCCCATGACCGCAGTTAGAGATCCACGCTCGATGGACCCGGTGACGTCTTGAAGAATCGGTTTGGGGTTTCCTTTAGGTTGAAAGCTCAGGTTAGAATACGCAAACGATAAACCGAACTTTGCGCCGTCTGTTGCTCTTCTCATAGACTCTACGAAGGCCCGTAGTTGGGGTGAGAACTCGGTATCGGGAATATTCAACGAAGAACTACGAGGCGTGGGGAAGTTAAGGGCGGCCTCGAATCCGGTCCATGCATCTCGGGTCGGCATGTAGGTAGCTCGCATCGGGAGCATCTCGTAGTCCGGTTCAAGGGGTTTATAACCGCCCGTTTGCCTGATAAAGGTGCTCTTCGCCCTACTCACGCCACCGATTGTCTGTTCACGACTCCTGAAGAAACGCTTGCGAAGGAAATACCACAGGAATGCGATCGCGAGGAAGAGGTCGGCGAGGATTAAAACGATAACGGGTATGATAAATGTCTCATACGTCGAGCCCTCCGGACACCAGCTTCCAACGCTGCAAGGTGTGGGTGTAGGAGCACCGGGTTGGCAATACGTGCCGGTTGGGCAACGGATCGATTCTGTACCTCCAGAAGATTTCGGGCAATACCACCCTTGCTGACATACCACAGGTTCGAAAGGACCCATTCCTATGTTTCTACCGCCCGTTGAGCATGTAAACCCTGCCAACCTCGCTATTTGACAATCGGTGATGGGAGGACAGAATTGTGGTAATGAATTAACCGTATTATTAGAACCTGGCTCATACATTAGTCTGTCTTCTCGAAGCCTTTGATATCCGAGTATCCCTAGACTTTTGGCTCACATAGAAAACCCTCATTGCACCCATTGGTTTGCCAATCTGCTACTTCCTGGATCGTTATTGGGAATGCTCCGGGTCGCCAACAGGGAGCAGCATCGGTGGGAGTATCATTCCTGCCAATTGCAGCTGATGACCCATAGTAAGAAGTCGAGAATGATGAGTGATTTTGGCCGGTACAAGCTTGATCCCATACGCTAAGTTCGCTGGAGACGACGTCGACCAAGGAGCTCGAGCCGTTATTATACATTAAAGCCTTGCTGGTATCGGGAGTGTTCGAAGCGTCTGATATTCCGAGGCCATCCTGCAGGGTACCACTACCAATGTTGTTGAACCATTTCCCCGTCGTCACTTGGTATACGCCCTGCGTCTGGTTGCCAATACATTCCCAAGCGTTCTCACCGCTGCGTAGATGACTCGTCCCTCGTAGAGCACAGAGGCATGCTTGGGTATCGAGGAAGACCGGTCCCAGTGCCGACTCTTGCGGCAGGAAAGGGTCCTGCGGGATGGCAAGGTCGTTCTGGGTGAGCTGCGACGGCATTCTGGCGATTTCCTTTCTTTACATTTGTTACCTGATGTGCGAAATTCGCTCTATTCGACCGCTTCGACAGTCAGGTACATCCTTGGCATACTTGACGTAAATCAACGCCGGCTTTTGAGCGGCCATGACAGTCTACATAAGGCCCCAGTTCAGCAAGAGCCCTAGGGCCCGTGCTACGCTGCGGCGTTGCGAACTACAAGGAATTTCCTCCATAAGGTAAGGAGTTGAAAGACCTACGGTGGCTGCGCATGAGTGGAAGGATTGTTGGCGCAGGCGAAGTGCTGGGCGTGTGTGGGCGTGTCAGCCTCTGCCCCATTCGACTACGTCAATTGTACCTAGCTCGTCTGTTAGCTAACAGCCCTACGATTCTTTAGCAGCCCTGGAGGCTCTTAGACCTAATGTTACTCTGTAATAGCTTGGCGTATTTGCCGGGCTCGTGGGTGTTTAGGGGAATATGTGGGTATTCGACGCCAATGTTTACTTAGATTGGTCAAAAATCGGTCAAAAAATAAGACGGGAAGTGGACTCGACCATGGGTCTATTGATAACCATTACACTTTTTTCGGACTTCCCTCGAATCAGGGACGACAAGGAGAGCTAGTTTACGGCGTATACAGATTTGCTGTATGTATGTAGGCAAAAGATGACCGCAGCAGAGGGAGAAGGAGAGCGAACCAGGGTCCTAATTCAAAAATAAATCCTTCCATAAAATTCGACAGCTGAAGAGTAAGAGATGTGAGACTGTGTAACTCACTCATGCGGGATGGCGTCAGAAATGTGAAATCTCGTAGATGTAAAAAATGATGTACTATGCAGTAGCCCTAGAAGTGTTGCTGACGCTATTCTGCCACAATAAATCCATTAAATCCCCCCTGTGTCATTAGATCATGATAGAGATTGACAGACTCCCGCCGCTGCGCTACATATTTGTATGTATGTATTTCGCTAGTTACTAGTAGATCGACATCTAGTTTGCGGCGAGGCGATCTACACTATATCAGCTTGTACTTCATCAAATAGAAGAGGAGAGTTACCAGAGCGATACTAATACAGTAAACCTTGGCCATAGCGATTATAGTGCATAGCGATAATTTTATATAGCGATATTTTGTAGGAAACGGTGCGAATTTATATGTAAAATAACGATATTTTTACCATAACGAAATATCGTTATTCTTAAAAAAGTTACCACCTAAATCGTTATGGTAAGGGTATTAATACTTTTATAATGTCCCCATAAATTACCATTTTCAGTAATATTCTAACCTATTTTAGCTTTTATATGAACCCCATTTTGGCCCATTTTGGCCCATCTCGGCCTAGATCCTTCATTTGAGTCAGTGCGTGACACGCTTTACTACTTTAGGAAATTTACCACAACGATAATTTACTATAGCGATATGAAGGTGGTGTTTTTTGGCAATCGTTATGGCCAAGGTTTACTGTATCGCCGATAGGAATTAAACTTAAACATCCCCATAACTGGTCTCCCCTCCGGGTCAAATAAGGTGGCTAACCACACATTTGCATTGGTGTCGCCACGTTGTCTTGCGAAACAAGCAGACAAGTTAGCTCCTTGCTCGAGGTAGACGGTGACAAGATGTCCTCCAAACCCGCAAACACTAACAGCCACTCTATCACTCTGCCACTCTAGAGCTAACTGTATGACTAAGATTAGCACATATCATAAATAGTACTAGCTTTGCAAGTCTCGGCCGCCCTCGGCAGTCCCTTGCATTTGCACTACCGAGCAACTCGTCGACTCTGTTAATTTTGCTGTTGCTAATAATTCGTACGATTGCATATTTCCATTCTTCTTGACCAATGATATGATGGATTCGATTACGAAAGGGTTAGCGATTTAGTCCAAGATTTTTCCCGCCTGCTTGGCTTGACAGGAGCTTCGCGGTTAGCTAACCCCCGAGGGAACTGGTTTCATCCAGTTCGAGAATCGAAATATCTGTGATGCTCCTTCATGATGACACGAGAGATACTTCTATCTTCCAATTCTAGATGGTTCGATCAATTCGACAATATGAGGCGTAGGAACAACTAAACGCTCTCTGTATCGGGCAGATGAACCCACTCGATTTTCTCGCAATTCTTCTCGTCGATGAGCTTACATGCAATCTTAGTGCTCACTCAATTGCGATCTTGGATAAGCGAATTCTTCCAGCCGTATGCCGAAGCGATTGTCCGATTTAAGCAATTTCTCGGTCTACTAATGTCGCGTTAAACCGGCCAGGATATTCAAATACTTTACTCAAGAAATGCCGAACCCTGAAATTCCAGAGTGGCATTCGATTTTTAGATAATATGCCCTGCACCCTTCTCGGGATCAACGCTGATCTGAGCTCTCAGCCACATGTCAGCCCGCGGAGAAGCGTAAGGTATCCGGAGTTATCGTATGGCGGCCGCGTACCCCCGTGGCACTTCACTGCAGGCTGCAGACTGAAAGGAATATAAGTATTTACATATTCCTGTCGCGCCATCTTCCGCTTCTAGATGATAAACTATCTGCTGGCTTGTCAAGGTCTTCGGTTTTTAGGCTTTCGTCGACCAGCTGGCAGCTGCCGATATCCAGGACTGCGATTTACGGGTTGCCAGGATGTTCAGCTCTGTGGGGGCGGTGCATCGTGATGATGGAAGCCTACGGTGGACCGAAGACGCTGTCCATCCCATATTATCTGCAGATCCTTTGCACACTAAAAAGTGTGCAGTTCTCGTCGGTCATGTTCGTTTAACATGCTGACATGGTAGCATGGCTATGAGTACGCGTATGGTCGGGGCAGACTGCCAGAGTATTCCAAAAGGAGGACCCTAAGGTGTAATGTGAGTGGGTGATGAATGATGCATGTCTCGTATAAGAAATATTTGAATCACATTTTGGAGGAAATTATTAAGTTTGGACCTACATATGTAGGAGACTAAACGAGATTTGGCTGTTTGGTTATTAGCAGAGGTCTATGATATGATTGGCTAGAAATGGATGGCTGTTTCTCAGCAGCATTAAGTAAGCCAAACAGAGCATATGCAGGTACGTAGGTACCTATGTACTAGATACATACAATTATCATACTACGTCACCTGATTGGCACGTGATCAAAATGCCCCGCGTCGGACGCGAGTGAGCAATTTGCCAAATTGGAGCAGTGACTCAATTGAAAAAATTACCCCGCGATCGCAATCACAAAATCTAAATTTGAGCCAAACGACGCGGGGTGATCAATTCAAAAGCTCATCAGTTTTATATAGACGTTTTCGAACTCCAAGCTCATCAAAACAAATTCTTTCCACAACAACTTTGACACGCACGACTTACACATTTTCGAATCACAGCCACCATGGCAGATGAAGCACCGACCGAACAGGTCGCAAACTTGCACCTGGATGAAGTTACTGGAGAGAAAGTGTCTAAGTCAGAATTGAAGAAGCGACAGAAGCAACGCGAACGCGATGCTAAGAAGCAAGAGAAGGCTGCTGCTGCACCCCCCAAGGCTGCGAAGAAGACGAACGCCGAAGCTGACGAGAAGGAATTGACTCCTAACGTAAGTCATCTCAATTATTTCATCCCATATTGTCTATCATATTATTTATCACATTGTTATTATCGGATGAAATAGACGCTGGCTAACACAACCTAGCAATACTTCGAGATTCGATCTCGCGCTATTACCAAGCTCATCGATAGCCATGATCCTTATCCCTACCCCCATAAGTTCAACCGTGACTACGACCTAAATAACCTAGCCAAGGAGTATGGTCACCTCAAGTCTGGCGAACATGACAAGACCAAGGTGCTGCAAGTCGCTGGCAGAATATACAACAAGCGCGCGTCGGGTAGCAAGCTTCTCTTTTACGACATTCGAGGTAACAATGGCTTCAAGGCCCAGATTATGTGTCAAGCCCAAGAAGTTCGCGATGGTGCACCTTCGTTCGAGAAGCAACATGACCACATTCGACGTGGTGACATCATCGGAGTCGTCGGCTACGCGGGACGAACTGCCCCTAAGACCAAGATTGAGAAGGGTGAGGAGGGAGAACTCTCCATCTTCGCGACTGAGGTCATCCTGCTGTCTCCTTGTCTTCACCAACTACCCGACGAATATTATGGTTTCAAGGACCAAGAGCAACGCCATCGCAAGCGATACCTTGACCTTATCATGAACCCTAAGACCGCCAACACCTACCGCACTCGCACTAAGATCATCAAGTACATCCGCCGTTACCTCGACGATGCTGGATTTGAAGAGGTTGAGACGCCCATTCTCAACATGATTGCTGGTGGCGCTACCGCCAAGCCATTCGAGTCTCACCTTAACGACTATAACATGGACGTATTCTTGCGCATTGCTCCCGAATTAGCCCTCAAGATGTTGATAGTCGGAGAGTACGACAAGGTGTACGAGATTGGTCGCCTATTCCGAAATGAAGGCGCGGATTTAACCCATAACCCAGAATTCACCACTTGCGAGTTCTACGAAGCCTATGCTGACTTCAATGACCTGATGCACCGGACTGAGGAGCTCGTTTCCGGTCTTGTCAAGCATCTTACTGGAAGTTACACAACCACGTTCACTACACAGCATGGTGAGACGTACACAGTGAACTGGGAGGCGCCATGGCGACGAGTGGAGATGATTCCTGCTCTCGAGGAAGCGACAGGAGAGAAGTTCCCTCCTGGTGACCAGCTTCACACCGATGAGACGAGAGAGTGGCTCAAGGGAGTCATGAAGAAGGTTAATGTTGTCTGCCCCGAGCCCCAGACGACTGCACGAATGCTCGACCGATTGACAGGTGAATTCATTGAGGAGACTGCTGTCAATCCTACCTTCATCACTGAACACCCCAAGATCATGTCACCCCTAGCCAAGGACCACCGTAACAAGCCTGGTCTAACTGAGCGATTCGAGGCCTTCGTCTGCAAGAAGGAGATTGCGAACGCTTACACCGAGTTAAACCAACCGTTCGAGCAGCGACTCCGCTTCGAGGAGCAGGCGAACCAGAAGGCCCAGGGTGATGACGAGGCTCAGATGATTGACGAGACGTTCCTCAACGCCCTCGAGTACGGTCTACCCCCCACCGCCGGCTGGGGTCTAGGTATCGACCGACTGGTCATGTTCTTGACCAACAACTACAGCATTAAGGAAGTGCTGCTATTCCCCTTCATGAACCCGGAACAGAAGAAGGATAAGGTCCCCGCCGACGGGGCAGAGGAGCCGCAAGTACATTTGGAGGGAATTCGTGAGTACTCCTAATTATATTATCTCTTTTGGTTGTTGAGCTAGTATGCTGACGATGTTTCTTTTAGCCCACAAATAGATACGGACACCTTTAGCCTTTGTTAGGACGGAATCCTGTTTTGGTTGGAGGGATATTTATTGCATATGGTCTACGGCGTTGGTACAGTAGTCCCCGAGATCCCGGTCGACGGCATGGCATGGTATATCATGTCATGTTGTTATGTCATGTTGTTATGTCATGCTCTGCTACTATTAGTATAGCACCATACACAGGACGGGATAAAAACAAGAATTCATGAGAAGTGATAAGTTTCTACATAAAATTACATAACCTAGTATATGTCCAGTGAACGTCATAATCATCATGCCAACCCGATACCCTGCTTTTTGCTTTTTCCTTTCTACTTTTTTCTTTCTTTCTATCGTCTACATTTGAGAAACGCTACCGCGTCTTCGCTGCTGTCGCGATCCTCTTCTGCAGAATCGCAATCGTTGACTTCGGCACCCGTAGTCTATGTCCAAGGACCAAAACCCCCGTCAACAGTGCTAAGCTTCCCGCTTGATGCGCCGCCGCAAGCGAGATGGGAACCATGTATATCAACGTGCTGATGCCCAGCGCAACCTGCAGCGACACTAGGTGCACCACGCCCAACATCCCCTTCCTCGCATTCGGCGTCAGCGCCGCGGATACCCGTCCCGTGCGCGAGTACGCGAACAGCGCGAGGACCGCGCAGAATGTGGTGGTGGCTAGGATGCGGTGGTCTAGCTGTACTAAGCTCGGGTTTTCGAGCATATTGCGCCACCACAGATCCGACCCGTCTTCCTTGCGACAGTAGAATTTCGACCAGAGCTCCGTAGCGGGCGGCGCGAGGCCTCGTCCCATCATGGGGAATTCGTTATATATCAGCCCGGCATCAAGACCGGCGACTAAAGCGCCTGAAAGCACGGTCACGGAGACGAGGGCCGAGAGGAGAGAGACGTAGCGGCGGAACGGTGTTAGAGCGGGGTTCTTAAGCGCGGTGATGAGAGTCTGCGCGGAGGCGGGGGAGGAGAGAAGACGTGAGGTTCGGAGGATGCGCAGCCCGACGAGGAGCATCCAGGAGTAACACACGAACGCCGTGGCTAAATGCGTCGCGAGCCGGTACTGCGAGACGCGCGGGTGCGAGCCGGGTGCGAATAAATCGTCTTTGAGTCCGGATTTCACCATCCACCACCCGATAAACCCCTGGAACCCGATCAGCGCGGATATTCCCACGAGATGTCCCGCCACGCGCGCGGTGACCCGTCGTCGGGCGATTAGGTATATGCTAGGGAGTACGAAGGACAGCCCGATGAAGCGCCCCCAGAGCCGGTGCGTCCACTCCATGAAGTAGATCTTCTTGAACTCTTCGAGGTCCATGTGTGAGTTTAGCAGGTGGAATTCGGGCGATGCGCGGTACTTCTCGAATTCGGATTCCCAGTCGGCTTGGGTGAGCGGTGGGAGGGAGCCGGTTACGGGTTTCCATTCGGTTATGCTGAGGCTGGGAGGGTGTTAGATTGGGGCCGAGGGGAGGGTAGAAAAGAGGGTGGGAGTAGGAAGGCGGAGGAGGTAGGAGGGAGAGTTACCCTGACTCGGTCAACCGTGTGAGACCCCCGAACACCACGATGCCGAAGACGCTGGCTGCGCTGCCGATTAACCAGTACCCCGCGCTCCTGGAGCTCGTTTCGGGAAATGCCTTCTTCCCAGCCTTAGAACCTGCATTCACCGCCGCTGTCGCCACCGTGTCGGGAGGAACGGCGGAAGATGTAAAGTACCGGGCGAAACGGGCTTGCGAGTCGGTGCTGGCGTGCCGCGCTTGCAAAGACCGGAGGACCCGCGACGGAGCTGTCCGCGGCTGCTGACGAAGGCATTGGCGCCAGACGAGTTGACCAGAAGCCAGTTTCGCCGCCGCCCTTCGCAGCCCGTGAATTAAAAGAGACATTTGGGGCTTGGTGAGGAGAGAATTCCCTCTGAGAAAAAGAATTGATGCCCAGACGAAGCTGCGAATGGGAAGGTTTTCGTTTCTAATCATACGATAAGATACCGGAGTACCTACATAGCTTAAGCCCGACGACGGCGCCACAATGACGATTACTCCGAGCGTGGGATGTTACGTAATCAAGAAAAAGGGCAGGATCGACTTTTATGGCGTCGCTCAATCGGTTTCTGAAAATTCATACACTTTCTTCACAAATTCAACTTCTAAGGAGGAAACGGGTATTTCATTTCTTGCGTCAAAAAAGTTCGCGATCAATTATCGTATCTAATGGTGAAGTATAATCGGATCGCTCATGGGTTTATTAACACAATGAAATTCGGACGTCGCACATATTATTCGTTTACGCTTGTCGGTAGACCAACTTTTGAATAACCTCAATCAACCAATCCGCCAACCAGCCAACCAACCTCTTTTTTTCGGTAGTTATCCGTAGCTTCGATTTTCATTCCTGCGAGCGAACGCAGCCTCGTAGCTCGCCTCTATACCTACTACCCCTTTTACCGTCTATAACCCTTAGACCATACTCTCATGTCGAAGTTCAAATTGTAACGAGTCGGATCATCGGATGATGAAGGATCGTCATCTCGATCTATCTTCCTCTCGAAGTATATCTTCGCCTTGTTTCTTTCGGAAGAGCAGGATGTCCTTCAGGGTTCGGCCCTGCTTCTTCTCTTCATATAGGGGTTTATGCTCCTGGTGGATATCATGGTCATCGTCATAATCGACATGGACGAATGCTCGTTCGACATCGCCCAAGCCTAGGAAATCATTAGTAAGCACATTACCTAAGCCGATAGAACCATGGGAATCTCGCCCAAGTGAGGGATTTAATAATACCTTCGAGCTTCCTCTGGAGAGACTGGCTCACGTCGTGAGAGATCTTGAGGGGAATATCTTGGTCCATAACTATATCGACCTCGACGTAGTAGTTTTGCCCAGCATGATATGCTCGGCACTAAGGCATTTTGTCAGCGTTCCCCTGAAAAAAGGGTGGAAAAGTATGGTTCGACGTCGACTTACTGTATCCACCTTCCTGACTAGGGGATCGTGCGTCATGCTCATGTAGATGACTTTCGACACGAACTCCTTTGGAGCAGATTTCCCCACAAGTAGCCAGACCTGTTCGAATGCATTGGCGATCCACGAGAACAGGATCAGGAGTGCGATGCATATGGCTCCAATAGGATCCAGGTACCAAACAAATCGGTCTCCGACCACCGACATAACCAGTCCGAATATGTTGACGGCAATGTCATTTCGGTGGTCGATCTATTCAACCGTCAGTAGAAGCATCTCCATAACCATTAAGGGTAACTTACAAAAAAGACGTGAACCGACGGGTATTTGCGATACGCAAGGCAGTAAACCATGAGACTGGCCTTCGCAAAAACTACATCCTTGTTAACCCCGGTTTATTGGTTGCGGTCCAAGACATCTTACTAGCAATGCCCACGAAGACTATGGGGATAATATGGAGTTCCCTAGATTCGCTTGGTCCGTCGCCCAGAGTACGCGCAGACTCAACCTATAGGCCAAGAGTTAGAGCCATCAAACCCGAGAGGCTGAAACGCCGCGGGGAATGGACTCACGAGCAGTTGGATGGCGACAGTAGTCATTAATGCACAGAAGAGGATAATTCCGATGGTCTCAATCCTGGTGCGACCCTACGCGGCTATGAGCATGCAGTGAACCTGGGCGGTCATGGCACCAATGGATACCAATGGATACCAATGGGTACTTACAACCGGGTACTTGTAGATGCTGGCTCTAGCTGCCATACGTGAGGTTATCAGCATTACAAAAGACGAGACAAGGTCCATCTGTCTTTAAGGTCAACAAGCAGCACTTTATCAGCATTTCAAGACAAGAAGTTACGAACAAAAGCATCAGCAGCAGTGGCGAATAGCTATCAGAATGGTCAACTATGTTCATTAAAGAGGAATGTTCGCACCCAGGGTCAATTACCGATAGCGACCCAGTCGATATAGCAGCATAAAGCTGGATTACGAAGAGGCAGAAGTTTACCGAAAAGGAGGCATTGACCGCAAACTTGATCCTTGGAGCCACCCGGGCATCTTCCTCAATCTGCAGCTGTTCCTCGTCATCGGCACCTAGAAATTGATCGATAAGTTCATTCTGCCTAGAGTAGAACTTCTTCAGCGCTCTCTTGTTTCCATTCGGATGGTCAATCTTCATCTGGCGCTTTGAGACATTGTCGCGGCGATGGCGGCCGATGTTCATCGGGTCATTCGCATTAGCGCCGGATGCAGACGAGTTCACTCCAGGTGACTGAGCTGCGGCCGATTCCCCGATTGCTACCGAGGTTTGGCTACCATTGTTATCATCCTTGAGTGAAGCCGGTCCCTCGGGCGCAGCAGCAGTCGCGGATACTACGCTACCTGCAGCTGCTTGCGTGGTGGTATCTTCACCTGATGTTAGTCGGCCCGTAATTGTAACGCTTTTTGACTGCGCCTGATATAGGGTAAAAAACAATTCAAAACACTTGAAGGCGCCGGATATGAATGTTTCCATGAAGCCTCCATAACAAGATCGGACGAGCATAAAAGGAAGAAAAACGACTGACCTGACGGCTTCGAGTCGTCCTGGGAATTCTGATTCGCCATCTCGGGATTCATGCTTACGAAGGCGTTTAGGGTGCAATACAAAAAATGTTTCCGAATGAAAGTGGGAGAGGTCGATCTCTGCACGCACAAGATTCATATTATATCCAAACGTGGCTCGGAAGGCAAATGTGAGGGAGCCAACCCGCTGTCAAGGTAGCAGCGCGCCCCGTTACAACCCAATTACACTCGACCGGTTCAATGACGGAATTCCACGTCTTTTCCAGGTCAGCTTTCTATGCATTTGGGTCATCTGGAATGCTTATCCCGCCCTTGCCCGCCTACCTCGTCACTCAACTACATCACTATTTTTCTCAATCAGGGCAGAATGGTAACCCCCCGGTGCTAAAAAAGAGTATTAGACAGGGGTTCATATGCCGGTCCGGGTCATCTAGACCATCGAACCTATCTAAACCCTCACCAACTCCGCTTAGACCGCAATTTCCTAGCGGCCTCAAACGACAGTGATCTTGGCAAAGGATTTTTCACATCGGCACTAAGCTGATCTTACTCAAATGCGGTATGTTCAATTGGACTAAAATTTGTTTCGATTCAAGCGGAGTCTGCGAATGCCGTGACTATCAAGTCCTATCTGTCACAACAAGGCTGGCAATTAAGCTCACCTCCATCTCGACGACGCAACCGCATTGGTCAGAACTGGTCCAGATACCCCGGACTCTTTGTTTGCCAAGCCTTGCGTTGTTTTGGGCATCCTCTTCATCGTCCAACCTTTAGTATTCTCGCATCAGATACCCAAAGCCGCATTATCGTAGCCCACAAATATTGATACTGCCAAGAGCCTTTTCGTTTCCCCGTGCGGTTCGAAGATGCTTATTCCTTACGGGGCAACGACGACAATCACACAAATCCCCGACTAGCTGAATACTGAATTAAGGTATGACAGCTACGGGACCCTGCGTTTATTCGATCTACCACGTACATAATTCGAAGCCGTGTCGGAAGAGGCACCATTGCGTGATGCTTCAACGTTGACTATCCTGATTATCGTGAGTAATTACTATGTAAGTAGGAGTAGGTAGGTAAATTGACTAGGGGAGTTGGGAAGGTGGAACTTGTTTCAACCCTACGACCTTCAATGTTTGCAGTGTTTTTCCGGTTGCCGCCGAGCCTTCAACGTTGATTCTATGGTTTCTTAGTCCGGAAAGTGATACTACGGTCGAGTGTGTACAGTAACAAAATAAGAAAAATAGAGGAAAGTAGAACATACCCTGGGTACCTTGGCTCTGTCCGTGGCTATTCAGCCAAGCAGCCCAAGTTAGATGGATCTCGGTCGCTGCGGTGGACCCCCTTCAAGGTGAGCCTCACGCCAAGCTCGCACCAGCACGGGCATGATCTTCGAAGTCGCGATGCTAAGTTTGGTAGAGATGCCATGCCGCTCTCCGTTACCATCGAAAAATCGGCTATGAAACACCTTCGAAGGCATTGACTTGGTTGATCTGCGGTTAAGCAAAGAATGGCCTTGTCATGTCCACGACCAGGTTTCGGCTCGCAAGCGTCGAGTTGCCCTACCAGCCTACCTGCCCTTCCTGTCATACGTTGAACAAGTGCCAAACGTCAATTTGAGTCGAGAGGATCTATTTTAGATCATCGCTGCATACACACACCTGCACACTTCGGATCTCGAATCGAGTGCCATGGGTCTTCATCTCAAGAATAGCCGAGGATCGACGGGCAAGATTTGACGTGACAAGACAATATTAAAGCAAAGGTCTGCCAGATCTTCCAAGAGGTTCTGATTGATATCCTATTCTTATGCGCCGTGCCCATGATAGAGTGTTAGGGGTCCTATTTCTCTTTTGCATTCTCTTCCGTTTCTTTTCTTTTTAACCTTCCCTTCTCTTGGCGTGAGGATTGAAGCCTTTTCGTCTGTTATTCTATTCTACGCACAGGAGTCGCCGGACGGCTTCGTATTTGTTGCCCGTTCTCTATTGTATTAACTTCAACCTTCACTTTTACCAGTCGCCGGACTCCCGACTGCCATTCACTTCTCTCCCCCTTACTTTTTTTCACATTTAAAAAAGAAATAAACCAGAAGACATCATGTCGACAGAAGATATGGGAGACATGAAGCCCGTTTGTGGCAGTGGCAAGGAAGCCGGAGAGTACGATCTGCCTCTCCACACAATCGGTCTCTGTAAGTGACGAAAAATACTTGGGATTTCTTAGATCGAAGTCAGCTAACATTACATTCTCAGTTCTTGTCTTAGCGGCGTCGATTTTTGGAGCTGGGTTTCCCGTGGCCGCGAAGAAGATTAGCTGGCTTAAGGTCCCGCAGAATGTGTTCTTTGCTTGCAAGCACTTTGGAACAGGTGTCCTAATAGCAACTGCCTTCGTTCATGTAAGAAGTAGTCTATCACTCGTTTTGGGTTCATCCAATCTAACAACCATCAGCTTCTTCCCACAGCCTGGTTCAGTCTTTCAGACCCATGTCTACCAGACCTCTTCACCAAGGATTACCCCCCACTACCCGGTGTCATCATGATGTTTTCTCTCTTTTGTCTGTTCGTCGTTGAGATGTGGATGAACAACAAGATGGGTGGTCACTCTCATGGCGGTGCCACCGGCTTTGAGGCTCACGCGCCACCGCCGGCTGCCCCTCAGCGCCCCCAGCGATTCCCGGGTCGAAACAGCTTCGAAGCTGACGACATTTCTTACGAAAAGAAGATGGCTCAGCAGCAGTACGATCAGTCACAATACCCCGATCCCGCTGTCAGCGAGCTCGACCTCCCTCAATCCGAAATGCCTCCATGGTTCATCGTCTTCTATGAGCAATATGTTCGCCAGCGTCTCGAGCTTGTCAATATGATCAGGGCCAACGGCGGTGCTGTCAGTCCTAGCAGCATGCAGGTCGAAGCTCCCAAACAAGATACTGTCATTTCTGAGACGAGCATGTTTGACGAGGAGGGTCAACCCGTCGACCCCCTAGTCTACAAGAGAATGTCAATGAACATCACACTGCTAGAAGGTGGTATCCTATTCCACTCCGTTTTCGTCGGAATGACTGTCTCCATCACCATCGAAGGTTTCGTCGTCCTTCTAATTGCCATCCTGTTCCACCAAATGTTTGAAGGTCTTGGTCTTGGCTCTCGTATCGCAGCTGTACCATACCCTAAGGGCAGCATTCGACCTTGGCTATTAGTGTTTGCCTTCGGAACCACCGCTCCCATCGGACAGGCCATCGGCTTGATTGCACGCAACAGCTATGATCCCAACAGCGCCTTCGGTCTGATCATTGTCGGTATCTTCAACTCGATGTATGTTACAGATCTACAAACCGATCTAAATTAATATTTGCTAATGCCTCACAGCTCTTCTGGTCTTTTGATCTACGCTGCCTTGGTCGACCTTCTCGCTGAAGACTTCCTTTCCGAGGAATCACAACATGTTCTCACCATGAAGCAAAAGAAGATTGCTTTCTGCTACGTTCTTCTCGGAGGTAATTATTCACATATAAAATATATATTTGTCTCATATTTGGCTAATGGTATATCTAGCTGCTGGCATGTCCATCGTCGGCGCCTTCGCTTAAAAGGATTCCCAAGCAACGAACACCTACGAACCGCGAGTCGATTCAAAGACAAGGAGAACGAGAAAAACATAGACCGCGATACCCCGAGGAGCAGCATCGGATTGCTGCTTCGAAAAAAACAGCTACTTGAGACGAGTCGGGTAGTGAACGAAACATGGGCACGGATTAATGGATGTGTGGTGGGGACCAAGGGCGTCGGCTGTGCTATCATATTACGTGGAAGGGCTCCCTTGGCAAATGCAGCAAGTAGTTTTCCATGCGTGAGAAAGTGTAATTTTACAACACCACAGTCCTTACCGAAATCACCGGTATTAAAGCTTCAGCCTGGTCCCCCCTTTTCCGTTATCGTCAGTTTGAGAGCCCAATATCTATCTCCGCGGAGATAGGTAGGGACGCGATTTCTTCCACACATCACATTAAAGAGCGATATATCTCCTTATACCCCCGTATCAAAAACGAAAAGCCGAGTCGAGATAGGGGGAGGTTCTGCCGAAACGGAACGCTGCGAGAAGAAGCCTCTGGCAGAGACGAACGATCACAAAAGATACGGCCTTGGAGATGGGATTGATCGACTGGTTGGAGGATTAATGAGTTATTACGTTTTACTGGGAGGGAGCTGGAAGGGAAGGGAAAGGAAGATTTAGTTTTCTAGAACGATACTGTATCACTAGAGTGAATCTGAAGGCATATCTACTACTACTGCGCATACACAAATTCTGAATAGGGAGGGAACTATTACGATAGCATACCTACCTATAATTGCGAATAGCGCCCCAGCAATAAAATTCCAAATATTCCAAATCTTTCAAAATACCAAGCAAAAACTTCCCTCACCATAACCTCCCTGCCCTCTAGGTACAACTCTAAGGGTCCAGGTCCAAACCCCTCGGCCCGCTTCCGCGTCGGTAAAACCGGCACTCCAGATATCCGCAGCGATGCCACTCTTCTTGGCTTCTTGGCGCCTCGTCTTCTGAAACGGAGGCCGTGGAGCCGCCGCGCGGGGGACTAGGGACGGGTGAGACAGCGCCTAGATGCCGGGGAGAGCGCACGTACATGCGTCTGTACGTAACGTTTTCGTGGAGGGAAGCTGGGCACGTGTCGTGTTTCCCGTTTTGGCATGTGTGTTTGTTTCTTCGGTGCTGGAGGCTTGGGTGGTAGGCTATGTGTTGTTTGAGACGCTGGCGAGGTGCGTGAAGAGGTAGTTTGGATTTGGTAATGGGAATGGGGAGGTTGTGAGAGGGAAGGTTCAGCCGTGGCCGGGTTTCTGGAACTTTTGTGTGCATGCAGGCAGGGCGTTTGCGTCTGTGTGAAGATCGGGGCTTAAAATAGATGGATGGCGTTTTTGAGGGTTGGCGAGATGAGCTGAGATGGGATGGGGGGTTGGAGAGGTTGGTGGTGGTGATGTGGCGCTGGGATTGGGCTTCTGGATCTGGGGATGTACAATGCTCTTTAGTGGTGATGTTCTGCAGGATATTACCTGCGTACAACGCTTGTGTGGATGGTGATACCGATATCTGATATCTACTTGGAGAAACTCCATACTCCGGATCGAACAATTTATCGATTTGCCTCCTTTCTACCTACTCAAGTTATGTCATAATACATTAGGTACCTATACAATATCATTCCCGCCGCTGACATCATCTTCCTACAAGATAATCTCCGAAGATCTACGGTGCAGAGGGACACGAGTTAGAATGGGATAAAGATCAGACCAAAGAATGGTTCATCCTAAAACCCTTCCTACGATCAAAAGAGCATCAAACATCATGATAAAGCAAAGTCATAGCAACTCAAAGCGAGATTTACAACGAGGATTGTGGAAATTTCTAAATCCTACCTTAAACAACCTTAAGCCTTAGCGATTGAAACTTCTCTCCTATCCTAAATTCTGTGGGAATACGTCTCGTATTAAATAATAGAGGGCGAGTAGATAATTCTCTTCAACGATATCGATGCCCAAAATGCTAATCTACGAGTAAATCCCATCTCGTGTATAGATAAATCGACGACGACGACCTTTATAACGAGCCGAACGTTAAAAATACCATCTACGTTATGTAGGCGCTATGCCAACACAGGTTTCACTAGAAACGATGCCGTTTCTCTCGACCCTTCTCACATACTACAACCACCTCATAGCCGTCACAGACATATCAGAAAGAAAACACTCCCGTCATGAGCAACCGCATGTTGGCAAGCTGTGACACAATGTGCACTTCGCCTCTCTATCCTACACTGAATTTATATAAGAGGACGATTAGCTCTATACCAACCTACACCCTCGTCCAAACCTACCTACCTCAACAGCCACAAACCCCGACGATCGCATCACCCAGCCCTCAAATATCAGCAAGTCGATCCCACCGCGACAAGACCATATCAACATGCCCTCACACGCATTCACATACACATCAACCAACCCATGAATTCCCATCAGAAGTCAATTACTTTTCCTCTCCTTTTCTCCTGTCTTATATACACATAATCTACACATAACACACAGCAGCCTTTCCCTCCCTTCCCTTCTCCTCTCCTCCCCATTTCCTCACCTCATCTTAAAAAACCCTCGTATCCGTATCCGCAGGACATGTTATCCATAGCACAGCAGAAAAGAAGAAGGGACATCCATACATCCGACGAGACCCGAGCAAGCAAGATCGATCCCACGAGATCATCGAAGAAGCCGAAAAAACACACAAAAACCCGTATGCTCACTCACTCACTCACTCGTACACACGTACACGCCGACAAACGTCCGATAGATAGATGCCAACGGATAGGGGACAGGTTAAGCATTCCCGAGCTGAATCGAACCTCAGGCCTCACACCTCAACAACAACAGCATCACCAAAAAGAAGAAAGACCAAGAAAGGATATCCGACGCCATCTCAAATGCCACAATCCTCCAACCACAAATATCCCCTCCCTCCCTTCGCCATCCATGAACCCAGAAGCACGAGAATAGGGACCTGGAACCCGGGACCAAGGATTTTGTTTCGTCGACGGAGAGAAGAAAAAACAAACAAACAAACGCCGAACCCCCCACCTCTTTCTAAATAGTTTTGTGTTTCCTCCGCTACGCTTGATGAGTTTGATGCCCTGAACGCCGCCTATGTGCAAGATTTTTGTCGGTAAGTACGCACGTATGTCGTAGTACCGGGGATGATCGCAAAGAAACTTGGGGTATCCATATCACGGCATTTTTTGCGATATGTAATGAAATACAATAACGGCAGGGGGGGTATGGAAATCTAAGGCTTATGCCATGGATTTATGGGTTGTCGTCATATCGATTGTGTGATCCTCCGCAAAACACTGGATCTTCATTTCCATTCCGCCGTTTAAGGAGTATCCGGGCTGTAGTCCAGATATGGTTCCGACTATCGATTAAAAGCATAAGTGCTTATTTTTGGAATTATTTCTCCTCAAGGAACACCGACGATGATGGAGGCTCACTTTACGTGGCTTAAACGAGGCTGTAATGTATGTGCTGGAAGTGCTGAACGATTGGACGATTATGTCGGTGATGGGAAGGAGATACATCTAGGATGAGTCTCAAGTATGGTACAGACAAATACGGGATTGTTCCGGATCGTATACAGGCTACATTTGCTAGGATAGTCAAGATAAACAAGACTAGTCACTAGTATTATGAGATCGAGGCAGATTAGAGATTGGGTAGTTGATGAAATCGTCGGCTTCATCGTGCTTCCAAAAAAAGTTCGGGTCTGTGGGTTAAAAGATCGGTAGTCGATTGTGACACGGAAATTGAGGCTGGACCTGGAGAATGTCCAGACACAACTTGTCAGATAAAGCAGCCAAGTGGCATGTCGGTGATTTGTGATGTGCTTTAAAATATAGTAGAACCTCCTTTAATGTGACCTTTCATTTCAACTAAGCGATGATGGAATCGTCCAAACATAGCAAGTAACAGCAAGTTCGGTGGTATTTCAGATAGACTAGACGCATCGTTGTCTCTTTTGGTGTCTTACAGTAAGGTAAAGGGTCGTTAATATGGCTCTCATGTTGATAAGCTGAGATGAGAGGTCCCTCCGGAGCCCTTGAAGGCATGTAGGGCGGCTAATAGGAGGCGATGGGCCACATTCCATGTCGTTCGTACGTCTGCGGAACTTCATAGGCCTGCGTGAGCACTGTTACTCTCTACCACATTATCGGAGAGATTAATCAGTAGCTGGGCAAGGCAACGCTTAGTTGCTGCGTCGTCGCGAAGTACGGAACTGAATGTGGCATCGCGGAGTGGTTCTGGGAGGCATTGGCGAAGTGCTTCTCGGGCGCGCGCATTATCGCTCAACCGAAGGAAGCACCGCACCACGTGCTTAAGGAGACGAGCCGTCTGCTGCTCGACAAGCTGAGCAACCATGTTACTCAGAACTGTTCCTACGGCATAGAAACGCTCGTAGGTGGCGCAGATGTAGTTGAGACCGTTGTCATCCAACAGAATCTTCTGAACAATGAAGATGGCGACCGTCTTGCTAAGCTCGGATCCCGTCTCCATGATTCGCAGACAAAGAGGAATAATCTCAGTGGTAAGGAGGAAGTTGATTACCTCACTAGAATCGTTCTTGACCAACGCACCGATCACGCCAAGCGAGGTTAATCGTAGATATTCGAAAGGTCGTGACTTCGACGTCGTGTTCAGGAAGGGGTAGAGGAAGAGAGGTATGTGAGCTATAATCATTTTGTCAATACAAAAACCTATAGAAAACAGAGAATGAAGTGCGTACCATTCAGGAACAAAGTTCTTGTGTCATTGTGCGATGCGACACATTGCAGAAGCGCAAGAGCGTTGCAGACCCGGTTCGAAGCAGCAGCTGTTAACTGAGACGGGTTGAGAAGGTTGTAGACCGAGATAATCTCCTGCATCAGAGAGGTCATAACACCTAGATATTGATTAGTCACTATTTTCTCTCACGATAGCTTCGGTTAAATGTTACTAACCGAATGAGTGCCACAGGATAAGCGCCAGTTCGGGCACTTGTTCACGCTTTTTGCTTAGCTCTAGAAGAGCAGCCTCACGTGTGTTCTCGTTAAGCAGATCGGCAACGAATGTAAGGGTTCTTCGGTTGTCTTCCGACACGTTCTCTAAGCCATTCTCTTGAACATGGTTAGCAACAGAAGCACTGATGCTTGCTGTGACATTGTTATGCTGGCCTGCCAGTCTGTTGTAGTGTTGTTGCTGAGCAGCGGCCGCAACAGCAGCAGCCTGTTGGGCTTGGTGCTGGTGACTTGGCTGCTGATGCATCCATGGCTGCTCAGCGTGGGGGTTGTACTGATGGTGACCGTAAAGGCTCGGATTCGGTAACATGGTGTCGGCTGTATGTTTTTGCTCGGTTTATTGGTAATTTCGTGTACAGTTCGGTGTTAGGGATCGTCAATTTAGATCGACCGTTGTTATGCGCGCGTCGTATGTTGAATGAGTTTGTAGCGTACTTGTCCCTTTTCGCCTATCGTTGAATGTATTTTCTCTATTCAGCACCGTTATCTTTCGTGGCTGCTTCCTTGGCTTATTCTTTTGCGCCGGCGTTTGTTCCTATGCTGATTCTTCTGGAAGCTGATAGGGAAAGATGCTGTATAGGATGATGTAATCGTAAACGATTATAGATGTGAGGATTACAACTCGGCCAGGCGAATACGTCCCCTTTTCTGAAGAATTCGTGGGGGAGACCAGCAATCGTAGATATATCCTAGAATTCCGCCTGGATTGGATATCGATGTAGGGACCGCTAATACGCGCCAGCTGTGTTTGAAATATTATTCGGCAAATTTCAGTGTAGGATGGTTCTCCGTTTTATTCAGTAAGTCGGTAGTGAATGAGAAGAGCGAGTCTGAATTATTGCGCGAGGGAAATGCGCTCTTGACGAGAAATGAGGGATCTCCGTTCCGACGTGATTATCTCTGGTGAAGTAGCAACGTTTTCTGCTGGTGACGATAGTGATTCGTGGCAATTTCTCCTAATCGAGGGCGACGTCGATGATATGGGAGATATCTGAGGTATATGGAGGTTGATGTACCCTATGTGATCGTGATGGAGAGGTCTTGGATTATTAACTCTTGGTAGAATTGGGCTAGACTTGGGAAGACACGCTCCAAGTAAACTGTCCGTGACGATGTTTTGGGGGAGCTTCGGGCGCGGAATTAGCTCAAGAAATGATTTAAAGTTGTCCGAAGAAAAATTATTATCTGCAACCTACTTCAGAACGTGTGCGGATGCAAAGGAAATAGGTAAGGCTGAAAATGTAGGTAGGCAACTTCAAAAAGTTGAAGAAGTGAAGTTGATGCAGGGTTCGCCAGAGAAAGCCCGGTCTTTGAAGCATCGCATCCTAATTTGCCGATGGAATGGGGTTAACACTCTAAGAGGGGTGCACTGACCACATGTAGACCCCATCCCCCCCGATTGCGTTACGACCGTTACGTACCTTTTTTTATCTTTTTTGCTGCGTATCAGCCCTAGCTTCCAACGCCCTACTGATTTATTCACACCGTTTATCTTGCGCCGCAGCGGGGTGAAGCACGAGCCACATCAAGCTAGGTAGTTATGTACCATGGTACCTACATCCCCTTTATCAACATCGTGCTGTCTCACATCCCACTACTACCATACCTGCATACCTACTAGGTAGTAGGCATCTCGACATCGGGGATTGCTTACTATCTGTGCTACATAGAGAGCTCCAGCTAGAGCTGTTGGTAAGAGGAGATAATACGGATCATTAGATACCCAAAAAGCAAGAGATAAACAATCTGACAATCACATGTTCTCGCCCATTAGCTTAATAAGATTATATAGAATAGTAACTCCGGTGAAAATGAACCCAGATTGGAATACGGGTACAACTGAATTATCGGTAGGATAAACTACCTAGTACCATATGTTGACCTCTATCTACATAAGCCAGCGAGACTAGGTACCTATGAATCTAGGTCAATTAGGACAACACGTATTAATCCATCTCCGGATGTACTTTGTACATTACTATTTGCGTCTGCTATTAGGAAAGCATCGTTGGTCGTCAAGTCCGGTTCGCCAAACCTGCCAATTCCATCATATCCTTACAATAGGGCACTAGGCGCGGCCTGGCCTCGAAGAATCCATACAATCCGTATCGACAACAAGCCAAGCATGCCCTTTCAAGAAACCGTCTTTCAAATAATCACGAAGTATTCAACGATAATACCTCTTAAGCTCCACCTTTACACCACCGAACCTCAACATGTCAAGGTCCCAAGGTCTCGAAACCGCAAAGTAAGATAGCGGCCGTTCCTCGAGCATCTTGAACCAACTCCGTTTGTTTCTATTATTTCGGATCGCCTGCTCGACCCGACTTCATCATCCGCGACGCGGCTTTAGATCATAGCCGCAGCTCCTTCAGAATTTGATCCGCCCTGTTCTTGAACTGCCATGTGTTTCCCTGCATACGCTTGAACTGAATTCCGTGCAGCGAGAGAAGCGGAACCTTGACGATAAATATCTCAAATTCCAAGATCATGTTGCTGCCCAAGTCGCTCTGGACATGGGTAGTCGTCTCACCCGGTACTCGCCTGGACGAACTGGTTGCGTCCCGCTGAATGCTCTCCGGGTCAGACAGCTCTGATGCCGAGTCGCTTCGGTCAGCGTGTCTTCCGGGTGTTCGTGGTGTTGGGGGGGCTCGATACATATCCCGGATCTCATCACGATCTCGTTCCGTTCTAATGCCAAAACTAAACCTACGTCGATGGCCTGGAGTCGGGACAGGGCTGCCCGCCGCCTCGGCAGCCTTTTTGAGGTCAATGCTAGGCATGTGGCGGCAGGAGAAGCCCCCACGGATCTCTGTGTAGTCGACGCCAAGCTCCGTCAACACCCTCTTAACGTCCGCACGAATAGCAGGTACTGACTTTGTCGAGGTGGTGGAAACACTAAACAAGCCCTTTAAGAAGACCGGCTTAGCTAACTCTGAATCATCCAAGCGCTCTGCCGAGTTTCCACTGGCCTCGCCAACTTCCTGGTCTGTCTCTTCGGGGACATCGGCAGCTCGGGCCCCTTCTCTACGGAGCCTTCGTGCCTGGATGCTCTCTCTACGAGCGTGGCCAAGCGGTCTTGCTCTCATGGAAGTAGCACGGGGATTCAACGCGCTCTTAGGCTCCGGAGGTACTTTGTCGGTAGCTGCCGACTGATCAGAGCCGCTAGTTGGCGGCGGTTCTTTAGGGATCCGGTTGGCAGATCCGAAAGGTCGCCTGCGAAATTCAGCCGAACTCACACTGGTCGAGCGCCCTAAGCCCTTATTGCTTCCAGACAAGTTGCCACCGGCAGATAGCGGCGGGCTAAGTAGATCCCGATGCTGCGGCTGACTGCTCCCGGAACGTAACCTTCCCGGAGTATTGTCATCATCTCGCTCACGCCTTGATCTCCGTATACTAAAGCTCTTACGTGGCGTCGTCGGGGGGTCGGCGGGAGAATGGACGTGGACAACGGGCGGGTGAGAGCGATCCTTATCGAGCCTCTCTGGTTCCTTTCGACGCCTGGTGCTGAATCGCCTAAGGATACCTGCAGCAGTGCTTTCCCTCTTAAGCGGTAGATCAACGGGCGTTTCTGGGGGAGGGGGGACGTTGAGCGTTGCATTGGCCTTCTTGATATCCTCTGGTGCATCATCTTCTCCATGGGTTCTAGCACGAGGCCTTGACCGTCCTCCAGTCGCCTTCTCTCCAGCCATCTCATAAGCTGCAGTATTTGTATGCGCCTCGGGAGGAGGTGCGATCTCTGGTATTGGAGAGTCGGCAACGTTCTTCGGTGTATGCGACTTCGGCACCATGTCTACCTTGTCACGGTCTTGCTTCTCCTTCACAAGATAGTAGATGGAGACCAGAGGGCTAAAGGCGTTGAGCGGATCGACGCCAATCTGAAGAGCATCTGTGCTTGGAGTCGACAAGTTATCACGACTACTTCCAGAATTGCGTCTCTTGTAGAAGTCAAATCCAAACCCTCTCTTCTTTTCCACATCTTTGGGGACGGGTGGCACTTCTTTCTCTTTTTGTAACAGTGTTACAGCGCGTTTGTAATCGTCGGATTCGATGACCTTAGTAAGTTGAGCCCTGATTACCTCGGGGGGGCCAAAGTTAAAACCAGTCATAGCGTTGATGACTTCAGTTTCTAGAGGTAGTGCTAAGGGTTCGCGAGTGGGTAGGTAGTTCTCGGGCGCCGTACCATATCCCTTTATCATCCACGGATGACTCATGACTTCGTGCATCGTAGCACGTTGTCTTGGATCGGTGACAAGCATGCGGGATAGAAGATGTCGGCACTCTAGATGTATGTTAGCAACGCTATATGAGCCACAAGCTACTCGGGAGGAATCACGTACCGTTAGATAACCAACTAGGGTAATCCACAAGTCCTTTCTTAATCTTAGCATGCAGAGCGGGCATGCTCTGGTCATCGAAGGGGACCTTGCCGCAAACTAGCACGTATAGAACGATACCAAAGCTCCATACGTCAACCTCAGGACCAGTATAAGCTCGTGCCTGCAGGAGTTCAGGTGCTGCGAAATAGAGAGAACCGCAGAACGTCTTCAGGTGACCTCGGGGAGCAAAAAGATTGCTCAGACCGAAGTCGATAATCTTGATGTCTCCAGTCTTACTGATCAGAATGTTTTCGATCTTCAAGTCGCGGTGCACTATGCTATTCCGATGGCAATAGTCAAGAGCGCTTGCGATCTGTCTGCTAAACTTCCTCGCTTGCTTCTCCTTTAATTTTCCATGGGAGATAATATAATCAAGCATCTGGCCACCATTGACATATTCGAAGAGCATATACCAATGATAGTTGGTACGAACTACATCTCGCATGCCGCAGATGTGGGGGTGATGTAGCAGGGTAACGATTGCAGCTTCGCGTGCGGTTCGAATTTCCTTCGATTGATCAGCCCGCTCTTTGTCGGCTCGACTGTGATGCCCATCTTCGGTAGAGCCTCGCGGAATGATCTTGCAAGCGACCTATACAATCAAACGTCAGAGAGGGGTTCCTTAAAGATACTTAGGTAGATGACTTATATCTAGAGGATACAAGCTAGGTGTACTAACCTGTTCTGTGCCGTCTTCTTTGCGAGCAAGTTTTACCTTGCCCATACTACCAGCGCCAATAGTCTTGCCTAGAATCCATTTTCCAGATTGGGTGGGAATGGATGTTCTTGATGTTCGTTGCTTAGCACCAGTGGCGCGAGCATCTGCTGCAGCTTGCATGACGGGCGGGATTGCAGCTGGGCCTGCGTTATTTGCGACAGCGGTCGGCCCTGCCATGTCGCTTTTACTATGAGTAGATCGTGTACTGCTCCGGCGATGTACGCCCTTGGAATCGGTCCCACCTCGCGAAATTGGGGGAGGACGGTCTTTGCTAGAATTTCGCTTAGTTTGATGGTGACTAGCAACTACATTCGACGTCTCATAGTCCTGTTGAGGAAGGATGTCTTGTATAGGACGACCGGAAGAAGAGGTCTGTCGGCTATGATGGCGATGGTGGTGGGAGGCAGAGGCAGAACGAGTTGGGTGTGGAGCCGAGGTGTGTTGTTGGGAAGGCGAAGCGGCGGTGGAACTTGTCGGGCGTGAACGAGTAGAGTGGCTTCTCACAGGTGGCTGTGATTGACGAGACCGGGGAGAGGAAGAAGATGAATGTTGGTGATTACGGTGAGGAGACTGAGGATGGTGATGATTATGATGATGATGTTGTTGTTGTTCAGTTGTTGAAGTTGACATTGCTCGGCAACTGGCAACTGGTACCAGAGGTATTGCTACAGCAATCCTGTGAACCGTACCGTACAGTATGAGAATGATTATTGATTAACAACAAGGGGGTAGTCGGAACTGGGACGGGGACGGGGACGAGTTGTGGTGACAAGGCCTAATGAAGGCCGATGCTTCTGATCCATAAAATTCAAAATTAAAGAATTTGGTACGGAACAGAATAGTGCTGGGTGCTTTCCAGAGATTTGGAGAACTGATTTTGGGCAGTAAAGTAAAGGCGGAACAGCCTAGAAAGAACAAGCCTGAACAGCCTGGGAAATGGGAAACTGGGGTCGGGAAAGATTTGGTACAATACTACAGGTATGTATGTACTTAGTAGTACCTACCTCTGTATTGTACAATACAGCAGCCATCAACCAGCTTGACAAGGTTGTACTAGGTACGAAGTACCGTTACAAAATACAGTCCAGTCCCGAGTTACTAGACGAAAGCCTCGTCACTTCCTTTTTTTCTTGCTTGCTCCCCCCCCTTCGTGCCCCAAGGTGCCTTCCTTTTACCATCTACCGCCTACTACCTATTATCTTCGCTACTTTCGCAGTACCAACTTTTACGCTAAAAAGAGGAGGAGTTAATTGGACCGGGATACATTAGCGTCTTTTCGCGGGTCTGCAAGCTCCTTATTGATGAGAAGCTCCTCCTGGCAGTCCTGGCTTACACTTGCTAAACACTTTGGACACTGTAATAAATTCGCTACGGCTGATTAGTCGGCATATTAATGTACCTAGGAAAGCTAGGAAACCTTAGTGCTGGTGATAACGGCGGGGAGCTGGAACATCCATCATTTTCATCCATGCGTCAATGTACCTTTCTTAAGCAAATACGTTCATAGGTTACACGTAAGAACCGCACTTACTTACGTGTAGTAATAAGGACGGTCTAATAAAGGGGACTACCTCCACCATCCACTACCATCACCTGCGCGCCGGGGAATTCAGTACCGACAACTATTTAGCAGCACTTTTAGTCCCACGCAAGCCGTTTGACCGTGTGCGTGTTCTTGGTGTGCCCAGAAACCAGATTCCAGAACACGAGAGCCGGCTGATAATACAGGGAAGATCACAATCGAATTCACCTAGCCCCGCAGCCATACAAAAGGTCTCGTAAGGCGAAACTGCTGAGGCACCTGAGAAGAGCACTTGATAATCAAAAAGAAATAGGGGAAAGAAAAAAGAAATGATATTCACTTAGCAACTTAGTTACACTTGTAGTCCGTGAGATAACCTAGACGAAGCTGACTGGATCATTCTTTCCATAAATGCTTTTCAGTTCAAGAAGCTATCTGTCTGGTACCTACTAGTAGGTATGTAAATTAAGCTATGCTAGCCCCGACATGCCACTGTTATGTAAAGTTGCTTAGTGCGCACCTTACGTAGCCCGGTTGGTGGGTGATGCGGTTTCCAGCTCGTACAGAATGACGAAATTGAAAGAGCGGCCCCTGAAACTAATCGAGACTAATGAACTTTGCGGTCCTTTAAACAATTGATGGAAACCCATCCTTCTTATCCTGAAGAACTTGGAACTTTCATAAGGCACAGCACCTAGTATCTATAATGTTCCCTAGACAAGGAATGTCGCTTACACAATAGGAATCGGAAACCATTCACACTGTTAAAGATGGTAGGTTATAAAACTTACAACAAAACACGAAACTAATGATGGACAAGTCAACTAACTACACGTGCTGCGTTTAGAGTACTAGATCCTCCTATATTTCTAATCACGATCCAGTTGATTTGTGCATAGGTTTGGGATGGATGTGATATTTTGGAGGGGTATGACGACAGTAGCCGGATACTCCCATTATCCCACCCACTACCAACAAGGTTGTATTGCAGGTTGGAAGCTTGAACAGATCAGGAAAATAATGGGCATCGTCGAATATCGCTCCTGTTCTTCTTCGGTCAGCCAGGGACTGTGATAGGTTGCTCATTTTCGACTTTCCCGTTCCTGACCGTTTATTGAGTAAGGAGACGGCTTGACGGGTTGATTGGACCGTGAAGCGAGTTAGATCCTAAAGGAGCAATCATCGAAAACACCAATCTGTTGAACCATATCGGTACAGGTGCGTCTTACCATGTTCATGTCCATGTCTATGATCTCAGTAATGAAATATCCACATTAGACTTCTCTTCCTCGGCATATTACAACGTGCCTCAACAAATCCTATCATCTTCCTCGCATATATGGAAGCTTTTCTACTTCCTTATATAGGACTTGCTTGAACCCAATCGCCTACTTGAGATAGAAACCATAAATAATGCTCTCACATCCATCCTTAAGCCTCAGCTGAATTGGATTGTACCCCTTTTAGGTTTCACATTGCTTTTTCTGACTAGAAGCTTGCCTATAGTACCGGTGTAGGTAGGTACTTAAAAAGCACACACTACGGCAAGGAAGCTAGATATTCGGAATTATACTCTTTCATTTGTTAGCAACAAATTTTTGGAACTGAATAACTATGAGTCTATGATAAATCAGTATCTAAGGGTAGATAAAGCTGGTCCGAAGATATAGCAGTGCTCATGAGCAATCGGAGTTCTCTACTCAAACAAATCTCCCAGCTGAAGAAAACCAACCCATTTCTAAGATATGTGCCAATTTATACTAGAAATTGTCACCCGGTAAGCAGTTTATAATATGGGTGTGTGGTTCCAGACCTGCAGGACAACCTCATTTTGTGTGAGATTACCTCACAGCCTACGAATCTGTACTCCAGTGCTATAAAGGGTCTCGGTTCACGTATAACAAATGACTCTCATCAGCACCTTTAACAATGCTTTTCTTGTGGGCTAGTAAGAGGTACCTAGCAGAGGCATTTAATTGACGTATTGTCCTTACTTGACATGCAGTTGAATTTGTGTGCGGTACTAAACACCTTTTACATCATTAGCATTGCCGGAAACTTGATTAAGCTAGAATACTCACAGCAATTATTTCCCAATTTTCGAAATGGTGGCATCCATTATGTCGAACTTTCCTATTTATAAAGGAATATTGATAAATATATGCCAAAAAGATGTTGTAAGACACGAAATTTATGTATTTCGTAGCAGCTTCCGTTAATTGTTAAAGTACTTGTTTACGTAATCAATCCAAAAGATACTTAGTTACATGAACAGATACTGTATTCCACTTATCGATAAGAAACATTCCCAGCTTCATCATCCAAAGCTCCCGACTTACTTCAGACAAACGTACACGTTCTAGCACCCCAAATCTGAAAGAACCCGTGAATTTGTGCCAGAAACCTTACATCAAATTTGGGGGTCATAGAATACTGCCCATGTCACAAAAGCGATCCCGCAAATCCTTCGAAGACGAGCCCAAAGACCAAGAGTCGTACGTCGTCTACGGCACTCCTCTACCACCCCTCGATCCCGACGTTCGCGACGACGGCTCCTACGTCCCAGTATGGAAACAAGAGGTTCGGGATGAGCGCGGCCGCAAGCGCCTCCATGGAGCCTTTACAGGGGGATGGAGTGCGGGATACTTCAACACCGTCGGGTCCAAGGAAGGGTGGGCACCCTCTACATTTGTCTCGTCGCGCGCGAATCGCCGGAAGGATGACACTACTGCTAAGCAACAGAAGCCGGAGGACTTCATGGATGATGAGGATCTCGCCGACGCGGAAGAGGCAAGGAAGCTACAGACTGCGCAGGGGTTCGCCGGACTAGGGTCTACCGATGAGGATGGGCTTTCTCGACGGGGAGGGCTTACGGATTTGTTCCGCGTAAAGGGGGATACGATGGGGAAGAAACTACTAAGGAAGATGGGCTGGAAAGATGGTCAGGGAATTGGTCCTAAAATCCGCCGGAAAGCTCGACTTGATGCCGGTAGCAACAAGTTAAGCGGTATTGCTCAGGATGGAGGCGAGACGTATCTCTTTGCGCCAGATAACGTAGCCATGATCTCGTTCAACAAGAAATTAGATCGAAAGGGGCTAGGTCACCGAGGAGAATCACGATTAACACAGATGAGAGCAAACACACGAGCGGAAGCCGGTTCGAGCTCCGACGAGGACTCGCAAAATGGACCTTTAATACGTCCCAACGCGCTAAAGAAGAAGAAGCCGAGTAAATTCGGAAAGGGCGGTATAGGCATCGGCGTTCTCAACGACACGGGATCCGACGATGAGGACCCGTATGAGATCGGGCCGCGGATATCGTACAACCGGGTCATAGGAGGCGACAAAAAGAAGAAGAAAGCGACAAGCACAACTACGTCAGCCAACCCAGCGCTGCGCTCAGCACCAGTTTTCATATCCCGCAAGAAAACCCTCGCTCAAGCGGGAAAAAACCTGCGAAAATGCCACGATGGCCGCCTCCCCCTCGACGGCTTCATCTTCGGCACACAAACAGACGACTTGGCATCGTCCATCAACTCCGAAGTTAACAAATACCCAGCCCCCATCATACCAGCCGACTGGAAGTCCAGCAAACAACGCAAACCCGACCCCTCAACCTCAAACACAACCTACATTTCCACCGCCGACGCAGCCCGCGCCTCCAAACTAGACGCGCGCTCCCGCGCCGAACTCTTAGGTGAAGCCCAACTCCAAGGCAAATCCGTCTTCGACTTCCTCTCCTCCACGGCACGCAAGCGCCTCGCCTCCGCAACCGGAAACCGCAACCTGCCCCCAGCCCTCGGCGAGATCCCCTCCGGCTACGCCTTAAGCGACGCAGAAAAACAGCAACAACTCCTGCGCCAAATCCCGACCATCGACAAAGCAACCGCCGTAGCAGCAATCGCCCGAGGCGCCGCCGGCAACGGCACCGCGCCATACGCCGACGACGAGGCTAAGCGCAGCAGGTACAGGAAATATCTCGAATGGGCCGCGGGTTTCGCCGCCTCCCCGCCCGACAAATCCCCCGCCGTTTCCGCGGAAGCGTATCTCCGCGAACTCCACGAGTTTCAGAAATGCGCGTTGATCTTTAAACCCATGACCGGCGCCATGGCGTCCCGATTCACCACATCAACGGCTTCATCGTCGAGTTTACTAAAAGGAAACGCGAGCGGGGGAGCGGATGCAGATGCGGTGGTGAGCAGACCGCCCCCCAAACCGACGGATCCGGCGGAGCAGGCGGCGGGGATGGGGATGTACGGCTCTATGACGCGGAAGGTGGCGGATTTTTATCCGACGAGGTTGCTTTGCAAGAGGTTTAATGTGAGGCCTCCTGCGCACGTGCAGCCGGATCCGGAGCGCGAGGGAGGAGGAGTGGGAGGGGGTGCGGGTGTGGCGAAGGGGAGGGCCGCGGATCCGTTTAGGGCGTTTGTTTCTGGAGGGGTGTATTCGGAGAATGCGATGACGCTGGATGAGTTAGTTAGATCTGCGGGGACGGAGGCGCAGACGCCGGCACAGGTAGGGGAGGCGGTGACGGTGCCGGAAGGAACGCTGAAACCCCAGGCCCCGCAGGTGGTGGTTAATGCGGAGGTTAATGAGGTTTTGGAGGGGAAGAGGGCGGAGGATGATGTCCTGAAGGCCATTTTTGGGGACAGTAGTGATGATGAGGATTAACTGGGGGAGTGAGAGTATGAAGCTGATAATTATACCCCATTGAATACGAATGTTCAAAGTCTAGGTAGACATACCTATTTACTTATTGATGAAGCACGGATGTCACAATTCTGTGGAAATATTTCTGCATCATTTATTTTCTATTTCTATTCATGCTTATGTTGCTGAATGTTGATATGCACATCATCTAACCAAGTAGATATAACTTCCAACCACTCTACCTAGGGTATTAGGCGCCTATAAAACCACGTTCAAGCACACTAGACCCTGTCTAATGCGTAGGCTTCGAAATCGGCGCAATAATACCCTGCCTCATCAACACCCTCGGCTTCGTCGCCTCCTGGAACGTCTCCTTGGTCATCCACTCAGGGCCAACAGGGAGCCTCAGTGCACGTTCGTACTGTAGCCTCGATTCGTAGGGGTGCGGTAGCTGGGTAGCTGTGAACTTATCGTTCTGCGTAATCAATGTGTTAGTTAATGCTCATAATGCCAATATAGAATAAAAACCAGGGAGAGATATACCTTCTTATTCCTCTTCTCATTAATAATAACGCTCTTAAGCCCCGCGTCCTTACGGTCTTTCTTCTTGATCCCCTCCTGCTTAGTCAGGAACCGACCTTGGTGTCGACTCTTCTCGCGCTTGCTAACGCCATCACCGACCCAACTACCCCAGCCGGGAAGTGTGTTATCGATGACCTTATCGTCGTCCTCCTCTTCAGCCGCCTGTTTCTCTTCTTCGAACTCAGCCACGACGTCTGCGGCACCGAAGGCCTTTGCGATAAGTTCGTGGTCACGGAATTTGATGGGAAGATGGCTTTCTTCGTCGTCTGATGAGTCTTCGAGGCCGGTGATTGCTTGTTTGTTGCTAGCTTTAGGTTTCTTAGCTGGAGCTAGAGCTCTTGATACTCCTACGGCTACCGAGTCCATGCCGAGCTCTAGGACGTCTGCGCTAGGTTCTGTCTTGCCTTTTTGTTTCCTGTGTCGTCTTGTCGTTGATGGCTGAGTCCAAGCACTTCCTGTCGAGGTCGCGTTTGCATCTTGCGAAACCGGGGCTGAGAGACCCTTCGGTCGGCCAGCTGATGCAGCCGCAATCTCATCCCTAGCAGCTTGGAGTTCCGCTTTGTCTGTCTTGTCTTTCTTGCTAGCCTTAACGAGCTTCTCGACTGTCTTCTTTTCCGATGCCTGGCCAAAGATTCGTCGACCAACATCCTCAGGTCCGTCGTCGGATTGTTCGCCATTTTCATCGTCGGAAGCTAAATCCCGTCGTATCTGGGCGACTAGATCATCATTGGCCTTCTTTTTTGTAGCCTCCGCCTTCTTCATGAATTGCATGTTCATCAGCTTCGACTTCGTTTGCCCATCTTCGGCATCAGAAACGTCGTCGAGCTGCTTCAGAAGCCTCTTTCGCTCATCAACATCATCCGAACCACCCGAGTAATCGGAATCATCGTCTGAATCATCGTTTCCTTTAGTTGGTTTCCCCTCGATACGACGGCGCAACTCTTCATCTCGTCGAGCCATCTCAGCTATTCCTACTCGAACATCGTCATCCCAAGCGGCACGACCATCCTTGTTAGACATTTTGGCCCATTTACTCTTCCTATGCCGGTCTCCCATTCTCTCCATAGCTCGCTGGCGATCCTGGGCTTCGCGCTCCTCTTCCGAGTCGATCTCTCCATTCGCGGCCATGCGTTCGTGTTCTTTTACTTCTTCTCTTTCCCTTTGTTTTCTATGTACTCGGTGATAGGCTTTACTCTTGATCTTCTTGATGCGCTTTGCTCTTGCGTCTTCCCGAGACTTGATTTCTCTCTCGCGGCGCTTTTGCTGCCACAGCTCCTTGAGATTATCTCGCGAAACGCCGTCGGCGTCTACGAACCCTTCATCGTCTAATTTTGTCTCTTTCTTGGTGCTTGGCCCTAGGCCACTTTCTTCCATGATAGCAAAGATAGCTTGTTCCAACTCAGTGCCTGGCGCTTTGCGATTTAGGGCTTGAATCTCGCTGTTGTCGTGTCTAGAGAGACCAGTCTCGTTTTGCGGTAAGGGGAATACTAGATGTTCCGCTCGTCTGTTATGCTTTACCGTCTCCGTCCACCGATCTAGGGACTCATTCGTCTTTTCGTATGCGACGGTGCGATCTAGTTTTGCCTGCTGACGTCTTGCGAGAGGCACATCAAGTTTCTGCGGCTTGCTTGATTTCTCCTCTTTCGTCATGAGCTTAAGGGACTTCTTGATCTGCGGGTCCTTAATTCCCAATAAGCCTAGATCTTTCAACCCGAGCTTAGGTTTCTTGGTCGGCGCAGTTTCTTGCTCGTCCGCATCTTTTACCCCTGAGAATTTAGAAACCCATGCATTAATTCCGGACTCTGATACATCGTCATCCTCGTCGCCATCGGTGTCAGGGGAATCATCGCTAGATGCTTCGTCTTCGTCATCAGATCCTTCATCCGAACTAGACTCTTCTTCGTCGGGGCCAGGTTCGTCATCTTCGGACATAGACATATCTAGAGCCTGAGCAAGATCAATAGCGTCCGATCCGAGAGAAGCACCGTCGGCATCATCAATATCCTCATCGTCTTCGTCTTCATCGTCATCATCCTATAAATCTATTAGCCTCAAATGGCACCAATTTTCAAATTGCCTTTTCATACCTCATTTCTTCGCTTCTGCTTCTTCTTCTGCTTCCCCTTACTCCCACGAAATGCATAATCTTCAAACCTCTCCTCATCGCTCTCGCCAAACGCATCATCACTATCGATCTCAGAGTCATCGTCCTCATCAACACCAATGCGCCATTCATTCCCGCTACTATCACTGCCATATTCAACATCCTCATCGCGATCAGCGCCACGGCGCATCTTCCTCGGGGGCCTCTCATCTTCGTCCTCGTCGTCATCATCTTCGTCTTCGTCTTCGTCGTCTTGATTCCTAGAGCGCTTGCCGCCACGACTACCTCCCTCAAGCGGTGCGTCTAGCTCGCGGTTACGCGGGGTGCGAGTCGGGCGATCGGCGAACTCCTCCGAGGCGATAGCGAATGCATTCAGCGCCGTCTTCGAAGACCTAGCCTTCGATCTCTTCTTGCCCTTACCCTTGCCGCTAGCGCTCTGTGCGCCGCCGACGGGCCGTCCGTGGGCTTGCCGGCCGGGCATGTCGAATTATGCTTCTTCCGTTGCGCTTTTGAGAAATTCGAAGTATCCTAGTACCCAAATATCCGGTCTCGAATTTAAAAATGCGTTCTTGGGTTAACGACGACGGAAGTCGAATCACGGCTTAGAAACAGCAGGATTGCAGAATCTACGGTACGAATTCTTACAAAAAACGAAAGCGGTATCCAGACTTTTTTTCTGCCGTGATAGCGATAAGTGGTGGGGGAGCTAGAGCTGTAATTACTCCATAAAGTTTAGCGTAGTTACCAGGGGTCCAATTAAACTTCGACGGTACTTCAAGTACCAAAGTTCCTGCCCCACTAAATTTGACGATTTTCAAGATCGCGGCTTTGCGACTTCAAACTCCGGTGCCTCTTTATACTCGCACTTTCATTGGCGTCAATCTGCAGCACGATCAATTGCCGCTTATATACGGGCGATATAAACGGCTATTCAGCACCACGCCTCCAAAACCCTCCCCTATCCTTCCACCGAATTTCATAGAGAGGTATAAGGGAAGACCTCCCACAAAAAACCGCCGCGATGCAGCCCACCCAGCCACTCCTCAAAGCCTTCCGCAAATTCCGGCTAACGACCAAAGATGTCAACAAGGGGTTCTACAAGGGAACGCGAACGGGCAGGATGGGATCGCATACCAAATACGGTGGCTACGTGATCGACTGGAGCCGGGTGCGGACATTTGTTGTGCCCCCCAACCTTTCTAAATTCAAGGTAGCCTCTTCCCCCCCTTGAAAAGTCGAGTAGTAGTATTAGGATTGAGAATTGTTGGAGACTGATTGAGATATGATAATAGTTGACGCCCTACGTAACGCAACTGGTACGGGAGAAGAAAGGTCGATACGAGGGTTATCAAATGGGACCTAAGAGCGCGGAGCTATATCTAGATCGGTGGAAGCAGGAGAACGGATTGGACTGAGAGGTTGTCTTGAAAGGAGTAAAACTTGCTGTCAATTGGAATAGACGGACGCCGAGTATCGGGGAGATGACTGCGGTTTGTTGCTCGAAGCTGAGTTAACTGAGTTACCCTCAAGTTACCGTTCTCATGGCCGGATATCTTCTCGGGTCTTGTGGCATTGGGATATGAAGAAGAGAAACCTGGCACGAAAATCACGACAGTCAAAACAACATGTAAAATCTGTATTATACCGATCACAGAACATCACACCATAAAGCACATAACACCATAAATTCAAAGCCACTTTTAATCCGGTAATTCCAATAATTGAATTTCCAATCCTATAACTACATAAGTTTAACGAGGGTATATAAAACGACATAGTAAACAAAAATAGCTGGCACATTATCCCAAACCTGACAAATAAGATATGATCTGGGTATATAGTTGTATCCCGTTTTCCCCTTACATCCCCAACTTCCAAAACGACAAATTGATTATTTCTTCATAGGCAAATCTTCTTGCGCGCTAACAAACGACTCCAATGGGGGGCGTTCTGTATTGGGAGAGGCCCCATCGACAGCGACTAGTGGTGTCGTCGGTGCAGTAGCGTAACTTCCCTTCTCGGTGAAGGGTGTAGTTGCTAGGCTTGGAGCTTGAGTGTTCCAAAGGTTGTCAATTTCATCGCTGTAGACAACAATCGAAGCTCGTGTAAGGTTCGTTGTCGGAGGTCCCGATTTCTTCACTGCTTCCGGATCGATAACCTCATCTTTCGCTTTATCGGTGGCAGCAGCGACGACAGCAGCACTAGTACCTGCCATAGCCCGAACCTGTGGATTCAGTGGTGCAGGGCTTGCAGCTCGGCTTGGCTGATCTAGTGCCGATGTCAACGTGATCATGCTAGCAGTGTCGGCTTCCTTATCAAGACTGAAGGGCACGGCGATGCCACAGACAGTAGGACGCTTGCCCATAACACCCGTGTCCGGAACATAATCTGGCTTGAGCATGTCACTTCCGGCAGTAGGCGGCCGCTCGGCTTGTTTCGATTTCTCCTGCCTCATAGCCATGAGCACAGATATAGGAGTATCGTCGTTGACACCACCGTCTTCGGCAACTTGACTCTCGTCCCTGACAATCTTCGTCTTTGACCGACTCCGGTTGCGTGTTGCCGCCCTATCGGCGGGTCCATCTTCCTGATCCTTAAGATCAGATGGTGAGCGGGCACCTTCTCCCTCTTCAGGGGTAGCAAATTTGACTCCCGGTTTGTCAGCTCCATGTTCCCGTTGTACAGTAGCCTCATCGTGTTTAGACCCCCAGAGAGACCACAGTGCAAGGCCCATGCTCTTAGTCTTCTTCTTTTCCTTTACATCCTCGCCTGCCTTGCGTCTGCTAGCAAGAGCGGATGGGGGAGGTATTTCTCCATCGAAGCCGACATATCCTGCGACCATCTCTTTAAATCGTCGCTTGTGAATCTTGACACGGACACTGCCAAAGCGTTTATCCCACTGGGAGCGTGTTTCGAGCCATCTCCGTACTGGAGTTTCCTTGACAATGCCAATATCATTTCGATCCATGATGCAGCCAGGAAACTCGCTAGGAGCCGCCAAGGGACTAATAACACCATGGCGACTAACCCGCTGGCGGATCATATGGTTCTTAAAAGGTGGCAAGGGGTCTCCAGCTTTGCCCACTGCAGACTCGGGGCTTTTCTCAGATTGAACCTCTTCCCCAGCGTTTCTATTCGTAGTGCCGCCATCGGAACTGTAAACGGAGCTAGAACTTGATATAACAGAAATATCATCATCATCGAGAATGTCGATCTCTGTCTTTTGCGCTCTAGCCAATGCCCAGGCACCGAACTGGGCTACCGAACGATACATATATTTTGCCGGTCGAGTGAAACTCAGAGTTGGGGCAACATGGCATAGATCGTCCCAGACTTGAAGCTGCACATCAGTTGGTTTGTAACGATTCAGCTGCTCCCGTGCTACATCATTCATCGCGGAGTCCGGAGGTGGATACTTGGAAGGATTTGCGCATTTATGTGCCAGGTATATCTGCTCGTCTCGGAGGATTTCTCCACCCCCTGTCATGATGAGTAGCGGTGGTAACCCACCAAGGCTAGATTGCATCACAGGGCTGACCAAAGGGTGTGACAGAAGCTCATTGGTAGTATACATCTAGAAGAAACATTAGCGACTTTCTCCAGTCTTCATTCAACACTCGATAATTACCTGCATCTGATCTTTGAGTTTGACCTCTTTGCCATCGAGATTGATTGAGAGGAATCCTGTTTCAGCAAAGCTACTGTTATCACCATCCTCCACCTTCCCTGTATTTAGTTGAGCGAGGTCTTGAGGAAGATGCCTCGCTTCCACTGATTCCTGTTTCATCAACTTGGTTGCGTCCAACTTCGTGTTTGTGGCAATTTGTTCCTTCAACAAGGCATATTCGTCTACATTCAAAGGAGGCCACGCCTTTGAAGGCTTGTGGTGAAACCCGTGCTGAGGTATATAATCAAGAGGACAGTCATTGGAGACGCTTGGAAAAGAGTGCGTCAAGTCCACCCAGGGACTGATGAGAATAGCACCGGCCGGGAGAGGGATATACCTATCCCTCATAATAACCAACAAGCTCATGACCATTCCACCACCAGCGGAATCGCCGGCCAAAATGATGGTGGTTGGATCTTGAGTTTCAAGCAAGTAGAGATACGCTGCTAAGCAATCCTGAAGTCCACAGGGGAAGGGGAATTGAGGAGCTAGACGGTATTCAGGAGCAAAGACCCTGGCCTTTAGCTTCCGGGCATGCCGTTGCATCTGATATCTATGTTCGTCGACACTCCCAAAGAAATAGGCGCCACCATGGACGTAAAGCATAACTCGCTTGCCCGAATCATTAGCCTTCTTACGGTCATGATAGTCGGCCCTCATCTCTATCCATTCTGCCTTAAGGGGGCTCTTGAGCTTCCGCCATTGCCACCAATTCTGGCCGCCGACTCTTTTGATACCATCTGGACCTAGTTGTTCCTGTATAATGTCGGCAGACTGCAGAAGCTTTGACTCGGGAATCTCGACTTGGTCCACTTTAACCCATTGAGGATGTGGTACCCACTGCGAAGTGAAAGCTTGTAGCTCCTCGACGGTATGGTGCGACGCGAATGTGAGGAAGGATCGTATAAGGTGCAAGCCTTCGTCATACGAGAGGTGGGCAGTCGGTCGCTGGCGTAAAGGTTTGCGATTTAGATACTATAGTGTCACCACACCTCAGTTTAGTACAGTATCTCTATATAAACACCAGACGAAATCAAACAAGTTTTTGGTGAAATGTCAACGAGATATCATCAGGTAGCTCGACCATTCATGACCAATGACAATCCTTACGTTCCGTACTAAGGTAAGGTTTAGGTTGTCGGAAAGACGGGAAGACAGGAATCATCCTAATAGATTGGGCACATACGTGGGACAGAAACGTCGACAAGACGGTCGGCGTAACCGCCATAGAAACAGTGGCCGTGTTCATATTCATGGTTACCCAGAGTGGCCTAAATACGGTCTAGGTATCGTATATCGAATTATAGTCGAGTAGCGCAAGATCGTAGCTTGCTAGAAGCTGTAACGGTGGCGGCTTGTGTAGTTGAATCGAAGCATTGGGTAGTCCGGTAAGCTTAGGAATTTGTGACCCTGAGAGTTATACAAGCCCGTCCAAGCCTGTCAGACGGAACAATGAAGGGAAAGGGATGCGAATCGGAAAGTCTATTGTCACTCCTTTTCCCAATTGGCTTTATGGGTTTATGTATTAAGTGGATAAAAATAATAGGGAAGCTTCAGGTAGCCAAGCTACCCATTTGGCGCCTGCCCAGCTACCTCATTTCACATATCAATTATTGGTGATGTCATTTCCCTGCCAGTCTCGGACCAAAATGAGACAAATGAGACAGAACGACCCATTCACAGTGAATCTGTCCAGAAAGGGGAAGGGCTGTCGATAAGAGAGGCTAGCGTGGATCTCAGTTCATTAGACGTGCATGTCCCCTACCCGCGACGCACTAGTGCGGTAAAGAGCGGCAGAACGGATAATGAACGAAGAAATTATTATCAAAAGTGGGTGAAAATATGTAAAATGCCCCTCCATGTAAATGCAAATGCCTAGCAAATGCGATCTTAAAGGCTGAGCAAATCACCAAAATGGCGTCGACAGAAGCAGAATCGTCTCCAGGTATGTGTCATATTTACTACCTTTCCTATCTTTTCCTATAAATGGTTTATTATATAGACTGGATTGTTTTCATTTCGATCCCAAATATTAGCTAACTAGACTTAAAACAACCAGAAACCCGACAGGCGCAATTCGAACAAGGCGTAGCAATCTCGCTACACCTATGGGTCTCTCTTACGGTCGCAGTCCAAAACAGCCTAGGCGGTCCCGATTCCGATGACAAGCGCGACTGGTTCGCAGGCGCTATTGTCGACATGTTTCCAAGCTTCGTCAACCTAGCCAAGCCGCGCAAACCGTCCCAGAAGGTACCTCAAGATCCGATTGCAGAAGACGTCGAAGCCACTTTATTGCAAGTCATGTGGGACGAATTTGAGACCAACGTCGATGATGACTCGGAAGTAGAAGTGGCCGATCGCATCGTGAAGATCCGCACGCAGTGCGCCACCGGAAGTTTCGAGTTTGTGGAAGAGTTGCGACGTAGATGGCTGGCTACGAAGGGCAAGACTATTAAGATGCAAGAGGTGGATGGAGGAGATCAGGAAACTGACTGGGAAAGCGACGACGACGACGATGATGAAGAGGACGAGGACGTTGAGATGGACGAAGCGCCCGCCTTAGTCGCGGCACCTAAGGAGCGCCCTCCACCAGAAGTAGACGAAGATGGCTTTACAAAAGTTACGCGAAAGAAGCGTTGAGTAATAGCATATGAGATATGAAGTCTTCTGCCGCAAACCCTGGAGGATAGGGTAGCTGGTAGTGATGCGGCATGATATGGCATAGCAGTTTTGCAATGAAATGTGCTTGTAAGGATATACAAGAGTAGCAGGGAGAACAATATCATGCATTCGAAGCCATCCGAAAAGAACCAACCGACGCCAACGATAACTCCAAAGTCATATCAATCAAATCAGCAGAGTGCCAACAAGCCAACCTTCAGACAGCACTATTACTCCCATTCCTCATCGTCGCTGTCATCGCTGTCCTCTGCTTTCCGAGTTTCCATTGGGCTATTAGGGGCCTGGCTTGGATTTCCGGAAGCCGCGCCAACGACGTCATAACTGGTATCGCTGTCGGGTTGAGACTTCTCGTCGTTAGACTTTCGGGGTTCTGCAGGCTTTAGATGTCCCTTGGCCGGGGCAGCACGAGCAGGCGGGTGAATGGTCGTGGAAGATTCGGTCGAAGCTGGTCTTGCTGGCTTTGCCACCGGCTTAGCTGGAGCAGTATCTTCGTCGGACTCCTCCGACTCTTCTTCATCCTCTTCCTCCTCGGATTCCTCGCTTTCCGACTCCTCGCCCCACCCGATCTCTTCTTCGGCAGATGCAGCTAAATGCCAGTCAGCTAGGTCCATATAGATTTACTCTAGATATCAAATAAAATAAATGCAACAGACCCTTCAGTAGATCTCGGCGACGTGCTTCAGCTGTCTCTATACTGTGTCTGAGGAAATAGTATCGCTTCCAGAAGTCGGCATAAGGAACTTTGTCAGGGACAAGCTTCTCCATGTTCGCTCGTAGTTCGGGATATTTCGCAAGGTCGGCACTGATATTCTCTGTCTTCTTCTCCGCATCGAAGGTCTTTGCCCATGCAGCATATTCGGTAGTAGCAGAATCTTCGGTAAAGCTCTTCTCGGTCGTGTGAATGACATGAAGCTGTGCATCGTATCTCGAAGTATGAATTACTCGTTTTCCAGATTCATCCTTGCTTTCGAAGCGACGGGCGGTTGACTGAGAGTCACCGGACTCGGAAGCAGGCTTGACGATAATAGCATCACGGAAGAAATTTCGGACATTTCCGCCGAACTTTAGAAGCGCCTCATCGGCAGCATCCTCCGCACGTTGGATATCCTTCAAGCGCTTCGCAGCCTCTGCCTTCAACCGTGATATAACCGTTTCGGATTCTTTTGCCGGATCGTCGGGACCGGTAGCTCTCGCTGTCGTCGGGGTAGTCTCGGGATCTTTCTCCTTATCACTGGATGACTGCGATGTCTGTTCTGGAATGACAGGCGGTGATGTAGTCAACGAGAGAGCTCTTGCACGGAGATTTGCAAGACCCCTGGTAGCATCCGCGCCGAGTAAGGTAACTTCTTGATGTGCCTCCCTGTATACAGACTCGCCCTTTGATAGGAATAATGTTATTCGATTGCCCCTATGAATTCATGCAATTACCGTACCTGCTTGATCACGTTACCAACAGTTCCGCCGAGCCATGTACCCCAAGTACTGCTAGAAAATGCACGATATGCCTCCTGAAGATCTTCGTTCAGAGTATGTTCGGGTTTCTTTTGGGACGATTCGCCATTTTGGGTTCCGTCGCGATCCTCATTTCCGTCCTTAGGGAGAGCTTCTTCGGCTATGTGATCGTATGCGAGATCCATGGTTGGATCAGGGCATGGAATTCTTTAAACTACCGTGTCAGATTGAATGACCTAAATGGGACCCCTCTTTTACAACAGAAAGAGGGGGTGATACGTAAGCAACTAGAACTCTCGTAAGTGGTACTATAGAGAATGGTATGTTGAAGTCGGTGTCGATATTGTAGATGTTTTGGGGTAGATGACGAGGCTGATGGTATCTGCCGATTAACGATTGACGTATCGAAAGGCTAAGGCATGTTTAGGGGAGTCAGGAAGTCAAGCGTTGTACCATTACAGCATAATTAGCATAAGAAGGTACTTGCTCGGCCATAACCTGCTACCATATTCGGTTTAGCCCATTTTCATCCCTCCACCCCTCGTCCGGTATTGTACCTTGAGCAGGTGCGGGGAATCGCCGCCAGGGAAGCGTGAACATCGACAATTTCTTAGTGGATGGAAGTCCGTACCGAGCCCACATAGAACATCCTGTATCTCTTCAATATTCCTGCTTCGTATTGTAAAAAGGTACGGAAATCTTCCACCGTCTTTCTTGCCTTGTCAAGTCTCGAATCTTACCATTGCCATTGCCTACCTTGTTCCTATGAAAGTGTCAACCTCAATCAGTCCTGAATCGGATGTCTTCTTTTCTCCTCTTATTTTTTTAATCCCCGCATCCACATGCACAGAAAAGTTCAATTTATTAGACTTCAGTATATTAACCATCGCCCTCTTCAATATCTGCAAGGTAATATCTGTTTCGGTTTGAGAGGTGGGATATGCACTTTGCAGTTCGCATATGCTGTTTGCGTCTTATTGGACAAACATTTCATTTTTTACACATTATAAAGCAGCATTTGGAATTCCGTCACTTATTCGCAGAGTATTGGCCGAATGTTGTCTGCCCACTCCGGATCTCCTGTGACGCTGTGAATAAACGGCAATCAACCTTCAAGTCAGCTGTTGTATCACTGCAACATACTGGTAGCAGATCAGATATTTCTTCTAGACCAATGCCCCACGGCTTCTACGGAGATCAGCAATAAAGACCGCACTTGGATCTAAGACTCATACATTTATTTCCTAGCTTAGGGCTTACATACGCCGCAAGATAGCGGTGTTTTTACGGAATATTCCATAACTACCAAGACTACCTACCCAAGCGATAACTGAAAGCTGGCCTGATACTAGGTACATAAGCCAGGGAATTACCATATTGCAGGGTCGCGAGGTTGGCATTAACGCCGGTTGGTAGCGCATACATATTCGCATACACTGCATACAGTACACTGCACACACTGCACACATACCTCGCGTATATTATTATACGTATCATGCGGACTTGCCCTTTCAGACCCTCCCACTATCCAGGGGCCTAGGCTAGCCTGTGACCGTATCCTGCCTCATACTAGGGAATTTTATACGCTGATCACGGCACAGTCCTAAAAAGTCAGGCACCAGGCTGACGTTGAGCTAGTTGAGTCATCGTCCCTACCATTGTTCCATCATAGACTTACTGCAGAACCGTGCAGTGTGCAGACTGACAGAGTCCGATGGCCGAGGTCAGACGGAATACATGGGCAGATGGGTTGGGTTGACTGGTTGACTGGTTGATAGAATCACCTCGCCCTGGTTCTCGCCACTTAAAGGCTAAATAGAGATCCGATAACGTGACTCGGCCTATCATACAAGCCGTTGGGACACCGTTCCGATCCTACGGTGGCCTGCAACCTCCAAGAGCAAAGGATCTCCTATTGGATATATCTTACCTAGGTACTTCGAAGTGGCCTTACTAAGTACAACAGCGATTCGACTTATAGGTACGTATGTATGAATACCTATACATGTCATGTCGAAATCCAATATGCCCTCTACCAGATTTGAGGCCAGGATGACCCTGTCACGCAAATGCCTTCCGTACGCTGCAGACCAAGTATCGTGGATCAGCAAACTAATTAAGTACGTACGCCATGTGTAGCGGTCTTAGACATCAATGATGGCTGAGAGGTAATTTTGTACAGATTTGTAGACGAAGAAACGCACTTGAAGTCTTGAACATTGTTGAAATTCGAGGTGTTTGTGGATCTTAAGTACAGATGGGCTAGCAGGGGTTGCAGAGAAATACAAAGGTACAAAAGGGGGCGTGGACGTAACACGGAGAGACATACGAAGGGCGACCAGCCACAATCAACTCCGTTATGTCCGAGTTAGCAAAAGGCCAAGGACCTAAAAGGGAACCAGTACAAGGACTAGGCTTATCCCCCCGCCACATCGAGGTCAAGGTTTCCTTTGAAATATGAAAGTCGAACCTCCCAGTTGTTCTTGTACCATTGAAACAGCGCTTACAAATCGGAAAATTGGCCTGTCTTCTGCCCCCCTCTCTCAAATTCCTTTCCTATCGTGAGAGATTCGTAGATCAGTTTTTTCTCACATACATCATACTACAAGCCTACAAGCCTACAATACATACAGCCAAATACAGCCAATACAAGCCTCTCCCATTGACCACGCTGTCCCAAGTAAGAAGGGGGGTGTGTGTGAGTGTTAGTAGTGTGGCTCCCCTACATCGACTCCCTTCTGAAAGAAACCAGGCGAAAAAAACGCCTCCGTTTATTCCCCTTCCAATCTTTCCATCTTCAGCCTCAGGGATCCTGGGAGGCGAATTTTTGTCTTCTTTTTTTTCCAATCACTCACATTACAATACGTACAAATATTTTGCGTGGCACTTTAGTCGTGGCTATCATCGACCTTTAGAACGACCTATAGGTTTCTTAAGATCGATCTTATCTTAAAGCTACGACGACTTATACGTCAATCTTATAGCGCGGCAATTGCTGCGCTTCGAGCCATTCTCCCACCCTAAGCTCCGCTACCAAATCGTCGTCATTGGCAGCGTTGGCTCAATCACTGACGTATTTACCCAATTAAGAGGGGTCGTCGAGTCTTCGAGTCTTCAAGTCGTCAACATTTATTCAATTCATATTATATCACATCACATCATATCTAGTCTTCAATCTTCAATCTTCTCGCTGTTCCCTTAGTTGTGACTTATCGCTTCTTTAACCTGTCGCCGCCATTCCTTAGGCATCAAAATACAATGGCTTCGACTCACTCCCAAGCTCTACACAATTTCATCCTCACGCCTCAACAGCAGAACTTGCTGTTCCGCGCTCTCACATCGAACCAACAAGGCGGCAATAGCAGCAGCTCAAACAGCGCCATGGCTCTCTCGCCTGATTCTTTGTCTAAGTCTCCTGCCCAGGTCCAGAAGACCGAACCCAACCTAGCCTCCCCGACCGGTACCTCCAATGGTCTTCAAGAGAGTCCTTACTTGGATTATGATTACGATCTTGGACCTGATACTAGTTTCGATTTCGACTTCGGTCAGGATGGCCAAGCAAAGATGATTGGGGACCTTCCAGGAACGTCGCCCACTGACGACTCTAAAGCCAGTTCTCCCGAAGAGGAGAGCCCTGATAAGAGAGGCCACCCAGATGATGAGGATGAGGACGAGGATGAGGGTGGAGGCAAGCGAAGGGAGAGCGAAGGAAAGGTTCCCAAGAAACCCGGTCGCAAGCCTCTTATGAACGAACCCAGTTCGGTGAGTCGCAAGCATAAACCACTCGGTCTTGGTGAATTAAACCACGTCTAACAATAGTACGTACAGAAGAGAAAAGCACAAAACCGCGCAGCTCAGCGTGCATTCCGAGAGCGCAAAGAGAAGCATCTGAAGGACCTTGAGACGAAAGTAGAGGAGCTTGAGAAAGTCTCTACGGAAACGAACAATGAGAACTCTCAACTGCGCGCTCAAATCGACAAGCTGACGATGGAATTGAACGAGTACAAGAAAAAGTTGACACTTCTTAATAGTCCCCGCCCAGTCACTGGTAGCAGCAACCCAAGCCGCAATGCAGTATTTGGCAATGCCGCTATACAAAACTTGAACGACGTCAACTTCCAATTCGAGTTCCCTAAATTCGGTGTCCTTCCTGGGCCTCAGAGCTCTTACGCAAATCCTATCCCTAGGACATCGTTGTACCACACTTCATCGTCCGGCAACAGCCCAAACAGCCAGAATAGTCCCACAGATAAATCTAAGGACCAGGCTACTCCTAACTCTACTAAGAGTCGGGAGAATTCTGACTCACAATCCAAGGATGCGTCATCGAAATCTTCGGGCTCTCCCTACGATAGCACTTTCGGTGCCAGTGTGTCCAGAACCAGTCTAGATTCTAGCCACAACAGCGTGAACGGAGCAAACACGGGCTCTCCTTGCTCGTCGACGGCGAACTCTAATATGGGACCCAGCTCTTCTTGCGGAACCTCTCCTGAGCCATGTACTCAGTCACCAATGGGCTTCAAGCCTGTAGATACTCTTACAACAATCGGCGAGGAACAACCGTCTTTGACAACTGATTCTATGAACCGTAAGCTCGTTAAACCCCGTCGATTATAACGTCCTAACTAACAGAATTTTTAGATTTTAACAACCTAAGCAACGTGGACTTTTCTAGCATCGACTGGATGTCACAGCAAAATGGTGGCCAATTCGATCCGCAGCTTTTCGGTGACTACCGAGAGCCGCAGGATAATATTCTCTCCAGCGCTACCTTCGATGATAGCTTCTTTAACGATGCCTTTGACGTTGACTTTACAACGCCCTATAACGTAGCACCAAGCCCCAACGCACCCAACGCGCCCAAGAAGAACCTCATTGCCGAGATCGACGCCCGCAAGGAGTCTGATGATACTATCCTGACTAACAACGGAAAGTTGCTCACTTGTAACAATATATGGTATGTCAAATTCTATTGTTGAAGTAAATAATGAGACATGCGCTAATACAAAAATAGGGAGAAATTGCAAGCCTGCCCCCGCGTGCAGTCCGGAGATCTTGATCTTGACGGTCTTTGCTCCGATCTTCAGAAGAAGGCCAAGTGTGGTGGCTCCGGTGCCGTTGTTGATGAGCAGGACTTTAAGGCCGTGATGACCAAGTATCTAGGTGTTGATGCTAGCGGAAAGTGCACCTCGTCCATAACCGGGAAGGTTTCGCTGTAAAAAGAACATAATCGGAGGTTCCTCGCTTTCTCGGATAGAGGGAAAGCCACTGCCTACCTACCTATTATTGTGCCACCACCACCATTCATCGGGTAAAGGCGGAAGGAGTTCTATTGTTTTCGATGGCAGGTATGCCTCAAGGCGGAAAGGGGCGTGGGGTATCGGTCAATACCACCGCGGTTTAAGACGAGAGAAACGAAACACAAGAGGACAAGAAAAGAGGGACGAGGCCTACCATCTCAACTCCGGGGTGTTAGATCTTACGTTCCATCTCATATGTCGTCAGACCACATTCATGGGAAACGGAGTTGCATTTTCGACAGAGTAAAGGCGAAAAAATACCTTTCTATGTTGTTTTTGTTTTCTTTTCTTGTCGAGTCTTGTTTTGTTTTTCCTTGGACCGTGTCTCTACTTCTACGTGGATTCCGGGTGGGTTGTTATTATCAAAGGGGGCCTAGGTGGCACAGTTCATTCGATTCGTAATGAATGGCTTGCCTACGGCCAGGCGGCTTTTTGGAGGTATACACTTACCCTATCTTGCCTACCTAGGTAGTAAATGATGGATGAGATGAGACCAGGGATGATGAATATTGATGACTTTGTATGCCCTGGGAGATATGTGCCCCTATCGCTACCTTGATGAGGTTCCCAACGTAGGATATCATGATATTGGCGAAGCGGTTGGGACTAGATCTTCCCAGACGCGAACGACAGGCGGAAAAGATGGGAAAGGAAAAGACGAAAGAAAGGGAAATGATATGAGGTGGGGAAAGGGGACTTTCGGTTCGAGTGACGAAGCGTTTGTCTTGTCTCTCTTTACATAGGACTGACTGCATACACAATTGAAAGTCGTGGATTCAATAACTTCCAAGGTTAACAATTTTAAAAGTTTCGTCGTCTTGGTTTGATGGTGAATTTGTATGAGTGTAGGTACTCATCTCTTTACATCACACAATCATACCCAGCCGCTGGTGGTGGTTGGGATACGGGGAAGTGAATATTATGACAGTTGTAGTATCTGTAAGATTTATATCGAAAAGGGATGGAAGCATAAGGAATATACCTACCTGGGGTTTATATAGGTATCATTATAAGGAGAACCTTAGGTAATCAGCTCGAGTATTGAGGCTTTTACCACCATGGAAGGCTTGTGTTGTTAGTTTGGACCTCGATCTCACACTGTAGATAGCCTACCCATAACAGGAAGAGTGAATCTTACATGGCTGCTTCGATAACCGCTAAGTACCTACCTAGCTAGGTACTTGAGATGAGGTAATTAATGGCATATCCCAAGCTGAAAAGGCCTTAGCATGATTTCTCCAGACCAACACACATAAAACCCCCCCAGCTGAAAACGATAGGAATGTGATATCTCGCAATAGTCCCACGGGAAACCAAAAGCACCAGTTTCCCGACATGTCTCGGGTCCGAGGTATTCACTTCATCCGTCTCCTTGCTTCCGTGTTCAATTCGACGGCAAGGGTCCACGTAATCTGCAACTGTTCAATATGCCCTCATTCAGATAAGTGTATGAATTCTCTCGGTTCATTGGCAGATACTGGATAGGTATTTAATGCAAGTGGCAATACATTGGTAAATATATCCCCTATTTAACGCACCTTCTAAATGAGAAAAAGGGGCTACGCTATCTCAGCATACCGAAGTCATAATGCGAATTAGCGAGTTCCAAGAAGTCGGCTTGGTTGGAAGGGCTTCTCCAAATATACGGATGTTCCGGATATAAAATTCGGTTTGGAAATATGAGTATTGTAGAGATAGCCGCGTAAGAACTAAATTCTTAGACAAAGGAGTCTTGTCTTGTTTACGCGCCAAGAAGGATACGCCCTAAGTAACAACCACATAGGACTATAACTCGGTTTTACTTCACGGAATAATATCATGACATAGTACAATTCCGAGGTACAAACCACTTTATTATATGGCCTTGTTCGTTTATATCGCCAATACCAGGCGAGCTCCCCTGATCTCATGATATATCAACTGGAATAGAAATCGAAACCGTCACTTATTATTCATGATGGAAAGTAGTGTATGTATATTGCATGATCTCTCTACCGTACCGTACAGAGCGTGCTGGCATGGACCAGCCCATTCTTTCACTATAAAACATGCCGACTGTAGTAACAGTGTCTATGCACCCTCTGCTACCCAACATGGTCCCGTCTCCCGTCTCATATTGCCTGCCCCGCGAATTGGTATTAACAGCGGGTACCGTAAGCCGTATATGGTCCAAAAATTGCCAATTAACCCTTGCTCCGAAGCAGCATTAGAGGAGCTTCGAAGCAGTATCGTGCCGGATGTCAATCCCTATCACGGGCCGGGTTGTCCGGAACCCGAACTTGAACCCGATGATAGGAACTTGCACACTAGAATATACAAGTAATGAGATGGCTCTTAGTATTTCGTTAAGGGCCGATGGTGACGATAAGGGGGTTGAAGGGGAGACGAGTTGGTGGTATCAACTTGCTATAAGCTAACACCGTTGTTAGTTTCAATGAGAGGAATAACGGCCTGGTTCGTCACTCGTGATATCGGATGTCCGTATTCGTTTGAAACTGATAAAAAATTGCAATCCGCCAGATCGATGAGTCAAATTCAATCTTCCAGTAATGGAGATTCGAACTGGCTTCGAAGCCACCAGAGTTTAGTTTTGACTCGTGAATGTTATAGGGGATTTCTCTGTGATGGATGAGGGTATAATATGCGGATAAATCCACGAAATCCTCGTTAACCGATTCCCAATGCCCAAAAAGCTGAAATAATAATTATGCCTGTGGCCGGGAAAATCAACCGACAACCTGTCGTGCTCCTTCTTTGCCGAGCACACCCCTCTCTTTTGGCTTCGGACTATGGCCCCTTTTCTTTCTGCCAAAAATGCCGAAGACACCGCCACCTCCACTAGAAGCCTTATCGTCATTTACAGTGCTAGCATCGGTCGGCAATGTAGCATCCCTTCGCGCTAAATCTGACCAGCTTCCCGTATCTTCAAGTGTTACCGAGATTCCACCGGTCGGGGACTTGACTTGTATGCCTGATGTACTCGATATGCTCTTAGTATATGCGCGGTGGTACGAAGGTAGCGGCGGTGGTGGTGCTCGTGACGGGGCCTTAGGTACACGGCTGTTGTTCGAAAAGTTTCTATTCGCATGCGAGCCGTCCTGTGTGGGCGAAGAGTGATGCTGTGCCTGTGCAACCCCATTGTTGATTGGGGCCGGTTTGGCCTCGTTGGTGCTGATAGCCTGGGGCTCTTCGTGAGATGGACCGGGCGCTGAATCATGTTCACCTGAACCTTCTTTCATTCCCGTAATCCTATTCTGAGGTTAGTATATGCAAAGGTCAAATTGTCCGGAAGCTTACTTCTTGTATGCTGCTACGGTATAATCAAACGGTTGGAAATCTCGTTCGATGGTACGATATAATTCCTCTTCTCGAATCTCTTTTTCTGTGGCATCATCCTTTAGCTTCTCCCTAGGCTTCTGTCTCCGCGCCCTAGCCTCCAGCGGTGCCTCCTCTAGCAACAGTTCTTCGAGATCGTAGGTGGCGTCGAAATTGGTCTTGTCTGCCGATGGAACAAAAATAGGTTCTAATTCCTTTCGTTCCAATGCGGGGAAGTCAATGGCCTGGAAGAAAGGTTCGTCTGTGAAGCTTTCCCAAGTGCTACCAAGCCTCTTATCAGTATTCGGGTTCAAGGCAGAACCGATAGCATATAGACACGGCAACGACACCGGTGGTTGGGTGACAGGAAATTTCGGATTGGCAGCGAGAATGACGTTTGTCAGGGTGGATTCCGAATTGCCTTCAAAAGGCCGCTGTCATGTTGGTAAGCACATATGCTGACGGGTAGATTTCATATCGGCAATGGGCTATTCCGTTACCTTATTGTATATGCATTCATAGAATAGCACGCCCAAGGACCACCAATCAGCTCTCACATCGTAGCCCTTGCCTGCATAGACTTCGGGGGCAAGATAGGCAAGAGTTCCCGATTTACTAGTGAGAAGCTTCCCAGGCACCACGTCAGACGCAACGTTCTAGATGACAAGAAGGTTAGCATATAGAATGATAAATGGAACGTTCGGCGCCTTACGAAATCGGTCAAATGGACATGACCATCAGCATCTAGCAACACGTTGTCCGGTTTGACGTCTCGATGTATTATACCTTGCCCATGCACGTATCTGAGGGCACAACCCAATTCAGCAATCCAGAACCGTACAGCGTCTTCGGTGAAGGTCTTCCTCGAAATGTGGAAACGTAGATCGCCTCCGCTCATTAAATCGACCACAAGGTACCTATTAGTGTAAGTCGTATTAGATAGCTCGCTTTGGTGCCGCCACTGGTGATTGATGCATACATATACTCGATATCTTGGAAGCTATATCGCAAGTTACAGATAAACGGATGGTTCACATGTTCAAGCATGCGTCGTTCTCGTATAATATTTCGAACACTTTCGGACCGTACGACTGTTAAGACGGAATAAAGTCAATATCCCAAAATTCTCATATAACAATATACCTAATTGTATTTATTATTCATTTGGGGAATTGACATACCCTCATCTTTTCGAATGTATTTCAAGGCAAACGACAAGTTCGTGTCTTTCCTCTCGACTATTCGTACTTTTCCGAAAGCACCTCGACCGACGACTCGTAATAATCGAAAATGGTTTAGGTTTACTGCGAAGCAACAGAGAAAGACAATTCGTTAGCGGATGAAAGTTGTTGGCGGTAAGAACAGCAGTTCCGAGACATCGCGTGGGTTTCCAGCCTCCTTGTAAAGAATTTAAGAGAAACGTACCTTCGCCGTTGAGGTCAACGGGCTTGCCTTGGCTGTTGCCCATTGGGAATAGAAGTATGGCGATCCAGTTTCGGCAATTTCTAAGTGGTGTTCAGCAGCGTGAAGACGCTGAACAAATGACGATATAACGATTGAGTGATTGGAAGAGACCAAGAAAAGATAGAATAGTTATTAAGCGCAAAAAGATAAAAATGATGATAGGGAGGATTTTGGGGATGTCAGGAGGTCAGAAATGATCCACTATCCACTTCCACTCTGAGATGTCCCAGGGTACGCTGCTGCGTGTTGTAGACTAGGTACTATTCTCAGCCTGATGATCGACTTAGGTAATGCAAGTTATTACTACCATGGGTTGGTAAGAGATGGAAGTTAAGGAAAATTAATTCAAGAACCTCAACCGGAGGCTGGTGGTTCGATATGTATATGTATGCCCGTATGTAAAATCTATCATCTCAAGAGGCGAGGAGAAGGGATAAGAGAGAATGAGTAAGTTTAGAGTAGAGAAGAGAGAGTTAGTTGACTTGAGTTGAGAGTTCAGAATGGTCTAGGTAATTGTGCAGGACTGCAGGTATTGATGTAGGTACCTAACGTAGGTACCACCTGCCTGCAACCGCCCAATTGCAACGATCGCAACAGCACTGGACACTGGACACCAAACTCTAGCACGGGCGAGAGTACCTAGGTCGGTCTAGGTAAAAAAGTATAGCACAGGTACTACACCGTGCCGTGTTGCGAGGTTTAGCAGGGAGATAATGGGGAGATTACAGGTATCCTATACAAGCACTAGACCTGTAAAAAGGTACTTAAGCCAGCTTAGCGTAGCGTAAGGTGGACTTGAGTTTGTATGGACCTATCAGATGTAGGGATTCGAGATAACATGAAGGATCGTCGCCGCTCAGCTGCGGAGTTCCCATGTGCAGTTAAGCAGTTAAGAAGTAAGTACCTAGCAGTTGCCGCGTGTGAGCTGACCGTCTGTGGCTTCAATGTTTCCTCCCCTACTCCATCTTCGCCATTCGGTCCACTAAGATACCTGAGATACCTAAGATACCCAAGATACCCTAAGATATAGAGCCTATTAGTGTGTAATATAGTACGAACATGCGTCAAGTCTAACCCGACTAAGTAAAGTTCTAGTATCGATCCGTGTTTCAGCCCATACATTTCCACGCTTTGTGGCTTGTTGCCTTCCTTGCTTGCCACGCTACCACGCTATTCTATGCCCCCTTATCCATCCCAACCATCTGCCATCCTACCTTAACGTGCCTTAAGTAACGAAATATCATCTACATCTACTAGGTACATGGAAGTCTACCATCGCCAACCTCTCTCTATGAATCTATACGATGTTATCAAAGCCTGGGCGTGTGTTGGATATTAACCCATTGTTTTACATCGCCGCAATAGCTTGCTTTGTCCTTAGTACCTTAGTCTGGTGGTCTAGCAATGCATTCCGCATTCCCTTTGTCAATTCAGAGCTTACCTCTACCCAATTGGGAATATTCCTTTCTTTTAACGTGTCACTTAGCCAGGAACTTTTTAAACAATTCCGCAATTATCCCGCCTTCTCTAAAGCTTCTAAAGGCATTCCAAGCATTCCAAGTCTAGCCGTCACCGAGCCATTCAATGTCTTTGTTGAATTGGCCAGCTTCGATCGGCCCTAATGTTCGACATCTCTACCCGACATACAGAATACTTCCTAAGTAATATTAATGAAAGAGTCTCCTGTCAAGTGAAATCGGGTCTGTTAATTTTAGCCCAGCCCTGCAGATTTGGGGTATGGCATGGTTCTCCGATTGTTGACCAATGGGCTGCATGAAGTCGCTTTTCTAGAATATGTTACTGTATCACATACGGCGACCCGTCAGCCTGCGCCGGTGAAGCAGCGGGGAACGCCGTTAAGTGTTGGCCGCCACGTATAACTCGTCCGCGTTGTCACTCTTATTCTCGGTCATGCCGTACTGCCGACTGAGAGGTCAGAGACAGCGATCCTATAAGATGTTGTCATCATCTTCCCCTGATTCAGATTTTATATTCTAATTACCAAGTTCGCATTTTCCATGCCACCCACCGATACTTAATCTATACCGAGCCTGATATCTAAGTATAGGAAAAAGAATATACACATACGTCAGATGAAAAGTCTAAGAATATACATATCCCCGACCTTTTTCGTTCCCTCGCATGGGGTGGTTACTGGAAATAACCTGCACGTCGACAACCATGGAAGTAGCACGGCGCCTCCGATCTATGTTCCAGTAAACACTGGTCTCTATCTATCGTGGGGGGGTTCTACGCACGTAGCTAGGTTCAAGCTCTGGCCTAGTTGGAGCTAGGACAGCTACGACCAGTTAATGTACCCCATACGAGCTTTATGATTTGTTCCCAAGGTCAAACAGATACCATGTAGCCGACTAGCCATTCTCACCAACAGCTACCGTACGAGACTTAACAATTTAAAGCGATTTCTGATTCAGCTCCTCAGGTATTATGGAACCCAGAAGCTCGAGCAGGACAAGCAATCGAGGTCATGGCTCAACCACTAGTAACGGACCGGTCTCTTCTCCCAATGGTTCTCGTATGGCACCGCGGGCTTGTCCGAATGGGTGCAAATTTGCGATATGGCCGGAACCGAGACGTAAGGGAGTATGCTTAACCGATCGAAGGATGAACTGTTAGACCATACTTCCTGTGTCTGTGTGTCAAGAAGCCAAGAGGCCAAGTATTTGGATGGTATTCGATCCTCAACCAAATTCTCACCAAGATACCTAAATTTCCAGCCCTCTACTACTATTACTTTTTTCGAATGAAGCTATCGCGATCGTATTATACCATTAGCCAAGCAGACCTCGGCATGGCCCTCGGTCCAGAGCAATAAAGGAAAGGGGGCCGTAATTGACACCCGCAAGCTAATGATGTGAGATGAACATCGACAGCGCTAGGGTGGACTAGTCGTGGAGTCTAGCACGACATACTCACTAGTATATTAAATATTTAGGTATTAGGTATATCCTAATCACGCTATTAGAAGAATTTTATCGAGAGATTCATACTTACCCGTATCTATACAGAGTTGCTATCCAATGGGTAAGTCGGAGATGAACGATATAAGTATCGGGTCGGTTATTCACGGACTTATACAAAAGTTCCTCTATGAAGTGATATAACTATATTTTGAGATTCACATGTTTAATTATATATAACTTAACAATACTTTAAGTATCTAATAGGCGAGATATAGGGATATCATTGAATTATTCAGTTGTGATGTAATATCAATGACTATTAAGAAAGTCGAAAGAATCGGATTGTGATATTCTTATGTCTTGGTGACGTAGTGGGATAGACGGCATAACCTCGCCGTGTTAATAAATTTACATGTATGTGTATGACGTAACATCGTTCTAGAAAGGCGAAAGAATAACAATAAAGTTCTATTACAATTGCCGGGACCCAGATCTGAGGCCAAGATGCAGATGTGCAAACTCTGTCCTTAGTCATCCTGCAGCAACACCAGCACCATTACCCGGAAGGGGAAATCCGGGGTCGCGGGTCTATCCGTTCTGCATCCCATACCTTCCATACTACCAGACGTAACTTTTATCATTGATTATACATATGCAGGTCTTTTTTAATAGCTTTAAGGTCCGTAGCCTGCCTACGTATATACAAAGCTGCTCTTAATATCCATGGATGCGACTTATAAGAGCTGCAAGTTATGCTCTACCATATTCCCATCTAGGTAATCGGTCCTGCAGATCGTGTCCATTTCGAACCCTAGATAGCCTCAAACCCGCATGCTTCTATAAACTTCGCGTCATAATAACATGCGAGCGAGTGTTAAATCCGAATTCATGCTGAATAATAGTATCAGTAAACCAAATCCCGAAAGAAGAAAATAGGGGATAGGTTCGCAGGATTCGTACGGGGATAGGATGGAAACTCTTCTTTCATGGGTAGGTATGTAGCTTTGTTATATAGCTTGAAATTATCTATATAAGCTAGAAACTCGACCGCCATCAAAGGACATAAATCTCATCTTCATCGCATTCTATAACACATCGTTAATAGACTCAAACACACTCACCTCTTCCGTGTTATATAAGATCAGAGCTTTACAGCCATGGCCACCACCACCACCGCCGCCGACAAGTCGAAGCAGTACTTCCCCCTCGCTAGTGGTGCTAGCGATGGCTGGTCTACGGAGACCGAAGCAACAGCGACATGCTTCTGCGGTGCTGTCCAGCTAGTCTTCGTAAGTTCACTCACCTCGCCCCTATCTCGCTCATCCGCCCCTATCTCGCCAACCCCCATGCTCATTCTACACACCCTGCTAACCATTATCAGCCGCTCCAAAAGCCGGGGTTAGTGGAGACATTCGTCTGCAACTGCACCGACTGCCACAAGATCACGGCCTCGATGTTCGCGACCAACTTCATTGTCGCGAACACACACCTCCGCCACGTACGCGGGCAAGAGCTCCTCAAGACGTTCTCACAGAACAAGACAATCGCCTCGGGCCACCACATGACGAATCACTTCTGCGGCGAGTGCGGCACGCTGATGTACCGCATTGGCGCGCAGTGGCCTCACTTGAGCATCCTACGTGTCGGCACCGTGGATGATTTCCGCCTGCACGAGACGGTCCTAAAGCCGCGCGTCGAGCAGTACATCGAGGAGCGCGCGAACTGGCTTGGCGAGGTTAAGAGCAAGGAGAAGGCGGTAGGGATGATGAAGTTTGGGGGAGAAGCTAGGTTGTGAGAGGCGCAGATGTTGGGGTTCGGATCTCGGTGCGCATTTTACCCCGAGATGGTGGGATCTACCTGACAGCTCTCATCCCGGGCTGAGGCGTGGTCACGAGTTCATAATCGGGTTAGTCGGTACAGGATTGTGGTTGTAAGCCACAGGAGTATAAGACTGGGCGGTACATAGGTAGGTAGGTACTAGGTAGGTATATAAGTTTCCTTATTTCCAATAAAAAAGGGGGATGGCAAATTAGGAGGAGAGACCTATAACAAGAAAATGAAAATGAAAATGTTATAGGAACCTATCCGCTTCCCCAAGTGCTTACCCGCCAAAACTCGTGATTATCATCAGACGCATAGGCTTTTTGAATGTGGCGAACTGCTGATGAGATGGCGAGAGGCGTTGGGAACGGGTCATAGAAAAGAAAAGAAAAGCCTGTATTTCAGCTCAAGTACGTCCCGTGGAGATCCACACAGTAATGGATATACCGGATAGCCGCAGCGACAACCCGATGAAAGATCATAAGATGATCTACCTGTACTTAGATATGTAAGGCACTAAGAGCCTGCAGCCATCGTGGCGAAAATTCACCGTGGTGGAACTCGGAGATCGTGGCTTTCTTGTGTAACAGGATGTTTAAGAGGTTGGTTAAATTTCCCCTAACGCCCTCTTCCAGTCAAAACCTGACGGGTTCCACGCTTACTCGAAGCGTCTAATGGCGTTTAATCCGATTGTACTTGTCTATAAAGACGAGCACCAAGACAAATATTGCGCATTATAAGTGAGTTCACTGCTTCCGAGGAGAAACATAAATATAAACGAATGCCGAACATCGTCCGTGGGTTGGTGGATATCCGTCAATAAATAACTCGCGAGAAAGAAACAGAAAGAGAAACTGTCCAGGTGGACAGAAAGGTGATTAGTATGAAAGACGAATGTAAATATGACCGGAGATGTAAAATTCTTTGGAAACGGGTAGCAGCATTAATAAATATTTAGAAGCTATTAGGTAGCACGAATTACCTCTTAGTAACGCCTGCCATCTTTCTCCGCGGCCCTTGGTTTCACTAACAATTTAGGGAAACTCTAATTGGTCAGAGACGTTACCTTATCGAAATCTCCCCTTTAGGTCCCTGGGTATCACCCGAAGCCAAGTTTAATGTTTAACAACTCCATCTTTTATCTTGTACGAAACAGTATTTACTAAATTCAACCATTCAATACAGAATGATATACCCGTGACCCTGGTCTAGCCGTGGAAATACCTATTAAGATGCACTACAGTATAAACTACGGGCCGAGTTCTCGGATTCGTGGATGGACCTAGCTACCTGGCCAGATTGTTGGTTAACCCGACCTTTATCTAGACTATCTCGACGTCTTTCGTGCCTGTATACCCAATGAGAACCATGGATATCTTGGCTTTGGTCAGCATCATCATGGTTAATCTATTGGTACCTAGTAGGTTACTCTGAACAGTCTAGAGCAACTTGATGCCGGAGATGCACGTATCTGTCATTGGACATGTAGGTAACTCCAACTTCTATTTCGATGTTAGCTCATCTGTCGTCTTTACTTTTTTTCTTTCCCTCTTCGTGAAGCCATGTTTACTTTCTTCGCTATCTCAATTATCTCGTGCTTCATGTATCCATCTTATTCTTGACGAGTGCTTTCCCTTCATAGGCGAATCATCCTGTGAACGCTCTAGTAGCACAGCACGTAAGATCTGGGGTCAAGTTGTGACGTAGATCGTGGGATCTGTGCCCCTAACTTACTTCAAAATGGCTCTTGACAAGAAAACCAAGTTGGTTGTTGTCGGCCTAGGAATGGTCGGCATTGCCTTCATGTGAGCAAATACTGACCTACTGTTATGCCAATTTATTAACCACCCCCTAGAGAAAAGCTTTTGAAGCTCGATGCTAGAACTCATGAATATAATATCGTTGTTATTGGCGAAGAGCCCCACCTCGCATACAATCGAGTTGGTCTTACAAGTTTCTTCAGCCACCGAAAGGTTGAGAACTTGTATCTTAATCCGAAAGAATGGGTACGTCGGGTTTAAGGCGGGTTCGATATTGAGACAAATTACTTACCCGACGCGTAGTATACACAGCACGCCCCGGACAACAAACTGAGCTATCACGTAAACACTTTGGTTACTGCCATCGACTCTACAAATAAGACTGTAGTTTGTGCTAATGGCGACGTGGTTTCCTACGATATTCTTGTTCTGGCAACCGGCTCCGATGCGATTCTTCCACGGCATACTCCCGGTCATGATGCCAATGGGGTCTTCGTCTACCGGACTATTGAGGACTTACAGAATCTCATCACATTCGGAGGATCGCATAAGGGAACGGTCGGCGCCGTCGTCGGTGGAGGGCTACTGGGCCTTGAAGCTGCGAATGCCATGATGGACCTGAACTGTTACGATAAGGTGAAACTTATCGAGAGAAACAAATGGGTTTTAAGCCGACAGCTGGACGCCGACGCTGGTAATCTAGTTGTTGAAAAGGTTACAGATCTAGGACTTGAGATCCTGCTAAGTAAGAGGGTGAGAGAGATAAAAACCGACCAGGGAAACAACGTAACAGGTGTCATATTCGAGGACGGTGAGCAGATGGACTGCTCCACTGTCTGCTTTGCTATCGGCGTACAACCGAGGGATAGCCTGGCGAGAAGTGCCGGCATTAAGTGCGCTGACAGGGGCGGTGGTATCCTCGTCAACGACGACTTAAGTACGAACGTCCCGGATATATATGCGATCGGCGAGTGTGCAAGTTGGAAGAACCAGACTTTTGGTCTCATCGCACCCGGCGTTGAGATGGCCGACGTTCTCTCCTTCAATCTCACACAAGCCAAGATCCATGTACCAAGAATCTTCAAACGACCCGACCTAAGCACAAAACTCAAGCTTCTCGGTGTCGATGTCGCGAGTTTCGGGGATTTCTTCGCCGACAGAGATGGCCCCAGTTTCTTACCAGCAAAGGCGGCGAGAAAGAAGACGGAAGATCAGAGCACCACCAAAGGGTCTCCCTCTCCTCTGGTTAAAGCTCTTACGTATAAGGACCCCTTCGCTCAAGTATATAAGAAATATTTATTCACAACCGACGGTAAATACCTCCTCGGAGGTATGATGATCGGAGATACCAGCGATTACATAAAACTAGTTCCCATGGTCAAGAACCAAAAAGAACTAGACATTCCCCCAGCACAACTTATCCTCGGTGCAAAGAAAGAGGGTGACGACGGAGCTGATGATCTCGACGACGATACACAAATCTGTTCCTGCCACAACGTCACGAAGGGTGATGTAGTCAACGTCGTCAAGGACGGCACATGTAAGACGTTAGGAGACGTCAAGGCGTGTACCAAAGCCGGTACCGGTTGCGGTGGTTGCATACCGCTCGTCACCAGCATCTTCAGCAAGACCATGGCTGACATGGGCGCCGAAGTGACGAATTACCTATGTGCCCACTTTAGCTATTCCCGCGCCGACCTATTCAACATCGTAAGCGTGAAGCAACTAAAAACCCTAACCGAAGTCATGCGGGAAGCGGGCAACGACCCGGACTCGGATGGGTGTGAGGCCTGTAAGCCAGCCGTGGCTAGCATATTTGCGTCGCTGTGGAATAAGCACGTCATGAGCAAGACGACGCACGGGCTGCAGGATACGAACGACCGGTTCTTGGGTAATATCCAGCGGAACGGCACCTTCTCGGTCGTCCCCCGCGTCTCCGCCGGAGAGATCACGCCGGACAAGCTGATCGTCATCGGCGAGGTCGCGAAGAAGTATAACCTCTATACTAAGATCACCGGTGGCCAGCGCATCGATATGTTCGGCGCCAAGAAGCAGGACCTGCTCGATATCTGGGCGAGGCTGATCGAGGGCGGTATGGAGAGCGGACACGCTTATGCCAAGTCGTTGCGGACCGTTAAGAGTTGTGTCGGTACGACCTGGTGTCGATTCGGTGTCGGGGACAGCGTGGGCATGGCTGTACGCATAGAAGAGCGATATAAGAGCATACGCAGTCCGCATAAGATAAAAGGCGGCGTCAGCGGTTGCGTCCGCGAGTGTGCTGAGGCTCGGAATAAAGAGTAAGCATCTTCCCTCTCCTTCATTATCTTAATCATCATATCACAAGATATTCTGACAAACCTAAAGCTTTGGACTCATCGCGACCGAGAAAGGCTTCAACATCTTCGTCGCCGGCAACGGCGGTGCCAACCCGCGGCACTCCGAGCTTCTCGCTAAAGACGTGCCACCCTCGGAAGTCGTACCGATCCTAGACCGGTATCTAATGTTCTACATCCGCACAGCCGACAAGCTGCAGCGGACGGCGCGATGGCTCGAGAACCTTCCCGGCGGCCTAAAGTACCTACAATCTGTGATCCTCGAAGATAAGCTAGGGATCTGCGCCTCGCTAGAATCTCAAATGCAGCAGCTCGTCGACTCCTTCTTCGACGAATGGGCCGAAGCGGTGCGGGACCCATTGATTGCAGGCAAATTCGCACAATTTGCCAACACGCGCGACACACTCGAGACCGTCGAAACGCAAGACGACCGAGGGCAATCACGGCCCGTAGATTGGCCCCGACTCGCCGCAGACGAGGACTTCAAGGGATTGAAGGACCGCTGGAGTAGCACATCATGGCAGCCGGTGATCGAGGCGAGTTATTTCGCAGGCGCGGACGCAACACCCAACGGCGTCAGCGCGAACATCAAAAGAGGCGACACACAGCTCGCTCTATGGCGCGTTCGCGGGAGGTACTACGCCACGCAGCAGATGTGTCCGCACAAGCGGTCCTTCGCGCTCTCTGACGGACTCATCGGCCAAGACGTAGCCGCACCGCCATCACCTCCCGCTTCCCCTTCTTCCTCTCCTACACCCTCCGAACCATCCTCCCCTACAGCAGCGAAAAAGGAACCCTGCGGTAACCCCACAACCCCATGGATATCCTGCCCCTACCATAAACGCAACTTCGACCTAGACAACGGCACCTGCCGCAACGACGCCGACCTCTCCATCGCCACCTTCGCCGCTGAGGAACGCTCTGACGGAATGGTGTACCTCAAGCTTCCGCCAATCGAGGAGCTAGACGCCGCGTTAGGGACGAGTAAATGGATGGTGCGAAAGAGTGATACGCCCGGCGGCGAGTTTGAGGAGCTGGATCGGAAGATCGGGTTTAAGGGGCGGAGGGGGAAGAGGGCTGATGAAGGGAGGGGCGGGAAGGTTGAGGGGGATGGGGGCGGGAGGAAGGCTGTTGGAGGAGGGGGTGGCGGTTGTGGTGGTGGTGTCGCGGTGGATTGGTAGGACGATGGATGTGACTATGAAGCAAAGCAATGTCTACAATTTCTCTTTTCTCGTTATATATACCATAATCCCGGGACGTACAACACCCCAGGACAAATACACAAATCACGCATTACGGACAAAGAGTTCAACTACGTGCTCGTCGAATAATCGAACTAAAAATGTATTACAAAGCCTAGACATTACATAAGAACAGGGTGAAGTCGTCACGTAATTGGAACAAGACAATTAATTCTTGTTCTTGTCACTACTAGGAATGAATTTCCTTCTTTTTTTCTCCAGACGAACACCGAAGAGGTATATCTAACAAGCCCCAAAGACCGTTCAATTGACCATGAAGGATCAATTTCATTACTTTATATCCATTGAAGGTCTTAGGTGACAAACGGGGGCGCGAGAATAGTATAGGAGACGAGAACCACCAAAAACGTGACATGCCCTACTCATCCCATCCGTGCCGTGCCAACAAATTGTATGGTGCCGTTTATGGAAATGGGTATTAGACGCAATTAGCTTACTCGTCGCCCTCAACGGGCACCTCCTCCTCGTACTCCTCTTCCTCCTCATCCACGCCAGCATCCTGGTACTGCTGGTATTCGCTGACCAAGTCGTTCATATTGGACTCGGCCTCAGTAAACTCCATCTCGTCCATACCCTCACCAGTGTACCAATGCAAGAAAGCCTTGCGTCGGAACATAGCAGTGAACTGCTCGCCGACACGCTTGAAGAGCTCCTGGATAGCGGTCGAGTTACCGACGAAGGTAGACGACATCTTGAGGCCGCGGGGCGGGATGGAGCAAAGAGCGGTTTGCACGTTGTTGGGGATCCACTCGACGAAATAGGACGAGTTCTTGTTCTGGACATTGCGCATCTGGTCCTCAACCTCCTTCATGGAGATCTTACCACGGCTAGAATATTCGAATTAGTACAACGCCTGTCAAGAATCAGTAGGAAGGTGTAATCTTACAAGATGGCAGAGCACGTCAGGTAGCGACCGTTGCGGAAATCGGAAGCGGCCATCATGTTCTTGGGGTCGAACATTTGCTGAGTCAACTCGGGAACGGTAACAGCACGGAAAGAGTACGCGCCACGGCTGGTCAGGGGAGCGAATCCGACCATGAAGAAGTGGAGACGAGGGAAGGGAACCATGTTCACGGCAAGCTTGCGAAGGTCAGAGTTTAGCTGACCGGGGAAACGCAAGCAAGTAGTGACACCGGACATGACAGCGGAAACGAGGTGGTTCAAGTCGCCGTATGAGGGGTTGGACAGCTTAAGGGTACGCATGCAAATGTCGTAAAGAGCTTCGTTGTCGATACAGAAGGTCTCATCGGAGTTCTCAACCAGCTGGTGAACTGAGAGAGTGGCGTTGTAAGGCTCGACGACGGTGTCGGAAACCTTAGGGGAGGGAACGACGGAGAAGGTGGCCATCATGCGGTCAGGGAACTCCTCGCGGATCTTGGAGATCAGCAGAGTACCCATACCGGCACCGGTACCACCACCGAGAGAGTGGGTGATCTGGAAACCCTGGAGGCAGTCGCAGCCCTCAGCTTCACGGCGAACGACATCCAGAACGTTGTCGACAAGCTCGGCACCCTCAGTGTAATGACCCTTCGCCCAGTTGTTTCCGGCACCAGACTGGCCGAAAACGAAGTTGTCAGGTCGGAAAAGTTGTCCGAAAGGTCCGGCACGGACGGCGTCCATGGTACCCGGTTCGAGATCGACGAGGACGGCTCGGGGAACATACTTGTTACCAGATGCCTGTGCATGTTGGGGTGATTAGTAACTACACCTATAGAGAGGTAAGGTGTTTCCCCTGGTTGCGTACCTCGTTGAAGTAAACGCTCATGCGTTCGAGCTGGAGCTCTGAAGTTCCATTGTAGCTGTTTATTGGTCGTTAGTTGCTTTTCTTGGCATCATGAATTGACGATTGATGATCGACAGTTTAAATACTTACACTCCATTGCTGTCAAGGCCGTGCTCGCCAGAGATGGTTTGCCAGAAAGCAGCACCGATTTGGTTACCCTATAATATTCGTGAGCCCCGCTATATTCCGTCGCGATTCTTCGTCGGTGGTTGTAGCTATAGTACTTACGCACTGGCCGGTCTGGAGGTGAACCTGTTTAGATGAAAAGTACGGTTAGCTATCTGATCCAATATAATTGCTGTTTGATTTGTTGCCCAAGCTGATGCGTTGATTGATTCTGATGTGACACAGAAAAGAATGCGATGTAGTGGTGTTTTTCTGTGCGTGAGGGGCAGGAAATCAAGGGGGTTTGGAGGTTTGGACGCGTTCAGGGGGCATTTTGGTGGCAGGATTGGGTCAGCAGTAAACATCAGATAAGGTAAATACTTACGATCTCACGCATTTTGATGGTGGAGGATTACTATGAATCGGACACGACTGAGGGAAGCTAGCAAGAGAAGTGAAGAAAAAGAGATGCGTTCTTGAAGATGGTAAAGTTGGTAGAAGCTGAGAAGAAATAAAGGGAAGAGGAGCGGTGTGTGTTGTTTGAGGAAAGGTTGTGTTGTGCCTGGTGTGAATTTTGGGCGGGAGAAAGGTGAAGGCCAGCTTTTTTTTGCCTGGAGATTTCCAATTAGGAAAGGGTCGCTCCAATTCGTTAACAGGGGATCCCCTCTTTTTCCCTTTTCCCACCACACAGCTGCCACTTTACCTACAGCACCAGCTGCACCTGCCTACCAACCTGCCAGGGGAACAGGGGAGCAAACCTAACGCACGGGCCTCATTATCGGCATACAGGTGGATAGGTACAAGATACTTGAGATTTAGTCTAATTACCTGTAATTTGGTAATTTGAAAAGTATTGTCTACCAAAACCGCGGGTGCTTGGCAACCGTCTCTCTTAATAAACGTTGATCTATGTACTTTGTACCTATTTACCTACATACATACTTCAAATATCGTGACGCATCAAATAAACAGCACCTTAGTAATTCATATAGCTGTATGTAGGTAGGTACATAATGCATTTCATCGATACAACCAATTTATTATTCTGCTGCCTATGAGTTCTGCACAACAAGTATGACTATTCCGAGGTAATGGTGGTCGGAATTGCATAGGCAGATAGATTGCATTGGCTAACAAGCGTTGGTAACTAATGGAAATGAAAACAGTAACGGTTGACCGCCTATTGTCGAAGTACCCCTTTAATCTATTGGCTGATAGGGGAGGATAATCACTATCGTGATTCGTGAAAATGCGCCTCAAGGCTACAGACAAAGCCAGAGCTAAAGCTTAATTTCGGCCTCCTAGAAGACATACGATGCTTACCAATGTACCTCGGTACGCATAGGATATGACTGAATCTCAACTACACAATTCCTACAATGGAACTCATCTTGTGGCGACAGCATCATCTTAACTTACCCAGCATACAGAAATCAGCGGTGTAAGGTGTAGGAACATACAAAAGCTTGTCACGATAGCAGAGATAAAAAAGCGTTTAGGAATCATTCTGACAAGGTCGACCGGTTAGATCGCCTGGTTTTCTCATTTTCTATTGCTTTTTGCCTAACCAGCCTGCCTTAAACCAAAGCCGACTTGTCTACCTGTACACAATGCACGCCTTATGCCCCATGACTTCGCCATAAACCGTTCCGTTCCGTTCCAATGCCATGCCTTTTGAGAAATACGGGGAAATGAAAATAACTCGATTCGTTTTTTTATTTCTGACCTGAAACTAAGCGGGAAACGATTCGTTACAATAAGCTGATGTACAGCGGTGAATATTCGTAAGGTCAAGACGTGGCTAGACAAACGAGAATGCATATATCATTGGGATTTTAGGTTTCGGATTTTCCGTATCCCTTTCTTTTCATTCGCCTGGGGAGAGGCTATGCATGAAGCGAGATGGAGGCAACTTTGTCAAATCCCGTCGAGGGCTCGCGTTGGCGTCCTTGGGTCTGATGCCTCCACTCGTGATCCCCATCTATGTGTAAAAATTAAGAACCCTTCGGATCCATTTCTTGCTCTGGAATCGATAGGACTATGGGGTCGTGCGGGCATGGACCAGGCATGCAAAATTCGTTATTCGTATTCGTAATACTCCTTGATTCTATAGGGGTAGTGTATCATCATCCGTGGACGTTCGTACGCCAGGGTGTTCGGAGTCGTAGTAGAAGAGTATCGGTCAACATTAATGATCCTGCAAATAATCCGCATCGCGGTGTATCCAGATATTGCCGATGGTAGCATGGTACTGGAGAAATATCGTATTAGGTTTGTGCTCGGGTCGACAATTAATATCAGCCTGGCAGATGTTTCCTTCGGCGTTTCCTCAATGTAATTAGACGTAAGAGTAAGTGTCCCTTCGTATGCGAGTCCTGGAATAAAAGAAAAACTAAAAACCGACCCTGCGCTATGCTGATTAAACAAACGTTTGTACATATACATAGCTCCCACCGCAATTAGGCCTTGATTCGATGTGAGGTGAAGGGGGTTTGTAAATATGGGATGCGTGATCTTCAGCTAACAGTCATCATCTGCATACGCTGACTAATACCATTAGATGGAGACGCGCCAACAGAGCCGTTGCTGATAACAGAGGTGTTACTGTGGCTATTAGGTAGTCGCCTTGTAGGGCTTGTCGTCGGTTCGTCAAATACTCGTGTGAATGCAGGACTACCGTCAGCCCTCGTGTGTTTCGGAGTTCGCACTGGGCTCTGTGTGAGGTGGTCCGCTTTGCGAACGAGGTCTGATAGGCCGTCTCTCAAGTCGCTGGCTCTCTTGACCAGCTCCTTCAGGCTGTTCGTGTCAAAATTGAGCTTTCCAGGCGGCTCATTATCCTCGTAGGGGACGTTAAGCTTAACCTGACGTGGATGCATAGCTTCCATGACAGATCTAGCAACGCTAGTTGAACCGAATTCAGGTTTTCCAGCCCGGTTCTCTGGGGTCTTTGGAGGATCAGGGAGCTGCTCTTCATCCGTGTGATCCCACGTGCCGAAGATGTCATCATCAGGAGCGAAGACAGACCGGCGTCGACCCGCAGGACGATCCCGGACGACAGCATTTCGTTGGTTTCCAGTCACCTTAGGAGATCCATGATCGTCAAGATTAGCTCCGTTAAACCCCTGGTCGATGAATCGCTCGTCAACGAGATCGGTCTGCGAATTGTGCCTCGAGTTGACAGACTCCGTAGGATCGTCATCAGGTGAGGCCAGTGCAATGATGCCCTCAGCTTCCCGCCAAAGTTTCGCAGATCCACTGAGCATGTCCATCTCACGACCGAGTCGACATAACCGCTTTAGATCATTAACTAAAAGTGACAGCTCCCGAATCTGTCCGGAGTGTGCTCGAATCGTAGGCTGAGTGGCCTGAATTGATGCAGGGACAACCATCGAAAACCGGGGTTCTTCATGATCTCCAGAGACTAGCCCAAAACTCTCCTCTTCCTCAAATTCGAAGTCATCATCCCAATCCTCACTTGCATTCTTCTGACCAAGCCCCCACGTTCCAAATTTCGGAGTAGGCGCAGTAGTCTCAGATTGGTCAGGAACGACAGGGACACTCTGACTTCTAACGTGGGCAGGTATAGGACCTTTACGACTCGCAGAGCGCCCGCCCCTAACATCCATTTCTTGCTTCCCATGGACCGTCTTGGGACGTGTGTAGCTACCATTTAGATCATGCTTCTCATGGGCAACAGATTCTGTCCAGTCAAAAACGGTACTTCGGGGTCGTTCCCTAGCAGGATCAGTACGCGCGTTAACTCGCATGTTGACCTTCGCATTGCCATTGCTATACCCGAGTGCCGTTCGAGAATTTGGGCTACCCTTTCGCGAGTTCATGGAGCTAGGAGGGGACAGATGATTACATATCCCATTCTCTTCTTCGTTATCCCAATCGAGATCGTCGTCGTCATCGTCAAACGAAAACCGAGTCACATCTCTTTGAGTAGTAAAATTAGGAGAAGCTGGGTTAGAATCAAAACCATCCTCATCTCCGATATCCGCCGTACGGAATCGTGCCCCCGCTACTGCATACGCTCCTCGAATAGGGGTGGCTAAATTTTCATCCTCCTCCATAATCTTGTTTCCATCATTGAAAGATGGTCCCAGAATTTCCTGGATTGATAGGCGCTTCGGTTTGCTATTATTGCCCGCAGTACTCGGAGGAGATTCGTCGAACATCGATTCTAAGGGACTGTCAAGAGTCCTTCTACGTCCCGATGCAGCCGTTCGTATCGAATCAAATGGAGTATCCGTCTTGAAGTCAGTGTCATCATCTTCACCAGATGTAAATCCGCGGTGATACTCTGAGCTAGCAGTTGTCGAAGTACGATCGAGCGTTCGGGCTTGTGACGTATTAGATACTACTCTTGGGCCCGCTATAGAATTAGTTGTGGATATCTCAGACGGGGCATAATATCCCGTTGATAATGTCCCGATCTTGTTTAGATCGATATGAAAACTGGAGAGCCTTGAAATGGGCGGTAAGGGAGAGGACGAATTTCGTGTGCGAGTGGGAAGTCGGACTAAAGCATTCGACTCCGCCTCAGTAGCATCTAATTCTCTAGTATCTTTCGAGGTTTCCTCGCGATCGGCTGCATCAGCTGGTATTGATTCGGTACCCGTCGTGGCCGGTGCCGATACATGTCTCTTAGATCCGCCCATCGTCTCACCACGCTTGCGACGTCGAAGACTGCCAGTTTTTGATACCCAGCTCGAGGGCGAGCTGAAGTGCATCGAGATAGAGCGTCGTGGTTGCTTAGAAGGAGTAGCTTCAGGAGATACCGAGGACTTCTCTGAAGTCTGAGGACTAGTTTCAGTGTTAGACTGGCTCTCTTGTTCATGTGAGATATCATCCGGCACCTCTAAGATAGAGGTACCCATAAGAAGGCTCGGTGCCACCAAGAAAGCTCTTCGGCGGCCTGGCTGCTCTACACAGATTCGCTTAACACCAGGTAGGGCAGTTGTGTCATTACTCCTCAGCGGTGAGGATTTAACCGTGCTTCGAGATAAACGGGAATGCCAAAACGACTTCCAGGGCGACGATTTCCTGCCAGGAGCAGGAAAAACCGACTCGGTCGGACTGGCTAAAGTCTGCGCTCGAGGCCGACTTTGTCGATCGAACGAGACCTTGGTCAAAGTTGGTAACTCTTCGGGATTAATCTGCTGATTCAATGTAGCGGATCGCTGATGGCTCGTAGCTGGTCTGCGTAATGTCATCTGGGCTTTTGAACCTCGTCGAACTATAGGGCCTGCGTTGCTTCCGTTGGCAGCGGATGCGCGTTTCACCAATTTATTTGGAGGTAGTTGTGCAGGTGGATGCCCTCCAGGCGAGAGGATTGGCGCAGCGGATCCGTGGGAAAAGGTGATGGAAGGCGAGTCTGGACCCACACTTGACCTTATACTCTCGTGCTGGGATAACGGTCGTATAGATAATCTGCGTATCCAAGAACTACTCGAAGAAAGGGAATCACGCGCGTCTTCGGCAATGGGTGTAGCCGGTGAGAATTCCCCTTGCTTAGCAGCCGAGTGTCGCGCTCCCGATGATTTCGGTGGTGTTATATGAATATGGGAAGATCGTCGAGGAATTCGTGGTCGGGTTGTCGCATTAGATGAAGAGGATTGTTGGTTCGAGTCTTGGACGAAGTCGTTCTTCGGAGGAGCAGTAGCGGTGGAGTTCGTTGTTCCAGGTCGAGATGAAAATACACTGAGAAAATCTCTATCAGATATTATTGACTTTCTCTTGCTAGAGTCTGGATGCAGTGTGGGTTGTCCATCTGGTAATTCACCAAAGACTAGCCCCGTTGCCGCCGCGGCGACCGCAGTACCAGCTCCAATAAGCTAATTGGAAGTCAGCAATTGTTACAGGTATAAGCCACACAAAAACCTAGAAGATCAGGGGAACGCTAGTAGAACGACAAAAAGGAGTTGGAGGCCGGATATAGCTTCAAGCCATGTGGTTAAATGTTAAATAAAGTAACTATGGTTAACCAATTCTTTTTAGGAATATAGAATATGGTTGATGAGTTGCACAAAGCGGACGCGTTCAACTTACACTTGGAACCGTCTGCATCTTGAACGGGTGTTAGGAGAAAAGAGAGCTGCCTTCTGTAGAGGAGCGGGAGGAAAAAGAGTCGACTCTCTGTAAAGTTTTCGTGACCATTGTTCATTGAGACATGAAGGCTTCGTATTCAAGGGGTTTGACGATGTGAATAAACCTAATTTTATTAAAATCCAGGTCCGTGTGCGTGTGGTGTTCTAAGTAGTTGGTCGGCGGTCGTAGGTTCAGTGGCCTGGCGCGACGATTCGTTCTATTATGCGGGATGGTCCAATATTTACTGTTACTGGTAGCAGGGCATTAACACGACCAGTTCTAGGTGCGATTGGATTAATATAGCGAATCCAATTAGGTCCTAGAAAGTAGTTGTCTTTCCTAGAAAAGGTACTAATGGCAAAGACGAAGCAGTTCGAGATATAATTGCTTCCTTAGTCGTCGTTATTGTTGCCCGTTGCTACGACTCCTGACAGAGCGTCTCCCTATGCGAGTAGACGAAGAAGCGGCCTGTCATGGGAGTTAGGAGTAAGAAAAAAGAAATGGAAATCTCTCAGATCTGGGGGAGGGTAAGCCGCAGAAAGAAAATAGTAACATACGACATATAGGCATAGCAAGACCAATTATGACTGGAACTAAACCTGAATCTTGCCTGTGAGAAAGGGAAAAAAAGAGATTGGTGAACGAGGATTGGAATCTTTTGATGATAGAAAAAAATAATAAGAGCCCTGGGATGTTTACCTCTGGGTACGGAGCTAGATACTACAAGCGGTCCGGGTTACAAAGTACACTCGACGATCTAAGATTAAAGCCACAGATTCCCCAGTAAAATGAAGGAAAGTCCACGGTCCAAGTAACATAGTACCTTTTACATAATTGTCCCTATATTCCCCTAGACTCAACTTTTATTGTTAAACTTTAGGTTCAATGGCTCATGTTACCATACCTAGTACATAGGTACCGAAGTACCCTGCTATTACAGCGTATATCGTAGCCCTGGAGAGGTGCTATCTTGGAAGGAACGCGCACCATGTGGTTTCCCATACATGCATACAAATCATACAATGCCTTCCAGGACTGTACTGTACGGTACAGTACAATACAGTGTTTAAATCGTGTGACACGCCTAAAGATAGGAGAGAGAAAGACCGTGTGCCAAGGTCAAGGCTTGTAATTGCCTGTCCTGCAATGCAATGCGGGTTCCCTACATGTACAGTACAGTACAGTACGCTGCCCGGCTTACAGTGCATAACTTGGAAATATGATATTAAGGATTCGAGGCTAGAACAAGAACAAGGTCATACTTCCATTCTGATGCAGCGCTTCATATGTATTGGTATTTAGCAGTTTCGATCATCTCAGGACGCCCTGTTGCTGAGAAGCCTAAGTACCCAGGTACATTCATGGTAAGGAAAGAATTACACAACGATTTGATGTTCTTCAAGATCGATTCAAAGATGTACGTGAACTTACGTAAGGTGACTGAAGTTTAATGTTTATGCTTAACTTAATTCTCCATATTTCCTTCAATGTTTTTTTTATATCAAGGTACGGTACTCAGATTCATTACAGAAGAAAAGAAACTATTTTTTTTTTATCGTGATGCACTTTTTCAGGATGCATGATCCTTGAAGTGGATTTCGCCTTGTCCACTTTCCGGACGCGCAGTCCGCATAAGTACTGCTGATGATGAGGTTATTATTATTATGATTATTATTGTTGCTCTTATGTATTATTATTATTATTAGTTCCTGGATGGGATAGACCGATGCGACATACTAGCGCCATTCATTATCCGAGACCTTTCCTAACTTGTCATTGGCCAAAAAGGCTTCCAGGTCAAGTGCTGAGCGACGAAACGGTCGAAACGAGATGCCAGTCCTAGACAACCTAGAGAAACCCCCCTCTAATCAGCTTCGATGTCGAATGCTTTTTTAATTTAATTCTTCACACCAGCGGGCATCTCGGGGTTATGTCGAATTATGAAGGAGAATGAGAGGTTCGATTGGACATTCCAAGATCCCAAGATTCTGAGATTCCACGATTCCACGATTCGAAGACACAACCCAGCCTTAAATGACGCTGCATTAATTATGTCATTCTTGTGCTTTGGTTCGACCGTTCCAGATTCTCGGTTCAGGTTCAGGCTTCTTAGTTGCTAGAAGTCGCAGCTAGTTGACTAAACTACTGCGAGTCGACTCAGTCTCCAATCTTTTTTCTTGACTTATATTAATAAGAGCAAGATCATCTCTACACGTTACAAGAATTGAATACTTGAGACTATGCTTCGAACTACTGACAGTTATTGAGCTTAGAAGGTTCATCAACAAAACTCCCTTACTTCAGCGATGTCCATAGACATATTTGCGAACAACTTGTCCTGACATATTCTCCGGAGATAATAACCTCGAGTTTCCCTTCTCTCGGGAAGAGCGAAATGCAAATATCAGCTTCTCTTATATGTATACCCCAAGATATTATTTGCATAAGCGCTTATTCTTCGTTGTCAAGTTAGGTAGGCAGCCTTGCCATCCTATACTTTGTTTTTATTACAAGTTCCCTTACGTTTCTTTTCCCATTCGGATTTTAGGGATATAGTTACAATATATTTGACAACAGCTAAATTTACAGAGAAAAAGCCCCTTTCTAAAGGAAAAGGAAAAGGAAAGAAAAAGAACCGGAGGAACGGCACGAGTCGTGCAAACGGCTTCATCGACTAAACATGTCACTGTTGCATATCGTTGATTGCGATATTTGTTGCCAATACCGCACTTGGCACTTGCAACCTGCATGCTGATGCTTGCCTCATCAGTGTCAGTGCTTGTGGTCCCCCTTCTTAGAGGAGCTCCGTAACCAACTACGATGTATCATTCCAGCCAATGGTTATCGTCTACCGCTTCCTGCTGTCACGAATCACGACATGAGCAAGCTGTGCTCCATGGGGAACAAGCAGATCGTGCGACCACTCATTAGCAACGCTTCCCACACACCTTATTATCCCACAATTACTAGGTACATATCATACATGGTATGTAAGTCTTGGGGTTTTGACCGCCGGTGGCTTGTGTATCCTTCTCCATCGGTCTAGTAAGTCATAGCTTGTGGCGGCCTACCTTTATGGATTTTATTCTCCGGTTTACCGATTACCTTTCCCCGGAAAACGTTCGTCAGGGTCCGTGCAAATAGAAATAAACGTGGAAGCGGTCTCTCCTGTACGTCTCACATCCCACAGAAATCTTGCTTGGGCAACACTAGAGGGGTCATTTCTTAAGGCTCTAGCGAGCTGTTAGGTGACGGCACACGATACGAGTGTTGCTTAAATTGCGGCGCACACCTCGCAGCTTTTTTTTATTGTACAAAGCAAGACCCGTTGATCATAAGAGACCGAAACACCGAGACAAGGCTCTGCTTGTCAGGATGAGGCATCTTGCCGTCGTCGTTGTTACGATCCGACGGCATCGGCTTCCGTTGCGAATCACAGCCGACTTATTATCTATCACTTTTCTTCCATCTATCAACTACTTAAATATTAACTACCTAGCTAAACAAAATGCAAAGCTCCCTCTCTTCGCTTGAGAAAGAGCGCTTTTTGCGGGAGTAACGATGGAATTGGCAAAGCCAGCGGAACGGATGCAAACATCTGATACCCGATATACATTTACTCGCTATGTAGCTCGCCTTTTTGTTATGCCTGGTACCTTCCGAACCACGAAGCAATACACGGCGAGCTATATGACCTATCAGTAAGTAATAACGAGTGCTATCCGCTAAGTATATTACCTACTTAAGTAAGGTGGTTGGGTAGAGTAGATACTAGGTAGGTATCACATAGGTTGCAGGTAACTTGGAAGTAGGAGCTAGGTAAATATCAATGTAGACACCAGATCGTAGGTACTTCACTGTGCCGTGTGACGATGAAAAAAAAAAGCTGGAGACGTGGGGACTTTGAAAGTCCTCCTTAAAATAGCTACTGTACCCAGACTTACCCCTCATCTTCATCAATGCCATTGATCGATGAGGCGTCGTACTATTATGTGCTAAAGAGACATCGATGTGATGTGGCTTAGGAGTGAAACTCGCTCAGGACACAAACCCCAGGCTTCGGGTTCGGGTCGATATCTCGCAGTCTCGGTACCAGACATTATTACCTGACAGCCTGAGCCAAGTATTGTTAGTTGAACCTCAACCGGGGTTGCCGATTCACGATTGCGCAATGCCGGATCATGTGGACCGTTTCGAGGACGCCGTCTTCAAATATGCGACGATTTCTCTGATCTATTAACTCGGTCTAGTCACCAGAAGGGTCTAGGATTCAAAATACCAGCTGAAATCTTGATGATCGCCTAGTAAGTCAATCACTTTAGCGATCAAGTAGAAGAGATTCCTGTCCAATGATTCGTCTATGAACAAGGATCACTTTTTCTGTTACGGCGTCACAACCAAAACCCGACGTCTTCATAGAGCATAGCATGGCAAAAGACACGCCGCACAAGATGCTCTAGGCCTTTGTTATCGCCGACAACCTAAGCACTTGAAACGAGACTTCTGACGATTCTTGTGGAGAATTAATAGTTCACGATAGCCGATATATTGCTAGCTAGCGGTCTTTTTCGGCTATTTTCCAAGACCGTCTCGAGGACATTTTTACTAGTAGGGCGCCGGTCTTTCCAAGAGTCCGCACGCATTAGAAAGGAGACCCCTGGATCCAAATCCGGCTTTGGCGCCGAAACCTCATAAACTTGAAGCTCACCTTTCACGGCACGGACACCTCCATCGAACCACAAAAAGGAGCTAACGCCGGTACAGGTTGGGATATCCTTTGCAGATTCTCGGGTCAATTATGTCGTCTAGCTCCGCTCGAGCGAGAGCCTGCCTATTGTATACAGCGTACTGCACACACCTTATGGTGCAGCTACACATATCTAGCTACATGTCTCGATAATCTCGATAATGCATACCAAGGATAGTACGCAGGCCGAGGCAATTAATGAAGATATTATAGTTCTTTTATGTGTAGGTAGCTTCTAAAGGAATCACGTCATTCGCAAAGGAAGCGGATGTGAAACTAAATCCTTCTCCGACGCTGCTGCGGCGACGTTCGTGTTGAACCCGACTATCTGGATGCGGATCGAAAATCCGTGCTATACATACAGGATCATGCTGTCATCGATATTGATCGTATGGTTAGACTGCAGTAAGCTGCGAGCTCTAGTCTTTTCTGCTGAGCTGTGACCTCGGGTTTTATAATTACGATTATAGCCTGGCATGAAAATTTGCTTCTTGGAGAACTGTTTCTTCACTAACGTGGAATTCATTGGCTAAGACTCGCCAGTTGTGTTATTTGATCATTACAGCAAATGCCCAGGACCATGTCTCGCATGCTTAAGTCGATTATGATATCGAAGCTTTCAGGATTTTCTTGCAGTTGCATCTAAAATCCATTGGCACTTAATGGCGACATGACGTTGGCCACCATCGAAAGGCGAAATGTAACCCCCCACGAGTAGATCTCTAGGGCTATCGGGGAATAGATTGAAAATGGTCTTACAAGAGTATGAACAGGAACTATCCAGCGATCCCACTCGGATCGTGTGAAATACGTTTATTAAGGAGAAGAGGGTCCATAGTATCGATACCCTAAATCTCATGACAGCTGCAGCGGGAGTGTTTAGGACTTTCGGTACATACATATATCGAACCATACGCGCAGATTGGCGAGTGATTGGCGAGTATAATCAAGTAAGATACCTGGAGATACGTTGCATCTAGCATGTGGAAATCAGTGCCAATGTACTGTAAAGGTCCAGGCGGCGGCCGCATCACCCAGGTCATTGTCCAGCTGCGCGTTGCACCGGGCGTCCAGCCTAATATGGATGCCTCCAAATACTTTTTTTTTCTTGTTAGTGAAGATCTTAGGAGGCGTTCCAACTGCCAACAATGGCAATGATAGGGCGCTGTGAGACACGGCCTGGCTGACTGGCTGAAGAATCCTACAGCGGCTGCGGTTAGCTAGGAAGATGCAGTGCGTAGAAGGACCAATCAGCTTGGGCGGGAGCGCGACGGGAATGATGCGCGTTTCAAAGTGCCAGGTATGCGATACTAGAATGGTGAATGGGCTTCCAGAACGCGTCCGCGAGTGGTCGCCGCGTCATTCCCACGCGCTTCACCCGGCACGGCACCGATCACAGGCAAATATCCTATTGGCACGCACAGATTGTACGAGATCGATCCGAATTGAGTTGTGACGAGTTGTGACGCCTCAATCCCCGGTCGATCTTATGTAGTGGCGTTGGCGATGCTGTACATTGAATAGGCACTAGCTGCTAGGCTGCTAGGCAACTGGCAACTGGCAAACTCCGAAGCTTAGCAAGATTTGTCTCCAGTCTTGTTTCCTTTGAATTTAAGGCTAGCCCTGTCCTTATGTCGTCCAGGTCCTTTAGACTTCTCATGTCATTGCTGGTGAGACCGAATTGTTGGTTAGGTAAGGGTCCAAGACTTCCCCATGTCGAAAGTTCAAAACAACTAAACATATCCTGACAATATCCCTTGGGTCTTAACATCGGTAGCCTATTGGATCTCGATACAGCTCCTGAGAAGCAGATCGTTCGGAGCTAGGCGTCGCCTAAATAGGAAGAACAAGGAACAGGGACAAGGTAGGGATTCCAACATGGTGAATCGCCTCATAATGAAAGGGTCTGATAGGTTTGGACAAATTTCGATGTTTTGATCTTTAAAAAAAGGTCGAGGCCTAAGCACATGGCCAATTCAACTTCGACCAACACGACTTGAAAAAGTTCCAATGTCAATTGCAGCGTATCAATTGATTCTTGTTTAAAGTTGTTTGTAAGTTCCAAATTGCAGCCAACAAAGAAGAATATTGAATGAATTTACTCTATGTAACTGGGATGTACTTAGGTACTGGTAGATATCATCCAATGATTCAAGGTTATGTCACGGATGCCTACATGAATAATAGCGATATTTATCATATTTTCATCACATGTAATTAAAAGTCAATATCGTCGACGCCGAAGATAAACCGCAGTCCTGGTAAACTAAACATTAATAATCTTAGTCATCCCCGTTTCAACCCATGTACAGTGTATATCTCCATTTATACCGTATAAACGTATGTAGGTACTTAGGTACCTATGAATTCCACTTTTTTATTCAGACGACATTTTATGATTTTGTGCCGATTTCCTGAACGATGCAACAATTTCAGGATTCATAACCGCCGCTTGGACGACAAACGGATCACACTAGAAACCCTATTGCATCGTGCACTGCATCTGGAAATTAAATCTTACAACCAGGGATCCACGTTCATTGGAAGCGGTGTCATTAAAGATCTCAGGGGGCAACGAAAAGACCAGATAGACAAATTCAGCTTTTCCAGCTTTTTCAGCCTTTTCCAGCTGGAAGATTCGCAAATTGAATCCCGTTTTGATACGTTCTGGACCCTCCAAAGTCCTAGTGGGTAAGGTAATCTCCGGCATCCATCCCCGACACAAGGAATAATGGAAGCCGATATCAGAGCCGCAATTCCGGACATTGACCCAGTCGTCTCCGAGTACTCGGTAGGCTATCTTAGACATGCATCTACTGCTTGGGTAGGGGATGAGGAATCAGCCGCTCTATCACCCCTCGCTGAGGCTGCCGCTGCCATCACCGAACTTCTGCTCTCTGCGTCCGGAGACCCGGCTGGCTCAAACCAAGATAATATCCGTTCATTAGTCTCCAAGTGGGTTGACAAGTATGAAGAGGCCAACAGCAGCAATGGCGAGCGGCGGGGACCCTCTGCCGTGAGGCGACTTGACCAGGCCATCCAGGTCGGCTCTCAGCGGAACATGTCGTCCACTCTAGCCGTGGCTACCGGTAGTGTCGACCTGGAGTCTGCAAATGCCCGTAAGGTAGAGTCCAAGGTCGACCGGAAGAAGCTTGAGAAGGCAGAGCGTAAAATCGCCGCCAAACAGAATAAGAAACAATTCAAGACAGTTGAGTATGAAGCTTCTAAGCTGCTTAACCAGGCCGAGAATGCCCAGAGCTACGAAGAGTTCTATATGGCCGTCAACCCTTTGCAGCTCGGATCTGGTGGCGGCGTTGGCAAGACCAAGGACATCAAGATTGAGAATATAGATGTTAGTATCGGTGGAACACGTATCCTCATGGATACAGACCTAACTCTCGCTTATGGACATCGCTATGGTTTGGTTGGTCACAACGGTGTTGGTAAATCTACGTTACTCAGGGCGTTGTCCAGGCGAGAGTTACCCGTTCCTACACATATTTCTATTCTTCACGTCGAACAAGAGGTATGACAATCGCTGTAGCTTCATGATTTGATATGCATGCTAATAGGTCCTAGATTACTGGCGATGACACGTCTGCTTTGCAAGCTGTCTTAGATGCCGATGTTTGGCGGAAGGTGTTACTCAAGGAGCAAACAGTATGTTCTTCGCCTCTCAATTCTCAGTCTTGCTTGCTAATATTATCGCCTAGGAAATCACAGCACGTCTCGCCGACATTGAGTCTCAGCGTTCGTCCATGGCGGATACTTCTGCCGATGCCGCAAAGTTAGACCATGATCGAGAGGCACTTGACCAGAAACTTGGAGAAATCCAAGCGAAATTAGCCGAAATGGAGTCAGACAAGGCAGAGTCCAGAGCTGCTAGCATTCTAGCAGGTTTGGGTTTCTCCCCAGAACGTCAACAATTTGCCACGAAGACATTCTCTGGTGGTTGGCGTATGCGTCTGGCACTTGCCCGAGCCCTCTTCTGCGAGCCTGACTTGCTACTTCTCGACGAACCGTCCAACATGTTGGACGTCCCCTCCATTACCTTCCTTTCGAACTACCTCCTTACCTACCCAAGCACCGTCCTGGTAGTCAGTCACGACAGAGCCTTCCTTAACGAAGTCGCGACAGACATCATACACCAGCACTCTGAGCGGCTCGACTACTACCGCGGTGCCAACTTCGAGTCCTTCTACGCAACACGCGAGGAGCGCAAGAAGACGGCTAAGCGCGAGTACGAGAACAACGTAGCGCAGCGTGCCCATCTACAGTCCTTCATCGACAAGTTCCGTTATAACGCCGGCAAGGCCGCCGAGGCCCAGTCTCGTATCAAGAAGCTCGAGCGCATGCCTATCCTTGAACCCCCCGAGACCGAATACAGCGTCAAGTTCCGCTTCCCCGAAGTCGAGAAGTTGTCTCCACCCATTGTGCAAATGTCGGGTGTCACCTTCGGCTACAGTCTCGACAAGGTCCTTCTCAAGGACGTCGACCTAGACGTTCAGCTCGACTCACGAATCGGTATCGTCGGACCTAACGGTGCGGGTAAAACTACAATATTGAAGTTGCTGATTGGCAAGCTGTCTGCGACGAAGGGTATCATATCACAGAACTCTCGTTTAAGGATCGGGTTTTTCGCCCAGCACCACGTCGACGCGCTAGACTTGACGATGAGCGCTGTCAGCTTCATGTCAAAGACGTATCCCGGACGCACAGACGAGGAGTACCGCCGACAGCTTGGCGCTTTCGGTATCACGGGCACAACCGGTCTACAGAAAATGGAAGTGTTGTCCGGTGGTCAGAAGAGTCGTGTGGCATTTGCTTGCCTCGCGCTCACGCAGCCCCATATCCTAGTCCTCGACGAACCGTCCAATCATCTCGATATCGAGGCCATGGACGCCCTATCTGAAGCGCTACAAGAGTTCCAGGGAGGTGTGCTGATGGTTTCTCACGACGTCACGATGTTGCAGACAGTTTGCAAGAGCCTTTGGGTTTGCGAGAATGGCACGGTTTGGAAGTTCCCTGGCGATGTCCAGGCGTATAAGAAGAGGATTGCTGCACAGGCTGATGCTGCGGGTGTTGTGAAGGCGCATTAGGAGAGGGAGGGTATGTTGGTAGATATGTAGGTAGGTAGGGATGGAAATGAGATATGATGCTATGTTTAGCATGTAGGGAATTGGCGGCGGATGATGATTTTAATGTGCTTCACTGAGGGAGTTGGTGACCTACAACATTCACACAAACTGGATGTTCCTTGCGGAAACATAGGACGTCGCTCTATTATTGAGCTGCCTACATTGGCGTATACGCCATTACAAGAACTACACATTGCAGCCATTTTATTTTGGTTTTCCATATCGAGCAGTGATACTCTATCCGACCTGAGAATGAGCGTCGTCGCCTTACAAACTTTAACACAGCTAGATTAAACAATACATTTCCCCCTTTGTTTCTCAGTGATAGATCCAGGTATGTTTACTCTTATTCCGGAATTAGATGCACAATGTCTTTATTAATGATATAACCATGCATACAAAGCGTTTCTCGGCCCATCTCGGTTTCATTTTGGAGGTGTTCTATCTACGCACACACTTGTCGAATTCAATCGCATCACGGCATATTCTCAACCTATGGATGACCGAATAAACCCAGCTCATCGGTCTGACACCGTGGTTTCGTATGGCAACAAAACTATAGAAGAAATCGAAGCCGAACTAAGAACACATTTCGCCACACAATACCAAAGATTTACCTTCGAAGGTCTCATTGGACGAGGTGCTTTCGGTCTCACATTTTCTGCCATCGAGAAGCTCTCCTTAACGACGTATCGACGCATCGCTATAAAGCGGTCTGTAGATCCGAGACGGGATGATGACCTTAGAAACGAGATAACATGGTTGAAAGCAAGTCTGAGCATTCTATATCAACCAGGATATTCTACTAACTTGTTTCTTTTAGACCCTTCGCGGTTCTGAGCACATCGTGAGGATGCTAGGGAGTCGCGATGACCCTCCCTCGTTGGACCCAGTCACGGGCGCTCGAAAGGTACCAACAACTAGGGACTGGTTGGAAGGTATTACACAACCGATAGCGGTGTTTGAGTATTTGGAAAATGCAGATATACGACGGCTATATGACAGATTAATAAAACACGATCAATTGTTACCAAATCGCATACTGTGGTCCTTCTTCCTGTGCTGTAAGTATGATAATCCCCTTTAAATGGCGAGGCTACGATTAACATGCAACGATTGATTTTAGTAATAAGAGCCTGTGTTGCTCTCGCTTATCCTATGAATGGCACTGAGGACCAGGTATCCCAACTAGAAACGATCCCTGAGGATGGTAGACAGCCAAGTGATATCGAGCATGCAGACCTACATCTGTCAAATGGTCTGTTCACAATCTTTTCTACCCATGGATATATCGAGATATTAACAATATCCAGTTATGATAGGAACAGCTGGCTTGAGGTTTCAAGAACACTCTATAGTTCCACCACTTAAATTCATTGATTTTGGTCGAACAAGGGAGGGATTCCAAGGGGTCGCCGATAATGTTTGGAAAATATCCAGGGTATTGATAGCAAGCCCATATCGGTTTTAGGAATTTACCTAATTAACATATATCTAGATTATGATTAACCTGATCGCAAGACACGAAGTACGGATCTCGGCGTGGATTACGGAATATCAAGGTTTCCAAACACGAGCAACGGAGATTCTACACCACGGAAACGGCGCGAAATACCCCACCCTCGACGACGATCTTCGCGATTTCTTGGCTAGATGTCTCGCAGACAGAGTTCGGGAACGTGCTAGTTTGGCATATATGTTGCAAACAGCCGAAGCTGCGGTGCGCGACAAAACCGCGGAGGCATTCCCTAACCAACCTGGGGAGACGGATGAGGCAATCGCGGCGTTGATAAAGAGATTTATATATGATGCTGATGTAGAAGGCTCTGGAGATCAATAGAAGATACTGGCATAGAGAGTCTCATTTACATGCCTATATTACTATGACGTTTACATGTGTCTTCCCAATAGAAGAGGAACTTTGATGTCAGCTGGTTGCTCGCTGAGCGGAAAGGGGGCTTTGTGGCACTCGCCTTGATATTCCAAAGAGCAAAGTTGGTGTTTAGACGAAGTTAAACAGCACAGAAATAAAACTGAGAAATTTACTTTCCACTAAGTACTCCCATTATCTGCTGTTCTTGTGGAGCAAGTGTTTATTGCCTTTCTAATGAAGATAGATGTAGGGTGCTTTGACTCTCTGAACCACGTTGTCACGATATCTTATGCCTTAAGCTTTGGACTAATATGCATAGATCCTCCTTAAGTTTATCGAATGCAGACTAGCTCTTTGGTTTACGATTGCTAATTTATATGACTTTACCAGGTGACCCTGTTAAAATCTCACTCCCTCAAAAATATCGATATTTAGATTTTACAGCGAAAACTATCATATCAACCTGTGCAGTTCATATTCCACACACCACAGCTCCTCGTGCCTTTAAATAGAAGACATCCAGTCTATGCGTACATGTATGTCTGAACACAACTATCTACCTACCTACTAAACATCCCATCCAGAAATCATGTTTCCCTTGCTCGACTTTCTCGAAAGAGAATACCCTGGCTTATTCAAGCTCATCGTAATCATTGTTGTATTTTACTTCATCAATAATTTACACACACCACATCCTCTTGAAGATCCACTTGAAGAGCACGATAACTAGGAGATTCCACGTAGCGAGTCTTGTTAGAATCCCAAGCGTGAAGGGGTTGAATAACAGTACCGCACATATACATACGACTTACTATCTCACCATCATACTACTGCACGCAAGTTCTGAGACTTCTTTCTCTCTCCTGCCCTTATCCAGGCCTGTCAAAAGATGCTAACTGGTATAGAAAACACCATCACAATGTCTTTTATCTTTACCAATCCAATCTTTAAGGCGTTCGTCGACCCCGAACAGAACGACAGCGGAGAGCCTAACGCCCTTCATCTAATGATCGCAAAAGAATGCTACCGATTTCAGTCAAATGTCCTTGGGATCCCGCCGCGATTCGGCGTCTTCTCCGACGGTCCTCGCGAGCTGCAAGCGTACGAGGGTTATCACTTCGTCCTTGTTCTCTACCAGGTCATCGTCATATGGCTCTTCTGCGGAGTACCTCTCTTTGCCCTCACCAACTTCATCGGACTGTATCAGGTACAGCTATGCTCTCTGACGTTCATGGGCATCGTTGGTATCTTCACGCACTACTGGATCTACATGATGCTCGATCCTCGCCGCAGACCCGAGACCTTCCATGAGGTTTGGCGGCCGGAGGGATGGCGAAAGATACTTTTGGAAACCAAGCTCCAGGAAAGGATCCAGCACGCGAAAATACTACGTTCGAAGCTTCGGAAGAACAGTTCTGAGTGGATGAAGTTGTATCAGCAGAAACATGAATCTGGAAGAGCACATGAGCATTTTCATGATCTTATGGAGAGGATAGCAGTGGAAAGGGGCATAGAAGCCCTCGTCGCTCGCAAGGAGGCGGAGGCGGAGGCGAAGGCAAAGGCGGCTGCTGCTGCTGCTGCTTCTACTTCATCATCATCATCGTCGTCGTCGTCGTCGTCGTCTTCATCTTCATCTTCATCATCATCTTCATCATCTTCATCTTCTTCATCATCATCATCTTCTTCTTCTTCTTCTTGAGAGCATTGTCCCTTTATTTTATACGCGCCATCATGTATGACTCTCAATAAATCTCCCTTCGATATTTCCTAGATTGGATTTCCCCATAGCAACTTGAATGAAAAGTCTTTGATACGAAACTGGATGAGTCTTGCATTTTCATCGTGAGCTTGGCCGAATGACTCAGGCTATACGAGATCCACGACTGGGTGACTTTCAACAGATTGGCCTCTTACTGTAACGCTCCATTCTTATTAAGACTCATCACATAACGTAGCTAATAATAGTCAACGTCCAGTTGGAAGAGGAGAACGCCACTGGAGGAATAGAAATACCTACTAGGTAGTCACCGTTGCTACGCAACTCTGAACAACTCTGAATTCAAGTGTCTAGGGCATTAATATGAGTAATACCTAACGAAAGAGGCGTTATGTTAAATATTTCACTCCCATCCACATCATTTCTCCATCCTTTCCTCATCCTTTCTTTCCCAATCTCTTCTGTTTGTCCATCCATCCCTCTTTCATCCCATCCTCATCCATCCATCTTCCAACTTCCATCCCATCTTCCCAACTTTTCCCTTCTCCCTACCTACTCTACACAGTAACAAAGCCATCCTAACCCCCATCAGGCCCGTGCAAAGATTGCACCTCACCTCACAAGCACCCAATCCCCAAGAAAATTCTCTCCAAAGTGGATTGAGAATTTGTTGAACCGGTAACAAACACAGTCTTCACTGTGCCATGTCTAGCCGCCACTGTCCGCCTCTCCCAACACATCCACAGCCCCGAACATACATAAACACGGCTTTCCTTTCCTTTCCCATCCATCTCCCATCCCTCCATTCTCCATTCTCCAAGACCAAACCAGTCAAACGGGGCTCATCATGCAGTTTGGCCTGCGAGGCAAAGGCAGCTCCCAAGCAGCTAAGAGGAAACACACAGCGCCAAGACACAAGCAAGCTCCCAAACATGAACATGTCAAAGCATACCTATAAAGACGAAGCAGCTTGAGCCTCCACCTAGCTAACATTATAAACCATTCCAGACCGAAGAAAACTCCAGGCTTACGGCACCATAGACGACTTGGATGAGACGAGCTACGGAAAACCAGTCACACCATATCATAGAAGCATGGGAACGAAGAACACACAAGTATGTTTCATGACTTTCATTGATTGATTGATATCCTGCAACTTAGCCTCCCAGAAATGACAGGAAAAAAGTGTGCAGAGATATATGCAAGGCCCGAGGCCTCTGACAGAAAAAAACTCGAAAAAAGACTAAATGAAAAAACCCTGTCCGCACCCAATTTTGGTTGCTCCAATGCGATGGAACCGAAAAAAATGGAGGAAACGACAAGAAAGAAGCCTATTTAAATTTCCTCGACAAGTGGCGTCATCGTCCAAATGCGCCGGTAGCATCGGACTGTTACCACTGTCATCCCGAAATGGTTGTCATGGTTGGGTGTAGGCGGTCGTGATGCCGCCCTCCAGTTCCACCCTTTGCAACAGATGTTCTACCATACCGTTGCCTGATTACGAGCTTTTGGACTGAGCCTGTTCCTTCCAGAAAGCGACTTCCTCCTCGAGTTGTTCGATCCTTTTCTCGTAATACTCCATCTTCTCAGCCTTGCGGGCACGAGACTTGCGTGCTGCCAGGGTGTTACGCGCTCGCTTCATTGCGACAGTGTCGTTCTGATCATCTACGGTGATAGCAGGAAGCGGCTTTTTGGGCTTGGTAACACCACCCTCAGAAACACCACGAGTTTTGGTCGGAGGCGAACCACTGGACTTGACACGAGGTCTCGAAACGGGCTCGGTCGATTCAAGGTCCTTGGGCTCGTTGACTGGAGAGTAGTTGTCCATATTGAAACCGACACCAGCTGCAGGAGGGTTGCCAAATAAGGGAAACCAGTTGTCACTGTCCGCCTCGTGAGCGCCAACGAGAGGAGAGGCTTCATAGCTATCTAAGAAGTCGGGAGATTCGTTGGGCAACGACGGCGAGGTTAGGTTCGTGATCGCGGCAGAGTTCGGGGCAGACGAGAAATGATCGATGTGCAGCTCGTAGGGAGACACCGTGGCTAGGTTGCTCATCGAGCTCGGGGTAGAGCTCATGTTAGCGTCGTAGCTAGGAATACCCGGGGAAGAGTACGCCGTGGTGCCACCACTGGCCAAATCCTCGAAACGAACTGCGTCTATTGGATGTGAGAATTGGTTATCATTCAATGCGGGGCCAAGAAATTTACCTTGCAAGTCCATGGTGGATGCAACTTGTCGGTTACCCGTGCTCTGAGAAAAAAGAGGGATGGGTGGACGAGCAAAACGATTCTGAGAGTTCGAAGACGCCGAAGGAGACAACGCGGCAGAGGCGTAAAGATGTTGCTGAGGAATGAACCGATTGGTGTAGACCTGAGAGGAAATCTGATGTCCAGTTGCTTGGATAGTCTGAGCTAGTAATTGCTGCTGGTTTCGTTGCTGACCCTGCAAAGGAGAACCGTTGAACAATTGAGATTGACTAGCGTTGGTGTTGGGAGTTCCAAGTGCTGCGTGCAACGCAGGGGACGGCGAGGCGCGATTAGCGTTCTGGCTCTGAGAAGGGGCTTGATCGAACAAGACGAAGTCCTGCTGCGGTGGAAGGAATAAGGGCTGCTCGGGTTGGGCCGGCTGGCTCTGGGAACTGGAGGGAAGCCATGATGACTGTTGTGAATCCGTGGTGAAGACTGGAGAGTCTTGGGAAGAAATTGTGGCGGTATTGAAAGGAGAACTTGGGGAGCTGGTGATAGCTTCGTGTGAGTTCAGATCAACCTCAAAAGGAAGAGCTGACGAAAAGAGTTGAGTGGGGAGAAAAACGTTTCTAGTTGGTGACTGAATTTTGTTGACCGATTAAGGTACTGAGGGGAATGAGAAGGGAACAGACGACGAGGTCAGGTTTGCTTAGCGCATCTTGATTGAATTGTGGTTGACCTTCTTATGATTTAGTTTGGATGGTTGTGTGTGATGAGGAAAAAGAAGGAGGGGAAAGAAAAAGATTTCGTGCCTGAATATTGGTGGGAGGAAGTAGACTTTAGTATTTTTTCAGGCAACAATCTGATCCTAGAGCCTGCCGGAGAGATATACCTTTGGTAAGTACCAGGTACCCAAGTATAAATTCGAAAAGGGAATGGGTCGTGCACGAGCCAGTAAGTTAGGCGGACGCGCGGGTGGATTTCAAGTGTCAAGGGGTTTTCCCAGCAGCTGTTCAGTTAGGTCTTACGGTAACTTGCTAACCACTAACAATTTTGATTGCGGGCTCGTCCAGCACATTTTACCGCAAAACTACCAGCTGAAACAGATAGGCGAGAACACAATCTGTTCGCTTCAGAAGAGGTATGACTCACACTTTTGGTCCACAATTCCTTTTGCACTAAACTATCCCTGCGACCAATCTTCCTAATGTTCCAATCCAATGTTCCTCTTAGCGCACAGCCTTCCTCCGCATCTGCGTATTTTCCCTGCTGCGCATTTTACAGCGTATATTCTACATAGTACCACCATTCTGGTCTTGCAGTACTTTGCGAATAATTCTGCTCGTTATTTGTATTTCTAGCAGTACCGTAGTATTATCGGAGGATGCGAATAGTTACATCCGAACCTCGAACATATATGATCTTACGCCGGCGCAAAAAAAAAAGAAAATACCTTGTATGTAACGGTTGAAAGATTATTTCTTTATCTTATCACCGTGGCATTCCGGAGTTGAGGGTTTGAACAACGCTAACACCGTTTCTAAATTGAATTTCTATTTAGCCCTTCGGTCCCCAATGTAAGCGTTGCACTGCCAAGATGTTAGACTCGTTGTGGCTAAGGCTTGTGATTGATTACGAAAGTACTATGTACGTACCAGTTCGCCCATTAACTATAAATGCCTCTCATTGGTTAATTGACGTCGGCGAGCTGGATACGGAAGTGATGTATCTTGGTATCTAGGTACTGTGATACCTCCGTTTTTTTCTCTTCCACCTTTTCCCCCCTTGAGATATTCAACGTGAAGAAGCTTCAAAAATCAGAATTATTAATCAACGTTATACTGATGTACATCCCCAGCTCGCCGCTTACAGTGCCATAATAAATATTGCGAATACTTAGTATTATCTTCGAGATTCCAATATTAGTTTTCATTGGACGGTTGAAGTAGTGGTGGCTGTGCTGACCAATCCGTATATACTCCTTACTCCAGTTTTTTTGTCTTGCCTTTTTCACGATATCTTACTGCTTCGAGGACACGCTAATAGAATCCTTACCATACTATGTAATATTCGACTACGTGCTTAGACCTAAGAATGGTTTAGGATGATCCACTGATGCAAGTCAAGAAGAAGAAGAAGAGGAATATGATAAATGATATTCAATGATATTCAGGTCACGATGTCAAATGACGTTTTCGTGCATTTGGTACGAAGCGCCGCAAGTCGCATCTCAAATCGCAAATGGGAAATCGTGAATTGCGCACACCTGGCACTGGCATACTTCCTGGTGCGTGCGCGACGCGGATGTGCACCAGCATCTATTGGCGCTGTGGCGTCGGCTTCTTCAACCCCACAAACTTCAAGGGACCAACGGAATCGAAACTCAATTCAGACATTCAAGACATTCGCATGGCTGCATGGGCGAAGATGGTGTGTATGAGATCGGCAAGAGAAGCAATTCGATCAATCGGATCGACCAATTCCTATGGAGAATTGCAATTTCCCAGCCCTGCCGTCGGGTTGTGACTCATACTTCGAACCTCACCCGCGTCTTATGTAACATCCATCTCCATCAGTATGGAACATGCATACCACGATAGTATTGCGCTACCTACAGCGTCGTGTTGTGCTTGTACGGAAGTAGATATGGCTGGTATGGCTGATATGGGTATATGGAACACGGTTCGCCATATCCTGCCCTTTTAAGTCCCTGGCTTTGAATGGATTAGATCCTATGTGATACCAAACTGGTATTATTCCGTTTTTACGGCATGGTCTGTCGGCATACTGCTGTATGCGGTAATGGTAAAATACTAATGTAATTCCGCCGCAGTGCGAACTTTGCAGTAGCGGTTATGGCATGGGAACGGAGGCTGGTTCGCGGACTACTGTACCTGGGATCCTATGAAAATCGCTCAAAAAGATGGATTACATATCGACATGTGTCTACTATCAAGCATCAAGCATCAAGCATCTCTGCTTTGCGGACCTAGGACCTTGATCATCTTGTCCTGCATGTCCAGGGGGTCGTACATATGGTACTACATACATCAGTGGATATCGAGCCAAGGAACCGATACACTTTTCCTGCAAGACGTAGGGCGCAGTCTTTTACGCCGTCGCTTGCCGATTATCACAGATTGTCGCGGACCGCCAACTATTATCGAGGCTCCGTTTCTTACGATTAAATATTTGAAATATAAAATATTATATTCAGACCAGATATGCATATATTTCCCAGAAACGCCTGCCTGATATCCCGCGCGACATCATTGGGAGATTCTGGCACACAACATATTGCGTACATACCTGGTTCAGAAGTCCCAAGAATCCGACACGACACACCCTATCAGCCCTACAATATCCCAGTCCTGCATGCCTCACCCAATCTCATCTTTTCCCTCCCCTTCTTCTCACATCACTTCAACCATTCAACACACAGGACCAAATCCCTAACGGATATGTATATTATATTCTTTCACGAGGCCACGTTTCCTTAGCCGATCTAATTCTGTAAGCCGCGGAGACGTTGCTAGTGTCTCCAGAATTCCCCCGAGCTTACGGTCTTCCAGGGCTAACTACAGTGCCTTTTTAGTCTGGTACTTTATACGTACATTATATTTGGACCAATTGTTACGTTGTAGATTACGTCGCGGGACATATTTGGCAGCATATGCGGATTCTTGATATCCCACCCTACTTTTTCCGCCTTTACCAGCAGTAGCTAGTAACAGCTATAGTACACATATATGTACGCTTACCGAATCCGCTCCTCGTCCACGCCCTATGTTTGTCGATACCATGCAGCGGCTCTCGTCAGCTGCCCCTAGGGACGCCATCCCAAGCCAACTCCAATGTAGTATCCCAACCACGTATCCATCCGACCGTGCGGTGCTATGTACATACACACATGCTATGATCGCGTAAGCGGCATGCTGGGAATAACACATACGGTATGTAATCTTCCGCGGCGTAGTAATCTGAGGCCCTTAAATCGAAAATGCGCGGAGCCAAGGCAGACGCCTCAGACATCCCTTCTTGATATCGAAGAGCCGCGTGGCAAATCCCTACCTACTAGGTACCTATAGATATTGACGCCTGCGTTTACCGCCGGTGAGGCCCGCGGACCCCGGATTGGTTGCCTTCTCCCGTGCGATGTATGTAGGTGCCTACTAACCGGCTAACCTACTACGTAGATACCTAGTATATATACTTGTGTGAGTGGATTATCCAGGCAGTTAAATCGCTGACGCTCCACCACTTAACTAGTCCATCTCGCCGACCACAAGGCGGCCGGACCCGGAGTCCGTCGGCGCGGACGGATTCCAAGACAAGGCTGTGAGGCCGGGTTTTGTGCAATTTGCCCACTTCCACTGAAAAGGGCTGGCTGGCTATTGTTAGCATAGCCTCCACGTCTGTGTAAATGGCGCTTCTGTTGGTTGGCTGGAGTCGATACGAGGAGGGAATCGGCATTACGTGCATATGTGAGATAGGGCAGACAGGCAGATAGGTACTTACATACATAATGTGAGGCCCGTCGTGTGCTACGTCACTGTAGATAATATCTCAGATCGTCGATTGCCTTCTTACGTATAAATGGAAGGGCGTTATTTCCGGAGATTGGTGTCAGATGAACGAAAGAATTTAGTTACCTGCATCGCACCGCATCGCAGTTGTAGGTTAAGCGTCACCCACTGTTGAGGCGCTGTTATGGTATTACCTAGTACCTACGACGTTGGGCGAATCATGTACGGATTTTACTACATGTCACAGGATGGGTTAAAAGATGCACCGAGGTAGTTATCACGAAATCGATCACAGGAAACAAGACAAACACGAATATGTGTGGTATCAGTTGATGAACATTAGGCTATCTAAGGGGGATCATGTTTGTGACGATGCTTCTGCTGTCCATGATGTCCAGTAGCTAGGTAAACCGACGTAGAACTTAGAACCCTGAATTCAAGTAATAGGTCGTTGATTCCTGCTTCCCTTTCCCAAGCCTCACGCCTTCGATTTTCAGGCGTCCATGTAGCCTCCTCTTAGGCCGTGCATCATTCACTTCATCCTGCTTACTCTTCATCCTCCGCCGTTGCCTGCTTGTAATTACCGCTACCTGCATTGGTGATGCTGGCGTCGTGGGAGTTGGTGGCGAGGGTGCTGGCATCCACCAATGCGTTGTCGCGTACGACCAAGTCCTTAGAGGCGATTCGGCGCATGAGACTCAGGAACTCTGACTGCTGGAACTTATCCGATTGATCTTCAGACACGGAGTTGATGATCTCTTGGGCCGCGATTGCGAGCTTAGAGTCTTCGCTGTTTCGCGTGTGCTCTGTGCGGGCCGCTTGCTCCTCCTGGCTGTTGGTCGCCTCTGCTGCAGGGCTCGTGACGGGAGCTTCAGAGATTGGGGCTGTGGCCGACTCAGATACTTCGGTCTGAGGCAAATCATCTGCCCAGAGATCTTCGTCGTCTTCGGCACCCATGGTATCCATCCATCCCCGGAACGCATTGTCGAACTCAACACGGGGGTTCACGCGACCAGTAGCGATGGAAGCGCCGTTTTGATCCATGGAGATCGGCGCGAAGCTTGGCCCGGATGCCATTGATCCTCGTGTTTGCGCTCGGTATAGGGCGTTATCGTAAGGTCGTCCGGTACGGGTGCTGACAGAAGGATGATTGAAGACCTCCCTGGTAGCAGGACGAGCAAGAAAATTCAACGTGTTCGAGATGAGTTGCTGATCTTGGTACTGACGAGCCCAGTTCTCGTGTGTACTCTGACCTGCCTCCATGGGCTGGGTAGGAACGGCGCGAGGTGCAAAACCAGAGGGAGAAGGGCGCTGGTGTCCATAGCCACCTAGCATTCTAGGACCGGGAGGGGCATTGGTCGACTGGATGCGACGAGGTAGTGTACGATAGTCGGCAATGGTAGCGGGCTGTTGGTGGGGCATGGGGGCACTCTCTCGTTGGAATTGACTGAATTGCTCATCGTAACGCACACTTGCACGCTGCGAACGCGTTAGAAATGAATACAACGATTTTGATTCAACGGAGATACTAACAAGTAAGATTTCTTCCTGTGCGCGTTGTTCATTTCGTGCGCGGGTCTCTCGATAAGTTTCCCGGTCGAAGTGACCAAGGATCGGATTCTTAGAGCCGCCACACATACCGTCTGACATGATAAAAGTAAGATGGAGTGAATGAGTGAAAGAACAAAGGATTTAAATTGATGAATGTTATATGGATCGGCGATTACGGTTCTGCTCTGTGTCTTAAATGACACGTCCGACGATATGCTCAAGTTCGCGAGCAAATGTTGACGTGTGTAGAGATTGAACAACGGAAGGAAAAAGAGGAAGGTTTGTGAATTGGTGGGGACGAAATAGAATTATATAGTTCGGTCCTTCTCAGTTACTGCGTTATCAGCAATGGCCACTGTCTGTAATTGCCTGTAGGTATTTTCGTTGCCTACCTAGATATGTAGTTACTTGGACAGCTACAAGACCTTTTATCGTACGGATCGAGGTAATCGCACAGGTAATAATCAGTACTTGTACAGTGCTTGGATAATGCGCGTATATAGAAGTACAGTTAATAAATATGGATACAGTACTAGGTACCTAGTATCACGACAACTTTCAGAAGAACATAAAAGTACAATTGCATTTCGTAGATGCTCTGTTAGAAGATGAATTTGAAGGGATTCGCAATCGGCATCACAAGGATCACAAGGATGCCTATTAACCACTTACGGTTTCCTTTACAGGCCATTTATTAAGCTGTTAAGCTTATTTAGCCTCGGCTGCACGCATATCAACCGATCGGAATGATGTCAATCACCATAGCCGCATCGGGTACTAGAGCTGGTACTTGGATACGTACCCATTTATCCCCACGACACCCCGCCATATGTTTCCCATTATTCAGGTACATTGATCCCCACATACATGTACTGTCGGTACTTTCGGTACATCACTGTCGGAAGCGCTGATAATCCGATGAGCCTCTGTGGGGCTTGAGCTTTATGAAATCTGGACTGATCCATAACAAATAATGCACTTATGTACACTTTTATGATTTTTATGACTTTGGCGGAGCTTTAGACTTGCTTCCCTGGCCGCCAACTAGAAAGGACAGACGATTTCAACATAACAGCTGGCTATCTTCTTAAGCCTCCATAGCATTCGATTTCCCAGCTGACTACTCTATCTCTTTAATCTGCTTTCTTTCAAATTCTTTTCACAATGGTATGCTTGTGCCGAAATGTAATGCCTATTGATCTACAATTCGCTGACCTCCTTATAACAGGCGCAAGTGATATCCAATTCCGGTCACGATGACATGATTGTATGTAAAGCCCCTTGGTCAACCTTCACCGAATCTCTAGTCTATCCTAAGGCTGTTATCATAGCCATAGCTAATACTCCTTAGCATGATGCTGTTCTCGACTACTATGGCCGACGCCTCGCAACATGCTCCTCCGACAAGACAATCAAGATATTCGAGATTGAGGGCGAATCCCAGAGATTAACAGAGACATTAAAAGGGTATGGTCTATTTACTCGCTGAAGCAACAAAGTCCCTGACAATGGTGGGTATAGACACGAAGGCGCAGTATGGTGTGTTTCATGGGCGCATCCTAAATACGGCAATATCCTCGCCTCGGCAGGCTACGACGGCAAGGTCTTTATCTGGCGCGAGCAGGGAAATGTTTGGCAAAGAATATTCGACTTTGCTCTCCACAAGGCCTCGGTGAACATGGTGGCATGGTCACCTCACGAGTCGGGTTGTCTCCTTGCGTGCGCGTCCTCTGACGGAAACGTCTCCGTGCTCGAGTTCAAGGACAACAACTTCTCCCACGTTTCCTTCCCCGCACACGGACTCGGCGTGAATTCAGTTTCCTGGGCACCTGCGACGACACCTGGTAGCATTGTCTCTTCGGCACCAGCAGGCACCGGTGCTCTTGGCCAGCGTCGCTTCGTAACGGGAGGTTGTGATAATGTGCTCAAGCTGTGGACCTACGACGTTGCTTCGCAAGGCTACAAGCAAGAAAGGGAACCGTTGGCAGGGCACACCGACTGGGTGCGGGACGTTGCATGGAGCCCTACCGTGCTACAGAAGAGCTATATTGCATCCGCCTCGCAAGACAAGACGGTGCGAATTTGGACAAGCGATAACGCGAGCCAGGGGCAGTGGTCGGTCAAGGTCCTGAACTTTGAAGCCGAGGTCTGGCGGGTTAGTTGGAGTCTTAGCGGTAACGTATTAGCTGTTAGTGGCGGCGATAATAAGGTCTCGTTATGGAAGGAGAACCTACGGGGAGAGTGGGAGTGCGTCAAGACGATGGAGGAATAGGAGTCAGGTCTATCGTACCAACGAATTTGACGACGGAAACAGAACAAGGTCGAGGAGGATTGACACGAAGCCCGGCGTTAAGATGTAGATGGGGCACTGATTCGGCAGGACTGTTGGCCATGAAAAGCAGAGCAGCTTTGCGTCTTGCAACTAGACGAAAATTTCGGAAATAAATATGATATCCTACGGAAGCTGTATAGATGGTAATTCAAACCTGACTTACACAAATATGGTGATACAAGATGTGTGTCCCGAACCCTCTTAGTCTTGGCATTACAATATGATCTTTGTTTTACAGTATTGGGTATTTTGTAATGCTATGGCCATCATCTCTATGTACTTGTACCTACCTGCGATTAATGACTACGACACGGCATTATGGGGTTGACACTGAGTTTTAGCTTTGCTAAGCTCAAGCTGTATTGATCAAGTTTACTATTCGTAGAGCTTTCCATAGTTATATTCTGATTCAATGGCTACCTAGGTAGTTATTGTTTTAGAGTTTAGCAGTCCAGTAACTTTTAGTTGGGCTTGTCCGTTTGTCTATCGGCCCTAAACTAATACAGAGTACGCTGACTTTAGAATAATAAGCGGATTATTTAGCCGTATATACTATCATCAACGGAGGTCTCGTTTTAGTCTAGAACATGCTAAACTGTAACTATTGATTGATTGTTGTTCTTTGTAGTCTTTCATGACGAGACCCAGATTTCTGGGACCGATTGATTAATTGTGCTCCTGAATTCGGCATCTCCCCCCCCTTAATGTTTAAATACAAATTGAAAATTGATATATATAGATAGATCTAAGTACCTAACGCATCTAACGGCATAATTGAAGCCCATAACCAAATTCTAAGACAGGGAAAGGACGAACGCTGGATTCGGGACATTGGCGGTTAGTCGACCAGTCACAACGCTGTGACCAAATCTGGAAGCGGCTCCCCAGATCGTTGGTTGCACTAAGTACCTTTACAGCAAATGTTAGCCAAAAAATACATCTGTGCTCTATTCAGCTTCAGGGGCCTAATAACTAATAAAATTAGGGAAATCGAGACTGGGATTCCAGATTCATCAACTTCATAATTTCATTTGCTGCACCCAAATTCAACAAAAGTCCGCTACTTTTAGACCTACCCATAAACTGCAGCCACTTTTCTATCGAGATTGTGCGATGGTTATAGTCTAGATCCTCAAATCCGCTTCTCCATGCGACAAACAAACCGACCTAGTAACTACCGCTTATAATCGAGATCTCCAACACCGCTCTCGATCGTGATAAGATCAGTAGCCGCCCATCAAATAAAACCAACTTCCCGTTTCGCGTACCATACCGCCAAGTTGTCTGAAAATCTGGAGGATAGTAACGGACAGTCCGTGTCCACCGGGCTTCCACCGACCAACATTGAACAATCAGAAGAGACGTTGAGATTCGAGAGCGACGAGGTAGACAATCTTAGCCGAGCACGATCACCTCCCCCACAATATCCTTACTCGGTTTCCGAAGCCTCTGCCTCGACCTCATTTTCGCTTGGTGCTTCTCGTCCTGCACCACCGCCCTTCTCGAGCCTATATACTGTCGACGATCATTTCAAGCTTCCACCAGCTATCTGTGATCCTGCCTCTGAAGCTGGAGCATCTTCTGCAACTGCAGCACCTGCCTACGCGCCTTCAGCATCAGCGTCCGAAAGCCCTCTAGAGAGATCGGGGTCCTTCGAAGATACTGTCGCCGAGACTAAGCGAGCGCTCCCGCAGGACGTCAAGGGCGAGTCATCAAACCAGAAAGGTGACGACAGCGAGCCACCTCCCGCATACTCTGAAGGATATAGCCCACTACTCTCATTCACCTATCTAATGGCGGCCGCCGGTGGTGCATCGAGTATTATTACTCAAGTTCAGCAGGGAGGTCCTCCTATCAATGCTATTGGAGGTAAGCGACATATTGGGGGCGTGGCTGGTTTGGGAGATTATGCTAAACCGGTATTTAGATGTCGGAGCCGATGAAACGATCACTATGGACTTGCGGTAGGTACCATATACTGTTTAAATCCACAAGTTCTCGAATTTCAATACTAATCGAATCACTAATATAGCGGAACGCGCTTCGTTCTTTCAAGAGATGAACTGCTGACACTACCTGAATTCGTCCTTCTCTCCCTATTCCCCAACGGACTCTTCCCCGAAGGTCACATGGGCGGATTTTCTGAGGGCGATGCCGTCCAAGTTGATGTCAGTACACTTAATGATAAACCTATTACTCGATTCACTCCAATGTCTTCAAGCGTAATTACGCAAGAGGCTACTCCCCAAAACACATCCTTACCGCGCTCTTCTACCCTTCGCAATCTGGTGTCTAATATAGATATACATTTCACTGACCTCACATCTCAGTATGACCCTGCATCACTACAATACATGCTGGATTTTTTCCGGAATGTAGCTCAATCTATCCCCACCGAGTCTTCCCCCAATGCTTCACCTGATGGCGGTGCCGTCCCTATTGACTCGCTTGGTGGTCGAGGCGAAGATGGAAGTAAGAGAGCTGGTATCATTGTCCTAAGGGAGGACTTGGACTTCTATGCTATTCCTCCACGAGGGGATATCAGCCAGGCGGAAATGATTGAGGTTAAGAGAGCTGCTGCTCGAGCTTTACTTAAACAAGACGGTATCTTTTCGGGATTGAAACGAAGTGACGAGCCTGGCACGACCGAGGCGCATTTGATCGAGATGCTTACGGCCGGGTAAGTTAACACTCCACACGTCGGACTGATTACGTTTTCGTATGACCTATCCCTGACATCCAATATAGCGGTTTCAATCACGACGATCGGTGGGGTCACCGTGCCGGCGAGCCTAACAAAGCTGTCGTATGCAGCCTGGCCCTTGCCCGGTTACGAAGTGATATCCGTGGCAACGATATGGGAAGTAATGGTGTCGGCATGGCACAAAAGCTACTGCTCTTCTGGAGAAAGCCGGCACGACGTTGCTGGTGGGAAGGCGTGGACTTGAAAGATGTGGAGGGTGTAGATGGCCCTTTGAAGGTGTGGATTCGAAGGGTGTGGACGTTGGAGATGAGTGTGATTGGGTTGCGTTGAAAATGAGTTCTATATGACTTCTAGGCGAGCGACATGGCATTCGAGTTACATTTTTCTCCTTCAGCAGCATCTCGGAAGTCTTACCTCGACAGCACATACGCAGGAAGACGAGGGTACACACGACAGCCCTACACGGATGGACTGATTTTTACCACTGGTGCACTGGTGTGCTACCAGTTCTCCCATTGTTCATATCTGATTTAATCATAAGCTAGGATATCAGACACTGGTTAATCCTAGGCTTTATGTACGGTACACCATAGCAGGCGAAAGCAGACGCAGGACAGGAAGAATATGGAGTGAGTCCCTTTTTTGCAGGAGGGGAATTTGAGGATTACTTATTAGAATCAGGATATTACTTCATGACGGCCTCCTCTGTGACGTGTTATGCGTTCATATATGCGGTGACGCCAAGAGTAGTACATAGGTATACACGACGAGTTTGAAGAACATTCTATAGGATTATTAATAGGACTGATGAGACTGGTCAGGGATTATCGTAACTAGCTCTATCACTGTCACTTGCATACATACCGGTAGATATGTACCGGTATGTAACTCCTCATTATGGGAGGTAGTTCCGACTTCCTTCTTATAACCTTTTAGATTTCCTTCGTCTTGGCACATATGCAGTTTCCAACTTCGAGGAAGCCACTGCTAGACCGTACAGCGTACAGAATGTTGATAGCAATATCCGATCGATTATAGTTAACCCCACCTTCACTCGAGGCAGTCGCCGATGTGGAGTAAAGCGAGACCCAGCAAGCGTCATTCTGCGGCTTCTATGCATGCACATCCTTACCATCCTACACTTATCTAGACTATCGATCGTACGAACTTTGTCTCATACCAGAAAAATACTTAAATAATATGTCGTGGTGTAACGCCGTCCACTCATGCCACCTTCACCGACTCTTCTTAGTGTAACTTGTTTGATTTTATTATCGCTCATATCCTAAAACAGGTCACAAAACAGGTCACAAAGTCTTTGTTTTAATCTGAAGCGTCACTTCAATTTACACAACTCTCTTTTTTTAGTCGTCTCTATCACCTCGGAATTGATTTAACGTGGGGCTTATCCGATACTACGACACTACCGTACTACGATATCATACCCATCACAATAAGCATCTGTGCACTAGAAAACACACTAGAGCGTCGGTAGTGCGTAGTACTCGATTCTCCCTTGCATATTCAAGCATCAGGGATAAGCCGAACGATCATCTGCACCATTAAGATCATCGTCACAAAACTCTACCAGTTGACCAGTTAGCCAGTCTACGTGTACGAGCACCATAATAACGATCCAAACTACCCAAACCACCCAAACCATCCAACGACATAGCCGTATTGTCGGTCAACATATTGGTGCCCGAGTTCCACACCGAATCGTATATTACCACAAGCGCTGGCACTTAGCCGTCACAATGCGTCAAGATGGCCGATGATTCTATTTCTACCGATACTACTCGCCCCTTCTCTCTCGCCCATCGTCTTCCTTCCACTACTCTAACCGCACATTCCTCTTGCTCATCCCTTCACGAGATGCCGCGCACCAGAAGGTTGCGCTTACTAGTTGCCGCCAATGGCCAAAGAGACGTTGCTTACGCTCAGGCTATCGCCGTTCGTCTGCTCAAGGACGCCCAGATCGAGACCCGAGCTCTTGTCGATGAGATACCCGTTCGACTCACCCACGAGATAATTGTCATGGAGAACCGAAGTTTAGCGACAGTAGCCATTGATGCGGATCAGAGGACAAGAGACGCTATAGAATCGGCCAAACAGACTGCTTTCGAACTCGTCGACTGGGCCGACTTACTCGTCCTTGCACCTATCGATGCTGATCATCTCGCTAAGATGATGTCCGGCATTGCCGATACGACCCTTCTGGAAATATTAAGAGCATGGGACGTATCCAAGAAGATTCTTCTGGTACCGGGCATGTCGGTCCAGATGTGGGAGAACCCCATGACGAAGAAACAGTTAAGCAAGATTAAGCGCAAGTGGAATTGGGTCAAGGTCATGGCTCCCGTGTTATGGCATTACGAGGGACATAGTGCGCATAAGCGTATAGTGTCTTGGGATGGATTCAACGATCTGGTCGGCATAATAAAAAATCAAGCCGAGCTAATGAGTCTGGGACACGATGTCGAAGTTGCCACGCAGCAGGCCATGCATACAACTACTCCGATCCGATCTACCAAGGCTCTACCACCGGAGATATGGACCATTATATTTGAACATGTCGGCGATTGGGAAGTAGCCACTGCTCTTAATGTATATACGAATTTAAAAACTCCACCCGAATGGCGACTCGATCGCGCGGCCCTTGCCGACCCCCTTGACTTATACATGCACGATCTCGAGTGGCTGATCCTTTCGTGTCCCGGATCCGCCGCCATCTGCGACAAGCTTTCTCAAGCGCCTAAAGCACTGCGTTTCGTTTCCTACCTCGCGGTCAAACTTATCATCAAGTTCTCCTTAACCGACGTCCTAACATATCTAGAAACACATCTAAGCAAGGTTTTCTGGGCATCGTTTAGCTCTAAATTGCTACCGAATAAGGCATCCGGGGTATACGGACGAACGGATATATTGGATTGGTGGAACACTTCCCCCTCGTTCTTGAAAAAGGAATACGACGCCGAGGCGCTGGACAACGCTTCCCGCATGGGCTATGTACACGTGCTGGACTGGTGGCTCCGCTCCGGCCTCTCGCTAAAGTATACCGAGGCGGCGCTGGAGTCCGCCTCGGCAAAGGGACATCTACTTGTGTTAGAGTGGTGGAGAGACGCCGCCCTGAAACACGATAATATCCCCCTCAAACCCGGCCGCAGCCTCCTCACCGCCGCGCAACAGGGACAGACGGCCGCCCTGCGCTGGTGGGAGTCCTCGGGTATCCCAGCCGCGCACAGTGAGGGCGTGTGCAAGATCGCAAGCGCACACGGACAAACCGCCGTTCTCGACGTCTGGCGCGAGCTCAAGGGTGACAAATTGTCTTTTGACTCACAGGTCCTAGTCGCGCCGACGAAACAGGGATATGTCGAGGTGCTCGAATGGTGGAAGAAATACGCGAGGGGAGAGGATCAGGTTGATGGTAGATCTCATCGCGTCGAGTACAAGACGTGTGATATCGAGGAGGCTCTTGAGGATGCTATTGGCGACCCCAGACCGGTGCGGAGGTGGTGGGCTAGGAATGGGTTGAATTTGGGGCTCGGAACTAATGAGTGGATGAAGATCCGGCGGCTTTGATTTGAAGTTCTGTTGGGGGGGACGGCTGAGGTGTTAATGTCTTAGGGGATGAGAAATGCTATTTGGGCCTGGAGATGGGACGTGAGGCTTTGTATATTGGTGGAGGTGATGTGTAAATTGCTGCGGAGTGAAGTGAAGTTGAGGATGGCTAATGCGACTAGGCTAAGATCTAGGTCAATATAGTGTGCTTGACTTATATTCTGGTGTTTGAGTGAGATGTACCCTATGAGAACGATTCGTGGCTATAGATACTGCGTCCTGGGTCGAGAACGGCTAAGGTAGGAATTTGTTCCTCAGCTAAACATATACATGCAGCTGTTATCACTTCGCAAATTTGAACCAAGCAGATGTTCATTTCTCCTTTTAATGCGTCTTAATGTAGATGCTCATGAATACTTCATGTAATCCCAGATACCTTGCCGTACATATATTACCCCCCAAGAGATATGCCCTCAGATGAATGTAAATACTTAAGACTAGATCTTCTCCCCCTCCAATATTCCCCTAGCCTCCTCGCTTCTCCACCAACCCACGCCCTCTTCACCGGGGAAGCTATACCGGTCCATACTCTCCGGCTTCATCTCCACGCTGTACCCGGGGTTCATCGGCGTCTGGTAGTAACCATCCTTCACCGCCGACGGATGCAAGAAGTGCTCGTGTAGATGATCCACGTACTCGAGAACAGACAGCTTCCCGCTGACAACAACGTAGTCGATCGTGCTCAAGTGCTGCGTGTATTCAGGCAGTCCAACACCCCCCGAGTGCGGCACAACCGGGACCCCATACTTCGCGGCCATCAGCAGCACCGCCAAAACCTCATTCACGCCACCAAGCCGACACGCATCGATCTGCACAACATCAATAGCCCCGCTCGTAATAAGCTGCTTAAAAACAACCCTATTCTGACACATCTCGCCCGTCGCAACCCCAATCCCAAACGGCTTCAACGCCTCCCGCACCGCCTTATGGCCCAGGATATCATCCGGCGAAGTCGGCTCCTCGATGAACCACGGCTTGAACTCGGCCAGCTCCTTCATATGCGCAATCGCGTCCGGCACGCTCCAGATCTGGTTCGCGTCAACCATCAGCACGTTCCCCGAATCGTACCCGATGATCTCCCGCGCAATGGACAGCCGTCGTCGGTCCTGCTCCACCGACGTCCCGACCTTCAGCTTGAAGTACTTGTACCCGTGCCCAAGCGTCTCCCGCAGTAAATCTCGCATCTTCTCCTCCCCGTACCCGAGCCACCCCGCGCTCGTCGTGTACGCCGGCACAGCCTTGCTCGCCAGCGCGTCCGCGAACCGCTTCGCTTTCCCCTCTTCCGATTTCTTCAGCAGAGCCAGCGCTTCTTCGGGCGTCAGCGCGTCGGTTATGTAGCGGAAATCAATACACCGCACGACTTCCTCCGGCGTCATTTCCGCGACGATCTGCCACACGGGTTTTCCGAGCGTTTTCGCCCACAGGTCCCAGACTGCGTTTACGACGGCCCCGAGGGCGAGATGGATCACCCCCTTTTCCGGCCCGATCCATCGGAGCTGACTGTCGTTTACGAGGTACCGCCATGTTTGCCCCCAGTTCGATACGAGGGAGCTGAGGGTCCGGTTTTTGAGGCGGTCGCCTAGGTAGGATATTGCGGCGCAGACTATGTCGTTGCCGCGGCCGATTGTGAAGGTCTGGGGTGTGTTAGTGGGTTGTGTGGGATGGGGTGGGTGAGAGGAAGGGGGGAGGGGAGGGAAGGGAAGGGGGTTACCATTCCGTGGCCGGTGAACTCGGAGTCGGTTTCTAAGATGCAGTATGCGGAGGAGTAGTCGCCGGCGGCGTTCATGGCATCGGACCCGGTCTTGTCGAGAGACGTGGGAAACCGCACGTCGCGGGTCCGGAAGCCGGTTATTGTGATCTCGGGCATTTTCTTGGCTCGAGTCTTCTCATGTACCCTGGGTGTTGGCGACTATAGAAGGATGTAGGTAACGGCCGGAGCGAGGTCTACTGGGACTAACGGTGGAAACAAGAAAGAAATAATTCGATTTAAGAAGAATTGAGTTATCTATACCACGCTCAAGCAACTACGAGAGCATGTATGATTCTACTTCAACGTCCGACATCGTGGGGTAGGTTGGAGGGGTCGGGTTTCGTGTGGAGAAGGACTATAGAAGCGCTCGGGGTCGATTCGGTTGTAGAAAGCAAATAGGGGTAAGTGTACCCCACCCGAGTAAAAGTACAGTCGGTATGTTAGTGAGATTTAGACTGTGAACATGCTAGAATAGACTGTATTTCTACTGAATTTAGAGTATAAGCCCCTCATTCTCATTGATGGATAAATTGGAGAAATACGCCGTTCGCAAGCTTGACTACTAGTAGTAGCTACTAGCTTGACCGAGGCCATTCGGCTGCGTATTGGGGGCTTCGTGACAATGTAAATGAAATCTTTGCTATATTTTCTTTGTAAGATATTCGATTTTGAAATGACATGATGTCTATCTCGATTAGTTGTACCATACATCATTACATAGTACTTCATCGGTGGTCGGAGGTTATACAATTTTGTCTCACTCGCAAAAAGCACTACCACCCCCCTTTCCAGTAACCCGTAAGTACCTAATTATAGCAAGCCCCATTTAAATCGGCCTCAAACTCTTCACCACCGCGACCAGGAAACACGTCCACGCCGGAATATCCGCCAACGCCATTCTGACATGATGCACATTCAACCAACCCTGAATCGCCTCCGCAGCGCCCCCATCCGGCGCTTCCTTCGCCTCGATCGCATCTCTCACTTTGAACGCGATCGTCGGCACGAACGCAAAGTGCGCGAGCGAAAACGCCGACCCCCCGGCGTACCAGGCCCAAGCCGCGGCTCGCGGTCTCCTGCCGCCGTACGAGTTCGCGATGCCGAAGGCGAGACTGAGTCCGAAGGTCACTAGGATCTCGGGAAGCCCGCGCCAGAAAAAGGTTTCGAAGTACCGCGGCGCTACTTGGTTGACTGTGGAACGCTCGCGCTTAAGTGAGACGAGGCTGCTGAGGAAGAGGTGCGAGTCGGAGGCGATGGTGAGGGAGGCTGTTGAGGTGATGAGAGGGGCGACGCGGAGGAGGGTTAGGGGGTTGAGGAAGAGGCCTGATGCCATGGCTTTGGGAATTGATGGGAGGTAGGTATTTTGAAGTGCTGAAGTTGCTAACTTTATGTCTTTGATTTTTTGTGAATAATTCGAGATGCTGAGTAGTAAGTGGTGATATCTACGAGAAATATGAATTGGAAATGAAACTGTCTTGACTCTTATTTATTATTTCTTTACCTTGCTACCTACATGTCATTCGGGAAGCCTCGGACTGAGGGACTATAGCCTCATATGATTTTTACGACACCAGCATGACTTTGATTAACAGCTTCGCCGCTTAGGAGGATGAGGGTATTCTGGGATCATATTTGGAGGTACTTGGGATCGCTTAGAAGAAGACTCATTAATGGAGGTACCAACCTGATGGTTCGATTTCCCATCTGAGATCCACCGTCTCTTTTCTAGATTCTGATTGGTTGAGGTTGATTTACGCTAATGCAGACTGCTTACATGCCGGGGTGCGGGGGTCTTCCTTAGCGTCAAATGTGCGGTACAGGGCTATCTTCAAAGTTGGAAGCTTCAACTTTTCCTTCTCTTATACTAATACTAATCCGAGAACCTCATTTGGACTTCGAATATGACCGATCAACCCGTAATTACTGTCCCGTTGGCGTAGTGCGCCCTATCGTATTCACCACGATGTTCCCACCAGTCCTGGGGCTGTTTGAGTTGGGTAACCCCCTCAGGCTTCTTCCAGTTCGAGTATAGAGTCTTGTTCACGCTGTGCGTATCGCGATATTCTATCAGTTGGCGCCAATCTCTGCATTGCTTCCGTACTGAAGAGTATGTGCAGCGTCAGCATCGAGTACCAGGAGCAATTACGGTATAAAATGAGCCGCACTCACCACTCATATCGGGGAAGGGGTACTTTTCGTGCTCCATCCAGTTGTACGTCATAAATCCAGCATCAGCATTACAGAGCGTATGCTCCATCATCATACCAACACAATGTTGTATATGAACCCAATGGATATCGTTCCACTTCGGGACTGTCTCGCCTTCTCGATTCCAATACCTAAAAGCTTCATGCCGTAGCGTATTGAGACAGTGAACTTGATGGAAAAAGTCAAGTCCCCCGACATATGCGTCGTCGCCAAGTCCCCAATATTCGTCGTCAAACTTCACTACCGTGGCCGGGTCTTTCCCCATGGCCAATATCTGGTTTCTCGTTAAAGCAATTGGTTTCACGTGCTCAAAATCTTCCCAGATCTCCTCGACTTTGTTGGAATCTGGTACGGCCCGCCAGATCGGCGGATTCTCTCCTAGCCAGAGACTTCCATTCAGTAATGTGTTGGTCAACGGCATGTTGACTTCTTCAAGTACAGGCGCTACAGGAAGAATTATTAGCAAGATGAAATCTATATCCTGATGGGAATTAGATGACCCGCAGGTATTGACTTACAGTAAATGGAGGTGGCTTTAAGGCACGCATTACGCCCCGTATGCTTCACCCAAGCAGCAGAATACAGGAATACGGCCCCTCCAAAGAATATGGCGTTAATAAGGGATAAAACCCACCATATTCTATTCCCTCCGCGTCCCCTTGATGCGGGCATATAACGCTCGACATCCTCTTCAAGCAATGCTTCTGAAGACTCAACTTCGTCTTCGCATCGCCATGGAGTTGCTTGCTGATCCCAGAACAGAGAAAATCCCCGCATGGTAGTTGGCATGGTCGTCTGAGTTAAGATTGTGGGAGTATATGACCTCAATCACAATAAGATAGAATGGTCTAGGAGCTACCAAAGTAACTAGTCCCGAATTTGTGCAAAGATTAATACTGACTCGAGTGATAGTACTCATGAGAAGAGATCGAGAGATCGGGTTAAATTGCCTCTCCTATCGTCCTATCTCGATCTTGGGAATAAGAATGCGATCCGGAAAGAGACGATTTGACATATATCCGAGACAGTGACCTAGCCGACGGTTCGGGAGATCGTCTAGCTTATATCTTAGGATATGGCGGCATAAACATCTGTGTTTTACAACACAATGCTAAACACAATAACCGACCAAGGACCAATGATATAAGGCTCATGAGAGCATCCCGTCAACTCATACTCTTCGCCACAACGAATTACTGTATATCTCCATGTTAGAGATCATCCTTGGTCGACATTAGCTCTTGCTTAAGTCTTATAGCGGCCAGGCTCGACCGTGGGTCCCAACCGATGTCGTGGAACGGCCCTATCCGAGTCCAATGGTAGTATTAGTATACACTTTCGATTCATGACTGGCTATATCTAGACTAAGACATGTTCTCACTTTTTGATCTTCCGGCAGAGGCTTTTCGGGAACTTTGCTTCCCATAGGGCAGCTAACTTGAATAGCAAGCACCCATATCATCCGAGAGGCTATACGCAGTGGAACGTCAACTAAGACAAAGCTACCACTAGCTCACTAGCTTTGTTGGAGGCACCTATGAGCGGAGGCTCCATTTGAATATCACGACAACAGACTTGCTACGATAGCATTGGTAACTTACAAATCTCATTCGTAACTTGGGGTTCGGGACAGGATCAAGTTGCACAGATGATGCTGCTTATTGATCTCACTGCGTTTGCATAATCATCAACTATCTCGATTTCTTGATTCGTTGTCTTCGGTGTGATGCCGGACTTAAAGGTTGGAGGAATGAGGAGAACCGAGCGAGCTGTTTTGGACGAGTATAAAGTTCGACGAGAAGACTGGCATAGATTCCTGCCTGGCTATACTAAAACTCAACTATTAACCTTCGATCTCGTGAACATTTCAAACCTAGTCTCCAGTACAGAGTTATCCATCATGCTTTTCTCCAAGCTATACATCGCTACCTTCGTTGCCGGCGCCATCGCCGCCCCTGTCCAGAATGGTATGATACACCCCCAATACCATCAGCTTTGACTAACCTGAGATATGCTTCGTCTTCTAAATGGACTTACTAACCTAAATTCTATAGACAAATCTCTCGCTAAGCGCGTAGACAATAAGAAGTACAGCAAACTCTCTTCAGCAGCTGGGAAAGACAAGCGCGACGCGGACATCGCTGAGTACGGCTTCAGCGTATTTTTTCCCAGTAAGGGTGAGAAGAGGAGCGAGGATGGAGCCGAGTACAATTCACCCGCGTTCATTCTCAGTAAGGAGAAGAAAGATGGGGATGAGGACGGGGTGTACATTCCACACCGGTACGGTCTCGACAAGGAGAAGAGGGAAGAGGATGAGGCTGAGTACTTAATTAATGAGTTGAAACTTAGCAAGGGGGAGAAGAGGGATGAAGACGAAGCTGAGTACAATAGGAATGAGCTAAGACTTAGTAACGGGGAGAAGAGGGATGATGATGACGAGGACGCCGTGTATTGGCGTTGAAGGGGAGAATAGGTGTGATCTCGTATCGGGCTGGGAGAAGGGGTAGTGAGATAGCGTATTGGTTTGTTTAGGGGGAAGGCCCATGATGCACGGAATTAAGTGAATAACTTGGGTAGTAGATGGCTATTGGATGGGATCATGATAATGACGCATGTGGGAACTATGCACCAAATTGCTAAATACTAGGTTATTTCACATAGAAACAGAAATAGACCTACGTGACGCAACATATAAAACTCCTGTGCTGGAATTGCCACACGTAATATACCACATCACGAATCTGTGAGTTCTTACCTACCTACCCAGGTACTGTATTACGGATCCAATAAACACGACATAGACAGCCCTCATATAAACTACGAAAGGTCCGCTGCGTAACGTTCTACGACCTTTCCACTTCACTTCGCGTTACCTCATTTACTCCACACCGCCGTTAGCCACACCACCAACACAACACACAGCATCGTGAGCTAAAACATCACCAAAAACTTAGAAAGATTGAATGGATTCGTATACCTTACGTAACTAGCGAGCAAGCCCAAAGCCGTGCGGAATATGAACAAAACATGCCGTGCAAGCCATCGTATGCGGGATTGGAGAGCCCTAGGCTAGGCTCAACCAGATCCACGATGACAACTGCGATGGCAAAACCGACAGATATCCCACACTAGGTGGCAGACAACCTCCCCCAAACACCCAACTACCTCGCCTTGTATCTTTTTCAGTTCAGCACTAACTTCATCCCCCAATACGTCCCTTCACAATCCCCCTTTTCGCCACCACTATCAAACCCTCACACCCCCAAACCCATAAACACCCCCCTTCCCAACCCTCTCCGGCACGAAAACCTTCCTAACCCTAAACCCCAACCCCGGGATCCCACTTCTCAGCGCCAAGCTACTCATAACAACACTAATACTGCTAAGCGCCATAGCAAGACTAGCCCAGACGGGGGGGAGTCTGACATGCTGACCATTAACGGTAAGAGCGTAAAAGCAGCCAGCGGCAATAGGGACGGCGAGGAGGTTATAGACGAGGGCCCAGGCGAAGTTGAACTTGATGCGGCGGAAGACGGCCTTGCTGAGGTCGAGGAGGGTGACGATCGATTCGAGGTTGCTGTTTACGAGGACGAAGTCCGCGCTGGAAATCGCGACGTCGCTGCCTGATCCGATGGCTACACCCACGTCGGCGGTGCTGAGCGCTGCTGTGTCGTTGATGCCGTCGCCGACCATTGCGATGAATGCGCGGCGGTTGGTGAGTTCGACGTTTCCTTTGCGCGCTTTGAGCGTCTGCTGGAGCCACTTGATCTTCTCGTGTTTCTCTGTAGGTAGCACGCCGGCGATGACGTTGAGGTCGGGGATGCCGATGCGGAGGGCGACGGCCTTTGCTGTTGTCGGGTTATCGCCCGAGAGCATCCATACGTCTTTGCCTGCTGATTGTAAAGCTCGGATCACGGCGGGGGTTTCGCGTCGGATAGGGTCGGTGATTGCGAGCGCGGCCGCGATTCTGTATGTGCCGGGTTTGTTCGCACCCTTAATAGCGGCAATTGCGATTGATTTGCCTTCTTTCTTCCAAGTCTGAAGGCTTGTCGCAACACCTAGAGTCACATCAACCATAAAGTCATTCATTAATGCCTCATTTCCGACGACGATGTCAAATGGCTGGAGTGGCTTGCCGGCGTTATAAGTCGCCTTCAAACCCTTTCCTGGTATTTCCTGAACATCTGTAACTTCAACACGTTCAAGTGTTTGGCTTGCACACCAGGACACAATAGCCTTTGCGATAGGATGACCGCTGTTATCCTCAACGGCTCGGAGTGCAGCTAAGAGTGTGTTGCTCTGCGATTCGCTGACTTCTTGGTCGGGGAAGATCGTAGAGTCAGTGATCGTGGGTTGACCGCCCATGGTGAGAGTACCAGTCTTATCGAAGACCACACAGTCAATCCGGCTCGCTTTCTCAAAAGCCTGACCTCCACCCTTGGCAAGTATGCCATATTTGGCGGCCAATCCACTACCGGCGAATATTGCTGTGGGAGCAGCAAGTCCGAGGCCACATGGGCAGGCGACGACAAATACGGCAATGGCAAATTGAAGTGAAAATACGACCCAACCACCAGATGATACGTCAAGAAAATGTCCTGGTATCACACCAGAAAGACCAAGTACTAGCCAGATGAGCCATGTGACAATGGCAATTAGGGTAATGAAGGGCACAAAGTACTTGGTAAGTCGAGTGGCCAAATCTTGGATCTGAGAGGGCTTGGCTTGGCCTTCCCTCACAATAGCTACGATCTGATCGAGCATCGACTGACCAGCGGTACCAGTGATCTGAACTAAGACGGGGCGGTCCATGTTGACAGTTCCTGCAAAGACATCGTCATTGGCGGCCTTTGATACAGGGAATGATTCTCCCGTAAGACTAGACTCATCAAAATTGGATTCGCCGCTTACGATCTTTCCGTCACAAGGAGGCGACGCACCGCGTGGGATACGGATGATATCTCCAACGTCAAGCATGTCGACGTTGACTTCCTTTTCTTTCTCATCCGTGTCCGTGACCTTCTCGATGAGCTTGGCGGTAGTGGGGCGAAGCTTCGTGAGAGCATCTACAGCATCTCCCAACTTTGATTCGCTGTATTTTTCAATGAATCTACCCCAGAGCAAGAAAAATGTCAAGAACACGACCGAGTCGAAGTAGAAATTTGCGTCGTTGACCATTTTGGGGCGCTCCACTGCAGCGGCAATCATCTGGCTTATCGACGAAACGTAGGCGATCGTAGTTCCTAGCGAGACTAGCATATCCATACTACCAAATCGGTAGAATCGTTGGAGGAACTCCCTGGTCTTCGTTGATTGGCCCGTCTCATTTTCCTCATCCATATAGCGTAGGCCATCTCTTCGTGGCCTTCGTGTCCACAATGCCTTAATCTCTAAAATCGCACGCCGATGAAATAGATTGGCGGAGAAAAAGTACACTGGTGTTGCCATGATACACAGAGAAAGCTGTGCTCGGCTTATTCCGGGTTTCCAAGCTTCCATGAGAAGCATCTTCGAGGGATTGTGATCAGGCACAAGACTCATGTACACAACGCCGATGATGAACGTAGGAATCACGACGGCTGTTGTGAACCAGGCACGAATGCCGATCTTCTTTCGTTCAGCCGCCCGCAGTTTTTTCGAACGCTCTTCGAGTGTAGGCAGATGAAAGATTGATGCTTTGAATGCCGGATCACTTGCTTCAATAACAGAGAGGATCTGTCGGATGGTGAACTTGGGTCCTACTGGAGTGTAGGTGACCTTTAAGATAGGTTGCTCGCGTGTAGGCCTCTTCTCAATCTTGAGATTTCGAGGAAGCCCTCCGAGACTGTTCGTAGCTCGATCAGCGCAATGTTCGCAGTAGAAACCGTCAATGCGTATCCTAACAGTTCTCTCATTGGTAAGGTTGTTACTGCGATCGACATTGGTAATCTGCACGATTTCGGCATCTCTTCCTGTGTCTTCGATTGCCTCAACGATTTGCTTGGCATCTTCTTTGGTACCGATATATTCGAAGACTCCACTGTCGGAAATGTAGTCAATGGAGATTTTAGTGATCCAGTGTCTCTTCTTGAGAATATCGGTAAGGGTAACCACGCAACTGTTACACACCAAGTCTGATATAGTCATCGAAACTCTCCATCGGTGCCCAACATTATCGGGAGACTCGGATTCGACATTCTTCTCATTCTCAAGGGGCTGGACTGACGTGACCAGCCCCTTAGTTGACTTCTCATCATCAGCATGTTCATCCTCTGTCTGACCATTGCGCGTGTTAGACGATGTTCCAGAGGGTATGGTATTAATTGTAGTGGGTTTTGGTGCTTTCGATGCTTTGGTTCGACATTCCTCACAATTCTTGAGATGCTCCTTTTGCTTTCTCTCCCTATCAGCCTTCGACGTTGACGTCGACGATTTCTTGGGTAGAATCTTCTCCGATAGCTTATCTGATAGCTTAACCATCTTACCCCAAGGGGTTGTTCGTTCACCAAGATCTAATGAGTAATGTGTATCTGAGCGATGGAGACCGTTAGAGTGATCCCCACGTCTTAACTCAGCCAAGGACACGTCGCCATTTGTCGAGCCAACACCAGAGATATCGAAACCGGCAGAATCCAATTTCGACCACATATCGTTCGGAGTTACCTTAGGATCATGCTCGATCGCGACCCAGCTAGTGACAATGTTAGGCGATACCCATCCTACACCTTCGACGTCTTGTAAGGTCTCTTTTATGGCAGAGACACATGTCGGGCAATGAAGATTATCCACAATGAAATAAGTGGTGACAGGCGGATGCGACGGAGCCATTTTGGGATAGTTCGTGCCGTCAACCGCTCGGAGAGAATATTCTGAGGTGCGACCTGCGCGTCGGTTGTCGATTCCCCTTGGTCTTGCTGGGTACGGACAGCTTGAACGAGGCGGAGACGTACAGGAGCTAGGGTGACCGATAATAGAACCCGCGTGCAGATTGTGGGAATATATTAAAATGGGACACTGTTCTGGGAAATGCGGATGTCGGTATGCGAGGCCTGTGTAATTCAGGCTGAAGGGTATATGCAAATTCTGGGATAGCAGGAGGAGTAAACTCCACCGGCGAATGGAAAATCAACAAGAAAACCTGGGGAAGTACAACGGTATGTCTGTCTGGCTGTTCTTGTATTTTCATACAAGCTGAAAATGGGGAAATTAATTCCAAATATGATAAACAGCCTTAAGGAAACGAGTAACCGAGAAGCTGGGTTGGGAATTTAAGGAGAAGAAAACAAATGATGGTTCTGGAACGTTTACTCCATGATTCACCTTACCTAGGAAAAAAATGATACCTATAAACTCTTACTCTAGCAATCCCACACGCAAACAACATAGCAACCCCCCTCATAAGGCTCCCCGGGCTTGGAAGAGTGATAGGCCATTCCCGTTCAGCAGCCATGGAGAGCAATCGTAGTTCTTGAGTGGTGAATTGCTTGTACCGGATCTTGGCCGGCGTTCTGTGACGCACGGCTCGGCAAGCCATAAGTTTCGTCTCAGCGTCATCTTATGAGAGGTCACAAGAGAGGTAGGATTTAGATATGACATAACATATCAAAACCGACGTCCTCCAGAAGTGACACTAGCGCCAGGGGCTGTTAGATCCAAGCCGGTATTGACATGACAGTGGAGTGCAGAGCTAACGGCACCGGGTAGGCTTTGACCAAACAAGGGTCGTGCCGCCACCCGGCTTCCGTTCAACGGAAGCTGGGAACGAATGGGGCATTATGGACATGTCTGTCTATCATGTCTATCATGTCCGACCCTTGCTTTCACGCACAAAAGCCGCAGAGGGTCGGCTGCAAACGTGATCGGGCACGATCTTGTTGGTCGGATGACAAGACTCGACTCGGCACGAGGTCCATCCTCTTGCATTAGATTATCTCCGCAGTCGCACGGTGTCAAATTTGACAGCACGCTGAGCATGGTGGCAACATAATGCGATATGCGATATTTGTGCGTGGAATGGCAGACACCGGAGGCGGAAGACCGATTTGAAATGTTACGTTATTCTGACGAGAATGAAGAACATTGGAACAATGAGATGATGAACTGTGCGTGCATTTAGCCTTGGCACTATAATCTTTGAATTTCCTTCCCCCTGTTCGCATTGCCGGGATTACCTAATTCTGAAGTTAGGGAAGTCACATTTTTGAAGGACGGACGGTCGATGATTACCTGGTGGCATTTTGGGAGTGGATCGACTAGATATGCTTATGTAATCAAATTACACCATCTAGTACAAAGTACATGTACCGTCAACAATGATGCTTCTGATCGATTTCTAAATTCAATCTTGCCCCTGAATACCTCAGCTGAATTGGGACGATACCTAATGTTCACTAATCCATATTTTCTAGTATATTAGACATGTCGTCTGTCACATTCACTCAGCACCAAGTTTCTTGACATTTTGCTTCGAAGACAAAGGCGACTTCGTTTCCCGTGGAATAGGGGCAACACCAAAATATGCCTAGCTAATTAGCCAAGCTGAATTCAATGAAAGGAGGAAGAGCGCCACGATTTCGTATCGATACATTATTAGATTAGTTGTTGAATGGGTGATGTAAGTATAGGTGTGTAAGTACAGGTGGGTTGGGTATCTTGCAGTTATTACCAATTCAGTTTTCTTAAGAGTACAATATTCCAGACAAACAATTTACAACCATCCATAAATATATGGACATTACTCTTCTCCAATTCTCCGTATATCTCTTTTATTTCTTCTCTCCAACCGTCTCAGGTGGTACGCTAGCCCCCCTTGAGTGCCCAGTAGGAGGACGGTTTGAAGCACCGGTGCCCGGGCGACTCGGTGTTCGTTGCAGCTTCTTCCCGTTCTTCGTATTGAACAGGCTCTTTACTCTTCTCAGTCGCGCCCATCTTTCCTTGTCCTTTGCGTCTCGGACGGCGGTATCTTCATCTTCATCGTCTACTACTATAGGCGACCCCTCATCTACCGTTCTAACGCTCTTGGATGGCGTTACCGGAACGGATGCGGTGGGGCGATGAAGGATACCGCGATGGCCGCTCTTCTCCGATTGCATGCGAAGATAGGCGTGATTCTTGACTGTTTGTACGAGCACCTCCCAAGCAGTCTTGTTGTCCATTGTCTTGGCACCTGGATTATGTTGGGTGGTGGCGTTTCGCCAAGGACAGAAGAATCGGTGCTCGCGCACAGGATCAAGGTAATCCATAGGTGCTGGAATGATGATTTGTCCTGTTGCTTCATCCACCTCCTTGCTCTTGAACATCCATAAACCAAGACGACGTAAACATGTAGCACAGGTTGCCGAGTTCGGCACTGCGCCAATGCGTGGGTTTGTAAGACCTTGCCAACCAGTGAGGGCAAGAGCAAGAGCAACGTCATTCGGAGTTGATGGATTTGTGCTTGGTGGCGGAGGTTGCGTGAAGAATGCTGGGCCAAGTTGCGACTTGGCAGCTTGTAGATCCAGGCTTGCGGGTAGGCGGAGGTTGAAGAGGTATGGGAGGAATGACTGTCGCGCGCAAAGATCATCGTATCGTTGGCGCAGAGAGGCATGAGCACTCGGAGGACTTGCCAGAGGTAGTCTGAGTAGAGTGTCTATTATCCGATAGTTAGCAAATGGGTGCCCTTAACATGTCAAGTGATATCACAGAGTTCTCACCATCACACCCTTGTTTTCTCCATAAGCAAGCATCTTGGTGCGCATCGATGATTAACTCGACGAATCTCTTCACCAAAGCTTCCTCAATATCCGACCCTACAAGGACTGGGACCTCCTTGCCGTCTACCTCATTCTTGTTGATCTTGACCACCAATTCTTTGTGACATAATGTGCATTGTACACGCTCTTTTCCCTGACAAACCCAGCCCCTCTTTGCCCATTCGATCTCATTGACTTTATCTGGTTTCGGTGTCCATTCGGTCAGCTCCTGGAAAGTCCTAAGTCGTCGTATTAATTCATCGCGATCGCTGGGACAGTACTTGGCCGGCTCTGGTTCTGGCTCTGTTTTTGTTTTTGTTTCCTTGTTGGGAGACTTGCTAGGAGAGACGGCGTTGCCCCCTGGCGCCCACTTCTTCAGCACGACGTTCGAAATGGTAGTTGAACCTGTCTTTTCATTTCCAGTGGTTGATTCAAGCACACGTCGGCGCTTAAATATGTCACTGGGTGTTGTAGGTATTCCTGTCGGAGCCATGGTTTTCGTCTGCGTAGATGTGTCGTCGGGCGCGAGGGTTGAAGTTGGTGTCAGAGGGCGAGTTGACTGGGTGCTAGGTTTGTTATTGTTATTTTGTTCATCTGCTGATGGCGGTTGAGGTGTTGGCTTTGCGCCGAGTCCCTGCAACAAGGCATTGAACTTTCTCTTTGTAGCATTCATGTTAGGCAACTTAGGCGGCTTGACTTAGGTGACTTTGCAGAATGCCAGGCGGCCTAGACCAGGGATACCTAGACTTCTAGGTAGTATGAAAGGATGACTGTATTGGTTGTATTGGATGTATTGGCTGTACTATGTAGAACTAGCAGCAATCTCGGCGAAGATTGGCTGTACTACCCTCCTGTGCTCCTGGTCACCTTGGAGAATCGCGCCGAGTGATAAAAAGGTTGCGTATAAGTTGACCTTGTAATTTTAATTGAATGCGAGTTAATCGAGTTTAATCGACGAAATATTGCGGAGTATTGGTTGGATTAGGTTTAGTTGAGAAGTGCCGTCGTTTCAATCCTTGTGATTAATAGATGTAGAAGAAGGTACGTATCTCTTTGTTCTCAGATGTTCTTTCTCATCCTTGAAAGGGTTACGTTGATAGGTTTCGTCAAATATATGGATACATGTTGACCTTAGTAGCTTAGCTAAGTCGCGGCCGTCGGAGGGGTAACGGGCCAGAGCACTAGGATTAGGGGTCCCCGACTGCCAGCTACCCGTAACTACTCCACTAAAATCAAAATATTTTGCTGCATGGATCCCTGAGCGGGTGCGTGCGATGCAGTGCAGCCGCTACCACCCCTTACAGCATATGTAAGCCCGGAATCGCGGGGCTTCAATTGAACAGCACAGTTCCAAGTTCCCACAGATTCCAACTAACAAGCGTGCATCTAATTCTGCTAATTAGATGAGGACTAAAAAAGGGAATAAAAAGGTAGTCTCCAATTCTACAACAAAATATCTGTTCCTATTATCCCTCCTAATTGTGATCCTGGCTATATTTCTATCTCGAGCTCTGCCCCGCCTTACCTCACTGTCCCTGCATTTCTCCCCTGCTACCCGCCAGCAACTCTTCACTAGTAACATGTCGTCATACGCCAAAGAGCTTGAGATAGCTCAGCTAGCCGTCCAGCGTGCTTCCATTTTGACCAAGAGGGTTTTCCACGAGAAAGCCAAAGGAACCGTCTCTAAAGATGATAAATCGCCTGTCACGATCGGTGATTTTGGTGCTCAGGCCCTTATTATTAGCGCCCTGAAAGCGAACTTCCCTGACGATGAGATCGTCGCTGAGGAGGAGGCCGCTCAGTTGCGCCAGGACACCAATTTAAGACAGACTATCTGGGACTTGGTTAAGACTACTCAACTCTCTGATCCTGAAGCTGAGAGTCTGCTCGGCGGGGAGATCAATGACGAGGAGTCCATGATGACAATGATCGACTACGGCAACAGTAAAGGTGGCGCTAAGGGCCGCATATGGGCCATCGACCCTATCGATGGGACCAAGGGTTTCCTACGTGGTGGCCAATATGCTGTGTGTCTCGCTTTGATGGTAGATGGGGATGTTAAGGTTGGCGTCCTGGGTTGCCCGAATCTGCCTATTGACGATTCTGCTCCGCTATCAGGAAGCATGGAAACTGGCCAGACTGATGAGGGCCGAGGTGTCCTATTCTCGGGTGTGCTAGGCCAGGGCGCCACAAGCCGCTCATTGACTACTGGCTCCCTAGTTAAGGAGAAGAGCATCTCTATGAAAGCTATCACTGACATCTCCGTCGCCACATTCTGCGAGAGTGTAGAAGCCGGCCACTCGTCCCACGGAGATCAGGCCGAGATCGCTCGGTTGCTTGGCATAACAAATCCTAGTGTGAGAATGGACTCCCAGGCTAAATATGCTTCTATTGCACGAGGTGCTGGCGACATCTATTTGAGACTACCTGTCAGCGCGACGTACCAGGAGAAAATCTGGGACCACGCTGCGGGCGATCTCATCGTCCGCGAGGCTGGTGGTGCCGTAACAGATATCCACGGCAAGCGACTAGACTTTAGCGTTGGACGAACACTGGCAAATAACAAGGGCGTCGTCGCCGCATTTGCTGCTACTCAACCCCAGGTGCTAAAGGCCGTCCAGGAGGTTCTTACGAAGAAATAAGAAAATAGGTGTACGTCATAGAAAGGGCATGCATAAAAGTACATATTTTTGGTCTTGATTGGGTATCTGCCGTAGTATAGTACATAGATACACGTGCAGGAAATAGATCGCCTATTTGATCTTCTTCTGCTTGAGCTTGATCGTCTCGTCGTTGACGAAGATACCCTTCCCCTTGTATGGCTCTGGCCTTCTCCATTTACGTATTCTGGCTGCGAAGGACATGACTTCCTCTCTGTTGATGCCCTCGAGTAGGATTCTTGTCGGTTGAGGTGTGCTAGCTTTCATGCCGAAGGGGACTGGTTCCTCCACGGGATGTGTAAAGCCGAGCTTCAGGCACACAAATTTCTGGCCCGGATACTCTGCCTTCTTCGGCCGCTCCTCGATCATCGCCCTGTATCCTACACCTACTAGTCGTAAAACAGCTGTGTGTCCTTCTGATACGCCGATAATATGTCGGTTTATGTATGCCCATGTAGTTCCTAATTCGCTCCAAGTCAGTTCTGGTTCCTCATAGAGACATCTCTCTGTACATACCCCACATCTCCTTTTGCTGCTTAGCTTCTGTGTCCTCAATAGTAAGCACCGCCCTTCTTAAAGCCTCGTCATGGTTGATGTGGATGTACGGGGGGATTTCCAGGTCGAGCTTCCCCAACGGCCCGGTGATAGTAATTGTTCGTTTTGGTATCCTTAGATATGTTGTAGGGTCTTTCTTGATCCTGGGCTCTCCAACTGCCAATTCGACACCGGGAGGAATGGATATCGGTGTTCGGCCTAGCTTCGAAGATCTATTCGTTGTGCTGGAGAACTGGCGTCGCGGCGCAGTTGTTTGGAAGGCTGGTACTAGGAAAGTTGGGAGCGTTACAGAGGCATTGGTGTTTGCAAGAGCTCCTTTGAGCATCTTGCCTCCGCTGGGCGCCAGCATCGTGTTGTTTTGGGGTCTCCGCAGTGATATTGACTGATTGCAGAACTCGATTTCCCAGAGGTTTTAATCGCAGAGCTCAATTGCGGGATGCTTGGCAATGAAAGAAAAAATCGGGTCAAATTATATCACGTGGCAAATCATGACTAAGGCGGGGCAGCTTCGCCTTCTTAATGCTGAAAGTGCAAGTGCAAGTCACCATCATTGCAGTTTCCATCTCAACCTTGGAACTTCTAAAGTTGTTTCGGAACCGCTGTAACTAGTCCCCTATATAATTACCTCTCTAGGCACTTATATAGTTTAAGGTTACTTTTAAATGAAAGTTTCAAGATGGATGTCACAACTGAGTGTTCAATCTTCTGTCTTTTCTTTCGATCCCAGCGGATTAGTTATGGGCCATTACCTATTTCTCGCCTCTCTAGTCCTTGCTCATGAATCCGGATCAATCAATTACCAGTTAAATCATGTTTCGATGTTTAACGAACCCGAATTTTGATGACAAGACGATTAAGGATCTTTGATGTGAATCCGTGACAATTACCTTGACGCCATCAACTTCACATGAATATTTATCTTCTACAACCTTCCCATGATGTGACTTTTATTTCCTCTTCCCTCTCTCACTTCTTCAGTGCAAGAAATAGTAGGATTTGTGGTCATTCTGGTCACTTCCTCTTTCACTGTAACCACATCGACACGTTTTCATCCTCCTCCGCTCTTTGATTGGCATCCTCGAAAATAACAACGAGATATTATGGCAAACAAACGAAAGATCATGGGTTGGGTGGGAATAGGCATCCTTGTGGCATCACAGATTCACTCCGCTATTGGAATCTCATGGGGCAGCAGTGCGCGAAAATTAGATCTGGGTAAGAAACCCCCTCCAACCTGAATAATTACGTGCTTATCGGGTCCTAGTGAGAGCAGGCCATGTTCAGCAGAGTGCTACACGAAGTAGCCTATCGCAAGCCTTGCAGTCTGGCTCAAGATTGCCTAACTCCTATGAACTGGCTTTAGGTGAACTGCGAGAATTGGAATCAGAGCCTCTGTGCCATAGAACAGCCGCACGCCTCTTGGTGAACAGCTGTGAAGTTCTCGAGAGCAAGAATGAGGCAACTGTTCTCACAGACAGTGGTAGGAAAATCAGAGATTTCATTGACTCGTATGCCGCAAGTCTAGCCATCTGCGATCTAGAAAGAGGTAGTTTCGACATTCCTACAGAATGCGATCACTTCCGAGAGCCTGCCTTAAACCAACTTCCACTTCAGAACTCAGGCCAGCTGCATGTATCTTCCGCGGAGATTGACGGCTGTCTCACGGGTTTAGCGGAGTCTGACTCGGCCTAGAACACTTGGGTCAACTACCGCCATAAAGCCTTGAGATTCTGCGAAGCTGCCAGAGCGGATAACCAGAAAGGTATATGATTAACTTCTAAATTATCCCAGTTCACAGTTTGACCTTGTTAACACATTTTAGCTCAACAAATCTTTCTCTTTGAGCGTCTAACGAAGATTATGGGCCGATTCACCGATGACGTCGACAAGCAATTCGAGCAGCACTTGACTAGCCTAGGTATACGAGCCCAGGCGACAGGTGATAGAATCGATGAGCTCTCACCGAAGGTTGATCATTTGAACGCTATGCTGAAATCTGTGGAGGAATTGTTCCTCGGTCAGCTTATTCAAGAGGTGAAGGTAAATATTATAGAGATCTCAATTAGTTGGACATGCAATTGACCGAATGATTACAGGAAACTACAGAGTTAGTCAATTCAGGCACCCAGAACGCGCTCAACCTTCAGAGAATGCTGGGTGTGATGTTCAAGGGTGTTCTTGAAGGCCAAGCCGAAGTTGCGGCTACCTACGAGCGATCGATAGAGGTTGCCAACCAACGCGTAGAGTCTGCAATGGACACGGCCATGCAAGTGATGGTACTTGCCACCGAATCTGCTGTGAATTTGCAAACCCAACTTGTACGTTATGCTATTGTAATTCTTCATATTTAAACTAACATATGAAATCCTAGGAGTCTTCTCGTCTACAGGCAATGGAACTAGAGACTAGACAGAACAATCTGGAAGAGGTCAGCAATATTCCCCTCGAAGGACGAGCCTTACTAATGCTAACTTGATGACACTAGGGAATGCAACGACTTGTTGGCGTATCGGAAACTCTAGCGACGGAATATTACGATCATGCGAATCATTTACGTCGTGCGCAAAATATAACGAATGGCATCCTCGGCTCTTTAGAGGACACGGCTGCTTCCGCAATTCACGTCAAGAATTCTGTTCTCCGACAATCATTCTCATCTTGGTGGCCGTACATCTGGTGTCCAGCAGCATCACTTGTCTTGGGCTCGTATGGACTTCCTCCTTCTAGCACGAGGAACTTAGGCCTGCTAGTTCTAGGTAAGTGCGATTTCTAAGGTCGATTATTGACTAGTAGAAATACAACTAACTGGCTCCTTAAAAGGCGAAGCTGCAGGTTTTACACTTTCACTCCTTCAGTCATATTCCCCGGACTTATCGTTCATATCATCTCTGGGGTTTTATTCCCTACAGTATGCCCGGGGGCACATGCCCCTTTCGCCAAACATTTATTCTAACACCACTGCTTAGACTGGGAATTACTGGGTAGATATCTAGCTGCTCACGGCTCGAATCTTCGGCGCGTATCTTTATTATGAGAGTACCATATTAAAGGGATATGCGCCTTGAAGCATACTTATGGCGGGATTCAGATCTAAAGGAATTTGCTACTGGTGGAGCTACAATTATCTTGCTATATCGCTAGGGGACGGGAATATGGAAATACTGGGACTGGGAATGAGAGATACTACCATGGTATCTATGTCTATGTAGCTCCATAGACAGGTACACTATTGCTTTGCTTATTGAATTAAAATAGATGCTTTTGCCCACTTTCATGATACTCACAATATCATACAAGAGAAAGAGGATACGAGGCAACACCATAAGAACTAATTGTTGGATACTTAGGTAGGTAGCATCCTGCAAGGCGTAAGCGAATGAACCGGCATCTGTCGAAGTTGGACCGGAATTCACAATTTGAGAATGTACCAACGCCGACAAACCCTTGCTCTACCCTACCTACGAAGGATCGGTAGAGGTTGTTTCGGCGTGACTAAGACGCCAACCGATACCCAATTCATCAAATCAGCATTAAAATAAGCTTTTCGATTGGTTCTACGATCGATTGGTCTGCTCGGAAACTCTGCGCTCTGATTGGTCGAGTCGACTAAGCTCCTTTGAGGCCATGATACTCCACTGCGGGATGATGTGTGACTTCATGCTTCTTGCGGGCTTTATGGACGGGATTAACAGAGAAGGTATGGAGATAGGATCGTTGGATCTTCCGTGTAGCTCTTACATGGTGACCGCCTATCCGCGCCGGTGTCACTCCTGACGCGATTTGGCTGGGAATCGATGGATATATAACTCCCAGAGTTCTCGCTCGTTTGGTCTGGCTTCAAACCACAACGACACAGTGTTTTCTGAGTAACAACTTGAACCGAACATTCTCTCACGAGTAACTTTAAATCAATATGCCTGCTAAGCCTATCCTCCACCCCCTCGGCAAGAACGGCCCCCTGGTGCCGGCCTTGGGCTTGGGACTCATGGGTCTATCTTATTCGACCTACGGGACACTTACCGACGAAGAAGAGCGGTTTAAATTTCTTGACCACGCTCTTGAAATCGGATCTACATTCTGGGATACATCCGAGTAAGTTCCTCTTTCCTTTTATACCCAATAAGGGGTAAGCCAGGTATCCTTGGCAACTGGCTGACGATCAATAGTCTTTACGGAGACGGAGAGCAATTTGTTGGGAAATGGTTTAAGCGAACCGGAAAGCGTGACCAGATCTTCATCGCCTCCAAGTACGGCCACATCAAGGGTAGCGCGACCTTCGAGGCCGACAGTTCCTACGAGTACACTAAGAAGGCTGCGGCCAAGAGTCTCGTGGCTCTCGGTGTCGACTGTATCGATCTGTGTAAGCCTCTTTCCACTGTCTTATTTGAACTCTAAGATGCGACTCTGTTTTGGGACATGTTTCTGACAGTGATGAAACCGATAGACTACATCCACAGCGTCAATGAAAACGTGCCCATCGAAGAAACCATGAAGGCCCTAAAAGAGCTACGGGAGTAAGCTCACCTCCCTGTGTCCCTCCTCACCAAAATCTAACTAATACATCATTAGCGAGGGTAAGATCAAGCACATCGGTCTCTCAATGGTATCCTCCACCACCCTCCGACGCGCCGTAAAAATCGCCCCCGTAGCCGCCGTGCAAACCGAGTACTCAGTACTCAGCCAGCGCATCGAAGGCGAATCCGGCACGAACCTCCTCCAAGCCTGTCGCGACGTCGGCGCCGCCATCGTAGTCGCCACCCCGCTCGGGCGCGGTCTTCTCACCACCGCCTTCTCGAACACCGAAACGACATTCGACAGCGCAGACATGCGACCCAAAGCCCTCCCGCAATTCATGGACGGAAACCGGGAGTCAAACATCGCGTACGTGGCCAAGTTCCGCGAGCTCGCCGACCGCAAGGGGTGTACCGTAGCGCAGCTGGCACTAGCCTGGCTGCTGAAGCAGGGAGATGATATCTTCCCGATCCCCGGGACGAAGAGGGTGAAGTACCTCGAGGAGAACTGGAATGCGATGGATGTGAAGCTGAGCGATGCGGAGGAGAAGGAGATCCGGGCTTTTGCGAGGGAGAATGAGGTTAAGGGGGGTACGGTGCCGGATGCGTTTGCGCACCATCTGTTTAAGGAGACTAAGGAGCTTAGCTGAGGTGGTGATTGCGGTGCGGAAGTTGGCGTGTTGGAAATGAGCTGTTGATCTTGGTGAAATAACAGAGCTTTATATCTCGCGAACGCGCAATATTTAGCTTATTCGAATGACTCGACTTATTTTACTTAATAGATTCTTTATGCTTAATTCTCTCCTGTGCACAATGTATTTTGGGAAAATAAGGTAGTGATGTGTTGACGGCAATTCAGCGTTCAGGAGGTAAGTATATGTTTAGACAGCGGGATTATATATGAAAATGTAGGACATATATAGGATAGGTGGTCGTCAACGCACTGGATACCAGGTAGGTATTCCCTTAGCATATGACTTATATCTTCCTCTTTACTAACCCCCTGAAAAAATCGAAACTATTTTCATCGCTCTGCAACGCCCAGATTTTGCCTGTCGGCTTATCATCACTTCCTAGTTCTTCCGCTCTCAGCATACCCCAGTCTCTCGTAATGCCCACAATACGAGCCTTAACCCCTCCTTGGGCCTCGAGGTTGACGATCTGTCGCCCATGTAGCCAGTAGTTATAATACTCGCCTTCCATATCTCTTGTGAAACCCCTCCGGATGAATGTCTTGTAAAGAGCTTCTATGCGAGTCAGAATGCCTGCTATGAGTTTCTCAATCCGGAATGGGGCGAGATGTGGAGGAAGTAGGGTGTCGAGAGATGTTGTAGGGCGTCCGTTGGCGGTGTTTATACCGATTCCGAGGACTATCTGGTACGATCCCGAAGAATAAGAACAATTGGATAGGATACCACCGATTTTGACGTAGGAAGGTGGAGACGACGAAGGTTGTCTTGGATCTAGTGCGTATATATCGTTGGGCCATTTTAGCTTCACGGGTACTTCGCCATATCCCTGGTCGTATGACTTGACTGCCTGGACAATGGCAATAGCAGCTAGATATTGGATGAAGACGATGGGTCGACTCGGTGCGAGATGAGCTGGGTGATTAATGACCGTAGACATGATCAGCGCCCCAGCCGGCGATACCCATACGTTATTTCCACGTCCTCTCCCCGCAACCTGGGTAGTCGCCGCTAATGTAAACCCAGATGGCAATCTAGAAAGGAGCTTGAAGTTTTTCTCGAGTAGTGTGTTGGTGCTTGTGACGACTTCCCCATACATGAAAAAGTCACCCCATTCCTCTGCCTCAGGTTCCGATCGGCGATATTCTTGCAGGCTAGAATAGAATGCATTATGGTTAAAGTAAGGTGTGGCTTTCGGTTCTGGCCAGCCATCTTCGTGCGTCACGATACGCTTTGTAATGGTGCTATAGTCGATCATACCTTCGCCGCTTTGGTCAGGAGGCTTTTGATCCGGACTGTCATTGGGCGTTAGTGCTTCTTTTAAGCCAGTTACAGACCACATGGTCTCTGGTTTCTGTAAATGAAATGAATCGCTTTCTGCTCGGATATATTCCTCGCCGTCTTCCTTGCTGATAATATCTTCCCATGAGTGTAGCAAATCATCAACATCGCTACTAGAGATAGACGAAAGATGAAGTCGAGAGAGGGACGGCACACTTGATGATTCCTGACTAACGTCTAGCCCGAGCTTAGTTAGGCACGCCTTTAAGAAGCTTGTTCGTGAATCATCGTCGGCTCGGAGGGCAGCGATAAGTTCATCATATCCTTCAACGCTATGGTGCGGGCTCAAATTCGCTGCGGCAAATTCTGGGTGAGGTCCAGTAAGGATTGCGGCGCCCTGACCAACTTTACAGTACACTAAAGCGGCTTTTTCAGCGCCACCATCAACGTCAAGCTCGCTCGCATAACTCGCTAATACTTCAATATTGCGATTGTCATCTTTTGCATTGACGAAAACGCCACCACCGTTGTAATAAGACGTAAAGACCTCGGGAACAAGGCCTGCCCCTCTAAACGCATCTTTCACCACGTTCACTCGTACAGCGCGTGCGCCATTCTCGCTGTGGTATTGGAAACCCTTAAATGCGCCCCCTCTGCACGTACCAGGGAAGAAGGCTAGTTCTCTAGATCCGACCACTTCCATGGCTTTATCGCCGACTTCAAATTCGCATTTCTTGGATCCATAATAACCACCAGCGCAGAATCCTAAGTACGAGCCACCTCGGCGTACATATTCGGATATAATTGAATTTCCTTCTCCATTGAGCACACGGCAATACCCAAGATCAGCACCGCCTGGAAAAACGAGTAGCGCGCATGTAGGTCCCCATGGTTCTTTTAGAAGAACTGTCTCGGTAATAGGGATGACTGCATAGTTTGGAGAGAGAAGTCGGCGTAGAGAATAGATTGCGTGCTTAACTGATTCAACAGTAGATCCGGTACCTGTATAAACTAGTACATTGAGTTTGCGCGACGTCATTTTGAACGAAGTTTTGTTTGACTTCTAAGATTCGGCGTTGATGATCCGAAGGGAGGGATTTTGTGGACGGCTTAGGGGGTTTAATGGGCTTAATGAGGTAATTTCAGCGCCGTCCGGATGCCCGAATTTCCACCTTTCCACCGCCCTTTAGCGGGTTTTAGCCCCTAAAATCCCAACGCCCGGATCACGCGATCTCAACGGAACAGAACATTCAACAATGTCTAAAGAAGAAAATACAAGCCAACAGAGTAGCTCCGCTCAGGATGATGATGAGCCGGACGAATGGTAAGACTTGATAAAATGATCCTTAAACAATTGTCAATCGTCGTAGGCTGACGCTTTTCTTCCTAATAATAGGGATAAGAGGATCTTTAGCACAGGATGCGCAGGTATGAATACGGGAACACGCTAATGCCGTCTTATATTGAAGCACTGACTAATAGGAATAGACGAAAATGCTAAGTTGACTGATTGTTACTTCGAAAAGAAGGATTGGCGAGCTTGCAAGAAAGAGGTAGGTAGATGATTAATTAGTTGCATCGGTCATCTACTGACTGACTTCACCAACAATAGATGGAGATATTCAGAGCTTGCTGGAAGAAACACAACAACGATGAGAGGACATCTACAAAAGATGCATGACCGCGATTGCAAGGGGAAAAAGGAACAAACGCTGGGCACTGCACTTTATGTAAAACTATAATGAGCAAGACTTAGGAAGTTGAGCTATTAATATCACACTAATCCCTCTCTAAACTCCCGAGTCGTAATACCCTCAGAACTGTCCGCTCTGTCAAATGTCCGGAGGGAACTGCGACGTTATCACGCTAGCCGTCTGTAAATCCCCACGATTATAGGTCTATCGATAAGCTTTCGGCACCCGGAGCCGCAATTGAATGAACGGTCCAAAAAAATCCAACTTTTCATACAATAATTACATAATACCTACGATAACATCACAACACCAAAACACCAACAACAGGACCACACTCGACAACAATGGCATCACGAACATTAACGCCGTTACGAGCGGCATCTGGACGTCTCCAATCTCCAGCGAGCCTGCAGAACCTATCCCACCTACCCCGCCGAACACTCGTCAGCGCCTCCAAAGCGAAGCCCTACCAAGTCCCTCCCCGATCGACCGCAACCTCAACATCAACCTTCTCAAAACCCGCACCCGCAGCATCAACCACCACCTCCAAACCAACCCCAACCCCAGCCGCCGCAGCGCCCAAACAAACACCAACCGCAGCCCGAACCCCCGTCCCAGCCGTCTCCGGCGTCCCCCTCCCCGACGCCCCATCCCCGACCTCCCCAGCCGCCTCCGCCGACCACAACGGCAGCCCAATCGACTGGACGCAGTCCTACCACGGTCTAGGCACTTCTTCATTCGGGCCTGAGACAGCGCAAGTGCTACAAGCGCGGCTGGACGCAGACGACATCGAAGTCAAGCCCGACGGCATCATATACCTGCCCGAGATCAAGTACCGGCGGATTTTAAACGCGGCATTTGGGCCTGGGGGGTGGGGGCTGGCGCCGCGGGGACAGCTGATGGTGCATGAGAAGTTGGTTACGAGGGAGTATGCGCTTGTTGTGCATGGGCGGTGAGTCTTTCCCTTTCGTACGTTTGATGTGCTTTTAAAGAGTGGTTGGCTAATGATTGCTTGGGTGAACAGATTCGTAGCGCAGGCTCGAGGCGAACAGCAGTATTTCACCGAAGACGGCGTGTCGACAGCGGCTGAGGGATGTAAATCGAACGCGTTGATGCGGTGTTGCAAGGACCTGGGTATTGCGTCGGAGCTATGGGATCCGCGGTTCATCCGCAAGTTCATGAAGGAGCACGCGGTGCAGCAGTGGGTCGAGCACGTCACGACCAAGAAGAAGAAGCAGATCTGGCTACGCAAGGACGACGAGGTTCGCTACCCGTTTAAGAAGACATAGAGGGGGTTTACGGGCTTGGTGATGTCATTTAACGAATAGGGGCGTTGTACGATAGGGAGATACCCCGAAGATTCCTACTAGAAATGCTGTCTATACATAGGTCACATACGAAAGAGAAACTGACTAGGATAGACGGGAGGCAGAGAATATAATGACACAAGCCGTGAACAAGACACGGCTTTTCAGCTCCAGAGTGTATTCCTCAGGGCAAGTGTTGAATCCTATCGTCTAACCCCCAACTCAACCAAAATCTACCCGTCACCCCAAGCATGCAAGACCGTCCAAGGACCCAGAAACCATTAACTCCATGCGATTGAATTTGAATGTGTGGGCGTAGAGTTGGCCTACTTCTGAATCCCAGAGCTGCGTCCCGTATCTGGCTCACTGGTCCCTGGTGCTTGTCCAGTGCCCACGGTTCCCCAGCCCAAGAAGCTCCATCCACTCCTCGTACTGCCGGGACTCGGCTCCCCGACAGTCCCTCTCCTACGTAAAGTCCCTTCATCCTCCTCAGCACCGCTCTCCGCGTCGATCTTCTCAAAATCGACCTCGCTTCGGCTTTTGCTGAGGCCGCTCCACACGCTGTGACCGCTGGGCGGGCGTGAGCTATCCTGCCCGTCCAAGCTCATGCTGCTAGGGCGCAACTCCTTCTTGGCCTGATCAGCAGCCTTGCGCTCCTCGAGCTGTCTGGCTTCCTTGTCCAGGGCGCCCATCATGAGTGCCAGCTTCTCCTTCTGCGCGACGATGAAGTTGATCTTGTCCTCGGCGCCACCAATATTCTCGGGGATCAGTGTGGCCGTTGATGCCTCCTGGTTCCCGGACGGCGGCGCGAAGCTGCTGGCTGCCGCACCCACGGCACCGGCTAGCATGTTGTAGAAGTTGGGACCGCCCGAGGCATCGGTGTTGTTCGCCGCCCATCGAGCTGCCGGAACGCTAAACCTCGCTAGAAGTGCTTGCGTATATCCTTGGGGCGCAGCGGTGGCCCGGGTGTCCTCCTGTTCTACCTCGCGCGGCGGCATGCCTAGCACCTGGGTGCGCAGCATCTCGATGGCGCGCTTCAAGTAGGCAATTCCGGCGGCCTTGAGCCTATCGTGGGCGCTGGCGATGAAGTCCTCGATCGCGGTCTCGTTCTCCTCGAGGTAGGGGTACAGGTAGGTCTCGTATAGAACGCGCGCGCCCTGGGTCTGGGGCAGGACGAGGTAGAGCAGGAAGCCGAGGCGCATGTAGGAGTAGAACGGCACCCACCAGAGGATGAACTCGGTCCAGGACTCGACGAGCAGGGCGCAGGAGAGGACGGACCAGTACATCAGCCATGGCGTCAGCTGCGCGGGGTCGGAGGTCTTGAGCGCCTTGTAGGAGGCGAAGAGGGGGAAGAGGAAGGATGCTACGGAGCTATAGTCACTGCGTTAGTAAATGGCGGTGCTCGCCTCACGATCTTCAACCTTTGCAGTACAAAGAACCGGGGGGTTGGTGGGACGGGGTCAGTGGGACGTACGAAAGGAGCTTTGGAATGAGGTCAAACATGGTGATTGGTCTGTACTCGATGGAAATTCGAAAAAGGGGGAATAGTGGATAGAGACGAATTCCTTGTAGGCTTCCGTTTATGTCGTTAGATTATGATGACTTGTCAAGTCGAGTCGGGTCAGTTCAGCCTCAGGGGAGTTGTATTGGGGGTCGTAGGAATGGATTGATTAATCCAGGAATTCGGTATTGCTGATTGTCGGGTGTGGTTGAAAGAGAAAGGGATTCTTGACAAAGAAAGGTTGCCGGAGTGCCGGCAAAGACTGGATTGAAAATCGCCTCGAAGAGGTTTAGGTAAGATAGTTAAAATAGTAAGGAGATAAGTTCCAAGGTTTAAGTTCTGTAGTCAGATTAGAAATGTTGACGATGCGCTTCTCGGCTTAAGTTTAAGCTAGAATCGTAAATGACGATTTAAAGAGATCACGGCGGATGACCCCGCCAAAAAACGTCACAAGCAGTAAGCAAATCACCTGCGCTACGCCGCACTTGGAGGTCTTGAGTGGTACCTACCCGGTACAGGCGTTGATGCCTTATTTAGCTGCGCGGGGCTTGTAGCGGCTAGCTGTATTAGGTCTTCGTTGCAGGGAATAGTTCGGTATGAAGGCTTGTCACTTGCGTCGATTAGCCTACTGAACCTGAACCGTGCACCTGTGCACCGCTACACAAGGGCAGCTCCACCAGCTCGGACCTCGGGGTATAATTTATGATGTACTTACATGACCTTACATGACCATGTCACTTCGTATTCAACTTCAACTTCCTTGATATCGTCCGAAATTCAATTCAATAAGATTCAAAGTCCTCAATAGTTTGTCGAAGTTTGAGATGGTTGACAAGTTACAAACTCAAACTATTAATATTCCCCAAGTTTGAACAAACACGTTGCAAGTACCAAGCAGGTTAAGACTCATCACTCATTCCTCTACCTTCCACTCTCTTCCCCTGAGCTGAGTTCCGGGATCTACTTTGTCTGCCTAACCCGGTTGCGCATCCGACGAGATAAAAACACTTGTTCTCATGCAATTATGGCCTCATATGTAAAATTGGCAATCTGTTCACTTCAAAGGTAACGCAATTGTCATCAGACTGAGTTGTCTCTTCTATGAAATCATAGGTTGGTGAGTGAACATTACCCCAGTATATATGCGCCCGAAAAATAAATTAAAGCAGCCCAATATCTATTCACACTTCGCGGTCGATCGAAGGTGAACTTACACGTGGGTTACAGCTCACGATGCGACGGCCAATAGAAAGAGGTCAAAATCCGAGATAGCTTTACTTGACCAAAACAATGCCACGAAAATGATGAATATAAGGGAGCAGGGTGTGACGGTAACTAAGAACTCTATAAGGTGGATTTACCTGTGGCGATATATTCTCGTATCTTATATTCTATATTAGTAACCAACTCCCCGGACAATTCGTGTTATGTGAGGCTATCTTACCTAAGTCTAAGCTTATGGCAGCACTTATTCTATACTACTTGCCAAGCTCCGTAATTGGCAAAGAATTAGACGACTTTTGAAGTATAGATTCTAGGAAGCATTGTCCAAGTTCTTATAGGATTAGATATAAACCTAGCTAGTTTTATGGTGCTAGTGATTACATGTATGCTGAGTTAAGTCCTGTACCCACAGAAACCCTGGGATAGGGGCGTGTTAAGGTGACCTGAAAGCTATGGCATCATGAGAGCTTCTTTTAGACGGGATCTACTAGTCCCTTGTCTGTTTATATCCTTCATTCGTGTAGAGGTAAGGAATAGTGAGACCGATCTTGCCTAGAAAATCTAGGTCTTGTAGGTTTATGGGGAAGATACGACCTCACCTGACACCCATATACCTAATTAAAGGTTAGACGCATGTTAGAAGTGATAAACCTACATATATAGGTACCTAACATGTGATAAGGTAGCTACCTATACTTGAAAAGAGGAGAAGAGATATTCCCCATTATAAGTGTAACATAAAAAGAATTTCTCATAAGATAGGGGTAGTGGCAATACACGAATGCGATTCGCTGAAACGACTATATATCGGCATATTACATAAGTTGCATGTCATTTATCTATTGGTTCTCATAGTGAATAGGTACATATAAATATAGTCATTGTTCTTTCAGGTTTGTGGTTGGTCTTTCTTCATAACCTTGTTTCTATATCGTGGGAATCGTGGGAGCACAGGCCAACAAGTAAGCAAGTTCGTATGATGAATATAATAATCTCTATACGAGATGACTTGATTTTGTAAGGACCGTGTCTATAAATGGTTACTAATACAAGTTTTGAAAAGAATGCCGGGTGGTACATATCATGTAATCCTTATCCTAATGACCAGTATTATCATCTACCCCCTTTTCCCCTGAACGATGACTACGTTCGAAGCCATCCCCAAACTGCCCCTTCCCGTAAGCTATGAGCCGTGGTAGTCTAACCCATGGTTGAGAGTGCTGTATTTAGTTTGCCGAGAAGTCGTCGCCGGGATCGTTATAAGAGAAAAAGTCAGGAGGTGAGACGTATGCTCCTCCTCCACCACTACCACCACCTTGACCTTGGCCTGATGACCCTCCATCTTGGTTGGGAGGTTGGTCCTTCTAAAATGATATCTTGTTAGACTCTTTGACTTGCTCGAAATCTTTAGACTCATACCTTGGAGGACTTCTTCTTGCTGTCTTTCTGCTTCTTCGAGGATCCACCCTTCTCTTTGTTCTTGTTAGCTTTTTGATAATATAGTGTACTTGAACGCTTGTGGACTCTTACTTCCTGATCCGCCTGAAGTTGAAGAGTCGGCGGGAGACATTTTCTGAATAGATCTAGATAGCTTCTTGATGTTTGTTGATGAGGATTCTTCGGTGATGAACATCTCGATTTTTAGCTTCCTCTTCGGCTCCTTTATCTTCTTATATGTGATATCTTGGCCCTTTTGAGAGATATCCCTGACTTTCCATCACCGTCAGACGAGCCTATTCTGTCCATGCCTCGTGCTGTGGCGGAATCTGCTCGGTCTGTGTCGATAATCACACATGTGCCGATACTTAGGCATACCGACGAAATTTATCAGCATTTTGGGGGTTGAAGTGATTAGATAGGATCTTGAGTTAATCAAGTCGCGTCAATCTGTGCCATCGCCATTTCCGTATAATGAAAGCGAGTGCCGAGGAATGAGGTCCCCATTCGGAATGATTAATGCGGGCCGCCCCCTTGCCGCGCTAGCGGACCGGGTTCGCGATCGGGCTCGCGGATTGATATCATTTGCAGCAAGTCCCGCTGCCACCGGCTGGTACTGATGAGCCGCGGGAACTGGGTCGCATGGCGCCTTTACGAATGGAGACTAGGGATGCGAGAGGCCGTGATCGCTAATCCCTTTTCAGCCGGCCCGACCGACATATAATACTACTGCATCTTCCTTAGGGCTGGCGATGCGACCCTACCAAATCTCAGCCCCTTTTCAATGTAGGTGCGTCACATTATGGGAAGGCTAGATGGCGTACATATATATAAGCCGATCGACTACGTGCATCTTCCGTTGCACCGCATCGAATATCCACTAAACATAGTAACATCGTATCTTAGGTGAGGACAGCTTGCGTTAGATGCAACATCCGAGTCACTATAATTTCCCCGGGCTACTGTTTCAACCTTATACTCATTGGCTTAGGAGGCGCGTGTTTCCATGATGTCGCGCCTATGCGCTTAGGAGAAAACGTCTGCCTTGAGGCTCATAGACTATACCTCATTCCCACGTGCCATCTTTCCTTTTACTCTCTGTATATCTTCCATGTGGCTGACTCCAGGATTAGGGTGTGGGGGTATTATCTGATACCAAAAGAGGATACGGCTTACTAAATTCATCATACCACTGTTTCGACTACTTACCTAGGTATGAACTGGACCCTTGAGCATGTCGGAAGTTCTTCTTCAAGACACTCGAAAACGCGTAGATGATGCCGTATGATGAAGGTCTTGTACAAGGTGACCAATATGAAATCTGAAATATTAATTGATACCTATTCTTCATTGCGTCCTTCCCTTCCCATACCGGTCTGGGGAGCCCGAGGGAACGGATCTCGGAAATACCTAGGTGACGTATGTAACTTAGTGGTTACATCTAGGAGCCGCATGGTGGTCGCCTAGACCGGATGCTCTTTTGCCGCTTCGCGTGTAACCTCTCACAAGTTGACGTTATCGCCACAATGCAACCATCGCAGGCAGGGCTGACTAGCGAGTGTTTTGAATGCGGCAGGCAAAAGATCCGCACAACGCCGGATCCGCCCTCGGTGGATGTCGTGATGCCGATCGCGAATTAATGGTACGACAAGCCAGCTGGGCATATAATCGTTCGTGACTATAAATTTACTAGGCAAAGAAAAAGAGTGGAATAAATTAAAAGGTCTTAATAGGCTAACCGACTTGTGCTCGGGATTTGAAGATGTGGATCACTCACATGTCAGCCGTCATATTCATGTTTACCAAGCACGCCACCGAATTAAAATCTTATCCCCAGTCCAGGTTGATTTCAAATAAACCCTGGTAATTTGAAAGAGCTCATATTTTAGAATTCGTTAAGGATGTAATAGGCATGGGAAATCTCAATGTTACGACATAGAGGCTCAAGATGTTTGCGAGGTGTGGTTGAATATGCTTGTGAGTGCCACCGAGCAGCTATTCACTCGGGAATTGATACTGGAAAGAGTGCAGTCTTACAAAAGTTGTCTGATAACCAGACGGACAACATCTTGAGTAACATAAGGACCTATCTTCCCCCTTTACATTGGTCTCACAGATTCCAAGCATCCTCATAATATAAATGAAGACGAATATCGACTGGTACGGGGCGAGGAAGGTATTCAGCCCCACTGGAAGAGCCTCATGTATTTTTCTATCATGATATTAAAATGCTTCCTGTATTAATTTTGATGACTCGGCCGAATCGAGTGGCTCCTCTCCGCTCTATATGTTAGTCTATGTCTACCGCTAGACTCGATCCGAGACGAATTCTAGGACCTTCTACCCCCAAAAACGGCTGCACATCTATAAAAGCTGGATTATAAAAGGAGTCGGGAGTAAATCAACGTTTATTTCCTGATCTATGAAAGTGAAAAGATCGACATGGCGGGCGAGTGGAAGGGCAATTTTCTTAGACTAAACGCTTGGCGAGCTTTCAACAGGTACACTAACATGGCCTATAAGACTTGGCAACTAGGACCAAGCCTTCGTTTAATTCAGCCGCAGTGGACCAGATGAATGACTGTTTTAAAAAGGGCAGGAGACTAAGGGGATGGGAATGGGTATATATATATCTCGGGCTAACTGGGCATTGAGATAGTTGATGGGTCATTTTCTTCGTAATGCCGTATTAAGCATAATAACCTCAGTATCGTATACTGAGGACCGAAATCGACACAATGGTCAAGCTCCCCCAGATTACAACATCCATAGTTACCGTATTCTCTATAAAGATAGTATCGGCTACAACTGTTGGATACTTCGACTCTGAGTCCTGCGTGGATCCATCGGGCGTGGCGGAATGTTACGAGAACGCTGCGGTAGAGTGGTCTAGTTGCGTAAATGTTACTTGCGCAGGTCAAAATATAGACTGTATCAATGTTTGTTCTTGTGTACAGACCCAGAAACAGTTGGATTGTGCTGGTCAGCATTGTTGGAATCAGGTGAATTCCTTCTTGGTAGCCCCTGAAATTGTGGGTCCATGCTAACTGAGCTTCAAGGTTTACAGTTGTGAATATCAGCAAACGGCGGGCGACATAGCAACAAACTGTCTAAATCCTCATTTGGACCAAATCCCGTTTTATCCTCCGCCAGATAATGCACCGGGTTCATGCTCTTGCAACTTGGGCAAACTTCTAACGTCCTTGTATCGAACGTCTAATGAAATAGAAACTTGTGGTGCCAACGGCGAGGATATCGTCGGCCAATTGACTTCAAATGACGAGATTCAGATATTCGCACGAGCTTGTACCTGTTGCTCTGAAAGTGCAATGCTCTCAGCGTAAGTATCTCCTCAATAGTGGATGATCGTAGTCAATACACTAACATATCGAAGCTTCTGGGCGGTTTGTCCTAACACTGACCCGTCTCTCCTCGGCATAAATGAAATTTACGACTCCTTAATCGCAAATGATAAAGATTGGGCAACTTGTGCTACAGATATGGATGCTTTTCCTTGCTATAGTAAGCTTGGATATACACCACCAGGCGGTAACTCCTCTGGTACGTTTTATGAACCCAACGACTTCCCGCAAAATGGGACAGCAACCACATCCAACATAGCTGGAAGCATCACAACTCCAGTTAGTGGGGCAGTATATACATGGACATACAACGGAGTCGAGCGCCCGATCACTGTTGCGAGCGCCGACGCGAAGCCTACAAATACTGCTGGAGCCAATAGCTCCGGAAGCGAGGATAAGAAGAATAACGCTCCTTCAACGGTACCAGGGTTATTATTTATCAGTTATGGATTGGTGCTTCTAGTAGATAAGATATAGGGTACCCAGTATGTACCTAGATTCGATCTGCACCTATGAAATATGACTAATGCTTAGTCATCTGTGTATAAACCCGTCGTGGTCCATTAAATTGTGATGGTTGGCTTGTGACGGAGAAATATTCCTACGATAATATGGTGGAGCCGATATGAGTAAGCCGCCCCCTAGAAGGCGGGGAGGTTGGGGATAGGGGCAAATAAGCTTTCTAAGCATTCAATCCACTAAATTATACCAACTCCACGAGAGCCGATTGGTACCTACCTAGGTATCTAGGTACCTACTAGGTATTTACCATAATCCACTTAAACGAGGGACATATCGCCAACCCACTCAACCAGGACCTCGTCGATTTGAATGACTTGATTCGGACCTTACTATTAGTTAGGTCTCTTATACAGTGCATACTATGATTTATACTGTATTAAGCTTCGACCAAAGCCGAAACTTCATAGTGATCCGCCCGCTAGATTTTAGGGGATAGCCACTATAAGTAAAGCCTATCTTAAGGGCTTAACCACTGGAGAAAAACGCCACACGGTAAGATATCCAAGTTCACACGGCTTTCGACTATTAGCACCCGCTTCAAACTTTATGTAGGCCCGAACCTTCATATGAATGGGCGTTTAAAGATATATACCTAGTAGTATACCTACCTAGGTAATAAAACAAAGATTCATTTTCCAATCCTATCCCGATACAAGTAAGTAGTTTCTTTTAACCTCCTGTCATTCATATGACCCACATTTATGGAAGCTCAGCCAATTAGATACCAGTTTAACTTCGTCTGATCCCCCTTTTTTTCGCGTTTCTCACTGTAGTGGATTCACTACGACAGTAAAGTAGAATGCGCTTTATTTTATCTATGATTAGATAATTCATATAATCAATTTAATACTTAATAATATCCCATGTAAACAAGACTTAACTTTTTCCCTAGGACGTCCTCATTATAGTGGTAAGTTGGTAACTCCTTAACTGCCCTAACACGCCGTAGTAAGCTAGAAAACGCGTACCATTTATAAACAAGATTAACTGAAACATGCCCTATTGCTCGTAATATTAAATAACTGGCTTGCTTAGGCTTGTTAAATTAATGATATGAGTCTTCTATTTGCGAGAAAACTTTTTTTCTCAATAGTATACGTTCGTTTGTTAGCAAATAGGTACCTACATACCTCATATAAAGTAGTAAGGGAAGTAAGGCATTTACTATTCATTACCTACCTACCTACGTGCCTGGTAGAGTGCTAGGTACCTACTAGGTAATACATTTGGTCTCGAATGATTCCTCATGAGTAAATCTTCAAATTTCTAACATTAGTACCTAGTAGGCATTGATTAATATTTCGTTATAATATGGGCAGAATTTTATTTGAAGGGGCAGTGTAAATTGACTCGAAACTTCAACAACTGTTAGCATAGAACACATTTACCTGCTGACCTGCTCGAAGCCTACAATGGAGCCACTGTCTGGTTGTCTATTAGCTGCGCAAGCCAGTGTAAAGCTCATAGGTACCTGGGTACTTACTCCTAAGCAGTGACCGAATCTAAGGTCTCCGAAATTATAATAACTTTCGATATCGAGTTCCCATCTCTTAATATTATTTTTTCCCACCACAACCTTTATAAAGTACGAGCAACGATTATATTCTAAGTTTTCCATAGGTACTTTCTTCTACTTTTAAAGACATTCACTACAAGCACTAATCTATCCTCAACGCCTATCCACTAGTAGGTATCCTGACTTTAGAATAGTCTGAGACGTAAATCATAATATTATCATGCTCACAAGAGATCATAGCTGTCAATTGAAAAACTATGGCATCAGACTCACAATCCGTTAGACGCACTCGCGTCAGATCCTTAATCGCCCGCATTTCCGAGATGGAGGGGATAGACCCGTCTAGACCCGATGAATACACGGGGGAGTCGCCAGAGCCCTTGTCGATTCAACAGATCGAATTGATTGAAATAGTTATCAATCAACGAGCCGCTGTAGGGCGCATCATGGGTGAGTTCCTACATAATTCTCAGGGCAATCTAGGTGGTCATTTATTTTACATCGGCGATTATAAGCCGTGACGCTAACATAATTTGAAGCAGATAGTAACGGCGGCAAATCAATTGATGAAGAGGATGGAAACCAAAGCAGCTCAGCAGAAGAGGGCGCAAGCAGTGACCCCGAGGATGAGTCCCTTAATCAAATGGCAGAAGGTTCAGAATCCCTTTCTTGCAACATTTGCGGCAAGGATTTCAAATCAAAGTCCACGCACCTGCAACATGGGCGCGAGAAACACATCGGAACTAAGTGTTACTGGCCTTCGTGCACTTTTATTGCCAGCACAGAGATGGAACTCAGCCGTCACCTTCATATTCATCAGGGAGGGAACGGAGAAAGTTGCGAGTGGCCTAAGTGCGGATCCTCGTTTGCGGTGAAGGAGTCACTCATGCGACATATTCGTCGCCACATTATCAAAGAAAAAAGAGCAAAGAAGGATTAGAGAATGAAGGGAGGAATAGTGAAGAATGATAGGGCATTGCTTCAATCCCAGATAATTGTGTTGTCTTCTCAATTAGCAGTTGCTCTCCGTAAGAGTCTAAATTGATCCATCACTTTCGCACTGTGTGGCTTTTTTTCTTTAGTGGCTAGGCTTCTTAAACAGGCTTGGGCTATAACGATTATCCACTAGAATTTAGCGGATACATCAGTAGGCACAATACGGTATGAAATGACTGCTTATCTAATCACGCACTGGGTAAAGGACGTTGCTGATGGACCAAATTTTGTGTCCGAACCTTCGTACATCACACTTAACTATCTAATGCTATAAATTGAATAAACAATCGCAATTCAGCGTCCATGACACGACTAACCTGAGCAGCAGTGTAGAATATTAGAGGAAAGTTTGCGATCATAAGGAGCGCGATTAATCTGGCGTTGAACCACACGTAAGCGGTTCTCCATTTGAGAATAAGGGGTATACAACATCACTTAATTGAACTCGGTCACGATTATAGATATTGCAGTTTTAATGATTATTTGGTCTTTTATCTCAACTATCAAGTTGCTGGACGTCTGCGCTGTCTGGAATGAGCAGAATGTGGCTTCGACGAAATGTGGGGCTGATAAAAAGGGGGGACGCACTGCGTTGGTGGTAATTGGTACTCTCATTAGATCTTACCTAATAAAATATGAAACGAGGCAAGTTTAAAAAAATCTCGACGATAGATTGAACACGAGAAAATAAAAGAATCAACAGATATATAGAAAGGAAAATTGTCAGGGGGTGGCGAAGACCCGAAACGTGGTCATATCGGTAGGATGAGGCTCCTATCAGAAGGCTTGATGTCATCCTCTTTAGTACCTCTATCTTTGCAGCCTATAATTTCCCTCGTAGTAATCAAAGTCTACGTGTTCGGTGATGCTGAAGCCTAAATCAAGGATGAGAAGGTTAACAGTTAGTTTTTTCGGATGGGACTTTATGATAGGTGAACTGACGGTTTGTAGTCTTTTTAACCTCATTCAAAGGGGCTCGATCTTACCCCTGGTAGATCTACTTGAAGTACCGATGCCTGCCATTTTATCGAGCGAACCTCGGCTTGGCGGCCGAGTACCGAAACCACGCTGCCAGGGGGAGGCGTTGATTGGTCTGCGGGTACGACGTATTTGGACATTACTAATATGGCGAGTTTCACATCACCGATTTCCTCTTTCGTTTAATATAAGACCCATGTCATAAACTGATTTCGAATAAGCCGGCATCTCCAGGATTACCACGCGAAATGCGTAATCAATCTACGAGTTCTCCTCTCGAATTTATCTTTATTCTAGAATAAATTCACCATTCGAATGACTACAACTTAATGGACGCATTGGATCTACTCGTACATCTCTGAAAGCGATGCTATCCCCGAGGTTCAGACCCAACATCTCTCTTCGACTACGCTAGCTTCCTAGAACATAACGTCAAGATGAGTGGAGACATGATGGCTTGGACTTGCACCCATGGTGGATTTCCCAAAGCACTTCAATTATCGACAATACCATATGATATAGGGCCAGTTAAATCAACGGAGATTCGTGTCCGAACCAAGGCCGCGTCCATAAATCCAGTCGACGTCCAGTTGATGTCATACCCTCTACTATCACGCCTTCCGAGCTTTGCCAGTTCCTCCCAGAAAGGGGTCGGCGAGGACTTTTCAGGGGTGGTGGAAGAAGCAGGTGTCGACTCCGGGTTTAGGGCAGGCGATGAGGTATTTGGCATCATCCCTTTCGTACCAGGAGGAACTCTACAGGAGAAGATCATAGTCGATACTAGGAAGTCTGTGGTAGTGGATAAACCGATAGATTGGACTTGGGAACAAGCTGCCGCTCTCCCACTCGTCTGGCTTACAGCTCGAACGACCATCGAGGAAATCGAATCTTATGTTAATAATGGGAAGGTTGTTGTCCTCGGCGGTAGCTCCAGCTGCGGAATGTATGCGATTCACATTGCCAAGCAGCGTGGTTGGACAGTGGTTGCTTCATGCTCTAGTCGAAATACCGACTTCGTCCGTAGCATGGGCGCAGACGACACCATCGACTACACGACAACGAGTGTTCCTGAGCAAGTCAAGGCGTTTGGACCTGATGTCATCATCGATTTCGTTGGAGGGAAAGAGTGTCTAGGACTCGCTAAGAGATACGTAACAGTCGTTGGCGATAAAACGGACCTGACGTCGTCGGGAGGCAGAAACACATACCTTTGGAACCCCCAGATGCTGTTACGAGCGTTCGGTGGAAGGGCAGGCCTTGGTCCCTCATATACATGTATTAATCTCGAGTTCAAGTATTCTTTCTTAGAAGAGGTCTTAAGTCTCCCTCCAGATAAGATCATCATCGACAGTATCTTTGAGTTTGATCAAGCTACGGAAGCGTTTCATAAGCTTATCACGGGGCATACGAGGGGAAAGGTAGTGGTTAAGATGTCTACGTGTGTTAGGGTTCGCTATGCATAAATACCTATGTTAGGCGAGGAAAGAAATGTGATCTCCTATACCTATGTGGTGGAGTCACAGGTGCTGTATGAGTACCTAGTAGGTACCTACCTAGGAAGATCGCAATGGTTGATAACAGAATGGGGTTCTAAAATATCTAACATTCGGTTTATCTACTCGTAAAAGTCCCTTCGAACCTTTATCTCGACCTGTGACCTAGCTGCTCTGCTACTACATCCCCAAATTCCGGATCAAACGGGTCCAACCAATTGGTGATTCTGGCGTCTCTGAGTGTGATTTCCACTTCTTCTGGCGGAATGGGGTGTGCAAGGAAGTCGAATGCCCTGTCAACGTATCTGATACCGTTATTGTCCATGACCATCCTGCACTTTCGGCAAGCCAACTTAGATACTCCAATAGCTTTAATAGATTCTGGGAATTCGTGCCGATACCGGTAGATTTGCATTTCCGCGTGTCGCTTCATATTTTCGTACATGTCCGGCGGCTCCTCCGTTGGTGTGAGCAAATAGATCTTCCTATTGCCTATCTGTTTGAAGGCTTTGCATGCACTTTGTATCGTATTGATGAAACGCCCATCATGAAACCCATACGGCCCGACACGATGCTTTCCTCTACCGCCTTTCTTTATGTATCTATGATTGCCTGCCTTGACGTTGGCGGCAATCAATATTTCCTCGTTGCATAATGCCACAGCAACCGTGTCATTTCTTTTTTGCCTGAAGAACTGGTTCCACCATGTATTCGTGTCTTTAAACTCTTTTTTATCTTCTTCTTTTTTGCATTCGGCTTCGGCCTTTTTAAAATCGGGATCGCTTTCATCGATTTTGCCTCCATTTTTCTGCATTTCCATTCTCAGCACGGAAAGCTTCTTCTTAGCTTCTTGTGCAATCTGTTGCGGTGGCACGTCGGGAACTCCATCACTTCCGAAGATTTGCGATAACTCCGTTGTCGACGCGTCATGGTGATCCAACATCCATAGTTCCCAGCTTAAATGGTATGCTAGATCGCTAAGCCATGCGTCTGGGGGCGCCTCTGGATCAAGTGCCATTGCCATTTTGGAGTCTAAAGATGACTTATGCCTCAACAACGTCGTTCGTCCAGGATATGTCGCATAGCCGAATAAAGTCGAAGAAACAAAATTTACCTATGTGCTGTGAAATAATACTTTTGTAAGCAATTTGTGGGCAGGTTAGGCTAGTCGATGTTTCGTGATAGAGACAATTAGATTGGTGCGGTTAATGCTGCCTTTTTTTCTATAAAACTCATCAGCTGCCTTAGACCCACTAAGGACAGCCTTGGGCACTAATATTGCAAGAACCTATACGTTGGGTATCCTATCCGGTATTGAACGAATTGTATTGAAACTTCACTTACTCCCATCTCCGCTGGGCTGTGGATCGAGCTTCTTTTACCATTAAGATGTGATACTAGTGATGCAAGAACGTAGAGCTGGCCTTGAAATAGCGCCGAGTAGATATGATTTCAGCTTACCTTTGGCCTAGATCATTTATCGTTTTGAGCCATCAGAGCCACGAACATAAATCATGTCCCATTTGATTAGCTGCAAGATTCCAATAGATTGTACTGATATGTGCAATTTATGACTTGGTCTCTCCCCCTTTCCGTCTTTTCTCAATATCATCACTATACCAAACGCCCCTTGGATAGCCTACTAGGTAAGTACCCCCCACGCTTAGTAGATCCCATTCCGCAATATGAGGTAGCTTCATTCTCGCAGATGGGGCATCTCGGTTGAACCTAACCTGGGCGAAAATATTCTTTCTGACTGGGTGACGAGTATCGAGTCTCATGGCACTATAGTTGGAAAGTCCCTTTGAGTAGAATGAAAAGTAAAGATTCTTACAACTTTCGCCATATAGTACGTTGAGGCGATTCTAAGTTATTTTTCGCCTTTGTCTAGAGTCTAGATTCATTCTTGCTTCGGTATACCTACCTTCTCTCCAAACATGCCACATAAAACAATCATTCAGGAGTGTTCTCCAGATGTTGAAGCTGGAATGTATGTTCCTAGCGCGAAGATGATTAAAGAGTTTGAATATATGAACCTTCCTTCCCTCGGCGACTCTATCGATACTATTCTGTTGAAATCAAATGTCAAGTTCCGCAACACCATTGAAGTCAACCCGAAAACCACTGATAATGTAGCTCGTCACCACCCTGAAACACGTAACTTACTCCGTGACTTGCCATACGGAGGTATTGGTAATGTGAAAGATCTTTCCTCCTTCCTATATGATCAGCAGGCTGTCGTAATTGGTGGTGCTATTGTCCGCAACGTCAGTCTAGTTGTGAGCGAGGAACCAGGAGACGGCAGTCACTTCGGCGACTTTCGTGTGCTGCCAGTACAGGTTCCCGAGGGACAAGAAGCAAAGCTCCTCTCAAAAGAGCCGGAAGCTGACGAAATTTGGACCCCGATACTTCTTTTCCCTGAACCTTACATCGCACCTCCTGGTTTCGAGAATTTTGATCTCTTTGAGGAGGGTAGAGATTATGACGTCGTTTTCCCTCGGGTATCGATAGGTCCAAAGCCCTCACGAAGTGACCTCGAAGATGTTATGTTGAAGTCTGGTATGAAAATGGACGTTTTGGACCACTATACAGTCTCGGGGGATATATTCGACTTTTGGGGTGTTAAAGGCCTCACAGCTAAGCTGTACAAATACAAAGGTCAGCTCTCCTACCATGTGTACTATTATTCCCGTATCTCTAGTGGAGCATCTACCATATTCTTTTCTTTTTGTGGAAGCATTCGTACTGAGGCTAACGCTATGTATAGGAATAGAGGACGAAGCCTCGAAGAAGAGAATATCTACTAGGGACAATGCGCTGGAGTCCTCTCTGGAAGTAATTTCCATAGATGCTCAAAGCCTAGCCCTCGGAGGGAAGCCTCTCGAAGCATTGTTACCTTTCATCGACAGCGAAGACTTCAAGAACCTCCCTATCGCCAACCTAAGATTGACCTACTCCGAAAAAGTGATCCAAAGTTCGTTTCAGCAGCCTGGACTTCGACTGGAGCTCGACATCCCATTACAAGGCTGTTTGGATTGGGTCGGAGACGCCATCGAAATCCTTTTCGGAACGTCTGACAAACCACATACGATTCACTTCAGTGCATTACTCTCCGAGGAAAGAAACTGGTCTAAACCCCCGAAGATAGAGAAGATTGTTCTCCAGGGGTATTTCAAGGATATGACATTCAAGCCTTGGAATGTTCTTGATTTCAAGACACTCGGCATTGAGTTAACAGCAGAGAAGAACGAGGACTCATGGGAATTCGGCTTTGGATTCCTCGGCGTGGTAGCGCTGATGGGTATACCAGAGGCCCAAGCACCACTCGAGCTGGGTTATCGTATTATCAGAGAGATGACCAAAGCTAAGACTGAGAGACGAGTCAAGCCAAGCCGGACCTGGTCTCTGCTTATTGATGTCTCAGGGTGGAAGGATATCTTTGGTTTCAAGAACTTTGACGTAAGTTTCACGAAATGATCTTTCCCTTATATATACCTACTAGGCATGATTACGAGAAGAGATCTATCGACTGATCGAGACATAATACCTATTCACAGATGGAGGAGGCAACCATGATGGCATTAATCGACGAAAGCCACTTTAGCTCATCAATCAACTTAGATGTTGTCGGTACAATCAGAATCGGCGATAGCCACTTCGAGGTCTGCGGGAGTTTCTCAAAGGGTTGGAAACACGCTTTGACGTGGACCTGGATCGCGATCGAGAGCCAAAATGATGTTCCAATGAGACTAGAGGATTACTACATTCAAGCCAGCCTAGGAAACCTGGCACTTGGCGATATCAAGAACCTCTATACAAAAGTCACAGGTCAAAGGACGTTGAATCACTCACAATATGATGGTGATGCCGATGGCAATATCACTTTCAAGAACATGAGTATCCGGATCTCTTGTACTAAGTACTCCGATATAACGCACAATCGCAAGTCGCTGGAGCTTTTGGGTGAGGTCACGGTTGGTGACACTACTTGTTACGCGGCTAGCTTAGCCTTTGCCACTGAAGGTGTCACGGTCACGGGCGATGTAAGAAATGTCCAGATTCCAGGAACGAATTTCTTCATTGAAAATGCAGGGTTGATGGTCTTCCTGGCGTTCAAAGGAAGTAAAGGGAAGAAGAACGATGTTCTTAGGGAAGGAAAAGAACACCACAGTCCGCAAGTGGGGGATTCCAGCAGCGAAACCAGAAGTAGATTCTCGATACGTGGTATCATGAACTACCACAACATTACCTTTAGAGCTGGCTTCTACACGACAAAGTACAAAAACAGTAAAGGACGGGATTGGCTCGTTTTCGGCTCGGCTAACAACTCAAGACTCCGGGATGCTATGCCTTCTATTAAGGAACAGAGCTTTCTAAATCTTCAGCTAGAGAATGTCACGGTCATTGTCTCTTCTCGAGACAGAGGTATGAGTAATGGGACGAGCATGGCCGAAAACAAGACCCTGATGGGTCAAATGGATACGGACGACGAAGCTAATGATGGAGAGCACGCAGACTGGGATGCTCTGGCGGAGATTGAGGAATACGGCTATGAGGTCAAGAAGGGTAAGATGAGGATCCAAATTCCTGTGCATAAGTAACTGCTAATCTAGGACGGTTCAGGTTTTCAGATTTGTGCTACTATTCCCAGATTCGAACAACTAGAACATTTGAACAATGGGAGGAAGATAGATGGCCTACAATTATCCTTAAGCGCTGACACCGATGGAGAGGTCACAGCAAAGATCAAGCTGCCGTCATCTTTCAGAGTGAGTCAACAAAAGCCTGAATGATTTTTACTGAGCTCCGTGACTATTGAGGGAAGCTAATACAACAGTACATCTACTACAGGTTAACTTGTCCCCCTACGCTTACTTTTCCGGGTTTTCCGCTTCTATTGGTGCCCATGCCTCATACGGGATGTGCCTACAGCTCAAGGCAACTCTCACTCTTATAATGGAAAATTCAGACCCTATCCATGTCAATGGTATACTCTTTGGGACTGTGCGAGAAGCTGGTGGATTGCTGTGAGCCCATATACCCCAGGTACCTTCTATGCTTCATACCTATTTTCTGACTGAATAACTTTCGTGGTAGGGTGATGGATCCGAATTCCCAGTGGATCAATCCTTTCAACCTAAATAAGGCGCTCATAATCTCCAATCTCGGTATCGAAGCTGGATTCAACTATGCGACAGTACTTCAACTCGGTCCAACGTGAGTCGCGCGAAACCTTATCAGTCTACCTAGTAGTAGAAACTAATAAAAATTACATATAAATAGTCGCTTCGCCCTCAAAGGTCAAGTCAATATAGGCGACTATAAGTTTTGTATGGATATGGGCATCGACGTCACCAAAGCAGCTACTGTCTTGCGCATCGAAATGCCTAAGCTAGATATGTCCGATATTTTTTCAATTGCCAGCAAACTTAGCCAAGACGAATATTTCGCACAAAAGGCAACCCAGACGAAGGACATCATTTCTTTCAACGACCTTAAGCTATACCTCTCCTCTGGAGCGAAATTCATGTGCGAGTATTATCCTCGCGGCGTACAGATCAGAGGTAGATTCATTTTCCTTGATAAGCAAGGTGAATTCAACGGGTCATTTACAGATGATGGCTTAGTTATCAAGGGAGGATTAGACGCCTTCAGGATTGGGGGTCTCGAGATCACTTCGTTGAAGGAGTACGATGGCAAGAAGCGTGCGACATTACATATCGAGGCCACGAAAAGAACACATAAGATCCTTATCGACGGAATCATCCGTTTCTATGGTATTGAGCTGCAGGTCTATATCAATGTTTACCTTGAACAAAGACTCCTCGAGTTCGATATTCGAATCAAATTGACCGAGGCTCTCATATTCTCTGTAAAAGGTATCATTACAGTTGGTCGTTCGAAGTCTTTGGAAAACACGGAGATTCACTTCATAGGCCATCTTGAAGCGAGGATCATTCAGTCTATTGGCGAGGGCATTATCAATGTCATTACCGCCCTCGAGGACCAAGCAAATAATGCGATCAACGAAGCGGAGGCTCAAATTTCAAGACGTCTCTATCATCTCAATAACGAACTCATCACAATGAGATTAGAACTCGAGAAGCTAAAATCCAAGTCAAATAATGAAGTGCTGAGGAAGCGCCAGAAGATCAAGGCACAAAACGACGTCCTACGAAGACTACATGATCGAATTGACGAGCTGGGCGCGAAGTACAAGGCGGCCAAGTCAAACAAGGAGAGAAAGGAAGCCGAAATTGCGGAACAGAAGAAGAAACTAGACCAAGCTAAGGTCCAGCTAGAGAAGAAGAAGCGTGAGATGAGGCAGGAGTATAATCAGAAGATAGAGGAGCAGAGATCCCGGCAGAAGCACTATGAGTTAAAGAGGGACAGGCTTCAGCAAGAAAAGGATCGGGCCTGGGGAGACGGTTTACGAAAGGTGATTGCCGCAAGCCCTCACCAGGACTTCTGGACCGGTAAGTATACTGCCCTTTCCCCTTCAATAGCTTCGAATGCAGATTCTAACGCAGAAACCCCAACGAAAAGAGTTCGTGAACGAAAGATATAACTGGAAATGTACCTGCGAACGGAATTTAAAAAGCTGTGGGATCTTGCAAACACCGTACTGGGTAAGTCTAGAATCTCCTTGCTTGCTCAGAAGTAGCCTTTCAAGGGCAAGCAGGCACATGACATTTCGTACAAAATTTAACATTGCTCGCAGACGTGGAAGTTGAGTGAAGCCACCCTGGGTTTAGAGCAAGCAAACGCACGCAAGGCTTTCGAAAAGCAGTTGTACAATGCCACAAAAAAGACCCTTGAATCGAATGAATTCAAGAAAATCGAGCGTGATATCCAGAATACCCTATACGATATAGGTAGATTTGGGATGGCGGTGCAAAAGCTGATCGAAAAAGGACCCGCAGCTTATATCGAAGAGATGACTCGCGACGAAAGAGCCAAGCTGGACCGACAGATTTCTCTGTATGATGAGCTCTTGCGACAAAGCAAGAGGCTCGAAAAAGAACTTATACTTGCTAGGAACGCCCTCGAGACCGAAACGGAGCGGCTTAGGCCTGAGCAAGAAGCGGCACGGGAAGCCATTGCTGAGCTTGAGGCCGAGATCGAGCTCATGCCATTCAAGAAAGAATACGAAAACAAGAAGCAGGACTTTGATACGATAAAGGCGCAGGCAGATGCGCTGGTCAGCACTCTAGAGGATATCAGAAAGGGGGTTCATGCTGATGCGGATGCGATCCGGCAGGTAACCAAGATGCTCATGAAGGGTATACCTGAGATCACGGATATATATCTCGAGGTAAATTCCAACATGTTTGCCGAGAAAAAACCATTGATATTCAGCATCACGGTGCGGTGGTTGAATGAGGACCATACGTGCCGTGTTGAGTGGTCGCCGAACCAGGGGGCTCATGAACTGTACAGCAACGGGGCTCGGAAAGTGGTTGCTTTGGCTGATAAGTAATGGCATTAGGTACCTGTACACCGAGGTATTTCAAGATATGTCTGGAGCTGTTCGCAATGTTGTTGACCAGTTAAAGTTGTAAATAACTTCAATTCAATCAGTTGCACTAGCCGATCACGATTCAATTGATAGGTGCAAAGCGCACTATGATTAAAGGGAGCTTTAGTGACTGATTCGCTATATCTTAGCACATGTTATCTGCTGAGAAACTCCAGGGCTTCTTACAAAGTAGACTTAATCATAGCGCTATGTATCACTAAAAACACCTATAAATACAGCGCCTTTAGGGACGGGAAGCTTTGAACAAATTTAATTGGTTAAAAATAAGGTACCCCACTAGTAGATTTACAGTGAGTGTGGGGATAAGTCTAACGCTGAAGACCCATTATAATCCCCTAAACTTTAGTGGACTTACATGTTCTAAAACAGCCCTGGAGCCTCTGAAACGAAAAATATTACCAAGACTGGGCACATAAGATACCTTCACATGGCTACACGATCACATAATTCGCCCAACACAGCTCTTAAACGGTATATCCGACGTTTATAAATTATTATACCGTGAACAATCAGTGAGAAAATGACAATGCTGTCATTGCTGCAGCGTAAAGAAAATCCAGGCCGGCCTAAGCTCGGGAGCCTGTGGTATCTCCAGCGAAAAAAACAAAATCCTTCTCCCAATTTCCCATTATCCTGAGCAACATGATGGGTAACCTATCACCGCCTTTGGTATCGAGCAATGTAGGTCCAGACGAAGGAGATTCGCAAGCCAAGAAAGTGAACTTGGCTGGCCCGCCCTACTGTCCTGCGGAGGATATTATAGTAAACAGTGATGCCTAGTAAAGTGTTAGATGATTATGCTGGATAACAAGTACATGTAACTTGAATAAACCAGAAACTTACAGTTTACTGCCCAAACCATACAGGTCACCCATTAACCCCCAGGTTCCTTTCTCAGGTATCCTTACAAGTGGGAAGCATTGCGAGCTTCAATGTTATGTCGGCGAAGGTGACGACCGACACTCTCTGCCATGGTGCAAACTTTACCACAACTGGGGAAGTGGCAAGTTATCTTGCACACCGGATCACATCCGCAGGCGGTATCGTTATGATCCCGAAGGTGGGCATTAAGTTCCCGTTCGTTTGCGAATACTTGGGCACACCCCGGCCAGTAGCATCTAGTTCCGATGTGCACATCGGCAAGGTGTTGTCGATAGGTGGCCCTGTTTTTAAAGATTTTGTGACACTGTGCACACTGAAGAACCGCGTTGTTTTGTGGCACATTATGCTCCGGAGCTTCTGGAGCCTCTGGAGCGTCCTCTGCATCATTGTCATTGTGGTCTGCTGAGACAGATTGGACGGCGTGAGTTTCTTGTGCAGGTGCAGCTGCGATGATTAGCTATTGAAAGTTATGGTTTATCTTTGTGGACATTTACGTACCAACATTGTTAAGACCACCTTGCTGTTGTTCGTGGTTAGGGATTAATCCTTGGTTCCCTCCGACCTGCTCTTCGGTGAGCGGTGCCGCAGACATGCGAGCACGGGTATTATACTCGGCCTGAGGGGTGGAATGGCCGGAACCGGAACTAGAACTTGAACTTGAACTATATGATTCAGAAGATCCGGAGGCCGAGTGGGAGGATATAACAGAAGGGGAATATCCGAAAGATGCATCGGACGGTGAGTCGGATTGGGACTCAGAAGAGACGTCCCAATTGGAAATTAATGATTCGGATGATCCAGAAAGTGAAGGGGAATAGGAACTCGACGTGGATGGCGAGTATCCGCCATAGGACGAAGAGGTGGAAGTTGTCGAAGACATTGTGATATACGTCTAAAACAGCATCACAATTAATAACGCGATACTATAGATGGGTAGAATAGGTATGAAAGATGTTTATAATACATACCTGATGCAAATAACGCGCGTACAAGTGAGTTAGAAATCAACGGATTACTGCCGAACAACCGTGCTTGTTACAAAACAAAAGATGAAGAACGAGAGTTGGTGATATTATAAAAAGAGAAAGTTGGTATTAATGTGAAATCACCTTGCAGGTTTTAATTTGAATTCCTAGTAGGCTAGTACCTAGAATTTATATCTTCTTGGGTTCATGCCAGTCGTCACCTACCATTCTAATCTAACACCAGAAATATTGTACAACAAAATTGTCACCGGTAATAGCAGCAGTCACTGCCTAAATACTGATGGTAAGGAAAGAACGATGCAGGGTGACAGCTGCATTAAACTCCGTGCCCACCTGCCAAGCTGGGGTAATCAGCTGGTAATAGCCATATTAGGTATATTTTTACACGACAACAAAGTTGGCGATACTACCATCCCTCTATAAGGAGGTCAGATTTTCCACAATCACCTTTCAACGAAGCCTCGGTTATTAAAATGAAGCCTAATAAACTTTAAAACTACTCTAGTCCAATGGATGGATCATAGCTGGATTGGTTGTGACAGAAAATTTCTATTTTGAAGAAATGAAAAGACGCCAGCTGGTGGCAATTTTCGGTGGGGGGCCCCAGCAGGTATATAACGCGTCACGCGTAGAACATTCTATTCCATAAATATGGGAAATTGTTCGTGATTATTTTATTTCGATCATGTAAGCGATCGTGGTCGTTTATCCGCCGGGGATTGAGTAAAATAATATATTAGAATAAACTCCGGCGGTGTGAATGCACAAGGAGGTGAGGGTAGTTTATATAGTAGAATAATCACTTCCTTAAGACATGATCATTGGACTTCCACGAAAATACATGTTATCAGAGCTTCTGCGGCTCCGATCAATCAATGGTAGGTACATTTACGATGGCAGGTCTGGTAAATACCAAACCTATGACAGTTTGTATTTGTAAGCTAATAGAGCCCCTTCTTTCTTTCCATCACTAGCAAACATCCCATCCCATGACAGATTCCTATAATACTTAATGGCTCACGCGGCTGCGTAGTCTGAGCACATTCGAGTTATGTTGTCTGATATGACGCGCCACGGTTTCCGCGAAGGCATAGCGACTACCACAACCGGGCCAGTTACAGGTTAATGACTTCTTACGGCCCCGAGAAGAAGCGTTGTTGTGTGCGATGAGGTGATTATTCAATTCTTGCTCAGTCTCAAAGGTTTGAGAACAATTCCCCCAAAAACAAGTCGTCCCAATGTGCTCCTCAGCTTCGTGACGCTCAAGGATATAACGACGGCGATACACCTTGCCGCACTGCGCGCACGTGAATTCACTGGGGTCTGGCTGGGATTGTTGACGGCGTGTCTGTGCACGAGTGGTGGTTCGACGCGGCTTGGTTGGAACGTAGTCCTCGTCGCTAGCTACGGTGCTTGTTAGTGTGATCGCTGAATAATACGACGAAGAAAATTATAAACGAATAGAAAGGTAAGGGATGAAAGTTAGACTGCAAATATCTTTCCTAGGATGAACTATTACTTTTCAACTTCGAGAAGAGTTACTTACAATGGTCGTTGTCAATAATGGGAAGAGGCGTTGGTACCCTGTCCGGGCTCTGGATCGACGGAGCAGACATGGTGAAAGTTGCTCTGTACGATTTATTAGCACAAGGAAGTTCACAATAAGTACTTCACAAGTATCAAGCAGGGAAACTATTTGAATAATACATACGTGGTGTCAAGACGCAGGCGAGACGAAGGAAGGTGATTGTTGGCGTGAAAAAAAAAGATGTAAAAGAAAGGCACGGGGAAATTTAAGGTCGTCGATTATATATACCCCTTCGAGAGAGCTACTGATTTCATTTATAGCATGGTATCTCAGTATCTACAGCGGACTGGGACAAGATTTAGCTTAGCAGAACAAGATGAGGTAGCTCGGTAGGTAACGACTTACCTACTACAATAACTAGGAACCAGATTAATAGAACTCGATACTCAGTACACAATGACCCAACGATTGATAATGGTAATTATTATATCGAAATTCAACTATGCTGCATCTTAACGTTACAACATGCTAGGTAAAATTATGAAAATAGCTGAATCAATTCATCTTGCCTTTATTGTACCTTATGGTATATCTTAGAGGTAGTTCTACTTTTATGTCGTTTTTTAGTGCTTTTACGTGATAATGTAGTCAATAATACCGCCATCCCGTGTGAAAAGGGGCTTTGCGGAATTATTCGTGCTTACGTAATCACAGGCGTCCTTCTGATAATTATTGTTAAAGACAAAAGGGATAATGCGTAGCCAAACGGCCAAGCCGTCACTAATTCAGTATTAAGGGCCAAAGACCTTCGTGATCTCTAGGCCTAGTACACTTCTCGCGTCAAGTCCATATTAACATGAGTGTTCCCTTTCCCTTAATAACGCGTCCAACACAAAACCAAACCCATCTAGGCCATCGAATCTACCTCCTTAATGGTTACCAGCAGCCTTCTTTGCCTTGATGGCATGGCGGCAGATGTGGCGTTGGACTGTCCCCATGGTAGTGCACTTCTTGCCGCAGTTTTTCCAATGACAGATCATGTGTCCATCGGTAACTCCCTGCGCAGCACGGTCATTGTGCGACTTCATGTGGCGCTTGAGTTGTGCTTCGGTGCTAGTCGTGAACCCACAGTTATCCCAGAAGCACCTTGTGCCAACATGCACATCACCTAGGTGCTGTTGGTAAGTCCTATTTGACTTAAACACCTTGGTGCATTGGCTGCACGTCAAGCCATGGTTGGCGGGCTGGGCCGGCTGTTGATCGACGGGGGGGTTCTCGTCGACTGGGGGGTTCTCGACTGAGGGAGTCTCAGCCGCGGGCGCGGCGGCGTCCTGGCTGGTACTACTTCCAGCTTCTATAGAATGTATTAGCATTGTGGCTACCTAGGTAGTTTTATAACATATAAAGCTCGCAGATTAGAGGATAAGAGTTAAAATCGATAGTAGTCGGCATTATTTTTGGGGTTCAATAAAACTTGCGTACCTTGAGTGGCACGACCTCCGAAGGGGTGCCGGCCTTGCTGCTTATGCTCTTGGATAAGTAAGAGAACCCACTGGGTTTGCTCGGCCGTGAGAGGGGTGCCCGGTCGGCTAGTGTATGCGTCTGCCCCAGGAGGAACGATGCCGACAGTCTCACACATGAGATTGATTAGAGGGTTGGTTCCATCATCAGTGTTGTTTAGGGAAGACATGATGAAGTCGATTGAATCAAGGTCTAGGTATAGTGTCGTGTTAGCGCGATCAACGAAGATCTATCATCGATTATTGAGGCATAAGCCGGGGGGAATAACGTACCAAATTGCAAGCAGTAGCGTGGGTGATTGTTTCAAAGGTAAACGGTGAATATTGCGCGGTAAATCAAGCGATTGTTTGGGTGAATAATGGGTAGCAATAATCTTGAGTTTTGTTCTGGTACTTTTCAGTGTTGTTGTTGTAATAATTGTTAAGTGAATCTTCCACAGAGATATTGTAGAAACTTAGAAGTGGACAATGTAGAACGTGAGGGCGGTGGGTTGGATAATGCAGAAATTCTGCCGCTCGTCACCTACCCAAGTACCATTCGAGTCCGGTGAAATTGTCGGATTCGATATCGGGACATTGCAAGTGCTAGGCAACGAGGATGTCACTTGCTGCCAAAAGGAGACAATATTACTGTGGATAGGTAGGTACCAAGAAGACAAGACAGTTCCCCCAGTAGACTAAAACCATAGCAACAGACGATCAGGTATTTAAATTTAATACAGCTCCAGCTGCAGAAAGCTCAACTTCGAATTCATCATTAGGTTTATGCCCGAACGCTCATTCAGCTAGCAGGTATTCCCCCCTGCGTCATCCGAGTATCTCGAGGCCCTCTAGGCCATCAAACGCGTCAGAATTGATGCAAAACTTTTACTTTCATCAAATTTAACGTGGTAGTTCAACTTTGATGATATCTACAGTCTTCAAAACTAACTTCACATGTATGGCTGAAAGTTTATATATTTATTGTGCTAGTAAAAGGATATCTAGCGAACATACCTCCAGGATGGGTGGCCGTATAAATAGAACGGGTTGTCCGCTGGTTTTGTGTATTATCATGCATGGCTCCTGTTTCCATGCTGCTTGTGGTAGTTTTCAGGCTACTGGGTGATTGAAAAAGAATCCATAAGTTTTTATAGCAACATACTCTTATAATACTACTGCAAGAATGCAATCTATCAATCCACAGGTCGGTATGAATACAATATATTCAAACGGCATGCCACCTAAGATCTATTATTTATAGGAGTTTGTACCATATCTAAGTAAGTATATTACATCTGACCTAGCTACCCTCTACCCGATAAATGAGTTAAACAGCACAAATAATTGTAAAATAGACACCTACTAAGGCAATCTATTTAAAATTCTATGTAGCTGAGTATACCTAGGTAAAGGGGTACTTTATATAACTTATACGACGTCTAATCTATGTAGAAATATTACGTAAGCATGAACGTGATGTTCGGACCAAGTGATTAGTAAACAGTTAAATGAAAATATTCATTATCACGTACGTTTACGAGGATAAAGGGAATGCTTCCTGATTCAAAACAGCCAGAACTCCTCTTGACAGGGTGTGATCGTACCGCTAATCATCTCTTCCCAGGGCGGCGAGTTGGCGCTCATATGAACCGTCTTCAATAAGCCGACACGTTGGTAACAGTTGGGTTTCCCGTGGATTGGTGGAATCCGCTTTAGCATCAAGAATATGTTTATAGTCTTTTCTTGATACCTATCATGTAACGCGTGCAGTAAATGGATCTGAGCGAATTGGCAACGGTTCCTCCCAGGTGATGTGCATTGACCAACGATATCGTAATTCTTTAGCTCTTCTTTTCCCACCCGCGCATCGAAATACACCTGGCAGAATGTATCTTCGATTTCGAGAGCTTCCAAATCCGCAGCGCAGATCTTTATGTTGGTCGGTTTCTTGAAATGAAAATCCCACGCAAAACGATTAAAAGGGTTCTTATATCCACCACTACGCTTGGCCTCCAGACATAACCAACGAATGTACCACATATATAATGTCGTATTGAACTTTAAGTATCCGTATTTCAGCTTGTCGAATGGATTGTCCGATGACTCTGGCTCGCAATGAATCTCTTGAATAGCACCATCGATGAGGAGTGTCTTTGTGATCCTTTGAGCGTCGTTGTAAGCGCAGCGAGTGTCCTGCCCCATAGCCACCGACGCCCAAGACCATGATGGGGCTGTCGAGTCTCTTGGCCGTGGCTTGAGTTGATTTGAGGGACAATCGATAAACCACAGCAATTCAGTCGCTACTCTCTCCTCCCATAGACCCGCGGCATAGTTGAATTTAAGACGAGGTGCCAATATTTGCGCATATCCTGCAATGGCAGGCAGTACGTCATTGGGATATGTTAGATTTAGGCTCCTATATGTACAAACAATACTCGACCAAGCGTCGTGTTTTCTGATCTCTTGCAGGTCCCAAGATAACCTCTCCTGCTTCCCAAGCCAGTTGATCGGTTGTTCCGGATGTGGCGCCATACTCGAGTTGCATTCGCAGTGCGAAGACTCAAGACACCTGAATGTGAATTCTCCGTAGTTGCATTGGAGGAGGCGTGGAGATAACCAATACTCTTGAAATGCCCAGCCGCGAGTTGCCAGTGGGTACTTTTGTTCGATATCAAGAGCCGTTTGAGGCTTCCCTTCCTTGTCAAGAACGCGGGCTCCGATGAAATAGGATTCGTTGAGGGTGTTGGAGACTGAAAAACATAAATCTGGCCATTTATCCTTGATGAAACAGCCATCTGACGAATTAGGCGATGATATTGCAGCGATGGTGAGCCAGGCATTCCAGTATATCAAGCCCATCTTCCCCAATTCTTGAATCAAATCCACCCCGCCATCACCTTCTTGTATAATGCAAAGTGAATCTATCCATAGATACCGTATATCGAGTTCACGTGCAATAGATATTGCATCTCGGAAGTTTTGAGGGAGCTGTTTTATAGGGAAGAAGTTAAGCAGCCTAGGTAGGTTATGCTTCGTTGCTTGGTGACACTGGATAGTCTCATCCCAGCGATGACTAAGGCAGGCATACTGATACATACGGTCTGGCCTCGTCTCTATTAGTCTAATGCCGGATTCACTGCCTTGCTGAATGGGGTCTAGATCGAGTAGGCGGGTAGGACGGACGATACTTCCTCTATCAGCCGAGGAGGTATGCATCGAACAGCTCTGATGAGTGCTGGTACATTCATCTATCCATCGGTGTAGTCGCGTAAACGAAGTGTCTCTACCGAAGAGAATATTTGATTGAGTAATAAATTGTAGCTTTACGCTAGAACTTAGTAAATATTAGTTAACCCACTATTTTGGTGAGATTTTGCGACATACTCGGAAGTTGGAACAGCTGGATAGTCTCCTCCAAACATCCCCTATCTTGGGCTCGCCGTTTGACCTCAAAAACTTTCGAGATGGAGTACTCATATAGTCCAGAAAAATCACTATTATCCGTCGGGAATAAATTCGTAATAATTCGCCGCAGAACCTTGCATGATTCGCATCCACGTGTAGCAGATTCTGCAATTTCACCTATACTGAACCATTGGCCTGCAACCTCATCAGCCTTGGTCTTGGGCGTTTTGCGAAACTGTCTTTTAGTATCTTTTCTTCCTTCACAGTCTAGAAGGCAGCCCGTCGTGCCAAAGACATCGAAGAACCTCTTCCAAACATACGATTTCGCGGATTGATCATTTTTGATAATTTCAATCACGTCTTCGCGACGAAGAATTTCTACCGACATGTTCAAGGAAATAATATCATCTTCAATGCTTTTGAGATATGACAATGAGGGGAATATGAAATATGGAACCCCCCAGAGACGATACCTTAATGCTAGGTAGATTAAACATTGAACTGCAGTTGAAAATTTCTCGTCTCACCCGCACGTATGTAAATACCTAGGTATATTTATACGCTAGAGCCGGTGACCCAGTCGTACGGTGTTTTGTAGTGGTGTTACTTTGATCCATGGATAGAATCTTATTTGCAGACAAGTAGATCGAATTGGCGTACGTAATCATAGAAGCGGGTAACCTAAGACCTGCCATAATCAGTTAATAGATTGGTACCTAGTAGATATGGTTGCATTTCTTAAGTTTTTGAACCTTGAAACATTGGAACTTGAAACTGCCAATTTACAAATTCGTAATCCAATCGCTTACGTAATAGGTATCTCTAGAGGCGTTACGTAAGGAGCGGATATTTCATGTATTAATTGTACTGTGTCGCACTGTATTTTAACCTACCATTCTCCGCGTTACGTAACCGGTCAGTCGGGAAGTAGCCAGACTCATGGTCCTATATTGTAATATTATCACATAGATTACTTTTCCTAGCTCATTCACTTACAGCTAGAGACAAGAAGAAGTTATTGACTTATATCTGGACCTATGGTAGCCTCCATAGCATCCGCTTCGGGAAATCAGAACTGCGCCAAGGACGTAGTCCTACGATCGGGTCCAAGCCAATGGAACGTAAGAACACCCAGCTTCTGAACTCAACTCAAGCTGTATCTCTCCAAGAATGATCTGCCACTGAAATCCTTCACATAGATAGAACTAGGAGTAGCTGGGTTGTCGGATTTAACGCCGTTGATCATGGGACTCCGTGATTCTGCCGCCAGTCTGTACCCCGCACGGATTCCTTGCTCGGGATTATGACATACCTTCGGCAGGTGTATGATTCGACTAGATGTCAGAGATTGGCTACCTCATCCCGGTATAAGTACGGCCGTTACGGACTCCATAGGTTCTTGTGTGTCCGTAAACTCGGGCTTGGCCTTTAGAAACGTAGAAGCGATAATACTAGAAGAAAAGTAACAGCATGCCAGGAGTGATTGAAGAATCTCCCTTCAAGACCATTCAGGTCAAGGAGTTGCACCCAACCTTCGGGGCAGAGGTCAGCGGAGTCAACTTCCAAGATCTATCAGAAGACCAATTCAATGAGATCCTCGCGGCCATGGCCAAGGTAACTAGACCCCGTCTAAGCGTACGATAAGAACAAGTACTGACAGAAAACCACCGCAATAGTACGGCTTCTGCGTCTTCCGCAACACGGGCCTAGACGACACCGCACACGTTGAATTCTCCTCCCGCTTCGGCGAGCTAGACAACATCCGACGATACCTAGGCGGAGGCCGTCTACCACGCTACGCCCTCTTCGAGCTCTTCGACGCCGGCAACATCGACGGAGAAACCGACACGATCCTCCCACCAGACAGCGCGCGCGCGCACTCGAACCGGGGCAATGGGTTATTCCACGCAGACTCGTCGTTCAACCCGCGACGGGCCTCCTTCTCGCTTCTACGCGCGTGCGAGTTGCCTCCGCCTGGCAACGGGGGAAACACGGACTTCGCAGACTCGCGCACGGCGTTCGACGAGCTGCCTTCGGATCTGAAAGAGGAGCTTCTGGCGAATGATTACGTGGGCGCGCACTCGATGGCGCATTCGCGGAAACTAGGGTCGCCTCAATTTTTCGCAGACGTGGATCCGAGGGCGGGGTCGATGCAGCGGCATCGGCTATTGCAGAAGCACGAGCCGAGCGGGCGGATGAACCTGTTTATAGGTGCGCATTTGCATCATATTGAAGATGCGGACGGGAATGAGATCCCGGGGTCATGGGACTTGGTGAAGAGGTTGAACGAGTTCGCCACTCAGAAGAAAAACACGACTACAGTGGAATGGCATAATGTTGGTGATATGATTATTTGGGATAATCGGTGCGTGTTACACCGCGCGGGAGGCGGCGCGTTCGAGGGGAAGTATAGGCGGGATTTAAGGCGGACGACGGTTCATGATGATAGTCCGACGGCCTGGGGGTGTAATCAGAAGGATACCATTTGGACTGGGTTTAATGCTCAGGCGAAGGCTAAGCATGCCGGCGCGGTGGGAGTGTGAGAGCGGCTGCTAAGATGGTTGAATACAAGTCTAGGAGTATCTTTATACGTGAAATGATAATATGCCATCGTTATAATGCTAATAAATGATGTATTTTGAGATTTTGAGTATCGGTGAATCGGTGAACTTGAATATTGCTCCGTTGATATCGTCATCCGTACTGCGGTGTAACTATGACGAGGGGCACATTGGGTAAGGGGCTTCCCCAACTGCGGACGTGCATAAGGTTAGGTTTACTGGCACAAATCATGCGGGAAGTGCGTCATGAAAGGTGGTGCTAGTCATTAGCATATAGACGTCGATGCTGATCCGGATTCGACTTCAAACCGTCGGAGACGTATAGGTATTTTGAGAAGATAGTGTTTGAGCTTCTATTCACCATGGTTCTGGAAACGACTCCTCGAAATTGGTATCGGGATGAGTATCTAATATCAACCGAACCGCTTCTTATTCAGATAGATGCTGTCAATGCGGCGCTTAGCTCTGACTTAATGTGGTGGGCGCAGGGTCTTCCACGGGACGAAGCGAAAAAAGCACTCCACAACTCTTTGTGTCTTGGGCTATACGTGCTCCCTAAATCAACATCGGAGATTGCTGGTATGTATCTTGCGATGTCTACCTTGAAATGATACCAAGCTCACGTTAATAGGCCAAGGCAGTCCCGTTCAGATTGGGCTCGTGAGGGTGGTGACTGATGATGTCACTTTCGCATACCTCTCTGATGTGTACCTTCTGCCTGAATACCAGGGTAAAGGTCTAGGCCGTTGGATGATGGGGTGTCTTGATGAGGTTGTCAAGAGCTGGGCTCATCTGCGACGGTTCATGTTATTGACCAGCGATAAGATGCAGCTCTATAGTAAATACCTCGGGGCCAAAGACTGGAATGAGTGCAACACGACAGGTATCACCATTGGATTAATTGAAGGACCCGCATCACCTCGCTCGAAAAATGTCTAACGCTGTCTGTTATAATCCCTTTTTTAGTCCTTAGTCGTCTTTCCATAAGCTCCGCCAAATGCTTTCCTCATTTCGATTGCCCGCTTGTAAGGTGGTGCTGTTGGAGGCTGTACTGGGTCGAGGGATACATGGTTTGGTGGTAGCCGATAGGAAGCATCGGAATCGAATGCGGATAAATCTCCACAGGCAATAAAAGGCGCAATCCATCTCACATCGTTTTCTTGTTTTTGATGGAGATCCTCTAGTTGTATTTCGGTAATTCCGTCTTGATCTGTAGTTTGAATAACGTCCGGAGAGCTATTCCACGCCCCTGTTTCTGGATTTTGTAATATGGTGGCAGCCGTGATGGGTAAACTTTCGGAGTTGTGCTCCGTCATATTTGATAAGCGGAAGCCAACTCCTAATGGTTCTTCGAGGCTTGCTGAGAATCCCTTGGGTGGCTGGAAATTCAGGCATACGATGAACGCCTCAACACTGCTGGCACGCGAGGATCTCGGTTTTGCGACATGGACCTCTTCGAAGAATATCTTGAGCTGAGCGTATAAGACATCCACGTTTTTGCCCCTAAAAATCTTGGCAACGAACTTGCCACCAGGCTTCAAAACGCATAATGCCAGATTCAAGGCTGCAAAAAGAAGCTGAGATTGTACATAGATATCTAGGTCATGTAATCCGGTTACATCGGGCGCGCCGTCACTGAGTACGAGGTCGACAGGGTGGGCGGCTTGCTGAGATTTGGTTCTGGAATTATATTCTGGATCCAACGCCTTTAGAAGTAGTGGAACCGTGGCTGGGTGGGTAATGTCAGCTCGGAGCGTGACGATCCCGGGCAACGGACTGATAGGCTGTAAATCGATTGAAACTATTTTCACGTCCTGCCGTGGCTTCAATTCAATGGGCGACGGCGTCGGTGCCAGGGATTCCAATTCGCTAGCATCAGAGTTGGGATTAAATAACCCCAACATCTGCTGTCTAAATTTCGCATCACGGTCTTGCCAGGCTGCTCTGCCGAACTTCTCCCCCTTGATCAACACTCTGGAGAGAACTTGAGACCAACTTCCTGGAGCAGCACATAAATCTACTACGCGAGTGACATTGGCGAATAGGTCAAATTCTTATTTTTGGTCAGCGCTCTTCGTCGTCTCATTCAATCAGAGGAGTTAAGCCAACCTTCATCAAGCTGTAAGAGCTTGAAAGCGCTCCTTGCTCTCCATCCTTGTTCCTTAGCAAGCCTATAGTAGGCGTCCCGCTTGTCCTTAGAGGATTTCCCCATCTTTAATGTTTAACTTCAGTAAAATGTCGTGAAATTCAAGTGAATTGAAGATGTAAAACTTGAACCCCACCAACAATTTCTTCAGTTAAGTTGCTGTTTTGTAGGGCTGAATTAAGATGTGGTCAATGCGCATTTTCTTATCGTATCGCCGATAAGCTGATAAGACGATAACAGATTCAAAGTCCCAAAAATTTCCAGAACTTCAGCGTCGCGTATCGTGATTTTACCATCCCACCATACCCAATTTCTCCAACACCACAGTACACCATGGACGGCCTCAAGAAACGGAAGGCCACTGGTCAAAATGTGGATGCACCTGCAAATAAGAAGGCAAAATCTCACAAATCTGTACAAAAATCCACGAAAAAGACCCAAGCAAGGAAGCTTATGAGCGCCGATTCACTACAATGGCGCAAAGCAAAACTCCCCGACATGTTTGACGATGCCGAGGGATTCTATGGCTTAGAGGAAGTTGACGACGTCGAGATCATCCGAAATAGTGATAATACAATTCAATTCGTATGCGACACCTTTATATTTTAATTTCAAGATGCTAACAAGACGCAGCGGACAGCTGTTGCCTCGGATGCTGAAGACGGCGAAGAGGCCAAGGATGACGAGCCACTCAATGAAGAAGACAACGATGACGACGACGAGTTCGAAGGATTTGATGATGAGCCTATTACAAATGCCACTTCACAAAATGAACCACCCAACCTACCCACAAATGCCGTCGAAGGTGTAGAGACAGAGAAAAGGGATGCCGTTGATACCCAAGAAAAAACGAAGAAAAAGCAGAAGCAGAAGGAGAAGAAGAAAGTTTCAAATGAAAAAGAGGATAAAGAGCTTGAGTCTAATGTCTTTGCCGGGATGAATGATGTAGAAGAAACGCAGGACGAGGTAGATGTGTCGGCCTGGGTGTCATTAGGCCTATCCCCCAAAATCCTTGGGTCATTAGCGAAGTTGAAGTTCTCGAAGCCTACATCCATCCAGGAAGCCGCGATACCACAGATTCTAGCCGGTCACGATGTCATCGGTAAAGCATCGACAGGTTCAGGAAAGACTTTGGCATTCGGTATTCCAATCGTTGAGAAATGGCTAGATTTATCCGAGGAGGGAGGAAACAACGCTTCTGAAGCGACCTCCAAGATTCCACTGGCTTTGGTTCTCTCACCAACAAGAGAACTTGCGCACCAACTTACTGACCACATCAAGAATTTATGTGCTGGTTTACCGACTTCTCCTTACGTATGCTCTGTTACTGGCGGTCTATCCGTCTACAAGCAACAGCGTCAATTAATTAAGGCAGACATTGTTATTGGAACGCCTGGGCGATTGTGGGAGGTCTTAAGTTCTAGCTCAGAACTGATGAAAAGTTTTAAGGGAATTCAATATTTGGTGGTTGATGAAGCCGACAGACTTCTGACAGAGGGCCATTTCAAGGAAGCAGCGGAGATCTTCAATGCCTTAGATCGGGTTGAAACAGAGGAAGACGAAGATGATGAAGGGGATGCGACGCCTTCGCCAAGACAGACCCTTGTATTTTCAGCCACCTTTCACAAAGGTTTACAACAAAAACTCGCTGGCAAGGGGCGTTATGACTTGATGAGCCAGCAAGATTCCATGGAATATTTACTGAAGAAGTTGAATTTCCGGGAAGAAAAGCCAAGGTTTATTGACGTAAATCCGGTATCCCAAATGGCGGAAGGGCTTAAAGAAGGCTTAGTAGAATGTGGAGCCATGGAAAAGGTGAGCTGAGCCGAATTATTGGAATTAACGATTACTAATTCTCTTCAGGACCTTTACCTTTATGCACTTTTGCTACTCTATCCAAATGTACGGACCCTTGTTTTTACCAACTCTATCAGTTCGGTCCGAAGATTGGCTCCTATGCTTCAAAATATGAATCTGCCGACCCATCCATTACACTCACAAATGCCACAAAAGGCCCGTTTGCGTTCTGTTGAGCGATTTACTAGTGCAAAACAAGGCCAAGCATCAATCCTCGTCGCAACAGATGTCGCCGCACGAGGCCTGGATATTCCGGATGTAGATTTGGTAGTCCATTATCACGTACCCCGCGCGGCGGATGTATACGTGCACAGGTCCGGACGTACCGCGCGAGCAGACAAAACGGGCCTGAGCATACTGCTTTGCGCACCCGATGAGGTCATTCCGACTCGGCGACTTATTTCTAAGGTACACTTGAGTAGTGGTAAGGTCAAGAAGAACTTCTTCGTACAGACGTTAGATATGGACCGAAAATTAGTCAATCGCCTAAAGCCCCGTGTTACCATAGCGAAGAAAATTGCCGACGCGGGGCTCGCTAAAGAGAAAGGGAGTAAAGAAGACGACTGGATGCGAAACGCGGCGGAAGAGCTCGGTGTAGAGTACGATAGTGACGAGATGCAAAAGGCCGGAAAGTGGGGAGGGCGCGGAGGTGGTCGCAAGGAAAAGCAGGAACAGGCGAGAGCTATGACAAAGGCCGAGCTAGGTGCCCTGCGCGCCGAGCTAAGAGAACTCCTCTCGAAAAGAGTTAATGCCGGTGTTAGCGAGAAATACATCGCTACAGGTTTGGTGGATATGGACGAGCTTCTGCGGGGTGCGAAAGGCGAATTCCTGGGCAAAGTTGAGGGCCCTGATCTCGAAACTTTGTAGCCGACCAATATCCTGGGCTATGGGGCTTCATATGCTCCTCTAAAAACAATTAAAAGATGTTAAGACGCCGGCATCTTGCCATGGATGCTGAATATAACGTCAGCAGTAGGACATCGTGCCGTACCTAACTCCCGTTAGCTAGGTATGGGGTAGTTACTATCGTCTTACACAGAGATAGATCACACGATGCGACCAAGTATTACCCAATGAGCTGGTGTTCGACGAGCGGCGTCAAACCTCTGACTTCGTAGTTAGCTGTAGATCTAACATGAGTACGGAACCGGGTATTCAAGGCCTAGGGCCTCATGTCATAACGGCCTTCACGATGGAGTCAACGGTCAAAGGCAATGGTTTATTGGAGTAAATAGCGTACCTGTTATGCTAGGACTCGACTGATGACATCATAGCTTTTCTTGAAATGTCTGAGGTAGTATGAACTTTAAGGTTTCTACATACAATAGGGGACTTGTAGCTCCCTAGGCTCTTTCAAGGGATGCCATTTCGTGAATATGAAACTAGAAGACATTTCCAGAACGTTAAATAATGGCATTATTCCATCTGCCAAGATATCAGTGTTACCCCCCGAATATCGTGGTCATGTAATCGGCTATCCATCCCATCTTTCATCTATCAATATAATATACTAAGATAAAGACAGGATCGAATTATCAAGTTGAAATAAGTATCCGTGGACTTACATTGGAAATTGCACCTCACTTTTCAATCCAACTGCGATCTTGTCCTCGAGGTCCGAAAGGTGTGTGAACTCTACGTCTCTATCCGGAACTATCTCGTAATACCTACGAAGAAAGTTTGACCCTTGTACTGATATGTCGTAGTTGAGGGACGATGTGACGAAATGTTCAACTTTAATAGACTTGTTGCAGGAAGAGATCCTGGTATCTTATATCGTGAACCACGTTGTCAGACCAATTCGACGAGGAAGGAGCTTTCAATTGCTCTAGTACTTCACTAAGGTATGCTATATGGAAGAATCCAAATAGGTACTTTCAATGGTTCCTCCTTGGAATGGTTACTGTTGGATGCGAAAAAGTTTCAGGGTATCTCCCCGAAAGCCGGATTGAAGTGTTACTACCTAGTAATATCTCGATGGCTTCAACTAGACTCCATCCATCCACAAACCCTGCTACAATGACAATATCATGCATATATCTCCGCATCTCGTGACCAGAGTATTAGGGCTCAGTCGTGGGACGTAAACTTTAAATATATCGTGGACGCTCTTTCTCGGGATCGTCAAGTGAGATCGTCGCTCTGGTGGTGTTTGAGGTCCGCACATTAGACCTCTTTCAAGCAAAGAGAAAATATTGGTGAGGCCAAGCATTTTAAGCCATAACTCCGGTACGAAGCCTATCGGATCAAACCTCCATTATACCCTTAATCAAGGCTCATCTTGTCCGAGCTACAGTATTTGCTACGCTCAGGACCAGTTCAAGAAGTGCGTGAACTCAAAGTCGGTCACATAAATGAATAGGTCTGTTCCCAAACCATTTCCCCTCAAATTCTCCCCTTCCAGAGAGATCCGGGAGGCGGGTAAGGCATAGTTTGCCAGGCCATATAAGCACCGGATCACCCCAATTTTACCTTCTCGTATTCCAAACTTACATCTTTATCTAGCCTATGATTTCGCGAAGACGAGCCCACGGGAACAAGGACCTAATAATTGCGATAAGAGATGCCTATGCCCAGAGGTATTAGCCGCACATAGTTAAGGAGACATGAGCAAAGGTCCCCGTGTTCAACACACCATGCCATCCGCGGGTATGTCCAACACGCGGCCCTGGAATTCCCAGGAGATACCCACGATACGCGTCGAGGCCATGGTGCAACATGATCACGACCACCCGCGGGAAAACGGCCTCACACCAGTATTAGAGGAACCCGAGACCACTAGAGGGGGCAGGCTTCGACGAATGAATATTGGTTTCGGAAGACGCCGCGATATTCAGATTCCGACGTCAGAGAGTCGAATACTGATTAAGCCTTCTGATTGTGGTGATAGACTGGGCTATAAATGGAGTGAAAGGTTGAAGTGGGCTCGACTCTGGATAATATTCCTAACCCAGGTATCGATGAACCTGAACACAACGCTCTACTCCAACGCTATTAGCGGCATTTCAGAGCACTACGGCGTCACCCCGTTCGACGTGCGCTGGGGCGGTGCCGCTTCGTTCCTTATCGCTTACGCATTCGGCTGTGAGCTCTGGGCGCCATGGTCCGAGGAGTTCGGACGCAAGCCCGTTCTACAGATCTCCTTGGGCTTGGTGAATATATGGGGAATCCTGGTCTGGTTCGCACCTAACTGGCCAGCACATGTTGTCGGTCGTACCCTAGGCGGACTGTCTAGCGCCGGAGGCAGCGTGACGCTCGCGGTCATTTCGGACATATTCGAGCCTGAGGATCCTATGATCCAACATGCAACTTCATTCATAGTGTTATCCTCGGTTGGCGGTTCTATAATCGGACCTATCATAGGTGGCTTCATTGAGGAACATCTAGATTGGAGATGGTGTTTAGGTATTCAGGTTCTCTTCGGCGTCTTTGTGCAATTACTACACCACTTCTTCATGCCAGAGACAAGAGTCACTGTTATCATGAACAAGGTAGCGAAGGAAGAGCGGAAGTCCGGTAGAAATCCCAACTTATACGGCCCAGGCGAGATCGCCGGCAAGAAGCACATCAACGTGCGCGAGTACGGGTCAATCTGGTTACGACCGTTTAGGATGTTCCTCTCCGAGCCGATAGTGCTCGTATTTTCCCTACTATCCGGATTTTCCGATGCGATAATTTTCAGTGAGTTCTTTTCTAGTCTTAGTCGCCCTACACATACTCCGAACCTCCTTCGGAAGTTGTATTCTCTCAGATTGAACGGCCTCATATGCCTTCTTGCCGTGTGACGCATACCTCTGCATATACCCAACCGAAGTGACCAGTATTAACTCTTGAACCTCCACAGTGATGGTCCAGAGTCTCAATTTCGTATACTGGCAATACGGCTTCAAAGCCCACGAGATCGGTCTGGCTTTCATACCCTTCGGCCTCGGGTATCTGGCCGCATACTCTGCCTATTTCTTCATTATTAAACACAACGTAAAGATGCGCAAGAAGAAACCCGGATGTGAGTACGCGCAATACGAATCCCGACTCGTTAGTCTGCTGTATGCCGCTCCGCTGCTGCCCATCGGTCTCATACTGTTCGCTTTCACGTCTGCCTACCTCTCAAGACCCATCCACTGGTTCCCGAGTATGATAGGCTCATTTTTTATCGGGATAGCCAACTTTTGTATTTATATGGGTACCATCGATTATGTTCTCAGGGCTTACGGTCCGTATGCTGCCTCTGCGACGGGCGGTAATGGCTGGGCGCGAGATTTCCTCGCTGGTGTGCTCACGCCTTATGCAATTCCAATGGTTAGTATTAGCAGTATACTCTCAAACAATGTTTCCGAATCATACTAACTGTCTCGCAGTACGTCGCGAATCCCTGTCTTAATCATTACACTTACCCCGAATACTAACCATCCAAACAGGTACGAAAAGCTCTCTGTATTCGTCGCAACGATAATCCTCTTCTCTATTGCCGTAATCCTTTGCGCATCTGTCTTCATCGTCTTTAAATACGGGCCTTGGCTACGCGAACACTCCAAATTCGCACAAACCCTCGCACACGCACAAGCGGACCAAGGAGCTCTCGGTTCACCCATCGACCCAACCGACGACGCCGAATCGCACGCTCACAACGCAGACGGCGAGCTCAACCGTATGGTCAACTTTCTCCCGTCGTCCAGCCTACCAGGAAGTCAATCAAACCTGCACCTCCCTCTTCCCTCCACAACCCCCGCCGGTACCCCGCGCTGCAGCGTACAGCTATCGCGCCCGCCCGCCGCACGCATGCATTCGTATCACAGCCACCTGAGCCGGCTCAGCGCGGAGATCACGCCGATAGCAGAGGACCGACCGACGACGAGCTCGAGTCGCACGTGCACCTGTAGTACCGAACGCACGTTGACGGGGACGTGTAGTCGGTGCAAGACAAGTGATGGGAGCGGGACTGGTGGGGATAACTCGACCCCGACTTCGTTACGAGAGATCGAGAACGCGAATGCGGATGCTATTGTGTTGGTGATGGAGGAGGATGAGGGCGAGGTTGTGATTATTTCGTCGAATCCGCCACGGAATAGCGGGGGCAATGGCGGGGTGGATCAATTTAATGAGAAGAAACGCCGTGGACATCGGTGTAGTGTGATGTAGATCATGCTAGGAGCTAATAGTTGGGGAGGTTTGGTGGAGGGAATGTTTAGGTATGTGGATTTTGGTTCGTTGTGGTGTGCGTTTGGGGACTGACACTGTGACGTAGGATAAGAATAGTGATGGATAGGGGCGAAATAGGGGGTGGCGCTAGGACTACGCCACATTTTGTAGCGGTTCTCAGGCGCCGCCACAACACCAAACCCAATGTGTATCAACGCGAATAACGGTACGGCGTTAGCAGCGTGTATAAGCAAAGCCTATGATTCATTCGCTTTTTTTATTAGTATATGGAGTATAGGTGTTATATAATGACTCAGTCTATTTGTGCTTGCACTTCAACAGGCGCTTCTAAGCGCGACTTCAGTCAGTGCGATCAATCACAAAGTAGGGACAGGGACGTTTGGAATGGTAGGTAGGTTTATGCTTCAAATTGGACTCCTCCATCATAGGCTATATACAGCGCGGAGAAAGTTCGAGTAAATATATACAGTTAAGTTAAATGCGTAGAATATATCCCTCCATCATGATCGTCCATATTTACATCTCCGTAAAATCAATAATTACTATAACAAGAAGCGAATGTCGGTACTATGTCGAAAAACGCCACAGGTAAAAAAAAAAAAAAAGAAGAAAATAACAATAATTGGGGGGTCCTCTAAGACGGAGCGCCGGCCCCCGATCCAAATGACCGCCGTGAGGTCGACAGTTGACTCGGGTAAGTGATTACTTGAGGTTGTTCTTGATGTTGTCGTACTGGCTGTTGGGGTAGCTCAGAAGGTTTTGCGTCGAGTCGAGGGAGCCAGAGCCGCCTTGGGAGTTGAATGCGGTTGCGATTAGACTACCGCTGTCGGTGCGGTCACCTGAAGCTTCCCAGAACCTGTAACATCGCGAGTCAGTGAGTTTCCTTTCATAATGTCTATGTCGCCAATAACTGAGAATTAAATCTCGCGTTTTGAGGTTTGGAGCTTCGATGATAAGAAAAGGGGGAATTGGCTCGGGATGGTACTCACATAGTGCCGCCAAGACCCTTGCTCTGGAGGTACTGGATCTTCTTGTTTATCATGTCGACGTTGTCGTAGCTGATGAGTTCTTTGGAAGAGCTGTCGTAGGAATATGTAGCGCCCGCGACGTCGTCGTAGATCTCAGAAGCGCCAGAGCGAGGTAGTACTTTGTAGTCCCAGACACCCGCTTCCCATGATCCCTTTAATAGTGGGTTAGTAATTTTTTAATAAGAGGATTTGGCTTCAAGCGTTCACTCCTGAAAAAGACTCGGAAAAGGGAGATATTACGTACAGTTCCGATACCCGAGTACGGCTGTCCAATGCCGGAAGTAGATTCAAACGAGCGTCCATATAGCGGAAGACCCAATACAATCTTCGAGGCTGGGACTCCGCCAGCGATGTATGCGGCAACAGCTGCGTCGGTAGAGAAGGGAGTGGATACAGGGGCGTTGGAGTTGGGGTGTAGGTTCGCCTGGTGGCCGGAAGTGGAATCCCAAGAACCAGCGTAATCATAAGCCATCAGATTGAAGGTATCGAGAACGGCTGCCATGTCGCTTAGGTGAAGCTTATTATAGTTGGTGGGTCCAGCGGGAACAGCAGCAGTTAGGAGGAAATCTGAAAGGGTAAGTTAGCAATTCCTTGAGGGTGATGGTTTAGGGGCTCGTTGGGCCTCGTTGGTAATGGAGGGCGCTATGAACATACGGTAGTTGTTGGCGTACTGGGCGGAGTATGCGTCCAGCTCACTTCGGATCTCCTTTAGGAGAAGGACGAAGTTAGTGGCCTGGGTGTCATCGGCGGGATACTCCCAGTCGATATCAAGTCCATCAAAACCCCAGTCCTTCATCAGAGTGATCGCTGTCGACGCGAATGTCTTCCTAGTTGTGTCGGTGCTAGCGGCAGCGGCGAAGTTGGTTGAATACGTCCATCCTCCAATCGAAAGCAACACCTAAAACCCCAGCATAGTTAGATAGTGAAGCACATATATCAAGAACTAGTACATACCTTTAGTTGTCGGTTGGCTTGCTTAAGCATGTAGAGTTGCTTGATACAGCCGTAGGCATTATTACCGACATCATTCCAAGCTAAGGTTCATGATGTGAATAGGTAAACTTTACTAGTGGTAGTAACAATATCCATATATCACTTACAGTCGGTGGCATAGTGCTTCTGTAGATCGGAATATGAGTCCGAGCTATATACTGTACCATCGGACTGAAGGTTGGCGAATGAGTAGAGAACTCGGTTGATCTGCGAGGCCGGAAGCTGCGCAGGCTGATAGTTACGTCCGTAGATACCCCTAGGTGGTGGTATTAGCTATGATTACCCATAAAGATGATCAACAAATATCTAACCAGTTAGTGAAATAGACCGTGTTCTGGAAAGAAGAAGCCCGCTTCTCGGCTTGGGTGATTGGGTTGGCCAGCCCAAGTGATGCCAAAAGCCAAGTGCTAAGGAAGGATTTAGCGGAAACCATGATGCTTGATGTTCAGAGTAATGACTGGCGCAGTCTGAAGGAATGGAATTCTGGACTGAGTGAAGAAATCTTGCTTGGATGTGCAGATATGAACGAAAGGCGACATGCTATTATATTTATATGTCTCCTTGGTGTAGGGAGCACAAGATCTCAGCACGCCTCAACTGTACCTGTGTGTCTCTCATGTGGTACAGGGGTGCGACTGAAGAATCGGAATTAAGGAGTCACTGACAAGCTAGCAGCCTCGACATGCCGTTCATGGCGGCTCTTCGACCCAAGGCGGCAACGTTGCTACTATCAACCCAGACGGGCTCCTGCGCTGATGCATCCCGTCATATTCCCTGCCGCCGCATCGTTTTTGGGATCTTTTCCGGTGGTGAAGCTCGTGAGAATTTTTGAGGGACAATCAAGCTGCACTGTATCTTGGAAGCCCTCGTGCACCCTCCCAGTTCCGCATAGGGAAGGTGGACGTTGGAATGTGTCTGACATATCAAGGACTTGAGAGTCTCGGTAATGGAGGTGGCCTTTGCTCAGGGGAAGTTGACGGCAGCAACCAATTAGAGACTGAATAAGTTAGGACCAGTACACCACCAATTACCCTTCGGACGAGATTAGCACAGGGGTCAACAGCTTATCACAGGGTTGTATGGATCCATCCATATTCGCGCTCATACCCCACCATCACTTGACCAACTTGAGATCTTGGGATAGTTGTCATAGATCGAGGCGTGTATGTCAAGGCGTAAATATCAAGATTAGATTAAAATTAGATGATCAAATGATTCAGGATAACAAGAAAGCTAACGGGCGTAAAGGTAATGTGGTGGAATGTGTGAGACATAGGGAAGACTTGTCTTAACATCGCTTCCTTACCTCACGCGATGGGAATATAATATCTTGGCTCAGACCCCACCAGACAGCAACGACTGTCAAGTTGGAAGCTTGAATCCAAGCTAGCTCCCGGAGCACTGTCGGTTTTTCATATGTGGAGAGATAAGGTATTTCCTAATTAGGGCTATCCTTCCCAGGACGACGTATTAAAGAGATCTAAACCTTGCCTTGCCGATGCTCGTGGTACCGAGGTCGAGCCTATGATGAGATTCTTTAGCTGACCAACCTGGTCGGTGCACCCCACTCCCGCTAAACCTTTGCTAGACCTCTCGTTGCATCAAGAACATTTGCTATACTTGCAACGTTACTGGCCCCGAGCAGGAATTTGGCGCCTTTGCGACGCGCCTAAGTATAATGGGCGCCATTTCTGGGGATGACATGAAGATTGGTTGTAGACGATAGCTTTATCCGATTAGGTAGAGTTGAGGCCTGGGATTGAGGGACGTAAACCCGCCGATTGCGCACTTGTAGTCGCATTTGTGGAGCAGTGCATCGTGGAGTAACCATAGAGGTTATGATCAGCGAGAGTCAACGATGCCGATCAAAACGTCTAGATTGTCGTCGTCCATTAATCTGTTGGAACGTAATCATATCCGACGTAGAATTTCCGTCGACCGAGCAAAAGGCTACAAAATCATCCCTGAGCCGCGTGACGTTCACCCTAGATCCTGCATATAATATCCATATCCATGTGGTACGGGCGCGTCAAGGCGATTGAAGCCTACAATATTAAACTCCCGATATCCTGGAATATGAGAATGGACGGGGCCACATTGTTACACCCGGTGATTTAGGGGACCTCATGATAGGAAACTCTTAGAGAAACCCTTGGACCTGTGGGGCCGCTTAAAGCCGCTGAGTGTTGACAGTTGCATTTCTTGATCCAACAGCCAATTCGGAGGGCTAATAACGGGGAAGCCGAACCGAGAAAGGGAGTCAAATCATTATGTCAGTGAAACATGACACTCTTCCAAGGTAGTTAAAGCCATGAGGCTCTTCGCCGATCGGATAGGTCAGACAAACAGGCGCATCGCGTTTGAAGGACGGTACCTGACATAAGGCGGGACCTTGTCAGATTCGAACGGCATTTGAATGATGCCACGAATGATACCATAAATGACGGCAGCATCCGTTCCGATAAAAGAGGATGCAGGTTGTAGGGAAACAGAACAGACAATTACGAAATTAACGGGAAGGGAACACTTTAGCGCCAGATCTTGCTCCATATTACCCCTGTTCAGGAAGGTGGATACCCCTATCTGCCCTAAAGCTTGGACCATCAGCTTGGGTCGCTAGGTACCTAGTATGTATGCCTGCATGCCCCTTTTTATTTCCACCTGGCCGGCTCGCAGTTGCAGATGTCCCACTTCTAGCTAACCTTAACACAGCCTTACACGAGCTGAAGAGTTACCCCGGCCCCAAGACATTACTATCTCTACTATGTACTGCGCGTCCTCGTCGATCATGACTCTATTATTCACTAACATGAGCTGCGATCTTCCAGCTGAGTACGCCCTTGCAGCCTGGGATTGTTCGTCTAGTATGCCTCGAATGCCTTACGAGAGGCGATGGCTTTTGTAGCTGGTGAAAACCTTCAGTTTGCTACCTTAGGTAGGTACTTGCCTACAGTATATAGGCCGACAGTCCAGGGCTTTGCAAATCAGCTACGGCCTCTGCTTAGGTACTGAGGAGGTAATATTTTCTATGTTTCAGAGACCTGATAGCGAAGTGTCCAGTATATTTTAGTTGATATTGGAATCACTTAGTGAGTTTACACTAAAGATATTTCTTAATTATCTATTTTCTCGCTATTAGGAGATACTCGAAACTTTTATTTCGGGTCTTTATGCCACTTATGGCGCAACTGACAGCGAAGACGAATATTGTTGTGTAATTAAGTTATTGACGCGTTGGTAGTTCCTTGCCCAGGGTCTTGTAGTGGTAGGCTGACAATGCCAGAGTATCTCGGTCGCTGGCGGCAGGGTTGCTTTCCAATTCTATCGCTAATTAGAGTGGACCATAAGGGCGAATCCGCCAATCCGCCAATTCAATTAATGTATTGAAATGTATACAGTATAAAACAGTGTGGTAGCGTACAGTCTGATAGGTGTTCCACACAGTGCCACTGAATCTTACAGGGGATTTTAGCGCTATAGGGCGCTGAAGGCCCTGTAATTTACAGGCTTTATAGCGCATGGGCTCCTTATAACTTATAAGTGGCTTTTTAGGTATGTAAAAAGCCCTAAAGCTAGCGCTAGAGCTTTCTAAACATAATATTAATATTTCAACCTTTTCGAAACGAATTAAATCAATTAACTGATCTGATTTAATCGATTGATTCGATTCAGTTAAATGCGCACTTATTAATAGGTAGGTAAATAAGCATATACGCGTAATAGTTCAAAACGAGGGGTGTCACGTGACACACGCTGAGCCTCATCGGGTAAATGTCAATAGCGCCTACTGTAATAATCTGGAAGTTCGATTGAAATTTAACGTATGAAAACAGGGTTGAAAGAAATAAAATATATATAAATAGAAAGGACTTTTAAAGCGCTTTCGAATAAACTTACTATCTCTGCGAGCGACATAATATTGAATTGTATAAGTGTATCCGAATTATAAATTACATCCATTAGGTACCTACCTACCTATATAAAAAAACTATGCGCTATAATCCTTATAGGTTACAGGGGCTTCTAGCGCCTTGTAGCGTTATAACCTACTGTAAGATTTAGGGCACTGTGTGAAATATCTATCAGACTGTACGTCATTATACTGTTTTATACTGTATACATTTCAATACATTAATTGAATTGGCGGGTTGGCGGAATTGTTCTTATGGTCCGCCGTCCTAATCCTAATTTCTAGCGCTGGCTATGTACAATACCATAGTAGATACCTAGGTACCTATTAGTGAATGTCTTGCGACCGATGCCTTTGAAAGGCCCACTACTGGGGTGGTGCTGAGCTCTTTCAGGTGGGGGTGGCGGCGGCCATTGTGATTGTGCCCCGATTAGCACTGGCTTCACTGAATCAGAATCTCCAATGCACCACTCGGTGGTCCCAGGCAGAATCCAAAAAGCATCTTCTAAGGACAGCAACTTTCATAGGGGCATTGCCTGCTATTGTCCGTTGGTTGGGGGCTGCAACATTCCATTTCGTGGCGAATTGCCCTTATTCGCTGTCGCCTATACTCGGCCGACCGTGAATTGGATTATGTTAATAAGGCTAGTAAACAGTACTTAATATCGCTGGTTGCTATGCTTGGTTTTCCAAGTCACTATTTTCGCATCGACATTATTGCTATTATATACGCCTCTATTCGTACCTCTAACTTTATGTTTCGCGCCGTTATAGTTTTTTTAGCTAAGCTGTGGATCGCGGGACGGCCCATGCCGTCCTGCCATTACGTAATATGCGGATCTCCATCGTGGATCCTCTTGCCGCGGCCTACTTGATTCTCTGATTCTCTTTCCTAGAACTTAGTTCGATCTTCATAATATAGAACGATCTGGCAATATTTTAAAACAATTCACTTACATACTCTAGGCATATTCACGGTCTATGTTATTTAAAAATCCCACCCCTTCTCTTTCAGCAGCAATGTTGGCCAATCAACCAAAAGTCTGCTTCGCCTCATCAATATTTCTACACGTGTCAAATCGACCCATAGCTGCGCCAATGAATTCGTCGTGTCGTTCTCCTCCATCTTCAGAAAATTCACTCCATCCGCATTTAATCTATTAGTTTACCACGTTATGATACGAAGCATCTTCTATATTGGTACAACCCCGTGCCCCGGTTTGATCATCTCTAGTTACGCGCGGATCCCCAAGTAATTTTTGAGTAAACTACCTAAACCATCTTGCAACCTGCGGGACCTCTCGCGATGAGACCGAATGGTATGTCCTACGTCAACTCTTTGAAGCTAGATATATACTCATAAACGCCGCCTCTTATAGAAACGCATTATCAACAACACTTAGGACTCAGGAAGGTCGTCCCTGCCGAAGATGTTGACGACACCACCGTTGAGTACGTTCTCTGCTGTGGAAGACGTATTCCCGCTAATGATGATTGATATATCAGCATCATCGCAATCCACGGCCTTGATACCGAATCGCCGCGGACATGGACTTTTGATAAAAGAGACGGAAGTCGGGCTGTGAACTGGCTGAAAGATAGCGATATGCTACCAGCTGCCATTCCAAGCGCCCGGGTTTATACATACGACTGGAACGCGAAAGTTTTCGACAATGCCCCTGTCCAAACACTACTAAACCATGCAGACAATCTACTCGCTCTCGTGACAGAAGAACGTGGCGCCTCAAGTAGACCCATCATATTTATCGCATCCTGTTTTGGGGGGCTTATTTTGGCTGAGGTAAGCTACATCGAGAATCTATGATTCATGAAGCCATAACTAATCTCCGTAGGCCATCTGCCGGGCCGCCCAAGAAGGCAGTAGATATCGTCAGATACTCCTATCTACTGTTGGCATCGTCTTCCTAGCGACCCCTCTTTCGGGGACGGATGCAGCTGGCCCTGCGTCGTGGCTGGTGATGGTGAAGGGGATTATGGGCAAGGATGCGTCACGTCAATTGATTAAGGATCTTGAAGGGCGTCATGATTTTGTTCGCGAGCGGGTCCAAAAGTTTGCCGAAATTGCGAACTTCGATTCCATCCGGTTGCCGGTTCAATGTTTCTTCGAGACAAGGAAGACCAAGATTGCGAACAGGTTCTTTCCGGCCTGGTTTTCGAATATATTGTCACGCGGTCATATAGTAAGAACCTAAACCACCCTATTCGGGAACATATTTTAACGTCTGCAGCTGGTTACCCAGTCTTCGGCCTGTCTACACGGCTTTGATCGTCAGAGTCTGGAGAGGCAGCATGTGATGATGAATAAGTTTGGGCGACCAGATTGCCGTGATTTCAAATTAGTCAAGGGAGCTATCCAGTCTATCCTGGATAAGGCAACCGAAACCCAGAAACATCGAGAGAACAGTAACAAGATATTAGATGCAAAGCCGACCTACTTCATGGTCCCGTTCGGACGCAACGGGAACTTCGTCGGACGAGAATCAATCCTACAGCGGCTCCTTAAGCGAATTCCCCCGAGAGCAAACAAAGACGACTGCCAGCGGACCGCCCTCGAGGGCCTCGGAGGCATCGGGAAGACCCAGATCGCCCTCGAGGCCGCCTACCAGGTCCGCGACCATCACCCCGAGTGCTCCGTCTTCTGGGTCCCCGCCGTTGATGCTGCCAGTTTCGAGAATGCCTACCGTGACATCGGACGCCAGTTAGGGGTAAAAGGGATTGACAATGATCAGGACGAAGTTAAGACGCTTGTTCAGGCTGCTCTTAGTAACGAGAGCGCCGGGAACTGGCTCTTGATCATCGATAATGCCGATGATCTAGAGTTGCTATTCACCGATCTGGCGCTCTTCGATTATCTCCCGTTTAGTCGGCAAGGCTCTATCCTTTTCACAACCCGAACTCACGAGGCCACAGTCAAGCTTGATATTTCACAAAAGGATATCACAATTGTGACGGGGATGAACGAGGATGAAGCGACGAATCTGTTACGGGCGGGACTAAAAGAAAGCCAGATATGCGATGGGGAGAGCACGAAAAACTTGCTAGAATTCCTCGCCAACCTTCCCCTAGCCATCAAACAAGCATCGGCGTACCTGGCTAGAACGGGAATGTCAGTTCAAAAATATCTTCAGCATTGCCGGTCGAATGACAAAACCATGGTTAAGCTCCTTAGCCAAGACTTCGAAGATCGCGGCCGCTACAAGGATATGAACAATCCCGTAGCTACAACCTGGCTCATTTCTTTTAACCATATCGATCGAGACTACCCACTTGCCGCGCGATACATGAGATTTATCTGTTGTCTGGCTGAAAAGGACATCCCAGTGTCACTACTCCCTCCAGAGGAAGACGGGCTAAGAGTAGACGAGGCAATTGGCATCTTGAAAGGATATGCATTCATAATGGAGCGCAGCGATCCAGAATCGTTTGATATCCATCGGCTCGTTCGATTAGCCATGAGGAACTGGCTACAGACAAACAAAGAGTGGCAAGAATGGACAACGAACGTCTTTCAACACCTTGCTGAAGAATACCCCTTTCCCGAGAACGAGAATAGGAGTGCCTGGATGAGGTATTTACCACACGGACAGGCAGTACTAGAACTTGAAGACATGTCTGTTGATGAAAAGGCAAATATCGATCTTCTTATTGTTCTTGCACAGAGCTATTCTCTTCTTGGAAAGTATAATGAAGCCGAACGAACGTATAGAAACATATTATATCTAGAGGAGCGGTTATTCGGTAAAGAAGATCCTGAAACAATTTCCACCATGAACAGCCTTGCCCTTAATCTCTACTACCAGGGAAAGTACGAAGAGGCAGAGCCGTTGTATCAACAGAAAATAGAATTCTATAAGCGGGTATATGGTGAAGAACATTATCAGACACTGAATGGTATGAATAACCTTGCACTTGTTTTCTACGATCAAGGAAAGCACAAACAGGCAGAGAAGATACATCGGCAGATATTAGATATAAGAATGAGGGTGGTGGGAAAAGAAGATCCCGATACACTTGCCACCATGAATAACCTTGCAGCTATTCTCTGCTTCCAGAAGAATTACGAAGAGGCAGAGCAGATGCACCGGCAGATATTGGATCTAAGAACGCAGGTGCTGGGTAACGAGCATCCTGACACACTTGCTAGCATAAATAACCTCGCACTTGTTCTTGCCGATCAGGGAAAGAATAAAGAGGCAAAGCAGATGCATCGGTACATATTGAATATAAGAATGCGGGTACTGGGTAAAGAACATCCTGATACACTTACCAGCATAAACAACCTCGCGCTTATATTTAACAACGAGAAGAGATACGAAAAGGCAGAGCGGATGTGGCGGGAGACACTAGATCTAAACAAACAGATACTGGGTGAAGAAAATCCCACCACACTTACTAGCATGGGCAATCTCGCAGGTGTTCTTCACAACCAGGAAAAGTTCGAAGAGGCAGAGCGGATATATCGACAGGCAATAGAATTACAGGAACGGATTCTAGGTGAAGAACATCCTTCTACATTAAGAACCAAAGGAAATTTAGATCTTTGCTTAGAGGCTATAGTGATTCTGAAATCTGAGGAGAAAAGAAGCGGCTCGACTCGGCATTTCTGGAGGCGGTGGATGTCCTCGAAGAATTCTTCGACAAGCGCTACGTAGCGGGCTACAAACTGGTGGAATCCATGAAATACAACTTCATCAACTGGGTCGGAAGGTCGGGGTGCACGAGTGGAATAACCGGCATCACCTCGTCCCGCTTCACCGCCACCAGTACCAACGCCTTTTGAAAATATTCGCCCTTCCCTTATAGCGTCGGCCTCGTAGAAAGTCTTATAGAAACCTACCGCTACAGCTTCATCATTTTCGACACGCCCCCGGAAGAATTTCATCATGCCACTGTGGTACCATCGATGACCTCAAGACATTGAGCACGAATCGCTTTTTCAAGGCGAGATCACAACTCATATCGTGCGAAGTGGCGGGATGAAATCCCGATCGTATTCCCAATAGCGAGATCCCTATGCCGTGCCGCCTAGGGATTTACCGTATGGGTCAGACAGAACACGTTATCGATGCAGTTACGGGACAGAGACGGCTGAAGGTTGCGGTTGAGGAGATTGATCAACTTGTCGAGGTTTGTTAGAAGTTGATAGTGTCATGGGCCGGTTTATGGGGTAATCCTATTAGTTCGTGGAGGCGCCGAGAGAGCTCGCAAGACCGACCTAATGTGGCGGACGTAGGAGCGAGTCGGCCTTGCGTACCTCGCCTTTCGGCTATAAGACGAAGTGTGCTTGCGCGCTATGGGGCGCTAGTTTCAGAACTCCAAGGCTGGGTTTGTGAACGATATTTATTGGGATGACTTGGAGGACCTGCGGTTAGCGGAAGTACGCTGTGGCTAGGTGTATGGCTAGGTATGGCTAGGTACCTAGGGATGGTGGGGTCAGGTGCCCCGTCCTGTGTACTAGGTACCTCCCTGGGAACATGATTCTACAAGCCGCCAAACTTAAAATGACAACTTGAAAACCTTCAAAGACTAAGGTACTAGGTACATTTTCTAACTTATAATTCATTTCATATAGATAAGATGAAATATTACAAAAAAGCCTTTTGTCAAGACCTTTATTACGACCTGTTTGGGCTATCCTTTCGTATAATTGAGGTAACACCGGGCGAGCACACACAACCAACTAACGACTCGTTGAGGTTGCAAGTAAGGGCGAACAACTCTTGCTTCTAAATTTGGGTGTTGGTGACACATCTAATCAAAGGCCTCCCGCTTTTACCGATATTCTCTACGGTTTATCTCTTGTTGTTGTGTTAACCGTTAGATGCCAGTATCCCTAGCCCATTACGACCCCACATCCCTCCTTAGGTGAAGGGTTTACGACCATCTCTTCCACTCACTCACCCATCTCATCTCACCACCATGGACATGGCCCATACTGTGGCAGACTCGAACACATCATCGACCATGAAGTTGGGCGCTGAAGTTGCCACTGAGCCTAGCTTAGAACAGCCTGCGACTGTCGAAGTCAAAAGCGAGTCGCAGACTGAGTATGCGTACGATCGGGATTATCGATTCTGGACCATCATATTTGCTCTTTGTACTATGCAGATCCTATGTTCACTTGAGAATACCGTCGTGGTCACCTCTCTGCCTACCATTGTTAAGCAATTAGGTTTAGGAAGCAGTTACATCTGGGTCACGAACATATTCTTCTTGGCAGCGTGAGATTTTACGATTCCCTATCCTCACCTGTAAATCTACTGAATACAATTTAGTTCTGTCGTGCAGCCCCTAACAGGCCAACTTGCCGGTCTATTTGGTCGTCGGTATGTCGCACTATTCGTCGTCGCTCTATATACCCTCGGCAGCGGCCTCGCTGGGGGGGCGAATGGACCGGCTATGCTAATAGCTGGCCGCGCAGTGCAAGGTGCTGGGAGTGGAGGAATGACAGCCACCATGGGTATTGTCATTTCTGACCTCGTCCCTCTTCGACTTAGGAGCAGCTATCAAGCAATTCTTGCCATTACGTACGCGGTCGGCATGGCTATTGGTCCTGTCATTGGCGGCGCCATTGTTCAAGATACCACTTGGAGATGGGTTCGTGACTGATCTTGATTCGTTCTGAGACTGTATTGAGACTGTACTTGGCTTACTAATGACAACTCTTCAATTATTAGGTATTTTACATCAATCTCCCTGTCGGCGGTGTGTCTCTCGCCCTTCTCTGGCTGTTTCTACGCGTGAAATGGGATAAGGAAACCAAGGTACTAGACAAGCTCAAGCGGATTGATGTCGCGGGCAACACACTCTTGGTAGCATCTACAGTATCGGTGCTCATCGCGTTAACTTGGGCCGGCTCTGAGTACCCATGGTCATCTTATCATATTCTTGTTCCATTCATCATTGGCCTCGCCGGTCTCGTCGGTTTCTTTTGCCTTGAAGGATCCACATGGGTGCTGGAGCCAGTAATGTTCGTCCCCCACAACCTTTTTTCTTCTTCATCGTGCCTCAAGCTTGCGAAATTATCAATCGTGATTATCGAGCCGTGTTTCATTTATTCTAGTTATACTGATCATGTTATTACTAAAAGAGACTACAGCGCTAACTTGGATCGTCGATAGGCCGCTTCGACTGTTCGCAAATCGCACCTCTGCAATTATATATGTGAATACCTTCATCGTCTCGTTGATGAACTACTGGATTTTCTTTTTTTTGCCTCTCTTTTTTCAAGCCGTCCAATTATCAACACCCTCCCGCTCAGGTGTACAGATTCTACCGATCACCCTGATAGCCGTCCCCGGGGCCGCGGTTGGAGCGGTTGCCCTGTCTAAATGGGGTAGATACAAGGTGCTCCACATCATCGGTTTCGCTCTCCTTGCGGCTGGCATCGGTTCTTTCTCCGTACTGACCAAGGACTCAAGTACGGCAAAGTGGGTCTGCCTCCAGATTCCTCCATCTATCGGCGCTGGCATGGTCTTAGACACCCTGTTACCAGGCTTCCAGGCAGGTGTGGAGGAGGCGGATTCTGCGGCAGCAGTGGCGAGCTGGTCATTTGTGCGCAGCTTTGGGAATATCTGGGGCGTCGCGATCCCGGGAGCTATCTTCAACATCTACAGCAGTCAGTATGCCGCCGATCTCATAGCTAATCCAGCAGCAAAAGCATCACTACAAAATGGCGGCGCGTACTCGAGCGCAACCCGAGACTTCGTCATTTCGTTTTCTGAACCAACGCGGAGTCAGATCATTGAAACCTTTACAAGAGCCATGAGCAAGGTTTTCCTTATAGGTATCGCATTTCCGGCACTAGCGTTCGTCTTGTCATTTGTGGAGCGGGAAGTGAAGTTGCGGACAGTTCTCGAGACTGAGTTCGGGCTTGAGGAAAAGAAACAAGTAAAAACAAACGAAAAGGTCTGAGGACAGTTTCCCTCAACGGGCGTTAGGAAATATTTACGTTCTCACATTATGTTTTTATTTTCATCGGTTTAATAGCTAATAGTTGAGAACGTAGTCGTCCGGACGGAGGTCGATAGTACATCGATCCGCCATCCCGCCATATCAATTTATCTACAGTGTCTGTCATTATTTTACACAGTATTCAGCCACTAAATCCCCTATAATTATAAGGGACTTAAGTGATATCAAGCGTTATATTCATCTTTGGATTAGCGCATTTCTATAGCGTATAAATTGTATTGCGCTAATTCCCTTATAAGTCAAACGCCTAATATCCCCTAAGACCCCTACAATTATAGGGAATTTAGTGGATGGAATATAGTGTGGATACTGTGGATAAATTGATATGGCGAGATGGCGGATCGATGTACTATAGACCAACGTAGGACATGCACTAAGAGTCCTTTGTTCCATATCCCCACTATATAATTCAATCCGAGGGCAGCTGGTGTGCGCAATAACAATTCCGGGAATTCATCAATTGACAACGTCGAAAGACAAGAAATGGTAAAAGTTGAAAAACAGCACTACGTGTGATCGTTTGAGAAGGTCAACGAGGAGGGCTGCGGAACTTGTAATGGCGTCCACCAGTCTGAAAGTGGTATTCGGGATAGGAATTGTGAAGAAATCACTCTCAATAAAGCTCTACCAGGTATATTATGTCTAAAGCTTGTAACTTGGGCGAGCTTGTATAAGAAACAATCGTATGTAGGTACCTACGTACCTACCTAGGTAATGACGTAACAATGTCTGTGTTCGTCTGTATTTGGAATAGGATTGAATGAAGTGGTTGTATACCGTAGCGGCAAAGCGGATATTTTTACAATCATTGTTATAAGATAATTATTCTTTTTATAAGAATATTTCCACTAGTCTTAAGTACCTTCCCATACAAATCTGGTGGCAAGGTACATCGAGAGAATCGATCATGTTTAAGAATCATTCTAAAGCCATAAAATACATGCGAATAACCTCACTTTTCCTGAAATATTTTAGGAATCATTCTTTTCTATTCAATCATTCCATTAATAATAACTATTCCTTAGACTAATACTAGAATCATTCCTTAGATCGCAATCGAATCAGTAAATAATAAAGAATCATTCTTTACATCGTAATCGAATTCATCAACAACACCTATTCCTTCAAGTATCATTCCTTAGATTACAATCGAATTAATTATGAATAATTATTCCACCCTTTCGTACTTTCCAAGGTTCGAATAACCTCACTTTCTTCTAAAGATTTTATACCTAAGAATCATTCCTTGAACTTCAATCTATTCAATCAGTTCAATCAGTTCAATCAGTTCAATCAGTTCAACCACCTACCTACCTTAGTAAATACGTATTCGATATATTCAATCTATTCAATCTATTCAATCTATTCAATCTATTCAATCTATTCAATCTATTCAATCTATTCAATCTATTCAATCTATTCAATCTATTCGATCAGTTCAATCACCTACCTTAGTAAATACGTATTCGATCTATTCGATCTATTCAGTTAATTCAGTCAGTCAATTCGATCAGTTTGATCAGTTTGATCAGTTTGATCAGTTTGATCAGTTTGATCAGTTTGATCAGTTTGATCAGTTCGATTTATTCGATTTATTCGATCTACCTTGGTAGGTGATTAAAACCTGAGTCTCGTACCTGACCTTCCTACCTTTATTTTGGCGATACCCTCATTACTTCTAATATCTGGCAGAATACCTACCGCCTTCGTTACCTTCCCTTCTATTTCGTACCTCTTACCTATCTATTTACCTACCTTCTCTTGCCAATCTTTTTATTTCTTCATCTTTTCATCTTTTTATTTATTCATCTTTCAATCCTTCAACCTTACAAAATATTTAATCAAGCTATCGCGCCATACCAACCTAGGTACGTACGTATTATATCAATCTTTCAACCTTTGAATCTACTAATCTACTAGGTAAGTAATAAATATACCAGAATATCAATCGCGCGATCGATAAATTTACCTAAGTAAGTACGTATTAATCTTGCAATCATTCAATCTACTAATCTACCTACCTAGCAATCAATCAAGCAAGCAATCTTTGAATCGTTCAATCAAGGTATGTACGTTTCTAGGTATCTACGTATATATCTTCCAATCGACTGATCTAATATACTAATAAGATACCTACCTAGATACCAATCTTCTGATCTTTCAATCTACCAAGGTACGTTTCAATCTATGAATCTATCAATCAAGCAGTTGACTAATGAAGCAATATACCAGTATACAATCGAATTGAATCGAAGAATCGAACTGAATCGCAGAATCGAACTGAATCGCAGAATCGAACTGGATCGAAGAATCGAAGGATCGAACCTATTATACAACTTCTAAGTTGAATTGCAAGGCTTAAATAATAGAACCATTCTATCAGTTATGAATCATTGCTTCCAATTAAATCATTCCTATGCATGTAACAATTAGAATCATTTGATCGACTGTAGAATCATTAGATCGACTATAGAATCATTGTATCGATCGTAGAATCAATGTATTAAGTGTAGAATCATTTCTTCCAATTAAATCATTCCTATGCATGTAAGAGTTTGAAGCTATTTAGAATCATTCTCATAAGTGGGATGTTCCCACTACGGTAAGGTTTCTTTATGATTACAAAAATTTATTAATCATTTTATGGACTAGTTTAAGGAAGCTCGCTTGAGTCTTGGGATTTATTTCTTTATTTCCTACCTGATATCGAGGAACAGAAGCTAAGTGGGGAGTAATAAGTATTTCTTGAAATCTTTCGTCCATTATCTTGATAGTTTCTGATCAGAAACAACATGATTCGAGGTTCCGGTTCTTGGTCCATATTTGCGTGGATCATATCGTTCTCTATTCTGACAACGGCATTTGTCGTCCTGCGTCTTTGGTCTGCCAAAATTCAAAAGAGGAAGTTTTATATGGATGATGGCTTTGTGGTAGCTGCGTACGTGAGTTGTCACTTCATTTCCCTGCTAGATCTAGGTGAGCTCAAATTGACAAGCACTATACAAAAATAGGTGTCGATGCTTGCTCAGCAAGGCCTCGGGATATGGTCTTTAATCAATGGCATGGGTAATCATTCAACAGAATTGAGTGTCGATGAATTAAGAGTACAACAAAAGGTATGATAGCTATCTCATAGGTCTTTATTACCTACCTAGGTACCTTAACCAATACTTATACTAACTCTGCTAGAAGGTCGTTGTTGCAGTGTCGACAACGTGGATCTTCAGCGCCACTACCATTAAGCTAGCTGTGCTTGCGTTCTACATGCGAATTTTCACTACTTCCTCTTTCAAGCGATGGGCCATATCTCTTATGGCGATAAGCTCTTTTTTTGGCATTACCTTCTTCGTTGTATTCATAACACACTGCAATCCAATTTCTCAGGGATGGAACCCTGTTCCATGGGGCTCGTGCAGACCCCTGGCTTTATCCGAGTATTCTTCTATATCTCTCAACTTAATTCTCGACATAATGATTATAGTACTGCCCATGCCATGGCTTTGGAGTCTACAGATGGCGTTATTCAATAAAATTGTCGTGATGGTCATGTTTAGTTTTGGTTTCGCGTAAGTTCCTGCTTATAGATTGGCACAACCTCCTTTTGATGACTACACTGCTGATCGCTGGAATAGAACTGTCGCTACCATGTGCTACCGTATTGAACAGACAGTCCATAGCGATCCGGATTTCATGCTTGGTTTCGCAAGAGTTGGGCTGCTCAGCGATGTCGAAATTTGGCTCGGGATCATTGTTGCCTGCATACCTACATTGGCACCATTCTTTAAGAAATTTATCCAACCACCGTTATCAAAGCTCTTTAAGAAGCTACATGGTAGCTCAAGTCCGTCCACAAAGGAAGGGATAAGGCGAGGGCGACCGAGGACATGGGGTGATTCTAGCGGCCCGAGCCCTAAGAACCAAAGCAACAACAGTGAATTCTCTAAGATATCCACACATCCAACTTCACATGGTGATGAGATGCGTTCTATCATTTCAAACGAAACGCCGGAGTTCCGCGCACATTGCAAGTTCCATAACACGAACACGGCGCCGGAAAGCGGGGGGATATACGTGCAGAAAGAGTTTCACATATTTAATGCGTAGCCAAAAAAGCATTTTATACACCGTACCCTTTTGCTTTCGGTATTGGTAGTTGATAGTATATTAAACTGTAAGGTATTCAAGTTTATGTAATATTCTTCAGCGAGAATCCGCCCGAAACGGTAGAGCTACCTAGTACTGTCTAGCTGAGGCCACCGTGTCTTTACCCGAACCTCACGAGGTAGTTGACGGGAAGGCTCTTAAATGGATAGACAAACTTCACGCACAGCAAAAGAAAAGGCTTAGGAAGGATTTGTTGTGAATATCACCGATTTCTTTCTTTGGTTCGCAGTTAGTAAGTCCTTTGGGATACTTGAGACTCAGAAATGTCAAGACTTCTGAGTCCATTAGCTAGAACCCCTTGGCTATTATATATTGGAATGGAAATTTTGCCATGAATTATCTTGATAAAAGACTGGTACGACCCGGTTGAGTGGTGCGAGGAACAAATGTTAGCAAGACTGCCGAATGGAGGCCAGTTAGTTAGAAGCCCCTCATCTTACCTCATTTCTCATGTGAAACAACAAGGAAGACAAAGCAAATCCCTAGCTAAGAAGTCACAGCCTATTAGTCATTCCGGCGGGTGCCTGAGCAGGTAAGCCATATATCAGTTGAAGTTGTTTATTGTACTCGTTGAGCTAATGATTTATAGTGAACTTACTGCGCATATCTTGGGCTACGATTTTCCATGAGATCTCGCTGCACGCTGAGTACCTATACAGACAAGATTTAACCAAGAATTGACTGATGCGTCTGACAAATTTGCCACATCTTAATACTGTCATTGGAGAGGCAATGCGCCTCTAACCAAATCTTTCAAAAGGGCACAGCCGGAAAACAACAGGAAATAGAAGCAAAAATGGCTATATATAGGTCAGTAATTGATATTTTCCCGGATTGAAAATAACCTAACGTGTAGTTCCGTTGTTGCTATCCTTCCTCTCTTTGTCCTCTTGCATCAAAGAAAGGCCCTTTGGTGAAGGTTGGCGCACTCGCAATGGCGCCTTTAGCAACTCAGAAGCTAGGGATAGGTTGACCGAGCCTACCGAGTACTATTAGGCACCTTATCCGGCCCCCAATTTGAAATGCCCTATGCTGATTATCCTTGAAGGGTTTCTAGGGAACACTTTTGTGTAACCACTGTGGCCATAACTGCCTTATTGTTGGCAACTAAAAGGTTGTTGGTAATGTAATTTTTATGCCTATGCGCCTCCGGGTCCAACCGGATTTCACTAGCGTCGCTTGCTCTGTGATACCACGTATACCCTATACACTCTAACAGTTGTGTACCATATCTCCTCTCGCAGTACTCTGGGGCTTGTATCCTGTACATAACCCATACACGCTGATTACGTATCTTGGGATCGGTCGGAACGGGTGAGGCCGTACTCTAATGCGAATGTTCAAAGGTAGCGTCCTGAAAGCTCCAGCAAGGGATGAACACATGTTTGGCCCTAGTTCTCATCTCCCTAGCCAAACATATTATGGCTTTTTACCACCCATTAAATGAGTTGATATGAAGCTCCTCCTCAAAGAATCATCGAGTTTTGGTCTCTATTATCCGTAGCATTTCTGCAATTCTTCTTAGTCTTTTCTCATTACATCATCAAAATGTCCTCAGAAACCTACGACGTCGTCATTGTCGGTGGAGGTACTTCGGGTCTTGTTCTGGCCAACCGCCTCTCGGAGAACCCAAAGTTGCAGGTCATCGTTCTGGAAACCGGTGAAGATCGTAGCAAGGACCCGAATACCTTGACGCCGGGCGCTTGGCCGATGCTGTCGAATTCGTCCGCTGACTGGACTTTTCATACTGCTCCCCAGAAAGATCTTACAAGGCAGATTACGATCCCGCAAGGGAAAGCTCTAGGAGGTTCTAGTGCAATTAACAGCTTCCTTTTTACCCCTACTTCTCGGGCGACCGTGAAAGCATGGAATAATCTGGGCAACGAGGGCTGGGACTATGCCGCATTTGAGGCAGCGATGAAAAAGTCGTTTACTCTACACAAGCCTTCAAATGTTACCGAAGGCAATGGCCCACTCCAACTTTCACTAGCTGCACCTGAAAGTCTCTGGGAGAAAGCCTGGATTGAAGGCCTTGGATCCGTGGGATTACCCGAAAGTGATCCCCTCTCCGGTAACCTTGGCGGTCCAATTATCGCCCCGGAGAGTATCGATCCCAAGACGAAGCAGAGGAGCTATGCTACCAATGCGTATCTTGATCCAATTCGAAGCAGATCAAATCTGATGATTCGAACCGAGACGACCGTGACAAAGGTGTTGCTCGAAAAATCTTCATCGGGAGGCGATGCTGTCGCCAAAGGCGTTCAAACAATTTCCAAAGATGGAGTTTCTCACATTATTGGTGCTCGTAAAGAGGTTATCATCTCTGGTGGATCCATCAATTCGCCCCGAATCCTCGAGCTCTCGGGAATAGGCCGGGCTGATTTGCTTCAGAGCTTGGGAATCGACGTCGTAGTTGACAACCCACACGTTGGCGAGAACCTTCAAAACCACATCTTCTCAGGACTAGGTTTTGAAGTACGCGACGATGTGGACACGATTGACGCTTTCTTTCGCCAGGAACCTGAGGCCGTTGCACTTGCGATGCAGGACTACGGTACAAAGGGGACGGGTCCTCTGAGCACCAGCAACATGATCACGATGGCCCAACTTCCGCTACCCGATTTACACACCGAAAACGGAAGCAAAGACCTCGACAAATTGCTAGGCCTCCTAGATCCCGCCTTAGACGTATCCCTCTCCCCTCAAACCACCCCGGCCTTCGCAACCGCACACCAAGCTTTCATCCGCTCCATTCTCACGAACCCGTTGGAACCAGTAGGCAACTACGTCTTCGGCCCAGCCTATGCCCCCTTCGAAGCCCCAAGCCCAACCTACCGTGCCCCAGGAAAACACGTATCCATCGCAATCGAGCTTTCCCACCCGCTCTCCCGAGGCTCAGTGCACATCACCAGCTCCGCCCCCTCTCATGCCAGTACAAATGAGGGTCTAACCATCGATCCGCGATACTTCTCGCACCCCCTCGATCTCGAAGTCCTCGCGCGCCAAGTGCAGTTCACTGAGGACCTAATCACCCGCGCGGCGCCGCTAACGCAGTACCTCAAGCCTTACACCAAGCGCTTCGATGATCTCGAGGTCGCCAAGGAGTATGTCCTTCGCACCGCCGATGCAGCGTACCATTACACCGGCACGTGCTCGATGATGCCGCGGGAGATTGGGGGTGTGGTGGATTCAAGGTTGAGAGTTTACGGTGTTGCTAATTTGAGGGTTTGCGATGCTAGTGTAGTTCCCTTGGAGCCGACGGCGAATCCGCAGGCGGTGGTTTATGCGGTTGCGGAGATGGGGGCGGGGTTTGTTAGGGAGGATGTGCTGTAAATTTAAGTGATATAGCGGGGTATTGGGGGTTGATAATAGGCACCTAGTACCCAGAAAAGAAGGGAGAAAAGAAGAATATGAATAATTATGGGACAACTATTGCCGGAAATCATGTTTCACTACCTCCCATACGTCTCTGATAATTATCTCTGTTTAAATTACCTAGGCTTTCTCAAATACTTCATTCTGAGACGCTTTTGAAGGTGCCAAAACTCGAAAATGCGAAGTTTCTAAGAGTAAACAGCCCGAGGCTTAGAACATGGGTTAGGGTATGGGGTTAGGGTTAGACCCTTACCCTAAAAAACCTTAAACCCAATTCTGATTCGTTACATAAGCTGGGGGTGCTTACTCATCCGCTACCAAATCTATCTCCCCTACATCACAGCAACCAAAGCATGCAAATATCAACGGGATAATCAGTTTGCCATAAATCCAACCCATTTATAGGTACTTATCCCAAAAGACTTTTTTAATACTGTATTTATACATTACATCTTACACAGCGCACTTTTAGCTATCACTCGCGCAGCCAAGCTCTTCATAGAAATCTTACTAATACACTATGCTTGAGGCATCTTAATCATCATTCCATCAGGTAGGAACCTGCAGAGAGTCTTCGAATGGTAACTTCGATACGAATTCTTCCCATATCCTACATGACATATCGTTAGTCACGCCACTTATACCTTCGAATAGGTCGTTCATTTGGGTGCTTGGGCCATATGGCAATTGCGATAAAAACCACGGAGGTACCGACGACGGCATAAACATATTGTTTCCGTAAGATATCGGCGGATTGACATTGAAATTCATGGGGGATATTTGTTGTTGGGGTAGATGTTGAGTAGAAGGCAGACCCATCAAATTAGGGGCTTCTACAGCGTCCGTAACGGCGTTTGGCGCATGCGAATAGGGGTAATAAGCTAATTGGCCTGTCCCAAGTGGGGTCAATGACTCGGGGTTGGTCTGTGAATATTGATGTGAAGGAGTTGAGCCACTGAGAAGTGAATCAACTCTCATCCGGACCCGGTTCATGAGCATCTCTAAGGGTTTCCTAAGCATCCCCTGATGGTAATTTTTAAGGTCGGTCCTATAATCTTCGAATGATGCTTCCACCAACGGCCAAGAGATTCGAAGTACGTCAGAATCAGCACAGAAGCATTCGGTGATAGCTATCGCAAGAGCGTGCCATTGAACCACTTCATACCATCTAAACCCTTCTCCTCTTGGGTCTGTTCTAATAAGGTGTACTTTATTCAAGACTTCTAAGGCGCTGTTGAGTAGGTTGAAGTTCTGGGCTTGAGGAGTGGGTCTGTTGCTAAGACGGTGCAATGGCCTCAGAGCCGTAAGACGCATAGCTACCACTCGCATTTGCGCTCCATGGAAGGTCGACCAAGCATACGCACTTGACTCTGGGTCGCAGAATTTTAAAAGGTTAAGGACGTTTTTCTCGAACTGCGATACGTGTTCTTCCCTTTCTGTCCAGTTGAAATCGGCCATTGCTTTACCGTGGAAGTTCAAAAGCCGCCCGGTCCGCTGCGCATTATATAAAACAAGGGCAAAGGTCATGTCGGTTAACCCATCTCTGCCCATGAGTTCCCCGACAGTATCGACATCGAAGTCGGAATCATTGATATTCATTGGAATAACAGGTGGAACTCCGCCAAGCCCAATAAGGGGATTGGTAGCTTGTCCAAATGAAGTCTGGATATCTAGGAAACATATAGTGTTCCACAATCGTTGCTTAATCTGCCGATTGAAGAAAGATTCCATGATCTCCAGATGGAGCAAGAGAGCTTTTGCCATTCGGACGGCGATAGCGAACATAGTCCAGATAGCACGACTAGAATCCTCGGTCCGTCGCGCGATGAGATATAATATGAAGGCCTGCAAGATGGTGATATCGTCCGTAATCATCAAATCCGCTCTTTCCAGTGCAGCTTCGCAGGCCGCCCTATATTCAGCTATTAATATGGACCTATCCATATTCAGTATAGCTTGGCATTGTTCATCTGTCACACTAGCCAAAGCCGAATAGCATACAGCAGACTTGATACATAGTGCGGATATATGATTAGGATCGTAGTTTAAGTAAGGTTGGCCATATATCATGAATTTGCTCAGCGAGGGGCGATGTAGGAGTCTGATGATAGGATCCACTTGGCGTAGATAGACTTGGCAAAGCTCCGCCGTCAGCTTGGTATCGCTCAAGATACCATCATTTGCTCCAATGCTACTGCTCCGTGCAGATCCAATTCCTAGTAGTCGTAGGCCTGGGCTAGAAATCGATTTCGGGTTGGACCTTACGCTTTCTCCATCATCCGATGGGGTACCGACGATGTCGCGAAGACCGCCGATCTATTTAGCGTTAGGTATTTCGAATAGTGGCACACTAGAGGGGCACAAATTACCTCTTCGGCAATGTGAAACCAGAATTGCCGCCCAATTTGCTTTCCGGTACTCGCATTATCCACAACTTCAGAACTACCAGACGGTGTCGCCGGCTCAAGTTTCGAAGGTGTGTTCACGGCTGATGAATCTGGTATGCCACCCAGGTTTGCAACTAGGGCCTCTAGCCGTAGGATCCGATCTCTCAGCTCTTCGTTGCTATGTGCTGTTGTAGAGGACCGAGGATGGACATGGCGACCACGAGGTAGTCGTTTGCGATATATCGGAACGCATGTGGTACCTGATTTGACACAACTAGAGCATGGGTTTGACTTGTCGCATTTAACCTTGCGCCTTCTGGAATAGAACTTATTAACTAGTGAAATACCACACGGCAAATTTCTGCTACTTACTGACACAATTCACAACTGAGCTGAGGGATTTGTATCGTCGGCTCATCTGTACGGCGACCGCGGTCTGACGATTGCGACGTCGGAGTCGACATGATCTGGTAAGCGGGCAAGAGAGGCGATGAGAGGAGCTCGATCAGTGCCCGATTCTATAGCGCCAATAAGGTCTATGAAGAACCAGGAAGCTACAGCGATGGATATGGATATGTATATCTTCGTAGGGTCATGTCTGCTGAGCTTATTAATGCGATTGATATAATAATTACTCCAGGAAAGCCCGCTTCTATTAGGTAACATCTTCATAGTCCATAAAATGGACAATTATATTTACCATAACTGACCATGCCAATTAGAATGATCGGGAATCGCACAAAAACCCGACTTTTGCCATAGGACTCCAGACATAGATTCCACGTAACCTCCACGCCAGCAGGATTGCCCAGGACCTAACGCCGACAAAGCCTCACACAATCCTTAGTAGAATAGAGGTAGTTCATAGCGAAAGAATGAATCAAAGTTCGAGCTGGTGTTTTAATTGGATGATTGGAATTTTAGAAATGGCGGAGAATTGACAATGTGAAGCGACACACATACCTGTGGCTAAGCAAAATTTCGAACCAACAACTTTTCAATCCACCTATCATGCGTGTCAACGTACGATTAAGATCTTCAAATAGGCTTTACCCGGTTAAGCACGTACCCTCTAAATCCTCTAAACGGTTTCCATTCAATCCTTTTATCTGCAGCCCTGTGGCATGGAATTCTTTTTATCGAATTCGGTAAACCGACCTACCTAAGCATGAGTCACGCTGCAGGATATGCTTAAATACTTGAACACACTAAATGAAGTGGGTTCTCTTATAAATTCCTAAAATGATATCATGATATGAATTATACCTATGAAAACAGGCCGGTAAAATCCAATGGGAAAGAAGAGAGAATTCTGGTATATCTCAACAGCTATGAGGAAAACCTATCCTACCTAGGTAGTAGATAGCCATAACTAATATCTGGGCATATTGTAGTTGGTAGGATATAATTATCGCTGAAAGTAAAGCAGTCTTTGATTTTAAGGTATTTGGAATACCCCGTAAAATAGAAACCTCGGCCGAATGAAGTTGTAAGGCTGAGTTCTAGCATTCAGGGGTTGAAGTTGGAGCTGGGGGGCATTGCTAGGTTCCTTAAATGGGAAAATAGTCTCTGCATGCAAGACATTCATACCTACCTAATCCTCCACTCTCGCCACTTTCGGTCGATGAATTAGAAATGGTGACCTTTTTTGAATGGGTGATTTACCGTAGTCGTGATGTATCCTAAGTAGTATGTAGTAGTGATAGTCGTGTATAACATAACTTGAACTATCACTGCAAGGCATCTTGTCTGACACCATGCATTGACCTCTTTTAGTGAAAGTTTGCTCATTTCTTCAAAATAAAGGAAGCCTAGATAGATAAGTAATGAAAGGGAGTTGTGAATTTCTACCAACCTTGCTAATAACGATTTAGTTGTCTATATGTCCTAGATAAGTTTCTCATATTGTCTGCTTCAAAGACCTCCTGGAATTGTGAGGTCACCTCAATGGTTCGATAATCGATTTTGAAAGATTGTGAATCTTTTGGACTTTAAATAGAGTCGCAAGACAATATGCAGTGGTACAGGCATAGCAGCTAGGAATTTACATTAAGTACCAGGACGACTTTTCACTGGTGAATAAGCCAAAAGAGGAAATAAATATAACACGATGTAGTATGCCAATTATTATTGAACTTGACTTGCACACCAACTGAATTTTCAAACTTACTTGGTTAATGCCAATCCCCATGACTACTAGGTAGGTGCCTAGCGCCTAACCTACTAGGTACTAAATTCTAAGAATAATTGCTACATATGGAAGATAAACTCGGGGACGAATAGCAATCACACTCAAGGTACACACGAAAGAACGAATGAGGAACATTCTAGAGTACGAAAACTCGACATCTATACCGCCAAATGATGATCGCAGTATAGGTCCGATTGTGTAAAGATCATATAAAGTATCGTGAACTAATTTTATATGCAGGTAGAAATGTTCTAATGAATGTCCAAACCTAGGTACCCACCTGCCTAATTATCAGCAACATGGCTGTCATACAGCCTTAGTTCAGCCGCACCGCTACCTGCAGCACGGGTAGGTACTAGTCAGCACGCCCACCAATGTTGAGACTCTTTCCCTTTTGGGAAGTGTAACGCGGTAAACTTATCAGTCATCCCATCGTTTTGGTGTACTCGAGCTAGGCATTCGCGAAATCTAGAGCATAAGTTCGAGGCTATTTTCAGGGGCAGATTAACGAGACACTCTTACATCGCAGCTCATGCAGCGACTCGCCCTATCCAAGACAAGAATCAAGGTGATCTTCTGTCGCGTCAGAAACATATAAGCGAGCTTCTAAATTCGACACCATGAATTGGTCTCGAAAAACGAGTATATAATGTAGTTCATCCTCTGTCCAAGAGAAATCAATCAAGCTCACACAACTTCATCATCCTGACATTGGTTCCACTCGCTATTCAACTGCCAATATTTAAAAGTTCAATTCACTTTCATTGCCATTAACTAATTCATCTTCATATCATTCCACCAAAAGCCACAATGGTTGCTGCCTCCAAAATCGCCTTCTTCGCCCTCGGCGCATCTATCGCTCAGGCTGTAAGTAATACACAACGAGATGGGGGAAAACAACACACCAATACGGTATACCTATCTTCCTATACAATATACCACTAACACACCCCTCACCTAGACAACCTGCCCATCCGGCCAGCAGCTAATCGCCAACAACAAATGCTGCCCGGGCTTCGCGATCATCAGCGGCGTCAACGACAGCGTATGCTGCGTCCTCGACAGCAACAGCAGCTGTAAGGGCGTCGGTATCTGCGGGGACGGCACAACCAGCTCCTGCAAGGCCAAGGTCGGGACCACCGACCCTGACTACGACCAAAAGGTCCAGGACGCGCTCTCCGGTACTTCATCCTCGTCCGCTTCTGGCTCTGCCACTCCTACCCCCACGGCCTCTTCTGCTTCAAGTACCGCTAGTTCTGACTCTAGCTCTGATTCAGGCTCTTCGACCTCTGGAACTAAGAAGGGTGCTGCGGAGGCGAATAAGGCGATGTTGGGTATGGTTGTTGCTATTGCGGCTGTTCCTGTTGCCTTTTACGGCCTTTGAAAAGAGAAGGGGGGGTTGTTTAATATTCTAGGGGAAATGTTAATTTGATTCGCTCGTTGGATGTTGCCTCATTAACAATTGTATACATTCTGGATAGGTAGTTTTTAGAAAATACTTGGTTATTATTATAAACATCAGTTTCTCCGCATTTTCAAAGGTCTTCCTCAATGGGTGGTTGATGCGAGCAATCTTCCATCCTGCGTGATTCAGGGGCACGATATCAAGCTTGGGTTACGTAATCAGAGTTTCTTCCCCCTATTACCTAAGCTGTGGATGGGTCAAAAGTAAATAAGGTAGAATACTGATCCAATAACCAATATTAGGTACTCTCAAGCTATGTAGCTTCCTACAAACAAATATATCCGTCAACATAGGTACCTAATATCATTTTCTTTGTCGGTAGTACTTACCTGTGTGTGGTATTCAACTTTTTAGCCGCATCCCTTGCCCAGTGCGTGACTTTGTAAACAGCTGTTTCATACTGTATTTAGTCCAGGCTAAAATCGAGACCTGGCAGTGATCCTTTCACTAAACTCAGAGGGGTAGCTGCTGTAATTTGAGCCTGATTAGGGGGCTTTGCCACTAAAAAGAAGCGCCACACAGTTATAGACTATTTCAATTTACACGGCTTTAAGTCATTAGCACCCACAACCTAACGTACTAAGTCTAATATCGGGCAACGTCAGATACTCCTTCTTATCGTCGCGTATGGCATATAATGATTTATCTTGAATTGGTTAATGTGCTGAATTATCCATTTGTTTGAGAATAATGGTTCCAAGTATGCAGTGAATTCTTTGTGTATTCCTGTGAGTGGTGGATGATAAAACTGAGTGATAGGTACCTACTAAGCCCCTTTGAAGCATTATCTGCTACTACTTTCCCGATGAGTAATTGTGTTACATGCTGGTTTTTAGTAAAAGTTGTATTTTCTGTTTACGAATCTCATGACCCTTCATCCTGTTGGTCCTCAGATGCGGCTTGGATGGAGGGGGCGAAATCACCACGCCCTGTCAAAGCTTTTGCTGTGTTGAGGATGACGCGCTTCATTGATGGCTTGTCTTTAGGATATCTCCCACTATACGTGGTCATTTCAAGTATAGTCTTTAGGAGATACTCCATCTCAACTTCATCTGCGCCCTCGCACGACAGGAATATTGACGAAGTGAACATGGCCGAAGGTACCATGCCTAAGCCCCTAATAAACGGTATGCACATCCAGGTTGATCTGCAAACACTTTGGTGTTCTAATTCTAGGAAGACGTCAGGCTCTCCTAGGAGATCGGTTATGTGATAATATAATCGGTTTAGGACAGTACGAATCATCCCATATGACATAACAGACGACAGTAAGTCTAGGCTTTCGAAGTGGAACTTCCCGCCAATAGGAGTTTCAGGGTCAAGTCGCGCGGCCATTCGACCGGTAAGGAGAGCTCTCTCGATCAGGGATTCGCCTATGTCCTTAACTTTCAACTCCATGGTCGCAACCCGATCTCGGAAATCTATCGCCAACTCCCGTTTCAAGAATTCATCGGGTTGTTTAATGATGCGTCGAAATTCATGAACCAAGCCAGGCCAAAATCCATAATAGTAACCTAGTGTGTAAGAAGGCAACCGTTCTGCTGGGACGGATTCCTGTAATTTGGACTTCATTGGTTGAATTACTGAAGCCCATGGAGGTGTGAGATAGAAGTTCTCGCCACCATGAACAAGCCAATGGGATATCTTATTCCGTTAGGTTAGTTGGGTGAACAATGGCAAGAATTCCTGGGGATACACACCATCGAAGCGTGATTTTCAAGTGCTAACTGCATGTCGAGTTCATCATTAGGGTTTGGTGGTCCTCGGGTTAGCAAGAGACTGCTTATTCCGAACGAGTGACGCGTTCGATGGAATGGACGATGGGTATCGAATATAAGCTCAAGCCGTTCTAGAAGAGTTGCTGCTGCAAGCGTTTCACAGCGCAGCTGTAATTGGTGGTCACTGAGGGAACGCTGCAGGCTTCGTAAGGCCTTTCCGTAAAGGTTGGTGTCAATTATTTGGTCTGGTGGTACGTTCCGACGGTAGTTGGTCCAGGTAGAACACATAAGGGCTACACTATCCCTCAATGCAGCGCTCTCGCTTAATCTGACCGGGAGATGTTTATTGTAACCAGCTGAAGCCAACATATCCCACACAGAACTTTCATGGGCAAGGTATCCGACGAAACGAGATGCTACACGATCGGCTACTGTTGTTAAAGCTTTTCGTGGCTCATCTGCCGATAGGCGATAATGGCCCAATTGAGCACCATTCGGTAAAGCCTGCTGTCGTATACTCTTTAAGTTTTTTACTCCTCTCCCCGATGCCACAAACTGCACCATAACCCCTAACTCGGTTGATTCCTCGGCGACAGGAGTGTGACGGCCATTGTTGATGAACTTAGTCAGGTTTGGGGGACCGGAGCAGGGGACCTTGGCTCGCAGACAAGGCGTACATGTTGGCCAAGTCTCATCACACTATACGCCGTATTTAGCCAACCCGTCAGTTCGGCACGATGGCTCTTAGAGGTTTAATTTTACCTTGACTTTGATACGCTTGCAGCGATCGCATCGCTTCGATCTGGGAACACCCACCATGGTTGACGCGCATTAAGTTGATGTAGAATCTTGTATACGAAAAGGGTTATACTGCGCGGTCTGGAGAATGGAAGTGCGTTTTATACCAATGCGTTAAGGTGGACCGACGGTCGCATTCTCAGTCATTCTTGCTGCACCAAGGGAGGAGATCGCAGCAACATACCTGATTCGGGAAACGCGATACCTACTAGGTACTTACATAGGTGCTGTTATCGCTAAATGATCCTCAATTCTTCAGCTGCGCATTATGCCAACATCAGCCCTATGCATGTATATGATTTCCTGCAGTTATTATTCGACCATTCTAATGGCAAAGCTGTCGGTATTATTGTCGTAGTAGACTATGGTTGTAATATATCACGGCTAACCCGAATTTCGATTATTTAGGCCATGTATAGGTAATGTGAGATACCGGGTTAGACAATCGCTTCATTGCTTAAATGTTTAGCCACAGCATGTCATTAGTTACATGTATGGCTGGGTACAGGCATTACCTAAACTGCAAGTCAGTAATTTTTGCTGACGATAGACACTACCGACGCGATTGAATGCGAATTGAATACGGTTCGAATACGGCTGACTCCCTGGATCCCAAATTCCACCTCTCGAACCCTAACCCACCGGCGACAAGAACTCTTGAAGCCAATAAGCTTCATCTTAGTATTAGAGGACGAATATGTTAGGAAAATAAACGACGACCTGGAACTAGGAGTTGGATTTGCGTCCTTCCTACGGAGAGGGGACTCAAACTCGCTTCCTAATCCATTGAAACACCGATTATTGCTGCCTACATACGTGCTATCACGACATGACAAATGAATAGTTGATGCGAAGTGCAATCGCCAAGGCACTTTTCCCCTTAAGGCTCTAGGCTGTGCTGAGCTAGTCGTGGAATATTGAAATCGTAAAATCCTTCTGAATATATAATTAAGAATGCGTGGCTGAGAAATAAGACCACACGTGAGCACCTTAATTGATATAACGTGTTGAAATATAAATTTAAGTTCGGGTTAGAATTTATGAGTAACTAGGTAGTAAACTTTGAGCCACTTGACGAATGCGAACTCGATGGCGAAGTGCGAATTGAGCTTTCCAAGTTTTTGATGTTGGTTGAAAGATTTCGATCTCCAGATACGTACCTCGTAAGGTTAGCAGCTGGAGCGTTATGAAATTTTAAATTTATCAGATATCCCAGCATATCTATAGACCCCCACACTAATAACTGGGGGTATAAATATTTCAGCTTCACATTTAATCAATTCTGCACCGATACTGGTTAAATATAGGAGAGATTTAGCAGTTTCAAGATGTTTCTTCTTCCTATTTAAATTAAATCAGAGGTATGATGTAAATACGCATCAATAGGCAGCTACCTCTTAAGTACACTACTCGAATTCCCAGCCAATGGGGCTATTTGTACTAGATGGGTCTCGTCGCTGACAGCTCCTTTAATGCATACGCTGCTTATTGTTGTTGCAGAATGAAATGGATTGATTTTGGTACTCGTAATTATCCTGAATAACACTTACCTACCTAGTAGCCAACACCAATTTAGCTAATTCTCATAAACTTAATGTCACAATTACGAATATTCATACATACCTCAAGAATATAAAGTATTGGATCTCGCCTATCAAGTAACTATCTTGATATACTGCGTTCATATTTGATGTACAGGTATGGTGACATTGAAGACGCAAATCGAGCTTTAAGTGCCGACACCAACGATTTCGAATGCCGCTAAAGCAAACCCATCTACCAAGTATTCAAGTACACACATGTGACAGCCAATGAGGGTCGCGGGTGCTCAATTTAGGCATCGCCCAAATATTTTGGCCCTTTGGCAATTCGAACCCCAAGATACGGATGGATCTGTATGGCAATAGCGTACAATTGTGCATCTGATATGTCCTAGGTAGCAATTACCTTTTCGAGTAATCAGTACAGCAAATGTTCGTCCCACATCAGGACTGACGCGGCTTCCCGATTGACCTAACTGACCTAATTGCGCCCCACGAATCATAAGCTGAAATTCCGACGCCCTGACTAAAGCTAAAAGTAGTAGGGTTTGCAGCTGCAGCTACAACTGTACCTCGTCTGCCAAGGACGGCCTGGACGGCAAAGCCTCAGCATACCCACTACGTAATAAATGCGGCACAGCCCTTTTTTTTAGGTTATCCTAAACTGTCCCAATGTAATGGTCCCGTGCACGATTCTCCTTCTCCTGTTCCACTTCTAATCCTGAACTCCCTATTAACTCAAGAAACAACTTCGAACATTCACAGGTATTGTCATATCCTGTAGCATTTGTATATTCAGAAATATTCTTTGTTCATCTTTGACATTATATCCTCCCTTGTTCATCGATTAATATCATCTACCCACCGAGAAGACCAGGCGCAGAACGTCGCGCAAGAAATCATAGGCACGTCCAATTCTAGTAATAATCTCACGCGTGCCCGCAGAATTCGTCAACCTCGACCCCCAGTCCGATCGCGTTCCTCCTATTCCAGCGCCAATCAATCATACGATTCTACCATTACTATATCATCTCCATATCCTATCCCTTATACGTACCATCGTGAAATTTTCGAACGGTTCTATACGAGACGGAGAAAACATCAATAGTCTTGGCATAATTACAGACCGCCATATAGAGGACGAAGTAGCATGATTTTGGATATCTGACTTGATTTTATTGCGATATCGTCTTTTTGGCGATCTTGGGCTGGCCATCGCCCCAAAACCTGTTCCACCGTCGACACGTCAGGCGAGTGTCACGACTTTTGAGTCACCGATCAAGCTGGCATAAAGACTATCCTCAGTTGTGCTACATGCACACGGCCCGGAATTGGGTCTACCTAATTAATTTCGCCCTTTCGTTTTAATGCTCGATCTCATTCAATGCCTGGCTCTACATCACAAGAGAAACGGTTAAGCCTTTTAGACGACGATGAGGCTCAAGCCTCAGCTTCCTCTTCTACTGCCCTCCTCGGTGACGATGCGGACAAGGATATAGAGCCTGGACGACTAGAAGACTCGGCTTGGTCTACTCAAACATGGGACGGTCGGTTGCTGCTATGGTGTCTATCCCGGTTGAGGACTCTTCGAAGGAAAGTTCGAAGACATCCGGCAAGTTTTGCTGCTGTCTTGCTCAAATACATTATTTGGGTAATATGTATACTGTTAATAGGAACACCCATCTTTGCTCCGTCCTACACGCGACTCCCTCAACATTTTCGAGATCTAGAATCTAGATGCCAAGGACCTCTTCGAACACCGGGATGTGCGAACCTCCACAACGAAAAGATTTTTATCAGTGTTTCCTTATATGATAAGGAGGGTCACCTAGCAAATGGCTTCTGGGGCGAGAGTTTGTTGGAACTGATACATCTACTCGGGCACGATAACGTCTTCCTGAGTATATACGAGAACGATAGCGGGCCAGATGGTGCCACCGCCCTCGAAAGCTTACGACGGCAGCTTAGATGCAAAAACGCTATTATTAACGATCCTCACGTACCGATCACAGATTTTCCAAGCGTCAAACTTCCCGACGACACTGCACGAGTGAAGCGTTTGGCCTATTTGTCAGAAATGCGAAACCGAGCCCTACGACCTCTCGACCGATTTGACCCCAGTATTGGAACGGAACAATATGACAAAATTTTGTTCCTAAATGACGTAACTTTCCACCCAATCGAGGCAGCTCATCTGCTTTTTAGCACCAATGTCGAGTCGGATGGACGAGCGCATTACTTGTCAGCATGCGCTGTCGATTTTTGGACACCACTCAAATTTTATGATTTATACGTAACCCGTGATTATGAAGGGTATTCTGCTGGCCTACCCTTTTGGCCGGTGTTCCTGAATGTTGGCGATGGTGTATCACGGGCTGCCATGGTCGGTCAGAAAGATGCTGTTCCCGTCCAAGCTTGCTGGAGTGGCATGGTGGCGATGCAGGCGAAACATGTGCAAAATATGAATGAATCCTTGCCGAATTCCCATTTCCAGGACATCAGCAATTATGTTATCGACCCCGTGAGACCACACAACGTCACTTCCCCAGTTCGGTTTCGTTACGAGCCCGAGGTCTTCTTCGAAGCGTGCGAATGCTGCTTGTTCCATGCCGATGTGGCTCAAGTAGCCAGGAAGGCCGGAGAGGAGGAATTGGGAATATATATGAACCCCTATGTACGGGTCGCGTACACGGAAAAAACTCTGTCATGGCTTCCTTGGGTCAAGAGATGGGAGCGGCTGTTTAGCATCCCCCATGCGATAATATCGTGGTTCATGTCGTTACCAACTTATAATCCACACCGTACGGTTCAAGAGGGTGAGACCTTTACAGAAGAGATATGGGTCGGCGAAGGCAATACTGGCCATTGGCAGTTGGTGCAGCGACAGGGTCGGAACGGGATGTTCTGTGGTGTCAGGGAGATGCAAGTTATAAAACTTGGTATGTTGAGTCGATAACTTGGTCGTCATGACAAACACTAACTAGATCCACACAGATGAACGCGACGAAGACAAGAACTGGGAGAATATTAAGATCCCTGCCGGTCAGATAACGCGGTTCCCGACCGAACACGGCGAAGTGCAACGGTCAGGCGAGAAGTGGGATCCTATGGTGAGCTGGAGAGTTAGGGAGGAGGCCGAGAAAGCACGCAAGAAGCAGCAGCAACAGCATCAACTTCCGTCCCTCTCATGATATTCCAGCATGTCTAGCTATATCGTTCACGAATACCCTTGCTGTCTAAATAGGCGTTTTCATCTACCATCATTATTGTACCACGGCGGACATTGTATAAAGTCGGAATAGGTACAGATTTTAGGATATGGCCATTGATCAACACATTTGAAAGACTAGCTCTAAAGGCATCAACACTACATTCATAATTCACGACAAAATCATTTACGAAGGATACCCTCCACCTTAGGCGTCACCATCCGCAGCAGCAGACGTTTGGAACCGCCCATAGTTGGATATTGATACCATCACTCGCTAATTCGCTCCTAGAAAATCGGAGGGCGGGTTTGGCGTTTTTCTTGGGATATAATATCGTGTTGGCTCACGCGCGGAAGGAAAGGGTTGATAAGTTGCACGGGAGGAGTAGGCCATTCCGGCGAGCCGAAGTTCAGGGGTTGATGAATTCTACGTTCTGAATAACACATCAGTTTTAATGACCAGTAAAGTACTACTATATTTATCGTTGCTCGTAGACTGTGACCACCTAAGCTATTGTTTAACTATAAGAGCTGGATACGAGTCGGAAGCTTGGTTAGGAACGTACTAAGACCAGTCTGAGTTCAGACTTTTTCCGATCGTCAGTCGCGATCGTAGCAATGGGGAAAATAGGGGTAAGTAGGTAGAGGTATATGAGTACTAGAACAGCGTGATAAATGTTGGCACGTTGGATTGAGTAGACTCGGTGTTGATCTCTTTCCCTTACCATATTGTCTCATAGAGACGTGTATATTCGAGTCACAAGGCATTCGATCGGTATGACAAGGCACGCAAGTCATGGTCCCTTGGGTAAATTCACTCAATTAACTAGATTCTGGGAATCCTTCGATGTCTTTCTAGGATTACGTAGCCATGTGGAGATCATGGCGAATTGTCCTCGTCTCATCCGATATACCACATACCCCGTCGCATGGTCCAGAACCAACATAAGGTCGAAAAGTTAGCACTCTTTATCTTCGTCTGGAAATCGACCATACTACTGCAAGCTCCTTGTTGTTGCACCAGCTCTTAGCCCCTAGTAAATTAAGAAAGTCCACTACCCGCATTTGCCCGGTCGTAGCTGCGGAGCGATAGGGTGTTTAAGAGTTAAGACCGTGAAAGGAACAGGAGAAAGCTTGAGGGTATAAGTGCAAGATAAGCGTGACCATCATACCAGCGCAAGGTAGATTGAGATGACATGGATGTCATCTTTGATTTCGGTGCCGTAGGGGGGAGATCGGTCTAGAGTCTTCCGTTAAAAGACTACAGTATATGTAAATGGCAAGGTTTGGTAGACAGTTATGCTATCAATGATAGGGCCTAAATCATTCGACGGTTAGGACCTGACTTAATGGCAGACGATATCATGTCTATTTGGTGGTGGTAGCAGTTTTGGCCTTGGGGGCGGGCTGTAAAACAAGTTAGTATATAATATCAAGAGACCGCCGTAAAAAGTAATTAGTCACCTTTTTGGTCTTTTCAACCTTTTCGGCCTTTTCAGGCTTCTCTGCTTTCTCTTCCGTCTTCTCTACTTTCTCCTCTGCCTTCTTGACAGCAGCCTTGACCTGTAACTCACGTTAGGATATGAATAATGCTACGCAGGATGCAAGGATATCGGTGTAAGACAACTCGCTACACTGGCCACAAAAGGGGAGAGAAGATGCATGACAGGGGCATAAAAATAGAAATAGGAGGATAACAAGAACTAGCATGCTATGATGCCGAAAATGAACTCAGAAAGACATGTGACGCGATGCTAATAAGATAAAATGCTGAATATTATAATAATGTCGAAATAATAACAAACATACCTTCGTCGCGACGCCTTCCTTCTTAGGCGCAGCCGTCTTCTTTTTGGTTACACCAGTAGGCTTCGCAGCCTTTGCCTTTACAACAGGCTTGGTGGTGGTGGTGGTAGTGGTGGTGGGCGACTTCTTCACCTTGGGCTTAGTGCTGCGCTTGATGGCAGGCGCGGTGTCAACTGTCTGGAAAACACGCGGCTTAGAGTTGCCGGTGGCAGATCGCGTTCCTTCGCGTGGCATTTTTGCTTCACGTTTTTAAGGTTAAGTTGGGTAAATTCTACACCAAATGTTAGATCGCGATGTAGGATTTACGACGAAGTTTTGAAATGGATGGCGTGATGTAGAATGCGGACGCGAAACAAAATGCGACCGAAAGAAGAATGGGTGTAGGGAAGAGAATATTCGGGTTGGGCTGCTTACAAGACACTAAACCGACAGGGTGACGCGATAGCGAAAATTTGCGTAATAAAGTAGGAATTAAACTCGCTAAGTAGTTAAGGTAGCTTCAATAGGTGATTGTTAGATGAATAGGATGGGGAAAAAAGGTTGCGAAAAGGAAGAGAAAGAAGGGAAGTCGACGGGGAGGGCGATGGGAAGATTAAGAAGAGAGCTCGAGGGCAAGAGGGCAGCAAGGTGATTAGGGCAGGTACCTACATGAAGTGTGTTGTTGTTTCCGCGTACCATCACTGATTCGACAGCTCCTCCATCACAACACCACCCAACCTAACCGAATAATACATGAATAATACCCTGAGCAAGGTAATAATAGTAATTAAAAACAGAGTGACAGCATTTCGCATAAACAGACCCGGCTAATCAGGCCTAGAATTGGTCGGAACTTGGTCGAGGGGTGGGAAAGATGGAAGGGGGGAAGGGAAAGGGTTGGGGCGCATGAGTTTGATAGCACAAAAAATGCCCGTGATTGCAGCTCTAGCTTAGTCCCTCTTGCCGCTGTCATATTTTGATTTAACTATTCGGTTCTTGCCTTTTCATCCATCACCATTTCGTTATTACCCTCCCCATTTTCCTCAATGTTCTTCTTTTTCTTCCCTCTTCCTTTTTTACCCCTCCAACTTTGATATCTACCTCTCTAACGTATTGGTACGATACTAGGTGTAGGTATCATACACACATAGGCCACATAGACACCTAGTACTATTCATTGACATTTTTATTAGAATATCCTTTCAATCCGTTCCTCGTATTCGTTTGTTTACTCTTTTCAATAACATTGTCAATCATTATTGTTCGACCAGATCAAGTTAAACCAATACACCTTCAGTCTGGGTCTTCCAGCTGGACCATGACCACGTTCGTTCATTTCACTGGTGCGCGACCGATGCCGCGCGCCTGGATCCTCTACCTACCTAGGTAACGCGATGAAAGCGGTAGACAAGACAGAGAAATGATAGACTTATTCGATTGCTCTGGATCAAATTGCCCCGGCCATTTATTCTTCACCTGATCACTCTAGCTGTGGATTGCATCTGGATTGCCTGCATCTGAAGGTTGGGATCAGCACTCGTTGCCTTCATGCGACAAACAATAAAGTGAAGACAAATCCACCAAGGCCCCTAATTCAGCCCTCCACCAGTTCATTTTACGCGCCTATAATTGCAACGCCGTCTTAATCAATCAACACAACTCGAGCATTTATACTTAAGTATCTTCATCCGGCTACATCTTATACTTCATCACTTGCAATCACTCGCAATCACTTGGGTATGTATGTATCTTACTGTTCCGATGAGTTCACCGTATATTAGGTAGGTGTGCAAAGCCCCCGCTTCGAATTTGAGAACAATCGAATCAAATTTCGACCATTTCACGGCGTGCTTGGCATTGTCCTAGTCTTTCGCTGTTTCTACACCGAGCCTTAGTCGAGTCGGACTGAGGAAATTGAGTCCGGTGACAAGATTGTAACTCATACGCGCTAAAACCCATGAAATCGATGTGAGCCACAGATGATTTTCTGGCGGTTTTTTATCCATTTCGTCGCTAAACTGAATGCCAGCAATGGCCTGACCAATTTTGTCATTTCATTCATACAATAATATGACTACGGAACCGCTAGCTACGTCGGATCTACTGGAAATATTCTATCCATCATCACTAGCCTGCCGCCATTCATATTTCCGCAGGCGCGATTGCGTGATACGTAAGACTTCTTTGCTAAAACACAGATTATCTCTTTCGCCATTAATGTGGATGATGGCCCAGCCCGAGATTTGGGGATTGATTTAGTGATTTCATAGCCGCAAAAGGGCGCCGACTGGCTGATAACTCGTTACTAAAAGCTCCGATTGAATACTGACTACCTAGTATTCATACTATGACACATTCTCTATAGACTAACGTTTTATTCGCCTCTAGTAAATTCCTCGATGTTCGCCTCCGGGCATTCTTGCCGGAATAATGTTATCGTCTCATCCCACAGCTTCTGCTGGACTTCCACACCTTCGACTGAATATATAAAATTGGGGAACCTAATTCGGTGTGTTAGCTAAGATATACTCAATATCATATGAAATGATTCATCTTACGGTCGAAGTCTCTGTTCGCTTAAATATGCCCCATGACTATCCGGGTGTCGGACGGCTGCATCAGTCAAGTGGCGACCACCTTCGACGGTAGTGAAGGCGAGATATTTCGAAAACATGTCACCGTTCGGGTCGACGCGGTGGAAAGAACTCTGGCAATATCCCGGGTTGGGGGTGTTGACGATGATATCGCTAGCACTAAGTCGAGACGCCAGGGCCCGAGTCCACAGCATATCGAGCAGTTTGGAAAGATAGTAGCGGCTATCACCGGGTACGAACGAGGTCGGATTATCAAGCCAATTGATGATGGAATTCCCCTCTTGCGGATTTGTAATGTCGCGGACAGGCGCAATGAACCCAACGCTTGATGTTGTGATGGTCATCCGCCCCGGTTTGCCTAGCTTCTGTGCTGTCTGCCGTAGCGGCTCTGAGAGAAGTAATGACAGCAATGCCGTACCAAGGTAATTGGTTTGAACATGAACCTCGTGGCTCGTCGGTGACCGTGTATACTCAAGCCGCTTTAACCCCGCATTTAGCAATATGATATCGAGGCGGTCCAGATCGGTACGTGCGCGTTCTGCAAATGCAACCATGCTTGCCCACGACTCCTGATCCAATTGCCAAACTTGGATATCACACTTCGGCGCTACTCGCACAATTTCTGCCTTGGCCGCCTCTCCCTTAGCTAGGTCGCGAACGCCCAATATGAGTCTCGAGAGCTCATGTGATGCTAACTCCTTAGCCGCCTCAAATCCCAAGCCTACATTTGCGCCCGTCACGATGGCCGTTTGTCCTTCAAGTCGAATATCATCCGGTAGGGGTCTCGCCTTAAATGTTAGCTGGTACCAGATCAGCTGTAGGAAATAGTATATATTAGACATGACGTCCTGATATTTTGACCTCAATGGAATATTTCTTTGGTCCTTGGAAATAACTATTCACGATGTGAATAATTCGACTCTTCATTACAGTATAATGAAATTTGAATGACAGTAGGCGAAATGATTATGGACAAACGAAACATGTGAGCTATATAAATACAACAATGATAGCCTAGGTACCTACCTTTAATATAGGACTTATGAGCTTAAAATAAAACAGATATCTACCAACATTATATAGGAGTTAGGGGATAGAAGGAGCCCGGAACTAATTGGCCAATCAGGGCTATCCCGCCGCTTGAAATTCTTCCGTCAATTCTACATTTGGGGATGCTCGGAGGAATTGTTCATCCTTAAAACTAGATCTAAACCTCCGTCCTCCGACATTCAAGTCGGGATGGGTACGGATTTCGGAAAATTAAGATTTCTGTTTACGGCACAGTTATATAATATCTGAAAGGTGTTGAGTCTTAAATGATGTCCATGTCAATTGGAAGCATAGTGGCAGGGTGGGCAGTCTAGCGTTAGACAAACCCACTAAGACCACTAAGACCACTATGGCGTTCAAAGCCTGCCCAGCAGGTACCTAGGTACCTATAAATCCGTACCTAGACACTAAAATTTCCCGGGATCTTTTGACGTTAAAACGACTAATCTTTCAGGCCTTTTAGTTTCCCCTATCTTAAAAAAAGGCATCTGCTGTCTCGAAAAGTTAAGGTTCAATGCAATTCAATACATATATCTATCGACGCGCTGCCTTATTGGATCACTTCCTTGCATATAAGCCTACCTATTTATTTGTAAAACAATTGTTTTATCTCCAATACAATACTTTTCATGTAAACAAAAAACATGTCCTCAAGACTTAACTCCCCAGGTACCTAACGGACATAAGAAAAAGGTCCCACCTACCTATCACCATACTGGAGCATTTATCCAGGCATCGTCCGAGCTCGTCTCCGACGAGCTCGACCCCGACGCGCTCCACACCGACCCGCTTGCCTCCGACGGGCTGGACTCCGACGTGCTCGCCGTCTTTGGAGCCTTCTTAGCGGCCGTGATCTTTTTCGCGGCTGGTCCTTTGCCAAATTTGCCAACAGCTGGCATCTTCGGGGCAGGGAGCGTTCCTTTAGCTGGTGGCATCTTGGCCGGCGGCCCCGGGCGAAAGATGTTGCCAGGGTCTGATTTGCTCCGACCCAAGACTGTCCCATTCCCAGCCTGAGGCACCGGAATCTTAGGCTGTACAAACTTGCCCATACCAGTGCCCAAACCTTTTCCCAATCCCGCCTTCATAGTCCCAGCCTGAGGCACCAGAATCTTTGGCTGTACAAAATTTCCCGTACCAAAGCCCAGACCTTTTCCCAATCCTGCCTTCCCATCCCCAGCCTGGGGCACCGGGACATTTGGCGGTACGGCCGTCTGCCCGTCTGCGGCTTTCTTCGCGCCGAACATCAGATTCGACCGAGGCGGGAGAAAAGGAGATCGCTGCTCCTTAGGTTGGGCAGTCTTGATCTTCTTTGGGGTGGTCGGCATTTTCCCCTCTCTATCAGGTGCCGCCTCGTTAATAGGGGACCCTTTCCTCTTCCGGTTGCCTGGGACCTCAACCGGTGCTGGCTGAGGCTGAACCGGGTAACGGCCACATGTACCAATACATGTACCAGTCGATGGTATTACACACTGACCTGGTGTGTAAATATCTGGGCCCCGTGACTTACATGGGCACGGTACACATTTGCATCGTGTGCAAGTGCATGTGCCACATTGTCCGGAACCACGTTCTTTACAATAACTCTCGCCCTTAGGTTTGCATTCGTAGTTATTGTAAGTAATCGACCCAATACGGCCGATGTTAAAAACAATGGTTTGCGCGGAAATCGCGCCTGCCGTTTGTCGGTCGGTGCGGTAACCCATAAAACCATGCTGCTCGAGATCAGGCTCAGAGCATTGTGAAGAGTCGTTCGGATATACAGTTGACTCCGAAATGACACTGATGGAATCGTCAAGATCTTTGAAGTCCCACATCTTCGATTAGTGTTCTTGTTTTTTCGATTGAAATCGTTGAGAAAGTTTCGATAAAATCAGATTTAAATTTATATAACTGTTGTGAGTTTCTGTTGGATTGAAATCACTTGTGTTAATGATGAATCGAAATCAAAATCTAGATGGCAGAGTAATGTCCTTATATAGCCCAGTGCCATAAATTCAGAATCCATTCACTTAATACAGATTGGTAACAACTGGTTTCTCACCTGTAACAGACAACACAATTGTTTCGTGGATTCAGACAACTTGACCTATATGTTTTGGAACTTTTTTCTGTTCTTTGTTTCAAGACACGCAGGACAAAGATATGTGTCTTCCTAATGTTTAACCTATGATACCTAAATAGGTAGCCATGTTATACTCTCAACTATACTATCGATCGCTGTCGATATCATGAATACTAGGCAGGTAAATGTAAACAGCTCCAAACCTACCTATCGAGGGCCTTCTCCGGGCATAACAGGTCACCTGTTCTTACATGGCTTTCGCTGAAGATTGGGCAGCTACCTATCTAGAACAAATATGTAGGCTGAGTACCTAGGTAGCTTTGGTACCTATTGGGTATTCATCGAATCTAACGAGTCTGTCATCCAAATGACGTAAATCAATTTATATTGGGATCCCCAGTAAATAGCGGGAAGTTTTTATGTTCGCCTACGGCGACAGCAAGAATGAATAGGCTAAAGTGCTGCGGCAAATATAAGGTCCTTTTCATATCGCGCCCGCCGGATTCCTCTATTGTCGAACTTGAATAAACCATCAAATGTCATTTCAGCCTTAGATATGCTCCGAATCCTCATTCTCAATGTTCTATACACTCTCGTGTTTGCTACTAGAGAACCAAGACTCGTTGAGGGGGCCTATATAATTGAGTTGGCCGATAGCGCGACAGGAGATAGCAATGACCAGAGGAAGTTCGATTGGCATGCAGAGTTCCATAAATATGCAGTCACACTGCCCTTTGACTACACAATCGCACACGAATATCGCTCACCGGGTATCTACAGCGGCTTATCGATTCGAGTTTCCGGAGATGACGATCCAGAAGCTATCTCAGCCAGCCTTGGCGAAATTCCTGGGGTCTTATCAGTGAGTCCTGTTTATGAGATGTTCCTGTCGAATCCGGGCATTCAAGAAAACTGGTCAACTGTGGGAAACCCTGTTCGATCCTATGAAGATCCCCCCGCAATGCCTATGGTATCACCAAAGCCCGATGGGAATCTCGCCTCAACCCTTGAAATGGCTGGCGTTGATAAACTCCATGGGCTCGGAATCAAGGGTAAGGGTGTGAAAGTAGGTATTATTGATACCGGTGTTGATTACCGTCATCCGGCGTTGGGTGGCGGTGTTGGTCCTGGTTTCAAAATTGCTGGAGGTTGGTCTTGGTTGGCCGACAATGGAACCGCAGTCGAAAGTGATAACTTCCTCACCGCATGCTATAGCGGTGGTCATGGAACGCATGTTGCAGGTACGATATCTCACAAGCCGGGCTTTTATTCTAGATTAGTTGAGCTGATGCACGCGTTAGGAATCGTTGGCATGAATCCACTTTCAGATGGAAACAGGACGCTCAACATATCTGGTGTTGCCCCAGAAGCAACACTGTATATTTACAGGGTCTTTGACTGTTCTACTAATGGCGAAACTACAGACCGCGTTATGGCTGCTATGCTTCGAGCACAGGCAGATGGCGTAGATGCCATAAGCATGTCACTTAGTATACAAGAGTCGTGGCAAAATCGAGACGATCCGTTGATGAAAGTTGCGTCACGTCTCGTAGATGCAGGTATCGCTGTTATTGTTGCACAAGGAAATTTTGGATCCAGCAGCAAGTATGATCCTCAGCTGTATCGCACCGCGACGCCTGCTGAGCTCCCAGCTGTGATATCGGTTGGCTCTGTTGCGAGCCAGAATTTCCCTCTAGCTTATACACTTACAGACTCCCAAGGTGTTAGAATTCAATATGCATCTTTATGGCCTATTGAATTTCCAGATGGGCTAGAGATCTACCTACTCGATAATGGTTGCTCTAGCTCTAGCTCATGGGACGAGGTCATCTCATCATTAGAAAATCAAGGAAAGCTGAACTCGACTATCATTGCTTTTCCGGTAACCGATAGTTGCCGCTATACTGGCGCAGTAGGGTGTTGCTCGAAACCTAGTAGTCTACGTTACATAATGGGATTTCATACAAATACATCGAACCCCTATAACGTGGACTATGAAATGGCATCCACAGGTTTCTTTGGCGACGGTTCTGTACAGTACATAGCTATCAATGCATTTGATAGCGCGACTATCCTTACGAATATGAATATCACTGGATCGGGCCAGTACAAGCTATATTTTAACGACTCCTCATACTCAACCCCTCCGCGGTTAGTCGGTGGCAAGATGGACTCTTATTCAAGCTTTGGACCTAGTTACCTAACCTATGATTTGAAACCTCAGATCTCAGCACCCGGTGGTCAAATACTTTCTACCTGGCCATTAGGAGATCAAGGCTACTATACCATTCTTTCAGGTACCTCAATGGCAACCCCGTTCATAAGTGGGTGCTATGCCCTGGTCAAGTCCCAGTTCCCTGAATTGTCCGTTCGGGAAATTCTATCCCTTTTACAATCAACATCGAGTCCAACTCCTTGGGTTTGGAATGATACTATGATCGCTGGGACGTTTCAACAGGGAGCGGGGTTAGTGAATGTGTATAAGGCAATAACATACCAAAGCCGCGTCTCCCCAGGTCAACTTCTCGTGGGCGACAACTCTCGGACTGAATACGGAACGGTAAATATTACCATCGAGAATCGTTCCAACGTTTCGAAGATATACACATTATCACATCAAGGCGCTTCCTACTCAGAGCCAAACCCACCTAATAACCCTATTTTTTCACAAGAGAATCAACTCCCAATCTACGGATCCGCGGAGTTTGAGGCACCAACGGTAGAAGTCGCGGCGAATGACTCAACAATCGTTTCATTCAAAATCCGGCCTCCAACATCGGATGTAAAACCTGAACGGCAGCCCGTCTTCGGTGGCTTCATAAAAATGACTAGCGAAGACGAAGAGTTCAGTATACCATACTCAGGGTCTCCCTTTTCCCTTTTCAACGCTGCTTACTTTCACATCGTGAACACATCCGATAATGTGCAGCCATCGCTTTCTTACAAGTTTGATGAGGGTTGGGTGATCAACAGGGGTCTATTCGAAGTCAACTCGTCGTTATCGTATCGCTCGCTCATCGGCCGTAGCCAGTTCACTCGCGGATACCGCATAGATTTGGTACCGGCGAACATCAGCATTATACCTGACCTGTATGGCTTTGACCCGGCTGAGAAGCACGAATATCGACCCTCAACCACGGTTCCACCGACAACGATCTACGGGCTTCCATCTTACGGAACCCTTGTTAATTCAACGGAGCTTCTGTCACCGTCGACGTATAACTGGCCCTTAGGGACGGGGGTTACTGCAACCTTGCCGAATGGGACTAAGTATTCTCCTAGTCTGGGGGATTATCGCTGGCTCGCGAGTGTCCTCAGATGGGGCGGTGATCCGGAACTCCTGGATGATCATGAGACTTGGCTATCTGGCGTCATTAGACTTGTTGATGGGCCAGTTGGCGGACCAGCGAGTAGTTCGAAGGATGATTAGGTAATAGGGGTAACGGAGTAAGCTTATGTAATCGTGAATATTAGGTAATCCTGGTCTTGATTACATAACACAAGTCTGCAGACACACCTTTTTCAGTACCCGGGGGCTACCTGCGCCGTTACATTCTCAATTGGGATGCAGATAAATTTATATCCGTTGTTAGAATTCTTTTTGTTTATTTTGTTAGGACCGTAAAATGAACTTCTAACTTCAAATCAACTCGTCGAATACCTACGGCTGTGGATGATTAGTCGCCTACAGCGGGTTCCCTAGATATAGTTGTTATTCACTGATGTTTAGGGGTTCGGTCGCTGAAAAATAAGCCATATGGTGCAACAGTATCTTAAATTAGGTACGCGGTTTTAGCCTATAAACAGCCCGAAATACGCAAAAATTTTGAAGCCTTGAGGGCTATTGTGATCAAAACCGTCCCCTGTATTATACAAACCCCGACCGCTACGGAATATCCATTTTAGCGCACATACTACCTAATTTGCCCCTTGTAGACCCATTCTCAATCCTCGTTGCTTGATCACGTCACAGCACAGCGTATGGATTAAGTATGTTTCAATTTTGATTTCAATGCTCCATTTATGGATAACTTTTGTTTATAGATTAATTAAGATTTTACGAAGCTGGATAAATCCGCAATCTGAATGAGGAGGTATCATATCTAGATCTAGATTCCCGTGTTTTACCTGATGGCTCATGAAGTAAAAGAATACGCTCCCCTCACTACCCCACTTCCACTTCACTACCCCGCCCCCGCTTCCCCGCCAAACCTCTATCATTAGCGCCCTAAGCACCAACAGCTACTACAACTTTCCCAAAAAGCTTTTCACGCTTCATGAATAAGGCGGCGATTAGCATGACACCTCCAGCCACAGGTACCAAAACAAAGGTCATCTGCATTGCCCCGGTGATGGCTTCAATTGCTCTGTTTCGAAGCTCCCCGTCTAACTCCTGGAACAAAGTACTTTGCGCACCTGCTACGGCTCCCCGAATATCCTGATCCGAGTAGCCATGGCTGGCCAGGGCCGCAGAGAGATTTCTGGTAGCAGTCGATTGGTATATCTGTCCAGCGATAGCGAGAGAAATGACTTGTCCGCCTATCTGCGCTACATTTTGCAAACTGATTCCGGCACCCGCATCCCCTGGCTTCAAGGTCAATGAGGCGATTGTAAAGGAGGTCACCATTGATAGACCGCTACCGACAGCAATGAGTACTGTCAAGCCGTTGATGGTTCCCGTCGATGAGCTGGGGTCGAGGTAAACAACTAAGGGACCACCTCCTGCTATCAAGAAGATACTGGCTATGACATACAGAACCATATATACCTTGATGAAGTGGAGGAAGGATCCCGAGACGAGGTTCACCGTCACCCCAACAACGACAAAAGGGAGTAGGCGTACGGCTGCCATCAGCGCTTGGTCGTCGTTGACAAATTGAAAATATATGGGGATGTAATACACGACAACGAAAAGTGTCGTGGTACCAGCTGCTGTAACAACATATAGCAGCACTTGAGTTCGGTTGCGTAACAGATGTCCCGGGAATAGGCGTTGTGCCGGAGTAGTAAAGAGAGCAAAGTATTGCTGCAAGATATAGACGACCAAAGTTACACCAAATGCAACGAAGGTAGCAACAGTACGTCCATCATTCCAAGGCCATTGGCTTCCAGCCATTGTAAATGCCAAGAGGAAACTGACTCAGACGCCAGCACTAAGAATGAAGCCAACAAAGTCGATAGTCGCAAGCCGGTTTTTTATGTTAACGCCTTGTATAGGATGAATGGATGGAAGATAGAAGAGAAGGGCCGGTGCTGAGATAGCACCAATGACCAAGTTGATGTAGAAAGCCCAGCGCCAAGTTGCTGAAGATACGGCGAAGGCACCGCCGATAACAGGTCCCAGGACAGCACCAAGACCCCAAAACACGCCAACAAGAGCCATGTAGAAGCCACGCTCCTTCTCTTCCGTCATGACTGCGAAATACTGCAATGAACCGAGGTATATACCGCTACCCCCGGCGCCGGCGATTACGCGACCGACAATCAAGGCGTTCATAGTCGGCGCAGCCCCACAGAGTGCTGAGCCAGCCTCGAAGAGCACCGTGGTCGCAACGAAGTTCCATTTCATGTTGAAAGTTCTGTATAGGGTTCCAAGCAAGAGAATAACGCAGACAGAACCTAATGGGAAGCCGGCTCCAACCCACGCAAGTTGTTCAACGTGGCCTAGGTCTTGAACCACGGGGCCTTGGACATCTGCCGCTATGGTTGTGTCGAGACCATAGAGGGCGCAGGTAATGTAGAGAGAGACGCAGATTATAATCCAATGAAACCCGCGTATCTTCCTTGTGTTGTCTTTGTGCTCTGTTCCGGATAACGAACCATCTCGTGGTGGCTGTTTGGCTGGGCCGTGTTTTTCAGCATCTCGGCCGCGGTAGCTTGGGTTGCCTTGGGTTATTACTTTAGAATGATCGATATCTGGTCGATTGGGTAGCATGCTGTCTACGTACGTTAAAGTTCTAGGTGTAAGGGTGTATATCAATAAACTTTAAACTAGAATAGATGAGTGGCTGTGAAGTTGAGTTGTTGGTTATTAGAGACGGCGTAGGTAATTATCCTAAGAAATTTGCTGATGATAGATGCAACCAAAGGACATAACACTCTACAGGACAAGACCATGCTACTTACCATTGTTCAGTAGATATGTGCTCCTCAAATACAGATAGCAGTTTCGTACTAGGTAGGGTACGTGGTGAATGTCAAAAATTATTAGTCAAACGGTATCCACGGTTGCATTATTAAGTAGGTACCTAAGTATTCAAGAATACTTACTATATCGTCCTTTTATTCATATTTCCCGTGGTATTTTAAACTTTCCAGGTATCAACCAGGGTAATAGCCAATACCCGTGGACATTCTTCCTGCTGCTTCCGCGGAGGCTTTAGGTGCTGTAGGTGTCATCGCTCCACCTGTGTAATGAATCGTTCCGGGTCTTCGGATAGGGCTCTAGGGCTCTGCATTAGCGCTACCTTAGTGGAGGTTCCGCCCCACTTCCTCACCCGATCCATATTTGTCACCGGAGCCTCCGCGGAAGCCATTCGTTTATTTTGACCTCCGAACCTTGTACCTTCCTAATTGTTCTCACATTTGCCCTCTCTGTGTAGACGAAGATACTCGCTCCTCCCTCTTTATATCACCTTCACTATTTATACATGTCTTACGTTCTGTTAGTATTATTGAGGTGTGTAGTCATATATCCGAGTTATCTCGGTACGCCAACAACGAATGATTGTTTACACCCGACGTGAAGACTGTGTGTAATTGAAAATACAAGGATTGGGCTTCCGATGAGATGGAACCCCCCCGCAGGGCATGCGATCTCTGTTATCGCAAGAAAATCAAATGTGACGGTCAAACACCCCGTTGCTCTCATTGCATGGTTTACAACTCCGATTGCACCTTTCAAGCAGCTAGTCGAAAGACACCGTCAAGGAGGCAAGCTGCCATACAACGACATCTTAAGGAGGATGCATTGCAATCTCGCGTCAAAACCCTTGAAGATCAACTTAATCTAGTCTTGGAAAAGGTTCACAGACTAGAAAGACTTTCAAATTCTGAACAAAACCCCCCAAATCAGATACTTCCAATTGTCGGCCAAGAAGAGTGTATTACATTGAGTAATCGCACATCCAGCGTACCCCATCTGGAGCTACCCCCATGTCATGATATTATGCCCATAGTCGAGTATTACATAAGTACTTTCAATTCAATCTTCCCTCTGTTTCACTCGGGAACGCTATTACAGGCTGTAAGGAGCTGGTACCAAGACCCACACTCAAGGGATCCGGTCTTATGGGCGATGATAAACGTGGTTCTTGCACTTGCTCATCATACTAGTCGTTCAGGCGACATAACCTCGACAGGCAGCACCGAGACCTATCTCAACAATGCCCAATCGGTTTTAACGCAAGTTATAATGCGCGAGACGACTCTGATAAATGTTCAGATACTTATTGGAATGGTCATCTTATTCTGGACGGCAGACGATTTAAGGCCAGCTCTAGTTTTGATTGCCACAGCTCTTCGTCTAGCTCATAGGCTCGGTTTTCATAGTAGAAAGAGTTCTGAGAATCTAGGACAGACCGAGTCCATACAGCAAAATCGAGTCTTTTGGATGGCATATATCCTCGACAGGGACATGAGCTTATATTCTAAACTAGCTCCAGTCCAACTGGATAGTGAGATCGATCTAGATTTGCCTCCGCTCGAGGCTGAAGATGATCTCGCTGGCTTTATATTTGCGCCTGATGGATGTACTAAGATGAATTTCTTCCGCGCTCGCGTAGAACTGGCAAGGATTCAAGGGAAAGTCTATGAGTGTGTGTATTCAGCCGCTGCACAAAAAGCCAGTTCCGAGGAGAAATCCCAAAACATTGCACAAGTCTTCGCGATACTCAACACATGGAGTTCACAGATACCACAAGAATTCAGTGCTTCGATCTTGTCACAGGCGAATATGCCTGTGTTGTCAAGATATTTGTGTATTCTTTACTCCACTCGTTTATCATGTCGCGCTTTGGTCAGTTTTGCCAGCACCTGTGACTCATTTCACTACTCTAGATGGATGGGACATCTTCGAGACTACGGTGGAAAAGTCGCCGCGGGACAGGAGGCATCACATGCGCCTATGCCGCAAGGATGGCAGATACTTGTGGAGGAATGTCGGGAGTACATGACGCTATCCACTACAGTCGTTCCCAGAGACAATTTCTTCATCAGGTACACAGATTCCCACATCATCGTGCAGAATAACAATTTGTTAACTAAAAGAATAAATAGGATGACGTTATGCGCGTACAATTCAGGGTTGATATCTTTAACTGCTAACCGGATTTTCGGTACTCTTTCTGGAACCGAGGAATCGGACATGGAGCTGACGAGGACGGGCATGCTTTATTTAGAAGATATGGTCACGCAGACAGACCGTAAGATACTTCACCATATCCGAGATTCTGTGATGCAATTGCGTTCTTACGCCGATCTCATATCTCAAAGAACTCATGAACCAATATGGTCAAATGTGAATTCTCGAGTCGAAGATCTACAATCTAGTTTTTCCGAACTTTTACAAGACCAGCATATCGACGAAGACCTAACACTACACTTTGACTCGAATTGGGCTCCATCCGAGCCGAGCGCTTGGTAAGTTCCCTACTACTTAGGTACCTAGGTACAGAAGGTAGATGTCGAAGACGTGGGTTGGACTTTTTGATACACTGTGTGGTGAATGAATAAAAGGTGGACACATGTATTTCTATATGCTTAGCTTGGTAGATAAACTTAACTTGTACTTAGTACTAGGTATTAGTTAGGCATATAGTATCTTCTGTTGTTCTCTTTAGGTTACGTATCTATGCTTAATAGGTCCTAATTACCGGTACTACGGCACGGCACGGCCCGCCCAAGATCTAGCGTTGTGGTGGCGGCGCTAAAAGCTCTATCTATAATTCAGTGGAGGTGATAGTGAACACCCTTCTGTAAGAAATAGTCGATCATAGGAGCATCTCAGGTATTGATAAAAATGCCGCACATGTGACCCCTAAATTCCCAAATGTCAAGGTCAATCAATTGTCTCTTTGAACGTGGGTTTAGTCGCTACAGGTACTCACGACTCAGTGCTTACCGGTACTAACGTACTTAGGTATGTAGGTAGGTACCGTAGTGGCAAAGAGAGGTTTTCAAAAACGAGTTTGGACACCAAATGCGTTTGCCCATTAACAACCATTCAGTGGAAATTTGTGACAGGGCTATTAGGTGGTGGAGGTCCCTCCGGGAAGAGCTCCCTGATTATGTCAGCTCGCTTCTGGGGGCGGGGCTCCCTTTTCCTGAATAAACCATACCTTTCATAATGCGAGATCAGGCACCAGATAACTATGTTATAATGATTATATAAAGTAAAAAATGATTATCTAAGGTTAACAATCATTTTCTTCTCTCAACAACAGTTTTTTCGCGGTAAATAACCGTTATTTGGAACCACATATTGCGGGTACGGTATGTATGAAGCTTCCGACGGTTGCCATTTGTACCTACATAAGTATGAGATACGTACACAGACATAACTGCAGCATATCTGAGTAGACTCTAGAGCGCCACGCTTTACCTCGATATCTAACGACTAAGAAAATACCTATATAATATTAATTAATCAAATTGATAAGTATGTACGTAGTTGACTTCGAGCAACTACTAAAAGACTACATAGAGGGGAGAATGGAAACTTCCATATACACATGTATCAGGTACTCAATGTGTATTGATATCGTTCAGCCCTAATAACACGATACTGAGGGCATCGTACTTTCAGGGCGATACGCGCTGTGACTCATTACATTTAGGGTTTTTAGTTCACTTGTGATTATATTACTAGGTACTAGGTATCTATGTAGTGTACCTTATCCAGAAGTGGGTCTACAATCATCACCACCATTGTTGTCGCGTTCACGTTCGTTCCCTTCCCATTTCTTTCCCTATACATTCTCGCATTTCATCTCAGAACTGTGCACCGCCAAAAAAAAACTTGTGAATTCAACAATTCCAAATCGCCGACCCTCGTATCTCGCATTCCCCTTTTCCTTACTATCGTCCAACCTTCTCTTTAGCTTCTACGTCACACGAAATTTGGAAATCGTCAAAATGGCTCGCATTATACTTGGCATTCAATTTGGTGTCATGTAAGTACACTTACAATAAATGAAATTTCGACGTCTGATCACTAACCACATCTCTTCTTTTACAATTTAGGGACACCAAGGTTTCATGGCTTATGGATGAAAATGGTACGATAAAGAATGAGCTGGCCCAAATCAAACATTGGCCCGTTGCCTACGGCGGACAAACCAATCGCACCCGTTCCATGGTCCCGTCAAGGATCTTTTACAACCTCGATGGAAATGCCACTTGGGGCTACAACATCCCCCAAGGCGCCCAAGCAATCGAGCACTTGCCGTTACTCCTCGTTGATCGTCATTGCACCCCTCCAGATCGCGAGTACCTTTCATTTTACGACAACGGAAGACGTGTCTGTAACACACACGACAAGAAGCCTCATCAAGCTGTGTGTGACTTCTTAGGCTGTGTCTACAAGCATTCTTGCGACCAGCTGGAGGTCATCTTCACCCCTGACGAATTGGCGAAAATTCCAATTCATGTGGTCGTCACCACTCAAGGTGGTTGGAATACTCGTGTTGGCCTCATGTTATGTGAGATTCTAGCAGCCAGCAAAATTTCTGAGAACCGACAGGCTGGGAAAACAACTTTCTCGGTTATTCCAGAGATGTGTGCTATTGCCCTAGGAACTTTCCGTGGCCTCTCACGTCTGGGTACCCTGAATAGAAATGACCTATTCACCATTTTGTCAGTTGATGCCGCAACGACGTAAGTTTACCCAGTCCGCCCAACAGTTAGGAGGCTAAATAACTAATGTTTCCTAGAAATATCATTACCTACCAGCTGGCAGATTCGCCGAATCCCGGAATGGGCCTGCACATCCTAGCAGATAAAAGTATGACCATGCCATTCCATCTTCAGAAATACCTCAATACTTACTCAATTCGTAGTCGAATTCTCCGGACCTTCGATCCTCCGTGATCGCTTCAAAGCCCTTGTGAAGAAGAAGGTTGGCGAGAAGAGATTCTCTTCCATATCTGCTCAGGGCCACGATGAGCTGATGTCAGCTGTAAGTATCATCCCCTTCATATTGATTTATCGCATTTTTAATCTTACTACCTCTGATCCAGCTAACAAACGGCATAGTGGAGCAAAAATATGCGAACACCTGAGCTCAATGGCCCTGATGCTACCTGGGTTGTACGAATCGAGACCACTCCTCGAGCATGCAACAAAACCATTACACAGTGAGATACCCATACACGATTCCCAAAAACCTTGGAACCTCTACTTACTTCTTTAGGGGCGAGTTGCAAGATATTTACAACTCAATCATCCCCCAGCTTGAATCTCTTATAACCTCTCACGTCGAAGAGGTCCGCGGCCGTACCAACACTCATTTGAAGGTTCGTTACTAAATTTGAAGGTGAAAGGGAATAAAGCCAAAGACCATATCACAGCTAACGTACTGGATAGTGCTTAGTAGTAGCAGGAGAGTTCTTCACCAAAGACTCCATCATGGCAGCTGTCGCCAATGCATGGAAAGGCATGGGTACTAACGTCACTAACGTGATCCTCAAGGCTGGTACATATCCTCCGACCAGCGAGAACACTCCTACGTACGTTACAATGCCGCACTGAAGTTCAAACTTTCTTTACTAACTTTTATTAGTTGGCTTGGAGTTTCCAGATGTGCAGCGCTCTCTGGGATTGTCCAAAATCAGCTAGGCCATCCGGCGATCTTTCCACCCCCGAACCAACGTCCTATCTATATGTATCCCGCGTAATATACATCAGAGCATATTTGCATCCATCGATGTAAAAGACCTTATAATCCATGGAGAGAAAATACATACAAGGACGCTATGTTGATGTGGGATTTTCCTCACTTCGGTCGATAGACAGATGACTGAGGATGATTATTTGGTCGAGTTGGGATGAACGCTATTACGGTATTCACATAGATACGGAACCCCGACTGCTTTGATTTATGTTTCTGGGAATTTTCCCGAGATGGGCTTACGTTAGGGTTCCTAGATAGAAATGCTTTCACACAATAATTGAGTTAACATGAAATAAACCGAACCAGGTAAACTTCGTGCTACATAAATCATGAAACTACTAGGTAGAGTTATATCATGTTCCAGATAAATTTCTGTTGCTATGGCAGATCTTCAACGGCCGAATTCTTATAACATAAGTCCAAAACGAAGGACTGGAATTTACAGACGAATAGAAGTCAATTAAAAAGAGAGAGTATCTAAAAGCGTAGTCTAGAGAAGACTAGCGATATTGACCGACGAAAGTCATCATACTCCATAGAAAGATGCCGCGCAAACTGGCAACATCGAATATCATGAAAACCACAATCCTCTGATCAATCCGGCAAGGAAACAACAAGAAACTGAACCCCGCCTACTCGAAGTCTCGAGTTCCTAAAACGCCACCAAGGAGACCTCTTACGCATTTCCGTTACTTGCTCCGTCGACTCTAGCCTTGGAAACCGTGTCCCCTCGCTGGGTTCTGATGTCCGGTCGACCGCCTCTCAAGTATGAAGGCGAGAACAGCTGTGCCGAGCTGTGTGCAACGGGTGTTGCCTTAATCAGACCGAGATTTCCGTGAATCATGTTAGGTCTCAGTCCGTTGATCACATCCTGAGTGAAGTTCACAAGGTTGATAGAATCCTCTGCTCGCACCATCCGTCGTCCTCGGAGAATGTCTAGGATCTGCGACTCCTCTGGCGTGAGGGCCTCTTTAATGTCTTCGATAGTCTTGGCAGCCTTATCATCGTCGACGCTACCATCCAGTCCGTAACCCTTTAGCTTCTCCATCAGGGCGTCCTTTTTCTCCTGTGGGACATCGGCGAATGAGCGGAAGCAGAATTCCACAGTCTTGGAGATCTCTGATTGCGTGAGCTTCGCATTGGTCGTTGCGTCGATATCGACCGTTCCTTGAATAACTAGAAGATCACACTGTTAGTGAAAGTTATATTAGATGCTTTCCCTTTAGGCTATACGTACTTGGTCGGAAAAGATCGAATGCTCGATCAAAGCTCTCCTCGTCGAAGTCATGAATGACTGGTTCATTGTGGTGGCGGATTTGCTTGGTTGCACTCAGAACCGCAAGCATGAATCGAGTGTAACTCTCCGAGATTCGCTTGGTGTGCCACGACGCCGCGGTGTCTTCGTCACAGTCACCTCGAATAGAGGCAGCAATAGTTACAGCTGCCGAAAGCCCTCCGAGGAAGGCTAAGTGAACACCTGATGAGAAGAAGGGGTCGATGAAACTTCCAGCGTCGCCAACAATACGGGCGTAAGGAAGCGCGTATGTCGAAGCGCTATAAGACCAGTCGGAAGCTGAACGGACTTCTGAGATTAATTCTCCTTCGCATAGAAGTTCTTTGGTACCCGGCACAAGGTCGAGAGAACTAAGGTAGAAATCCTTGGTTGAAGGATTCTTGGTCGATCGCTTCTTGTCGGTGGCCATTTGTTGGTTCTGGACGATACCCACCGAATGGGTACCGTTGTTCAAAGGGATGAACCAACACCATCCGCTAGAGTCTGTATAAAGTTACAATTAATATCCAGATATACATTTTAGATTCACTGAGTAACATACCAGTCAAAGACTCGAAGAAGGGTGACCCCTCCTTGTACGTTCCAACACCATACACGCCGCCGCCCGTCCAATATCCCCAGCTGGCTACATTTTTAAGCCCCTGATTGAACTTACGGTTCTTAAGGTACTTAGTACTCAGGATTCCCTGTCGTCCACTAGCGTCGACTAGATAGCGGAAGGAAATTGTTCCAGTACGGCCGTCCTTATGACACCATGTTGCTGACACGGGTCGTCCTAGACCCGAGGCATCTGTATTGGACGTGGGGTCCGATTTGTCGATAGGAGTTGGAGACTCAAAGTGAATAGTATCGACCTTAGTCTTGTCGAATGTTTTCGCACCGCAGCTACCTGCGTGCTTGAACAGTAGCTCGTCAGATTCGGAACGGATTACGTTCCATGCATAACCCGCAGGACCTCCGGACGCAATGAAGTCCGTGTCTAGTTACTTCATTAGCAGTGATCAATAACTGAAGACGCATAGGCTAACTTACAACTGTCTGGAAGGGAGGGATCCAGTCTAAAGGCACCGCCATTCTAGAAATTCAATTAGCATTACAAGTCATATAGAATCCGCTCGTTGTATAGTATTTACCTTGATCTGGAATCCCTTAGCTTGCCACTTGTCAAAGCCATCGATGAATTTGAGGTAGTGACGAGCAGACGGAAGCATGCTCTCCCCTACATGGTAACTATTAATTAGGGATGGAATATTAGTTCGCGCCTTTTGAATGCGACAATAGTGAAGAAATATTTGATGGGTGCTTACCGGGGGTGCCTGTCAGCTTCCAGCATGACAACATCGATGCCCTCACGCGCGAGGGCTGCAGCGGCATATGATCCTGCAGGACCGCCTCCAATTACGAGGACGGTGCAACTGTCTGGGACAGACATGATGAGTGATTATCGATTATCACGTCAATTAAAGGTAAAAGACTATTAATTGTTGTTAAGGAAGGTTAAAAGAGAAGTCGTTAGAAAGTTAACCGACAATTATGGGCGGAAATAAATTCGTTAAGGATTAGAAAATGGCGAAAAGGAAGTGGACAGCAAAGAATTGTAATATGCAGTTTTTGGGCGGTCGGTGACGAAGTGGCGTATCTACCAACCCTCCACCACCGCAATTAAATACAGCATTTCCACCACTAGAATAACCTCACCAATAATCTGATTGGTTACCCTGAGGTCGTAGACCTCAATTATTGTCTGTTTATTACGTACACTATACATATAGACGGTATCTTACATATCTGCAAGGTACTACCTAGGTACCTACCTAACCAGTACCAACCCAGTAACAAGCGACTACCTAGGCAACAACATAATAAATATAGCATTTTCTGCCGCTATTCCAGCCATAATTTACATCCTTGGATCTCTACGGGGACTTTCCTCGCCTATTTTTGTTTGTAGTTACACTAGGAGAAAGTATGTCTCGACCATTAGCCAATCATCGTCTCCAAGTCTACCCGATTAGGCAAGCAAACTTAAAGTTAAAACTACTGGCAAGGATAGGCTAGTCAGATCTGGTAGCGTCCACAAGCGACCGTAAATAACCCCACCATAAATCACATAACTCCCTACCCTCCACCCCCTCATTTTCCAACATCTCAGGTACCTAGGTACTTATTATTTCAGTAATTTTATATTTTAATCCGAGAACGACAGTCATAGATTAACACTCATTATCGTCAGGGCCAGTGTCAACAGATCGACCTGGTCCCGCACATTCCGTTAGCGCGGCGGATCGGTAAGCACCCGTCGCACCCGCCTGCGGCCGATCCTTAGGTTAAGTATCATCCCAGCCGTTTAACGAGCCGGCAACTGTGGATTATGAAATCCTTCTCGAAGGTGCTGGAACTCTACATCTTCCGGATCTACCGGATCCTCGCGTTCGTCGTCGTCATCATCATCCTCCACGAGAGCAGCAAAATACAACGCCCACTGAACGTCCAAATGCTCCTACTCCCAAGCCATAACTGAAGGCGTCGCCTTCGCCACTATTGGGGACCAGGACTCCTTCGCAAGCGGGCTCTTAGCCGAGGCTTCTTCTCAATCCGTGGTGACACCAGCGTAACCATTCCATCAGCGAAATCCACACTTAATCGCTTAATCAATCTCATTTTCCATCGCCGCTGTTTGCCGTCCTCTATGCAAGAGATCATTATCCACCCAAGCCCAGGCAGTTGAATAATCTATGAATGAACGCAGCCACCGAGCACAAAAGTCTTCGCAGCCTTGGGATAGGAAGACACCGAACGCGCCATACACGGCGGTACGTCATGACTCGGGAACGGGGGCGCCTGTATATGGCATAGGAAGACCGGTTATCGTTATGCGGCTCTGAAGATTGCCTTCGGAGCGGTAGGCGGAAGTCTATTGGAGATTGAGGAATCGCGACGGTACCTAAGATAATGAATCGTTCCCATCGCTTAGGTATAAACCCCGTAGCGATACGCAGGCGGAATTGAGACCCTCCATCGTTTCCGGGTAGTCCTCTCAGAACCCCTCCCCAAGCTGCAGAGTCGAAGAAATTCCTCAAGGCCTCTGCTGACTACTGGATACGGGAGGAGGAGGGGATCTGAGGATTTTTCAGCAGGTACCAAGCTATTGGCAAGTAAGACATAGATCTTTCTTATACGAAAGTTGAGGCCATCGCAATAGATGAGTCCGCACATTACCGGTATGATGAGTCATCATCCAATATCCAATTAGTAATATGACTAATTCTGTTGTCAGCACTACACAGGGGGGCGGATTACGTAACTGAAACCTTCTGATCACTTTTGATACAATATTATCATTTCCAAAACGTCTGTCAATGACATAGACTAAATATCATCAACGTCTAAAGACGATACTTGAAAACAAACTTTTCAACAAGATAATATAGCTTTGGAATTAAATAGTATTTACAATCTAAAGGCAAGTACTTACTATTATTTCATGAGATAGATGACGCCTGAACCCCTGAACCCCTGAGCTGTAAATTCACGAAGAGTTCAACCTTACCATTTTCTCGTTCGAAGTATTCCTTTCACCGTCAGAGTTATTTGCCGCCTTTTTGACCAGAGAGTGCTGCATGATATCGAGAGAGAATAAGTCTTTTCGACTTTCTCTGTGGCTTTACCTTGAACGCTCCGTTCGAGAATGCCATATCGTGTCGTTTCTTATTGGTCTTAGCCAATTTGTTGAACTTGCTTCGAATCGTCCACGACTCCATATGCCAACTCATACTACAAATCTTCATCCCGTAACCAGATGGGCGGATACTCTCGTCACATTTAATGAAGCCTAATTTCATTAGCTCATTGATCAAAGGCCTGTATGCTTTACAATACAAACCGTATTGGTTGCATGGGCTCTTTATTTGGCCGTCGTTGTTAGCCTCCTTTCTCCGCTGCCAGATATCACGGTCGGCATAGACAGAAATGTCCTCAACAGGTACATGCTTGACATGCTGTGCTAGTAGACTAAGTGGTTTGCTTAGAGTAAGTGAAGCTTCCCCGATTTCTGGGCTGTTGTGTCTTGAAGACTCTTGATGCTGGGATTGTTTCTGTCTCACTGAATTCTTCTGTTCATTCCCATCTTCTCCTGAGTCTTGTCGTGCCTGCGTCGGCCTTTGAGCTTCTTGAGCTCGGGGCGGGGGTTCGAGGCCTCGCTGTGGGTTATCCCCATAATTTCCTCCTTGTCTCTTCGGAGCTTGCGGTTGTTGTTGTTGCCGCTGCTGCTTCTGTTGTGGATGAACGACGATTGGTCGTTTGTCGGAAACTAGTGGGTATTGATACTGTACGACATCTTGAGGACCTGTAGGAGTGAAATTATCATATTGCTGTGGACTGAAAGATTGACTTAGATCTCTGTTTTGCAAAGGCGCATACGATGGATTAAAATTGTTCGCATACGGATTGGCAGTTGGAAATATATTGGGATAATACATTGAGTTGTCAACCCTTCTCTGCTGACTAAAACCATATGCGTCATGGGCGGGTAACATGGATTGCTCTGGGAATATGGGGTTATATACTTGAGGCTGAGGCATGTGGAGCGATGATTCTGGGAATTTAAAGCTCTGCCCGCCATTAGAGGGGAACGAAGTCGGCTCTATACCAAAAACAGGCTGCGAAGTGCCATAAGTTGTAGGGGGAGCAGGCATTAGAGGAGCCATAGGGGCAGGTATTTGATCGGGGATGAAGCCCCAGAAGTCAGCGTCCCGAGAATTAGGAATCCCGGCGTAACAGTCCCCAAAGTCATTAATCCATTGATCGTAATCCTGCAAACCCATCTTTGTCCTGCTCGTATTCTTAATACAATCTTGGGATGAACAAGAAAAACTAAAAGGGAAATCCGGCTAATAAATAATATTTGGGACTCTCAAGAATTAAGAAACAAATACAATTGTTCCTTTCCAAAACAGTCGTTGGTTGTCTCTTGTTTCTGAACGTTAACGCTGTGAGTGAAAAAAAGAATCATCACTCTCATACGCTCTCTTAGAAGAACCAAGGCGTTCAAGTATTGTCAACATATCTGGTTTTCTGCTAGAAGGTATATTGGTATAACAAGGTAGGTATTTACACTGCAGTAACCCTTTTTCTGCCTGATGACATAAGCTAGGTGGCATATCGTTCTTTCCTAACATCTAGGGACTAGCAGTGGACAACATTCAGAACTTTAAGGTGAAGATCAGGTACTTGCGATATCATTATATTTCTAGCTGAGAAAAAAAACGCATTTGAGAATGTTGTTTTAGCCAATTCGACTATCATGAACGCCAAATCAAGGATGACGCGGATCTCCACAGTGGCCTTGAGGGGGTTGGCGCAAGCTTCAGTACGGGCTAGCAATATCTACAAGTGCCAATCTCGCCTTTAACTATTCAGTAATTCTAGGATTGAATTACGAGGTTATTCACTATTCAGTTATATTCTCACATCAACATTTGATAGACGGTCTTCACGTATGGCCCATTCAGCTGTGAGGAAGTTCTTGACGCCACCCCCGAAGAGTGAAAAGCAATAGGAATGGACCCGAATATTAGCATATTTACCAGTACCCATCCCTTCTTCATAATTGTCAGAAGCTTCTATACAGATCTAGAAACAAAGCGACTCGAGTTCATCAGCAGCTTTTTTAGTCTTGAGATTCGTGTGAAAGCCATTGTGCTAAAGACGAAAGGCACCCCCACCTCACTAGTCAATACCATAGGCAATGGAAACCGCCAGTAAGGCGAAAGGCGCAGATAGCCCAAAATTCTCTGGGAGTTTATGCTAACTTGTATTAGGCGGATTGCCTCCTTGGCGACTACAAATAGGTATCTCCTGCGATTTCTGTGTCTGTCCACAAGCGGTGGCTCGAAACTATATAAACCTAGGTCTCCCGAATTGGGAATTTCCTATAGGTAAAGCATTCAACCTCTATCTACAATAATGGTGCAGATCGGATAGGACAGAGGTGGAAATCAATTGGACCTAAGGAAGACACCTTACGCTTGTAAGTATTTCCAGCACTATCTTCCTTGATCGCCTAATGCCAAGTCCAGGATGGAATTTCATAACTGAGCAACCTCATGAAGATGACGCGGCGGTGGCATATGAGCTCAAGGTGTTTACCGAAAGCGCGACAAAGCTCGCCAAAGAACAACGCCGACGCTAGAACTTCTTGTCTATGAATAACGCTTTGTTCTCTCAGGATGCGCTGGCTAGGCAGCTACGGGGCATAAGGCGTGAAAACACTGCAGAAAGCTGCAAAATACGACCCCGAGCGAGTCCTTCAACCGTTGCAGGATGCCGGCTTTCTTCTGCGGAAACTTCAGAATACCGTTTGATTGGCCGTTTCGAGTGGAAAGAATATTTGTTCATGTAGGCAGAAGAATTGAAAGAAAATTCACATCGTCATAATTGCAGGAACTAAGTTACATCTTATAACTTTGAGGCTTGCGAGTCCTAAATAACGAAGTCAACTCAGGGGCACCGGACTAGAAATTCCGGTATTGATTCGGCGATGTAACGCCGCAAGATGCACGCAAGATACAGGATCACGAAAAGTAGACCAATTAGCTACTTTTGGAGCAATTGAAATCGATAATCTTGTCGTGCTGAGTAGATGGTTACGACTCTGCTAATGTAACGGTGCAGATATGCGCAGCCGCAGTAAGCAGATGCAGGTACTAGAGGATTTTTCACCGGCTGTAGCGTAAAGGGGTCATAGCACAGCAACGACCCCTTTGTGCATTTATTTCTACAGCGTAGCAGCGCCAATCAGGAAAGAGAATCAGACTATATACTTCCGGATATCCAATAGTTTGCACGGAACGGCGACTTATGATGCGGTCCGTACGGGACCAGGAACCTTGATTCCTTAATTCCTTGATTTTTTTACTCTATCTAAGCCCTAAGCCCCATTCACATTTCCCTTTGAGCGGTCATCTACGGTACTGCGTAGACGGCGAACGGCTGAGGGAACTAGCGACCCGGGAATTAGTAGCGACGAATTGGAAGGAAGCCCGTCCACCCTCCGAGTGGAGTCACTGCGCCGCTCTACTATTGCTGACAGATTTTGCGGTCCCGATATCGTGAAGTTTGGTTCGACAAATAGGAATGCCGCGCATAGTCGGGAGTGCACCGTAAGCGGACCGTGTGCTAGGGTTAGAAAATATTTATTATTCTATTTCTCCTTAGAACATTTTTGATCTCCTTAACGATCGAATCCCGTATCTTCAGATTTGCATACCACATGCACATCTAAGATTCTTATATTATGGATATCTCAAAAATAACGACAGAGGGCTAGAGCCACAGCATGACCATCTTAAGACGCCTATCAGCCACTACGCGGTCTGCTAGTTCAGTTATTATTTGTTACCTAAATCGCCTCCACTCCCCACTTCCTGACTATGCCTGTTAGCCCTACCTGTACGAATCGGGTCTCCTATCACGAGTTAAGGTAGTATTCACGTTAGCGCTATTGGTACTGTATCTCGGTGATAGGCCCCTCATGTGTCTAGACTGGCATTTCAGTAAATGATTTCGCAGAACTTGTGGCTTTGTGAGGCCATCTATAATGATTGGTCTGCTTTCTGCGCACGAGCAGTGCACCGACTATGCGTATGTACAACCTGATCACGTCCGGCTTCACCCCCAGAGCGATCAACCAAGATTTCATGAAATACATACATCACCAAATCAATTCGCCGTTGCTCCATTACACCATTGCTGTCTTACCTTCTCTATATACCCGATCCGTTCTCACCGGTAAGAGTGTCTAGAATGAGTAAGAAGTCCACGTAGATGAGGCTGTATCATGCCTGGTATCTTCCCAATAATTTCAATATTTCGTGTCGCTTATGATAGGCGATATTGCAGTGTAATGCGGATTCCATATCATCATCCACGTGGCACGTGGCTATGGCGCCGTTCTTTTGTGCGATAATGCCATCGATAACTAACTGCCAGGTCAATGTTGAATAAAATTGTGCATCATCAAACACCGCGTCATCTTGGCCGGCTGGGCGAGGGAAATCTGGGGGAGCCAACCCCTGCCCGTTCTGTAAAATGCTACAATCCCCTCACGCTATGCCGGAAAGCCTCTTCGCGTCAAACAGCGCGTGGTTTCTGCAGGCATTTATGCAGGGGAAATGCTAGCAGCAGAGCCTGGACTTGAGCAGGGGTTAGCAGGCCAAGAGAAGTAGAGATGATAAGTGCTTCCAAAACTCCTTGATTTCGAATGGAAATTAATATTAAAAAAATACGATTAATAAATATCCAATGATGTGGATCACAACTGTGGGGGACTATTCGGCGATTTTCAGCACGTGTAGTCTTAAAAAGCACTTCCTCGGTATAGACAGTCTAGTACATAGAGAATTGTTCATCAGATGAAAGTCGAAAATGGACGGCGTAGCAGTTGGGGTTGTAGGGAAATTTTGCAATTACTACCTATGCATTCCAGCCCCCCTTTAACTGTTTTCAGCATTTTTATCATGCCAGTAACCGTGAAAGAATGGCACGGTTTCTCGTATTAAATTTCAGAATACTCGAACGCTATGTTGCCGGGGTTGTGACCCAGGGTCGGCGGGCTCTGAAGTCATGGAAACCTCCACCGTCTTTTGTATCCCAAAATCCTTCACGCTAGAGGTCGCTGCTGGCATGGGTGATAAAACTAGCGGGATAGCATCGTTGCTGGATGCGTTCCCCCCAGTAATTGAACGTTCGAAGGTACCATTCGCATGTCGTTGCCCATTAGTATTTTCAAAGTTGTGGTGTAAACTATGAATGCTGGAGTCGATACGGACACCGGATTTGTTGGTGCCAAGATCGTGACTCGTTAATTTTATCTTCGCTGCTCGGAGGAGAGGTCCAAGAGTAGGCAGCGAGGAACAGATTATCAAAATATATCCTTCTGACATTCCTAAAATGTCAAGATATGGAACGGGAACTAAACCAACTTTGTAAGCATTGACTAGCCGATAGTAAACCATCGTCGCCAAGATAGATAAGTTAAGAACTTACATGTTGGATCTTCTGCGGATATCGAGAAGGCTTCCCCGAGCGCTGACAGTTTAATGACTGACGCGACAAAGGCGAGTGAGCTAAGACTCAAGGCTGAGGCGACGCCGAGGCGACTTCGTAGTGGCATATTCAGGCGCATAATGAAAGGTAGCGGGTAAAAGGCGAAGAAGATATCGAGGAACGCCGAGTAAGCCGATGTAAAGTAAGCCAGGTTAATCATGATGCTGACGTCCGCACAATGTCCCCCTTTAATTCTCTTGTCCCACCCGAACTCTACCGGGTCGCATTGTTTAAACCACCAAACGGAGACGGCGAAGAAGCAGGCTTGCGACGTAATACCGAGGGTCCAAAATAAAACCGCCGTCCTCGTTCCATAGTTAAGAATGCGCTTTAAAATGGCGATGATCGCAAATTTGGGTAGTGAGAATTGCCATATCAAGATGGCGTTTATGATCACGTTATATTCCAACGCCATCCTCCTCCGGTCGTCATCCAATTCGTATGCGTGTTTTCCAAGGCCGTATTCAGTTGCGACTGTGATAAGAATAGTAACCACTAAACTTAGAAGAAGACAGAAGAGCGTAATGTAATCGTCCAACCCTAGCCCTATCCTCTGAAGACGGGCGTACCGTAGGCGACATATTACCCTAAGCACAACTACGACTGTAGGAGGGGTTACTGTGAGAAGAGTGCTCTGCGAATAGAGGGGTATGGGAGCTTACCAGTTGTGACTGCGAAGAGGGACCATAGTACTCGGTTGGCGAAGACATTGTAGTCATCCCGGCCGAGCTCGATCATGTTGGGGGGTATGTAGGTGCTCTTGTGAGCTGAGCGCGCCGAACGATTTTCTCGATGGTGGCTTCTTTATTAGAGTTGGCCCTTGTCGTGATATTATAATATAGCATCGCTGTGAGAGAAGGTTCAGATGCCTACAGCGCGCCGCTGTACCAGGCGATATATTCGATGGCGAGCTTTACATACTAATAAGTAAGTGTAGTGGGAACAAATAAGCAGGACGACTTACGATGATATCTGTAGTTTAGCGGCCCACTCAATCCACTTCTGACAGCATCTTGTAATTAGAATGAACGTCAGCCGATTTAGTTTGAAGCCGCAAGCCCCCTTCCTATAATCAATTCTGGAGTTTGACCCCTTGCTCTCCTGCCTATTTCGTGATCGAATTTCGATCTAAAACCGAGTGTCCTTTTGAACTATAATTCAGGTTTAAAATAGTTGAATTATTTAGTGTTCTGTTAATGTCGAAGTATTTGACTGATAGTCGCTCCAGGAGTCTAGAATAATAATGCCTGCCCAGTCACATACCAGGTGGTAATCAAATCAACCTGGTAGGCTTTAGACCACATCGAGCATAGAATGGACGGATGGGACGAGTTGGCTCCGGCATCCCGACCGACTAAAGCCCAGATGGGGGTCTTCCCGATTGGGTCTGAGCGGCATTTACCACTGATATTCTCCAAGTAAACCAGGTTATCCATCCAAATGCAACTTCGATCTCCAGCTAGAATCAGTTTATTTCATAAATGGATAAAACTCCTCGTTACCACGCAAACTGTTTCCTGTGACGGACATTTCATAGACTAAGGTAGACTAAACGTGTTGACAGGTAATCAATAGCGTCTTTTAGTGATGATGTAGTGTGATAAGCGGATATTTGTGCATGCTGGGCTGATAACGACAAGCTGTAAAGGTTCTCATCACAAAAATCCTGGGGTTTTTTGACCAGGAACATCTTCGCATGAATCCGTACGTCATTGTAATATCTTACCAGCCCCGACTCTTCGGATAGGTGGCACACGGTCCGGTATCTCTGTCGGTGTATGGTGGACAAAGACAGGCAATGGTAGGCGAATGGTATGGAGGCGAATGGTGGGCAAATCTACGGCGCACCTAGCAGCCTGGGAATATTCTGGACATCTGCTTGTAAGCTTCCCCCTCCAATAGAACTAATCGGATTTACGTAAAGGTAAAGTTCAGGGGTTCCTGGCCCTAAAATTGTTAGCGTATGCGCTAAGGACCAGGTACCGGCCGATAGCCATGGACTTGGTCCTAGCTTGCAGGCCGTATCATCTAAAACAATATCACGGCGTTACATTCTTGGTACCAACTAACCTAGTCCATTTCTCAGGATTACCATATCGTTGTTATGTCTTATCATCGTGATCTGAGTTTTGATTGGCGTTATTTCTGCAATCACCAACATACAGAAGTGAATCTTTTATTCGACTCTATCAAGAGGTTAAGGATGAAGGATGAAGGATGAACTTGTATAGGTAGGTCGGTATGCACCTTGTAAGCAGTGTCAACTCATGGGCAAACAAGAAGGACTTTTGATCGCCAGATCGCCACTAGGTGTGCCAGGACATTTTACGAAAATCCCTTCTTTATTAGAATATAGGGCAGTAATTAGGCCAATTGGACATTTTATTCCTCACCTTAACTCCCCCCAATTCCCTAGTTCGTGTCGATCACCTCCTCAATATCAGCAGCGGTTCGTATGACACCGGAATCGGAAGTGGTTCACCTAGGGCATAGAACATTCATCTGACCAATCGAAGATTACATCAAAAATCCCAAACCAAAGATTATCCCCTGACTGAACCCTACGCTCGGACGGGGAAATTTCTATAGACATGTGGTTTAGGTTCCACCTATGCCCACCTATTCCTGGTCTCCGGGAGCGAAAACAAGAAATTCGAGTCGGGCTTCTAGGGCATGAAACAGACCGTAAGAGAGGTCCTCCAAAAGTAATGAGAATATTGTAATTACAGCGAAATGACTGTCATGGAGGCTCACGACAGCATATATCTCGTCGAATATAGCCTCGAATCTCATCGATAAACCTTCCCGTATGTCCCTCACGCCATCCGAGGACGTGCCCTTACCGAGCTGAGATCGCGAATTAATATGATTGATATCGGAAGTATCCCGATGATTTTCCCATGGGGTTGTAACAACATTGAAATGACACTGCTAGGTAAACTTACAATGCGTACGCATGAACACGATTAAGCGACGCAAGTCAATCTAATCAGATAACTTCGCATAGAGTAGATTTCAGGAAGAACACTTGTTAGATACACCTAATCCTTGTGAAGGAACTGCTTGCCATACCCAGTACCGGAACCTCGGCTCGCATCGACCTCCGCAGCAAGGCCATAAGGGCAACCACCCCAGAAGCGGCCTTCGATCACAGGGTCGGGGCGGTCGATGGCAGCTTTCTGCACCCTCTCCGCGCTCGCGAGGAAGCGGTCGATGACGGAGTCATAATTCTCGAAAGTCAGCTTCCCGTCGCGCTTCCTGAACTTGCCATCCACTAGCACGTGTTGAATATCCCCAACATTCGCGTGCAGGATCACTGCGGCGACGGGGTCGCGCCACCCCAGCATTCCCGGGGTCCGGCCGTCGAAAACGACCAGGTCCGCCTTCGCGCCAACACGGATCACGCCCAGGTCCGGCCGTCTGAGTGCCAGCCCGCCCTGTCGGGTCGCCAGGAGGAATGCCTGGTTAACGGACATGGGGTTGTTCTTCGGGATCTCCCACCTCTCGAGGACTTGGTCATAAAGCCTGGCTCTTGTGCGCTGGAGCCAGATCCGGGCCTGCGTTAACAGATCCGTCGAGAAGGTGTGGAACGTGTCGACTCCGAGAGAAGCCTGGTCCTGGATCTGATGCGAGTTTGGATGCCCATGCCCGTAGTGCAGTTCCGACTCAGGCGTAATCGAGATGAACTGGTTGGTTGAGCGAAGGATAGCCGCTACCGTGGGCGTAATTCCCATGGCGTGCGACAAGACTACGGCCATGTCCGTGTTTAGGAGCCCAAGGGTCTGGAGAAGCTCGGGTATGTTTTCACCTAGAGAAAGAGTCAGTATTCCCCGCGAAATTATACGTAAGAGGCGTATGTTATGTCCAGACGTACCCGTCCATGGACCACCCAGGTAATGCGCGGTTAAAACTGGAATATTTAACTCCCTTTTTTCTTCATATTAGTCGCGATATAAGAGCTGAGCTGACGACGTTATTTCATACTTAGTCAAAGCAACCACCGCCTTAGTATCTTCAGGCGGGGAAAAAGACCATCCATCGTAGGCGACGCCAAGGGTTGTTAAACCATTCGATGAGGCCCTCGGTTCTGCAAATTTCTTGAAGTCGGCAATCTGCTCTGAGCACGGATATGTCGGCGTGCCACTGAAAGCACAGTTCCAGTAAACTCTGGCACCGCTATCGTCACATGCTTTAAGACCGGCTTCTGATGTTTCTTTAGACCAGATATGGTGAGCGTGATCAAGCGAAGTCGTCACGCCGGCATTGAGAGCCTCCAGGAGCCCTGCCAGTTGTCCGATATACACATCTTCAGCTGTATAATAACCCGAAGCATTGCCCGCTGCATATCGGAACATGTAGTCAGGCAATGTTGTGTTAGCCGTCAGAGTTTTTATAGCAGTCTGCCAACCATGTCGATGGGTATCGACGAAACCAGGGGAGATAATCTTGTGTGTGCAGTCAACGATCTCCGTGTTCTCTGGTAAGTTGCTGGGGTGTGCAGTATTATAGATCCCTGAGATGTGATCGTCGGTAACTAGCAGCGCGCCATCTCGAATTACCTCCAGAGACCCGGCCTCTTCATTAAAGGCTATGATAGTTCCTCCGGAAAGAAGAATGGAGCTTGAAGTAGCCGTAGACATATTGTTGATTTCTAAAAGCGATTTAGGGAAGATGGTTTAGCTAGTAGACAATTGTTTCGTGGTCAGACTTCCAGCTTGAGTACATTCCTAGGGTTAATAAAGCTATAAAGAGGAGTATTCATCGTCGTATACGAGATGTGACCAATTAGTCAGCCCATTTTCAGCTTAGCGGGCTAGGCAAAGGGGGGGGTTGTGTCGCCCTTTCGCGACAATGTGATTGTACGTAAGCAATGCATTTCGCGATTAAAACTAACTCCGTAATCCCACCGTCGACTTCCGATTGGGTAATTGATTTATCCCCATAAAGACCGAGAGGAAATGGAAAGTACGGATTTAATTGAACGCTATTGCCCCGAGATAGCTCTTTACCCAACCATTGATAGAGCTGCCCGCTCGCCGCATATCCACGACCGAGAAGCCACTATGGACCTCCGTACCCACATTTCCGATCCGGAGACCTCGCCACTAAAGCCACACGACGACCGAAGCCACCAACGCTAACATGTTATTCTCGCTCCAGGAAATAGACACCATGGAGGATGTCTCCGTTATTCCTAGAGGGTTTTTCGAGACCTCCAGCTTTCACTAATCATTCAGTCACTGGTCCATTACCGATAGCTTTAGCGATAGGTACTAGGTAACGTTAATCTCGAATATAACCTGATGTGGTCGCGTATAATAAAGAGCTCTAGCCGTAATGGTCACGATGAATAGCGCCATATATCTAGGTAGCGCCCGATTCATAACCGTACTATTGCTTCGTTTCGCCTCAATGTAGCATGACACAAGGGTGTTCTGCCCTCGTCGTCTGCTATATTTATATTTGCTTTATTTTCCAACAGCATCTCATTAAGGTAGTAAGTGAGTGATACATGCTTGCCTTGGCTGATAGTGCTTGACCTTTATAGGCTACTATTCTAGCAATGCAGATATTTACCTCATCTAGCAGGGACTTGGTAACTTTCGTATGTTCTCTAGCAGTGGCGTGAATAATAGTGATTGACGTGGATAGTTTGGTAAATCCAGGATTTTCATCATTTCAGCAAAAGCACATGTCGCTTCCAGGGTCCCAAAGCGTGCTGGTAGATGTAAGCCTGTAGAGTTCTGGTCTGGAAATTCCTCCTTACTGTGGCTTTGGAATCCTGGGAAGACTTGTGCAGCTGCCTCGACATAAGGTCCTTTCTGGATGAAACCGATCAATCCATTACAGGTAATTGGAGCCGACCTTAGATGACACCCCCAGAATCGTGCAGCGTAGCTATAGAGCGGATTAATCCTTAGTCGCTCGAATAATTCGTCTCTTGATACGCAAGGCCCGCTTCCAAAGACGTCGTATGAAAGATAGGTAATGCAAGCTGTTGTAATCTCGGACCCGGCATTTGCAAACCATCTCTCTTGCGTCCGTTCAAAATATTCTTGTGTTGTATAATGAACCAGTCGGATGATATCGCTTTCTTTATCTATCGTGACCAGGCCAGCACATGCCGAAACCATGTCTTCAACTTGCGGTAGATTCTCCTCGTCCATTTGACGTTCCCAAGGCTCCACTGCAAGAGCGTATCGAAGTTCCCTTGTAGTAAGAGGTCTCTTTGCATATATAATCCACGATAGAACTTGTTTAGCGAGTTCTCGTCGGTCTGGTCCCTGCCCTTCGATTCGCTCCATTGCGCTTTGATAAGCATAGTCATATGCCTCGGAACCCGTGGACAGTTTTGCGAGAGCGGTTCTCACAGCCTTTGGAGACCTCTTCCCAGTTAAGGAATCAAGATGGAGCTGAGCAAGGAGGAACCTGAAAGTCGATCAGCATGTTTACTTTGATGTAAAAGAATCAGGTAACCTACATTCCCTGTACAGACTCAACAATGCCAGCTTTTATTTCTTTCCGTAATTCGTCATGACGAACCACAAAACCTGGCAGTCGGGTAATTTGTCCATCGATATATCTACCTACATCATCATCACTTGCCCGTATCTCCAGTGAGATGGCACCTTCAAACTTAGCGGCGATTTTTGGGATTAGTCTCGAGGTAACAAAGACATTCGCAGTCCCATTATTCTTAAGTTTAAGGACCTCGGCCAGGAATTTCTCTTCAGACCTATCAGATGACTGACACTCGTCGAGTGCGTCGATAATTATAAATACCCTTCGATATGTCGTCATTACTGACCGGAGAGCATCTGATATTTCGTTCAGGCAAGGTTTTCTGTTCATATTCTTGTATCTCTGGTAGAAAGCTTTCATGCTAGGAGGTAAAGGCCTAAACTGTTGTAATTGCTTGAGTAAGTTTGCGAGAAGGTCTTCAGCCTGCTGATCATCGTGTTGTCGAAAGTTGCAGAAAATATACGCAACGCCGATGTCATTATCATTTTCAAACCGACGTGAAAGTTCGTCTACAACAATCGATGTAAGGATCGTCTTTCCGGCGCCTGGCATTCCAGGGCAGAAGAGGGTCGTCGTCGGAGTATCTACCCATTCCCGGAACTTCGTAGAATCCAAGAGCCACCGTCCCGTTCCTGGTTGTCTCCTACGAATGAAGTCGTTTTGTTGCATGGAATAGTCTTTTTTGGCCAACCAATTAAGGAACAGGTGGAATTCATGATCGTCGTCATGACGATGAAGTTTTCCTAGGTCATCGTGGAGGCATTCATGCGAATCCTGAATGAACTGCATACGATCCTCTAATCCTGAAATGTCTGCCTTAGTATCCCTTGAGCCTTTTTCGAGTTCACGTGTTAACTCTAAAAGCCGTTTCCCATTTTCCTCTGAAGTCTTCTTGATTCCCTGTATTAATTTCCGGGAGTTGTTAGCCAAAGCCAGATCCAAGAGAGACTTTTCGCGTTCAATAGCCGCGATAATCTCTCCTATCTCCTTTTCGCCGAAAGGCCATTTCAAACTTTGCCATAGCTTGTTCTCGTTAGCTTTGGGCTGAAGCTTGGTCACGATTTTGTCTAAGGTAATCGATAATCGACCCAGTGGTCCATCAGGGCTCTCGAGGACCTTAATCGTGTCTGACCATGCTTTACCTTCCTCAGAGTCATCGGATTCATCCTTAAGCTGTCTGAGAATGGATTCACATGATCTTAACTCTTCACGAAGATTTTTCCTATGTTCCTTCGCGCCAGAGGCTGAGTTTATGTAGCCGACGGCTTGAGAGGATAATTGGAGGATAGTGATGATGCTAGCGGTTATACTGAGTGCATCCATCGTTATGAACCACTGTATGTCTGCCTAGGTAGGTAGATAGCTGCGTTTCTTGTCTCTGAGGTAGGTAGGTCTAATACGTAGGTATTCATAAAACTAGCTTTCGAAGACTTCCAAGGTTCCTTCAAATAATACATATCTTGAACTGAGCCCTGTCTGGAAATAACCCCGCAAGTAAATTCTTCAGGCAGACAACTAAGCCACGTCCACGTCAGTGTGTAACATTAGTAGAAATAGCGAATTAACATCTCGGACGTCGGAGGCGTTTTCCAGTGCGCCTTCGATCGCCTTCGATCGCCCTCAGCCACTACCTACCGCTGAAACCTTTTCAAGTAATACAGCGCTCGAACGATTTCTTGCTCTATAATTCCGTATTCAGCCTTAGAGCCACGTCGTCCATAAATTTGGGTCTGCTTCGCGTTTATGAGTCTTAAGTATCCTATGGAGTAAGCTCTTCATGGGTAATCTCGTTATTCATTTAAAAGCTTCTAGATAGTTTAGAGTCTATAATAATACACCGCGGGATCTGTTCCACCGTGACTTCTGCACTCTACGGCCTATCGCCTCCAGGGCCCGAAGACCGAGCACGCTCGTAATCAAGATAGCCTCGAAAGCCAACAGTCCAATCCAGAATTCATCTAAAGTTGTTGCTTTATAGCTACCCAGCAGACCCTCGACATTCCACTCTAATAGATTGTGAAGGTTTAGTCGTAGCATTAGGACGCGAGAGCGTGTCTTGAGCCGTTAGAAGAATGAGGCCAAATCAATCTAATTGGTCAATATTATAGGCACATACAATTGAATTTGGTTGTATGACTTATATCTCATTGTTGGGAATTGGGGATGGTTTTGGGTACTTACTGTTTGCATTTAACTAGATTGGATAATTGGGGATGGTTTTGGGTACTTACTGTTTGCATTTAACTAGATTGGATAATTGACGAGTTTATATTCTACTGACAAGGGTGTGTTGTGTCAGAAGTTGCAATCTTAGAGATAGGTGCGAGGTAGGCAAGGTCGTATGGTAACCTATGAAGCAACCGCAGCAACCTTATGTTTAAATATGTAAGGGCTGCTGCGGCTTACTTCCTGGCTCGTAATGGACACGTTGGAGGATCATTCCTGTGGAGATACATCGTCGTGGGATCTGAACACGTCGCGCAAATCTCAAACCAAGGATGATATGCGGGGGAATGAGCCTCAATATATTAAGGGTCACATCTATAATAAGGACATATTTAATATATATGCGATCAATTTCTCTCTAGTTAGGTACGGTTAGAATCGGCTAGGTTAGAACGAGATCTCAAGATGTATTAGTCGAGCGCCAACTACCTTAAATTTACCCGGCTTATTAACATTTAATAATTATGTTACTAGGTAGCGGCACTTTGGTACAACGGCCGCGATCGTTGTGCTTATGAAACAATAGCGATTAAGTGTAGTTTTCGGCTTGTTAGCTCGGTCTATATATTAATCGGCGGACCAGCGGGTCATTTGCTGGTGAGGCTTACAGCGCGATTTCAACACGTTGCCGGTGACACTCTTTCCGGCGAAGAGGAGATAGTAGAATCTGTAGACTATGGTACAGAAAAACAAAGGTACTTCGTGATGCATCGCAAGGTGTCGTCGTAACATGCCCAACTCCCCTATTGATACACCCTGCAATGCAAGTCCGAACTCCGCGATCAATTGACGTCATTTATTTGTGGTTGCGTTTGTCTTCGATATATTTGTCGCATCACTTGGGCTTGTTGTGCTTCTCGCGCTCGCGCACATCGCCACCTATCGCTCTCCACCATACATCACATCCCCATCGCAATGCCCTCTCAGCTGCTCCCGTCGGCGTGACGGCGGGTCGTACGTCAAGGAAGAACACTGGTTCCCCGGTAGGTTCGGGTGGCCCGGAATAATAATCGATAACATACCGGATTTCTTTTCGTTGGCCATCAACTTCTCGGGTTACATACCAATCGTGCCGGTCAAAAGGCGGCTCAGTACTATTGTGAATGGGTATTAGCGTGATTCTCTACATATGAGAATGCGGTGTCATTGACTTACGCGAAGGCACCGGGATATAACCAGCCCATGACCTGGAACATAGCTGCTTTAGGTGTCATATCCTGTGGTCGACCTTGGAATCTGACCAAACTTGGACTAAGATCCTTTACCTCCTTTTCGTAACCGTATTTCTTCACCATCTTATAGAAGTTCTGCTCACCACGACTGCACATACGCCAGCCCTTGTAGAGACCACCGGAGAATCGCCTCTCCCAGTCCATAATCTCGGACCAGGCACCTTCGTTCAAAAAGTTGTGTACGCTTACCATGCTGTCGACTGCGGTAACGTCTGTGTCTGTGTAGCCCTTGCGGAGGAGAGCGTTGTACATTTGTTGCGGGGAGGGATATTCCCAATTCCCGTCACCATCGCCTCTGGGGATGGATGATGGTTCTCGCGAGGTGGGAAGGGCGTATGTCTGATCGGGAGCGGGCTCTTGTGACAACTCGCGGAACATGTAGTTTAGAGGGTTGAGTTTCGAAAACGCGGATTGTGAGTCGGTTTCTACTCTTTCCTTAACCTCCTCCTTAAACTCCCTCTCTTGTTCTAAGAAATCGCGTTGTTCGTTACGTCCCTTCGCATAGGAGCGAGATCCACCGAATTCCGAAGCAGGTTCATAATTGACAGGGGAATGCTTCACAGGGCAGCTTGAAGGATTTATTGCGTCGGCAGACTTCTGGTGTTTATGCATCGGACATCCGGGCTATACAGAGAGCACTGGTTAGTACTTTGGGATAATCCATATCATTTAGGTTCTGGGATAACTTACAGGGGGGGATCGCGGCCCATTTTGAGTAGGATGTGATGCGGCTTGCTCGTTGAGTTTGGCCTGAAGGCCGTCTGACCAAAACCAGCCCATGGCCTTGATCTATTGTGGTTGAACGAGGAATAAGTAGGTGTGATAAGTATTTCAGAGGACGGGAAATCAAGACCGAGAGGGTATACGGCGTTTTGTTCTCTTAGGAGGGGTTATCGCAGATTTTCTCGTCTTTAACTCGTTAACTTTTTTTTTTATTTGCCGCGGCCAGTTTCTTTAAGGCTGAGTCAGTGGAGACGGATAGAAGCATCGAGCCAGTGTAAGGCGCGAGTATGTAATTGTGGACCACTAAAATCCATTACGTGATGATTTTCTGAATACTTAGGTACATGTCGGTCACCCCATCTTACCTAATCTCACTACGATGCCTACACGTGCAAGTACCGGGATTTTACCGGCCTCGGTCTAAGCCGAATCTACTACGTCACATCATTTACAGATCGGGTGCTTTGACTTTACGCGATCTCAATTCTACAAGATTCACCATATAATATCAACAATACCAACGATATCAATGGCATAAACATTTGTCTGCAACAGCCGTGAAACTTACCAACGTTAGCATAGCAGGAGTCCGTTCATCATGTCAATCAATAATTGCCTTTTGTTATAATCATAGGTGTGAATAGAAATGCGACCGGTCATCTTACTTGGCCGGTTTTGCGTTCGCCGATGTTTCTTTCATGCTCCGAAGACTTCTCCGAATCTTAGACAATTGCACTCGACATTTCGATTCCGGCTTCTCGGTAATACACCATGGCGCAATTCCCAGTCCGGGGGTAGGATAATTAGAGCTACAACTCACGTAGCTCTTGGAACGGCGGCCTTCGTCCAGTTGTCCGAAAAAGATGACAGGGATACGGAACAGACGGCCGAGGGTCGTATGCTCGAGGCATCACGGGCGGAGTTGAAGAAGACCGTCGATAATGATGCAGGTCCCCTCAGCCGTTTCGGCCACAGAATAATCATCTTCCTTAGTCTCTATATATGGGAGCCTCTTTGCACTGGAGTAAGATTTGTTGAATTAGTCTTCATATTCATACCAGTCATATTGGCTGTCCCATCCATATGGATTGGGAGTCGCCAGCCTGGTCGCAACAACGAGAGGTCGGGTACATTATGGTGGTATCACTTCCTAGTGAAGGCCATGGAGGCGGCTGGCCCGGCTTTTATCAAGGTGTGTCAATGCTGACATGACGCATGTCGACGATTATGATGACTAGTAAACTAACGTACTCCTTGGATAGCTTGGTCAATGGGCAGCTTCGAGGACTGATATTTTCCCGACCGCGATGTGCGATATAATGTCCAAGCTTCATTCCAATGCACCCGCTCATTCCTTGGATGCAACAATGAGAATAGTCGAGAAGGCGTTTGACGGGAGAAGATTCGAAGACATTTTCGAAGAATTTCATGAAACTCCTCTGGGCGTTGGTGCTATTGCACAGGTGTATAAAGCCAAATTGAAGCCAGATCTTGCAGCGCCAGGCGATGTTGATGTTCTAGAGACTCGCACCAACATTCGACGGAATGTTCGCCGAAAGGTGGATACGGTTCTGAAGAGTGTCCCAAAGCGGGTTCCATCCTCTTACGTCGCCGTCAAGGTCTTGCACCCAAAGGTCGAGCGTACGGTACGGCGTGATCTTCGAATTATGCACTTCTTCGCCTCAGTCCTCAATATCATACCCACCATTGAATGGTTGTCTTTGCCGGATGAGGTCGCACAATTTGGAGAGATGATGAAGCTGCAGCTTGACCTGCGTATTGAAGCTGCCAATTTAGCCAAGTTTCGAAGAAACTTCAAAGATCGCACTACAGCGTGGTTTCCATTCCCATACCTCGAGTTTACAACTCGAGAAGTGCTGATTGAAGAGTTCGCACAGGGCATACCCCTGGCTGACTTCTTAGAAAATGGGGGTGGTGTCTTCCAAAGAGATATTGCCCAGGAAGGCCTCGACGCTTTCTTGCGTATGTTATTAATTGACAACTTTGTTCATGCCGACCTACATCCCGGAAATATAATGGTTCGCTTTTATCAAGCGTATCAACCAAACCTAAGTCTGCGTCACCCATCTAATGGCAATGGTCATAAACTTCATCCCGAAGATCAACCCGATGTTACCGAGCAGGTACTTGCACGACTACGTCCATTCCGCAAGCGAAGAGATTCTGCAGCTTGGGAGGCAGAACTGAAAAAGATCGACCAAGAAGGTTTTAGGCCACAGCTCATCTTCATCGACACCGGGCTTGTGACAGAACTCAACGCGGTAAACCGCCGCAACTTCTTAGACCTCTTCCGGGCCATCGCCGAATTCGACGGATATAAAGCCGGCCATCTCATGTGCGAACGCTGCCGACAGCCTGATGCGGTTATTGATGAGGAAGTATTTGCATTAAAAATGCAACACCTCGTCTTAAATGTGAAAAGCTCTACTCTCGCTCTAGGCAATGTCAAAATCGGCGACATTCTACAGCAAGTTCTTGATATGGTTCGTCAGCATCACGTGAGATTAGAAGGCGACTTCGTCAACGTTGTGATCAGCATATTGCTTCTGGAGGGGATCGGTCGCAGCCTTGATCCCAACGTGGACCTACTAAGCAGTTCATTACCAATTCTTAGACAACTAGGTGCGCAAGGCGGAGCTCAGATGATGAAGGGGGGTGATTTCTCCATGTTATTCGTTTGGGCAGGACTAGAAGCCAGGCGGTTCATGCAAGCCAGTATAGAAGACGTAAGTTTCATTTCTCTCGCCACTCCCGATACATTCCCGATACTAACAGTTGGTGCAGGTGGAGAGATGTGTAAAATACGATCTATTATCACCGAACATTTAATTCGAGGATACGAGCACGGATAGACATAGAATAATTGCATACACAGGCGTTGATAGATGGAAATAAATTCGGGAGCAATACCACTCTTCAGGAGAATCGTTTTTAATCATAGACGGACGTTCAAACTCGTACTAGCTAGGACTACGCTCTTAGGTGACCCATGCCTCATCTGCAAATTTCTTCCATGAAAATAGATTATTAACCTCTACACCTCTTTAACTGAGCTGCGTCGCGAGTTGCGTGACCTGATCGAGTAAGGTCTTGGCCTCCTTGGGCGCGTTCTTCAACACCTTGTCTCGGAGATGATCGACCTGGAGACCGGCGGCCTTAGGCGCGTTCCCCTGGGCTGTCTGGATACGGCTGACCTGCATCTCGAGGAAGAACTTGGGCACCTTGATGGCGAGCGAGCCACCGACACTGCGGATACCGGCCTCCGTCGCCTGATACACGTTCAGCTGATCCTGGAAGGTCTTTAGGTCGGTGCTAGCAAGCGGGCTCGCGGTCGCGAACTTAGAGAGAGCGAATTGTAGCGCCGTCTGGCTCGATTGGCTGAAGTCGATCGAGGAGAAGGTCGTCGATCCCGAGGTCACATCCGGGACGCCCGAGATCGTCTTCTTAGATGTAGAACACGTTACGCTCGAGGCAAGGCTCGCAGCTACGTCGGCGACTTCGGCGGGGAGCGTGGTGGAGCCGATCACGAAGCAGGCTTTCGCGCTGCTTTGGCGCGCGGTGATGGCGGCTGTGTTGGTGTTGCTTAGAGTGATCACGTCGGAGGATGCGACGAAGGGGATCTTAGGCAGAGCAGCGGCAGTGCCGGCAAGGGCTAGGGCGATAGAGGCGCGCATTTTGATTCTCGGTATGGGTGAGTATTATTGTCGGGTTGGGAGTAGGTATTAATGGTATATACAGAGAACGAAAGTCGAGTGCCAACCAGGGACAGGAACGAGTGGATAGGTGAAGAAACGAAAAAACCCCTTCCCAGAAGGATGACAAGATTTAAGATTCAAGAATGTGAGAAGTGAGAGATGGGCGGGAGAAGGTAGATCATGCTTGTCGGGGATCTTTCATGCCTTTTAATGGCAACCTACCTGATGAAAACACGAGCGACGATCCGACAACCGAACGATCATGCGTTCGTCAATGCTAATTTTTGTGGTCTTTCGTCTCATATCTGATGGGTTTTAGTCTGAGACCCGGCCAAGCAGTTCCAAGTTCCCCAGAACATCCTCTTTCGGCACGATACTTATGATGTTCCATTTGTTCCATTGGTCAATCATTGGTCAACCAGAGAGTGTCGACAGCGGTAAGGCAAAGAGCCTCAATGGCGATCTCCTTATCAGGGGGAACTGGGTTTCACTAAAGCTGTCGACCAATCACAGGAGAGAATCTTGTCTGATCTGCGGGATCCTTGTCACATATCAACCCCACAATCTTGCTCCTTCCATTTTTCATCTTTTCGAGTTTCAACTTCACTTTGAACAAAACACCATTTTCAATTATCCTCATTTCAATCGCGATAAGTACGAGAATATGTATATTGATCATTGGTTTGCCTAGGAAATATTGAGCGATGACGGCGAATTGATGACCATCGCTATCTAGGCTATCGAGAGCGCCAAACGTGTATATCGACCCCAGCTACAAGCTATCATTGGAAAAAACAATCGATCCTTCTCAGTTAAATGACCACTCTGGTTTCTGTTGGTCATCTCCCTAGTAGGGAAGGAGACCGACAAGACCGAGACCAACGGCCTTGAGAAGGTCATCGGCAATGAATTTGACGGCAATGAGCAGGCCTTCGACGACCTTGTCAAGAGCCTTGAGAGTCTTGACAAGAGCAAGAATCAAGGGAACCAAGTGAATTAAAACAGGGCCTATTCACGTCAGTTTCGCATCGAAATATAAATCATGGAGTATCTGTCTTACCAAGGCCGAGCTTGATGAGGATGAACTTCACGGTACCGAGCAACTCAAACAAGATGAGTCCGACGGTCTTGAAGATGTCCTCCTTGACGAATCGACCCTCGAGAACAGCACGTTTGGCGATGCTACCAGCCTTATCCAAGAGATCGCTGATAACTTCCAGTTGAGGGGCAATAGCGTCGGCAGCAGTTTGGGCCTCGACTTCTGGAGCGGCATCCTGAACTGGAGTCAATGTCGCGTCTGACTGTTTGTTAGCCCAACATAATTGGCAGTCCGCTCCATAGGGACTTACTAATCTGAGATGTCTGCTCCTGGATCTGAGTAAAGAGCGCTTCCAAGGCGGTCTCGATGGCGTCAATGTCCTGGCGCTTCTCAACTCTGGTGTCAACAGCGACAGGGCTGGCAATACTGGTGACAATGAAGCCACCAAGGGCAAGAAGACTAATGAATGCGGCCTTCATTTTGAAGATAAGTCAAGTCTATGATGCTGAAGCTCAAGAAAGTCAAGATGAGAGAACGGATTATTTCGAATATGTTGCTGTCGCCGGTGAAGAACAAGCATATGATATTCTTCTTCAAGGAGCCGACGCCTCTATTTATACTTTTGGCGACACCTATTTCGCTCTCCGAGATGATTTATGTCCTGTATTGCGTGCTTGGCTCTATGGTCTGAATCTCAATATATTTTCACGACCCCCCTCTCCATGCAGCATCCTGTCGGCTGTCATTCAAATTTCGAGCTAGGGGCCTGCAACATGACGTCAAAATCGCCGACCAAACCCAATTCATCGATCATTGATCATCTCTTATATGAATCTTTAATGAAGAAATCCCGTTTAGATCGAAAATCTATCTGTGGGAATGCAACCCCTTGCTAACAGGCACACAGGTGAATTTCTCATTGGATGACTAATGTTAGGCTCTGTTGCTCCTTGACGGATATCATGCCCGTAAGCCGAATAAGAATTACGGTATCGGCAATCTCTTTCATGGCGAATTGTCAACAGCGTGGTAGAGGAGAAGGAACACCTATTATGATCGAGGAGGTGTGACCTACCTACTGATTGGTCATCGTTTACATGCCCCTGGCTTTGCGTGATGCTGCGCAATTTCAACATCCAACGCCCGCGCTGAGAATCGATAATACCGGTCAACAATCTAGAAAAAGCCTTGCCTTCTTGGTATTATAGAATCGACGTGGCACTCGGCGCATTTATTAAATGCTAAATGATGTCACGACTTTTGATATGGGAATTGTCAATTTCCAGACGACTTTGGCTGAAATTGGGACCTGACGATCGGCGCTGTCATTTTTAAGCTTCTTTCTTCTCCACCGACGATCCCATCAAAGCCGATCGATCAATCCACAAAGTAACAACTCTTTTCTCGAGATTCAACGACTCGACGTCTCGAGACATACCAATCATCGCATTTGCAACATTCTCGAAAAGATCGTCCTTCATCCATATTGTTCGTGCTACTACGGCAGCACCTTAATATCGCGATTCCTTAAACTCGCCACTTATAGCGGCCATCTCCGCACTGCCGCTAGAGAGCTCTGTCGTAATTTTTAGATGTGGCTTCCTGCCTACGCCTAATAAATCAACGGTGCCAATCTGATACTCGCGCGCCCCTAGCTATTATAGGTCAGGCTCGTAATCAATTTGTACCAAGATGAGGTTTTCAATACGTAACACATTCAGGGGATATATGACTCCCGGGAGCCGCATATTAACTGTGTACAATTTATACAATTTATCCAGCCCTCTTACGACCTGGAAATATGCGGGGTGCGTCGGACCTGAAGGTAAAAGCAACGTCAAAACAAGTTACACTGAGTTGAAGCTGCAGAGTAGGTTCAGCAATACTTTGCCGTACCGTTCTACACCGAATGTTGGTTCTGAGCACGCCTTGCCGCCACATCATCGTATCAATTTCACTAGCTAAGGTAGTACATCAAGCGTCAGCCGAGAGAAGCTCGAGATGAGTATTGCGTGTTCAGCAAACACGAGCCACGAATCCTAGACGGAAGCTGCATCAATTACAGTCTTTCTGATGTGAATTATCGAAATTTAGATGAGGCTACCTGAAATCTCCGTTTACCGAGATGTGATTTTCGTTCGTTAACTATATCTCGGTGAGGTACGGCGACCTACAAAATAAGCACGGCAAATAAGGCACGGTTAATAGCCAATTGAATGGCTAACCACTTAGTAGGTCTACATCTATTAGATCGATCGATGAGGTTCAATCTGAAAACCATGCCTATTATATTACACCCACAGGGGTTCTTAATATAACCCCTCGGGTTTTATGGACGATATGATGGGACTGGTCAATATTTCTGGTATCGCGAATTCAGCCAGCATATGGCGTAGGTTCGCCCCCATTAGCTAAGCTCGCCCAACATAATAAAGCAGCGTCCTAAATCAGCCACGATAGTCAACAATATTGGGACTTGGCGAAGTCAAACTGCCAAAACTATCTGCGAAAACTTCTAAGGTTACATCAGGAAAAATAGACAGAGTTTACATGCTCAGTTTTATCCGGAAAAACACCAGAAATAGCACTAAGATCTTGCCATTGTGGGTCGACGTCGGGTTTGTGGTCACCTAGAAAGGTAGTCCGGTTCTCCCAGCTTAGGCATACGACAAGACGCGAGTACGGTGAATACGAAACTTTGTCAAAAATACCAGTAATTTTCTGTAGTATTTCAGTCTATATAGTAGACATGGATATATACAAGGATGGTGATTCAATAGCAATTCCCCTAATACTACAGGATACTAACTTCACCTCAGAAATTTAGGGGGTTAAGGGGGAGAATCTATCCCCTACCTTGAAATTTATGAATATTCTCTTACCTAAACATACCCCGGAGAATTATCGACGCCTTTGGACTCCGTCTAATATATACTCCCTTTAATATACGTTACCTACCAATACCCGCGAAGGTTACGAGCACCGTTACTTACTTTATATACTCGTCCTGCTCCAGCGCCCACATGCGCATCCACCATATCGGCGTAAAAGCCTGATACGGCTCAGACGAATCACCCCGCATCCAGTTCATCGTACGGGAAACACTTTCCTTCTGCTGAAGGAGCAGCGTCTGGGCCTGCTCCACATTGAACTTCGCAACTTGCATCTGATCGTGTCCCTTCGGCCAGAAGCGAGCCAAATCACGGTACACCAAGAACTGCGTCTTGGCATCCTCCTCGAGCCTATGCAGCATCTCGCACTCCGCAAACAAAACCCCGTCCATCCAGCCCTGCGAGTCCCCCTGCACCTCCAGCAGGTCCTCCCGCCACGTCGCCGGGCACGGGTCCGTGGGGTACGCGTACGCGCGGCCGAGATACGGAAACCGCACGTGTCGGTGCTCGAGCGCGAAGCGCGCGCACTGTTCCGGCTCGCACTGCTCTTCGATATCGGCGTTGCCGAGCGACGTGCGCATCCGCGTCCAGAACTCCTCGCAGTAACTTACCGTGTTGACGAGCACGCAGCAGCTGTGGAGCGTGCAGATTGGGAAGGGGCACGAGAGAGGCCAGTCTTCTGGCTTGACGAGGCAGAGCTCGCATTTGTGGAAGTGCGTGTGTCGCGGGTTGCTGTAGATAGGGGCGGTTTCGCTGAAGGGGTCGAGGAGCATGGGGGTCCGCACGTCGTGGTGCATGTTGTGCGTTAGGATACGTTTGCACATTTTGAGGGGGGGTATATGACCGCTGGTAGGTAGGTAGGGTTATGTGTGAGGTGAGTGCTGTGTAGGGATGTTATGTGTATGCTTTCTCTAAGGGTTGCTTGGTATAAGGTGCTTCACTCAGCTGGGTGTGGTATTATGCCAAGGCCCGCTTGGTTCGAACGTCGCCTGGAATGGCTTCGTAGATGCGCATGTGATTTATATAACGGTCTTATGAGTAAGTGAAGCACCATGGAGTCTAGGTAAACTCAGTGAATAGGGGAAAAACACCAATTTCTGCTTGGAGTGAGGGTTTATAAGTATTTATTTTAAGCTCCAAGTACAATGGGCTTTTTGGGGCTTATTCTTGAATTCCTTTTGTTTAAGTCATTGAGGGTTTTAATAATTTCTTAAGCACAATGGAATTGTTTGGAGGGTTCTTTGCTGGTTGATAGAATGATGTTAGAAAGAATGTGCCTTGTTCTGATTCTGTGTATTTGGTTCCTAGGTTGCGTGCCAAAATATCTATCCCATTCTCCACTTATATGGGTAACTTACACATGTTATAGCGTGTTGTAGGCGACCGCTGTGTAACACAGGGGATAGGTGAGTAGTTCTTGGCTGTGGGAAACTACAACTCAACCATCGAAAAATAGTCTATGTACATATGAATGATATATTAAAGGTTTATATAATCATACGGAATAATTCAATGCGCTCTTAAACTGTAGTATATTTCACCCCAGGACATTAGGTGGAAGGGGTTATCAAAAAGGGGTCGTTTTAACATAAGTCATGTCAATCCTAAAATGCAATCGTTAGTCATACCCGACCATAAGCCCCCTGAATTCACCAAAATGCTTACCATGAAGTTCCCTGAGAAGAGAAAAAATTGGCAAGTTTGAATTGCTTCACATCCGAATCGGAAAGTTGCTTTGAGAAGGTAGCGCGGCCACTTGTGGAGGCTCCTGGACCAGTGTTATGGTACTCGCCAAACAGAATGTGGTCTGTTCTAGGATCCGACTTCCCCCAAACCGACCACCCCGCTGTCGATATTGAGGCGTCTAGATAAGTATAGATATATGCGACTCGGGAGTACTCGTTATATGGCCGACCTAAGAAGACCGAGCCAGCTGTGACGTCCTTTGTCGCAGCGACGGTACATTGGTCAAATACAAGGCCCCCAGCAGTGGTGCTAGAAGCTCTTTTCATAGCCGCGATGCTACCGCCATCTTTGTTAGGCACAATTGTCGAGTTAAGGAAGTAGGCCGTCCCCGCGCCCCAGATGAAATCAATCGACCCTTCGACCAATGTGTTGTACGCAAAGACGCTGGTCCCGACATTCATGTCGAAAGTGTCTTGGTTGCCGGTGATCTGGCACCCGTAGAAGGATGTATATCCGTTATTACCACTAGCGAAGCCGAGGGAAGCGTAGTTGCGTGTCTGCCCAAAGACATTGTTTAGATTGATGTTAAAAAGCTGAAGGTTCGTGGCCCTGGAATACAAAGTCGCTGAGTCCGAGTTGCTCTGGTCGGCTTGCGTATCAACCCCCACGCTGTTCTGGAGAATAACTTGATTTTTCGTGTTGTCAGATGGGTTCTCCGAGTATCCACGGAAGATCGTAGTGCCAGATCGGTTGAAGACGATTTGCTCTTTGTAGAGACCGGGATATATGAAAATTGTTACGGTTTCTTTGTTTGAGATCCCTTGGATAGCTGCAATTGCTTGGGCGAAAGTTGAGTAGACGGTTTTGCCTTGGATAGGGGTCTTAGACACGATGTAATCTCCCGCAGCTGGAGAGGTGGAGTCTGCCTCGGCCAGTGTTGTAACTGAATCGTCGGAATCATCCCTTCGTGTCAAAATCTTCGAAGGGGTGCTAATACTTTTCCAGTACGTCATATCAATCCAGGAAGTCGAGTCCATGACATTAGAAAGGGTATAACTATCCGACGTCAGCAAGGTTGCTTTGCCAAAGCTTTTGCGTGCGGCAGCATTATTCTCCCAATTTCCCGGACCGGTGTTGCTAAACTCGGCGAATAAGATGTTATTTAGTCGAGGGTCCGAAGAACTCCATTGTTCCCACCCAGCCGGCTGAACTACAGAATCCAGGTAAGAATTCTTGACAACAACCCTTGCATACTCCGAATAAGGCCTCCCAAGATAAACTCCTGATTTTGTCGCGGACTCATAGCCTTTCGCAGCGGTTACCAAGCACTGGTCAAACACGTAAATGCCTTTACCACTTGCATCTTTGCGGTTGTGTGCTGTGATGGCACCTCCCTTCTTCTTAGCTGCAATTGTGCATCCTTTGAAGTATGCAGCTGAATAACCCCAGATGAAGTCAATGGCTCCATCTATATAGGAAGACTCGTAATATTGATAACCATTTGTAGACCCAGTGAGAAGAGTGTCTTGCCAGCCTGTGAAATTGCATCCGTAGAATCCGATGTGGCTACCATAGATCGAAGCAGCCAGGGTTACATAATTAGCAGTAGCTCCATTTAGGTTGTCAGTGTTGATGAAGTTGACATTATAGAAAGCAACATTCGAGGACGCCGTAGAGATGACAGCGGTCTCGGGGTCCGAGTGACCTGCGGGAAGCGGTGATACCGAGAGGCCGCGGCTATATGAGACAGTCACCTGGTTACCAGAATAGCTCTTACCGGGGCTGCTTGTGGTATACCCTATGATGACAGTTTGGCCAGGCCGATTGACGGAAACTTGTTCAATATATGTTCCAGGTTTCATAAAAATGGTTTGGCATGAAGAGTCGCTGGGAAGTGATGCCAGCGCGGCAGTCAAATTGGAAAAGGAGCCAGTCGTTGACTTGGTCGAGTCAACAACCACAGCACCAGATGGAGCCGTAGAGGCGCTCGTGGGATGGGCACCACATGATGAGGCAGCTTTATCGCCTTTAATCAGTAACATTCATGTTAAGATACCTGATATATCTTACTTACAAATGCTATCCGTCGTTGCTTCAGCCCCCAAACCCGACGAGGGAAAGATACTCAAAAGGTACCCTATCGTAAGGGCCAAGGTGAATGTGAGCATTCTGACGGTTTGCACTCGTTCGAGACTTACTCGAACATCGTGAAGCAACAACCATAGAAAAAGAGATGTTTAATTATGTATTGATTCATAGAGCATTACGACAGCCCTTTCCACTTAATTTTAAATTATCCCACGAATCAACGCAATTGTGGGTCGTTGGTCGTATGTCATGAAACATTGGTGCATTTAATCCGTGAATGTAGTCAGATGAATGGTTTCTAACCTCCCAGTCAAGTGATCGCCGACGACGCCTTGTAATTAGCTAGCTATCCAACTACCTTAGTCAACTTAGCGCAATTATGTAATCCTGGATAGCCTATTGACCTTTTGAACTTCTAGTTATTAGAATGAAATTAATCTTCTAGAATCCTAGATATTCTTACTAGGTAGATTGAATCCTCAACTACGAGAGGAGTTGGATGGTGAGTGCTTGATTGTACATAATAGTGGTGACACAACATCTTTTATCATACTCATGATATGAGCTTAGGATTAAAAAAAGCGATAGCAAAGTTCTAGAAGCTCTTGGGCAAGTGGGAGCTCAGACGACGTTGCACCCGGTTGCACCCGGATCTGATCTCCAAGATGCATATGTGGATAACGGGATAGCCTAAGAACCCACGAATTAACGAGCTGTATTTAATCCTGGACAGCCTTAAATACCCGGCATGGGTTTCCTACTGCATACCTTGTCGTAGCTTTTACTTTTACGACTCTTTTATCGTTTTTTGAAGGTTGTCTATGTGGGAGTATGATAGATCACCAGGGCAACGCTACGTGGGGAGTTTGGCACCTATGGAAATATAGTCCAGGCGCCGTGATTCGTTCTTTGGTAAGACTCATAGTGCATTGGTGAGTAGGTACTAGTAATCTAGAGGTAATTCTATGTCGCCAGTGCTTCAGACCGAGAACGTTGCTTCTATGGTTAGAAATGTTATTTTGGGGTTAAATATTGACTCGGTTCCCGCGTGGGAGTTGAGAATGGCTTCGGTTCACATATGATTCGAGCTAAGTTGTACATTTACCAATTCGGCATAAATAGGTAGTTAAATCTTGCCCAAAATATAATAATCCGTAAAGAGATTCGGATCCAGGACAATGGTTAATAACCCAGATTTGATGGGCCATGTAACGCTACATCGTAGCCAAGCAACCTAAACTCAGCTCCCCCTCATTCTGCCATAATTGATACAGGTCATAAATTTTCCAGATCCTTCGGTTCAAGAAGGACCGAGATATCCTTTTGAAAGGGGGAATATTTATTAGATTACTGAGATGCTGGGAGAGCTATAGATCATGACTGGAAATACCTACCTCGCATCAATCCCATTTGGGGCGCAAGAGGAAAGAGCAGTATTGGCGTGATTGTAACCAATAATTCACTTATTCTGTTAAGATACATCATAAACGCATGTAATCACGAGACAACAGTCTTCGTCGATGCGATGGTCTCATTGAGGGTGTTAGCTCTCTCCCTCCTTGCGCGTCAAGCAACGGCATTCCTGAACGCCACGGAAACCAGCTCCCAATTTACTCTACAAAATGACGACTTGTTAGTGGTCATAAGTAAGAGCAGCGCGGGAGTTTCCAAGCTAGTTCTAGGAAAGCAGGACCTTTTGGGTTCGAGTGGAAGAGGGCCATACTTGGATTGCTCTTGTGTTCCCAGCGGTTTCTGGGCCCCCGGAGGTACTGCAAAATTCCAGCTCTTCAAGGGAGTCGATACCACCGGAACACCGTACGGAGGTGTCGTGATGCGAGATACTTACGCGTCTACGAACCAAACACTAGAACAGTATTGGTTCTTGCGCGAAGGCGAGACCGGTTTGCATGTTTTCTCTCGGGCCACATATTATAATCAGAAGACACCTTTTCTTCGAAACCTTGGTGAACTACGAACACTTTTTAGGCCGAGCACCTCCTTATGGACTCATCTCTCCAGCAGTGAAGGCAATTGGGCACCTTTTCCTTCCTCCCAAGCTAACAGTAAAGCGATCACGGTCCAAGATGCCACGACTTATCTCGGCAATACAACTAGCGATCCTCATGTAAAGCAATACTCGGACTACTTTACCAAGTATACTTTTGCTGAGGTTTGGCGAGACCATGACGTTCATGGACAATTCTCGGACGGGTCGACCAGCTCCGACGGAAATACGTACGGAGCTTGGTTGGTACATAATACGAGAGAGACGTATTATGGTGGGCCGTTACACTCGGATCTGGTCGTTGACGGCATAGTGGTAAGTCCCCTCTGGTCCCCAGGTCAAAGGAGTTCGCACTCATAAGCTGTATTCATAGTACAACTACATGGTAGCAGGCCATCACGGCGCCCCTACCCCTAACATAACACATGGCTTCGATCGAACCTGGGGCCCGCAGTATTATCACTTCAATAAGGGAGGGAAGGATACTACACTTGCAGAACTCCGGGCCGACGCCGCGCAATATGCCAATCCAGAATGGAACAGCGAATTCTATGATAGCATTGCTCAGCACGTTCCCAATTACACCCCAACGTCAAAGCGCACTACATTCAAAGCCACCATCAACGTGCCAGAGGATGGGAAGAGGCCTATTGCTGTTCTCTCCGAAAATAAGCAAGATTTCCAACTGAACGTCTTTGATAAGTCGAGCCTGCAGTACTGGGCTGATATTGATCCCAAGACTGGAACAGTAGAGATTCCCAGGGTAAAAGAAGGTACTTACAGATTGACTGTATATGCCGACGGCATCTTTGGATGGTTCATTCAGGATGACGTCGAAGTTTCAAAAGGCGCGAAGGCATATGCTTTCCAGTGGAAGCCAGAAAGTAAAGGCAAAGAAATCTGGCGAATCGGCACACCGGACAAATCAGCGGGGGAGTACAAGCACGGCTATGCGCTGGATACGTCGAAACCCTTGCAGCCCGAGCAATACCGCATTTACTGGGCTAACTGGGATTTCCCCACCGACTTTCCGAATGGCGTCAATTTCAAGGTCGGAGAGAGCAAAGAAGCCGAAGACTTCAACTATATCCACTGGAGCGTATTCCCAGGCCGTTCTAATTACTTTCGCTCGCAGCCATACTACGAGAACGTCAATAATTGGACTATACAGTTCAACCTCACTAGCGATCAACTCGCTGGTGATGCTCAGACGGCAACACTTACAGTGGAGCTCGCGGGCGCCAAGACGGCCAACGGCAATGACAAGTGGGCATCGCTTCCTAATGAGAAGTATTCCAACCTGCCTTACACGGTCGCCGCCAACGGACGGGATATCAGCACGTGGATCATACCGTCATACCGTAGCGGTTCGTGCGGTGTCCGAAGTAGCGTGGTCTGTCAGAATTTTGGAAATGAGTTCTCGTTTAAGGCGGCAGAGTTTCTGAAAGTGGGGTTGAACGAATTCACTTTAAGTCTACCCTTCAATGCGACGGATACCGAGACGGCCTTATTGCCGACCACTGTGTACATACAGTATGATGCGTTGAAGTTTGAACTTAGCTAGAATGTATATACTTTAAATGTAGGACGATTTATTGAAAGTTACCTCTTAACGAGGGCTTATTTACCGCCAAAATAGAGACAGTACGAAGTACCTAGCAACTTTGTACGCGCTTTCCCCACCAAGGTTTTAATGCACCGTTAGTGGGCGCATATTGAACTTTGAAAGCCCACCATGTAGCCAGGTATTTATAGAAACTATTTACATTGAGAAAGTTGATTGGCTGTTAATATATCCGGAGCCTGCCGTGTTTGGTGTAACTAAGCAATAGTTTATCGATAAGATCTAGGTTCTTATCCTAGTCCGCGTTTACCGTAATATGACGCGACGTCACAACTACAACGTCGATCCTTAATTCCTTACTTGAACTTCTTTTATTCTATCTACCTAGTACGCCTGATCTACGATCTCCGCTCGCATTATTGGCGCTGCGCTGTCCTTTGTCTGCATCGATGCGGCCCATAAGACATTCGAATCGGCTCATCTACGTCAAAAGTACCAGTCCTTAACACTGAACGTCCAACTATCTTAGAAGAACAATAATCGCAATAAAATCCAAAGCAGGATTGCTAGCCTCTATGGATAGACAGGTTCGAATGGCCTCAATCAATTATGATGAGGTAGCAGTGATGGACGAAGACACTAAGGGTGAAAGTCGCAATAATAGTGGCACCATATTTGGGATGATTGAGCGGTCGCCCCTCTCGAAGACCAGAAGTTTATCGGACGGAGGTGGCACGCAATTGTCACCATCTCCCCACATCCTCGAAGCATCACGACGGACATCAAAGGACGATACCGATAGCTCTCTCAGTCTCACTAAGGATAAGATCCAAGATATACCGGCCATCGCCCCGACTCCCGTCACCCCTCGTCGACCCGAATTTCCAATGCGCGGTTTATCACTTCAGATGTCACAGTGCGATTCCGTCTCTCCATCCCAGACACCAAACCAGGTCAAACTCGCCCCTCTTTCACCGAAACTTGACCATTCCCAAATTTATGCATCCCCAACCAATATTCTTCCTAGACGATCCCGCGGCTTAGATTTCTCTAGAGCAGCTACCAGCCTACACCACTCCACCCTTGCCGAGCAATCATCACCTGATTCATCACCAACCATTGGAGGACGCGCGATGAGTATTCCTAGACGAGGTAATGGTGAATTCGGACAAGAACAGTCCGTCAATTCATTGTGGTCTATGATGGGTAACCATGAGCGTATGAATATTTCCAGTTCGGTAGGAAGCACCAACCCGATAGCCTCGGATTCCTCTTCGACTTCCGGCGATGACGACTTCATGGATGAGGAGATGGAAGATGCCATTTATAGTACACCGCAGATTTCTAAGAACAGCCAACCCTTGGGCAACTTGATGTCTAGCACCAGTAACAATGTCGTCCCGTGGATGCCTGGATCATCATCTGCTATTAACAGCCTTCAGAGCTTCCGAACGCGGCCCCGCAAGCATCCGAGGAGAAAACTACGCGGTCCAACAGGACTAGGTTTTAGCACCGCAAGTCCAGCCGCATTCTCCAAGTCACCACCTAACAATATCGCGAAGGAGATCAGAGATGTTCCTATCCCTCATGCACGCAGAGAAAGCATCAGTTGGGCCGCCAATCAATTGCATATATCAAGTAGCGAGAACGAAGAAAAGTCCATGGAGACTGGAGAAGCGCTCTCGAGAGATGGTCCTAGAGGTGTCGTCAAGCGTGCCGTCACGAGAAGGGGTAGCCTACTAGTAAGTCCTCCCATTCTTCTATACCAAAGTAATACTTATTAAACACTTCTCTCAGCCAAAGACGAAGGGGTTTGCGCGTATCCGTGCCGCCCTCGCGGAGGAAAGCACCCCCGTAGATTCGGAAGTTCGCCGAGAAGCAGAAGTGATTCGACAAGTCCGAGAAAGCGACATGGACCTTGAACCACGTATACCGCCCGGCCCGACGCCGGCTTTAGATATCCCGAACCTATCGACGGCGCAATCGTCCCCCAACCTCAATACTGCCCAAGAATCCCTTGACGACATTCCGGAAGATGACATGATGACGGACTCGGGGTTGTCAGGTAGCTTCAAGCAGCAGGCGATGAAAAACTTGAAGAAAAACTTCTTCGAAACATTTTCCGAAACAGGCAGTGTGGGTGGTAATCGAGTCACTCCTCCGCCTTCGTACTTCATGCCTAGGGGTTCCTCGGCCGGAATGAGTGAGGATATCAACATGGATTCGCCCTCATTGTCCGCAGGTTCCAGTAACGTCAATCCATTCAACCTAGGTCCTATCAGTGGGATGACAATCGGTGGCCCTGGAAGTGAGAGCCAGAAATCAGATACTCCACAGCCTGTTTCGGCACCACTGTCGCAAGGTGGAAGCATTCCACCAACGGCAGCGGAGATCACCCGTCGTATAAACAACAAGCGCAGAAGAGACGACGACTTCGACCCGCACAGCTTCAAGAGAAGAGCTGTAAGCCCCGGAATGAACAGTGTTCATAACTCTCCAATCACACAAAGTCCCTTACAGCGGGACATGCCTTGGGGCTCTCGACCAGGAAGCAACCATGGCGGAGATAAAGCATCAGGCACCCCAAGCGAGAACGGAAGTGCTGGTGGAAACGGAAGGCCCATCAATGGGGCCAAAGGTCGAGTGGGATTTCAAGGGATGGTCGATACCAATGACGGTCTGATGCGCATGAGCATAGAGTGATGCAGATCAGGCTATATACAGCTAGCTATAGCAGTACATGCGCGCATCTGCGATGTGGAAATGATGAAATGACATGCGTCAGGGTTATAGCATTAGGAGTATATCGGACGGAGTTGTAGGTCTGAAAGACCTAGGTTGGCAATTTCTTTCCACCGTCTATTTTACCCAGCGGTTGTTACTAGAGCAGTGCTAAATACCCTCATGATATATGATCAATATCAATTGCTTGCTTTCTTCGTCAACGCCGGTTTAAATTCCATGATGGAGTGCGGAGCTTTGGGTTTAAGTTTGTTGGAGAGCAATCTGAGTTCATGCTGAGGGTAGCTAATGCGAGGTACCAGTGCTTGTGAGCTGGACTTGGACTAATAAGTCCGAGGACGAAGACCATCTGTTCTTGTCATCTGAATTTAAGCTTCGAGGGTCGGACGGGAGACTTGCTAGGTACTGTCTGTGTAAAAGCAACATATGAACTAACAGACATTGATATTGGGAGTATTCTAACTACAGAATAAAACATACATGCTTGGTAAATTTAACCTGTTAGACTAGGTAGGTACCTATGCTGCTGCACGACTAAGTCTAGTCGACCGCCTCCTTCCAAGTTCAGGTACCGGCTCAACTGGCTTCTCCTCCTTCTTCGGCTTAGCAGACTTGCGCGATGTTTTTGCAGCAGGCTTTATTTCCTCTTCATCGATTTCCTCCTCCTCTTCCTGCTTAACAGGTTTCGACTTAGCGGTTCTAGCCTTCTTGACAGGACGTTCTTCGGCTTCGACGTCACTATTTGTCGGTTTCTTGTTTTTGCCTTTGAAGAATCGACTCTCCGTTGCCTTTTCTTCTTCTGGTGGCGTGAGCTCCTCTTTAGCACCATCTTTAGCCGTGCGTCCTTTTATCTTCTGAATGTTGGGGACAACGCAGCTCGTCCGCCCGCCTACGGTGATATGAATAATCTTGTCGCCGTTTGGAAGAGTGGTGGGTGAACCTTTTTTCCCTTTACCCCATCGGTGCTTGAACAGCCAGTCTTCGGGGAACTGATCGGAGTCTCCTAACTTTTCAACTGCGGTCTCACATACGTATTGGATGGCTTTATAGAGAGCGTTAATGTCTGCGTCATCGAAATCATCGCAGTATTGCCCCGGATGAAGTTTGGCTTGGTATAAAACCTCATCGCCGACCCAATTTCCGATTCCGCTGATCATTGATTGGTCAAGTAATAGGGCCTTGATGGGAACATGTTTTTTTCTCAACTTCTGCCGCAAAAAGTCTTCGGTAAATATGTCCTTGTCAACAACAGGATCCGGACCATTCTCAACTAGGGGCGAATGCTTTCTGATCTCGTTTCCGGGACAATCAACTAGACGTACACGGCCAAAACGTCTGGCATCCGTGTAAGCGACCTCAACCTTGGGGTCATCATCGGTTTCGAATTGAAATTTCCAAAACTTAGGAGGCCATTCCGTATCGCCCTTAGTCCTCTCAACGTATCGTGAGTAGCCCGTTTGTATACCCTTGATTTCGACCCAACCTGTCATGCCCAGATGCAGAACAGTGTGCGGTGGGGCGGAGAATACCATCCAGAAGTACTTCCCCTGACTCCCAATATCTACGACTTTCTTCCCGGTAAGAGCCTTCTCGAACGCAGGGCCACTCGTCCCGACTTTACCGAAGATACTACTGTCATCTGGGGCTAATACTTTTTTGATGGTCTTCCCTATCAGATGCTGCCGCAGAAAATGGACAATACGGGCAACTTTAAAATTATTAACATGTCGTATTCCAAAACGATAGACTTTTCTCACCTTCCGCAATCTCAGGCATTGTATAGGTCTGTTAGTGGAAACAAATTAGTGAAGTTATTGCAGTAAAGTAAAGATTAGCTAATGAATGATCGTCTGAAATAGGATATCACTATTAATATTCCATCAAGAAGAAGTGATGACATATGATCTCTCGAAAGTAAATAAACCAAATGACAAATGTCTACCTAGTATGTACAAGTACGTGCCGCAACCTCATAGACCGTGCATGAGCTACGGCAACGGCCGTCTGACTCAACCAGATCTGGCTGCCTTAGATTTGTGGCATTGAGATCTGACAAGTGACCAGGTATGTGTGAATGTATCCATCCCTAAGGCTTTCCGAGCCTTCAAGGGAACTAGTGAATTTGTAAATGGAGATTGTAATATTCTATTAATTCACTCCCATTAAAGAGAGAAATGCCGATGATTACAAACAATCCATTCTGTGCTTTTAGCTCCAATGACGATGTATTGAAATTCGAAAAGAAAAAAAATTGGTCAGAAAAGCGGACAAGACAAAGCGAAAGCATGTACTTTGTACTCCGTATCGCGTGAAGTCGGCAAATTTAGGAGGTATTTGACCAATCACGCCCTTTTCCTAAATAAAGAGAGATGGCGGTAACTACCCCCACTAAGAACTACGGCCGGTCACAGGCCTATGAGACATAATCAAGGGTCGTTCTTGGGTCTTTCTTGGGTCAGAGGCTCACAAAGTCAAAGCTTAGTGGTTGCAAGTGCGGTTGCAGCAGGTGCAGCAGCAGGTGCGCTCCACTTGGTGGTCCTTGTGGTTCTGACGTTTTAGTTCGCGGCGATTGCCACCGATGCCACCGAAACCACCCACTAACATCGCTAATAATCCTCGCTGAAGGTCCATTGAGGTCCATTTTGCGTAACCTTAACCGTAAACTCAGCTAACCCGGCAGAATTTTTTTTTTTCTCTCTTGCAGGTGCTAGGTGCCACAGGTGAAGGGCCCCGCGGTTCAATTGGAAGGAAAAGTCCAAGTCCCTCCAATCTTCTTCAATCTTTCTTCTCCCTGTCGTGCAGCCAGCAAGTTACAACCAAACTTTGAAGATTTCACAATCGCGCACACTTTTCCAACAAATATCTCGTTATTTCATCCTTCACCATGGATCTTCTCTAGGGTTTAATACGAGGTCTCTTTGAGCAGCTGTCTACACATCCGCTTCAGCTTGAGACCAGTACTTGTCTCGCTTTCTTCTTTGGTCTTGTGACCTGCTCATCCCCGGTTCAAAAGCTGTAAAAGCTTGACTACTTCGACATTCTGACGTCGGCATATTTCACTTACCGCAATCGGAGCAAATAGGAATCCTCTGCTGCAGCAACAACAAAAAAATCTTGGAAGAAAAGAAACTGTTGTTGAGGACCACATACGTCAACGAGATACCTTACCTAGTGCTCACCCGCATTTCTCCTCAAAGCTAGTTGTGTTTGTCTACCTGTTAGTAGGTAGTCGAAGATAACTTTTTTTCTTTCGACACCGCCTTTAGTTCCTACAAGTAGATCGCCAAGATGGTTAGAAACATCGTCATCCTCTCCGGGAACTCCCATCCCTCCCTCTCAGAGTCTGTATGTAATATGCTTGGAATTCCCAGCGGGAACCGCATATTAAGCAAGTTCTCTGTCGGCGAGACCCGTTGCGAGATCCAGGACTCGGTACGAGGCAAGGATGTTTTCATCATCCAATCTGGAGGTGGTTCCATAAACGACCACCTCATAGAACTTTGCATCAGTATGTATCACCGAGAGGTTTTCTAGCTCAACGTATCACCAGATCTGACGAGAGAAAATAGTGATATCCGCCTGCAAAACGGGTTCGGCCAAGCGTGTCACAGCCGTGCTCCCATTGTTTCCCTATTCTCGACAACCAGACTTGCCCTATAATAAAATTGGGGCACCACTGTCGAAACCCCCGACCGAGGTTCCAAAGGACAAGTACACGTTCGAGAGCGTCCCAGCAACGCCCGGCCCGGGTATCATTAAGAGTGCTAGTTTCAACAGAGAAACTGACCTCGCTAGGGTGATGAGCAAGACCTCCCTTACTAATGGAAACGGGACTGCAAACGGTCTTCAACGTACCAATAGCGAGAACTACTTCAATGGCAATGGGAATGCCAACGGACATACCAACGGGAACACCAATGGAAGCACTAATGGCGATGGACATTCGGCTGTATACCAGACCCACTCGCGTGCCGGAAGTTATACTACTCACGACTACGAGAATCCCGGACTCATCTCAACCTTCCAGGCTAAACCAGGATATAAGAGATGGGTTGCGCAGGCTGGAACTCTGGTGGCAGATCTCCTGACCTGTGCCGGTGCTGACCAGTATGTGTCCTCCCTAGCTTAAGGATGGATCTATCGTCCTTATATTGGACCTTCATCTCAGAACCCTCCCATCCCCAATGATGTAGTTCCATATAGGAGCTAGATATGAGCGAGGATATTAGCTAACCTTAGATACAGCGTTGTTGCTCTAGATCTTCATGATCCACAATACCAGGGTTTCTTCGATATCCCGATGGATAATTTATACGGCCGTCCCTTGCTGAAGCGCTATATCCAGCAGAACATTCCCGACTATAAGGATGCCGTGATTGTGAGTCCGGATGCTGGTGGCGCAAAACGCGCCACCGCAATTGCGGATAGTCTGGGCATGGACTTTGCCCTCATCCACAAGGTAAGATGATTGTATTTCGTACGCGTCTTCAAACTCATTCGGACCAATTAGGAACGCCGACCAACACGAATCACGGACCGACAAAACGCGACGATGATGCTAGTGGGCAATGTTGCGAACCGGGTCTGTGTTCTGGTTGATGATCTGGCTGACACCGCCAACACCATTACCCGCGCTGCGAAGTTAGTCCGAAAAGAGGGAGCAACGGCTGTCTACGCACTCCTTACTCACGGTGTATTAAGTGGCGACGCTATCGCCCGAATCAACGCCTCAGCCCTAGACAGGGTTATTGTAACCAACTCTGTTCCTCAGGATGAGCACAAGAAGCTATGCCCCAAGCTTGAAGTATTGGACGTCGCACCGATATTCGCTGAAGCTATCCGCCGCATCCACCATGGTGAATCTATCAGCGTCCTGTTTCAGTATGACTGAGCAGCCGTGAGATTCGAAGTAGGATGGAAGTTATCCTACTACTAAGGGCCTCGCCGACCGTTCACGGTCACCCCAGCGAAGGCTTTCTTTTAGGACGCAAGGGACAAGTCTGATGGGCCATATTTCGCTTCCGAACGATCCCTTTACGAGCATAGTTATGCTCATAACGCATTTCCTGTTTGGGGGAATTCTTTTGGACCTGAGCTTCGAGGCTCAGTTTTAATTGTCTCTCGTTTCATTTGGAATGCATAGGGTCGACGGCGACCTCTTCTCAAGGTAGGCTAGATTTATTAGCTGGTTTGCTTTCTCTTGCGTCTGCCGCTACGACCAGGCGCTTCTGGTAATGTTGGGGGTTTCTCGCGAAATCAGTCGCGTCTCATAGGCGTCTTATAGAGAGGAGTTTCTAGGTCGGCAAAGTAACAAGAGCTTCTCACAAGCCTTCCTCACCGTAAATACCACACCGCCATACTCAAGTTTCGTACTTGTGATTTGCATTTTTGGCAGGCCTTATCCCGATGATAAGGCGATGCCAAGTAGCTAGTTACTTACCTATGTGTAAGTACGGCTATAAGGCTAGGTCTAGTGCACACTAGTCTTGTCTATTGGAAGCATGAGTTCGGGGTAAATTCTAGACTTTCGTGTATATTGCATTACAGGTTGGGGTATATCTATGATTGATTATTTTGGCGTGATGATGATTTGATAGAACAAGTCCAATAGGCTATGAATATATTCAGTGTATGTGTATACATATCGTATATTAGTATTTATGAGAAAGACTTCACGGCTTCAATGTTGAATCTGTAAGGCGATTTAAACGTAGAAAATGCTTCCGATGTGAGCGAAAATCGGAGTTTAAAACCGTGTTGGGTTTCGATTTCCGTTTCGATTTCTACATCGCGTCATGTCATGCCCCAACTTAGTCGTGCAGACACATCAATCTCGGGTAACGTTCGACTTAGTCCGTTTCGAGTGAAACCCCAACCAATGATGAAGCCCAATTACAGTCAAGATCCCCGAAACGGAATCGATTTAGGGAATTACGTCCGGCATAACGTTAGTCAAAATTGCCGGCGCAGTTCGGTTCGCCCTTTCTATCAATTATTCGGTGGACCTCGGCATGTGCTCTTCGCTATCTGTGAATCCACCACCTAGGCATTGCCCAATTCCTCCCCCAGATTTATTCCGTCACTTACCCATCCATGTAATCCCGTCGGCTGTAGGAAAGTTGAATGAGCGGTTGTTAATAGGTTACTCCCCGCCTCCTGTACGATAGCGACACCACATTCTTGTTGAAGACTATTATAACACATTTACGAAATAAACTTGATTCGTTTTTATTCTTTTTTTGGACTTGCTCGATTCTTTCATCTATTGATTACATCGCTTCTCCACGCACGTTTAGGCCTAAAGCCCATCACCGAGTTTGACGTGATACATACCGTGCCCTTACAATATCAACCATTCCCATCGAGCGACCGCGATATAATAGCGCAAACCCTCGCGAACCGATCCGAAACTTACTTACCTTCATATTTACATACATCTAAACTTAACCTACCTCATAATACCAACACCCCACGCCGCAAAAATGGTCGCCGACGCCGTCGTATACCACCCCACGGTAGCGCACTACCTCAAATTCGTCTCAACAACAGTCGGTCGGGACAAGCTTCTCCGCACACTGCAGTACTTCTCGCGGTTCTACGCATGGTATCTCTTCCGCACGAACGGGACGAAAGCCGAAGTCGCGCCGTACGAAGCCATCAAGAAGCAGTTCGGGCTCGCGCGCAAGCTGCTGCGCGTCGGCAAGAACGTCGAGCACTTCAAGGCCGCGGCGTCCGCGGCCGACAACAAAGCCGGGGTCCCCGATGCCGTGCTCCGCTACGCGGCGGTCGGCAGACAGCTGGGCTACGCGGGATACCTGACGTTCGACGCGGCGACGGTGTTGGATTCGTTGGGGGTCAGGAAGTGGGAGGGCGCGAAGAGGGCGCAGAAGGAGGCGTATCGCTTTTGGGCTATGGGGATCGCGTGTAGTGTTGTTGCGCAGATGTATACCTTGTATAGGTTGAGAGAGAGGGAGGCGAAGGTTGATAAGAAGGAGGGCGAGGGCGTGGTGGAGAGTAAGAGGATTGTGATGTAAGTTTTGCTCCTGGAGTATCCTGGCTCGCGTGTGCGGGTTGAGTGGGTGTGTGGATATGTGAGTCGGAGCTAACGAGATGTAGTGAGCGCGCTGCGAGCCAGCTGCAGCTGTTGTCGGATCTCTGCGATCTGACGGTTCCCACGGCGGCGTTGGGTTGGATCGGCTTCGATGACGGGTTCGTCGGCTTGGCGGGTACGGTGAGCAGTTTGATCGGCGTGTATTCGCAATGGAAGAAGACCGCGTAAACGTCTCGAGAGGATCAGATCGGATGGGTAATCCGGTTAGAGTATTCCGGGGAGAGGATGTGACTCGGGGGAGAAGGATATAAGCGTATCCCAGGCCGGGGGGAGGCAATATGATAGTGGCGGGTGATAGGCGTTATATTCCCATAGCGCGTATCGTCTAGTCACAGTGTACAAACAATAGATGGATGTTTTTTTTTTCTACAGCAAGCCAGCACACCGGTTCTAGATGACTACTAGTAGGTCGAGGTTTAAGCTGGGAAAAGGCGGAGGAGGGGAGATGGATCTGTGTAGGGAGGGAGTTTAACGGTGGATTCTTCTGGTATTAGCTCCTAGCCGAGAAGCCGCAGCTTTGTTTTTTGATTCGCCGAGACTGGAGTTTTGTGTTTAGGGGATTCGTGTGATGGTAATATATGTATGTATCGTGAAAATCTCCGACTCGTTGTGATGTGACGTGGACAGATGTTGTGGAGTTGGTAGGATGTTGATCTGCTGGTCCCGGAGGTTGAATGGACGGTATTGTAATATTGTGATTTTATTCGATTCACTATTTCTTTTGAAGCCAATTGGGAGGTTGGGTCGAAAGAGGCGAGTTAGTAATTGTATCTATAAACACCCTATCGAATGCATTTCAGCGTCCATGTATATAGCCATGCTTATGGAAAGTATGTCCGCCAATGCCTCTTCAACATCGCCTTCTACAGCGTAATGCAGACTTAGGCCAAGACAGGTTCGAAAGACAACATAATTGCCCAATTACCTACATATGTGAGAATGATTGTTGAGATACATGTCGTCATTCGAAACTTACCTATAGACTCTTCTTAATTAGGATTCCTATAAAAATAACCAAACATCATTAATATTCCACTAGACTATACTATACATACCTAGTACTAATAAGTAGTCCAAAAGGTAGAAACATTTAGACTCGGCTTATACAATAACATGTGACATCAAGTCTCCCGACTAGATAACTTCAAGGTTTAGTTATGAGATTCCATCTTAACTAGCCCCTCGGCGTGTTGCATGCGGAAACAACCTTAATCTACAGAATACAGAGTACAAACAAACTCATTGGAACCATTCTCAAGATTTCGTAGCCAATGTGAGCGTCTAGTTATATAATTCAGATAAGAGGATTTTCTATCATAGGCGAATAGTCCCGTATGTCTTAAAAAGTTCGGCGTGGCCGAAACGTGGGATATTTTTCGTAGGATTTTCGGCTCCAACGCGATAAATCGTTAATTACAAATTGCCCACTGTATCGCAAGGGTTCCAATGGGTCGGTCAACTTTGGCAGTAACTTTAACGGCACAACCACTTTTCCATAACGACACAACCACTTCCTAATTGGGAATAGCTGACAGTTGCAACACCCCACCATACCTGATTTTGTAGTGTTTTTGTTGTATACCTTATTTTAACGTATAAGTAGGTAATTTTAAATAAAGGAAAAAAAAGTTAATATAATTTTATATTAACTTAATTAATGTAATAAATAAGTTAATTAAGTAAAAATTATAATTATAATTTTAAAATCGTATATAATATTAAAAAGTTAATAAGTTTTTTATTAATAATTAAATAAGTTTATTTTTAAATTTTTATAATATTTAATTATATAAACGTTTATTATTATATAAGTTTTCGTATAATTTATTTTTTAATTTTTAAATTTTTATAATTTTTTTTATATAATATTAAAACTTATATAAAATATATTTTAATAAAATTTTTTATTTTAAAAATCGATTAATATAATTCGTATTTTAATATAATTATTATTAAACGTATTATTAAAATTAAAAACGGGTAAGTTATATTTTTTTTTTATACGTAATACTTTTTAAAATTAATATAAATATTTATTTATTAATATTTACTTATTCGTAATTTATTTAAATTTTACTTAATATATAATATTTTAATATTTACGTATTTAATTAACATATAATTAATTTTAATAAAAACCTTTAATTAAATATTATATATTTACTTAAAGTTTTAATTTTATTAAATTATTTAACCTATAAAAAAACTTGTTTTAATTTAATAAAGCAATGCGATAAAAACACTGCGAAATTAGGTGGTGGGGTATTGCAGCTATCAGCTATTCCCAATTAGGAAGTGGTTGTGTCGTTATGGAAAAGTGGTTGTGCCGTTAAAGTTACTGAACTTTGGGGAGCACGGGTGTTCCCCAAGATTTAAGCTTATCCAATCCTCTCTACATTTCTAGCGACCCGATTTCTAGAGTTCAGGTAAAGCTAAGATGTCGAAGTCTTTTTCAATTATAAGCGTTCACAGGTAAAAGAGGACAGGAAAAAATCGACACGCGACCAAAGGTGATCGTCATGTACCTCGCAGCAAACCACTGCAGCCAAGGCCGCGTCAAAAATAAGAATTGAAAATCCTTAGAGTTCGATTTCGCCGCAAATAATCGTAGTCCGGCGCTTTTGAGCCGGGGGGTAAAGTCAAGCCTTCGAGCGGGAACTCGGCACGGGGTATATCTTTAGTCTCTAATTGGCTAGTCACAACTCATATCAACTTGCGTAAGCTAAATATTCACAAAGCCCGCTGTACGAATGTTGACGTTGGATAGCCCATTCGAGTTAGACCTGTCTTATCTTTCGAGCAAGCCACTCAAAAGCGACGAAACTTCCACCGAAGAAGGCAAGGAAGGCAAGAGGATTAAAGAGCTTTACCTTGGACTTGCAGGTGCGACTTAACACAGATAGGGAAGGTAGACCTTCGCCGAACGTTTGTTAGCCTTATTGTACATATAACACGTGCAGAAACCTTGTCGAGGATGCGTAACTTAGCTAAAGCTTAGCTGAAGGTTTAAAAGACTATTTAATGTTATTTCTTACCTTGCCAAACATTTCAATCCCAACCTTGTGATCTCGCGCTTATCTAGCTGAGATTTGGCGAAAGCTATACCTTGGTATTGCTTCACCATTCACCTAGTTCCCGTCGCTAGATCCTAGTGTCTATCTTTAATAACATCTTCTTGGACGTACTTGGTATATATAATAAGTTGAGTATTTCTTCAAGTAGCATTATCATCGTCATCTTGCTATCGGCTTATCTCGGCTTAACCCGACTCATTACAACCAGCATTCTTATTGTTGTTTTCACCGATAACACGGTAGAAAATGTTTTGGGGCAAGAAGAAGGAAGAAGACCAACAGGTGGTCTCCGAGGATGTTGTCGATACGGCGCCTCCTATTGACCAGAAACCCTTCTGGCAAGTCATTTGGCCTGTTCTGGCTTGCGGCGCTGGTCTCTTTTCCGATGGTTATGTGAACAACGTACGGCTCACCTCTTTTCTTCTCGCTCGCCGCTATCTGGCACACGTCCACTGACTTTTGCGCCACCTAGGTCATTGGCTCCGTAAGCACGACGCTGGGATTAGAATATGGAGATACCTACAACAACTCCAACGCGGCCAGCATTGTACCGGCTATCGCATTCGCCGGGACGGTATGGAGTCTATTTACATTCCTGGAACAATTTCAAGCTCACAAGCATAGGTTGTTGGTCAACTATTCTTCGGATATCTATCCGACAAGTGGTCGCGCACGAACTCTCTCCTCATATCGACTATCATCCTAATCATCTTTACGGCTCTTGCCGCCGGATCATACTACCATAACACCGCCGTTGGGTTGTTCAATATCTTGACTGCTTGGCGATTCTTTGTAAGTCAACCTTAACTCAGGAGTTGAAGTCTATGAGTAACACCGTACTAACTGGAATTAAAGGTCGGTATTGGTATTGGGGGTAAGAATTTCACCAATAATTGAATTGAACTAAACTAAATGCATGCATAGGCGAATATCCGGCCGGAAGTGTGAGCTGCGCCGAGTCCAGCGGCGAGTTGAAGAGCGGTACCCGAAACACCTGGTTCATTCTGTTCACGAACTCTATGATAGACTGGGGTTTTGTCTTCGGCGCATTCGTTCCTTATGTCGTTGCTGCTGCCGCTCACAATTCTCATTTCGGCACAATCTGGAGAACAAGCTTGGGAATTGGCGTCGTATTCCCGTTGGTCTTATTTGTCCTACGTCTCAAGCTTAAGGAGCCTGCTGAATTCTCCCGAAACTCCATGAAGCAGTAAGTTTATGTTTTTCAATGTTTCCATTCTGAATATGTTATTTCCCAGGCTTGTCTTTGTAGTGTTGCAAACGCAGAAAAATATTTACGATTTGAAGCTACCCCTGATGTATATAAAAATATATTGCTGACAGTATAATTCAGTGCCAAGACACCATATCTTCTTATTTTCAGATACTATGGATTCCGTCTACTAATCGTCAGTTTAATCTGGTTCATTTACGACGTAAGTATCTACACCTACCTCAGATTATCTATCGCCATCTAATTTCCCCAGTTCTCGGCTTATTCATTCTCGATCTACTCGAGTTCTATTCTCGCCAACATTTACGGAGACAGTCAGGTCCTAACGACTATTTTCGGATGGAACACGGTCATCAACCTGTTTTACATCCCGGGCACTATGCTGGGAGCTCCCATTAGCGACCGCCTTGGTCCCCGCTACACTCTTATCCTTGGCCAAGTTCTACAGGCGATCGTTGGATTCATCATGGCCGGCTGCTACGCGAAGATCTCACACCCTTCTGTTGTTGGCGCCTTCGCGGTCGTATACGGCATTTTCCTGTCCCTAGGCGAGGTCGGACCCGGAAACAACATCGGCCTGCTAGCTGCCAAGACCTGCGCAACAGGTGTCCGAGGCCAGTACTACGGTATCGCCGCAGCTTTCGGCAAGATCGGTGCCTTCGTAGGAACATACGTATTTAAACACATCAAATCCTCAGACAACGACCCCATCAAGTCAGCCCAGTACAAGTTCTACGTCAGTTCCAGCTTGTGCATCTTCGCGTCTGCCCTAGCGTTACTGCTTCCCCATATCGACCAGGACACCATCACCAAGGAGGACGCCAACTTCAGGGCCTACCTTGAGAGCAAGGGCTGGGATACAAGACAGCTCGGGCTTAAGAAAGGAGAGAGCCTCGAGTCTTTCCCCGAGGAGTCGGAGGACAACACGGTGCCTGTTTCCAAGGCTGAGTGATGCTAGTCTAAATCAGCGTTTTTGATTGAGTTAGATCGAGTTAAGTTGTATTGGATACCCCCTTTCCTTAGCTGGAAAATAAGATACCTAGTATCGTTATTATATCTTAGATAATGAGTAGACAATAAAAGTTAATATACTCTATGTCAAAAATAGAATGAACATGACTGCATACAAGGTTAAAAAGCTACATATTAGAAACATACCTAACTTTACTGCCACTGTCTTTTAATTTACGTGTAAATGCTAACAATGCAATAACTTACTAGGTGGGTGCGGTGGTTCTAACTCGTTGAACATTGACAAGAACTAGATTGGGAGGCAGAACGAACCGAAACCACAATTGTAGAAAAGCAAATAAAAGTTATGATACTATATTTCTTTACTCTTTGTAGTAAATTGATAGCCACAGATGACTGCGCTCTCAAACCATGCTTCTTACACAGCCGCTGACGTAAACCCTGCAATCGGGGCTCTGTCTGCTAGGTACATAACTTCTCATAGAAGCTACTGAACACGGTCCAACTCATAAATCTCATCTAATCTCACTCATGACCAGTTCCAGTGGTTTTTTAAAATCCTATTATTTAACTTTCTTTATTCGTTCGTTCGTACGCCTGGGTATGCTAATGAAAAAACAGATCTATGAATCATAGTTTACAACTCATCGTGGCCCGAGGGCTCATCATCGTCCGCAGCACCTCCCGGGCCGCCGCTGTACAACTTAGATGTGATGGGGTAGGCAACGTTCGAGAGCTTCTCCTTCTGCTCCTCGAAGTCTTCGGCGGCAGCCGTGGCGGCGTTCTCGTCGAGCCACTCAGTAGCCTCCTTAACAGCGTCAAGAATCTATAGCATATTGTTAGCGTGTGATTTTAGACATAATGGTAACGGGTATCAACTTACGGTCTCTTTGTCCTCGTCGTCAATCTTGCCACCAAGACCATCCTCGTCGTTGACCTGGTTCTTCAGGTTGAAAGCGTAGTTCTCAAGACCGTTTCGGGCCTCAATGCGCTCACGAGTAGCCTTGTCCTCTTCGGCAAACTTCTCAGCCTCGGCGACCATGCGCTCAATTTCTTCCTGGCTGAGACGGCCCTTGTCGTTGGTGATAGTGACGGACTCCTTGTTGCCAGTTCCCTTGTCGTGGGCAGAAACCTTGAGAATACCGTTGGCGTCCAGCTCGAAAGAGACCTCAATCTGGGGAACACCACGAGGTGCGGGGGGGATGTTGGTAAGTTCGAACTTGCCAAGCAGGTTGTTGTCCTTGGTCATAGATCGCTCGCCTTCGTAGACCTGGATCAGGACGACGGGCTGGTTATCGGCGGCAGTAGAAAAGATCTGGCTCTTGCGAGTTGGGATGGGAGTGTTGCGGGGGATAAGCTTAGTCATAACGCCACCAGTAGTCTCGATACCGAGAGTCAACGGGTTGACATCCATGAGGACAACGTCGGAAGCACCCTCCTCACCGGATAGAACACCAGCTTGGACGGCAGCACCGAAAGCAACAGCCTCGTCGGGGTTGATACCCTTGCTAGCCTTCTTGCCACTGAAAAACTCCTCTAGAAGAGCCTGAACCTTAGGGATACGAGTAGAACCACCAACTAGGACGATGTCGTCAATCTCATCCTTCTTAACCTTAGCGTCTTCGATAACTTGCTTAACGGGCTTCAGAGTTCGCTTGAAGAGGTCAATGTTGAGCTCCTCGAACTTGGCTCGGGTAAGAGTCTCGGAGAAATCCTTGCCGTCAAAGAAGGCCTCAATCTCAATACGGGTGGACATCTGAGAAGATAGGGTTCGCTTAGCCTTTTCGGCCTCGCGCTTCAATTTACCCATGGCCTTAGGATCCTTGGTAATGTCGACAGAGTTCTTCTTGTTGTAGCTCTTGGCGAAGTGGTTGATGATTCTCTGGTCGAAATCCTCACCACCAAGATGAGTATCACCGGCAGTGGCCAAAACCTCGAAAACGCCATCTTCGATAGATAGAAGAGAGACATCGAAAGTACCACCACCAAGATCGTAGACGATAATGTGACGCTCACCACCGGTCTTGTCCAAGCCGTATGCAATAGCAGCGGCAGTAGGTTCGTTGACGATTCGCAGGACATTGAGACCGGCAATGACACCGGCATCCTTGGTCGCCTGCCGTTGGTTGTCATTGAAGTAGGCGGGGACAGTAACGACGGCGTGGGTAACCTTCTTGCCCAAGTAGGACTCGGCAACCTCCTTCATCTTGCCGAGAATGACGGCAGAGATTTCTTCGGGGGTGAACTTCTTGGCGGAGCCTTGGAAATCAACCTGGATAACGGGCTTGCCCCCTTGGTCCACAACCTTGTAGGGGAAGTGCTTGAGGTCATTTTGAACCTCCTTCTCAGCCCATTTTCGGCCAATGAATCGCCTGAAGCAGAGCAATTAGCATATAGTTCTTTCAATTATCGAATTGAAGCCTAGATGCGACTTACTTGACATCATAAACAGTGTTTAGGGGGTTAGAAGCTGCCTGTTGTTTGGCGGCATCTCCCACTAATCTCTCATCTTCGGTAAAGGCCACGTATGAGGGGGTAATTCGGTTTCCTTGGTCGTTGACGAGAATTTCGACCTTTCCTTGTTGCATCACACCGACACAAGAGTATGTAGTTCCTAAATCCTATAGGAGAACATGAATTAGGATACCGTGGCTCTCAATTGCATGGGGAATCGCCATAAATCTTGCCCCGCGGGGTTTTTACTTACAATACCAATAACAGTGCCATAGTCGGCAACATCGTCTGCTCGCGCAGTTCCTACGAATGCGAGAGGACTAAATAGGAGGAGGATCCAGGCTATCATGCCGAAGCCGATAGCCCAGGAGCTCTGAGAACGAGCCATGGTGAGGAGTATCACGGCGAGGTATCACTAGTATGTCCAATGAATAGGAACAGGAGGGGAAAAATAATTAGAAAATTAGAAACACCAAAGCACTGTGCAACCTCTCCCTTGGTTGGTTGGTACAGCACTGGAAGTCGTCAAGATTGAGTGAAGAATGGGAGGAGAAACTTGTGGGAGACACGATGGTGTAAGTACGAAATTCTTATATGGCTAGAAAGAAAAAAAAAAAGTGTTCAAAGATGATGTTGCCAGCTTGCAAGAGAACACATTGCAATAAAGTGTGGGTCAGGCGCCAAGTAAACCAGTGAATGCAAGGTGTTCAAGGGTGCGTTCGCCCTATTATATTACACCGCTCAGCTACATGACAATACTTTTACCTTGCTATATTCTCCGCTTTTGAATTCGCAATATTCGCTAGTGGCATTGTATTCCCAAGTATCTCTTTTCATAGCGCTTAGCTGCGACTGCATTGAAGGTTAAAGTTTAAATGTTCAAAGGGCTGTTTCACACCTGATGTCACTTGGTAGGCACTGGAACCTTCTTTCTTTCCTCGCTATTTTCGCAAAAGCCAGATTGCCCCAACCCTATTCTCCAACGAGAGCGGCTGTTTATAGTCCCCGCCCCGCCCTGATGCGGGACATCCCTGCTAGCTTCTGAGGCAAAGGAGCTATGACAGTGATGGCCGGTGGCTGATGACGGCGCCATGTGAATAACCTCAATATGGTAGGTGTCATCTAATTTTGTCCACGCAGCCTTATGCTTCCGGGTTATTTAGAGGCCAGATCTTTTAGCCACCACTTATCATCGAAGCCTGTTATTAATAATAGCATCCTAATTCATTAAGGAATCTCTGCTAAGAGATCTGTCTCTTTTATCTTAATATTAATTTAACTTATTTGAGTCACATTATGATCTTGTCGGATCTCCATCGTCTATTAATTTGAAACTTATATCTGTCTTCACTTATCCGCATTGACACCTATGCATGTAGTTCAGTCATGTTGATGTCTGAGTCATCCAAGCCGGCAAGCTATAGCTATCATAGAGAGAACTAAGTACCTCCAGGGCTAGGTACACAATCCCATACCATGGACGTTGTCACATCCGGCATCCGAAGCCCACCTATATTGCGTCCGGTCCGCCCCTGTGACCGATCAAGAGCGGGAACGAGTGCAACCGAACCTTAAAGTTCCTTCACTACTCTACAATGGCCAACGACTAACGTATTATGCCCCGAATTGCTCCGAACTTATGAAGGGTGGTTGTCTCGCAGGTCTAAACTGAAATTAATAAATATATCATTGGATATAAAATAAAACGAATGCATCTGTCGATCTCCACCACCAGGTACAGGACCAACTCCGGCTCGACAAAGTGAACAAAACACACAAAAGGACTCAGCTCTTTCCGTGGTGGCTTCTCCAAGATAATCCCATTAAGAAACACTAGGAGTAGCAAGATAGCAAACGCGTCCTGGAAGAAGAAAAGGCGGAAATGCCAAGGCACGAGGAGAAAGGGCTCTCCAATCTCATCGAGTAGTCGCAGGAAACAGGACTATCATCGTAGTTTCCTCTTCACACGGCTACACCAATATATGTGAAAAAGAGTGGGAAAAGCGTAAGGCGGAGTTTAGGACGCTACAGATGCAGCCGTAGACAAGTTGGAGAGCGACAAAACGCTCGTAGACGGTGGGAAGATGACACGCGAGGCGTTCCTCGCCACGTCTGCTGGACTAGGATGAGCTAGAGGCTTCACGAAGGATATCCTTCGTCAAGGGATGCAGCTCCGGCTCAGGACTTCTCCACCTTTCACCATTCGGGAATACCTTCTTTCTCGGTGAGCGAAAGGGTACTTTAGTTTGTATAAATGTTTGCACCGATTGCGATGGAACCACCTTTTTCATTTCAATACGTAATATATCAATTTCAGTTCAGACCCGCGAGACCATAAATAGCCCTCATAACCCTCATAAATTCGTGTCATTCCATGCATCCTCTTCGCACTTAAGCCAGGTGCATACTCCCTCAAGCCTTGCCCTTATCATTAGGTTCCCAGCCCGGCTCCGCCATCTGAAAAGCCTCCATCGTAAAGGGCGGGGAGACAGTGCACCCGACGAGGGTCCACTCGCCGAGGCTAATAGCATGCTGCCACTCGGCCTTCTTGACGACGATCTGGGGCCGCTCGCCGTTCGGGATATCGGCGCCGAGCACGACGTCTTTGACGGGCGTGCCGTCGTCCCAGGCCAGCGAGAGCCGGAGCGGGGCGCCGGCGTAGTAGTGCCAAGTCTCGACGGACGTCATTACGCGGTGCCAGTGCGAGAGCCCGCTCTCGCCCTCGAGCAGGTAGTATATGCACGTGCTGTGCTCGTCGCGGAAGGTCTCGACGAAGTAGCCTTTCTCCGGGTGCGGGGATAGCTTGAGCGCCGCGATGACGTCCTTAGCTGATTGCTTTGGTGCTGTCGACATTTTGAAAGAAGTGGGCTTGCTTTATTTCAAAGTACGACTTGGTGGAGTTCAGCACTGATTATTCGATTGTTTGTTTGAATGGGGTGAGCGCTGAAGACGGAAACTTTGGATGACGGTGGTGGGGAAGGTAAGAAAGATGCAAGGGCAAGGCTTACATATTGACCGTCCGATGCTCTTGCCCTGTCACCCTATCTAATGTCCGTGCAAACCGGTGAAGCGAAGTGGCTGGAATGAATGACTAAAAATAGAGAAATGTATAGGAAAGTCCAACTTACCTATCACATTTATGGTGTTGTACTTGTACTTGAGCCTTGAGTTACTAGGTAGTAACATATGCTGCCTATGCTAATTTAATGTATAGCAATTGCTTCTTGCCAATTCGTTAAAACATCACTTGGGACAAATGGTTGGTTATACATAATAGGCCCTATCTTCCCGGGCCAGCTTGTGGCAACTCCATGAAGCCTTACATTCTATTCGGTGGCTGTGGCGTGTTGTGTGTGTGTAACACAACTCCAAGACACGGGCAATACGATCGGAGGCGTAATCATCCATGCTTATACTGCATCTCTGCTCGCACAAAATACGCAGACGGACCGATCGATCAATGTACTCTTTTCAGCCCGCGAAAATTTCATAGTTTATCTGGTGTATGTATAGGTGGATGGGTGCGCCATGTTCCTCTATCTAACACATCTCTAATCCGGAACCTCCCCGCCGTCACTTGCCCTTTTCTCTCCCTCTCCAGATTCTCCCCGCAGCCAAATCTCACGAAGTAAGATTCTCCGTTCTGGAACTCATGCCGTCATCACCATATCGCAATCTTCCCGCGACACCATGAGCGTCGTTGACGAGAATATCTCCGCGGCTCTGGCCATGGCGGGTTTTGCCGGCGTAGCCTGGTGCCTTGGTGTTGAGATCAGCATATCTCTATTCCTACTCTTCAAGCGGCGGCGCGGACTTTACTTCTGGTCCTGTGCCATTGGAATATGGGGTGTTATTCTGCAGACCTTATTCATCATCCTAGCGGACTTTGGTATATGGACAGCGAAGCAGACGCCCATCGTCCTGATCTATTTAACATGGGCGATGATGGTTATCTCACAGTCGTGGGTCTTGTTCTCACGACTGCATCTCTTAATACAAAAGCCCAAGATACTTAAATGGATACGGGTGGTATTGATATTCAACTCAGTCGTCATTGGTATTATTACTATCACACTAGGTACTATCGCGGTATATACCACCTTTATCATCCTCATCTCACCAACCCTCAAGGTAAAACCCACAACTAACCACCCCTACAACAGCAAACCGCCAAACCCTCCCTCTTCCCCACAAACAACATCTGGGACCGCTTCCAAACCGCCGTCTTCTTCGTGCAAGAAACCGCCCTCAGCATCCTATACATCTGGCAAACACGCGCCTACCTACGAGACCTAGCCCCTCTCCTAACCACCGCACGCCCCTCATCCAACTCCTCATCTAGCATCGCGCCCTCGCGCATCGCAAAGAAGAAAACAATGCTGCACCAACTAATGTGGATCAACGTCCTAATAATCTGCCTCGACATCACCCTCCTCGGGATCCAGAACGCAAACCTATTCTACCTCGCCGGCGCCTTCAAACCCGCCGTCTACGGCGCGAAGCTGAAGCTAGAATTCGTCATTTTAAACCGGCTGATCAAAACCCTGCCCGGGCCCCGCGACGGAAGCAGTACCTTGCGCGGCAGTGTGGAGAGTCCGGCCGCGGGGGGTGGCGGAGGTGGGCTGGATGGGAGCGCGGTTGAGGTGTCGAGGCCGTGGGATGCGTATACGCCGACGAAACCGCATACCACGGAAAACACCTTCGGTATCGGATGAATGCCTCCCATATTTATATAATGCGGTCGATATACCGCAGCACGTTAAGGAGACAGAAGATTACATGTTCATTTACAAGCTTATGGGTTCTCGGCTAAGTTGTGTATTTCTATGTATAATACCCAGGTCATTGAGTTGGTTTTATTGACAAGATATCATGCGGGTATGAAGGTAGGTATGTAGTTAACAATCGATCAATAATATAAGGAATGCGTATTAGAAGATATTCCCCAACCTCATATATGTACGCACTTCGCGTAAGGCTACCTACTATTATTTGAAATTTCTAAGGTTGGTTGGTCACATCATGTCACTCGTCTAGATTTTGTGTAGTAGCTAGTTCTCATCGCTCACGCTGTTACTATGCTACTTCCCCGAGTAATCCAGTAGTCTTTGCTCCCTATCACACTTTGCACCGATGATCATTTGTGGTATCTGCGTAACTGTTTAAAAATGCGTTTCTATACCGAAGCGTCCGAACAGCTCATTCCAATAACCCGGCAGCGACCGTTTCGCCTCCGCTTCTCAAAATAATTCGTTGGCCTGCCTCTAGCGGTACCTTCGTTCCCATCTTCACCACCACCCTCGCGACACTCCCCGGCTTCACGATCCTAGGTTTCTTCTTCAGCACCGTACCTCTGGTCTTATCGAGGAGCGCCGCTATCTCTAAAATTTGACCTGCCGCGTGTAGGCGGCCTCTGTGCACATCCACCTGCATTGGCATTAGGATGTCAAAAGCGAGAACTTTGACAGTGAATGTGTCAGTGCAAGTGATTGGTTGTTTTGTGTCGCAGATGATATCGCCAACGCGTACATGGATTGGGTCGATATTGCTGAGGTGGATGACTATGTTTTGTCCGGCCACCGCCCAGTCTACCGATTCGTGATCGAGTTCCAAAGATTTGACATACGCCTTCTCTCCACTGGGTTGGATGAGGAGTGCGTCTCCTGACTGCAATGATCCGGCATCTATCCGGCCAGAGACTGTAAGTGGGCTCTGTGGCGAACGGTAGACCTCGGAAATTGTCAGGCGCAGAGGTTTGTGCAATGCCCGAGTCATCGGCTCCGAGCTCTCCAATTCTTCGACAAGCGTTTTTCCTGCATACCAGCTAGCCGCCGCGTCTGTAGACCTCTTCGTTATGTTGTCTCCGTGCAAACCAGATACAGGAATAAAGCTGATATTTCTAAGCAGAAACCCCGTCGCTGATAAAAAGCCGGAAACTTGTTGCGAAATCTCGTCGAATCGTTCTTGTGACCACCCAACTGTGTCTAGCTTGTTGATGGCGACGATTACGCGAGATACTCCCATGCTCCGAATGAGCAGAGAATGCTCTCTTGTCTGCCCTTTGAGTCCTGCCTCGAATGCTCCAGTCGTAGCGTCGACTACTAGAATTGCAAAGTCTGCCTGACTTGCACCCGCAATCATGTTGGGGATGAAGTCGCGGTGGCCGGGTGCGTCTAGGATTGTGAATGATGTGTTTTCTGTCTCGAACTTATTCGTCGCAATGTCGATAGTTACGCCTCTCGACCGCTCTTCTGACCGTTGATCCAAAACCCATGCAAGCGCAAATGAAGATTTTCCTATGCTCTCAGCTTCTTTCCGGTACTTTTGTATAGTCCTTTGGTCGACGACGCTGAGATCGAGCAGTAAGCGGCCCATCAGAGTGCTCTTGCCAGCATCCACATGACCTGATCAGATTCAGTACGGGTATCATGATTGTCGTGCCTCATTCGGTATAGTTCTTACCAACAACTACAAAACTTGCGCTCTTTTTGCCTTTATTCTTGTCAAACTCCTTTAGCACATCGAGGTTTTTGCTTTTGGGCAATGGCGCATCGTCGAGTTTTAGGCCTTTCACATTATCTGTTACTTCGTCGCCCTTCCCTCCCAAGTCGGCCTTCTTCTTAGATGTACTAGCAGCGATCTTCTTACTGCTTGCTGATCCCAAAGTATTAGTACTCTCACTTAGTTACCTTCCTCGCCAAGAGCGAACCTTGGGATTGTGCCGTTAAGACTACATCATCTGGACTTGGAGCTGAAAAGGCGTCAGATACTGATGAAGTAAAGTTCATATAAGGAAACGGGAAGTTCCTCGGCGCGATGGACACAGAATTGTTAACAGATCCAAGGAGGGCCTGGGCAAAGGGGGATGGCACAGCTGTCTCAAATGGAATGTCTGTAGGCGAAGAGCTAACAGGAATTGACGAGTTGGCTGGTTTGTTCTCAGTCGTATCAAGTTGACCTTGGGTCTGCTCATCTCCGATCTTTGAGGTTACGTATTCGATTCTCTGAGAAGTAGTTACATCAAACCCAGTAAGAACCGGATTGTTTCCGCGGGCGGGATTTGAGGGTCGTATATTCTCCTTGGCGGATTCGGCTCGCCTCGACGTTATAGAAAGGCTGCTGAGCTTCTGTGTTGCTTCCTGAGGCTGTCTCTCTTCTGATTTTTGATTGTCTGCCTTCTTTTTGCGCGCAGCAGCGAGCGCCTGGAGCTTCGACATCTTGCTTGGTGCACTGGACCCCCCTAACAATCCTCCTCGGATCCGCGGTGGTTCAATGAATACTGTTTCTCGATCCTTTGGTATGTTTGACCATGGCATGTCGCTAAAGAAATCGGCAAATGAAGATGTTTTGCCTTTGGCGGCTACATTGGTCAATGTTAGCGTGTCGACGAAACCTGATAATTGTTACAGGTACATTTGAGACGCACCTGCGATCGCGAGATGTTGTGGCTTTATGATTATGGTGTCCGCACGCATAAGGGACGTTACAAGTCTAGAAAAGAAAAGAAAAGAAAAAAAAAGAATGTACCTACCTAGATCTTTCTTCTTGTTCTTATTCGAAGGGGCGATAAACTTAGTCGTTAAGTAAACTACAGATTTATCGATATCATAGTAGTAATGCCAAAGCGCTTCTTGGATTTGTTGAGTTGTAACCTTTGATGACTCAGTTCCGAGGGCAGCTCGAACTTCAGCAGTGCCAACCTCCATCTGGGCTTGTGTTTATCGCAAAATTAGCAGGAATTGGCGATTAAATATACTAGCTGGAGCTTAAATGTTTGCGTACCTCGATCTTCTGGACTTAGTTCTTCTTCGCCGTCTGAATATCCATCGCCTTCGTATTCGTCAAGGTCATTCTCGTAATCGTAATTGCGGTACGCTTGATGGCGCGACATTGTGCCGACCGGAAGATGATTGTTGGCTTTTGATTATCTCTAGACGGGTATGGAAGTTAAAAGGTATAGAGATTGAAAGGTAACAGCAACAGTCGGCTGCATGTAAGAACGGTGATGACGATCTGATAGTGAGTGGTAATGTTCAAAGGCTGAAAGGTTACCTAAGTTTACTAGAAGAGGGGCACGAGGGGCATTGATGTACGATACTTGGTACCTGAGTAGGTACTTTGTCAAATGACGTAATAGCATCTCCACTTGTAACTACTAGTACATAAGTAGTACATAAATAGGTAGCGACTCGAACAGCCTGCTTTAGGTACCTAGGTGCCTACCTAGTAGGCATTCTGCAAACTGATTGACTTAGACTATAATTGCGATACATAATTTCTTGTAGGTATTTTGCTGTCCAAGTTGGCCGATTTTTTATTCATTCAACTACTTATGAGATGATCTCGCCAATAATGCCATAAACCTCCTAGTGCTCATACTTTAAACTTCCTTCCACTGTGCCCTGATCCTTCTCCTTATAAATCAATTAAACTCTCTTCTATGACAGGTTGTTGAGGCGCATGTTGTGGGGCAGCAGGAAATGCATCTTGCGAATATCTAGAGTATCCAATCCCAGTTGGCTGATACCCGTGAACCGCCTGATCTTGTTGCTGATGTGGTTGCTGCTGAGACTGTTGCCAATATAGTGGCTGTTGCGTTTGATGACCTACTTGTTGATATTGCTGTGGAGGTTGAGACGGTTGTGTAGGGACCGACGCAGGCGTCGGAGGGACTGACTGCCCTGCATAATTTATTGTATGTTGAAGATTTGGATACGGTGAAGGCGCCGCTTCTACAGGAATACCCGGCGTCGCGTGGTCGTTACTCGGTTGCGAGTTGTTGTAATAGTAAGAAGCATTAGGGTCAGCTGCTGATACTCCGGCCGGTTCTGGCGCTTTATTAAGAGGGGTTTGGGGAGACGGGTGAGATGCGTGGTTAGCTCGTGGAGGATCATTCGGGGTGAAATTCACTTGATTGGGATACTGAACTGGTGCGGAAGGTCCTTGTTTCTGCCAACTATCGCTTCTCTGAACACCATGATGGGGATATTGGTTGCTTGAAGGCATTGATACCGAAGCTCGTTTGTCGTAGCTTGCAAATTGCTGTTGTGGGCCTTGTTGGACATGTTGAGGGTATTGAGGCACGGGTGTCCTACTAGGATCTGGGAGTTGCTCTCCGGTATAAAAGTTTTCTGCCGATGTAGAAGTTCTGGCTGCGGCTGATTGTATTGAAGGATAAGGGCCCGACTGCTGCGTAGGGGTAGGTAGGGTGTAGCCACCGATGTTGTGCTGGTTATAGGCTTTTGATAGACGTTCCTCCAACATCCTGTCATAATATCGAACAACAGTAGATAGTTTAGCATGTAGGTCGAGAAGAGTATCTATGATGCGGTTAGTTAAGGATGGATTTTATATTTGGAAAAATATAAAAACTTGCCATGTTTGCTCATCGTCTCGCCGTACGTTCGTGCTAATTTAGGACGTAAAGCTCCGATGGAGTCATAGAGCTCCTGGATCTGTGGTTCTCTCAAGATTGTGCCAGGGGGCTGAGTCTGCAATCTATCAACTAGTGTTGAAAAGAGGTTGATATTCTCGGCCTCCACAGGGGTAAGTTCATAATCATTCTTTGGTAGCGCAAATGAAGTAGCCGGCGCGTTCTCTGTCCTTGTTGTTTGTTGCTTCAATGCCGCGGAATGCTTTTGCTTCTGCTCCTCCATATCTGCTAGAGAAGCTGCGATGGCGGCTTTGAGATCTTCGTCCTCTTCCTCGGGTGCCCCTACGGGCGCAGGTGAAGTCACGTTAGTCTTCGGGTGAGATGCCGAAGGAGCGTTATTCGTAGGGGGGACATATCCCTTCGAGTGTCCTTGTACTTCCTCTAAGCTCATAGCTAAGGCCTTCTTAAGATCTTCATCAAAAGCATCGTCGACCCGGGCGTTCCGTGGCTGCATAGTAGATGAGCTGCGATTTTTGTGTGGAAATGATGGGCTCGTAGGCGAACGCTCTTGTCTTCCGAAGCCGCCTTTATTAGATCTGTCTGTCAGTTTGGCATAACAGCCGTCATCGACTCGTACAGGCTGCATGATACCTAGGTGAGGCAAAGGGAGAGTCTTGGTAGAACATTGTTGGTCGAAGCAGTTACCGCAGTTGCGACAGTGATGTTTGCGGTTTGTAAAGGTAAACGGGGTGCGGCATCGCATACAGACATCGGAATCAGACCACTCGGGAGGCTACGATGACTTAGTTAGCTGTGTGTAAAAGAACAATGCCACTTGGATGGATAGTCGGGTGTGTGGTACGTACGGCGCTACTGTCAATCATGCTGCTTGCTACGGTAGTCCGCGGAGGGAATTGGAAGCCTTCCCTCTGCAGCGTCTGATATGTATCATCGATATATTTCAGATCATACCGTCCTTCGGTAGCGGCGGCCCAGGATTGTATCAATTCTAATATCTTGGCTCGGACTTCTAAATTTACGGCGGCGGGACCAACTGCATGGAGAAGAGAAACTAGATTGTCCATGAACTCTCGGGAGGCAATCTCGATCAGGAAGTGGGAGCCACCATTCTTGACACAGGTATCCGTCAACTATGCCACAAGTTAATATTGGTTAGGTAGAAGGCGGAAGTTAGAGGGCGGAGGTGACAAGATTTGACATGGCTAGTTGGAGAAGGGTTCGTACGTTCAATGCGCTTAGCTGGGTGTTTGGGTTCTTGTTGCCAATGCGACGTTTCAGCGATCGCATGGCTTCCTTAGGCTGCACAGTCTTGGATCTAATAACATCGGAGATTTCGAGGTTGAGGGGAATATCCTCTCTATTTTCCATGAAATTAGCGGTCTTGCAAGGGATATAGTAAATAATAAACATGTAGTAACAAGTGTAGCACCTACAAACTACTCCCAGTTGCTTTCTCAATCTGTTCATCCAAGGCGCTGTTGGCCGAGGAAGACCACCAACCTCCCATCATCTTGCGAAATGGTGTTGAGAGAGACGAGCGACAATCGCGAGTGATCGGATCGCAATATCAAGTGACTATAGACTCAACACTATGCAAGAAAGAAGAGATAATAACCTTAAAAGTGGCCTGCTTAATCAAAGGCAAAAGAAGATTGCGCGACAACCTAGGTAGTACACATGGAAATGGAGGCTGATATTTGACGTTGGTAATGATAACATGTTCAATGTTCAAGGAGTTCCAAGGTTGTGATTTCATGCACCTACTGTTAGTACCTAGGCAGTAAGTGAGTACCTAGAAGCTTACAGGGCGTGACTGCCTAGCTACTGTGGATACGTACCACGAACTTGGCTCAGTGCCAGGAGCTTGCAGCTTAAAATACTAGGTATCTACATGTACTCTGTACATCGGCGTAAGCGCAAGTTCAATTTCTGCAGCTGAGGCGAATGTGGCGTCTTCGTTTCTCCACAGACATTCCCGTCACGTCAGCCCCATGACCCCTCAATAATCTGCTTACCTAACAGCATTTTACCTAGTACCTACTAGGAACTACCTAGCAGCGTAGGCAGCCTCTAACCTTACTGTAATAATATCCATAGATTTATGTACGATCAAAGGATTGAGAATTAAACTTGCAAGCTTCAATAAGGATCCTACGGATGAATGCTGCATACATATATATCGAGTATCAAATATCAACAATCAAATAATCAGCTCCACAAATGATATTTACGCATTCAACCAGCAGACCGATAGGTCAAGCTCTTCTTTCTAGTCACCATTGGTGACTGGTAGACTAGTATCTTTTCATTGTGCATTCACGATCTTTTTTTATTATTCTCTTTCTTCTATTCTTTCAACCTTCCGTTCTCGTCTCCCCCCACCTCTGACGTCGCGACGTTAACAGATCCCGTCCTTATTCTGAAAGAATGTCTTCTTCATTCCAGTCTCCATCCTGAGAATAATAGTGGTACATATAACTCTTGTTCTCCTTACCACAATTTACCTGTCTTTCGTTACAAAGGTTTCTGATCATATCCGAGGTTAGCTTATCCTACAGTCTATCCTTTAACCATTTGCGCGCCCTTGCGCTCCCATACCTTCTCGTCGTCCTCGTCGCTTTCCATTCGTAATCATCTTCGGATTCAACCCATTGAAAATTGTCTGCGCAACCACGGCATGGTACTGAGTACCACATTCACGATATTATAAGTTCTGGCGCTTCCCCGAAGACTTTAGTCATCACCGAGACTGGCGCACAAGACACGATGACCTCTACGATGACCAATGGCGGCCATGCGCCTACCAGTAGTTCGGGTACAGGAAAGGCGCCATACCGTCATATAGAGGACTTGGTATCTGTTGGTGTGGACCTTGACCCCCATACTCCGTTACGGAAAGTCCTCGAGCTTGGCGATGCCCATATGCGACAGGCGATGACATACAACGATTTTAGACGCCCCGATTTAGCATTGCAAGAGTATATTAAGGCATTTACCATCGCTGTCGATAAAGTGCCCAGACACAAAGATTATCCCTCCATGAGATCTGACTCAGGGCATCTGAACCGTTTATACAATGCCCTCAAGACGAAAATCACGACCAATGGCGCTACCTTTGATAAGATCAAGGAGGATATTAAGGAAGACAACCGACGAAGCGGTGTAGAGCCAACAATATCTCCAAAAACATCCAATGGACACACCCGTACGATATCAGCTAATGCGCCTTCGATACTGTCACGGGCTCAGGTAAATGGATCCACGGATATTAAAAGGAATGGGTCTAAAAATGAATTCGAAACTACAAGCAAAGGCGGGAATACAGGCGACTCTGGCACAAATTCTAGAGCGGAAAAAAGAGAAAAACCTCCGGTACAGCCCAAACCGCAAGCATTACATGGAAACGCTATCAACCAGGTCTCAAAGACATCTTCGGGAGACTTAGCCAGTCGATTTGCGCGTTTACGCGACTCACAAAAGCCGGGGAACACTTCAAAATTGCCGTCGGTAGATACATCTATGCCAGCAATGCCAAAACTTCCAGAAGCAATATATAGTCCTGCAAGAGGTACCGTGACCAGTGAGATTGCCAACCTTCCATCTAGCACTCCTCGCGGTATGTTCAGCAGGACAAACTCGATCACCTCGACTCCTAGCATCTCTGCTCGCAACTCTACGGAAAACGCCATCATGGCCTTTAGCAGGGAGCAGTTCGCTACGGCTCAGTCATATCACACCTCACAATCGCCAGCGAACGCAACACAAGTTAAAATTCCACAAGGAGAGACCATCTCGGCTGCCACCCTTGCAAATCTGATGATCAAAGATATTGAAATCTTGATTATCGATATACGCGATCGTCAATCCTTCGACGAGGGGCATATCAGATCCCCTAGGACGATTTGTGTCGAGCCCGAGATTCTCATGCGAGAGAACATATCCGCGGATGAGATCGCCGACAGTATGGTGCTAGCCCCTTCAAACGAGAAACTTGCGATCGAGCAACGCGACAGGGCCGATTTAGTAGTTTTTTATGACCAAGATAGTGTCTCTATGCCGAATAGGATAACAGGAGATTCCTCAGAAATGATCCTGCACAATCTACGGCAAGCTTTGTCACATTATAGCTATAGTAGACCACTCAAGAATAGCCCGAAATTGTTGAAAGGTGGTCTAGCCTCTTGGCTAAACGAATTCGGGGAGATATCTCTCGAGACTTCTGACACTGCACCAAAGCATATGCCTCTAAGCGCAACTTCTACGCCCAGGAGCCGAGGCGGAGGACGGTATAGAACCAAGACCAAGACCCTCACTCAAGATGAGGTCAATCAGTTTGAGCATATGATCCAAGAAGATAAAACGGGAATCTCCGAATTTGACTATATAAAAAACAGAGATGATTTCATTCGCCGCTATCCCAGCATAGGAGGTATTCCAGAATCGATGACCACGCCTGCTAATGAGGAAATTCTCAGGCAGCAAGAGGAGTTTCTCACCGGTATAGCCCCAGCTCCACCTAGGCGGCCAGCGCCCGCTATCCCTAGAACCAGATATAGTGGTTTGGACTCTAGAGACGACGACTCGGATGTTGGTGCTTTCGCCATGGTTACCAGCGCAGCCGGAAATAGGGGCGATCTCGGTACGGCACCATGCACCGGACTTTACAATAGCGGAACTGCTTGTTATTGCAATTCTACCATGCAAGTATTTGTCAACTCGCCTGGTTTCATCGATGAGCTATTAGAACCTACTTGGCCTGAGGCCTGGCGAGGACGCGATGATAATGAACCAACCCGCCCGCAACTATTGGCCAAGATATTGAAGAATCTTTTGCAGTGGATGCACAAGGGGCAATTTAAAGTGATGAGGTGTTCGACACTCATGGTATGTTTGCCCTTAGTTAATATTCCCGAATCATACACTTACATAACCTAAAGCAATATTTGTCCTCCATCCATGAAGGTCATATAGATCCACACACCCATCAAGTGGATAGGCTAGGCGATCGACATCAGCACGACGTCGACGAATTTTGTAATTTTATCTTTGATCAACTAAGCTACGAGACCAACATGACCGCTTCCATGCCGAAACCTCAGATCAACATACCGAACGGGGCTAGTCGGATTGCCCGCGAGATAGCCCAAGGCATTTGGAATACCATTTTAGTCCAAAGAAAAATCACTTTCATCGATAGGCACTTTTTAATCAACGTCTTACAGGTCAGACAGTGCGTAAAATGCCAAGATTCAAATTACTCTATCGACACAGGTCACACTATCTATTTAACACCCCAAGACCCTTCGAAGCGATATAGATTACAGGATATGTGGGACAATGTAAACAATGAGAAATCTACCTCGGGTCGATGTGAAAAATGCGGGGCGGATGATGCCTTAAATTTTCAATATCGAAACGTAACCTTCCCTCCTCTATTGCGTATATATATCAGAAGATACAGGGGTGCTGTTAACGACAGAAAGGAGAAGATTCCGGTAGAGTTCCCATTCTCCATGAACTTATCGAGATTCAGTTGCTCGGAGGACATCAGGAAAGAAGTCGCCAACATATTGCCTGCACCACATAACCAGAACGCCCTTGCCCCTCTTGACTACGACCTCTACAGCATACAGAGCCATACAGGCGCGACCGTCACTTCAGGCCATTACTGGACCCTCGGCAGAACGCAGGACAAAGATAAATGGATCTATTTCAACGATGCCAACGTCAGCTACCTCACCGGGAACGCGTGGCAGAGGATGTTGACGCAAGTATACGAGTGCACGAACGACGTCACACCAGTCCAGTTATTTTACAAGCGCAGGGACGTACCTTTTCCATGGGAGAGGAACAATAGATAGGGAGTCTGACGGTGGTATATAATGTCTATTTTCCTTCCCTGACGACTTGGAAGACGAATGGTACCTACTACTAATGTTCCATGCGGTGGGGGCGGTTCATGATATATGTCGAACGGATCAATTCGATTCAACGTGTGATGCGTCTCGATATCAAAGGTGTTGGGGAAAACATGGCTCATCGGTGATCAATACGGGCGAGAGCATATACTGTTGTTATAGAAGTCGCGGCCTAGGCAGTCGGTGGACGAGCATTGCCGGACGGATAATTGGGGAGTTCCGGGGGAAACGGGGATCATTCGTGGCTTTCTTCCCGCCCCTTTTCTTGGTACATACATAGATGGCGTTGGATCCGGAGGGGCTCTCAAAGTCTCCCTACCACCCACTTTTCTGTTTTCCTTTTCCCGTTCAAAAGAAACTTGCGAGTTTCTAGTTTTGTAGACAAGGTCCCTGTTGAAACTCTTTTTTATATTGTAATGTAGGAAATAGCAATTGTTAGTAGTGTTTTACCAGAGATCTGCAGCTCAATCAATTATCGTGGCGTTTATGGCTATGGTTTATTGAGCTCAATGCGGCTACACACAGGTGATCTGCCCCAATCCCTCCTAAATAGGTACATACCTGTAAGTAGGTGCTAGTTGGAATTACCGAAAGACCTTCAACGATAACGTCAGTTGTTCATATCACTAATAACCCCCATTTCACCAAGCCACAGCAAGATTCACACCCACGCATTTAAGACCCCAAGCATAAAACAATTCCGGGTAATATTATGCCGTCATCATCAATACCAACAGTTACCTAGGTAAGTAGACAGCTAGCTACCTACACGCCATGACAATACTATAATACACAGTGGCCAGTTTCAAATTCGTCCGAGCCACGTATCCAGATCCACATCCACGACGGGAGAAGCCATCGTTTGCGTTAGTTTATGTAGATACATCGAATACAACAAAGGCGCTTAACCTGTCCGTTTAAAGCAGTCCTCGATTTGTTTCTTGTAGTGGCTTCTCAGTGCCCTCCGGTTTACTTTCTGTGTTGCCGTGACGAGACCCTATTGCTTTGTTAGTCCCTGATAAAGGATTTGAAAAGGGTAGGGGGGTAGTTGAACTTACACTTGTGGGCGTCCATTCATCCTCAACTAGCACAACACCAACGACCATCTCCAGCCCCGTCAGTCCAGCCTTCTTGCCTACACCGACCAAGTCCTTGTGCACCGCATCCAGAACCTTTGAATCGGTATGCGCATGAGCATGGTCGACGTCTAGCTTCTTCGCCAGATCGTTTAGTGGCTTCTCGTTGGGGCTCACGACTGCAATAGCGCGGGCGTGGTCGTTATCGCCGTGGATCATGATGTTGTGAACGAATTCGCTGCCTCGGTACACGGCCTCGAGTTTCTCGAGAGCAATGTACTCGCCTCCCTGCATCTTGACCAGGTTTTTGACACGATCGATGATCTTGATGTGTCCTAAAGAATCAAACTCTCCGATATCACCCGTTCGGAACCATCCATCTGTTGTGAAGGCCTTCTCCGTCTCCTCAGGGTTCTTGAAGTACTCCTTGCATACAGGCAGTCCACGGAGGAGGATTTCGCCTTGTGGGGGCGTGCTCTTTGCATCGTACCCTAGATCCGGCAAGCCGACGAGCTTGATTTCTAACGAAGCTGGGACGGGACCGATAGCGTTTGGCGTCCATTGCAGGGGGCAGCCCAGTGCACCGTTGGCGCATGTCTCGGTAAGACCATAGCCCGTGATCATCGGCGCGAGCACCAGACTCACGAAACGTCTCGTGCCGTCGGAAATACCACTAGCGCCGTTGAAAAGAAACCTCACTCTTCCACCTGTCATGTTACGGACTTGTTTAAATATCAGGGCATCGATTAATCCTCCGCCAGGTAAGCCAGCTGCTGTGAGCATAGACTTTAGGCCGTAGGCACCCCAGAAAACGTTTCTCAACAATACACCACCATTGTTTACTTTCGACTCAATACCCTTCCTGATAGTCTCCCATATCTGGGGGACACCAACCATGACAGTCGGTGCAAGCTCGCGCATGTCACCAGCGCAGTTGCGCGTCGAAGAATCGGCAAGCGTGCGTGGAGATCCGTATCCCAACGTACCTCCAATATACATGACTAGATTCTCTACAGCCATCTCCAGAATATGAGCCAGGGGAAGGTAAGCAAGGATTGTGTCGCGGTGTGAGACGGTCTCCTCGATAACGGTGTACAGGCCCGTGATACCAGCGACAATGCCCTCGTGCGTAATAGGCACACCCTTCGGCGTCCCGGATGAACCCGAGGTGTACATGATGCAGCACATGTCACTGGCTTTCGGCGGTACTGGATCTATGGGGTTTTCCTCGCCGAGAGCGACAAGGTCGGTGTAGGAGTATATGGTAAGGTGAGAGTTTGCGGTCTTGAAGTCTTCCAACTCCTTGTCGGAGATTGGGATGTTAGATGTGTCGTTATAGACTAAGAATTTAACATCCTTCGCATTCTTCAACGGGCGACCAGCGGTTTTCAGGAGGTGGGGATCAGTGTACATCGCCTTCGCATTCGTCTGGGTGAGAGAGTATTCGACGGCATCAGAGCCGAGAGTGTCGTAGGCTGTCGCGATTGTGATGGATTGCGAGGCACAGCCGTGTGCCATACACAGCCAATTCGCGCTAAATACACTCAAGTTTAGCTCTCAATGGTCTATTTATGCGAAATAGACTTAATATTACCTTGTGGTCGCAAAAATGTGTAAAACATCGCCCTGCTCAAGACCCAATTTCCTCAACGCAGCACCTACATGCAGAGCCCGGGTCTTATACTCATTGTAGGTGAGGAATGAGTACGGTGATAACTCAAAGTAGGTCCATTGCTTATCAACTTCCTTCTTGACACCATCAACAATTTTTGGTGCCTTCTTGGTCTCAGTGTGAGTAGTGATTAGTTTACGAGAACCTATTGCGGCTTTATCTCCATGTTTGTTTGCGCTCTCGATGAGAATATCGTATGTGGTGGCGATATGAGGTGCAGGGCGAGTGAGAAGGCCATCCTTAGCCTTGATGTGTCTGTGTGGTTTCGTCTCTCCTTCGACCTCTTCAGCCCCTGGCGACTCGATCATAAACGGCGGCTTCTGGACCATGTGCAGCGGAAGCACGCCTTCGAATTGAGTTGCGAGAGCCATAATTACGTTCAATTATGGATAGAGAAGGATGTAATGTCAGGCGTGGAGGACAGGGATGTGTGGTGTTGACGGTTGGGGTGCGGGAAAGGATTATGTAGGAAGCTGACAGAAGGAGAGCTCCAACGTTCGAGCTCGAGCTAAGAGATGGCGGATATGGATATTTTAAAGTTAGAATTTATCGAGGCTATAGACGTCAGCGGGGCAACCTAGGCTTTCCTAGTTCACCTATCAAAGCTAACCCGGCAACTAGAGGCTAGGGTATAGGCGAATACCAAGATAATAGCGAACATATAATCCTTTTACGAGAATATATTTAGGTTAGTACGTGCGTATCTAGATGGAATTTCTCGGCGTAACTTGAATTAGAAGTTGGAAAGGAGATATTTATGGATATTGTTGTATTAAATTATTATTATTCTTCCTACATCCACCTACATCCACCGTGCATCCATGGGACATTAATGAGAAATTTTACCACCTCGCCGGAGCAGGCCGTGCCTCGGCTCTCAATGCGAATGTTTGGCATATTCGGTGTTATAACATAGGTCAAATGATGACTCTTTGATTCACTGATCGTTCAACAAGTCAACCTGCATCATGCAGTCATGCAGGGTCAAGAATCCCACGTCGAGAAAAGCAAACCTCTTTTAAACGATGCCAAGTACCTTCCAGGTACTAGTAAGTTAAAGATATTTAGTCAATTATTTTCAAACTCTAAAAGTATATGAATAGGAGTACATCTAATTATATGGGTTTATCATATGGAATAGTAACTACCTGATATAAACACTTAGATACCGAGGTATTGGAGAATTTTACCTTTCAAATGTAATTACGTTACCCCTGTAACTGTCGGTATATGTATGTTTTATTATTCCATAATAACCGGTCATTAGATACATATGTATTTTGGATTATGTTTCGAGTAAATATGGTGCGAAATAGCCTACATATGCATCAGATGCGCCTAGATTCATGCATGTACTGTTATGTAGGGTGACAGATATCTCTTTGCTGTCTCGGTGCTCAACCTTGCAGCTCCCCTAGAATATTGAACCCGAGCCTCCTATTAATAGAGGGTCCACTTCTACAGTTTGGAGTTCCTTATGTAATAATCGATAAGATAAGAGCTTTAGCGAAGTACTTCGGTACTTTCAGTAGGTACTGTCGGCGTGGTGAATTTTCCGAATTAGACAAATGTGGGTCTAGATCTTTAGAATTTCAGAATTTCGAGGTAGATACCGCTTGCAAGGCAGAACCCGACTGAGTAAACAGCTTCATACCACGGCATATCTTGCTGAAATTCAACGGGGAAGCTATCTACCGGCGATATTTCTCATATAATAGCAAGACAAGCTCTTCTGAGCTACCAAAAGGGGCAAAATGGCGATGAGTATGTAGCTACAGCCCCGCCATTCTATTGTATCAATATTTACTAATATTCCACTTTAGATCTCGACCTCCAAAATGGTATGCGGCACACATGACTTATGGCACTACACATACACATACTGACTCTTACTTCTTATAGCTGCTGTTATGAAAGATGAGCAAGGGCGGCCTTTCATTGTGGTCAGAGAGTGAGTCCCATGATCTACACCATCAGATCAAGATAATGTCTAACCCCTCTTCCCCCCTAGTCAAGGCAAGAAGAAGCGTCAGTATGGCAACGAAGCCGTGAAGTCGCATATCCTTGCCGCCCGAACTGTTGCCAACATTGTCAAGACCTCCTTGGGTCCCCGTGGCCTCGACAAGATCCTAATATCACCCGATGGCGACATCACCGTTACCAACGATGGAGCCACTATTCTACAACAAATGGAGATTTCCAACCACGTAGCCAAATTACTTGTCGAACTTTCCAAATCCCAGGATGACGAGATCGGTGATGGAACTACCGGTGTCGTCGTCTTAGCCGGTGCTCTCTTGGAACAGGCCGCCGAGCTAATAGATAAAGGCATTCACCCTATCCGAATAGCAGATGGTTACGACCAGGCTTGCGATATTGCAGTGGCGGAGCTAGATCGGATATCAGACACCATCGAGTTCAATAAGGAGAATACAGAGAACCTTCTTAAGGTTGCACGGACAAGTTTGGGAAGCAAGATCGTGTCCAAAGCACACGACCAGTTCGCCAAAATCGCCGTCGACGCCGTTTTATCCGTTGCCGATCTCGAGCGAAAAGATGTCGACTTCGAGTTGATCAAGGTAGATGGTAAGGTCGGCGGTGCATTAGAAGACACTATTCTGGTAAAGGGTGTGATAGTCGACAAGGACTTCTCGCATCCCCAAATGCCGTCCGAAGTCAAAGATGCCAAGATCGCCATCCTCACATGCGCGTTTGAGCCGCCAAAGCCGAAGACTAAGCATAAGTTGGAGATTACCTCAGTCGAGGAATTCAAGAAGCTACAGAGCTACGAACGGGAAAAGTTCATCGAGATGATTCAGCAGATTAAGGACACCGGTGCAAACTTAGCTATTTGCCAATGGGGTTTTGATGACGAGGCAAACCACCTGCTACTACAAAACGAGCTACCAGCCGTACGATGGGTAGGCGGTCCCGAGATCGAACTTATCGCTATTGCCACGAACGGTAGAATAGTACCTCGATTTGAGGATCTGAAGGCTGAGAAGCTTGGAAGAGCCGGTATCGTACGAGAGATGACATTCGGCACTACGCGGGAGAAGATGCTCGTTATTGAAGAGTGCGCTAACACAAGGGCCGTGACGGTGTTTGTCAGGGGAAGTAACAAGATGGTAGGTCCTCGCCTCTTCTCTCTTTTTAAAGCACTTACTAATCCCTATTAGATCATCGATGAGGCCCGTCGATCACTCCACGACGCCCTATGCGTCGTCCGTAATTTAGTACGCGACAACCGCGTAGTGTACGGTGGCGGTGCGGCCGAAATCGCCTGTTCGCTCGCTGTCGAAGATGCGGCCGTCAAGACCCCAGGTCTGGAGCAGTACGCCATGCGTGCCTTTGCCGAGGCTCTAGATGCCGTCCCCATGGCTCTTGCCGAGAACAGCGGTCTCAACCCCATCGCTACCCTCGCTGAGGTCAAGTCGCAGCAAGTCAAGGCAGGTGATGCCGGTCGTGGCAGGCTAGGCGTCGACTGCATGAGCGGCGGCAGCAACGACATGAAACAGGCCTTCGTCATCGACCCCCTGATCGGTAAGAGGCAGCAGCTCATGCTGGCTACTCAGTTATGCCGCATGGTGCTTAAGGTCAATAATGTTATCGTTAGCGGATCGGGAGATCAGGACTTCTAGACGGGCTAAGTTATCTACGTCTCGCGATGAGATACGTATGTAGATGGATAGACGGACTTCGATGTAAGGACAGTCAAAAACGTCAAGATACCTCTCCTGCAATAGACCCCTGAGATAAGGAAAAAATTCATCGCATGAAGATCACTATTAGTACCTACTACTTCATTGGAACGGAATTGAAAAAAGTGACGAATGTACTATTACTACGGTATCGGAGTCTTCCCTAAATATCCCCTAATCTGACTACCTATATAGGTAACTTACGCAGGTGGGGATGCCTGTTGTGTAACGTAGGGGATAGTTCTGATTACAGTGTGATACAGTAGAACTAATACATGGTTGTCCTCTTCTGAGGCCATGTCTCGATCGCTATACACTTGAATTCAAATTATTAAATAGGTATAGGAGCATTAGGAAACCACGAAAGCATGACATTCAAAGCTACTATGTATATATACGTGTGTATATTCGAGCCGAAGCCGAAAGCGACCGCTCCCTAACTTTTTCTTTACCGCGAGAACGCTAAAACGACAGATACCTAGTATAACAAGAACCGTGAGCGGGAACCTACATGTGTAAATGCGTAAGTAAGGGTAGACGATATACCCTAGTAGTTCGGTATATAACTGTTTTCCAGTGTAAGGGCTGTGTGTAAATGATGTGAGGGTGGAAAATAGAAAAAAGAGCCCCTTAGTCTGAACCACCATCCTGTTATTCCATTCCGTTCCAACCTTGGGGGTGATACATACAAAAGTCAACGACAGCTGACCGAGATAGGGGTTGGCGTCCTGTGACCCGTCTTCCAACTACTGTTTCCAGCTCCTGCCGTAAATGCAATTCATTTACTGTATTAGCACTTTTATTTATTTCCCTTTTGATAGGGTCTGTCCTTCCATCGTGTTATACCTGAAGTTGTATCTTATGATTTCACGTTATCCGTCTTTCACTCCTTCTCTATAATAGTTCCCTTCTTCATCTCTCCCTTGTTGCAGTCAGCCTCGGTCTAACTACGCAAACCCAAAACCTTGCGCATTCTCAAGTGCCATCGTGAGCCGTTCGCGTAAGACCTCCTTATCTCGATACTCGGGTAACAACAGAGTTCCATAGCATGTATACGCAGTAGGCAGGTGGCCTCCCTCGCCTTCCTCGCCGTTTTTCTGAATTACAAACTGGATATTCGCCATCCCCCCTACTGGGACGCGATCGCTCGCGGTGACGAATTCAAGAAGCTTACGGCGCATGCGATCATCGTATCTCTTAACAATACTCCAGAAGTCGCGTACTGTGCGATGCGACGCATCCCAGCCCACGTACCTCGCCGCGCGCCTTAGCTCACCCACATCGATATCCTGTGTACCCTCTACGATGTTTTGTAGCATCGATGGCGTCAGCAGCTTCAATGACTTCGGATTTAGGCACGTCCGGAACCCGCGTGCGAAGGCAGCGAACTGCGGTGCTACCGAAACATGTGTTAAGTACCGGATGTAGTCGCTAACGTAAGCATTGCGATTATCGCCGGTTACGGGCGGTGCATCGTGCGGGTTGGCTGTAGGTAAGGGAATGAATTCCGGGTGTGTAGAGAATTGAGGCCAGGATGTCCGTCTCGATGAGTCCATCTCTCGAGTGATGGGTTGGTCGAACATAGACGTCGAGAATTCATAGGTAAGGACAAATATATCTTCCACGGAGCCGTCTTTTTCGTTCCATTCAAGAAGATTTGTGAGTCCGTTGGCTAGTACCGGCCACCCATCCGCAATGTGGTGTAGTTCAGTAACCGGTTCGCCGAGAAGCTGGCAATACAATGCTTTTGGAAATGTGATTGGTAGAGTAAGCCCATTGTAAGCAGCCAGTGATATTAGCATGCCCACAAGCTCGAACTTCCACTCGGGTTCCGTAGACCCAGGCTGAAACCAAGTCATCCGCGTTCTCTCATCGATAACGAAGGCACCATAGTCCGGATTTAGAGCTGCAGAAATAGCAAGGCGGAAAAACTCCTGCTGCACACCTCCAGAGTCAAATCCCTCTTCTCCAGAATCTTCTCCAAGATGGACCTTTAAAGGTCTCATCAATTCGCGCTCTTCACGCCGCCAGAGTTGGTCAAAAGCATTCTTAAGAACATTCTTGCGGCTGATGTCCAAGATAAAGTATTTAGAGGCTGGAACCTTTAAGAGGTCTTGCAGGATATTCTTTTGATGTGTCTCCGTGACGAGGCTGTCGGTTTCAATAATTGCTCGGATCCGACTTTGTAACGAGCTAGATTCCTCGTAAGAACGGCTCATGCGAGAAAAGTTGATGGCTCTAAAGTATGACACTAAAGATGTCGGATTGAAAAGGTAAGGATAGTCCAGAAGATGAACCCTCCGCTTGGTAGACGTAAATGACAGCCAAGAAATCGGCATTTGAATGGGGTCAAGACGGTCACCGAAGTACTCGCAACGGAAATGAACATCACCTAAGAGGAGCGACTGGCGTTTCTGGTCTATATGTTTGTTAGCTTGAGAATCATAGATAACAGGGGAATACTAACACATAGCCGCGATTAGGGAGAGGGCTCCACCGAACGGGCCATCTCCAGAAACGTCGGGTTTTCCCTCCCATTCATGTAGCATTACAGCCCTCGCCCAATCTAGGAGTAGGATCGGTATCCTCCTTTCGTGCATACTTCGCTCAGCTTTCGAAAAGTTTATGGCTGATTGTGCCGGAGATTCGAGATGAGAGAGTAATATCTCTACGACGTCTTTTTCATTTTCATCATCTTCCGAGTCCAAGTCAAGTTCGATCAACTCGTCAAAGTGCCGTCGTGTTGGAATGACCCTTAGTAATCTTCTCGCTAATCGAAGAGCCATGTCGTCGGTAAAGGTATCTTCGTATTGCAGACATAAGGACATTGGTTGCCTCGCCACAACACCACCGCCTGCTAGCGACAACCCATGGGCTCTGATGCGAGACATGTCATTGAGTCGTCTCGCGTCGGTTACCAACGGAGCTGCGGCAACCAAAGCATGGAAGCATACAGACATAAGTGACGCAGTCTCTGCATTTGTAAACGACCTTTGCGATCCAGGCCCGGGAAACACCTTCAATATGGGCGATCTCATAGACTGTAGGGTTTTTGGAGGTGCGAAAAGGCCTGCTAAAGCCATCCAGAGGCTATCAAAGACCAAGCTGGGCGCTACCCTTGTCAACCGTAACATGCAATACCACAATGTCTGCGAATCCACCATTCCATTCGAATTGGTAAACGAGTCCAATAGGGCCTGGGGGTCACTTAATACGTGAAATATACTTTGTTCGACAAATAATTTCCATTGTAACTTTAAATCCCGAGGATAAAGTGCTTGCGATTTCCGTTTTCTCTTCCACGACTTAAGCTGGTTAGAGGAGCGTCTTCCAGATCCGCTAATAGTTGGTGGTGTAAAAATATGCCTTTCCAAGGTGGCATCTTCCTGGAGGACATCGCATATGAACTCTATAGCTTGGAGATTTAGGCGTGATAGAGATTGTGGTAGGTAGCTATCTAGTTCAGATGTCGACTCGCCCTCGTCATCAATGGTTTGGCCATCGAGGCTTTCACGGCTTTCGTCTGGCGTATCTATTGACTGCGTGGTTCCTGCGCTGCTCGAAGTTTCTTCTCCACTAACGCCATCCATCTGAGGATAATGTTCATCCACGTTAGAGTGGGGGCTCGAAGGTTCTGAAATTTTTCTTTCTGTTATCGTATGCATATCACTATCCGCTGCTGGAGAGGTAGCTCGTGCTATGGTTGACGGAGGTCGAACGAGTCCTTTCGATCCCTTCTCTGGCTGAGCAGTGTGGATTCCAGGCGAAAGGGGTCCCGTTTCATCTCCAATAGGTTCAACTAAGGGCTCGGAAACAACCTTGGCATGAGTTTTCGAAACAGAAGAAGTGCGAATTCGAGCATTAGAATTCCTTCTCTGATGTGGTGATAGAGCTTGAAAATGAGGGTTGGGCATCGATTGGTGCTCGGGATGTACCCGCTGGTAGAATTCGGACACTTCGCTACTCGGAGACGGCACTGGTATGACGCGTGGGTGGCCATTAGGAATATCTCTTATGTCGGCCTGATTATCTGGTTTGGGTATTAATATGGCAGATGGTGGGCTGGCTTTTCCATTCTGATATTTCGGTCGAGGTGAGATCGTTTGAGAACCTTCTGCATCATCTGCAACATCTGCAACATCTGCAACATCTCCAACCATCTTAGCTTTCTCAGACATCGCTTCCATATTATTGGGTGTTAACCACTCTAGCATCCTGAACGCAACAGTCCCAAAGACATTAGCAGCAAATGAACGGTAATCCTTGCTAACCGATTTTTCAGTGATGTCTATTTCACGAGTCAAGGTAGGTGATGACGACGCCTCAGTCTTAGTAGTATCTTCACCCTCCTTATTGTAGATCTGGTCGCCCCTCCTTCGAATTGCCTGTACCGCAGGCGGATTACTCGGTGATGTTGCCTGTGTCCTCTTGGATGCCACGCGACCTGGGGCCCCTTTAGCAGATTTTGCCATGGACCCCAGGCCGCTATAAGCTGAGCTGCCTTTATCATTGGGAGAAGATGTATATCTCGGACCGAATATTAACGACTTCACAGCATCACTCGGACCGGCCGGGGAGTTAAGGTGGGGACAGAGTCGGCTATCGGCGTCATCTTGACTGGCGAGAAATACGGCTAAGGTCCTTGCGCTCGTAGGATTATATCGGCGGATGGGGGTCTTGCCAGCAAGCCGTTTTCGGCAACTAAAACACGATGCGGTGGTACAGGCGCTGAAGCCACATCCGTAGCGCAGTTGGACGATGAATCTATGGGATATTAGTGAATATGACTAAAAGACATAAGTGAGCTTGGATAACTCCGGAACTTACTTCTCAACTAATAGCTGTAGATCATGGCGGCGGCTGGCGCGGTAGATAGCGTAAACCCTTTTTGGGTTTTCGACATTGATGACAAGGTCTTTTATCTCGGGTGGCGCGTCTGGAGGTAGCCGCGGGAAAGGAACATTTTCCCATAATGCAGCTAAGACATCATCTTCGAGATTATGGTGGCCAGGACCATTGTCCGTTGGCCGATTATCTTCTCGCGTCATGACATATGGTCTAAACGGAACAGCAGCGAAGATCGATTCGCTGTGCGGGGGATTTATCGACGAAATGGTTCACTCGGCTTCGATCACTGATTACAGTGTAGTCATTTATGATTCAATATCGGTTTGGTTGGGTATTAATTGAACAAGAGTGTTGAATCTAGGGAAGAAATAAAATAGGATAGAATAGGAAAAGACGGAATTGGATAAGAAGTTTTGAATGATAATAATCAGAACTGCGATGAGGTTACGCAGTATCAGATTGTACGGTCATCACGAGATCCTCCACATATGAGGCAAATATTCGACAGTCGGGCAACTTGCGCAATGGATGTACGTGAGGAAGTTCGGCACGAAGTAGTTGTAGTTGTGTAGTATCACATAGGTTCGAGCCGCAAAGCAACGGGATCGAATGAGATCTCCAAAGGCTGAGCGCATATGGAGAAGGTACAAGACTAGGACCCGCATACCGCATACCGGACCTATCCCGGTCTTCTGTCTATGTATTTTAGCGTCATGTACACATGTATGTACATACATAAATCTGAAATCGTACTAGTACAACTGGGCAGCGGGTTTAATTACCCCACAGCCCAGCACAATCCAATCAGATCAGATTCTAGAGTTGCATACCAGGTTTTGTCATGTACAATTACCTAGAGGGCATTAATATTTTGAGTTGGGTTCCCGTGTGACTCTTAAAGGGATTTATACTAAACCTGTAATTCTGATCTTAAATGTCGCTGAAAGGCATGTATGTATGTAAATCGATCTTAATCAATCTATCGGTACAAATAATTCGAGATGAATCATATTTATACAGTGAATATTATGTATATAGATACTGGGTACATATCTACCTTGTAACTGCTTACAAACAGGAATTTCATGTCATGGACGAATCAGCGTTGATGCTTATGACTACTATTGAGGCATTGTCGTTTTCCGATCGATTCTTCCGGGTTATGTACCTTCCGGCTAAGCCTCAGTGGTGATTACTTGAGCATGGTTCTAGAACTGACGAAGTGACGTATGTACATACTACATACTGTACAATACAATGTAAAATCTTTAATTTTTTTCGGCAAGGGAAAACAACCCCCACCAAATCGCCACTAGGTATTAGAATTTCGGCGATTACTTCATCCATCTGAATGATTCCTTTCTGCAATTTTTGCACAAGTCCCCCGATAAGTACCTCAAAATTTTAACATAACCTAGAGTATCCTATCGTCCCTCTTTACTAAAATATTTTGGTCTAAAACTGGAGTTGTCCGGGTTCCGTTATCACAACATTCCTGGCGCTAGTGTAATCTAGTTTTCAAGATAATCCAGATAAAGCCTCACAAGCCCCTCCCCCTCATTCATTCACCTCACCAAAAAAAAACAAAAACCTACATAAATTTGACCAACTAGGTTTGACAACTTAGGAATTTCGTCGGTTCGGAGTTTCCGTCGTTAGAATACCCTAAACTTAACAATCTTATATCGACTTCCCCCTCATCATTATTTAACAACAGTCTAAAGTGGTTCACTCTCAATCGTCCGAATCGTCCGGTAGTTTGACCATGGCTACCATCACGGGGAGCCGACCGTCAGGCGGTGCCCTATCTTCAACGCAGGATCCTGCAGCGTCTTCTCATCAGTTCACTTGTAACACATGTCAAGTAGCATTCCGCTTTGCTGACACTCAAAAGGGTCATATGAAAAGCGATTGGCAGTAAGTTATTCTTCTTCCTCGTCTTTGTGTGGTCGCATGCCTAAAAGTTATAAATCTAACGTATATCGTGCTACCTTTTTTTAGTCGATATAACCTCAAACGTCGTGTTGCGACATTACCACCTATCTCGTCCGAGGTGTTCACTGAAAAGGTTATCCAGGCCCGCGCTGAGACTAGTGCCGAAGCAGACCGTGCTGGCTTCCAACAAATTTGTGAAGTCTGCCAACGAACATATTACAGCGAAAATTCTTTCCGAAATCACATTTCGAGCCAGAAGCACAAGGCAAAGGAAGCTGCCGTACAGCGCCGGGGACCTAGTCAAGATGATGCTAGTTCCGTTATGAGTTCTACATTTTCCTTAGAACCTGTAGCCACCGAAAGCAAACAAGTTGATTCTGAAGCTGAAGAGGAATTTAATGAAGTTGTTGAAGGTCTTCAGAAAACTAGCCTTACAGAACGTTCATCTCCGTTAAAGCGACCGTCAAATCCTCATCCATCAGCAGAAGCACATCGCAAGAGAGAACATCCCATTTCAGAAGCAGATGATTTAGCGGACCCTAGTGAGGCCGCTTCCAGCACATCGACGCCGATTCCAAATCTGACGCTCAAGTCATGCTTGTTCTGTAATTACGATTCACCGACCGTCTCCCTAAACGTTGTTCACATGGAGCGCATCCACAGCATGTTCATTCCTGAGAAGCAGTATTTGGTCGATCTTGATGGTCTTATTGGTGCGTTGCAAGAGCGGGTCCATGAATTCCATGAATGCCTGTATTGTGGGAAAGTCAAGAATACGGCAATTGCTATACAGACTCACATGCGAGATAAGGGTCATTGCAAAGTACCTTATACAACCGAGGATGAGCAAGTCGACATTGGTGACTATTATGATTTTCGGGCCACGTATTCGGATGACGAAGACTCCGAAGATGAGATCGAGGATGGTAAACAAAATGGTGGTGCTAAGCTTGGAGCTAGGCGCTCAGCGAAGGCGGTTGGTGAGGACGGAGATGAGGTTATGGAGGACGAAGGTTGGGAGACAGACAGCTCTACTTCGTCATGTAATTCCGAGGAGTTGGGCTCTATTCCGGTCGATCAACATATCCACCAATACGAACGACTCGACAAGAACCCCCATCACACATCCCATGATCCTCGACATCACCATCAGATGGATGGATGGCATTCCCATGCCCACAAGCACCGTGCCATTTTCTACGATGATACCGAGCTACACCTTCCTTCCGGTCGTGCGGTCGGCCACCGATCTTTAGCTAGATATTATCGTCAGAACCTCCACAACTATCCCTCGGCTGCCGAGCGTGCGGAGATGCTTGCTATCGAGGCAGCATCGCCCGAAGATGATGCCATGGACGTTGATGGTGTCAAGAACAGTAACGGCCAAGTTGCTCGGCGCCAGGACCGTGGACGGAATAGCGCTGTTGTAAGCCGGGCGAATGGCGGAACCGGCATGTTAGGAGTGACGGACCAAAAGAAGAAGGAGGTGACCCGTGCCGAGCAACGAGGCCGCAAGCAAGAACACAAGGCAACGAGACAGAAGGAGTGGGCTGTCAACAAGCAGGCAAACCACCAAAAGTATTACAACTACCAGATCTTGTGAAGCCCTTCACAAGATTTTCAGTTCATAGGCATATATCAGGGGCTGAAATATGGCTACGAACAATTGCATGTTGCTTCGATTGCGAATCAAGTTCACGGTACCGAGTTAATCGGCACATGCTTAGGTAGCACGATATGCATTGCTGAATAGAAGAAAAAAAACTCGTTGCCTTAATGGATCTGATTAAAACTCCAAATACCATTACTACAAGTGACTATCTATTGTTATTGACAATGACTAGAACATTAAGCCAGACATGTGTGACGCCGGCCCGAGAAGTGGGAAGAGCCACGACGGCAGGAGCTGGGATGGCATAACCTTAAACTTTTAGGTTCCGGTCAGCTGCGAAAAGGTCTAACTTAATTGGGAGTCTCCAGTCAATTCGACTGACCAACCATTACATTTCGGGGTGCACACTAACCTATGATAACCTTGGGACCTACATACTTCATCTACGCCTCAGCGCCTGCGATATTGGAAGTGCATACTGTACGTCTAAATAGAGTTTGCTCATGTAAGTAGCAAAGATGCAGACACGTGGAAAGAAGTTGATGTAGACTCAACGATCGAACGGATCGAACGGTCATCACTTTTTCTCAGCTCGGCTCCGTCCCGCACGATTGGAACAATGCTGCGCCTCTTATTGGACCGCTTGCCCATCTTGGGCGATGGAGTCCCTGAGAGATCCTTTCAATTAGGATCAACAGCCAGGATCAACTAGCACATGTGTTTACCCGCCTTATTGATAGGTCAATTGATGACAACGCGTAGTCAGCCCGCGATACATAAGAATCCGGCCTTGGTAGCTTCAATCAAGCTTGAGAAACCGTCACTTGGCACTCCAGTTGTTACCATTAGGTAGCAGATCCAAGAGGGAAACAAGATGCAGCTGGTTCCAGCCTTCGTTTCAGCGCTGCTGGTTCAATCCGGTACAGCCGCGGCTGACGATGCGACCTTTGTTACGGCCTCACCCCATGCCGGCTCAGCCGTTTCAGATCTCTACCCTCCAACCGGTAGTATGTACTACCTGCTTACTGTTTAATCGTCGTACAATTGAACCGTATAGACTTGGATAGTCATTGAAGTAGTGCTAACCAAGAAACAAGCCTCTGTCGACTCTGTGCTCTTCCCACCCGAGTCCGAAGTCGGCTTCCCGGGGCCAACGCCAACGGGAGTGCAGCCCGCTGCAATCCAAACCGCGCTATCATACCCAGACAATCGGGGCCCATCGAACCAATTCCCACTAGTGGCACCGCAGCCGCATGGTCACGACAGCACCGAGAGCAAGTTCGATATCACAAAATATTGGGGTAATTTATCACCTTGGTATTCCCTCAACTCTGCCGATTACGGGTTACCAGATACCAGCCCGCTCGCTCCGGAAGGCTGTAGTGTGACCCAAGTCCATTTGCTCTACCGTCATGGCGCAAGATATCCGACCACCGGTGCCGCCCCTGCCCAATTCGCCGACAAGATCGCAAATGCTACTAAGACAGGGTTGGAGGTAAGCGGTGACTTAGCTTTCCTAGCTGACTGGACCTACAAGCTGGGCGGTGAACTTCTCACGCCGTTCGGCAGAAGCCAGGAGTTTCTTCTTGGTATTCAACATCGACAGCTCTATGGTCACCTTCTGAACAACTTCACCGAAGCTGGTACGATTCCCGTTTTCCGGACCGAGTCTCAAGACCGCATGGTTAAGACCACCCACAACTTTGCTGCCGGCTTCTTTGGTGTGCCCGAATACCTAGACCAAGTAAGCATCGAGATTCTCGTCGAAACAGCTGGTGTCAACAACTCAGGCGCCCCGTATGAAGTATGCACCAATTCAAATGTCGCTAGCCGAGGAGGCATTGGAAGTACGATGGCGTCCAAGTTCGCTAAGAATGCATTCAATGCTACTATTGCTCGTCTAAACTCGCAGGTAAGTCGGCACTACACTATGTAATTTTGGAAAAATAGGCGCCAATGTGTTACTAATTGTTCCTCCAGATCTCTGGCGTCAACTTCACATCTACAGATATCCTTGCTATGCTCCAACTTTGCTCGTACGAGACTAACGCACTTGGCTACTCTGCATTCTGTGGACTCTTCAGCCAAGAAGACTTCCTTAACTATGAGTATTGGTTCGATATTGTATGTTGTTTTGTGCCATGACTATTCACAAATGCCTGTGCTTCTGATTAGCTAACCTCTCTTAAGTCATTCTACTACAACAACGGCCCCGGTTCACCCGTTGCTGCTGCCCAGGGGAAGGCCTATCTACAAGAATTCGTTGCCCGCTTCACCGGAGAATATCCTGAGGGATGGTCAGCTCTGAACCAGACATTCGACAACTCGTCCACCTATTTCCCCCTAAACCAGTCTATCTATGCTGATGCCACCCACGAGGTCGTCGTCCTTGATACCCTTACAGCATTCAACCTAACAGCGCTGTTCAAAGGGCCAGCTCTAAGTGCCTCAGGAAACCTCAGGGACAACAGTTTCGTCGCTAGCAAGATTGTTCCATTTGCAACTCACTTCACTGCGCAGGTCCTTGAGTGCCCGGCCTATCAACCAACTAAGCAGATCAGATTCCTCGTGTAGGCTACCCCTCTCCCTCTTTACCTCGATCTTCTATCCACTTACAAGCGCTCTAGAAATGACGCCGTCGTTCCTGTTGCAGATTCCTACGCTGGTTGCCCAGTCGATTCTCATGGTCTCTGCTCGTTCGACAACGTGGTCTCGGTCCTCAAGGATCGTATCGCGGAGATCGACTTCGACTATGACTGCTTCGCGAACTACACGGCCGCCCAAGGCGTTGATTACAACGGTCGAGCCCCTAAGAGCTAGGAATTAGGCTCGCAGGCCCCGAGCCTGCAGGACGAAAGCGGCGGAGTGGTCCTGGCAATGGCGAAAACTTTCATGGCCCTAGGAAGTTTAGTCGTGATAGCATACCGGATTTACTAGGTGAATGGAATATGGATTTCGATATTCTACAAACCTCGGCTTTTGGAAATTTTCTACGACTTCACGATGAATATCCTTGGAATTCGGCAAAGGCTCTTGATGATGTGGCTTTTGGTCCTATTTAATTCGATAATTGAATGATATTATGATATATGTTCAATACGATTTGACCGACGTCTTGAAAGGCTTTTTCGCATTGATTAATATGGACATTCACGAAATACAGTGCACCGGTTCAGATAAAGTCTACCTACTAGTCGCCTACTGGTATTCTAAGGAAACCTTATCAATCTCACTCCTCGAATTACTACATGGATACGAGGTAGTACTTACTTCGTTCTACATTTACTCGCCGACTCAGGTGAGTAAGTAGTTACAAAACACGATTGTTGTTGCTATGATCGCTCTTGAATGCATCCGTGCCCCTTTCCTAGCTTCCGTCATCCGATATTATAGTTTCCCAAACATGAGTCTTAACATGGTTCTGTCAAGAATCCATGTTCTGTGCACGCTTAGCGGAATAGTAAAATTTTATAGTTCCGACTATCAAGAGAGCCTAATTCTGTCTAGGAAATTTCAAAAGGGGCGAGGGTAAAATTATGCGGTGGTCTGTCCTCCGCCCAGTCCTCTGCAATATTGACCGTGAAATTCCGTTTCTTCTGCGATTCCCTACGGCTCTGTCAATGCCCACAGGTAAATGGGACGTGTTGCCAGCAACTTACTCGGGGTAGAAAGAATAGATAATAGCAACGTAAGCCTGATAATCTATCACCGGGAGAACCTGCGACAGCACAGAGGCATTCGGTGGACTGGTAGTCGCATCCAAGATACAGCTCGTAATGTTCGAGGTTATGGGGTCCCCTTCCGCGTTTCCTTCGCAATGGGCCGTGAAAGGGGGGATTCGCGCCGAACCCTCACCGAAGAGTAACCCGGTAACATTAAAGGCTAGCGAAAGTTCAACTCGATAACTTTTTTGAAAAAGGGAAAGTGAACGACTAAAAGATGACACGCCACTCACTGTACCAGCCGGTGACGGGTGCGGTAGGATCACCGTGAGATTTGCCTGCTTGCCAATCAACGATATGCCAAGTGTATGCATCTAGTTGTGGTTCCGCTGGGATTGTTGTCGCTATGGTAAGCGCAGCTAGGACGAGGATGACAACGAACATATCCGCAAAACCCTTAAGCTTTGATGATAATTGAGAATTAAACTGGATTTTCGAATGTGTCACAATCTTCCTACAGGTGTCAGATGTGTGGTTTTTATAATTGCAATTTAGTCCGAACGGAGCTATATTCGGGACCATCGTGTAGGAGGAGTCTAGAACATCTACATGTTTCGTGGCTAAATGCGAAAAGTATCTGGAGGTGCAACGTTACTATATTGAAGGGTGCGATATGGTGCAGAATATAAATCATAGGATCCTATCAATTAATAATAACTAAGACCGATTAGTGGTGTAGAGAAACTTCTATGCATCAAAATATTACATGTATGCAGAATAGGGGTTAGCGAGGGGTGTACTTGTGGCCGAAGTACACGATGGTAGGGCATCTTACGACGATGGAACCGCATTTAACCCTAACTAAGAGACGAAAAGAAACGGAGGTAATACGAATCATTTTTAGTAAGGTGTTGGGTAGCTTAGAAGATTGTTGGATGTTTAATCGAATTCCACCTCATCACAGATCGGTCGACGATGGTCATTAATTGATTGACAACAAAGGAAATCGCTGTATTCTGCAAAACTGCAAAACTATATACCAATTCTACTTAAAACCCTGGTTGAGAACAAAGTCCACGTCATGCTTCGCCGAGGCAGGTATATATAGATACCTCCTACAAAGTCGGTGTCCACCCCTATCGCGAGTTGGGTATCTCCCACATCCCTATGGTCCCTCTAATCCAGTACCAATGCGACCCGGCAAGAAATATACATGAAGTTCTATTCATCAGACCCTGCTCGTTTCTAGAGCATATCCATGGATGTATCAAGCCGTTGTTATGAATGCCTACTAATTGTGTATGTCTACTTGGTGTAAACCAAGATTCGACGCGACTTTCGTAGTACTTTTTTTGTGATTGTTTTAAAACTTTTGACGACAAAGGAAAATTTCGAAGCCGAGAGTGTAAACCAGAAGCCGAAACCATATTAGAGTAGCACGTCGAGAATTATAGGCGCCTGCGACAGCAGCATCACCGTTGTTATGATGTCGTACCGCACGGTGTAAGAGAAAAGAAGAGCTGCTGCGCAGAAGTCGCCAGAGTGTCATAGGCTGGTAACCATGATTATACTTTGAAGCTGGGAGACTTGTAGATAACCTTGCCTGTCCTCGTGTTTATCATATGTTGAACCTTGCCCTTATCGAAGGTCATTTGGATAGGCTTATTCGCGTCCCGCTGATGGTGGTAGACGAGCTTTTGACGCCTGACATCCCGGATGGAATAAAGACGGCCAGGAGGTCCATTCATGTACAACTTCCAGAATTGGGGAGGCTTGGAAGGCGTCTCTTGTGCGGATTCCGGACTGCTGGGTTGCGATTCAAGGGCCTCGATCGACTCTTCGGTGACTTCCGTAGATGATCTAGCATTAGGCGTTCCAGGAGTTCCAGAAAGACGAAGCTTGGAGACCTTGCAGTTTTTTCGGAGCTGTGCCTTGGGCTTGGATGGAGCTTGCTGAACAGACTTGCGCGGGGTCACAGGACGAGAGCGAGAGCGAGGGCTCGGCGTCTGCGTATTGAATGATGCATAGCTTGAGAAGCTACTGTTCAAGGCGTTCTGCGAACGAGTCTGCATTTTGAAAGATGAATGATGGAATAAAGAAATGATGAATTTGATGAAAAGATATGCCGATGTTATGCGGATCAAGAGAACTTGAATACGGGGTGAGAAGAAAAGAAAAGAAGTAGCAGAACAATAGTTGTCGAATGCTTTTCTTTAAGATAAAAAGTTGCTGTATCGGAGATGAGAAGTTGAAAAGTTGGTAATTTTGTGGAAAGTAACGGACAAAGTACTTTAGAATAGGGTTTTGAGGCTTCATACTCGCTTCCCATTTACCAACGCTGCCTAGTTGGCTGATGAGAACTTTAAATCTCCCGGATGACACTCGAGCACTTTCCCTATTTCTTTCCTATCGATATTAATGATAGTCGATTGTAAGTGACCCCCCTTCTCCCCCCCTTAAGCCATATCATGGAAATCGAAAGCTGTTCCTTCTACAGCAAGTATTAAAGTAAACCGAGGTAGAATAGCACGACGCCCAGAGAAATATGTAGACATTTCTTGTTGCTTGTCGATATGGAAGACCTAGTTGGTATTCTTATCACACCTCCCTTTCCTAAATGTAGCAAATATATATACACGAGATACCTAATGAGAAATAGTATTAATAGGATTGTACTAAAGATTATGACTTAAGGCTGCGTATGTGGATGAGGAGTGGGAGTGGGAACCGATTTAGGGCATTCGTACGATACCGTTAACTATTATCTTTCTGGTAGTCCAAACCTAGCTGAGAAGGGACTACTGAAGCTTCTTCCCGTTAAGCAAGAACAAAATAATAGACTTGAACCTACACACTAGGAGCAGTTGACTTGCAGATATTGTTAAGTTTTTAATGCCACAAACGATATTATCTGCAAATATAGGTAAGCTCAGGTCGCTCGAGCGGCGACGTTGATAAAATGTCCTATTCAACAACCCCATTCACCCCTCATACTTTCGCCTACCCGACTCACTAAACAGTATGGATACAAAACAAGTGTTATTCATACAACACCAGGGCCTCGAACCTGATGCTTTTCCACCATTCTGTTTACTTGGTTTCCGCTGGCTTATCTTCGGGTGAGAAGTTCAAGCTGATACTGTTGACACAGTGCCTCTCGTCAGTTGGTGTAGCGTACCCCTCGCCCTTAAAAACGTGGCCCAGGTGGCCACCGCAGTTGGCACAGCATATCTCGGTCCTTGCCATACCCCAAGTATTATCCTCATGCCTTGTGACAGCGCCAGGAATACTATCAAAGTAAGCTGGCCATCCACAGCCAGACTTGAACTTATGGTTTGCCTTGTACAATGGCGTGTTACAACCCGCACATGTATAAACGCCAGCATCAGAAAAGAATTTATCATATTTGCCAGACCCTGGGGCCTCGGTACCCTTTTCCCTGAGAATTCTAAATTGTTCTAGAATAGGTAAATTAATAGATATTCTTGTGTAGAAAAGGAGTAATCCAAACCCCACCTTTAGTGAGAACGGCACGCCACTCATCGCTGGATCTCTGGTCTGGATACGACATGGTGCTAGGTTGGTTTGAACTTGATCCAAATAAACTACCGAAGAATGGTATAATCGACATAGACTTTAACGTCGATGGGTTGCGCGATAGTGATTGTTGAGCTGAAGGACGCACTCTAGCGTAGTAAGAGAAGGAATGGAAAGTACGGAGCAAGTTGGAGAACGGAGGTAATCGCATTACCTCTCTGTTGAAAAGGTGCTGTATGTCTATATATACTATTTTAATTATAACGAATTTACATGAGATGGAATCATGAAAAGATGGAAAGGGGATGATTTGGAATCAACGTTGATTATGCATAAGTATTTAAGGTATTATTGTATCGGACCCTTGAATCTGCTTCTCTTGTCGAGGCAATTGATGTCGTCAGAAATGTCCCACTGCGTCCCGACCCTTGCCACATGAGTATGAACTAACCCATAATGGATTAGTGAGATTTAATATTCCTAAGATAACGGATTAACTTAAACTAGCGACATCCGAACTGATGTATTCTAAAATGTAGCAGTACTTTTCTTCTTCGGAAGGTACAATCGGACGCTTGGACCAGTTACACGTACCGAAAGCCACAGTTTCGTCGAGGCTCATTCAAGATCGAAGTTGGAACTTGGAATTCCATTAACGGTGCCACACGACTAAGATACCGCACTTATCCTTCCACCTTCAATTACATACCCCCTTTCTCACAACGTTGAAACACAATCTCCTATCTACCCTTATTTTTCGCCTTGCCAACGTTGATCAGCTCGACTATATATTCAACGTATACTACTAATTCCTCGCCAGTAGGGATTACATTATGTCTAGACGGCCTCCTAATCCGGCTGCTGAAAGGGCAGCCCAAAACTCGCAGACTATTAAGAGCCTTTTGAAATTAGAAGCCAACAAGATATGCGCCGATTGTAAACGAAACAAACGTATGCTTTCTTGAACATAACCAAACACTTCTTCTTTTGAATTATTTGTAATACTGACTTTTTAAAATAGACCCGCGATGGGCGAGCTGGAACTTGGGCGTCTTTATCTGCATCCGTTGCTCGGGAATCCACCGAGGAATGGGAACCCACATATCGCGAGTTAAGTCTGTCGACCTAGACTCCTGGACCGACGAACAATTACAAAGCATTCTGAGCTGGGGTAATGCGCGCGCCAATAAATATTGGGAATCTAAATTAGCAGCCGGTCACGCCCCTTCCGAAGCCAAGATCGAGAACTTTATTCGAACCAAATATGAGCTGAAACGATGGGTAATGGATGGGCCGATGCCTGATCCTTCCGCCTTAGATGTCGATGGCGATGACGATGTTCCCTTAAGCATCGTGAAGGAGAAGCAAAGTATAGACAGAAAAGAGTCGATTCGGAAGAGTTCCGTTGGCCAACAAAGTGGACCACGAGGTGCGGTCCCTCCACCTCCTCAAGCAGACCTCATTGGCGGTGATGATATTCCTCCTAGAGCGAACACTGCCGGGCCAGCCTCGTCGCAAGTTCCTCCCAAGTCAGCCCCAGCACCGCCAAAGGCAGTAAATCCGAAAGACTCACTTCTGGGCTTGGATTTCTTGGGCGAAACACCAGTAGCCCCCCCGCGCCCAGCAAGCACAAACAATGCAGGCGGTGTGGGCGGCCAGTCGAGACCTGACTTAAAGCAATCTATTCTATCTCTCTATGCTTCGGCCCCGCGACCTCAGCAACCGCCCCAGCAGCCGTCGCATTCATCTACTGGATCATTCGGGGGGTTTGGAGCAATGCAATCCCCACCATTACAGTCCCCGACAATGGGACATCAGCCTCAGAAGTCAACTAGCGGAGGACTCAATGATGCTTTCGCAAGTTTGAGTTTCGGAAATATTTCAGCGCCGAAGAGCCCCCAAACTGATGCCTTCGCGGGGTTAACGACAATGTCTAGTAATCGGTCTACCCCCCAACCCGCAGGTTCATCATTCTCGAGTCTGAGTGGGGGAGGTTTCTTTGACCCCAAGCCGGCTCAACCGGCACCTCAACATAAACCTTCGACAAGTACATCGGATGCTTTTAGTGCATTCAGCGCGCCTGCTGCTGCGCCGAAACCAAAACCAACACAATCTTCCTCGGCGGCCTTGGGCGATCTCTTCGACTGGTCTAACCCTGCTCCTCAACCGGCTGCTGCCAAGCCGATCCCCTCACCAACATCAACGGGTTCCGTATTCAATCTTTCCGCGAATCAACCAAAGCCAGCCCCCACGCCAGCGCCTCTCGCTAATACTACTGCCTCTCTAAATACATCTGCTTTGAATAATTCGGACGTCTGGGGCAATGCCTGGAGTAACCCCGCCCCGGCTCCAGTCCCAGCTTCGAAGAGCCCGCTATCCGTTAAGTCCCCATCGATCAGTGCCGGTAACGACTTCGGCGCCTGGGGTAGCGCCGGAGGATCTTTCGCTAGTCAGAGCCTAGTACCGGGCACAAGTGGAGGGTTTACTCCTGCGCCGAAGGTGGCAGCAGACGAGGAATTCGGTGGGTGGACGAGTAGTACAGGAACTTCCAACAACAATGGATCGAAGTCCGGTGGTGGATTCGGGAATGAGGACCTATTCTCTAACGTTTGGCAGTAATATGCTTGGCTCACTAGATATAGGCCACGAAATTCGATCGGATTGGAGGTTTTGTACAGAATAGGGGTTGAGTCTATGAAAATTGAGTTCCAAGACATAGCTGTGTCTTCTAGCTATAGCCCAGGCAGCCTAGTCAAGCAGATTATCAAGGCTCATGGTCAAATACGAGTCAATATTTAAAATCGGTCCAGATAAATCCATCGGGCTATCAATTGAAACCCATCTATTTCCATATGAACAAGGCTAAATTCATAACGCCTATGCTATGCTGCTATAGGGACTGCTGCATCCGATATCGAATCAGCGAAAGCTCGACTGCTTTGCCCTCTTATATAATAAGGCTGCCACGAATACCATCCAAATACGTGAAGGCACTACCTAGGCAGTACAACCCTTTCCAAAGTATTCATACTTTTATGACCATGTCATGGCAGATCAAGCCTTCCATCCACCCTTCTCACGAATTCTTCTGCCGCTTAAAAGCCCATTTACACGAGACGCCTCGTGCTGTTAGGTACGAATTTGACAGCAAAGTCTTTTGCGACCACCCAAACCACTCACTGGGGCTTCGTCCGTGGTATTCTGTTTTGTTGGTTCGTATATTATTGCGCTAGGAGTCGTCTAGAAAACCCATCTAAGGATGTAGTATATGACTAGGAACGTGCCGATGAGGATGCCCGAGAGTTTTAGGATGGCGACTTTATTCCCCGACGCTGCCATACGACCCAATCGGCCGGCGGACCCTTTTAGCTGCATTGACATGGAAGAGAAGGTATCGGACTACATGAATCAGAATCTTAATTAGCGGATTGTGGAAAGAATAGGCAAGTATTGTCTATGATGTTTCGTACGGTATTGTCAATGACATCTTGCGCTCTCGCATTGTCGTAGATATCAACGGTTACACCACGCAGCGACGACACCTTCGCGGACAGCTCCTCCAGTCGCGCATTATTCTGGCGCTCACGCTCGTAGGCCTCCGACATCTTAGATTTGATGGAATGGTATTCGTTAAGGACTTCGGGGAGGTGGTGGGTATGGTCGGAATCAATTATTCATCTAATTAGTGCAGTTTCAATGCGAACGTGGTGGAATAAAGTTCTTAGATATTCGAAAGGCTGAGTCGGCAACGAATAAGAGATCGATATGTGTTTACTAAGTAGGTAGCTTCCGTCGATGTCACAGCCCGCCGTGGGCGCAGATTGATTGTCGTCTTTGTTTTCCTCAAGCGTATTGTATGCCTTTTACCCAAAATCCGGCTTTAATGGAGAAACACGAGATGTCTCCGTGACAAAAAGGAGGCGGCAAGGAGTGAAGATGACGCAGGGTGTGGCTGGTGAATCATTAGTTCAATTTCGGGTGGCTAGTTCGGTACAATGCTGGACCCGTTGGTTGTATCGGTACTAAGCCTGTACCGCCTATCATTTGCACAGACATCTACCCCAGCTTTATTGATTGGGCAACTGGTGACTTCATCGTCTGTACTTCGTACCTTCAAAGTACACGACTGTGCCGAATAGTACTGGCCTAGGGAGCTTCCAAGGCAGCTACGATCAGTAGGAGCTGCCGTGCTGCCGTGGTTGCCGCCTGCCCCGCCAGAGTGGCAGAGCTATCTCTCAGCTGACGACGCCATAATTCATATTTCGATCATAACCAAATAAATAAAGCCTAGTTGTATATCGCCAACCTTAGTCATTGCTTAACCTTCCCACCTACTTTACCTACGTGAATATTCGACCACAGAAACGGTGCGATCTAGACTCAAGAATTCGGTCAACTTGCCAATTTGTCAATTCCTTCATCATCCCTTACTCACAAGCCTTTATACTTGAACTTGGCGGCCTCCATCCCCGCAATTGGCATTCGCACGTCAAAACGATAATCGGCTTTAGGGAGATTTCTTTACTGTCGCAAACGCTCCAACTCGGCACTTCCGGAACTTAAACATCTTTCGTGCTTAGACATCAACGAACATCACCCATCCTTCAAGATGGGTATCAATAACCCTCTGCCGTCGTCTATGGCGTGTAAGTCTCTAGCTTCCCACAGGCGCAATCCCGCGCGGCCGAGCACCTGCAATTACCTCCGTGCGTTAAAAGCTAATAGCTCACCATCCTAATAGCGGAGTGCAAAAAGTGTGGCAAGATTCTCACCTCGTTTATCGATCCCCGCCAAGCGTTCGGTCCCGACAAAATCATTCCTCCGTCGGTTCTCGCAAACGCAAAAGTAAGTGAACATTCAGCTTGAAGTCTAGAACGAAGCTATTATCAATAGTCATATGTGCAAAAAGCAATATCTTATAGTCAACTAGGGCCTTGCGATTCTTACTGTCATCAAAGCCGGCTTCCTCGGATCTGCGCGTTTCGGTTCCGGTCTCGTCGTCGCTCGTTTAACCGATGGTTCGTGGTCCGCACCGTCTGCTATCTTTACAGCGGGAGGTGGGTTTGGAGGTCAAATAGGTTTCGAATTGACCGACTTCGTTTTCATCCTTAACGACTCGCATGCCGTCAGAACATTCTCACAGCAAGGCTCTATTACACTCGGCGGAAACGTCTCCATAGCAGCGGGACCGGTCGGACGGAATGCTGAAGCCGCGGGTGCCGCGTCCCTAAAGGGCGTGGCTGGCGTCTTCAGCTACAGCAAGACGAAGGGGCTGTTCGCCGGTGTGTCATTAGAAGGCTCGGTAATCGCAGAACGGAGGGATGCGAACGAGAAGCTATACGGCCAACGATGGACGGCAGCAGAGCTACTTACAGGCTCTGTGCGACCACCTCCAGCAGCCGGATCTTTAATGTCTGTCCTGAACTCTAGAATATTTGCGGGCGTGCGTACAGGGACTGTAGAAGACAACATGTACAACGACGTGCCGGTCTACGATGACCAGCATAATGATGTAGCATGGAACAACCAGCGAGGAAGTGTCCAAAGTGAGCCTCAACAACAGCCTGCCGCCCAAAATGAATTCGGCGGACCAAGACGTGCGACTACGTGGCAGGATGATGTGTACGACCGGCCGGCCGCCAGTAACGTCGGTCGATCGAACACGGTAGCAGGATCTCAAGGATATGGTAACGATTACTCATATCGCGATCATCGAGCCTCGGCTCCAGTTGGTGGCTACCAAGAGGAGAAGAAAATAGGACCCGGCAGACCCGCGGCACCGAAGCCGAATTTCGCGAGCAAGCAAGCGTTGATGAAGAAAAATGAAGCTGTTGCGTTATTCAACTTCGAGGCGGACCAGCCAGGTGACTTAGGTTTCAAGAAAGGCGATGTCATCACGGTGTTGAAGAAGACAGATAGCGACAACGATTGGTGGTGAGTACACGATCTCTGAGTCACAAAACTAGTTACGGGCCTAGTGCTAATCTTTATCTCACAGGACTGGTATGGTCGGCTCAAGACACGGCATATTCCCTAGCAATTATGTAAAGATGAATGAATAAAACAGCTGCCTTGCCTTGCTGACAACCTCGGGATGAACTGGGACACGTACGGGCGTACGCGGATCGTGGCGGAGGCGTAGGGGGCAAAGGAGGGATGACAACAGTTACGAGATTGATTGTTTAGGAGATACCTGAAACGCTCTTGAGATATTTAGACTCTTCTTCTCACGCAGGGACTACGATTCGACTTGGTGTATGAGGCGCTTTGTTGATTGACGATGACTTTGACACCGATATGTTTTTTTATCTTTTTTTTTTATGATTGACATAGGTAGTGGTGGCGGATTACTCTGCACAGATAGGTAGCATCTGAAGCGACGATTAAAAATAGAAAATTTCTATTCGGTAATTTTCTTGGAAGTTATGAGAGATACGGGATTGATTGTTAGTTGGGGGTAGTATGTGCCAGATCCAAGATTCCTTCCGTTTTGATGTTGAGAATAGGGGTGTTTACTAGTAAGCGACATCATTCATACGTACCTACATACATATCTACATCAATAAGGGCCCCAAAACGTTATTTCCAATCAATGTATCATCCCGAACTCCTCAGCGCCAAAGAGTTTCAATATCAAGCCAAACGTCTGAGAACACTCTATCCGGATGCAGGAGCTACCGTTGGGACCCGGACTCAGCCTTCCGGGTACCTCGGGGTCCGATGAAGACGGATCCACTTTTACCGGTACCTAGCCGGTCTTCGCCACGCAACAGCGCCCAGATACGGGAGATTAATCTTATTCTACCACTGTTCTAGCCGTTTTGGCCCTGGTTCCTGGGGAGGTAAGTATTGGGTTGGGGGCTTAGAAGGGCTTATGTGAATTATTGGATGTAGCTTATTTTATTTGATTTGAATTTTTTCTTTTCGCCGTTTTTAGGCAGTGATGAAAATAAGACTGGTTTAATCTGCGAGGTGTGCTTGTTGTCTAAACTTGGGTAGGTGCCTGTTAGGTAGCAATTTGGAGCTGGTGAGAACCACGTGGATTTAAGGAGGGGATTGTAGGGAATAGCAATTTGATATCGCGGGTTTGAAAATCGTGTTGGGTTACGGTATGAGTCTTCTTAGGCACCCAAGAAATGAAGATTACATGTAGAATGTATGTGGCACTTGTGGGTCTAGTCACGGCTAAAAATCGCGAGGAACCTTAACTATGGGTGTTATATCAAACCTTCCGATCTCTCAATGCGAGTGCCTAGTTGACATGAGCCTACCTAGGCTTCCACGTTTGTCTGAGTCCTGCTACCTAGACGAATTCAACTTCGTCATCAACTGCCTTTACAAGCTCTCGGCCGAATGAAATTATCGGCCGTTCTACCTACCTAGGTATTCATCTGGCTCGTTTGGGCCACCTACGCAATATGGAATGCTTACCGCCGAACCGTACATATCGGACCACGATATACATCTTACGGCGGAAGGATTCGGCGTCTGATCGTGGAGAGACAGGGGCGCCGTATAGTTAAATTACCGAATATTTAGCGAGTGCTATTCCTATCGTTTGTAAACGACATTAATTATTATTAATGTTTCTTTACATGGCGGGCGATGGGAGCCGCCTACGTCCTCGCTGCCGCGGGATGCTATTTTTGGGGGCGAGGGGCGCTCGTGATTGGCTCTGGCGGAAATTAAGCGCGTATTTGCATGGGGGTCCGCTCGGTCCCCGAGGGAGTATTCATGCCGCCTCATATGTATGTATGTCTTTGTTCATTATTATCTAATACAGAATCTGGGGTTCGGGGCGGTACGGGTATATCTATCTGCATACTACTAGGTATGTATGATGTCCTTACCCGGATCATCCCCCGGTACCTAGGGAGGTGGGTATGCACTGCGAAGCGCGGCGCTTGGTGAAAGATCCCGGGAGGACAAGGACGGGATAGCTACGTCCCGCTCTGGATGCGCTTGTTGAAACGGGGCGGCTCGCGGTGTTTGATTAGAATTTCAAGGGAAGCAAATAGCCGCTGCACGGGAACAAATATGCGAGGCGAGGGAGATGGGATCGCGGCATGGAAATAGGCGATCTGATACGACGGTAGCCGCGCTGTCTGCGTCGCAGTAAGGATCCGGTATCTAGACGCCCCAGCCTCGAAAATACCGCCAGGCCTCCGCTTCCCAAGCGCTACTGCTGCTTTACTAAGCAGAGACGAGATTGCATCGCATCGCATGGTATCCACCTGCATCGTATTGTCTGTGTGTAATGAAAATATGCGTGTTTCAGCGAATTTGGGTACAATTTCTGTTGTTTGAAGCTTGTGACCGAGACTTGGACACACGGACGTAACCAGGTAGCCTATCTGATGAGAGCTTTTGGAGATTTGCTAGTGTGCCCTTCCATTTCGTCGAGACATGCAGTTCAGCCGGGCATTCTGGTGTTGCATCTGCTGGAGTTCCTATTTGCTATTTGCTAAGAACAGAGACAATAATAATAACACAATTGCACGATGAATATGTCGCATGGTTTTTTTTAATAATTGCTACTATCTGCGGTCACCGGACCCAGCAGGTTGGGTGTGTCGGCGTTAGTGGATGATGAGTGCATCGGGCGACGGACAGAGCGGAGCAATCAGATTATGAATGTTAGCAATCGTAACGGCGTAAGAGAGAAACATGCAGTGGCATAGATGCCCCCGTGTGGCTAGGTTAGGACCTTCTACACCACCAGCGACGCGCAACGACGGAGGCATCCCTCAGTTTGGGATATAACGGCCGCAACTGTAGACTATTAGACTAACTATACTATACGCGTAGTAAGAAGGGCCGAGGATATATCAAGTAACGAAGCCCCTCCGTCGCTCCGTCAGCGGGACTCGCGAGACATACAGCAGTAAGCCACATTCTTAGCCCTCCCCCTTTTGGGAAATAGATCGACCATTTCTTCAGCATTGATCGAATTGCGTAAAAGTGTTCGATAAGCCACACTTTTTCGCTTCTCCATTTTTGACGGATAGCTCGACCGAGGCTCTTCACACCCCATGTGCTGCTGAAAGGGTTGTGTTAGAAAACAGGTTCTATTCATGCAGTTCAGCAGGTCGTGTTGGGCTATTTTGCTATTCTTGTTATTCGAGGCATATTCTATTCTGACTATAATCTAAACATCGTAACGTCACGTCTATTGATGGTGTCCTACTCTTGCAACGTGTAAATGTATATGTATGTTTGTTTGTTTTTGGCCTACCTTTTTCTCATTTTGTTCGTGTATGTAATATGTAATATGTATCATGTATGTATGGGTGCGCTGTTCGTTACCCAGAACCTTCGTGAGGCCGAGGCCAAAAGCACGTATACCTAAAGTGGCTGACTATCTGCACCTGCCATTTGGTCTACCGAGAGCCAATGCTTGTCGGAAGAAAATTCAGGGGGGTCTAGAGGTCTAAAGCGTTCAGCCACACGGCATAACTTATAGGCGGCCGCATCCATTGGATGAACCTAGAATGACCTGGACTGTTTCGATTCAAAGAGGTTCTGGCCAATAGCGGAACTTACTTGCTATGAAACCATTCTTTTCGCTGACCTGGATCAGATATGAACAACAAATAGCATGCATGCATACACCATGTATACACCTGCAGGTACCCAACTAGGTTTGAAATTCTATTAGTCCCGTCTGGATGAAGAGATTTTATCTTAGGCATATAGAGGCGGTAATATAGGCGATACGGGAATTATGTATGTATAATGAACGGCGGTGAAGTCTTGGCTATAAACGTTACCCAGACTACTATGTAATCGGCTTAAGTGCGGCGTGTACTATGTAAAGTTCACTCGGTCAAATGCGATGCATTCCTTCTGCTAGATATACTCGAATTGCTTGCTCTATTAAGAAAATGCCATTCTTATTAATACGAAGTTTTTGCGACGTTACAATCAAAAATTTAAAGTTATTGGGGGCTCTCCATTATTGCTACCCTGGCCACGATGGAGGTTATCCAGGGGTCCAGGGATGATGATGAGAGCGATAATGTCATGATAGATGATAATAATTGATCGGGTCTGTGATACTCTGGCACTTTAGCTCAGATCGTTCGCTAGGGCTGGATAAGACAAGGCCAGTTCATTGCATGGCCAACGCCACATAAAGACGTTATGGAATGCGAGGCTTTAGGGAAAAAACGCCCCTCCCCCTCTACCCCTGAGCTAGGGATCGAGCTCGGACAGAAGGGCAATTCCATTCCAGTCAGATTGACGTATGTGATAGTGATGTCAATTCAGATATTGATTTGAAGGGGCGCGGGAGTGAGATCTCGGATAAATCTTGAAACGCCATAACGGCAACAGATTGTTCACATTAGGAAGCACTAGTCATATTGAAGGGGTCTGTATTTCCAGATATGTAAACCTATAAAAATTGCTTCGAGAGTATTGACAAGCATAGGCTTCCTAATAGACAGACAGAGTAACATTTCTACTATGTATCAAAAATGCCAAGGCATTCAGGACGTTGTAGTTCAGATAGGGGGCGTAATGTAGGCGTACGTAGGCGTACGTGGGAGGGGCAGGGGAGGATGGCCAATGATAACAAGACCATCCGCGACAATGACAATGGCTTTGGAATGTTTTCTTCGCCTCATGCGCGGACCTTGCCACAACATAGCAGAGAAACATACCTAACTAATGGTAGTTGGTTCCTTTATTCCGGAAGTGCATCCCTACCAATTAAAGAAGAATTGTATCGTACATCGTGCCGATATGCCTCGCTGCTTGAGGATGCGTCAACGTCTTACCTAGGTAAGATGGTATTAAGCTGTCTGGCTATTTGGCTGTTGAGTTGGTAAGAAGAGTCGGTCAAGATCTGCCAAGACTGGATGGTCCAAACGTACCTTGCAATGAAGAATCGAAAACTGGAGAAGACCTGGGGTGACTAGGTGATCATCTTCATCACCCATGTACGTTTCGTTTCGACAAAGCAGAGCATTGCAGATCTTGACTTAGGACGATCATACGCAGATACGTAGAGGGTAGTAGATAAACGAAGTCATCATATCGAAATGATGGGAATACAATGAACCAATATTTCGCCAAGGTCAGGGTTGAGGTCAAGGTCAAAGCTCAGTCATCTCTTAAAGGTTTACATGTTCCTCATGCAAGATTGATTGGCCTCGATCAGGTGTAACTGTTTACTTACTATCTCTGGTCATCTGCGGCTTATTTTTTCCCGAATTCATCCCCATGTGTCGACGTCGACGCAGGTCTATTGGTAGGCCATTATTATCGTTATTATGGCAACAATAACTTCATCGGACGCTATCGACGGCCAAGGTCAAAACGCGCGTGGAACAAACATAGTAACCTAAACATCTAAACATAGGCCGAAAGGGTCGCAACGAATGTGGCCTATAAGTCAACAATTATTTGCTCACGTTTTTTCTAGTTGATGCCGATATTGTTAAAGTTATTGGTTGATTGGTTAATTGAGCAAGAAACAATTGAATTTGCGGCTAGTCCTCGAGTTAGATGAGTGCGCTAACTGGAACCTCGATGTGCGTAAGGAGCATCCAGCGAGTGTATCACTGGCGAATGCCTGTGGTCCCTGTGCCTAGCGCTACTAGGTACCTAGTTACTTTCACCTACTTCCACCTGGTTACTTCCAAGGTTAGCGACTAGCCACCCTAGTAGGCGGCCCGGGTGGTTCCAGTCCAGCAGGTTCAAGTACCCCGACCCCTCTCTCGCTTGTTTCATGTCTTGAATCTCTGAACCACTTACACCAATGAATCACTCACCCGCCACTGTCATTCTCAATCCAAGCACTTCTAAGGGATCATGCGGCGCATACTGTAGGCGGGCGGACCCTGAGAGATGTGTTGTAAACCGTTAGCCACTCATGGCCATTCATGTCATCGCGGCTCCAGCCTTTTGGGGGGTCCTATGTTTGTATTCATCCAGTTCTTCCTAGATTACCTAGTAGGGGCGAATAGGCAACGCGGGCTGGTTGGTCTCTGATGGGGTCCCTGGCAACTTACATGCCTCACCTATCAACGTACATACTCGCGATTCGCATCAGATGAACCCTATTGGGAAACCCCTGGGGAAGTGAGTGAAAGAGAGTGAGTACGTTGTAAGAAGGGACAAGAAAAAAAGTAGATATAGATCTCGAAACGCACACTCCTTTCCCCAGATCCCTTCCATCAATCTTCCCTTCCATCATCGAAAGCATTAATCGACCCCAAAAAGAGAAACCCACTGAGTGGAATGAGTTAGAGAGAAACAGAAAGGGAACCGGTTTTATTTTTTTTCTCATTACGACAGACAGCCACCCACGTTGACGACTGATACGAGTTTCTAACGATACGAACCCACCTTTATTTCTAGACTCAGGCCAGTCTATCATCATCGCCGTCCCTCCGATTAGACTATCCGGCAATTAATGGTTATACATTTCTTCAATCTGTTAATCTGACCTTTCGTGCCCCTCTTTTCCACGACAACCTCCTTGATAGGATCGACAGAGCTTCCCCGGTCTTAATAAAACTTGGGTAGATCTTATTATATATCAGGCTTTCGTTGCACCTCTTCCGCAAGGTCTTTTTCTGGGACACAAGACACGATACAGTACAAGACACAGCTGGTCACACACAGCTTAGGCGATCAAAGTCGGTTTTCGCGGTTTTCAATTATTCTTCATTTCGAAAAGTGTTACCACGAAGTCCTCGTGACTCGGATTCATCTCAATCGTTAATTCACTTTTATAACACCCCGGCTACACCCCGAACAAACTGCGCCTTGACTCCTGAGCCTCGGAATAATCGGGTGCCACTTTGCTTGCTTGCTTGTTCGTCAGCACCAACCCAGACATTCGTCAGTCTCTTTCACTTCACGGCGTTTTACGCATCCACGCATTACCTACCGATTCGGAGGATTACCTTCTCTAAGCATCCAGCATTCAATACCTTTGAACACCAAGGCGCAATCGTTAGCTTCTCATTCGGCTCCATTTGAACCGTTTCCATCGCTTTCAATCAATCAATCATTCAAGCAATCTAGCAATATCCAGGTCTTCCGCCGGTTCGGGAACCTCGCCTTCGTTATTTGGGATTGGTGCATCTTCGCCACTCATTACTGAGCAGGACACATATTCACACCTTTGGAGCTTAGCTGCTTAGCTGGATTCTTTTTGCCATCAGCTATAATTCAATTCGGTATCCTTCTAGTGCTATTAAGTACTTTCTGAATATTTCCTGAAGAAAAACCTGTCCACGTCAGCCACCATAGGCATTAATATTAAAGCCTTCGCATCGCATTCGTACTGCGCTAATAGCCCGACGCTCCGAAACGGAAGAAAAAGAAAAGGAAATCCACTTCTCAGATCGAAGCCACAACTAAATTGCGTGGACGCATAAGTTATTGAATTCGTTACCCCGGCAATCTATTCTTCAATTCTGTCCTTTTTGTTTCTTGGCTTGCGAGAAACACGAAACACGAAACAAGACAAGAATTATACTACGCATAATTCGTAGTTTTTTAGTTTTTTTCCCGGGGACTCTGCCACGATTCTATTCCATCATCCTTCACTGCCGGATTCAGGCGAAACAATCGTTCAAATTTACCTTGTTCAACAATTATCAAGCCAACCGAGCTTTCGCACCGATCTCCCGAGGCCAACCCGGGACTGCCGCCGCGACCGACGAGTAACCTGCCGTAACGCACCTTACCGTTCCCCAATTCGACTTGGGCAACTGGGAAACAATCCCCGTCGGACACATCCGGGACTCCTCCATAGCTTCCTAGGCATCCTAGGCAGTTTCCTTCCCCTCCCCTACCCCCTGCATTGCACACCCGCTCGAGCAGCTGCACCTAGCACCTGCCACTACCCTAGCTTAGCTGCCACTCCTTTTTGGTAGGCTTCGCAATACCCCTGACACTGGTATCCACCTCTTTTCTGGAATCCAGCCCAGCCCACCCAGTCACCATTTGCGTGTCAGCAGTCGATCTTTCCAGGGAGAATCGATTAGCCCAGATTAACCCAGTAACTTGGACTCAGCCTCGACCACCTCACGTCACACAGACTTACGCACCCCTTCACAGTAAAGGTACATTGTTACTTCCATTGCTACCTAGTACTTGGATACCGGGATACTTTGGTTCACTGTTACGCCTTCTAAGTCAGTCTGTCAGTCTGATATGACCTTAGGCTTCGCCTCGTGATACACCCATCCACTTCACATCCTCCCCATCCATCGCATATTCCCACACGTTACCCTAGTCACTTAGGCCTGTTGGTTGATATATTATCAATCGTACATCCCGACTCTATCGTTTTCCCCGGATTTTCTTTTTTAGACTATTACGTTACTCAGCATTACCGGCGCCGTTGCTACTTCTTACTTCTATATATTCCAACCCGTGGAATATACTTCGACTTCACATCTTTCTACCTTCACCACATCGTCTGAGCAACACATCCACACAATGTCGTCGACATCGAGGATACCTACGAGCGAGCTTAACGCCGCCGCTCTTGAGCACTTCGTCTATAAGCCAGTTAGCCCGGCTATGATCCAATATCTGGCACAAGCAGCGAGAGATGTCATCCAGTGCGATCCAAACATGATGCCTCCACCGGCACACAAGTCGCAATATCCCTCGCCACCAAGGACACCTTCTCCCAAAGCTGTTCAAATTGACGACAGCGGTCTACCAACTTTGGAGGAGTTCATCACGCAACTAGTCCGATCTTCTAACGTGCAGGTACCCACTCTCATGTCCACATTAGTCTACCTCACCCGGTTGCGATCACGCCTGCAACCCATGGCCAAGGGCTTACGATGCACAACGCACCGTATCTTCCTCGCCACGCTCATCCTGGCGGCCAAGTACCTAAATGATAGCTCGCCTAAGAACAAGCACTGGGCGACATACAGCCACATGAACACCGACGGATACAGCTTTGGCTTCAGCCGGACGGAAGTTAACCTGATGGAGAAGCAGCTACTCTTCCTACTCGAGTGGGAGCTTCGCATCTCCGAGGAAGACCTATACCGTGAGCTGGATCCCTTCCTGGCACCGATCCGCGACCACATTGAGGCATCTCACGCGCGCCGCATGCAGCGCAAGGAAGACCAGCGCAAGATGCGCGAGGCCCAAGCCTGGGCTGCCGCAGCCTCCGCGCAGTTCCCGACGCCTCCCAGCTCGCGTGGCAGCTCAAGAGCGCGCACACCGCCCGAGCAGACCATCCGCATGGTTCACGACGACAACATGTCGCCGCCGCAGCTCGTCTACTCCTCCGGAAGCAGCAGCAGCGGGAGTTCTTACGCCTCCTCAGTCTCCTCGCGTCAGCATTCCCGCTCGTCTACGCCACTCTCCGACCCCGACGACAACAGCTACTTGTACGACGGCTCTCTGTACGCGTCTCCTGTCGAAGTCGTCCTCGACATGCCGACTGCGGCGGGCAGGGGCTACGTCGCTCACAGCAAGCCTACGAAGCAGCTGCTCCCCTACGAGATTAGCGCGGACGACCTCCGCGCCATGCAAGACGGCAGCGCGAAGGCGAAGCGCGCAAGGACCGGGCGGGGGATGTGGGGGCGCATGTTTGGTGGGGGGATCGCTGTGCGGTAAATTTACACACAGTTTATTATTTCTGTTATTTTCCCTTTGTAGTAAAGGTTTGGTTTGGTTTGCATTATAGCCAGGAGTTTTAGGTTTTTGGGTTGGGGGTTACATTGGGGCGTATCACACATGCTACGAAGCGAGAAAAAAGGGGGTTGTGACTATTCCGTTGCTTCTTTCTCCTCCTTTTTTGGTTCGATTCTGAAGAAATAGAAGAGGGTGGAACCCTATCGTCATGATACCTACACTTGCAGATTTATTTTCTACATCTCTTTTGCTTTGTAGCTGCTCTACTTCTAATGGCATGGGCGAAATTAGGGAATCGGGGATTATGGGATCTAGGGGAAGGGGTTACGGGCATAATTAGGGTTACTTATTTGGACCGGCGGAGTAGAAGATAGGATGCATACACTTTGCTGCATTTTTTGGCATCGAATCGTCTTCTCCCCCGGGGAACGGACTTTTACAATGGGAAAGAGAATCAATATACTACTACTACAAAGATATCATTGGTGTTTCAGGTCTCGGGAGATCAGAGAGAGAAAAAGTGAATTCCGTTTTACCTATACGCGGGCTCGGTGGTACTACGACGCGCTGGTGCTCTTGTCTAATGGGCTTTCGAGAGTGAGGTGTCACAGTGGTTGGGAGACCTGGAGCTGTCGGTCGGACCGATAGAATTAAACTACATAGTCGACCTAGTTACTAGAAATTGGAAAATCCAACATTCGGTAACACATACATACGATTTGAACCTTTTTTTTCTCACTTTTAATTCTCCGGGTTTGTGCGATGCGAGCAATTGTTATGGGCTATAGGTAGGGGCGGTGAGTATACGAAGGCATATCGTAGGAACGTAGGATGCATCCATGCCTATAGGCTCCATAGGCTCCATGTTCTAGGTATTGTTACAGTTGGTTGTTCGTTTTTTTATTTATTTTTTACTCGGGTCCGATTATGTAATTACAGCCCTCGGTCTGAGGATAGGGAAGAATGAGCCTTTCAGCGATTATATTTGGTTCACATAATCCTTCACTATGTACGGATATGCAAGATCGGCTTGATCGCATCCCTCTGGATAGGTATGTTCCGGGCCTACTATTTCGATTACTTGGTCGGGTAGGTGGTGATGGTGTGTTAGTTAGCGTATAGTAAACATCTTCCAGGGCTAGGTAACGTTGTTCGGATGTACCGATCTGCTGCTGCAATGCACGTCCTCGGTATTTGGTAGGAAGGATTCCAGAAATAGGCGACAGATGGCGCTATCGATCTGGGGTTGGGGTCCGAACAATTCGGCTCTCTTTTTGATGTTTAACGTACTTACATGAGCTGTGCTACCCCATACCTTTCCGAATAGAGTTGATGAGCCGAGACCTAATTACTATGAATACCTCTATACCTCGGTCAAGTTCTATAACCTCTTGTGATAGTGAATAGTGACGTCGACATTGGTCCTTCATTCTTCTTACATACGCAAAGGGGAGACCGTTGGCGCATAGTCGCAACGCTGTGGAACTGACATAGCGCGCATTGAAGCCGAGCGCATGCAGGGAGAAAGATACCCAGTCCCTGAAATAGAAAAAAAAGCTAGAATTCGACGATCCGCATAGTACATATGCTTGTACTACAATGGAGATGCTTCAATCATTCCCGCGCTAGCAAGCGACGTTCATCAAATCTGGGGCGCAAGCGCTGGCACTCCGGAAAGATAGGTACTCAAGAAGGAAATCGGCTCTTCGCCGAAACGAAGCGCAAGGAAGAGAACCTACCATGGTATTATGAACAAGTTGGTAGAAGCAGATGGGTCTTGACTTTTAAGTCCCCACACGGAACATCCGTAAGGATGGGCTAGACAGCACGGATACTAGGAACTAAAATATTCTCGAAACCGCTGATCGGATTCGATAAATCCTTCCGTGTTTCGTGGGAGAATTTTGTAAAGAGGCCTTTTTGCTAAACGATACAGGAATGCGAGGGAAAAAAAAACGTCGGTCCAAACGTTGAAATGCGTCACCGTGCAGTTGTGTTGATGGTGATGGCGATAACCCGAGCCGAAGGATTCTACTAGATAGACCCGAACGTTAAAGGCTTGCTCTACTGGCGCTTACTTAAAACACGCCGAATTCCGAATATCCTTTTGAGCTAAATGTTGACAACGATCGCATTTTAGTCATGCTTGTCATACATAAATGTTGGGAGCTGGAGCCGGGCGGATTTCTCTATTTGTTACGATCCGCCGATTCCCATCACGCCCTCTCATGTAAGCGTAACGATGCTGATGCCGTCGGTGGCGACGGGTTCTCGAAGGAAAGGGAGCAGGAATTAAAGGTTGGCTGGCGGATCTGTTACGAATAAGCCAAGAGGATGGGTTGAGCCGCCTTTGCCTCTATGACTTGCACCGGCAGGCTGGGAAGCGATACGCGAAACGGTGATTGTTTGTGTTTTGCTGCTGTGTAGCGACGCCACTATTTTGGCGAAGCGTCATGCGGCCAACGGAGTGACCCGATGGCCTGGAAATCGCGGCTTTTCTGACCTTCAATCACCGCGATACGCGACTTGATCATCAGATCAATTTCGTGATGCCCTCTCCTTTGGAACATGTTGATATCCACGGCGTTGGGTGGTGGAAAATACCGCGGGCATAGCCACGTTAGGATGAGGCACTTCGCCGCGATATACTACGTAGAGCCATGTTTGTCGAGGGTCCGTGACATTGGGAATTAAGGGTGATTGCCCGGAGAATGTACGAAGTCGAAAAATAAACACCAGATCTTGGTTCTCGGCAATACATTAATTAACTCGATAGACGATGCCATATGTTGATATTGATTGCATACAATGTAACGATGTAACGATGTAAGAAGTGAACTTTCGGGGGCGGAAGGGCGGTAGGGTGGGGGAGTCGGAGAAACACGATGACGTATTATGGCACCTGGGGGCGAGTGCGCTTACCTAAGTTAGTTGGTGGGCGTTTCGTTTCAATGGTTTAAGGTTTTCTTCGATTAATCGATGGTTCCCTTCACTTCCTTGTCCTTTTCTTCCCCTCCCCAACCACGTTTCACCTTCAATGTTCCATTCCCTTGGAATGCCATCAACTCGTATCAAAATCTTCATATTACACTTTTTCTGACGGGCGAAATATCGAGGCCCAGGAAATATTTGCGAAGAATTACTATTCCTTATGTGTGCCTCACCGCTTATCATACTACCTAGGTACTGAGCTGAATTCTAATTCCGCCTACCCGCCTTGGCTTTTAAATCCTACCTGAATTCCGAGTATCATCGCTAGCTTCGGCAGTAGAGCAGAACGCCCGTCAGCCGCACCGATTCCGCAAGTGCGTAGAACCGCCTCGCAAGGCTATCTATAATCTATAATCTACCTCGGAAGGGTTCAATTCTCGCCCGGATCTTCAGTTGTAGTGGATGCAGCTCAAACTCTGCGATGCGGCACGGCCGTATGTTGACCAATCTGCGGCCCCCCTTTCAAGACTAACCAACGTATTCCTGCCGGATTTGGCAGTCTACATAACCGGATTGATTGTTTATAATCCCATGTTTTAAGTTAGGATGAAAGAGCAGGGCATCAACCATGGATCTCTTCGGGCGGGGCAACTTGGGATGATGCTATGGTGAGGCTCAGTTAAAGAGACCGTGGTCTCCTTTCTGTAAATGCTAAACCCCAGACTAAAACATTGCGGTATGATTCAGCGCCAGTTTTTCATTCAGGGGTATGTATGTGCCTTATCTACGCCGCCCAAACTTGACATCTTCAGCTGAAAAATCTTCTATACACTTTCGCATCGAGAATTTCATCTCCGATCCGACAATGGGGGTTGGTCTAGTGACCGTACCTAGAAAATGTTTATGGGTTGGAGTTCAATAGCATCTCTATGTTGGATGCTGCATTGATACTGTTTAAGTTTAATATGCGTTGTCATATATATTGTCAATTTAGTTACTTTTCTCAGTATGAAAGACTCAACCCCCTATTCTCACATTGGCGATAATCAACGTCTTGATATTTCGCATTTCTTCCTGTGCGACATTATGTAGAGTCAGTCCCAGGCTTATTCTACATTCGCTTTCTTACAACGATAATTATAGCTACTGTGGTGCTCGTGAAGTCTGATAGTAAGTATGAAGCTGACTTGAATGAAGCTTCGGGTTGGCGTTCGCAGCAGTGTAGTTTAGTAAGATCCATCATTACTAGGCAGGAAACAGCAGTGCGATAACTGTGATGTATTACAAGACTATAAATCTCCGCGGGGACTTGACTTTTTATTTCTTGATGTGGGAGTCGTATACGCAAGTCTTTTGAGCATGCTTCCGAGGACAGACAGGCCGTCTAGAATCCGACAACTGCTCTCTTACGATTAAATCGAGACATCAACTCCCAAGTGAGAAACAAGAAGTAAATATTCGCATTGAACAGAGCTAAATTACGAAATAACTAATATTCCATTACCCTACATCACTCGAATACTTACCTAAATTTCATATTACGGCTAGAAAAATGAGACGAGGCATTCCAAGGCGGCACTTAGCACCAACCATGGTGTAGATATACTATTACAAGCTCGTATAATTACGCTTAATTATATCAAAGAGTGAGAATAACAATAATTTATATACCTAGTAGTCACCTAGTATATTTGGGGGTGGCGCCCAACGCCCATTCCGTTCAGCTTTTAAGATGAGTGATGAGCACACGATATATTCCAAGATAACCCAATCGTATAGATTGAGACCCCTATCTCCGATATAAAATTCTTCCCAACATCATCTTATATTATAAAGAAGAGAGATATCGCTAAAACCGACCCCGATATACCGATCCTATGGAATGATTTCGACCCGATGTGCTATATGCATGTCACCCCCAACTATATCCCGTCTCGGGCTAGGTCCGCACAGCTGTCAACATTGAGAACCAATCCGTGATGGACAGAATGATGCCCCGAGATGGGATATCGATCTTGTGGCACCTAAATCCCAATACTCTCGGGGTCAAAGGTTCGAACAACACAACCATCACAATGATACACATTAGAAACGTCTATAAGTGTAACACTTACCAACATAAATATATAAAGTAGGTAGGTAGGTAATCAGTTCACTTCAAACAAACCGTCTTCTCTACACTGTAGTTTCCAAGCTATCATAGTGAATTTTATTTGGTCCCTAAACCCCGAGATGGCGTCAGCAACCCCGACACCAAACAACAACCGACTTGTCAAGATAATATTCTTCATTAAAAAAAAGGATGGTATTTCGCATGAAGAATTTCATGAACAGTACGTTCCTTAAGTACTCGGACTAGGTTAACATGAATCATGATAGTCTTATAACTGGTCTTAGCTGGTCTGAGAAACACTCGAAGACATTTCTTTCGATTCCTATCACTCGCCGGAACCTTGTCAAGTACTCCCAGTTTCACTCGGATAACTCGATTGATCTAGCTAAGTTCGGTGCCAATGTAATGGATTATGACTGAGGTGCGAGCGTGTGGGCGAATAGCTTGGGGGAACTGCTAGCAACACGTCATTTGTTGGATAACCCTTTTCATTCCTTTAGTCTGATTGAAACGGCCTTTAGAATTTCACAGACGACGAGTATCTCAAGACCGTAGTGCCAGACGAGGAAAAATTCACCAACAGGGCTGAAGTTGTCACAATGGTTGGGTGGGACGAGGATAAGTGGGTGAATGAAAAGACCCTCTGAATTAGGAGTATATACGATTATAGAGATAACCGTGCTTAATAGAGTATGAAGTACTACCCCTTTCAATGCCCCATGAGTATATCTATCAAGCATGAGAAAACCTGCACAAGGAGCATACCAATCGCATCACGTGACACCCCTTAGAGCTACCACACAACCCCTGAACGATTCAACCAATACCTACGCATAACAACGCTCACATGTATAAGGGAATTCTATAAATACAAAAACTGAATAACAAAATAAAATCACGCAAAACGAATGTAAACCGGCCTCTACATCTGAACCTCACCAACTCACTCCATCAAAACAAACCGCACATACCCCTATCCAAGCACTCACCCACCCACCTACAAAGTACACTTCTTCAACCCGGGATCACACCCATTACATCTAAACCTCCTCCCAGAGCGCGTAATGCTCCAATAAGCATAACAATCCGAGGCCTCATCGCACGGGTAATCCGCACACATCAACGCGCGCGCAAAGATATTATGCTCTGGCCCGGCGAGCGTAGTAGCTCTCTTCGCAACCGGCGCACCACGACGACGTGCCTGTCGCGAGGCTTCGCGCGCTTCCAGGGGCTCGATGATCTTGCTCCCGAGGAGCTTGTTGTCGGCGCTGATGCTGAGGAGGTGGTTGCCTTCTTGCACGAACCGGCTCCCGGGTGCTTGGGGCAGGCCTTTGGAGAGTTCGTCTAGTTGGTCGAGTTTGGCTTGCTAGGGGGGGTGTTAGTGGGTGGGTTGGAGCTTGGGGGAGGGAGGAGCTACCTCGGCTTGGGCGTCGGGTGTGGATGCGTTGGCGAGGACTGCGAAGGCGGTTAGGAGGATTGGGGCGAATGTGAGCTTCATGGTGGATGAATGGGTGAAGTAGTGAGGTGATGATATGATAGCTGTGGTTTTGTGATTTTGTCAAGTTAAACTGAGACTGTAATGATGTTTGATGATGCTGTGATGATGGGTTGGCTTAGAGGGAAGAGAACCAACATATATGTATTCTTTAGACCTCTGCCAAGTCGTTAAGCTGAACTATCTCTGTCTTTAGAAGTGTGAAATTATCAACAACAATCTCGAAGTATCAGAAGGGGGAGGCGTAGCGAGTATGCCATGTAAGTGCTAATAATAGGAGTGATGAAAAATAGATCTCGAGCTGAACAAGTGATTCCATTCTGAGATGATAATGTGTCATAGAATAACTAGGACTTGGTATCATGAACGTCGTCGTATGATATCGATCATGGATATTGACCATGGATACTGACATAATTAGCAGTTACGTCGTTTGGTAATCAGGTTTCGAGGTTTAGATCCGCCGCCGAGCCTCACGATTATTGAAAAAAGTACCTGTACAGACTTGTTTCGTACCTACGAGGGTCGTTCGTTGTAGATGTTTGATTTGGCACTGTGCGTTAAGATGGCAATGTCAGGCGAAAACCAGATATCCATGCCTTATTGCTTGATGCGGTGACTTCGATCTGTCGATCTGTCGATCTGTCTCTAGGTGGCGTAGTGAAGCCACTTCTCATGGAATAGATGAAGCTGAAGGTATTGTCCTTTGGGTAAGGTGAAGGACCTGGACAGCTGGAGTGGCACAAGCAAGCATCAAGGATCTCGTCAATGCCGATCTATAGCGGTTTTATTTCCGTCCTTCCTAAAATGGATAGACCCACCCTGAACCCGTTGAAAATAGCGGGAAGTGGCTGTTCTATTCCGCGCTACTGGATCGTGTGGGGTAATACAAGGGTTGCACAACAGGAATTACTGGCAGTAGCTCACGTGGGGTCCCTGTATGGGTAACTTTCGGGTAATATATGAGATTACCTAGCATCCTTCCAGTTCTTCGTTAGAAACTTCACGACGTCATGTCAAAATTCTGAAGTTGGGGATGAGTTTCTAGATAGCCTGTTTCCTTAGCTACCCAGGTACCTAAGTACTCTCTTAGCAACAAAGTGGGTGGAAGGGAGATCATAGATGTAGTTGCATAGAAAGGCTTCCTTATTAACTCCAATTAAGTGAACATAGCCAAAATGTTTTTTTACCACACTTCAAAAGACGATTACTGAAATCTACATTGGGACTTAGCGGTTTGATGTTTGATGGTTTATTCTAACTTAACGAGCGACGACTAATGAAACAAAGCGCAATAAAAATACAAATACACAAATCTTCTAACTAACAATCCGCTCCCTCCCCAATCCCAACCCCTAGAGGAACACTTAGAGGCATGTAACCTCCAATGTCTCCCAAGAGAAGCTACACCAAGCGCCAGATGTTCTGCACTACAGAGTACATTTTTCGTTAGAAATTGCAAAAGTTTCAGGGGCAACATCTACTCATTCACGTACTGGGTTGGCGGAACCGCAATCGACCACGTCATTAAGCTTTGGGACATGGCAAAGTCCTCCGAATCCATCTTTTTCGCAGGTCTATATCGGATGAGAGTTCAAGTTAGTAAGGGAAACACAGGCATAGACTTGATGCTAGGCAAGAAACTTACCCCTTCCCAGACGATAGTGTCTTGTCTGGCGAGGATACTATTCTCGCCTGCCTCTTCTCGTGCCCCTAGACAGTTTCCCTGGGAAAGGAGAAGGGCGACGGGGAGTAGAACACTGATGAACTGCATGATGAAAGGAGTAAAATCGTTCGAGTGAGATAGATGTTGTTTTTTGGAAGCGTGGTTTGGTATGAAAATAGAGAGAATAATAAGTTGAGATGTGTGGGAGCGTTGAGTTGAGTTATTGATGCATATGAAAAGTTTAGGGAGACGTCGACTTTATAGCCTAGGTTGGATAACTCCATTCTTCATATCTTGACCTTGATGAATAGGGCTGCTTTGCCATTGCATTTCGCCTCCTATGTTCGACCAATCTCTCCAGCCATGTGGTTACTATTTTGAGGAGTTCTTAAATTTAGAATCGTCATACCCCTTTCTCAGTCCATGATTCCATACAGGTGAAAATGCGTAAGTGCCCGCGATTTGTGGTGGCCGACTTTGGAAATATTCAAGTAGAGCTTGGCATCTAGCCCTATGTTTCACGCCATGTCGATCTCGATGCCAAGTTTCAACGTTGTCGGTATGTCCTTTTGCGCATAGCCACAACCCGTCGAGATGCGGTCAGCATAGCGTAGCCCTCATTCACTCGGCAATCCTTTTCGCTACAAATTGCCTAAATATTTTTACTAATTTTCACCAATGAAATGCTTAATCGTCATTTACTTGAATCCTTGTTTATTATGACTAAACTATAGGGGGTGAGATCTTTATGAAACCCTGTTCGTGGTTTTTGTTTATTATATGGAGCAATCCTTCCAAGCCGATATCTCGATGCTACTACACTGTGCAAGGGTTTCATTCCTAGCCTCATGAACTGAGTTATGTAATCGAATTAACTCCTATCATCGAATAAACGACAATTCCGAAGACCTATTTGCGAATAATTCACCTTGCAAGATCACAGTTTTGCGGGCAGAATTGTTAGATTGGGAGGATCCTGATCTGCGGCACCTGGAGTAAAAGGTTGTATACCTACCTAGTACATACATGCTTGAAATATGAAGATGTGATTGCATTGCCATTTATATATAGCCTACCTACGTATATATCAGACATAGTAGCGCGACACCTACTTCAACAAGTCCTAGTTCTATTGAGACTGATATACACATTCTTTGCAAGTTTCCACGATATCTAGGCATCTCTCATCGAATCTACCTATACACTTTACTATCTACACAAGATATACACTTTCACCATGAAGACCTCTATTTTTCATTCAATCATCTTCGTTTCCATGTTCCAGGGGGCACTGCTCTCCCCCGTGGAAACGACTGACGCCATTTCTACTCTTCCGCCAAGAGAGCTCTCCGTTACTTCAGGAGAAAAACTCGAAAGCCGAGAGTGGATTGTGGACTGCAACCAACTCATTGACCAAGTTATTAAATTGACGGACCAATATCCCGATTACAAATCGAAGGTCGTTGCTGTGAGCAAAACGGGCACATGGGGTTTATTTGCCTTCTCCGTATGCAAAGCATTCAGGGTTGGCGCCGTAGACTGTACATACGGCGGTATGTCTGTGACAGTCGGCCTTCTTGCGGCTTTCCAGCATGGTTTTTTTGACGCTCAAAATGTTGGAGCCGTGCCTGCTGAGCCTGCTGGTCCACCCGTCGAACAGGACCCCGGACGGCCATCGAAAAATCGTCGAAGCTTAGACGCGCAGATCAATTCACTTACTACGCGTATGGCAGAAGACTTGCATGACAGTGGGTTCAATTTCGAATCCATTGAAAATGTACCCAACTTGTCAGGACGTGACGAAAATGGTCTGATGCATCGCTCGGTCGAGATCCGTGGTGTGCATGAGCCTGATCAAGACGAGAAATTCGACTATGTCATCAATTCACGAAGTGATGGCACCGGTGATATCAAAATCATACCCAATTCAACCTCATCGAGGCTGGGCCGTCGAACCTCCGATACCCCTTTTTTCAAAGTCACGTACATGGTTGAAAATCGGAAAGGCACTCTAGTTCCGGCTGGCTACAAGCAGCACGTAAATGCTATCGTCGCTGACTGGGAACAGCGCGTAGACCGAGACCATGGGATAATTGACTATGTCGGTCAATTTACATCGAACATGGGAACGCTTTCGTACCGTATTGCCCCTCATGACAAGGGATACGATGAGCGCACCTACGAGGATGTCGCGCATTGTCAGGGGGTCTAAATGATTGATATCGGTCGATATGCAAAACACACGGTTTTTCTTCAAGGTTTTACTTACTAGGTAGATTGCTATGTATCTCTATATTTCATTTGGCGGAAGACGTTTATGAATAGATTGTCACTCGCTCCTTATGATACCCGAGTTGTGGACGATGATGTTTATTGAAATATCCCCTGCTTGGCCTATTCGAGTAACTTATACGTGCTATAGCAGGTAGTGGATGCGGGCTGTGTAACATAGGGGATGGTTTTATTACAGCCCAATATCGTAGAATTACGACTCTATTCATTAGAGGAAGCCAACTTGGCGCTATCAGATGAAAGAACTTTTCTACTATGAAACATATGAGAATATCAAGAGGGTAAAATTTAATTAAATGTTTCCAATTATGTGCGAGCAGAGCTACCAAGATCTACCCCTGTATGACATCGCCCTGCCCAAGCTTGCTGCGCCGCATCCCATGTCGTCTCCATCCATATTTATCATATCTCGGATCATTCCGTACAGGTCACTTCGTTTTTGCCGCTTCCATACATATTTCACTGTATACTTAATCTTTCGTACTGATACCTCGAGCTCTCGGAAATATTCGATGAACCTATGAATCCCTGTATATTTCGGTGCGTCTCCATAGCGGAACTCGTCCGTAGGTAAGCACTAGAATATGGAAGCTTACCCCCACAATCAACTATGGAGTAATGGGAATAGCCCACACCCATGCGAACTAATAGCCCTATGGCACTTTCAAAGTGCTGATAGGCCGTACCCCTGGTCGCTTAACGGCAGATATTGCTAATAATAAGATTGGCTTAAACGATACCGAACTTGAGGATCTTATGAACTGCATTCTACGCCTCTATTAGTTTTGTTTCGAGATATCTCAGCTTCATGGGGTTTGGCTTCTTTTTCTGGATACTCAAGTTCTAAATAGAGTAGATCAAATATCTAGAATGGATGTGTTAGGCGAGTATGACGTCGCACGAATCCATGACATACCACCTGCTAAGGAACATGGCAGTGATGGTGATTTCTTCAAAGAAAGTTTTATGAGTTGTAGCTAGTTGAGCAAGTATAAGTATTCACTTGAATCTCCTCTCGATCTATCTATCATCATCATCATCATCATCATCATCATCATCAACAGCAACAGCAACAGCAACTCACACACAACATTCACCAAACCAACAGTACTCGTAACATACCTTCTCCTCACCATCTAAACACATCACCAAGCTTCCCGCCTTCCCAACACTCACCACTCAAAATGAAGACCTCATTCACTTCCGTTTTCTCCCTCATCGCAGTCGTCGCTGCCATCCCGACCACTCTTGCCTCTCCCATCAGAGAAAACGCTTTAGAAGCCCGCGGCGCCAGCGTGCCACCGGTACCGGGCAACAACGAGAGCTGGCACTGCTCCACCCAGGACGACTCACCCGGAACATCAAACATCCAAGTCGGAGCTGACCGCATGTCGACCTGGAACAAGTACTGCGGCGCGAACTCCGATGGTAGCGCCGCGCGCATGGCTGCTGGAGGTAAATCTTTCCTAATCCACCTATCTCACCTCCTTTCTCCCTGTTCATATCACTAACGCCTGTATATAGACGGCTACTCGCTCTTCATAAAGGGAGTCCACGGTCAAGACGGCAGCTTTCCCTGTGCGGATCTCGCCTCTCTATTCATCAAGATCAAGGCCGTCTGCGGCAAGAACATCAACGGAGATGTGAGGGCTGGCGGTAGCATCTGGGTTCCTGGCTACGAAGGAAGAACCTATGTCTACGCCACCGCCGACAGCAAGTGATTCCATCATCTTGAAAAGGGGTATATCGGGCGGAGAGAGTAGCGTTTGATTTTCTTGTCATTGTATTTTTACATTCGGTCGATTTTGTTTTTGTACACTCGTTTCATTAGTTAGAGCCAGTTTTTTTGTTTTGATATCTTTTACCATAGAAGATAGAAAGTATTGATAGCCAAACCCCTATTTTGGTAATCGTGATTACCTATTAAGCCCCTTTCTTGCTGTGTAACGCGGAACTCACTATAATTATAGCGGTTCATAGCCTGCTATATAGGCCTACCTATCAGCATAACCTTATCCATACCCGTGTCCTTAGAGTTCCCATCCCAAACACTCCTCCTATAAACCCATCACTGAAACGCAATCTCCCTAACCAGTCCCGCCTTAACCCACCCCCTAGCAAAATTCCTCCCCAAACCCAAAAGCACCATAATCCACCAACCCCGTCCAATCCAACCATCATACCAAACCCTCCCCTCCACCCCCCTCTCCCTCCTCCTCCTCCTCACAACCCCCCTAACAACCCCCTCAAAAACAACCGCCCCCCCATTCAACCCAAAAAACCAGGCCTCCCCAACCGCCTCCCTCCACTCCCCCCCCAGCACCCCCCTCACCGAAAACGCATGCACAACCGCACTAACCAAAAACCCACCAACAACTTTCCCCACATCCGCGGGCTCCCCATCCCCCTTCCCACACAGTTTCCGCTCAACCCATTCCCCAGGCCAGACACCATACACGAGGAACAGCCGCGCGAACAGGCGATGCCAGCCATACGACCAGAAGCCACGCACGGACGTGACATCCCACACGCGCGTGCTGTACAGCGGCGGGAAGAAGGCCAGCGGACTAGGCGCGAGGGGGCTCAGCGCGATGGCGAAGAGGGAATGGCCTAGGGAGAAAGCGGACATGAGGAAGGCACCTAGGGATGCTGTGAGGAGGAGTTGGAGGGGCATGGATAAGGCGGCGTCGAAGAGGTGCAGTTCATCATCATCGTCATCGTTACCTGGTGTAGTAGAGCTTGATGAAAGGGTTATCGGGGACGCGAGATACCGGACATAAACTGTTCTAATGCAAACCCAACTCACCAGCAGGACGGGCAGAGCGTGGAAAAAGACGCTGTGCACCCGGTTGCGCACGGTGGGCAGCCAGGTCTTCCGCGTGTGCCGGACGTCGGCTGTGGTCCAGGTGAAGCCTACGCCGCGCATGCTGAGCTCGAGCTCGAGGGCCCAGGAGGCGCGGTCGCGGAGCGTCTGCGGCCATCCGGACTCGGTTGTTGCGGTTTCGAGGACGGGGAGGGGAGATGGGCCGCTTAGCGTGTGCTGGACTGCGAGGTAGGATGTGCGCGCGGCGTCGGGGATCGAATCGGACATCCTGCGCGCAATTTCGGTGGAAAGGCTGGAGCGCCTTCGTCTGTTGGGCTGGGTATGTCCTGATTCAGGGGTGGTATTGACTGCGGTACTCCCTTTTTGAGGACGGAGCTCCTCGACTCCTCCGTCTGACCATTTTTTCGTCGCTGCTATGTCCTCCGACACGGGAGGTTCGGGTCTCGGTTTATGCACATATTTGACCCGACGTGGAATATGTTTGAAGAAATAAGGACTGATGAAGAAAGCGTCTATTACCCTACATCCGCCGTAAAGGCCGACGAGGCCGAGCTGGTAGGTAAGTCCGATGCTCTGGGGGACATGGTAGGCAAGGGGGAGACAAAAGAAGAGGAATCCGGCAGTCAAGGCAAGAATATTACGAATTGTTTTGACATAAATTGAATCAATGGCTGGAGGTGGAGGCGGAGCAAGGAGCAATAAAGCTATATAATAAATTAAGGGCGGCAAGATGGCTGCGCTGAATGTGAGAGGCCGGCTTCCAGGTATTGGATGGAGGCCCGGTCGTGGCTGAGTATCGGACACTAGAGCGTGAAGCCGAGACATCGACTCAAATAGGAACGACGCCATTTACGGGATGTATTCGAGTACATGTAGGTACCTATTTCTACCAACATTAAAAAATTTGGAAAAACTGAAGACGACATATGGATTGAAGTTTGAAGCCCCAAACTTTGAAGATACATAGTGGATTCAGTATTATTTGGAGATGACGTTAAACTATCCGGTTGGATGAGACTGATTACCTATGGTTTATGTATGACGTGGATATGAATTCAGCATGCGATTCCATCCCAAGTGCTTACTCCAGCATCTCTAGCTCAAGAATTGACTTATATAAGACACATCTAATAAATGAAACAAAACATCGAATGGTGTTGGTGATGTACCAAGTATGCTGCAATCACCTCATATATTGTATACTACCTATTATGTAATCCTTGGAATTGTAAAAGCCTATGTCGATAGATGGTAAGGTATTTCTATAGGCTAAGCCACTCTTTTTAAGCGGAGATCCGATCTATTGTCAACGTTCTTGGCGTGAATTCAAACCTCTAAGTGTTAGAACATCTCGTATTTGGCGCTGGGCAGTTGATGCCTTCGTACCTAGTCGTCCTCGAGTGGGTCTGACATCGTAAAAATAAAATGACTGTGCATACACCATTCGTAACGCATAACCCTTAGGTGACTTGATTGATGGGCGGTGCTCTTGAAAGATCGGACGTAAAAAGCCGTGAGAAATCTTTGTATTCCTTTACTTTGTTTGCATTGTATTCGCCTCTCACGGTCTCTCTTTTACTTTTTTTCTTTTCCTTTCCAATTAAAGGATCCACGTTGCACCAACAATCAATATTCCGTTCCTTAAATTCTAGTACTTAAGTAAGTCCTTAGTATATAATACTTCATCCAACATCCCTCAGCTAATTCGAGGCGCTTAATAGTTCGATTGAGGTCGTACACGATTATTCCTTGCGTACCTATTAATCAATCAAACACCCCCCCGTTTCCATATTTGAATCACCATCGAGTACCTCGAGTTTATTAGCAGGAAACGGAATAATGAAGATCTTCACACATACCGTTGCCTTTCTCTTGGCGACTACTGGGGTTGGCGCAATGAAGGACTTCAAAGCAGTCGAGTTCGAGAAGAACGATTGTACTGGATGGATCAAGCATTCGAGCATGGGTCTTAAACCGCAATATTGGCAGATCAAGAGTGAGTCTCCTTTCTATTGGATTATTCGGAATGTCCAATGGATTAATTTGTAACTGACAACCATTTCCTAGTGGACAATGACACCAAGAGCGTCTACACCGAAACCACAAACGATGGCATCTATCGATGGTATGCCTTCTCGGGCACGACTGAGATGGGCTGCGACGGAAGGGTGTTAGGCCGTCTCTACAGAGGATGCGCCAGCCTTGCCAAGTATAACGAGACGATCAAGTGCATTCGATGGTGTAGCCTGTGGTCGCACAATGATCACTCATGCAAGGCCATCGGTCAAGATTAGCCTATGCGGCTTCGTAGACAAAAGACTACGGTCAGGGGATGGCAACATCCACACTTTAACAGAACTAGAGGTCGAGACGACCACTTATGATACCCCGTCATTTGATAGATACCAATACAGCATCGCGATTTTTTTTCTTTCGGTTAAGGAAAGCACCACGTGAAGTATCTTTCAATTTTCAATGTCCTGCATATATTTAATAGTTAGCGCGCGAATCTCCATGCCCATTATACTCCCATTTACTTGAAATCCACGACATCCATAGTGAAAATGTCGAAAAGACTATAGTCAAACCCCCCTTTCCCCCTTACCTACTAGGCGGATTCCTCGTGTGTAGGGACCCGTTTAATTCTTGTTAAAGCAATTAATTTGTCTCCATCCCCCTTTGGCTCCATGCTACCAGCAGAACCCGGAACGGAAACCTGGATGTTGCCTTGTTCAATATCCCTCTGCAGTACATCAAGACGGCTGGGCTTTCCATTGGGATGCCACTTCAACAGGAGGTCAGCAATGTCTCCTTTACAAGAGTATTAAGGAGCAACAAATTCCCAACAACCTCTCAATAAAAGTTGGAGGCTCTCTCTGAACAGACCCAAAAGGAAAAAAATAATAAAAGAACTCGTGGCTTTACTTACAGCAGGGCGACCCGAATCAAACAAATCATCCATTTCCTCAAGCGTAAGCCCCGTCGTTTCGTGTGCGAACAGGCTCATATAGATGCAAGCGGCGCCGTTGAAGGCCGCGAATATCATGTACATTTTCCAGTTAATATTCCAGAGAAGCGGCGGCACCGAAAACGCGAGGATCATGTTCCACAGCCAGTTCGATGCCGTGCTGATACTAACCGCCATAGCCCGGACCCTTGGCGGTGGGATCTCGGCTGCGTACGCCCATGAGGTCGGGCCCCAGGTCGATGCGAAAGCCGCCACGAATAGATACGAGCTTGCTACTATTGCCGACGACGCGGGAACGTTGTCGACTACGACCCATGTGATATCGCTACTACCTTGGCCGGTATTTGGTTGGCCGAAGATGGCTTGGAGGGCCCCTATTCCTGCTGTTAGTCCCCAAGAGCTGGTCTACATGGGTGAATTTGTGAAGAGTTCATAGGCGTACCTGAAATGAACAAGAATATCATCATCAAGAAGGAGCCGATGATGAACGTGGGCCTGCGTCCGACCTTGTCTAAAAATAGTATGACAGGCAATGTCAGCACTACGTTAAGCACGTATTGTATAGCGGCGGTTGTAAGGGGCGAGCCAATCTGCGCCGACTCCATAATATAAACAACATAACACATCATAAAGTTGATCCCGCTCAGCTATTCGACCACCGGAGTCAGTATAATATTATATGCCAGCCGTATTCTCGAGCGCGCTTACCTGCGACCACATCTGTACCATCATACCAAGGACCACGCGCTTGAAGATCCGCGGCTGAATAAGCGCTCTAAAGCTAGACAGCGCCTCCTCGCGCTCGAACCTTAGAGCCTCCTCGATCTCTTTGTACTCCGCGAGGACTTTCGAATGGTTAACATCGCCTCGGCCATGAAGATCCGCGATAACCTGGATAGCCTCCTCCCATCGGTCCTGTGATGCGAGCCAGCGCGGGCTATGAGGGAAGAAGAACAGGCCGGCGAAGAGAAGGAAAGCGGGACACATCTGGAGACCCCACGGGATCCGGAAGGCAGCTTCGGATTGATCTGGGTTATCGGGTCCGCCTCCTGTCGTTGCTGTTGTATACTGCATGAAGTATCCCAATAGAATACCCCATGTTATGGCCCACTGCTGGAGCGACACGACCCGGCCGCGGATCTCTTTCGGTGCGATTTCAGACATGTACACAGGAACAATTGAAGATGCAATGCCGACGCAGAGGCCAGAGATGACCCGCCCAACACATAGCATGGCTATATTTTGAGAAGCGCATTGTATACTAATTTGGTCAGACAGACGCTTGCGGGGATAGAGCATGAACCAGGCAATGGTGGGTGTTGGGTTAGGGGGAGTGGGGGTATTTCTTAAAGACATACATTGAACCGATGATCCAAAGGATACATCCCACCTGAAGAGCAACTTTGCGAGAAAACTTGTCTGCGATGAAGGAGCTTGCTAGTGAGCCTATGCCAGGATTCTATTAGTAGATAGTTTACTTTCAAGCTGTTAAGTTAATACATACCGACAAACGAACCAGCGGGCATGGACGCGGTGATTCCACCTTGGCGATAAGAGACTGGGTCGCCGAAGTATCGCTTGTATGCAGAAGTGCCAATAACACCGCTCATGGAGCTGATATCATACCCGAAAATCCCACCTCCTAGATATCAAGGAGCGACGGGTCAGTAAAAGGTGACCGACCTCAAGTGGGTGCGGAGACATACCGAGAGCGGAAAATCCACATATGAGGTACACATTTTTAGCTCGATACATAACAGCAATTAAGAGGGAATTTTCATACACCTCAGAGGAAATATTGATTGTTGGGTTTTTCGAAGAAAAGGTGTAATGAAGAAAACAGACATCCACGCCCCAGCTTCGTTCATAAGGATTTTCTTCGTGTAATGGGAAGAAGGCAATACAAAGATGTGCTTGAAAAGAACCAAGCTGAATAATGATAAGGTCATATTTTTCCTGATACATTATTTAGTTACACCTCTGGTAACTAACAATGTCTTGATGTCTCAATCCGATATCATACGAAAGGAATGTCTATCGGGTAGGGATTCCGCATCCTCTAACAAACCGAGGAGCTATCAGCAGTAACTCTGGGGTAACCCGTACCAGTTACACAGCTCATTGGGATGACAGTCTTCCCTAGCTCCAGTACAAGAGGGGATGTTCTTCAGTGTTGAACGAAGCGAAAGACAGATATCAGATGTTTTGGCTTCTAGGCTGGGGTTAACCGCAGCCACCTAGTCTATCGAAAACCAGTCTCAACTAGCCCTGAGTTTTCTAGCTCTGGTTAGCTGCTTTAGCTCGATGGGGGATCTTCCCCTCGATATGCCTACTGAGCTCTCCATTGGTGCCCGTATCTCAAGGTTGGTGATCGTGTAAGCGGCGGGTTTTGTTTGCCCCTGACTTCGGATGAAGTAAAGACTCATAGTAGATTCTCGATCGGAGTAACGGACGAAAGAAAACTTGGCGTCTTCTCAACGGTCGGCGAATGCACACGTGATTGGAAGATATCATATTCTTCATCACTTGCAAATATCGAAGAAATGCGATGCGATGTTTGGAGTTTCGTAAGCAAACACCAAAACTTGTTGATGAAAAATAGGAAACACCTGCCAATTTCGATGGGAGCATATGCAAAAAACCTTGCATTCCATACCCCTGGGAGTCCCTTTGTAGAAAAAGGGTCAAGGTGAAGGAAATGTCTACCTTGACTTGTACTTGATATATCAGATTGGGGGATGCTGATCTGTTATTGAGAATTTCGGGAGGGATGTCTGGTTGCCCTTGCAGATACAGGCTAGGATGAGTTCACGCGTGCTGCCAAATATAGAGAATGATTGATTTGAAAGCATATGTCGGCGTCTCGAATCGAAAGCACACAAAAAACGCCATCCCGTTCATAAGCTCTGTGATCCATGGCCCCGGAATCCGTCGGGTTGGTTGCGAATACTGCTATCCAATCCTAACAATCGTGCCCTGTTTGCTTAGGCCCATAGTGCGGTGGTCTGATATCTGCATCTGGTAGTCTCGGCCGATAACTTTAGACTCATTGCTATTTTTATGGATTAGAATCGAAGTTTATCACGAGAAGATATGAAATGTGGACGTTGACTAAGAACTTGCCTCTACCTACCTACATAGTCAACCTATTTTCAATATGAAGCGCCCAGTGAGATAAAGCATTTGTGTATCGACAATTGTGCATCTAACGCTAGAGCTCACCAAACTTGAGCCCTGTCAAAAGAAACACAAGAAGGGGGTCTAGACATATAGTAATGTAACATAAGAAATAACAATTGATGTCATGCAGCATCGTGCAACCGCGACGTGCCTACCAACAAGCTATCCATTTTGCCCTTTGGATTTGGCAATTAATTTCTAGGCAAGTCGAAAGTAAATACGTTTCACCTAATATCTTCAAGTCTCGGATTTAGCATATTGAGAAACTGGGTGTCTTGTCGCGCTAGATAATTCCAAAAAGTTGGATGCAAAGGTGCAAAAGCTTCAACGAACGAATTGTACGAGAAAAATGGTGGATTTGTAAGCGCAAAGCTTACATAAACAAGGACTCGAAGATTCAAGGTTGTATTACTAACACATTTATCGACTTACGTAATTAAGAATAAAATTGAAATGTTGGCAGGTGTGATATACACAGCAAGTTTACCTACATGTACGTAGCTGCTATGGATTTTATAGGACTACAAAGTAGTTAATATAATAAATCTCAGCTATTTACTATAATCCCTGCTGGTCGCATTGCGAGTGTTCCGTTACGCTCTCTTCATGATCTCCTCTCCGAAGCCCGGCATGAAGCCCAGCGAACAGTGAGAAAATGAGCAAGTACGACTCTTGAATAAGAGATGACTTGCATCTAGTGAAACAAGAAATCTATGTGAAGGTCAGCATAGCGCAAGGCGAAGGTTTTTAGTTTAAACCTAGGTGCCTGATCAGTAGAGCAGTAGATGGTCAAGTCAGTCACGTCCATGATCTCCACTGGAGATAATTAGGTAATAATATAACAACAAGGAAAACTCTGAATTATATCCCCTGCCACTTAGTTCCAAACCATTAAGGTTCGCGAAAATGGTGCAAGGGGGGCGATAGAATTGCATGGCCGAAAATTGACGAACGACGTAGGGCGTGTCGGCTTGAGCTTTCCAGCTGCTATGGTACATAAGGCTGCTTCTGCATGGCAGCGAACGATGAAAGAAAAAGAAAACGGGGTAAAATCAGGAAATAGAAGTAATAGCATCGGGCATTGAAACGTCGTCTTGATGTCATATGTGCCGTGTGCGTAGAACTGCAACGATATCCGGGGAATCCAGGTAAACATCCTTTTCCTGACAGGATCAGCCGTCCTCCACAAAACGCCATGCTATGCTTCGCTATCAAGTAATCAATTGTGTCGAATCCCCCAAGGTCTAGAATCTATACGGCTGCCAACGGAAGTGGTGCAGTGTGGGGGCTTACGGGAATCTACCTACGGTGTATCCTCATTCTCAAGCTACCACTCTGCCCAGCCGTTGTAGGATTCTGTCGTCGGCTTAGGTAGCTTGGATAATTCACGTAGACGGTTGCGTTGCTCCGTAAAAGACGTATAATCGCCGCCGAATAGAGGACCGAGGATGGAATCACCAAAAGGGTCGTCTTTAGGATTCTCGCCATTAGCAACTTCATACATGCGGTCTTTAAGAATCTCATAAGCCTCTCGAAAAAAGTTGATAATCATTTCGGTGTTGAAAGAACCACCTGAAACGTCGTTCTCCGGGTTGTTGGGATCCATGATAGAGAGACGGTCGTAGTTGCGGTAAGTAAAACCTCTCACTTCACTCTGAATTCATAGTTAGCATGCATAGTAGCGAAAGATACTTCATAAGACTCACTTTAGGAATAAGACCAGGAGGGTTCACACGAATTGCCACCTCCTTGTACCGAAAGTGGTTGCCATAATAATCGAAAAATTCCATGAGTGTATCCCCCAAGTGCCACGCGGGAAACATATCCCCGCTCTGGACCTGCGGTAGTTGATCAAGGAGGTGTACAACCATGCACATGATTGAGAATCCACCGATACCGCCGTTGACGGGCTCATTAAGCCCTCGCATCAGGAGGAATTGCTTCACTAGAGATACGATGGATGGCATCGAAGGGTATCGGTCTTTCCAATGGGCGAACGTTGCGATAGCATGACGACCGTCCATTTTTTCAAAGGAGAGGTCGACCTTAAGGAAAGATAAACTGTCGACGAACTTAACAAGAGGAACTTTAGCCTTAGAAATGACCTCGACGTTGTCGTCCTCGGCGAACCCGCCTACTCGGAGGTAATTCTGTAAAGCGAACAGGTGGTTTCTTTTAGAGTACTTCGGAATGTGGTCAATGACATAGCTGTTGGAACAGACGGCTATATCCATGTCGGCGGTCGGGAGGTACATGCCAGACATATACGATCCAAAAGCATAAAGATCAACGTCCGGCCACTTTCTCCGAATAGCCTTGCCAAGTCGATCGATTAATTGTTGTCGGACATCGATCTCAAAATAGCGTGGAGAGACCCAAAGATAGAAATCAACAATCTCTTGATGGAGTCTGCGGGTATTAGAAATGATATTAGAAATGGTCTTGATAGAGGTAGAGATAAGGGAAAAAGCTTACCGGCTACCAGGACTGAAAGAGTTATTTACGTGGTCTGCCTTGAACCATGGGCAAGGCTCATCCTTAGGTAGCCACCAGGGTAGGATATTTCCACCTTTATCCATCTTCTTTACTGGCCTGCCCGATGCACGTGATTTTTGAGAAGATGAATAAGACTTGATATTGTCATCGAAGGTGCGCTTTCGATTGCCAAGAGAAGTAGAAGCCGTTAGGTCGATGGGGTTTGATTTGTTACCCAGAGAATTTTCATGGGAAGTGGAATTGCGTGTGTGGGATTCTGCAGATGCAATTCGGTTTTCGGTAGAAGGAGAAGTTGTTGCGGTTGCCCCGCGTAAGTCGCGTAAAGTAGAAATTTTAGCGCCTGCCTTGGTGGTTGATTCTTGTCCATATCGAGTCTGTCCCTTTGACTCACTGTTGCTGGGCAGGTCACGAACCTTATCATCATTATCATTGAAGTCACATGAAATAAAATCCAACCCTTCTATCTGCGCAGCTGGTTTTTTAGCTTCTGCCTCTACCCTAGCCTTGCGGATTAGCTGCACCATATCTTTCTTTTTGCGCGAAGTCTCATCAGGCGGTGGGAGTGCTGTGTATGGGTCTGGATTCGACCATTTCGGCGCCTCTTGTTCTGCAGCGGTTGCAGTGGTAGATGTACGTGCGCGTTTGCTAACAGGCTCAGCAACATCTGTGTCCGAATTGTCCGATATATCCATCTCGGTCTCATCGCTGTCAGAAAGTTCATCGACATCTCTGTAAGTTACTCGCCCTTTAGTGTCGCCTAGCATGAGTTCCGGGTCCTCGTCGTGCTTCTTAAGCAGTAGGAGTCGTGCAGATGGCTTCGTTTTTTCTCTGCGTTCACCCCGTCGCCCATAGCCAGTACCCTGTTGGGGTTGGTATGAATTATGTTGGCGTCTGCGATCATCCGTACGACGAGGGCGGCCATTGCGACCTTCCTGTCTACCATTTTCGTTACGGCGGGATTGATAAGGTGCAGTTCGTTCATCGTTGTAGTTGTTCCTACTATTATAAGTATGACGAGATGATTGACGGGGACTGTATTCATCATACGCTCTTGGGGCATGTTGATCTCGATCCCTTTCTCTATCCCTCGGACGGTAGGATTCGTAGGACTCGACGCCAGGCGGAGGTTCTACGCGAAAGGTGAAGTCGCCTTGAGGAGGGCGGTAATTATCGCGATCATGATCACGATCGCGGTCGCGGTCGCGATAATCTCCGTCATTTCGACGGCGGTCTTCTTGGCGGTTTCGGCGCAAATCAGAATAAGGGCCTCGAAATTGATGTTCATCTCGACGGTCTTGTTGGGTGTAGTGGTCGTTCCATTGTCGCGATGGACCATCTGCAGGCGGTGGGTACGAAGACTGCGCCGGTCGATCATACCTCTCATTGCCATAGGAAGATGGCGGCGGCGGAGGCGGAGGCAGTGGAAGGCCAGATGAGGTTGGCGGAGGCGGCGGTGGATAGGTATTCCTATACATCTTGGGCAAATAGGTTGTTCGATTCTTGTCTGCCGTTGGACGTGAAGTTGAAAAGGTTAAAAGGTTAGGTTACGAACTTGTGAGGAAATGGAAGGATTGAAAAAATGGTGGGTACGCTTAACGCAATAGGGTAAGCTACTGGTGAACCTACGCAGTGAATGCCCCTCTGAAAACACGGGTTAGGGGCAGGGGTAATATTTATAAGAAGAACCCCACACTAAAAATCAGCGACTGGATTCCTTTTAGCAACAGACAAAGTTCATCAAAGCTTCGAGTCACTCGGGTCTATCCCCATTCGTAATCCATTTCTCTTGACACATTGAAACGAGATACATTTTGCACCAAATCAATGAGATTCAAATCAATGAGAATTTTCAATATATATACAGTACTCAAAGTATACAATTCACTCAGAATGAGTATATATAACTATGGGTGACATACAGAATGTTATATCACTTACTTACGCCAATATCCCCCAGTCCGCCTATCAGTAACTTACACATGCTACAGCACCTGGCAGGCAATAAATGCCGGTGGATGTCAGCTTGGATTATTACGTTAGGCAATTTTTCAATTACCTAATCCCTGGAAAAATCAACATTACTAAGCAGATTCCGCTTTCATTCATTAGGTAAGGAATGCTTTGCCTACCTAGTAGTACCTAGTAATCAATGGTATTTCATAACTACCTAGGTATTGTAGGTGTAATCCATCGAAAATTTCAGACCAACTAGTAACTCAACTTTCGGTAATGGTATTGAGCAGCCTCTATATATAAACACCTCGTACCTATTAGGACTCAGGTACCCACATACCTGGCAGGAGTCTATGTACATACGAGTAACGATACACACTTGAAGCTATCATGCCATGGGACTGAGCCACAAGTTCACTGGTTCTTACCTGCCAATTGAGCCAAACCACCAAAAGACGACAATCACAAGTCGGACAACTTGCGATCTATCACAGCTGATATGGCCAGTCTGTAATAGAAGCCCGTGTTGACAACCATATATATGAACGAATTATACCTAAGTACACGTGGATAACTCTACGGAGCTATCTATGGTATATATAGTAGAAATATCTTGTGGTTTGATCTAACTCAGATTTCTATGCCGTCCCATGTCCATTCGTGCGGGCGAGTGGCGGAATCTCGAAGAAATTTCGATCCTCCCTGTACATCTTCCAAGTGACACGAAATAAGCCTCTACTCAAGACACATACCAACTATTCACTACCGACCCCATGGGGAATCAATCGACGGACGGATGGTACGGTAATATGTCCAGCCGTGTCGGCTTGGCTTGCACTTCTACTGGCCGCTTAAATTCCTCTATATTGCCACGGACATCTAGACGCCGCGCCCCCAGATTAGGCTTGAGCAATTCTATCTATAAGTGAGTCTACGGTTCCTAGCTCATAAGATTTTTTTAAGGGTTCCAACCCTCCAAGAACTCAAACCGGTTACTCTACGCGTACACTTGGGCAACTATGAAGGTACAATCGATTATCCTGAGCCTGGCGGCTCTGGCCTCCGGTCATACCATCTTCCAGAAGATGTCCGTTAACGGGGTAGATCAAGGCCAGCTCAAGGGTGTTCGTGCTCCTGATAGCGATTACCCTATCCAAAACGTCAATGATGCCTCTTTTGCATGCAACAAGGATCTCAAGCATGTTGATAGCACCGTCATCACCGTCCCAGCTGGAGCGAAAGTTGGTGCATGGTGGGGGCATGTTATTGGGGGTGCGCAGTCAGCAAATGACCCAGACAATCCCATTGCGAAGAGCCACAAAGGTGATATAAACCCCTTTTACATGGTTTTCGGACGTAATTAACCTCTCCCAGGCCCCATCATTGTATACCTTGCCAAGGTGGACAATGCTGCTACGGCCCAGGCAACCGGTCTTAAATGGTTCAAGGTAGCCGAAGACGGGCTAAGCAACGGGCAGTGGGGAGTCGATAAGATGATCTCTAACAACGGATGGCATTACTTCACGATGCCCCAATGCATTGCACCAGGCGATTACCTAATGCGCGTGGAATTAATCGCTCTACACGGCGCCCAAAACCAAGGACAAGCTCAGTTCTATATGGAATGCGCTCAGTAAGACAGACTCTCCTTTAACATGTTACCCCTATTTCTAACACAATGCAGAATCCGCATCACTGGCTCCGGGACCAACGCCGGTTCAGACTTTGTTAGCTTCCCCGGAGCATACAAGGCGAGCGACCCCGGTATTCTCGTTTCCATCTACGACACAACCGGAAACCCGTACATGGGCGGGAAACAGTACACGATCCCGGGCCCGAAGGTACTCACTTGCTAGACATAAGGCATCGCGGTTCCAAGAATACAGATCCCATCGGCGAAAGTCATGGCCACGTATTTAAGCAAACTCTGCTATACCTGTATGTATAAATAATCTCAATGGTATCTAAGGTGCATTTGGGGTCATGAAATTCTTAGCATGCATAACTCTGGCATTTATTGATAGAACTAGTGTAATAGGTACCTGATCTAAAACTGGTGATTCTAGAAAATCTGAGCCATGAATTAGCGCATGTCGTTGTTCAAAAGACAATAATCTGTACCTATCTTATAGCCTGCAGGCTCCTAATATACAGCAGCCAAGAGGCCTAACGACTCACTGATGAACTAACTTGCTAGGCGAGTAGGTACCCATGCACTTGCCCGCGCAGCTTCCTTGCCATTGCCTCATTGGGCAACACTCAACTGTGGATGAAGAGCCTGATTGGCTTCGATTAAATCCCGCCGAGACCGCCTAGAAATAATTCGTAGGCCCCTATAGTTAGGGCTACTAGGTACTAGGTAGATATTAGGTCAAAAATTAGGTATGACAAGATTTAAGAGAATATCCATCTGTTCTATCCGCTTCGAATTCCCTTGTCTATGTCTATAATAGATATTCTAACTAATATTCGGAGTTAGGTACATTTATAAATTGCATACCTAGTACGCATGCAAGATTGATATTGAAAAAACGAAATGTATGCCAACGAAAAAGGCCGAAAAAGGCCGAAAAAGCTCAGCGCAGGTTTTCGCATTAATAGTCCTATGAACCGTCCTTGATCTCGTTTTCGCTTTCCTTAATATGTGGCTCTACGGACTTCTCGTCGGTAGAAGACCCATCTTGGCCCCCCTCGGCAGATTTCTTCTCTGGCTGTTTCAGGGACATCCAGTCCATAAAAAGAGGGCCGAAGATAGATAACGCGCTGACGGCAACGGCAACATAAAAGGTCTGGGTTACGGCGTCGTTGTAAGCTTGTAGAACAGCCGGAAGCTGGTCAGGTGGGACGAGATCTCGGATGGCGGTAACACCACCGTTGACAATGGTGCTGGAGTTAAGATCGGGAGCATTAGCGGTAAGATTTTTGATCAATTGATTCTGAAAAATAGTTTGAGCTACGGCCAGGAAGATGGAGGAAGCAAGTGTTTGGGTAAAAGTCATGATGGAAGTGGCCATAGCCATATCCTCCAAAGGAACGGCGACCTGTGCTACAAGCATAACATTCTGGGCGCCTATCCCAGCACCGGCTGCAAGCACTACCTGGTAGCCGAACCAATACCCAATGGTAGAGTCGACTTTTAGAGTGCTAAGGAGGCCCGCACCAACGGCTGTGATAGCGGAAGAAACGATAAGTAGCGGGGTGAACATCGCTAACGCAGTAGCTAACCCACCCCCAATTATAGCGAAGATAACCAGACCGAGGATACTAGGTAAGTTCATGAGGCCGGATGTAGTAGCATCAACTCCCTTGATCGCCTGGAACCAAATTGGCAAGTAATATGAGAAAACGAACACGGCGCCGCTTATACATACACCATACCACACGCCACCCAAGATGTTCTTGTTCTTTAAAATGCGCAACGGGACGGTCGCTCGATCTTTCTGATAAATTTCAACGCCCCAAAATACAATGCCCAATATGCCGAAAACAACGAATAGGGCAATAATCCGCCCGTTATCCCAAGCATATTGAGCACCTCCCCATTGCAAAGCCAAGAGCAAGGAAATAATCGATGGAATCAGAAAGAAGGTACCAGGAAGGTCGAATTGTTTGATTTGCTCTTTCCATGGCAGTCCAGGTTGTGTCGCCGGCTTAGTGGGCAAGAAGAAAATCAAGCACGCGACGGCGACGCCACCGAGCGGAAGATTGATATAAAAACACCAACGCCATGTTAAATGGTCCGTAAAGGCGCCGCCCAGACTATCGCTCAAGTTAGACGATATTAATACACTAGGATCGGAGGATGCTACTCACAGGGGGCCTGCGACACTCGCAATACCATGCATGCTTGACAATAGACCAGTATAGATAGGTCGCTGTCTCAGAGGGACCGAAGTTGCTAAAATAATAATAGCACCAGCGAAGATTCCTGCCCCGCCCACTCCAGAAACGGCTCTTCCTACGATGAGCACGGTCGAGGAAGGGGAGACGCCAGCGATGAGGGAACCAATCTCGAACAGGACGATTCCGACCAAAAATACCCATTTCACAGGATACATGATGTAGAACTTGCCGAACATCAACTGGAAAGCGCATACGGCGAAGAGATACGAGCTCCCATACCACGCAACATCATTTAATGAGTTGAAGTCGTTAGTGATGCGGGGAATGGCGGTTGCAAGAATGGTGCTGTCCTGCGCAAGCGTAAGATTAGAAATTTTGTATTCGAACAGGCGTTAAGTTCCAGCAACAGAAGACTTACCAATGACACAACAAGCAGGGCCATGCAGAGAGCAATTGTCAAGAGAACCAACTTCCAGAACGAAGGATACTCCTGCTCAACATCACCAGTCGCTACCTCGACAGCAGGCTCGCTCTTCTCCAAATCTTGAGCACCTTGAACAATCTTTTCGCCTTGTGAGTCTTCCTGGCGAGATTGCATGACCTCTTCTTGATTATTAACCTTTTCAGGCGTCGCAGAAGTGTCGTCGGGGGGCCGCATCGCTAATAGTGTCTAGCCTCTAGATACCGTCTACATCTAGTAAATTGAAGAAACAAAACAAAAAGAGTGAACCAGAAAACTACCAATGCATTATAAAATTAAGGCAACGTCGCAAATCGAGGCGATCTTCATAGATATACATTTCTATGACATGGATGAGTCAGACCGCGATTCGCAGTCGTATTCACGAGCCAGTGATATCGAATCCTGTGTGGCATTGCTACAAACGTTCCAGCTGATATGCGATTGCGACGCTGAAATAGGAGCTGCAGACAGTAATAAGCGATAATCGCTTGCCCTACGAACTACGGCCGGGGTGTATCGCAACTGCCGTCTGGGGAACTGCAGGTACCCGTACTCCACTAGTACCGTTCTCGCTGGGCAAGAGCACCACTAATATTTCCGCGGAGAGAGCATTCAATGCTGGTGGTTAGCTTTGTTACTACCTTCACAATCCAGACATACCTGCGGTTTCATATGTATTATATCTACAAGACCCGTTGCGACTTCGTCCGTCCTGGTCTTACGATATTCATCTACAGCTATATCGAAATGAAATTCTATGAGGACGCTCCGATTTCTCGAGTGCGTACAGACGCATTAATATTAAGACGATTGTGGATATTAAAGAGGGAAAAAAAACTAAGCTTAAAGAAACAAGGCATCATTCGCAATATTGTTTCTGGGTTGTCGCCATCAAATAAGGGAATTCGTCCTGTTCTACCAATAGCTTATTATTTAAAGCCCCCAACGAAGAGTTCCTAGGTCGATGTGCAGGGGACAAGCCGCTAAGCTTCTACCCTGGCGTTGTTTCTAGCGAATACCTAGTGGCTGGGGTTTCTCTCAATGGCAGCAAGAAATAAATCCCACAGAATTTGGCCAAAGGCCGCCGAAGATTGCGGCGTTCCTCATATGCCGCCTGAAGCAGCATAGATTTAGCGCATGCAGCGGTAATTAATTACCTACAACACATTCTTTTTCTACACAATACCTACCTGCTTACTTACAGATAACTTGCCATTTTATCGAGAAATTAATGAAATGCGCGAAGTCTGGGAGAATGCCTACCTAGGACCTATGTATCTAGGTAGGTAAGTAGGTGATTTTGGAATAATAAATTATCAATCGTTGAGTCAACCACGAGAGCAATGGCAGAAGAGAATTGCTACCCCCATCTACTGCTAGGGGAAATCGTCATACCTTCAGGTCCTAGCAGGTAGCGAGAAAAGCCTCGCCTGTCATTTCGGTGAGATTAACTTAGGACAAAGGCGTCTTGTCTCCCTTCGGAGTTCCGATTCTAATAATAATTGTTAGTGACGTCTTCAAGTGCGTGAGGCATCTACTCACAATAGCGCTAGAACCTTGAAGGCGTCTTGGGCGTCGAACCGTACACACATATCCCAACCAGCGTGAGTTTTTTTCGAGTCGTTGTATCTCAATGCTGCACTAACATTCTGATTCTCAAAAAGGAATATGGGGGGGACGGGGCGCTATCGTCGCTAAATTTGGTCATCCCAGAGTATCATTCCCCTAAGTTACTTGGTCAGGTATCGCTAAAGTCCAAAGACCAAGCTTCGACCCAATCCCTAGGTATGACCATGCGATCATATTAAAGATATCACGGTTGTCCTAGTAGAATATATCTAAAGCGACATATTCGGTGGGCGACAGAGACGCTTATGGCGTGAACAGCACGAGAAACATACGACCCCCTATTTTTCATTGATCGGAGCGTACTCGGTGGATTGACACTGCTAATCAGCCTCCTTTCTATGAACTATTAGGTATGTTACAACAGGATAAAAATAGGATTGCGAGCTTCCTAGAAAACAGTTACCTAGGTATTCATAAGAAATACCCTAAGAGAAAAAGCAAAAATGAACAAGAACAACTTACTATTGGGAAACAGATGCGAGATTAAGTACCTATATATGTACCCAGAGAAGGCGGTAGCTGAGGTTCATCTACTCGGCTAATGCACCTATAAACACTAGTTCTTTAGCTGGCTTAAGCTTAATGTCCCATGGGGATGGGGTGTCAGGACATAGCTGTCGATAAAAATAGAATCTGCATCAATCAATGTCCATCAGCCCTAACACTGGAGGCGCAACAGCAATTTCTACAGAGGCGGCCACCGACGGACGAGCAGATATACTATGTACTGGCAAGCAAGTGTCTTTGAGTTACTGTTAGACATGAGATACCAAGTTCTAGAGTTGATCTCAGGAGAACATTACAACACAAGCAAAGCTTGAAGAGAAAAGAAACTTCTGACGCATCAATAAGCACCATGGATTTTGAAGCTGAAGTCGTTATTCAATATGGCTGACGCCATCTTCTCATGAAAACAGGTAGGTGACAATACCTTCATGGGCCATGGGCCAGGGGGGCGATCCTATAGAGCCTCAAATGCGCCCTTATCCCTCCGAGCTGACCCTAAAAATAAACATACCTAGGTAGCTATCACGTCCTTAGCAGTGCCGGTATAAAACATGGACATCTCCGTAAACCAATGTTCTTGTTTTCCATTCTCTTCACCCTAAGTTTCTCATCCAAAGACAGTCTTTTCCGCAGGAGAGACTTCGATATTCGTTGGCTCTTTCTTCATCAAGATGCTGTCGAAGTCAGTCGTAACGGCTGTCCTAGTTTTTGCTAGCGCCAGGGTTACCACCGCCATCCGTAAGACATTATCCATTTGATTCCCAGGAAATTCGCTAACAATCACACCAGCCCTCGAGTCCACAAGCGAATCCGCCCAGCCCAGCAAGCGATGGCTCAACAGTGGCAAGGTCCGCGGTGTCAATCTCGGGTCGCAATTCATCATTGAACCATGGATGGCCGGGGATGAATGGAAAAGCAGTAAGTAAACCCCTATACCTCTCAAAGCACCAACATCTCACACCCATCACCACAGTGGGCTGCAGCGGCGACGACCACGACGAATGGTCATGCGTCCAGCACCTAGGCCAAGAAGCAGCAAACGCGGCCTTCAAAAACCACTGGAACACCTGGACGACGCAAGAAGACATCAACCTGATCAAGAGCTACGGGCTAAACACGGTGCGCATCCCGGTCGGATACTGGATCCACGAAGAACTCGTGCAGTCGGACGAGCACTTCCCACAAGGCGGGCTGTCCTACCTGGACCGACTAGTCGGATGGTGCGCCGACGCAGGGCTGTACGTGATTATGGACCTGCACGGGGGTCCCGGCTCGCAATCCGTCAGGCAATCATTCACCGGGCACACAGTCGACAACCCAGGCTTCTACACCTCGGCGAACTACGAGCGCGCGTACCAGTTCCTCGAGTGGATGACAGAGCGGATCCACACGAACGAGAGCTACCGCACCGTCGGCGCCCTCGAGCTCATCAACGAGCCCGTCAGCAGCCGCGACTACCCCTCGCAAGCCGCGGGTATGATCGCGAACTACTATCCCACGGCCTGGACGCGCATCCGCGGTGTCGAGTCGAGGCTTAATGTGGCGGAAGACCATCAAGTGCATATCCAGATGATGGTAATACCCCCTCTCCCCCCTCTCGGAAATTTCTGTGTAAGTATAAGTACTAACAATACCAATAGGATCAGGACTGGGGCTCAGGCAACCCGTCAAGCAATCTCCCCTCCACCACGAACGCACTATACGACGACCACCGGTACCTCAAATGGGACCCATCCGTAGATAAAACCAAGAGCGCCTACATGAGCGCAGCATGCAGCGACTACCGCGGAGGCAATGACGTGATTGTGGGCGAGTGGTCCATCTCCGTAGCCGACGACGTAGAAAACGGGTCCGAGTTCCAGATCGACGGCAATCCGCCCGACCAAGTGGAATGGTATCAGAAATTCTGGGCCGCGCAGGTGACCTCGTACGAGAAGTCCGGGGGCTGGGTGTTCTGGTCGTGGAAGTGTAATTGGATCGGTGGTAGGAACGAGTGGCGGTGGTGCTACAAGTCCGCCGTCGAGGCCAAAGTCATTCCTATGGATGCCGGGAGTGCTGCGAGCCTCAACCCCTGCTCAAGTTAATAGCGGGAGGGAGACAGATTCGATTTCTAAAACCACGCTCCATTTTTGTTACATTATATAATAAGACGCAAGTCATATTTTATTCACATGATGAATAGCCTCGTGTAAGGAATTCCATGTCGTGCCACACTGAGCTTTTTCTACCTGTAATGTAACGACTCTCCCCGTGTCTTTTTGCTATACAGACCTTTTTTTCCTCCGTACCTCGCGGCGTAATTATCGTAACCACGAACTCCGTGCTGCATATAAACGAAAATAAAAACAAAATAAACGTGATGGATTGTTTCGAAGCCACCGCGATAGGCTTTATCCAAGGGGCCTAGCATCTCAACGAAGTGCTGACATTGAAGTTTTCCTTGGGGCGATTAGAGACTGAGTTGAGCAGTCTCGGCCTTGGAGATGTACTCCTGGTATGGCTCTAGCTTCTTCTCGATCACACCTCCTTTGCCACAGTATCTTTCAACCTAAAAATATTTAATCAGCGGCTGTTTCACGCCAAAAGCCGTAACAAGTATCATAAACGAAAAATGAGATTAAAGACTTACGATTACGGCACTTCGACCAGTGTAAAGTCTAGGGTCCAACATCTCATCGAGGTCACCCCAAATGTCCTTGAAGTAATCATCCTTCTTAATGCGCTCGATGAGATCATTGTTACCACCCTCGTGCTTGACAACATGGCTCGCTTCGTGTGAGAGTACTCTGACCTTCTCATGGGCTTCCTGTCGAGAACCTCCCTTAGAGACAATCTTCATGAGGATAGCTTCGGTAATCATCTAACATTTGAGGTTAGAAGTTGTTTATCATAGAGAAATGAAATAAACGTACGAAGGGGAGTTCCTGTCTGTTACGCGATTCGATTCGCTTGGGGTAAACAACTAAACCGTTGGTTACGTTGTCAAGTCCAATCAAGATAGCATCTGCAAGAAGGAACTAGCGATTGTTAGTTTCCATATGGTTATTCTAAAGGGGCGTTGCGGCTTACCATTTCAGGAATGTCAATGCGACGGATAGCTGTAAATTTTACATGTTAGCGATATCTATTTGAAATCGGAACAGCTACTTACCGCTATCGTCCAGAGACCTCTCCAACCATTGTGCTGAGAATGTGTTGGAGAAGTTGACTGGAAGGCTTGCAAGTTTGCGACCAAGAGAGCAGATGCGCTCAGAACTGAGATAGAATAAGTTAGTGTCATAGGTTGGTTTAACACTACGAAGCAATATATAGCGTACCGCATGGGGTTCCTTTTGTATGCCATAGCAGAACTTCCGATCTGATCTTTCTCGAATGGCTCTTCTCTAATAACGGTTATTAGTTTATGATAGCATAAATCTCGATGCTAATGTTACTAACAATTCCTTGAGATTGGCAAGATGGCGAACTAAGATGGTCAGTTTCTGATATTATTATCTGATCTTATGGGATTGGTAGACACTTACTGTCAGATGTAATACGTTGCGCGGTAGCACCCAATCCGGCGATAGCGTTAGCCACTCGTAGGTCGACCTTTCGTGTATAAGTCTGGGTTGAGATAGAATAGCACTACAACAATGAGAGTCAACACTTCTATCTCTTACGGTGAGTGGTGAAACGCTTACGCTGGGGAACCCAGCCTTCTTGCACAGAAGAACATTCAATTGATCAACCTTGGATTCATCGCCTCCAAATAGCTCAAGGAAGGATGCCTGAGTTCCAGTTGTACCCTGGCCTCCTCGAAATTGGAGTTCCTTGCGCACATGTTCAATGTCTTCAAGGTCCATGACAAGTTCCTGGATCCATTGGGCGGCTCGCTTTCCAACTGTAATTAATTGAGCCTAATAATAGGTAATTATCAGCGATTTTATTCGTTCATGTTTGGTAATGATAATAACCCCTATGGCTCTCATGAGGTATCCTTCGAAAGCTTGAGCTATCGCTAACGGTGGGGAATCAAGCTACGATTGGCTGGAGAGAAGACTTACAGGCTGGTAATGTGTGTAACCAAGAGTTGGTTCATCTTTCCATTGTTGCGCAAAGTTGGATAGGTTACTATATCAAGTCAGCTCCTTTCTCTATGGCGTCTCATACGTAACTGGTCGTTTCGTTCTCGAGATGCACGATATGGGATATATATAGCAAAAATAGGTGCCCGTATTATTACATACTACATTGCGTCAGCTTTTTTATCTCGTGAATATTGTATTAAGTCATATATCCAGTCCTTGAAGAACTTACCCTAATGACCTTGGCTAGCTTAGGAAGGAGAAGGTCCATGGCATCGCGTATGAGGATCAGTTCGGTGTTATCAGTAACTACAAGAGAATTAACAACATAATAGTGAAGAGGAACCGCGTCGCAGGGTACCATAGCATGAAGTGGCCTACGGGGCATTAGCACGTAGAAGATTAAACAAGTTCACGATATAATCATACCCCAGCATGGATGATACCAGCTGCCGCCGGTGCTACGACACCATAAGCATGGACATGGCCCATGACATCGTGTCGGCGACGGCGCTCCTCCTCTATTGCGATATCGAAATCATCGTCCGTTACAGTGAGATGGGCTCGCAACTGCTCGAGTGCTTCGTCCGTGACTGTAGTATTGCTACAGGTCAATACAGATTTCTATGGTCGCTAAACCAATAGTCAAAGTCTTACTAGTCTCAAGACCGAGTTCCTTCTCGGATTCAGCAAGCCACAGCCAGAGTTTGCGCCAAGTGCTGTGCCTGCTTCTCTGGCTGAAAAGCTTTTTCATCTCCTCGCTAGAATAGCGGGAATCAAGAGGCGTCTTGTAATAATCGTAACCGGCCATGGTTGAAGGTCGTTATGCGAAGCTAGACAGCTATAGTAGCTAGGTAGGTGATCGACGTGAGACTATGATTTATCGCGCAGTAAATAGTAAAACGAGCGCGCAGCGCAAACTCCTCTTCTCTTCTCGTCAATGGAAGAAAGGAGATAAATAACCCGAGGCAAGAAATCCCGTGGAAATAATCTAACCTGATCAGCTCAAGGTAGGTCACACGGAACGAAAAGAAATAAATTAGCTTGGTAGTCTCTTGGGTTATGTTTTTATGTATGATCTGATTATGCAGTAGATGCAAAGAATACCATGCGATGTTTTCTGTTACTAAATCGCAATTTTCATATTGCCAATGGCGGGGCTAAAATTCTTAATGGAGGGGTAAATCAAGCTAGAAAGGGTAAGCGGTATCTAATGAGCCAGGGCACCGGCTACAATAGCTAGCTTCCTATTGGCCAATTCAGTCACCTGCGGACTATATCATGCGAGTTTGTACGCTGTCGGTATGCGACAATGTGAAATATTTCTTATGGAGTATGGAGTATAGAGCGTTATACTTCCTTCAACCCAATCTAATTGGTTTGGTTGGCTAGGATATATCTGCCTAGGTAGACAAGGCATATCTGGAACATGATATTAGTTTAAACCCTTTAACACATTCGTCCACTGTAGCTTACACTCACGGGGAAGACTTCCGGCTATTTGGATTGAAGTGCTGTCTTGGCCTGAAACCTGCATCTCTCATCCTAATTTTGAGAAAAAACAGCTATCGTCGATGCGCTATCTTTATGAATTAACTCACAAAGTATCGTCCGGCGGCATATCCCAACTTCTTATTGGTCTTCCTTTCTGCTTCCTCTTCCCGAGAGCCGTACCGCCGCCACCAACAAAATTCATAACCCACTCCCATACCTTTCGAGTCTTGAGTAACTGCGGGTGTGCCGGCTTCTTCGACGAGACATCCCTCATGATGTATAAACCGCCTCGATCAGCTCTGTCCAACTTCCTCCGGTAGAGAAGATCAATCTTGGTGAGACTCTTCCTCAGACTGTGTCCATGTACTTTCTTCATGAAAACACTCAGCGCAACATTACGGAGAAGCACGATATCCTGTCTACGAAGCTCCTTAAGGGTCTTAGCTGAGGATTCGTCGGATTCTGCCGATAGCCAGAAACTGACGCTGAAACCGGACTTTGTCTCGTCGCCGACAAGTAATTCAACGAGAGATCTTGTTGCGCCCCATCTAGTTTTCACAGTACGTGGCTCTGCGATGGATATTATGCCGACTATGAGATTAACCGTCATCGTCTGGGGCGAGATGGATTGGAGATACGGCCCAGCTGGTAAATCTTCAAGATCGCTCAAATGACCTAATTGAGGAAGCAATTGTTTGTTTTGACGGGCAGAAGAACTACTACCCTGCGTCGATAAATACGTACTCATATCCTCAGTGGTGTTCAACGAAGACTCGTCGGTACTCAAGCTCAAAGTCGGTAGCTGGGACGATGGTATATCATTATGGATAGCAAGAGAATGGTCGTAGAATTTGTCTAGTATTTCCTGGCTCATTCTACTAGTATCTGCCAAGTCGGAGGTAGACTCATGAGAGGCGGTAAAGGCCGTGAAGAAGCCTTCATCTCCACGGTAATCGGACGTTATTTGATGAAGCTGGGAGAAACCGGTTGGTAAGGTTGTTTTCTCCAAGGGTATAGATCGCCAAAGAGCAACATCTAGAGCGGATCCTAGAACCTCATCCGTGGTTACTAGATTCGGTGTGTCCTCAATGCGAGCAAATTTTGCGATGGGATCCAAGAATTTGTTAAGGAGGTTTGACTCATCCCAGTTAAGTTTATGAGTTTCCGGTGCACCTGCGAGGATCAGGATTTTTCGCACCATGGCGACCTAAAGAAAACCATTATTCCACTACCGAGTTTAGATACTTTCAATTTATATAAGCAAATCTTGTTGGAAAAAGCGTCGATTTCGAACTCGTCGTGGAAGCTGGATGGTTGTTGTATTATTAGATGGAGTTGAGAGAAAGGAGGAAGTTTAACCAGGTAATGCCATCCCAGCATTTGCTATAATAGTGGATTCCAGTGGTTTTGCATAGCGCTTTCTTTAGCGGTTCAGCCCCACATCCCCACCCAGTATGAACATTCTGTTTGTTGACGTAGCCTTGCCTTAGCCAATCATAGGGCCTTGTGCTTTGTTTACTTAAATCGGGGAAATCGGGCACCGACAAAATGCAAGCACTTGGCACCTGCATTCGAGCCATTGAAATCCTCGGTTTCTGTTTCTCCAATCTCCAATTTGCTAAACTTTACAGAGCACAAACTTTGGGAATTCTTCAATCTTATTAGAAGATAAGCATTTCCTCATTTGCTTCGCACTCGCTATTTCTTATATTTTACCACAATGTCCCAAGAGCCGGGACTTTGGAGTGTCCGTCGGCCGCGAGAGGTATGACAAGCAATGCGCCCAACGCGCAAACACTTTGAACACCTTGATCCTTTTACCCCTTTGTCGCGCGCAATTAGAATCTTTGTAACTAACTGATCCAATCGCGGCCAGACTCTTGGTGGTATCAATCCTAATACTGCTATACCTCAACCAGCATCAGCGATGAAGAGATCGAACTCGATTGGCGGAAATGGCGGTAGCGGCTTTTCTAGTAGCCATATGCGATCTATGTCGGGATCTAGACAATCCCTTCTCGCTCGCCCTAGCCAGCCTATGTTCTCGCGATCTTCATCCGGCGCCAACTTAGCCGATGTAGGAATGTCGTCAGTGAAGCGCTCATCCTTTCAGAATGTCCCCGGTTCCACGATAAAAAGCTACGCTTCTGGCGGTGTGCCCATGCGCAACTCCGAGAGCGAACGAAGAAGTAGTGTTTACCGCTCTCGAACGTCTACAAACGGTCCCGGAAACCACCAAAGCTTCTTTCAACAAGCACCGCAGGCTGCTGGCGTACCACGCGACCCGCGACCATTAAAGGATCGATCATTCCAGGCGCGAATCGGTCAGGAGCTCTTAGATTATCTATCGCAACATAACTTTGAGATGGAAATGAAACACACACTATCGCATAACATAATCAAGTCGCCTACCCAGAAGGATTTTAACTACATGTTCCAATGGCTATATCATCGCATCGACCCGAGCTACCGTTTCCAGAAGAACATAGATCAGGAGGTTCCTCCAATCTTAAAGCAACTTCGTTACCCTTACGATAAGAGTATTACCAAATCGCAAATCTCTGCGGTGGGTGGCCAGAACTGGAGTACCTTTTTAGGCTTACTGCATTGGATGATGCAATTAGCACAGATGCTCGAAGGCTATTCATGCAACCGCTATGATGAAGCTTGTATAGAGAGTGGAGTAGACGTGGGTGGCGATCATATCATTTTCGACTTTCTAAGTTCAGCGTACAGAGATTGGCTTGCTATGGACGAGGACGCTGGCGACGATGATGCCGAGAGAGTACTTGCGCCCCACGTTGGATCTATGGCCGCAGCTTTCGAAAGGTCAAATTCTAAATATTTATCAGAGCTTGAGATGCTCGAAGCGGAGAACGCTCGACTACTCAAGGATATCGAGGATTTGGAAAAGTCAACTCCCGATCCTCGTGTTCTTGACAATCATTTCAAGATTATGGAAGAGGATAAGATCAAATTCGAGGAGTACAATGCGCTTGCTGAATCAAGGACTGAGAAATACGAAAGCCGTATTAAAGTCTTACAAGAAGAACTTGATAAGCTAATGGAGGAACTGAAGGAAGCTGAGGAGGAACGTCGTGAATTGCAGAAAGAAGTCGATGGCCAAGGTATTAGCATGCAGGATATTGACCGCATGACTTCGGAACGCGAAAGACTTCAAAAGGGCATAGAGTCCGCTACACAACGACTTGATGAAGGGAAGAAAAGAGTGGCAGACAAAGAAATGGAAGCTAGCCGCAAGCTCGACGATCTAGAAAGACTCGTCGACAAGTACAACACTCTCGCTTACCAGATCGGCCTCATTCCTTCGTCGGCAGTAAATGCCAAAGGCGAGTCATACGAATTGGCAGTGACTGTCAATGAATCAGACTTCACAGGCTCTATTATGAAGGGGTCGTATTCGACGGGAGGAAGTGAACGCCTACTAGCCGATCCGGTGACCGGCTATCAACCAGCGCATATCCTTAACTTGGATTTGCGCGGGCACGTTAAGAACGACTTCCTAGCTCTAAGGAAGGAGATTTCGGAACGACGGACCGCAGCCATGGATGTCATGATGAAGGATCACGATCTGCTCGATGGTATTAAGGAAGCAATCGAGGACAAACGAAACGAGGTCGAGGCTCTAGAACACAGAGTCAGAGCCGCAGAAGAGGAGTACGAGAAGACCAAGGAGATCACCAACACCTCGAAATTGGCCTCGGATGCACAAATCGAGAAGACGGAGAAAGAACTCGCCAAGATGCGAGCCCAACTTACCGAATCCGTTCAGCTGATGGAGCAAAGAGAGATGAACACCAACATCGAGTATGTATTTTCCTTACTGTATTTTCTTTACTTAGAACCACTTGTGCTAATGATAAAGCTAGATATGAACAATTAACCCTCCGAGCGAACTCATTACGTGAGGAACTACACACGGAGATCGAGAGGATGCTTAACGATATCATCAAATTCAAGGTCCATATCCAGAAGAACCTGGAAGACTACGAGGGCTTCGTAGCAGATGAGCTTGAGAAGGAACTCGGTAGTGACGAGATGAGAGACGATACCCGCGGCATTGGGATGTGATTTAAATTTGCTTGGTTAACCCAAGCTGGTTGTTGTGTTGGCGTTTCTCGGTGTTGCCTTGTACGGAGTTCGGTTGGACTACAAGTGATGACCGTAATGATGCAGTGGACGCTTTGAATGATGGTTAAGGATACCTCTTGTCTGGGAAAGTTTCATTCTTACGGTCGATTGTTATAATGCGAGTTTCAATACATGATTAAAAACAAATTAGTACATCGTAACTGTGAACAACGTTAACCTTGAAAGAAAAAGGGTAGGTAGGCACCGAATAGGGGGCTTATAGCGTCTAAAAAATAGCCCTGGAGGCTATCGATAGCTGTAGCGTTAACGATAGCGGGGTTCAAGCTCAGGGTAGCTTGACTCGACGTCGAAGCCCCGCTAAACCTGAACTTCACATCATCTACCGAGTCCTTGTGAAGACCATCAGCCATAAGACGTCAATCAACAGCGACACAACCACGATATACACCGTCGCATATCCCTCCCCCCCATCTCCAACGCCCCTTAACCCATCATCCCAATCCTCCTACTCACAATGTCCCTCCCCACAACCTCACCCCCAACCCTCGGCCCAACCGCCTCATCACCACCCACATCCTCCTCCTCCTCAACCTTCGACTTCCCGCGCGAATACAACTTCCCGCCCTTCTTCACCAAGCAAACAAACCTCACAACACTCCACGCGCAGCTCGAAAAATGGTCCTCCCTAATCCTCTCCTACTGCCGGCACCACCGGCTCTTCCGCCTGTCCCTCTCGTACGAGGGGTCCGCATACGAAGACCTCTTCCGCAACCGTCGTCTCAACAAATCCCTGCGTCTCGCCGACGCGCGCGAGGTGCTTGATTTCATGCGGAAGGAAGGGCGGGCTGAGCCTGTTTCGGGGAGTGGGGGTGGTGGGGGTGGGATAAGCAGTATCAGCGGGATGGGAGGAGGGAAGGAGGTGGTGGGCGATGTGTTCTGGATCTACTGGAGGTCGCCGGAGGAGTGGGCGGAGGTGGTGGAGGCGTGGGTTGAGGAGACGGGACAGAAGAATACGGTGCTTACGCTGTATGAGTTGACGGAGGGAGATGGCACACGGGGGACTGGTGAGTTGGGTTCTTATGTTTATGATTACACAAATTCCTATCCTATCCTATCCTATACAATCCAATCCAAGTCTCTTAAGTCGAGAATTAAAGGCAGCAGTGCTAACCCATACAAATCACAGAATTCTACGGTCTCGACGCCGAAATCCTCCAAAAAGCACTCCAAGTGCTCGTGAAGCGCGGCAAGGCACAAATATTCGGACAGGAGGACCAACAAGGTATCAAGTTTTTCTGATGTGGAATTTGTGTATTGCATGTTCCTCCAACAAGGAACATCTATAATATCTACAAACAAAAAGTCTCGACGGCCACGACTTGCAGCTATACGAGACCGGAATATCAACAGCAGGCGGACGGGAATAATAAGATCCCACCCGCGGCCGGAGACCAAAGCGCAACGGATGCGACACACGCACAAACGCCATCCCCTACCCCCGATCCCGAGCCATGCATGCAACGGAGCTCATAAACGTCAACATTAAAAGTAGTATCCTCGAAGAACGCCTCACCCTAGTCAATGGATTCCTCAAGTAAAGAAATTCGTCACCAGGTATTTGTCGTCGAACATTACCTCCTGATTCATTACCACGTCCAGCAACCAATCCGCGGCAACGATGCGCGGCTCCATGTTGCCGTTTCGAGCCATGTCCTCGAACTTCTTCCATAGTCTTTTCTCTTCCGGACTCGTGTTACTGAGCAGATACACCGGGTCCGGACCGCCTTCGTCCTCTTCAGGTCTAGTCGGCTTAATCGTTGTACCGCTTCTTGCGCCATACATCATGAATAGAGCGCCATTGGCCTCGGCAATGAATCGATAGCCGTCCGGGCCATTCTTGATGTTACTCGTGCAGTAGATAGGCGTGTTCCAGAGAAGTTTGCCGGCATTCTTGCGGGCCCTGAGAACGGAAGTCGATAGCTTAATGCCAAACTTATCCTCGTTCTCCTTGTCTTTAAGAACGAAATCCTGCGGATCAAGCAGTTCCTTTTGATCAAGACATTGCTCGATCCAGCTTGAAGATACGATAGTAGCACCCTTCGATAGATTGCGAAGAAACTTGACTGTCCGAACTAAATGCGGGGCTACGAGATAATCGCATGTTTGACCGTCAGGTACGACAGCGATGCCGAGGTCACGTAGCTTCTTCTATAAAGATATTAGTCAAATTCACAATGCATGAGTTTGGTAAACCTACGCGATCAGCATCCTCGCGATGTTTGTCATTGACCCATCGCTGGAATCCGGTGAGCACCACACGCATATTAACCTCAGGTAATGAGGGTCTCGCTTTCTTCGCCGGCCGCTTATCCGCCTTGGCATCTTTCTCCTCGTTTGCTGCGACCGGACTCGAAATGCTGCGGCGATTGAGATGTTCTCGGTCGATGTGATCAGCGGCTCGCTTACCTCCCCAGAGACCGTGATTGTCCTTAAGCCCTCGCTTCTTTTCCTTCTCGTACAGCTGTATATCAGGCGCAAGAACCGACAGCCTATTCAGTGCTTTGTCCTTGGCACTTCGACTTGATGAAGATACGGTGGAAGGAGTCTCGTTCTCTTTACCAGTCCGCACATAACGACCCTTAGCCGGAGTCGCGAACTGGCCTGATGTAGTACGACCCTTTGCCGGCGCAGGTACTCCAAACACATCGGTCGTCTTCTCTGCATACTCTGCATCGGTATCCTTCATAATATCAATCCCCTTGTGGGATTGACGACCGATTACAACACCCTCCGCTGGACCATCTTGATACGAATTCTCATCGGCAATATCCGCCATCTTGCGCTTGCGCCTGGTTGGCAGGAGAATATCCTCTTGTGCCTTCGGATAATATAGAGCTTCCAGTTTACTCTTATCAAAAGGTGTTTTGCCTATAACCTCTCCAAGGTTCGTACGGTCTGGGAAGCATGTGTACTTTTTGCCCCCTTCTGCTAGCATCTCACATTTTGCGTAACATTCCTCGATCCAAAGGTGATTGACAACTTTGAGCTGCCAGTCTTTAGCAGCCTCGCACTTTTCGCCAGTCTCTCGGGCAGTGATCAAATGTGTGTTATCGGCCTTCATTGTCTTTGTGAATTCCGCCCCGGTAGCGACGATCAGGTTTTCCAAGTATATACGGGCCTCGCCTCCGTAGTTGGACACCGTGATTCTCTTTCCTTTGAGCCCCGGGATCCCGTCGCGCGGAATGGGATAATGAAGAAGACGGTTCAGAGGATCCGTCCATTGGTTATGGGTGATGATATGGTACAACCAAGACAAGTTCCCAACCCACTTGTTTTCTGCTTGAGAGGCGCGTATATATTGTGGTCCGTCGCGATAATGGCAGATAAACCAGTCGCAATCTTCAACGTCGTCAGTCATCCGACCCCCGCCATTCTCAATTAATCCCTTGATGATTTCCCTAAGTCGATCCCTAATCGATAAGTCTGACGACAACATAATCGATTTGCCCTCAAATGCAGTCAAGATAGGACGACCTCCAGCATCTGGGGGAGGACTGGGCATGTAATCAGGGCGAGCAGAAGTAGCGCCCTCAAGATGTTGGCTCGAGGGTACTCTAACCGAGTCTTCGGGATTGAGACGCATTATCTCGGGGTCGGGCAAGCAATACGGTTCTTCAGAAATGCGCTTTCCCAACTTGAAGCAATCGTCAAACCTAGGCAGATTAGACACAAAGCACCATTTATTAGGCAGAAATATTGCTTACCAATGAGGGAGAACAATCTTGCACTTCAGCTTCTTGCTCTGGGCCAGCTGACATTTCGGGTGGTCCATGGAAAGCGCGCAGATATGTGTGGTCAGCTTTGTGACATTATCCGAGTCCATTCCTCCCATCGCCATTGTGGCGCCAATGATCGCCTCCTTGTCAGTAGGAGGTATATCGGCGCACGAAAGTAGGACATCAGAGAAGATCATTCGGGGATCTGGTGTAAAGGGGCGTATTTGGGCTTGTCTTCCTTTAGTCAAGGATGCGGAGATCCACTTGGGTCTAACGACAGGAATCATTCTTGCTGTCGCTTCGGTGTACTCTTCAAAATCGACTGAGGTGGCTATGATGTGGGTTAAACCATCAAGCGGGAGCCTCGATTTGCCGCGGGGGGCAATCTGGACCTCGCCGCCATATTGGGTGATAGTCGCTGCGAGCTGTAACAAAGTGAGTATTGCAGTCCATTCATAACTGTTATGTCAATTGCGACAAACCTTGCCGATCACGGTCTGGCTCAATTCAGGACACTTGATAAAAGCGAACTTGCAGAGGCTGAAAAGCTCTGAATCCTTCTGGTCTGGCATTGTGCCTTTTCAGACGCGATGAAGTGTACGCAAATGAGGTTAGAGGGTTTGACGCATTCCCTTTCGAAAATAATATCAGGTGTAATTGTGGTGGATAATAAAAAGCTAAAGAGAAGAAAGAATTATTGTAGACAATCGCATCAAAGCGCGTATTTGCAGGTCGTTGCCTGGTTGGTAAACTGGAGGAACCAAGTTTAGAAGTTTGGGATTGACATCAATTTAGTACGGACGATAGAAAGAAAAGGTGGGACAAATTGTTTTCTAGGAATATTCAACTGCTTGACGCGTTTAGAGCACTGTGACCCCTTGTAATTAACGCGAGAAGGAGTCGCGGTCAGGTGACTGTATTACCCCACGTAAGTTCATACCCTAATTCGGAATAGACTGACGTAGGTACATAGGTACTTGATCATAAATGTTCTACACTCCGTGCAACCTTAAGCGCTGCACGTCACAGTGTGCTTCCTCTCCTACTTCTAGCGCTCTCAACTTTAGAAGCGTAGAGAAACAAACCACTTCTATCTTCCAACATATCAATTCCTCGCGTTGATTATGAGTCATTCCTCATCACCAGGATAATATATTACTTCGATGGCGTGTAACATTCAGCATGACTCAACGTCATAATTCTATATACAATGAATGTCTTGTTTGCCAGGAGTTCTGCAGAAGATCATATACACGCTTCTGCCTGTAACATCCAAGACACAGTTCGAAAGGAACGTTGATTTTTCCCACCATTTCTAAAACCTTCCCTAGCTGGCCGCGATACGATGCTGCCCACTCGTCCCTACGACGGTATACAGTTGCCTGTTACCTGCTGCATTAACAATTTTCTCAGAATCCGCCGTTATTACTTCTCCATCCATTGTCAACTTATATTGCGCACCATTTTTGGAAACTGGGAGAAGCAATACGCCTGTGGTACCCTGTGGCACAGTATAATTCAACGTATAGCCGTTATCGTCCACCGTCCAGCTTGTTGAGTACTTTCCCAAGCTAGTCGTGAAACCACCTTCAGCATGTGTGAGATCTCCGAATTGAGGCGCAATTTGCCAGCTCGATCCAGCTGGGTTAGTCACACTGAGACCGACGATGTATTCCGTCAACGCCGAGACGGGACCAGTAGCCCATCCATCTAAAGCAGACCACGTCAGTAAACCCCGCTAAAAGACGCCTCGGGCGTAAGTGGCTAAACGACGAGAAATACATATACTTACGCGAGTGGGATGTGTATGAGTAATCCTCTCCGTATCCAGCATCATGTCGATAGCCGAATGTTCCATCCGTGAGATAGCCCTCGATCATAGTGGACTGTGTGCCATTTACGTTGTTCAGATACCAACCCCAGCTAGTTCGGATCAGATCGAGTGCCCGTTGTGTCTGCCCTGCTAACAGGTGCCCCTGGATTTCGAAGGATGAGATGAACGTAGAGACCTCGCCACTCAATTCGGGACTCTCAGCTCCGATCGGGGTCCAATTCTTCGTAAGAGTCGAAGAGATTGTTTGCCCCTCGTCCGCTGTAGCGTTCACCACTCCAAAGAGCAAGGCAAGGGAATTCCCATCTTGAGGGTATAAACCGGTCTTGGTATCACGAGACTTAATACTATCGTAAAATGCACCAGCAGTTCCATCCCAAAGCTGCGAGTTTATGGAGCTCCGGAGTTTTGCAGCGGTATCGAGCCACGTCGAATTGACACCAGTTGTGTCACCAACCCATGTGGCTAACGAAGAACCTGTGATCAACGTTCGATAATATAGCATCTGCACCGAGGCCTGGGTATCGTCAACATTGTAACGGCCCCAGTCATCGATGTAGCCGGTGATATTAAGAAGGCCTAAGGACGAATCAAGCTGTCTCGAGACGAATGACATTGCTGCGATATACTTATCCCAAATTCCTCCGATAAAGTCTAGATCCCCGGAATATAAGACATAATTGTACGTCCCAATCATAATCCACCTAATAATACCGAAGAACTTAGCTTAATCGTTTGATGGAGGAATGTGACGAAGAAATCTAATGCAGGTAGGGTCTTACATGTGATACGTATCACTATTTCTGGCCAGAAGCGGCGGGCCAGAAAATGGGAGCAAACCACTCTCTGCCTATACGCAAGGAGATAATTAGTAAAGAGGTCCACGTGGATATATCTATTACAAGGAGTACTGACCTGAATGTTAAATAAGGTTGCCAATGCATTTTTTACACTCCTACAAACAATTAGGAGGGCGACTTTCAAGTTTATAGGACGGTCGGGGAACTAACTCAAGATCGCCAGTGCTGTAGAATGATGAGGGCACCGCAACACCCATGTCCCCGGGCCAGACAGTTCTGTCACGCTTTGCGCCGTCAGTGTTGATGGTGTCACCTATACCAATGTTGCCATTGTTTGCCCATTGGCTCGCCGGTGCAGGCCAGGCTCTTCCGGTTGAGGGATGGAGCGCATTCGTCTGTATGGTCTATGATAAATTAAATCAGCGACCGTTCCAAGGGTCCCCAAACATCAAAAGAGATCATTTGAGCCACGTAGTCTATTTCTTTAGCTCAAATCGATAAATAGCTTTTCGCCGAACGGAGAGTATCAATATACAGCCTCCAATTGTACTTACATAAGCACCACTATACCAGATCTTGTTGAGCACATCGTCGTTACTATGGAAATATCCTTGGTAGGCCCGGAGATTTGACCAAGTTGGTTGGAAAGATAGTTCTAGAGAAACATCGTTAATGGTGACAGAGGAGGTTGCTCCGGTAAGGAAAATTGTCATATATCGAAATCCTCCACGAATATGCTCGTCCGGCATGACATAAGTCTGGTCTCCCGTGGAGGAGAAATTGGCATAGAGTGCGCCATCTTTCCTCGAAAATACGCCACTAGATGAGTCCGAGACAGGTCCAATCCAATCCTTAGCTTCTGTAAAAGCTATGCCGAGCGCGCCATCGCCGTCCGTAGATGAGACAGTGAACTGAATCGTAGCAACGCCTCCAACTTCAAGGCCAAAATCGTAATAAACACCGGATTTCGTGCTCGCGAACGAGGCAGACTTTATATTAGAGTTTTCTCCAGTGTCTAGATCGAACACGGCCTTGGGGGTGACAGTTCGTGTCGATGGAGAGAAAAGATTCGATTCCCATTCACCTGAGAAAGCGGCTGTTTGCGGGCCCGTGCATTTCGTGTCTCTCCAACAGCTCTGAGCAACAACGTCCGTAAGAGAGCCTAAAACCCAAATCGCGAGAGTAAACGGGAGAAAGGGGGAATGAGACGCCATCACGACCGACAACGTAGAATCAACACGCTAGGTGCACCGAATTAAGGGGACACGAAGGTCGATTAAGATCTAGAATCATGGATGCTTTATGGAATATCTATATTGATTTATAAATATTCAATCCTTTCATGGATTTTGGGTCCGTAAAGGGGCACATGCAATGAGTTTTCGGGAAACGAATTATGTAGAACGCATGATATGTTAAATACCAAGGTACCTACCTACTCACCTGAAGTATTAAACATCTTCCTGCCGAGACGAACATAGCCACCCCGCTCAAATGAAAAACGAAACCTGGTTGCCAGTTGGGGTTCGTGGAGCGGCACAGCGGCTCGGATGACAGCACCGTGGAGACAACAAATCAAAACATTGGGAAGGTCGAATGAACCATGTCGGTGATCATTAACCAGTGCCATGTTGTAATATCTTTTCAGGCATTCCAAAATCCGAGTAAAACTTGGCCAGGAACGATCCTTAAAATATCTGAAAATATACCGATTCTGGAAGCTCGATTGCACTTACAGAATACAGTCTTCAATGGTACATCGATGATATTCACCTTCCGGATGATTTATCCCGTTCGCGGTCCACTTATGCCGGGTATCTAAAACCTGGGGCCGCGCGAATGCCGAGCGTGTCTTAGACAGATAATATTGATATAGCATTAGTAATCTTAGATGCTTTATGTAGAATTCTTAATATGTTAGAAACTCAATCTCGGGTTTAAAATAAGTTAATCGAATAAGCTTGATAGAAATTGGAGCAACCGATGAAGAGTCTTTCTGTTCATGAGATAAGGTTTGGGGATATCCATACTGTCGGGATCCGTGGTACCAGCGAATAGCTTGTCGATTATCGATCCGGCGAATTCTAATCCTTCGAGATGCAGCCCAGGTAAGAGTAAGACAAATACTTGCGCAAATGATCCTAGAGAATGAAGGCGTTTTCCTTCAACGCTGCAGGGAAATCCAGGTCACAGCTCAATTCGCAGATGAACTTTATATCTTAACCAGATTCAACAAGATGTCAGCCATGCATCTTGAAGCCACTTACATACCTACCTAGTAGGTACTGTAGCTTACACAGCTAGCAGTGCTATCGGTACGATACGGTCTGCATCTGGAACAAACGTGCCGTAACGCCGTGGGTAGCGTAGGGCCGACTCAATTTCAGCCTGTGACGAACAACGGTCTTTGGTCAAGCTAAATGACGAATTTGTCGAAGGATGGGGGCTGAATATGACTAAGTGACAATAGAGGCGTATTCCTCAGACCTTATAATATTAGGTAGTATGCGAGGACGCGTATGCTTCTATGAGCTGGAATTGAAGGAAGAGAACTGTTGCGAATAATTCTGCTCATAAATATGACGAGAGATTTTGGCGTATGCAGGACTCTTATCAAGGATACAGAAGAGCCTCATTTCGAATAGAGGTGGCAATTCGGCAAGTTGGGAAACTAGGTCTGGGCTATTTTAAGATATCGGCAACGCTGGTAATTTATTGAGATTGTCCAAAGTCGTCTGTCGCATGAAGTTGAGGATTATCATTGACAGGACTCTGCTTGATTTTCTCCAGTTTATAAAGTCAAATAATCGTCGAGGCATCCATGGGTAGCTTTTTATGTATGGGATACTCACATGGAAGTAAAGACGGAAGTAGGCATGCTGGTGCATGCTCTAATTTTCTGGGTTCGTCCCCTGTAAAGATCCATCGACGCATTGCTAATCATTTATTTTAGCCTTCCACTAAGCTTCCGCTAGGCTTGTAGTGGTAGTGGGACGCGGCGGCAGCTAGGAAGTATTGTCCCCGACTGGAAGGAATAGCGAACAAACTAAGGCTTCCAATTGCTTGGTCAGTTGTGGCCAGTGGGTTTTTTTTATGAACAGGGCACTAACAAGGCACTGGGCAGCGGGCAGTTGCTAACCGGTGTGTTCCAAGGTTGCACCTGTCCCTTTGTTCCTGATGTCCCATCCATTCCGGCCGCTCACACGTGACATCTAACCGTAGCGACCTAACTGGTAGACCTTGTAGACCTGGAAATCCACTATCGTCCAGATTGCCTTGGAAGTTATCCAGGGGTTAACCTGCCTGTAAAAATACCTAACCCCGACAACCAAAAAAGGGCCAGGCGCTGGCTTCTGAACGGCGCTAATGCAACGCTCTTTCAGAGCACTGGATCAATCAAATAATGGGACACCGATAATAGCCCTGGCCTGGAGCCGAAGAAGAATTGGTTGTTCTCCATCAGATCGATGGGCGAATGCCACTGTAGGATTTAGGGAATACTTGACTCCATACCATACAATCCATACCATCAATCCATACAACCCATACCTTTTTCTTTACCTACCCAGTCTGCCAGTACCTACCTAGTATCTAGGACTGCTTAGGTATTTCGGTATTATTCAGGGAACGCCTTGGCGAAAATTAGGAACATTTGAACAGAAGAGTTGAAGAGAGATGATCTCGAACCCTTCGAACCATTCGAACCATGCACCGCTAACTTCGTTATCTACCTAATAAACATCGACCTCGGAGCCCAACAACTCTATACTTGCAACTTTCGGCCGACTTCCCGGGGCAACCCCCCTTATTTACCTTAATACAACACACAGTCCACAGTCCACAGTCTTTCCCGACCCATTCTAATATTTTCGACGTTATTTTGCTCGAATTTGTTAGACATCGTCTAAGCTGTTATCGATGACCTATAGCAGAATCCATAATATTGTCACCTGACGCGACTCCCGCGAATTTGTAGAGAACAAGAACCAGAACAAGAACAAGACCAATACCAAAACCAAATCGAACCCCGGCTCTAACCCCGATACCGATACTACCAGATACAGCCAGTTACAACCAGTCACATCCAGTTACCGCCAGCCTAAACTTACCTCCTGAACCATCCTATTGTATGCATCTACGAGAGTTTACATATTGGACATCGCTCAGCGACAGCGCCGCTAGAGACCAGCCCGACATTGTCACGCCCATGATAGTGCCGCGATCCGGACGAGATTCTGCTTCGTGCAACCCGACAATATTATAAGGGGCAATCTTGGAGGTCAAGACCTCACGCGAGGTCGTTGCTAACACCCTCGATGATGGTATGTCGTCTTTGTCCGACGTTATATATGATTGATATGGTCGCAAGTCTTTGAATTGGCTTCAGAAAACTGTTATTTGACTACATGCATTTATTAACTCATCATGTCAACAATATGTTGATGTTGGGTGTCTCCTGTGTTGTTCTTAAGACCATTCACATTCCTTTTGTGCGTCCTGAGACCATTCGCGACTAACTTAAAATTAAATACTTAGACCTCTCGTCGACCTCGCGATGTTGGTGGAAGTTTTGCGAGTCGGCGTGGCCATGCCAACCAACTCTCCATCTCCGATCCGACCCATCACATAACCGAGACTATTGGGACTATGTACGGCGATGATGACGATTACGATTCACGCCCTTTAAGCTTTATCTCCTCTCCTCCGGAGGGTGAGAGGATAGTACAGCATCCCGATCCGGAGAGCTCTTTAGATAAGCAACGGCTTCCGCTCATTCGAACGACCTCGGACAAGACAACTCTACAACCTCCTGCAACCAATGGAAACTCGGCGCAGAAATCGCAAGCACTTTCCAGCCAAAGAAGTACGACGTCGAGGACCAGCTCTTTCGAATCAGGCCCAAAATCTCCGAATTCAAATTCGCCTATGTCACCCACGCTCCGCGATATGCGCGAAGATGCCCAGCAATATCCGATAACCAATATCGACAACCCGAACGATATCGCGCAAGAGCTAAGCAACCTACAAGCCTTACGGCGCATGTCTATGGATGTCTCGAACAACAGCGACCCCGATCTTCTTCCTTTCCAGGGCATGTCTCTCATGGCGATGCCATCCATAGCTCCAAAAGGAGACGATGATGCCGACCCTTCGAGATTGCTATGGGTTCCCGCTGGTGTTCACCCCGAACTAGCCCCTACCGAGTTCAAGAATTTCGTCGAGAAAAGAGTCCAGTCAATGAAACGGAGATCTTCTGAATCCACCTTGTCTGTAGATGGCTTGGAGAGGAGCGATTCGGGTGGGCTGCGGAGAAAGAAATCCATGCTTTCCAGACAAATCGACAATGTGGGCGGACACGGTGCGGAAGGATATGTTGACGGTGCCGAAAGATTAGAAAGGCAAAAGTCACTTAGGGAGCCAGGGCAAGGACCACCAGAGCTTAGTCTAGATGAACTTGTTAAGGACCCATCCAAGATTGCTCAGAAACTTGGACTCGAATCTCAACGCCAGGATTTAGGGGGCGAGTCTTCGAATACAGACGATATGCCTATACTTCCTGTCGCGCCAGGCATGGGCCTACGTCGATCGACCCGTACCACATATCGAAAAGGAGGTAGTCTAAAGAATCGACAAGGTTCCCTCAGATCCGATGAACGACTTCCTTTTTCGAAACGCATCGGGGCAAAGAAACCCGAAGAAGGGTCGGGCGGATCAGCTGGTAATGAATCAACTGTTGAAGCACCACCAGGTTATGGTTTGACACGGGTGCAATCAGAACCGATTTCTGAGAACTTCTCCAGGCCTTCAAAACCTATGCGGCGACAGCAAACCTTTTCCCAAGACCCAGCGTCAGACACATATGAAAGCTCTCAACATGACTCACAAGACTCAAGCCAGGGTTCTCCTACTAGACCGCAAGGTCCAACTCGTACCTTGTCCGCTGAGGCTATTAAGACATCTTCTCCTACATCGCAAATTATCGAGACATCCATTGCAGAGGAGGAACCTTCTGACGCACAAGCCATGGAAACGGGTAGGCCATTCCCCGAACGATCATCATCGCAACGAAATGCTATTCAGCCTGTGTCTCCACCTCCATCGGCTCCTGCGGAACCACCAGCGCGCTCAAGTAAAAGACCGAACTACGGGCAACCGCTTCAGAGCCCCTCGCCGCCACAGGTTACAAGCCGAACTCAGCAACCGAACCGATCACCGAACACTCCCAACCGAACCCTCAATGATATGTCACAAAGCCCTTCACCATTTCCAGGCAGCGGTGCCACTAGTACTGAATCGCTTACATTCATCCCAACATTTACAACCGCCGAAGACAGAAAGCCGGAGAAGAAGGGCAAGAAAGAGAAAAATGAAAGTGAGGGTGAGAAATCTAAGGCTACGTCCTGGAAATGGTTCAACAAGGGCGAGGATAAGGAGAAGAAAAAGAAAGATGATGAAAATAGGAAGTCTAAGACCAAGGCATTCGTGGAGAAAGCACACGATAACGTTCGTCTCGACGTTCTACAAACCTCGATCGATACAGCGCTTCACAAGGGACGAGAGAGCCTACTGCTTGACCGTGACACTGTCGACAGCAAACTGGAGGAGGAGCGGAGAAAGGAGAGTAGTCGAAGGTCAGGTGAGCAAAAGAAGGAAAAGGATGGCTTCTTTGGATCGTTCTTTGGAAGTAGCAAGAGAAGAAGTGAGAGGGATTCTACCAGCAAAAAACACCAGGCCCAGAGATCGTTGTCCCCAGAACCAGCTCCATACCGACCCTTACGACCCGATGTCGACTATCACTGGACGAGGTTCCCCATCCTAGAGGAGCGAGCCATATATCGAATGGCACACATCAAGCTCGCGAATCCTCGCCGTGCATTATATAGCCAGGTCTTGCTCAGCAACTTCATGTACTCGTATCTCGCAAAGGTCCAAGCCATGCATCCTCAAATACAAGTCCCACAATCACCCCAACAAAAGAGATTGCAAGAAGAAGAGAGACGGCGGCGTGAACAAGAGCAGCAATACATGGAACAGCAACAGGCACAGGATAGCATCGACCGCTATAACTTCGAATACCATCGAGTAAGTTGATATAATTCATCTAACCAAACTCCCAGGTCTAACGTAAACCCAGTCAACAACTCAATACGGGGATCCCAGCATGCAACAGGAGGCTGGAGACTACCCAGAAGCTGCCGAAATCTACGACTATGAGCATAGCAAGGACCATATGGATGGAAATAATGACTACCAAGATATGGATGATTATGGCGGTCAAGACGCAGACAAGGATTACTATTCTACTTACGTTCAGTACACTAATAGTGAAAACGGGCGCCGCCAGCACAAAGACGAGGACGAAGAAATGTGGTGATACATCTATCGATGAGGCGGGATTGCCAAAAGCACCCGTGTCTATACAGTGATTACACGGATGCATACTCTTCGACGTCCAGGGGATGGAATACGACGCCTTTCGTGAAGGGCGGAACATCAGGAACCCGACGAACCTCCAAATCCCTTTAGCTACATAACCGGGCATTCCCCTTTGTTGGACGGATAACAACATAGTGCCAGGGGTGTATATTTCGAATGGTATTTGCAACAAGGGACATCAGAGATCTCTCAAGATTCCCGCTCCCATTCCCATTTCGAAGTTTGTCGACCGCATATTTCTCTTTGCTAAGAGCGAGATCGACTTTGCAGGACACGAAAGAAAAAATTGAAGGGCTAGTTAAGGAGGCCAGATTATATTGAAAGTAGCATCTCTTATGATGTCTATTAGGAAGCATACCTTGGGCCTTTGCGCACAGGTGGAGATTAGCTGGAGGCAAACCCCCCTTGGATTATAATCAGAATTAAATCGACCTTCGGGCATAAATACACCATCTTATGAGTGAAGTCCAGTACTATGACATAACATTGAGTTTATTTTTTGAGTGTTCGAAGCCAAGAGTTAAGTAGGTATGTCTGAGCCTACCTATACGTAAGAAATAGAGGCGACATATCAGGTATATTACTATCAAATCTTGTCACTTGTATTGTTTGTCTCACCAAAGGTAACCTTGGAAGATTTAGAGAAATCTTGAGGTACGAACATAGTAATGCGATTACATGGTTTTATCTACGGCTATGAAAATAATATATTTTTATGAGGTTCGTAGATGCCAGTCATCAATCTTGACGAAGTCTATTGTCCCACACCTTGCATGATTTCAAAAGACGTAACTACTACATGCATTGTTAAATATATCATAAATAGGCAGGTGCATAGGTACTAGGTATGTATAACAATGCAGCAGATTGGTATTGTAGCATAATACCAATAAAAAACCGTCCATTGCGTAGCTGATAAGTATGTCACTGGCTTGATTTAGCTGAGACAAGTTCACGAAGGTAATGGTACCTGTCTTACAGCGTAAATCGAAATCGTTTCGAAGCTAGTGGAGCTCATTGTTTGAATCCGATTTTACTAAGATAAAAGTTGAAATCTTAAATATTTTTACTCTTTTAGGAAATAACTTAATGCTTGAAGCTTTTCGCTAAAAATCAACTAATGTATATAGGATATAAGTGACTTTGAGAAAATAATCATTTAAATACTTGAAGGAACCTTGAATACTTTGACGTTAAGGTATGTAATAAGAAAACAGCATGATGCTGATTAAGGTATGTAGGTATGTACATATGTACCAATAGATATAGTCCACAAATCAACCTAAAAAAAAATACTAGGTACTTCGTACCTATGATTGAATAAGTATAGTACTTATTTCTCATCAAACGTGATAATTATTGATTGGCCTGAATTATCGGGTGACGTTTAAATAATGCAGTTGCCTATATAGCTACGCATGAATATTTGTGCTTTGCTCTTGGTGAAGGTGCCTGTACTTTGTAGGTACCTAAGTATTTTGAAATATTCAAAGCATGTTCCTTGTACATGGGCACTTTCCAGATCACAGATTAAAAGTAAATGATTTTAGGTACCTTGTACCTGTGAATCACACAGTGGATCGAGGCTGAAGCTCTTAGCCAATGATAAATTAGTACAGCTTGTGATTGTCGCGACTTCCCTATCCCCAGTCGAACTTTTTGACACCCCAAACCTTCGTTCACTTAACTGGCGCCTCGAAAATTCAAAAGTTTCCGAGCTTCCTTCATCATACTTCAACACTTTTGTGCCCGACGGTTTCCCTCACCGATCCTACCCTTTTCATCGTCGCGATTCCCTCAATTCTTGAACCATTATTCTTTTTTTAAGATACCCTTACTGTTCTCGTTGTTGAACCGCACCTTGACCCGTCTCTCGTTCTGGTCGAGCCACTTTGCTGGCATTTAAGCTACGATCACGCACACGCGCATCGTCTACGAATCGTCTACAATTTCCATTCTTCAATTCTCGATTCCGTGCACAAACCTCACGATCGTCGCCGGTGATATAATTCTACCATCGCCAATAGACATTATCCTTCAACTGCGGAGCACCACCTCATGGCAGTAAGTGATACTACCTATTTTGCTAATTCTTAATTATTCGTTCGTGTTGGGATCATCATATCATAAGATGGGCAAGCTTCCTCTTTGAATACCATCACCTACACATTTCCCTTGCTTCTCTGTATATTAGTTATATCATTTGTGGTATTGATCCATCCTCTCAATATCCTGCCCGTCATGTTTCCCAACGCCCATTCAGATCCTCAACCCTACTCCCATTCTGCTCTTGCAGTAGGGCCTGTTGCACCTGAGGCTTTGATGCCTCATCCACCTTGTCATCACTCCACCACGACTGCTTCTCAGCTTCCCCCCCTCCCAATTCATCCGAATTTGCCATATTACCACCGCCACTGGTGGATGCCCTGTCATCGCACTCCCCAACCGCACAATCCCCAGTGGGAGAATGCGCCTACCATAGCTCTTCGTCATCGGCGTCGCGATACTGATCGCGAATCTAATGTCTTTCACCATCGTTTTTTCCGACAACCTGGTCCCCGTAATGCCAGTCTTGCTACATTTAGGCAGCAAGCTTCTACACCTGTACATCGACTAGTGTTTTCTGACCCTTTGCAGTCCCGTAGTTACCAGAACCAGGGCTATATGCCCAACGGCGCTACTAGTAGCCACCCGAACGCTGGCCAGCCAGCTCCCGGCGCTGTTCCTCTTCTCCCGAACCAAGGACGAGTCATCCAATCCGGACCTATTCGAGTTCTGTGCATAGCAGACGTTCGAGGTAAGATATCTTTTTGCTGTGTCGACCTATTAGGGAGCTAATCGTCGTGTTGCAGGTAATCTACGATCCTTGAACGAGCTGGCGAAGACTGCACGAGCGGACCATATCATTCATACTGGCGACTTTGGTTTCTACGATGATACGTCATTAGAGCGCATTGCGGAGAAGTAAGATACACATGTTTCAATCGAGGTTTTGGGCGGCGGTCTAACTATTGCGAAACAGGACCCTAAAGCACGTTGCACAGTACTCACCATTAATCAACGAGGAAGTCAAGAAGGCCATTGGCCAAGGTGGGCCAGGCTCTGTCAAGACTCGATTCCCTCCGCAAGAACTTCCTCTCTCTGAGTTGCCACTACTCATCAGCGGCCAAGTCAAACTCGATGTTCCAGTTTACACAGTTTGGGGCGCTTGTGAGGATGTCCGAGTGCTAGAGAAGTTTAGATCGGGAGAGTACAAGGTGCACAACTTGCACATTATCGATGAAGCGCGATCGATGTTGTTGGAGATTGGCGGCGTCAAGTTGCGACTGCTTGGACTTGGTGGAGCTGTTGTCATGCACAAGCTATTTGACAATGGTGAAGGTCGAACCACTATTGCCGGTGGTCAAGGTACTATGTGGACCACACTGCTTCAGATGGGAGAATTGGTCGATACCGCCAATCGTGTCTACGACCCGACCGAGACGCGCATATTCGTTACTCACGCTTCACCTGCCCGTGAGGGTATTCTAAACCAATTATCTGTCAGCCTCAAGGCAGACTTTTCTATTTCAGCAGGCTTGCATTTCCGGTATGGAAGCTCTTACAACGAATTCAGCGTTAATCCAACACTGGATCATTACCGTGGTAAGCTTGCCGCTTCCAAAGCATCGTTCAACGATGTCTGGGAGACGGTGAAGGGGGAAGTTGAGCCTGCTATCCAGCAGAATGAAGCTCAACAGAATCTGCTTCGAAATGCACTGGAGTTGGTTGATAAAATGCCTCGTACCGCTGCTGGTGGAAATCCCTTTGGTGGCCCTGTGACTGGCCCTGGGGCTCAAGGTCAAGTGGACGAGAGTGCGTTCAAGAATATGTGGAACTTCAACTTGGCGGATGCTGCATTCGGTTGGCTTGTTTTGGAGATCCAAGACGGTCGTATCGGCACAGAGATGCGCGCTCAAGGTTTCAACTTCTCTCACCGAGGAGCTAAGCAACAGACCGTCCCCCAAAGTACCCCGTCACCGGCTCCCGGCTTAGCCCCAGCAGCTCCAGCAGCTTCTGTACCCCCAGCAACGACGTCTACCCCTGGAATTTCTGGCCCGCAGAGAATCCCCTCAGCCGCAGGACAACAAGTCAAGTCTAATACTGCCACTCCGTTATTACCCCCTAAATCCGCTACCCCGAAGCCGACTTCCTCATCTCCGGCTCCTAGCGCGGCCGCCGGCAAGGAGAATGAGAAGCCCGCAGGTGCCAACGGCTCAACTAACGGGCCGGATACTGTCCCATCACCCGCGCCCCGCACTCCTGCCGACAGTATCATCGGCCTCTTTGTGATGAATGTGCAAAGCGACGAACAGGCTCGTGAAATCTTCCCCGAAGAACACAAGGTGAAGATTGCCAAGATTGAGAAATGGGGGAATAACTCGAACAATAAGGTTGTTCACTTCCACACCGTGGAGGATCGGGAGGTTGCGTATACCAGTCTCTCTGACGAGTTCAAGGTCCGTCATTCTGAAGATCGTTCTCGTCCCTTGGTAAAGATCTTCCAGCCTCGCGAGAGCAAGCAGATCTTTGGAGGACGAGGAGCCGGCACCTGGGGAACTGGTCGTGGTCGGGATAACGCTAGCGGATATCGCAGTGCTGGTGACCGTGGCGCCCTTAGTGGTGGCGAAAGCGGACCGGAAACTGGTCGTCAACGCGGCCGAGGAGGGGCGCGAGGTGGTAGAGGTGATCGAGGGGGTAGAGGCGGACGTGGCGGTCGTGGAGGTATGGGCAAGGGTGAGGGCGGAACTGCCTCCCCAGCTCCCGCTGGCGACTCGTAGACAACCCGTCGACTTCGCCCCCTACTCTATCGCCCATATACATTCTACTAATGACCTCGCGTGAGACCGCGCGAATTTTTGCTTGTTCTGTGGCACTACGCCACGAAACAACTTTCTCGTCGATTTTTTTTTACCAGGTGGAGTTCAGAGATTCTGCCGGCCTGCGAAGGAAGTTTTTTTTAGGGGAAAAAACGTAAGGGGGACTCTGTCATATGGTCGGACGGACGTGGATTCGGTTTACGCGATAGCTCATCGGCTGAAGCCACTATTCTCTCGGGTTGTGCCAGTTATCTGTTTTCGCAACCATCGCAGGCAAAAGGGGATCGGTGTGTTTCTTGTGACCTATTTTTTCCGATAACCCGGACCGTACTGGACGGGAATCATTGAGATAGGTTCTGGCCAATGCAACCGTACGAATGGATTATTGAGAAACCTGTATGCGTCTTCATTGTGACTTGTGATTGTGAATATGTTTTGATTGGGTAGGCGAGTGGAACTTGACTCGTTGAACCTACTAGACAAGAAAGCTTCATGAACGGAATCTGTAAATGGGAGGCTTGTTACTTGACAGGAGGGCTCTCACATTCCAGTTTTCAAGGCTTGAATTACGAATTAGATCATAGTCACGACACACATAATTACCATATCTAGGTATTCAAGTTCATAGCTTCTGCATGCCTTGGCTATATGCAAGTTCTTATTAGGGGAGAGTTATGCGGAACGAGCCGCACCAGATCTACTCTAGTTACTATGGTACAATGAGTATTCTCAAAGACTAGGACCAGATCCCCCCCCCCGGTCCCTTTTCTCTTCCTTTTGTCTATGGCCCCGGTGCCATCGAGGGCGAACGGATAATATAGGTAGTGTGATATACAAGCCTCTCCCCTTTACCCTTTCCCTTCTCCTTTTTATCGGCGGCTCTTAAGCCTATCTGTGTACATAATAGGAAGACTAGAGACCAAATCATAGCGGCTTCATCCCCTTATGTATAGCAGCAACACCACCAGTCAAGTTCTCAAACCCCTCGCCGCCAACAACGAAGCCGGCGTCCTTGATCATATCGCGGAACTGCTCCTGCGACGGGAAGCGCTCGATGCTCTCGACTAGGTATTGGTAGGAATCGCGGTCGCCGGCGACGAGCTGGCCGATCAGGGGAATGGCGCTGAAGCTCCATCGCTTGTAGACGGCGTCGAAGAGCGAGGACTGCACCTTGCTGAACTCGAGACAGGCGAATACGCCGCCGGGTTTCAGCACGCGGTACGCTTCCCGCAGGGCTGCGGGGATGTTGCTGAAGTTGCGGATGCCGAAGGCGACGGTGTATAGGTCGATGGAGTTGGGGGCGATGGTTGGGGGGAGAGCGGTGGCGTCGGCTTCGAGGAAGGAGAGGTTGGATTGTTGGGAGGCGGGGAGGCTGGAGGAGCGCGATTTGCCGACTGCGAGCATGGAGGGGTTTATGTCGGAGATGGTTACGTGGACCCCGGGGTTCGCGTTGAGGGTGTGTGCGTGATGAAGCATCCGGAAGGCGATGTCGCCTGTGCCGCCGGCGATGTCGAGGATGCGTTGGGGTTTGGGGGGGATGCTGGAGGAGAGGCCCGGGTTGAGGGATGAGACGAAGTGGTCCCTGGGGTTGTTAGCTTGGGTTTGTACTTGCTGGATTAGGGGGGAAATGTGAGGGAGGGAGTAACGTACTTCCAGACTCGATGCCAGCCGAAGGACATCAGGTCGTTCATGCGGTCGTAGGACTCGGCTACACTGTGAAAGACACCGGCTACTCGCTCCGTCTTCTCGGACTCGGAAAAGCCGTCCTGGAAGCCAAAGTGCGTTGTTCCGTCTCTGTTGATCTTACTGTTGGTGTCATTGTTGCCGGAGAGTTCGGGTCGTCGGTTGTGTATCGTTGTGGTGAATAGTCTTGCATGTCGAGACGGAGAAGCGAAAGAAGAGCAATTAGAGTGTCTCGAGGTTCGTAATGTTCGTGAAGCTGCGCGAAGGACTGTTGAGCGAGCGGCCATGATTATGCGCAGTTTTCGGCCGTCGCCAGTACTCGGGGGTGGGATTCTGCAGTGGTGAATTGGTGGTTAGCATCGACCGGCCGAAAGGTGTGAAGCTACGGTCAAAAATTGCTGATCGGACGGGGCGTGGGACGATCAAGTCCGGCATGTGCTATGTGGGGGTAGCTTCGGGGGTCACTTCCGTGAAGCGAGAGATCTAGGCGAGAGGTACTAGCCACAGTGGATCATGTATGTTCCACCGAACTAAGCCCCAGGTCTAGGATGAAGGGTGTAGGGGTCCGGTGCCAAGACTTTGGAGGTTTAAATATCTGGGGTATTGGAGACAATTGGTAGATTTGAATCTCTCACGTCCCAACCTTCGAACACATACACGCATATAGGCAATATAAATAGGCACTTACCAACCGACCACGGCCACAGTAGACGAAGTCTGCCTCTGTCCGACTGCTTCGCTTACTTCGCTCGCCTCTGTGGTCTGTTCTCGCTGACTTTCTTCGGTCTGTTGCTGCTGGCTCTCGTGGGTCGCCGCCGATGGTTCACTTGGTTGAGTGGACTGAGTAGGTTGATCTGCTTGGCTTTCCTGGTTCGTATCACTTGCACCGTTTGTACCTCTTACACCACTGCCGCCGCCTCCTCCCAAGTTTAACTGCCTCGCCTGCTCCGCTGCTTCGAATCTCTCAAGTACCTCTTCGCCGTGCCGTTGTCGTTGTAGGAACTCTCTTTCAGCTCGCTTGTTGCGGAACATAGCCAAGCCGAAATACTTGGCCGACGAGATGCCCCCGTAGAGGGCAACAGTGATCGCGAGCACGAGGAAGAAGACCAGGAGAGCCGCTCCGACGTTCTCTCCTACGCTCATCTTGAAGGATGCTGATGGGTCGGATCTTCTCTTGCTGAATAAATACAAGGATCAAGTGTATTAGTAATCGAAACAAGACTCGAGATAATCTTGTATTATCCCAACTGCAGGATGGATTTAAGATGATAGGGTAAGTAACGAGAGGTGCGGTGTTATTAAGAAAACTTTATAAGGTAAGTGGAGAGAAATGAATTGGGGAATGGCAAAATTAAAAAGAACTGTCTGCCTTGAAGGTTTTCATCTTCAAGTAGAAAACATAGAATAGACGGAGTTGATTGTGTTGCTACAGGAGCATACGAGTTCGAAGTGAACGGTATAAATCACGGTTTGGGATTTGTTGTTTTTCAAGCACCTAAGTCGTAACGTGTCGTCCTATGTGCACAAAGTAGGTGTGCCTAGTTCCGGTATTATCTACCTGCGGTTCGCACACTACCAGCGCGTTATTTGAATTTACTGTTAACTTAACGAGTGACTCATATTATACAATTGTTAGATGATTCTACAAGATGGACGTACGTAGGCGACGTAGGTAGGAAACATCCATCGATATTCTGTCAACTACCTACTAGGTAGAGACTTCATATAAGTACCTAACTACATATCTTATATCACTACCCAGTATATTAGGTATCGGAAGATAACCTTAGGTCTTATATGAGAAAATAATATGAATCGGACCATAACTATAACCTTCCAATTTAACGTGCTGAGAATCAATGGATTACATAATACTTTTGGTAGATATTAAAAGCCGGAGATCCCTCTCGGTCTGGACCGGCCTTCGCTTTACGCCGGCTTAAGTGACGTCGTTAACCTCGGATTCCCGTCTATCATTTGGGAATGTCAGATCAACAATCATACAGTCAATTCTTTCTCTTTAAGTCCAATTGCAATTTAAAAACTACTTAAGTACTTCATTCCTAAAATGTTATAGTTTCGCGAAGATGAAACCACACATATTCCTAAGAGCATCGATGCGGAGAGCCTTAAGCTCTTCACCCCGCGGTTCTTATTTCCGTTCCCCTAAATTCCAGCATTCGATTATCCGACCTTCCAGCAGCATATCCCAACGACTTGGTTCGAAGCACGTATCCTTCCCGGGCGCCGTTAAAAGTGAATTCACGCATGATCTCAAATACGTATTACCCGGCGACCTTCCTGCCTTGCCAACGTATCGAGCAGTCGGTCAAGATGGCGAGATTGTCGATCCTTCGTTTGAGCCGGATCTTAGCGAAGAGGAGATCATAAAGGTGTATAGGACCATGCTGACTATTTCAATAATGGATCCCATCATGTTCGACGTACAGAGGCAGGGCCGTATAAGCTTTTACATGGTATCGGCTGGTGAAGAAGCTATTAGTATCGGATCAGCCTCGGCCTTAGATAATGAAGATGTGGTCTTCTGCCAATATCGCGAACAAGGCATTTTTGCTTACCGGGGGTTCACCTTGAGGCAATTCATGAACCAACTATTTGCAAATAAGAGCGATATCGGGAAAGGCAGAAATATGCCTGTACATTACGGCAGCAAAGAGCTCAACATAGTATGTTTGGGTCTATCTACATATCAGACCAAATAGCTAACCCTCCCACGTAGCACACGATTTCATCAACCCTAGCGACACAGATACCACAGGCATCAGGTGCGGCCTATGCTCTTAAAATGCAGCGTATAAATGATCCGTCTCTACCTCCTCGTGTAGTAGCCGTGTATTTCGGTGAAGGTGCTGCGAGCGAAGGCGATTTTCACGCCGCATTAAATATTGCTGCCACACGCTCTTGTCCTGTCATTTTTATATGCCGAAACAATGGCTATTCAATCTCAACACCAATTCTAGACCAATACCGAGGTGATGGTATTGCTAGTCGGGCAATCGGATATGGAATTGATACTGTGCGAGTTGACGGGAATGACTTTTGGGCTATGAGAGAAGCAACCAAGAAGGCGAAAGAGATGGCCCTTGAAGATGGAGGCAAACCAGTCTTGATAGAAGCAATGAGCTATCGCGTTAGTCACCATAGCACTTCTGACGACTCCTACGCATATAGAGCAAGGGTAGAAGTCGAAGATTGGAAGCGCCGAGATAACCCTGTTACGAGATTACGGAAATACATGGAAACGAAGGGAATCTGGGACGAGTCCAAGGAGAGAGATGCCAAGGAAAGTATCAAACGGGATATTTTAAAAGCGTTCTCGGAAGCAGAGCGAGAAAAGAAGCCAGAAATTCGAAATATGTTTGAGGACGTATATGAGGAGATGACCCCTGATTTGAAGGATCAGATGGAACGGTTGAAACAGCACTTGGAGAAATACCCTAACGAGTATGACTTGGGTGAATTTGAAGAAGGCATCAACAGTTTGAAGGCATAGATAAGATTTATAATTCTAATTATATTTAGCAAGTTGAACAAACCCATGGATTATAGCAAATCTATATACTGATAAGCGCTGTCGAACATCGTGAAGCTGCCCAATTTTTCAGCATCATTTGATACTGGTGAATTGGATAAGGGTATGTACGTTATTAATAGGTACCTACTTTAAGCCCATATCTTGTCTTCATTACGTGACGATGAATCCAAATGTCCCTAAACGTTATGATTGGTAGAAACCCCAAGATAACCAACGCCTGTAAGCCACGTCGAACAAAAAGAAATGGGGAACTTGACAAAATTTTACAAGAGCTCTCATCCTATCAATTTAGGAGAAAAGTGCAAAGGAGCTCCCTTGATATCTTGTGCAATAGGCATTTGCTCATATGGTGGTACTTGTGTTGAAGCTCAAGTTCTCAAGAGTCAACATGATTAAATAAATATGAGTGGAAAAGGTGATGTCATAATTTGTATACGGTGTTTAGGAAGTACATGTACTATAGGTACATACATGGCAGACCCAGCTCATACTTATTAGTGCAAGCATTAGAAAGCAAGATGTAGGTCTAGGTACCTATGTACCTAGTAATTATGAGAAAGCTCCCACATAATAGCGAGGTACTTAATTGATAACGGCTAGCTGCTGTTATCGTTCCTCTAGCGGAATCTAATAGGTAACAAGTAAGTGTTCATAATGACACCCCTTTCACCAAATCGTCAATACATCATATAGTGCCTACAGCATTCAAGGTTGAAGTCCATAGTACCTACTAGGTAGTAAAGCTCAACGATACTAGGTACATTATTCGCACACATACGGTTTAGGTCGTATATTTCGATTCGAGCTTATCAACATTAAAGTTACTTAGTAAGTTGGTCTTTTTAATTACACACCCGTTACACCGTTAATAAAGCATCTTACACCCTCTACCCGCACGAACTGCTACGGCTGGCGCCCGGGTCTAAGTAAATTCTGGCACAACGCACACACCACATACACCACACAACCCACTCATAACCCACCTTTACTTATGTACATAGCCCAACCATCCAGCCGCCCGCCGATGCATCTTCGAATGAACCTCCTCCGATAAAACGTCCAACTACATACGTCTTAAAACTTCGACGAGAAAGACGACGACAACGAGAGCGACGACATATTTGTCTCGGTCAAATTGATTTTATTAACTTGATTTGTGACAGGTTGATGGAATAATCCGCATTCGTATCCGCAAAGCCGAATACGTATTGAATCGTGGTCAATCGATTCTGACGACATACTTTTATCCCACTTCCATTTCCACTTTCTTGTCCGAATCTGTGGGACAAGTATATTACAGAGAGGAAAAGAGAAGGACGACGAAGAACCGAATATAGTCATAACCAATCAAGCGAGCGACACGAAATATTCGAATTCATCGAAGACCTACCTGCCGCCGTGCCTCATGGCGTAACTCATGGCAGACCGAACACCCTCTGCTGCGAACCCGCGCTCTAGATCGGCAGTCGATAACGGTCCTCAAGCAGCGCGACTTCCTCCTCTACCAGACCTGAACCCGAACTTGAATTTGCGATCGGCCGTTCCTACCTCGCCAGCATACTCGAACTCATCATTATCACCCAGGTACGATACATGTCCAAACTTTCAATCAATCAATCATGCTTTCCACCTTCCTCAGACTGTGAATCATCCAAACACAATCATCTACGTACACTATACCTTGGTACATTTACGTCCCGAGGCACCACTTTATTTTTTTTAAACCCCATATCAAACATCGATATTCTAAGCCTTCATTTTCGTCCTCCCCATCATCCCGAACTCATTTGATTTTACCATCCACCTACCCACCAATCGTTACCCTCTACATCAATTCTTCCCACTATAGCACTTACGGCTTCGTCGTGATCAATCATTCTTTAATACGACAATAGCTCTCGGCTAGTGCCGTATAGTTAACCTCTAAATATTCGAGGGAGAGGGGTACCAGCTTCTGGACGTTGAGCATCGTCTAGTTGATGTCTTGATGCATACCTCATTCCCGTGCCTTCTTTGTTGCAGCTTTACCTACCTAGTAGGTAGTCACAATTATTCACCTGCGCCGAGCATATCTGTTGGCCGGTAGTCGCAGCGGCCTTAGGCAACGCTCGGGTGAATTTGTTGTCACCTTAACTACCATTACTTCTACGAGATTTAGTCTCAACTTCCGTCCCACTGTCCAAGCTTCTGATGTGAGGCAAGGCTTATCAAAATCACTCTCACTTACCTCATTTTAACATAAGCCTCCTCCTTCTTGCTTGCTTCTTGCTTTCAACTCTTTCTTTTCGAGTCCGACTACATTTTTTCGCATGCGGACTTCATAACAAGTACTCATGTCTTCCAGAGTCACCCGCTCCTCTGCGCGCAACGCAGCGAGCCAAGGAGCACCATCAGCAGACCCATTTGCTGGTCAAGCTTCTGGCAACCAATCTGCCCGAGCCAACACGAGCAGTGTTGCCGAGGCGAACGTAAACCAATCCCCACAGAACTCGAGACCGACGTCATCGCGAAAGAGAAAGCCGTCCCCCACAGAAAACAACTCACCCAAGCAACAACCACACACCGAACCACTTTCCTCTACACGTAGACCTAAGAGGCAGAAGGTGTCTGAGTCGACCCCCGAAACTACCCCCGCCACTACTACCGCATCTCCTTCAAGGAAGAGGAAAGGGAAGAATACTGCTTCCATGTCTAGTCCTACTGGGTACGCTTTATTATTTTCTTTTGTTCTTATTCTCTCGAGTAACCCACAATCCCCATTTTGTTATTATTGGAAATACATGATAATTAATGTTTGTCTCTGATAGCTCCGACCCACCCCCACCCGCCGCCAGAATGCAGGACTCTACCTCAGCCTCATCTAGCCGCAAATCAAGCCGTAACAAGAAGGGCGTTCCAGCAGTTCAAGGTACGGAATATTTCCTTGGTCGGATTGAAGAACTCTTTTGGTACTTACTCTTTTCCAATTAGATCAATCTATCTCAGCTGCTTCTAGCTCTACACGGAGATCGAAGCGAACGTCTAGCAATCATCCCCCGCCCCCCCCTGATGCAGACACGACTATGACGGGAACTAAGGAGCATGAGGATGAGACAGAGCCTCCGCCTCCACCTCCGCCTCCTCCTGCGCACGACCCCGATGACGAAAACAGTGATGAGAACGATGATGATGACGATGAACCTCACCGTCATTATGACGACGATCCATTTGGCGGTTTCGGTGGTCCTCACGGTTCGGGTCTCTCTAGCACTCTTAGAGCACTGACTGGTATGATGTCTGGTATCTCTTCGAGACTACGCGACATTCTTCACAATCTTAGGCAGAAGGAGGATCCGACTATACAGCTCCTGGCCTTACAAGAACTAGCCGAAATCCTCCTTGTTTCCAATGAGGACAACTTGTCGGGTCATTTCTCGCCCGACGCTTTTGTGAAGGAGTTGGTGACCCTGATGCAGCCTAACGAGATTACCGGCGAAGAAAATTCCGAGATTATGCTCCTCGCATGCCGATGTCTCGCCAATCTGATGGAGGCTCTTCCAGCAAGCGCTGCCAACGTGGTATATGGCGGTGCTGTTCCCATTCTATGCCAGAAGCTTCTGGAGATTCACTATATCGATCTCGCGGAGCAAGCTCTTAGCACATTGGAGAAAATCTCCGTGGAATATCCTACAAGCATTGTCAGGGAAGGCGGCTTGACGGCTTGTCTTACTTATCTGGATTTCTTCCCTACAGGTACACAGCGGACTGCTGTTACCACCGCCGCAAACTGCTGTCGTAACATTCCAGAAGATTCGTTCAACGTCATTACTGGAGTTATGCCAATTCTCCTTAATGTGCTGAATAGTAGCGATCAACGAGTTGTTGAGCAAGCCTCGCTCTGTGTCACTCGTATAATTGAGAGCTTCAAGTACCAATCATCGAAACTGGAGCAGCTTGTCAGTGTGGACTTGCTCAAAGTTATCTTGAGACTTCTAGTCCCGGGTACCACGAATCTCATTAGCGCCAATATCCATACACAATTTCTCCGTGTATTGGCGATTACTGCTCGTGCCAGCCCAAGCTTGTCTGCAGAGCTCTTTAAGTTGAATGTAGTCGAAACACTCTACCAGATCCTCACGGGCGTCTCTCCCCCTAGTGAGACGGAAGATGTCGCTTCGAGGCTAGATAGTGTGGTGATAATGCAGGCACTGATCCACCGTCCACGCGAGCAGATTATCGAGACGCTCAATGTCGTCTGCGAATTACTCCCGGGTCTCAAATTCAACGATGGCTCGGTAGCCCTGTTTGCTGCCGATCCTGAGCGTACGCTTGCGTCAACTCTCGGGGCTCATAGGAAGACATCCAACGAGAAGAGAATAGAACTACTTGACGAATGCAAGGACCAAGTCAGAAGATTTGCGCTGATCCTATTTCCTACTTTGACGGACGCATTTTCAAGCACTGTGAATCTGAGCGTGCGACAGAAGGTGCTCAACGCCCAATTGAAGATGCTATCCAATCTGGACAGGGACATTCTCGTCGACGCCCTGAAAGCAGTTCCCTATGCCTCATTCCTGGCTGCTATACTCTCTCAGCAGGACCATCCGTCGCTTGTCATGTCTGCCGTTCAGATCACGGAACTTCTTCTAAATCGCCTAGACGATATCTACCGCTACCAAATTTACCGCGAAGGGGTCGTCATAGAGATAATGAAGCTGGCAGCCGAATACCAAGAACCTGAAAGTAAGGCGGTCGAGACACCACAAGACCACAGTATGGCATCTGGAGACGAAGGTGACAGGGTCTCCATACATAATGGATCCGATGATGAGGATGAAGAGGAGCACGAAGATGACGATGAAGAAGAGGAGGAGAACGATGAGGACGACCAAGAAAATGATCACCACGACGACGATATGTCCGGCTCCCCCGCTAGTTCAGATGGATCAACTATGTCTGTCGACGGGCCACCGCGCCCTTTTATTGGTGATATTCCATCTATGAAGTCACGCATCGCGGAGACGGCGAAGAAATTCCTGGAGAGTCACGAGACCGAGAAGCATAGTAAGAACATGAGGAAGAAGGCTAAGAAAATTCTTGACGATCTTGAGTTACTAGCTACTGGGCTTGACGAGTTCTATCTCCAAAGGACTGCTAAAGATCTTTCTCCAGCCACCGGGACAGCTCTTTTTGAACGGCTCGCGTCCTATTTCGATGCGGATGTACTTGATAGTGTGACGAGCGCCGAATTGCTTGCATCGGGTCTCGTACGTATCTTGGAAGAGGTTTTCAGTAACCCTGACGAGACACTAGCCAATGCCGCAAGAGCTTCGTTCCTCGAAGTGTTTATGGGTCGTTATGTCAGCTCGCGGCCAAAGACTGCAACTGCGGATTCTCCCATCACGCCTTTCAGTATTCTCATCCATAAACTCCAAGATCTTCTCAGCCGATCAGAGCATTTTGAGGTCATTACCGTCCACCACAGTACATTTGATGGCAATCGCAGCAGCGCCGCGTCAATGTTGGCGAAGCAGATTAGACTTCGATTGGTCGCTGACGATGATTCCGACATTCCTCGCTCTTTCCGAAGTATCAATGTCCATATTCATGCCATTGCCACATTCAAGGCTCTCGACGACTGGTTACGACCTCGAATAAGTCTTCACGAGCGCCCCCGCGGCCCTAGGTCTCGTGAAGGGTTAACAAGGGCATTAGCTGCAATGGCCAGCTCAGCAGGGATACCACCTATACCATCTGCTGAGCGCCTTACCGAACGACTGAGAACCTCTGCCGAGCGATTAGCATCCGGATATCCGAGCGACCCGCCCCCGATTCCGACGCAGGCTTCTGGCTCTCGTCCTCCACGAAGATCCAAGTCAAGACAGCCAGGCCAGCCCGATACGCCGTCTAGTGCGACGTCGACTCCGAGCTCTGGCCGAGAGAAGGCCATTCTTCGTAGATCAGCTCGGCGCCAACCCGCACAAGCAAGCGAATCACAAGCCCCCCCTCCCCCTCCGCCGCCACCCGAGGACGATGAGGATTTGCAGAATGCATTAGAATGTGCGGATGAAAAGCCGATAACCGACGAGGACGAAGAAGCGGAAGGCGCCGACAGTAGTGCTCTCGACGCTATAGTAGGCGAGCTTGACGAGGATATGGAAGACGCACCCTCATCAGACCCGTCTGCGGTCAACTTAGTGGAGGCTGTCGGTGGGAAGATTACGGCCAGAAAGGAAGATGGGACTCGGGTTCCTACTCCGGCTCAGATTGGATCTGCAAACCTGCCGAGTCGTAGTGCACCACCTCAACCATCAGGGTCTCACCAGACTACTCCAACTCCAACGCCCTCAGCATCTCGCCCACTTTCTTACGCAGCTGCCATTCAGTCCGTACCACAAGACTGGCACATCGAATTCAGCCTCGAAGACCGAGTTATTCCAAACGAGACAACTATCTACCGTGCAGTCCACAACCTTGCTAGCCCTACGGAGGATCATATGGGTCGCAGCGTCTGGTCCACTATGCACGTCATTAAATTCCGTCGGGTTCCGGGGCCACCTCCGGCCGAACCCGTCGGTTTCGGCTCATCCTTTGACGGTTCATCCGATGTGAATGGAGTGCCGGCTTCACTCGCGAACAACCCTACGACTGCGTCCATTCTCCGTTTATTAAACATTCTGCATGACTTGAACGCAAACATTGATGATATCCTAGTAGAGAATAAGAATGCCTTGAAGTTGAATGTGGAACCCCTATCGCAATTTGTCAACACCAAGTTGACTGCCAAGCTCAACAGGCAGCTTGAAGAGCCCCTGATTGTGGCAAGCAACTGTCTGCCGGGTTGGAGTGAGGATCTGGCTCGGCTATATCCTTTCCTCTTCCCCTTTGAAACCCGTCACTTATTCCTCCAGTCGACCTCGTTTGGCTATGCCCGGTCTATGAGTCGGTGGCAGAACGCCCAACAGGAGGAGATATCGCGTCGCGACCGGCGGGACGAGAACCTATTCCTTGGTCGACTTCAACGTCAAAAAGTCCGAATCTCGCGATCAAAGATCCTAGAATCCGCGTTGAAGGTGATGGAACTCTATGGTAGCTCACAGAGCATTCTCGAGGTTGAATACTTTGAAGAGGTCGGAACGGGTCTTGGACCTACTCTCGAGTTTTATTCGACGGTGTCGAAAGAGTTCTCAAAGAAGAAGCTTCGGCTTTGGCGCGATATGGACTCCAACGATTCGGGCGACTTCATCTCCGGATCTACCGGTCTATTCCCTCGACCGTTGAACGACGATGACCCCAGCACCAATGTCATCCTTCAGCTATTCAAGATGCTTGGAAAGTTTGTCGCCCGATCCATGATAGATTCTCGGATCATCGACCTCAACTTTAATCCAATTTTCTTCCGTATCGGCGAAGGTTCTTCTGGCGTAAAGCCTTCGCTAGGCGCTGTTAAGATAGTAGATCCTGGATTGGCTCGCTCTCTGAAACATATCAAGAGGTTTGCTCTTTTAAAGAAGGCTATCGATGAAGACCCTCGTCGCACGCCAGCACAAAAAGTTGCGGATACTGAGAAGATCATCATCGATAACGGAACACTGGAGGATCTGGCATTGGATTTCACGTTGCCCGGATACCCTGACATTGAGCTTACGGCTGGTGGTTCTCACATACCTGTCACAATCTACAACGTTGAGTCATACCTAGAGAAGGTCATCGACATGACTTTATCCCGCGGTGTCAAGCGTCAAGTAGAAGCCTTCCGCGGTGGTTTCTCGCAAGTATTCCCATATTCCGCTCTGAGCGCCTTCACACCCGATGAATTGGTAGCACTCTTCGGGCGTGTCGAAGAAGATTGGTCTCTCGAGAGTAAGTTTCGCTCAGGATTCATCGTTAACGTTTACAAAGCTAACCTGTCTATTCTAGCTCTTATGGACTCAATCAAGGCCGACCACGGTTTCAATATGGATAGCAGAACAGTGAGGAATCTCTTGCAGACGATGAGCGAACTCACCGCTACGCAACGACGCGACTTCTTGCAATTCACTACTGGTAGTCCAAAACTCCCCATTGGAGGTAAGCATTTTGACACCCTCTCTCTTCAGGACCCGTTTTTAACCATCGTCACAGGTTTCAAGAGCTTGACCCCTATGTTCACTGTAGTGTGTAAACCCAGTGAACCGCCTTACACGTCCGACGACTATCTCCCAAGCGTCATGACATGCGTCAACTACCTTAAGTTGCCTGACTATACCAGCATTGATAGCATGAAGCGACAACTCTTCACCGCTATCCGGGAGGGTCAAGGTGCCTTCCATCTCTCTTAATCGCCAGTACGAGGTTTTATGAACAGCAAAGTCCGAACATCACGTATCAATATTGTGATACGTGGACAGCACTGATGAAGGAAAATGAGGCATTGATTTTTTTTCCTTCTTCCCTGTCGTCCTGGCATACCTCACACAGGTCCGCCAGGTTTTTTCTTTTCTTGGCACACCCGCCATAATTCCCTTACGCCCGTCATGAACCTCGACAACGAAGATGGAGGTCGGAACAAGGCACGAGATACGGAAGGGTTGAAAGGGAACGTCTGATGCATGGAAAGGTTGTTTCGGCGTAGGAATGAAACGTGATTCCAGGCGGGATTGAATTTAAGCATCAGACTGGACAGCCCTGGCAAGGACAGTACTTGCTTTGCTTTTACCTTCGCAACCGGGTGGCTTCACGTCTTCTTCATCGGGTAGATAGATTGGTCAATTTGTCTCCAAGTATTGATTTCTAAAACCTCTATCCGTTCCCCCATGATGGTGTCTAGCTACTTCGTCGCCACGCACTGCAAGTCTTAATACAACACCTCATTTCATTAAAAAAAACAAGGGTTATATGTGATAATGACAATTCTTTAAATTGAAATGGGTATGTGTGCCTTGAAGAGGATAATGGTATATGCTAGGCATCCCACGTCGTAATTTCTACAACTTGGACTCAATGCCCACTACGGTCCCATTCCCCTTCCTCGCCGGTGGTCGACCAACATTATCGAGAAATTTCTCGCTCAATGTGGTCTTCTCCCGCGCCGGCAACTTGGTCCATTGTTCGTACTCACGCTCCTGTTCCCGCCACCATCTCATCTCCTTCCCTATCCAAACAGCGGCATGCCGCGCACACTCTGTGGGAATCTCCATGGGGAATAAATGCCCCCTCCCCTCCATAACTACCGAATCTACGCGACCCGCAGCGATTCCACCGGATCCCCCACCGCCCGTCCCGCACGCCTCGGTCTTCTGTTTCCGCGCCTCAGGAACTCCGAGCTCGCTGTCGCCACCGAAGACCCAGAATACGGAGGGTCGTACCTCGGGCAGGTGCTTTAGGATATCGGGGCCCTCGGAACGGTAGAAGGGGAATATCTCGGGGGTTAGCGTGGATGTTACGAGTTTATCTTGCATCTCCGGGTCGAAGTCCGGCGCGCCGACGCGGTCGATGGTTCGGGTTTCCTGGTCGACGTATGGCCATAAAGGTCGGAAGAAGGTGAATACTTCTTGGTGCTTAGTCGTGCGCAGGGTGGCTTTGTCGGAGGTAGGCGATGTCGAGGGGAACAGCGCGGTGGGGGTCGAGCGCACGGCGTGTTGGCTCCAGGCGGCGAGGACGCGCGGGTCCCAGGTTCGGTAGAAGGCGGACTTGTTGAAGGATTCGATCGCTGCTTCTCTGCTAGGCCAGGTTTCGCGTCGGAAGGTCGAGGCTCGCGCTGCGGATTTGCCCGGCCCGTTGCGCTGGAAAGAGAATGTGGTTATGGTGGGGTCGAGGAGGACTAGAGTCGTGAGGAGGCGCGGGTGGAGGAGCGATAGCTTGGTTAGGATCGCGGCGCCGAAACTGTGGCCTATCCCGATCAGCGGGCGTGGCATGTCGGCGCGGAAGACGTTCGTCATGTGTAGTAGGTCGCGCGCGTGGTCGTGCCATGATGGGTCGTTGCCTTGCGTGTTCTCGTTCAGCACGCCGCTGTACCCTTGGTTCGTCACGTCCGCAATCCAGATCCCCCGGATCCGGAACCCGTGCCCGTCTTTCTGCGAGGCTATGGATTGCGCGTGTAGGTCTGCCCATAGTGGCTCGTATAGCTCTTTTGGAAAACCGTTTGCGTGCGCGCCGATTATGGTGATGTCGCCGGGCTGTGGGGTTGGGTTGTCGATCGGTGTGTATTGCTTTATGCTGATGTAGAGCACGTCTTCTTGAGAGCGTGAGGTCGCGCGCGGGTACTCGCGTACGTGTTGCGAGGGGATGACATGCTCTTTTATGTGGAATGGGAAGGTCGTCGACATGGTGGACTTGGTGGTGGTCGAGTAGCCTATACGTCTCGGTAGTTTGGGAAGAGTTGATCGAGGACACGAGGCTCTCAGGATCGCAAGAAGCATAGGCTAAGCTGGTATATGTATGTATGGAGGGTGATAGTCGATGCTACGCAGCTGCGCCGTAGGATGAGGCTTTGGTTAAGCACCCGAGATTATGTTTGGAGGCGTCGAGGATCTAGGTGCTTATAGTCGTGGCACAAGCATTTTACCTGTATGAGGTTGTCTTTTGCTGCGACGGTATTCAGGTTTGCTGCTCTAATTAGTATGCAGATGGTGGCCGATTTAGCCGCGGCTGAGTGCCGTCCTACAGCTCTCGACACCAAGATTCAAGGCACTCGGCCGAGACAAACACGGCTTGTTTCGGTGAACAGCAGGAATGAAATGTACAATTTATATGGCATAGAAATACGGTCAATTCTTGGATGTTTTTTGGTATATTGGATAAATAGATCAATTGAATAGGTTTCTTACAGACTTTACCAATTGAAAGGTACCTATTTGATATTAGAAAGAAGACAAACAAACCTGAAGCTGCCTGGCTGCCTGGATATAAAATATTGGTAAGGGGTTCACAAAAAGCAAGTTGCCGATTCAATGGGATTCAAAGCTGAAAGCCGATCCCGATCTTGCGATCCTTTAGATGCACGTCTGCAGGGGCTGGGGGTAGGTACCTAGTGACATACCTCGGTTCATTCAGGCAGGCAACTGGCAGCGGGACTTGGCGCGGGGATGACAAATTAGTAATTATTGCTTTTATCGGGTGTGGGTATATCTTGTATCACATAGACCCATATTTCTTAATTGATATGTATTTGACGCGAAAGCTTTAATGGTATTTTCTCCACTTTAACACTTAAACCGCGTTTATGACGCATCTTCCTGTCTCGCTTCCCGCACTGCCCCTTACTAACTTCGCACTTGGAAGGTGAATCTTATCTGAACTTGCAAACGATATATCAAATATTCATCTTCAATTCATCATTCTTTTGTACTTACAAGAATATTAACATTTTCAACGAAGACGATAAAATTGGGGATCAATTGTATTCTTTATAGGATTTAGGTATCTATAAGAGCCCATCTAGCTTTTGGCACCTGGGCAACCATGCCACCCCAGACACGATCTCGTGGCAAGTCATCTGCTGGTGGGTCATATAGATCAACTGCTGCAGCTCCCAAGCAACAATTATTTCCAGCACGTCGCAAGCACGTCAAGACTTACGGCCGCCCGAGATCTGCACCCAAAGATCCTAAGCAAGGAACATTAACCCAGATGGACTTCGTTTCGCCCTCCATGCCTGAAGACCTTCTCAACTCGGAGGAAGAAGTTGAAGATGAGAATGAAGATGTTGAAGAGCAAGAGGTCCCTCCTCCTGTAGAAGCCTCTAAGCCTAAGAAGAGAGTCCGAGAATCCCGGCGCAAGACAGCTGGTGATGAATTAGCCACGGATGAGAAGCCAGGAAATACGAAGAGGCGCAAGACTTTAGGAGATGTCCCACCCTCCAACCCTTCAAGTAGCTTCCACACCCAGACTTTGACTCAATTTCTTTCAGTCAAAGGCGAGGATGAGCCATTGATCAATGATTCGGAAGGCGACGATGATGCCGACCTCATAATGGAAACTCCAACGAAGCCAAAAGAACATGCTTCATCTGAGCCTCATGAGACTATGCCAGAACAACAGACTGGAATCAAGTCCTCACTTCCGAGTCTCGCTCAATCCGTTACCCCAACCAACCGTCCACGCAGATCAATTATCCCATCTTCTAGTACAACAATAGATACACCGGGAACAACTCCGATAGCACCGCGTTTTAGCATGGCACAAAACTCGCCTCTGGCTGGAAAATCTACTAACCTCAACGCACCATCACCAATTATCAAGAAACTCAGCAAGACGACGAAGCTAGATGATCGAATAATTCAAGATTCATACAGTACATCTCATAGCTCCCCAGCTACGTCTGTACAGTCGCCGACTGTTAAAGTGACGCCGAGAAAGCAAATTCGGTTCAAGATACCTCCGGAGGATAAAGAGAATTTCACGCCCAACAGATCCGAACCGAAGCCGCCAAAGCCGCCAAGAGGCAACCCAGGTCGAGAACCTATGAAGGAGATTCCGGATTCCCAGTATGATTCCGATGAAACTCATATGGAAGGCGAAGAGGTCGTTAGAGTACACCAGAATGCTCCAGTAAACAATGTCCCTGACATAGATGACACAAATGACATCGACGCCGCGGAGACATGTTACGGTGCTATCGGAGATGAAACACAGGCCGAAATTGACCGTATCCCAGGTTTTGATGAAAGCGACTCTCTAGAGGAAAGCCGATCACGATCAGTTACTCCCACGCCAAAGCCAAGACGGAAACAAAAGCAGATCCTTCATACGTCCCAAGCTGCAAGTGTTCCTGCTATTGATTCGGCTTCAACTTCCATAGTCAAGGAAACGCCTTTATCTTCCCCACGACCAGAACTGCCTGACGAGAATGTGGCAAATACGCATACTCAAGTCTATACTCAAGGCCTCCAGAGTCAACGATTAACTTTAGAAACAATCCGCTCTTTAGGGCCTCAAACTCGCACTTCCGATATCATGGTGTCACTCCATCCCGAACCCTTAGCGAGAATCCTCGACCGTACCAAGGATCACGAATTTAGAAGTTGGAATATACCACATACCGTATGCCGTGTATGGCTTTACTCAACCAAACCGCTTTCTGAGCTGAAATACATGTGTATCCTTACGCCCCCGAAAACACCCGGAGAAATCGAGGACGAGAAGGGAATCGGAAACGCCGAGTTTAATCAAGGAAATCAGTCTGCTAAATTCGCTTATGAAATATTGCAGGTCTATGAACTCAACAATCCGGTTTCTCTAGACGAGATGAAGAATAAGGGTTGGATAGCTGCGGCTCCGCAGAAGTTCATTTGGGTTCCTACGGCAGTTGTTGGAGAACTCACTGCCAATTTGAAGTGCGCTTTATTCGGGGAAGAAGAGCAGGACGCAGAGGACGCGCTCGTGGCAAGCTACCCAAATGTAACCGAGTCACAAGAATTAAACGCACAGCTTCAGAGTGACGTCGATTATTCGACACAGCGCCATTCTCCTGGGAATGTAAATGAAGCGATTCCCTCAACGCAATCGCCAATCAAGTCATCCGGCAAAAAGGGTCAGTCTGGAGATATTAGGGATTTTGCGAAACCGGCTCTACCTAGATTGGCGTCAGGTTCTTCAGTTCGATCACAGCGAGAACCCCTGGGCGAGAGATCGCAAGGGTTAGCTAGACCCTCGCAAGCTACAACAGTCTCGAGCCCTGGCGTATCTCCCGAGAAGTCGCTTCCTCAAGCTATACTCATTCCTAGCGAGGCAACAATTCACAGCATCCATAGCAGCAGTCCAACACCTTATCGGAACACACGAAATAACTCCCTAAGATCTTCACAATTCCTGACGCGAAGCCAGATGCTGCCGGACAGCTTAGTTAACGAGGAAATTCAGGAGCCGCCGCCGATTATATGGGACTCGGAGGACGAGCATTCTGATTCATGAACAATTAGCAAGATTACGGTTTTCGGCGTTCGCGGGGGTATTGCATCGATAAGTCAGGCGTTTACCCTATGACATAGGTGATGAAAAAAGGGGGAGTACTACGCAGTTTGGAGTTCTGGTATGCTAGGCTAGGCTATGATGCTAGGTTTTCTTTCAGGGCACATCGGAATCAGGACAGTAATCGACAGCATTAGATTAGGAGTCAAATATCCTATCTCCTCATGCGCGCTTTTTATGCTGATTGTGGATCAATATTAAATGTTGACCCCAGTGAAATAGTACCTTTTTGCATCTATACATTCTACCTAGTGAAGATTTTTGTTTTCCAAGTCCCTCGCTGGCTTAATCCTGAATCGCTGTTTAGGTACGTATTTGAGTTCCCAACTTTAGCTAACTACATGTAGGTATACAAAATATCGCTAAGATCGGTTGGGTCTTCGCGGCACCACGTAATCATTTCCGAACCCGGGATACACGATACCGCCTGTGTTATCGAGCAAAGCGGCGTTTGTGAGACTTCCCGGGGGGTTTTGACATGTTAGCACTTCCCAAACTAAAAATCGAAATAGAAGAGAGGAAGAGGTTGATACTCACGGTCGTGGCCGGTGCTCCTTGCTGCGCCCTCGCCTCCCACACGGACAGCACGGGCAGCCTAGCATGATTCCAATACACACCATGATGAAAGTGCCCAGGCCGAACAGCAGCCCCATAAGCGTGTCCCATGAGCTCGTCCCGATTAGCTTGCCCGTAGCGAGTAGCTCGGCGTCGTGCTGGGCGGTCGCGCTGGCGTTTTGGAAGGGGTTGTAGAGAGGTGGGCCGGTGCCGGCTGCGATTTCTGGGGGGATGGAGAGGGGCGGTGGGGAGGGGACGAGGGTCAGGTTTGTGGAGAGGGTGTCGAGGAGGGGGGTGCTGGTTGGTAGTGCTGGGTTGGATGCGAGACTGGTCTCGGTGTCGATTATGCCGGTGGTGGATTGGGGGCAGATGTGCTGCCAGGAATCCCGGAATTGGGCTGGGAGGGAGCAGAAGTGGCCCGTGGATTTGTACCTGAGATGAGTTTAGGTATTTGGTCTAGTGGGACGGGGGATTGGATGGAGGGAGTTCTTACTGGTCGCAGATATCGTGGTCTGATGCGTAGATGGGCACGTAACCTTCTGATGTCGGTATCAGGATGGCACAGCTGTCTGGGAGGTCTGGGACGGTGTCCTCGTCGCCCGTCGGGGTGATTCTTCGACGTAGAGTAGATAACTTCATGATGTCTAATGAGTGGCTTGGTACAGTTAATATTGGTATTTACATGTACTTGCATAGGTGTAATGTGGTTAATAATATATATCTTAATGGGCGCATGTTATATACACGAGAAGTAAGTATATCTCAAGGAAGGTGTTCTTTCTACTCTTTCTTATTCTATTCTAGATCAACTTTAGATAAGGAGACGTCATCTAATAGGGGATGAGACGCCTTCCTATCTGAGTTCGGATAATCCCAAGGCTTGGATCGTAGTTGAGACTCGTGGGAGAACAGAGTTTCTCGTGGTGTCTACCTACCTAGTAGATATCGGGTCAGTGCGAGGCTGTACTTGCTGATATATTTCTCAAGGTACAAGATATGTCAAGTGTAAGCTGGTTTGGATATTCAGATTCATACGTAAGAGCTTTGGGGCACGGTTCTTCTTACTTCATCATGATAAGCCTCAGTAAGGAAGCTCAACTTAGTGGTTGTAATGATGGATAAATTATTAAGTATCTACTTATACTCTAGGTACCAATGATGCTATATGTAGTACGAGTCAAGATATATAAACATCAACAAGTTAAGAGAACTTACAACGTTGGTGAGACTACAGCTACTATTTGCTAAAAGGGGCGGGAACCCGACAGTCGTATGATACCATAACCACGTTTCGTAGTTTTACTATAGTTTGACTATTAGAATATCAAGACATCGGTAACTAATATTTAGTGGCTATTCACCTACAATTAATTTCAAGTCCAAGGAAATTAGAGACATGATACATAACTCCACGTCATGGCTTGAACACTTTGGTTAGTTATTTGTTGGCTTGTAAGAAGCTATATCGTATGTAACACTCGCTGCGGCACTCAAGCAAAGGGATAGCTAGTATATCACCATTGCGTCGTCTTGATGAAAACTGCCGCATACGATATGCTTGCGTTAGATGACTTGACCAGGCTTTCAACTCAGTAAAGTTAGCTATTATTTGAAACAGCTTACCACTAGCCTGGTTGTGTTGTTTCTGGTGAAGGCAGTGTATTCCGCCTAGTGAGGCATCCTCGGAGGAGCCAAAAAAAACTCGGCCCCTCATGTCTCATGCCGAAAAGCAGGCGAAGACTGTGGACGAAGACAGTGACGTTGGAAATGCCCGGCCATATACACTTAGGAATCAAGATGAGGCGTATTGTTAACTAAGAGTTAATGCGACTATATGATCGCTTCGATCTGAAAAAATAAGGACGCTTCTCAAGTTAACGATGTCAATTGTATCACAGATATGTACAAGCCGTATAGCCGGCCTCTATTTCTTAGGTTCCTCTTTCTTTTCCTCGGGCTTGGGCGTAGGCAATTTAAAGCTCTCCGGCTTTCGATCATCACCAAGTCCGACCGGCTCCCATGCCGTAGAACCTCCCTCGAAGTTACGGAATGCTTGCGTCATTTCTAACGGTTCGGTTACGATACGCTTCTTCTCTTCATCGTATCGAATTTCGGTATAGCCGGTAAGAGGGAAGTCCTTTCGGAGGGGATGTCCTTCAAAACCGTAGTCCGTCATGATTCGGCGCAAGTCCGGGTGGCCGAGGAAGAAAACACCAAACATGTCGTAAACTTCTCGCTCGTACCAATTTGCACCATCGAATAAGGGCGTAATGCTTGGTACTGGTGATGCCTCGTCGGCGTATGTCTTTACTCGGATTCGCGCATTATGTCTCACACTCAACATATTATAAACAATTTCGAACCGTTGATCTCTGGTGGGGAAGTCGACGGCAGTAATAGTACTGACTTGGGTAAACTCGGCAGCTGTGTTGTCTAGCTCCAGGTCAGTATCATACATCAGGTATTAACCAGGTGAATAGTCTTACACTTCAAGAAAGAGAAGACGGGTATGACTCCGGAAGGCGAGATATAGATAACCAGTTCGTCCTTCCAGACGGAGAATTGCTGGATGTACTTGGGCAAGCAACCCATAAGCCAAGCTCCATAGCGATGGAGGTCATCGGCTTTGTTGGAATATTTGTCGGCGGGGTTTATGAGGGGTGCTTTGAGTTCTTTCGGGTGGTCTCGCGGCGCTTGCCTCGGGTTCGTAACATCCTTGGGCATAGCGACATTTTGTCGAGCAGTAGAGGCGATGCAACGGACGACCTGCTCGTTCCGGGACGGGAGCGAAGGCTTCGCCGGTCGCAGAGCTGATGCGAAGGCCCTGCTTCGGCAGAGCTTGGTCGCCATGGTCGATGACGATGGTAGGCGAGCCAATTGGTGGTAGGTGAGTTGGAGCTGGTTGAGTATTAAATCGCAATTAGGTCATGGACCTTTGAATAATAATAGTTGACTTACAGATACAGTGCACAGGTACAGTGCATGGTAGATCGGATCCAATCAGATCAAGACGATTCCCAATTTGCGGAATAACGTTAAGCTTGCTCCGACTAGCGTGATCTCGACCTCACCTGCTTAAGTAAACATGCTTAAGTAATTAAGTTTTGAATTGGAACCTTGAATTGAAATACTAAAGTACCTATGTACCTGGCCTAAGCAGTAACTGGGAAGGTGGTCCGGTCGGTGTGTATTGCCTAGCACCCGCCCAATTAAAATCCTAAGCACTTTATTCCCATATTTCGTGACGTAGCACATGACCTGCACCTCCAATTCCCAACTTCCAACTAAATAAACCAGTAAACGTTCCTGCTTCCTCGGACCCATCCAGACCGCAAAGAAGACCACAGAAACTCTGATGCATATGTATTAGAGACTGCGTTGATGAATCCACTTACGACCTGGCAGCCTGGTCAAGAACACGTTTCCTATCAACGAACTCTCTCGCGTTACCGTTACAAACAACAAGTTATTACAAACAATACTTGGGAATTTTAGATTGATCAATTATCAACCCCATTGTTTTTTCTATTCACATCCAAAGAAAAGAGCATATTACATAGACCCCACTTAAATACCACTTAGGTAATCCGCATCTGGTCACCCAGGTACCTAGATACCTCGCACAGTCACAGGCCACAGGGCCACAGGACCACAGGGAGACAGGTGGGAAAGAATAGCTGAGGTAAAAATCGAAATTGGCGCTAAGACGCTAATCCAAATAAGGCCATTTCAGGTTACTTAGCGCGAATCGGGTCAACGTTTCTTTTCGGCGACGCTCTGATCCAATCTTTCTGCATTAAACCTCCTTTGCCTTTTTACCTTCACCTGCACTTTTACCTCGTTACCCTCAATCATCTCTGGTTTAACGTCCACTCAACCACCCTCTCCAAGCATTCGCGACGTTTCTTAACAACCCAGATTTGTTTTCCATAATCTCTCATTTCCTTTAAACGCGGGTTTACGGGGGGGTTTCGCATGCTTTTTCCTCGGTATAATCACCACTTCTCTTTTCCTGCATAATCACCCGATATTTCAACCCAAATCTTAACGAATAAGGAAGACGCGCTTCTTGAACACGCATCAACGCATACCTTACAAGTAACTGGCGACTCAATACACGAATACATCGTCGCCGATATCTGGGTTGGTGTTGGAGCTATTTGGTCGAGCAGCCTCAAGTTTGCAATCAAGCTTGATCAAGATCAATATGGCTCCTCAAGATAGCTTCATCGATGATGAAGAGGATACCTGGTACGTTATCACTTCGCCATTCTCTACCGTATCTCTCGTATTGGATTTTAATCGCTGACATATTGCGTAAAGCCCTCTGTGCATAGAAGAGTTCGATCTTTCCGACAGAAACTTTAGGCCGTGTCCCTGCGGATATCAAGTAAGACCTTATTATACATCCGGTTGCCGTGTTTGACTATGTTACTAATATAATTGCCGTAGATCTGCCAGTTCTGCTACAACAATCTAAAAAACAACCTGAACGGATTATGTCCTGCATGTCGACGACCATACGACGAAAAAGACATCAAGTGGAAGGTGGTTACTCATGAAGAGTATGTATATATTACGGTCGGTATAAATATATCGTCCATTATAGCTAATTCTGTCTTAGGGAGGCGGAGTTTCGAGCAAACATTCAGAAGAACCAGAAGAAGCGAGCAACGGAGCAACGTCAAAAAGAAGTTCAGAAGCGCGAAGCCGAAAAAGAAAGCCGCAAGAATCTTCAAGGTGTCCGTGTTGTACAAAAGAACCTTGTTTACGTCACAGGTCTAACACCTACTGTACGCGAAGATGAGCTACTGAAGACTCTTCGCAAGCCTGAGTTCTTTGGCCAGTATGGTAACATCCAGAAGATTTCGATTAGTAACCGCAAGTCTGCCGATGGACAACCTCAGTCACTAGGTATTTACGTAACGTTCGAGAAGAAGGATGATGCTGCTAGATGCATACAAGCTGTACACGGCTCGCAGAACGGCGACCGTATTCTGAAAGCGCAGCTAGGAACGACCAAGTACTGTTCGGCGTGGCTTAGGCATGAACAGTGCGGAAATCGACAATGCATGTTCCTTCACGAGCTTGGCGACGAAGAGGACAGTTACTCCCGGCAGGACCTCTCATCCCTAAACAGTGTTCATACTCAGCGACCCCTCTCGAATAATGCGTCGTCGTCGTCACGTTCCGCATCGCGACAACAGGCCCCATCACATCCGCCGCCCGTCGGATCACAATCCATGGTTCGCACCTCCAGTAAAGAAGGCTCAGATGCTGGCGATGGCCCGGCTCTACCAGCCTCGGCGAATTGGGCACGTACCACTCAGCAGCGAAGTAGGAGAGGAAGTCATGCTACTAGCGGTGCTGCTTCAAGTCCTGCTATATCTACGTCGTTACCTGTTACCAGTGAAGCCTCCCAAGAGGCAAATGAATCTGCAGTGGTTATAGAACCGCCTCCTTCTACTTCTACTTCCACCTCCACTTCTCGGAAAGCTGAGAAACAACCAGCAGCTGAGACGTCTGCTAAGAACTTGCCTGCTCCTGCTCCTGCTCCTGCTCCTGCTCCTGTTCCTACTACTGTCAAATCATCAAGTGAAGACGATATACCCGATTTCAGCATTATTCTAAAGCATCTGTCCGAATACCCGGAAAGTGCCTTCGCACCAATCAAGGATGCTGGCGATGACTACCCCCCTTTATTTGACGTCAACGGGGGTAAACGAAGACGAGCTATGAGAGACGAAGAAGAGAATCGTCTAGGCGAGCATGATGAGCAGGTCGATAACCTTGAGCCTTCCGAAGGTGAACCGGAGAGTGGTAGTCTCGCTCTAGGCGGTGAACCTGAAGACAGAGACCAGGGTCGTAATAGTGGTCGCTTCGACCAGAGACGCAATCCGGCGCAGCCCCCGATCCAGCGAACGAACACAAGCGACTTGTTCGGACCAACTCTATCTGGATATGGTGCAGCTGCCTCGGCCGTCGGTTCCGGCGGAGGCCGTACTATTACGCCACAATTATTTGTTCGGCCTCAGAATAGCTTTGCCGATCAGATGCCGCCTGGTATCTTACCACAGTCGTCTTCTCTCTTCCAAGGTCAGGGTCATAGTCGCCAGCAATCCAGATTCAGTTTTGCGAATGAGAATAACTCAAGCTCGATCAACGTGAAGTCGACTGGTGATCCAAGATACATGGCTCAGCAATCATCGATGATGCCCTCCGCGTATCGTTCGCAGCCAGGCAATCAGCTATATCCTTCATCTATACCAGGGCCACCGCCAGGACTTAAGTCAGCTGGATCAACGCCTGTTAATGGTGGAATGTTCGGTCAGGGAAATTCGTTTGGGGGATCAGTGTTTGGTGTAGGATCCAAGGACACTTCGAGTGAGCTACTCCAGTCCATCATCCGTGGAAGAGGTGCGGGTAGCACCCAGGCCCACGAGGCGGCAAAGCGTGAGTACTTCCCTTTTAGTAATCAATACCCATCATCTTCCTCCTCCACCCCAGCTCCTGCTCCGGCTCCGGGCCTATTGGCATCGCTCCACGGTTCCCAGCCTGGGGCTTTCCAAGATTTCGGACCAAAGCAGAAGAAGAAGGGGAAGAAGCACAGACACGCTAACACTTCCTCCTCTGGGGGGAGTGGCTTAGTAGATCTTGCGGACCCGAGTATTTTGCAGGCGAGAATGCAACACCAGCAACAGGGAACCAGTACCGGAGTCGGACAGGGGCTGTATGGTGGACAAAACCAAGGTGGGTACAACCCCAGCATGGTATACGGGAGCGGCGTATACAGCAGATGGTAAAGAAGGGCGGCATATTTGATTTTTGTTTTATTTGGCTGGCTGGCTTCCACAAGGCTACGTCGGGGGCGTCTTAGGTTTTTCGGGATGGGCAAAGGAAATTAATCGGAATACTCCGTCAACTTTTTAAGCGAGCATTGCAGAGGCACGACCCAGGAAGGGTCTAGGTTGCATTTGGGCGTCGAGTTTGCGATTGGAAACGACGAGGCCTTGCGCGAACAGTGCTTGCCCCTTTTTTGCTGAAGATACTTGATTTCTGGCGCTATTCATTTGTTGTTCGCTCGCATCATCGGTTACATGGGTCACGTCAGGCAAGCCGTCGTCGTTCTTCCACAAAGTTCTTCATGTACGTTAACCCACAGGTCGATCCTCCAGACCAGACCTGAGAAGCTGCTCTCAAATATAGCATTTCTTCCTCATACCCAATCGCTATAGTCATGTATAACTTGTGGAAGACGACGATGGAAGCTTTGTGACGTGACCTTTGCTTTTCTCGTCTCCTTCGTATTGTAATTCACCACGTATTTATGGTGCCAGTAGCTAACGTATTTATTTTCTAGACGATGACCTCTTACCTCTCGACGAGGCATCCTCGTCCGTGGATGCTCTCGTTGCCGATGATGACGACCCGGAAATTTCTCGACTGTCGTTTCTATCGGATGAAGGAAGGGTGCCGTCCGTCCCCCCGGGACTCGGTCTTAGTCATGCGCATCCTCCCGCACCCATCGCACCTATCGCACCCCTCGCCGAGAGGAGTTCGACTCCTGTCCCGCACGGCCAGGGGAGTCAGATTTTGATATCATCAAAATCACCTGCTATTCCGCGGCCCGTAACCCCATTAATTACAAGAACTATTCCAAAGTATGTCACTTCGAGTAAGGTAGAAAAAATTGCTGCTGGTGGAATAGAAGCGAAGAAGAGTATTAAGGAGCTTATCGCGAAAAATCATGTGGCAAACGATCTTGCAGCTCAGTTGTCGAAGTTATCGAAGGGTAAGGGTGTTCTCCAGGAAGAGGACTTTCCAGCTCTCGACTCTGTCAAAATTAGCTCGCCTCCGAGGATTACTCCAATTTTACCTTCGAAGCCATCATCATCTACTAAGACGCCACAGGGCAAGAGGGTCACTAGCAGCGCGGCAAGCCAGGCGCTATCAGCAAAACCTACAACTAGTAAATCTGACAAGCGTCCAGTTCCTGGCATACTTGACATCGCGGCGGCCACGAAAACTGTTCCACAGACTAGTGTCAGTGAAACTTTTACAACTAGTGGAACAGATAAATTGGCTGGTCAAGTTCCTAACAGTGCTACCCAGCCTCAGAAACCCCAAGGAGCTTTTACCTTGCCCACTCCCACGCCTACCACGGCATCCATATCTTCCCCCTTGGCGAAGGTTGCTCCGAAGACTCTTCGTCTCGTCCATACCCCTAAGACGGAAGCACCACCTATTCATATACCCCCTGCGGCTGTTGCGTCAATTCGAGCTGCTGGAATAACAGGTTCTGCCCACAGACCCGCAACACCGGCTAGTGAGATCATATCAGACACTGCATCTATAGTTAGTAATTCTGTGTCCGTGTCTCGAACAAGCTCTCCGCCACCCTCAAAGCTTGGCTCTGCACCTGTGCGCATAACTACGAAGAGTCAGCAGCGCAAACAACGCAAAGAAGCTTCGAAGGAAGCCGCTGCACAGATTGCTGAGTCAAAGCCAGTCGAGAAAGAAGTAGAGATCGCGCCCATTCTTGGAAGAAAGAAGAAGCAGAAGAAGGAAAAGAAGATGACCACTGCGAGTCGTCCGGAAACGCCTAGCGGTACAGAGCCGCAGGCAGAATTCTCGGCGTTGAGGAATGCTCCTACTCCAATTCCCGAAGATATGGGCGAAAAGACCAATAGAGGCACTAGAAGCTCTTCCTTAGCCGAGTCACCCAAAATCGGCGTGCAAAAGAACAAGGCGACGAAGAGTCCCCCTAGAAGCCCGGTAGCCATTGACACTTCTATTAAATTGAACGAGTCAACAAAGACTACGGTTTTGACTCCCGACTACGTTGGTCATTCTTCGGAACCTAAGCCGGAACAGCCAATGGACGATGATGTGGGTGAAGTTCCTCACCTTCGTGATGTATTTCGAGATCTCGTGGACGACGGCAGCCTTCGCGACGAGGAATCAATCAGCTTTTTCAAGCCCGCGCAAGGCTACCGCTCAGAGTTCATTGGCAACGTTGATATCCCATCGACCCTTGCACCTACGCTGAAGGCAATTGTCACCAAAGAGGACGAGGACAAGCTTAATGCATTCCAGTATGTCAGAAAAGTAGTGAACGAGCACACCGTGCTCCTAACTCCCAACGGGGACTACCTTCTAAACTTGACCGATGACGAGGCCGAGCTATTCATTCAGCTTCAGGATCGCATCAGGATGGAGAGCGCACTCCCGACAACATTTTCAGCACCTCGCCATACGCCTGCAACGGGATTCAGCCTTGTTAAGAATCGCGCGGTCCCTAACGGAACGCCGTCGTATTTCCCAGCTGGGCCAGACAACTACCCTAGCGACCCGGTAGGCAAGATGCACCGGGAAGAAGCAATTAGTTGTATTAACCAGCATGTACTCCCCTCCCTAAACCTAAGCGGGTACAAATCAACGGGCTCCGGCTCTAACTCGGGCAGGAACGTGAACCTCCAGCAACTTGCGCCGTGGATATGTCCCCCAGGAGAGAACCCCGAAGACCGCAGTAAGATGTTCTCCGGTAGGCCCGGCGACGAGTTCAACGGCGACGGCGTGTACGGGTGCCAGGATAACGTTAACGGCGGCCCATCCCCATCGATCGGCAGCGCGCCGCTGATGACTGTCGAAGACGCCGAGGCGGCGCTTACGGCGGCGAGAAAGCAACACGAGGTGCTCGATAAGAAGTTCAGACAGCTGCAGACTAAGAATAGGCGCCTGGTGGGACTACATTGACTGCCTGATAGTGCTCGAGGGGACGTCGCGACGTACGTTGTTGTTGCGGCGATGTGGGTTATGGGTGCCGTGTCCGCGGCGGTGCTAAGTCTAGCGAGGTTTGTCCTTGGTGTGGCGTTAGGGACGGACGTGGGGGATCTCGGCGTTTACGTCTTTGCGCGGGATTAGGGGGGTGGTATATTTTATGGGTTGGTGGTTTGCTTATTACGAGAGCTGGGGGTCTACGGGATTAGGGTGTGGACTTGGTGTTACGATATTTGTACGAGTACCAGTCAGTGTACGAGTGAGTCCCGGTTTGCGTGATAGCATCGCAACTCAACATGGTCACGACGACCGAACATGGTGGAGGGATTGATGATGACCGGCTTCGGCTCCATCACGGCGTTAGGTATTAAGGAAGGGTGGCATTCGTTTATTGCATGAGAATTGATGCGCGAGCATAAGCATGGTTTGTGTGTACTAAGCTATTAAATCGGCAGTACCTACTTCAGTATTAGGGAGTAGGGGTACATAGGCATGGCCATGGTTATGGCTATAGCTGTTGTAGCTGCTACGTATATGAACTACGCTGATTTATTATCGATGTGCTTGGCTTTTTTGTTGGGTATTTGCTTGAGGTTGTGATATGATGGCAGTTTTTGGGATAAAAATGTCTCGATCGTAGTTCTTGTGAAGGTGATAGGAAGATCGTAGCTACCTAGGTATTGTCGTGTCTCATTTACACCAGCCAACATTGTGAGCTATTAAAATATCATGATCTGATATCGCCAACACGCATATAACATATACTGCATGGATCAAAAGTAAAATATCAATAGCCTACGGTTTTGGAATTCTAACGATACACATCCAATCCATCCCTTGCAGTCTGTTATCAATATAGTTGTTCCAGAGACTAGGTCTCGTGGAGTTGAACTAAGACATGGGAGGGTTTGTAACAGACATCTGAAGCCATGTATTGTAAATTAGCAATTCGTGTGCCACGTGGGCGTGATGATCGAGTTAATGCTAATCTCCTACTAATCGAATACTTTCTTACTCTCCCCAACCAAACTAAATCGTGAAGTTTGTTCATTTTAGGTTTGTCAGCTCATACTTTAGATATGGTAGAGGCGAAGTCGAATTGCTTATGTGCTTTGCGTTGAGCCAGATGCTGCTATGCAGAGATTCAAATAGCCCCGGCAGATCAAGAAGATCAATGATGGACTTTTGAAGAAATCCGATCTGATTTCGCGGTAAAAGATCATTACATGGCTCCCATGAGACACGTGTTTTAGGCTTCAATAACGTGCCGTCTCAAGTCACGCATTTTTCTTTTTATCGGCAGATCATAGGGGGTGGCATAGTTTTAGTCACGTGGAAGGCTTCGGGTAGGGGCTGAGGTTTGAGGCTGATGGAGACATCGCCCACATTTACAACGCCGACGCGGATCAACTACCGGGATACCGGAGGTTACACGGAATACGTCACACGAACCAAATTAGATACATAATTGGATGTATCTAGCTAAATCGGACCCACATGACCTGGATAAAACATTCCGATCCAATTATGATGACGCTTACAGATTCACAGATTCTTTCAAGATCTGAAGACAGAACGCTTCTGCAGCGATCGGGTACTTGACAGCCAAGCGCCAAACACCAAACACTAGACGCCATCTTCGGTACTATTGATGCCTTGCTTATTTAAATTCTTACCTGCAGCTATTTCTAAAGGATTTACTGCAACTCATCGTGGTTAAATCGAATGTTGGTCTAGCGAGTCTTGGATGTTCGAGATCCTTTTCCAAGTTGACCGATACGACCCTTTGCAGCCTTTGCAGCTTCACCGTTAGTCCAAGAATGGGCTATTCATTCCTCGGGAATAATTTTCATTTAGTGTTGTACTATGAATGCAGAAAAATGGAACAAGGGGATTCTAGTCAGAATCGTGCGTGTCTCAGGAGTCTAAACATTGCCCAACCCAAGGATCTTAGACCTAGCATCTGAGACCGCGCATTAGCATATATGAATTTTTAGCAATCGGGTTCCCGAATATAGATCAGAATCACGATGGGCTGGATGGGCCAAATTTACCGGCCCATAATAGATGATGGCGGTCCCGACAAAGTGTCGGTGGCTTTAGACCGTTCCGGGAATGGGACCCCGTGGCTGCAGATGGTCTGCCTTTATCGTCCTCGATCACGATTATGACATCGAGTGGCGGCAATCGTCCAACGGAAGTGCATCTGAACATCATACACTCGGTACGGATCCGTACGTCCTAAGTCAATTGGCCTAGAACATGCCGTTCGCCAATTTTACCCATACACAATCCAACGTTCATAATTCTTCGACACGAAACGATATGCATCCTCAATTTAGTAAGACTTCTTTAACACTACTATCGTGGCCCGAAGTAACAAACCTGATGAATCTGTGCATACCCCATAAGAAGGAAGAGCCACATAGATCGGAAGACGCCTAAATCCACCACAACCCCTACAATTGACCCTTCTCATCTTCGGAAAGTCGATAAGAACTCTCTTGCCGCCATCTAGGACGAGTACTCCTGTCTATATTAAACATATTGAATTAGTTATTATCTCTACAGTCGTCGATATAAACTTCCACCAAGCCCTAGTCTTCTCAAGAAGACGTCTAAACCTACTTCATCAGCTCACAGACCACCTATACTCACACATGGCTTTTATCATGAATCCATGGGAAGAAAATGCATTCCAAGTATGTTAACACGGTCATAACTCTACCCGTCATCACCCATCGCCCCTTAATATTACTGCAAGCAATGCTCACTTTCCATAATAAAGTTACCATGGTGAATTGGTCGCTGACACATCATGAAATAGTATCACTACCAAGACACTAGTGGTGTAGGTTCATCTTCTTTAGCAGTAAACCAACAGGACGATGTCCACGATTCTGTTATCTACCCCGGATTATATGCCCCGAGCGGCTTCGATATGATGAGCATATTGGTAAGATTACACTATATAATCCGGGTCTTACTACAGCCTCCTAATATTATCTAGGTTCGAGTGATGTCGAGACCAAACCCAGCCATCGATCTTGGTCCTATCGACGCATCTTGTGCCCTTATAATGTGCGATCTCCAAGAACAAGACTACCCCGTGGTCTACGCATCAGATCCATTCATGGAGCTTACTGGTTACTCGCAATCCGAGATTATCGGCCGGAATTGTCGATTCTTACAAGCCCCCGGCGGTAAAGTTCGGCAACGGTCTACTAGAAAGTACGTGGACAAAGACCTCATCAAAAAGATGCGACGGGCAGTTGAATCGAACAATGAACTTGCAATCGAAGTCACCAATTTCAAGAAAGATGGTCAGAGTTTTGTCAATCTGTTGTCAATGATCCCAGTCTGCTGGGACAGCTCAACGCCGAGATATTCGGTTGGTTTTCTGGCTGAGAAAACTTGGTAAAAGAGCGTGGGATTGTGGAGGCAGAGGATTACGGTATTACGGAAAACAAGGATACATCGAGGGGCGTTCGGCGAGCATATTTTCGATTCTAGATTATGATACCCCGTTGCCGATATTCGCTATTAGGCATCATTTCGTCACCGGGATACGGTTGCTTTTAGGCATTGCATCAACATCTTATACCCTATTTTTTGCATCTTGGTTTAGCGTCATGTTGGAGAGATGTGGTGATATACAGGGACAAATCTAAAATTTTACGTGCCCGGATTTTACGCTTGCCTGGGTCGTTCGAGTCTATTCGGACCTTCAGGGTTCAGAGTTACTCTTCAGGGGATGGCGGTTACAGCATGGCAAAGGCTAGGGGGTCTATATTGGCACACGTATCTAAAACTTGTTTAACAAATATCGAACATATTGATCAATGTGCCCGTGAAAACTAGCAAGCAGTCGATCTTGGGCAGGAACCCGTTGTTTATGGCTATGATATTCCTGATCTATAACTCGGTACCACTTATTCAGCGATCGATCCAATGGCCGCCTGTTGCTAACCCACGTCTAGCACGGAATGTTACCAGGTAGGCTTTTCACGACATCAGGAATACGAACCCACTAAATCCATCAAGGCTTTGGGGAACCCCTCTTTCCGTGCGTCCATACGACGGGTCCTCGCAGCTTGGTCGTACTATGATTGAGGTCTCATTCAAGATCAGATAATCTACTGGGCAAAGCTGTCCTTCGATAAGTAGAACATACGTTAAATTTACTTCGTCTGCACATGTCATTTGGGTATCTAATATGTCCTTGATTAACAAGGTGTATGTCTCTAGTTGAAGATATTGATAGGCAACCCCTCCATAGCTTCCTACATACAAGCTCCCTCCCGACGCATCGGAAAGCCCATGATTCAGGCTACTGGTGGTTGGTATGTTTGACACATATACACAACGGTGGAGAGCTAGTGGAAGAGGGAAGAGGTAAGTTACTCCTTCACCACCTTAAATTATTTTCAAAGATATAAACACCGCCGGTTATCTCTCCTGTTTTCTATATACCATCTTAATAACTATGGCCATCGTATTACGGTCCGCCTGGGCACCAAATGGTTATACCCGGGCAACTATCATCCCCACAGCAGGGGGGTCCCTCGGTGCAACCATCTTCGGAAGGACAGCACTGTTTCGGACATAGTCGAGTTAGCTTTATATATCATACGTAGAGTTAGTGATGGCTTGAAATGGGGGACTTACACAATACCAAACTGCTGGCACGGACGTTGATATAGCTGTTGATGTTGTCGATGGTGTAAAAAGAGCCGATGAAGCGGTAGCGTAGCATGCTATTAAGATATGCATGAAACGCATGGTGGGTAGGTAAGTATTTGTGTTGAGGAAGTTTGTGGTGTTATTGATAGAGGTGATACGGGTGAGTTACGTTTGGCTTGAAAATTGAGGTTATGGTTTATACCGATGCAACTATTCGAGAAAAAGCTCACAAACAGCGCTTTGCTGCTTTATATACCTGGGTAACTACAACCTACTGCCAGTTTCGGAGCGAATTTCCTTACCTCACACTGCTGCTTTTGGTGTCGATACCCCTCCCAGAATGCCCCGTCCCGAGTTTTCTGCCCGAGTCCCAAGAGGCGAAGGAAAAAGGGAATCGTATGATCAAACAATGTTCCTTTACTGAGGGAAACCAATAACTTTATGCAAGACCAAGACATGTATTTGTGTTTGGAAGCGAGTGTTTGTTTGCTTGTACGGACGTATGGCACGGTTAGCCTCCCCTGAAACCTGTTGGGAGCAAGCCTCGTCCAGTTGAGACGAAGGAAATATATCGTTTGCTCGACCGTTATTTAACTTCTATCTCATAAGAGAGGTACATGTTTTACTTCGCTACAGAAACAAGTAAAGCATGAAAGGCATGTCTATATGATAACTACAATACCAGGTACCTAGGTAGGTACTAAATAATGGTTTTAAATCTTGTATTTACTTGCCGCATATGTACAGTACTAGAGATTCATCCTTATATCGCAAGACTCTGCTGGGTACTTGATTTCATATAAAACTTAAAGTAGGTATGGTAACACCATCATATGCAACTTAGTGTCCTGGCCGCAAGTACTCTAGTTTGTGGTTTGATTCGCAGATATTCTCATATATTACCTACTTATTGCAACGATGTCTTGCAAACCACCGAAACGGCATACTACACCGTGGAGGAGGATGTCGGTATTCTGAATGACCGCTTCACATTTCTCTTAACACGTTATGAAGAAAACATAAAACATTGATAGAAAGTGCACCGAAATAGACGCTGCGTTGAGCAACAAAATGCATGGCAGATCTGTATAATACTCAAGGCAGATAATACTGGGTATTCCATTAATCTAAATAATTGATACACATCTCCCATTTCTGCCTTCTAGGGACAACTACCGATAAACAGATTTCCACCATGTCAATACGCCCCTTTTAGAATCCCTAATCCTCCTTGTCCCGAGCAATGCTAAATCAACGAACCGAGTTGGAAATATTTTGGCCTGGGCCTCTCAACCGTACATCTGTGCCTTGTCCCCTTACTCCTTCTCGCATGGGACATGCCTTTTATACCTCGATTTAGGTATAGGCATATGTAATAATATCTCCGGAGAGACTTTCTTCTCCGGAACCAACTCTCCGACAGGTTCCCCAGCTATCGTATATTTCCCTCGTAATACCTCGATGTTATTGTCGCGGAGGATATATCTCATCCCCACGACTGATATGCTATGTAATACCAAACCCACAACACCTAGGTCTGGAATGCCATTAGATTAAACAGCACATATGTAGCACCCTAACCCGCAGTGCCACAGGGTATTAAATGTTTAACAACCACACCTTCCCACCACCGCGCTCTCATCTCGCCTCAACCCCCAACCCCTCCTCCAACACCCCTAAACTCCCTAGCTTATCATCCAGCCAGCGCGCCAACTCCTCCGCCTGACGGCGCGTAGCCATAACCGCGGACGCCGCCACACTAGTCGTAGTCGCAACACTCGCCGTCGTCGCAGCCCCCGCACTAGCCACGCTCGCGACTTCGGACGGCGAGCCCAGCGGCGTCTGGGGGTGCGCTTCGTGGCCGCTTGTGCTGGGCGTAGACGGCATAGGACGGCCTTGGGACTGCGGGGTATGCGGATGCGAGGAAGAATGACCATGCGAGGGAGTCTGGGGGCTTAGGCTGGGACCGAAGTTGGTCGCGGCGGAGTTAGGGTTGAGGTTGGAGTTCGAGTGGGAGGTAGGGGGGTTGCGATAGGATGTCGAGGTCGAGGGACGGGCGTCCTCGCCTAGAGGCCCGATGCACACGAACAGCAGCCCGCAGCGCAGGTGGCGGATCACCATTACGCCGCCGGTTAGCTGGATGGTTACCGCGTTGGGGGTTGGTGTCGGCGGGAGCGTGAAGTCGCTTTCTAGCCCGGTGTGCGCGGGCGGCAGCGCTTCGATGACGGTGTAGGTCTCCCCTGCGGCGTAGAGGGCCCATATCGAGGCGGCGACGGTGCATTGCGTGCGCAGGGTGCCGACGGGGTGGGGCGACGCGTGCGCGAGGAGCTTGCCTGAGAGAGTGGTGAGCGCGGCCGTGTGGATCTGCGGGCTGAGGTTCGAGCTGAGGAACGCGGTCAGGCGTTTGGTGAGAAGCAGGGAGGGCGTGGGTGCGGAGACGGAGGGAGGCATGGTAGCGAGTGCGTGTACGAACACGCGCGTACGAGATGTATGTAGATCAGAGTGTCGACTATAGATATACAACTATACACTAGGTATGTAGGTATAATTCGGACCTCGTATAGGGCCTCGTATAAAGGGGTCGGCCGTTGACCGGCTGGCGGATGATTAAACCCTGACGACGGCGCGCCGTCGGTGATGTTTACCCAGGACTTCGCATCGACTGTGACGAACGGTTCCTTTTTTTGCTTTTCCCCCTTATTCACTGTCCGAACATCCGAGCTAAGACAGAACGACAACGACGTGGGTTCACTTTATCACGGATGTCATGATATCGTCCGAAAGACGGAAAGTGAAGAGGAAGTGAGAAGTAAAGAGTTGTAAGCTTGTAAAAGTTAATGTGACGTCGAGCGCTCGGTCTCTTGATCCGTCAGTTAGTCAGGGGGCATTTTAATGACTTGCATGGTCCGAGCGCTGCTCTTTCTATCGGTCTGAAGGGTTCTGGCGATAAGATAAGATTGGGGTTGCCCCATAGCGCTAACGCCGGACCTTACGCCGGAAGTCACTAGACTGCGCCGGTTGCGCCAAAATCGGCAAGGACGGTATCTCGAGGGGAACCATTCTTCATCGGTAAGGCACTAACGGCAATAATTGGGCTAGGAACGCATGGTAGTTCTTCGCAAAGCGGAAGGGGCAGAGGGGGTACGAATCAACTATTTATTTCCGTGTCCTAGTCCCAGCTAACATTCCAGGATTTGGGGAGTGCTGGAGCAAGGATTCAAGATCGAGGATCTTGACGAATTGGGACGGTAAATGCAGCCCAGATGATATATTGACTGCCTTATGACGTCGACTACATTTGTGGCTTGACAGCCCCCCGACGGGATTCGGAGGTCGAATATGCCGCCCAAGGAGGTAGAAAACGTGGCTGGATATTTGTATTAGAAAAGATGAGCTGAAGGGAATGTCACGATGAGAACTTGTTCTACCTACCTACCTAGTACTAGGTAGGTTGTATACGGTTTCAGGGTAGACATAACCAAATAAGTTGCCCATATGAGCTAATATTCATATCCATTTTGATAGAACACATCCAGATAACGACCTAGATTCCTGCTAGCGGGTGCATTATGGTGTTATACCCGCCAAGTTTTATACCTAATACTGTAGATACTTTCCAAAGTGTGGTATGCCGACGTTATTTAATACTAGTAAGGATTATGAAGAATGAGTAGAATGAGTAAAGCCCGCCCCCGAACTAGCAGTAATTGAGATATCAACCTCCTCTTCTTCCTCCGGTTTCCCATAAAATACCTCGAACATATTATCTTGCTTCGCCAGGACCCTATCGATTTCCCTTTGATGTTCAATGTTCTGAGCCAGCTGTACATCATCTTCATACTTTTGTTGTACCAACTCGTTGTCGAAAGTGATGAACCTCCTTGCTTCCGGGTGGTTAGAGTTCAGCCACTCTTCGTAACGCAGATGGACACGAGTGCACATGATGGAAGTGGAATAGTTCCGATGGCGTTCGTTCCACTTGTACTCTCCGTTTTCCTTCTCGTCCGGATTAAAACTCATTATCCATATTAACAAATTTTTTAGTATAGGCGAGTAATTCATATCTTCCAGGTTATTCATTACTGTCTTCGTGCGTATCTCAGCGACGTGGTAGCCTTGAAGAATGGTAGGAGGTACCATCATCGCTTGCACGATTTCGCCAACCGCCCTCACCTCGCTAACTCTGGTGTAGGGCTGGGTTGGCTGGAAAGATGGTTAATATTCGTGCTAAGAGGGAGAGGGAGAAGGCCCGTGGACTTACAAGCTGAGGATAGTGATGGCCGATTTTTTCATCTTGTGCAATGAGTTCGTCGAGATGTTGAAAGTGTTCCGTCCGAGGCGGGGCCAAGGCTTCACTCCGATCTCGTATCTGCTCAGGCTTGTCTTGGTATCCATTTTGGTGACCGGATATGAACGCGTTGCTATAATCACCTAGCTTGCAGCTCCCATACCACTCGTTGCGTCTAGGATGCATGAAGTATATGTTCTCGGGGACGATATTCCGATGTAGAATAGGTTCCCAGTTTGCATCAGGGACGAAGTCCCATTTGCCTTCTTTGTTGGGTGGAACCGTCCGTGCACCCTCATGCAACCATGATAGGGCCCTCATGACAGAAACAAGAACGTGCCAACAAAATGATTCTGGCAAGAACATATTTTCTGCGGTGCTCCTCGTCTTCCTCTTCAAGTCATCCTTGGCCAGCACACCATCCAACTCAAAAGGAAGGACTTCGTCGTGATCTAGGTCATCCCAATCACCCTCGTCAATAGGCTGAGGCATCTTCGGAAATCTCCGTTGTCCAAGGACGAATAGGTTCCCTAGATTTCCAGCATCGCAAAACTCCCAGACGGCATACTGTCGGTGACCGGGTTGACCTTTGGCGTCAGATCGTTGAACCGAGAACAGATCTACGAAAGAGACCATATGCCCGTGATTCAATATAACCTTGAGAGGTTCGATGATGTTGGTTTTTTCTGATGTCAGAAGGAGCTGCAACTCGTTGGGGCCACCTTCTGCGGGATTAGATGGGTTTGATGTTAGCCCGCTGGTGATATCATGAGCAAGATATTCTATTCGGTCTGCCTTGCGACATATCTTCCAGACTCCTGGACTAAGCTCGGATATGAAGTCGTATTTGCTGGCGTCTCGGAGCTCATCGTAGGGCCTTTCGTAAACCATATTGACGACAAATACTTGAACAAAAAAAACACTCTGATGATACCGAGGACGGAGGGCAATCAGAGATGATGAAGTTGTCAAAACATATTATGGAAAGCTTCTTCTGGATATGAATAAGTGTCGAAGATCGAGTGGTTCTTCTGGAATGTTCACATTTTCAATGGCTTTGTTCTTGATAACCGCACAAGGGATAGAATGACATTCCAAAGACAGATTCGTCTAGAACCCTCCGAATAACTTGCCACAGCGTATTTTCACTTGTATCTATTTGCCCATTCTTTCATTTTACGCACTAAACTCCAATCTAGAAAAATGCTCTGGTTTTGCGCGTTCCAATCTTGATCTTTCACAATTGTAGAAATAGGTGAATACCTAGGTAGATATGAGCTTACACAGTACTTCCAAGATTCTCGCCGTACAATCTGACAACAGCTGACGCGCATAATGAGGATAAGACATAACTCTTACCATATCTTCATGCGCTTCCAGTATTATCAATAACACCGATGTAATATATCATTCGTTGCGAGGTTCGCAGATCGCACTGATAGTTATCTTATTCCAGGAGAAAGCTAATGGAGAAATGAAATCGTGGTGGACGCCGGAATGAAGGATTCACCTTTTCACTGGTTGGTACCTACACAATGGCCAATATGAGAGATCCTGCGGGCATCTTGCAGATCTAACTGATGGATTCGCCGGCCTTGCAATGTATTGAGACGGAAGCAGATCGCTGAGGCGCTTCGCCAAGAGGCTTTCGGGTGAGAAATCGAGGTTAACCGTGTCCGGTTGGTTGAGGGGATCCGAATTGATTGACTGGCTGCCTAAACGCTTGAAGATCATGCAGGATAAACATCACGTAGATTCCATTCATTATTGCCAATACGTTTGCTGACCCATTTTCAGTGACTGCGACTGCGTGAGTAACGGTAAATAGCAGAATATAATTATATTTTTAACCGCTTGCTTATTTCAGTTAAGAAGTTAGAAAGAAAGTGTTTGGTATTTCTAAAGTTTCAATGTTTCGCGTTTCCTCTAGATTGGGAATTGTGTGGGTAGCCCTCGAGGTATTTTTATCAAGTCGTCCAGGTCGCAGTTCCGCCCAACATCCATCAAATAAGGTAGGTGCTGTACCTTCGATACGCTAGAAGAGGTACCCCCCGCGCCGAATTCTCAAACCACGAAGGAACCGTAAGGGGTTCGGCGCTAAGCTGAATTTAGCGTCCGGTACCTTGCATTATGGTGGGAAGTGGTCCAATTAACAACCGGATTGATCAACTACAGCGGTACGAAGTACGAAATACTGGGACCTTCGATGTCGTACTAATGCTGCATACCCGTTTCTGCAATCTCAAACCGCCAAAACCGTAAACCCAATCGAGCCAGTCCAGCCAACGTTGAGCTTTCCCTGTCTCCTCGTCCCCCGTCCCCTCTCCTTCCCCTTCTGAGACCTCGCAGGTTCCCTCCTTTCCCTTTCGCAGACTATCGTAAGAGTAAACGACACTTGCCATCTTCATCAACTTACAAGAGTCAGGCGACGCCAGTTTCTTGATGGGAAAATTAAATTAATAAAATATCGACACTCGCTCATTAAATTATCTACGTACACTCGCAACACTTACACTCACTTCAATCAAATAAAATACCCACATATTCCCCGTTTGACCCAATTCGATCTCTTGACACTCCAACCACGTACTTCCCACATCGTGCCCCAGAGGTCGATCAAACAAAGCAGGTCAACATCAGCTAACATTGGACCCGTTCTCCGCCCAATTCGTCCCTTGCGTCGAATTTTGTCACTGGATTTCCACCAAGCCTGTAATCTGAGACATCACTCGGACCATTTCTTCAACCATCCAGCCCATCGCCCATCTCGCGCCGTCAAGAAAGACTAAGGCACGAAGACAATCCGGCGGGAAACGGGAAAGCTTATTGTGGCGATCGAAATACCAAACGTCCCAAGAATAACCCTAAGAATAGCCTCTGGCTGCAATGACACCGCAATAGCGCGGTCTCCCGCATTCTTCGCAACCCTCAAACCCACTAGCCTATCTGGCATGTCTTTTCTATTAGTGTGCTGAGACCTGTCACTGCTTGACGGGTTACCACTTCTATCGTCGCCTGCTTTAGGACGACGCTTTGTCTTTCATTACGAACCCGTTCTGGGAATCCCTTCTCTTCTCAACCCTTTTCTACACGCACTGCCAGTCTTTGCTCTTCATTCGATTCGAGAGCACGGTCGAATACTTCGCGGGCGAGGGACGACGACTGTGCAAGACGGCGGGTCCGCTTCGACAATTGATCATTGATTGACAACGACGAGTTACCACGAAGAAGAATTACGATTGGGGACTGCGATTACATTCATTTCGAACCTCTTCTTCGAAGCCAATCTTTCCAATTGGCCTTATTTTGATACCCCATTCTTCTGGACTGTGTTAGTTGCCTGCTTGGATAGGCAGGTTTTCGCGGCGATAGGTTACCGTTAAACAAGATGGGTTGCCTCGGTCGAAAGCAGGTCGAGATTCGACCTGAACAGAAATGGGATGCAATCGTAGGTTACCTTCAAGTGCACGCACTAACCACCTTCATGCAATGCTAACGGCATATTCTAGAGTCTAAGAGACTTCAAGTCAACGTCCTGTTTCACACCCTTCGCTTACGGCTATCTTTACTTTTCTCTTCTTATATCCGTAGCTGTCTACGGCGTCGATACTTTCACTGCAATTAACTTGCTAGCTTTCAACACCTGGTCGTCTACTATTGAGCCCACACAACTTGTCCCATTCGATGTCTCGAAATGGATCTTTTCAATTTGCATTATTGCCTCATTTATTAACTTGGGATTTGAACATCTGCGAGCGATGAGAGTCATGAAGCGAGGAAGTGTGGCTGAATGTTATCTTGACAGTCTGGCTGTGCGCCTGGAGAGTGTTCGGTTTGGACAGGGCCAGGGATGGAGGCGTTTCCTTGTTTTCGCCGAATTGACTAAGTCTAAGAAAGGCGCTGAATATGTTGCGCTTTTCACCTACTTCAGTTTTCAAGGTAAGTTTTAATCTTGGCGATCGGAAAATAAGAATCTTACGGCTTACATGGTCTTAGCTTGGATCCGAGTTATCTTCTGTTCTGGACCCCGTCAAGTTATCAACGCCTTGACTTTATATTCTGTCTATAAATCAGATCTTATCCCTACCGATGTCTCTTCGGTGCAGAGCACGCTCGGGACCTTCTATGGCAAGCTCCAACACCTTGCCGATGAGAACAAGCAGCAGGTAGTGATCCTCTCGGGTATGGTGTTTACCGTGGTTATCTGGGTCTTTTCTGTATTATTCCTGCTCACTGCAGCCTTGTTCTATGTCTTCTTCCTCTGGCATTATATCCCTCGACAAGATGGCGGTCTTGGCGGCTACTGCGAACGAAAGGTCAACAAACGATTGACGAGGATCGTTACGATTAAAGTCAATAAGGCTATCGCTAAGGAGGAGCGAGACCGAATGAAGGCGGAGGTCAAGGCCGCGAAGAAAACTGGCGAAAAAACACCTGTTGGACGACAGGCCACTCTGCCAACTTTCATGGATGCCGACAGCGAGGATAAGCTCCCTGAGATGCCTATGCTCAACCGCAACGATACGATGGCCACCTTGCCTCCATACAGTTCAAGACCGGGTTCTTCGCATAGTATTGAGCTTAACCCATGGGATCAGAAACGCCCCATTGCCACCCGACAGAACACAACGACTACGAACGCATCTTCTACTAGTTTCTCGTCTCGCGCTCCTTTGCTTCCCAGTGCTGCCAGTATGGGCTTCGATCGATCAGCATCCCCAGCACCGACTCTACCTCAGATTGATCTCAACAACTATCAGCCACCCCAACGACCGGGAACTGCGGCCTCGAATAGGAGCTTTGGTCCTGGCCCAGGCCCAATGGGCCCTGGACCTAGCCGTTTACAAACCAGCGGGAATGGATTTGGAGGTGGTTATAGTGCAAGTCCATCGACATACTCTGCATCGGAGCCTTTACGATCACCGCCTCCGATGGAGAACTATAATCGACCTATGCCTCCCCGCCCGGCAAATCAGATGACTGGTCGCTCTAGTCCGGCGCCGTCAACTTACTCAAATCGCGGCCCCCCACCAGGCCCAGCCTATGGCCCGAATGGCCAGCCCTACCCTCCCCCTCGTAGTATTACGAATCCAATGCCCCCTGTGCAAAGAATGCCGCCTCAGCGGAACATGACGGCTCCAATGCCACCTCGACAGCCAGACGGATACTACGGGCAGCGCTCCGGAACACCTTCGGGCCAGAGGAATGGGGGTCAGGGCTATAATTACGGCAGTGATATGGAGGCACAGCGCGGATATCCGAGATATTAGTATTCTGTATTGAATGATGGTTGTTACGTCAGAAGGTGAGGCTAGGTGGATACCCTAATATCGTACGATTTGAGGAGGCAGCGATGGCAGCGATGGCGTTGTGCTTAGTTGCGGTCGAGATGGCATGGATAGGCTTTGCAGATCCTTGAAGGCCATCTGATTTAAAAAGCATCCCGGGCAAGATGGCGTTTGACGACAAATCCGATGGTTTTTCTTAATGAAACTTTGATGTATTATATTCGCTGACATTCAGCAGCACCTAGCTACAGTTGTCAAATTTAAGACCACGGACATTCTTCGGCTTTTTAAAATCAATTCCCTAGATAATCACTAATTCAAAGTTTGTATGGTGATGTTGGGATTCCCTCTTTGAACTAAGGTCGGGTATGTCGTTACTAAAACGTAATCCGGGGTTTGAAAGACAATCCCCTGCGCGCCCTTCTTGATTTGTCATTGCCCCGTCTCAGGGCGTCATGTTGTCATCCGTCAAGGCCATCACTAATCAATGCTACGTGGAATTTTCTACGAGTTGATGACTCGTATAAAATTTCCCCGTTTGAGAATTTGATTGGTATGGTCGTTTGTTAAATATGTAGGTCGAAGGCATAACATCCTGGGTGGCTCAATCCATGATCAGAGATATCTTCGTGTTTGTCGTGAATTTAATTTTCGAATCGTCCTCATCGCTACTTCGAATACCTACCCACATACTTTAGTATTGAAAGCTGAAGATAGATATCACCTGGTAAACAAATAGAATCAGTTCGAAATGGGGGGGCAAGTCAATTCAGAACAGTGGCACCCAGGCGAGCGTGCTATGCACCAGCTTCTGCACGTCACGCAGCACGGGAACCCAACACACCACAGCTTACCGCCACAACATGGATACCGCGTCGCGGAGTCTCCGCTTGTCGCCTTCGGAGCGCTGGATCGGTACGGCAGGCCGTGGGCTACGGTTTGGGGCGGGGAGAAGGGGTTCTGTAGGCCTATCGCGAAGAGCGTATTAGGCGTGGGCGCTAGCGTGGATGTCAAGTTTGATCCTGTGCTCAGAGGGCTGCTCGAGGTTTCTGTGGAAGGTAGCGAGGGGGCTATAGATGTAAGCGACAGTGAAAAAGACGGGGACGAACGGGTGATGTGGATGGAAGAAGACGTGAAGGAAGTTGTTGATAACCTGGTCGTTAAACCTGAAGATAGGACGATCATGGCAGGCCTATCGATTGACCTTGAGACGCGCGACCGCGTTAAACTTGCCGGCCGCATGGTCGTTGGCTCGGTGAGTAGGACGTCGCCCGGCGTCGCGGACTTGCAGATGGTGTTCCAAGTCGAGGAGGCTCTGGGGAATTGTCCGAAATACCTGAATAAAAAGGTCATCGTTCCACACACACCCAAGCCTATGCTTATGAGCGAGGGGAGGGGTATCCCGTTGCCGAGGGACGCCATCGACGTCATTCAAAAAGCGGATATGTTCTTCATCGCTAGTAAGAACGGCTCCGACAGCATGGACGTGAACCATCGCGGCGGCGCCCCGGGGTTCGTCCGCGTCCTCAGAAACGAGAAAGAGGGAGGCGAAGGCGGCGGTCTGAGTATCGTGTACCCCGAGTACTCCGGCAACAGGTTGTACCAGACCCTAGGTAACCTGCAACAAGACCCGTACGCCGGGCTCGTGTTCCCGGGCTTTGACACGGGCGATGTGGTCTACGTTACAGGCCGAACAACCATACTAGTCGGCGAAAAGGCAACAGACATCATGCCCCGCGCGAAACTCGCCATCAAGATCGACGTCACGGAAGCGCGGTTCGTAAAGGAAGGGCTATCGTTTAGGGGCGTGCTCGGCGAGCGGTCCCCGTATAACCCGGCGATACGCAAGCTCGCTGTCGAACAACAACACGACGTCGGCGTGGACATAGACACCGGCATCGGCATCGCGACGCTAGCCCGCAAAGAAATCATAACCCCCTCGATCTCACGATACATCCTCCGCCTCACACCCAACAAAGACACGCGCCTAAGGGCCTGGCGGCCAGGCCACCACGTCACGCTCGACTTCGCGGGGGAGCTGGATCGCGGGTATTCGCACATGCGCGACGACGACCCGCAGAGCCTGAACGACGACTTCGTGCGCACGTTTACTGTTAGTAGACCTCTCGACCTGCGGGACGTCGATGTCGAGGGGTTTATTAGATGTGGGGCGAGCCCGGAGGTCGAGATCACGGTGAGGCGGCATGGGCCCGTGACGGCGTTTTTGGAGCGGTGGGATGGGAGGAGGAGGGTTGAGGTGCCGGTTTTGGGGTTTGGGGGCGCGGAGGGGTTTGTGATGGCTGGGGATAAGGATAAGGATGCAGAGGGGGAGGTGAAGGTGGTTGTGGCGGCTGGGGTGGGCGTTACGCCGCTTTTGGCGCAGGCGGAGGGGGCGTTGCGGGAGGTTGGGAGGCTTAGGGCGCTGTGGAGTTTGAGGGCGGAGGATTTGCCTCTTGCTGTGGATGTGCTTGGGAGGATTGAGGGGTTGGGTGAGGTTATGAAGGTTTTTGTTACGGGTGGGATAGGTGATGAGGAGAGAGGTTTGGTGGATGTGGTTCAGGGGTTTGGTGCGCGGGTGTTTGAGAGGAGGATGGAGAGGGCGGATGTTTTGGCGGAGGGGAGGAAGGGGAATAGGAGGTTTTACTGCTGTACCGGGCCGCAGATGATGAGGTTGTTGCTTAAGTGGACAGAGGGCGAGGAGGTTTTATATGAGAGCTTTGAGTATTAGAGTGATGGGTGTGGATGGGAGTTATGAAGTGGCTTAGTAGGTGAATAGGGGTTGGGTATTACGAGCGGTATGGGAATACGAAGTCAATATTGGAGATTCTCTAAACGAAGCTTCTCGGATACTATATCACTACCTAGGTTAGACTGAAACTTAAGTGTGCTTTTGTTTCACTGTAACTATTTTATTTCTGGATGATTTTATAAGCTCAATATTTAATCATTATATCTTACATATAGCTTCAATAGTCAGGCTGTATCAAGATTCAAGATCAGTTAATATTCATAACTCGCGATCACGAATACGGAAGGTTAAGTCTTCGAAGTCTGGAGATTTGTTGGGAGCTTGTACCAAGTCATTTATGCTTTTTCATTGGACAGATCCCCTGAGCTAACTAAAAACGGAAAAGTTTATTATGGATGACTTGGCACCCGCTTGTAGCTACGCCAAGACCATCCGATGCATGGACCGAGTTGGTTGCACGGGACCAGAATTTGATGACGCAGGACAACTCATGCGACACACACTTGTCATTCCGGGGGAAGCACCTACCGTCTTAGGAACCTGCAGGAGCTCATCATTACCAACATCGCTAACATCGAACTTCGTAAAGAAGTTAACCCTTTTAATCCTTTTCATCAATTTGTATTTACTTAGGTATTTACATATTGAAATACTATCTACCCATGGTGTTACTACTGTATCGCGTAGAACAGTAGAGCATCGTCATGGCTCGAATATCCAGTCTCGTAGTCGGCGCTCTGCTGCTAGTCAGCACCGTCGCTGCAGACGAGCTCCTTACACCCAAACACGAAGCCGGACGTTGCGCTATGCGAGGTCATTGTGGAAAGAAGAGTTTCTTCGGTAAACAAGTACCTTGCGTCGATAATGGACTAGCTACAACCCCCGATCCGGAATTTGCGAAGGAGATAGAAGCCGTATGCGGACCGAAGTGGAAGGATAGCAAGGTCTGCTGTAATGCCGACCAGGTGCGTTTGATTTACATATTCCATATCGCGAGATATATCAATAGATATACAACACAACCATTTCAATACTACATATACTTGAGCGATCACTAACCGATAATTATGTAGCTCAATGCACTCAAGTCCGAACTATCCACCCCTAATCAAATCATCGGTTCCTGTCCCGCCTGCAAGGAGAACTTCTACAACCTGTTCTGCTCTTTTAGCTGCTCCCCAGATCAATCATTATTCATCAACGTCACACAATCCGTCGAGAAAGGTGGCAAATCCTTAGTTTCCGAGGTAGACCAATTAATAACTAAAGAATATGGCGAGGGTTTCTATGAGAGTTGTAAAGAGGTCAAGTTCGGTGCTTCGAACTCCAAGGCTATGGATTTCATCGGTGGCGGCGCGAAGAACTATACGCAACTCCTCAAGTTCCTCGGTGATGAGAAACTCATCGGGTCTCCTTTCCAGATCAACTTCCCCGTCGAGTATTCTGAACCTAGCATGGCGCCGAAGGATATGAAGCCGAAGAAGTGTAACGACGAAGATCCGAATTTCCGATGTTCGTGTGTTGACTGCCCGGCCGTGTGTCCGGAACTCCCGGATGTACAACAAGCAGGATCGTGCCGAGTCGGTGTGCTCCCTTGCCTGTCTTTCGCCTCGATATTCACCTACTGCATACTTCTATTTACCCTTGTCGTCGCCTTAGTTGGACATATTGCTTGGATTAAGCATGCGCAACGACGGAGTGAACGTCTTCACCTACTTCAAGCTGCCGAGCCGAGCGACGATGAGGACGAGGGTGACCTTGTTCGTAACGGCGCTATGTACGATCAGCCACAAAGAAACTATTCTATCAATGCTTGGTGTGATACTGCCTTTAGCAAACTGGGTCATCTTTGCGCAAGATTCCCAGGAATCACCATATTCCTTAGTTTACTAGTGGTTATCCTCTTAAGCGTCGGGTGGATCAAATTCAGTCTGGAAAAGGACCCTGCAAGGTTATGGGTTAGCCCAGAGTCGCCGGCGGCTCAAGAGAAGGCCTTTTTCGACGAGAATTTTGGCGCCTTCTATCGCGCGCAGAAGATCTTTTTGGTGAATGACACTCAGTCTGAGCCTGGTCCGGTACTCAGTTACGAAACTTTAACGTGGTGGTCGGAGGTTGAAGCGAGTGTGAGACAGCTCAAGACAGAAAACTTTGGCACCACTTTCCAGGACGTATGCTTCAAGCCGCTCGGATCAGCTTGCGTCGTACAATCTCCCACCGTCTATTTCGATGGCACAGAGGGCTGGAAAAAGCAATTTAAGAAATGTGCTGATTCTCCCGTGAATTGTCGACCAGATTTTGGGCAACCAATAGAGCCAAATATGATCCTAGCTGGCTACGACAGCATCGACAATGTTACTGAAGCGAAGGCCATAACAGTAACTTGGGTTGTCAACAACCATCCCGAAGACAGTCCGGAACTCACCCATACTCAGGATTGGGAACGAACTTTGAAGGATCGACTTTTAGAGGCTCAAAAGGAGGCAGCCGAACGGGGTCTGCGACTTTCTTTCTCGACTGAAATCAGCCTGGAGGAAGAGTTGAACAAATCAACCAACAGCGACGCAACGATTATCGTGATTAGTTATCTCGTCATGTTTTTCTATGCCTCCCTTGCCTTGGGCTCAACTAGTATGAGTGTCCGCGAGTTGGTTAGGAACCCAGCCGTTGCACTGGTCCAGAGCAAGTTTACTCTTGGTCTTGTTGGAATTATAATCGTCTTGATGTCGATCACGGCCTCCATCGGACTCTTTTCCTGGGCGGGTATCAAAGCCACACTTATCATCGCCGAGGTCATTCCCTTCATCGTGCTAGCCGTCGGTGTAGACAATATCTTCCTGATCGTTCATGAATTTGAGCGTGTCAATCTAAGCCACCCAGACGCGATGGTCGAGGAGAGGATCGCCAGAGCGCTTGGGCGGATGGGTCCCTCGATCCTTTTCTCGGCGATTACGGAAACCGTCTCTTTCGCCCTGGGTGCATTTGTTGGAATGCCGGCTGTTCGAAACTTCGCAATCTATGCCGCAGGTGCGGTATTTATCAACGCTCTCCTCCAGATGACACTCTTTATTTCTATTCTGTCTTATAATCAAATGCGAACTGAAGACCACAGAGCGGATTGCTTCCCCTGCGTCCAAGTCAAAGCAGCTCGCGTTCACTTGAGCGGTAGCAATGGCCCCGGCGGCCCTCGTCCTTATGACATACCCGACGAGTCCTGGTTACAACAGTTCATTCGAAAGTATTATGCACCCGCTCTTCTTGGGAAGAAGGTCAAGGTTCTTGTCGTCGCCACTTTCCTCGGCCTCCTAGCTGCCGGTGTTGCCTTGATTCCTTACGTCAAGCTCGGCTTAGACCAGCGCGTTGCTATACCCGATGGTTCTTATCTCATCGATTATTTCAACGACATGTACAGTTACATGGATACTGGCCCACCTGTATATTTTGTAACCAAGAACACAAACGTCACTCAACGCAACAGTCAAAGGGATATTTGCTCGCGTTTCACCACTTGTGAACAATTATCCCTCACAAATGTTCTCGAACAAGAAAGGAAACGACCTGACGTTTCTTACATCTCTTCCCCGACGGCCAGCTGGCTCGACGACTTCTTCCTCTGGTTGAACCCCGACTTCGAGAAATGCTGCAAGGAAACTGGCCATGTCTGCTTCTCCGGTCGAGACCCGTCGTGGAACATCACTCTTCACGGCATGCCCGAAGGCCAGGAGTTCGTTCATTACTTAGAGAAATACCTACAAGCTCCGACTACCGATGACTGTCCCCTAGCCGGTCAGGCTTCTTATAGTCAGGCCGTCGTCGTAGACGCTGAACAGACCACCGTCGCCGCAAGTCATTTCCGAACTATGCACAAGCCCTTACGTAGTCAGGATGATTTTATCAATGCCTACGCGTCAGCTCGTCGCATTGCTAACGACGTCAGCGCCAACACTGGGATCGAGATCTTCCCCTACAGCGTATTCTACATCTTCTTCGACCAGTACGCTAGCATCGTCAGCCTCACTGCCACGCTTCTCGGCTCTGCCGTAGCTATCATCTTCGTCGTCGCATCTATTCTCTTAGGATCCGTCGTCACCGCGCTCGTCGTCACACTAACTGTCGTGATGATAGTCGTCGACATCATTGGTGCCATGGCGGCCTTCGACGTATCGCTTAATGCTGTCTCGTTAGTTAATTTAATCATATGTGTTGGTATCGCAGTTGAGTTCTGCGCCCACATCGCCCGCGCCTTCATGTTTCCCTCCGGATCCGTTATGGAGCGCGCTAAGAACCGCTTCCGTGGCCGCGACGCGAGGGCTTGGACCGCGCTTGTCAACGTTGGCGGGTCTGTCTTTAGCGGAATCACTGTCACTAAGCTATTAGGAGTGTGCGTCCTCGCCTTCACCCGTTCCAAGATCTTCGAGATCTACTACTTCAGGGTCTGGCTGGCTCTCGTCGTGCTTGCGGGTACGCACGCCCTCATTTTCTTGCCAGTAGCGCTGTCGCTTGTCGGAGGAGAGGGGTACGTGGATCCCGAAAGCGAGGGCGGGCTCGTCGAAGACCTCGCGAATAGGCGGTATAGGGCGCTGGTTCCGGACGAGAGCGATTCCGATGATGATGACGATCTGTGAGAAGAATGAAGGGAGGTTGAAAGGAAGAACGAAACCTATCGGTGTTAGGAGTGAAATGTATGATATAGAAGAATACTACGGGATCACAGACAGTACAGCATTCACGGGACCACGGGCCGAGCGTATTCTTTCGTTTTGAATATATCTTTTATTGGAGTAATAACTAGAGAGAGGTACTAGTAAATTGGGTCAACTTGGAATCAGAAGGGATATGCGGGATACGTGATGGCATCTTTGGAGATGAGAAGCTAATATGTAGAACAATACAGTTTGATACATATCACGACTTGCTTGCAAACATGACTGGTATGTTTTTAGTGTATGTGAGAGTCAGAGTTGGGTAATGATGGAGGACTAACACATAAGCAGGAGATCAAAATGGTGAATCCAACTATCCGCTCACTACTAGAACAGAAACGATATATTGCAAAAAGCTTCCACAATCCTAAATTAAAGGTAGACATCTAAGCGCTTTAGCATGCTACGCTCAAAATGTTCGCAAATAATTCCACAACTTTTCTAACCCCCTAACAAACCAACCAAGTTGGCCTCTGAGATATTACAGAGTGAACCACTCCGGATCGATTCTCACAACCTCAGTGTCCAACTCGTTGGTCAATTGGCTCGACACAAGCTAACAACACAAATCAGCAACCACGTCCTCAAAACCCAAGTGATTTAGGTAGAGAAACAAGAATAGGTAAAGAAAATTCAGGGGCCTAACCAGCCACTTTACTCACCGACCCTTCCTCCAGCTCCGTCTCTCTATCCACATGTTCCCAAGTCACCCCATCAAGCAACGGCTTCCTATCATCGTCGTCGTCTTCATCCCCCTCATCCTCATCATCATCCGTGTCCCAGCGAGCGTACAGCCCAAACTCTTGTATCATCCGGATCTGCCCCTCGAGATGCGAGACCTGGGTCCGCAGGACGTCGCGCTCGCGCGTTAGACGTCGGATTATTTCGGTGAATTGCATTATGCGTCGCGCGAGGTCGTCGGCTGTGGCGTGGAGATGCGAGGAATCTAATGAGTGCTGGGAGGTGGCTCGTGTGGGGGATAGGCTTGGGGAGGTGGGAGGGGCCGGGGGAGGGGTGGGTGCTTCGTCTAGGCTGAGGTAGCTCGAGCGGCAGGAGGAGCAGAAGGGGCCTGGGGTTAGGACGAGGGTTACCGGGCAGAAGTGTGTGGTTGGACGGATGTTGAAGGGCCCTTGTTCGGATTGGGGTTCTGGGTATGGATATGGCTGAGCTCGGGGTTCGGGTTGAAGGGAGGGTTGGGGTGAAGGTTGGGATGAGAGATGGAGATAATTGTTATTTTGCTTGGGAGATGAAGCCGAGGCTGTGGCGGGAGTTTGCTCGTTGATGCTCGTTGTGTCCTGGGGGCAATTTTCTGGGTTGGGAGACATATCGGTCTCTTTTGGGTCCATGGCGAAATATGTATAATAAAGACTGAAGATATTTAGAAAACGAGGGACGATGTAAAAGGTTCATGGGCTTTTAATCTGTTTCACCTACTCGAGGAATGATATGACGAAGGTTATGAGTATGATATAAACGACAACTGATACTAAGAGAAAGAGGAGGAGGAGAATAGATATGATGAACTCATATGATTCCCAAGTCATTGCTTATGAGGTGTAGAGGGTATAGGCAAAGAGTACGAGCAAATACAAATATAAGGATGAGATGTCTTCTCCTTTCCTCATTTTCTCCAGGAGTTCAAGATTGGAGAAGAGAAAAATAGAACAGCCCGAGACTTCCATCTTGAGAGGTCGACTGGATGGGGATATCTATACATATTAGACAGATGGATAGAGAAGACGTCTGAGTCCAGGAGGCTGACATCACCTGTGAGTCGTTTAGACATATTAGGTGATGAGTTAAGATGCTAGCCTATGGAATCAACCTTGGAACCTAGATAGATATATCTATGAAACATTGCTATAGTCATGACAACTTCAATGTCTATGCTGATGGTGAGTGACTAAGTTGACAGAGCCTTAGGCAAACTTTATCTTGTATGTCCTCCAGGGCTATTATGTCGATGATTACATCTACCTAGCTATTCACATAAACTTCGACTCTCGGGCTATTACACTAACGTGGAGTAGTACGTGATAGTTGATGACCACTATCTTCCTCGACAGTGCTATGATCTCTGACACTATCAATTGAAACTCACTATATTCTTCCACATATCTCACTCATTATTACTAGACCTACTAACTCTGCTAAAGAATTAGGTTCATCTTACAAGAGTCTTTCATAAGTGTAAGATGATAGATGGGGTGCTCAAGGGGTAAACGATGCATTTAACTAACTTAACAACTTAGAATATAGTGAAGATTCATTGAATTTCGAGATATGAGTGGTTGTTTGTCGAGATATATTTTATTCATTTCATTAAGTCGCATAATAGTTATGCATACTTGAAAACTCCGTGATTTTACTAAGCAAAAACGCATGAATGTTGAGTTACCAGGCAGGAGAGAAGCCTACCTAGGTACATAGAAGTATTACAGATGCCTCTTTACGTTACTAGTTAAATAATGAATTCAAGCTATAATACTTAGGTAAAGATTAAGCACCTTAAATGTTGAGACTTTATGGTAAGTTTCTTTGGTAATAATCTTAAGAAGATATCCTAGGAACTAGCAGTGCTTACACAGCCCTCTCCCTCTCTTTTCAGCATTATTGAAAAGCCACTCACGTACCTAAGTTCACACATAAGCAAATCAGGATCTGTGCGAGTTGACACATGCAAAAAGATTCCGGGCAAGCGGAGTTAGGCTATTACAGGTACCTATAACTGTACCTAAATACTTCCAAATGTTGGTAGTTAAGGGGAGATCCCCGACGATGCTACCGGACATCAGTTACTTACCTGGAAACTGCTCGCATGCCTATCATATACACCTATCTAGATTGGAACCCTCCCACCGCTTCATTCACACCTTGATTGTATACGCAAGAAAGACAATATTCGTGTTGTAGCTTTCCAAGACGTTACACCTTAGGACAAAGAGGGAGGTAATTCTCTATGATATGATGCATATTAAATGCAGCTGCCAATTAGACATGCGTCACCACATAAGCCGGCAGAGCTGGCTAAAAACGGGATACCTTCTTCGGTATGTATTGTGTGTGGTGGGATAATGGGGACCGATGGTCGACCCAATGGGTTAAGATTGCACCTATGTACACTCTATCTGAGTATGAGGATGGATATCATCTCTAGTCGCTGATAATAATATCAAGAAAATTCCCGCGCCCAAGATAATAGGAAAGTAAAAGGAGCAGCCTGAGATGGTAATGTTTTTAGCGTCGTGAGGCCGCCTAGAAGCTTTCCAAATTTCTCAATAGTACAATATAAGGTACTCGTGTACTCGTAGATACTCCAAACCGGAATTGCGAATTTGGGGGAATCGGACAGGGTAAGAGGGGCTTCTGTCAATAACCCTTCCCCCTTCCCCCACCACTCAGCCCCTCATCCGTATTTTGGCTGGCTAGAGCTGTACCCCTGCCGCTCTCTTATTGATGGCGGCATGCGCCTTCAAGCCCCCCGCACCTGGAGGTTCCCGTGTGGCCAAGCCCATGTTTGTCGGCCATCTGGATTTGGAGCAGCATTGTTGTGTCTTCATACAAGATACGGAAAAAAGGAAGAAACAAGTTCGGGCATTTTGCGCAACCCCAACAGACTGACCTTCCTCAAATGCGTGGCCATGGCGTTACTGTAGACGGGATGTACTTATACGTCTCACGGGTTGGTGATGCTTCAGTTCGTTGCTCGTTGCTTGTCTTTCTCCTTAGACTTCCCCTCACCGTCATCCGTGTAAAGCCTGTTTTGATCGATATACTGGATGACGGATGCTGGAATTAGATATTGTACGCTCATGCTATCGGCCTCATATTAGTTTACCGGGTAAGCTGGACGACGTGGATATGTACTTACTCGCGCCTAAGGAATAACCTGATCTTAGTACTGCTCACGTTATTTTGTATCATCTGTGCGATAACGTGAATGTTGTCTTCCCATTGCTTCAGGTTGGCTAGAGCCTCGTCCATATCGGTTCCGTCCCTTTCGACGATCATAGCTCCATAATTTCCTAATATGTGGTCGAGATCCTTCTCAGCCCATACGCCTGGCGTTGACATAGTGCCGATTAGGTCTGCACCTGCTAGCAGCATGATCTTGACCGGCCTTCTGGTTTCGCCATCTGCAGCCAAAACGCCATTACCGGCTTGATTAATTTCGTATTCGAAGTGCTATGGCGTTTCGGGTTAGTAACTCAATAGATACCGGGAATAAATATGAGGGGCTTTTTATTTTGACATATTATTCATATTCCAAAATTTTTTGCGAAACATGCAGACAAAGGAATTTAGAATGTACTCACATCCAACACTTTGGCAGTTGGCATATAATCAGGTTGAAGAGCCTCCCACGGATCAACCATCAGCCAACTTGATGTCTCTTCCGCTGCCACTTCGCACATGCGCACTCTATTATAGAAATCATGTATTAGAAAATCAATTGAACCGATATAACAAAAGTAACGCCGTGAACAGCGCCGAAGAAGGGGTATGGCTCATGACTCACCTGTGGCGTGACTCTGCCAATCCAGCTTTCTTGTAAGCGTCGCTCACAGGTGATAAATCTAGAGACACATTAGATCCCAGACATCATTGTATGTAGTACAATAGATCAATATGACGTACAGCCTCCGACAACCTCATACTGGGTATTTATACGGGCATAGTCGTTGGCCATCTCGAACATTCGAAGATGGAGATATGTGATGGGAGAGAAACTGCCGCAAGCGACCAGCACGAGCGGGATCCGTTCGGGGTCGATTTGCTGTCGCAGAAGACGGTGTGCAGGAAAGCTGTAGTTTTCCAGTGTCATGGCTGATGCTGCCTGCGGCACTGGCCCCGCGGCGTCGTTCGTCATCGTGATTAGGTGGTATCGGATACTGGCACTATTAACTAGGTGTCCTATGGCTTTCTAGGAGAGTAAACTAGGTAGTTATTGATAATATGAAGGCGAAGATAAAGGCAGTTAGATGCGTGTAGATGTAGAGACTGGTGTAGAAAGTAGTTTCTTTGTTTAAGTTAAGTTACCGAGTTTTAGAAGTTGGTCAAAGGCATTTGGAAGCAAGTCCGAGTGGGACTGGCTAGGATATCTATGTACTTGTGACTTAACACAATTGCGACCTAGAAGGCTCCAGTAAAGTTTAGCTACGGCCGTGGTCGGCGATGCCCGGCTTTTACGTAGTTGCCTTCTTTTTTAGCTCTTATGTAGTGAACATTATTCATGTACTTGATTGAATGTACTACTATATTGGGGATGATCATCTATGAATACATAATGAAGCGAATCATCAATCGGATACCGGCTAACTCATGTAACTATGACCTTCTAAATGCTGAGACTTTGCAACGAAATCGGGAAACTGATTGGTCAGATGATTGAAGGTACTGGGTACTCTGTACAAGTAACAAGTAATAATTCAACCAAACTAGAATAAATGTTAGCAATCATTTCATACAACAAATAATTCAATTATTTATTAATGTTGTAACTATAGATACCTATATCTCGGTTAACAGTGAAAGATAATACGACCTCGCTGTCTCAGTTTCCCCCGGTTATGTCTGGTGTAATGGATCTGGCACAGTGGGTTTCGCGGGGTGAGCTAAATATGAGGTTGGTAATATTCTCAGTCCGTCACGCAATTCGGTTACGTACACTTCAAGTACCTACATACCGAATAATGTCCTACATTCAAGTGGGACGGACAGGATGGATTGGTCTCTGTAAAAAGTTCCGATAGTTCCAATTGCTTGCCCGTTTTAAGAGGGGACTTTAAGGCTAGTTAGGTATTATGGTGTTATATCCGATTGACTCGCTTGCGATATGGACCTAATTCACTAGTAGGAAGTGACCTATAGTAGGTAGATAACTACCTGGAGGGTATGTATTGGTCTGTTCACATAAATACTGATTAGGTCTAAGGAAGACACTAATGCTAACTACCTAGTATCCAAGACGGCTTATCAAAGCCGATCACTGCTTCGTCAAGACTCTTAAGCTATTAACTGAGCCGCATTTCGACCGTATGCCTAGGAAGAAGCACTATGCATATTTCCTAGATACCAAGAACGTACCCGATTGGAAACATAGATCCTTCGAGATCTCCCTTGCCCAACCGCCAAAACAATGGATCGTCAGAGCCCCTGTCATTCCCGCCTTGAAACGCCGCCAATGCTCTCCTGTATGTATGATCTGTATTCTGTATCAAGGACCCAATGTTCGTACACGCCGTCAAACGATTAGAGGACCAACGCATAAGAGATAGCTTATGGGGCGGTCATGACCTTCTCCCCGTAATGAGATATGATCCAGTCAGTACCTCTGCCTTCCACCCGTCAGCGACAAGTGCTTTGAACACGTTGATGCGCAACCTCGATCTTCCGTCCGAGCTGTGTCTACCAAGACCCGTAACAACGGTGAATCCCCGCTTCGCCTTCCGCGTTCTCTCCTCCCCGAGGCTTTGCCACCACTTCTGTACTCGATCAAGTGCGATTTCGACACCATCCTGCACCGTGACGCCGTGAAGGTCGATCATGTCTTCCGTGCTCTTCGAGTCGACAAGATAGTTAGCCTCAACGTTGATGGCTTGGCGAAAGGTTGTGGCTTGCTCGCGGGCACGATCCGCGTAGTATGCACCCGCCTGTCTAAACAAGGGGTTGGATTTTCCCTTTCTGAAAGCAGCCGCAGCGGATGTAAATGAGTGATTCCTTGATTCGGCAAGTGATTTCGACGCGGCTGCAGCAGCCTCCAAGGTTGTGGGTTGGTTGGAAGATCGCAGAGGCAAATTAACTGCCGTCGCCCGCATACCTTTAGGGCTTGTAGGAGACTTCGGCAGTTGCGCCGACATATTGATAACTTGGGGTTCACCAACAATTTCCCCCAAATCAGACGCCACCAAACTATACGACACATCGTATTTCAGGTATGCCGGCTTCTCAAAGTGATCTGCTAGAATTCGGACGATGTCAATAGCATCATCCCGCGTAGAGCAAATTTCGAGAGTCGCCTTGACATATTCTTGGGGTACCCAATGAAAATCTTTCATCACCTCTCTGGTATCGGATATAAGATGGGAGTTTAAATGTGGCAAACCCAGAGCAATGTAGTTATTGAGAATCTCAACTACCGTAGCCCCAGGCGAGGCACCGTGGTGATGGTAAATACTCGTCACTTCTGAGGGCGCTAGGTGAAGCCTATCAGATATAAGTGTAATGTGATCTGTAAAAGTATTAGTCGCAAATCACCGATTAATCTAACAGCTCTATTCTAAACACCGGAGATCTCACCGTTCTGTTCCAGATCATTATTATTGGTCTCATCAGATGTGTTTTCCGGAGCACTAGGTTTAAGTGATGCCACCTTAACCTTCTTCTTTCTCTTCCCCTTCTTCTTTTTCTTGTTCGGGACATTGTCATCATCGGATACATAAAAGCCATCAATACCTTTAGGACGCTGGCCTGTCTCCTCGAGCCATTGCAGGTTGAGGAGTTCGTCCATGGCAAGACTTGCGTCGCCCTTTGACTTCTGCAAAGCAAACTTCACATCGATGGGTTTGAGTGATACAAACATCTCGGAGAGTTGAAGTTCCTTATCGCCGTCGTTTAGGCCATCAAAAATGTCAACATGGAGAAGGCCTGGAGTCCCACCGGATGAATTTTTGGACGATCCCGAAGACATCAGGCTTGGGGGAACAGAGCTCTCCGTGGTGACAGTGAATCCACCAACACTTTTAGTATCGCTGCTGGTAGTCCCCCCGGCCTCTGCATCATCACCCTGGTTCGAGGAATTGATGTCTACAATGCCATCGGCACCGATGCCGCTCGGGTTAAAGCCAGTGGCTTCTTCTGCCACTACATCTTTGGAGAGTGATAGTAGAACTTGCCGCGCTCGAGCAAATTCCTTAGGATTTTCTAGGTTATAATCACTAGAAATTGAAAGGATAGTGGACTCGTCAAGGAGCGATCGAAACTCATCCTTCACTCTGAGGTTAGCATAAAATACTATTTTCAGTATGAAGATGCGATTAATAATCAATATGAATATATAGCTATATTCGATTTATGAAACGAAATACATATATCATAGTATGTGATGTTAATATGGTATTCGAGGATGTTCATGTGACTTCATGGACAAAAATGAGCAAGCTTGGTTCACGAAAAGCGTAGAGTAAGGACGCGGGACTGATATGTTGTGTTGTATAAATGAAAGCATCAACTCACGATCAATTTCTTGCTTTGGCATTCCATAATTAATTCAAGCCCAACTATCTAGCGGGACCGTCAAATTGTACCAAAAACAAAAATTATAATGGAAAGAATTGTGAAAGACTAGAACTGTAAAGGAAAAAACCTCGGTTATATCGTCGACGCATGATAAATATGAGTTGGGATATCGGGTATTGTTGACTCAATAGTATGATCAGGCGAATGGTGACTGATTCACTCGTCTCGTCTGAGTCTGATGGAGTGTTCTGAACAAACGGTGTTCTGATTGGTGCGCTGATTGGAGATCGGAGGGTTTGTTTGTCGCACCGTTGTACCGTACTCGTACTGTGCAGTGTCTACCCGCCTAATGATCTTGTGGCTTGAAGACCGGCGTTAAAGTTTTCCGTGGGATGTCGTCATTAAGCGATAATTAAGCACCTACCCGAACAGAATCTACATAGATCTCGCCGAACATACCGAATAAAGTTCACATCTGGATATCGAATCTGATTGTAACTCCGAGTTGAGATCTAGAATCTAGATAAAAATATGTGGATCATGAAAACTCATTCATCACATAAGCCCATCCACCATGCTGCCGCCCAAAACTCCGACACCCCACATCTCGCCTTCCACACCCTTAACTCTATCCGGTTACATGTAACAACAACCTCAACAATACGCCGACCGTTATCTCCGGTAACACCCTAAAATTCCCGAGTTTCACCAATATCACAAATATCAAAAAGCCCCGTCTCCGGCAACCCCTTGCGCTTCAACGCCTCCCTCAACAACACCGGCGGCTGTAACACCGGCTCCGGCGTCATGACCCAAGTGCCCCAATGAATACCCATAGCCTTCTTACACCTCGTATCAGAGAAAATCTCAACGGCATCGAACGGGTTAGCGTGGACGCCGGAGAACAGCTCGCGGGGGTGGTACGCGCCGATGGGGATGAGGCCGAGGTCGAACGACCCGAACTTCGCGCCGATCTGCTTGAACTGCGGACACCGCGGCAGGTGCGCGAACTCCGGGCCGTAGTCGTCGACACCCTTGGCTACTTTCGGCACCGCGCGGTACCCCGTGTCGCCTCCGAACCAGACCGATTTGGCTGGTTCCCCTGAGGTGACGGCCCATGAGGCCCAGAGGGTTTTATCCCGGTCTGTGCCCGATCTGCCGGAACCGTGTTGGCAGGGAAGGCAGGATATCTTCGCGGTTATAGGTCCTGAAGATTCTGAACTGCTATCGCTTTTGGTGGATTTCGGCGTCAAGGACATTTCCGCCTCCTGCCACCAGTCCATTTCCGTAACATTATTCAATCCACCCGACTTGAACCATTTCTCCAGCCCCAGACCGACGAAAAAGTGTGCGTCAGGGTGGTGTTTTTGGACCTCCTGGACGGATGGATACGACAAGTGATCATAATGACTATGACTAATAATCACAGCGTCTACAAAAGGTAGGTCCGCGATCTGACAAGGCGGCTCGGTGTACCTCTTGAAGCCGACAAAACTAATGGGCGCGCAACAATCTTCGAAAACAGGATCAAATAGAACCCGTAGTCCTGAGGGATACTCTACGTAGTAACACGCATGACCGAGCCAAGTGGCACGTAGTTTTGAGGACGCAGTGCGTGTTGGTAGAAACTTCGGTTCTACAACGGGCACAAGATTCTCTTCCAGCTTCGGCTTTGGCCAATCAATCGACCCCCGAAAGTAGCCCCTGAGTTTTGTTGGTCAGCTTGCATATACAGTATAAATGTCAGAGTAGCGGCGGGAAACGCACCACATCAACCCAAATAAGTCCTTGGATGCGGGAAATGTGTATGAGGGGTACGGGTTTTTGAATTTTACAGTCTTTCCGCACCGATCTTTGACATGATGCGCTTGGGGGTCGAATTCTTGGGCCTCGTTGGCGCTGGCTTTAGATGATGGGCGGACAGTGACGGTGCTGTGGTACGCTGCCACTGAGAGCGCAACGGGAATGGCTGTCATTGTGGCTCTTTTAGTGAATTGATTTGACGAAAATGCGGGTCCTCTTGTGAAGAGAACTCGGAAGTAAGGAGTCATGAGTTGATCTGAGTTGTTTTTAAAACCGGTAGGAAAGGGGATGTGGGATAAATATTATGGGAATAGACACCGGACGCGTGACGTGGTAGCATGGTCATTATTAGTCCTGCAATTTTCGTTCGTCCTCAAAATATACAATCCCCCGGGCTGCCTGGCGCGGATAGTCTACTGTACGACGGGCTCGGATTTAGTGATAATGCAAGGAGTTAAGGATTCTGTAGGAATCGTCTTACATGTCTTACATAACGTACGTATTTCGCCGGTGCCTAGGTATTACGAAATGACTTGATTTTGGGGCTGAGCCACTGGGTATTTCGGAATCGGACCAATTCTTTGATAAATATGTCCATACGAAGTAGAACAATAAAATGATAGGAGACTTTATTCTATGATACCCATACCAATTCAATCTTAGCCCATGCCTTACTTGCCGTTATAATTAGTGTCTTGCTGGCTGTCTTGGCAACCCCGAATCCATGGGGTATTCGGGAAACGTGCCGTGGATTTAGGAAAAGGAGAAAACGGCCAATAGAACGCCTAGCAAACACATTTTAATGAATATAAGCAAATAATCTTATTAAATCGTATTTTCAACATATAGAACATCATTATGAGCATTCACTCTATCCAGGTAGGCTACCGTACGAGTGCGCCTCAATTCCTCTATATCAAATAACTAAAGGTAACAGCCTCTTCATCCATATCCTCACCATCTCACCATCAACAACATAAACCTAATCATCTGTACATACCCACGTATCTCAGCCTGTCCCTCCAAACTCACTCACTCACTCCGCGCTTTCCTCTTCCTCCTCACTCTCACCACCCTCCTCATCCTCCGTCGGCACCCACACCAACACACCATCCTTATCACCCTTCATACCCTCCGTCGGGATGATCTTCAGTACCTTCTGAAAGTACTTATCCCTAACCACCAAGGTCGGCCTGATCCACGCGCCTCGTACCAGTGGCAGTAACCTATAGGTCACGGTCCTCCTGGCGACCGGCAGCACATTCAGCGTCGTTGTCTTCGATCCCGAGAACGCAAATTCGTCACTAGGCTCCATCATCAATCCGAAAGTCAGGAAGTGCGAGGAGGGGTTCTCGATCGTGATGTCCAGGAATAGGAGTTGCTCGGCCGATGATGAGGAACCGGGCGGCGGTGCGTAATACGACACGCCGGCTAGGACGCGGGGCTCCGACGTCGTTACGAAGAAGCGTGGGAGTGGTAATGTAGTGATGTTTATCGTATCCTCGGGCGAGGTAAGACGCCGCCATTTGATGATGAGAGCGAGGTCAGCTGTAGCCGGTGATCTGTCGTCAAGGTCACGTTTCTGAGCGATGAGCTCGAATTGTGCTTCCTCGATCGTTTTAGGGCTAATCGTAACGCCATCTCCCGCTGTTGCCTGAGACTTTGACGTCGTGCAACGCACATTTCCCTGTGTAGAAAGAATGTTGACATCGAGATCTAGGATAGCTAGGTCTTCATGTGCAAAGGAGGCATAACGCGTGGCAAGAGACCATTTCTGTGCTAGTCCTCGATAAGAGTCAACGGTTTGATCATCCTCGACCGCCCGGTGGGTGTCTTCAAGATTGAAATAGCTCGGCCACTCGGAATGTAACCTAGGAGACAGGTCGTAGCTCGCCTCAAATGGATTGACAATGTTCAGGTGGTAAGTTTCCTGCTGGATGATCGGTGTCCCTGGATCTGACGTAAGGTGATACCGTGCTTTCACCATTAGGTTACACACGATAGGTCCCTTGGCCGGATCAAGGATAATTTTAGCCTTGATAGACTTAGAACTTGATATTGTTCCAAGCAGTATTCCGTCAAGTTTCGATTCTGCGGGTTCTGTGGAACTTGACCATTCTCCACCGTCCTGATCCTGCACTTTGAAGCTGGGAACGTCATGCCCGGATAATAGTACATCTAATTTGGTGATTGCGTCTGCATCTTCTTCGTTAAGGATCTCCAATTCAAGCTCGATAGATTCACTTGCGTAATATTGCTCAAGTGTATTCACGAGTCTGACCTCCATCTTAGGAGGTCTTGGGAGGACGTTGATTTTGTGCGGATTTGTCCGTGTAATTTTCTTCCTCGACGATGATTGAGAATACCACAGGCCTACCGAATTCGTTTCTCGTAACCCAACGGTGTATCTCAGCGTGAAAGCTTTCGGAGCTACTGACATCTTTATTGAAGATGCATTTGCATCACCGGGCTCACGTAACGCGACGTCCATCTCAAAGACCCGCGTCTGACCTGGCAACACGGTCAAGTCATCTGTTCCCTCTAGAATAACAGTAGTTGCTTGAGAGCCCGTCTCAGAAGAATCGTCGGAATCCTCATCGTCGTTGGTTTCGGTTTCCACTAAAGCTGTTTTTGTGACCCGAACTTTTGGAGATGTCGGTGTTTGCTTATCTCCGGCTTCATGGTTTAGTTGTATAGTGCGTAGACTGCCTTCAAACTCAACTCGGATCGCGCTGAAGACCACTGGCGCAGCATCCGGGAAAGCATTAGATGTGATCGAAAGTTGAGCAGGGCAACTCTGACCCGCTTTTCCTTCTTCATTCTTAAAAATGAATGAAGCTTGTATGAATGATTTTACATGCTCGTCGCTGATATTAATAATGGGTTGTCCATCTACAGCCACACCATCTAATGCCTTCGTTATGTCGTAATGCCAACCTGGTCGCCTAGAAAATCCTATGACAAATATTAGCCTTTAAGTGTACTAGATTTAGTATCCAGTCTCGCTCACCCCTATTAAGAAGTTCCCAATCAATAGCGACGATCAGATCTTTTTGGCCAACTTTCACAGCTGCACCCCGCAGTGTCCAGCACACTGCTTCCATGATGTCCCACCGACCCTCTGTGCGGAAGAACATATCTCTCCACAGAGGGGCTAATAGGTTCATGATATCTTTCCATTTTTGCATCCTCTCAAGCTCCCTCGCACCCTCAAGCGCCAATTCTGCTGACGTCCGAATTTGATGTCGCTTCTGGAACTCGTTCCGTGCTAGCATTAAGTGGTCGAAAATCAATTGGCTATGATTAACACCCATCCCAACCGATGGAACTTCTTGGTGAGGCTCAGGGCACATATAAGTGTCATATCTATACCCTTTACTCAGCTGAGATGCCGAGGATTGGTCGGGTGATCTTCGATCATCTTCGGGTATTGATAACGCTAGCCTTCGTCTATTAGATAAATGTCGCGCAGCAACTCGATACCAATACCCCTGGTGATGAAGAAGCTCCCATGGCTGCAGACGCTCCGCCGAAAGAGTCTTTTCCGGTGGGCGATATGGTAGGTTAGCAGATGGTTCTAATTCTGGGAATTGTACTTTTTCGATCAGATTAGCCATGACCCTACTCCATATCGCTTCCCAGGCTTTCCACCCATAATTCTGCGTTCCTCGTCCCCTTCTATCCACCAGATCACATATCCTGTCGTGATGTGATTGCCATCTCCTGACAGCGGCAGTGCTTTGGCCGGTCCACAGTAAGCATTTTAAGGATCGTATAGCTATTATATCAGCTAAAAGCCGCGCATCATTAAACCTAGGGCTCCATCCCGGAATTGTCTCGAGAACGTCCGCACCCAGTAAAGTGTCGTATGCTTGCTCGTAAGCACGTACAGCAATGTCTATCTCCTGGCGGTACTCCGCAAACACGGCTGTTTTGAAGTCGTACCGAACATTCCAACCTTGTAAAGATAACGTGTGAGAAGTGCCGGTTGTAGGGGGAATAGTCGGCTGTGGCGCATATCCCCTTGCCTTCTTCTTACGCGCATGTCTACCAAGATCGCGATAATATTCGGTCGCTTGATCGAATACTGCGGTCAGAACACTATCGACAGCATTCTCTAGATCTGCCTCAGGTCGTTGAGTAGGCAGAACAAAAAGTGAATTCTTCGGGTCCAATCCAGTGCTCCTTCTAACATTCTCCAGTCTTTCTTGAAACTGGCCTACGGTACTTGGTGACTGGTCACTGAGTATAACCACGACAAGCCGACATCTATGACCAGACTGACCAATAGCATTCTTCACTGCATTTATGTCCGCCTTAAGTTGGTTATCGTGTAGGGTAGCGAGCGTAGGATCAGAGGTTAAACTGTAGAATGTCAAACATATACTAGGGACGAGTTCCTGGTGCTTTTGAAGCCATCGCGTATCTATTAAACCATCTGGATATAGACTAGAACCGGGACTAAGGGGAGAGAATGGAGAATGAAGAATAAGGGGCGATGAAGGCTCCTCGAAGTTTTCAGGGAGACGAGCGTGACGAGGTGGTAGTAGGAATTCCTAAGAGTCGAAGTCAGATTCATCTCTCACAATAACAATGACGTATGCGACGTATGCAGCTCTTGATCTAAATATTGAAGACATACTCTCCCGATAGGTTTGATCTTAAATTTGTATCTCTTCGATGTGTCTTGGGAATTCCACGGTAGACCGGTGGCGTCCTTCTCTAGAATGCATCGAAGAATAACCTTAGCCTCTCGACTCTCTACAGGAGGTATCTCTGATCGGACAAGAATGGCCTGCTCTCTTAAGCTGGGTTCTGTTATAGGAGACTTGGTAGGAGCAGTGCTCAGGCCAGAGACGACGAGGAATGGGACATTGTGGTCCAGGCTACCCGCCGGATAGTCGTCCATCGGTCTATTGGGATAGGAGATCGGAAGGCATTTGCATAAATATTAGGTAGTTATTTGTATGGTCGAGTTATGTTAGGAGGCTCTCGTCTCGGTGTATGTTTGTAGTCGGTTTAACTCATCCCCTTCTATGCGATGCGATTAGTTCCAAAGGTTCGCATTGCTCATCCATAGATATTTCGCATACAACTTACTTAGTTAACTATAGCGTTGCCTCGAATATTCCTATTGGCCAATAGATCATATGACGCACAGCTCATGTAGCAGAAAGATCCTCATTATCGCATATACCAGAGAAGTGCTCAAGATGTTTGAGATTGCAGATTGCACCATTTCGTACTCCCCCAATTACAGTGGATAAGAATGTTCATAGCTTCAGTGACCTCAGAGGAGTTTCTTAAAGCTCTAGCCTTACGGCGTTTGCCGATTAAGTGGGATACATCAAAAGTCGGAGACGCGGCGGCAGCTACTGCCGGTCCCCCACTTTAACGCTTACTTAATTTAATATTTCTTATGTAATGTGGCTTGGGCTAAATCGTTCAAGGTTTCTTGTGTACCTGAGTACCTTCGACTTAAAGTATGCAGGTATCCACAGATGCATAAAAGGTTAGGCCGATAAAAGTATATTCTGCAATATTTTTAGAGAAGAAATACATGTCAATTAACACCAATATCCTGATTGGCGATCCGTGCGCGCGCACTGCGGGCAGCACCTTAAGCCTTGTTCATTGAATGTTCCCAGCTCTGTTAGTCGTGTCGTTACGGCAGTATTCTTTTCTTCCACAACCCGTTAACAAATCTCCAGTCGCTGATGAACATCCGACGCCATACTGCCCTAGGATTCATACTGTGACAGTGACATCTGTCAAGTCATCCGTATCATATAATTATACTTGAAGGTCGTGTTCATCGAAATAAAACTGTCCTTCTCTTACACACCTAGGCCAATCTCGTCATTCCGATCCTGCGACCGACAGGCGCTTCGATCTTTTATTGATTTCGATAGAAAGCTCGTAAACCTAGAGAGAACGAAATCCTCCCCTCGACGCCAATAATTTCGTATTGCAATAGAAACCTTACGAGGTCATTAATACAGGTGGACGATTATTAGGAATATAAATTCTGTTCCGAGTTCTTTCAAATCAATCACACAAGCAGACGGTCGCAATGACGACTCAACAAGTCCTCTTCTCCGAAACCATCGCTGCCATGAAGAAGGCACGCAAGCGGAAGGCATATGGTATGCTCTTGTGTCGCTAGTTGTTACCTTGGTTACTAATACATGATACTTATAGAGTCTGATTCCGACGAGGAGATTTATTACCATGGAAACCGAGGCCACAAGTTGATGAAGAGGGCCCGTTTTGTCCACGAAGGACAACTGGCGCCACCTTCAGGACCTGAAGTATACAAGGAGGTAAGTCCAATAGACTCCCTATCCATGGCGACCAGTTGAGGATAATACCTAACAAATGTCTTTCCTATAGATCGTTAATCATGCCGGTTACCAAAGAGCGATCATCAGCCGAAACCCTGTCCTCATTGACGACGAAGGTTATGAAATTGACAGTGACGATGACCAAGATTACATCCAAGACGTCACCGACACAGCAGCTGAATTTAACCCGTACGCGAACGTGCGACTCGAAAGTTCGTTTTCACCCTCGACCCAATACGTCCAAGTTTACTAACAACCGATGCCCACAGACATTCTTGCGCCTCTTACCACAGTTACCGATCTTCCCACACATCCTACTCTATCACGATCATACACCACTAAGACCCTCACAAATCTAGCGAAGCAGGGTTGTAATATCATGCAAAAAGAGAACGCCGCGCTTTGGAAGGTGAAACACTTACAAACAAAGCTTGTCGGCGACCATATCTGGGCGCCCTGCGAGGTCATGCTTGGCCCTAATGACATCGAGTTTTATCGCGATGATTATATGGATTATAATAGCCAGGCGCCAGGATCTGTCAAGTCGGATGCCAACACGCTGTCACCAGAAGATGCACGAGCCAAAGCTAGCAGAAATGCAAAGGCAGCAGCGAAAGACGAAGTTCCCACACGCATAAATGGAAAATTGCTAATTAACGGGGAACGGTCTGAGAATGGTGATACCACAATGGCTGACGCAGAGCCGCCAGCTGACCCAAATACATTGGCACTGGAATCCGAGACTCAAAGTGGGAAGACTGTTAGTGAAGATAACATACGAGATACTGCCGTCAGCAACTCTACAGAAAAGAGTTTGGAAATTTCCATGAACGAGAACGGGCAGAGCGCAACTGCTGATATTATCAATGGGGCTAAAGAATTGCAAATCGCAGAGAATGCTAGCGGACCAGCAACAAATAATGCCACAGCGCCTGCCAAGCAAGGAGAGGCCGAGAAAGCAGCCCAGATTATCAAAGGCGCTGAACATGGGGATAGTCGGGCAGTCTCGGTGATGTCGGAATTCACAGATGATCCTCCTATACACCCTCTCTTCCTACCACCCCGATCAGCTCATCCCGATCGGGATTTGGGAATTCCAGAGGCAGAAGCGGAGGATATGCGAAGATTGCTACAATTGTATGTGCAGAAGCAAGAAGAGGTCTGCCGAGGAGCCAAGCGACTATACGAAGGGCTTCTCCGAGCAGACAGAATGCGCAAAACTGTGCTACAATGGGCCAAGTATGAAGCGCATGTCGGACCCAATCGGGATATGTCGGATGGCGAGGACTGGTACGATAAGGAGGAATGGGGGCTGGAGGATGATCTCAAGAAGGGCCAAGATGAGGAAGAAGAGGATACGACTCAGACGACGAAGAAGACAAGGACGCGGAGGTGATGATGATCAAAGATCGGTTTGCTTATTGGGATTATTAGTTATCGGATACCCGAGGAGATGGTTGGCCTAAGTCCAGTCCTCGAATCAAATGAAAGAGCCTTGCTTCACCTATCCTTTCTGCTACTGTTTGCTTACTAGTCCATTGACATCATTCCCCACTGCCGAGTCTTGGTGAGTCTTGGGTAAATCATCTTCGCCTCAAGTATGAATTAAGAACTGGGGTATTGTAACAATAAACTCGGAATTGCATCCATTTGCTCTAAATGGTGTCATGGCTGATAACATGTACAGCGCTTAAAGCTCTTAGCAAAAGAAATGCCATATTAATTATGGTTTAATTGTGGCACGTGCATTCTGATAGCGTACGGCTGTTGTCGGGAGGGGCTCAATGTCTTAAAAGAGAGATAATACTGGAAGGTATCACTGCTACAGCGTAGAAGAAGCCCTGAAAGCATGTGAACGTCTCATAGCAACGGTAACAAAAAAAATTCTAAATTCTTGGCTCCAATTATTTGCAGACCCCCAATTAAGCTTCTCCAGCTTTCTCCAGGCCACGTTTATTAAATAAACTTTATTACACTTGAAGCTAACGTCACCGTTACAAACCAACTTTCCTATTGTCACCATATCAGTCAATTGTCTTCACTCCATCATAATTCAGTAGGAAAGAGTGTCAAGAGCCATGGCACCATTCGAAGCTCCGACGACCAAGCTGGTCGACCTCGGCCATACGAGCTTATTTAGTATGTAAAAGCGAGGGGAAGAGGGAAAAAATACGTAATTACTACAGGCAGCATATGCTAACAATCGCAGTTTCTGCAGCATCCATTGCATTTAATCCACTATTTTGGAAGTAGGTTACATCTCTCACGAACATGTTATCTTCGATATATAGCTCTAGATCATGATGTGGGGGCTAACATAGATCTCAGCATTGTAGCTCGACAAGGTGCGCCTACCTATGCAAACCCTAAGTCCCTATAGATCTCCAGGCTCCCTATAGAACAGCCGATGGAACTCCCCACCCCAGCCTACTATATTTATAATCCCAAGACATATATTGCAGTTTCTAATATTCGGAGTGCATAGAATACCACAATAAAGTACTCACCAAACTCTTCGGCGGTCGTTCTCAAGTAGCATGCTATGGCTTGGCCTTCACGATCTTCACTCTTGGTCTTCTTCGCGACTTCCTTTACGAGCGCGCCTTGCGTGAACAACCATCCTATCCACTCCTCGAGCTAGATGAGGTCAAATATGCCGGATATGCACTCATAGCAATCGGCAATATTCTTGTGGTGACTTCGACCTGGGCGCTTGGCATTACTGGTACTTTCCTTGGTGACTACTTCGGCATTCTGATGGACGATATCGTGACAGGGTTTCCGTTCAGCATCACGGATGCACCCATGTACAACGGCTCAACCTGCAGCTTCCTCGGTGCTGCTCTAGTATACGGAAAGCCCGCCGGTATCCTCTTGACCGCCTGGGTTTTTGTCGTTTATCAGGTCGCCCTCAAGTACGAGAATCCGTTTACGGCGGGGATATACGCCAAGAGAGAGAGGGAGCGTGCCGTTGCAGGAGGAGTTGAGGGCAAGAAGTTGCAATGATCGACGGGCGGCTGTCCGGCTATGTATGCAGCGTTCCGGGCGCACGTATGTACGCACGCACAGTTCTTCTCTACCCCCGGCACGCCACTAGGTTTTACCGAGAGGAGCCCGAAACCGGATGATGAGTGAAGCGAAGAGAGGCGAAGTTGAAGATATATTAGATGAAGTTTCCAAGCACGTTGCACTAGTCGACGTTTGTATTCGCGTGTGCGCCGCCTAGTTGTAAGGGTATGTGTGAATATCGGAGCATGAGGATTCAGCATTTGCAAGATCACGAGGCATTTGTTTGCATGATACCTACAGTACATACATACCTACCTAGTAGGTATGCAATGCGAAGGAGTCAGGCCGAGAGGGGCATGTATCAGCTTCGTAAGCCGATGTAAAATCAGACACATAATTTACAATCAATGATAACGATCAAACATAAACGTGCCTAGACGATGCCAATGTTGGCTCCAGGATCTTCTAGGAAAGTCCAAGGCAGTAAAAAAAGCTTGTGAGAGATAAACATGACTTGGAACTTGGAAATAACTCCCAACCTAGTAATTATATCGTACTTGGTGGTACTTACCTTGACCAATGCTGTGACAGGGTTTGTAATACCTTAAGCCTTCCAAGGTCTCCAAGCCGCATTCCTTTATCGTTTTCTTATTGGAGATCTCATATCCACTAGGAATTTTCTCGATCTTACATAAATCTTCAATCTTTAACTCTTTTAACTACCAAGTTACAAACAACCCGTTTCTCTTTCATATATCCAAACTCATTATTTGTTTAATAACTCGTAGAATTTAGGGTAGGAGCGATCCTACACGCAGACAAAGACGCAAACCCCAAAACGTGCATCGCATAATGAGCCGTTCCGCAAGAAAGCAGCCGAGCGAATATGTCAATACCTAGGTATGTCTAATATGTATGTCACCTAACCCCCGACCTTCTACTCCGCAACGATTTCAGAATCTGCGGTAGGGGTTCAAAAACACCCCGGGAGGGTCTCGGGTTGGACATAGCCGGCATCCTACCGTTGTACGGGAGAAACCGTGATGCATCCGCCTGCACAACATGTACCATAAGGGTTAGGTGACATACAGAAGACGTGCAGAAGACGTGCAGAAAACGTACATACAGAGAAGATACAGAGGCATGCAGCTTATCAGATCATCTTCATTGAGCGACACGAGCGGCATGATAAGTACGAGAGGCATGAGAAGCACGAGCAAGAGTTTGATCACGCTGTCGTTTACTTTCTTTAGTAACTGTCTGAATTAAATTCCGGGGTAAGGGTCCTTAAGTCGTCTTCTTAGTGGGGATCGGACCCTTGCGGACCCTGGTGCCCTTACAATCAGCCAATACCAAGCTAGAAACAAGCAAAAGAGCAAAAGTACGAAAGAGTCATTGACGAATCAATTATACAGAAATCACCCCTTCACTACCTTTTTGGACTACCCTTCCGATGCCATCCACACGCCCGTGGCGATTCCATATATCGATATTTCTTATTTAACTTGGGGAGAAAGACTTTTCTTTCTGCTTTATTCCTACTAAATATCAGAGAATCATTTCCTAGAAAAGGTCAGGAGTGAGGAAAACATACGATAAATTCTCGTGGCCCGTTTTTTTTTCTAGTTCCTAGGACCCGGTTCGACTATGAACCGAACGTCGAGGACGGGCGAGCCGTATGGGAGTGATGGGCTCAACCAAAGTCCGGACTACCTCCCAAACGACCTCATTACGAATCAAGACCTCAATGACATCTCCGACTCCAGAGAAAAGAGAAGTCCTTCCACTAGGAGTATAGACAACTCAGGAGATTCCGCAGCTGAGGATGGGGACCCGGATGGCAAAAACCTTGGAGCATCACGTGTAACTATTACTACCAAAGAAGCTCCCCAGGTGAGCAGCGACGACAGCAGCTCGATCAGATCTCCCAAGAGATCTCCTTGGGGTCGTATAACGCATACTATTATTACCTTCGGGAAGTTTGTCGGCCCTGGTTTTCTCGTCGCCGTTGCATACAGTACGTAGATCTTTCTAACGACATTGTTCTTGGCTGACACCTTTTTTTTAGTTGATCCTGGCAACTATTCTACTGACATAAGTGCTGGTGCTGAAAATCAGTTTCGGTTATTGTTTATTATTCTCATGAGCAACCTGTTTGCTATCTTCCTTCAATGTCTCTCTATCAAGCTGGGAACCGTCACTGGAATGAACTTGGCTGAGGCATGTCGCGCATTTTTACCGCGATGGATCAATTACTTCTTATATTTCTTGGCTGAAGCAGCCATTATCGCAACCGATATCGCTGAGGTGAGTTGAATAAGCGTACAAGTCTACTAAGGTCATATGGTGGCTAACCAACAACCAATAACAGGTCATCGGTACTGCCATTGGATTAAATCTACTCATACCCAAACTGCCTCTTGTTGCTGGTTGCGCTATATCAATCTTAGATGTAATGATTATTCTGATTTTTTATAAACCCAACGGTTCGGTCGGCGGTCTTCGCATTTTCGAGTGGGGCGTTATGCTGCTTGTGTTTGCAGTCGTTATTTGCTTCTGCATTCAGCTGTCACTCATACAAGGCAGCACTGCCGGCGAAGTCTTGATAGGCTACGTACCAAATGATTCTATAACTAAGTCTGGAGGTCTGTTTCAAGCATGTGGTATCTTAGGTGCTACGGTATGTTGATTTTTGCCCCCTATTCATCTAGCTTACTTACCCCAATCCCTTTTCCCCTTATCTTTTAAGCAACAACTCGACATCCCAATAAATACTCTACCCAATCCATTAAAAAAATATCATTCAATGCCATTACTCATAATAATCGTAGGTAATGCCGCATTCTCTATACCTGGGCTCCGGTATAGTACAGACCCGCCTCATGGACTATGACAACAAACGCGGTCTCCTCCCGCCTCGGCCCGCATCCAGCAGCAATAACAGCAACGACTCCGGAATAACGGAAGCAAAGACATACTATATTCCCAGCCTAAAAGCGATTAAACATTCTTTGAAATACTCATATGCCGAGGTCGCCATCTCGCTATTTACCTTCGCGCTGTTCGTCAACAGCGCGATCCTCATCGTCGCCGGCGCCAGTCTCTTCAACAACCCAGACGCCCTCGAGGCCGACATCTTTGGCATCCACGACTTGCTCTCGCAGAGCATCAGCCCTGCAGCCGGCACCATCTTTGCACTCGCGCTCCTATTCTCGGGTGTATCCGCGGGTATCGTGTGCACGATATCTGGACAGATGATCTGCGAGGGTGCGCTGCACTGGCGCATGAAGCCATGGCTGCGCCGCCTCGTCACCCGTTCTATTTCCATCACCCCTAGCATCATCATCGCCGGCGCTACCGGCCGCGAAAAGCTTAATGATGCGCTGAACGGCAGCCAGGTCGCTCTCAGCGTCGTGTTGCCTTTCGTCACGGCCCCCTTGATCTGGTTCACGTGCTTTAACAAGTACATGACAGTGCAGACGGGCAATGCGAGATATAAGACCGAGGGCAAGGACTCATTCACGATTAATGGTGTGTCGTTGAGTAAAGATACTAGCGGTCGGGAGCTCGCAACGCCGGAAGGTAAACTCGTTCAAATGGCGAATCCGTGGTACGTTTCTGTGCTTGCGGGTATTATTTGGGTCATTTTGGTCGTTATGAACGTCGCGAACTTGGTGTTACTCGGTCTTGGAAATTAAATGATGGTCATATCGTTGACCTGATACCCGCGCCGTGGACTGCATATCAATCTGTAGTCCGAATCAGCGGGTTGCTCCAAGCCATGTAACACATTTCTGGGCTGCAATATCCCCAGTCCTGTGGCAGCGTCTGGTTTTTTTCCGGATTCCCTTTTCTCACACCATTTTTGGAACTCATGAGCAATTACGAATACCCTTTTTCATTTTGCTATTTCCATTTTAGACCGAGACCTCTTAGAAGCACCGTCATTACCGTTTTACGCAAGACCGACATGACAGGATTACAGCATATTTAGGATTGCATCTAGCGACACAAAATCATTGGAGTTGTAGATGCCATGGATAACATGGGCAACATGGGCAAGGAAAGTGGAAGGTACTAGGTACCTACCTAGTAGTATGTACTGTACCTCAGTGGAGTGTGCATATATACCCAGTACAGCGTATATACTATGTATAAACAAATACACATCAATTCAAAGAATACTTCATATATTGATTCTAACTTCTTCTTTTACTGAGTAGCTTTTGATGTATTCTGGCCACTGTCCTGATTTGGTGACTTGATGAAATGTTAAGATAAGTACTAGGTATGTTGGCCTGTCACGAGGCATTACTCAAGATAGAGCTCCATGCCTTAGTACGAACATTGGAATAGAAGGCAATAGAAATAAGAGGAAACCCCACGAGGATAATTCCGATACTGATGACCATCGCGTATATATACATAGGTAACTAGGTACTTAGGTAGGTACCAAATACCTAACCCCTGGTACCGCCTAGCTATTAGGTACATGTAGGTATATTGGAAGTTTCGTGCCACCGACCCTATATCCTACTTATCTTGGGACATTTATATTACACATGAAGTAATTACATATAGATAGAATTTATATATTGAAAGGTAAAATTGGAAAAAAAAAAAACAAGAAAAGAGAAAAGCGGATGTAGCAAATTTCTCAGATTATGTCTCGTATCAGCACAGAGCAAGTACATGAAGAAGCTCTAAGTACTTTGCCCTGTATATCTTTCCATAGAAAACCGCGATGATATCGCTACTTGACCAAATGGACACTGCACTCTATTTTCCTATTGACAACTTTGGAAATGGACGTCACTAGCCATTATGATTCTTGGCGTGTCAGTATGCTACATGTCAGCCTACTGTAGCCCATACAATCATCACGAGCCTACTAGGTAGTAATTGTATATAGCAGCTGTACCCCAGGCTGCTTATCCAATAGACATGAAGAAGGTCTGGAAAGATTGCAACTCTACCTAGTACCAGGTAATTGAGTTTAACGCCTCAATTGATATAAACTTTCAACATCCGGGGTTAAGTTTTGTGGCAACGTCCTTGTGATGCAACAGAAAAAAAGGGGCTTTTCATATAACCATATACATCACGCCAAACAAATCTAACCACGATTTTATCTTGAGCTTCTAACAATTGCCAGAATGTGTTGCTAACTCTACGAAGTTCCTCTGATGGATCAAACTTTATATGTATGTTGTTTTGTCATGCGCCCCCTAAACAACTTGGCCATCTACAAATATTGGGACATAAGTACCCAGTAAGTATTCAAAGAAACATTCAGCAATCATGATTGATACCGAATACAAAGATTATATAGGGCTGAAGGTCGAGATCCATTTTTGCTGCTTAATAAAAAACCAATGGCCTAGATAGATGGTGAATATTTAATCTCTATGAGAAGTGTGACAGGCCTGATGCTACTTCTACTCTGTAGCAATGTCTATCATTATAAAGTATAAGGAACATGATACATACTAGGTGCCATTCGATGTATATATACGCCTTGACATGTATTTCCCTGTTCTAACCCTAATCGGAATGATGCTGGCAACAGCAACACTCGTCACTGTCCGAGGTATTGATTATCTACACAACTATCGGCGCCTGGGACAAGCCTCATCTACTGAGGATTTCAACTATATTCTTAATTAGAACTTATCTCCAGGGCCCTCGTACACTAGAAAAAATCAAAATATAAACTTCAAGGCCTATTTCCACTAAAAAGTATACAGTCACCACAGTCATCACATTCACTGATAGCATCACCATCCCAACATATAAATACCGACAATCTCGCCCCTCCTTTCTCTTTCCAATTTCTTTCTCACACACACAATTTTTCTCTTACTCACGCTTGAAGCTTCACTCAAAAAGTTCAGCCTAACAAGTTCGAAAACAAAACACTACCTAACACTACTACCATCCTCTAACAAAACGTATTCTAAATAACCTTCCGCATACATACTCACACATACCGTCACATTTTTGTGAAGCAGTCTTATTAAACTCTTCACAATTCTTTTTCACCCACTACCGTGCTTAATATAGCACTTAACACCTCGTCTGCAATTCAGACCACTAACTCTAGCCTCATAAGAGTGCTACACATTTTTATTCATCTCTATACGAGAGCCCTAAACACCACCTACGACGCTCAATATCTCTCCACGGAAAATCATTCACCATGGGATACAGCCCTACTCCCCGAGGACGTGGTCGTAGCCCCTGCGTCGACCCCGAGTGTACACCACTCATCCGCAAACCAATTCCTTGCCTGCTGACTACACTCTCACGCGTCGCTACCGGCCGTGTTCAAAAAGCAACCTACAAGGATCCCCCCCGAGAGAGAACAGCATTCGAACTAGACCAGGAAGAATTCAATCGTCACCTGTACACGGGGTTCATCCGAGAACTTACCAGAGATTACCGCAAAGAACCTCTCGGCACCAGCTTAGGATGGTTCAAGGACCCCGTCTCAAAGACGTCGAAGCTGTACATCAAGGACTACTTCTCAGGCGTCGTCCGACCCAAGATTATGAAGGATGCGATGTGGGACAACATGAGCAAAGCAAAGCTTGAGCAACGCCGTCAAGAATGGCAACTAGCACATGCATTCGAAGTGGATTCAGATAGTGACGAGGACGACCAAAGTGACCAAAGTGACGAAGACGACGACTTTGATGACATGTCAATTCAGGTCAATCCTCCCCAGAGTGGGAACGATGAAACCGAGGATGGAGATGATGCAGGTACCCTATCTGACCATCCCGGCGATGATGAAGAATCTGGCGATGACGACGATTCTGATCATGAAGATGATCCCGACGACGACAACGATTACGGTGATCAGGACGATGATGACCATTCTGTCGACGATGGCGATTCTGACAACAACGACGATGCCGGCAACAACGGCGGATCCGGCAATGACGGCGGCTCCAGCAGCGACGGCGATTCTGGTTATCAGAGTGATCCCGAAGACGACGATGATTCCAGCGATCACAATGATGGAAAACTTCCCAGCAGCAACACTCACGAGCAAGACGACGTCGCCGATGGCAACGAAAGCGAGACTAGTTATTCCAGCTACTCCTGCCATCCTAGCGAGTTTGACGAATCCGACGACGATTCGCCGCGCCGAGACCTGCACTGCTACAACCCCACATGGGTCTCAAGAATCATCGAGGAGAAGCCACAGGCCCCCGTCGACGAAAGTATCTTCGACCTCGTGCGCACACCTCGAGGCCCAATGAACCCAGCGATGCAAGTCTTTGCAGAGTGGAAAAGAGAACAATACGCGCGTAACCAGGAAAGACGCCGACAGGTCGACGACGCCTTCCTGGCTGAAAGACGACGACTGAGAGCCACATGGGCTAAGGTCAATTAGGTCATGAAGCCATACCGGACATCACCCGGAATCTAGCGATGGCGCGGCATTGGTAGCAAACCGAGCTACCCAAGTCCCGACAAATGAGGACACGATTGTTTATTGTTTATTGTTTACCACCCATTATTTGCCTCGGTGGCAAAAAAGGGTCAGCGAAGGAGTTTAAATTTGGATTTGGTTTCGCATATCGGATTATGCTCTGCTACGGCGCTAGCAGCAAACCTTCCAATGGAATAAGGCATATGTTCATGTGGAGGACGGGACGGCACTCAAAAGCTTATCGACTTGAAACTTTGTTTCAACAACTTAAAACGAAACCAAGATAACACCAGAGAAACGGGAAGGAGAGGAGGATACGGAAGGGAGACTGCCGGTTGGTTGGGGGGATGAGATGGAGATATGAAGAGTTATTTTTCAGGGTTATTTGTTTCTTCCAGCGCTGAACTTGTTACACCCCGTGAGATAAGATAACTTCTCATGGGTCTCTGTAATAGTTCAAAATAAAGTCCATTGAGACACATATTGAATGTTTTCATAAACTAACCCGTGATATGTCGATGTCCAAGTGATGAATCATGAAACTCAAGCCTCGTAGACAGTAAACCCAACAGATCGGTTCAACACAGATCGCCAGATTTGACTTATTTAGTTCAAGCCAAGTTCTTCAAGATCCTGTCACCAAGCTGCCAAGTGGTAGACCTCAAGAAACATCTGAACTTCCCATTGGCTAGGACCCCTTTGGGCTTGTCAGAGGTGGATATGCCATGGCTATAAAACGGTGCCTGACCAACTTAGCTTAATTTCTAGCTGAGCTATAAGCTTGGTATTTCGAAGAGTGCTGCCGTTTTGGGACATACCGAACTAGAAAATGCTTCTATCCTAAACCTACCCGAGTTTTTTAAAGATGAGGAATGAACACGCAATTGGAAAAAGCAGGCTTGCGGTTTTATATGCCACGCCACGCTGGACATCCGGATAAGCAAAAAGGCTGGCTGCAAAACCATTGATAATCACAAGGGTACGCACGTGGGCTTAAATATTTTTTCAGTTTCATCCGATACTCTGCTGTACGACCGGTTAAAAATAGAATCAATAGAAGTTGACCGGCTTACCCAAAGTTGATTAACGAAGGATATCCAGGTCAGGTTAGTCCTGTTTGATGCACGGACTGACCTCCAGGAATTTTCGGATATGCTGCTCTTGGATCTGAACTGTGGACCGGGTGGGGACGTGTACAAGCAGGTACATACATATGTCCTAGATATCTCCGGCTTCTAGATAACCTTGCTGTTTTGGCCCACCCCAAAAGTGTTCTATGAGGTTCTCGTCTGTGCTTGTGTATATCCTCATATTGATCTATCATCTATGCGGAAAGTTGCGCATACACACCCGCAGTTCCGTCGAAAGCTTGGCTTGTTTTACGCACACGTAATATAGGTAGTATTCAACATACGGAGGGAATGCAGGTTTGAAATACCATATCAGCATATCTCCTCAGAAAAATGATCGTCAAGTACGAGACAACCGGATTCGTCAATTTGAGTTACAATGTCAGACTCTAGCTTGGGTTCTGGTTGGCTCCTGCTTTATGCAGCATTTATGTGAGGTTATCTGAACTTGTGAACATAAGCTGCTTAGAAGATGCGAAATGGAAGATGTCATTTCCCATTCGCATGAGGTAAGATTTCCATCATAGGAAATTGTCCTGTCACATCTCAGAACAGGAAACGATAGGCGGTAGAGGCTGTCCGGGGCTCGGTATGCAACGGCCCCACTGTAAATACCGGAATGGAAATATAATAGTCGATCTCCCGACCGCAAGGAGTCCACAATTGGCCGGCGTTGAGGTTGGCTGCGACGGCAAAAAACACGACGTCTAGACCAAAATCGAACATCGTGAACAACCTTGGAAGGGGCCGATCGGAGTATCAAATTCCATCATGTGGTCGCGAAAAATGGGTAAATAATTTTATTGACTGGGGGTGGTAAAATGCCTCACGATAAGCTAGTGAGCGGTGGGAAAGCCGGAATGAGGTCCGGAACTAGTTTGAAGGAAACAAGGGAGGAAGGGGAAGCGAAAAAGGGAGGTAGGAAGGGGGATGGGGAAAGGGAGAAGGCGAGAAGGGGGAGGACGCGCACGTTTTTTTTGTGACGAAGGTGCGGTTTGCGGGTTGCGGGCTTGAAAGAGCGAGGAGGAATGCAGAATGCATAAAAAATTAAGTCGTTGACGTACAAGAATATGTACGACAAGGCAACTATACGTGGCTTACAAGTCCACTTTATGTATGAATAAGTCGCGTCCGAACACGATGGGGGAATATAACTCGTCACGCGGAGCAAACTATCGTGAGGTGGTCCCTCGTGTAAAAGATAGATCGTCGATTGTTGGCCTTGGAGGTTGGGTCTTACTAGGCCTCGAAGATGGCAAAGTTGCTTGACCGCATCGGTTTTTACTCAGGGGCGGCGTCGGAGGCGAAAAGGGACCCCCATTATTAGGCGCTTAAGCAGGGAATGCATGTGGTCACCTGGGCAGCTGTGCGTAAGATAAAGGTAGATGGGTTATGGGTTTATTAGATGGGTTAGTTAGATGAGAATAGTTAGTTTGAAAACGGGTTTCGCGGGCTGGCGGGCTTTGCGGGCTTCGCGAGCTTCGACGAGTAATGAGTAATGAGGGTAGTACATAGTAGGATTTTGATTCACATGAAAAAAGAAAAAAAAGAAATGAGTAATGAGGAATGAGGGGCAAAGAAAACAACCAAGGGAACTAACTAAAGTTGGAACCAAGAAGGGGGACAAGAATTAAGAAAACGGATAGCAAATTTCCAAAGCCCCTTCCGAAAAGCCCAGAAAAAGCCCAGAAAAGCCCTAGGCTGCCTAGTACTTTCACACTCTCATGTGCGCACATGTGTGCCCCCTCGCCCCTCTGGGATTGGGCTAATGGGAGCTTTCCCCTTTTGTCGAAATAGTTCCACCAATACACCTTCCCGAGTCACGGGAGATTGGCTTGGAAAGTGGAGAACTGAAAACATTATGATTTTTTTTTTCTTTGCGCAGGATCTCCGGTAAGGCCAGTGTAAGGCCTAGGCTCAAACAGAAGAAGGAAGCCGCAGGGAAACTGGATCCAGATTAACGACAAGCCGGGTGGATGATTGCCGGTATCTTGCCGATTTTCTTTTAAAAAAGGACATGAACAATCAAATGCGTCCAATAGATTCCCCGCATTCACCTCCACTTAACTCCACTCCCCACGAGTCTGCAAGTCTGCAAGTCTGCAAGCCCTGCAAGACTCCCGACCTTACCACTTACCAACCTTTACCTCTTACTGCACCCACCCACTGCACCCATACCATTTTTACATACCATTTGCATACCGAACCTTACATGGGATTGTCAGATTGTCAGTTCAGTACCTGAAGGGTGGTAAAGCTCCTAATGTTCCATGTTCCATGTTCCATGCTCTTACATACGCCCCATCTTGCTCCATACTACTAGGAATTGCTCCAGAGACACGGCGCGGCGGCTCCTATACCCCCCCTGCACCAAACCTGTCTGTCCTGTCCTGGCTGTCTAGCTGTCTGGCTGTCTGGCCTGCAGTGTCGCATTTGCATTAGCTATTTTCAATTCGCATGCTAAATTGAGCTTCAGCCGGTTGAGATCGGTACAATAGGGTACAATTGGCTTACAACTGGAATACGTAAGTGCGACATTGTGCGATTTGTGATTTGTGCGCGATCTGCTTGTACTTACCAAGATGATTTCGCACTCCTTCACTGCCACCACCACTACCAACATTACCTCCTCTATTACAAGAACCATCTATTCCTATTTCTCCTCTTCCTGCTTGTTCTCCTCTTCCTCCTCCTCCTTCTCCTCATCCAAATTATATTTCTCCTCTCTCTTCCCCTTCTTCCACACTCGTACGATTCGTACCATAACTAGCCAGAACCATCCCCATCACCGATTTTCCGCGCTCTTTCATCCCACACATCCCTCCCGTCCCGCTTTGTCGCAACTTAAGCTACCCGTTATCAGACGGATCCCTTTCGCAACCTACCTCTCGGCCTCCTTTCAGCCGAACACTCAACACCACCTCGACCCTACTTGCTAGGATAAGGCTAAAGTCTCTCCCCGCGACCTCCAGACCTCATCAAAACACATTCCATCATCAACTAGAACCCTTTCTATTGTTGCGCCTCATCACCACCAGCACGCAATGGGCTCTTTAGGAGATCACATAGAGACTAACGGCGTCACTAACGGTGCCACAAATGGCACCAACGGCGTCAACGGCGTCAATGGTGCTGGCGCTGGCCACAACAGCCAACCCTTTAATGGCCGTTTATGGACTGCTAATGTTCGAGTCAACGGAAATACCAATGGCCACTCCAATGGTCGCACAAATGGCCATGCGAATGGTTACACCAACGGTCACACCAACGGAGCCAATGGTCACCACGGTGAAGAATGGTTCGTTGGAAGCATAGACCAGGGTACGACGTCATCGCGGTTTTTAATATTTAACCGCGAAATGGACCCCGTGGCCAGTCATCAGATCGAGTTTGAGAACTATTATCCAGAGTCCGGGTATGTAATTGATGTTCGGATGTGGTGATGATTGACGTCACATCCCTTCCTTATTACATCACAGCGACGATCAGCTAACAACGTAATCGCGATTCAGATGGCATGAACACGATGCCCTCGAACTGCTCGATTCTGTCGAGACTTGTATCGAGAAGGCTGTCAAGCAATTTACTTCCAAGGGTTATTCCAAATCCCAGATTAAGGCTGTAGGTATCACAAACCAGCGAGAAACCGTCGTCTGTTGGGATACAATCACCGGTGAGCCGCTCTGCAATGCTGTAGTATGGCCCGACACTCGAACGAAGGACATCGTCCGAGATTTGAAGAACTATCCTGGAGCCCATGCGATCCCTGAGATTTGCGGCCTACCATTGAGCACATATCCTTCGAGTGTAAAACTCGTCTGGTTATTGCAGAACGATATCAGTGTGCGACAAGCCTACGAAGATGGGCGTCTCGCTTTCGGCACCGTAGACAGTTGGTTAATCTACCGCCTCAACGGCAAGGATAGGAATGTCCATGTTACCGACACCACAAATGCCAGTAGAACCATGTTCATGAACTTGCACACCGCGCAATACGACGACAGGCTTCTATCCTTCTTCGGTATCGACCGGAATAAGGTCGCATTACCCAAGATCGTGCCTTCGTCGGACCCCAAGGCCTTCGGTAGCATTGCGAATGGTGCCTTGGCCGGAGTGAGAATCGCCGGCTGCTTGGGTGATCAGTCCAGCGCTTTGGTCGGCCAATGTGGATTCAAACCTGGCCAGGCAAAGAATACGTATGGTACCGGATGTTTCCTCTTATACAACGTAGGCACCAGGCCCGTTCTCTCCAAGTACGGCTTGCTAGCAACCGTCGCCTACGACTTAGGCAAGGGCAAGAAGCCCGTCTACGCCCTGGAGGGCAGTATAGCCGTGGCCGGCGCCGGCGTCAAATTTTTGATGAACAATCTAGGATTCATCAGAGACTCGACCAAGGTCGGTGAATTAGCAGAAACTGTCCACGACAATGGAGGTGTAGTATTCGTCACCGCCTTCAGCGGTCTATTTGCGCCGTATTGGATTGACGATGCGAAGGGTACTCTCTGTAAGTTCTTACCAATGCTTATTCAATTCGCCTAAGCGAGCTCTTGACTGATTGGTGATAGTTGGTATTACGCAACACACACAAAGAGGACATATCGCCCGTGCGACTCTGGAAGCGACTTGCTTCCAGACACGGGCGATCTTGGAGGCCATGGAGAAGGACTCGGGTCACAGGCTCCATTCCCTCGCGGTAGACGGAGGCATGTCAAACTCTGACCTGACCATGCAAACACAAGCCGACATCAGCGGCATCCGTGTAGAGCGCCCCTCAATGCGTGAGACGACCGCTCTAGGCGCTGCCATCGCTGCCGGCCTCGCAATTGAGGGCTGCTGGTCTAGCTTTGAGGAGCTACAAGAGCTCACAGACAAGAAGGCCGGTCGCAGAGTTTTCAAGCCTCAGGTTGAGCGAAAGAAAGCCCAACGCATGTACCAGCACTGGGAGCGTGCAGTTGACATGAGCCGCGGTTGGGTCCGCGACGACCTCGAATATCAAGCCGAAGAGAGCTCTAGGCCAGATATCTTGAGGAAGCCGACTTTATAAAAGAAAGTCGAGAAGAAGCAGAACACATTTCCTAATTGTGGATAGTGGGCGCCTCTCGTTTTTAATAATTATAAGCCAGCTGCGACCGCGACCGAGGTGGTGTGGTACGATGTGACGGTCGCGGAGTGGAAGCAGCAGGAGAGTGGATGAATGTGGATCTCGGATGTATTAACACGCCGTTCATTGGATGTTTGAGGCGCCTCTTTCGGCGCAATGACCGCTTATTTCACCTTGCGGCCGCATTACGGTACCAAGGTTAATGATTAGATACGGTTTTCGATTCGGGGAAGGGAGATGGCAGATCCAACTTCTGCCCGCATATGACCATATGGACGGGCCATACAATGGTCGGTATACTCGTAGGCAAGGTGCCTTACATTAGGTACATCACGTACCAGGCACACTCACACACATACCTAACACGTACATACATATAGATGTATGTAAGAATAGGAAGGTTAGGTAGTATAATGACAAGGAGGGGGGGTACGGGGAAAGGATGGTCGGGTGGGATGGGGATCGAGGTTCGGAAACCGTACTTTTTAGTAATGTTAGTCCTACCTTACCTTAGCCTAGGTATATAATGAAAACTGTTAAACGAAACATACCTGCCTGCCTACCTGTCCGGTCGCTTTCATTGTTGCCACATACGCAGTATGTGCAACACAGTAATCTCCACATGTCCTACGCCTGCTTCATCGTACTTTCTCCAGCCTCCATCGCCGGATGTTGCCGTACCCCTCGCAAGGTTAGGTACATACGCCCGCATGTACGCATACTATATACCTAGAACATCTAGGTAGGTACATATACTAGGATACTGTAGGTACTGGGGATGTAGGTATGTATGTATGATACGATGATATGATACATACCTACGGAAGACACATCCGAATGCGCTACCCGATTGGTGAAGTTTTTAAACTATTTTGTGTATATTTATATTTAGATCTATATCCATACCTGTATCCATGTATAACTTAGATCGGTATAGGTAGTTCGTTACTTAGGCATATATGTACCTACCTACCATATATGTATGTATGTTCTGTAAATTGGTTACCTAGTTAGTTCGTTGATTAGCACAAGGTACGTGCCGTAGATCAACGTATACATATGTACGGATACAACTAGGTGCATATGTAAGTATCTTCACCGCCGGGTTGGGGAGACTAATTGAGATGAAGGGCGCATCGCAAGTCGCCGACGGTGAGGCTTCGTATTGACCTCGGTAGCTATGTTTCTATAGCTAAGTTCGGTTTAACGAGACGGAGGTTTGCGATGCAATTCTAGTCTTGCCTTGGAATATGGGTAGGTGGGCTTCGCTAGAGATGGAGATGGAGAAGTCAAGGTGTGTTGTCAAGACGCGATGGTCGTTCCTGCATGTAGCCAAGCCAATGCCGCTTACGGGCATCTAACAGGTACTAACGAACGAACCGAGGTCTTTGACATGTCTACATTGAATCAGTTTACATAGTTCGATCACGTACAATTAAGGTCACGATGAGGTATGGATCCTCATTGAACACATGACACGCAGTAATGACGATAGCAAGGTTAGAGGTCATTTTCTTAAATTGTTTTTTGCCTAACTCGGCACCTCGAGATATTAATCAGAGTTGGTTGATCCCCCATATTGCTAAAAAGGGTAAATCAGCCCATCTCGCGATCTCCTTCCGACCCAGGTTGCATAGCATTCGCTCGCTAAGCCAACCGAAGCATATACTAACGAGACTCGCAATTATACCATCACCGTAAAGTCGTGTGTTTGCACACTCATGCTTTTTCATTTTCAGGGAGCCCCCAATGCCGACCTCATTCACGTCATCTACCTTTTTGCAGGCAACCTTTCGTCTTTTGTTTTGTATATAAGCCCCAGTATTATTAGGACAGATGGATGCTCAATCTAGAGTCGACCACTTTGAATGGCAGGGAATTGGGTATCATGAACGAGAAGACTCGTCACCACGTCAAGTGGGATTAAATTCGAGCAAGGACGGTTTGCCGCCCTGTTCTTAAATCCACTAGATCATGCCAAAAAACCCCGGGAATAATGACGGTCGTCTATCATGACATGCTGACCAGAACGCCACCCTAGTTGGAAATGGAATTGAAGTGTTGAGAAGAGATGTTGCCCCTAGGTAGAGGGCGGAATTGCCGGCGTATTAGAAATCGTAGTAAGAAAAGGATCCAGGATATACACGAAGAATTGCCGAAAATCAGGGGGCCGGCCTAAAGCACACCGAGTGCTTACATCGATTACATGATGATAGCTGGAACATCAACGTTCGCCTTGATGCTCTTATGGGGAAGGACGCTACCACCGTTGACGTAGATCTCGTCACCAATGGTGACATCGTCGCCGAGAACTGTTACGTTCTCAAGACGAGCCCACTTGCCAACGGTGCTGTTCCAGCCAACAATCGTGCTCTTAATCCATGCATGGTCCTTGACCTTGGATCCGGGGAGAAGTGTGCATCTTTGTAGACGTACACCGTCGCCAATGACAACATTCTTGCCAATGACCACATTGGGGCCAATACGGCAGTTCTTGCCAATCTTAGCAGACTCGTCAACCATGACGTTACCACCGTGTACGTAGCTCTCCGATGGAGAAGCAAGAAGATGAGGTTGCTTCTTAGAGAGAGATGAGAGGTATAGACAGGTGCCAGTCAGGAAGTCCTTGGGCTGACCAACGTCCATCCAGAAACCGTCAAGGTCGAAGGAGTGTAATTGACCATCGCGGACGATTGCCGGGAAGGTTTCTTGCTCAATAGAGGTAGGTCGGTTCTTCTCAATGCGCTGGAGTACTGAGACATTCAGCATGTAGAGACCGGCATTAATACGGTTGCCTACGAATTCGACAGGCTTTTCCACGAATCGGTCAATTCGCGAAGGGTGGTTCGGCTTGTGCACAATGACACCGTATTTGGAGGGTTCCTCCACCTTGGTAACGACAATCGTACCCTCCTCACCGTGGGCCTTGTGGAACTCGGCGAGTTGCTTGAAAGGGAATTCGCAGGTAACATCGGAGTTTAGAACGAAGAAAGGCGAGTCGTCCTTAGCGAGGATCTCTTCTGCCAGCTTAAGAGGGCCAGCTGTGCCAAGAGGTTCGCTCTCTAGAGAGAAATGGATCTTGACACCAAGAGAGCTTTCATGCTATACGAACCAGACATCGTTAGCGGAGGGGGGAACAATGACCTGCAGGTTTAGGGTTGTTTCGGGTACTCACCTCTTTCAACACTCTCTCCATAACCTCCGGGCGATAGTTGACGGCAAGGACCACGTCAGTTACACCGACAGCGGCCAATGCTTCGATCTGGTGGAGAATCATAGGCTTGTTCGCGAACTCGACTAGCGGTTTGGGCATAGTCAAGGTCTAGAAAAAGAACAATCAGCTTCTACATTCGAGTCCATGACATTCTATATTGCAAATGACAAGTTGGAGCACGTACCAAAGGCCGCAGACGCGTGCCAAAGCCGCCGACGAGAATTATGGCTGTTGAACAAGAAATGTTAGCCAATCATATTCTATTCACATTGTAGAGGGGTTTTCTAAATGCAACAACATACCCTTCATATTGACGGTAGGTGATTAAAAAGACGTTGTATAGTAATTGTCGCAAAGCGAGGGTGAATGTGCAAACTGAGTTTCTATATCGAGTGCCGTTGTAGTCAAAGAAACGAACGAAGGTGGTCCGACTACGAGGGAATTGGTGAGAGACGAGAGTCGGTGTGTGGCAGTGTAGCAAAGGTAGACGCAGATGCAGATGATTAGCTCAGCTTGTTGCCAAGTTGGACAAACAAAAGTTAATAATGGTCAATGTGATCTGGTGGAGGAGAATGACTGAATGACTGAAAGTTAAATCTCAAAGTGGAAAGAGATCAACTGAGCTTTTGAGGCCACCTAAGCTTTTCTTTGACGATGTCGTGAAAGTTCAAGGAATAAGAGATTGTAGGTTGTTGGGTTTACGAATGCCCCCTTATTCTTATTATTTTTAGGAAACTTAGCAGTTAGGCCGTCTCGCCAGTAAATGCTTGAAATTAGCGTACCCCCCCTTCTGGGATCCCTGACCTTATTAGAGTAAGGTTAGCACCTGATTTCCAGCTCAGGCAATGACGCACGGGCCATAATGCCACATTCAGCCACAACCGTGTGGCAGTTACGCCGCACAATATCCTATTCCAGAAACCAATCATAGCCAATCAAACGCATTCTTACCCCACGCGGTACGAAACAATGAAATTGATTGAATTGAATTTTATCATGCGTCGTCAAGCGCTTCCATTTACGATATTAATCTTATTCATGTTACTACATACCTATTGTTAGATACCACGTATATACCTCAATCTTCAGTCCGTTAAGGCAAACAAGAAGGAATAGGCGAGTGCCTTCCCAATGTCCTTTCAATGTGTCAAAGCATGAGTTTAATAATGCATCACAAACTTAACTTAAACTGTTAGCCGTTCGCCGTCGTTTGCCGTCCGCCCACTTACATCACCCACTTACATAAGTCATTAGTTATTCTCGTATTGAAGTGCTAATGACCGGCTTAAGTGGGAAACCGGCGGCATGTCCTTATGCGACATCATAATAAATACGAGTTCGATGTCGCCTCCTTTTAATATCGATATTCTAGAAGTCTTCCCAAATCATTCCCGTGACGTGACGTTTAAGTTAGATTGAAACGCCATCGAAGATTTCCGTTTATTCGCGGAGACCGACGCACGCAATTCCTCGCGAACCCCGGAACGTTGATTTCTTTCTATTCTTTCTTACGTGATAAGACGAAAGGATCACCGGAGGGATTATGTGCCACATTTAATAGATCCATGGTGGATTGGGTTTGTAGGCTGGTAGGTACTGTAGTTGGGATGGTTACCTACGCACCTACTGACATGCAGCGCCGTCACCGTCCCATGTTAGCAGCTGTTGTGTTACGACCTGCAGGTTCTCTGTACCTGTCACAGGAACAAGGAAACGCACGTCCACCCGCCCTCCCGCCGAGGCACCCAGCCAGCAAGCACACCGTGATCTGGGACAGCACTCGGGGAAATAAAAAAGTTGGGGATGTTGATCCGTGGGGTGGTCGAGTAGTGCCATTCTTTTTTTAGATAAAACTCCGTAAGACTTCACTCTAAGACGGTAGAGTTGAACGTATAAGTCAGTGTTTGCGTATCGCGTACCAAATCACTTTTTTTTTCTGTTTCATCGTAGTTCGAGCCTCGTTCGAATGCGCTTCTCTCATCGTACAGATACCTAACACAGGGTAAAACACATCTCACAAGCCAAGTAACAAGACCAGTATCTCGGGTCTCACACATCGGACGCACATCAAGCACACATCACGGGCAGCTGCATAAGGAGAAGACAGCGGTTAGCTAGGTATGAAACGAGAAAAATTCGTGCGACCATGAGAAAATTGTTCGTCATGTCGTGAACGTCGTAGATTCGATTCTTCGTGAATATCATCATAATCGTGAGCGTGGTCATCATCTATCTAAGCAAAGCCGTAAGATCGTGAGAAGTTTTATGAATCTCCAAGACAGCAAGAGAAAAAAAGCAAATTAAAGAAGAAAATCAGATAAAACCTCCCAATCCTCGAGCGCAGGTCGTAAAACCAAAGCAGTCTCGTCCAAAGCAAAATGCCATCTTTTCTCTCTTAAATTTTTGTTTCCTTCGCAGTAAAAAAAGAAGTTTCCCCTCCCATGTTTCTCTCTCTCTACTCGTTTCCCACCCTTTTTTCCATCCCAGCTCTAGATTTCGGTTGATTCGTGTTTCTCGTCATCGTCCGATAGATAGAGGAAACAGATAAAATTGCCAGCAGGACTCGTCCAAAATATCTCCAAAGAAAAGTGTAAAAGTGTAGAAGTGTAGAAGTGTAAAAGTGTAAAAATGGCCAGAAAAAAAGGGGTGGGGAGAGGTGGGAACCGCCAGATTGCTCTCTAATTTTGGCCACCCACGCGCAGTCCTAGGGCACTCCAAAAAAGTCTATCTCGAGATAACCAAGTTTGTCCATTGGATCCAGGCCATCCAGTCAAGTTGGGAAGGCTCTGGAAGCCGTGATTATCATCATAATGGTTCGGGAAATGGCATACCCTCCAAAAAACGGGGTTTCGCTAAACAGCAGAGTTGTCTCCAATAGAATCCGTTTTTCCTTTCTGAACCGGCCTGGTTCTGTAAATATTCCCACGGGCCGAGAAGAAAAAAAGGGGTTCCGTCAAGTCTTTTTTAGGTAAAATCAGAAGAGAAAAATAAGAGAAAATAAAAACGTATCAAAAAACGGACTAAGGCCTCTCCCAGGAATCTCTCGTGACGGTGGAAAAAATCGTGATTATTAGGTCGTTTGGCGTAGTTTTCATAACAGTCGTTCCAGTTTCATTCGTTAGGTCGTAAAAATCGTAGATGTATGCAAACTTTTGTCTCTCCTCCTTTCTCATCAGGGGGATTTCAATGCTGTGTGAATGGGGTATTCCGCGGAATATGCCTGAGGATAAGCTGTGAAGCTTCACCACGTGTATATATATCAATCTTAGACGCCTCTCTGTCTCTTTCGCTTGTAATCCATTGGTTGAAATTAGCCGATGGGGTCTCGCATCTGGGCCGCGGTTCCATCGGGAAGCGGCAATCAAAATCTTTTTTGGAATTCTTTTCTTTTTTTTGGTTTGGTTTGTTTGGTCCCTCACTCGAAGGATGCGGTCGAGCTGCTGCTCGAGTGGTGCCCAGACCTATGGCGGCTCTCCTTTTGGCCATGACCGTGGCTGGACGAGGCATGACGGGATTTCTTGCGCCTGGTTGACTCATTGGCTGGAAGACCCTGGACAATCCCATTGCGTGCGAGCATGCCTCCGTTAACAGAAAAGTTCCGGCACACCATGAACGCCCTCATAGCTGCGTTTTCCTGGGCGAGGTGATCCGATTCGTACGCCAGGTCAGTCTGGTACTCGCGCCCGTTTACCAGGACAAGGCACGTGTAGCCACTGGGATCTCTGTAACACTCGTACGAAGGGTCTCGCCACCCACGACGCCGGCACAGGCCTATCGGATGCCATGTTAGCTTGCTGATCCTGGAACTCCCGAAACCCCCTATTCGATGCCAACGAAGCCCTCCCGCGTGTCTATGCAGCCCTAATGACGCGACAGAGATCGAGCATGGGAAAAATGCACATGCATAACGGCCCCCGGACGATCGCGAAGCAAAGGCAAGGCAAAAGCACCCTCCAAGATCGAACGTGTCAGGTACACCCGCACACACCCGCACCCGCACTCACATACAACCCATCATACATCATACATCCCGTCCGTACATGCCAGGAACGTGGCGTTTAAAACAGCAAAGCAAAAAAAGAAGGGTGCTAGCTAGCAAGGTAGTTCGAGGTGTTCCTGCGGCATCGAAGTGTTCGACGCAGGGGGTTGTCCACGTGTGAGACGAACTCTTCGCTGTTCCCCAGGCCCCACAGCGGCGCGCGCGTCATCGTGGGGTTATTGGAGACGACAGCTCTCGTCTTGGGCGTGTGTTGAAAAAAATGAATAAACGATAATGTAATAATAAACGGCAATGGTAATGGCAATGGCAATAGCAATCTAAAAAAAAACAAAACAAGGTAGGCGAGCAGAAAAACTTACTCTCGAGATACTGCATGTAGAATCCTCCCATATTGCTGACAGCAAGCAAAAAAAAAGCGAAGCACGCAGCGCAACTCAATGGCCCGGAAACTCGCAAAGAAAAAATCCAAGCAGGGTGGTATTTTTCCTCTCAAAACATAGAAACACCCCCACCAACACAAGGAAGAATCGTTCGGGTGTATGTACGAAATTCCCGGAGAGATAGAGATGGAGAGATGGAGGAGCGTAAGCAAGCAGCAGCAGTAGCAGCAGGAGCGGCAGCGGCAACAGCAGAACACGGGATGAGATTCCGGGGGGGAAGGAAGGCCGTTTGCGAGTATATGCAGTCAAGCCCAACTGTACGAGGGAATTATTAGATGGTCAAGACGGTAGGGCAGCACTGAAAAGGTTCGGTTCGTTGATGAGGTTTCTGTACTACAAGACCGAGGTGTGGTTGTGGTGGTGTTGAAAGAAGGGGGAGGTTAGGCTACGTATTTCGGGGCTGCGGTGCAGAGAGACGAGCCATCGACGGCGAGACATGTGTGCTTTATTGCAGAATTGGACTTGTTAGTGCGGGGCAGGGATCTGTAAAGACGCAATTAAACAGACAAGGCCGAAGGGGCAATGGGACGGAAGGGAACCAGGTCGATAGACGCAGGTGAAGATGCGGCTCTTGAAGAGTGTGACCCCATCTTGCTGTGCTGGCGCATGTCGTTGCCAGTTGATAAAACCTCTCGAGACTAGGCAACTCCACCGCAACACATGGGGTATGCATTCCCTTAGACGATCATCTCTGATAAGTCTGGCCGTACTCCTTTTGGCAGAATGTGGTACCGCCGTCTCCGTGAGTTTTTTCTCCATAACCCTGTCCGACAATGGGACCCAGCTGGGTAAAAGAGAATGATGTATATGCAGAGGTAAGCATATTGGAGTGGCGAAATGAAACTGGAACCAGTCGTCTGCGGCCAATACACGACCTCGGCGGAACTGCAAAAGCTTGAAGGGGGAAAGTAGACCAGAGCATAAAAGGAACAAAGGAGAGAGGTCGAAAGTAGGTAACTGGGTGAGTACCTAAGAGGGAATAGAAGATAGAGAGAGAGAAAAAGGAACATCGTGCCCACTAGGGTCCGGCGACCAGTCAGGTCTCCTCATCTTCCTGCTTCTACTTCTGCTTCTTTTTTTCCAGGGCCACCCGGAGAACCGCAAAAGAAGGGATGTGCCTGGTTCGTTGTTCTGGAGGGGAAGTCGAAAAGGAAAGCGAAAGAGAATGAGAGAGTGAGAGTAACAAACTGCCAAATCCAAGATCCCTCTTGCGGCCACTAATGCAATAGCACTCAATCAAAACAACGAAAAAGCTGGTACGGTTTGGAAACGGCGTTTTTAGACGACCAAAAAAGTGTCAATAATGATACCTCCCCCACGCAGGTGCATGTTTACCTAGTCTCTTTGCTATTGCTACTACATAAACAACGACGATGCCTGTCTGTTTTGATATGTACGCGCACCTGTATCATGTACGTATAGATCCATGGATCCATGTACATGACAAGGACTCGGAGATCGAACTGAGAGATGAGGAGAAGAGAGGGGGGGTCCTGACGGTGAGGATGGAGTCCCGGATCTGAGAAGAACGTACTATGGTAACAGCAGGGCCAACCCACTGGATCAGACAAAGTTACAACAACATAATAATGGACCGAAGGGGTGGGTGAGCGATTCGCGACGGTGCCCATAATGTGGACAACGTAAGCAGGGGAACGCCATTGGACAGATCAGCAAATCAGAGCGGTTGATGATAGCAAAGTTCGAAGAGGGGGGAAAAGGGAAAAGGGAAAAACAGCTAAAATAGAGGTAAAATATGACTGGGGGCTTATTATTTGACGATAGTTCATTAAAACCAGACGTCCCAGGCGTGTCCCAAATGGAAGCGAGCAATCCCGTTATCCCGTCAAGCGGCTGGCGCTTGCTTGTTGACATTGTGCCGACGACGCCATGTACGTATAAGGAAATGGTAATAGTGTACCGATTACCCAGTACCTATTAGTTGGTTGACCCTTTTTTTCCTTCTTTGCTATGTATACTTTTTTTCTTTTTTTTCTAGCCCCTTTTTTCCCCTCTGGAGCTAAAACATAAAGTAAAGTAAAGAAAAAAATCGACGAGTTACTGGCTTGAGCCGGAACCACGAAGTCGGTGAGGAAGAATGAGATGCATGAACACTGGCTAGCCTGCCTGGGCAACCCCGGTCTCCTATGAACCCGGTCTCTGCCCTAAGAAGCCATTGGAGAGCCATTGAAGACCCTGCGAAGACCGACAGGAGCCACTAAGAGCTCTATGGGGTGTCGGGCCAATCAGCATCGCTCGTTCCCGGGAGCAGCGAGGCGACTAGGCGAAGAACAGACGTTTAACACCTCATGCACTGATGAGTTGGCATTGCCGCTTGATATTAAATCAAGATAGACGTTATTTTGTGCATGTTAGATTGGGTACGGGTACTAGTCGATCCAACGACGCCAGGCCTACCACTGAGGTAGAGGTACCGATTCACGACCTGGTCCGAACTGGCCTGACCACCTGTTGCATATGAGGAAATGGGATGCCGCTCATGATGACGATTTTCGTAGCTGTACCGACGAAGGAACCGTCGTGATTGCTACAATACATACCTAGGTACGTCCACATACGTCCACCACAGAAAGCAGCAAGCAAGCTTAGAAGCTAGCAACAGGCGAGACCGAGGTTGTTTTTGGTTGTTGTTTTTTTGGTTGAAGAGGAAGATGAAAGAAGATGTAACTTGCTCTCGGACTTTAATGTAGCGGCCGGTAGGACTAATTTTTTAACCTTTAAGCAACGTTGGAGACGACGCCCAGACCAACAAAAGAGCCCACATGGTTGCGGGTTGCGGAAATACCTAGTACCTAGTACGGAGAATACGCTAGCCACAATACAGAATACAAACTGCAATATTGAATATTTACAAAATACTTAACTACTTTAACTACGGAAGTAACTACCTACCTACCTACCTACTTTGTATAACACATTATGTACTAGGCAAGTAGGTAATCGCTGTAATAAATATTAAGTAAGTAGATACCTACCTACCTATCTAATGCTATGAACGCGTCAGATGTACATATTATGTGTGGATGAGGGCTTGGAACAGCCATGTAAGCGAAGTGAGGGAAGCATCGGTGGTAAGACTATATCAGCAAAAAATGGTAGAAGACAAAGAGGCATTGGAAGAAAGGGAGGGAAAATGGTAAAATAAGGAAAAATAAGATATTCGAGAAGCACGTAGACATGTATTTAAGTAGATATCAAACGTGTATCATTGATGAATTTCCTGTAAGACGGCCGTAGACCGTCTTACCGGGTACCACTATAGCGATGTTCATGTACTTCAAAATGATACATCCCATCCGGTACCTGTTTATCAGCATAACAACTAGAAAATAACACTACTAGCATGTCTGTCTATACGCACGCAACGTGATCTCCTCGACCGAAAGGTCGCAGCAGTTAAGATCACCGGCGACTTCTAGAAAACGCTAGAGGAGATAACGTCTAGAGATAGTCTAGTCGACGGCTACGCGCATGCGACCTTACTACTATGTATATCCCAGGAAGACGAAAAAAAAACTCTTATAAATTATCATAGATACACAAATAACGCCATACTAGTTTTGGATAAGAAGGCCAACGCCTCTGAGGGAGTTGCCGAGAAATTCCTCGGTTCCATGTACGCGGTTGAGAGCCCTCACGATCCTACCTAATCTGTGAGACCTGAGTCACTGCCAGAGACATACATGCGTAGATTAAAGGTCATATCTGTTATAAATGCAACGTGTTTGCGAGATCCGAGACTTCGGGGCCCCATCCCATCCGGCCTGGACACGACGTCCGCGCTGCTGGGAAAAAAGAGGCGCCGGGAATATATCACCGTGAGGTCATCGCTGCCTCTTTCAAGCCCTCGGAAGCCATCCTCGAGAGAGGCTTACTAGTAGTAGCATCTAGCGGCTTCAACCGGTGCTGATCTTACGCACGAGTCTATTCGTTCATCCGGAAAGGGGCCCGCAGTCAGAGGCCATGTCGTGCAGCAGGTTTTGTTTACAATAGTACGCGGGAGGCGCAGCTTGGAGCTTAGGGGGTCGCCAAAATAGGCCTGTTGGCTGTTAGGGGTACATTATTATTATTATTCCATCTCATATCGCAACAACCTTTCTCTGGCTCCGTTCTATCACGTCCTTCCGAATCTCATTAGGGGTAATGGTAATAGTAATAGTAACAATGGGTATAGCCAAGAGGCAAGGTATAATTCGTGTAGTAGAGCATTAGTATACGGTACTAAGCCGTAACCCTTATATCAGAGCACATATTAGAGCCGTCGGACAGATAAGTTCGGCGACCCTCGATCCACGATTCCGTGAGCCTTTTACCATGTGCCTGCGGTCCTGTAGGTAGCACGGCACCTCGCTACGTCGTGCTAAGCACATGCGATCAGTGGAGGTGATGCCAAATACTACCTCTCCTTGCTTTAGCTCGGAGATCGTTCTACCATCTGAAGCCATGGCCACCCAGGGAGGCCATAATGGAGACTGACACGTCAAGGACTTAATGTAGCCGTAAGAGTACAAGAGCGTTATGGGGGTGTACGTGTAGGGACGGGACGCGAGACGACCACACCATGTGGCCAACCCATCGATTCTGTTGAGTCGATCAGCACGTACAAAGCTCATGCAACTCTGCAGAGCGCCTCTCAACTACCACGGCGCGGTTGCCATAGGGTTGGGGATAATGGCCGCCCTCGTACGATTTATTAGTCTCCTTAGCCTTGACTAGAGCTGCCGTCTGCCGTCAACGTTCCGATTTGGACTACTTCAGATACATTCCAGTGGCGTCCTCCCGAGGCCTGGCAAGTCGGGTCTAACCCAGCTCCTGCGAGCCTTTGCCACTCTTCCGGCCAGCGTTGGCTCATGCTGCGTTCAAGCCTGCTGAATAAGGGTGCCGTTTGGCGTGTTAGACAGCATGACCGCATGCGGTGGAGAAGACAGATTAACGAATGCATTAGAATCCCTCTAGCTGGTTCTGTCTCACATCAATCGGGCGAACTTTCTCGATGAACCTTCCTGTATTACCGCTAAGGGTCTAACTGCTGATTGCAAAGTCCTGCAAAGTGCATGATACATCCTGTATAAAAGTGTGAAAAGGGTATAGTCAAGGTCTACGGGACCCTTCTTGTACAATGGGCGAGCCAATCTTCGTTGCCGAGCTTCTCGATGCACTTTCTTGATGTGTAACTGCGGAGGCATGCTGTCCAGTAAGGATAGGGGGGCAGCGATTAGCCATTAGCCATTACTCGAGTCCTTTTGTGCTCGGCATGCCCATCTAGGTAGGCAAGTTCACGCGTTAAACCGTATCGATCAAGGGGTAATTTGTCAGACTCATACAGAGCATGTTCGTGAACCGATGCTATATAACCTGACACGTGGGAAGCTATAATGCTGATACTCGCAATCATGGACAGAAAAAAAAGATCGAAGCATCGTAGGATTTCGAAGGAAAATTTCTGCCTTCCTCGTATTGGCCCGGCGTAGTGTCGGATAGGCCTCTTGATATGCGGCCACAAGCGGGTCAGAACCCCGGCTTCGATAGGAAATATGACATGATCTCTTTCCGTTTCCCCTCAGGTATAAAATATACAGGGTCGGTTGGGCTCACTCGGTCTTCCTCATCATAAATCTGGGGGTTTCCGTGGTGCGGCGAGACGTCATATTCCGAATGCGTCATCATCCCTTGACCATCCGAGGAAAGCAAACGCGTAACGTGCTGAGCTGATGAAAGCCCACTAAGTACGTAGCAGGTATGGTACGCATCAGAGGATCTATCGGTAGTTTTTTTTTTTTAGTGTATGCCTAAATTTTATGGCTGAAAATTAAGTACTTACTTGCCTGGCTTGTCTCTCATGCCACCTCTTTTAGAGGTCTCTTGCGCGCAGCAAAGTATATAACGAATAAGCCCTTCGCGACTGTAAAGATTATGGATATCAATGCCAGAGTTTTGAGTTTTGTTTACGTCGAACATAAGACTAGACGGTCCAGCAAGGCTGGCTTCAATTAAGGGCCAACAGCAACCAACCCAATGGCTATAACAACCATCAACGAGCTTATTCGTGCGACCACCGAGCCCACCTTCTGGGGCATATTGTCGTGACGATAGCCAAGAAATTAGCCTTGGGACGTCGAGGTATCTACGTTCAGAGTTCTAATGTGAGCCAAACCGACACCCCGTCTATCAAACTCCGCAGAGGATGGTTAGGGCGATACGAACCTGGCAAAGGTACGATGAGGAGCACCGAGGATTGCTAGACAGCCTAAGGCACAGAAGGCATAAGCTCCATGCGCTTCACCATCTGGTTGCGCCGAAATTCCGCCTTCGAAACTTTGACCTACATGGTCATGGTCAGTACAGAATATGGGTTTGAGTGAATAAATCCGTTGCTAGGGTCCCTTACATCGGCGTACATATTCTCCTAAACCAGAGAATAAGTTTGGTTGGTCGGCCGTCCAGGCCGGAGAGTCGGACGACAAGTCGAGAGGAAGGTTAAGTAGAGTAACTAATACGGCTGCGCAATAAGCTCCCCTAGAGACATCGTCAGTAACATGATGCATGGCCCGGAGCTTGATTCGGCTAGAGTCAATCTACCTTATGTCGACTTCACCGCCGACAGCCATCTGGAAACCTCCATCCGGCCGCTTCAAGGCACAGAGCCATTTCCAGAGAGCTCTCCGGTCGATGACCTCATACGCAGCTTCTCCCCCAACCACGGATAATGCTAAGATCATGCTATATGTGCATGCTAGATGGGATTCGTGACCGATACCTCCTCCGAACCCTCCGTTGGCGTTTTGCATGGAACGTGCCGTCTCAACAAGGGCATCGCGGTAACCAGAGACATCCTCGCCCAAGATAGCTAGGCCGTTGAGGGACCAGTAAAGCATCCAGGGCCTGCTTGCATCTAACGCTACATAACGGCCCGGAAGTCTTTCTAGGTGCTTCCGAAGAAACTTGATATGCCGTTCTCGAGCAAGGTGCGGTACGCCATACTGGTTATAATACATATTTTCAACCTCGGAAGTTAAGAAAGGCAAGCAGCTATCCACGGTCTCATTTTGTACAGTTGAAGTCTTGGTTGAGAGCGTATCTTGAATTGGGGGCGGACTTGAAAATAAAACAGGGATGTAAGGTTCCTGATCTCCGTGAGTTGTTGAACTGGCCATGGATGAAGTCATATTTCGATCCCCCATCCCATCTTGGTTATTCTGGTTATTCTGGTTATCTCGATTTGGGTAAGTAGGGTTAAGACGAAAGCTCAGCGACGCCATTGTTTTTCCTTTGTAAATATTTCGGCGGCGCGCTCGAGCAAGATTTGTCTTTATTGGCATAGGAAGAAGATGTGCTGCCTTCAATGTTTTTAAGACTCGAGTACGTGACTACTAAATGGTTACTATGGTGTATGTTTTCGGATGGTGCCGAATGAGAAATGGATTGGAATGCAGAGAAGCTCGGATGTTTTTCGAACTACCCAACTACGCTCCTGGCCTGCCGGTATATATCGGTAGGTATTATGTATGTCACTTTCGTAATGGAGAATGGAGGATGGGATAAAACGTGACTTGACCGATATTCGATAGCACATGAACAATAACTAAAGTATGGCACCGGCTTTGTAGTGTCTTAAAAATTTGGGCATCCGTCGTGTCACAATCGTCGAAACTCTTTTAACCTCGAGTCACTCATTCATACTAGTGCAAGTATGCCCTACTATTGGTCGGTTCTCCAAAGTTAGTATAATCGGGAAATTTTCGGCAATCCAGAGAACCAATCCCACCTTCCATCACTCGCTCATATGCCAGGTAGCTACGGGTAGGTAGGCATTCAGCTACGTCACAGGGTGTCAACTCGCAATTGCTTCAACTTTAATATAACTACCTTCCTGTCAGTGTTCATATATAAGTAATAGTGGATCTCATCTATAAGATACATATAAATGCGTACATAGGTAGGTATATTACCTACCTAACTACCCAGATGGAAATGCTCGGGCGAGTCGGGTGTCGCGCATCATTCACATACGTGGTGGTTTACATGTGCTCTTCAGTCACAATTCTATCTTGGATATCATGTTACATTCAAAAAAGCTTTGCGTTCGACGCCTGCAATTGGACGTCTCATAGAAGCTGAATGGAAACTTTCCCTGGACAATCATTGAACTTCAGCGGTTGGCTAGGGACGCGCTTGGACCCGCGGCGAGCCCGTGAAAGGTTAAGCATTTCCAATTCGGTGTCAACAGCTTGATCCGAATCATGTCAACCGCAGAAAGCTACCAGGCAAGTAATGATAATTATCGAAATCATTAGGAATGAGCCAGCACAATTCTATGCTAAGTCATTTCGCGATATATCTGACGAATGTGATAGTCAGACATAATGGGGCTGACATGATACGGGATGGACCTATTTTGCTCTAGATAACCGATAGCTTGTTGGGATGGACAATGTTGGCTGACAACAACGAATTCATAACCATCTCAAGATAAATGTCTCTCAAAAGATATTATCGTCGCACGAAATAAGACGCACACCGAAACGACCGTCGGCTTTAATATTTCGACTGGTGTCGGTTGTCGTTATATCTCATTTGAGACTCCATATATGTGATTGCTGACAGAGACGGAAGCGTCTGAGAAGTGTATGAAGTTCAATTTAAACGACGGGAGTGTAACCGTCCATGCGTATATCTGTATCTATCTACAGAGTACAGACCATTCGATCATTGGTACCACAGCATTCAAGATGACGTTTACCCACGACGTTGGGTTGAAGTATGTATTGTGTAGTTGTCATACAAACGGCAATGGGATTTGCCGTCCCCGGAACCGGGATAATATCTCACTTGTCTGCGTAAGCCTGTGATCTTGTACACAGTGATATTTGAGACAGGTCGGGAACCAGCAATTCTGAAGCTATCTCAAGTGGGAGAAAACTAATGGTGTCCTTGTAGGCTTAGCTTCGGTGAATGTTGGCCATTTGCAGTAATATGCAATCTGTTTCCAATCGGATGGTCAGCCCTGGAATATTTCCCCAGCCTCTCGTGGTCCAATGTCCACCAACCTCCAACTCCATGTTTTACCTCGTGTAGGACGGGTCCGGCAACAACATGGGCGTTCCTTCATTCAAAGATGCTTGTTGTACATATGAAATTACCTACGTAGCCAGGTTGGCACTGTTTACCTCCTACGATGAAGCGATTGATGGTACGGATCCGTACATATGGGTTGATTACCTGCTAAAACCTTGGCACTCCGCGAAAATACATACCCTAGGTACCTAGGTAGGTAGTAAGAAAAGCCTAGGTCGTCTGGTCATCCGAGCCGCGATTGGCAGGACATTCTATGAGATGCAATCGTCCAGTATTCATACGCAGATGAAAATAAGCTTGATGAGAATCAAACCCAAGTGTATGCAGTCAAAAGGAGGTCAGTTTGATGTCTTGTCAGGAGTAGCCGTTATGCCCCGGTATGCCCTTGTAGGTACGGCGGATAGTGGGTAGCAAACGTAACCAGAATCAATCAGCCACGATTTTACCGAATGTAACCAGGAAGCGTAATGGTATGTTTTGCAAGGTCGTAAATAGCGCGGCCTATCCTATCGGGGCCGTAGTATTGCGGGCGTGAGGGGATCCTTCGCCGCTGGCGCGCATACAATAGTAAGAACCTACCTCCCTAATAGGTGCCGAACATGATTGATGAAATCGCCGGGTGGAATAGCCTCACGACCTCGCAAATCGACGTGTGCATCGTGCCCGTGCGATCGGGTAGTTGATGGGTCTTTTGGTTAGCCTCAATCGTACCTGGCTTAGCCTCGTGGACCGAGGCATTGAGGCTCTTCTGTTTCAAGCATTGATCGAGAGTCAGGGCTTTTTTTGGAGGAGAACATGACACCATCTATCATGATAAATCGAGTAGGGACGGGACCAGAGGCGATTTTTATTTGGGTAGTAGGTTGGTTGGACGAGGGTTGGATTGGACAAGGTCAAAATGTAGTGTGTGAAGATCCAGCATATTCGAGTGGCTCATGTGCGAAGGGTATCACCATATCGTATATTCCGGTGCAGCTGACGGCAGGGTGATATGCACAGTAAAGGAGCCGGGGTGGACACTGGCGAGGAACTTTGAGGAACTTGGTGCAAGTCTGGTAAGTTTGGTAAATCTGCTGCAAATCTGCCGGTGACGGGGGCGATGTTCGCTCTCGCGCTCTCGGATTGTGGAGTATACCATATACTTGCTATGTGCGTTTAACTTGTTCCAGATCCGAGATCGTGTATTCTTCTCTCGATTCTTCGCTGGTCTTTTAGGGCAGAAAGCTGGCAATACCGCGATAGGTCCATGGAAGGTCCATGATAGACACTATTGAAGTGGCCGGCTTTTCCACCTCAGTCCACCTTAGTCCACCTTGACCTTGTCCTTGGCTGCTCAACACGTTATCCAGCACATCACTTCGTATCTACCTAGGTATGCTGGTGTATGCTGGTATGCTGGTAGTATGTCTTTTCCTTTTCCATTCTTTCCTTCTTTCTCGGTCTTCCGAGGTTCCAGCCTCAATTCCCGAAGTACACATTCGTACATACATATTAACTACCTACATATGTAGGCTTGCAAATATGTATGTATGTTTGCGACATACGGTGTTGCACTAGACGTCACGTAGAAGCTTGTAAGCTTGTAGGCATTGAAACAGAAATTGACTTAGCTCCTACACACATCTGCAGTGAGCCGTGAATGGTTGTCGCCATGTCATCATTCACCTTTTTAGTCTTTCACTGCCACTGCCTCAACTCTCAACATGAGATTGATGAATCCATGTGGAGTTGCAGTTGGATGATGGATCAACTTGGTTCAGACATTAGGGGACTTTAGGAACCTTGAAAGACTAAGACTGATAAGGGCGATACCCCGCCATTGATGCGCGGATGGTACAGTACACGTTGTACGTCGGTGGGTACGGTAGGTACGATGGTAGGTACGGTAGACGCTACTAGCGCTGCCTGTACGCTAAACCCGGGTGCTAGACAGCTAGGTCACTTAGTTCAGGTTAGTTGAAGTTTGCAGAGCGTTGGAGAGATCGTGAGCCAATGGTTAGGCGACTTGAGATTGTTTGCTGGAAACTTAAACGAACTAAGACCCCAAGGTTGAAACCCATCATCTCAGAATGCGATCTTTAGAGTAGGTACTATCATTGATGTAGGTAGGTGCTACCCATAGTAGTCGTGACTCGTCCACATAAGTTTAGAAAGGCTCAAGTTTGGGAAGGATGTGGTACTTGTACATAACCGCTGAAGTAACCGCTGAGGAGTACCTGGCAGCCTGGCAGCAAGCCCTGGAGGTTTCCTTCGATGTCCCATATTGTCCCATATGGGAAAGTGCAAACCAATCCAGTGCAATCGGTCGAAACTTCGCCCCCCTCTCTTGCCCCGCCATTTTATTCAATTCTTCATGTAAGTACCCACCACAGTGCGAATGTTCCCCAAGACAACTTGGTGTCCATAATGGCCTTAATGGACGGCTGGTCATTGGCCTCGTGGTTCGTCACCCATGTCCTATCTTGTATCGCCGTCCCATGATTCTTGCAGGACTGCCAACTCATGATTGGCCGCACAGCTGCATGTTGCAGGTGGAGCTGGGACGCCAGCGTTATTCTTCTCACCGCCAGTTTCCCGTGTGTCCTCGCACAATCTCATGCCTCCTCTCCTTAGCCTTCAAGGGCCTCTCCCCGTCGACATCCTCGATCTCACTCGACCATCCACCGCAAAATCTTACTTCCTCCACATCCAGGCTTCCCGTCCACCCCCCTTACAATCCCCAGAAGCTGCCCATCAGCGCCGCGAGGGAATTCTACGAAAGAGCGGTGTCGATTCTGCTTGTCAATAATACTAGCGGAACTCGTCCAAAATCCCCCAGTTGAATTTCCTCCCTTTTACTGACTTCTGACGACAATGACCCTCGATTTCAATGCCGCCGGGGGGGATGCCTTGTTGGACTTGACCACTTTCGACCAGCGGGAGCGTTATCCGTACACCACTACAGCACCCAGCACCAATCCCGCTATATCGGCTACAGCAATGGCTCCTACTCGTCCCTCGGCTGCCTGGTCGGTGCCTCTTGATATGGCAGCTCCCCAAAACCCGAACTCGAGCAATGTACCGTCTCCTGTCGAGTCTCAGGCACATTCGCAGTCGCCTTCGCAGCAGAGCGCGAGTCCTTTACAACACTCACCGTACCAAGGAGCTCCTCCGCAGACCCATTCTCCACAGCTTTTGACGGACTGGACGCTACTACAGCACCAGCAGCAACACCCGCCCGTTCAGGATATTAGCCATTTTATGCAAGAGAACCAAGCATTGATACCCTTTAACTCATATATGAATTACCAGTCGAATACCATTGGTTATCTGCCTTCGACTACCCAGGCAGCGCTGGAATCCGCAATCCCGATAGATCAGCAGGGTTTTAGTAACGTTTCGCCCATCGACGATTCTCGTACTATGCAGCAGCAGTGGGATGGCATGGGAATGGGAAATTGGCAAGATTTTGGTGCTTCGTTGCAATTTCCATCTGACGGACTTCCGCGATTTGGAAGCTTGGGAAGCCAGTCTCCGACCGGGACTTATTTAGAAGTATTGTCACTCCCGGGATCTAGCGACAACGGCTGGACTCAAGTCGATATGTACCAGAATTACGATTCCTACCAGCAGGCCCAAGCCCAGGCCCAGAATACGGCCATTTTCAATCCCGGCCAAACATTGCATCTGAGAACAAATTCGGACGCCTCCCACTCAGACGGAAGCGGTCAACGCACTGACTTCAGCAGCAGTAGTTTCGAGGATATCTCCTTCAATTACTCTCCATTTTCCCCGGAGTCTGATACCTATTCGGACCCCGCAAATCACCGGAACTGTTTCCACGGAGAGAGCCATCATACTCACGAAATGATCAGCCCCGCTGCCGTGGTCGAGCCGGTGCCCATTAAATCTTCAACCTCGAACCGACCTAGCCCTGCCAGCGGTTCCGGTGTAGCGTCACCGACCCATAATAACCCTGCTCGCCGAAACTCGGGTCCTAAGAAGAACCCCAATGCTGTCCAGAAGTCTACTAAGTCGGTTATCAGGAGGACATCCAATGGAAAGAAGGACGGTACTGTTGAGAAGAAGGTGGGCCGACGGAAGGGTCCTCTTCTTCCTGAGCAGCGGAAACAGGCCAGCGAGATCCGAAAGCTCCGAGCTTGCCTTCGATGCAAATTCCTTAAGAAGACTTGTGATAAGGGTGAGCCTTGCGGTGGCTGCCAGCCGTCGCATGCTCGATTATGGCAGGTTCCTTGCACTCGTATTGACATCAAGGACATTGGATACTTCATGAAGGACTGGAAAGCGGACTACGAACGACATCTCAGCCGCGGCGTTTCTGTGTACAATGTGAAAGGCTTTGCTCCGAAGGAGACTCTAATGTGGATCACTCATGGTTATGGATTTTGCCTGCCTGTGCCCGTTCGCGAGGTTTACGTCGCCGATGAGAGCTGTTTCCAGGTTGACTGGGTCGAGTCGTATCAAATTGACCAGGAACCAATTGAATTTGAACTTAAGACCGAGAGACTTGACGTTGGCGAAGGCGGTATCAGCTCGGATGCTCTTGCTGAATACCTAGACAAGCATATTGAGAACGGCTTTGAGAATTTCATTGATGACCATTTCGAAGGAACACCTTTTATCACGGAAATTCTCAAGACCGCTTACCGCTTCTACACCAAGGAGAAGTTGCCGGTTCTTCGTAAGGCTTTGAAACTCGTGCTGGCCTACAACCTGACCATGCACATCACATTGGTTGAGCAGCAAGGCTCGGAGCAAACGATGGAAGGTCAAATTGACGACGAGGACTCCAAATACTTCGGCAAATACGTAGCCCCCGTTATGATTAACTTCCAAATTAAGTGTGCGATGGCGGATATGTGGCGTGAGTTGCAGAAGGATATCCTGGAGGAGCTCTCGGCTCTCTACTCCAGCGTGTATAGCGGCGATCGCTTGAAGAACTGGCCTACCATCTTCATGCTAGCTTCTATACTTTTGGCTGTGTGGGAGGAGATGCAATTCGATTGCCATTACCGAGTACCTGACCCAGTGGCAGTTGAGAAGTTTTGCTCTGATATGGAGAGCACCCCGGTCGGTGTCATTACTGGCCTGTTCCACGCTATCTCGCAAAAGCTGCCCGCTTTGATTGATTGGGACACGGAGCGACATGGTCACCTTCTAAACAACAATGTGGCCGTATGTGAAGCTATGACCGAAGTGCGACAGCATGTCCTGAAGCATGGTAAGAAATGCGTACCTTGGGAATTGTATACATTTACTAATTCGACAATAGAGTCTTACCTGAGGACAAGGAACACATCGAAGTTCGATAGATACGACTTTGATTCGTTATCCAACAAATTCTTGTCGAAGTTGGTTATCAAGGCCAACTAGGCGTCTCATTTACGTCCCGATCTGGATATGGGATGACGATACTTACAATTTAGAAATGCCTGCACTGTGAAGCAATGGCCAAAAATGAATTTTCTTGGAATGTCTTTTTTTTTTCTTTTCCTTTGTTCAGATTGACGGGAACATTTAGCGATGGCGTTGTTTGTGGAAATGATCTTTATCATGACCTAACATTTACCATTTGTCACTACTTATGGTCCAACACATACCTTCATCTTCTTTTCTCTCACTTTTCGGCTGGTCACCGCCACTCGACGCATGCGATGCTTTACGCCATGTTGCTCCGAATTTACGACCTTTTTAACGGCTTATTCGACGAATGTATGACTTGGAATTATGTTGATCGTTGTCACGCGCAAGCACCTAAAAGCGGTTCAATGGATCATGTTTTTTACGATGTGGGAAGAAGCTATGGATTTCACGCGAACACATATGCGGTTACGTACAAGAGCATAGAATACATGAATGGTATTAGGCATCCCATAGACCCTAAACGGTCTGGAGCCTCTTGATGAATTACTAGATGGGTGGATATAGGGGAGTCCATCGCTCTCAGCGAGGAATCATGATCGCGCTCTCGTTTGTATCACTGTAGGACAGGAAAAGATACAGACTCTAAAGGATAATAAATACGTTTTCATTTGATGATTATACTTAGCGACCGTCTTCGCGACGATTTTGGGATGTACCTCGTCTGATGGAACACAGTTGTTGCACGGCAAGCCTCTCATGCAGGCGCCGCAAAATATTACCCTAAATTTACAAGTGATGTGCGTATCCGTAAGCGCCATAAGAAATTGGATACAACGTCATATCACCAAAGAACTGAGCGTGGCCGCTATCGCTCCGCATCTCTTGTCTCTCGTCGAATGACGAATCACTCATCTCATCTGTCTTACCCTCAAACACACGGACGGAAATGCAGCTATCCTCACACTGTAACAGTTTTATAGTTCGATGCAGGATTATAGCTAAAGGATTCGTTCGTCGGTATGAGGCTTGCACTTCAGCTAGCTAGTTTACCGAATGAAATCCGTGATCGGGCAATCGATTGTGATACCGAAGTTCATGTTCATACCGAAGTACCGGCGAAGTATTTGAGTCTTGGATGTTGCCTGCTTTTAATATGCAGTCTCCTACCATAGACTTATCACTCCCAAGGTCAAGTCGTTGGATTGGTGGCTTAAAAGGATTGATAGTGATATGACCTTGATGGTTAGTTGAATTGAATGACGTTGTTTTATTGAGGCTGGGCTGGTTGATATTATGGATGTATATCAGGGATTGAAACAACCCCACTCCCACCGGATGAGCCGGTCTAATTCTGTGATACTTGCGGAGAGCAGGAACTGGTGGCGTTGCTGTGGACTAGATTCACGGCATTATTGACATTAAGGACATTGAGGAGTGCTCTTTCTGGTGTTGCCGAAGCAATGCTACCGCTGCATGCGGGAACTTGCCCAAAAGGAAGGAACAGGGCAATCAGGAACAAGCGATGGAAATGGCACGATATCCCAATTCAGCGATCAGCGTAGAGTCTAGAGCTGGAAGATGTTCGGCTCGCTCCGGAGATGTTGGTCTCGGAAAGGGGAAGGGGCAAGAAACGTGTGCGCGAGACCCGCTACAGATCACATCAATGATCCAGACAACCAATACAATAATAAGTCTGTTGAGAACGTAGGACAATTGTAGTAATATGGCTTCTCTAGTGTATTCTTAGTGTGTATGGATAGTCGAAGATTTATCGTCTATGTTGCCAATTAATACCTCTAGTGTCTTGTATTTGAGCATTCCCCGTTTTCGCCGTCACCTTGTGATTGATCCTTATCTGAACAGTTGCACCACATGACGTATGTAAGTGTGTAGATAGGACGATAACGGTTACAGCGTAGGCAAGTCCATAGTCATCAGAACACTCAGGTTGTGTGCAGGGCCAACTGCGTTGATTGATACAGTACAGAATACACTTTCCTTTAAATTTAGGTAATTACGTACCTAGGTAGAGTAGGTAGGTTCCTGCATCTGAATAGTTATCAACTCCTAAGAAGCTGACGCGACTGCCAATTCGTGGCTGGGTGAACAAAGCTGGGCAGTAACGAAGTCTCCACAACCTAGGATTAGCAAGCAGGTTTGCCTCTTTTGTATGTAGATTGTACCTGCCCCTTCCTGGGACTTCGCATAAGGACCAGCCACTTCTAGGCGGTTTCCCCCGCTATCAGTGGTAGCTACCGATGATTCACCTCTGGATTAAGCTGGTTTTATGAGACGTAATTGGTCCGGGCTTATCCCACCTCCCCACCTCTTTCCCTTTCTTAGGCCTTCCATTCAAGAGTCACTGCGCCTCAGGTGTCCGTGTGCGTTTGCCGCTTTCCCAAACCTATTTGAAGTCAACTCTGCCAACTTTCGGTCACCTTTCTCTTTCTTCTTTCATACAACCCAAATCTCTCATCTCACCGCGTACCTCATCAACTTCAAATCGTCTACTGGGCATCCCGTAGATAGTCTCTTAAAACACCTTCACTGTATCATTCATCAGCACCCAACAAGATGCAGATCTTCGTCAAGACCCTCACTGGCAAGACCATCACTCTTGAGGTCGAGTCTTCTGACACCATCGACAATGTCAAGTCGAAGATTCAGGACAAGGAGGGAATCCCTCCTGACCAGCAGCGATTGATCTTCGCTGGAAAGCAGCTCGAGGACGGTCGCACTCTTTCTGATTACAACATCCAGAAGGAGAGCACTCTCCACCTTGTCCTCCGTCTGCGTGGTGGCATGCAAATCTGTAAGTTCTTATCAAAGAAATATCTACATTAATTCGGTTACTAATAAACTGAAATAGTCGTCAAGACCTTAACCGGAAAGACGATTACCCTCGAGGTCGAGTCCTCCGACACCATCGACAATGTGAAGTCCAAGATTCAGGACAAGGAGGGTATTCCCCCGGACCAGCAGCGCTTGATCTTTGCGGGTAAGCAGCTTGAGGACGGTCGAACTCTCTCCGACTACAACATCCAGAAGGAATCCACTCTCCACCTGGTCCTTCGTCTCCGTGGTGGAATGCAAATCTTCGTCAAGACTCTTACCGGCAAGACAATCACCCTCGAGGTTGAATCTTCGGACACCATTGACAACGTCAAATCGAAGATCCAGGACAAGGAGGGAATCCCACCTGACCAGCAGCGACTTATCTTCGCCGGCAAGCAATTGGAGGACGGCCGAACCCTAAGCGACTACAACATCCAGAAGGAGTCAACCCTTCACCTTGTTCTCAGACTTCGTGGTGGTATGCAGATCTTCGTCAAGACATTGACTGGCAAGACCATCACACTAGAAGTTGAATCTTCGGACACTATCGACAATGTTAAATCGAAGATTCAAGACAAGGAAGGTATCCCCCCTGATCAGCAACGTCTTATCTTTGCTGGTAAGCAACTGGAGGATGGTCGCACTTTGAGCGACTACAACATCCAGAAGGAGTCTACGCTCCACTTGGTCCTCCGTCTCCGTGGTGGACAGTAGATGCTTGACGATGGCGGAAATAACGACACTTGCACGAATCGGCGTTAATGGTTTCGGCCCCAGATAGGGCCTTCGTGGTTTATTGCATCAATGGACATATTACAGTGGTCTACAGATAGTGCATCATGATGAATTTGATGCTCGGGACTAATATACTTGCTATTGCCCATTGACAATGATATTTGAAACGTGTTTTTAGTCTAGTGACCGTTTTATGTGTAAAGTTGCCTAACGATTAGTGGCTGTGTCCGCTGTGCCCGCTGAGCTTAGAACGTACCGTGCTACGGTGAGTTTTATTAGTCGGAAACCCACCAGTAGCTTCCACGTAAAAGATGCTAAACGAATTCAACAGAACAATCGCGCTTTTCCATATAAACTTGTCGCATCCCTAAGCTCATATTATTATCAAAGCGGACTTTTACCTGCTAACTTTAACAATGGGAGAAGTTGCCAACTATTACAATCTGCAACAAACATTCCTGGTTTCATTTAGTTTGCGAATTGCAGACATTCTTCCGCCACATGAGTTGGCGCAATTCCCAAGATATGCCTACGGTTAACTTACTCGAAGAATACTATACACTTCTAAAGAGTTAGGCCATGCCTGCATATTATTATCATATTAAATTTGAAACCTATCCTACGCCGACTCCAACTCCACAAAGGAAAGGAAAGGTATCGCAATCATACGAGAGTCCTATTTGGCAGCCGAGAGAAACTTCGAATATATTCGACAACCTCCCGTCGCATTCTCGACCACAGACGGCGGCCGCGCTTCACGAGTACAAAGTATCGTATGGCCCACAGCGACATCAGACCCCGCCTGTCCATGCAAATGTCAACCCGAGTGTTATCGATTGCGGCGCCCCTCGACCACTTGAAGCTCAAGACGATCGCAATATCATACGACTTAGCGAGAGACAACACCGACAACGAACGCTCAGCTACCCGCCTCCCCAATCATATATTGCCATAAATCCGCAGACTGCAGTTAAGGACTGGAGATTCGGACAGCTCCGGGTCGAGAGCATTGACGTGGACGGCTACGAAGGTATGCCGACAACATCTGCAGCGGCGGCCGCTGTCGGCCCCTCTATGGGAGGTGCTGGCAAGGCTACGAAGGCAAGATATGTTCCGTTGACTACTTCGAAGAATACCGAATTAGGTTGGGGTATCGTTCATCTATACCGCGAAGATACAGAGAACTCGGAGCTTATGGTGTCATCTGATCATATAGCTGATGGAGATGAAGAACAAGACGGGGCACAAACCGACTGCACAACAGTTTGTATTCCGGCGGTTCCAAGCTATCTTTCCCCAAGCGATTTTCTCGGTTTTATGGGTGACAAATGGAGGGATGAAGTTAGTCATTACCGTATGGTCATGACAGGGCGGATGAACAGATACCTTGTTCTCATGAAGTTTAGAGAGAGTAAGCTGGCGCAGCTTTTTAGGCGCGTATTCGACGGCAAGGTATTCAATAATGTTGAGGTAAGACCATGTCGAAAAATATGACATACTAGATACTAACACAATGTAGCCGGAGACGTGTACCGTCGCCTTCGTAAAATCTGTTACCTTCGAGAGTCCAACTGGGTCGAATGGCAGTTTTCCGGATCTTAGCCATGATCCATTTACGCCATCCACTTCAGCAACGTCGAACTCACTTAAACCCTTCCCACCACCAACACCAAATTTAATCGAATTACCTACTTGTCCCGTCTGTCTAGAACGAATGGATAATACTACAGGTTTATTAACAATTCCTTGCCAGCATGTATTTCACTGTTCATGCCTGCAGAAATGGAAGGGATCCGGCTGTCCTGTTTGTCGACATACAAACCCGACACCACCATCCTCCTCCTCAAATGCTCATATGTCAACTTCCCACGACCCTAATAACCCATATACCCAGCCTTTCGGTTCGCGTGTATCTAATCTGTGCTCGGTTTGTGATTCACCTGATGACCTCTGGATATGCCTTGTCTGCGGCAACGTAGGCTGCGGACGATACAAAGGAGGTCACGCAAAAGAGCACTGGAAGGACACGGCCCACACGTTTTCATTGGAGTTAGAAACACAGCATATATGGGATTACGCTGGAGATATGTGGGTACATCGCTTAATTAGGGACAAGGGCGATGGTAAGGTCGTTGAATTGCCTGGTCGTCAAGGAGGGCCCTTAAGACCCGATGAGCTTGAAGATCAGGACGTTGTACCTCGAGCCAAGCTTGAGAGTATCGGCATGGAGTATACTCATCTACTCAGTAGCCAGTTGGAGAGTCAACGTGTCTATTTCGAAGAGATGCTCTCGAAAGCTGCAGACAAAGCAGCTCAAGCATCAGCAGCTGCGGAGAAGGCCGCAGCCCAAGCGTCACAGGCATTGAAAGAACTAAAAGAACTGAAGGCTGAACAGCATCAACTACGCACCGAGGCAATACCGGCACTCGAAAAGGATTTAGAACGCGAGCGCAACCGCTCAGTCAAATCAACTGATCTTGCGCGAGGGTTAGGAAAGAGCCTCCAAGAGGAGAAGAAGGTGTCAGAAGGACTGATGAAGCGAATTGAACATACAAATAAGGAGCTCGAGAGCCTAGGTGAGCAGGTCAAAGCGTTGCAGATAGAGAACGCAGATCTGAAGGACCAGAATCATGACTTGACGATGTTCATTTCAGGTCAGGAGAAGCTCAAGGAACTAGAAGCTGAGGGTAAAGTTGAAGAGGGCGAGGTTCAGGAGGGAAGTGTTTCCATACCCGAGGACAGGAGACGGCGGAAAGGAAAAGGCAAGGGCAAGAATTAAACCCCTTATCAAGCTCCGAGAGACATCCATTGCCCCCTATACCGGTATCATCGGTAATAGATAGCGGTTTGCTGTCATCGGAGACGCATTGGAGACGTATCAGAGACGCACGGAATCAAACGGAGACCATTGCGACCCGAGACAAATTGCTAGCGTGCGTAATGCAACGCCCGTCAAGAGAGATTAGGGAACCTAGAAGTGCAAAAATGATGTGCTCAGTTATGATATAAAGCTTGGATACGAGTGCTCAAGGATGCTTTATCGCCGCTACGAATCCATTACAAAACTGCAACTGTGCGGCACTGAGATATCTATATGGTGCACGCTCCAGTGGCGTTCGATATGCAGCAGCGCAATTCCGGTTTGATTAGGTGTATGTCTCGCATTTCGTATCAGTGTCTATGATTGCCACATATTACATAGTATATTCTTCGACCTGCATGATCCAGGCATGGCTTATATGGAGCTGGCTCTGCGATCTGTGTGATACCCAGTCGGATAAGTATAGCACTCAACAAAATGCTATCTAGCCTATGCTATGGGACAGTGTTTCTGAAATAGGATTCTTGAGTGTAGATGAATTAGATGAATCCATTCCGTTGGGAAGGTTTTTGGTCCAATAGCGAGTGAGGCAGAATATCATTGATGGGGAGAGGAAGTACCCAGATAGAAATGGTACATGTCTTGAGATGGATATGCTTAGAATTATGCTATGTATCTCCACTATTCCTAGTACCTCGGACGAAATACTACGTAGCACAGGAAGGATTCCCCTCGGCCCCTCATCTACCTAGGTACTAGGCTGCTAGGTACGTAGGTGTGGCGCCCAAACTCTTTCTTCTTTCCCTGACATTTGCCAAGATTACAGTTTCTTCTAGGCTGCGCGGGCTGGCAGGGTTTGGTACCACGCGCTGTGGCTGCAGCTTCCTGATGCGTATAGCCAGGTAGTGCCTGTAATTTGGCCTGTGATTGACGAGTCTTTTTTTTCTTCTCTAGAGTCTGCGCTAGATCTACATAGACTACTACATAGACTACACCTCATCATTCATCATTTCTTACCTGGGATGACGCTCATGTTTGCTCGCGTGCTAGATCATTGATAACTATCTCTCTTTAGCTTACTGACTAGGCCTCTTACTAAATTCCTAACAATCCCCTCTTCAAGCTTGACAGCTAGCTATTTTAAACGCTTACGATATCCCTCTATCTACAATTCCAATCCTTTGGAACGTGATAATCTCGCGATCTGCGAAGATTGCGCGATAACTCCGTAGCACCTGTTATTGATCGAACGGATGGACGGCTGTCGCAGCAAATAAATACGAGAACGTAGCCTATGGATTAGGCATTATCGCGAAATCCTTTCTCCCACTTCTCACCTACTACACCAGACGTCCCCGATTCCGCAAAGATGGCTGACGGCCAGTCTACCGAGGAGCCACCTCCTTCTACCGTCGCAAAACCGAAGCCCCATAAAGAAAAGGAGCTATATCCTATGTCAGATTGGAAATACGACGCCTTCCTACATACCTTCTCCGTCCTAGTCGACTTGTTCTTCCGAGAAGTCCACCCCCGAGGTGCGTGGCGAGTACCCCGGACCGGTCCCATCCTTTTCGTTGCAGCGCCGCATGCGAATCAGTTTGTCGACGGTTTAGTCCTACAGCGAACCTTAAAAAATGAAGCAAATCGACGTGTTGGTCTTCTGATCGCTGAAAAGTCTGTTCACGGCTTTATCGGCTGGGGATCTCGTCAAACCGGCTCTGTTCCGGTTGGCCGAGCTCAGGATAAGGCGAAACCAGCGTCGGGTCTCATCTACCTTCCCGACCCTATCAACGACCCGACTCTAATCCGGGGCGTGGGCACTAATTTCGAGAAGGAAGCTGAAGTTGGTGGCATGATCTTCTTGCCCTCCGTGAAAGGACAGTCAGGTAGTTCGGTCGACATTTCGAAAATTATCGGCCCCGAGGAAATTCGCATCAAGCGACCATTCAAGGCAAAGGTTCCGTTACTTCAACTGACAGGTCGCGATGACATCGACGAAAAGGGAAGCTTCACCAACAAGGGGCTTAACGGGATTCAAGATGGTTACCCTGGCACCAAATTTAAGATCGCTCCCCACATTGACCAGACCGAGGTCTACAAGGCTGTTTTCAACCGTTTAAGGTCGGGCGGTTGTATTGGAATTTTCCCTGAAGGAGGTAGCCATGACAGAACAGAACTATTACCCTTAAAGGCTGGTGTCGCAATTATGGCGTTGGGTACGCTAGCCGAAGATCCCGATTGTGGCCTTCAGATTGTTCCCGTCGGAATGAATTACTTCCACGCCCACAAATTTCGATCGCGGGCAGTCGTCGAGTTCGGAGCGCCCTTCCAGATCCCAAGAGAGATAGTTGAAAAGTACAAAAATAATGAGAGGAGAGATGCGATCGGCCAGACGCTTGATATGGTTCACCAGGCCCTAAGCGCCGTTACTGTATCATCTCCGGATTACGACACTCTGATGTGTATACAGGGGGCCAGGAGACTCTACAACACTGGGAAAAAATTGCCGCTACCCATGGTTGTAGAACTCAACAGGAGATTAGCTGTTGGCTTTTCTAAATATAAGGACGACCCACGCATCATCGATTTGATGAACAACGTTAAAGAATACAACAAGCAGCTTCGCTACCTGAATATCAGGGACCACCAGGTTGCCTACGCCAAAATGACACTCCCAGTAGTAATCGTCACTCTTCTATACCGCATCGCGAAACTCATTGTCCTCTCCATCGGCGTCATACCCGGCCTTTTCCTATTCGCCCCAGTCTTTGCCGCCTCCAAGATTATCAGCCATAAGAAAGCGAAAGAAGCACTGGCAGGTTCGTCAGTCAAGATTCAGGGTCGGGATGTCATGGCAACTTGGAAACTCCTCGTTGCCATGGCATTTGCTCCTGTCCTTTATAACCTATACTCCATGATTCTCGCGGTTAAGGTATACCAGGACCATCTATGGGGCTATGTTCCGGATTGGGTGCCTTTCTGGTTAATGTTCGTTGGCGGCTGGATCGTCTTCCCGGCCATCACATTTGCGGCCCTGCGGTTCGGTGAGGTCGGCATGGATATAGCCAAGTCACTCAGACCTCTCGTCCTGTGCATCAGCCCAACATCTAGCTACAGTATTCACAAACTTCGGGAACGGAGAGCAGAACTATCCAAGAAGGTAGTCAAGGTTATTAACGACCTCGGCCCTGATATGTACGAGGACTTCGAAACAACACGGCTTGTCCCAGATCCGTTACAGGCAGACGGCGTACTCAGCCTCAAGGAATCGGAGAGGGCGGCGGAGCCAACCCCCCCAGACTCCCCCCACCTGTCTAGAAAGAACACGACGCGCTCTAGCCAGGCGATCCCGCGCAACGAGTCGTTCAGCAACATCGGAGCCATCGGCATGTTCGCGACGCGACCGCCGTCGCGCTCCCGCAGCAGGAGCAGTAGTTCTGGGGGCGGGTTTGGGTCAGGTGGGTTCCCGGTCTCCGGGTTCACGGCGCTGGACACGAACGAGGGGTTCAACGAGGCGAGCACCAAGATCAGGGCGGCTATGAAGCAGAGGGGTGAGCTGAGGCGGCGGAAGAGCGGGCTTTCGTCGGATGGTGAGGGGAGTGAAGCTTAGGTTTGGGGGGTAATGCTGCGTAAGCAGGGTGGGGGGAGAAAAAGGAAAGGGGAGGATAGTGAATGAATAAGATGTGATCCGATGAGATGAAGGGGGAGGACACTTGTAACCTGGAAATGTAATCTACCTAGGATTGATAGATAAGATGGCTCGCGTTGGATTGGATGGGCTGTGGGGAGGGAAAGAACGAAAGGAAGGAAGGAGTTGAGTATGAGTAGCTTTGCCTATGGGATGGTATGGTTAACTGTAATGTCATAATGCCAATATTATATATGTTTGAATTTGTTGGTTGTGTTTCTTGTGAGGATCTTGGAAGGGGAGGGAAGTGATGTTGGGGATGTGTGACTTGATGGGCAATACTGTGGATGCACGTTGTAGTGGAATAGCCAATTAGGACTCAAAGTGAGTAATATCTCGACTCTGGATGGCAAACCCCGTAATATAGTTATATGACACTAGCAAACGTGTTACATCTTGACATTAACAGCTTACTATACGTGTCCGTTCATAGGTTTATTCTTCTGACCTAAATCTACGATTTCATAGGACTCGTCCGGACGGCGGACGAGTACTAGGCATGCACCCTAGCAGTCAGGGGTTATGTGTAATCAGCTTCGGTGAGATCTGATAACTTTCAGAAGCGAGATCCACACATCCTACTCACGGAGATCATTTCGGCATGTCTACCGGTTTCACTAGGTATGTGACTTGAACTGATCTCCGACTTTTATCATAGCGTCTAAGGCGGCATCTTGCCGTGACGGCCGTAGGCTTACACATGCTCATACTGCGCTTAATGGTAGCTATGTACGTGTGTGTTTAAGGACGTTTACCTAGTGGGTACAGACTATGCTCTTTTTGACATTGTCAACGGGATATAGCCTTGATGCCCAATAATGATGCCATCGAATAGATATGAAAGACGCAAGGTCAGATTGGCAGATTAGAGGGGACAAGGGGGTCTATTTTCGCAGCTCTGGGGATCCTTGGAACCAACGCGCGGCGCCTCTCTCTCGGAAAACCGAAGACTTTCTCCGTGAGGCAGGGCACTTAAGACCGAGAGACGTGCCCTCTTTTGTCCGAGTCTGATACCCCGTCGACCGAAGGAGGTATAATAGGTATAATCGCCCATCTCGAATAGAATTTCTTCTAATTTCGTGTTTGTCATCTCCTTGTCATCCCCAAATTTTTTGGTTTTGGGCTTTCGCTCTTTCGATCGTTCGACTCAGGAAACGGCCGAGGCTTGTGAGAAGGGGAAATTGTTTGCTCGTTTGACTGATTGTGGACTTACGGTATCTATGATACATAGGTACATCGGTTTTTAGCACCCGATAACATTGTGGTTAAATCGACATATAAATCAAACGATTCAGTTCAATCAGTACCTGCCTACTTATTCAAGTTCTATTGGGAAAGAACAGAAGTCAAAAAGGTATGCCAAGTTTCACCCCAACCTTTTCTATCTCTAGCTCGTCGCCTGTCAACCATACTTTCGGGTCGTACCTCGCGCTTCCCCTGATTTTTCTCCCCTGTCACCCCACTTACCATTTCCGGCCGAGACTAACAATGAGCCTCGGATCAGATAAGGAAATAAGGAAATAAGTCCGCCATCACCTAGGTGTCCGGTACCTAGTAGCTACGAAGTCTCTCTTGGCGCTATCGGCTTTACGACCCACGAATTTCTAGGGGTGTCTAGAAAGGGGAGAGGAGAAGAAGAAGAAAAGAAGAAGAAGAGGGAGAAGAGAATAGAAGATGGCGGCCGCAGGTCTAATGTCAATATTCGGCGGGGCGCGGCGTGTGCTAACGGGCAGCGCACGAGCGTCGGATTTGTTCCAGCAGACACACGCCACAGTCGACGGCGAGGAATGCAAGCACGACTGCGACAGCTGCACGGTTAAGTACCCGCGCCACTTCAAGGTCGAGGAGTCGCACCCTCTCTACGGAAATATCAAGCCGTGGAGCACTCACGTGCTAGTCGCGACGAGCAAGTCCGACTGGAGCAGACATGTCGAGGACGAGAGAGGAAGTGTGATGGAGGCGTTTGGGCACGCGAGTAAGCCTAGCAATGGGGTATGTTCTCTCTATTCTCTACTTTGCATATACAATTCATATCCAATATATCGATACTAACTCTCCGAACCAGCGTCTCATGCTCTCCGCCTCCAACATGCATACACCGAACAACCGACCCGATTACTCGGAGCCGACAACGCTCCTCGTGCTCCCCGCCTTCACCATCGTCGAGAACGTAACACCGCCCGCCGTCCCCTCCCTCATCAACAAGTACATCTCCAAAGCGCCCACAACATCCGACCCGTTGGACCCTCTCGCGCTCCCCAAAACCATATCCTCATCCCGCAGCGCCGTCGGCGACATGATCGCGCGTCCGTGTCCGCACCGCGCCGTCGTCCTCCTCTGCTCCCACCGCACCCGCGACGCGCGATGCGGGCAAAGCGCACCTCTCATAAAAAAAGAGCTGGAGCGTCACTTACGCATGCTGGGGCTAGACCGGGACCTCGACGACGAGCGCGCGGGCGGCGTGGGGATCTACTTCGTGAACCACGTCGGCGGGCACAAGTACTCGGCCAACATGATGATATACCGCCGCCCCGACGCGTTCGGCATCGACGAGGTGCAGCGCGCGAAATTGCCCGCGGGCCAGGAGCCTGAGATCGCGAAGCCGGTTGTTGATGCGGAGACGGAGGAGGCGAGGGATGTTGGCGCCGCGCAGTGTATTTGGCTCGCGAGGGTTAGGCCGGAGGATTGTGAGAATATTGTGAGATACACGATTTTGCAGGGGAAGGTTGTTAAGGGGGATAAGCAGCTTAGGGGCGGGTTTGATCGGGGGACTGGGATGATGAGTTGGTAGGGGAATTACCTAGTTTATCTCTTGATGATGGAGATGAGACTAGAGTAGGAAAAGGAAGAGATGAAGGTGGTTATTGCATTTCCCGTCATCATATTCCTAGGTCATGAGATGGGATTCTTGGCGGTTCTTTTTTTTCACTTTTCTCTTTGAGCATGATATGATTGATGGGCTGGCGTGTGGTTCTCATGGTAATGAGATGGAACGGAATGGCATATGGGAAATACACCTTCAGAAAAGAGACTATTTACGGTTGTTTCGTCAGTGATGCTTTACGAACGGATGGTCTTCTAATACACCTAGAGTTTAAGTCGAAGGCGCTGCAATAGAGAATTGAATCCTTAGACTACTTAACAGATTAATAAAGCAGTCACGGTAGACTTTATGATTTTCCAAGTTTAATGAAGTAAACGTGCTTGACGTGTGAGTTGCTCTGATTAATCGAGTATTTCGAATATTTTCTATGCTGTTAAGAGCATCTTAAGACTTAAGTTCAGGTTAGGATCCATGCTGTAAAGGCGGTACACCGTTATAGGTTAAGCACGTGATATTGAGTTATGGAATTACGTAAGTCGGTTTAAGTAGCGGTGCGAGCGGCAGCCGCTTGCCTCGGTCCATTTTGGGTCGGCAGGGGCTCGTCATTGGATCATGGCACTTACCAATCCTAACGCGACAACTTATAATTTCCAATCTTTCAATCCGTCCGATGTCCCAACTGTAATTGCACGTAGCACTTTGCACACGCTCCAGTTTATCAAACTAACCGTTATTCATCATTCCATCGTCTAATATGAATCATCGCTGAGAACTGTATACTAATCATGGCAATCCGGGAGGACGTTGTAGCCTCTGCGATATCTTGTAAGTCTTTAACCAGCCACTTTGTTTTGATGGTCTTTGGAAACCGAGAAGTAGATTATTGCTAACAATATCAATCAACATCAGTCTTGCAAGATCCAAACGTAGCATCGTCGCCCACAGAGAACAAATTATCCTTTCTGCGATCAAAACATTTGACACAAGAAGAAATTGACGTAGCATTTGCACGAAGTGGCTCACCGTCCGACTCTTATTCAAACTCAACACCACCACCGCGATATACCCCAGCCCCGGCTCAACGTCAACCACAATATGGCCAATATCAAACTCAACCTTACGGATGGGAAGCCCCTCCGCCAGAGCCCCCTAAGAGGGACTGGCGAGATTGGTTCATAATGGCTACCGTAGTAGGCGGAGTCAGTTATGGTTTATACTTCATGAGCAAGGTAAGAACTCATACAATCCAATTCACATTATTTAATCGATTAGAGAAGCTAACTTGACTCAATAACAGCGCTACATATACCCTCTTGTCTCACCGCCAACACCAGAAAAGCTAGAGCAGGATAAGACGAATGTTGATGAGCAGTTCGAAAAGGCCTTCGCAACATTAGAGCAACTAGCGAAAGACACAGACGAGCTAAAGGCTTCGGAGAAAGAACGAACCGAAAAGCTTGATAAGGTTCTTGACGAACTAGACACATTCATGCGAGATACAAAGTCTGCTAGCAGACGGCATGAAGACGAGACGGAGAGGTTACGGGAGGAGATGAAGGGCCTCAAGAGCATTATTCCTAAGTCCATCGCGGCCAACAAGGATTTCACGGATAACAGATTGAAGGATATCACCAACGAGGTCAAGAGTCTCAAGTCACTTATCAGCCAGCGAATGAACAACTCAGCCCCTACCCCTACACCCTCTCTTAGCATCAACCGCGCAACACCGCCAGTACCAGCTATTAGCACTAATGGCTTCCTACTACCCGCTGGTGGCAACATTGCTATGCCGAGCGGCCCCTCGACCCCGGGCATCGACTTCATGGCTAAGGAGATCGGTGATGCGAAGCAAGCATTACGCGAGGAGAAGGAAAACTCATCTCCCCCGAGTGGCGCTAGCACGAGCAGCAGCCGACATGATTACTTATCGGCGCTGGGCGACCGCAACAGCCCGTTCGGTACTGGATCTCCCGCCACACCCAAGGCGTCGATCCCGGCATGGCAGATGGCGGCGAGTGGAAAGGGAGATGGGCAAGGAGAGGCCGGGAGCAGTTCTTAGCTTTTAAGCACTTGAGTTATTAATAAGTATGCATTAGTTGAATCAATCGGCGTTCTTTTGACAGGGAGTTATCTTTTGTAAAAGGAAAGGTGGCCTAGGGCATGCTACATTCGAAGGCCAACTCCATTCGACGTGACGGGCAGGGGAGCGATGGGCGAGAGGAGGAGCGGGGAGGAGGGTAACGTATGTACGTTTAGGACCGGTATAAATGAGCCTAATAACATAACTCAATAAAGAGGCTTAATAGCGTTCGTTTGACTTTGCATCCTTGGGCTCGGTACTATAAGTAAATACACGTTGACTTGCTGGATCTAAAGACGAAGTTGACCGCCTAGTCCAAAATACGTCTCTTGGGGTGTTTCGAGCTCAACGGTTTTCATTTACCAATCACATCAAACCATAGCTACACCCCGGATTGGTATCTTGATACGACCGAACGATGTGGGAAGGCTTCACAGAAGCTACTAGCTTGCTAAAAACCCCTACATGTTACACTCGGGATCGCCACGTGCATGATTCATGATACCGAGGCTTAGCTGCACCTCTAGTGATCATTCCGAAGACAAAGCCTCCGAAAACTCATGGAGCTTGTAAGCGAGTAAAAAGATGACATTCGTGTGAGCATTTGTTTCATTCGGATTGTTGTCCGTGTCTCATAATTGTTGAGACATTCGGTATTTACACAGACCAGATAACTTATATGTTTGATATCTAACCCCATAGCCAGGTTAAAGCGGATCTTGCTACTACTACCTAGGCCTTGAATCTATTTACGCCTACTAACAATACCTACCTAGTAGTAGTATTATACTCATCATTACAACACTTTTCGCATTTATCCAGCACCTACCTCTCCCGTTCCCATGTCTGATGGAAATAACAACGCCTCCTTACCCGGCACTGGCGGCAACGGGCAATTTGGGCTTTTAATGACACTTCTGCCCAAACTCCCTTTAGTCTTCAAAGTCATTATACTTCACGTTCTCCGGAGATCCGAAACATCCAAGTACTTAGACCTGAAGAGCGATGTAACCATCTCGGTCCTACGATCAACTCTCAACTCGGGGAAGCCGGTAGCCATCAGAGAAACGCAGATAATAACGTCCCGGGATCCCGGCGTCAAAGGCAAAATATGGATCAGCACGGCGGTTTCCCAAGTTCCCCCAGAGCAAGGGATCCGAAATGCCCTGTTGGCGGCTATCGACGGCATGCGCGCCTCTGACGCAAGAGGCGCAAAGCCATCGTTTATAATCCCCGATATCATCCCCATCGAGGCCGAGTGGACGGGCTACAGGGCAGGCGCGACGAAGGACTCTCTGCCGCCGGCAGTCTCGGAGGAGGAAAAGTACCGCGAGATGATGAAGGAGACGAAGAATAAATCGACAATCTTGTTTTTCCACGGTGGCGCCTATTACGTCTGCGATCCGATCACACATAGAGGTTTAGTGAAGAACATAGTCAAGGCAACTGGTGGACGCGCGTACTCCGTACGTTACCGACTCGCGCCCCAAAATGCATTTCCATCCGCGGTATTAGACGCACTGGTATCATACTTCACTCTCCTCTACCCACCTCCAGGGTCCTTCCACGAAGCCGTCGCCCCCAGCGATATCGTCATTTCCGGAGACAGCGCGGGCGGGAACCTCGCGCTCGCGCTTATCCGAACGGTGATGGAGATCCGGCGACAGAACCTAAAGATCGCATGGTTTGGCGTGGACCGCGAGGTACCGCTACCGGCGGGCGTGGCCACCATCTCGCCGTGGGTGGATCTGGTGCAATCTATGCCTTCGCTCGTCGACAACCAGCAGTGGTGCTACCTCCCTCCTCCGATCCTACTCTCGGAAACGCTCAAGCCAAAGCCCGACGGCCTGTGGCCGACCGATCCGCCCCGCAGACATCTCTACGTCGACGATGCGTATATCCTACACCCTCTAGCTACGCTGCAGATGAACACAAGCTGGGAGGGAGCGCCGCCGATGTATGTGTGCTGTGGCTGGGAGACTATTGCCGATGAGGATAGATACTTGGTCTCGAAGCTCACGCGGGACGGCGTCACGGTCGTGTTTGAGGAGTACGAGGCTATGCCGCATGTCTTCGTAGCCGTTCTCCCAGAGCTGGCGGAGTCACATCGGAATATTCAGGGTATAGCAAAGTTTATAAAGGATGTGTGTGGGAACCCCGAGACAATGAAGTCGTCGTACACGACGATTAAGGCGAAGAGTTTAGAGGAGGTTGAGTTCGATGTGGGTAAGCTGAGCCCGTTTACCGACGAGCAGGTGTGGGATATGGCGAGGCGGCAGGTCAAGGAGAATAATGTGCCTCAGGTGCCTGTTGCTGATGTGCCGGCGAAGTTATAGATTTGGGGGTTTATGTGGAAAAAGATCATGGTTTATAACTGGTCATTTGGTTTCAGTCATACATCCGGTTGTGAAGCATAGAGCGTTGGATTTCTTTGGCGTTCATAGGAGAGAGAGCCATTGAGAAGCACTGAAGAATGAAGAAGCATGTATGATTTCAAATTTTTGAAAACACATCACAATAAAAAGCGTATATACTTACCTACATACCTACGTCATATTCTAATCACTCAGAACAACTCCGAGAAGGAATGAGGTATCTAGGAAGTAACACTCCGGAGCTGACTAAACTTCCCCAACCCAGCGGACATTAGCGCCCGTCGCAAACTGGAAGTAGCCGATCCCTAGCGTCCGAGCACCTACCTGAGAGAAAAAAAAAATCCAGGGGCTAGAGGGGGTGCCAACCCCCAGGGCTTTTTAGCTTTTAGACCTTTTTAGGCCGTAGCTGTCAAAATTCTCGGCTCAACCTAATCTCGCTCCATTTCATCATAATCATCATAATGAAGCTCTCATAACCTTATATACTCAATTCACGACGACACCTACATACTAGGCAGCTAAGCTCACCCAGCTCGCTTATCCGGCTCATACGCCACTCGCCAATTGGGCCGTTGGACGACCTTTCACGGTCTTTCAATGGCACGGTTGGGAATACGTTGATACCTATTCGCTAGACACACAACTCACCCCCGAGAAGTGTGTGTGTGAGAGAGAGTTTCAATATCAGGGGGGCTGGATAGTAAGAGCACATAAGAGAGAACAGAAATTACTACTGCTTAAAATACATACATACATACATACATACCTACCTAGACTAGAAAACATTAAAAAATGGAACGCCACCGCCAGGCAGTGCGCCTCCTCTCGGCCGCCGTCCGCGCCTTCTTCGAGCGCGCGGAGCCGTACCGCATATGGCACGGCAGCACGAACAGCACGCGGCCGGCGCACCAAAAGGCCGGGGCCAGACTCGTCGATATTAGCGGCCTGCGCAATGTGCTTTCCGTGGACGCGGCGCGGCGTATCGCTCTCGTCGAGCCGAACGTCCCTATGGACCGCCTCGTCGAACACACCCTCGCTCACGGCCTCGTGCCCCCTGTTGTTATGGAGTTCCCTGGCATCACGGCCGGAGGCGGGTTCGCGGGCACGGCGGGCGAGAGCTCGAGTTTTAAGCATGGGTATTTCGATGAGAATGTACGCGGTGTTGAGATCGTGCTACCGGATGGGGAGGTCGTGTTTGCGAAGCCGGGGGATGGGGTGGGTAAGGAGGGGGAGTATGCGGATTTATTTAGGGGTGCGACGGGGGCGTTGGGGACGTTGGGGGTGGCGACGTTGTTGGAGTTGCGGTTGATTGAGGCGAAGAGGTTTGTGCGTACGACGTATAGGAGGACGAGCAGCGTTGCGGAGGCGGTGAGGGTTGTGAGGGAGGAGTGTGAGAAGGATAGGGGGAACGATTATGTTGATGGGATTCTGTTCTCTAAGGACCATGGCGTTGTTGTTACTGGAAAGTTAACGAACGAGTTGCCGGATAACGAAAAAGTGCAGACGTTTAGTCGCGCTTGGGATCCGTGGTATTACATGCATGTGCGCGAGCGCACTGCGAATCTCCCCTCATCCGCCTCCATCACACCGAAAGATGGATCTGTCACTGAGTACATTCCGCTGGCGGAGTACCTGTTTAGGTATGACCGCGGCGGGTTCTGGGTCGGTCAGGCCGCATTCGACTATTTCCGGCCAGTTCCCTTCAACCGCTTCTTCCGCTGGTTCCTCGACGACTTCTTACACACGCGCATGTTATACCGTGCGCTACACGGCAGTGGCGAGAGCGGCCGCTTCGTCGTCCAAGACGTTGGCATGCCCTATGAGGCCGCGGAGCCTTTCGTTGACTACGTCTCCGAGCACCTCGACATCTGGCCGCTATGGCTGTGTCCCCTAAAGACCCCCGCGGGACCAAGCTTCCACCCACACCTACGATCAGTCTTAGACCTGCCAGGAGAGCGCATCGAAGGCGACAACATAGGCGAGTTCAGCAGCGGCAGCCTAGGGGAAGAAGCAGGCCAGATGCTCAACATCGGAGTATGGGGCTGGGGCCCGAAAGACCGGGACGCATTCGTGCGCGCGAACCGCGACCTCGAGCGCCGCGTCGACGAGCTCGGCGGCATGAAGTGGCTGTACGCCCACACGTACTACTCAGAGCCCGAGTTCTGGCGCGCGTACGGCGGCCACCGCGCCCGCTACGAGGCCCTCCGCGAGAGGTACAGGGCCGAGTCGCTGCCGAGCGTCTACGATAAGGTGCGCGTCAAGGTCGATCCTAAGAGTGAGAATGACTGGAAGTCTAGGGTTAAGGCGACTTGGCCGTTCGGCGGGCTTGTGGGGATTTGGAAGGGTATTAAAAGTAGGGATTATATGCTCCATCGTAGGGCGACGTGGAAGTGGAAAGGAGGTGATGGGGGAGAGGGTAAGGAGAAAATAGCGTAGGTTGTGTTGTGTGTATGTAAGGTCATGCTGTTCGTGGTTCAAGGCGGAAAAAGCGTGTGCGCTATTTGTACGAGTATTGGTTGCTAATATTATCTATGAGATGTACTTAAGGTAATCGGCATCGATGTGTCGGATAGAGGGATAGATCATTATAGACTGCCTAAGGCTAGTAGGCTGGCTATATGGGGAAGGGAATAAAAGGGTTCCAATGACCACGCGGATATTGTGGCATGGTATTCCTGTTCCTCGCTTGAGATGATGTAACCGATACTGTCAGGGGCACATACAGATTTTCAAGAACAGATTATCCTCGGTCGGTGAATTATTTGGCTCTACTTTTAAACCGAGTGGAAATCATCCAGTAGCTTGCTGAGCGAACAGCTACAATGCTGTAAAAAGAGGTTGGTGGCAAAGACAGGGTGAGATCTAGGAGAAAATTATGAGAAGTCTGATACCAACTATCGTACCATACGATGATTCTTAGATACGCCCTCGCTTATATCATGCACCAAGTTCCCTCGGTTATTTTAAAGCCAACGAGCCTATTGCGTTACTTCTGCATCGACTTACTGATGCGGCTTCATGTATGTCTTATAATATACACGTCCCATCCTGTATACCTGTCAAGACCCCATTCCTTTGAAAACGACTAAAATTGTGGGCAGGTTGAAAACACGAGTAGACTGTCTCGATATTCCACTGGGATGCTATCTAATTATATAATAATGAATAATTATTGATTACAAATAAGAAATATATCCCGAAAACTACCTCACCTGAAGTTCAATCTAACATAACTTAGAAACACGATGTAAACGTAGTATTCGGACCTCATTCAAGTCACATTTCAATGGTCACGCGCGGCTCTAGATCAGCTTTTTATTCATTATTCTTTCGTGCAAATCGTGACGTGAGGTGCTCCTGGTATATACAAGTCAGGCGCTCATCTCCCACCTAACACTATTAGTAGCTCTTATCTCACAATCATCTTCCCCCGCTGTATATATGGTCTTCATGCACGTTTATAAGCTCCGATGTCTAGGAACCATAAAGTCTCACCCATGTCTATGCAGTAACAATGGCGAACGATGCCGGTCTATATCAAATGCATATCGCATCTAATGCTTCATTCCCCTTTATGCCTTGACGGAGTATGTTCGCTTGAACATATCATCGATCTTCTCTAAGTAGTAAGTACCGGGGGTCAGGGTAGACACATCGCCCTTAGGCGTGTAGTCCTTCTTGAGATGAGCCTGGTGGCGTAGATCGCAGAACTAGATATTGCATTGTTAGTATCCAAGTTTTTACAGGTACCGGTAAAGGCATTCTTCAACTTACGGCCTCATATGTTTCAGGAGATACTCCTCGTCTTGAGGTCAGCTTGTTGGGGATATCTAGGACCTTAGAAATTTGCTCAGTGCTGCCGTTGATGCGCGCTGAGAGGAAGCTCGATGCCAAACCGGAACCGTAGCTGAAAAGGCCGATGCGCTTGCCTTGAAGAGTGGCGCTATCGACGTGGGAAATTAAACTGGCCAAGCCGCTCCATAAGCTAGCGCAGTACATGTTACCGCAATTTGTAGCGACCTGGATAGCAGGCTGAACGCGCTCATTGAAGCGCTTCTTGGTGAGAGCCATGAAAGTCTTCTCGACCACCTTGTCTGACAAGGATTTCTTGTAGTCCATATCTCGAATGTCGCCAGGAACCTCAGCAAAAGCAGGGCTGTCGGGGTTTGCTAGGTAGTCATGGTATAAAAGACGAGCATACGACTTTTGGACAACTTTGCATGTTGGGGAGTGGAAAGCCATGTAGTCGAAGCGGTCGAAAGGCGTCTTAGTGTCGTCGGCGGCGGCGGTACCGTTGCCATTAGCAATACCCTTCTGCTTAGTCTCGCGCTTGCAATAGTCGCGGTAGGCAGCATCGAGGGCTTCGGTGTAGCAGTTGACAGAGTAGTGTCCGTCGACGTATGGGTACTCGCTAGCAAGGTCGGGCTTGTAGAAATCATACACGTGTTGCATGTAGGTTCCACGTAGACCAGGCTCAATAACGATTGGGGCGTTAGGGCCAACCAACATAGCAACAGCACCAGCGCCACCAGTAGGTCTGGCGTTGCCCTTGGCGTACAAGGCAATATCACCAGCTACGACGATAGCATCCCTCCCATCCCAAGCAGAGGACTCCAGCCAGTTTAGTGTGTTGAACAGAGCGTTGGTACCGCCGTAGCAAGCATTGACGGTGTCGACACCCTCGATGTTGGTGTTCTCGCCAAACAGCTGCATTAAGACGGTCTTGACGGACTTAGACTTGTCGAGGATGGTCTCGGTACCGACCTCAAGGCGACCAATAGAATTAGGGTCGATGTTGTAGTTCTTTAGCAGTTTAGAGGTGGCTGTCAAGGCAATCGAGTAGATATCTGCATGCCGCCCCTTTCTTAGTACATGGTATGGAAGTTTGAGGTTCGGCAGCAGCACAACTAACCCTCTCGGTCATCGCAGAAGGTCATCTTGGTCTGACCAAGACCAATGGTGTACTTGCCGGTGCTAACACCGTCGAACTTCTCAAGTTCGGATTGCTCGACATACTGAGGGGCACGAGAGCGTCAGTAGGGCTTTCTTCCAAAAATAATTGTATCTCGTGCGATGTCGGAGGGGTAACCGGAGGTGGGATAATAAGCTGAGGAAAGACAGCTACATACCTGGCTAGGAGAGTAAAGCTCGATGGCCTTAATGCCAATGTTCAGAGGACGGGCTGACATGGCTTCGAGTAGTAAAATGATATTGGTATCGAAGGTGTTGAAGGAGTTGTTCTGGAAGGGGAGAATATTCGAGACCAACTCGTGCGTATTCTCTATTCAGTCTGTGGGAGCGGGTAGTGTTATTAGCTTATTAGCTCCAGCGCCAGCATATGACAAGGGTTTTTTTTCTTCCAACTTGGGCTGAATGGATTCACCGCCAATTGGCAATGGAACCCAACTATGAAATGGACAGGGGCCAAGCCTAGCATTTTTGTTTGCGACGCCCAGTCTGGATTTACATGTGTGTCGATCATTAATGGTGGGGAGATCTCTGAAGAAATGTTACAGACCGCCAGGGGTATTTTTTCTATCGAAGAGGAACAATTGCAAGAAACTAGAAGGCTCACCTATCAGATCCTTATCTGGCGGTATATCGATGCGTTTAGGTAGTATTGACGTGGTATTCGATCGTCCTTTGTCACGATGTCACAGGTCAACAACACAACAACTTATTGTACGTGTCTATCTCTGGTTCTGGTAAACGATTTTGCAAGAAAAAGGGGAAAGGAGAAAAGGATCAAGAGAGACGAAAAAAGATAGGATAGGATAAGATGAAATAAAATTAAATGCCGCCTACTCAGCAGTTAGTGTAAGTTGAAGACGGTCAACAAAATCTTGTCAACACTTAAATTCATTTGTTACGTATTTACTCGGTGGAAAGTGAAAAAGGGGGGGGGCTATGGAGGGGTAAAAAGATACGGACTAAATCTCTAGTGTAGTTACACCAACCAGTGACATTCCGCAGTCGCAGGCTCGTAGTGTTAAGGGTCCCTTCCTGTCCTTTCCTGTCGAAAGCCTAATTGCCCGAAGTGGAAAGGACGACACTCTAAATCAAGACGTCCGGCTGTCACGACTGTACTTCAACTCTTCCAGTGCTGGAGTTTTCCGTGCTTGGGTGGGCCGAAAATCAAGTAGATAAAAGGTGTTTCCTATCTTGGCAATAGCCGAGTTACACGAGCTTGACAAACTCTGACACTTTACTGATGAATACTACCTGGATACGTAAATGGCTTCCTTAGTAGAACTTTACGTAACCCAAAAACGGTTCCACAACCCTGGAACCGTTCCACTATAGGAATGCCCCCAGAACCATCCTTGATCCGGAACCGTTCCAAATTACGATCAAACGTTCCAAAAATTATATCAATTTATTTCTTTAATTTATGCATTTATACTTATTTATTTATTTATATATATATATTTATGTATTTACTGATTTTTTATTTTTATTTAATATATTTTATTTAATTATATATTTATTTTTAAAGATTAAGGTTACGTTTTTTTTTACGATTTGAACTACGGATTACGTGGCACGTTACGAGGTTTTACAGTTTTACCATTACACCACTTTTATGTATATATGCAAGGAATCTTTACAATGTTACTTAGTTATATAAAGCTTTTAGCTTTAATTGGCTGCGTAGAAAATCTCCCCGCATATACATCACATGATCTTGTGACTGTTACGCAAATAAACTTTTGGAACGTTAAAACAGCTGTTGGAACGCTATTAGAGCGCTGGAATGCCTGGAACACTTGACAAAATCTTGGAATTGATTGGCTCGTAACGCGGGGTAACGTAATTACTGTAATATTTATGGAACCGTTCCACTGCTGTTACGGAACTGTTTGCAAGTTACATAGAATTCTACTAAGGTTTTCTTTAGCCTTTCTTTCGGTACTATATGTAAGTAGTTCCTGCTACATTCATCCATCCCGTAGTCTCACATTTCATGATGTTGGTGACATACTATACCCCATACATCGTACGCCATACATGCTACATGAGAAAACCCTGAAGATATAAGGGTATGGATGCACAGTAATCAGCAAGGTTGTGAATTGTGAACAGAGAAATCTCCGATGTCTCGGCTGGATTTGAATATAGTACCATGTATTATACGTATGATGGTAGGTACAACGTGGTCCACGGGTTTTCTAAGTATTGGTGGGGTCATCTACATAGATCTTAAGGTTGAGGTAACAGTAATAAGATTAATTAGGGCTTTAAAGTTTGAGTTTGATATGGATGTGATAGTATTAGATATGTCTAAGGTAGGTAAACTATAGATTCTAGTGCTGTCAAACTCAGCTCCATACAACTTTCAATTTTCAAACTTTCACATAATCACACAATTCAATTGCGATGACATGTGCTGAGCTTCAAGGATGACAGAATCTTATCGGTGATAAACCAACCTGTCGGATAGGGACCTCGGAATCTGGAGCTTACTCGGCACCATGGATCGGAGCTTTCCTAAACTCGACTAGTTCTGCGTGGCTAAAGGCTTGGGACCTGAAAGTCATTCCGTCAGCTCGCTGATTTACCAGTCTAGGCTTTTGTTACCTCTCCAATAAGCAATACTACAGAACTGCACCAAGCCAACTTGCTTCAACCTGCTTCAACCTACTTAACCACGATTATCTCCCTAGGCTGTTCAGCTTCTAGCATGTACACCAATACGTGTACTTCAGCAGTTGATTCGACATGCAGTCAAAACTCGGTGCCCGGTCAACTATCTCAACAACTACAAAAGCCAGCGTATCACGCATGTCGGAAATCAGACCACTCTCAACGATCGTCGTCAACCTGGTCAACCAAGTTGTGTAGTGCCATGGAACCCGCTTAGTCAACAATTCACCTCTCACTGCATTGGCTACACCACGTAGCTAGAGCTGCATAGAATGAATATCTACATGTTTATTCCAATTGCAACTGCCTGTTCACACCCCGCCCATGCGCCGAATTATGCAAAGATACTAGGCAGGCACTTAATATCGCTACGGTATCCATCACCTATCGTGGATAGCATCTAGGTATATAAGTAACACCCCGGTACCGGTTCCGTACCTAGCGGCCCCATCCGCTAGACACGCGCTGTTGCGGCGCCTTTCATCAAGGCTCGCCGCTCGCCGGTGTCACATAGCCGGAATCATTTTTCACATGACCCGATTCTGTCTTCACTTCTAATCTCTCCTTCTTCTCCACTGCCGACGATTCCTTCTTATCGTCCGATGTTTCAGATGACGACTTCGAATCTTCTGTGGCTTCCTTGTCTGCATCTTGTTCCGAGGTATCCTTATTTTGGGCTTCTGCTTCCTTCTTAGCCTTCTCTTCATCCTTCTTCTCTTGCTCTTCCTTCCTCTTTGCCTCTTCCTTTCGCTTCTCCTCTGCCTCCTTAAGTCGCTTCTCCTTGTGATCCTTTCGAGTCTGCTCGATGAACTCTTCCACATTTTCCACCGCTCTTTGGGGGTGGCGCTTGTGCTTCATAAGGTAGCCCTGAAGCTCAGCCGGGCTAAATTCATGCGTCGGTACCTTGGCAGAGAATTCCTTTGCTAAAGCACTTATACGAGCATCCTCGACTGCTAACATCTTCTTCTTCTCTTCTTCGAGCTTTGCTCTAACTTCTGGGTCGGTGGGTTGCTTGTCGACGTCGTTGGGATCCTCGTCACCATCTAGACGGGCAAAAATGGCCCGGAAGATGGAAACACTCATTCCCTCGTCCGCCAGACCGAATTTCACAGTTATGTCAACACGTCCGGGCCGAATCAAAGCAGCATCCAATTTCTCCAGGTGATTAGTCGTCATGATTAGAATTCGACCTTCCTGAGACGCTACGCCGTCCAAAATGTTGAGTAGTCCGGATAAGGATAGTCTCCCGCCAGGAGTGTTCTTCTCCGCATTACCGTTTCCTGTAGTAAGTTGCCCGGGAACCATGTCGTTAGATGCGTCTTGGGGCGGGGGTGGAGAAGTTTCATTCTCGCGGGTATGGGTGAGACCAGCCGTATCAATATCCTCAAGGAGAACAACACAGCGACGAGGAAGCTCAGCAAACAAGGACGCGAGATTCTCCTCATTTGCTGTGATGGAACTTAGACTAACAATATAGATCCGCATCTTGAAGAAGCCGGCCAGGGCTAGACTAAGTGAGCTTTTACCAGTTCCAGGAGGGCCGTATAAGAGATATCCACGTCGGTATGGGATCCCGCGATTGGCGTACCAACGCTGTGTCGCTGGGTCAAGGTAGTCGGTAACGTCATCAATCAGCTCTTGCTTAACCTTTTCGTTCAAGATGACCGTCGAAAAGGGGCGGCTAGCTCGGGCCATGCAACGCTGCCAAGTGGTTTCCATCGATCCAGGTTTCAGTGTACCGCGGTATATGAGGGTCTTGTGTTCATCCTTCTTCATGTACTCCTGGCGAGCTTCCAGGAGGAGCTCCTTCAAGATCCACGGGTCGCGACCAAAGCACGAGATCGAAATCTCCTCGCATTGGCTAACAAGCGCCCACCCTTTCTGTTGCTCCTTCGCAGATCTTCGGAATAAGAGCAAGCGACCACGATACCAGAAGTAGTGGCTACCAAAGGAAGGTGTATATGACAGAGGCTTCTTTTTCCTAGTAGACGATTCTCGCTCATAATCATCGTCCTCATCATCATCATCATCGCAGTCCCAAATATACCAGCATCGAGAGTTGACGTTAGTGTTGACTACGAAACGTCGGGCGCCCTGGGAGAACTTCTGCCGGGCTACCCAGCTCATGATGATGTTGTAGACCTCGTCATCTGTGCGAACATCGACAACGGACATGAAATGAGTCTCGAGTTGCTCCCATAAGTAAATGCTAGCGTAATTCCAGACGACTGTCAAAGCACCAGTAATAAGTAATAGAGGAATGTATAAGTTAAGATCGATTTTCAGGTATTTCTGGACAGCCCCAGCGAACATGGAGAATCCAGGGAAGAAAATGTCGAGCATGGCTAGTTGAGGAGCCCCCGTGCTAGACTCGTATGCTGGATTGCCAGAGGGATTTGCCTCTGTAGAGGACACTGACAGATTGCCTGCCATGGTGAGAGACAACTGGCCTATAAAGGCAACAAACGATGAATGGGAGTTGAATTTAACGATGAGAAAAAAGGGGTTTCGTTCTCGTTCTCGGGTCCGTACCACGCTAGACCCTAACGATGAAGGGGCTATTTCGTGCTTAGCACCTCACAATTTGGGACAACGTTGAAGAACGGGTCCATCGCAAGTTTATATATCTCATGCGCCAAACGAGAGCCGCCAGGCAGCCACCAGTAAAATTCAGATATGCTATACAGGGAAGTGTGGGCGTGAGGCAACCCTATAGGGCGGTAGACTAACCGTGCAGTCTATCATGCCGATGGTACATTTAATTGGTTAAGTCAGACCGCAGATTTTCGCATACATAAACGCACTTTCAAGGTTGGCTATGTCGATATGTGAATCGTCAGCACTAGGTACATGGAACCAAAAACTGGATCGGCGCTGTCATCATATAGCAGGGGGGGTCTACTACTGCTGGGCGTAAGACTCATCCCGCCGCAGCACCTCTCAATCTGTACGCTAGGTGAACCCAGACTGCCCAGACAGGAATCCATCGGGAAGGGACAATTGTTCCTGGCAAATGGGATCGCCGTCGCTAGACCGCTAAGGCTTTGCCTGACGGCATAATGGGTCGGCGTCGCCTGTAATGGGGGTAAGCAACAACGTAGCACCTTTCTTTGTGTGCGACTTTCGGCTTTTTGTTCGATTGAGCCTCATATCTACCTATGTAGTGTCTAGTTTTGTAACTGGTTCCATCACGTCTATTCGCCTCACCGAAATAGCATCGGAATTCTAACCCAATGACATCTCCCCCCTCGTATGCGAAGCCTTTTTTTCAACAGGTTTGGTCGGATGATGGTATATGTGCCTAAGTAGGTAGCTAGGTAAGTTATGCGTCGAGGCCTGCATATCGCATAAGTCACACGACTGTGTAGTTCGGAGCGAGCGCACGTAGGTTGTATCAGGTAGGTGCTGGGTAAGTTGGTCAATAGGTTCATACCCAGGTATGTTGGTATAGCACTACGGGAGGCAATGAGGGCGCCCGCAGACGGACGGTAGATGATGGACGTGAAAGCGGGACCTTGCGCCTTGTTTGCGGGGCCTGCCTAGGTATACAGATCTCAGCTCTCCGCGGATCACGGGGGTGGGAGTCATCGGTGTGTGGGTTTGAGGAGTTTTTTTTTTTTTTTGTGTTTGGGCTGGTACTGCTGGTAATTTGTCTCGGCAGTAAACGCATCGGCATGGGGGGCTTTTTAGGCTACCACCGTTGAACACTTCAGAACCGTTATGGCTCAGCCTTGGACTAAACCTCTTTAAATCGTCTCGTTTCTACCTGAAAAAGTTGATCTGCCGTTATCCGAAACTTGGTTTAATTCCTACGTGATATCCCTCTATTATCTCCTTACTATTCCCTCTTGGCCATGCAAGTGAACCTAGTAGCGGTATAAGAGTTATGTTTGCATTTTCAGCGCTGCTGCCGCACTGCCGTACTGCTCCCTTTAAGGCAATATAGGACCTCGCTAACCTCGGGGCTTTGGGGGTTTACTGCATGCGCTGTGTCCAGGTATAAGGCAAATATGCTGCTTATTGACCGTCTTGAAGGATGAAGTAATACACTATTGGCAGATTTAACATCTGACGGGCGTACGATACCAGATTTTATGCCCAGATACGCCAATAGAAATTTTTGTAAGATAATTTGTAAGGTGGCTGAGTGATTATAGGTGGTGTCGGTCGGAGAACAGCGAAGGGGTTCATTGGCAGGTTTAGTATTAGCTAAGACTATAGAGAATCAAACGAGACTAGTCTTTTCTTTCTATACTGCTACATTCAGGGTAGGTTCCAAGTTCCCATACATTCCCCAGATTAGATGATTCAACTCACCCCACACTTTCTCTTTGTCGATACCCCTTTCACAACCTATCTATGCTGCTATGCATTTCTTATACATTTAATGTCCATGATATCCATGTCCTTCGTGGGTCTTCATATTAGTCCTGCTAACCTAACCAAAATGCTTAATAGTAAGACCAGATAATCTAGTCCACGAAATAGCTTCCATGTCTCTCTCCTCTCCAATGGATTCTTATCAGGCTCCATTAAATCCTATGCAGTATGCCCAGCCTATTTTGGCGACCCAGTAAGTGAAATTCACGGCTTTGTTTTAGTTCGGATAGCCACTTAGAGGTCTTAGACAATATGTAGGACCCAACTGACAACTGTCAACGTCAGGCTCTCGCTACCCAGCATAAAGGCAAAATTCGTAGTCACAAAAAATATTGATTTTACTACCTATCAACATGAAAGGCCCAGGATTACTTGTGCTAGGATCCGTCGTGTCTCGAAATTGAATGGGTCATTACTCCTTTTGCCCCCTCGCAGATGGGTATCTCGCAAAGAACGGCTTTGCCCTCGTCACCCATTTCCTTTTCTCTGCGATTCGTCACATACTGTAACTGTCATGTAAATAAGTGCTGTGATCCTCAATAGAGTCCCACCGGAACGCCGTTAAATCAAGATCCAACGCATAAGAACCGCCTGTCCCATAAAGTCATAAAGATCAAGTCAATCATAATCCATACATAAGCCATTAAATAACCTCGTCGTAGTCCACGGCATTATTAATCGTAAACGTGCACTCCGGTATCATATGCACCTGCGTTGTCCCACGGGTCGCCCGGGTGTTGTGGTGGCGGGGGAGGGCCGCCGAGTTGGATAAAGCCGCTTTCGAACCCCGCGGGTGCAGGAGCCATCGGAGGAGGTGGGGGAGGCGGTGGTCCTTGAAAGCCGTGAGGGTGGAATTGCGGCGGTGGCTGGAAGTGTTCTTGATGGAACTGGGGTTCAACGCTAGCAGGCCTCGGCTGAAAATGTCCCTGGTTATGGCTTCTGCCTGGACTAGCACTCCCATTGCTTGACCGTGAGCTAGAGCGAGAACTAGCTGCACTGCGGCTTGGACGAGAGTGCGAGTGAGCGTGCGAGTTAGAGCTAGAATGGCGCTGCTTCTTGTAAAACTGAGCAAATGGCCCGCTCAAAATATGAGAAGCAAATCGCTTGCGCCTGTCATCGCGATCATCCACGTAACGGGTCACAGCACCCCCAACACCGTAAAATCCCCAAGGATCGTCTCTCCAGACGAAGGAGTCCGAGTCCGATGAAGACCAAACGGAATATAGGGAATCCGCCGAGCCGATAGAGCCTGAGCGCCCCGAATATACCGACGACGTGTCCGAGCCATAAGATTCGTTCCGTCGCATATCTGGACGCTGGGCCATGTTGAATGACGGCGAGATGTAGGTAGGTTTTATACTTAGAGGGGTGGCGATTGTAAGCTGAGTTTAGATGCCGAAGCTATGGCTGATGATGCTTCTAAGCTTAGCCCTGGTTATCTGAAAAGGTGTTCGCCTTGTGGCAAATTTAGATGAAAATTAAATCAAGACAAGGTCTTATTGCCTGTATATGATGTTAGAAATGTGAAAATGAGGCGAGGAGTTTAGGATGGGAGCCCATCGACAGGGGCGGTATAGACACTGTTAAATATTCACAGGGACAGTGTGTACAATTCATCCAGGAGGCTCCTAGGCAGGGCAACACAGGTCTACCTATCAGGACGATGTTCGTGTGCTCGGGCAACGTCTCCCCTGCACCTTATGCATTCAGGTATACGGCACAACGGGGATTGGTGGGGTGTAAGCCACGGTGAGCACAAAGATCGATTCGACGGGAATGGGCAGGAATTGCAGCTAACTGCAGAGGATTTCTAAATAGGTGAACTCGCAGTAGCTCGACGTCAATAGCATGAAAAGAATAGGGGTCTGCGTCAGTGGACGAGAGTAGTTCTCGATGTTGACGGCCAGAGCAGCCTCATCACCTCGCTGCCAATCGGTGAACTCTTGTTTGCCCTATTTCTCAATCAATTGGAGGGTGTGCCCGCAGATGTGCCCGCATGGCTTCACCTAACCAAACTGGATTCAACTGGTCTCAAATCACGAACCAGGAACTAAGACAGTCATCTCGCCCCGTTTCTTGGGTCAAGACGGGGGTAAATCAGCTGCAGCCATTGCATACCACTGGCGCTGAATGAAACCCCATCCGCTATTCACGCCTAGGTCTGCCACCAATTGAGCCTCATCGCCCGGCTCACTAGGTAGGATTCTTGGGAAGCAATGAATCTTGTCACTAGTGATGGTGAGGGAATAAATTCCCCGCGAATTCGACATCTAGTCTTAGGGGAACTGAAGTCTGATGATTCCTATTTTGCCCGAAGAGTACTAGATATGCAGATGGGGGGGTAGAGGAAGAGAGAAATCGAAAAGGGGGGGAGGAATCTCTAGGTAGAGATCTCCCCTCCAGATTTCCCCTCTATGCTGCCCTATTCTCCGGCCCCGAAAATTATTGGACTTGGTTGTAAGATAATTTCTTCGCCGGATACGTTCCGACAAAGATGATTGGTAATTAATGATGCCGTTTCAACCCCGAAACCCCTCGATGAACAAAAAAGTATGACATCGATCCTGGGGTAAAGTCGACGCCCGCGATTCCCCAATCCTAAAGTCAACATCGCTGCATCGGTCGACATCGGCCGACATAATGGAGGGTATGGAAGCCTCGCCCGACCACAAAAGTGAAGCTTACCTGTATGTGCGCATGCGCTTCATTGTATGCTGCATTCTGACGTTGACCACGTCTTCAATTGACCTGTCAGATGAAGCGAAGCGCACAAGGCGCACGTTAAGGGTAATGATGTGGGCGGAAAAGACTTCGATATGGAACAAGGTGTGTTCGGAATGAATTTTATGAGATGTGACAGCGCCCCCCACCTACATACTTAACAGAAGGTACATTAAGACTTTAAGATTATGATTGTCAGTTTCAGAGAGCACAACCTGAACAGTAATTAATTAGCTAATATAGACACTGCCAGGTGACATGATTATGGCATTTCAAAGTCTAACGCTGTTACCAAAACTCTATTAATATATTTATAAAGTAGGTATCTACCTAGGAGTAGGTAAGTACGTTCATCTATAGTAGACAACTTCCAATGTTCATATGAATGCCAGTTTCCTTTGGGCAGCATTTAAATGAATACTATAACAGTACCTATATTAACCCGAAGTTCCATAACCTTCCTAAAATTCAATACCTTTTGCCAACAAAGTTACAAATCGAACTCGAACACGTTATCTCAAGTATGAGAGATGATTTATTTTTAGGCAACCAAAGGACATGTTTATTCGTGCATACCTTATATATGTACCCGATGAGGCAATCATACATCTCCCAAGATATAATTGGGGAAAGGGAATGTGTAGATATTCACCACCTATATCAAGAACCGGTGAATATAAGAACTGACCAATCACCAAGTATTAAGGCGCTATTCGTCGTTAGATCGCTCAATATATAGAATCATGAATATCGGCAGTTCCATGTTACCTCTCGGGAGACCATCTTTTTAGACGCAAGGAAGCTTTGTATGAGTCTTATAATGTCGACCCGCTGTATCCCGGAATCAGTTTTGTATTCAAATTTGACTACTCGTTCCTGCTCTTATTTCCACTCAAGAGATTCTCAAAACTCTATACCCAAAGGTATCGTCTAGTTCTATGTCTATCGTATACCTTTTCTTACCCGATTACAGAGATCAAGTAGGACATGGGCAGCCCACTCGAAATCAGCTCGGTCAAGGTAAATCTGACTAGAAATCCTAACCCAGAATGCGCCTGCATAGTATCTCGTCGCTATGAAAGTGTCGAACTCCTCTACCGACTTTATGGTAATCCAGTCAGCCACTGCTTTCGCTTCCGTTACAGGCACCCTACCAATATGCCTCCCCTCTCCTGGTTCTTCTGTAACTTCTAAAGGAAGTCTCACGTTGGTGAAACAGCAACTTCGAAGTGTACCTGTGTTGTTCTCAAGGACATCCGTCCCCAGAATCGTCGCCATTAACTCACCACCTTCCTTTGCCATATTTATACAGTAGTCACATATTCTCTTTTCACCCCCGCAAACCTGCTCTCGGAACTTCGATGCTTCTATGACACAGATGTATGGCGTAGTATCTATCGTAGAGACCTTCTCAAATAAGTTAACAAAATAACTTCTTTGAGATTGCATCTCCCGCTGGGCTGTCGGTTGATACCCTTCTGCTGTAGGATAGGTCGTCCTAATTAAGGCCTGGTTACGATAAGGCACATACAATACCGCGCATCCACGAGGTACCATGAACCATCTATATAAACTCAGTTTGCAAGAATCATCAAAGGATGTAAATGAGATATGGAATCAGAAACAAATACAAGAGAATAGGCAAGCTCACTTGTAGCAGTTACTGATGAAGAAATCTGGCCCGACGCGGGAAAGATGACGCAGGTCGATATGACCTATTCCATGTGCACCATCGATGCAGCTTAAAATGCCATACTCTTTACACACGGACACTAAATCTTCCCAAGGGAAACGCACGCCTGGGAAAGTGAGGATAGTATCAAACATAGCCAACTTGACCGACCTTCCCTGATTCTGAATCTCGGTGATGGCCGCACGAAATCTATCAAGGATCTCGTCATTCTCAATCGGGTAGACCAACTCGATGCTGTGTCCTCTAACCCGGGTAGTTTCCTCTAAAGACTCTATGGTCTTGAGACAGGCATCATAAATAGTACTGAAATAGAGTATGACATCGCCATCCTGATACGTCAGATTTCTCAGGACGGTGTTGACTGCCGTAAGAGCATTCGGCACAAAAACGACTTCGTCCGTTTCTGCTCCCAGAAGCGGCGCGACGACGTCCCTTGCTTCACGTAAAAGTCTAGGATAGGTGAACCGAATGAACGTGTCCGGTCTAGCTTCTGTTTCGCACTGTAATCTCCGTTGATAATCTCGAACGCACGATGGGAATGCGCCGAACGAACCATGATTCAGTGGAATGTAGGAAGCGGCAAAGTTGAAATAAGCTTGGCGCGTTTCTCTTCCAAACGGCACCGCCGCCGCTACTATCGTCGGCTCATCACGAAGCTTCCTCATGTTTACCTAGTGCGGGTTATGCCGGACTGAGATGTGTTTGAATAAATTCGAATTAAGGTAACGAATCCAGGTAGAATCAAGGTCGAATCAAGGTATTTTCGTGGGGAACCAGAGTTTCGGTTTCACAGTAATTACTAGTGTGCCATGAAAGTTAGAGCTAAAGCCCCAAGGCTCAATAAGCTCAAGGTTCTAATCGTTATAAGCGCGACTTCAGGTTGCACAAATTAGATAGTAAACCACGCTATTAACGCTATTGACGATTAACGGACAGACGGGCTGAAAAGGTTTGATCGCTCGATCTTTAATTGCTGATCGCTGATCGTTGATCATCAATCGTAACAAATCTGTAAATTCAGTTACCCTTTTCAAGCTGAGCCATAACAGGCATGATAAGGCGTGGTTAGCAGCTAATGGCAACTGAAATCACACGTGAGCATGACATTAATAGGTACTTTGTCAGCACATCAAGTACCTAATAGGTACCCCAGATGTTGGATGTTGGAGGAACATTGAAGACAAGCTCTACCACGGAACAGATAAAACGTCGGCTGGTACGGGATGACACCATCTACAAGATCCATAAGATCTATCTACCACATATCTATGTAGTTCCAAAAACCATCATATTAAATAAAAGCATCCATGACAAACCTTTAATCATCGTAATATATTACCTCCGGCACTTACCTTAATATACCTAGATACAGCACTTACTATGTACCTAGTATATCGTACCTGCAACCTGAACATGTCACAAGCTCGAGATACCTTGAGCGCTGAACTTCCAAGGTTGTTTCAACGACATGGGGACTTGTAAGATGTTAGATAATCGTGATACACTTGCATATCTGTACATTACTCAGTGCTGATAATAGGGATTAAACCGATGACAAAATTCAACTAGCGGATGTATCTGGATATGGAAGGTAACTCTATTCTTCCAAGACAAAGCGGACTCCCTTCCTAATTTGTACAGGGAAGCAACGTGCCGTGTATGTGTTAAGTACATGGAGGGAGATATATTATTCCTCATCGTGGTTTAGTGTCCCTTCGTAACTCGGTCACCACGACTCTCCGGATTATGCTACTTCAATGCATCTCGATAAGAATATGTGAATCATTCTTGTTCGATGTTGTAGTCTTCAACTCTGGACTTTCCTTAGCTTCCTTCTCTCCGTCGCTTAAGTACGGTGAGAACACTTTGACGGCCACCGAGCGTTCCTGCTTTCATTACCTACAAGTTGGAATTAGGCGCGACTAAGTGTGACTAGTGGAGTCCTAGGGAGGTTTAACTTGTCCAGCTCGTCATAAGGAAGCAAGTGCCGGAAAGCGGACCACCAGTGGAACTTTTCGCCTGTAAGCTAAACTTTTAAAGTTGGCGGAATCGATATATACATGTGGGAACGCCCTTATTGGTACCTACAGTAGTTCAATGGTTTGCACTTATTTTAGGTATATTGCAGAATACATCAATAGTACTGCATAGTACTATATGTGGAGACAACGCCGTATGAAGGTGCGCAGGGACATAGGGGGCACGGTCCTTGCTGGAAAGATCCGAACGAATAGTGTAAGACGTTAGGCTAGGGGAAAGAAAAAAAACTTGCAACGGTCGACATAACGCTCGATGCTCGATGCTCGATGGATGTTTAAATAAAAATTACAAACTAGGGCACAACCGCCGCAAACACGAACACATCCACTACACATACACAAACACGAACGTGCCTTGCATCTCCACTTCGTCTGGAACGTTAAAAGAATGCCCATGTGCTTCGTCCGGCTGTATTGCTAATACCTTAGTTGTGGACCCAACCGAGATCTATCCGCACTCCCCCTCATTTCCAAGTTTTCTCTTTTCGTTTTTCATTTTCCTTATGCCGTCCGTTGTCCGGGAATATTGATTGCAGACAAAGAACTAGGTACGTAGTACAATTTGCTGAACGGCTGAATAGGCTCAACTGAGAGTAGCGAATTGGCGAATCTGGAGCCGAGGGACATATTGCCGTCATTAAGGTACAGGTCATTTCAAATTACATGCCTACCTCCTAGGCATATTATCTACATTATTTACTTAGGTAGGTAGGTAGGTACCTACTGACGCAAGAGGTTCTGATGCCATCTCATAACACCATGGTGAATTACATCCCGATGAGGATAGGTTACTCAAATTCTATTCAAATCTTGATCGTGGTAACTGGTCACATTAACCTCTAGAAGACGACATACGGCGGGGATAGTCACTAAAGCTACGGCACTCAAAACCAACTCTACCTCAAATCCCCCTCGAGGAACTCCTGTTCTTTTTGCCTTCGCACATTTAACAATAACCTAAAGTCCCATTGCCAAGAGATCAAATGGCGCTCCGACGAGGTATGATGAACTGGGCGAGACCAACCGATCAACCCGGATACCAACCCAGTTTTTTGCTTGCTTCTCATCAGGTTTCAAGGGCTTACCCACATATATCTAGACCGAAGCCTCAACAGTTATGCCCTAAGTGGATATATGAGTAGATGGCAGAAATGGGTAGATGTGAAGAATAAAACACGTGAAATTTGGACAATCCATTCTATTTAGAGATAGAAAGGTTCGATGTTGTAGTATAAATCAGAACACGATAGTAAGTACATTATCTTTCTGCACCACTTACATTGAGTTCATGTACGCGCTGTATGAAGAATGTGGAAGATGTGGAAGCAACTGCCCTCCATCGGTCCATCCCATGCTCCACGCTCCTATCTTATCCAGATCACCCATGTCCTGGAAAATACCTAGAGCCTGTAAGGAATGTACATGTAGTTCATGTGGTTTTGGACGTATGTAGTATGTGGGATGTATGTACCTAGGAGGTAGGAGGAAGGTATGTAACGCGCCAATGAGGCTAGATTGGCTTTAAGAACTGGCTTTTGAACTATGATTGATCCATCATATCCATCATATCCATCATTGATCCGCTCAGCACCTGCCCCCCTTCTCAAAAGTCCGAAACCCACTAGTCCAAGCATAGACCCCCCCTGATTTGTGCTGGGGCTCCCTGTGCCGAGCCCGTAAAGGCTACTAGCCACTGAGACTAGAACGGGGAACGGCTGTTTTCCACCTATGGTCAATGGTCTGTGGCCCTACTTACTATGGTTTACTTACTACCTACATCCATACTCCATACACTCCATACTCTCTCCCGACTGGAGCCATTCAACCTGTCTACAATCAACATCATAACAGACAACTTGCAATTGGGACTCTCGATCCATCCGACACGACGACAACGTTTAAAGAAAGGGCATTAGCGATTAATTATTAACCATCAAATAGTCTGGAACGTATTTTTTTGGTACTCATACTCGATGATCTTCTGGGGTCGAAGTTGTGGTTAATCGTGCTCCTGATGCTGCACTGCATCTCTATCCCTTCGCACGTACAGTAGCGCTCTCCCTTGGAACCACCCACAACAATGGGTGCCATCGACAACGAGAAAGCATCTGAATTGCGTCGCGACTCTTCACTCAGAGCATCAGTCAGATTTTCAAATGTCCAAGGCAACGATGAAGACTACGACCTACAGGCAATGGGGATTGCGGATGGCTTTCGACCGGTAGAATTGACACATAATGAAATCTCGAGGCAATCGACGACCACACCGCAAGACGCCCCGACCGTACAAAAATCACCGCCAAGGCCGTCGAGTATCACGAAGCCTCATCAAAGGAATGAATCTTTGGCATTGCAACATGATGGGTCGACGACAGATTCGGACAGCGATAGGACAGGTCTCGACAGATCATCAACTAGAGACTCGACTATTTCAACGTCGTCACCATTTGTTGATGTTGAGGATCCGTATGAAGGCCCGTCTGGTCCCTCACATCCGTACCAGATGTACCCTCAAGATGTTCGACTAGCACGAACAGCGAGTCTTGCGACCACGTCGACCGCGCCTATATCTGAGCAATCATATAATGGACCTCACGGACCGGCGCATCCGTATGGCATGTACCCTCAAAACACTATCCCGGAATCGGATGGTGTACCTAATAGGACGGCGCAAGCGGAGATCAATATAGGATTTCCTGGGACGACAGATAATTATCAAAGAAGAATTGGTCCAGAAGGAGAAGATGTCGCGGATTTGATTGGCCCTGATGGCCATACAGAACAACTACCCCCTTATACAAGGTATCCTGAAGAAGCATATACGAGGAAAGCAATGGGTGTAGAAACGCCTCAACCGGCGCCGGTGCAAGCTATGCCATCGATACAACCGATTCAGCAACCAGAACAGCAACCACAGCAACCACAACCACAACACCCACAACCAATGCTAGCCATCCCAGGTGCCGGCGGTATTGGAATGGCTACCCTAAATCCCGAATTCACATCTACCGAGGACCTAGGCGATATGAACTCGCCTCAGTCTCGACAATCTGTCCGGAGTTTCACATCTGATAATAGCCAGCGCGGGTTGACTGCTACCCCTCGGTCGGATCAAGAAATATTAGACGAGAAGAAATCACTCAAGGATTGGCAAGTGACAGCGAAAAGGAGGGTTTGGGGTATTGTTCCGTGTTGGGCTATCATCCTGGCAGCTATTGTGCTTGTCTTAATGGGGATAATCTTGGGGGCTGTCATCGGCACGTTACTGAATCCTCATTTTAAGAAACCACCCCCTCCAGACAGGTAAGGGTCTTAAACATCGTCACTAAGGACGGCGGTTTTATAACGTTTCTCCAATCTTTAATACTAATCTGCAAATAGGCCGCCATCCCAAGCACAATCTCCTAATAATTGGGATACTCAACCTCTTAGTACCTTACCTCCGGATTTACCTCCCCTACCTACGGGGACGTATTCTATGTTTTTAGCGAGGAACAACCGAATATCCAATACTTGCTTCACAGATCCGACACTTGCTCAGGCATGGAGCTGCGACCTTACCTTCTTCCAGCTTAGCATGAACGTTAAGAAACTACCTGGTCAACCAAACATATCTGATTATTCCTTCGGATTTTCTTATAATGACACGTACAGTCTGAAAAACAATGTTTTCACTTACGGTGTACAACCACCCGATCTAACAGATCTTCAAATGAAGCTCGTTAGCGACATTTTCGAGGTACCCCGAGGTCCGGCGTGGAATTTCGAGATTTCCTATAATAAAACTGCTATCATCCCCGAGCCATTTATAACAGCTAGCTCGGGATCTCCTCCATCTTCTCCTACATCCAGTTCAAATCGCCGCCGAATGATGTTTGGCGGCAATGATGCTAAGCGCAAGGGTGTAATGGCTCAACCTGGAGATAAGCCATGGGTTTGCCATTGGGACAACACCATCTTGGAGGCATTCATATATGCCGGCCAGAATAACAGCTTCAGCCGACCGATCGATCCGGGTCCGACGACAAGCCCCCCAGCATCTTCGAGCGATAGTAAAGTTTCAGCAGCAGCCACCACCTCGGGAGCCGTAGCAGACGCTGCAAATGATTTTTCCGGTCCCTCGCGTGCGCCTTTCGCTGACGATCTCCAAGCAACTACTTCGGTTTCCGACGGTCTCCCCAGTACTACAACTGCTTCAGCTTCGGCATCTACTAGTGGCTTCGACAAAGACCTCCCTATGCCTAGCGGTACCCCTTCGATGCCTTCCCCGCCTTACCCGCGAGTGGTCAAGGTTGAAGAGCGTCGTAATGCGGGCTCTACGACTGTCAAACCGTGGTGTCGCCAGTATCAAATTCGTGGTGATAACCAAGCACCTGTTCCGGCTTTGGATGCGAACGGAAAATTCATCGATATCGTCATTAACGAAGATGAGGGGGGCTACGACGAATCTGGTGGGTCGAAACGAAAGATCGAACGCTACCTGGGGACCCGCAACAGTGCTAAAGGCACTGATATGAGCGATTGCGGTTGTATATGGTGGCTCTCTTGAACGCCGGAAAAGTTATGTGTAGCGTTGAGGTTTTTTGTCTCTTAATATCCAAATGTGTTTGAGCGAAAGTGGGATTTCATCTAGGTATTGTACATAGCATCCATTGTCTCACGAGACGGCGCATATCATGTTCCGGCGTTCAGGGGAGCAGCTTCACTCACGAGCCTACGAGCTCTCGAGGGGCTACTGGTTTTTTATTTTCTTTGTCACCTCCACAAAAGGACGAGAGCGGCTAATTTCCCCGTATACCATTTTTTTCTCCGTCATCGATCTATCCGCGGCGCTTCGGAGGGAAACGGCGTTTTTGGGTACACGACGGGGCGATATGCTTGTGCTGTTTTCAGGCAGCCCGAGCTGAGGGCTTACGCTGTTAATAGGTTCGGCATATGCTTCTGTTTTGCTTTTTTGAATATGGAATTTTGGGGATGTTGGGGGTATATGGATATATCATATATATATAGCGCATCCTGTCGAGATACCTAAACCCTGTAGTACGAACGAACGCTAAATATTTTAGATACGGTTTTTATGTGTTGTGTTTTTGTTGAGATTTGTTTGGGTTGGTGAGATAAGTTGGTTTATGGGTGGTGAGGTTGGTTTGTGTATGGCTTGTGGTAGGGGGAGAATGGATCGAGTCGGATTCATGTTGTATATTAAAATATCTGCTGCTGTGGATGGGTGATTATTATAGGGATGTGTGGAAGGAGGGTGGTGATACGAAAATCTAGCGTGTAAATATGATTTATGAGATGTGCCTACAAAACAAGACGATGCCTATTGCCTTAGTATGCTGAATTTATCTTGTAATTTGTTGACTAGAATCCACCGGCTAGGGTAAAGGGGGTTTCTTGAGTGAACATGAAGTCAACAGGGTTAGTTGTAAATATACTTCTCTTTAATCACAACAATATGATAGACTAAAGTTGAGCTTAGCCACACTTCCAATCCTCGTTTTTAAGTGACTCTAATTTTTAAACGCATTACAAAAGGGGTATCTTTGATTCTTCATAAAACCCATAACCTCAACTCTTGAGCCACGTAGTTCGACATGAGCCGAGTAGATTAAACACAAATGCAACGTCATCAAGAAGAACTCTTCTCATCCGCAACCCCCTTCCCTTTTCCCCCATCCCCAACTTCCTTATCCTTACCACCAGAACCAGAACCACCAACATCACCACCAGCAGCCCCCCACTTCTCAGCCAACCCATCTAAAAAGCTTTCCGCCATCTTCTCCGCGCGCTTAGCCCCAATCCTCGCCCTCCTCTCCTCAATCTCCCTCCTCCGCTTCTCCCTTGCCTCCTCCCTCTCCCTCCTCACATGTTCTGTATTCTCCCTCTCGCGGCCCAGCCCCTCCATCTCCGTCTTCCTCGCCCCCTCGTCCCGGCTGAACTGGTAGAACCCCACGCCTTTCGTGCGGATCTCCGCGCCCCCGTCGAAGTGCGTGTCCGGCGGCGGCGTGGGCTCTTTGTCCCGTCGCGCGGCTAGCGATTCCATCTTCGCGTACGTGTCGTCTTCGGGGTTGAATGCGGCTGATTGGATCACGTCCCCGAAGATCAGGTTCGCGGGCGCCTTTGTCGGCTTCGCGGCCATGGCTTCCAGTTCTGCGGCCCCGAGCTCGATGCGTTTGCGCTGGCGCTGCAGACGCGCTATCTCGGCGCGCGTGCCGCGGCGTGTGCGTCCGAATTCGTCTTTGTATTCGATGAGCTCGTCTTTTCCCCCATCGTCGGAGTCGTCTTCGGAGTCGTCTGTCCCCGAACTCGAGTTATTGGCACCGTTGGGGTCGTCGTCGGGATGTTTCTCCGCCCACTTGCGGTCGAAGTCGACGAGCGGCGCGGACTCCCCTTCCTTCGCGATGTAGTCCCCGCGCTTCATGGCGGCGTACAGCCGTGCCTTCTCCTCCATCTTGCGGCGCGCGCGCACGAGGTCTTGTTTCTCGTCTTCGGTGCCGCGGATTTCTTTCAGGGAGAGCTTCGCGCTGTCTTTGTCCCTACCGCCACTTCTGCCTCCATCCTTGCTATCTGCATTTGTCGTAGCAGCAGCAGATCCCGGTTTCCGCTTCGCTCTGACGGAGAATACGTCATCCTTATTCTTCGACGGGCGGGCGCGGCCGGCTGATACGGCGGAGGACGAGGCAGAAGCCGGGCCAGAGGCCGAGGTTGAGAGGAGGGATGTGAGTTGGGATGCGAAGTCGAGGGAGCTCGAAAGCGGGATCTCCTTCTTTTGCCGCTTGGAGGGACGTTGCCCGTAGAGGTTCGGGTCCTGCGGCATTGTGGATTGGAACAAACACCGAAAAGAAGCTATTTACGGGATTAGGTGTGTAGTTGGATATTGGGAGCGGAGTAACGTGGATGTTGGACGGATGTTAGGCGGATGTAGGTAAAAAGTAGAAATCGTTATTTCCGTTGGTAATAGGACAAGAATGCTGTTACTTCCAAAGGTTGGTGCTAATTGAGGTAAGGCAAGACGCTAAATCCCAAGGCTTGAAGCTTCCAAATCCCGTGTCGAACCCACTGCTCCACTATAATTCCAGGCATGTTACCCCTTAAATTGCCCCGCGATCGGTCTTAAAGTTTGGAAAATTACCCCACGTCAAAGCACGCAAGAACGTCTACAGTCAGATTTTACAGCAAGACTTATCCTACAGTTTAAACCGATACAACAGGAATTGGTTGGAATTATGGCTGCTACTAACAAAGTATTCGTCGCTATCATAGGTAAATAGCTCCAACGGCAGAAAAAGTTTAAAGGGTAATTCAATTGGCTAATATAATCCATCTACTACTAAACAGGCGCTGGAGGGGTTGGCAAATGCTTCCTCTCACAATTCCAAGCTCTATCGAAAAGACGACCTACGCCCAAGTTGAGCCTCTCGTATATCTCAACTAGCAAAAAAGCCCTCTTCCATGCCGACTATTCTTCTATCGAAATCGACAGCGCCATTACGGAGCTCGCCGCGTCAACCAAAGCTCCATTGAGCTTGCCGCAGGTAGCCGACTACCTGGCCGCGGCGCCTTCAAAGGTTATCCTCGTGGACAACACCAGCTCCCAAGATGTTGCGGATAACTACCCTCTTTTCCTGAGCCGCGGAATCAGCATCGTTACCCCCAACAAGAAGGCCTTTTCAGGTTCATATAAGCTATGGCAAGATATCTTTACAGCTGCTGCTACTTCTGGAGCCAAGGTGTACCATGAATCTTCCGTCGGAGCAGGTCTTCCGGTTATCTCGACACTGAAAGACCTAGTGGACACTGGCGATGAGGTGACCAAGATCGAGGGTGTATTCAGTGGCACCATGTCTTTCCTTTTCAACTCGTTTGCCCCCGTCGAGGGTTCTGGTGGCCAATGGTCCGACGAAGTCAAGAAGGCAAAAGAATTGGGCTATACGGAACCGGACCCTCGTGATGACTTGAACGGTCTCGATGTTGCTAGGAAGCTAACGATCCTTGCGCGACTAGCTGGCCTTCCCGTTGAGTCGCCAACTGCCTTCCCCGTGCAAAGCTTGATTCCGAAGGAGTTGGAGTCTGTCGCGAGTGGTGACGAGTTCTTACAGAGGCTGAATGAGTTCGATTCTCGAATGGGAGAAACGAAGCTTGAGGCAGAGAAGCAAGGTAAGGTGGTAAGATTTGTGGGCAGCATCGATGTGGCTTCGAAGGCCGTTAAAGTCGGACTCGAAATGTTCGACAAATCGCACCCGATCGCGGGTCTTAAGGGAAGCGACAACATTATTAGTTTCTACACTAAACGATACGGAGCAAATCCATTAATTATCCAAGGCGCCGGCGCTGGAGGAGAAGTTACGGCGATGGGTGTCACCAGCGACTTGCTCAAAGTACTGTCTCAAATCTCGTAGTTAAAAACTGAGGAAACAAAAATAGATTGTCATTTCGTCATGTATTATTGTCGTTGTCTATAGCATTATAGGCATCGTATTCCGCATATTTCGTGGCTAATCGTAGGCATGTCCCGAGTGGACGGTACGTTTCTGACTCGCGGATGGGCCGGAGGCAAGCGCAGTTGTGGAGCCGGCGTCATTTGGTGATTTCGCCAGGCTTGTTCGTCGTTCCGTACCCTTGCGCGAGATGCGACCGGGTTCCGAAATGTCATTAGGTTGAGGTCGGTTCAGTCGCCAAAGCCAAAGGCAGAAGTCGAAGACGATGAGGCTCATGATGGGGACGGCAAAAGCTAGGCTTGCTAGTTTCTAAGCCAAATAAGTTAGCAGACGTTGAGGGCCGAGGACAGAAGATTGGTACGCACAAAAAAGAATGCGATCCATGAAATCAAATTCCAAATTCCGTCCGAGAACAGAGCAGTCTGGAGGGTATGCGGATACCAAGCCATGGTCAAGTCTGCAGATATCTTGTGCATTGTTGGAAGTTTGACGTTGAACGTTAACGTTGAAGAGGTTGTTGAAGTTAAAGTGGATGGTGGTAAGTACTAAGTAGGTAGTGAGCTCGGCGCGATCGCGTCTTTAATTGAGCAAGGTGGATAAGATTCAGGAACAAAGTTCAAGTATCAAACTGGGGTAACTATTTGTGGAAGCAATGACCTTCTTTGGGACAAAAAGATCAATAAATAGGTACTAAATAGTACTAGTAGGGGAAGCTATGAGCTTTTTAAAGTTTAAACTGTATAGGAATAAGAGGTTATTGTGATAAAGAGAAAAAAAAGGGAAAGAGCGAGCGAAGGAATTAAGGAGATGACGTTCGGGTCTAATAATAATCTGTAAGGCACGGAAGGGAAGGAAGAGTCCCTGGCGATCTGACCCTGACCTAAACCTTGAGACTCAATTTTATTCATCTCGTGGTAATCACCCGAGCCTTATCTCTTTGACATATTGTTTCCCTAAGACATTCGATGCAAACGACGAGAGTACAATATCTTACTGTACTTGCTTAACTTGAGATATCCGATGTTTCTCTTACCATTACCACTTTGGAATAGCTTCAGAGCCGACATAGTAAGACAGCTTGATTAAGCAAGTCCGCTTTGGTCCACGGTCTGTAAATGGTGCATCGTGCCTATCTCCGTTAGGATTACGTCTGTTTAGTAGGTACACCTTGAACGATGCCCTAAGTTCCCCATCGCATCACTTTGGAATGAGACTGGTTGTCATTACACAAGCGTGGCACCGGCATCCAATGACATACCGGTCACAAGTTACGTACAGGGGGGTCCTCAGATGTTAGTGGTTGGTGTCAGTGGCAAGCTCGGAGCTCCAGCTTATCATATCATTTCTATTTTCTTGATTGATGTCAATATTACCCCGGAATATCGTCGACGGAGGAGATACTTAACAGGAAATTTGAGGAAGTCCCGAGTCGTAAGAGGAAGATGACCTTGCCATATTGGTCTTACGATCTTCTAGAAGATGAAAATGGAAATCATGCTCGGCATTCACGACCGCAGTACTACGCTGTACGCTACCTGGCTCCACTCCGTACCTCCCCGCGTCAAGCTTTCCGCCTTCCATGATCTAAGATCGACCACCTTCCAGTTTTATATTTCGCCAGCTGTCACCGCCTTAATTTACCCGCCATATTCAATATTCATATATGTATTAATACACGGTATCATGACTGGAACGAGTTGACAGCCATATTTCTGATTTATCCATGATTTCAATTCGGAACTAAGATTCAAAATATATCGCCGAAAATTATCTAGTCGACGATGGCGACTCCCTGGGCAGAGGCCGAGAGCCACGAGCAATTCTTCGTCCTACTAACAGGGGCCAACAGGTATGCGCTCTTCTACAAATAAATGAAGGATTATCGTGTCTTAGATGAAGAATTATATAGTGGTGTCGGTCTTGGTATCGGTCAGCGGATCATCGACGAATTCCTTGCTTCACGATCTCTGTCCTCACACTTGATTCTCATCCCTACGACTCGCTCGGTCTCCAAGTCTCGCGACACCGTCCTCGCCCTACGTACCCATCTACAAGAAACAGCCAGCACCTCGACCCAGCTTCAATCACGAGGAGGCTCTGGCTACGACCCCCAATCCGCTGCCTCTCGTGTTCACATCCTCAGTATCCAAGTCGACCTTTGCAACCTTCGATCGATATATGATGCCGCGAAGCAGTTGGTTCATGGCAAAGTGAGCGACCCAACTGGCTTGATTAGCGATGTAAAGATACCTCGTCTCGATGCTGCCCTCTTCAACGCAGGGATTGGTGGATGGTCTGGGTTAGACTGGTTCGGATTCGCAAAGCAATTTTTCCAGGTCGGGCTTGTACAAAGTTGTACATTCCCTGCTTTCAAGAAAGCATTGCCCGCTGCTGTGATAGACCAGCGCAAGCTTCTCGGAGACTCAGCCGCTGATCTGAAAATCCAACCACCTGAGCTAGCTGAGGTCTTCACCGCCAACGTCTTCGGACACTATGTCCTTGCACATGAGCTCCTCCCGCTCTTAAGTCGCTCGCGATCAGACGAGCTCGTGGGCCGTGTCATCTGGACAAGCACCATCGACGCCAGTCACGAACACCTCAGCTTCTCAGACTTCCAAGCGCGACACGGCAACCCACCCTACGAGAGCAGCAAGCGGATCACAGACCTCATCGGCCTCACCGCGAACCTACCCGGCGTGCAAAAGGCATCGGCCCCGTACTTTGCCTCGCCCGCCGCCGCCGACAAGCCCATCAAGCCACGCTTCTACGTCACGCACCCGGGTGTCGTATGTACTCCTCTCTTTCCCCTCCCCTGGATCCTATTCTGGGGCTACTACGCTGCTATGTACGTCGCCCGCTGGCTCGGCTCCCCCTGGCACCCCGTCGAACCATACCTCGGCGCCTGCGCCACCGCCTGGCTCGCGCTCGCCGACCAGCAGACTTTAGACCACCTCCGCGCCGACCGTGTGAAATGGGGGACCAGCGCTACCCGTACCGGCCACGTCGCGCCCAAGAAATCGGAAGTCGACGGCTGGGGATGGGACGGGGATGTAACGACTCCCGGTGAGAAAGAGCATGAGAATGAAGTAGGCGTTTTGCAAAAGTCCTCCGGGCGTAAGTGGGACGCGCAGGAATTGACTAAGGAGAAACGAGTTGAGTTCGAGGACGACGGGCGTAAGTGCTGGGAGGAGCTGGAGAGGTTGAGGACGGCTTGGGAGAATGCGCTTGGAGAGGGTGATGCTGCTAAGTAGTGACATTACGAGATTTATTTAGTGATGATGCGGTGTATACTACTATATCCCCGAAGCTTAGTTCGGGTTAATTATTGCGATGACATTGCGTTGCGTTGAAATATATATATATGCCTACCATTTACGACTATACTCATCATGATATTTATGCGAGCATATCTATAATCTCGAAAGTACCACACAAGTGTAAACACCAAACTCATATATATTTACGTATATATACCTAGGTATGTATGTACTGCAACTATTCACACTACGAAACGGGTATCATGTACCTAAACAGCATCCATCCATCAGCATGCGCGAACTTGAACACACATACACGAACATGAACACGCAAGCATCGTCTATCCCACCCGCCCATCCTATCCTACCCATTCATACTCTCCCACATCCCATCCCAAATATCCATAAGCCCAAATCATAAAACCCCCATTTAATAGAAAAAAGATCCTACTCAAGCTCAGCAGCAGCCGACCCATTCCCAGAGTCAGGTCTAGACCGCCCCATCAATGATACCATCAGCCCAAGCTGAAAAAGAAGAAAACCTAATCCTCAATAGGTTCACTGTTCGTGTCGTGTCATATCGTATCCTGTCCTACATAGCCTATGCCGAATTTCCGTCCCGGATAATCCCATCGCGCTAGCCATTTAGCTAGCTAGGAGCTAAGCTACGCGAACCATTGAAAAAAGGAGACCAGACCTAAATAGCTGTCCCCACAGCCCCGTTCCCGTCAACAATACCGTTTGCCTCACTGCTGCTCCTGTTCCTCTCATCGCTCCTTACCCTCCTCATAACTAACTTATCGTCGCGTCCGAATAGTCCGAGCGACATTGGTAGAGGTACGGTGACGAGTGCTACTACTGCAGTGAAGATGAGCGCTTTGTCCATATTTTCCGGCGGGTCCGCCGTCTCGTCCGCCTTGAGCGCGTCACTGATGATGATGAAGATGCCACCCAGCAGCTGCCCTCCGGCCCACGCGATCGCGGATGTGACTTCGGGACTCATCGGATGACCCAGCTCGCATAGGAACTCGAGGGCAACGGGGACGAGAGAGAAACTAGCTGCGCCGAGGATACTGAGGACAACGTAGGGGCCCGCGATGTCGCGGGTACCTGGCATCCAGATAAAGACGAGATAGCTCAGCCCGATGACAGGCACGGCGATTTTAATAGCAAGTAAAAACGCTTTCGTACGGTCGAGAATTGGGCTGGAGATGGCGGAGGCGACGAGCCCGACGACGATGAGAAGAGCACCTGCGATGCCGGCGTCGTCGGACGAGAAGCCGTAGGGGAGCATGATCTGGTTGAGCAGTGAGGAGACGCTGTTGAAAAAGCCGACGTAAACCGCATACGGAACCAGGATCAGCCAGATCTCGAGAGACTTAAGGAGTCGTAGAGAGTCCTTAAGCGTAGCCTTAGGCGTCGATCCTGATGGTCCCGGCGGAGTGGGTGGTGCCGCCGGGATGAAGAAGGATGGGAGCGCGGCTACAGAAGACTAGAGTTGGGTTTGGTGTTAGCATAATCGCTGCAAGAGGGAAACCGCGCGCTCAGAACGTACGATGATAGAGACATAGAGCACAGCGTTGGAAATATCGCTAGGTCCCGAGACCATGAACGGCACGACTAACTGTCCGATAGCAGCACCGAACGGATTTGCTAAACTAGCCAAGGCTGTGGCGGCAACGCGACCTCTATTCGTGAACCACATGTCGGAATACCGTGTCGGGGCGCTCAGAACGAAAGGCTGAGCCAATCCAGTCAGAATCTGACCAAACATGACGACACCGTACAGCCCTCCATCGCGGGAGTGAGAGCCCGCATAGCGGATCCAGTTTCCGGCGAGGATCAGCACTGCGGAGGCGATTATAGACGGCTTAGGCCCCCAATGCAATGCGTATATTGATAAGGGAAAGATGACGACGAAGGAGAACATAAACGATATCGAGAGCCAGTTGATGGCGGACTCGTCAGTGTTATAGTAAATAGCCGCATTTTGCGAGACGGGCGAGAACGTCAGCCACTAAGAAAATCGGGCGTGTTAGCTATATCCCCTCATATTGGATATACAGAGGTATGTATTGGGGTAGCAGCAGAGCATGCTTGGTAGTAGCACAGCATTTTGTCAAGGTGAGGCTGTGATGTAAAGGATGTATACTAAAGTGATGGTAGAAAGGTATACGACACGGCATCTACCGATTGGTAGATCTCGCAGCCTTTCCTTATGGGGGCCATATGCTGTTTGCCCTTGCTTGCGGCGCAAAAGCTGTGTATAGGACAATAACTTACATCCCAGCTAACGATAATATTTAACAGCGTGAGCTGCACGAGACCGAACCATCGCCTCTTATACACTTTATATGTGATGCTCGCGCGGTCGCCGTTGTCGATTGAAGCGTTTTCTAAGTCTTCCCCCGATCGATTGGCGATGGCCGCCAGATCGTTAATGTCGATGTCGGTTGAGCCAGAAGCTAAGCGCAAATGACCTCCCTTGGTGTGCGAGCTCTTGCCGGACGAACCAGAGCCTATGGGGTTAAGAGCGTATTCGTCTCGTGCCTTCTTCGCAATATCGTCGTCGTAATCGTTACTCGTCGGCGTGGCAGCCGCCTCTTCGTCTGATTTACGGCTATTGCGAGACATCATAGCCCTCTGTATTCTCGTCCGTCCCGCGGGCGCTTGTGTTTCTTCCTGCAACGTCTTTCTTCGGCTGGTTGTCTTTCACAGGCTTTTTAGGTATTTCCCTTATCTTCGCCAACGGAGACTCAGATATTTTCGGTTAGCCGAGTGCCGCCCCGCGTCGATCTACCAATACCCCCCAAATTCCTTGATTTCACCAGCCAGCCAGCTGACTTATTATTACTACGCTGGAATTAATAATCCTCGTCGAATATCGAATATCGTGGTAGTTTAGTTCGGACAAGGTAGTTTCCACCGCTAGGAAATATCGAATCGCTGCGTTTCAAATTATCATCGTGCAAAGAACCGATCAAAATACGACACACGACCACAAAAGATTGGACGAAATGATGGAACAGAATGAAATTTCGGCTAAGGGATACAATGTGATACCATGCTAGGGGAATAAAACGGGATTCCCGCCTAAGAACATCTCTTCAATATTCTACATATATTAATCGTCTCATGTCAACAGAGACTTCTGGTGAGGCCAGTTAAGGTTATTTTGTAACGAGGAAAGCAACCCAGGGCAAGGATCTATCTACGTACACCTAACATCGAAACTAACCAACACACATGGATGCTTTCCCAATAGAGAAGCGACGGGGAACGTAACCGACTTTGATAGGTGGAGCCTACGAGCAGATAGGCCGATTAAGTTAGTTTCATCCCCACAAAACTTCCGGTTCTTTTACCAGCATGGAAAGATCTGTCTGAAGTTAGGAAACAGTGAGGCACACATAACATGTAAGCCCTGAAGGTAAGCGCAAGCAGGATAATAGCCATAAAGTTTAGCGTTTCAATCACCAGCAGTATTGAATGTTAACGGGCTTTGTTGGAGATATGATTGGATAGTGGCCAGGGCACACCTACCCCATCGGGGCACCGTTTCCGTGTAACATAACCCCCCAACTCTTCTCGAGTCTCGAAGAATTCATGCCATTGCAACCCATAAATCTGTAGCCCGCCCGTGACCCGGCAATATAATCGGGCCATCTTCAACGTCTGATGGGTTTCTTTCGGCTGTTCTTTAATTAATGACATGTGCTTGTTGCGCGTCTCGATCTGCTTGATTATAGGGGAATACATGTAACACACCTTGGGGTGGCTGATTATGTGTACTGAAACAACCCCTTAAAGGTAAACAGGTCTATACTACAAATATAATATAGCCATTCAAGTCACAAAATGAAATCTTGCATAGTAAATTGAGTCTGCTGTTGCATTTCGTGTTGTCACAATGTCGCTTGAATATTATTACTACGAGAGTTGTATTTCTAGAATGTTACCATGAAAAGGGGTTCTCAATTGTGGTAAATGGAAAGTTACCTAGATGGCTCCCGAGGTCTCTTACCGCACAAACTCTCGGTGATAAAATTGCCAGTTGCATATCCTAAATATAAAAAGCAACTTTCAAGACATACATACGGCGATGTATCATCCGCCAATGCGTCTCAGGGTAACACATTCATTTACCAATAACTATCCGTTATAGTCGCAGGCAAGGAAACTAACGATAGAAAATGAAAATGGACCTAGCCAGGCAAGTTTAGGAACAGAGATCTATTTTAATTTATAGTTGATGAGGCAGTCTATGGTACATAGAGCAGGCGGTTTAAGCTACCCCGGCCGCATGCAAATCCACTCGAGCCGCAAATCGTGTTACAGAACCACCACCGCTTTACCGTCCCGACAGGGGTCGCGCGATGGTAGCCGGGTTGTCTGATCGGAAATCCACCAGCACCATCGTTCTAGAAGTTCTAAGGGTATGTTGTGCATGATACCGGCGGTTCCCGGCGCGGACTTGCGTCGATTATTTGAGGACTGACCAGAGCTTGGGGGCGGCGCATTGGCTGGCGCAGTGCGCAAGATGGAAGACTAGAAACCAGAATGTCATATTAGCTTGCTGTCCACGTAGCATAAATGTAGGAACTCTGAGGCATTTGCTATAGGCCAACACCAGTCCGATATAAGGTAATTCTTACATTCTTCAACGCAATCCTCCTTATTTTCATCGTCATCCGAAGCGTTTGTAACACGGTCGACACACTCGTCGAAGTGATGCTTAGCAGACGAGCACTGTTTAGAGTTTTTGCATTCTGCGTAAGTAGCCGTCAGCCAATATCCAATGACGTCGTACGATTTATGTATCCGGTGGGATGATGCTCTGCGCGATAAACATTATCTTGAATAGTTATTTCGAATGGATGATTTCGTATGCGAGATATCGTGAATAAATTGTAACGAACCTTCCTCGAGTTTTTCCTTAGGATCCTCAATTTCTTCCTCGTCTTCCTCTTCTTCTTCCTCCTCAGCCTCCTCTTCTTGAGAATCCTAATCAACGATTAGCCAGTTCCCTCGGCGAATTCAAGTATGCATAGAACGAGATATATGGGAAGGTAGAGCTAGCAGGAGCCCACAGATCGCAGACTGTAAGCTAGAATTTGGGGGAATTTCGAATTCTGTGCTCGAGCTTCCTTGTGTGTTTTTTCGTGTGGGGGAAATCGTACACTATCCTCAGCTGGTGCCTCAGCTTCGACGGTGGTCCATGGCGTTACCGCCTCGACGAGGTCTTGAATGCTATCCCAGATACCCATTTTGCTCGGAGCGGATGTCGGGCGGTTTTAATGCCTTGCTTGCTTTCGGGGATGAACGACGGTTGGTGGTGAAATGCGGTCTCCGATAAAGGTTGGCATTGAGAAAAATAGAGCATCACCAATTGAGCCATTTTGATTGGCCGCGGTTATGAGCTCCAATCACGTGATCCGAGCCCGATCCATCCGCCCTCAAAACCTTATATCATTAGACCTAGTATGCTTAAATACATCTATATTTCATAGTGCAAGCTACTAGGCATGATACCAGTATATTTAATATGATATGGGATAGAGAAATATTCATTTTATATCCACCATTCATTACGGATCTGTACACTTTACGTAAATAGCATTGTTTATATGTTTCTGTGGTCTCCTAGGATCACTAATCTCTTACCTTGTTGATTTAATTTGCCGATTGCCGTTGTGTCAAAACTTACAAATCGGAAAACTCGTTAGCAGGAGAAGCAAGCTGTAGCTAGCCGCCTCACCTTGTAGACCTAGGTACTGGAAATAGACTGGCACTTTGTTAACACAACATGACTGTCTGTTTATATTATATTCCGTTTGTTATTCTTGAAGTGTAGATAGATATTATTCCTGTTCTTATCTTCACTTTCCTCGCAAATCGGCTTCATCACGATCTAAGCTATGAGCCTGCCGACTCAATAGCGCTTAGAACATGACCAGGATACAAACACGTAGATAGTAGCTACGCTAGCACACCGAATGTCATTTTTCAGTGGCAGGGGTATCAAATTCTTATTGTGTCGATTCCAAAAGACCCATTGACTAGAGACCTTTAGGTAACCGAATTCGTCGACGGCATCAGGCGACGGCTTCAAAATTCTATAGTGGCTTATAGGCCAATTTCATCAATCCCTTTCTGCTTCTTCCCGCATTCGTTCGTCGAAGCGCATGCTGACCGCCTGGGCCTGAGCCTCGTCATAGTTTGGTGGGGGCTCGTCTGGAGTTTGCTGGTGGGCCTGCTGTTCTCGAGCTGCCTCGTCTGCTCGTCGAGCCACCTCGCTTACTTGGCTGGCGCTATCGCCACCCTGAGGACCACTATATTCTGGTAATTGCTCATCGTGAACTGTCTGCGCCCAGTTGCTCTGGCCTGATTCCTCCGCAATCTGTGCCGCGTGGTGAAGCCGTGCTTTAAGCTCCACGAATTTCGACTCGAATTCGCTAGAACCGCCGTCCTTGAATGTCAATCTCAAGTTCACTCTTGGAAACTCTGGCGGAATATTGCCGTCAGCTACTGGTCTCACGAGAGCCTCCCAGTACCAAGGTCCTATCCACGATGAGCACATGCGGCTGTCCTGGCAGCCTAATATCTTAGATGAAAAAGATTTAAATTGATCCGTAGGCTTGGAAGGTAGATAGATCAACTGAGGATAAATGTCAATCTCATATTCAACTCTGATATCGTGGTACATGATGTTTCCGCTTACCCTTTGGTTTGTTATATACGCGGCACCACTCTCACTCTTGATATTGAGAGGAGCGATGTCGGCAGGTTGGTTTGGGGCGGTTATACTGAGAGCTATTCTGCCTCTTGTCCTGTGTAGGATAGTCTCATGCGGCAGAGGCTCTATCTCCCCGGCCCGAGACAGCATGACCCAGCTAGCATCCAAGTTAGTGTCCTCCTCACCCCGGTTACTCTGGCTAAGGATATACGACGCATGTTGGTCGTGGAGGCCGTAATCCATTATGACGATGGGAGACGAACGGCGCAAGGTTGGTTACGCATGCAAAGCGTAGAATGAAGAGCGAGGCTCTCAGGGAGGATAAAGACGGATATCACATCCTAGAAGTCGCGGATGGGAAAGAAGGGGGAGATAGGGATATGAGGTTAGGTAAGGGGAGGGAGGATGAGGGCGATGACCGAGTGTTCGTTCGAGGCTCAGGTCGGTGGGAGTAGAATACAGGTAGACAAGAGAAACTCATACATACTTTATTGACATTTCGGGCAAATTTGGTGGTCAGCTCTCGGGGTCTTGTGCACAAGTCCTAGCAATGCCAACCGAGCTCCTGGGATTCGTCGGCACAAGAAAAACCGGCAAGGTCCCAGCGATTTAGGTGACAGGAACTGGCTCGGTGGGCTCTCGCTGGCCTCGGAGCGGCACGGCTTGCAGGTAGTTTGATGGAGATGTTGATATTGATAATAGTGGGCCACTAACACGGTAGCCGCTGGAACTTGCGCTGCCGGAACTGGTAGCAGAACGGCGCGCGACTGGTACGACAGAACTGGCAGGGCTCTGCAAGGTCTCGCAGATGTGGAGTGGCACTTGTACTGTGTAGGAATTGGAACAGCTCTAGTGGATGGCGAAGTTCGATACTGGCTGACTGGATGATGGTGTGTGCAATAGGGAGGATTCCTGCCTTCAGCTGTAAGGCGCAAAACCGGGAACTGGCTTCCTTGCCCTCGATAACCTATCTGCCTATTTGACGATGACGGTGATAGCGGAAGCGATGATTATGCTCACGTCCGAGGGGTTGTTTTCCAGTCGGAAGGGCCGACAGTTTACCTGAAACCGTTGAAGTGAGTAATTTTGCACTGGTATGTCGGAAAAAGCCTTTTCGATCCTCGATAGACCAGCAGTGTGATGACGAAGACCCGATTACAGGTGGTATGGGTAAGCGATATTCGCCGGTTCGGTACGGCTGGGTAAGGTCGTAAGGTGGAAAGGTGGGAAAAGAAGAGCTCTAGACCAGGGATAACTTATGCGTGCCAAGACACCGCCCAGACCCCGGTCCAAAAGCCCTAAGGCAAGGAGCTAAGAATGGAATGGACTAACCTGATATAGCAGGTGGCGGTCATCTAAGCTCAAGCCACCGGTACTTACGTTTTCTGCCAAATAAACGGCAGGACTCATGTATCGCAATTAGATAAGATTGATTAGGCTCCGTCACACAAAAGCTGTGATACCTAAGAGGGGTAAAGTTCCAAGATCACACCTCTTAAACTTACCTAATCGACTACGTGATGCATAAAGCCTTCTTAATTAATACTTGATGTAGATATTGATGGATAAATCTGCCTTGTGCATGTATGTACACTAAACATACCTTAGGTACCTATGTATGTAGGTGCATACATATTCGGTCTTCTCATACATTCTGATTGGCTCTTCAGCTATAGCCTTTCACATGCTTCTATATTACATTTTTCGAATAGTCGAATCGGGGTAATATCTTACGCCTCTTACATACATTACAGCGTGCTGCAATGAGTTATGATGTGAGATGGCTGAATTCGATGTAGAAATGAAGTGAGAGAAAGAACTACCTAAATGGGAAGAGCGAATGTTTTATTTACCTATTTTTAATTTTTATTTCAAGCCATCGATGTCAGTTGCGAATTCCGTTTCTAAAGTCCCTTGGACTTGGCAAGTGTAACTCAATCCACTATTGTCTAATTACGTAACCGTGCCTGAGCTGGAACTACGTATGCGACTATTAGATCCTTTGCCTCGTTTAACCTCTCATTATTCTCAGACATTTCCAATATATCTTCTCGGCACTTTATTATTATTACTATTGATGCCAGTATTGCTATTATCACCATTACACAGCTTGGAACATGGTATTAATAACTCTCAAACGTCAATAGATATTGGATATGTCTGGCTTACGATGTGCAAAGAAAGCAAAGAGAGGCAAAGCAAAAAAGCCCTTACACGAGACGCAATATAGATAAGTCCAGCCTTCGGACCCTACCGTCAAACCAACCACGTCGACTTCAAATGTTCCAAATGTCCCCAGATGTTCCAACGAGCATTTGACTTCTCCGGTCTTGACTTACCCCGGCCAACAACCAGTTTCGGTTGACAGTTATTAACAGGTTGGTTCGATGCATACACCTACATTGGCTATTATGCGTCATGAAATTAGGGTCGTCAATTGGAACCTGATCATCGGTGGTCACTCCGTCTTATCATGATCTTCAGAGTCGTTGACGAGCAGAGTTATCGTTAAATGCCTTGGTTGATCTAGGCTTTTTCGGTTCTGTCTGTTGTCAACCCCGTCCACCCCGTTTCTCTTTCCCCTCTTTCTCCCGATCTCATGTTTTTCTGGTTGTCTGTCAGGGCCCTGTTTTGTACGATACTGGCCTACCGTTTAACTCCCTGGTTCAGTGCGTTGACACACATGATTGATTCATTGGGTACTCGGTCATTGGCTACGAGGGCTGCGTACCATGGCTAGCCTCCCGAGTTTCATCCATCTTTCCGGGCCTATCAGCGCCTAAGAAGTGACCCAAACCGAAAGAATCATGCAGAGGCTATCACTACGCAGACCTGGGGACAAGACCTGCCTGTCACCCCAAGCTCGCCAAGTGCCTCGGACCCCATGATATCTTCGGAGAGCATTCTATTCCCCGGTTCACATACATACAATGTGACTTCGCCGGAGCAATGCCATTCCCATTGCACCGTCATCTGCGGGATCTACTCTCTGCTCGTCGGGATCGTATTTAATTGGTTTACCTCCAACTGAGGCTCCGCATCAAGAAGAGATTTATCATATTCTACACCGGCCTCTCCGCGCAACGTCTCTTGGATGAGACGCTTCATGCCATCGGTCTAGCCTGGTAGAGACGAGGACCTATCGTGGTTTCGGGGCGTTACGTTACGTTAATTGAATCTCGATAATGCTGACCTTCCTCATGACCCCAAAGTTTAAATCCTCCACGGACAACAATTTCAGCGAGGGCTGATCGAATCTCATTTGTTCTTATAATTCGGTCTAGTATGCATTGCAGATCATTAGCTCGGGCAATCTCTTCCCAAACCGAACTTCTCTTGGACGCAGCTTGTCATTCATTCACCCCAGCCTATCGTGAAGCCTCTCGACGCCAGCCCAAACCACGTCAGTCAGCGGATACACTCGGGATAGACCGAGCATTATGCTGAAGATCCTTATAGCTATGTAGGATCAGATTATACAATCCCAGGATGCTGCTTCGACGCATTGGGACGCGAATAGGCGAGGGCAACCTTATTCATACGACATCGATGCGCTTCCAGAACCACCAATACTTACAATATGAGAAATACTATGGTCCATAACGGGAAGGTCTATGTGATGTAGCGACTGGTCAGAACTACTCGTACTGTCGCCGATCAACCTCTTAAACTATTACCAGGACTAGTGATGGCGGTATGAAGCTGGACGTGGGTCGGTTCCTTCGGCAGAGAAGCACGCGGCACGATTATGCAATTTACGCATAGTCCAAGGCAATGCCTACCTACTGTATCCACCCTAGGAGTATACGGGACGAAGCGAATACCCTCGCACTTTAGCCGATAGCGGTGGGAAGCATACGGTATAGTTAGGTAGTTTCAGACTCTTACTACTGACTAGTTCAGCTTAGCCCTGCCGTCTTCTATCTAGGGACGCCATCCTTCATCTGAACTATGGAAGATTCCATACGTGACGATGGAGTACTTTGGGACGTTAGGTAATTAGACATTATTCATTACTAGTATTGCTAGCCATTGGCTCCAATGGGAGCGTAGAATCGGCCACCAGCAACGCGACTCGTTTGTCTGGTGGACTGGCTATATCGTCAGCCGTACTCGGACGCCCATGCTAGGTTTTCACCGCCCCTAGGCTTGTGAAGTGGCCCCCCGAGCGGCCTTAGGCACCCCGATTCGGCGACCCTAGATGGTTGATCGACTATAGCAGCCAGCACCCGACGCTTCAGCCACGTAAACGGCAAGGAAGCACGAGATCATACGAGTCGCGGAGCCAGTGGCTTTACCAGACACAGGAACAGAACACACACAGACAGACACCGAAACTACAAAAACAAGGTAACAGCACACATCACATATACAGCTCAGTCTCTTGTGGAAGGTCATTTGATTCATCGAGTTGTGTTGCCATAGTTCATAAGCGTCATGATCGTTTCGTTTCAATCTACCGCATTACCGCATGCGTTTTGTGTGTGTTGTGTTGTGTGTGTTGTGTGAGAATAGAGAGCCATAAGTCCTTGCCCAACCGGACGTCATTACCAAGGGATGATGAAAGATGGAAATGCCCCCCTCCAAATCATGAGAACATGATTTTATGATGACAACGAGAACACCTATCCTTTCCCTGAACCCCCCCTGGAAAAAAGCAAAAACCAATGATGATGAGGAAGAGAAAAAAAAATAAAAGACTCCCGAAAATACAGTACACATGCTAAGAAATGCCGACGTCCAATGGCCCGTTTGGCGGTGTTCTAGCTGGACGCGAGAACCAGCGAGCCAAGACGAGCGGACAAGTCAGCACTGTGATTCCAAGCTGTAGCCACAACCTATGGCTTACGGGGCCGTCCGTCATTTTCCCTGTTAGGAACGAACTTTGTGACCCCCCCTCTCCCCTCCACTGGTGCTGGGTCATCCTCTCCAGCTCAACGCATAAGCAAGGTCCCTCGTTACGAGAGCCAGTCGTGCCCGCCGGACTTGCCAGCGGGAGCAGCCGCGCGGTGGGATGGGGACGCATCAGAATCTAGTCCGAAGTTGAACTGAGGCATGTCGATCTTGGGCGGCGGCTCCTCGACCTTGGTCTTGCCTTTGTTATTGGCTCCTCCGCCTCCCGCTTGCCTCTTCGTCGGGCTCTTGGGGGCCGCGGGCGTGGCTGGCGGACCGTATCGTACATCTCGCACGTCCCAACCGTCTTCGGCCGCGGCTGCGACCCAGGTTCGTAGGCACTCGTGCAGGTAGGGGTAGAGCTTCTCCTTGGCGAGGCGCATGCTACCTCCCATGGTGCGCTCCAATCCGCATAATTGCAGGAGGCCGCGGATGTTGTTGCGCTCTTCTGCTGTCGGGGTGCAGGCGAGGATGGCGTTAATGAGGTCAAGGTGTGACGTGATGTAATTTGTAGCATCCCATTCTACCCCGCCGACGTAGGGAGCAGCTGGTTGAGGAGCTCTCTCTCTAGGGAAGTATGTTTCCATGTAACTCACGCCGTCTATCCCCGACGGACCAGCGCCATCTTTGGGCTCCTTATCTCGCGGAAGGTAGACGACGTTCATGCGGTGCAGGTATATCCAGAAGACCTCCTTGACGACATTCGAAATCTCCTTGCACCACATACGGTATGGGCGTTCTCGGCGCATATCGAGAACGAAGCCGAGGGGACGATCTTCCTCCTTCTGTTCGGGATCACGCAGATGACCAAGTACGGTCTTGGCGCGAACCGGGCGGTCGGCCGGGGCAGCTGACTGGATGTAGGTCATCAACACGGACGTGATGATGTTGCGTGTGGTAAACTCGCTAGGGCCCTTCTTGTCCGGGTCGAAGATCATATGTAGGAGGGCCGGGAATAGTGTTGCTTGATGGGAATGAAGTTCCTGCAATGCAAGAGCGGTAGTGCAGAGTGCCTTGAGGCAGAGGAGGTTCTCATGCAGCAGGGCATCCTCATGTTCTTCTCTGTTATGGTAGTTAGCGTCTTGGTTTTACAAAAGGTTTATGTGGTGGACTTACCTCCACTCGACCTCCATGATACGATGTAGGAGACCTACGATCTCTTGCATACCACCTTGTCGAATGAACTCTTCCGTCCAAGTCACTGTCTCATTTCGCAGCAGTAAGCGGAGCTTGTGTAGCTTGCCGACTTCTACCAGCTGTGGCTTCTGCACCTTACGCAGGTAGTTCACGAAGTCTACGGGTCCTTGCTGCATTACCCTCGACAAGATACCGCTTCCCGTGCCCGATCCACCAGATACAGGCCGTTCACTGGCCACACTATCCGTCGACCTGCTTCGAAAGTGCCGTCCTATGGAACCTTCGCCCTTGTGCTTCTTCACGGGAGAAGTGGAATCCGACTTCTTGCCTCTCGACATGGTAAAAGTTCGACCGCGTGACTTCTTCACCTTCTCTTGCTCCTGCGCTTGCGCTTGCGCCTGCACTTGAGCAGCGTTGTAGCTGAAATCGCTACCAACACTATCCGGCCGCAAACCAGTAGTACCTCGGCTCTCGGCCCAGTCCTGTCGAATCAATTCCATCTTCATGGTACCTGCTAAGCTTCGCATCTTGTATCGTTGATGCTCGGGAATGTTGCGTCGATCAAGCATTGCCTCGAATTGCTCGTCGACATCCTTCGGATCGAGTACGGGTTCGGCGGATTGGGCTGAAACGGGTCTACTCTGTGATTCGGTGCTGCCGGTCAATGCTCTGAGGCCTCTCTGGATCTTAGACTTAGAGGCCTTCGCGCTGCCCGATGCAGCCTTCATATCAGCGGACTGCATGTTAGGCGCATGGTATGACTTGGGTCGCTCTTTGGCTGATCGATTGCCTGATCCCATATTGGATGAGGATTGGTTGTTGGTGGAGTATCTATGAAGATTCTGGGTTTTTACGTGATCTAGTTCGTTTTGTTTTTCTATCGCACCACTGGAGAATTGGGCATAAATAGGAGGACGGGTAACAAGTTGGGGAACTTGGGATTCTTGAGAATTTTGAGGAGGCTGATTTTCCTTGTTCCTCTGCTTGGATCGGTCTTCGTCTTCTACAGACTGTCCTTTTAAGTTCTTCGAACTTTTGGGGCGACTTAGAAGGCCGATGAGATTTGTAGCCGACTTGATCTTCTTGGGTTTGGCGGAGCTTTGCTTTGGCTGCTTAATGCTACTAAATCCCTTCTTGGTCGGTGACGAGGAAGTACTTGGCGGCTCTTTGGTTGGTGATCGTGTGGAGTTCTGCGGGATCTCGCCTAAGGCAATAGGGCGAGAGAACAAATTGCCCATCTCGTGTTCGTGAGGCGAGTATTGAAAATCCGAAGCCAGAGCAGGTGTTGCTGAGGACAAAAGGTCTGTGGGTGGTAGAGGAGATCCATCGGAATTCGTGCGTTTATGGATGAATGATTTCAGGATGCTCGACTTAGACCGCTGATGCTGGGTCTGTCGGCCAGCACCAGGGGCGATATTCGCCGTGAGGTGATAGTCGTTCACGGACGCCATGATGCCTAAGGAGAATACGATCTAATAATTCAAGTTGTTGACGAAGGATATGGTAAGAGGGAAACAAAAAATAGGGGAAAGAAAAAACGTCGAATGCTGCCAATAAGCATAGAGTATGCAATGAAACAATGCTTAGCAATGTTTGACAACGTTCGGGACGTGACCGCGTTGAGTGCAACGGGCGGAAGCAAAAAAGCTAACGGACGATGGATTGAACTGTCTGCATCTGCAAAGCGTGGGTTGTCGAATTGAACTCTGAAGATTAAAAACAGAGGATTCAAAGTCGAGCTGAATACATTTCGTCGTTAAACTTTACCTTTTTAGTCTGGTCAGTTACGATTGACCAACTAGGCACATGGTTCGTGGAGACTTTGTTTAAGTTGAGCTTCGCCGCCTTTTGGTAACTGCATGCAGATTTGGGGGGCGTGGTTGCCCAGCAACTGCACGGCAACTACGACCTTAAGTGCGTATGGTACTTCAGGTACGTACTGTGCTACATAAAATCAATTCAAATTTCAAGGTTGTAGCTCCTCACCGGAGCAAAATAATACTGGCTTATCGTTTATCATCCGTCCCCGGTACCCCACTTAGCGTCTTCTTCAGCTATCTCTTCAGCTAGTACAGTGTACCCCACCATATCAGCTTGAATTTCACTTCGCGCATCTACGAACTATCTCTAACTAAAACGACTACTCAAAAGTTATTCACACCTTCACATACCTACATCGTGTTTAACACTACCTACACCTGTTCAATATGCCTGGACCTCCGAATAAAAAACAGAAGCGGCAAGACTACCGTCAGGCCTTGAAAGAAAATGGCACAACCAATATGCCTAAGAAGAAATTCTATCGCCAGAGAGCGCATGCAAATCCTTTTTCAGACCACAAGTTAACATAGTATGTCTACCGTCTCTATTTTTGTACAAAATTTTGAGGCTTACCGTGTTAGCCCAATTAGACCCGACTGTATGGATTGGTCCACATTCTTCCCATCATTTGCCGCAGACGCACAACCAAATCCACTCCCACAGACATCTGAAGATGTCAAAGCGATATCGAATCCACCACCGAAAAAAATGACGAAGGATGTCGAGGTTGTTGACATAGGGTGTGGTTTTGGTGGCTTATTAGTGGCCCTATCTCCTGTTATGCCGGATACCTTGGTTGTGGGCATGGAGATCCGATCTCAAGTAACGGAATTTGTTCAAGATCGCATCAAAGCCCTTCGTGCGAAAGACCCTGAGCAAAAGAGGTTTCAGAACATTGGCTGTATACGGGCCAATACGATGAAGTTTCTTCCCAATTTCTTCAGAAAGGGGCAACTATCTAAGATCTTCATCTGCTTCCCGGATCCTCACTTCAAACAGCGCAAGCACAAAGCTCGAATCGTATCTACTACATTAAACTCGGAGTATGCGTACGCCTTGAAGCTGGGTGGAATCGTGTACACTATCACGGACGTGGAGGATCTTCATAAGTGGATGGTACAACATCTTGAAGCCCACCCGTCGTTCGAAAGGGTATCCGAAGAGGAGCAAGATGCTGATGCATGTGTGAAAGTTATGAGGACAGAAACCGAGGAAGGGAAGAAGGTTGAGAGAAATAAGGGGCAGAAGTTTGTTGCCTTGTTTCGGCGTTTGGAAGACCCTCCGTGGTGATAATCAATTGTAACATAGGAAACATCGAAGTTGTAGCAATGTCTTGAGTAGGCGACTAGGTATCTATCTACCTATGGACCTATGTATCTGGATATAAAATCAATTTGGGACTTGGGAAGGCCATAAATGAATAGTAGAGATACCCCTGTATGCCCAAGTTCATATATCTAGGTAGGTAGGTATATAACGACTTATCGTCTTGTCTCTTTGTCAACCTTAAAGTTACATATCTATAACTTATGTATTATTTGATGCACATGTTGAGAATTAGAATCCATGATTATTTTAGGTACTAAGGTACTTGAAAATGTCCGCTATGTGGGTCTCACCTGGTAGTGTATCTTGTACCTTGTACCTTGCATAGATGGACCGTGCGCTTGAATTCGTATCTGATTCACCTCAAGCTCTACAGTACCTCAGTATTTCATTCAGTTTATTAGTGAAACTGCGGGTGGTTGCGTGTTACCTCTAATCGATAAGCATTCCGTCTTCCAACTTGGAATCCGTCTTTATTTGCGATTGCTACAACACTTTAACACCCCACGGACGAATCATGAAGCTGGGACCTAAGCGACTTCAAACCGAGTATGGCCCTTAAAGGGAGAGATGTCGGTTTGGCTGGCGTCGTCTGCTTTTTCGCATGGGGTTATGCAACTAGTTGGTTTCCAGCTATTCGATGGGCTGGATATGCCTTCGTCGGCGGCACCATTGTATCCTTCCTAGGCGTTTGCCTATTGCTACTAACATCTCGAGGCTCGACGTATAGCCAACGGAACAGATCGGCACGACCAAATGCTGTTAGCTTTGTGGGCGCCGATTCCTGGCGTAAAGAAACGACTGCCCTACGACTTCGACAGACTTATATCAAGATACCTCTATATTCCGAATCACCCGCGATATCCAACGCATTGGATGATTTGCTCGATCTGATCGTACGAGACTTTGTCAAGTCGTGGTATTCGAACATAAGCAAGAACCCCGTGTTTGCGAACGAAGTTGACAATGCCATAAGACATGCGTTGGCTAGCATAAGGGACCGTCTTTTTGAAACAGACCTGGTAGAGGTCGCTACAAGCAGGATTGCCCCGATACTGACAGCTCACTTTCGGGATTTCTATGATGCTGAAAGAGCGGTTCGTGGTCGCAGATTAAACCGTGATGTTACCGAATCCGAAGAACTGGATTTAGCTATCGCCGCAAAATATCGGGATGGCAAATTACACCCCGCCGCCTCTCTGGCTTACTCGGATACGAAGCTAGTACAGCAAGATCATCTACGGAACATAGTCACTAAGATCCTACCAAGAGTGCTTCCAAGAAACTTATTGGATAGTCGTGCCGTATTCAGCATCATTCGCGAAATAGTCTCTTGTGCTGTCTTGTTCCCCACCTTACAACTACTATCTGAGCCCGATACCTGGAACCAAGTGATGGAGAACTATGGCCGGAGCATGCTACAGGATCGATCAACAGTCCGTAAACTTCGTGCGGCCTTGGATGCGCATGCGTCGCCAACCCCCAAAAGCTCCAAGTCGGTAGCGTTCCCACGACTTTCTCCAAGTGATAATGAACGTCGATTCGAAAGATTCATCCGTACAATCCGCAAACTTAATAATTTATCCGACGCAAGACGATTTCGAAGTGAAGTCGCGAGTCAACTAATGAAGGACTCGCAGTATAATGGCCAGGATCCGATCTATCTTCGTCGGTTAGAAATGGGTAAACGTCTTCTAGATCAGAGAGTTCAGCAATTAGCAGCGGGTGGTGATGGTCGACATGTGCCATTGCCAAGTAATCCATCGCCAGTTTCCGGATCTTCCAAGTTGGAGAATGCTTCTTTAGTTGAACTACTACGCGACACGTCAGGTCTTTCTTACTTCATGGAGTATATGGATAGACAAGGCTTGATGTCCCTCGTACAATTCTGGTTGGTTGTTGACGGCCTACGAAACCCTCTGGAAGACGATGGACCCGACGACGAGCAACTGCCTTCAACCCTGATCCCTTGGACCGAATCTGATCGTGTCGATCTCGCTCAGATCGACCAAGCATACTTATCTAAGCAAGAACTAAAGGTTCCCACCAGTTCACGACGAACTATCCGTGAGTTTCTGGATGCAGGAAGAGCAGCTTCTCCAGCACAGTATTACAAAGCCCGTCGGGCTGTATTGCGAACTCAGAGCGCCGTTCTTGAAGATATGCAGTCTAGATTTCTCGACACATTTAAAAAATCAGACTTGTTCTACAAGGCGCTGGCGTCGGAGGAGGCCTCGAAGAGTATTCCTTTAGCTCGACAGCCACAAGCAGGACCAGCCGTTGTCCCGCCGCTTGTTCGCGCTTCGCAGTCGTATGCATTGAAACCTTCGCCTGTCACAAAGCTCAACCCGAAGCTAAACACGTCCAATGGCCAAGTCAGACGAGGTCTTTCTGCTTCGGACCTAAGAACCCCCAATTCGAATGGCAGCCATAGCTCGGATCCCTTGATGGGCCATCGACGGTCGCTAGATGATGGCGTAGCTTCGCCATTATTCGATGATGATGATTTGGAACATGACCCGATGACTGATTCACTGTTAAGTCTTGACCAGGAGCCATTAATACCTGTACCAGATACCCAAGTTGTGCAGGCGGTAGAGGAGGCACTTAATAATATTATGGAAGACGATAATCGACCAAAAACAGCGGAGGCTCTTCGCGAGTCGCTATTTGGCGAAAACGATGATGGAGCTTCGAGTATGTTCTCGGGGCAGGATAATGGTTCAGCTAGAGGCTCAATTGACCAACAACGTCCAATACAATCCGGAAAAGAAGTCGAGAAGCCTAGTTTGGCATCGCTTGGACTTGTAAGCGCGGCATCTAGGATCGGCGTTTTCATGGATGATGACCTCTTTGGTGATGAAGACAAGTTCTTATCAGACGAACAAGATCACAACGATGAAATTGCTGATACCGAGGATGAAGTGCACGAGGCTGCACCAGGAGACCTTGGGCTTGCGGAGGCTATCACAGCCCTCACGAATGATATTGAACGTCTTGCTGCTCAAGAAGCCGTTATAGAATCCCTAACGAAAAAGGCTGAATTGACAAACAACACAGCCGAGTTGCGCATTTTACGAAAATCAAAAGCAAGTTTACAGAGGGAACTCAGGCGAAAAGAACTGCAAAGACAACAATATGTAATTCAAGAGAATGATAATAGTCTCTACGGACGAGCGTCGATCAAAATCAAGTCCATCCAGGTGGGGCGAGAGGAGGATGGCAAGGAATTTGCTCTTTATGTCGTTGAGGTAAAGAGAGACGCTGGTGAGAAGATGCCCGCAGCCACTTGGATCGTGACACGACGGTACAGCGAATTCCACGAACTTCACCAGAAGCTAAGGGATAGATATCCATCAGTACGAAATCTTGATTTTCCACGGCGTCGAATGGTAATGAAGCTTCAGAGCGATTTTCTCCGCAAGCGACGCGACGCTTTAGAACAGTATTTAAGCCAGCTGCTTCTCTTGCCAGACGTATGCCGGAGCAGGGATCTGCGGGCTTTCCTATCACAAAGCGTAATTACCCAAGGAGAAGATTTAATGAGCCGTGAAGACAAGAAGGATATGATCACTCGCCTATACGATTCCGTTACCGATGGCATGGAAGATATCCTAGGAAATATACCTGTCTTGGATCAGCTCTCTATAGCAGGTCAGAATCTAATCGCAGCCGCTACAAGTCAGATGAGCACAATGCCACTCAGCATCAACGAGGACGCCATGACAACGGCTGAAGCTGAAGCTGAGTTGAATGCATTCGAAAACAAGGAGCTTGAGCCTTTCATCAAACCTATCTGCGATATATTCCTCGAAGTATTCGGTCTTAACAGGGGTAACAATTGGCTTCGTGGGCGAGCTGTCGTTGTCGTTTTACACCAAATGCTTGGGGGCACTATTGAGCGAAAGGTGCGGGACAACTTCAAGGTATTAGTCCAAGAAGAGGCCGTTCTTAAATACATTGCACTCTTAAGGAACAGCATGTGGCCCGGAGGACAGATCAACAAAAACAAACAGCCTAGGACACCGCCAGAAAAGGCACGGACTCGCAGGGAGGCAAGCTTGATGCTAGCCACGTTAGTTCCAGATTTGGCCGGAAATGTGGTTGGGCGGCTGAATGCCCAAGCAGCAAGCCGCAGAATCTTCGCGACGCTGAATAACTCAAGATTAAAGTATGTACCTATCCTGAAATCCGACGCTCCGTGCTCCAGTGCTGACGAATTATCATAGCTCACATCTGACTTTCACCATTCTGGACGAGCTTATCGACATTTTATTCAACGGAGATTAGTCCGTTAAACTGTAGCCATCGTCATTTTTCTTCTTCTACGCAGCATAGCAAGGCGTTCGGACCGGAGTGTTTAGGATGTCATCAAGGCGCTGATGAATGCTAATGAATATGTATTTGATACCATCGTAGTTGGTAGGGTATGTCTTTTGTGTGTCTTTTGTGTGCTTGGAATGACAGGGCGCTGAATTAAGAGTTGCAACAAGGAAGATGAGGCGATGATCGCTTGTTATACTTATCTCCTGGGTATCCATGCTTAAAGATGTATCCAGGAACCCGGTACCTACCTAGAATCTAGATAGGTGAGGCGAGCAGTGCCTACAACGTACATACAACTGAAAGTCTGGGGTAGTTCAAACAAGTACCCATCCAATGTTTTCAGGCGCCTACTCATAATGTTTCCTAAGCCCGAAAGGATATTACCGGCAAATTTTAATCAATAATCAAACCTCATCTGGCGTCTTTCAGTCAATTGTTGAATTGGTGAATTAAAGACATCGAGCAATTAGAAACTTGAATTGAATTGAGGAAATGATGAATGAACTAATAAATCATTTCCTATTTCCAGCCTTCAATTAATCAGTCTGGATTTCCTTTTTTGAAGCCACTACCCGCCAGTCGCAAGTGTGGCCATCCAAGTCAAGATAAGTACAGTGAAACCCTACCATAACGATCCTAGTACATAACGATACCCCGGTATAACGAACTTTTTTTCCGGATTTTTGAAATTTGTATGGGAAATAACGATAATTTTGCCATAACGAATTATCGTTAGCTTTTGGCTTAGTCACCACTAAAATCGTTATAAACAGGTAAATTTTTATGAAAATCCTTCCATTTTAAGAAGGAACTAAGCCCTTTTTGTACCATAATTACCCCACTTTGGTATAACATCGAACATTTTATGTCTGTGCGCTACGGGCTTTACCATTTTAGGCAACAATATCTAAAAGTGGATACTTATTCTATAGCGATACTTCGATATAACGATTAGAATTCTATGTTTTTTTCATATCGTTATGGTAGGGTTTCACTGTACCTACCTTTTTTTAAAATTAATTTTGTTGTTAATATCAAACGTGATTTCAATAAGTTTAGAAGTCTCAAAAAACAAGTTCCTTCAACTTCCTTTGTTATTAATATATATTATTAATATTAGTTCAAATCGAGGAGAGTATTGGTTTCGTGAAAACCTAATGTGACGTGCTTGGACAAATCATCATATCAGATATGCTGTGTTCATGTTGTATTGAGCGTTACCATTGAGCATCAATTGAAGCTGCCAAGCTACAAAGTACGTAGCCGTTAAGTTCGATCTAAACGGGTCCACATACTTTTAGGTACCTTAGGCTGCCGTGTTTGGTCTGTGCGGGGAGATGATCTTTGCCGCCCCCATATTTTTAAGTGTACCGTGCACCTTGCTCTTCGCACCTTCTTCACACCTTCCCATGTCCGCAGTCTCTTACCCATCACACTCGCCTCTGCATTAATCACTTGTCAACTTTATTAATTTCAGCAGTTGCATCGTCGGGTCTTAATCATACAAACTGCAACCCGCAGCCGTAACCTGAACCTGACAACCTAACAACTCCTCCCACCTCAAAAATCTTGACGTCCTAACATCAAGATCACTACCTCTCTTTTTCCTTCCCAAATCAAAATCTTGGAAGTCTGGCCAGTCTATCCAAACCCTCCCTCCCACATCGTCATTTCGGCTACCCACACATTTGACACCTTCGAGGGTTTTCTCCCCCCCTCGTTGGGTTTTTTTCCTGGTCCTGGTCTTTCTTCACGGTTCCCACACAAAATCACAATTCGCCTGATTGGGTCATCTTTCATCGAATAAATTGATCTAGGCTGCTGTAGTCTTTGCGACTTATTTGCAGACGAGGACCCTTCCTACTCGTCGCGCACGAGACTCTTAGCTTCCATTTAGGTCTTCGTCCAAATCAGACCTCTGCGCCTGCAAGTTATAACCGATCGCAATTATGGCATCCACTGAGGTTTCTGCTACCAGGCTCTATCTGGGAAACCTGCCCAAGGGTGGTAAGTAGCTATACTGGTATCTTAAAGTTTGTTCAAGCTTGTGTTGCGGTGTAACAGAGCTTGAGCTAGCTTAGCGTGTCGCCCTGTTGTTGTTGTTGCTAATGCTCGCAATTAGCTACCAAGGCCGATGTCGAAGCTCACTTCGCGACCCATGGCACTGGCGAGATTACCGAGGTAAAGCTGATGAATGGCTTTGGCTTCATCGAATACAAGGATCCTATGGATGCGCGCGATGTTGTTCCTGGTGAGCATACTACAAACCCCACCCTATCATAACTTCTCCGGCTTTTTTTTTCTCGGGGTACAAATTCAATAGCTAACTTTGCCGCATCGCAGCTTTCCGTACGTCTTGGACCGTTCCTGGCTACCGTCTCTCCTGATTTTCCTGTGTCCTGGCTAATATTGACGAAAAGATGGATCTGACTTCATGGGCGAACGCCTAACCGTACAATTCGCCCGAGGCTCTCGTCACCGCGAAGGCTTCGGTGGCCACGAGCGCAGCGCTCCGCGCCCTCGCCGTACTCCTCATCGCATGCAGATAACTGGACTTCCCAATGAAACCAGCTGGCAGGTCTGTTTAACTCCCGTTTTCCCGTTCTTCGCCCTCGGATTCTGGCTTTAGATCATGCTTTCCCTTCCTTGGTAACAGAGATCCGTCTTGCGCCGTGTGCTTTTTTTTCGCCTCAGTAGCGAGGACGCTGATATCAGCCAACACTTTGCTTGTGATGTCGTGCCCATCGATTTAACTATCCCAACTTCTGGCGGACAGGTCTTAGGAGCTGGTCAAGGTTCCTTGAGGATTTCCATGTTGGACCTAGCCGCCTGCTTGGATTGGTTTGACCGCATTCCTTTGCTGGTGCTGCTTCTGGAGTTGGAGATTTTGGCCTTATTCGCATATGTTTTACTCCGCTCCTCGGACCCTCCACTTACATGGAATCTGGATCTAGGACCTTAAAGACTTTGCCCGACAATCTAGTCTGGATGTTGTCTACTCAGAGACCGGCCGCGACGGCAATGGCCGTGGGTAAGTGAATGATTCCCACATGCCCACTTAATTTACCTACATATCGGCTAATTAATACGTTTAAAGCTTCGTCGAGTTTGAAACTGCTGCGGATTTGAAGACTGCAGTGGAGAAGCTTGATGGACGCGAGTTCAAAGGACAGCGAGTCAACTGCATTGCCGACGTAAGTCTAGAAACCTCCCCCTACCCTGCACGTGCTAACTCCGCGTACCAGACCCAGCCGGATTTCCCTGTCCGCGAGCGCGGCGGTCGCTCGCGTTCTCCTACGGGTCGTCGACCTCACGGCCCACCTGGTGACGGATACGATCGACGTGGTCCGCCTCGTGGCTACAGCCCCCGCGGTTATCGCGATGATTATCGCGACAGGAGCCCTCCTCGTCGTGATTATTACGACGATCGTCGTTACAGGTCGCCGCCACGCCGCGGACCCATCGATGACTATCCGCCTCCGCGTGGACGATACGAGGACCCGTACCGACGCGAGTACGGCCCCCCTCCGGACCCGTACGTCAACGGCCGACCCTATGATCGACCTCCGCGAGACTTTCCACCTCGGGATGGTGGATACGGAGCTCGCGAAGGTGCCGGTTATCCTCGAGAGGATTACCGTCGAGGTGGTGGTGGTTACTGGTAAATTTCTCAAGTTCAACTTTATTTGAACGACCCCCCTTACGTTATCTAGATACCGCGCCGTTTCTTGCCCATAAGGCCGGCTCACTATGCCGTATTTTAAGGTACAGTATAGGAATCAAAGCTACGAAACAGGTTACGACAAAAAAGGGGGACAAATTTACGTTCAGGGGTAACCTATACGGGTATAAAAGTACGAGTTTTCTACGGCCGGTTTCGATGTGTTGATGAGGGCGGCAGGGTTAGGATGCAAAATGGATTCCATGATCTGACAGGCTTGGTTGAACCATGCTCTGGTTGGCTTCAGGTTAATCGCGTGTATGATCAAGCAAAGATAGTGGCAGTTGATTTTACGAAGACCGAATGATATGCTTTCCTAGGTACATAATGCGGGAGCCGATGGAGCTACGAGGAAGCTGCATACATATATGCAGGCTAGCTATGCAAGTATACCCCCTATCGCTAGATCCGATCGTTACAAAAAGGATACCGGTACCTAGCCCTAGTCCCACTAAGCACCTAGCAATCAATGCTTAACAGTGAAGCAAGTCACCAACCACAAAATGATTACCCACTAGGAGAAACAAGGCACTTGCTTGCCTGGCAAAGCAAGGGGTGGATGACAGTAGTTTATCCCATAGTACATATATTAGAGCCCTGGAGTTGTTAGGGTTCGGATCCGTTTGTTTGCTTATTAATCTTATTAATCCAAATAGCTATCTATAGTTGATGTTCATTCGGTGCCGCATGATTGAAACCGGAGCAACTTCTAGACCGTTATTCTGCTTAGAAATCCGAGCAGCATATTCCAAAGACCCAAATAAGAAGATGATATTCCAAAGACATACCAGTTTCAGTTCTGTGTCACACCCCACATTAATTGAATACTTCTATACTTCAACGGCATAGGCTTAGAGTTTCGCCGTTGGATTTGTAAAGTCTCCTTAGCAACCTAGCAGCCTGGCAGCCTGCATCAGACAAAGCCGGATTTAGCGGAAACACCAAATATAGTTCTACTCCTCATGTCGGCCAATACTTTCCGCAGCCTGGTGCCGCAGTCTATAAGAATCCCCTCTGTCCGTCTCTCATCTTGGTCTTATCTACGACAATATAACAACACCACAACATTATATACATTATACCACAAAAAGCCCTTCTCCACATCACGCACAACTGCACAGAAGCCACCTACGTCAACACAAGAGCAGCTAGATCCCGAAATGTCTGAACCAACCGGTCTCATCGCCAAGAGTGGCATTGAGCTCTTAACCTTTGGTATGTTCATCTAGGTATTTAGAGGTAACTAGAACATTGCCTAATTCATATAGGGACACCCAATGGCCACAAAGTGTCCATCATTCTTGAGGAGCTCAAGGCTGCCTATGGCAAGGAGTACACATGGCAATCCATCAATATCATGAAGAACACGCAGAAGGAGCCGTGGTTTACGGCAATTAACCCCAACGGTCGTATCCCGGCCATCGTCGACCATGACAGGAACGACTTTGCCGTCTTTGAAGGTCTTCCGATTCTCACTTACCTGACGCGTCACTACGACCCCGAAAACAAATTCAGCTTCCCTGTAGAGAGTGACGACTACAGTGTCGCTGAGCAGTGGATGGCCTGGCAGCAGTATGTGTCTCAACAGTTTGCTTAACTATTCCTCCCTACCGACTTAGGGTGCCCCACGATGAATTTGTAGCAAAGCAAAGTATTGGTTCACTGACAACAACTCGAATAGCGGTGGCGTTGGTCCGATGCAAGGCCAAGCAAACCACTTCTTCCGTTTCGCGAAGGAGAAGATCCCGTATGCCACACAACGATATGTCGGCGAATCAGAGCGTCTCTACGGCATCCTAGACAAGCGGCTCGAGGGACGCGACTACATCGTCGGTCCCGGGAAGGGCAAGTACAGCATCGCCGACATCAACATATTCGGCTGGGCCAACATGTTGATTCTCAGCGGCATTGACATCAGCCGGTTCCCCAACATCCAGAAGTGGCTCGACCGCATCAACGAACGTCCCGCTGTGAAGAAGGGACTCGCGATACCGCAGGAGAGCTCTTTTACCAACGCCGCTTACCTAAAGACTTTGGCGACCGACCCGGAGAAGAAGGCGCAAGCTGAGGAGTCGGACAAGTACTTGAAGGAGGCGCAGGAGAAGTACGGGTATAAGTACACCACTCCTTAAAGTGAGATAGAAGGGAATATATGTGTCTTGGCAGCGTGTACCCTGTTGGTATATATCTGGGATCTAGGTATGCATTATTTACCTAACATTGGCTAGAACGTTGGCATAAGATTATGAAATAATAAATCAAGATCAAGTACACCAAACCCCTGAACGTCGCTTAGAATAGTGTTGTGAAGGATCACGATACTTTTTTAGCCTCAGGACAGGACTAGGTAAATGATTGTGTCGGCTAGAAGCCTCCCAATTACAGAGTATACAGCTGCCGCGTTCGCTTCCCACAGGTGGAAATTGTCTAGCTTCGGAGTGAATTTTCCCGGATCGTCGACCGTGCCATCCCCAATTCCCCCAAGGTCCCCGCAATTTTACCCTAGCAGCCCCGGTCTTGGGATCTGGGAATGCTACGTCGTACCTGGTCACCGTCGGAGCATATTGGGGGAATGGGTTCGGGACGCGAACCGAGGTGACGTGATGTATGGCTGGGCAAGTAAATAAAATGGCCAGATCATGCTCTCCCTCTCTCTCGGGTTTCGCTCTCGTTCTCGTCCAGTGCGAGAGCTGAAGCTGCTTCCTTCTGCCTTTACAAATTGGTACAGCTAGGTAACAGTACCTAATTAGCCGACCATGTCCGTTCGTTCAGTTGCTCTCGCGGCCCTAGTCGCTGCTGTCGAGGTCGCGAGTCAGGACGTCGTCGTCGATATCCCGAGCACTCTTTCTCCGCGACCCCTCGTCCCGGATGTTTACGGGTACTCGATAGAGCCTATCTGGGTCAATGACTACGTCAGCACGCCTTTCGCCAACACCCTCCTCAGCGCCATCAAAGACGTAACCGGCAAGCCTCCCGGCATCCGCGTCGGAGGCAACACAGCCGACCAGACGTACTTCCACCCCACGCTATCCACAGGCAACGCCTCCGTCGCAATCCCGGACCTCCTAACCACGAAGATCTTCAACATCACGCCTAGTTGGTACGATGGCTGGGCGAACTACTTCCCATCCGACACGGAACTCATATACACTCTCAACCTCGGGGTAAACACCTCCAACTGGGCCAACGCCGTAGCCGAAGCCAGCGCCGCGTACACCGCTCTCGGGTCAAAACTGACGCTCTTCGAGCTCGGCAACGAAATCGACCATTTCATCAAAAAGAGCTGGCGAGACCCGTCGTGGAACGTAGCGACTTACCTCGAACAATTCCGGAACCTAAGCGGACAAATCGTCGGTTCGGAATGGTATAAGTCAGCGAAAGCGCCGCCGAAGTTCCAATCAGGCGTGTTCGCGGACCCGCCATGGGTTCCGGACCAACAAGACGAAATCGACGACTTCAGCATCGAGAACCTGACGCTCGCGGAAACAGCAGCGGATCGCGAGGTCGTGGGCACGTACGCGACTCACCTGTACCCGCAATCCACCTGCGACGGCCCGCGCTGGCTGCGCATGCGATTGGATCTTCTCTCGAACCACACGACGCTCTGGCTCAACGTCTCGCAATACGCGCCACAAGCCGCGGCCGCGGAAGCAGCGGGGTCGCACCTCGTGATGGGCGAGACGAACTCGGTGTCGTGCGGGGGCAAGAGCGGGATCAGCGACACCTTCGGCGCGGCGCTATGGGGCGCGGATTACGTGCTCACGGGCGCGACGATCGGGATTAGGAAGACGTATTTTCATTTAGGCGGGCAGAGCGAGTATAGCGCTTTCACGCCGAAGGGGTATGTCCTGAAGAACGAGACGCTGGGGGCCGGGATCCGCGCGAATTGGTACGGGCACTATTTCATCGCGAAGGTCGTTGCTGCGGCAAGGGGCGAGGAGCTGAGTGTTGCGGCGCTGCCCGGGGCGAATTCGAGTGATTTGAGCGGATTTGCGGTGTATAGTGGGAGTGGGGCGAAGAACGCGACGAAGGGGGAGCTGAAGAAGTTGGTGTTCTTGGATATGGGGGTTTGGAATGGCACGCAGGGTCTGGCTAATAACTCTACTCTTAAAGCGACGGATGGCACTTTCTTTAGTCAGGGTGCGAGGCCGAATGCTACGATCACTGTTGCGACGCCGTGGGCTGCTGGGAGCAAGGTCGGTGTTACGAGACTTACGGGTCCGGGGACGAATGCGAAGAGCGGTGTTGCTGTCTCTGGTGTTACGTTTGATGCGCGGACTGGTAAGAAGGTGGGCCAGGAGGTCGTGGAGACGCTCCAGGTAGGACAGAATGGAGCGTTGGTGATTAGTGTAAGACGGGCTGAGGGCGTGCTACTTGAGATTGGGGGCGCGTCGAACGGTACTTCGGGTTCTGGGTCTGGAGGTCATACTTCCCCCGAGATTTCAGGCGCAAGTGGGAAAGGAATGATGGCTTGGACTGCGTTGTTAATGGGCGCGGTAGCTGCTGTGTTTATGATGTAATTTCAAGTAGCCTGAAAAGTACTTCTTAATAGGATGAGAAGAGTAAAAAGTAATTGACTAATTTCATCGGCTTTGAACAACCTGTTATTGTAAGCATATAAGAAGAAAATTCGAGATATACAAGGCAAGATAATTATTAATAAATAGTATTAAAAATTAGATCGCGTAATACTAGAATTAGAGTTAATAGAAGTCGTACATCTCAGGCGTGAAAAATAAGGGACCTCCGCAAACACCTATCCAACCCTCCCAAGCGGAACAACTCTTTTATTTCCATACTTGGTGAACTCAGAGTCGTTCCCGCGAGACATGATATCAATAGATGCGAGATTCACTATTAGTCCCGCGACATCTTTAGCATCGATCATAGCTCCATTTCCCTGTTTTTGGTATAGGTATTAGATAGTTGATCTGGGTATGGAATCACTTACCTTAGTGATCTCGACCCTAAGCTGCTCTAGCAATGTTCTTTGCATCGCATCACGACCTATCCTGTTCAATCCAAGGGCCCTTCGCAGGGAAATCTTAGAATGAGCCAAACCGTGCGTAGGCATTCCAAGAAGCGCCATTCGTCCGGCGAAAACTTCTCCTACACGGACATTAATATTGCAAGGTAGTTCCAGCTCAGACCGATTAACAGCGATTTCCACAAACCACTCATCACCAGCTAGCGTGTTGTTATTATCGCCATTACTGCCATAGAGGCTATTAATACGAGATATAACACCACTCCCCTGATACTGACTAAGACCCCAGCCCTTGAGCTCGGGGTATGTATACCCAAACGCATCAATCGACGAGGTGCTGATTCCCGTATGGAAGGACTTGCCATCGGCGCGATAGAACGGCTTCACCGGGCTCTTAGCTGTTACGTTATCGCCGCGAGCAATTCCATATAGGCCACCAGTAATGTAGGTCTGCGACTGGTAAGTGTTATCGGGGTGAGCGGCTTGCCATAGTGCGGCGAGGCGGTCGACGTTGGCGTGGTGGAGCATACTGTTTATGTGGATTAGATGGATCAGAAGGAATCGATGATTGCGAATAAGTACTATCTTGTCGGTTTGGTACAACCCGAAGAGAAAGATAGACAGAAAAGGTGGTCAAATGAGAGAGGCAGGAAATCCACGTACAAAAGCGAATCAAAAGCCGTTACAGCGATAAACGCAAACGTGCCCCCGACAGCATCATGCACGATGTTATGCGCCGCCTCCAGACTCAACCCCGCCGGGTCCGCCGTCGACGACATCTGGTCGTAGGTCTCGGCGAAGGCAAAGGTGCGGTACTACATCCGGACCAAAAAACAACGTCAGCTCCAACTCCAATTATGTACGACGATAAAATCCAACCTGTGTTTTACCAAATGAGCAGCTAACTCACAACCTGATCCCTCAACTGTCCCGCCACAGCCGCCAAATTCGCATTCACTACGTCGAGGCTAAAGTCGCTTTTCCCATCCGAAGCCCGCGTCGTCTCGTCTGGAAAGCCTGCAGACCCTGGGAACTGCGTCTCGTTCAGGGGGTACGTCGGCCATTTGTAACTATATAGCGGGTTGCGCATAGTCAGGGGTCCGAATGGACCCGTCACCGTGACATTCAACGTAGCGCACGCCGGCGGCAGTTGCGCGTTAGAGGCCCAGTCCCAGTACGGCAGACGGAAGGTGCGAGCGGCCTCACGGTACGTGAAGTTCCGGTAGCTGGTGTTGTATTGCGCGGCGATGCGGCGGATTTCGGAGCCGAGGATTTGCTGTGATGAGAAAGAAAATGAGTCATTCGTGATCAGAATTGGATGGAATTGCCTACATACCTCGTAGAGGGCGAGGTACGCGCGGTGCCATGCTACGAATTGACCCTCCTTTCCGGTGTTAGCGGTACGAGTTTACGGATGGGATAAAAGGGGGGGACATACACCGTGCGGGCAGAAACCGCGACCCGAACCCCCTGGAACCGGGCCTACCCCGTTATACGGGGCGTAAGGCATTCCATGAATACCTGTAATATGCCATATGAGGATAGAGGAAAACTGAGGTGTCAGAAGTGATTCTCACCCGCGAGGCTGAAATGTGATAGCTCATCCGCCTCCGTCTTATTTTGTAGTGCTGCAAGACCTTGGATATATAGGTCCCTGCTCCTCGGTTAGATATCTATTTTTAAATAGGTGCATGTTATAGGGGCAATCCCACCATCGAGGTCCGCCTTCATGCTCAAGTGCATTAATTTCCCATCGTGCAGGCCACTCGCCAGTCCGATTGTTGATGCCGGTGGTCAGTCCGGTTACGGGTATTGGTTGTTGCGCTTGTCCGTCGAACCGAGGCGGAGGCGAGGCGGTTAGGGCCGCGGCGGACACGAACACGACCCAAGGAATTAGTCTCCTGATTATCGACATCAAAGTTGTGCACAAAATAGCCCAAGGGGTAGACAGGAAACGGCACAGTAACAGGTGTGTGCGTCAGCTTCCATGGACAAGATTCAAAAGACATTCGATAACCAGTTGAGCACTGAACGTATTAACTACTCGCAAGCCTCCTATGATTTCCGATGCGCGATAGGGGTACTTAGAGGCGGATCACGGGACCCCGTATCTGGTAGTAGGAGAATAAGCACATTGGTTTTCGTGTTGTAAAAAGGCCCCTCGGTACACTCGTTGTGATTCATGCTGAGATCTCATGTCGCCTATCTTCTCTAGAGCAGACAATGAGCTGACGCTGCAGAGGTCGACATTCGCGTGGGGGATGAACCTATGAATCGTGGATATTAGGCAGCACAGCAGGTATCGTACATATTTCGATAAGGCACACGAGGTTTGTCTCTGACCTCGTCGGATCTCGCTTCGCGCCACCGCCACGGAATCGCGGTGGTTGAGGAATGTCCGGGCCATAAGTTGGGTCTCTACCTACCTAGGTAGGTATCTAGTAGGTCATCCGATCCTCGGCCAAGTTTCAATATCGACGATTCACCGCCTCGGCGTCGTCGTCCTGCAAAGTTGTTGTTGGGACTTGTAGAAAAGTACGAAGGTAGTAGGTAAGTATCGTACGTTCCTTGCGGAACGCCCAAGCGTGTTCCGTGCGTGTGTACCTCCAGCCATGTTCTCACGTAAAGCCAAAGCACGCATCGGATTCGGCAGGCTGCAGGAACATCAGTGATCCGTGTAAAGGCCAAGTTATATCATCCCACATGGTAATAGTGGACAATAATGGCAGCCGTGGCTGCAGCCGACCTATCGGGGACCCATCCGCTCTATACGCCCCAATGCCCGGGGATGAGCTCCTAAGCAGCCCGGGAATGAGTCTACCCGCAGCTTTGGCTGTGCGCCGCCGTTGTGGCGCACAACATGAGACCCTTTTTGCGGTCCCACGGCGATGTACCCTCGCTCTCGTGGCTAAAACTATGTACGAGCTAATGTCGGATAGCCCAGGAACATGAAGTCCCTCAAGATTGTGGCCCACCGCTTTTGGCAAAACCCGAAGAGCATTTATGCCATGCCGTCCGAGGTATATTGCATGCAATTCAGCTAGCAGCCAGCCAAACAAGGTAGTAACTTGTTATTCATGTGTCGTTTAACGTTTACGGTACACATTCGGCCGCGTGCAGGCTCTACGTATCTGGGTATGGTACCAGGTGAACTTCCTAGTGATTTATAACCAAACTTGGTAGACAGCTTGATTCAATATAACTTCTGCCGTTAATCGAGATGCAAGTACTAGGTGCCTATCATATGATTGTCGGGTAAGCAGATCATTGTCTGTCTGCCTATTTCTATTTCGAAGTCTCGAATGTTCGAGATTAGGCCCGATCCTTAAGTTCGGAGTGAGGATATAACGAATAATATTCGAACCGCAACGTCCCCAATTATCATTGGGTATTAGACGTGCCAAGTTGTATAGTTGGTCAATGGTTATTCAGTGCCTAATTGTTGATGCTCTCATCCGTTTGCAATGTGAAAGTCCTTCGGGACGGCGTCACATCCCACGTTTTTGCACATTAGGTCTGTGTTACACCTAGGTTCGACTAATTCTATGTCGGGGCTTTTGTTTGGTTCCTCAATTTAGAGACATGACGAACTGCCGGGACCGAAATACTAGATATGAGACATTTCGGCTCATCAACCGAAAGTTAAGTAGATTATCGAATTTCATCCACCTTCAACTGCCTGACTCTGGGAGTCTGGTTATCTGATATGGCTGTAAGATTGTTTGATAAATATGATCATTGTATTGAAACCCTTTAGGTAAATATGTGCCTAGAGTACGACAATCGCAACGTCGTGTCCGTTGAGAAGATTTGCCACGAATAGGTAGGTAGGTGTTGTTGGGGATAACTTCTGGGAAATACATTATGCGTTGGTGGATGTAAAGCAGACAATGAAAGAGAAGCGTGATATACGGTCGTACAATACCTCGTACTGAGACCAGCAATGTAAATCTTAGCTTCTTTTAAACGCCATAACCATACTTTTTTCGCGCGTGAAACCAGTGAAGCCAACAAGAGAAGCCTTTTCCCCCCTTCTTTACTTTGGCCAGTAACTCTGATGTCTATCCATAAATGTGAGCAGGTATTCGCAGTGCTTTTTATTTTTATTTTATTTTTGTTTTTCAGTGGCCAGATAACACCCACTTCCGCGGCGATTGAGCTGCGCTGATGGTCATGCCTTTCCACTGCCGTGTCCTCGGATGTTAGCAGCCTATCACAAGGACTTTTCTAGCAACACCAATTCTCTAAAACCCTCTTTCCATAATCTAGTTTGCTCGGCAGTTGGTTTTGGGAGTGGGCTGCGAGCATAGCCTCCATATCCCATCCACGTCTGGAGTCCCTCTTTCACACCTACCACGCCACCTTGAATAGCTGTCCAGTCACCTCGTGATATAATTTCCTGCATCCCCTGAGCTTCGATGTACTTGCCTGCCTTGTAAAGTTCGACTGTCTTAATGCAGGCTTTCGGTGAGATGTTTGCGAGACCAGCCAAAATGCCGTGCCCGCCAGCGATCAATGACTGAATCGTGAAGTCGGCCGAGCCAGCGAGGACCAAGAACTCAGGCTTATTTGCGTCACAGTCTTTAGACTGCTTTTGTGTAGCGGCGGCCACGCGATTCAATTTGCCAGTGTTACCGCACGTCAATTTAACACCGACTATCTTGGGATGCTGTGATAACTTGATAATTACATCTGATGTCATGTCCATGCCGTTTACGGCACCTGGATAATTGTAGATTATAAGCGGTATCGGAGACGCGTCGGCAACCGTTGTAAAGTATTCTTCGATGGTCTTGGACGATGGTGCAAACAAGGGTGCGTAGTACGATGGAGGCAGCACGAGCGCGTAGTCACCTCCCACTTTCCACGCCTCACAACAGTACTTGATGGTCTCACGGGTGCTTTGGGCGCCACACCCAACAATGATTGGAATATGCGAAAAACCGGCGTCGTCTAGTGCCTTTCGTGTAGTTGATGTGACTAGCTGACGCTCGTCATGTGTGAGATGAACGGCTTCGCCGTTTGAACCCTGAGTTGCAAGGCCTGTCACACCAGCTTCGGCGAGCCGTACTGCATGGCGAGCAATGGCATCCGTATCGACGTCTTCGGCCTCGTCGAAAAAACACATAGTTGGCACGTAAATGCCTGGTACTAGTGGCCGCGTTATATGGAAATCTCCTGATACTGAGCCGCTTTCGAAGGAGCTAATAGGCGAGGAGAAGGACTCGGTTGGCGCTATACAACCGGTCTCCGTTTCCGATGATGCGGCAACTTGAAAGGGGGTTCCATTGAAATTGCCTGTAAAGCTCCCGGTAGGAGACGGTACGTCAACGTGAGGTGCCATGTTGATCTTGGAGAACGCGAAGGGCCCAGTGGTAGGACTAATGAGAGTTGGGGGGCCTAGAACAGAAATAAATTGTGATTGGCTTTATGTTTGTCACCCCTATACGATAAAATCACGTAGGGGGGCGTATTATATATAGACGATGTAGGATGTATTCGTACCCTAATACCAATAACTGTTTGGAGAAATAAAAGGAGTCACTCGATCAAGAAGCGAGATAAGAAGATGAGGAGATAGGTGGACGGATAACATTCCACCCCTATGTCAAAGACGGGGACACATATACTATCGAGAAACCTGATATACGTGTCTTGTGTTTCTCGCTATGGCCCGCTCCTCTGCCTGGTGGCGCGTCCAAGGCAGGCTCCGATATCAGTCAACCCGGAACATGACAGCTGAAGGAAAACCGCGAACTCTTGCAGGGGGATCTGCAACACCCGCATATCTCGAGCCGCGGAAACAAGGGTCTTGCAATGTTTTCGTATCGGGCGGGACGACCAGTGCGGATGGCTGACGGAGGGTCATTAGACAAAGTTGTTATGCAATCAACTAGGGACCTTAAAAACTATCCAGAGTCCGGGGCGGCATGTACCTCATGGGTATAGCCTGCAGGGACGAGGATGGTTGCGTTGTAAGTGTACTCATCAATACATGCCGCCTAAATTGTGGGTTCGAATGTGGGGGTTAGTGTCGACGTCGGTATCGTGTATTGGTGATCCACCCCGCAAGATGCTCCGTTCGCATACAGAGATATTGAATGGTCGACAGGCTGCCGATGACATTGGTGAGCCGGCTTGGGCTCTGGGCTGATGTTCATTAGTAGAAATAAGGAGCCGCGTCGTTCCATATTGTGCTCAGAGCCAACAAATAGGTTGGTATCGATGGAAAAAATCATCCAGAAACTTAAACAAGTTAACGAGAGGGTTTGATGAAAGCCAGGGAATTGCACGGAGAAGAGCACGAGTCGTCACCGAAGCCCGTTTAAGGACATCTCTACCCCTAGGTAGTAGGTATCTACCGTTTAGGCAGAGTCGCATTCACCAGCGTCGGCGATTGCACAGCAATACCACCAGCCCGGACATCATCATAGCCCAAACTTAGGGGCGACATGATGGAGCAGGGCGTTTACGGCACCCGGTTGGGTGTTAGTAAAATATGAACAGCGCCAGGTTTTTTTCAAAGTGGAGTGGAAGGAGCCGACGTAGACGCACACGACGACCGTGCCGTCACGAGCCCGAAGACAGGCCAAGGCCAATGGAAGGCCATGTGATAAAGGATACGGGATGTCGTTTATGACGAAAGACTCGGCTAGTAGTCAACCGTCTTATCAGGCGGCTGAGAACCCAGTGTGGCAAAGCGGCATGGATACAAGTTACTTGCGACTCGTGGAAAGAGTCTACTCGCTGTTAGGAAGGACAGTGTGATTGTGGCTCTTTGGATTGGCGGGCGGGCGGGCGGCTGCAGTGTCACTCATCGAAATAAGCTGCCGAAAAGTTGCGAATGACCTCCCTGCAGTTTCCTCGGACATCAGGCCGTTGCTAATCTACCCATAATAGCGGTGTGGATCTCACGGGCTATTTCGCCTTGCCTTGCGCCGGCTAGGTGCCAGTTATAAGCTAAGATACCGAGCATGAGTGTAAGCACACAGGAGTAATTCGTTCCTCTCAAGCGAGCCAACGGGTGAGTTCTGAGCCGAGGTTTGATAGAGCTAGCCCGGCATCAGGCACAACCAGTACAGAGCAAGACGGTACCTAGGTAGGAAATAATGTGGCAAGCTGGCGGAAGATTGATTCGGCCAAGAAGTGGAACGTCGTACCGTAGTAGTAATCTAACGTAAAGGATCTTGTTGAATGCGGGAAACACTTCGCTATCCAACCTTAGAAGAGCTCCAAGGTTACGACGGATCATTGCATGTCTAAGGCTCAGACGGGGCCGCGCCGCTTGAGTCCGCGGTGTTCATTGGCGAGCTTGGGCTATCGTTTACCCAGGCACCGCAACGCTGGGTCCGAGTTCGAGTACTAATCCAACGGCCGAAAACTAGCATCCATCATCCATCCAAACAAGCAGGAAAATTGAACATGATCGACGTCCTCAGACCTATCTGGGTAGATGAAAGGAAGGTGACACATGTGTTTTTGGGGAACGAAAGTTCGTAACATTTGTAGTCATGATTACCGTCGTCATCGTCGTCGTCATTATGACTATAACCTTCTAAGAACTAGGAGTTGGGATTCCAAGTGTTGTCGGCCTCAATTTGGGATGATGTGCATGAGAGAAAGGCCCAGGCAATTCCAAGGTTTGGGGGTTGAGAGTTGACAGTTGGGAGATTTGGGGGTTACTAGTCTTAGTTGGGGGAGATTAAGGTCTTACAGGCTTAGTAATACACCTACCGACCGTACCTACCTACCAGCCTACTAGGTACGTAGATTATCCCAGGGAAAGATCGACCCGTGCGGTTCCTACATAAAATATCCACAGAACATCATTCGCGATTTCCACGATCTGGTATGCCTAGTAGTATGGGGGGAAAGAGAGATGAGGGATGGAGGTATCCGTCCGAGATGCGACCCATCCCTGATTTCTACCCCTCTATCGCTTGCTTGAACCTATCGTTAATTTCTTTTTGTTTATTCCCCAGCTCTACCAAGTATACCAAGTCCACCACATCTACCACGTCTATCGAGTGTGGGGCAATTATATAGTATAGTACCTATTCAATTTTTATCATAATTCATTTTAGAGATTTTCCCCCTCCTGGCTTAGGAATTACTTACAAGACCAAGGAATATCTTGTAACCCTCGTCACATTTGTCCCTTTTCACTGATGATCTGCCCTCCTTGCCGCAGGTAAGATGACTGGCTGCCTCAAAACCATCCAGTCATATGTGCGAACTCAATTTTTGCTTTTTTCGGCGGCTGATGAATTAAAAGCAATCATCCTACCAAATTCCTCCTACCGCTTTACGACGTGCATCCCAATCTGCAACTAGTATTATACGTACCTGATTAAGGTGATCGTCGGTTGGATAAGGATTGACCTAGCCAGGCTGGGAATAGAGACCCAGAGTTTGAGAGCGCGGTGGGAGAATAATAACGTCGAATAACCATTTCTCCCGTAAGGTGTCATTTCTTGTGAAGTAACGGGCACAGACATCGTGATATTTGACTATATGACAGTCGGAGATGCATCTTATAGAGGCAAGTTGAAGAACACATTCCCCTTTAAGCCTGGTCTGAACGCAAAACACGGAGAAATCACATAACTACCACTTACGTATGCATTCTTTACCATATACTCTCGGCTAACATCATGCTAGATTACTTAGCGAGAAGTCTACAGCCTACAGGTCTTTCTGCAGCCTGCCTTTTATATCTTATATCGTGACTGTACCGGTCTATACTAGGTACCTACCTAGTACTACTATCGTACCGGCATCTACGGAACTTAGACAACCATCTACCGGAAGATCCTAGTTTACCTAAACCATAGTTATTCTTACTCTATAATTATATGAATGCAGGCAGCTCTCAACTAATTCCACGATATCGATTGGTTCGGTGATATGCTCTATCCGAATGGTAAGCACTCAAAAGAACTCGCGAGTTAGTAACCCGACCGGAAAGGAAACCAGAACAATCATATATTCTCTCTTCGTAGGTATTTACGATGATCGCGTGATGACTGATAAATGCCAATTAAGTTAGGTATCATTCTATACATGGTTCGTCGAAATCCGATGCGCAAGGAAGATGTGATGGCAGCCCTCAAATCTGATAATGATTCGCACCTTCGAATCTAGAACTCCCGAAGCCGGGATAGGATCTATGTATCTCATGGTACTCATACCTTTATTGCATGGATCCCATTTCCGGTAAACTGGATCTAACGCCGACAGGGACGAAAGCGCAAAGCTACTCTCTGTAGGTATTTCCGGGAATGGCTTGCTCGAAGCGCCTTTATGCAGGTATATTACTAGTCTATGGGAATATTAAGCCACTTATATTTTTCTTAGTATGTACCTACTACGTGGACAATCGTTCATTCAAGTAAAATTTAGACGTATAACACAACCCATATTTTCCCTTACTGGTGAGCTGGTACAGGGTTAACGAATATCAATTCGCGTAGGTATTGTAGGAAGCTAAGATCATATCTTACTAGGAGTCTCAGTATAGTGCCCAAGATATCAACCTATCAAAGTGCGTGTTGTCCTATGTTATCCCCCCAAATGGGTGCATAACCGGGCTTCAAGACCTAACCAACAAATCAGATGTCCCGCACACTTACCTATTTAATACCACTGCGGAGTAATATGTACCTATCCTTCTTTCAACCGTTTGAAACAACATAACTCGAATTACTCTCGTCCTAACGTGACCCTCCAACCCCATTTCAAGATGCTTAGTTAGCTCACACAACGCACATCATAACTTGAGCGTTAGTATGTCACAGATCCACTCGAAGAAATTTTGATCATATCATCGTTTAAGTCAACTCGCATTATAAGACCGCATCTCAGAATACTCTTTATGATTACTTACTATGTAGCTTCTTACATATGCGGAGATATGCCTGGAGCCCAATATACTTTCTTACTCAGTGAGGTCCTGCGAGCATGCCCAACGTTAAATTCCAGTGCATAACCGCCGAGCCATCCTCGAGAATTTAATTTCCTAGTCACAAGGGCACTGACGTGAATCGATCCTAGGACAGGGCGTATATGTATAGTACTTTACGTATGATCAACCCTCACTGTCCAACAAAAGGTGCAGATGCTTGCTTCGCCACGTGGGTACGGTTCACATACATAGAACATGACGTCGAAGAGTCGACGGAATAATCCTAGCCGATATGCATAGTATCCTGCTATATGAACATCTATCTGCAAGTGAATTCTTGGAAGCTGTCAAATACTGCATTCCCCCACACCTCGGATCATGTGCCTTCTTCGACGGCCTCCTAAGCTCACGAAGTTCAGTCCGATCTCGTTTCGAAAGCCGCAGACACGAGGCTACATAGAACTGTCGTTTGAAAAGGGGAAGGTTCCATATATGCTGAACACAGCCTATTAGAACTTCGTGAATAATCAAGCTAGTGCAAAACCGGAAGGCATTTATCTAGATCACATCAGGACTCGAACCCGGATCGGAGCTTACGAACGAACGAACGAAAATTTGGTGGATAGAAACTGAATAGATAGGTAAACTCGAATGATTCAATTCCTTTATCATAATACTGTTTTACTTAGAGGAACCCGAAGTTGCTTGAGCGGATAGGTAGGTAGCCAGTCCTTACTAAGTTGAGAGGCGGCGGGACTTTCCAGCATCATGCTTGGCACGAAGGGGATCAAGTCGATATTTTCTTAGAGATATTCAAATTTGACTTGGGTCTAGAAAATATGGCTCGATATTCCATAAGGCGACTCGTTAGCAACTTAGAACTGATCAGAGTCGTGTTTTATATAAATCAGCATCTTAAATCTTTATCCCCCTAACTCGTCTACTCTAGGTCCAGTGAAATCCGCACCATCACACTGATCAATTATCAACATAATATCCGGGATAACGAGCGTGCAATAACAGTAACTTGATGTTATCGTATTAAAAGTGCTATCTCACCCCACTCTGTGAAGTCTTGAGTATACCGTTGCCTGTTATAACTTCTCAAGCCCTCACTGAAATCTGCGTAAATCTAGGTAGGTATCTATACTGACAACATCAGGGAGATGGCCCTCTATATACAGCCAACTGTCAACTATAATTGTAGTTTCGTCATTTTCATATATAAAAACAACAGAGAATAAGGGCCCAAGAGTCTACAAATTCTAAGGAGTCTTCTCAGTTTTTCTACTAATCTTATTTACTAGGTATACCTACCTACCACATCAACATTTGCGATCCTATAATTTTCACTAACTACGATCAATTCAATCTAACCATGACTGCGTTCTATATTTTATTATTACTTCGTGAACTAAATCTATTCGTGAGCTTGATTCCATCGATGAATCCCCTAGATAAGCATCCCTACTATAATTCGAACGAACGAGTACAGTCATAGTCCTATAACACTACAACCCCCCTTAACCCACAGTAGTTCAACACACAATATCGACCTTTCTTAGAGTTATTAGAAAGCATCGTAATATGGAAAAAGTTATAAGTCCCGATTTTCGCGTCTTGGCTTCAGATACTTTAAGATTGATGCAGCGTGGGCCTTCGAGTTTAGGATAGGGGTTGGGAACAACTGTTGACAAATTGCTTACCTACTAGGTATGGTTAAGGAAATTGCGAGAGGGCGAATTAGCTGGATATAAATATCGATTTCCTGTATTCTTTCGATACCTCGTTTGCATCTCAAGCTTGGCTACCTTGTCGTCATCAAAACACCATAATCATTGACAATTCATACTTCCGGGCTTCCTTTGTCAAATGGGGTTCTGGATATGCACCTTCTTTGAGGCTCGAGGGAGTACCGCAATACCCTATATTACACCATCGTGCGTTCTAGTTGATGTGTTACGGACTGGCCATAATACCTGCAATAGATCGCAAGTTGTCCGACTTGTGATTCTCGTCTTTTGGAGGTTTGGCTCAATTGGCAGGTATGAAACCGCTGAACCTGAGGCTTAGTTCCATGGCATGACATTATGTATATAGTGTATATGTCTTACTCTGATGTAGTCAAGCTCATCATCTCACTTCAAGGTAGGGTTATCCTCACTTTGATAGCAATCCTCCTTCCGTTATGAGTCTTGACTAAATCCAGGATGACCAATGTATGCCGCTCATCTTTAATAGCTATCGCCTAGGATGATATTGTCTTCTGCGTAACTCAATTAGCTTCCAGAGAGACCAGGCGAGTTTCGACAAGCTGTATGAGGAAGACCGTGGTCTCTACCTAGTAGTATGTCGAGCCCCTTAGTCCCACAAAAATTACCTTTAAGATCTTCAGTAGTTAGATAAGTAGCCTCAGGGACGTTGAATGATCGGATATTCTTTGACAGATATCTTTCTGATACTGGTCATGATATTGGGGATGATGATATTTTTCTGTATTTTCGATATTTCTATGGGAAAAAGAATCTTCGGACTCAAATCATCGTTGGTGTTGCGCTTCTTGTTTTCTGTCTCCTGGATCGGCAACTTACATGTTATACACTCCACTGAAAATGGACTCACTTGACTTAGGAACAGGTGATGGCTCAAGTCAGGTGCGTTTACGTTCAGTGGAGTCAACCGTGAGTTGCCAATTCAAGCGACACTACGCAGCAATATCTCCGTGTCAATGGCAAGATGGTGCTGTGGGTTTTATATACCATGGTGTGGTGTGGTGGTGTGGAATATGGAGATCACATGACTCTGATTAAATGAGAAAAAAGGGGTTGAGGGATGTGAGGGGTTCCTGTTTTGAGGATAGTCATGATGTCAGCAGGTACGCGTGGTGGGGTAAAATCACTTCTAACAAGACGCGAACGCGTCGCGAAGGATCAAGAGACCCTTTTAAAGGCGGGGTGAGCGGGTGAAAAGGTTTCGTACGGGTTCCGATTAGGTGGGCTCGGTGAGTTTCCAAGATCCCTTTTCCGATCGACCAGTCACCGTGGACTGCACTTATTCTGTAGTCGATCTTTCCAAATCCAACGAAATAAATTAGGCATTTCTTAGATCTGGGGTAATTGAGTTTTTAAACTCTGGATAGGCGTGAGTTACATATCAATTAAATAGGAAACTGCCAATGTGGTTGTATTATGGACAGTTTAAGTTCGTCACAAGAGCTGCTAAAACAAGGGGTCGGACATGGGGATGTGAAACTCTAAAGGGCGGTCTGCAGTCCGAACTAGGATCTCAGACCATCATGTGGTCCTAGCGCAGACCAGCCTCCGTTATCTGGGTTCTCATACTTAAAAACGTGACCGCCTTGTGAGATCCAAGTCGTTCTTATGCAGTGGGACCGATGAAAAAAAGGCGATAAAGAAAGAGGCTTAACGTTAATCGGCATAATAATCGAACATTTGAACCTGGGAACAATTTATTCTACATTGAGACTTCAAAGCTAAAGCTTTGGCACGCCATTGTAATGGCTACGCTGGGTTTCGCTGTTCCATCTAAGAAGACGCTAGTGCTTTCAATTGCGCCTGTTCTATTGTCAGCTTATCTCATATATCGATTTTCACCCCCCGGCATCGTCGGTTCGCCTCCCCCAAAGCGCGAACGCGCCGACTCTTCTTCCCCTCAGCGAAAGCAGGCTGGTCCTATAGGGGACTCGAGGCGTGGTAAATCTACTGACGGAGAAGAAGAAGATGATACAAAAGATTACTATGACGACCTCGTAAGCGTACTTTCGGATGGAGAGGACAATCAGGTATGTATTGAATTCAACCTTGCACACTTACCCCTCAATGAAGTAATTCAACAATACTTATTCGACCTCCTTTTTTAGTCATTATATGACCACGTGGAACATCGCCGTACCTATGGGTACTATTGCATGTTCCGTCCATTCTTTGATATTGAGAATGAGAACGCGGATAAGGAGGAAGATGATCAAGTCGACGAAGATGAATTGATCAAGCAGTACAATGAGTACATCCGAGCTGATGACAACATTGAAATGAAGCCCGCCAGTGACCATCCCGAGCACCGGTGGATTGCTATGTGGGAGACATGGAAGTTATTTTCTGCGTGGGAGAAGCGGGCTTCCTATACCAACCCCGAGTTTTTCAAAATGAACGTTTCCAGGAGCTTCCACGGGTTGGGCATGCAAGAGCAAATCGAGAACATGGTAAGGTGGCTCGTCTTTTCTTGTTACAGACTAACAGCGGCGAACGGCTGACCGGTTCTTAGCTTCTTGTTTTCAATAAAGAGTTTGAGAAGAAGCGAAGCAAGAGAGGTATTCGGGAGATGTGGGCCATTGTGGCCGCCATAATGCAATTTCTCACAGAAATACCCCTTGATTCATGGATCAGTCAGTTTCCAGAAAGCTAAGAAACTGAGTAGTTGGTAACTTACTGACATTTGTGCAAATAGGGGTGAATGATAAGAAAAAGTTGGAGGCAACTATAGGCCTTATTGGCCGCGCCTTGCTCACCACACTCAACGAACTTGATCGGGCAAAGATACTGAAGGCCGACTCCGATATCAAGGACCTGGGTCTGGTCATAACCTTCTACCTTTACTGGGCTGATGAGCACCAAAGGTTACGCGAGCAGGGTATTGAACTACCCTTCCGAAAGGAAGTGATTGCCTATGCGAAGAAAGCTGGCGTCGATCTCAAGATAGCCGGATGCTACGGCACAGATGCAAAAGTTCAGGCCTTGGAAAAGGAACGGGGGAAGCCCATTAAGCCGCTTTCTGGTAGCCCTAAGTCCGATAGATGGGACTGGAAGAAGAAGGTGAGTTCTGTCTCTGGAATCACATTAATATGTTGTTACCCCGTTGACATGTGTTTGCGTCGTAGTTTAAGAGGTTCGGCAAGGACTACAAGATTGGCGGTGAAAAATACAACATATTGAAAATGTCGCGGAAGGAGCGCGCCAGTCATTCGCACGACAAGAAGGATCCCCTAGCCGACATCCCCGATAAGGCAATCGAGGACGGCACGGTTAGGGTGAGACCCGTGAGACCTCGATGAGGGGTTGTCTCCAACGGACTCTCCATTAGCATGACAAGCTTTTTGGAGTAATGGGAAAGGTCTTATGCGTTTTTTAGGTAGCTTGCTCCTATCAAGTGGTAGAGCTTCTTGTGGCTGTAGAATTGGGTTCTGCTTATCGTCTCACCTCAACACTGCTTAGGTAGGAACTGTAGGGGACTAGCCGACGAGATCATGGATTACCCCTTACGGAATCTGCCAAGGAACATGTAAAGTAGACATGTCATTCTTCCCCTGTCGTTGCAAAGATCTAGGTTATATAGGGACAATGAAAAAAAACACGACTCGCTTGTTCCATCCGACGCTTTTTAAGACGCGGATTATGTTGCTCCAATTATATAAGGGGAACTACGTATTTGTCAACCTATGGACTTCCACTTCGACCCCTGCTTACAAGAGCATATGCTCCATCATGGACATCCTCCAACCACAACTGACAAAACAAAACCCGATTCCTAAATGCGGTATTCAGATTCACCATGCGTTCATTGTTAGTGGTCAGGTATCTCCTAGTTCGGCTCTTGTACCATGCAGCGAACCCTGCTGATCCGCAAGGGTAGATCCCGAGCTTGCAGCAGCATCAAGCCTCAGGGCTGGCCAATCGACATCCGGACCGGACCGCCACACCCCTGCAACGAGCTCAAAACGAATGTTCTTGGTCGGAATTAGAGAAACGAAGCCAGACATACATACATATCACCTGCGTGCGTGTAGCGCACGGTGTTCGCTAAACCATATCATAAGTACGCACATATCGTGTACCGTGTTCCATATGCGTTACTTACACTCACACGAAGTGGGCGAAATGATGTTATTCGCTTTCGGTGCACATATGATTGGGGGTTTGCTAGTACGTGGCCGAGCTATCCCTGGACCGACCTACCAACGCCACCTCTCTAGTCCGCATTCTGCACGGTGGAAAACTATTGAGCAGCAATATATCCGTTTTGGAAATGATATGCAGGACCGATGGGCGCTGCATAGGGCAGGCGTGGGGGACCAGGAGATCCTGCTCTAATAATAAAAAGTTAATCAAAAAAACGGGAACGCGGTTGACTGTTGATTTTCTTCTCCTGATGTGTACCTACTTTGTACCTTTGCCTTGTCTTACTTGCAAACGGCCTTGGCTTTACTTCAGAATGTTTGCGTTCCCTTCGCTAGAGTTTGGTGACCATTGAGTATATTTCTAGATAGATTGAGAGCTTATATGGTCCTCATGTCTTGATCTAGATACCTATACATCAATTCTAGATCCCTCGGCTTGGTAACAAGCCTGAATCCTTACCCGTCTCGAATGGTCATTGTACCTCTTGTCATTACATTCTTGTGTAACTAAAATGCGTCATGATTCAATAAAAAAGCACCAGATGCCAAGTAATGTTAGCTAACAAGCACCTGCTTTATTGACCTTACACTGAGCTGTTTCCTCGTTAGACTTCTGTTATCTTACGTGATATGAAAGAGCATTGGAACCTAAACTGAGATGTTTGTATGAATTGCATGAAGAAAGTTTACGTGGGGGCGCTTTCCAGGTCTCCATAACACAAAAATCTCCGGCCAAATCTCTGCACCAACACGCAGTTCTGTCGCCTAAATGTGTCGGATAAACTGGAAACAATACAGTGTTCTAGAGGCTCTGAGCGTTGCTTGGGACCGATATATATAAGGCTCGGGCATAGAAAAAAGGTCGATCGAGCTCGAGGAACACTCACTCGTACGTCGACATTCTGAGGCATTGAAACCCACCATGAAGTCCCCCGTATCGGCCGCCGCTGGCTTACTACATGTCCGACCGTTTGCAAAAGTCTGGATACTTGGTACACTATTCCTTCAGGTGTTGGCAGTCAACACTCGAGCCGATTCGTTCGATTCACTGGAGTCGACTATCGAGGGCGTCAGGGCTGCGCTGCTCGCGAATTCGACCACGTGCCATGGCGTGGTGTCGTCATTCCTTGCTCGTATCGAGGAGTTCAACCCGACTATCAACGCCCTCGTTAGTCTCAACCCAAATGCACTTGCCGCAGCCAACGACCTAGATAAGAGACTTGCTGCTGGTGACTCAACGGGAAAGCTGTTTTGTGTACCGGTTTTGTTGAAGGATAATTATGACGCCGTGGGTACGAATACGACGGGAGCCAATGCCGCTTTGGCTGGCAACCGCCCAAGTGTTGATACACCCTCTGTCAAGGCTATGAGGGACGCCGGAGCTATCATCCTGGGCAAAACTAATTTGCATGAAAGTATGTACCTCATCGTTCCCTAGCACCATACCTTTTCGTATGTGGAAAATTGACAGGCTAACCGGGACTGTGGCAGTGGCATTGGAGGGCCTCTCCGTATCTTCATTAGGAGGACAGACCATCAATCCGTATGATCACACTCGAACACCAGGAGGCAGCAGTGGAGGCACTGGCGCTGCGATTGCGACAAGCTTTGCCGTCTTCGGAACAGGGACGGATGCCGTTAACAGTCTTCGCAGCCCCGCAAGCGCGAATAATCTCGTCAGTGTGCGACCAAGCCGCGGGCTTATATCGAGACAGGGTATCTTGCCAATTAGTTTCACACAAGACAGCATCGGACCTATCGCAAGGAACATCCCAGACTTGGCTGTTGCATTAACTGTTATGGCCAGTGTGGGTGCTGATGAAGCTGACAATGCCACTCTCCTGGTTCCGCCAGAGGCAAGGGGAATAGACTATACGCAGGGTATAAACGACGGGAGCCTGAAAGGACTTCGAATTGGGCTGCTAGACGGCTTCTGGAATCATACAGCATCTAATGAGACCACTCCGGTAAATGACGCATTGGCGAGCACGATTGAATTCCTCGAATCTCAGGGTGTTGAAATCATCAATGTAACAGAGCCAATCTACAACGCATCAGCCATTGCCAAATTCGATGTTCAGCAGTTCGAGTTTAAGGAGGTATTAAATAAATACCTCTCCAGCCCAAGCCTCACTGGAAATAGACCAAATACTTGGGATGCTGTGTATGGAAGCAAAGAGTTCCTGGTCATCCCTGCTCAGTACACCTTTATGAACAACTCAAAAAACTCGTCGACCGCGGATCCGACATATGCGACCGCTCAGCAGGGCATCAGGGATCTAAAGGTGGCTCTTAATGCTACATTTGTTACCAATGAGCTGGATGCCGTAACCTACCCCGAACAGAAAAATCTTGTAGTGAAGGTTGGCTCGCCTTCTCAAGCGGGACGTAATGGTATCCTCGCTGCCCTGACGGGAGTCCCGGTAGTCACTGTGCCGGTTGGCTTCTCACCATCATCACAGGATGCCCCTATTGGTGTACCTATCGGAATGGAAATACTGGGCCTCCCTTTTTCCGAGAGTAAGCTGTTGAACATCGCTAGCCACTTCACTCAGCTTCGCCCACTGCGTAAGACACCGGCTTTTGCAAATTATACTGTTCAGATGGGATCATATGCTTCGATGCCGAAGATGCAACCGAATATCTCCAACATCCCCAAAGCATACCCTGTGGGAACACTTTCGTCTTAGTGTAGTAAGAGGATATATCCAGACGAGATATTGGAATAAATAATATTATTGGGGCCCTTTAGTGCGACTGACTTATCAGCCGAACCTCACACAAACGGAGTGATTGAACGCACGAAATTCCCGAATGTAGAACGCTCTCGACCTTATGTAGACGTAGTATACTTTTAAGTAGATTGACAGACCGGTGGCAAGGATTTAAACGAATGATGTTCCCGGTGGTCCACAGCATTGTGCCGAAGACGGACTCCGACAGGCCGGAGTGAATTCCAGTGAGGGGATGAAGCAGGAAGTAGATCTCGATCCCTAAAATGCCTCGTGGGGATGCCTTCCCCGAACACAACGTTAGCAATAAAAGTCGTACGGCTAAGCGTTCCTTTGGCGTGGTTCTAACGTTCCGGGGTTCTGACAGCAAGCCACACGGTGGGGTCCTGCAGCTGCCAGCTTTACCGCCGTTCTAGGCTGCTGTACCCTGGAACTGCTGAACATGTAAGTCTCGTAGAAATATAGCTAGGCTCCAACGCCTACCTATGCAACATCCACCACATCCACAACATTTTGGTCTCACGAACACTCCATTCCAACCCGAAACCCACCGTAACTGGTCGATTCTTGTCCGACCTTTTTTAAGGTCAAACTCTGCTCCATCTATTCACGGCGGCATGATCATGTTGTTACTAGACAACTAAGTATCATCGCTGTAAACAGTATCGCAACGACGAGGCGACAGTACACGACGCCAACAGCCCAATGCTATCCAAAGAACAAAACACCATTCAAATGATCGCTGTTGCTAGACAGCCAAGGGATTTCCCGATCATCCAATCTCCATTACCGATTTGAAGCGGAGGAAATTAAGACGCAAAACAGATATCGGAATCCTAGTCGCCCTCTCGAAGCTGCGAATTCAAAGCTCGGAGTTACACCGGTTTGCTGCAAAAAAGGATAATAATATCCTACACTTGTATCGGATCACGCACTTCTGTTTAAAACTTGCCCAATCACCATTATATCTTCGTATCGAAACGATGTGCAAGGAATTATACCAACGCTGGGTTGGTTGTTTATGTTGGGGATTCATGCGACCAGAGACGTGTGCCGAATTATTCAAAAGGTGTCTAGGACCCAGAGGAGAGGTAGACAAAGTTGTCATCAAGTGGAATGAAGGCATGTGTAATGAGTGCTGGGATAGACTCCTACAAGAAGCCAGAGAGATGGCCGATGCCGAAGATGAGGCCGAAAGGTTAGCTGCGACTTCTTCCTCTTCGAGAGGCTATTCGACTAGTAGCTGAGATACCCGAATGACGGTGATACTGTCCGACAAGACTGCCTGCAGCGAAATCGGATGCAGAAACGACAGACTTAGGAGGCAAGGCTAGCACCTAGGGCGTTGAAAGATTCGCTGGAGGTTGCTGCTGAGGCTGATTGGTGGATAAACGGGCGTAGCGAAGTGTTAAGCCATTTGCTTCTGGCTATCTCGGACTTTCAATTGACAAGATCCGTTGGTATGCTCTCTTAATCAATGAGAAGATGGAGCTGAATAGATAGATACCTCAAGTCTGCTAAGTGTGAACGAGGAAAAGGGACTGATTGCTCAATACTTGCTGAGGACTATCCATAGTATAACTAAATACCTACCTAGTAGGTAATTAGGTGCTTACCTACCTCGTTTGCGAAAACTATGAATGCTTGACTTTGATAAGAAAAGATCACGATACGAATGAACCGCCAGTTTGGGTAGACAGATAGCATGCCCAACTTGTACCCAAGAAACCCGGAAGGGGAATAGGGATAGGAAAAGGTCAAAGGTCGCTTTGCTACGCGCTAGCTTGATGTAGAGGACAATTTAATGAAAATTGGTAGTACTTCTTGAAGGAGAAAGTAGATGGCTCGGTCGAGAAACGGCGAATGCTCGAATGCCAGGATTTATAAAGATTATGTTGGTTCCCGATCATTAAAGGCATGCAGAAAGCCAGGAGATGAAGGACGGACCACGGAGCAAAAACACAATAAAGTACCGCCAATAACACGAAAAAGATGGTCACGTGTTTTCGAGTTTCGATTTCTAATAGGTACCTAGGTACACCACGCCTAGCACGTAGGGCACGCTGAGGAATGGAAAGAGCCCCTCGTTTCGTTGCCTTGGGTGCCTTTCCCGAAGCATCAAGTCAATCGTCGATACCTTCCCATCTGTTGAAAGTGAATACACTAGCGCTATGCACCCTCAAGATTTATATTGGCTGCCGACATAATGTCGCCATCCAGCTCCGTACTTATCCCTTTCTAAATAAAATAGATGAATATTCAATGTTAGGTACCTACCCGATACAAATCTAACACCATGGCTGGAAGAAAGCGTACTGCCTCTAGGGCGAATGCGACGAATGCGACGGCCTCAAGATCCACACGATCAACCAGGTCCAACACAAGACGTTCCGATGTTCCAGATATATATAATCAAATGCTTGCCGATGTCGATATACAACCCCATACGACGCTGTCCGAACGACCGTTGAAAAGACGGAAGCCTAGCCAAAAGAATGATCATTCCCCCAAGAAACCCGATCCCCCCAAAGCGATATCAAAGCCTGAGGATGTGGATGATGATGACGATGTTCAATTTGAGGATGTGCCACTCCCTGCTGCCACTATGCAGACGGTGTTTAGGGATTCAGATGAAGAAGATGATGACGATGAAATTCAATTCGAAAATGTCGATCTCTCAATTCCTTCTTCGAATTTGGATAATACTGAGGATGGCAACAAAGACCTTGAGCTTAACTTCTCGGCGCGGATGGCCGCAAGCCCTCGAAAGTCCGCGGATAGGCGGAAGCCAATCAGCAAAGAAGAGAAGGGCCGTCGCATGGAAATACACAAGATGCATATTCTGTGCTTATTAGCTCATGTCGCTCGTAGAAACCGATGGTGCAACGATAATACTACCCAGAAAACATTACGAAAACTTCTAACGAATAAAATGATCACCTATCTCAACCCAAGCACCCAACTTAGTCAATTTGGACGTGCTAATTCTCTCAAAGAAGGACTGCAACAAGTAGGAACCATGTTTAAGACCAAATATCAAGTTACCGAGCGTGGGATTCGAAGATCACTTTGGGCTGACAATGAACAACATCTTCAAAATGTATTTACACTTGAGTCCTATTCATATACTTAAGGATGTAAGCTGACTAAAGTTTACAGTATAAACTCCCAGACGATGCAGAGACGCCCATGGAAAAAGACGATTTTCGCGAAGCCGCAAAATCCCTTTGCGGCTCACGGGATGTTGGCGCTCAATTATATTGTGCGCTGCTCCGAAGCGCTGGTGTTGAAGCTAGGCTTGTATGCTCTCTTCAACCTCTTGCCTTCACTCCTGGAGGACCCCCTTTGGGGAAGCCACCGAAAGCGAAAGGGAAATCGTCCATAGTAGAACGATATGCTCAGCAATCAAAGAGAGAGAAAGCCCCTGACTCGCCAGCAGAGAGTAGTAGTAGTAGTTCTTCAGTGCTTAGGCGCCTGGGACACCCGAAAGCTGCGGCCTTTCATCTGCCTACGATACCGACGGCCCCTTCGCCTCGCGAAGCTCCACCGATCTCCAAGAAGATCCGAGAATCTCCCTATCCTATTTACTGGGTTGAGATACTCGATGAAGCCCACCAAAAATGGCAACCTGCCGACCCGTTGGTGACTTGCTCGTTCTGGAAACCTCAAAATATGGAACCGCCGGCTTCTGATAGAGAAAACAGTATGACTTACGTTGTTGCCTTCCAGGACGATGGCACAGTAAAAGACGTAACGCGTCGTTATACGAAAGCTTATAATGCGAAAACAAGAAAGATGCGTATTGAAAGCGCAGAGAGTACCGGTGAAAAGTGGTGGCAGAAAACTCTCCGAACGTTCTCTCGTGGCTTTCCTACAGATCTAGATCGGATCGAGGATAGTGAGTTGGCAGATAAACAGTTACGAGAACCGATGCCTCGTAATATTGCCGATTTTAAAGACCACCCAATTTTCGTTCTTAAGCGGCATCTTAGACGAAATGAGGTTCTTGTGCCGAATGCTCCAGCTTCAGGAACAGTAGGTCCCGGTAGTACCGGCCCCCTGGAGAAGGTTTATAGGCACAAGGACTTGCGAATTGCCCATAGTAGGGATAAGTGGTATCGCATGGGTCGAGAAGTCCTCCCAAACGAGATACCTGCTAAGTTTCTCCCTAAACGAAAAAGACCGAAGTCGGACTTATTTGACGACGATGAAGGGGACGACGACCCTAGTGAACCAAATGGGATACCAATCTACACGTTCGATCAGACTAAACAGTTCAAGCATCCACCTGTCGTTAACGGTCAAGTACCAAAGAACCGATTCAGGAACATCGACCTTTACGTGCCCAGCATGGTACCCGAGGGCGGTGCATACGTGGCGGATGAGCTCGGCGCCCGGGCTGCATTTATACTTGGGGTTGATTACGCCCCTGCGCTTACCGGCTTTCAGTTTAAGGGGAGGCAGGGCACTGCAGTCTTACATGGAGTAGTCGTTGCCGCGGAAACTGAGGAGGCTGTCCGCGCTGTGATTTCCGGTATAAAGGATCAGGCTGCCGAATTAGAGAAGGATCGACGAACCCAAGTAGTCCTTAAAGCTTGGAGACTCTTTTTAATGAGCCTCAGAGTCCGGCAACGAATTTTCGCAGATGTTGACTCCGAAGATGAGGGTGATAACCAAGAAGATATCGAAATAGACAAAGGCAAAGAAATAGCACACGAACACGATTCAGAGGATGAAGAAAAGCAGAGCGAGAACAGTGATGAAGGCGGCGGCTTTATGGTTGACGATGAATATGCCGGGGGATTCATGGTCGACTAAAGATTCCAAGGACTGTAACCTTAAGATACCCAGCTTATGATTTGCCATCTGCAGTACCTAGACGAATATTGCTTTGAAATTGAAGGAGTGAAAATGATTCAGATTCTAACATTGAATTTTCACACCTATAGCAGGAAGTAATCGGCGGTAAATGATTGTGCCACGAGATTTGTGGCACACAGCCAACCTTGGCCTCTCACCATTAGGAAGAGGCGATGCTAACAAATCATTGGTGTATATTGACGCAATTTTACGAGGTGTAACATTTGTCGCAAATACTGTAGTAATCGACACGTTTATCCTGCACACTATCTTATTTGTTCATAGCGTAGTATGAGGCTACGTACGCACATCTATGGATCCTTTTTTTCTGTGCATACTGCTGCCTTTTACGACTATGCAGATCATCTGCTTACAGACAGACATATCAGCCTCTTGTACAGGGTACTTAACTGTTTATCCACTTATTCATGTCGCTTATGATATCTATTTTCGAAGAGAAATATTAAAAGGAATAACATTCGTGTAGGTTGAATTGAATTATGTTCTAAATTTCTTAGTATCAAATATTTACACATATTTAAGAAGGTTTAAGAATTGTTTACTGATAAGACATCTAAGGTTTGGAAGGTGTAGACTGGGTTTCGGCCGAACCAGGATTTAGGATGCAGGTCGCGCCCGGTTACAAGGTAACGACGATACCTGGGCACCTTGGCTGCTTTGTCAGGCAGCCGCATTCGTTCTCATTGGCTCTTTGCGTGCCTTCGGAGAGTTTTTGGAAGGTTTAAGGCACAGCCACTGTGTAGGACTGCTGTACAAATACAGCTGGTATATTTTTCACGTCTCACAATGTACCCCCACCATTTCTTCCCATCGCTTATGTATCAATGAGCTCGCGATTCCAAAAACACCTTACATCCATTACCTTGCAAACCCCAGAAAGGCTGAAGAAAGGTTATTTGGCATGGTCTTGGACTCCTGTATATATTGCGTAAGAGGAGGAGGCTTAGTTTCTTGTATATCATCCTAATTACAGAATACATACGAAGTACATTCGCTTTCATCTTTTGTTTCATATTTCCCTATCGTCTAGTCGTTTACGCCTTCGAAGCATATTCATCTGTTTAGTGGTCAGCTTACATGGCGCGATAAAACTCTGTACGGCACGGATCCGTCAGCAGATGCCGGCCTTCAATTCGAGTCGATATCACTCCGTAGAACCTCTTCCGTCCCGGGGTGAACCCGCAAGAAAGAATCGTGTACGCCGACAATGGCTTTCTTGCGACAGACCTGGACCTTGACGGCCAAGAATCTCAAGATCGTCGTCCTCCGCCATTCTCTTGCGACTCTCGTCAGAGCATTCGTCCTTCCCATTCTACTCGCAGCCTTCCTTACATTTGCGCGAAACCTATTTGTACCTCCGGCTGTGTATGGAATTGGCGACCCTCACGCTATTAGGTCGCTACGAGATGGACTTTCTGCGGCAGCCAGTACGGAACGAAATACGGTAGCCTTCGTGAATAATGGCTTGGCGGGCGGCGATATCGATCGCGTCATCGATACACTTTCAGATACAGTAGTCGGCGCTGGGAAGAATGCATCGAAGTTGTCGCAAATGTCCGAGTTGTCTTATGCGTGCCGAAGCTCTCTACGTGGTGTCTCACCTTGCTATGGCGCCGTTATCTTCTACTCCTCTCCCCGCGAAGGAGAGGGAGGTATATGGAATTATACCTTAAGAGCAGACGGCGCATTAGGCGCTAAGATTGATGCGACACGAGACGATAATGGCGGCCAGGTCTATTCTCTACCGCTGCAACGAGCTGTTGATGCCGCCATTTCCGGTCTCTCCGATGCCGTGGTCGGTACGGTTCGACTCCCGGATACCACGGAAGAGTATCCATTCACCCCCGAAACTCAAGAGGAGCGAGCAGCAAGGATTCGACGCAATTACCAGTCGTCATTGACAAATTTCTTGGCCGTATCTTTTTTCATTGTCGTCATCGGAGTTTGTTACCATATGACAGGTCATATGGCTACCGAGAGAGAGATAGGCATGTCTCAATTGCTAGATGCCATGATGCCTACCAAGTATCGATGGCAAGCCCAAGTCGCAAGACTACTGTCGTACCACATTGCATTCACCGTAGTATACCTTCCAGGTTGGGTAATTGGGTCGATCATCATCGCGCGCGGAGTCTGGGCGAATACAAGTGTCGCCATCGTACTCATCTACTTTATCCTTACCGGACTTGCACTAGCATCGCTTTCTATCTTAGGCGCTGCGTTTTTCAAAAGATCGCAACTATCGGGTGTGGTGACGGTGATAGCGTACATTCTGCTAGCAATCCTTGCTCAGACGCTGACATCGCCTAGTACTGCTACAGTTACCGCTCTCAGTTTACTTTTCGTATGTATTTTTCACTTATCCATTTCCCATTGTCAAATCTTACCAGTCGACATTTTTTAGTCGGATTCACTATGTTTTCAAAACATTTCTTTTCCCATAACACACTCACCTCTTTCTAAGCAAAGTAGACACTAATGATTTTTAACCCGTATAGACGCCTTGCAACTTTGTTTGGTTTATGACTTTTATCGCAAGATGGGAAAGGTATTCATTCCCGGCGGACCTAATCCGTACACCACCAGAAAATCCATGGAACTTGCCCGGTATTGTTTTCTGGGTATTCCTAATTCTTCAGATTTTTATCTACCCCGTCATTGGCGCTTACTTAGAACGCGTTCTTCATGGCACAACCACAAAGGGCCGTACAATTCTTCAAGGCCAAACCTCCGACACGGCACCTCCCGATGCTGTTCGTCTTGAACGATTTACGAAGATTTACTATCCCAACCCCCTAAATCGACTACTTCCTTTTAGTTCGACGCCAAAGGAACCTGTCGTAGCTGTAGACAAGTTAACACTCACCGCGAGAAGGGGGCAAATCTTAGCTTTACTCGGCGCTAATGGTAGCGGAAAGAGTACTACGCTGGATTCAATCGCTGGTATAAGTAAATTAACTAGTGGTGATATTACAATTGACGGTACAGGCGGCTTAGGTATCGCACCGCAGAAAAATGTGTTATGGGACGAATTAACGGTCGAAGAGCACATTAGAGTCTTCAATAGACTGAAATCCCCCAACAATACGGCGTCTACGAAAGAGATCCGCGATTTAGTGGAAGCTGTAGATCTTGGACCAAAGGTGAAGGCCATGTCTAAAACTTTGTCCGGCGGCCAAAAAAGAAAGTTGCAGCTTGGAATGATGTTGACTGGTGGAAGCGCTGTCTGCTGTGTTGACGAAGTCTCTTCCGGAATCGACCCGTTGTCTCGACGCAAAATTTGGGATATTCTCTTAGCTGAACGTGGCAGGCGAACAATCATTCTCACAACTCACTTTCTTGACGAGGCCGATCTTCTTGCGGATCATATTGCCATCCTCTCCAAGGGAACTCTTCGGGCTCAAGGATCTTCTGTCGAACTTAAGGATAGACTTGGTGCCGGTTATCGGGTTCATGTCTTCAACGCGAGAGAGATCAAAAACCCTCCAGAAATTGAGAACGTAACTCGTAAGATAGGGTTCGACGTGATCAGTTACATTGCTCCATCTTCTAGCCTTGCTGCAGATGTAATACGCTCTCTTGAAGCTGCAGGAATCCACGACTATAAGTTCTCCAATCCGACGATCGAGGATGTTTTCCTTCAAGTGGCCGAAGAAGTCAGAGGGGAAAGTGGTGCCAAGTCGCCACAAACGTCATCGTCTACCGAAGGTGGTAATGACAATCAAGCCAATTCCGAGGAAATCGGAGCTAGCGAACTTGAGAAGGACGGGCTAGAGCTACTATCCGGGCAACCTATTGGGTACATGAGACAGATCGTGGTGTTATTCATGAAGCGATGCACTGTCTTCAAGACGAATTGGTTTCCTTACGTTGCAGCCTTCCTGATCCCGATTATAGCGGCGGCTCTAACATCTCTCTACGTTACGGATCAACACCCGGTTGGTTGCAATCCGGCTAGTCAAAGCTCGGCCGACACATCGGATACTTCGAATCTCTATGACAATCTATTCTTAGTTGCTGGTCCGTCTTCACAATTTAACAATGCAACCATTGAAAGACTTTTCGCTCCCACACTACGGGGTATAAGCCCAAGCCAGAATCAGAGCCAAGTTCAGGGCCTTACCGGATCGAATAATGCAACACAATCTGGATATGCAGCCGCAGCCGCGTTCCTCGAGAGTCTACATCTTGTCAATTCTCTAGACGAATTTAATACATTCATCGAACAGAGACGAAAAGATGTTAAGCCTGCTGGGTGGTGGCTTGGAGATACTAATTCTCTACCTACTATTGCATACGAAGCAGATGCTGGGGATGTTTACACATCGGTTTTCGGTCAGAATGCCTTGGACATCATGTTAACCAATACCAGTATTGCCGCGAATTATGCACCCTTCGATACTCCTTGGGCACCATCGACTGGAGATTCTCTTCAGTTGCTTATCTACTTTTGTCTAGCTCTTTCCATCTATCCCGCTTTCTTCGGCCTCTACCCGAATATCGAGAGGCGACGGAACGTCCGTGGATTGCAATATTCGAATGGAGTCCGCTCTCTTCCGCTCTGGGTTTCTTATACAGGATTCGACTTTGCAATCGTCCTCGTTTCCTCTGCGCTTGCCGTCGCCGCATTCGCTGCGTCATCCGATGTTTGGTACCATGTTGATTATCTATTCCTCATTTTCATATTATATGGATTGGCATCGATCTTGTTCTCATACGTCATTTCCCTCTTTTGTGGTAACCAGTTGTCGACATATGCCTTTTCAGCAGCTGGCCAGGCAGTTGGATTTCTGATTTATTTGATTGCATACTTATGCGTTATCACATATGCGCCAGTTCAGTCTATCGACAGTTCTATACTCGTCGCGCACTTTGTTATTTCAGCATTTATACCCATTGGTTCAGTTGTTCGAACTATGTTCATTACTCTCAATCTATTTTCTGTAACATGCGACGGAGACCAGATACAACCCAGACCAGGCGCGTTGACTGCCTATGGAGGACCGATTCTTTACTTGATTATACAGTCACTACTCCTGTTTGGATTCTTATTATGGCACGATAGCGGATCAGGCAGTAGCCTTTTGAGCCGCTTTACCAAAAAACCCGCCCCTACCTCCGATGATCCAGCCGTTTCAGACGAAGAGGTAGCGAACGAACTTGTACGCGTAACAAGCACGCCACAAGAAAGCGACGGTCTTCGTGTATTGCATTTGACCAAGTCGTTCGGCAAAAACACTGCTGTCGATAACGTTACCTTCGGCGTTCAGCACAGCGAAGTCTTCGCCCTATTAGGACCCAATGGTGCCGGCAAGTCCACAACCATCTCTCTCATCCGAGGCGACATCCAACCTAGCCGGAACGGCGGCGACGTCCTCGTCGAAAACACATCCGTCAACCGAAGACGCGCCGAGGCTCGCGCCCATCTAGGCGTATGTCCTCAATTCGACGCCATCGATAACATGACCGTGCTCGAACACCTGCGCTTCTACGCGCGCATTCGTGGCATCCCAGACATTGAACACAATGTGCGCGCCGTCCTCCGCGCCGTCGGCCTCGAAGCCTTCTCAACCCGTATGGCGCACGCGCTCTCGGGCGGCAACAAGCGCAAACTTAGTCTCGGTATCGCACTAATGGGAAACCCCAGCGTCGTCCTCCTCGACGAACCGTCTTCGGGTCTCGACGCTGCCGCAAAGCGCATCATGTGGCGTACCCTACACTCCATCGTCCCTGGACGCTCGATCCTGCTCACGACGCACAGCATGGAGGAAGCGGACGCGCTAGCGAACCGCGCCGGTATCATCGCGAAAAGAATGCTCGCGATGGGGAGTACGGAGAATCTAAGGCAGAGATTCGGCGATGCGTTGCATGTGCATTTGGTCAGCAAGACGGCGCCGCATTCGACGACGGAGGAGATGGGCAGGATTCGGGAGTGGGTTTTAAGCAGGTGGCCTGATGCGGAGGTGGAGGCGAAGACGTATCATGGACAGATGCGGTTTTCGGTGCCTGCTGCTGCTGTAGTTGGACATGAAGATGCGGATGATAGTGGGAATGAGGAGAGTGGTGGGAGGAGCGGGAGCGCGGTTGGTCAGCTTATCGTTATCCTAGAGGAGCACAAAGAGGAGCTGGGGATTGAGCATTACTCGTGCACGCCGACGACGTTGGATCAGGTGTTCTTGACGATTGTAGGGAAGCATAATGTTCAGGAGGAGGGGTATAACGAGAAGAAGAAGAGTTGGTGGAGTTGGAGGTAGGGGTTGAAGTGAAGTGTGGCGCATATAAACAGCATTGAAGATATAAAGGCATTTGGTCACTAACTATTATATCATATTGCATAGGATGGGGTAAGGGGGGTAGGTTATAGAGCATACGATAGAGCTAGTCTACTAGGGCTAGGTTTACCTGTACCATAGGGTGTGATACCTTGTACTATTATATTACAATACTTTGATTGAAGACCTTGAAGGATGCTTTGCCAATTCATGAAGTTGCCTAGTAGTTTAGAAGAGTAGGTCTATAAAAATTATAGGACACTACATGATGAGAAATTCATTCTGGCAGCATTGCTGAAAAGGTTACCTACTCAATCACCCGTAATGCTAATGAACCAATCGCAATCCCTAAACAATTTCGAGAACGCACTATGTTTGGACAGAAAAAAATAATAAAATAAAAAAGAAAGCGACGATCTCCAAATACATGAATGAATATGATAAATGTCGAAAAAGAAGGGCTTGACCGGGGATTGAACCCGGGACCTCTCGCAGGCTTGTACCATGTATTCATGATCCCAAAGCGAGAATCCTACCACTAGACCATCAAGCCCTGGATGATGAAACGTCGCTTTAAGGTGGACTATATTGCCAGTGTCAAATGCATTGCCGATCATTTGGTCTTGGCGAGACAGTGCGAAAACTGGAACTGGTTACCAATTCGGAATAGCTGCAGGCTTGTGATGTCCGGAGGTGGGGGCACATAATTAGTGGGGAGGGGGAGCTTGGGACGGATTGAAAAGGTTATTGTGCATTGGAAGAAATCATTTGATAATGGTTTGGGGAATAGGAGATCATTAAGTTGATGTAGATACAGTATTGAGTGGTATAGATTCCTCATATTGTATAGTCAAAATACAAAGTTACTTGGAATACGGATTTCCCATGTGATCCTCCAGCCAAGCAGCAGCCAATTCCTCCCCCTTGCTATCGAGCTCGAAACCACCCTTGCCTAACCCCACGTTCTGAAGCTGAACTCTCCTAGCAGCCTCTTCGTCCCAGCTGTCGCTTTCATCCCACCTAGAGCGTTCCTTCAGCTCGACCTTATCGATACTGCGACGCATCAAGCCGGCGAGATCTTCGGCTTGAGTCCTAAAATTGTTCTGTGCGATCTTCTTGCGCCTCTGCCGTCGCCTCCAAAGCGAGGGTGGCATCTGAGGGGGCGAGGAATGCAGTAGTAGCGCCTCGGGGATTTTTAACGTCGACTTCCTGGGTGGGAATATAAGCGTGCTTTTCCTCGGCGATTTCGTGGGCATGAATAGTTCCGGCGCATCGTCCGGTAGCAGGGCAAGATCTTCCGGAAGCAATTCCGCCGGTGAGAGAGCCGTTGAGTTGAAATCTGGCGGCACGAAAATTCCTGGTGTGTGGAAGAACAGGCAGGGACTCGCGAAGGGATCGAAGAGGTAACCGGGTTTTGTGAACAGTGCTTCCCTGTGCTGCTTCAGCTCTTGGAATTCGGGGTCCTCGGCTGGGTGGCCGAGAATCTCTTCGAGTATATTCCGCGATTGGTGCTGTGGCTTCTCATTGATTCGGTGGTCAGGGAGAAATGTAGTCCAGTTATATATCCCGTTGTAGGCGACACATCCTCGAATACCCATCCGCGCGTGGGGATGGGTTTCTGTAAGGGTTAACGATACTGCTAGTGAGGCGCCGAGATAAGAGCCGTAAACGTATATATCCCGACGTGTGTAGTTTGCTGGGCCGAGATTCTCTACGATCCACTCATACGCCCTTGCTGTGTCGTGGATGGGTGATGGCCAAGCGAGATGAGACATTTCATCCTCATCTTCATTCTCTGCTGGGTCCGTATCGGATTTTGAAGAATGTGTAGCTGTATCCTCGGAAGGGGGGTAGCCAACCCAACGGTAGTTTATTACTGCAGTTGGCCATCTCTGGATAAATCTTGGCAATTCTGCAGGCCTGTCTGAAAAGGCTGTTGAGTATGGTGGTAAATATATCAATAAAGGGCCTGGTGATGGCACTTTGGCAATGTTATGTAGACTGATCACTCATTTATAAATTAGAAATAAGAGCAGAAGAGTAGGATTGCGTATATATCTTATGGCTACTTACTCAATAGTAGCAAAGCCCGAAGAGCCGGTGCGAAAACTCACTCGCTCTACATTATTGACAGCGATGCTAAAGCATCTTAAGCCACTTAAGTTTCGGCCGCGAAGGCCTGAAAATACTGAACCTCTAGTCGGGATCCATCTTCTCATCTTCCCTCTACCGTAGGGCTTCCTCCTCACGAAGCATCGGTTCGAAATAAGTTATCGTATTAGGTAGAGAAAAGGAATAGTGAAAAATGAATCTCTATAAAACACGTGACTATATGCGATCATATATGTTAATAACAGAAGCCAAATATTGACGCGTCGAGCGATAAAAAATGAAGGTGGGATGGATTCGGATTGATTCATGAGATTGGCAGTATTAGAATTCTTTAGCGTCTTTAGTGATCTGGCTAGACCAATCATGTGGCATTCCACTAGGTCGTTACACCCCTGTCCTAGTAGATCGGACACTACGGTGCTCATTAGCTCCGCGATCCAATGCCAAGCGACGTCATGTCACATTAAATCTTCTATCGCCTGACCCTCCTTTGTATTTGTCTATCCTTCATATTTATATACACATTTTATATTCTGCTTCTTTATATCTCAACCATGGCAATCGAAGCCAAGACCTCTAATACTCTCTTGTATAATACTAATTAGCATCTTATTAAGCTATACGACTTTTAGACTAATTACCGAGGTAGAAAAGCAAGGGCATGGATCAGTTCGAAAGTCTTTGCCGACCTCTCCGCGATCCTATAATTCACTTTGGAACCTAAGTATGAACGGCTATTTATAAAATAGAGATGGATGATGCAGACCTCGGTAATAACATCGACGAACAAGCACAGGTCGTCGATGGCGTTCATCACGAAAAGGTCGCCCAACATGGCGCCATGGACGATCAGATATATCTTGATCCCAGGTGAGGCGCCAATGTTACCTATACTCACCGAATACTGCATCATGCTGACCAATTTGATACAATAGTCGTTGGTGGTTTGCTTCGGCCGCGTTCCCCATGATAGCTGGTACGCTTGGTCCGGTAGCTTCAGCTTTCAGTATATGCGCTCTTGTGAGAAATTGGAGACAGCATATTCTACCAGGATCCGATGTCACCAAAGCAGTATATGTTGAAGATCCACCATGGCTATTGGCTGTGAACGCCGTCCAGCTAGTAATCGCTTTGGTCGCCAACGTGTTCCTCTTACTGAACATGACCAAGAGAGTGCGATTCTCTATCGCCCAGCCCATTACCATAGCTGGCTGGTATATATCAGCAATCTGTCTCGTCGCTCTGTGCGCTACCGCAACCGGACCGCTAGAAATCCAACCTGAGATTGAATACGTCTGGTCTCAAGCCTTCTATTACGGCATGTACGCAGCTATCATCTATTTTATAGTCGCCTCTCTCATGGTTATCACTGTCTGGGGCGCAGAGAACGGCCACTATAGTAAGGATTTTGATTTGACGACTAGCCAGAGGACACTTATGCTTCAGACTATCCTCTTTCTAATGTACCTTCTTGTCGGCGCTTTGATCTTCTCCACGATCGAGGGTTGGAATTATCTCGATTCCGTATATTGGGCCGACGTCACGCTTTTCACCGTAGGGTTTGGCGAAATATCTCCTCAGACAAGACTTGGCCGCGGCCTTCTCGTTCCGTATGCTCTGATCGGTGTGATCAGCCTTGGTCTCGTGATTGGGTCTATTCGAAGTATGATCCTTGATCGCGGCAAACACAGACTCGACGCACGAATGTTAGAACGGCAGCGACGTCTATCGATTCGGCGCATGTTAAAGAAGGGAAACGCCGGTATGCTCAATCCAGTGGACGGTGAGGGCTTAGATGCGTCTTCAAGAGCTCATTGGACCGAATTCGAACGTCGACAGAAAGAATTCCAATTAATGCGAAAGATTCAACGGCAGGTACGTACGGAGGGATCCACATCTGGTCGCGGGATTTCCTAATCATATACTAACAGTGGGTAGTAAGTACCAATTCTTTGTTTGCATCTATGCTGTCTCCACAATAGGGGCTATAGATCATGGGGGCTTTAATAATCATCAACCCTTTTTGATATCTACCTAGGTCTCTCCAGATAGTAAAATTTACTACCTGGTAGTTAGAAACTAATATGTGGATAGAGCTTCAAAACGAGAGCGCTGGACTGCAATGGCAGTGTCTTCAACTACCTGGATATTGCTTTGGCTTGTAGGTGCTAAAATCTTCCAAGAATGTGAGGCCCCTTATCAAGGATGGTCTTATTTCGATGGCTTCTACTTTGCCTTCACGGCCTTGACGACGATTGGATATGGTGATCTCACCCCAGTGTCAAATTCAGCCAAGACTTTCTTCGTCTTTTGGTCTCTGCTTGCCCTACCTACGATGACCGTTCTTATATCGAATGCAGGGGACACTATCGTGAAAGGTGTAAAAGATGGCACCCTTATACTCGGAAATATCACGATTTTGCCAGGAGAGCATGGCTTTAAGAAGGAAATGAAACAAGTGTTAAAGAAACTATCGTGCGGGGTTTTGTTCATGGACACCGATATCGAAGAAACCGCTCCCGGATTCCTCGGAGCGGCCAACGAGCACACAGATCATGATGAGGATGAAGACGATGACGTAGGTGGCGAGGAAGATGACGATGACGATGAGGAAGAGAACGATCGTGGGCGTTCTTCCGATACGACCGAAGTAAATAACGCAGAAAGTACTCGTATAGCCGACAAGGACGCCGAGAAAGGAGAAGCAGAACCAGGACCAACATCGGTACCTACGATCCGTTTCGCGGACGAAGAATCACCACCAAAACCATCACCTACTGGAAACGAATCACGATCAAGATCGATATCCCACAGCCGAGCCCCCTCGATAGCTAGAGAGAGCCTACCGACCGAGCTCCCCAAAACCCGCGCCGAGTACCACCTCGTCCTGATCGACGAAATCTCGCGCGTGACTAAGCACCTCCGGCACTCGCCGCCGCGCGAGTACACTTTTAAGGAGTGGTGAGTAGCCCGGCCCCCCGATAGGTCCTACCCCTCAACGACCCCGCCACGCCACAAGGCGTCGACGTTTTTTTCCGCCTCCCGTAGAACGTCCTATGTACTATGTACCATATCATCCACAGCCTTCCACCCCATTCTAAACCAGGACGTACATACATATCTACATACGGGATAATCAAGGTAGTTTAGTTGATTAACCAGTCGGCGCTGCTAATACGATGGTATTTATCTAGGGCGTGGTATCTAAGACTCATAGGCGAAGACGAAGGCAACGCCGAAAACCACCGGCGGCCCGAGCGACGACCGCCTCACCCGCACGGTCAACACTCGCACTCCCACCTCCACCCACACCCCCACGTTCACCCTCACCTGCACCCCCGCGTCCGTCTCCACAGAGACATCAACCAGTCCTCCGAGAACAACAGCAGCAGCAGCGACGAGCAAGGGAACAGCGGTTCCGGCGCGGAAGACAAGCCGCCTAAGTGGAGCTGGGTCGGACACCGCAGTCCGCTGATGGACACCCGCGAGGAGGCGGAGTGGATCCTGGATAAGCTGGAGCAGAAGCTCAGGGAGGAGCTGCAGACTCTGGTGAAAGAGGAGGCGGGCCAGGACGCGTTAAGAGGGGTTGAGGAGGAGGAGCGGCAGAACGAGGAGAAGGTCCCGGGGCCGTTTCTGGGATCGCATTTGCGTGAGGGTGATTAGGACTGGTGTGTAGAGTAGGTAGGTAGGTAGGTAGGTAATTAAATATGCGATACCCCTAGTAATATACTAGTCCTAAGTCCTAAGTGTTAGTCTACGTCGGTGACATAGCACGGTTTAGGCCTCAAACACAACAGATACGCAGGTAGGTAAGGAGGCGGGTAGGTAAATGTAAATGAGCGTTTAATTCAGGGTTTGCCAATTTGTAATAAGCGGCGTAGCTACCCAGCTAGCCGATAAAGAGAACTGACCATGGGGTCATATCGTAGTTCCTCGTAAAAACCCCAACATCATCCTATCTAACCCCCCAGCCCATGTTTCTTCTCTGTTCAGGGGGGTGAAAAAAAAGGGAGTACAGATCCCCCAAAAATATATATATCTCAAGCCACAATAGCCGACCCCTACACTTTACTAGAACAGATTTCCACCCTTTTCTGTTCTCTTGTATTTTAAATTTTAACATAACAGTAAAAACGAAAACCGATTAAGATGTCGTTTTTTCGCGTCTCCGTCGCCTAAGATGCTTAGGTTAGATATGCTCGGGAAGATCAATGCCCTCCGTCCACCGAGTCCTATAAATTAAACGTCAGCATGAAATGAGACCTAACAACTACCGGCATCCGGACCCGTCCGGGAGTCTTCAGGGGTATAACTTACGCGGGTTGGAGTTGGTCCTTAGTCAGATGCAAATCTCCCCACTTTTCGGTATCATAGAACGGGCACATATCTCCACGAGTACAAGGCGCTCGAGGGCAGTGATGGGACAAATAGCAGTCGTAGTCGACGCAATATGGACCGGCCGGGCATAAGCTAGTTCGAGCTTTGTAGCGGTGAATGGCAAGTTCCGGTCCGGTTAACTCAGCGTCGTGGGTCTTGTCGCAACTGAGGCCCCACTTACAGCGACCCTTGAGGTAAAAGTCGTTACAGAAAACGGATGGCTTGATGGCCTGGAATTTCGCCTGGTAAGACGATTGCGCAGGGGTCCTAGGTGGATGCTGCGTGGGCGAATCAATACGGTAGTTATCCATATTATAAAATAAAACCCTTGGCTGTTTCTTTGGTTTGGGTGCTTTAACCGTGACATTTTGAAGGTCGTTGACACCGCCTGCCGTTGCGTAGCTGATCGAGGTACCGCCATTTCCAGAGCTAATTACACTCGACGTGCGAGGTGGCTGATTAGGTTGTTGCTCAGGTGTAGAAGAAGGTAGTATTGGCGACGATGTGCTAACAGACACCGGAGTAGATGTAGGTGCGGGAGATTGTCGTTGCTCTTGTATAGGCGAGACGACCATAGTCTGCTTCGGCGTAGGCTGCGTAGGCGGCGCAGGCTGCGTAGGCCGAGCAATCGGACCCGGTCCAGGAGAAGGCTGCACGGGTGAACGAGGTCTAGGAGGCATAGTCGGAAGAATATGCTTTGTCTCATTCCCCAAGGGTTCTGACCTAAAAACCTCATCGAAACGTAAGATAGGAAAGCCAAGAGACCTAAAACCAGGCTCGGCATGCGTAGTCTCTAGAAGCACGAGTCTATTATCGACGGCCCCCGTATAGTCGCGAAGATCGTGTAGATAACCATTATCATGACAACATCCAGCAAGGAATATTTTCTTGCACTGGATATTTCTGTAGTAGTGGTTAAGCATACCTAAAACCCACGTGAGCAACTTTGAAGGTAGAACGACGACATTATGATCAAGATCTTACGTCTAATCTTAGAGTCCGCGTTCTCTTTGCCTTTGCCGACATTAACGAAGTCAAATTCCGCACGACTGTTGGTGAAACGCTCTGCGAACAAGCGCATGTCGTCGTCATAATCAATAACTCGAGACAAGCGTAATGACTTAGACAAGTCCATCAGGTTTGCATAGACTCGAACAAGAATAGGAATGTCTTCCAGGTCGGCTCCTGTGTCTCTAAGACTCTCGCGGACAGCTTGCTTCAGTTTTATCGCAGCTCTCTCAGCCCCTGCAACGGGGTCACGCAGATATTCGTCTGCAAACTTAGCCCCATCGCCATCAATAAGCACAACCACGAATGAATCCTTATCCTATTGCAAGTATTAGCAAAAACAAGCACATCTCAGAGACCAGAAGGTGGGACGAACAAGCTGTTGCGCGAGTCTTCGCACTTCATTCTCAAGATTAATAGCCTTTGATTGGTAATTAGCCCGAGAAGTCTTTTGATCTTCTAGGTCTAGTTCGAGTTCATTAATCTTCTTAGCATCAGCCTCGACTCTTTCGAGGATATTCTAACGAGTCCGTGTTAGCAAACCGAGAAACCGTGGACGGGTCATACGGAGGTATGATATTAGCCATAAAAAGATGAGTAATTCCGATTGGATACGTACGTGGATGAAAGTTTGCCTCTCCTTATCAACTTGGAAATAATGATTAAGTCGACTTGATGCGTCTGCTGTAAAAGCAGTGGGATCTGACCCGTTTAACATCATTGAGGATCCCATGCGCCCTAAAGGTGGTGGCAATCCAACGTAGCGGTCGTATCTAAGAAAAAAAAAAAGGCGAGCCTCCAATTCGAGATGGGCGATCTTCAATTAGTGCTAGTTCAATTCACGATCTCGCGAATGGTTCTGATGAGATTTCAGCGTTAATGTAACAGCCCAAAATTGACAAGTGAGAGGTGAATGACAGGGACCCTAGGACGTCGGAAGAAATGCCGAGATCTTATGCTCAAGACTTGAAGAGTCAACCGGAGTCGAGACTAGGAGGAGCAAGAAAAAATAGCTCCCATTTATTTCACATGAAGCTTTATCGCAATTCAAACGTCGCCCGATTACGATTGCGATTGTGAGACGATTGAGATTGAGAAAACGATAAATGCTTCCCCGATTTTGCTGTCATATAAAAAAAGGTTGAGGTGTCGGTAGAACTTCCGAGCCCAAATGGAGCTCGCGATTTAGGTAATAGGGACTTGTGGAGATGGAGATGTGGAGTCAAACACGTGATGGGAGTCAAGAGAGTTCAGAAATACCCTTCGACGTAAGGGGCAGGGGCGGGGGCAGAACCGGAGAACGGAACATCTCATCCAACCAACCAGTATCCACCTATTTTCAGCAGCATATCCAGGTATCTATGTATCTACTATGTATGTATGTACAACACTCCCGAAATACATCATTTTCGCAAACCTGCCTCACACATCCAAGTTAATAGAGTATGACCGTCAGATTCATCAGGTAATTACGTACCTCCCATGATTGTTTCATTCGACTGGAGTCTTCTAATAAAACCAAGAATATTCGAAACCACTTTGAATTATCATACCAAGTACGTACCCCCTATTATTGAACCCCGACCCGAAGCGCCACGATGCGGTCTGTGTCACCACTATGTGCAGTTTCGTACTCCGCCAGTCCTAGATATTCGTAGTAAGAATAATTTCGTAAAGATACCTGTAAAATTCGCGCCTTTTAATTTTGTGGCAGATCTAAAGAAGCAAGACGGCAAGTAACGAATTTCTATTCCTTTCTTCCCCTCTCTCCTCTCTCTTCTACGCCACGCTTTTATATTGAATCATATACGACGGAGAATCAGCAATATGTAGCTCTTTTATTTGAGTCTTGTCAGCAATCGATCTATCTCGTATATAGCCATATGAGTGGACGGTTTCGTATTAGATACATCAATTACTTAACTGATGTTCTGTACGACATCTGTAAAGCTCACCCCCACACGCCTCATAGCAAACCGGCCAGCACTCAGATACTACTGTACCAGCCCGTATAATATGGATACCTATCATCCATCCATCAGCCCACCTTCTAGTGCATTCTCAGTAGTTTTGTCACCCCCACAGACTATCTGTTTTGCCCATTCAATTTGCGTCCAGTCGCTCTCCCCAATAGCGAGAACAACAAGACTCAGGCCGATTGCAGTCTTTGGGTCTCTTATCGGCTTACATACACAGCGACAAATTTTTGGCTCGGCACTCACATTTAGAAACGCCGAGCTGAGGCGATCTAGTTGACTACCAACTCTCCAGTTCGTGAGGACTCCCGCAGGGTATGGTAGTTGGTCCTTGAAAAGGTCGATGAATTGAAAGTGCTGTCTTCTTTGAAGGCTCTCTCGGTTCGAGTAATTGACTCTCGCGTACAATTCGAAGACTGCCTCTTGTCGATGGCCTAGGCAATGCGCAGCTTGGTTGACCATCTCTCCTATTCGAAAGCAAGTCCGCAACACAATGTCTGAGGACAACCCCGAGACTGTAGAACGATCGCGAATCTTTTCAGGAAAAGCGGGCCGAACAAACGGCTTCATAGGCATTCTTTCATTGATACGAAGGGTTTTCTCAATAGGTTTCTCCATATGAGTGGTTTTACCTGGTGGCGATGGGCGGACTGCATCTTGAGGACCCACATCCGACAAATCTTTCGGAATTGTATTCGTTATAGCATACACAGTATTCCAGTCGACGTCATCGTCAAGAAGATCCTCTTCGCCATTGTGAAGCCCCCCAGTCACGCTCATGGGCTGCGAACCTTTCGCTCTCTCGGAGGACGAAAAAGGTGATGAATGCTGTAAAGTCGGGTCATACTCAACAGCCGATCTAGAATCGCGATCCCATGCTTGGGTGACACTAGAGGGAGGTATATGTGTCTCTTGGACATTTCCCAGAGCCGTATCGAGAAGGCATGTCATATCTTCCTCCACCAGACCATCGTCTAGGGGGTATTCGTCTCTAAAATCAGTACAGCCGCCAATATTTGAACTACTTACCGTCAAACGGTGATTGCCCATTACGTCTGAATTGTTTGCTGAGTCGGCTACAGATTTATTATTGAGCCGGCCCTTTACTCCTTGTTGTCTCCGAGTAGGAAACGGAGTCAGTGGATCCACTACGGTCCATCCTTGCGGAAATTGGGAATCAGTGACTAAGTCATGACAATCGTCGTGATCTATAACTGTTTCTTCTGCAGGCTTGAAGAGAGAAACATTGTTGCCCACGCGTCTAGCTTTCGTGACTCTAAGGGTTTGGAAAGGGCTGGATGACGGTGTAGCAAGAAGAGGCAATTGGCGTCTAGAACGCTTCGCATCCCGAGTCTCTTCATGCGTCATTAAACCATGCTTAGAACCGTGGGTTTGACGTTTTGAAGTTGAACTTTCTGAAGAGCGAATGTGCGTCTGTTCATCGACAGCGAAGACCAGGTCGGAATGCATGGAGGAGTCAGTAGTTGTTTCGAACAGCGAAGACTCTCCGTCATTAATCGGCGTAAACATATTGCTAGGATGTGCTAAGGGAATGGGATCAAATTCTCCATCGCAAGAATCAAACTTTTGGATGAGCTCTCCTTGTGAAGCGAGGACTAGGCTTTCATCCTCGGTGTCTACAGTCTCCTGTGGTGGGTTTTTCGGGTGCGAACAGGATCGACTGTTTGGCTGATTGTAGTCTTGCATTATGAAGAAATCCAGGTTTCCGTTTCGAGAATTCCTAGCGTGAAACCATTCGCACGCAAATGAGGATATTCCATAGTGAGAAAGTAAGAAGATGGATGAAAGAGATTAGTATTCGCTTGCGGGTCTAATTGTATTTCAACTACTAGGTACTGTTTAGGCAATACTAGTAGCTAAAATAAGGTTGAAGCTACGTAAGATTGGGCGATTGAAGTATTTATAGATGTTCGAATAGGGAAGTTGCTCCCACGGCTCCTATAATAACTGGGAATTATCTTGAAGGCAGTTTCTAAAACAAGGAAGCCTCGATAGATCGATATTTCCGATGGGGGACCACGGGAGCCACTAGTTTAGGTAATTCATTTAAAAGAAGGGCGCCACCACTGTAACACGATTAATTATCTCACCCCGCCCCCAGTCAACAGCCGGCAATCAACAGTTTCCAACCTAATGCTCGAATTGACGTCGTCAGCTTGAGTCTCACAAACTGGCTTAATACCCATCTTACATATCTTACCTAAATCGCCGGCGGTACTTTCGTTCATCTCGTCCGAGTAATCTGTCGATCGAAATTCTATTCTTCTAGAATAAGTCAGATAGAGCCATCTTGCCAGGGCCGAATACAGCACACTAGTCATTGCATACTGCGAAGAGGCTCCGAAGTTCCCTGTTAAGGAAATCGAGTCAGCCCTAGGTTACGTGTAGGATCACAGGCGGATGATTCAGCTCTGATCTATTCACAGAAGCCTTGTCGAAACTAAAGGCTACGCCCCTTTCATATTCATTAGACCATCATAAGGCTTTGGCATTGTCACATATGATCGCGAACTTCTAAAAGCTCATTTAACGGCCTACGATTCTTCCAGGCCCCCAATCTTTTCGAATCTACTTACTTCTTTGACGTCAGAGCGCCATAACGTCATCCCAGCTAGGTGCCACCCGCGAACATGTTCTCTCAGGTGAGTTTCGCGCGCAAGCTTCAACGTCCTGGTTGATGTTAGACCACTGCGTTCCTATGCATTATAATAACTATTTTCATATCTACTCACTGAAGTTCATATCGATGCATTGCACTATAGAGCAGATCCCTTGTATTCATATAAGAGCAATATTAACATCTCCAATATTAGAAAAAACCATATTCGGCTGTTACGGTGACAGTTGAGCGCCTCACCAGCGAACAGTTTGAAGAGGATGACCTTAGTGGTATCCCCGACCTAGTCGAGGTTATCAAGCTGCAAGGTTCCGGTCCTGCAGAGGCTGCTCGTGCCCTGAGGAAGAAGTTGAAGTATGGTAGTGTCCATAGGCAGATACGGTCTCTTGTGCTTCTTGACGGTTTAATTCAGAATGCCGGTCCGCGCTTCCAGCGAACTTTTATTGACGAACCACTTCTTGAACGCTTACGAGTTTGCGGTACTTCGGATCTATCAGATCCTGATGTCAAGAAGAAGTGCTCCGAGTTATTTAGAAGTTGGGCTTCTGAATACAAGAGTACCCCGGGCCTTGAAAGAATTGCCATGCTATATAGGGTAAGGGAGCTCCTTTTGGATAAGGGACCATAAGATCTAATTAAACTACCTAGGAACTCCCACGACGTAAACAAGTTGTCACTCAAGCACAATCTAAAGTCCTTCGCGAAACAGAGGATCCTTTCCGCGATTCTGAAGAAGAGGCTGAAGGGCGTCGAAGCCCTCGATCTGTAGCTTCCTCTTCGGTACAGTCTACCCCAACTGCCCCGTCGCTCGGTCACGTCAAGTCGCCATCAAGCTCTAGTTTCTTCTCTACTTCCTCTAAGGATAAGAAGAAGAAGGACAAGGGAAAGAAGAAGCATAAGGCCTTTAATCTTGAAGCCGAGAAGGATGCAATGAAGGTTGCAGTTGCGGAGTCTTCGATTGCTGCCACAAACCTCATGAATTCTCTCCAGAGCATAAATCGAGAACAAGAACGGATCTCAGAAAACCCCGTTGTCTTGGACCGGTTCGAAATTTGCAAAAAGCTGAGAAGGAGAATATTGCGCTATGTAGGTTTGCAACGGATGATACCTATGGTCGTTCACTTACCTTGGTAGATTCACCATGTTGAAGATGAGTCATGGCTTGGTGGTCTCCTCCATGCCAATGATGAACTTGTCGTCGCCCTTATGACATATGAGCAGCTGGACCGATCGATCGACGCTGATAGTGATTCCGAGGACGAGTTAGCCGAGCAAGCGCACCTTTATAGGAGTAAGCTAATTATTACCTGAGATTTCTATATTTTCTTATTGCTTACAAATGCTAGTGGCGACGGAGAAACACCAACAGTCAATGTCGCCTCCTACAAGCCCTGTTTCAGAGATGGCTCAACTAAGTATAAATCCAAGCAACCCGCCCAGGCCTGTACCGCCCCCGCGACCATCTGCCGCATCCAAACCATCAATTTCGTTGCACACAATTCCCGAACCAGATTCAGAAGAGGACGAAGATGAAAATGACCCCTTCGCGGATAGGAATGCAGTCATAACACCAAGGGTAGAAAGCGGCGAACCTCGATGGTAGTTACCATTGAACCCGGTCCTGGTGTGAAGTTACGTACTGGCCAGGCCATTTATTGATTGTTCCTATGGAGGGTTTTATCATGTAACGGCGGATTACGAAGATACCTTGTTTTAGTTGAAGATTCAGTTAATCCATTTTCTAACCCCTATCATTGGGATATCCCAGACAACCGATGTTTACGTCGCCTCATGTAAATGGATTCTTGAGATCCAGGTCATGACATACCTAGGTATGGAAAGTCTTGTTAGGCCCTTCTTTCGCATTACTCTTCATCTGTAGCGTTTCGTTTAAGATATCATGATCACGTCTATAACGAATTGAACTCATTTATATGCTAGCCCTTAAGGTCCCATGTCGTTCAGAATGGGCTATGCTCAGTTAAGATCAAATTATAGCCCGACATGTCATCTCATCTCTACATGATATCCCGGTTCCGATAGCCTGCCTCATAAGGATATATTACTTCTCCTGGCTGAATTGATCGTAATACTGAATCGCAAGGGATGTCACTCTCGTTTAGGTGGGTCAATCATAGGATAGGTATTAAGTTCTTCGAGCATCAATGAGTTTGCTCGTCAATCAACCAATCTGAGCGAGCTCGACATCGGAAGTCGTTCGAGGGAACACTGGAGTGAATCGTGTCGTTATTGCGCTTCTAAATATCTTACCTCTTCATTCCCTATCAGCATTGCAACCTTCATTACTTCATCTCACGATTATCTCTTGGCAGGGGTTGGCTATCATGCAAGATGTCGGTAGGGAGGGGCTAATGTTATATTTCTTCCGCCTTGAGCGCTGTGATATTTGTTGACATATTCAATCTTCGGATCATACCCGATGTTCATCAGAGATCTAGAAGTCATGAAAAGGCCCTTCACTGCATCCTACGTTTGTAAAATGTGATGTTCCCCTCTTCCGTCGTTAATCGAGATCTTATCGTGCCATCACATAGTAGTATGCGGGTACTGGATTAGCAATGAACCCAGTCCTAAGAGAATACCAAGTATATAACAATGTGTAGGTATCTAATTATTTGCTTCGCGGATAACTCTAAGTAGAAAATGAGTGCACCATCCGGTTAAGGGTCTTATCTAATAAACTCTTGTAACCCCCTGAGGTGGTATGATACATTAACGATAGTCACGCGTTTTAATAACAGAAGGTAGCAATTAACAACTTAAATACAATGCTATATCCTTATAGTAGCAACTCCTATTTGTATATGCTCAGGCAATTCAATATACTTCCACTACATACGCACATGGCACATACATCAATGGTCTATTCGATCCCGCCCGACCTTTCACTCCTGCCTAAGTACCAATCCCTTAGTTCCATCGCTATTTTTTTAAACTCATGATTCCTCTCACGCGGTTCTTATATCTCGTATTCGAGATGGTTAGACTTGACAAATCAATCGTGTAGATCTCTCAAACCTCTCCAATAAACCGGGCGGATTGAGCAGAATGCGGAGATGTCAAAGTTAGGAGAGTGAATCAGCCTTGCAACTAACCGGCCATACGCCATATTTATGACGGAAAGTCCTTTCGCGGGGATGAAAGCAGCCAGCGAAAGGCCCTATTATCTCAGCAGAGACGTCCCCTCATCCGGGAGCGCGGTTGGGAGCAAGCCTACCTGTCTAAATACCTACGTTCGTCAGTTTCTAGTTGACTTGGGGAGAAACCGGGAGCTAGCGAAACCTTAGCATCATAGGTCGGTCTGTGTAGATCTGGGGATGGCTAGTGACCCTCCCTCAAGAACCAAAGATGTCGTCAACGTATATACAATCTATTGTTCTAGCATCTGGAACTGTTTTCTAGCGTCTCGCCCATCCTGTCGGTATTGAAAACCGGCCACGAGGGATCGTCCATACTGATTATACATAGCGCGTAGCTAGACTGGAATCACTGGACCCCTATGCCATCATCGCGAAGAGAGGCCTCCACCCACGGGGAAATCTAGATTAGCATCGGCGCTATTAGTCAAGAAGCACGACTCTCCGTCACGGTAGAAAAGAGATCTACGGCCTAGCCTCGCGCATATGTAAGTAGTTTCACGATCCGACCAGATCCCAACTCAGCCCCGGCGTGCCGGAGACCCAACCACGAACGCCAGGACCGGTGGGCGCGGGCGAAAGATCGCGTAATGCATCTACGTAGTCAGCTGACGGCGCGAGAGGTAGCTCGCGAACTCTGCCCGCTAGGAGGGTGGTCCAGAGGGGTCCACGAACGAGGCTGGAATGCTGTAGCCCTGTCTAGTCGCTGTAGTTGTAGGTGTATGTATCTTCCCAGAGTTTTGGTTCGGGGGCTAGAGATCCGCTCTAACGCGGCTCGAAACTCAATCAGAAGGGCTGCGAGGTAGCGTTCATCTAGATACTAAGTAGGTAGGCTACTAAAATAAAAAATAATAAAAAATAAATATTTCGATAAATTCGAAATAATTAAGCTCGAATAAAAAACGTACCCGCGAGGAAATATGGAATAAAAGTCTCTATGGCGGTTTAGAGTTTTCTTTGGGTTCCGTGCCCATGGGGTGACTACGTTGGCAATGGGTTTAGAGTTACGGAAACACGTGAGGATGAATATGCTATGATCTTTGATACCCGGCTGGCCTAGTCTTACTTTGATGGGTGTTCCCTTCAGCCGTACGCGGTGAGTCTTTGGTAATCTTGGGATTTCACATGAAGCTTTCTTACATACATACCTAGTATACATATAAGGCTATCATGTTACCCAGAGCGAAGTACCTGAAAAATGCAATGGACTTGTCAGTTCTCACCTACACTAGTGCTCTCCTGTAGGTATTACATAACGGGGTAACGCTCGTCGTTGGAATCCATTGTAAGATCAACGTTACATGCCTCTCTGCCGGCGAGGCTCCGCGGCCCCTCTGGAAGGCATGTCTCCCGGGCCTAGAAGCCCTTACCGGCGCCGTAAAGGTAAAGTAAGCCGTGCCGTGACTGGTGTAACTAAACCGTTAAAGATCTAGGTTGAGGCTCATCAGAACCCAAGTGTGGTGGCTTGTGATGTCCCGGGATCTGCTGTCCATTTACATAATATGTATTTGGCTTGTGGCATCGACGTAGCGGCTCTTCTCCGTTGTAGCCTCGGGGACTAAGGGACTAAAGTCGGTATTTGTATGGGAAAGGGAAAATTCTCCTTCTAGTGTAGCGACGGGGGGGATCAGAATTTGCAATTGGTGATGATGACGACGTCCTGCTCAACCCGCGAAATTATCTAGCACGCTCCACTTTGGCAAGGGGCTAGGTTGTGTACATGTGCCTACATAGCACAAAGTACAGACCTATGTAACGAACAGCTCTACCATAGTACCTTCGAAAGCCTAAGCCAGCCTAGAAGTCCCGGCGTCGCGGCCCCACGTGGTAAGGAGGAAAAAGATATTAAAAAAACCAGGACGTTTATCCACGCCGTTGGATTTCAATCGCCCTTCTCCGGTTTTTCGTGGCTCGTCCCAGGCTCAAAGACGTAGGGAGGCCCGGCACATCAAGATTTCCCTGACAAATGGAATGACCCGCAGATATGTTTACTATGAAGTATGTTACTACGATGTAGGCACAGACACCAAAGTTCGGACATGTGATTACCTTCTGTATGTTTGTTAGTTCATGTAGTTAGAGACTAATATCGCTAGCACATTGCGGAGAGACGAGGCAAACTTATTTGCTCTAGAGCTTACCTACAAACCCCTCTCCTGGCTTACATTTGACGCGTAACAAGGCAGCTATTTGAAAGTCAAAAAAGGGGATTTAGAGTGCTCACTTTTTTTTTTTCGCGTTTCCGTGATGTCGATTGTTGTTTTGTTGTTATTGTTGTTTGATTTCCTCCTCTTTTCCTCTTTCCTCTTTCTCTCACCTTCACCCTTTCCCAACACTTTTCTCTCTCCCTCCCTCTGTACCTAGCTGCCTAGGTAGATATCTGCAACCCCCTTCAGGCGGCTCATGTGAGGGGCTTTCGGTTTTGCCTCATCATGGTATCTCGCTTGGGGGGATGTTTTCGGCGTTATTACAGAGAGTACATAGGTACGCTATCCCGATGAAGTATACCGAAATTGGATTAAACCGTCTCGGTCTCTTTCTGGAGTTGTTGTGGAGTCGGACTGGGTAAAGAAAAATCGTATCTGAGAGGAATCATGTGCTAAAAGCCGGTTATGTAAGCACTATTTCTCTCGCTCCCGAACCCCACCGGCTCACGTGAGTGCCTCAGCCTGTCAGGGAAGTGTCAATTGTGGATTCGGGTATCCATGTCATTCATAAGTTCATAGCCTTACATAAAAGATGTATATCTCGGTACGTATCTATAGTACCCACAAGGTCTCCATAGTGGAAAGACGCTAGAAGTCTTCTAGAAAGAAGAGGGGCTACTTCTCCGCGTGTGGCGAATCAATCGGCGGCTAAATTTAAGCGGTCGGTTGTCCAGATTGGTAAATTTTAAGCATTGAAGAATCCTTCTTAGCTACAACGAATATCCTCAATTGAACCGAATGGTTGCCGACGAAATCCCAAAAAAGGACCGATCGGCAGAGTACGGTGTTCAAATACATAATCTTTCAGCCAGCCAGCTACCCAGTTCCATATGATGAAATATCAAATATGTCTAGATGACCACAAGACGTAGTCGATCTGGACAAGACTGGACAAGAAGACAAGATATTATTATATTGTTATTGATTCGGCGATCCGTCTAAAGTCTCTTTGCCACGAGGTTGACAAATTTGGGTACATGCGCAAGGATATAGAATAGGTATCCAATGGATTTGGAAATGGATATCGAAAGAACGGAATATCCGATGAAATAAAAAAAGAAAAGAAAAAAGACAAAATAATAAGAATAAAAAGATTAAAAGAATAAAAAAAGAATAAAGATAAAGATACCTATCAAAACAATAGGGATATATTCAATCATTTCGTCCTGATATTCCCCCTGTTGAATCGTCACAAGCTACAATTGACAACGCATTGATGCATATATTTTTGGTAGGTTATTCAAGTCAGCGGGCCTCCTCTATTTGTCTACTTGTCTGTCTACCTGTTACCTTATCCTGCCAGCCCTGACCAGCTTTGGCCAGCTTTGACCAGCCCTGCTTATCCAGAATCCAAAGCAGTGGTAGATAATAGCTGTCTTGCCTGTTTAGGCGACGACTCGACGACTTGATGACTCGAGCCAACTCGTATTGACACCAATCCAGAATTCTCTTTCGCCCTCTTCACCCAATGAGTTCTCTTCGCCGCATCTGCCCATGACGCCTTTGCTACGTGCGGCGACGGGAATCGTCCCTCATTGATCTTATACCTTATCATTTCGTCACGAGATATATATCTATGCAAATTTTTTTTCTCCGAACGATTTCGATTATGCCCTAAGGTCGACATTCTTACCTTTTGTACAGTTGGTATGTACCTACTGTACCTTAGGTAGGTACGGGAATTCCATGACGGTCTAGTTCCTACATGTGTATGTATATCATCAGGGAATCCTAAACGACGCCACATCAAAATGACTGGCATATGCTGGGCGGGAGCCTCCACCACCAAGAAGCGGTCCAGAATAGCGCCTCCCGTTTTTCTCTACCTCCCGGGTGGGGGAGAGGGGTGAAGCTCCTAACTGGACGACGAGAGCCGTTTTTTTATAATAGCTATTGTACCTACCTAGCATAGCATAGCATCCATAGCATAGCAAGTGGCTAGCTAACTAGTTGGTCGACCGTTGAATGAGAAGCTTTATTCTAATTATTGTTATTATTTTCTTATTTAATATACTAGGTACCTACTTATTATTTTATTATTTATTATATTTTAATCTTTTAGTACATTTCTCTTTCTCTATACGCGTTTATAGTGGCTCGTGAAGCCGGCAGCTGATTCCGGAACGGCAGAGGTCCGAGAGAGGAGAGGTCTTTGTTATTTGTTTCCTCTTTCACACGACAAGATAATAATAAAAAATATATATATAAAAAATTCCATCATCAACATGGCTATAAAAATAGGGGGCGCATGTCAGCCAGTCGTGATCTCTAGATAGCTGTATCAGTGGTCGAGGTTAGGTTGCCGTAGGCCATTCTGCAGGAAAGTTGAGCATCTGATACCAGGCGCGCGGGGGGAGCCATGCCGTCGTCTAGCGCAGCGTTCAAAAGTCGGTGAGCGGCGCTTCCTCGAACGCTGATTTGCACGCGACGGCGAACACTCCAAAAGGGCCAAAAGGGTGTGGTAGGCCAACTCATCGTGCTGGAGTCTTGGTCGACCACCCTTTTTCTAAACCCCTCTCCCCCTTCTACTATTCTACCATGTACCATTCTCCATTCTCCTCTTTCTCCCCTCTTCCCTTCCCCATCGATAACTACTCGATAGCTACTCGATAAGCCCTATCGCCAGTGAAGGTGTCATGCATGAAAGTGGGCTATGGTCGTTGTTGTTGTCCTGAAATGTCTAAGACCAAGATGCAAGCCTACCTACATCACATATACATATACCTATACATACCTATACATATACATACTATCTCTAACCCAGCGGGTATCTAAGGCGGACAACTCAATCGCGGGAAGGTAGCTCCTATGACACTATTCCCAACCAATGATAATATTCGCGAATATTTGTTTTTTTATATTTATATCAATATTTACCAAATACTTACCAACATATGTAGCTGTAAGCTATAGCTGCGAGTCGCGTTTGCCAGGCTTACCGCCCCGCGGGGTAGATCCTATTGGTATCCTATCCGATGTCATGTCCTGCATCGCAAAAAAAAGCCTACGGTTCGCGATTGGGGCACTGCCGTAGTATAGTCTAACAAGATCGTTACAACCGCATGAAGCTATTCATCTAATACTAGGCACGATACGCCATTTACATAATATATTTGCAATGGGTAGCAATGAGTCGACGCTTTGGCTTTGGCTTTGACTGTGACTGATTTACTACAGTAGTATTCTCTACCTTACTACGGTCTAAGCATGTACGTGATTGATGCTATACTAATACTAACACTACACTATACTAAAGTAATCTCGCCGATTTTTACAATCTTGCGCCTTGCAGCACGGGTTTCGTATACGGGGCTCATCCCAGCTAGCACGCAGTCATTTTCAATGCGCTCATCGCCAAAGAACTTGGAGGTGTGTTAACAACCAGCCTCACCGCCCTATACCGCCGGGCGGACACTGCCAACTATGCTCCCCCCCGTTTTCCACCATGTATGTAAGGCCCGCTTCCTTGCGGTCGAGCTTCCGCCAAAAGAGAAAAAAAAAGATCCTCTTCTCCGTCCGTACAGGGAAAGTCCTTGCTTTCACCACCATCGTCATCGCGCCGATGGAGGTACTAGGTAGCATCGCAAAAGCACCCGTTCTCGTCGTAGTTTCGCAGGGAAACATCGTCGTCTGTGGGGGTTCCATACCAAGTACCTAACTACCTACCTAGTATACATATAAACTCCGTAGCGCACCCTATACCTCTTAGGTCATAGGTTTGTACGTTCGCAGTAGGTATGTAATTATATAACTGGGGACAGACGAAAGAAGAATAAAAAGCGAATGATAAAAAAGAGATTTTTTTTTTAAAAAAAATAGAGGGGGTGAAAGGATATAGAGAGAGGGGCGGTCTAGTTTGGCGTGTTGAGGGATCTAACATAACTGCCCTGCGTAGACCGAATCTAGCAACAAATTTGTTCGAAAGTTAGGTAAGTAACTATACCACTACCGCCGTAGCTAAAAAAGAAATTGAAATGAATCAAATTTGAATGGACTTTTCACCGTTAGCTAGAAAAGTCAGGTAGTGATGCAGTTCGGTACACTTAGCATCATGCAGCCGAGCTAGACGAGGGGGTGGAGAGGAGGGAAAGGGAAAGGGAAAATAATTAAGGGAATGCCCTCGTTGCGCATCCGAGATGCAAGTTCCCAAAAAGTAAATACCAGAATACCAGTCATCTTTGCCGACGGGGGACGGGGACGTCACAACGTACCCTTTCTTTACTTTAGTCTTAAGAAAGAAAAGAAACCATTTACCAATCCTGCAAATCCCGATAAAAGTCCATCGTCATTAACTGGCAGCTAACTAGGTAGCTAGCTAGTTGATGTACATAGGCACGGTTCCCGTCTCTAGGTAGACATATCTATGTACATACATACATACATAGACATACATAAAAAGCCTTGCCTGCTTCGCGCCTGTTTCGCTCTTGTGACTTGGGGTCGGTCGTTTGGGGTGACTTGGACAATCATTGTGGGGATGAGGAGACGCGAAAACGCGGGACGGAAGCCCTGAGCGGCTGACGATCCTGCGATCTTCAGGTTAGGGGTCCAGAGCTCGGAGTGACAGTTACTATAAACGACCAAGATTGTGGGCAGGCGGTATATCTAATGGCAACGAGAGGAAAAAAAGAAAGGGTCTTGCGCTTCCGGAATAAGTCGAAGATACCCATTTTTGCGGCAGGGCCAAGTCCAGCAGAAACCCAGCACTAGCACCAGCGCTCACCTTTCTCTCTTTCTTTTCTTTCCGATTGTCGATCAAGGGTCCTAACTGCACTGCGCTGTGGGTTGGGGCTTCGTCTACGCAGCTACGAAGACTAATTCCTGTCGCCATAAGGCAAAGCTGTAGCTCTGGAACCGAGTTCGATGTCAACAGATGGCGTCACGTTCCCGCACCGGGTCGTCCGCATCTACTTAGATAGATAACTACCTATTCGTTGGATAAAATAATATATAATACTATTAGTGATATCCTCGATACCTCTAGCTGCTTACTATATGTGTTACTCGGGGTGGCCGCATTGCAATTGTATGGATAGAACACGGTTAGCTTCTCTCGAAAAGGTGGTTGTCTACCATACATCAATTACAGTAAGTAAAAACCGGTAAAGCTTGTGGCAGATGTGGTAACACCGATATCATCGATGCGTTCGTTCCGTTGTAAGGATATCTCCCGCCCTCTATCCATGGTTCTGACTTTAAGGCGACAGGGCGATTGTGTATGCCAACGTACTCTTCTCCGCCGGTCTGCATGCGGTGAGACGCCAATGACGTTGCCATTTTCTTCGTTTTCACATGCCGGGATGTCATTGTTCACCATGCTTGGCTGCATTGGGTGAGAGCTCTGGGTAGCAGCTCTGAAAGCTTGACCGTCACTTCGTTGAATCGCATCGCATCGCATCTCATCTACTGGTAGCTTCATCTGTTTCCATCTGTAGCTAGTAAATAGCCTATTCTAACAACAGGAAACAAGAGCAGCGTGTTTCACAAGGTTGCAACGGTTGAAGATAGAGTAGTAGTTTGAGTGTCTGAACACGTTTTATTCTTGTTTTTATTTTCTAGGCCTTCAAGATTTTACTATGTTTTTGTAGTCATGGCGCATGCTTTTTTTTGTCTTTCCCTTCCGGCTGTTTGCTCGGGTCGCCGCTCTTGCGCAGCTCATGTGGCTAGCAAACCTTTTTTTCTCCTTTTCGCCGTCTCAAGGCAAGACTGTAACACTCCTTAATTTTCCCCCCTTTTTAGGTCATTTCCCCATTCTTCGTGAGGTTGCCCTCTGATTCTCCTTAAATACACACTATGAGTAATAGAAAGCAAATGCAGTCCTTCGCGGAGGACGAAATCAAATGCGGACCGTGGTATCATCCAGGTAGCAACGCCGATTAGTGCCAGATAAACATGAAAACTAAAGGCGAGTGTGCCCTAGACACGATTATGAGTCTCGAGCGGGCCGTAAAAGCAGCAAACGATGCGCTGTAACGGTCGAAGCTGCGCTGTGATTGGTTCGTCGACCAATCCGTCGGCTAACCATGTAGTGTGCGATTATAGGCGATGGGATTGCCTCGTGATTAAACAACATCATTAAACGCCGGCCTCATGCAATGCAATCGGTATCGTAGAAAGCAACCACCTTCGCAATGCTTCCGAAAAAAAGATAAGGAAATAAAATACAAGGCAGTCCGAGATCTGCCGTCGAGTGCTCCGCTTGCACTTCGATCGAGGGTATGTCCGAAAATGTCCGCAATAAATTGAAAATAAAAAACTACCAGCCTTGAGCGTGGTATCCGCCGAAGTCCTCGCGGCTGAAATATTGGTTCCAGCTGCTTGAGTTAGGCTCCTCCTTTCCCTTAGCCATATAGGCCTTCTCGGGGTACTGTTTTAAGTTGGCCACGTCGAGTGAGGTGTGACGTCGCTTGAGAACCGCGTTAGCAGTCGATGTCTTCTGTTGACGTTCCCATAGGAGTTGACGGCGGAGCGACTCGGTCAATTCCGTGGCAAGCATGTTCCTTCTAGTTGTTCTAGGTGACAAAGCCGCTTGGTGATGGTGGATCTGCGGGTTGGTCATGATGGGTTGTGCGCTGGATCGAGGAATTTCGGTAATAGGCTTTAGTGGCGTAGGTCGTACCCCCCTTCTCATCTCTAGGCCGTTGTCAGAATCGTTAGGAGAGGAAACAACGTGCATGTTTGACGGATTTTGTAATGTCCGTGCGCGTTGAGGGATAGCGGGCGTCGAGTGCGAGGCGTAGTTGCTGAGACCCTTGACTCGTTCTTCTTGTCCGGCGAACATGAGGCTGATTAATGACCTCTGGGAAGTAAGATTCGGCTTCGACGGTACTCGCTTGAATGTGACAGCATCATCCACACTAGACTTGCCACTCTCCTCAATAGAATCCTCCCACTCTGAGTCCTCGTCATCGTCATCAATGGCACTCTCATCCATGTAGCTATCCGACTGATCACTAGGAGTCTGGATTGTTCGTGTTGAGATGTGGTTATTGAATGACGCCTGTTTCTTCTGCGCGGTAAGGAGGGAGCATTGCCGAGAAGAGTGCATGGCACTCTTCAGGGAACCCTCATCTTCCCCAGATGAGCCGACGCCTACCTCGAACATGGGTCTCTTGGCGGGCGGGGCCATAGGCTTGCGTGTATCTAAGCTTTGGGGCGAAGACTCATTGCTAGAGGAGTCGCCAATCTTGAACATCGCGCCTTGCTTCTTGGGCTGTACTGGCTTATGGGCGGGGGAAGATCGCGGCTCAGGAATTGGATCTTGCGCTGCGGGTTTGGGCTCGTGAGAAACACGGAAAGATGGAATCTGTGATGGCGAGAAGCCTCGGATGACAGTAGTAGCAGGGACTTCAGCAGATTTCGACTGCGAAGACGACTCAGATGAGGCGTTTACAGACTCGCACGCAGATTCGGTAATTTGCGTGGTGGGGGTGTAATCTTCTTCTGAGGATGATTGCATGTGGTCTGCAACAGACGATTCGACTGAAGGAGAGCTCATATCGGGGAGAGGAGCTAGGTTTGGTTCCTTCTCTTGGATAATAGAAACAACCATCTTCTCAAGATGGTCAGAGGTAATGTGCCGTTCACGGCCCCTACTTCGGCTGCTAGCACAAGAGTCTTGTCGAACGATTCGAGGTCGGAGGATCTCGACGGGATCGGAGATGGTGGTGAAATCGATTGCTTCCTCGTCAGCAATAGAGTCGACGCTGCCCGACAATTGGGGAAGGTCTGATAATTGTTGTTGTGCGGGGATGTCTTTCGGTAATGTGGTAGTAGTGACGGTAGATAATCCCTTGGCTTCGCAGCAGAAAGTCTCTCTGTTCCACAATCGCCAGCTGAGGTTTTCTAATCTTCGTCCTTGTTCAACTGAGTCGGCGCATCTAGAAAAGACTGTAAAATTTGGTCAGTTTCCGTAGCCAGGATCAACCACATCCTAGTGCTAAATTGCTAAGTAAAAGCTGCATACCGGTCCACATGCTAAAGAGGTTCTGAGGGTTGTTTGTGTCGACCTTGTGAATTACGTTCGGGTCCACGGTTAGGACTAGACCCTCAGCCTTACAAGGCATGCCTTCAAATTCGCTGCTCGGCTGCTGGAGCAGACTATGGCTGAGTTGAGGATGTATGGTGGCGGATGGTTTCGCGAAAGCGATCGCGAATGTCGAATTGAGTAAGTGGAGGAATTGTTGTGGCTCTCCAAGGGGATCTTGAAGATAATCGGCACCAAAATGGAGGTGGTGGCGTAGGTTTGCGAGAATGTTCTTGTATATTCGTCGAGATGTAAGGGTGTATCGGCGGGAGGGTCCTATAAAGGTGCCGAGGACTGGTGACGATGATATATGGATTGCTTGCGTGCTCGTCGTTATAGATGATACTTTCCAAGCTTGGGTATGCTCTGGAAGTTCGATTAATGCTGGGTCGTGATCAATGCTACAACCGCCGACGACGTTATTAAACACTTAAGAGCGTGCTGGACTCTGGCGTGGTTCATGATGTTATGTTCCTGAGAAGGGGAAGAAGAGAGCGGGTAGGTGTGTACATAAGTATTTGATAGGAGGGAGTAGAGTGGGTAGGCTTAGGTGGAGGGGGTTAGAAGGCGCGGTGTGCAAGGTCACTCCAGAGTTCACTGGGTCTGGTACGTACCAAAGGTACTTAGGGAAGTACACAAGTACTGAAGTATATATGTACTGAAGTACTGATGTATCTAGGTATCGATTATTTCGACTGGGTCCTCTAGCGGGGACCTCTTTTGCTTGGGGAGTGATTGAGGATGGATGGGCGGCGGAACCGGGATCAGAAGGGTTCAGGGGCGGTCGCAACCCTTGACAACACGCGCAGAGGTACCTGCCCTGCAAATTAGTACGTACCTTTAGTACTTTCTCCGATGGATGGAATATCCAGCTTCCCAGCGGCCGACCTGCCCCGAAATGTCCCATTTAGTGAACTTAGGTTTACTGCCTCTTTAGGGGATAGTCTATTTACTTAGCGTAAAACCTAGACCCAACAGGGTATCAAATTCCCTTTGGGGCATTTAAGGCCTTTCTCTGGAATACACACTTTAGCATACCCGGAAACCACGCCCGCGGTCAATAGGTCCAGCTTCCCAAATCAAATCAAATCAAATCGAATCAATCTCAATTATTCGGTTTGAAGCACTAACTGCCTAGTACTATGTATGCGTACTATGCGTAGTGTGTGCCGGCAGCAACAACTGACCAGCAGACCCTTTTGCTTGGGACCTGCCAGCCTGCAAGCGGTTCAACTTCATTGTTCGAGAGCAGGCACATGTTACCTATTTGTTCGGCTTGTTGTTTCCAAAGCGGTCATGAAGCTGTTAAGCGGCCAATGCGTAACAAGTTGTCAAATATTATCGACTTAATACCCAATACCTGCATTTGTTTCGTGATCTGCAATACCCATTGTATTCGTTTTCAAACTTTTCAACACATAACCTCGGACGGACTACCGGCTCTCACGATAGCCTCTAACGCGTTTTGGTATATCGCGGGATATTATGAGCTGTGCACAATCACAATTAACAACCAATGTTGAAACGATGAATTGGATTCATACGGTCTGTCAATCTTTCCTGATGATGACAGCGAGGGATCTATGGGATTCCCATTGACGAGATTATGGTTGCACATAGATGACAACAGGCGCAGGCGCACAGAGTAACAATCAGGTTACAAACCACCAATGTCCTTTTTTTCGCTAGACAAAGGAACCATGAAATTTCAATGTTCACGTTACAGTTACTAGAATTTACTAACCTATTAACTAACCTGCTAACCTACTAACCTACCAATCTACCAGCACTAAAAAAGTGAACAAACAATCCCTTATGACCACATGAGAGAGGGGTATTTTCAATCCTGTGTAGGAATATTTATTACATCAATTGACCATAAATATTTTTGCAGGGTATCAACAAGCAATGAGGGATATCATGACCATCTAATTAGGATTGGTTAGTCTATTTACGATGGTTTGGTCTGGGTTGGTTTGGTTTGCTGCCCGTGTTTAATAGGACAGGTTTTTTTAGAGCATCGTGATCCTTGATTGCACTGATTGCGCTGATTGCGGTAATTACAAGCTAGGTAGGCGTTGGTGATGCTCTTTGGCGGTGCTGATGGTCACAGGAATCATCGACAATGCCACAACGTCCGTAGACATACGACAGCAATAACTGGTACCTAGGTAGTCAACCTTTTGACCTGGTCGAATCGTTACTGGAATATTGCCGCTGTGTTATCGCTGACACGGGAGCACGTGCTGACTCAAAGGCTATTCCTTGGACCGAAAGTATTTGAACTGAATTGTCTAGATCCGGCTAGATTTTTCAAAGTCGCCTCAAAATCAGGCCTCGTGATACTGCCCGCTTTAAGCAACTTGAAACTTCGTCAGTGATTATTCAGTCAACGGACCGCTCCCGCATTTGCCTCTATCACACAGTTGGCCCCCAACCCGATCTCCCATACCAACACCAATACCAACAACACTAAACCATCTTCGAAGCTAAACCTTCGCTACATTCCTACAAACCTAGTAGTATCAAATTAGACTATCGCGAGTGTCTAATGGAATAGTCATTTGAACGATTTAGCGCTTTAGCGACGATGACAACGCAGATGGGTTGGGGCACGTTATCCTAGGACAACTTGCCAACTCATCGACAGATAGCTCAGGTGTAAGACAGCAGCCTAGCTTATCCCTATTCTATCTCTCTTCCTTCTACAAATACATCATACACAATTGTAGATGACTCTATCAAGGAAAATATGCAGAATCTAGTATTCTGATCAGGCACACATTTGTCTTGTGCCATCGACGAACCGCGGAATCAAGTGTCGAAGTGTGTCGAAGTGCGCCTATGCGCTGTCACTTTTGGGCATCTGATTCCTCCAGGTCACGTAATCTAGAGCTTACCGAGAGCGGCAGATGCTGGGGACGAAATTGCCTCGTACGGGGGGTGGAATTGTGGCGGCTAGATTACGGATTGGAGCTTCGGTCCTCCTCCGCATAAATAGACGCTCGTCAGCTGAGCTTCCTCAGCCACAGTTTTTTAATATAAACCCCCACATACTTTTCTAGGTACCGGGCTAGATCATGAATCTGGGGATAGTTGCGAAACACAACAGCCTTGTATTCGATGGTACAATACAATACGATGTAACACCCTGTACAAAGGACATCGATGGGGGTACTAACAGGTAGGCAGTAAATCCACCTACTTAGTAATATATGAAGAATGGACTTGGGTGGAAGTAAGGAATATTTCGTAATGACATAGTAATATGTGACAATAAGTAGCACATCTTGTATGGCATGTAGGGACAAATACCATGAATAGCACATCCTCATATCATGAGCACATGTGACATGCGTCTACTACTATGAAATGAGATTGAAAATCTAGTGCTAGTCATGTCGACATGAGTTCATTTGTACGAAGTAAATGCCTGGGCATCAACGGAGATATCATCTTACTCTCTCATTTACTACGCCTTCACTTCATCCAACCAACATGATTTTATATTTACACACGTTATGATGGACATTATATAAATATTAGATCAACAATGATTCATGCTCTTAGCAAGGGTAAGTTCGCAGTCACATCAATCATTCTACTCTTGAGCATCGATATCACGCAGCCTGTGACCGCTTCGTTACATTTCCAGTGCATTGCTTCGCCAGCATAGCGCCAACAAATGGAGAGCACCCGCCCAATCGGCCAACGCAACCCCACGCCGAGACGATAGATTCGTCGCCTATCACACCTTGTACCGTCGTACACCATGCCAAGCCCAAATTCCATCACATTTGCGCTCCCTCGACGAGCGCCAAAATCGTATGCGCTGACTTATTACCACACAAAAGGACCTCTCCGCGCGTCTCAAACGCGAGCCTTGATCAACGAGGCACATTTCACAGAGAGGAGTCAGCCGTGACATATACTCAAAACCTCATATCGTGTCATCGTCTGGGTGGCTATAGATTCGAATTAGGACTATAGCGACTTACGTCTAAACCGTCATCTGATCTAGCCCTATTTTAGATCGCCCTATAGTATTTAATAGTCGGCTATGACTCTTAAAATATCGGCCATACCTAGTACTCTAAGGCTTCCTGGTTCGTGGCGGTAGCCTCATATCCCTCATTCTAACTGAACTCATGACCTTTTTTCTGCGCATTTCGCCATTTCGACACCTTGAACCCCCAATTCTATCTTGTTTCAAGATACCGAACTTAGCCTAACCTTCCACGTTGGGCATGATAACCTTAATGGACGATCAGCTATCTAGGTAAGTATATTCCGGTGTTATAGGTATTATTGTAATTAGACATCGGCAGAGTGTCCGAAGCCTCGACGGATACCCTGGAAGATCCTCATGGAGGCAGGTCTCAGATAATTCGTTTCTGGCGATCATGATAGCTTCTAGAAGAAATGATACGCTTCCTCGGCTGTTACCTACTATACTCAGTAAGGCTTCTTTTCCTGATGTGTCAGCATGTCAAGCTCCGCGCGGATACTATCTATCCTCAACGCGGGATACGCAGGATACGCGGGATCGCGCTACTTTAAATTGGGCAGGCGACAGGGCTTTGTTAGTCAAAATGGCCTACCTATCATGCACCATCACTACTCCCACGTTTCTTCAGCGAGACCTTGGAGGCTTGGGGATTTCCAACCGCTCTATCAGGCCCACTTACTAGGTAAACTACCTTAACCAACTTCTCATCAAGGAGACGGGACCGAAGCTTCGAAAAAAGAACACGACAGAAAAAACCATGTTCGTGGGCGTGATATGTATGTGTGCCTGCTCTTCGGAAACGATACGACGCCCCCTGAATCCAACCTCGTAGTTTCGACTTGTCGCATCTCACTCGACAATCAAGTCATTTGGGCACCAAGTTACGAAATTGGGCAAGATATAATATTGTAAAGTGACAATGGCTCAAAATGAATTACAAAGGTCGTACAAGGGAGGTGCCATAACATCGGGAATATTCGCATCCATACACATTCCCAAGGGGGTAAACTCTGCGGCGAATAGACCTAGCATTCCGCCTTTGCCTTTATGGTGATAGTTCACGATAGTTCACGATGGAATCGTGTTGCCAAGTAATCTGTCAGTTTTGACATCATCGAGCCAAGAAAAGAATGGAAGGGAAAGGAAATAGCTGCATAATGTCGAGGACCCTATGTACAGGAACAGAGCAGCCAAGCAACCAAGCTAAACTCGGCTCTCGCTTCGCACCAGCGTAGGTATATTATTACAGTGTATGCTGTAGGTAGACTGGAAACTGGAATAATTAATGGAGGTAATGAAGGCCGACGAAGGATTCCATAACCCCAACACCCCAAATTCCCCCACTCTCTCTCTGCAATGACCTTAACTCGAACATTTTAACTCCGCTGACCAACTCCGCCTCCTTTCGGTCGTCTCGGTGTATTAGCACGCCATTTATTTACAACGTGCTCCTCATATGCAAACATGTCAATTCCCAACATCGCAGCTTCCACCGATTCGCCGCATTCTTGTCCTCAATTTACCTTCCACCTTTCCACCTTTTCAGCCAAGCTGACATTGTTGAAAGCGGCGATTCCAATTGCTTGACCGGTGGCGAGATTTGCAAGTGCATACATACTGACATAGTACAGTACATACCACTAGACATGTAGCACGATCAATTGTACGTAAGCGCATACTCGAAATATTGGGGATTTTCGTATTGCTACTAGATACGGACGATCATTGAAGGGCATGACCGAGGCAGCAAGGTCATTAAAAACTTGTAAAGCAATTGTTGCCTATCGATTGCGACGATATGATAATCGATAATCACAGCCCTGGACAGTGGACATCGAGCCCTGAACTATCCCAGGGAATGTCACAGGGAACCCCTGGAGTCCAGAAGCTTTTGAAGGTTTCTTTCGTGCCCCGAATGCCCCCACTTCCAAACACTTCCACCCCCCCTTTTACCTTCCCCTTGACCTTGCTGTCAATCCTAGCCGGGCACGCTTCCCCGGAACTGGGGTGCAACAAGTTGCGACAAGGGGTTGGCGCAATTGGGTCGGGGATTATCGGTATTTTCCGAATGCGGAAATGCATGTGAGGACGTTAATATGATAGCCTCTTACTTTCTTATTTATCTGTTCCATTTTATCTCGTATTTGCCTACTATTTGCCTCCTCGCCAGAGTCTTATTAAATAAATGAATTGATTCGTTTATGTACGTCCATTTAAGTATTGAGAAGAA